AACCACCCCAACCACCCCAACCACCCCACCCCCCACCACCCCCCAACACCCCAACACCACCCCAACCACCCCAACACCACCACCCCAACACCCCAACACCACCACCCCAACACCCCAACACCCCAACCCCAACCACCACCCCAACCCCAAATCACCACCCCGACAACGGAGGATTTTGTCAACCTTCGCCAAAGGTTCACATTCGGTCTCCCGCAACTCTTGACCTAGACTCTACCCACTACACTGCGCTATGTGATTATATCACTGATCCCACCTGTCACAACCTTCCTATACTTCTCGGGTCTGGAATACTGGGTATAACTCCCGCTAGCGGGTCGACTTTGGCCATGGACAGTTTTCATGTCGGCAACCTACGCCATTATATTTCCACCAGAACTACCAGGATATTTGGCGATCATGTTCGGCCCGGGTCAGTCATTCATATCATACCCGCTATTGAGTTTGCATTTGTGCTCCATGTACGAAAGCTGAAAAGTCTTCGGAGAAAAGCCTCCTCGAGTGGCGCTCTCTATGCATGGGAGTCCTTCCCACCACCATTGACCATACACCGTGGGATCTGGCTCATAGATTTTATGACGAGTCTTCGTGGGATTGGATTGAATCACGGACCCAGGAATAATCTGCCACCAGCTCCCTTGATCCTTGAATCATGATCGGCTGCGAGACCACAAAGGGCGATCAAAGGCACGCATCATTGAAGAGGGAATTATGTGCGGAAATTCCTGATCGGGAAAGGACTAGAGATAGCTTTGTGTTATCTTTGGATTGACTTCTATCAATCGATCATCATCCGATCCAGTATTTGGTCATCGCTCGCTAAGCCCAATGGGCGGAATTGTCCAGTGATTCAATACAAGGGTCTCTCCTGGCTCTTTGCTCCCTTGGTTAAGTGGATACCCGTGAATATTTGCATTTAAGCCTCTCACCTACAAAGCCGTTGTCTGAGTTGGCGATAAAAACGGTTTGGCCCCATGATGCGCGCTTTGGCATGTACGCTAATCTCGAGCGATCCAGTCCAAGAAGCAGCGATTCTGGCAATAAAGTACTATACAATCTGATGACGAGAATCCAAAATGACCCTAGAATCCTCTTGGATCCGAAAACCAAAGATCTCATCAGAGCGGAATTGGGCACTCTTGTCACGACATATGTGCCACGAGCGGAAAACATGACTGCAGAGGAGGTCGCACACATGTCCCTGGATTCATTGATGTCTGTTGAAGTTCGACGTTGGATCAAGACTCACTTGACCTTGGAATTGAGTTTAATTGAAATTGCTAGAGCTGGTACAGTTGGCGAGCTTGCTCGTGTTACACTCGACCACTTGCGGGCAATGTATAACGTCAATGCAGACGCGGAGAACCAGGATGACACTCCATCAGATCATTGGTCAGAAGTCAGAAGTCAGAATAAAGTCCGGTCGCAGTATGCACATGTGGGCTCGCCCGTTAAATGCGCCTGTTCAATTTCCCTCCCCATGTGTTCTGCCATTCGAGGGCAAAGCGAGATAATGATACTACCTACAAATACAACTTGAACCCTGAACCTGCTGACGTCTCCCAATTCGATTTCAGGTGTACACTTTAATGAGACTGTGCGCCTAGGTCCATGTGGTTAATTCCTTACTCCGAATCAATCTCTCCACTTTTATCCTAGTCAATTTTTACTTTTGCGCCTACCACTATAGTACGACACGCGTTCAACCTTGGAAGTTGGGTAGTAATTAATTTACAAATGGACGGGCTGGGGATACTACTGCGTACATGATATCTACATCCAGGGACGATTTGCTTCGAATTGTAGCATAGCACTTGAGACCTTCCAAGGTTCGACTCGGAGTTTGGACTTCCTCTACATAGGGGATCCCCGCACATGCAGGTGCCGGGGCCGAGCCGTGGAAGCGAAGGGCTCAACCTTGGAAGTGCTGGATTTCGGGTACCCGCCCGCGACCTCGGGAGCGCTGCAAGGCCTTTGTCCCACTTTGTCATATAGAGCTCACTAGAATTTGAACTTGAGGGTGGCTTTTATTTTACTCGATGGGAGCTGTGTGTAACATGATTCCCGACGTCAAGCCCTTGAAATTTTGATTTTGGAGTCATTTTTGGTTGGATGTTGCCAGATGAAATGCCGGGAATGCGATCATATAGTTCAAGTTCTTCACAAGCTGCAGGTGAATTAAACACATGCATTTGATCAGCCAGTGCCCAGGTGGGAACTTCATCCAGATTTCAACTTCAATAACTTCAAGTTGAAGACTCGGATGACCATGACTCGGACACTATCAATGATTCAAATTTTGGTAACTGTGACTCACGATATCCTGAGAGTAATAACATTTGAATATTTCACTCATGGAGCAAGAACGCGTGTTTAATAATCATAGAATGGGAATGAGTTGGGATGCCTGTGAATTATCATGATCTTCAGATGTTTTTGGTCAACATTTGAATGGCTTGTAGCTGAGTGGTGCTCTGCTAGAGAAACTTCAGGTTTTATCCACTTCATCAGGATCTAGACCTCAACCTTCACCTTGCAGCCACTGGCACAATCTGAGACTCAGAGTGCTAGTACATGTTGAATTCAGGTTTTCACTTACACCATCTGATGTTAAGACCTTATCAATACAGCTTTGCAGTTACATAGGATCTTCATTTCCTATGTTAACCGAGCCTGAGGGGAGTCTGATGAATATCAAACGGTGAAAATCAGCAAAGTCGGATCCATGGACCGTGGTCACAAGTGCTTTGCTCAGTAAACTACCATATCGAGCCTATTGAAGAAAAGTATCAACATTTACAGACTTATGTGATTTAGGATGAAGGTCACAATCGAGTGGCCGATGGCCCTGTGAAGTAAGCCCCAGGGCTGGAAGTATTAAAAATGTACGATGTCTAGTAGTAAGCTTTCTTCATTGTGTTGTAAATGCTAGAATGCCAAGTAGAGTTGGAGCCTTTGCCATAAAATGAGCATTCAAAGTTACCAAAAAAAATCAAATTCACTTCCAAGCGGAAAGATTCTTCTTGACGAATTCCTCCCAGCTAGTAGGCTTAGAGTCAACGAGCTCCAAGGTAGGCTCAAGTGACTCGCCCAGGTAGTAGCCAGGGTCCTCCACGAAGAGCTGGTTCTCGAGATACTCAACAGCAATAGCGGAAGGCAAAGAAGCCTTGTACTGCTCCGAGCTGACACTTATGAAGACGGCCTTCTTGCCTGAAACCTTGGAAAAAGTGTCCACAATCTCTTGAGGGGTATAGTATTTAGCGGCAGCCAAAACCTGCTTGTTCTTCAACTGATGCGCGTGCTTCAGTGCGACCTTCACGAAGAGACCTAGACGGATGGTTAGCTGTATTGGCTACATATTTGAATATAAGCGAGTCTTACCAGTATCCTGAGCAGCATCGAAGAGGGGGAATTTGGCCTCGTTACCAACAGGGTAAAACAGCTGGTACGATCCATCATCAGAGCGGTTAAGCATCTGAGTGAAGTTACTCATGTAGTATCCGGGAAGAACGAAGCTGCACTCTATACCAGAAGCCCGGATGTACTTCTCAACGTTGGCCTTACTGTCAAAGTGAGGCACTTTTGTGAGACGACCATTGGTCTCCTCTGTCACATTGTGAAGGGAGGAGAAGATCAGGTGGGAAACACCGACTGCCTTGGAAACGTCTGCGACATTCTTGCCCTGGGAATACTCGACCTCGGCGTTCATAGTCTCCCAGTAGTTGGTGACCAGGAAGACGGTGTGAGAACCCTTGAGAGCATCAGTGAGGGAGTCGACGGAACCCAGATCAGCCTAAGATAGAGAGCCTAGTTAGTTACACTTCCTGCATGATTTTTTGATAAGTTAATGTCTCAGCCTTACCGTAACAACCTCAACACCCTTCTTAACAAGATCCTGGGCCGACTTCTTGGTAGTGTCGCGAGTAATGCCACGGATCCTGAACTCCTTGGAAAGCTCAGAATCGGCAAGGATGGCCGCGATGACAGAACCACCCTGGTTGCCGGTGGCACCGAAGACAGTGATCAACTTGGACATGGCGGATATGTTTGAATGGTGAGTGAGAGATTTGGAAGGAACTGAAAGATATGAGGATAATCGAAGATTGGAAATATGAGTGATGATCGAAACAAAAAGCAGGAATTGAGAGGTCCTTTATAACCTCTCATTTTTCGTGGGGAGAAAGCCAAGTACGAGCTCGGGAGTCGTGGAAGATTCAGTGGAATGAAAATGAATAAGCTTCGGGGCTATAGTGTGAGGCCGATCCCCCGCCACCTTTGTAACCTTCTATTGATATTGGGCCCAAGCTGTGAACCTCATTGGTGCAGGAGTCTTTAAGTTTGGGTCTACATTGTGTCGACCGCTCAGGCGGCTATTGATACATCACGTCACCAAAAGTAACCCCGAGCCCGAAGCCCCGAGCCTTCAAATGTTGAGTTCTCGCGGTGAGGACATGGGTCTGGATCCTTGCATTATATGAAAAAAAAAGAAATTATATCCATGGGAAGGATATATGTCATACCAGCTGATTTGTGTGTGTGAAATTAATGGGGCTCTCAAAATGGGAATAATTGTCTGAATTCTTAACTTGGAATCCATCCAAAGTCCAAAGTCCACATTCTACTTAGTAGATGCAGACTGTGAGCCCTGCTAGTTGGACACCCCAAGAATGCTAAAAGGACACCCTTCGCTTGATTAGGTTTAGCGTATACACCTCTATACATGTCTCGCTGCCACCAATGTAATTAATCGGCCACACCAATATAGGATCCATTTCTGACCACTCCTCCTTAGCTAATATCTTGCCGTCGCTAACAATAGCTCTTCTATAGCCTATGATTCTATAAATGAGCCTACTTCTAATGACCTTGTAGTATAACCGAAGTATCAGCCTGAGCCTAAGCCAGTATATTTTCGAATCTACACAATATTCTTTAAACATACACATTAAGATAAAAAGGAATAGACAAGACTAATATCTTCAAGTTCTCCAGCTACTTAATTTCTATTCAAAAAGGCTATAATATTTTAAATCAATTTCCCCTTAGCTAGCTAATCTTAAGCTACTATTTCCTTGAGTTAATGTTACTTTATCAATTAATAACGGGAATGTAGAAGGTAGATATCTTAGATGAGGAGTCCGCGGATATTGATGTGACTGATTAATTACATTGGCGGCACCTGGGCAGCGAGATGTGTACGGAGGTGTATACGCTAAGCGTAATTAAACGAAGGGTGTCCTTTTAGTATTCTTGGGGTGTCCAACTAGCAGGGCTCCAGACTGTACAATCTAACCTAATCTAGTAGGCGGAGAAACACTGCTCTCAAGAGGGGAAACGTATACTACGTAGTGCTATGCGGCTATGTCGTAAAGTGCATGAAAGTGCAGGGGTTGACCCAGCACGGGCAAGCAACCAAGAACAAAACCAACACAACTACCTAGGAGGAATACGACAAGGGGTGCAATCAAAGAGAGAGGTAAGGGTGTGTATTACAATCTCGTAGCTGCTGGTACCTACCTACCTACCATAGGTAGGTACGGTCACTAGTTATGAGCACGCTAGGGCTGTGACAACACCGTATGAGTATGCCACATACTGCGGGGCTTGTTGCGGCTTGTGACTAGGTATGTTATCTTGAAACCCTTTGCATGCCTGAGGAATAGGGTTTTATATTCACAGTCATTAGTAGTTGCTAAGGTATCGACATAGCTAGCTGTTTAAAGCCCCATAGTATTGACTACATCCATGAAAATATCAAGGGAACCTAAATCTCCTTGAATTTCTTCCGAGAAATTCGTCATATCTGGGGCCCGAGGGCCTGCACCAGCCAAGTTCAAGTCCTTTGCAACGGACATAGTTCCTGAAATTTCGTCCCGGGACTGTTGAGCTCGAATTGCGGCAGCCCGGTTCCGGAGACGTTCAAAAGGTCGCATCATCAACCCAAGTCGATTACCCATCGGTCCATCCCAGTGCTCATAAACCCAATCCACAGCTGCCCACGCACGGTCTGATAAAGGAGACGTCGGGCGCACGCAGAGCTCCGACAGAACAAATGCAAACGCCTGCCACTGTACATATCCCTGGAACAGCCAGGACCATTTCGCAGTATTATCGTGAGCTTCGAGTAGGTACACGAATTCGAGTACTTCGATCGCGGTGAGGACGAGGAGATCGCATTTGTCCGGGAACAGGTCTCCTTGGAACCCTTCGACGCTCATCAATGAGAAGTGTGACACAAGCCAAGAGCGCGCGAGAGCAACGCGAGCAATAGTCGCGGTCACCCAGTGAATCGCAATTTTGAGGTCGCAGAATTGGAGATATCGCTCATCAAGGGCTATGCGGGTCTGTTCTATTGCCTGGAGGCGCTTTTGAAACAATGTGTTATGCTCATCAAGACCAGCCCCGGCACTGCTGAGTTGCATCAATTTACGATGTAGTATAAGTATTTCACATCTGACCAAGGTTAGGCTCATCTCCGTGAAGCCAGTTCGTTCTACCGGGGTCTCAACCATGTCATGGGATAAATCATCATCATTGATATTCAGCGGCAATTGCGTATCGTAGTCCCCTTCCCGGATTTGAGGGCTCGTAGCCTGAGAGTCGGATGATCGCACATCCAATAGATATATATACCACCACAATCGTCGCCGCATCTCTGTTTCAAATGGGCTCAACCCAAAGTGGCTGCTATCCCGATGTAATCCTAGGCTCAGGGCAATACGAGTCACCACAGCAATCATGGTCCAGACAAAGTGCGCATCTTGGGGATGACACGCACAGCTCAAGAAAAGAACGGCCGCTTGTAACACGATAAGTTTGCGGGTATGAAGAAATCCCGCCCGAACTAACGCTTGTTCGACTGCGAACCGATATCGCTTGATCAAGGAGGTGTGCTCTGTTCCTAGCTGTGCAAGACATGCCTCCGGTGACATACTGTAGATTGCGGTTAGATATATAGAAAATACCAAGGCCTCAGACCCCGGATCGAAACTTTCAGGGTTCGTGGTCGCCGTTTGAAGCAGAACTTTCAACATTGGCTTATGTATGATCAAAACTATGGGTGCAACACTGTCCTCGAAGACATTGAAAAGGAGATGGCTGAGAGCCGGCGGTGGGTGGTAATCGCTGAGTGAATGGGCCACAGAATGGTACCCGAATATAAATGGGCTCAAAATTTCTGAGTATGCTGCTGTTGGCGCTGGCGAGGAGGACTCTTCCTCGGATAATGTCGGGGATTCCGGTGAATCAAACATATCTCGAACCTCTTTAATCTTCACCACAGCTTCAGCAGTCTGTTGCATTTTCTCGACAGCGATACTATGAGGGGGCAAAATATACCTGATCTGCGAGTTCCGTCAACACTTGATGATTCATATAGCGACTCGTTCCATTATTTCGATCCACGACAAGACGTCCAAATTGATCCTCTATCGTACTGGAAGTCGCCTTGGGCGAGGCAGACTGTTTGCTCATCTCCAAATCATCGTCATCCTTCTCTCTGGCTTGCTCATGTACTCCATCACGCGGGCTATGCTTGGCTAGCCATGAGTGCACAGTGCGGCTGTCTCGAGGACCGTCATCGTTGTCCCTTTCTGGCGAGAAATCAACAAAGCCCTCTTCCTTATTGCCTTGCCCACTGAGCTTCTTGATTTGCTCTTCTAACAGGGTCAATCTTCCAATCAATTCTGCTTTGTTCGATTGTCTTTTGGGTTTTTTCCGAGGTTTGCGGCCAGGCGGTGGATAAGAGCATTGGACGCCCAAGCGCACGCAATTGTCGCAAGGCCAGGACTTGCTACATCGTACTTTTCTGCGGCTGCAATCGTGACAGCTTCTTTGAAGCAATTTTGATCCTTCTTCACGTGGGAGAAATGTATTCGTATTAACTGGGTCTTCAGACATATTCCAAGGTTGTGACGGAAGGTGAAGAATCCGGAGGGCAGAATTGTACTTGCTTGGGTTCGAAGGCGGAGACGGAGACTAGCGGGGTCAAGCCGAAGGCTCTCACTCTCGCCCCTTTTTTTGCCTATAGGGGCAAATGCCTTTCTGTTGTTAAGCTAGCTCATAGCCTACCAGGACTATCGTGCTCTATCTCTATCTCTCTCCCTCTCTGTGTGTGTGTGTGTGTGTGTGTGTGTGTGTGTGTGTATGCCACAAGCGAGCAAGTCCAAGGTTCACTCATATGGTTCATACGGAAAATCATACCTATATTCCTCACGAAACCCTCCATCATGTGGCCCTACTCATTTAACAAATCCTCAAAAATTCCGGTAATATTAATAGTATTCCTTTTCATTCAGCGACACAAAACTTGGTAGATCTGTGTACTTAGATATTACCGATATTACCCAATGGAAAACATTTTCAATTCTGACATCTTGTTTCTCCCTGATCTCTAACACAGCCCTGCAAGTCGATTGTGTCTTTGCTAATCCGTCTTTGATTGACTTGAATATGTGGAGAGGCGATATATCAAGTTCGTCATGGTTCATTAAGCTTTCTTGCCTCCGCTTTTCCCCTAGTTAACTGACTGCTCAGGTGCTACAGATCCCTAACTACCTACCCACTCAAGGATCATACGACTAACACTATTGAAGTTCCGATATTGAAGGTTGGAAGGTTCGAAAATGAACAAGGCAGTGGCACTAATGAGTTTTTCTAAGAGCGACAAAACTGAATCCTTCCAGATTGTCCATTCACCGTGCCTAGGAGTTGGATACAGCCACCTTGAAAGCTTACCGGCCCCTTCGCAATTTCATTGCTCTGGCCATTCGACTCATAGAGTTCATGTACTAACTCGCGCGTGGGTTTATCCAGATTGGGCATGTCCTTCCACTCCCATTCAAGAGTACCGCCATATTCCGTGGGGAGATTTGATGCATCTATATAAGACAACAAAGTAGACTTGGCTTCAGATGAAGTCAACAAGAAGAGTTTCGACCTAGTGACCGGATCGAACCAATGGCTCATGACGTCCCAAATAGATCGAAAGAAATACGGAGCACCAGCCACCTAGAGGGGACCATTAGCTTCTCCGAGAATGAACGAAGGAGTCATGGCAACTCACAAAGACTCGACCAAGTGTTTCTGGATAGTGCTTTGTGACCATTTCACTTGACTCCTGCAGGTATTTCCTAATTCCAAAGAATTGTCTCAAGCTGACTCCCGAAATATCAATGATATGTGTTGAAGCAGAAACGGGGATGTTTTCGTTCGGTCTTGGGAGTTCAGAAACAAGGGGTGTCACAAATCTTATCAAATTTTCGTAAAGGGCATGGAAATGGAGAACATAGCCCGGAGCATTGGACTTGTATTCTTTGTTTGCTGGGGGTGAAGATGCGATCTTTTCGAAATACTCATCCAGGTCCTTCTTGGTGAAGTGCTTGACAACGAATACGTAGACTGGCCGCCCGTCAAGATCGCGTCGTCCAATCCATTGTGGGTACTTTAAGAGGAATTACCCACGATTCAATGAAAGGTTTCAAGACCAAAACAAGCCACCGCACCATTTTTCGTGATTCTTCATAGCTTCCGACTTCCAGGTTATCATAAAACTCTTCGATTCCAATTTCCTTACGCCATTTCATACAGAAGTCAAACTGCTCAAACGCAGCCTCAACTTGAAAGCTTCTCGCTCGGAGATAACGTCTGGACGATTTGTCAATCGATAAAAGAAATACTCTCAATAGTTCAAAACTCACAATAATGCAGCGTCGTCTGTATAGTGTTCAGGCGTGGAAATGTCATATCCATGGTCGAGACACATCTTCTTCAGTTGGGATAAACTCCCCCTTTGGTCAGAGGTCAAAATGCACCCAACATGGACCTGGCCAGGAGATGGCATCTGGCAGGCATCATCAAGCGTTTTCAGGTGACCAGAAGAGCCCCGGCCCTGCATTTGAGGCTGGGAAGTCTCCATTCTGAGAGTTGAACACCAGAAGCGTACGCTGGATTTTGGTTGTTCGTTCAAATTCAAGTTTTCGTCTAAAGGCTACTTTCTGAATTTTTGATTGACGAGAGGATTTATTCCGGTATTTGAACCAGCGGAAACAACAGAATCTTTATGCCATCCATTATGGATCAATAGCTGGGGATGGTGATGTCACCACCCCAGAAGCATGTCAAATTCCTACCTTGACTTTTTTTGTCAGGTGGCTCAGGCTCCGGGCCTTCGGGCTTGACTTTTCTCACCTGGGCAGCCCTGACCTCGGAAGCCCTGGATGTTGGCTGCAAAGTGACTAACCCCGAAACTTCCGACCCCAAACCTTGGAAGGTTCTACCGTTTTATTACATCAACAAGAAGCTCGATCTAAAATTGCATTAACTTTTAATTATTGTTTCGAGCGGAACTACCTGTGTTGGTAGTGATTCATACAAGGCCTAGGTAGAATGTGATGAAGAATCATACCCCTCGATTTTTATGAATTTTGTTTCCAAGCATGGTTGTAATTGCTCGCTATGAGATAAGTACTGCCATTCTACACATGTGTAGTGAACTGCCAGGAGAATAAGTCGGAAATTTGAATTATTGCTCCCTCTTTCCAATTCAAATGTTCTTCAAGTTTGTATATACGCAATATCGACATTGAACCTCAGGGAACATACGTATTTAATCGCTACACATCATGATGCATGTTCAAATGTTACCTTTATTATGTAATCAAAATATTATCCTGATACTTTGACCAGTCTGTGAAAAGGCAGAGACCCTCTTCTAGCCCTTGGGGTTGTGCGCATCTATCTAGGTAGTAGTGGTGTGAAAATCAGTCTTGGAACTGTTATCTCAAACCGTGACATTCGGCTATGTATTTAAGATCAAAGATCCAGACATTTTATGCGAAGCCAGATATAACCTTCGAGCATGTACCGCGCTTGGGATCCGGTACTAGTATTTCCAGGGCTAGAAGCCTGTTGGATTCAATTGGAAGGTTGAGGTGTCAACTGGTTTGATTGAACATGCACGTGGAATAATCTTGCAAATTTAGAACTGTTATTGTTGCCACCTTCTCTAATTAAATAGAAGGTAACACTTATGCTACTCCAGGGCTGTACAATTTCCACATGGGATCTCATCATGCACGAACTAAGCATAGTCCTAATGCCATCCAGACTGCTGAGCCTCTAGTAAATCCACGGTAAGAGTTGGTAACGGACGCGGGATTTGATTTTGGACCAAGCCTTTCCATACTAAAAGGCGGAATTCTTAGCACTGATTCGAAACCAAGCTAACGGAAAGGCCATGGTAGAAATCTCACCTTATTCGTGCAATATTCGTCAAGAACCGGCACACCACGAGTTGCAAAATGGTGAAAGAAGAAAGCAAAGGAGAAGAGACCCCAAGCACAGCCTCCACTTGTCAAGGCGAATGCACCACGCCACAAGGTATAGGCACCATAGTTGATTTTGGTAGCCAGGGAGAGCAAACCACAACCGTATGGCTTCCCCTTATTGACGGGATCCTTTTTGAATTTTGTCGCTGTAATTCGGAAAGCAACTCTGTCACGATTCCAATGGCGTAGGCAATCGTCCCAACAGCTACCACTGGGGATGAGAGGACACCCAATCAGGTATCGCAGGCGGATTTCTGTGATGGATAAGAGCAGACTGCAAATAGAACGTTGGTGGAATTGAAAACAATATTAAAAAAGCCTATACCGAAGCCCAATTGCGGCGAAAGCTCCTGCTCGGAGATAAGTGCCATGTGAGTAGCTTGTTTGAGGCCACTTCCGAGGGACATAATCACAAGAAGCTGATATTAAGGGCTCAACCGATCGTTTACTGCATTCATCACGGATAAACGTGTTCCATGGAGGAGGGAAACAATATTGGAGCCCCATCCACGTTGGAGAAAGGCAAGTTGCCAAAACGGATCCATCAAACGAAGCGCGACAAATATTGACTTTCCAATAGGAGAAGGAGCCTTGACCCGTGACAGGTTGTCGTGAAGTTTTTTACCCCTTGCCATGGTGAGTCAAGATATTCGGGAGCTGCCGAGTGGGGGATGTCGCCTGACTTTCTTTCTAGATGAAAGAGCGTACTGACAATGAAGGCCTGAGTGGGGTGAGAAATTGATAAGTTTCAAGGTTGGTATAAAGATGGAACACCATATGAAACGAGGGGGAACTATACCATACGTGACTTTCAATGATAAATTCTGTTCACCTGTCTCTTTCATTTGATACAAATGCCGAATGATCAATCTCGGGTATGAGAATCATCGCCGAATGCCGAGCAGCGGGAAATTTTTAACACCAGACTCTGGATTTCACCGAGATCATCATACAGGAGACCACTCTGTAGATCTTGGGAGAAGTGCAAAGAAGACTGATAGAGAGTGTTTGCTTGAATTAATTATAATGCATTGAGAATATTAAAAGATTGAAGGAATAATCCACGTACATGTAGTAGCTTTGTGAGGCTAAACATAACGTCACGGTATGGACAAGCTTTCGCCACCGCGTTATTCCATCCCCTTGCCCCTTATTTACATCAATCTTTCCTTTTATACCCCTTTGACTAAAGGTAGAAAGTTTGAGAAAGTTGGATAGTATTTCAAAGAATAAAACAAAATGGTCTTGTCTTCATAGGATCAGGCTTTCTGGATCTTCCAAGTTGAGAAATGACGTTGCTATTGCTTTTTTAAAAAAAAAAAAAAAAAAAAAAGCAAAGAACAATCCCAAAGAGGAATTAATCAACAATTAGAGAGACATCATAATGAACTCGCAAATAAAAGGGGGGGATAGCAGTGCACATGAGTACTGGAGGAGAATTTTCTAGGGCTCTACCTATTGTAGTGGGGTACCCTGTCCCCTACTACACGTACCGTGCTAAGAATTACCGTTTGGTTACATCTCTGTTTTGTCATGTTTTCAGTCCCGTCTTTGTACGTACAAGAATGCCCGTCGTTATAGTCTAGAATACACACTCCTACACGTCTCTCATCCCACCCCTACGGGGTAGTCCGGCCACAACGTACATGTTGGTTGGTGTTATCCATTCATGCTAGCTGGATCGACCCGTGTATCTAGAATACACTGCCTAACGGTTCCCCTCTTCACTATGTAGTATGTGCATGTGAGATCTCCCCATTCATGATGTCAAATCACTGTCTCCCACCATTGGAGGACTTGCATAATGGGTACAGCTGACGCTTTTAATGATGATGGCAACTGGCTTATGAACTGCTGCCATCCTGAGTTCAAATTCCTGAGTCTATGCGGAAACCATTGGGCAATTTCCTTAACGTGTATGATACTGGCTTCTCTATCTAGGATTAATCCAGGGGTAACTCACCACGTTTAAGAGTGTCATGACGATGCACATCACGGCCCTTTGGCTTCTCCTTCCCAACAATATCCCGAGGTGTTTGAATGGCGAAGTACTGTTACTGAGGTAGTGGAGACAGCGAAACGAATTAATTCAGTTAGGTGAGGTAGAGGCCAACTCCCGCACCTTCTTGCATTAATTTCGTTTCTAGCGAGATGCCGTTGGATCATTCGTGTCAGGTTTAGGGGATTGGGGTAGTAGGCGGTCATGCACACGGGGTTCGATAGCCTTCTACGGCTCTCTACTAAGATTTGAACGGTCAGCAAGGGATAACAACAAGGACGGTCGATAAGGATAGCGGAAAACAAAACATATTCTGTCAGTGCCATATTGCTCTCGTGAACTGGAGCCTCACGGGCTACCAGGTTATAGAACAAGAATGACCTCGGGAGAACGTACAGAGGCCCATGATCAGCCTCCAGTTGCCAGCGGAAAGCCGCTAAGTCACAATGTATATGGAGCATACTTGATATTGCTGGCTGGAGAGAATAGTTAATGCTGATATGGCTTCACTTGATTCGCAGGATCCCTCTTCTCAAATCGGCGTGGCTGAAGTTCGGAGGTAGGCTCTACGAGAATGCTCACTGAACAAGCTTAAAGCCCCGATCACGGGCATCTTGGATAGAACGGAGAGCCAGGCTTGGAATACAGACGCTTACAATGTCTCATGCCAAATGTCAAGCCAGCCGATAGGTCCAGTTCGGAAATGAAGGCCATGTGTATAGCCTGGTTTAGGCCACCGCCAAGCAACATAGCAACGAGGATCTGGTAGTTTGGTTGTAATTGTTCATTCATAACCGTCGTCACAGGGGAAGGTGTGCCATTACGGCGAGAAATAACTTCAAGCTGAGACCGCCGGCCGCGATGGAGGAAGTTATATTGCCAGAGTGCATCTGTCAGGCGAAGTCCAACAAAAATTGATTCTAACGCGAGATGGGGATTTGCAACGGGAGATATTATCGTGTAAGCTCGTGTCGTTCGCCATTACAGATGACTGATGAGGACTGGCTTGGTCAATAGACTGTCTAACGGAAACTCACATATTATGTAAAGGACTCCACCAAAATAAGGGGTAGTCAAAGTTCACCGTGGCAAGTGCACGCAGCCAGGCCCTATGGACGCTTGATCGAAGACATCGCCTTTGTCGTTTGGTGGAGTCGGTGGTTTGGTGGAGTTTGGTGCTTTGAAGTTTGGAATCCCGCTCGGCCACAAAATTGAAGCCGAGCACCGACGGCTTGATAATCTGAATTTTCAGCTTCTCTCAAATGATGTGTACGCAATACGAGCTAGTCCTTGCCACTGGCCACAGTTATGGGTCGAGCCATATGGCATGATTCACTTGTGCATAGATAATTACTTGAAAAAAAAAGAACAAGAAAATTGAAAATTGAAAATTGAAAAAAACCAAATAGTCTGGTCCCATAATAATAGTCTCTAGTGTGAAGACAATCTACGATAATGCCTTGAGTACTCCGTAGTCACAGAGGTTTATCCTAATTGTTGAAATCTAGACGATCTATGTCTCTACCCCCTTGTCCAGATTGTGAGAAACTCCCTATGTATGCGGCCTATAGCATATCCCACCAAACCCTAAATGCCTGGCTTCTCGCTTAGGATACGTTGAATAAAATTCAGACTCTGAGTAGCATTGCAAAGGGGGTGGGATTCTTCTAACCCACCAGCGATAGGCTAGTCAATACGAGCCCAACAATATCTTTCCCAACTCCTTTTCCAAATCCTTTGCCTCCGTCCGATTTGAGACCATCTCTGGGTTGAATGACGAAGCCATCGGTACAACTTCAAGCTTCCCGTGAATTCCTAGATGAACTTAGAATTGATCCAAGTGACGCCAGGTTTATGATTGCGGGGAACACATTGATGTTCATGAAAATATCAATACATGTGAAGGAGAAAGGGAAAGTGCACTGTCAAGCCAGATAAAGTGAGCACCCTCAGTTTGGCCGGCCTTGAAAAGACTTCTTAATCTAGTTAGTAGCCTTGGATCGGGTGGAATTTTGTTATCATAATGTAGCTTGGGGCATTTGTTGGGAGATGGAAGTGCTACTGGGTGGCAGTGTGGAGAGGTGAAGGAAGGTGGTGTGTGCAGGGCTAAGTATCTAAGGCCTTTCGGACCTACAGTCCGATAGCATTTCGAACCCCTTTAACCAGGATAATGGTATAGAGCCTTTCTTGAGACCCTTTTATAATCCTCTTATCCCATGTACAGTTCACTCGGACACAACTTCATGAAATTGAACATTGAACAGTTGGTACCTTGCTCCAGGTATTGTAGGCCTTAGGATTCCAGGTATCTTGGTGGGCCAATCAAATTGTCTTGTACTTAATCTAACATACAAAAATACCGAAAATATGTGTACAAGGTAAAATAGCTCTCAAGGCTAGGCCATATCGGGCCATATCTAGCAAGAATCGGACACCAATCAGGCCAAAAAGACGAAATTCAGCATCCGACCTGCCGCTATTGGACACCGTAGTGGGAGAAACAAAGGAGGGATGAAGAAAGAAAAAACGAAAACCAGACAAAGGAAAGAACGGCTTTGCGGCTCTCAATACTGAAATCAGATCGAGAAGTGAAAGTTGGTGTAAGGAAGAACCTTAACATCACCAATAAGTCCGGTATCCACGTTATTCGGGAGTGTTGCGAGATCTGGCTTATTTCCCGAAATCAGGATCTCGTCATAGATGCTCCGGATATAGTTCCACATCAAGGTCGGAACAATGGCCGTGATATTATTGCTTCCGCGGTGCAGGAAGGAACTGATATCAACCAAGGGGTTGGCGAAATCAAGAGTCTGCACAGCTTGTCCATTGACAAACAGTTTCAGACCATGAGAAATGGCCGGGAGAGATAGGTATGCTCCGGAAACATCAGAATGGTGAGACGGTGGCCAGGAGAACTGGTTGGAATAATACCCCAATCCCGAGGCATTGTGAAGTCCGGGAATATCGAGCCAAGATATCAACGAGGTCAAATGATGTGTGGTATTATGCTTGTCTGCAATCACAGTGGCATCAGACATGTTCCGGGGCGCTTGCCAATGCTCCGCCGTCAGTGTCCAGTTACCGAGGGTGACTGGGGAGGTGGAAGCGTTGGTCGTAATGTCGTATGTCTTTCCGTTGGATAACTTCAACAAATGACTGCTTCCCGATGCCCCCTTGGTAGCGTGCACGGCCAAACCTCCAGCTGTGGTATAGTTGCAACCTAGCACATTTGAAGGAATCTGAGTGGCGTGCACAGAGGGTGTGTCCACATCTGATTTCCATTCATTACTGAATGCGAAGACTGCAGTCTGGTTTATCGCCAAGGTGAGCGGAATCTTGGTAGTATTTCCTTCAACGCGATAATCGAGTAGGGGAACTCTATCACCAGTCCAGCTATTGAATGAGTAAGGAGTCTTGGTAGAGTTCACAACGAGGTATCCTGTGCCAGCCGTGTCTTTGCTGAAGACATAGACATAGTCCGTCGAATTGTCCGAACGCATGACTGGGTACCAAATTGTGTTGTTGGCCAGAACGGTCTCAACGCGGGGACGAATGTGCAGAGATCGAAGCTTGGATGCGATCTGACCATCCGCAGCCCTATGGACATTTGTTGAGTTCTTCAGGGTCTGCAAAGCCGCTAGTACAGCCTGCTTGTCAGAAGTGTTGCCGTCTGGGTAGTAGCCTGGCAGGTCCTTGCCCAGAATGACTGGTAGACCAGAATCGGCGAACCCTTGAATTGCTGAGAGTGCGTCGAGTGTCATGTTTTCAAATGAGGGAACCACAATGGCTTGGTAGGCAGGAGATTTGGGAGCCAGTAGTTTTCCAGAAACGTAGGCCTGGGAGAGGTTGAGGTTGGTGGGATTCAAGTAGTTGTATGTGAAGCCAGCCTCGATCAAGTCGCCCTCCTGATACAGAGTTGCCAACTGAGTATCAGTGTATGAAACCTTGTTATAAAATGCCACATCGATTCGAGGCTCTCCTTGGTGAAGGACAAACTGGTTTCGATTGATGTACCCAATGGCATCTGGCAAGCCCCATAGCCATGAGGGCTGCTTGTCCATGTAGGAATCGGCAAATAGGAGGAAGAAGGCAAGATATCCCGGCCACGTAGTCTGAAAATAGTCTCCAGTGTAGGTCTGTCCGTGCAAAACAATCTGATTCACACCTCCCGAAAAGGCTGTGTTGATCTGGTTCAATAGTTGTGCGAGTGGAAGGGCCAGGGCCTGTTCAAGATCTGCGCCCATCTCATTGGAGATAACCGCCTTTTGAGCCAGATTTGCAGCACCGGAAAATTGCCTGTATCCATCAATTTTATCGTTGAATGCCAGACTTTCACATTCGGGAGCCGTGACGCGGTCGATATTGGTCTGCATATCGAGGGGCAGGTTGTAGGAAATCTGTGCAGAGTAACCCAATCCAAGGCCTTCTAGCCAAGTAGTCAGAGTCCTCAAATAGTCTCCATATCCCTGAGCCAGAGCTGCCCGGAAATCATTGACGTAGCCTGCACCTTCATCCTCGGTGTTCAAAACACATTCCAAGTCTCCTGGGTAGGACGGCTGAACACCGGGGTTATTATTCGCATACATGAGCAATGGTAGGAACTTGTGGATCTTGTAGCCGTTCAAGCTTTCGAACTTTGTTGGAAGTGTTGGGGTCCAGGATATGTTGGATTTGATCTCGATGCTATCCTCCCAGCCATACGTTCCAACCTCACCCAAGAGGGTTTTGATTGTCGTATCATTGAGAATATAAGTCTCCCAGAAATTGATTATGGTCTCTGCACCGCGAGCGCTGAAATGATCAACTGTGTAGGACCCATTATCGAAGATTGTCCCAGTGGTGTGATTCTGGATGTCCAGATTCTTTACCAGATCCTGGTACTGATAGTAGGCAAATAGGTGGTGTTTTTCGTGTTTGGTGCTGTTGAACGACAAAGAGACTGTACCATCCTCATTGACTTCATCGGTATGAAGCCGAAGCGAGTCAACAGCAAGAACGAGGCGAGTGGCATTGTTTGCGGCTGTAGAAAAAAGACTACTGGCGGGGTTTGTGATGACCGAAGATGAGAGGACCTTGGCGGAGACCAGCGCAACTAATTCTCCTGTTCCCCAGCCAGGAATTGGACCTTGGTAAGAGCCGTTTGTAGGAATGGTGGCATTGAAAGGTGCCTAATGTTCACAATGTGTCAGCGATCCTGTGTTGATACATATAATAAGGTGGCGACTTACAAGATCCCAATGCAAGCCGTTATCCGTAGTCTCTGCAGGGACACCTTGACCTTGATTCGGTCCAAGCGCAAAGTCCATACGCATACCGGCATTTTTGACGGTTTTTAAAGAAGCCTTGAAGATCTCATTGAATGCCGGTGTACCAAACCCGTATTTCGCCCAATCTGCACCTTCTGGTGGTCCTGCAAGGGATCCTCCATAGTTATACAAGGGCAAAAATTCAACTCCTCCAGCGCCAAGTGCACCAGCAGCTGCGATGTCGCTTTGAACAGTCGCAATATCCACACTGGCATCCGGTAGCCAGTACCGAAATTTCATGCGTGCATTGTTGGCCGGGTCGGAGAACGTTCCGTAATCGGTGGCTGAGGCCAATTCAGCGAGCAAGGCTAGCCCGCTGAGTAAGGAACCGCCATACATCTTGCCGTAAGTGTTTCCAATAAGGGACTGAGTTAAGATGAACGGATTGAAAAGGAATGTGAAGGCTCTACAAATTCAAATGCATCATGCCCATTGTCTGGGTCTATATAATTTTGGAAACTTGAAGTATGTACCATGGATCCTACTACCTATCAGCCCTGGAGGGATCCCGAGTGGACATCTATACTTCCGAGTGATCAATGCCGAGCCACATTTGCCGATTACACTCGCTGGGAGCCGAGTACATATCGGGATGATCATAATCCTATTTAATTTAAGCAAGCCAATCATTCAATCTTCGATTTAAGCGAAGTATCAAACCAAGATATAACCCGTACTTGTGGGTCGAGTTCGTATCAGGGTCATAAGGCGTGCCGAGAAAGTCACTCTTTGAGCCAATCAACGGAGGGTGTGGATTACCCAATCTGAACAGGAATTTCCAAATTTGGAAGGTCTGGTGTGAGGAACCCATAATATGAAGATTGAAGTCTCAATCCTGATCCTGAGATTTTCGGAAGTATATAAAGATTTTCAGTGTCCACATTCCGATCAAGGAGATTTCGAGATTTTCGACTGCACGTGTGCATACCTCTGTTAATTTGAAACATATGGTCATATGGTCATATTTGAATTGAAGGAATAAGCCCAATATATTCATTACCTAATTGATTCATCGCCGTATTCTACTAGTACATATTGTGACTCACTTTGTGCCAGCTAGCCGGTGGACAAGTAGGTACAGGTGGAAGAGATACTAGTTGCTGAAAAGTCTTATGGGGAAAGGAAGACATGCGTAGGGAAGCGTGAGGAAGGGAAGTTTTTACAGGCCTGCACGAGAGCTATCTACACAGAAAGCACTGCTCCTATCTATGGACCACCTGATTTTCTACTAGTAACACCAGCATATGTAGTATATTAAAAATCGATGTGAGACTGAAAAGGGGCTGATACCTAATCATCAAACCTTGTACGCGATTGTCATCGAGCATACATTTAGTGCCTACTACCTAGGTACGTATGAAATGTTACTTTGGTATTAGGTGCCAGCAACTCAAGGCCGACTCTGAGCCGCATATCCGTCCTGAAGGTAGGTTATCCTAAGTTTTGAAGGCTTCAAGTATGAGGGTCTAACAGATATTCCCAGGAGAGTATCCTAAAGTTTCCTGACGATGCACTGGGTTCATCATGGAATAATACTTACTGTATGCCATTTATCTGCCACATCGAATTTTGAAAAAGTCGATACATATTTGACTGTAGCCCTGGAAGTAATTAGTGGGCGCGCCGATGCGGCGTATTTAAGCGGGTACACTTATCAGACGGTAGGTGTGAGATGCCTTAGATCCTTACCCCTGCACACACACCTTCCTTCGCCTCTCCACACAGCCACACAGTAGCACTTCCATCCCTCAACGCGTCCCGTTGCCCTTTTTCTTTCCCTGACTACAACAGCGAGCTTTATCGATTACCGGTCCCTAGGTGGCACCTCACTACCGCTACTATAACAAAACAACGCGAAACGCATACACAATTGAATTCATAACAACAAGAAACGCAGACATAACCTCAATCCAAAACAAGGGCCGATATTAAGCCCAGTGCGAGAGTGAACCCAGAAGCCAGAGTGCAAGACACCAGATATTGAGAGTGAGAACACCAGATACAGAGTGCGAGATGCCAGATGCTGAGAGCGAACCACCAGATGCCCGATACGAGAAGCCAGCGCCGTCATACATTCAAAAAAAGACAACGGCAACAACAGCTACTGGTTACGACAAATTATGAATCAGGGGCCTTGGATTGAGAGTGTTCAAGGGCGTATGGAGATGTACGGGGAGGTGTGTGGTACACAACCTTGGAAGAAATGGACGGTGACAACTTGTACCTAGTTACCGATTGATCAGTGAATTGGATTTACGTGCATAGCGGCGGTGCGACAGGAGATGAGTGCCACTTTAGAATTGCTGTGTGTGCGTGCTAGGGGGCAGTATCGGACTACGCGTCCGAGAGGCCTTAGATCCTTAGCCCTGCATACACACCTTCCTTCACCTGTCCACACGGCCAAATAGTAGCACTTTCATCTCCCAACAACAGTCCCCGGGCGGGGTATTAGATGTCGACGAATGGGAGTTGAAAAGCAAGTGAAAGTCTGAGTCCTGGGCTAACATTTGAAACGCGAAGATCAAGCGGGATCGATCATTTGCACAGTCGGAGTACATATTGCATTGGGGGAGGTTTGGTATGGCATAGTTCTGTGGAGCTAAACATGGAGGGAATTCAAGGTTAAGTGTGATTTACAAGGTTCCATCATTCTCCATATATCGGTATTTCAAGTCTATCTAGATGAAAACGACTAGACACCGAGGACTTATATGAATGTCAGTCTTCCCGTCATTACTGAATTACAGAGTCACGGAGACACATGTGTGTTTTTTCAACTTGAATGCATTGGTTATTTCAAAAGAGGTGTATTGTTATTGTATGCAGGCTTTAGATCAAAGCTTCTTAGGAGCCGCAGACTTGGCACCCAGACCAACGGTGACGGATGGACGAGATTTCAGGGACTTCAGCCATCGATAGACATTTGGGAAGTCTTTCTCCAAATCAATCTCACTTTCTGCAACCCACGGAACCACTTCAAACCAAGAGACAAATACCAAGTCGGCGTAGCTGCATTTATCACCGACCAGGTGGCTTCGTCCCTTGAGAACTTCGTTCAGCACACCCGACACCCGACGGATCTCGTTGATGTATCGATCGATAGCAGTCTGGACCTGCTCCTTGTGGTGAATCTTGAACCAGACGGCTTGGCCAAAGTATGGGCCTTGACCAGATGCTTGGAAATGGAGCCATTGTTTCGCGTGGTAGGAATCAGCAGTGCCAGGCTCGAAGCTGATTACCCGCTGCTGATCGTACGTTTCGACTAAGTATTCGATGATGGCTCCGGACTCCCACAGAGTCACTCCAGTATTGAAGTCCTCAATTGCGGGAACGCGCCCATTAGGGTTGATCTTTTCATATGCGGGTTGCTTCATCTCAGGAAACTCGAGAAGTTTGATCTCGTATGGGATGTTCAGTTCTTCCAGAACCATGACGACCTTTTTAGGGTTTGGGCCGGCATGGTGGCCATAGAGAATGATGGGCTGCATGATGGAACGAGGTGTTGAGAACGACTAGAGACTCGAAGTTGCAAGTTCGAAGTTGCAAAGGAGAGTCCTCTTCTATTGTGTCACATTCCATATCTTAAATAATAAAATAGTGGCGTTCGATCAGATCGCTCCCCTGGGACGACGGGTCGGAAATCGCGACAATCGATTACGCAAAAGAGCGAAGCTGACTTAAGATCATTCTGGGTAGCTGAAGGAGCCACCAAACCAGGGTACAATTTAAAGTTGTCCAATCAAACCTATAGACCTTAGTCACTTAGTGCCGGTTACCTAACCTGAAGATATCCACCTGGGCACCGGGGCATGGATGGACCTCCGAAATCCCGAGGGATCAAGGCCGGGATGAATGTGGCGTGAGATTTGTCATCGCTCGCTGCTCCGGTACACGGGTCGTGGCCTCGGGGCATCTTATGCCGAAGAAATATACCTCACGTCATCACCTGGGCAACCTTGGAACTTTCCAAGATTAGACATTAGACGTCACGGTTGGAATGGTGCATAAATAGAAGGGATCTGCGGTTTCAACCTAATGCAAACTACTGCACGATCCCCTCTTTAATCTTTAATCCTTGCGGATTCTTTCCCACCCACGCCAATAACATCATGTCTACACACAATATTGCCTTTACTGCTCCGCTCAACCCCACTGGAGCTAGCCCAATTTTGAATGAAGGTCAAATTTGGCGTGGCTTACTGCTCAAAATCAAATCGGCTGAAACTTTCGTTCCAAACGCCATCCAATCGACTACCGTTGTCTCTGAGGGCTCTGATCCCGAGACTGGAAACCCTGTCACCGTACGCGATATCACTTTCGTCGAAAACAAGCGCAAAGTGAGAGAGACTGTCACCGCCTACAAGCCTTCAAGGGCCGTCTTCGTCCAACCGGACGGAAGCACCATCAACAACATCGTTAGCGAGGGAGCAGATGGCGAGCTGTACATGACCTACACGTTTGAATGGAGACATCCCGACGCCTCTCCTACGGAGTTGAAGGCATTTTTATACAAAGAGAAGCAGATGATGAAGCTAGCCGTGGAGGGGACCATTGCTGTGTTGCGCCAGTTGGCGACAAATGGCAAGATTTGAACTTCCCGCAATGCCAGTGTCCAGATGTCTGATTCTCTGTAACTTCCACCTGAAATTTCAAATTTCCTGCCCGCGGTCATTGATGTATTGATTAGTAATGATTTATTGATAATATATTTCCTGTATAACATATGTATGAACTTGGAACAAACACAATATTGAGTGTTTCAAGTTTTCTGGACTACTTAAAACGCAAGATCCCAAAGTCAATCTCCACATGCACTGGCAGGTGTCTAGATATGTAGTAACATAACCTTATGTACTATGGGTCATCTATGGTGATAGTATGATATATGTATCCATCTAATACCGTGACGCTCTCCCGAGGGCTCCTATCATCCTTACTTTCATATGCTTTCCGATTGTAAAGAATATTATGTTTGTGCCAGTGCCTGTGTAGGTGGGTGTCTACCTGCATACCCTGTGTAGTACTTCAAATGCTACCACATAGTGCGGAGTACTAAAATCAATAATGTAATTATATTTCTATCTTATAAATTCTTCACCGGTTAAAACTTAGGTATAAATAGGCAAGTTCAGGCATCAATTCAGGGCAAAGTCCGACTGAATTAGTTGATGTAAACCGGCACCTATACAATCAGTGGACAAAATTGAAATTTGTACCGGGGCAAAATAGTGCACGCAAGTTACACACATAATGTTGAAGGCAACCTTGAAGTCGATACGCCCAACATTTGTATTCAAGTTGTCAGTACTCAGGTGCTATCGATAACGGTGGACCGACCGTCAAAAGTGGATTAGGCCCCGTCTCCATTCAACACTGGCATTTCGACGAGACAGTTCGACGAGGTTCTTTAGGCTTGAAAGAGGGGGGGGCGATTAAGTTCTGGATTTGAGGTGACTCGGATTTGACTATGGAGTAGTCCACGGGCCGTGACTCGTGAGTTCCAACATTCCAAGGTTTGAACCTTGGAAAGTTCCAAGATCCCAAAGTTATCTTACTATATATACCTACACCTGGGCAGTACATATTCAGCTTCTGGTCTAGTCTATTTATGTACGGATTCGTGGTAAATAGGAATTACCTCCAGGGCTAGGCTGGGCCCTGACCACTGGCCGCCGGCGGGTAGATATGAGGGAAATTTCATCCGAAAAGTCTCTCAAGCTTCAGCGCATTTGATAATAGGCAAAATTGCCAGTGAATGTGACTGCAATTGACCTATCATAAAATTATACACTGAGGCTTGAATATTCGAGCATCCAGACCTCGGGATGTCCGAGTCCGTAACGCCACTATTATCAATTTATACATATATCTATCAGCGCTATATACGTGGATTCCCGAGGTCAAATCATGATGCTCGATAATTCAGCATTGATTACATAGGTAATATGTAAGCTCGGCATTGACTGAAGCCCCGAAGTCACCGACAGAGCCGTCAGCTTTGCCCACATGTGTAGGCGGCAGAACAGGGTCGGCCTTCAAATGTTTCAAACATCAAAAATTCCAATGTGCCGATCGCCATATCGAGTATTATCATATTTACCTTCCAACTAATCACATCAATAGCTTGAACATTTGAAGTGTTTGATCATTCAAGTTCAAAATGGGCTCTATCACTGTTGGGATTGCTGGCATCACGGGCAAGTTTGCCCGTTGTGTTGTGGGTCACCTCTTAAAGCAGCCGAACATCACCATTAAGGGATACTGTCGCGACTCAAAAAAACTTCCACCTGGTCTCCTTGCTTCAGAGAGAATCACCATCACTCAAGGCCAATCAGACGACAACGGTGCTTTGCGCACCTTTGCCAGAGGCAGCGATGTGGTTGTTTGCTGCTATTTGGGCGACCATAAACTCATGGTAGATGGCCAAAAGGCCTTGATCGATGCGTGTGAGGCCGAGGCAGTCCCTCGTTATGTCGCCAGTGACTACAGCCTAGACTTCACCAAGCTGGAATTTGGACAGCTTCCCGCCAAAGATCCCATGAAGCATATCCAGGCATATCTGAAGACGAAGAAAGTTCAAGGAGTCCATGTGTTGATTGGAATTTTCATGGAAACTTTCTTTAGCTCTCTCTTGGGCGTCTGGAATGCTGATCAGGCTTCATTTTCCTACTGGGGCTCCGGCGAGGAGATGTGGGAATCTACCACCTATGACAACGCGGCTCAATTTGTTGCCGCCGTAACCCAAGACCCAACTGCAGTCGGCGTGCAGAGATGTCAGTATCCTCTCCTCGTTCTTGCATATATAAGCTAACCTATCCAGTTCTTGGTGATCGCAAAAACATCCGACAAATCGCTGCTGCGTTTGAGGAGGAGTATAAGGTGAAGCCGTGGCTGAACTATCTCGGATCTCTTGAAGAGCTCAAAACACATATGGAGAAGGTCAAGAATCTTGACCCCAGCAAGTTTATGGCATGGATTCCCTTGTAGGTTTACCCAGTTTGAAGTATTCATGCCTATATAGTAGAGTTCCAACTGATGAAAATCTTGCAGGTTCTATCAATACTACTGCAACAATGGGCAGACCTATCTTACACCAGACGTGGATTCCACTCAATACCCCGAGATCCCGCGTTTGACATTCAACCAGTTCTTTCGACGCGTTCCCCAAGAGTCGCTCACAAATGCTGCTTGGAGTGTTGGTTCCAATGTCCCGCACTGAATTCTGGGTCTCTGGAGTAGCGGTGGCACCTGAACATGCGGGACTCGGAGTGACATGTTTGGTTTCTTAGGTATATGCTTTGAAGCTACTCTGCCTGGCCCATTGCATGTTAGTTTTGTAGATATCTTCAAATGTTGATTCTTACTAGCAATTAAAGAATAAATTTGGCCCTTCAGATATCAGTCCCTGAACCTTGAAGCCACGGAGAATTCGCCCTAAACGCCTTACTATTCTGAGCAATAATATACATTTAGAGATTCCTATTAAACTGAGACATAAATAGATACCTAAGTATAATTAAAATACGAGGAACGTGGATTTGCCCAGTGAGTGACGCGGATGCCCATCCCATGTGCATCCGGGGGTGATGACGTCACGCTGCAGTGGAAAGGAACCATATATAAAGGCGACCCATTCTCCTGAGTCCTGATAGACCACGTACTTTTGCTTTTGATTATTTCAACTCAAAATGTCCAAGCCAATCGCCATTATCGCTGGGGCGGGTCCCGGAACAGGTAGCGCTGTTGCACGCCGCTTTGCCAAATTCTACCCCGTTGTTCTACTTGCTCGATCACAAGGGTCTCTTGATCCTTTAATTAAGGAAATAACACAGAATGGAGGGTCAGCGACGGGATTTCCCACTGATGTTACGAATCCTTCTTCGATGGATTCGACAATCGACCAAATCAAAGCCAAGTTTGGAAGCGATATCACGGTCGCCGCAGCTATCTACAATGTAGCGAGCAAATTCCTGATGAAACCTTTCTTGGAGCAATCTCCAGACGAATTCTTCGGGAGCTTGGAGTCATCAAATAGGGGCGCATTCAATTTTGCCCAAACCACTCTCCCCTTGATGCTGAAAGGGGAGGGTAAGGGAGCTTACCCACCCACCCTCATATTCACCGGTATGAAGCCATGGATGAAATCTTACAGACCTCATCAACTAACGGTAGCAGGTGCCACGGCTGCACTAAAAGGTGGTTCGGGTCTCTCGGCATTTGCCATGAGCAAGTTCGGAACTCGCGCCTTGTCCCAATCTCTTGCACGTGAATTTGGTCCAAAGGGGGTCCATGTTTCGCACGCCATCATAGACGGTATCATCAACACGGAAAAGACCAAGGGTTACGGTCAGGATATTCCAGATGCTAAAATTGACCCTGATGGTGTAAGCCAACAGCAATTTTCCAAAGCTTGTGTCTCACTCTAACAGCCATTAACAGATTGCGGAATCTTACTGGTTCTTACACACCCAGCCCAAGAGTGCATTCACCCAGGAGATCGACCTCAGACCCTACATAGAGAAATGGTGAGAGGCTATTAATGCATGTGTGTTTCCCAACGTCATGCGATATGTTGAGATCAGTGGGATACTATGAATCAGTTTCTCAGTCATCCAAAATATCATATGTAGTTACAACCTGATCCTCAACATCCTAGAGCTGCCTTGACAGATCTCACAACTTCAAGGATTTCTTCGAAAGCTGGTTAGGTTCAAATGCTTGTCTCCACATGTTGACCTTGGTGGAATCTTGAAATGTTATCGGGAATACTACATAGTACTCCGCACACACTATGTAGCTTGAATCAACATCCATCAATTGAATAGACCGGTCGCAGAAAGAAATATATTTTTGTCTAATACATACCAACTTAAACATCATTTGAATATAATTTGAGACTCGGATTTACATATAATTTCTCGATACATGTACATGCACACGTGAATTTCAAAATTTTCCAAGGTGCACTTTGCTATGGGAAGAAATAGACTTATGGAAGTTCGGAACGACTCGATCATCCATCCGGCCCAGAAAAAATGAAGTCTCATCTATAGATATAAGCAGCCCAGGTGCCCTACATCGGCATTCTTGTCATTTCCTTCGCCGTCCAATACTTTCGAGTCTCCTCTGCCCCCAATTGGCGCACCTCCTCCCTCAAATGGTCCCACAATACTATGCCGAATGAGTCCAGGATGTCCTTCACTTCATTCCAACACAAGTCTACTCGTCCGTCTAAACAGCTTTGAACATGTGACTCGAGATTTTCAAGACCATTATGGATCACTCTATGCTGTTCAACCAGGAAATCCTGATTAGCAAAGGCTGGCATGCGCTTGGCGAGGAATGGGAATACACAAGTCTGCAATTCAAGTTCAACTTGATCAGCGATCCATAGTTGGTGATGTAAATTTGAGTTTGATGCACATTACCTCTTCGATATCGTGATGTCTTTCAAGATTTTGGCAAAACTCCAGACACAGGTACAGATAATTTTTGATAGACATGCCGGGAGATCTCCTTCCTGACTTGGCAACTTCATAGATGACATTCCACCGTATTTCAAACCATTGGTGCTATGATGATATTTGCCAGTTAGTAAAACGTGTTTTGAGTCGGAACGGGCGAGATGTAGAGCCTACCAGAGCCTGCATAGTATCTGCCATGCGATTGAAGAGCTTAAATTCAGCAGGGCTGAGAGGTGGGAGGGTTGGTGCTGTCTGAATACGAGTCGACATGATTTTGAGAAAATGATAAGGAATCTGAGTCGACGGGTCTAGAATAGAAATTTTGATTGGAAAGTAAAAAGGTTGAGCATAGAAATAGTCGATGTCTGAATGCAATGTTTCAAGTTTGAACCTTCAAGTTGGAAGATACATTTTGGTTACTATTTAACCTCAGGCTGTGAGTGGAGGCAAACAAGAAGAAACATCCGGAAGAAAATAAAATCCAATTCCATCAATCTATGCATTGATACTACTAATTCCAAGGTCAGGTACTCCCGGGGTCTACTACTACGGTACATACCTAAGCACTCAAGCTTGAGTACTAATCACTAGTTATAGCTCAGGGAGTACCTAGCAAGTTCCGTACCTAAGTATTAGCGAGACATTCATGCGAAAGACCGAGCCCGACGTAAATTGGTATGATTATATTCCATTATTGAAAATTATTCAAAATTATTCAAATATTCGTACTGAATCGTACAAGGGGCAAAATTCATTATTGTCAGTAGAATATTGGAGAACGTTGAATGTTCAAATGGTGGAAAAGGTCTCGGGGTTCCGGGCACTTTTTTCACTCCCGAGGCCGAAATGACAAATTTCAAAGGCGTTAACTCCAGAGCTGGTTACCCCAGTGGCTGATCAGTCAGCTTAATGGACCTCAGAGATGAATCTTTTTTTTTTCGCCCCCTTGTCGTCTGAAGTCAACCCTCATATGAAAGATATTTGAGAGTATATATATAAACCTGGGACGTTAGTGTTACTAGTAGAATATCAATTGACGAGATTTCGCATTTGAAGTCTACATACTTGAACCAGCACTTGAGTGACATTTGAAGTGTTGCGATTCTTCGGTCGGCTTCCCAGGTTATTATCATTATTACGCAACTTCAATCACTGGAACTTTTTAATTTTTTTCTTTTCTCTCTACCTTGCTATCATCCAATTTCTCAAAGATGAATTCACGATTCGTTGCTGTGGCTGGTGCCACAGGTGGCTTGGGTCAGCTCGTTGCAATGGAGCTAGTGACACGAGGCATGGCCGTCAAAGCTCTTGTACGCCCTGACACTGCCCCATCGCGCACCGAGAAGCTTCGCAATGCCGGTGTTATCATCGCTCCCGTCGACCTCTTGGCGGTGCCAGCCCTCACAAGCGAATTGACTGGAGCTATTTGTGTTGTCTCCACTCTACAAGGACTGAAAGATGTCATTCATACCGCCCAGGGCAAGCTTCTTGAAGCTTCTGTGGCCGCCAAAGTGCCTAGATTCATCCCGTCGGATTTCTCGCTAGATTTCACCAAGACAAAGATCGGATCCAATCGCAACCTGGACTTACGTCGCGAATTCCACGCTGAACTGAAAAACTCTGGCATTGCATGGACCAGTATTCTCAATGGTGGCTTCATGGATCTCATGGTCGGTGACTCTCCTATGATCAATCACAAGAGCCACAAGGTCGCATATATTGGCTCGACAACGCAACTCCTCGATTTTACCACCATGGCCGACACAGCTGCGTATACAGCGGAGGTAGCCATCGACCCGAAACCTACACCCAATTTCCTTCGCATCGCCAGTCATACCCTTGATGTGAAAGGCATCGCCCAAGCGCAGACCAATGTTGAGGGCGTGACATACAAACCATCGTGGATGGGCACTGTAGGCTCAATGGAGTTCATGATTCGCGTTATGCGCCTCTTTGGTGGCGAGAATGATGTGTTCCCAGCCTGGCAGGGTATGCAGTACATGGCGAACATGTTTTCTGGTGCTGGAAAGCTTGACTCGCTAGATAACAGCCGATACCCTCATCTGAACTGGACCAAGGTTCAAGATTTCTTCCAAGAGCACAAGGACAAAAAGTGTTCTGACAAAAATTCATGGCCTTGAAATTTGTTCATGGATGGAGACTTGCAGACAGGCTTCTTGAGGGTTGGGGGTTTCGGATCTTTACATTTATTGCAATTAATATTCCGTCTTAATCTACTGTACCTATCATTCCTTGTGTATATAAATAGTCAACCTGAACCAATTATTGCATCAATTCAAATAATACATATGTATGCCTTGACATTGATTATGTGGTGTGGTAGCTAGAAAACTGATCAGCTGAGTCTAAGGTCCAAGTTGAACTTCACCCCAAACATCCATACATGAAAGCAAAAATTTGAATATGATACCTACATGTGCACATGTTACGACTTCAATGTTTGCGACATTTGAAATTTTGATACCTAAATACTAGCCAGGTGTACTTGGTGGGGGATCACCCATGCTCCCGCGGAATCTTGTAAGGTTATGTATTGCATGGGTAGGGGGATGATTGACAATTTGAACCCAACGAGTTCAAATGTTAACAAGTTCAATCATAAGTTAGTCCTGGAGTGTTTTGGCCATGTTGAATAGCGTACCCAGAAACCTTACCTTCAATGTTAACATTTGAGAACTCAGCAACGGGTAAAAACCGGGGATGATTATTGACTATTCGGCATCGGGGTTGAGATATAAGGCCGAATACCCTAGAGATCAGAGAAATCAAATACCTAGTTATAATCAAAATAAATTATAAATCAAATATGCATAATCCATGTTTCCCACTCGGATGTGAGCGAATTGTTTCAACCCTATCCAAATAGCAATCCGCCGAGTGCCGAAGGATTCCAAGGTTGCTTGGGCGGCTGAGTAACTGACATTCGAAGGTTATTCTGTACATAACAAGTGCCGCTGGCACCAGTGAGATAAATCGGCAAATCTCTATAACTTCCTGTCTATGATGCGTCCTATTCAAATCATCGTTTGCGGCAAGTCTTCACATGTTGCCATCGGTGTGAAAGAAGGCATCCGACCTGCATATGAAGGTGAGTCATCAACTTACCACCCGTGGACCCTCATATCCAGATTTTTTTCTAAAAGGAAAAGTTCTGCATTTCATCAACTCCGTGGAGGTTGGAGTGAGAGACCTCCCATTTTTGCTCCAAGAACAAGCGCCTCCATCTCAGGGCTGGGCAAACCTCGGAACTCAGCGCTACGGAGAAAAAGTTGGCGCGGTTGTAGCCGGTGGAGGATACAATGATGCAGACTTTGCAAGGCTCCGAGAAGCCTGCGAAGGGAAGAGCAGAATACCTTGGCTCCGTCACGATATAAGTAATGAGATCCTTTTGACACAACCTAAGCAAAATGTGGGAATTGAGTACGGAGAGCAGCTTTCGAAGCAGATAGTGGAAGTCTTAGGTTCTTTGAAAAAGAAGAATAAAATGGAGGAGGATGGTGTGTATTGGTTTCAAACAGAGCCTGCTCCCAGAGGATCTTCTGAGTGAAAGATAGCCACCCCAGAAGAATTAAAGATCAAGCGGTCTCGAATAATTGACACGTCCAAGTCTAGCCTTCGCGGCATCGTCATTTTGTGAGCGCCGCTGGCAGAAATCAAGACAAATCCAAGTCCGCCATAATGAAAGCCATTTGCACTCGAAGAAACTCCATTTTCAAAAAGTGAGATAAAATATGCAATAAGAAAATAGACAAAAAGCGCGTGTTGGCCAGGTGGTGGTAGCGTAATACTACCTACTATGTAATGATGATCTGTGACGTCTCGAAAATGATATGAAATGGAGCGATATATCAATATTTGAAAAACATGAGCTTGGAACCTTGGAAGATCATTGAGAATGCCTCGAGATCATCCGAATCACATAGACCCTCCCAGGTAAGGGAAAAGTGCCAACTCCTCTTTTTCGATGACCCCCTCCATGTACGTCGCAATAAGTGGGTGTATCCCTGCTTTGCGTGCCCGATCAATCCAGTCAGCTAGTTCAAGGACTTCGAATGGTTCTCCATACAATTCCTGCATGTAGGTCGGCCATTCATCGAGGGTCACCTTGCGGCCACTCGAGTGATGACGGAAACGAATGCCTGTACTTGTATCTCCAGCCAATAAAATAGCGGACAAAACAATGTCATGAGCAATGATGTCCACATTTTTAACGTCAACATATCCTTGAACACGTGTAAAGCGTGGAATGCACTTCATGAGTTGTGTGTATCGGAGTACTCCGTTCAAGGCATCGGTGGGCGGCGCGCGGTCCCCGAAGAACAGACAGGGGCGGTGGATCTCAGTCATGAAATGATTGTATTCAGAAAACTTGTGAAAGAATCTTTCACTGACCCATCTCGACGCCATATAGCCCGTGTCACCGGTTTTAGCTGGCTCTGCAAGCACTGGGACCGGTGGAAGAACATTCAAGCCCGCTAGAGCTGGGACACGCTGAGAAGAGACATAGAGGAGAGGGATAGAGCGCGGAGTACAAAGCCCTGCTAGGAAATGGGTGGACTCCACATTTGGTCGTCGGATAGATGAGTAGCTATTCAGACAGTGTCCGTTTGCTCCGGCGTGAATGACAACGTCCATATTTAATTGCAGTGTCGCGAGCTCGGATGGACTGAGGCCCAGATCGGATGAGGACAGGTTTCCAGGATAGGCAATGACTTTGTCGGATATCAGTATCCGTTCCTCATCGTCTGGCGAGACCGCAATGCAGTGCACCTGGTCCACTGCAGTATCTTGGATTAGTGCATGGAGAATTGAATTGCCCAGAACACTTGCAGCGCCAGTCAGAAGCACTTTCAGGGCATCCTTTGTAGGTATCCTTGCACGTTTGGAGGTTTGCTTGGAGGCCAGGATGAGATTTTCCGGGATCGCAGTTTCGATGCTCCAATCTATATCTAGATCCTGGGCGGATTCAGATCCTATCCGAGCCGCCATTTCTCGAAGAGTGGGCGCGGAGTAGAGTTCGCGAGTGGAAACAGAGACTCCCAGGGTTTCTTTGATCTCATTTTGCAATTTCGTTAGTCGAAGCGAGCTGCCTCCTTCAAGAAAGAAGTCGGACTCAGCAGTGAGAACTTGATATGGATCCGGTAGCACGCGACTCCAAAGAAGCTTCAGTTCCACTTCTCGGAAGCTCAACTCAGAAGTGGATCCACCAGATGTCTCACTTCTCCCAGCCAGTGGTAGATTCATCACGGCCTGACGATCAATCTTTCCCGAGTTTGCTCTGGGTAGTTCATTCACAATGAAAAATCGAGCTGGGTGCATGTACTGAGGGAGATCCAGATCCGTCAACAACTTTCTCTGCAACAAATCATGATCGATTTCCTTTTCGGCATTTGGGATGACATGAGCGATAAGGTCACCATCACGGAAAGTGACCACTGCTGTGGATAGCAGAGACTCTCCTGATTCTAACAGAGCACCCTCAACCTCCGCGAGTTCGATCCTTTGGCCTCGAACCTTCACCTGCGTGTCTCCTCCGAGTCTCCCGAGAAAAATCACGCTGCCGTCAGGTTTTAAGCAGCCCTGGTCACCAGTTCGGTACCATTTGCCTGTTGCTACCGATCCATCCACAGAGCCTTTGGTTGGGTCTGGAATGAATTTTTGATCAGTCTCAACAGACATATCCCAGTAGCCCAGAGCAACACCCGCACCACCAATACAAATCTCACCACGGAATCCCACTGGGAGAGGCTGGGACTTTGCATCCAGAATGCAGATTGAATAGTTGGGCTGAGGCTTTCCAATCGGACTTCCGAAGTCACTTTTCTCCTCAGTGTCGAGAGAAACAGACTTGGATGTTGCAGTAAAAGTAACCTCGGTAGGACCGTATCCGTTAAAAACTGTGAGATTGGGAAGTTCCAGTCGTTGAATCTCGCGTTTGAATTGCACAGGGAATGGTTCTCCGCCGAGCCAGGCCAAGCGCCATCCGGTACACCCCTCAGCGAGTCTCTGCCGTAACGAAGCCAAAGAAGATACTCGGAAGGGACACCAAATGTGCATGCCACTAAATTCTCTTTAATTAGTCGTGTAATCTCAGAAGGGTCTCGGCGGGACTCCTGAGGCACAATAACGAGAGTACCTCCAGAGCAGAGAGCACAGAATATCTGAATTAGAGACATGTCAAATCCCAGAGAGCTCTGTTGGAGAATGGGCGCGGGCGCTGTATCAAGACCATATTCCCCAATCGCATGCGCGAGCCAGTTAGTCACACTGGCCTGACAAAGTACCACGCCTTTTGGTTTGCCCGTCGTTCCGCTGGTATATAAAATGAATGCTGCAGAGTTGGGTTGCGCTGCGCAGGGAACTAGTTCATTGACAGTGCGAACCGTTTCCAGAGATAAGACGGGTACATTTCCTTGAATCCCGGGTGCGAGTTCCTTGGCTGCGTCGCTTGTACTCTCATCACAGATGATCACGCTTGGTTGGGCGCTAGAGATTATCTCCGCGTGTGGAGATGCAGGGAGACTGACGTCCAGCGGAATATATGTGGCACCAATATGCAGGATAGCGAGGAGTGAGGCTATCAAGTCATTCGAGGGCTCACATAAAACCGCAATGCGAGAGCCGGTACCTTGACCCACATCACGGAGTGCTCCCGCAATGGAATGCACACGGGAGGTTAGCTGTTGATACGTGAGTTCAAAAGATCTATCCCGGATAGCGATCTTCTCTGGGAATGAATTGCAAATTGTTTGAACCTTTTCCGAGACGGTGGAAAGCCAGCCAGTCTCTTTTTTCTCGCATTGTCCAAGTTTGAGAGCAGTTGAGATGGCTTCAGAATCATAAATCTGGCACTCGCTGACCGTGGTATTCACATTATGCACCAGCTGTTTCAACAGATGCATATACATGTCGATAATCCTCTCAGTCCCATGAACACCGTACAGAGATTCCAAACAATCCATTGTAACCCCCAGACCTTCAGACTGAGACTCCAGGAAGCTGAAAGTGATATCGTAAGGATTGCGGCCCTCTTCTCCATCAATTATCGTGAGAGAGCTATTTCCGAATGGTATGCTCTTGGTCATTGCCAATCGGTAGTTAACCAAGACCTGGAAGAGGGGTGTGTGAGATGAAGAACGACGAATATTCAACTCGTCCAGCAAGATATCAAGCGGGACAGATTTCTCAAAGGCAGTGCCCATCTGTCGGGCAGTATTCTGAGCGACCTGAGCAAAAGTGCTGCTGGAGTGGACATTGAAGCGAACTGGCAGCAGGTTCAAGAAAAATCCAACAGTGTCCATGAAGTCAGCATTTGGGCGATTAGCGTCGGCCACCCCGATACATAGATCTTCCAAATTCAGAGACTGCGCCAACAAGATCTGAACAACGGCTAGATAAAATTGGAAGGCTGTGGTGCCGAGTACCTGGCATGCTTGCTTGACAGCGACGACCATATCTTCATCAATCACGCGAGATGCGTGAACGGTCTCGACTCGCTGGGTCTCTGGACGGACTATGCCCTTCGCCATCGGAAGCAGTGGAAGTACCTCGGGAATAGGAGAGTACTCCTTGCGCCAGTACGCCAAGTGACTCTTCAATGCGCCAGACTGTAAACTCTCTTGTTCACTGCGAGCAAACTCTATGCATGTTCCGCCACTCGGCTTCAACGGTTGCATGTTGTAGGCAGCGTTCAGATCCCGAATAAACCGACGCATGCCAGATGCATCCAATATGATGTGATGATAGCCCAAGACTAAGGTGTGTGACCGAGAATCTCTCGATAAAACTGTCAAACTCAATGTTTCCCCATGCTCAATATCCCAAACTTTGGTTCTGGCCGCCTCCAACTCTTGATCGATATCATTCTCTGTGGCATTCGGGAGGTGCTTGAAGCGGCGAACAGGAAACGACAGGACACCCTGCGTGGGTTGATTGTCTTCGCGACGAGCAAAGAAGCAGGTGCGAAGGCACTCGTGGTACTGCATAGTAGTCGTCAAAGCATTTCGCAGTCTGTCGATATCCAGATTGTCATCGATATCGTATCGGATCATCAGACTGTAGGCAGTTGGATCGTTCATCAGACTAGACAGCACATAAATTCGCGACTGTGCCGCGGACATTCGCTCGGTATGAATTATGTTCTTACCAAAATCTGCAACAGGCTCTGCCACAACAACAGAGCTCACCTGCTCTTGCTCCTTTTCCGCCTCATGGTCAATTTTGACATTGTCGTGTTCAGGAGTTTCCAGTTCATTGTCTGTGCTGGGCGGAGTCACATCTCCTGATTGAGAAGCCTCATCAGAATTGCTTTCTGAGGATTTTCGAGATTCACTGGATGTTCCTCCCTCAGGGTCCACATTCCTAGGGGGTGTCTCCACTTTTGTTGACATGATCTCCCTTGCTGCGTCTGTGCAGATCTGGGAGACGGAACTTCTTCCCAAGATCTTCACGACCGGGACATCGATACCGATATTCTTTGCAAACCATCCTCGGATCTCTACAGCGACCAGGGAATCAATGCCCAACTCAGTGAGGAGGACATCACGATCGACACCGCCGGCTGACAGCTGCAAAGTTGTTTCAATCTTGTTACAAAGCGCTTCCTGTATAACCGTACCCACTTCAGCCTCTGTCTCGGCATCTTGAATTTGGGTCTTAATGTTGTCACGACCATATTGAGGACCATCCTTCTTGTCATGGACTTGGATTTGTGGCAGGTAGTGCGACCACAGAGGATCCGATGACCAAACGGGTTCCTGACCCTCTTCAAGTGGCTCAATTCCAACACCAATCTCGCAAGAACGTTCACTGTTGGGCCGACCGGCCAGAATAGCCTCCCCAAATGCATGGTGGATATCAGTTTCAGAAAGAGGAGCATAATGCATTCTGCCGGCATATTCTCTGCTGCTCTTGTCGACACGCGTAAAGTAACCAACATCAGCAACATATCCAATGTGGATCACTGATGCTGGCCGTCCAGAGAGTCGGCGCTGAGCTGCCAACCCAGTCATGAACATATTGGCAGCAGCATAATTGCCCGATCCCTGTCCACCAGTAATGGCAAGATTCGAGGAGAGCATGATGAAAAAGTCCAGAGGGGTGTCTGCCAATATATCATTCAGATACTTAGCAACGTCCACCTTGGGACGGAAAGTGTCGACCATAGCGTCTACATCCAAATCCACGAACAGTCTATCCGTGAGGACCATGGCTGCATTGCAGACACCACCAATCGGAGGTAAGGTCTCTCGAATAACAGAGATAGTGAACTCCAACGATGTTTGGTCGGCCGCATCCATTGCCTGCACATGGACTTTCGCCCCCAGCCTTTTAGTTTGTGCCAACCATTCTGGATGGATGTCCGGCTTCCGGCTAGTAATGAATAGGTGCTTAGCCCCATGTCTGAGAGCCCATTCACAGACCGAAATTCCAAGCCCGCCGGCCATGCCAATCATCAGGTACGTCTTTGCCCTGTCAAACAGGATTGATGTGTCCAGAGGCTGTACGAGCAAACTCAAGGGCTGAGCTGTCTCCCAGGAGATGATATAAGGTTGATCCAGAATAGATGCATCGGCGCTAGCAATGTTTTCAATGTTCAGAACCTCAATCTCAGATTCCAGCGCATTGCCGTTAGTGGGGCTGGCCAGGCAACCAGACAAGGTTTCATATGCAACCTTGAGAGCTTTCTGAATGTTGATAAAGGTAGCGAGCCCACGCTAGAACAAAGCACTGTCCCATCGGTGAATGCTGCATCCCGCTGGTAACGCGGACTGAATAGTCGGCGATTCCGAAGTTGAAGCAGCCGAACAGTCGAGATAGACTGAAATATTCTGGGGAATCAAACGTTGTACAGCACGAACAGAGCTGTGCGGGTGGATGCTGATCCAGTCAAGTTGGATTGGGCTACGAGATGATGCGCACAGAGGGTGTAGTCCAAATCGGCGCGCCTCGTCAGAGAAGGATGCAGCCAGGCCTGCTCTCGGATGATAAATGAGAGCGGAGTGGCCCTTTTGCGCAGAGCTGAGAAGTCCGATCAACATGATCTGGTCAGCAACTCGCTCGAGAACCTCCAAGCTGCAGTCTTTCTCATCGATGAAGGCAACATTTTCTTTGGCAATGCTGATGGTAGATGTGTTACTTTCCGAAACAGCCAGAATGGGCATATTGGAATCAATAACACGACCGACACTAAGGTAGAGTGCCTGGCCCTGGCCATTTGGAATGGAAAGGGAATATTGGACCCTGACAAGCAAACTCCAAATTGCACCTAACAACGGCTCTAGCACTGATTCAGTCAGCGCGAGCTTGTTTCTTTGACGGGTGAGGCCGATGGGAGCATTGACATTGCTCATTGGCTTCCTCATCGATCGGTATCTGGAGTTGTAGCGATCATTGAGCTTTTGGTCCGGTCGCGCACGGGGAACAAGCGTATCAGATCCCTCCACGACGAGTTCCCGCTCAACTGGCCACAAAATTGGACTTTCGTCATGATCATGAGCCGAGACCGCCTTCAATCGCAAGAAAGTCTCTAAGATGGTTCGAGCCGTCGATGATGGGCTAGTGAACGAGTCCAAATCTAGAAACTGTATATTAACATGAGGCAGCTCTTTGCTGATCGCTCTTGCCATGCCGACCATCATGTTAGAATGAGGGCTATCTGTTCTCCTCTTGGTGGTCAACCATAGCACATTGCGGGCGGAAACAACCATTGTCTGCAGTGCCTTCACCCTTGTAGGAGTGATTGATTCCGAGAACAAAGTGTTGTCTAACTCCTGGAGGAAGATGACGTCTGCCTGGCTTCCAACGCGAGAGAAGTCAATGGATTCAAGATCGCTGGAGAGAGTTGTGCGACCGCCCCATGAGCGACCGACTAGCCGTTGGATGGAATTCACTGTCTTAGACACTGCCAGCGACTTTCCACCAACAATCAGAAGAGACTTTACCTCAGGAATCTCATCGATGTATTCAAGTGGTTCACGCAACACCTGAATTGTATCGTTGGCGGCCTGAGTTACCATGAGGGACATGCAGTGCTGGGTAGAGTCGGGGATATCGTGGAATGCCAAGTCAACACCGGAGAAGCCCGTCTCCTGAAGTGCACTATGCCATTCTTCAGTGGTCAATCCAGGATGAATTCTTCGCCCTTCACCTGCACCCAACCACCATCCAGATAGACCTCCGACGCAGAAAGTGGTTCGCATCATTTTTGTGCCTGTGATCTCGACGAGGAACAAGAAACCGCCCGGCTTGAGTAGCGAGCGTGCATTCTTTAGCGTATCTTTAATGTGAGCCGTGGCGTGAAGGACGTTAGAAGCAACAACAACATCGTAAGCATGCTTCTGGAACCCTTGAGGGCCAACATCCTTCTCCACGTCAAGAGTCTTGAAAATGGTCTTATCACGGAAATCACCGAATCTGTCAGCCGCATCGCCGAAGAAAGCGGGAGATATATCTGTGAAGGTGTATGTGTAAAAGGCATTGCCGACAGCTCGCAGAATATAATCAGTCTGCCCACAATGTTTTGTTAGTACACTTTCAAACTACTAGTAGTGATGTGGAATTCGAATCAACGTGCTTACCGTTGATCCAGTACCAGCGCCAATTTCGATATATCTTGCCTGTGGGAACTTGTGGGCAATCTGCTCGAGAACACCAGCCATGCCTCCATTGACATCAGCAAGACCACATCCCTCGCTGTATAGACGGGTGGCCAAGTCATCCTTCATGAGCACTTCTAACAGCGAAGTTCTCTTTTTCAGATACTCAAGCATGTGTTCTCCGACGCGGCGGATACATTCAAGATCAACCGAACCAGACCATTTAGTCATGATCATGTCCAGAATTTCTGGTCCATCGGCAAGCCAACTCTTCTCGGCCAGAGGATGACGCCCTTCCGCGATCAATTTCACAGAGCTCTCAAAAGATTCAATCAATCGCTTGTGGTACCACAACAACCCCGACCGGTCGCTGGGAGTCAATCCTTCTAGTACTCCCCGCACGTAGAAAAGAACCGCTCTTTCGATATCAGTCGACAGCTCTTTAACATGCTGGGCCCGTTTCAGATCGTGAGTCGGCTCTGTGAGGCAAAGTGAAGGATCCGCTTTATATATTATGTCGAAAAACATCTTTCGGTCTTGCTCCTCGGTCGGTGGGGCCACAGGCTCGACAGACACAGACTCCATCTGCACCGCTGCTTTTCCAGAAGAGCTGTAGATGTGGACGTCACCAACAATCCCGGCGCCGTTGCGGGCAGTGATGAAAGATTCGGTTCTGATACTGAGCGTCTCCACATCCGTAAGTTGCACATGTGGGTTCACAACCACTCGCTTGATCCCCACTGGCAGAATAGCAGTCGGAAGCTTACCCGCTCTGGGGTCTGCGCGAGCATGAAAGAGATTCTGCCAGCTAACATCCAATACTGCTGGATGCAGAGTGTAGCGTCCCATCAGTTCGTCAGCCGACCACTCGGCCGTAGCCACAGAGTAGTCAAGTCTGCGCTGGACATCTTCAAGACGACGGAAGGCACCAGTATACATGAAACCGTTCTGAGCGAATGTATCATAGCCGTCCTCGCTATCTATGGGATGTAAGCCTGGTCGGGGCGCTGCGTACGGGGGCAGCTCATGCTCGCTCCCTTCGTCGAGATGAATGGTCATCCTGCCGCCACCGGCATAGCTCATGGATCCAAGATGGGGGTCGGAATAATGATAGGAGAACTCCCCGCAGATGAACTTGGGGTCTACCGAATCCTTTAAGCACACCGTGAAAACTGTTTCCAGACCTTCGCGAGTATCGGGAACAATCACTGGGCGACGGATTTTGATATCCTCCAACTCGATCCGTCGAATCGGTTTACCACCCGCAATGAGTCTCGCTGCTTCACAGGATAAGGAGACATAAGACGTTCCAGGCAGTAGCACCTCACCAGAAATGAAATGTCCCTGTGTCCAAGGAAGTTCTTTGACCGTGAGAATATTGCGCCAGCGCATTTCACGATCCGTATCATCCGAAACACGACGACCGAGCAGTGGATGACGAGAATCAACATTCTTCCTGTAATTTGCAGAGATCCGTGACTCGGACCAGTAAATGCGATCATGATCCCAGGCATAGGGAGGGAGATCCTTCAGGAGCTTGGGCGTCCCAAAGTCGTCCCCGGACATGAAGGCTCGTTGAAACCCGTCGAAGCTAACACAGTCAGGGCCAAGATGGCACCAAAGGGCACCAACCATCTCCCCCAATGCATCAACATCGCTTGAGTTTCGCTTGAGAGTTCCGAGGTAAGGTGGAGTGGCACCTGATGCAAGTTCCAAAGTCTGCAGAGTGGGACCTCGGAGTGTCGGATGAGGTCCAACTTCAATGGCCAGATCAAATGAACCCCCTGTTTGAGGAGCATATGTGACGGCCGGGCAAAACAGGACTGTCTGCAACATGTTCTGAACCCAGTAGGGACCCTTCAGGGATTCCAAGTCGCCTTGTAGAAGTTCCGTGTTTCCATCAACACTGGATAACCACAAGCAACTAGACTTTGGAGGTTGAACGCGAATGTCACAAGCTCTGAGAGCCTTCAAGTAATCTTCGGAGCAAAGCTCCATATGGTATGAGTGATATGCGGTGTCAACCTTGAGCTGACGTGCGAAGATCTTCTCCTGGTCGAAATGTTCCTTCGCCTGCTCTATGGCCTGGAGATCACCTGAAAGCGTGACACTCTGCGGCGAGTTACTAGCCGCCACACCAATACGATCTTGATATCCAGGTTGTTGACAAAACAACTGGGCATCTTCTTGACTAATGCCGACAGCGATCATTCCACCGGCCTGCTGATTGGTACCGTGAGCTAAGTGAGCGTATTTGCCTCGGTAATAGGCGATTTGCATTGCAGCAGCAGCATCAATCATTCCACAAGAGTAAACCGCAGCAATTTCACCAGAGGAATGACCTAGGACTGTATCAAAGTGAACACCACTAGCATTCAGCACTTCAACGAGTCCAAGCTGGATAGCTGTACAGAGTGGCTGAGAGATGAGTGCTTCACCCACGCGTGAGCTCGAAGAGTCTTTCGATAATTCTTCGATCAAAGACCAATCTGGCCCGTCCGACAGGACGTGAAGAACGTCATCGCATTCCTCAAGAACACGGCGGAATAACGGAGATCTCTCAAGCAAACTGCGGCCCATGGTAGGCCACTGAGCGCCTTGTCCGGTGAAAACTCCCAAAACTCGTGGTTTCTTGTCAGCAAGTCGATAGCGGATGCCAACTTCATCCTTCTTTGCGGACTTTCGATGCTGTGAAAGGAATTTTTCAAGGTCTTCGATCAGCTCCTGGTGTGTTTGCGCCGTGAAGAATGTTCGCACGCGATGGGCAGTTCGTCTACTCTGAAGAGCCCAGCTCAGGTCACGTAGATGAGCCAAGGGATGATCAATCAAATATTTCAGCAGCGCCTGGGCATTTCCTAGGAGGGCTGATGGAGAGTGACCAGAGAGAACAAATGGGTTCAGGTGGGCACCGCTAGGCTGTGTGGCCACTATAAGGCCATTGCGACCTTGTGGTTCATGGCTCTCTAGAATGGCATGCGCATTGGTACCTCCAAAGCCGAAACTGTTCACGCTGACGCGCAAAGGTATTCCTGAAGGCAGCTCAGGCCACGGCAGAGCAGAAGTTGGAATCTGGAACCCGTCATAGTAAGGCGCAATAACAGGGTTAAGGTCGTTGAAAAGGAGGTTTGGGAAAATGGTCTTATGCTTGATAGACAGAAGGGCCTTCAAGACCCCTGCCAATCCAGCACCGCCCTCGAGATGCCCGATCAATGTCTTGATCGATCCGACGTACAGTGGAGCTGATGGTCCAGAATCCCTGTCTCTTATCATCGCTTCGTAGATTGCACGCGACTCAACCGGGTCACCTGCTGGTGTTCCGGTACCATGGCATTCAAAGTATTGGCACCGATCCTTGATGGGATCAAGTCCAGCACGATGATATGTTTCTCGGATCAATTCTGCCTGAGCGGCCACGGTAGGCACGGTAAGACCGGCGCTCTGGCCATCAGAATTGACACCAGTGCCGCGGATAATTGCTTCGATATGATCGTTATCACGAATAGCTTGATCAAGAGGCTTCAGAACCACGACTGCTGCACCTTCACCACGGGCATAGCCGTTTACTGTCTTGTCCCACATTCGGGACTGAGAATCTGGTGATAACATATGGAGTTTGGACAGCATGACGTACAGCATCGGATCGAGAATTATATTGACACCTCCAACCACAGCGCAAGTAGCATCGCCAGCTTGAAGTCCTTGTACAGCATTATGCAACGCTACCAATGAGCTGGAGCAGGCAGTGTCCAGCGTGACCGACGGTCCATGAAGATCGAAGGTATACGAGATACGGTTGGAGAGAATGCTGCGAGCCACACCGGTACCGGCGTAAAGGGGGGATCGTCTCCATATCTCGAGTTTGTATATCGTAGTAGTCGCTCGTCATAACACCAACATGAACAGATGTCTTGGAGCCTCGTAGATGGTCAAGCGTATAACCAGCGCTCTCAAAGGCTTCGTAGGTGGTTTCCAGCATGTTACGTAGTTGAGGGTCCATGCTCTCTGCCTCATAGGGGCTAACATTGAAGAAAGCAGCATCGAAAAGTCGAGTATCTTCAGCCAATAGATAGCCCTTGTTCTTCACACTGGTAGATCCAGGAGCATCGGGGTTGGAGTCATAGAACCGCTTCAAGTTGAGAATTTCCGGGTTGAACTCCCGACGCACATCTCGAGGTTCTTTCAAAAGATCGAATAGTTTGGAAGGTGTGGAGGAAGCACCTGGGAATCTGCAAGCAGAGCCAACAATGGCTATGGGCATAGAGAAACCAGAGGCTGAGCTGGTTGACATAGTTGAATGAATTGACTAAAGGGATTGTTTTCCCTTCTTGAGATTTGATAATTGATTTATTCTCTTTCAAATGAGATTTGATGGATGAAACCAAATTTGCTTGAGCTCTACTGCCCTTTATCTATGTCTGGGATGATTCAACCTCTCGAACCCTTGATCAATATCGATCTCAGTACTGCAGATTTCCACTCTTTTTCCAGGCTGAATCATGTACGAAGGATTTCCAGAACGTCATTGCTTGAAGATATTATTATCCGAAGTACTCTGATCATTACTCAATATGGCTATTCCTGTGTTCCATTGCTGGGGTCTTGCACGCCTCGTGGAAGGGCTGATTCCCCTTTCGAGTTATTTGATGCGACAAGCGATATTAAAGCCAGAGTCTGAATACTGGCCACGTCAGATAGCCAGGATGGTGCTCCTGAACGTGTAAGTATACATTCAGGTACATCCATAGTAACCAAATACTCCACCACAGGGCTAGCCACTAGACTCAGCTCCGGTGTTTCTCTCAGTAGCTCAATCTATGTAGATTGATTACGCAATGAGTACCATGTAGCTGGGAGTTGAAGGATTCACGAACGCCTTGAGGGGTAATAGTTTGCCCAGGTGAGGATATCATATTGGCCCCGGGCCCTGTATCTGCAGCCTGCATGGACGCCCTATGTTGTATTCCGCCCGAGTCCTGGAGGCCGCCGTGGTATCCAATCTAAGTGATCAATTGATATTCTTTGAGGGGAAATAACAGGGCCAATCTTTATTTCTCAACATTATCATGAATTGGTTATGACAACTGTCAGCCATTTGATCTCATGTGAATTTCAATAATGGTCGAGTAATACCTACTATCGCCCATTTGGATAGTAGTAAATCCATAGGTTTCCGACCTAGTATGATACGAGCTTCAAGATTTGGCAGCTCGGAAAAATAGTGGAACCTTAGAACATTGATCGTCAGGATTATCTGCACATCATGGTACGCGCTAGTGCTTATTCCCACGCGTGGGCGGCCCGCTTCTTAGTACAGCCCCCGATCCTTTGGCGAACCCGGGGGCCATATGTACATGATCTAGATCTAAGGCGAAATCCTTGAGATCCTGTACACAAGCGGGGTACGGAGTATCTCGCAACTTCATGTTTCATCCCACGTTTGAATCCGCGTGGCAAACCTGAATCCTTTTACAAATCCAGGTTTAACCGTAAGGCCCGCTCAACCTGACAGTTCGCATACAAAACAATTAGTGAACGTAAAGTAAACTATCATCAATGATATTATATCCACTAGTCTATAAGACTGATGATTGGCCATGGAACATACTTGCTCATATCGAAAGCAATCTACTGATGATGCAATATTATCAGCTCGCAATCCTTCCGGTAATTCAGATGTTATGCTGCTGTACTATTCTCCCGCATTTCGGCATCAATTAGGAAATGATTACGAATAGGGCTGGTTTGACTTGATGGATACCGTAGATCACTCTTTTGACAAGCAATTGGAACCGCATTTGCCAAGTTACTAGTATCTATAAGATTCGTCCATGTTTGGGATACGGTAGACTTCCCCTTCTCCTCTGATTATTGACCTTTTCACATCAAACCTACTGAAATTGAATTTCATCATGATCTTTGCTTCAGCAATGTTGGAACCTTCTCTTTTGCCTCCCCTTTTGGTGGGTGGCATACTCATATATCTCATCGGTCGATCAATCTACCGCCTCTATTTCCATCCACTTCGATTGATTCCTGGACCCAAGCTCGCTGCTATATCCCATATTTACGAGTTTTACTTTGATGTGATTGTTGGAGGACAGTTCATGTTCGAAATCGGAAGACTGCACAAGCAGTACGGTAAAGTTCACCCATGACTGAAAATGAATGTCTCAGCGCTGATATATAAACAACCTTGAAATAGGACCCATTATCCGGATCAACCCGCGTGAGGTTCATATCTTAGATCCCTCTTTCTACGATGAAATATATAGCGGTGGTGTCAGAAAGCGCAACAAGGATGCAGAATTCCTTAAAGCATACTCAGTGGAGGGTTCGCCGGTAGCCACTGTGGATCATGATCACCACCGCTACCGTCGAAACATCGTGGGCTCATTCTTCTCGAAACGCTCAGTCAACGAACTGTCCCCAGTGATTGAGGATAAAATACAGAAGTTGATGGAGCGCTTTTCTATCGCTAATCAAGCTGGTTCAGTCGTGCGTTTGGATGATGCATTCTCTGCCCTTGCCTCGGATGTCATTACACAATACTCCTTCGGTCGGAGCTGGGATTTCTTGGAAGATGTGAATTTCCGAAGAGAAATTCGCCATGCCATAGCGGAAACGGCGAATGCCATTCACATCAACCGGTTCTTTCCTTTATTTGCACGAACGCTTCGAATGATCCCTAGGTCACTCGTCGTTAAGATCCAGCCGGGCAAACAAAGCGTGGTGGATTTCATGAAGTCGATCTATGACTTTACTGCGCAGTCAATGCAGGTTGCTGAGAACCCTGGTCATGAAAAGCGAGATTCCAAGAAGGGAACCATCTTCGAAAAGCTCACGGACCCAACACTCCCACCAGAAGAGAGAACTTTCCGTCGTATTCATGACGAGTCAGGTGTTATTCTTCAAGCTGGAACCGAAGCCATCGGTCGATCATTGACTGTAGCCGCTTTTCATATCGCTCACAATCCTTCTATCCGGGACAAAGTCCGCGAGGAATTGCGTTCGGTTATGCCGACTCCTACAAGCAAAGCGACTGGAGCACAACTTGAACAGCTGCCGTATTTGGTATGTGTTCCCAATCAACCGAATTTGAATGAAGCAGCTAATCTTCCTAGTCTGGTGTTATATGGGAGGCCCTTCGCCTCTCTTACGGAATGACACTCCGCTTGCCTCGCTGTGCCCCGGCAGAAGCACTCAAATACGAGGACTATGTTCTCCCACCCGGAGTATGTTCTCTCTTTCTTACCTTGACCACTAGTTACTGATAAAAGAAATAGACACCTTTGAGCATGTCGACATACCTCGTTCACCACGACGAAAGCATCTTTCCAGACTCGTTTTCTTTCAAACCGGAGCGCTGGATGGAGGTCGGACCGAATGCAGACCGACTGACCAAGTACATGGTTTCGTTTACTCGGGGAAGTCGTCAATGTCTAGGATATAAGTGAGTTTTTTGCAGTTACTATTCCTCATCAACGAAGAATTTCTAACAAGATAGCCTCTCGTTCCATGTGCTATACTTAACAATCTCCAGCTTTGTTCGTCAGTTTGATATGGAGCTCTACAAGACCACTCTTGATGATTTGACTATTGTCAGCGATTATGGACTAGGACTTACCCGGAATGGAGAGGTGGAAGTTCTTGTTAAGGTCTCGAATGTGCTGAAGGATTAGTGGCGTGATTCCCACCAGGTTATGACGCGTGTCATGACATACTGTTTCAAATTTTCATCGATAGCCCTTTTTCAACAATAGACATCGATGACAAGATTAATACACACATGTGCATGCACATCATACATACATGATCTAAGTGGAGCTACTATTGTGGATCTGGTAGTGCGTAACTGTGCGTTGAACCCGGGGGCCAAGTGGGGGTCTCCGTTTCCGAGCTAGGGAAAAGGATTCAAATGTTTATGATAGCAGGAATGGAAGGATTCTAGTTTCCACCTGTCAATCTACCGCGAAGAGTGTGATCTTCCGGCGGAGGGTCGACTTCGGGCTGAAAATTATCATGATCATATTGAACCAGTGTTTGCCACATATGCATCTATAGTAATGTACATCATGATAGGTAGTATGACGCCGGGCGTGGATGCTATGGATAGCATCATGATATCTAGTATCCCGAGGTCTGGACAGTAGACTACTAAGGGACAGCTTGAACTACTACTACCTAGTACCCTGTTACCAATGGAGAAATACGTAGCCTGGATGTCCGCACGGAGGAATCCCCTCGGAGTTATCTCCACTAGCAGTAACTTGAAACTTGCACATGTGAACTATCCGTCACGGCCTCCACAGGTGGCGCTGGCTTGCCCCTTTGACACTGTACATATGGAGCTCTATATGCAGCAAATAGGAGGATCAGATATTCTCCGTCAGACCCACAATATGCCGACGCCTGCAGCTCCGATATGTACTCTATTCCCTGTTAAATATAAATATAAAGGCAATCATAGGTCCTCCCATGAGGCTAGTAGATCCCGTCGCGGAGGGTCGGACGACTGATTAACACCGAGCCTTTCAATGTTTCTTCGTTTGACCTGTACTCCGTACTCGATGTGCATCATGATATCAACAACCTGAATTTGAATATAGGTACCATCACTATTTGTGTATATCCATTAACATTGTATTCCCCTGCTTCTACCATCTTTCAAATTCCCAGCATCTGTTTGAAATTAGCTCTGAACCCATATATCTCCAACAGACACGACTTGGTCATGTCCGACCATGACAAATCGACATCTCACAGCAGCGACTCTCACGATCTTGATCGGTCGGAGTTGGCTTTCAACAATAAAGGTGTTAATGAAAATGGAAATACCGAAAAGACTGCGAATAAACGAGACATTGGCTTGGAGGAGGCGGGTCAACAACCACTGGAAAAGTCAGGAACAGAGGGATCCAATGCTTCCCAGCAAGACTCCAAATTGGTACATACTTTCCTCATCTTTTCGTGACTGAATACTAATGGATTGCATAGGTAACGTGGAATGGCCCCGATGACCCAGATAATCCCAAAAATTGGACCAAGAAAAAGAAATGGATCTCAATGGGAATTGTCGCAATGTTCACCTTACTGTCCCCTGTGTCTTCGACAATGGTAACACCCGCCCTGACTGCCATCGGAGAAGATCTCCACATCACAGAAGAATTCGTTCTTGAGCTGACTATGTCCATCTTCATCCTCGCATATGCCATCGAGCCACTTTTTCTTGGTCCCTTTTCAGAAACATATGGCAGGGCTGTTATTCTGCAGCTTGCAAATTTATTCTATCTTGCCTTCAATATCGGGTGTGGCTTTGCTCAGACCAAGAGCCAAATCCTCGCCTTTCGGTTCTTTTCTGGATTGGGAGCAAGTGTTCCGTTGGTAGTAAGTATTGACAAAAATCTAGGAAAAAATTTATTGCGCTGACCATGTGCCGTAAAGGTTGGTGGAGGAGTTCTTGGAGACATGTTCCGAGCCGAGGAGCGCGGCTCAGCTATGGCCATCTTCAGCCTAGCTCCACTTCTTGGTCCCTCTCTAGGCCCAATCATGGGTGGCTTCATCGCTGAAAATACCACTTGGCGATGGGTTTTTTATGCCACCTCAATCGCTACTGGGGTAGCGCAAGTCGCAGGACTATTCCTTCTCCGTGAAACCTACGCACCTCGAATTCTCAAGGTACGGGCGATGAAACTTCGCAAAGCCACAGGTGATCCCTCATACCAGACCGAAGAGGAGCGAAAAAAACAAATCTCTTCTCGAAGATATGCAAATCGCATTCGTGCGACCTTTCCGCCTTCTCATCACCCAACCTATTATCCTCGTGCTCACTCTATACATGTCCTATACATACGGGCTCCTCTACTTCTTGATGTCAACATTCCCCGACCTATGGACCAGCCCGGATTATTACAATGAGTTCACGGGAATCGGAGGATTGAACTACATTTCCCTTGGCCTTGGATCTCTGTTGGGAACTTACATCTGCGTTTTCTTGAACGACCGCACATACCGCCGTCTAAAGGCCCGCAATAATGACATCGGAAGACCGGAGTTCCGACTACCCTTGCTCTCCATCACAGTCCTCTGCGTTCCAATAGGACTTTTCATTTATGGCTGGACAGCCCAAACACACCAACATTGGATCGCCCCCAACATTGGCGCCTGTATATTCAGTATGGGAAACATGATGACGTTCCAATGCATGCAGACCTATGTCGTCGACACATATACGCGATATGCAGCCAGCGCGATGGCCGCTGTCTCCGTTCTACGGTCTCTGACTGCGTTTGGATTCCCTCTTTTCGCCCCGTATATGTACGATGACCTGCACTATGGTTGGGGGAACAGTGTGTTGGCATTTGTGTCAATAGCCATAGGTGTTCCCGCGCCTATTTTTCTTTGGAAGTTTGGTGAGAAACTGCGAAATGCCAGCCCTTACGCCACTGGTTAAGACTGTGCTATGCCTTGGCAGGGACATGCTTGCAGTTTTATCACTGTTGTATAGAATGAATATGGACATGTGAATTCAATTTGTATCATAATTTTGGAATAGAGGAGAAATTTGACAGACTCGAGCTTGTATTGATATGTAGTCACTCGGATGGATCTAAAATCGTTGATGTTAACAAAGAGGACTCGGAGCTTTGGAACTGGTAGCTCGAGATACTAGCACTTCCAAGGTTCTCATTATAGACATTTGGAACCATATTCGCATTTGAGATAATTAGTGCGCTTTCCAAGGTTATAGCATCATGATAGTGCTACTAGAGGATTGCAAATCCTCATCGATGCACTATCATCTTAAATCAGAATACTTTTAATCAATGATTCCACCTGGGGTCCAGATGGGCACGGGCAGCATCCTCAAGTTCCCTGGCTCCAACTCAGTCCTGAAGCCTACTCTTAGGTATAAAAGCAACAACAAGTCCCTTGGCAAAAAGTCATAGCCACATTTGCTCAGTTAATGGGAGAGTACACTGCCACAAGCTGGTCAGCTGGTGAATATTCAACTAGTGCCCAGCCTGAGGTGGACAAGGATTCAGCTGCAGTTCAAGTTTCAACTAGTGTAGGATGCACTCGTCAACGATTTCAGCGCTCCTTCGCATTCCAATTCAGTCAACTAAACTGGAGCAGCCTGAGCTTGTCAAGTTAGCGCGGATAAATTCTTCAAATGTTTCAGTTTAGTGAGAAACAGACCCCACACAATATACTCTGTGATATATATGGATGTCGATCCAACTTGAACCACCATCAATTCAAGTTGAACCCCACACTGGCACTTACTACATAGTATTGAACGACCGGCAGTCTCTGGAATTGATACAAGGCCACATCCAAACCTGATTTATCATGTTGATCTCTCACTGAACACCCATGGAATCCTCATTTTGAATTCACTTGATATTCACTAGAAAAGGCTGTACTTCGACTTGATATCAGATAATGGAAAGATGAACATTTGAATATATAGTGAATAGAAGATGGAATGATCTTAATATTGGACGATACCTCTATTAAACTATATAGCCTTGAACTTCCTAGGCACCTGGGTCATGTGGTCTATTTCTAGTACTGGTATTTATAGCTCCCTCTCTTCCTTGATCTTCTTCTTCTCCTTCTCTCTGTTATAGAAACTTGATAGTTTTCCTTGTGCATATCAGGTATAACGATCTTTGAATCTATCACTTCCCTCCCCACATGTGCATACACCCCTATCATCCAAGGTCGGAAACCCATATTTCCTTCCTTGCTTTCACAGGCTCAGAACAGAAAATATTTCCCAACATTGATCACACACTGACCATCTTCGCAATCAATCAGATAATCATGTCACTTGACTCGCTACCGACTGAGCTTTTCCTTCGGGTGATGTCTTATCTAGACTCCCCGGAGGACCGGAATGCTCTTGCTAGGACAAGCCGCCGATGCCACTCACTTTTAAACCGCGAACTTTACATTCTTTCTATTGTCGATATCAATTTCCACGGGCTCTTTTGGGCAGCCCGAAGAGGCCAGCTAGGAACCCTCCAACGCTTCTTGGATGCAGCATCCCCTGGCTTTCACATGATTTGCGATGGTTTGGATGTTAAATGGCGGCCCACCTGGGGCGCCAGATTCAATGGGGACCTCCTTCAGTGCATTCCGGTATTCAATTATGAGGGGCATATTGGGTACTACGGCAATAAACATATGCCCTTTTTCTCCCTCTACCGGGATGCACTGGTCGAGGCGGCCCTTCATGGACAAATGCAAGCATTCCAACTCCTCGCGGGACACATCCCATGGCATCTGAGCGAGATAGATTGTCACGAGTCTGGTGAGGATGCAGGGTGGCTGTCACTCAGCCATCTTGCAGCACTCCATAACCAGCCCACATTAATGCAATTACTCCTTAATGATGGAGTTAATTTGATGTCCGACTTCCCTCAAAACGTCCAAGAAAACACACCCTCGCCCTTCCACATCGCCTGTAGGGAGGGGCATGTGGAGGTTTTGGAAATCCTACTTCGACAGAGAGTTGAGCCCGACATGCTCGACTTCAATGGCGTCACACCAATGATACTTGCAATATCCTGGGGCAACGGAGAGGTCGTTCAAATTCTCCTCGATTACGGAGCGGACGCCTATCAAACATTTCGCTTATTTTCCATTCTATCTCTGGCTACAGTGTATGGTGAAGCTTCCGTGCTGGAAATCTTGCTGCAGACTGGCTTAAGTCCCGATGGCTTAGATGCAAACGGAAACTTGCACCCTATCATTGGAACGCAAACAAGAGAGTTGCATACTGGAGAGATGAGGCAACATTCCTCCTCCTCAATAAGTCAATCCAGCTATCGTACGCCTTTGGCCCTCGCTGCACTTTTGAATGAGCCGCAATGTGCCCGGATACTGCTTGAACATGGCGCCAAGCCCAATTTCGTCGAGCCAAACGGAGAGATCCCGCTTCACATAGCCCTCGAGCATGGGAGTTTGGAAACTGCCTCGATCCTAATTCAAGGTGGAGCAAGACGCGACATGATCGACGGTCTAGGAAACACTGCAATTCACTATGCATTATTGCCCGGTGACGGCCATTGGAGCATTCTTGAGTCTCTGACACTTCTCATTGACAATGGCTCCCCCGAGATCACGCCTGAATGGATATTCCGAGTACTAGAGTATGAACACTCTCATCCAGGAGTTTCTCTACCACCCGCTATCATCAAGGCTCGAGAGACGGTCAGTGGTCCACCATCCTATTGCCAACATTGTGACTCACTCCGCTCATGCGACCGCAGACACAGTGATGACTCTTTCTACCAAAGGCTTTACGAGCCTGGAGCTCAATGCCAATGTGCCAAAGCAGTGGAGCTTTTCCTCAATCAAGGCATACATGTTGATGCTTACGAGCCCTCGGTCGCACTTTGTTGTACCGAGCCGCGTATTGGCTGTGTACTGATATCATAGAGCTCATCATTTCAAGAGGAGGTGATCTACATGCTCACAATGTATTTGCTCAGACTCCACTCGACCTCACTATGGTTCATCCACCCAGTGACTCCTCTCAACTTTGCAGAATTTTGCATATCCCCCTTAATCAAGGCGCAGACCCTAACTCCAAAGACGACAATGGGCAAACCCCACTTCACCTGGCGGCGCAAGTGGGCAACATTTGGGCTATGGGTGCCATGCTTGAGTGGGCTCTGGAATCTGGCGACGCGAAATATGGTGACAGGGACGACGCGGCTGCCCGTCAATCTCGGTATCTGGACATAGCAGGGGTTGACAACTCGGAGAGCATCCCATTTCATCTCCTTGCGACACAATCTTGTTCCCCACCGGAATTTACTGCCATTTTCCTCTTTTTACTCACCAAAGTTGGAGGAGGTTTTGGACGTGCCACAATTGATGGTCGAAGCCGCTGTGAACCTTCGCAACGTCTCCTTCGTGCTTAGACTTAACGTGCGATGGGTTGCTAGGTGCAAAAATCCAATGTGAAGCTCCATTCATCACCCGCTGCATGCTTGACCACATGGTACACTACCCGGGTGCGTTTTCCACCTCTCATCCACATCTGCACTACATACTCAAAGACTACCTAGCGGATCAGATGACATTTAGAACATACAAATTTCGACAAATCTTTCTCTACTACTGGCATTCCCATCAGCTCATTTCAAGTTTACCTACTGAGAGCTAATTCAAAGAAAAAGAAATCACGATGATGTTACCTGGATCATTTTCAGTGAGAAACAGAAACAATATCCATGGCAGGTTGCATTGTAATCTTACATCTCAGGCACCAGGTTTCAAACTTCATTCCCGCTGCCAGTGAGTTGGGCTTGGCTTCCTAGGTTGAAATGTCCAGATTTATTATTTTCATTTTTCAATTGAACAATCTATCATGGGTCTAATTTCTCGTCACTAGCTATGACCTGAAGGGATTGCAATTTTGCAAAATCCAGCGCATCCGAGTCACATATAAGCGCGAGGCGAAACATACACGGTGTTTGATATATATATCCCTAGCTCGTGAGTACTACTTGTATCACACAGCCACATATAATATTCAAGCCCTCAGGCTGTTTTGAAGTATTAGCACCTATCATTTAACATCATGGTATAATGAGCTACTAGGTACCATCTAGATTCAAATAGAACTTGAAGTTTGAATGCCTCAAGTTTAAACCATGCCAGGTGCCGTATATGGCTGTGCATACCGGTACACTGTACAGGTAGTATATGATGATGGGGATGTTGAAGATAAGCTGAGCTAGCTGATATATGAAATGTAGAAATTCACTGAGTATATTACTTGTTCTATTTACAAAGAGGTAACGTGATATATGAAGTGTTTTCTTAAGAAAAAATGGGTAGAGTCTATTACTTTTGAATTCCATGATTCGTTAACCAATGTGGTGTCTAAGTTCACCGAGTTCCACGAAGGGACAACATCCATAATCAGTTTCGGTGCTTCTAATTTCACGACTTCAGCATCATGTCCAATATCGCACGCTAAGCTACTAATTTCTTGCGCCTTGGGAACCAGAACGATGGGTATTTGTCGTTTCTCCAGTTCAGGAGCAAACGTGTAGGCAGCTGTTTGAACAGTTCGGCGCAACAGAGATGCAATGATGAGCTCAACTTCGCTTAGAAACGGACATTTTCCTTGTAGCTCTTCACATTGAGCTTTTCCGGTGTTTGTCAGTAATGCGTCTCGGATATGGTGAGAGTCCTGAGTCATGTTAACGCCTGTAAATCATTGCTCCAGGGGTAGGATTCAGCCATACATTGACATTGTGTTCGCCTTGTGCATGACGAATTACATAGAGAATTGGAGGCATTTTGACGTGACGGTGTTCAAAAGTTCACCTTCAAGTTCAACTTCAACTTGATATCTTCGATATAGTATTTGTTTTTCCAGGTCAATTCAAATTCAAATCAAATTGTTCATCACTTTTTGAGATGAAAAGAAATTTTGAAAATCTAAAATTTCTGCTCACACACGTGTAAAAGATCTGGAGTGGAGTCAGCATAATTCCCATATATCTTAGATGAACATCGTAACCTCTTAGATTACTTTGGACCTGAAGCCAAAAGTTCTCGAATAAAATTATCTCGGTTCGATTTCCCAATACGGTAATGTGGATCCTCAACCAGAATAGGAAGTTTGTACCACTCCGGGCTCGGCTTGATTCCTCTATTTAGTTCGTCTCCACTGTTGCCCCAGAATCAGCAATGAAGGCGAGCAGAGGGGTTTCTCTACTAAGTACTGCATGTAAGATTAGTGACATGTTTTTCCTCTATCTCCAACATAATAAACTTGAGTCTTAGTGAGCTGTTTACTAAAGTTTTGAAAGAAAGAGGAGAAATCCAGTCATCAGCTATTACTCCCAGCAGTCATCCATCGATATCCCCCAGGCAAAACAACATGGTACAATCCCAGCGACTGCAGGATAAGGTCGCTATTGTCACAGGTGCATCTTCTGGTCTAGGCCGAGCTATTGCAATCCGCTATGCACAGGAGGGTGCCAAGGTAGTCTGTGCTGATTTGACACCAATAGCACGATCTCAGGAAGAAGCCGAGATCACAACTCATGACTTGATCACTCGTGATTGCGGAAATGCTATTTTTATACAAACTGATGTTGGGGATGCCACTCAAATGGAAGACTTAGTCAAGGCTGCTGTGGTTCAATATGGGAGACTTGATATGTATTATGATAACAGATCTGACGATGCTGAATCAGCCAAGCTAATCCATTCGATAGTCTGGTCAATAATGCCGGGATCAGTATCGAAGCGCGGCATCCCGCGGTACTGCATCTGACAGATGAAGCGACCTGGGACACGACTATGCGAGTTAACGTCAAATCAGTCTTCCTTGGCTGCAAATATGCCCTCGCGCAGATGCTATCCCAAGAGCCACACGCTTCTGGTGACCGAGGATGGATAATCAACATCTCATCAATCATGGGAATCATTGCAGGTCCAGAAAATCGTAAGTCTCCGTTTGGAAGGATTCATTCCAAGCTAACCCGCTATGATAGCTTCCTACTGCGCGTCCAAGGGTGCTGTTAGCCAACTTACAAGGCAAATCGCGCTAGACTACGCTCCTCACAAAATCCATTCCAATGCCCTCTGTCCTGGATGTGAGTGATCGAGTTCCTGTTGGTATCGATTATGACTAATTCTTTGATAGACACTCAAACCGCTATTTTCAAGGAGACAACAACTAATCTAACTCCTTGGGATGACCTCAACCGTCGACACCCATTGAAGGGACCAGGCATGCCAGATGATATTGCTAAAATGGCCGTTGTTTTGGCAAGTGAAGATGCGAGCTGGGTTACCGGAGTTTGTTTACCTGTAGATGGGGGATACACTGCTCGTTAGGAATTCTAAGATACACACCATTGGCAAGTCTCTGAAACTGATTCCTTATCATCTTGCTACGGCCCATGGACTTCAATTCTACAAATTCAAATGTTTTAAGATTACTGATAGTGAAGACATAACAACATCAGAATGCTACTACTAGTATGTAGTAGGTCACTTGAAGTTAAAGTTAAGTGAACATTTTGAACTTGAATCCAAGATAAATTCTCCTGGGTCAACGAGGCAATGTCATTATATCATAATATTACTCCTACTAACTTGAAATTTCTGTCCGTCTTCAGGTTCCAATCTATACATCATCATAGCATGAATCATCTAGGCAGAAGCAGAAAGTGGTGTTCAAACCGTCTATACACATTACTCGGGCTATTTGCATCCCACCAGATCAAACATCTCCAGAATTGACCTCATGCGCCTGTTGACCATTCATAGTCCCACTGACACGAGTCGACTTTCCCTTGAACGCTTCCTCGATCTGGGCGAAGTTTCTTCCTTTGGTTTCGTGCATAAAAAGTATACTGACGATGACAGTGATCACACAGCATCCACCAAAGAGGAAGTATATTCCAAAGTTGCTCTTGGAAAGAAGGATCGGTGTGATCAGAGCAACCGTAAAGTTACACACCCAATTACTGGAATGTGCCAGCGTGGTAGCTGAAGCCCGTGTACGTTGAGGTTGGATCTCAGCAGCGTAAACCTTCACTGTGACTCCCCAAGTGACGGAGTAGATAGCGGCATAGATGTAAATGCAGATAATAACGATCCAGCGACCGCCACCAGAGTGTTTATGAACCGCATCTCCAGCATACAGACCACCCATCAAGAACATCACAATGGTCATTCCAATACCACCCCATATAATACTAGTTCGACGACCCCATTTGTCGGCGTAAAGGAGTCCTGGAATCGTCACAGCGAAAATGACTATTGCTGAGATGCCGGAAGCTAAGAAACTCGACTCTGAGGAGGCAAGGCCAGCCTTTTGGAAAAGTTCAGGAGCGTACTAAACATTGGATATACAGTTAGCCATCTCTCCATAGAATAATACAAATCATTTGCAGTCTTGTCCAGATTCAAATCAACTCACATAAAGAACACCATCAATACCACCCAATTGCTGCATACCCATCAAGAACACAGCAAGTGTAGTGCGTCCCCGAACATCCTTATCAAAAATCTCGAGGAGTTTATCGATGGTTCTCTGGCTCGGTTTCTCGGTCTCAAGATGAATCTCCTGTACATGTACTTGAGCTTCAACCTTCTCGCGCTCTGCGAGGGTTACACCAAGCTTCTCCCACGCTTCCTCGGCCTCAGCATAACGACCCTGAAGTCCAAGCCATTGAGGTGATTCAGGCAGGAACACCAGGGAGACAGCGCAGGTGAGCATCGCCATGGCAGATAAAAGAATCCATGGGGTGCGCCAGGAGAGGGAAGACTGGATACTAGAAGTTCCATAACTAACAAAATACCCAACAACCAGGCCAAGGGTACAAGCCAGCTGAGGACCAGTTGTGAGAGCACCTCGAGTACGAATAGGTGAGATTTCGCAAATCAAAACCACCAGATTTCCAAGGAAAAGACCCTCTCCAACACCTTCCACAATGCGACCAACGATGAACATAGCTAAATGAACAGCGCCCGCTTCGATTGCAGCACCAACACCAAAGATGAATGTACCGATGCAAATACCCTTAGGCCGACCAAGAAGATCCGCGACATAACCCGCGAAAAATGACGAGATAGCAGCTGGGATCAGGATACAAGAAACGATGAGACCGTGAATTGTAGAATTTTCACTACCTCCAAATTGGGCCTTAAAGTCCGTCATATCAGTCACAGGGCCGATGATGCCCGTATCCATTCCGAAAAGAAGTCCATTTGCGGAACAAAGGATACATCCCCAGATGTATTTAGGCGGATTTCTTAATTGAGACGGGAACAAGCCCATGATATCGGCTTAATTTGAGTTTCGGATGCCAATTCTCGGAAATTAATCCAATATTAGTGATCGGCTTGCCGTTTTTTGTGAGAATTAACGATTCTGAAGCCAGGCAACGGGGTTGGATGGACTTTAAGTATCTTCGCACATGAATGAAAATGGAAAACCCGAGACCTGTCGTGTCAGCTCCAGCATGAAATTTTTTTCAGTGTTGTGAACGGTCTGGGCATATCCACCAAAGGATCTCATTGCATTTTACCTTTTCAAGAAACATTTACCCGATGCATAGATTGTTCAACTGAATTTTGTGGGAAGACCCACGTGTAGAGTCAATCAGCCTGAATTAAAGCTGACAAGCCCTTATCCATCACATTTGGGCACAAACTCCACTTCACGACGATTTCTTCCCGAGATCTCCACTTTGACCCAGAGCCCCATGGGGGATGGAATATTGTAGCAAGATTTCAGCAGGGCTGAATCCTCAAGTCGAGCGAGTTCTCTCGTTCTATTCAAAGATTCATGTTCTGGTGATTTCTCTCTGTGACTTTGCAATATCGAGATATTTTGTTACTGACATTGTGAGTACAATATAGAATATAGATCCGAGTCAGTAATAACAAATGCCGAGAACCCTATAAATCCCGAGCCGATATCTGTCCAAAAAAGGAAATCGAGCCGAGCTAAGACCACGATCTTCGGGATCATGGACTATGACTTCCTCGGCTTCGTTGCAGAAATTTTAATTTGTTTTTGGATGGAGGAAATGACTCATTGCACTTGGCACGACTCGGCTCACGATATCAAAAGTGGCATAGAACCCGAGTCGTGACCGCAAAACTATGAGACTCCGAGCCCTGCATCAGCTTGCATGTGTGGTAGTCGGATTGGCATTCAATGCCGTTGACAGGTTCCGGAGTTGAGAGTTGATTTCAAATCTCTTCAAGTTGTGAAGGGGTGAGTCAGAAGTACTGCTGGTGTAGGGTAGTCGGAAAGGATTCCTTCGCACCGCTGAACCTGTATCTATAAAATTGTTTACAAGCGTCAGTTAATCCAGACAACCATCAACGCCACTGACGTTCGTGCCGGCAGTGCTAGTATACTGGTATGGGCAGCAGGTACCTGCATGAGTCGAGAGTAGATTGATATGATAATACAAGGCGGTCACACTCCAGTTTAGACCGGGATATCAAAAGGCCACACACTCTTAACATCATCCTCGGTTTTAATTGAATCCTCAGGATCCTCCTCAGTATCAGGATCCTGCTCCAAAACAGTCTTCACCAGATCCTTGTAAACCGCCTTATGCGCCTGTTGTCGCAGCTCCCAGTGCTCAGTGGGTGCCCAACCGTCTGCCGCAACGCCCAGTTGCTCAGCCAAAACACCTCTGATACTAGCAACCTGCTTGTAGAGGTCATATCTCTTTGAGTGGGTGGTGAGGAATTCTTCTGTCTGTTCTGGGTAGGAACAGTCTCCACTAAGGCCAAGCCAATTCCACTCCTTTCTTAGTTGAATAAGCTCATGTTGCAGCTTGATGGCTCCATCGTCCCAGCTATCATCACTTATGCGGAATGGACGGAAAAAGTTGATGTGCATGGCGCGAGGAATACCTATCTTGGGAGTATATAAAGTCATGCATGTATCCATTGTTCGGTGTAACTGCTCCGACAATTTATCAGCTTCTTCTATGTTGGGATCCGACTCTGGCTTTGACTCGACTTCCTCGGTGCTCGACACTGCTTTCTCGGTAGATGCCGACTCGCTGCCTGTTTTTGAATCACAAATAGGTGAATCTCCTTTAGGATGGGGCGTAATCTCCACGGCCGTTGACATGCGCTGGGAGACAAAGTCCGGTGTATTGGAAGCATACACAAATGCAGGCTCAATGCTAGCAGACTGCCAGTCAATGATTCCTGTGATGACTGTCGGGTCTTCATCCAAGACAAAAATATTACGAAGGTGACGGTCAGGGTGGAATAACATAGGGTCTGATCTGAATTTCACTTTCATGTCATTAGCCATCTGGGTGAGAACAATACGAGCATGCTCAAGCAGTTGGACGTGTGTCTCCACGGAGCCCTGATAAAAAGGCAGGGCCCTGTCCAGGCTTTGTGGGTCTGGATCGGTTAGTGGAAGCTTTGCCAGTCCGGCATCGATGACAGCATTGCTATATGCCACCACATCAGGCCCTGATATCACGTCAGACCTCCCATTGCTGCAAGGTCAACCATTGCAATAATAAATATGGAGAAACATACATGGTCCTCGGTTTATCCACTTGTACTGGTTGTAAAAAGTCCCTCTGCCACAGTCCCACCACCTTGGGCCGCAATGAGGTCCAATACAGAAGCCATCCTTCAACGGCTGTGTAGGGTACAAAGGCTTCATCAAACCATTCTCAAAGTAAATACTTCCGTAAGCCGGAAAACCAAGATCATGGACCGTTTTGAGTTGCTTATACACAGCTTCTATGAAGCCTATCCGCTGCATGAGCGTCATAGATGGCCATTTGTCTCCTCCCGGTATACCACCTGCATGTTCCATAATGATGTACTCAGTGCGACTCTCGTTCTTTTCGTCGGCGCTCCTCGAGGATCTTGGGAATGGGAATAGATGTATTTCTCTGAACTATATTGTTCAATTGATAGATTAGTATGGTAGCACCGAGGTCGAACAACCATGTAAGCTTATGGTAGGCAATCGTGGCCACTTCAGACGCCGTGGTAAGGTGGGCTGGGCCAGCGACTTTGAATGGTAGCTTTACGATGAGACGTCTGCTGTCATTGAAGGTGAATTTGAATACGCGGTTAGAGCCGCCTTCGATCTTCTCGCAGTCGGCAATGGAGTGAGAACCGGATAGACTCAGGACTTTCTGGCACAATGCATCAAAGTCAAAATCGATATGTCGCAGTTCTCGTTCCTTTGTGTCATTTCGAAGCCAGCGACCAGCGACCAGCGGTATAGTTGTGTAGATCGAGATCTAGTTTGTGTGAGCAAGCTCTATAGACATTTGTTCCACAGTGGCTGACCATTCTTCTATGCTCGGTGGGCCCCTGTTGAGAAAGTCGCAATGGGAAGTCTGGGTTTGAAGGTAAGTGGATTTGACCTTTGTCGAAGAACGCATATAATGCGAGATTGAGGTCTCACGCACATGGTGAGGCCCACGGCAGTCGACGTCGCGAAAGAAAGGGGGGTCAACGGGATGTTAAAGAGCAGTCGATAAAAGATGCGAGGGATGCCAAGGTTTTGGAAGATCGAGATGAACTGGTCAACAGATGAGATATCGGCAGCTAGACCATGCAACTCTCCGACCGTGATAAGTGTGATAAGTGTGAGGCTGAATCTTGACAAGCGGAAACGCGTTGTTGAAGGTTCGGGAGGGAGCGGCCCGAAAGCAAACCACCGATCCCTGTCAGCACAACTTGAACGCGCACATATCACCTCAAATATTACAGGAATTTCTAGTTATCGGAATTTGCATAGAGCTGGACATAATTATGTTGGAATTTGGGGGACGTTCAATTATTCCACAATCCCGCAGATATGATTCCACACATTCCGATCGTTTATATACATTCATGAATCTTATAGGCACGTGGATGAGTTCGTGCAAATGACTTGAGTCTATTCAATATCTTAACATTAGCACATCAATGTCCTCAAGCATAGTAATCTCATGGAGGAAAGTAGTTCATACCTAGCCATTACAGCAGACCAATGACAATGTCACCGTAAATCTGAGCATCGAGTTCCAGGCGGACCTTGGCGTGGATGTTGAGGTGAATCTTGATCTTTAAGCTGCTCTTGTCCTCCTCCCCGACGGGAGCACCGGGAATCTGCAAGCCAGCGTTGGGAAGACCGCCGGGGACAACATCGCCAACCTTGTCGGTGACGCCGGAGAGCTCATCGTCGGTCTTGCCCTTACGGCCGCCAGTAGGACGAGTGTCCGTGGGAGCACTAGGCGGAGAAGTGTTAGCAGGCTGCTCAGATGGAGGATTCTGCTCTCCGGCCGAAGGCTCTGATGGACCAGCTGGAAGATCCTTCGTTTCGGGCTTCAGCTCGGGCTGAGATTCCTTCTGTTCAGGAGAAGCCTTTTTCTGCTCAGATGGAGACTCCTTTTTCTCGGAGGGTTCCGTCTGGGAAGACGAGGGCTCCTCCTTCTTTTCAGGATACAGTTCCTTCTGATCAGAGGGCTCTGGCTGCTCAGATGGGAGTGCCCTCTGTTCAACGGCAGGATCTTCGCGCTTGGACCCCGGGCTTGTCGGTGGTCTCGGCTTGTTCTTGGCCTTGCTGGATTTTTTGGACATGGATGGAGGATGAGAATGGTACACAAAATAAAGGAACCAAGCGGCCAGAGCAGAATCAATTTGGGGAAGGATAACACAAAGAAATTGAGAGAGATACCTGTTATCAGCCATTACTTCGGAGAGGGCAGGTTGGTAGGCGGTTAAGAGAAGGGAAGGCGGAGCGTGAAAGATACAGGGAAAACAAGATAACCCTGGTGAAAAACAAGCGCAGAGAGGAATTGAGTAAGATAGAGAGAAATGAATTTCTATGGGTCAAAGAGGGGGCAACCACAGCTGTTTATTCGACGCCATCGAGCTATTTCAACCTCGTCCCAGCCCGTGTCTGGGTCCCAGCTGAACGTGGATTCCGACAAAGGATCTGCATTCGTGGATCACATCAACTATCACAGTCTGTGCCCATAGGAATTTGCGAGTTCGGGCGAGTTCATCTGGGTTAGTTGCAGAAAGGATGATGCAATTTATGGAGACGGAGTGGGCATCGAACCCACTTAGATCGTATCCACTTTCTGTGCCAATCGATTCTCCATTGAAAGCTGAAAAAATGCACTTGTATTTATCTGTTATACGCTGAATTCCCACGCTTTTTTCAAATTCCGACACCACTCGTCCCCGTCTAGTCCGAGGGTTCCTGCACAATCTCCATCTTACATCATGGTTCTCGGAATCGCCATGATGGCGGCTATGCTGCCCACCATGATTGGTATCAATGAAGCGACTCAGGGGCAAAAAGATCAAGAGGAAGCTCGTGGAAGTTCATCCCGCAAGAAACGCTGCCATCTAGTGGCGACGTGTTCACTGTCTCAGGGTACAGCGGAAATGCGCCAACAAGTTCATAATGCCCAGGTCCAAGTGGGTCTGGACGGCAAAGTAAGTTCCGTCATGCACGAGTGTGTTTTTGTGTTTTTTAAGCATCTTGAAACGGAATAAAACGAGCTAATCATAAAGTACTTTTGTACGGAGCGTGTAGCTCTATATCACCAAGAAGCCCAGTGCCACCATGGTCCCCTTTAATGGAGGATTTTATACACACGCAGATTTCCCACCTGATAATACATCAGGAATGGTCACAATCAGTGGAGAGGAGGCCCCGACTCTTCGCTGGGTATTTCTAGATGCCAACACACATGAGTTAAGATGGGGTGGTCGTCCAGATAGCCAGGGTCATGTGTGTGGGCCCTTCGATTGGACTAAGGATGAGCAGTATGTCACATTAGAAGGATGGGAAGGGTGGTTGGCAGTGCGATTGCCGGAGGATGAGCTTCGAAATCAAGAAGATGAGCTAGGGATCGAACATGGGCTGGACATCTGGAGATTGTACTTTGACCAGAATGATGACGGTGCCAATTTACCGCCAGGATCCCAGGGGCTTGAGGTTCGTCTGAGACGAACAACAGCTGAGTCTTGAAAAGCTGCATGTATTTTAGTAATGGTATTACGATTCTCATTTCATGTTGATCGAGTGAGGTGTACGGAGTAGACGGGACAAGGATGGCACGCACTTGGGGTATTATCCGGTAGACTCCTCCAGTTTCACGCCTCGAAGATAGCGTAGAGACCTGTTGATGGAGCGAAATAAACCTCATACCAGGGTCAATTCCCTATGTGCTGCGTGTGAAATTGGACGTAGCCCAATACAACCTTGGAATTCACCTGGGCATCGCTTGACCACAATCTTGGAAGAATACCGTACTAGCGGATGGCTGAAAAGATCGCGCTAGTGTTGAGACGAACAGTGGATCGTTGATACCGAGTTTCTTCACAGGTTCGTGTTCGAATTCCTTCTCCACTGTCGATCCAGTTGGCTGTCACGCAGCTCCACATAGACATCCGCCACCCCCATTTCCCTCCCCTTTATCGTAGTGATCGACTCAGCTCCTCCCGTAGTATACCTGTATTGGTCACTAGCTGCTCCAAAATTCCGGCTTCGTGGGGCTGTGGGGTTCGCGTGTTCTTCTGAAATATGGGAAATCGATCTCCCCGATCGAAACCCGTCCCGTTCCTAGGGGAGTCCGTGTGAGGAAGCAGATTACGGAGTACTCCGTAGGCAGTCATAAGGCAGAAGCAGGATTTTGACACGTAGAATCTGGACTCTTCCAGCCTCCTGTTATCTGTGAATTAGCGTGGGAAAATTTCTCCTGTTGGTGGCGTAGCTAGAATGGCTCCACTCACAGTAGATCGAGATTCGATTCGCACTTCAGATTGGTCTGTCCCCGCTTCATGCACGCTCGAAAATAACGCAAAAGCTGGAAAATATGGGTCAACTTACATGTGTTCCATACTGAGCCGAGCTTCAAGAGCTATGTCTATGAGCTTCATGAGTTTAATCATTACTTGTAATAATCTATAATGAAAAGATGTGGAGGGTGTGTAGGTTGCTTGATTGATGAGGTATCTGAGGTAGAGAGAAGGGGATGTAGGTTGAGCTGTAACTTTGAACAGCCAGAACTTGAACACTCAGAGCAGCAAATCCAACAGTAAACAGGAAAGAAGAAAGTACATGTAAATTTAGTCCACCAACCACTCCAACCCGCGCAGCTCCTCCAGGGACTTGAGTCATAGGCGCCATACCAGGAACCGTGAGGATTCTAACCAAGACTAAATTCCCATGCTCAGGCGACTAGAATCCCCTTCCACGAAGCAGAACCCCCCTACCTAATGTGACCGATTTCATGCCGCCCCTCGTCACAATGAAAAATGACCAGTAGGCATCACAGACAGGGAAGTGAACGAATTTTGACCACTGCATAGAGCTATAGAAGGTGAAGTACTGCCCACGCTAAGCAGGACCCGTCAACGCGAACACCATCTACCGGCGAACCGGCGGGTAGACACTCATGGGAACATCGGAGCGAGGAAGAGACAACACATTCATAGATAATTGGTGGGCCCCAGTACCTTAATAAGCAGGACCCGTCAACGCATCAAACCCCCCGGGGGCCATCATTTGCTCATGGGAACATCGGATTAAGGTGGGGGCAACGCTCAGTGTAACTGTAATGGAATCCCGGACGTCAAATTCAAGATGCTGGGTTTGGATCCTCGCAACACACTCGGCGCACCACGGAGCTCCTTCTCCCTGTGATGACCAAAAAATGAAGTTGAACTATCTAAGTGAACCCTTGAGGGTGTGAGGAATTTCAAATTGTGAAATTCAGAGGTGTGAATGTTGTGTGGTTGTGTGTTGTGTGTTTTTTGTTGTGTGGATGTTTGAAGCTGAAAGTCTGAAGACATGAAAAGCTTTGAAGGTTGATATCTTGGTGTCGTGGATTGTGCCTCCATTTTTGTCGCCAAGGGATAGAAGCAGACCATTAAAGCAAGCTGAAAATGAGGAGAGTGATTGTTGTTTAATCACAGGCAGGCCCCAAGGAACTCTGTGTATAGTAAGAGTTAGTTGAATGTCAGTGAATCTGAGGTGGGGGTGGAAGTGACTTGTATATTGACCAAAGTCCGGAAAGTAAACAAGGCTAAGCAGACGATGAAAGATGAGAATGTTGTCTGCCTAGCGGGAGTCAAAGTGTGTTGAGCCTGTGGGGGTGTGAGCCAACAGAGAGATGAGGCAGAAGTTGAGGGAGTCTAGGCAGCACTGGCACCGAGAGAAGAGCGACATGCCGATGGATGAGCATCTTGATGGATGAACATGTCGATGGATGGATGACATGTTGATGAATGAATGTCATGATGAAGTGACATGTGGACATGTGACCGACGCGTCGATGGAAGAACGCGTCAACGAAGTGAGGCCTTGAATGTCATTTTGATGGACTGACATGTGAATGAAATGTCATGTGGATGGATGGATGGCTGACATGATGGACGAACGTGTCAACAAGATGTGGTCAGCCTCATGAACTGGTGTCATGTTAGTGGAGGATCAACAAAGGTATGAACACGTCAACAAGGGAAGGGAATACAGTGAAGTGTTATGCAACAAGGTAGAGGAGGCCAGCAGCCAAGGGACATGTCGATGGAGTAAGGTTGACATGTTGAAGAGTGGAGTGTCCAAGTGTGGAGGAGAAGTGGAGAGTTGGAAGAAGGAAGAAGTGTGCAGGAGGAAAAAGAAAATCAGAAGTATTTATACCCTGAGGGGGACACCTCAAGATCACACACGCCTCAAGATCACACGCGCAGCAGGATCACACATTCCGAACTAGGAAACGTAGGCGAAGACAAGCGAAGACAAGCGAAGTGAGAGATTGATCTTGAGCAAACAAGATCACCACAGCCAAATCCTCATAGTTAAGGATGTTTGCTCGCCTCAACTTCTCTCACTCTGAATCACAGATTAAGCGAGCCAATAGAACACCAGGATCAGGATCACCAGGATCATCAGAGCAAACAAATCGCAACTATGTGAATGACTTTTCAATGTGCATCCCAGAATATCAGAGAGGTACGGAGATCACCACATTAAGCACGACTATGCTGGACGCAATTCATCTGGACAGCGAGTTAGAGCGGGAATTAGATTGAAGCTTTATGTAGCACATAGTCTATATCTATGTCAAATTCTGAATGCATTCTCTAATAAAAGCCTTGAAAGTTGAGGCATTGTACTGATTCTATTCTCATCCTCCATGTCTGCTATCCGGACTAGGAGCTCCCCAATGCTAGTTAAGTGGTGCCAAATACTATGCAGCCTTGGAGAAGAGCAGAGAGTATAAAATTCAGTTTCAAATGTTGTGACATATCACGAATGCCAGGTGCGCAGTTGCAATATGTCAAATATGACCACAACGTACTAACATTGGAAGTGGACTAGATATCGGGTATGTTCCCGATGGTATACTCGGTACAGACTCCCGACTCCCGATCTTCATCTGGCCCCCCCCCCGCGATTATTCCCAATGGGGAATCTCTTGAGTAACGAATGTCTGACATTTGGGTGAACCAGACTGAACATCTCTGACGCAACTCTAGCCCCGCATGCAACGGCTATATCTGCGATTCATTCTCCACAGATGTATCAGCACTGAATAAATAACACTCTTCACACAGACAGGACCCCAACTTGCAGCCTTTCTTGAGTCCATTTCCGACTTCAACTTTCAACACATTCCAAGCAAAGAATCATCATGCCAGTGGAACAGGTAAAACCAGAAATACTCTACGTCCCACCGACAGCACATTCCCCCAATTCAAAGCTACCCGTGGTCGTATACCGAAATGCGTTGACAGATCCGACTCCCGATGGTGTCCTGCAGGCCGTTGAGGAAAGCGAATGGAAGAAAGGTGGACACTGGAAAATCGCCAAAGAAAGTCTAGCAGCTACTCCGCACTATCACTCAACAACGCATGAGGCATACACCGTGCTGCATGGAGCTGCTACCTACCTTCTGGGAAAATCACCTCTCGACCCGGGGACTGACAGCAATGGGGATTCAACCGGTGTGAGATTTACAGCTCGGGCAGGCGATGTGTTTGTGTTCCCGGTAATACATGCCCCTGGTGGACGTTGTCCTTTTTTCGTACGCTAATCTACTCAGGCCGGTGTGACACATTTTGTGACGGATGTCGAGGATGAATACGAATTTATTGGCTTTTACTCATTGGTGTGTGCAAGATCTATACTATCTGCCTTGCTGTGCGTCTGGAGGTGGTATTACAATCATACTAACATGAAGTCCTCTCAGAATGATCAAAACTCCCTCAAAGAACCATATAATATGGAATATGCGACTGATTCTATAGAAATAACGAATCAAAAACGAGGAAAATGCGAGCTAGTCCCAGTCCCAGCCCACGATCCTATTTATGGCGAAGAAGGTCCGATGATCAAGATCTGGAAGAGTGTTTAGAGACGACGTGCGTCAATTTTTAATATTGGAACGAAGGTCATGTATAAGCAAATATGTAAATTCCAATGTGCACTGAACTCGCTATTTAATGACATGTGTTTGAGCTATTTATAACTTGAAGGTAATGACAACACTGAAGCGCAGTATGAACACGAGATATACAGTCATGCTGAATCATCAGCGGTAAGGAGCGATGATCCGTCTAGGAGATGACTACGGTCTGGTCGTAGGTCTCGTACAGAGTCTCGCCGGAGGCCTGATAGAGATGTTAGCATCAAACCGCTCGAGAAAAGGTCTACCGGATCTACCGGATGATAGGATGATAATCTGATACTTACACCGTATGTGGAAAGATGTGCCACATTGACCTGGGCATTACCAGCTGCGAAGGAAGATGGAACAGTGATAGTAAAGTTCTCATAAGGATAGTATGAGCCAGTTCCGAAGTCAGGGTCGAAGCTGCCGTGGTACAAAAGGTTTCCCAGTGCCTCTCCAGCAGAGGGGCAAGTCGTCTCGCCGGGGCAAGAAACCATTCCAATAGCGACTACGATCTCATCGGATCCAGTCAGAGTGTCCTTGAAATCAGTTGTTAATGGCCCCGAAGAACAAGCGATTTAATTTGCAACATACAGGACGTTGGATTTGAACGACCAGATCACTGCCGGCAGCCACGGTGTCACCAGCCTTGGGAAGGGCAATGCTGGTGCTTTGAGCCAGAGCGACACCGGCGAAAGCAGCGAGAGCGACGATGAACTGCATGATGAGGATTGAAAGTATGTAAAGAAGAATATAATACTTGAGAAGAGAAGTTGAATGCGATGCTGAATGAAGATGGTAGTTGAGTCTGATTCTGATTCTGATTCTGGAGTATGAAGGAGGATTACCAGCCTTTTATCCTCAGTTCGGTACTCAGATCACAGCCCTGATATTTTCAGAACATCTGCAGGAAGGTTTCAAAGTACCATGCTCAGGTTGTAGTGATTCGCCAAGTGTCTGCAGATCTCAGTAAAATGTCTCGGTCGGATACACTGGGGGGCCCCATTTTTTGAGTCGTTGTGGAGCTTCATCCCTCGTTTTACACCAACGAACTTATTCAGGGTCTTCTCAGGGTCTGTTCAGGGACCTTCCAATGTCACCTCCTTTTTTCAATAATTAATATTTCGCGCGAGGATCTAGAGTAAGATCTGAATCTTGTTAGCATTGGCTCCTGGAACACGAGCCAGGGTCGCCTTAAGGCTGAGCTGCCTGAGCAATAACAAATTGGATGAGCGGGTGGCCTAGCCATGCATAAGCCTTATGCAGGGAGTTTAATTCCGGCTGATCAAGCTCGTCAAGCTATTTTTAAAGCGTCAAGCACAGACTTCCAAGGTTGGAGTGAGATCGCAGCAATTAGTCAGAAATTGTTATTCCCGATCTCAGTGGCGAGGCGAAGGGAAATGTCGGCATCTGGCGGATTTGACTATTTGATGATAAATCATCTGCATCTGGTAAGGAATGAGTGAGACTGTCGGTGAATACGCACCTATTTAGGCATGAGATTCGATCTTGCAAAGACCCTACATGAGAGTATTTTTATCTTTACATAATCTACTGAGGCGCAGGGGATCATGCACATGTGGTGATGCTGCCGGGAAGTTCGAAAAACAACAGAAGGTTGACGGTATGATGATAAAAATGCGACATTGTGATGCTACTGGACATCTGAGATAACCTGAGGCAAATAACCTGAGGCAATTCAAAATAACTATTTACAGGTATGTCTGCTCCACTCTCTCCTTCTCTCGCTCCAAAAACTCAGCAAATGTTCCCAGCTGAATCCCCCACTTCTGGACCTCCTCCATATCAACAAGCAATGACATGTCGCGCATCACTTTCTGTGGCGCCAACAGTGGATTCGTGGGCAATTTTTCATTAATCTCCTCCTCCGACAGAAAAACCAGTTGAATGTTCTTCCCAGTGGACCGCGAGAGATCCTGCATGAGGTCCACAACACCCACCATCTGAGAAACAGTCTCGATCTCCTTCTGATTGAATCTCTGTGGATCCAGAATCGAAGCTGTTGCAAACTTTCCAATATCGTTCGGATCAATCATGGGAAGAATGGTATCCGGTAGGAAAGCCGTTGTGAACTGGTGTGTCTCGACGAGACCTTGATACATCTGAACCATCGGGTTCAGGAAGTTTGTCATGAAATTCCCCGGTCGGAGGATTGTGTAGGATTCGAAACCGGCGTTTCTGACTTCATTCTCGATCGCTTGTTTGCCGCGAAGCAGGAGTCCAACCATACCGGTGGGTGACCAGTGAGAAAGTCGTTCGGGGTTAATAGTACCCAAGGCGCTAGTGTACACCACATGCTTGACGCCTGCATGTTTGGCTGCGGAGAGAAGATTTTGAGCTTGGGTGAGTTCTCCGTTGGGTTTGGTGAAGTCGGGTCGCAGGTTGAGAAATAATGCAGTGCAATCCACCATGGCTTGCTTCAGGCACTCTTCATTGTCGAAATCGCCCTCGGAAAGGGGAACGCCTTGCGAAATGAGGCGTCTTGCTTGGGGTGAATCGATGTTTCGTGTGATCGATTTAATTTTGATGTCTTTTTCGAGGAGGTTATGGGCAACAGCGCCTCCTTGAGTACCGGTGACACCACAGACGAAGACAGTGTCTGACATGATTGTAGGTGGATAGTATGTTGAAATGAAGAATTCGCGATTCAGAAGATGGTGATGGGTATTAATCTCTAATCTAGATGTTCGTGTCGACCATTATATAGTAGTCTTAAAATCCAGAATCCATATGTATAGCACATACTACTCTATAGTGATAGTGGAATTCCATTTCAGTCATAGAACTTGACTCCAGATCGCGGAGATCCATCTGAACCCCCAAATATAGTATTTTCCCATTGGTTGATATTCATTTATTGTGGATCTTTGACTGCGGAATTCCGCACGCTAAACCACAAAAAATGATCATCTTGCGGCGTCACTCCCATGGTTCCCCGCTAGTCTCGACTCTCCATCTCCGACCATGCGCTTGAGATAACTCTCTTTCTCCACTTATGTCCAGTTCAAGACATCATGGGGTATGATTCAATCCCTATACCTCGGCGGAAATCCTGTGAGGCATGCAAGACCGCAAAACGCCGCTGTGACCTCTCCCTTCCCGCCTGTTCTCGATGTACCCACCGAAATGTACCATGCATCTATCCGCGGCGACAGTCAACCTATGATGATCACTCGGCACCTGGAATATCGCCACCAGTTGATCTCTGCGATATTAATGTGAATGCACTAGCAGAGCCTCAGCACAATATAGAGCACAATATAGACATTTTTCAACCTTGTTCTCCTGCTCTAACAGAACTTGTGGATTCACTTCTTCGATACGACCAGGAAGAATCTCAAATTTTCTTTGTTGGTCCTGATCGAACAGTCAATGTCGGCCCTTACTTTGCACTCACGATTCCAAGAGCAAGGCAACCAAAACCCCTACCGGAAATTATTGCCTCCAACCTACAATTCGCAATTGACATTCTAAAAAATACCCCCAAAACGATGGTTCTTGAAAATCAAACCCCATGGTGCCACTCAAGACTTTACAAAAATGGCATGCCGAGGGCCATGCAAGGTATGTGCACAATCTAGTCATCCATAGGATGTTCATTTACCGATTCAGAAAATCTAACGACCTACAGACGCTTTCGCATGCTGCTCTCTATACCTCTCAAAGAACGAGATCAATGCACCAGTAATAATGTCTCTATTCGAGGAACGAATAAGAGAAATAATAGCCACTCCCGAACCAGATGAACTATTCGACAAGCTCGCCCGAGTTCACGCCTTAATATTGTATCAAATAATGCGATTATTTGATGGCGACATCCGCTCTCACGCAACAGCAGACGCACTTTTCGACTCATTAAATTCATCCGTCCTATCTCTTGTCCAGCATCTTCACCTCCCACTTCCATCAGATCCCCTAGAGTCTCTCCCAATATCCATAGACTCCGCCATCAATTTCTGGGAGTCATGGGTTATACAAGAATCCGCACGACGAACAGTACTACTCGCTTTCTATTTTATGCAAATCTATAAAATCCTCCAAGGAAATATCCCAATATACTGTGATGGAAAACTTGGCTTACAACATTCATGGTACTTATCAGCTTCTCTGTGGAATGCGCAAAGTGCTTTCGATTTCGCTGTGGCTTGGGCGGAGAAACCCCATTTCGTGGTACATAATCTAGACTTTTCTTGGGCCTTGACAACTGCACAACCAGAGGATGTCGATTCATTTGGAAGGATGCTTTTGGTGACCATTATGGGAATTGATTCGACCAGAGCATGGTTTCATGGCAGGGGTTCTATATTTCCCTGAGAGTGTAACAAGATTCATGCGATTGTTATTGTTTAATACACCATCAAAATTATGAGATATGATATCACCTGGGCGTCATAAATACATTCAAATTTGGGACTCTGAATGGACTTCGTGTATGTAGAGCTACATAGGCTGATATCTGCATGTCGGTTTGTTCCACAAATCATCTCTTAGACATAACATAGATTCGGAACTTCTGGCCAATCCCATTCCATCGATATCATGGAGCTATGGCAAACTACCCCGACATCGGTCTTGATCAGTTCCAGAGCTGGATGGAGTACCATGTGTCTTATCATTCATCATATAATTGTGACCAACTGTCGTGTTGCTTCGAGTGGGTCCGACAAAGATTTCCTCTTTGGGTTTAGAATCAACATCGATAAGAAGAACATCGCGGCTCCTTCAACTTGGACACACTCTCATTTACCAATCATGGATGCAGAATGAGTGAAATGTCGGGATACAGATGTCATGTAACGAACAGCAGGGTGTCGCACGGACTATTCCATCATCTATAAATCACCATCTCTCCCGCTCAACATGTTATTTCTCCAATACCTCTCTACCAGCTTATCTACTTCCTCTATCACTTCCACAAAATCTATATCTCCAACCTCGGAAGCTTGACTGTTTCAACATGGGTGACTACAAGCCAAGCACAGCCGAGACATCCACTGCTACACCACTAGCAAAAGAAATCCAGAATGAACCTCCGACCGACCAAAGCGGTGTTCTCTACCGACAGCTTCGCCAGCCACCACTCAACATCGTGAAAGCTCGAGGAAACTACCTGATCACCGACACTGGTTTAGAAATTTTCGACGCGACCTGTGGCGCCGCCGTATCTTGTCTTGGCCACAATGATCAACGCGTCCACGAGGCTATCCAAGAACAATTACAAAAGGTTTCCTACTGTTACTCCTTATACTTCACCAATAGCGCTATGGAGAACCTCTGCAAATTCCTAGTTGATTCAACAGGAGGGAAGATGTCTCGAGCCTATATTGTGGCCTCCGGTTCGTACTGACCAGATCGCGACTTGTGAAGATCACCATATCTAACTCATGACAATACAGGCACTGAAGCTGTCGAGGCGTCTCTTAAGATGGCAGTTCAATACTTCATGGAAATCCCCACACCCCAACCTCAGCGCGTCAACTTTATTGCCCGAAAACAGTCCTACCACGGTAACACGCTCGGATCTCTTTCTGTTGGTCACCATGTTGGTCGCAGAGCCATTTACGAGAAAATTCTGGCGAAGAACGTCTCTCACGTATCGCAATGCTATCCATATCGAGATATGAAATCCAATGAGACTGTTGAGCAGTATGTTGGCAGACTTGCTCAAGAACTGGAGGATGAGTTTCAAAGACTCGGACCTGATACGGTTTGCGCCTTTGTAGCAGAGACAATGTCAGGGGCGGTAAGAACTACTCTCATGAAGATAAATGCTTTATTTTGATTCCACTAACACTTCCTCCTAGACACTCGGATGCATGCCTGCTCTTTCTGGTTACCTCAAGGCCATGAAAGAGGTGTGCGAGCGCCATGGAGCGCTACTAATTCTAGATGAAGTGATGTCAGGCATGGGTCGAACTGGAACGCTCCACGCTTGGGAGCAGGAAGATGTCGTTCCAGACCTGCAAACCATTGCCAAGGGCCTTGGTGGTGGTTACGCTCCTATCGCAGGTCTTCTTCTTAATAAGCATGTTGTCGACACTCTGACCAAAGGAACTGGGTCTTTCGTTCACAGTCAAACCTATCAAGGTCACCCTGTCTCCTGTGCGGCAGCATACCGTGTGCAGAAGATTATTCAAGAGGACAACCTCCTTCCTAATGTCCGTGAGATGGGCACCTATCTAGGAGAGCGCCTGCACGAGAAGCTCGATAGCCACCCGCATGTTGGTGACATCCGAGGTCGAGGACTCTTCTGGGCAGTAAGTTCGCATCCCAAGATATTCATTGGGCTTTACTAACATCGCCCAGATCGAGTTTGTGCAAGATAAGAAAACCAAAGAGACTTATCCGCCGTCTCAGGGAATTTCGTGGACGGTTCATACAACTGGCCTGAAGCCAGAACATGCGATCTCTCTGATCCCTGGCAATGGAGGAGCAGATGGAATCAATGGTGACCATGTCTGTCTGGCTCCGGCTTACAATATTACGCGGGCGGAGATTGACTTAATCGTGGATCGTGTCACAGCAGTTGTCAATGATGCTCTAGGACATTGAATGTTAGTGGACCTGTTGAGATATTCGAATTCATTCTTTGTTATTGAGATTCTAGCTAGCAGCACAACATCCAAATTAAGCCTGGGCAACAATAGCTCGTATTCTCATCTCCAGATCATCTTCAGTATATGGCTTTAACCCGACGATCTCATTGTCAAGCCCCGGAGTCTGCTCGTTCAAGTCCGCACCATAAGCGGAGCCTCCAAAAATAACAACTTTCAAGAACCCAGGAATGAAGACACCAGGGTTCGACTGCTCCTTGGTCAACTCCGCTCGCATAGCTGTATCCAGATCCGAGATATTCTCTTCCTTGCGGATCCAAGTCGACTGTGTGACCTTCTCCAGAATCTCCAGCAACTTAATCTGAGTCAAGTTCGCGCGCTCCACAAAGATAGCACGGTTCTTAGTCTTCTCGGGATTTCTCAAAATCCCAACAACAACCGCACCAAGGTCGGACAAGCAAGTTGTTGAGAATCTGTTATTTCCACCATCGTAGATAGTCATCTCCCTGTTCTGAACATCGCACAATAATCCACCAGCCAGGCAGATATCAAACAGGGGTCCATGAACGACCAGCGAATAAGAGAGACTCGGGTGTTCTTCCACCTTTTTGCTGAGCAATTTCTGGAACGCGACCTTGCCCTGGAAGATCGGGATCTGGGATGTCAAGGGGATGTAGGTATTAGCGCCAAATTCACTAGGCAGGAATCTCGATACACCAGCTTCGATCGCAGCATCTAGGAGAGCAGGTTGGTAATCAAGACCAGGTCCACTCAGAACCGAGATCAGAGCATCGATGCCCTGGAGGGCTGAGACGAGACTTGTGTGGGATGCATAGTCAACTGTTGTGGTTTTCACGGGCTCCGCAAAGACGGATGGCTTGTCACCTCGGACGAGAACTGTGACTTCAAAGCCGGATGCGACAAGAGACTCGATGATGGGTTTCCCGATGGAGCCGGAGCCACCGGCAACTGCGACTGTTTTGATGGCCATTTCAGTTGTGGAGTGAAGATAGTCGCAAGGGATGGTGGGCAGTTTCCGATCAGGTCAATTGCTGGTTTCTCTTGTTGTGACTAGGTTTCTTATTGAGAGGATTCAAGTTTTAGGTTTTTGTGGTTCTGTCTCTGACTCAGGATGAAGCGAAATGCGAAATTGAGGTGACGTTGGAGTGGTTTGGAAGAGCATTGAAGTATTCAAATGTTTCAGGGAATTTGGAGATTTGGAGATAGTGGGTCTCAGCCCACCAACCACAATCAAGCAATGAACTACATAGACATGATGCTCTTAAAAATTCAAATGTTACAACGCCTGGTTTGGGCAATATACTACATGAAAAGCTGATGGGAATCTTGGATCATTTGAATGGTCTAATTCTTCAATCTGATAATATAACCTTGGAATGATGTTTAGTACTACTACTAGGTACAGATGCCCACCAGTGGTAGGTGTCAAGAAACTTGAAGGGGATTACATATACCTAGCTACTTCAAGTTGATTATATATACTACCTAGTAGTACCTAGGTACTGTTCAAGTTCTACTATTATGGATCACCTGCCCACCAGTGGGCATGACTCGGATATAGTCTACTAGTAGGTGCATGTTTTTCAAGTTCCAAGGTTCAATCTCCAGGGCTCAGGATCAATCCAAACTTGAACATTTGAATGTTCTGGGATAATGTTGAATGTTTAATTATGTATTTCCTAATTATTGCCCAGATGCTGTGTTGTATATGGGGGAGGAGACACTAATACAAAATGGTCACAAATTCCCCCATAAATTTGAGTGACGAGCTTCCCCGGTATCGACTTTGCCCTGCTAGTCTAAGTGCCTAGGTAGCGGTCAGCGACCCATTTGCGGGACAATGATATTGAAATTGTGGTGTGCTAGGCCCAGTTTCGGTCGCAGAGATAATACTGGTGGGTGGGAGGGATCTGGCTGCGGTCAGGGTATCAATCTTTTCTTGAAATTTTTTTTTTTATTCATCATACTTCTAGCTTTGCTCTTTCTATTTCAACTTTCAGATAATTAGAATAAACATAATTGAGGGAGATAGAAAGGATTCTGTGATGGAGATGGATGTATCAAGTGAGGCTTTTGAGGCTATTCACGCATTTCTGATTTTGAAGGTCCTGGGTTCGATCCCTGAACTTGCTGGATTTCTTTTTCTCTTTTTTTCTTTTTGTCTTTTTTTCTTTTTGTCTTTTTTTCTTGTCAACTGCACTGGCACTAAATTTCTCTCCCACCATATGTACCTTCATAGATATCTCTGGCTTGACTGATGCCCGTACAGACATTATCATCCATCTTCAAATGTTATGATAGAATACCAGGGCCAACGCTTCTTTACGGGCAGATTTCTTTTAACTCTCAATTTCAGATCCTTCTCTAACTATTCAAATAATCCAACGATGTCCAATCTCTTTTCCTTAGACATTTTGTATACTATGATATCATGTGATCTTGGGTGATATGCGGGGAAGCAGCGATCCTCGACACAAATTAGTAATTACTAATGACAGTCAACGTCCATTGGAACTCGAGAATTAATAATTAATTTTATCATACTCCATTACCTATACACAAGGGATGCTCCATGGGGAACGATTATCACGCTCGCGCACCGGTACCGAGTCCTCAACTCCGACATCAAACAACATTTGAATACTGACCCCGCATCAGGCTGTCTTCAGTGTCGAAGGAGACACAACAAATGCGATGAGAAAGGACCTATGTGCTCTTTTTGCTCTTCGAGAGAGCTTGACTGTGAATGGCCATCCGGGTTAAAATGGATTAGACGGCCTCAACCTACCTCATCAAGACATCGGTCTCGACACAAAGATCGGCAGACGCATGATACACAGTCGATCCGCCTTCTCCCATCTCCATTTCAGACCTTTGACCATGGAGCCTTCGATTCCGAAGAGGAAAGGCTGGCATGGGAATACTGTATGGCATTCATCACCCTTCCAGTTATCACTGCTGAGCTCTAACCAAATGACCCATTCTAGACGTGAGACTAGTCTCCTCTAATGTCCCAGCGTTGGATGGACCAGATAATCCCTACCGCCACCTCTCCTTCACAGCGCTTTCATCGCCCATCCTACGTCAGACAATCCTCTGCATAGCCACCGAGCACATGCTCAACTTCGGCATGGGTAGTATCTCAGTTGCCGCACAACGCCAACAACGAATGCTTCGCACCATAGGTCAGAATCTGCAACTGATTACCCGACCAGGGATCTGTGCAACAAGAGACATTATTATACCCATAAATTCAACCCCTGTGGACCACGAAGCCTTGCTCACGGCTGTCGTGTTACAAGGTGTGGTTGTTGCGCAGTCCGAGGATGGGGTTCTAGAGCCCCATGTGCGATGCGCCTCGTTTCTCATGGAGACACTGGATTATTTTCGCCAGATACCCTCTGGTTCCATTATGCGAATGACTGTCCAGCGTTTTGCGATGGTTGATCTCATGCTCGCGTTCTCGCGCCAACGACGACCGTACGCACCACGGGATTTCCTGCTTCACCATCCCGATACTACCAGATGGGATGATTCAGAGCCATCCTTCCATAAGATGACCGGGTGTCCCCAGCCACTTATGTGCTTTCTGGTTCAGATCGCCCATCTTACCTGCGACATGGAGGAAAGATTACAGAGCGGCGCTCCAGTCGATAACTTACTCTCACAGGCGCACGATCTCGAAAGCGATATTCGCTCATGGGGCGCACGTTACCGAACAAATACTCTCCCTGACGATTGTAGTCGGTCTCCATTAGACATTCTCACAGAATGTTTTTATTGGACGTCCCACCTCTTACTCGCGCGTCGAGTATTCCGTGATCCCACTTGTTCCCTTCGCGTGCAACACCTAGCGCACACATGCTTCAGACTGATGGATCAACTATCGACAGGATGTGGTCCTGATTCCTCCCTCCCTCAACCTTTCTATCTCGCCGCAAGGGAAGCCATCACCTGTGAGGATCGACTATGGGTTCGTCAGAAGCATGAGTCGATGACGGCATATTATCGAGAGCAACAGCGAAATATGGCGATGCGCTTGACGGAGCGGGTTTGGGAGATTACCGATCAGGCTCAGGAAAGGGACGGGGCGTGTACAGATTCGCACATGGCTATTTCAAGTTGTGTTGACGAAAAAATCAAAAGATTGGATGAACAGTCTTGTTTATTCATTTTTTGATTTAGTTCAAATCAACCTTGGAAGTTCAACTGCTGTTCAAGTTGTTCAATGTATATATTCTGCGGGGGGGGAACTCGGATGCGGGTTATTACTCTAAAGTTCAACTTCAAGTTGATGTACAAATAAGCTTGAACCTACTCAAATCCAACTGTAGATTTTAATTTAATATAATTTCATCTAGAGAAAACATAATATTAATTGATTAAAGATGCCTTGTCTCTGTTACTGAGCACAGTACGGAGTACACCAGTTGACCTCTCGGCACCACAGTTTAGTACCTCAATATACACTAAGCCCAATCAGGCAACTGACTAGAAACGCCAAAAATAGCAGTGGAACTTGAACCAGTTGACCTTGACTCCATCCTCTGGTTCGACCCCTGGATCCCAAGAGAAAACATTTTGAAAAAAAAAAAAAATGGAGATCAACGGAGTTCAACCCGGGTAAAGTATTATGTGCAACCAACCAATGTTGTACAATGCAGTCTAGGTGGATAATCTTCCAATTCTATCATGTCAATGTTCTAATTCTAGTGCCTCAGACTAGGTTACTACACACTTCATGTCTCGGCAAAACCCAGCATCGGATAGTACGGAACCTTGGGAAGAAAAAAAAAATAAAAAAGAACAAAAGCACGGGGATCCAACTGCGACGTGCACTACGGAGTACGGAGGACAAGAGGAACTTTTCTTCATTCCCCAGTCCACCACAGTCCACTTGTATGGCGAGATTCGGACCGATCGGACCAATGGGGATAGTTCAGTAGTAACGCGCACAGAGCATTTTACTACTCCATAACGAGCAAGAAAGACCGAACAGGGGGAACAGGCGAACAGTATGTGCATGATGCAGGGGAGACAAGAAAATCCTCCAGCCTCGCCCGGAACTGAACCAATTCTGTCCAACATGGTGCTGGTCTGGAATGACCTGTCAATGGAGTTCAAGACCAATCACACGAGTTGATTCAGCGGGTACCTGAATTTTGTTCCTGGTTATGACAGTCCATCCACAGCACAGCAACGGGATTCCGTGGGTCTCAGACCTCCTCAGTGCATAGTGATTGGTGGAGAGCTACAACTGCAGCCCCTGGGACCGTGGGAGGGTAAAAGTGGCGCCAATTGGAGCCGTGGCTGAGATGTTCTCGAATCAGGGGCAAGATGGGGTTATCCAAGGAACTGGACTCTGCACGTTCTATTGCGACTATTGAACACTAGGATTTAGACCCGGAGTCCGTTGTCGTCAACAGGAGGTTTTTTTTTGTTTATTACGGCGACTCCGCTGTTCAGATGGAAGGTGTTTACGTCGTATGTGGCCACGGGTGTCTTTTATGGACTTTGTTTCCCCCCTCCCCCTTTCGCCAGGAACAGGGCACTGACTTGTTACGAGCATCCGGTGTTTCAGATCCCCGCGGATCTCACGTGGTGGTTGCCGTTTGGCGGCATTTGACGACGATCAAGTTGATTTCCAGTTCCTGGCAGTTCCTGGGATCAATTTAGGTGTGGATATAGAAAGAATGGTCCCTGAGATTTCTGGAGATCATCTTTCGGTTCACTTAGAAAAGGGTCTAGAAGTTCTTTTGGACCCGTGGAAATCCTGTGCACTTCGGTGTACGAAGTACGGAAGTATACGGTAAGCATCGGTCGTACACAATGTGGGACAAGTTGCTTGTGCAATCCGAGTAAGGGCCAAATTCCCCCCTCTTCTAGAGGCTCAGACTCAATCAGATCATCGAATTCGGTTTTGGCTGCAGGTCAAACGCAGGGGCCAAACATGCCCCCTTTTCTATCGTATCCCGCATCAACTGAGATAGAAACCAGAAAGTGTACTCCAGATTAGACAACAAAGATTGATCAGATAGAGTATGAAATAGAACATAAGAAACATTTGAATAAAATAAATACTAGCATGAGTAGTAACTGAATAGAATCGAGGCCCCCGGTCGGAACGGTTGAAGCGATATGCCCCACGCCCTGGCAGTTGAGGAGTTGTTACTCGTGAGTAGTCAGCATCTCCTGATTTCCACTTCCAACTTCCTCCTCCTCTTCCCTCTTCTTCTTCTTGTGTGTGTCTTCCATTTCTCTTTTCCTTTCTTTTGAGGTCGTTCGTTTCATTCTTTCACGACGATCTATATCGCTCTTTCTACTTGATCAGCTTGATCTCCATTCGTTTCCTTGGTTGTTTTTTTTATCCTAAAAAAACTCCCTTTTCAGTTGATCGATTCAACCTGGGTATCGCGGTTTCTCAATAACAAAGCCCCCCCCCCCCCCGACTTTATACAGACTCAATATATTGAGTCCTGCCACCGAGAATACCTCCTTTACCTATCTGTGCTGCATAGGCCAGCCATTTATTTTATATATACCTTCCTTTGCCCCCAGGACGCCTCTGCGACGCGCCCTTAGTACCCAACCACCCCCGTTTCTGACGTGGACGCCATCGCGATTCGATCTCATCCCTACGCCAGCGCGCTTTCATTCGTTACCTTCTTTTTACCTTTTTACTTTCGGATTTCTTCTCTTTGCGCTTGAAGCTGCTTTGAGAGAAATCCTTGACTTGGAAGACAATCATCCTACACCTCTCCACTTGTCGGCCGGATCGTCACGCGTCGAACCTTTCTGTTTTAGAAAGAGACGAAACATATATACGCAGCAACCACTTCTTTTCAACCCAACTCTACGGAATTTTTTTATTTGCGAAATCTGTTTGGAACGACCTAGCGCATTGCAAAAATGTCGTTGAGTGAAACCCCAGACCCATCGGGTGCGCCCACGGTCTCATCTTCGTCCCCTCCAACATCTACCCCTTCGCCATCGGCTTCAAGTGGCACAACCGCTCCATCATCTTCTGCCTCGCGTCGCCCTCCCCGTAAGAGCACCTTGACCCAACAGCAGAAGAACAACAAGCGACAACGCGCAACTCAGGATCAACTCGTCACCCTCGAGGTCGAATTCAACAAGAACCCGACTCCTACTGCTGCCACTCGCGAGCGAATTGCACAGGACATCAATATGACGGAACGATCGGTTCAGATTTGGTTCCAGAACCGGTAGGTCTCCTTGTCCAGGATAGAATTTTGGAACTGGAAAAAGCTAACATGTTGCTTAGTCGTGCGAAAATCAAGATGCTTGCTAAGAAAAGCATCGAGACTGGTGAGGGCTGCGACTCTATTCCCGAGTCAATGCGCCATTACCTTGCGATGCAATTTGATCCTACCAAATCCGGAACGCGGGATGCCTTTGGACGCTCAGCAGGCTATGGAGCCCCTGGTATGTATGCGAACGAAGCCAACAACTCCGGGAAAGTTGGTACGTGATCACTCATTATAGAATAGACCTTTCGTCTGATCATCATGCTAACGTGTAATAGTCATCTCGCATTTCACTTGTCGATCTTTGACTATTGGAAGCTGGCGGCGCATTGGACAAAACGCGATGGACTTAGTGGTTTTTTACTCGCCAGATAAGGCTTGCATGACCTACTACATCAACAACGACTCGGCTGGATATAAGATCGAATACCCCTTCGCTCATATCAAGAACATCACGCTGGAGACTGGAGATCCTAATCCCGGGCCGAATGGCCAGCCCCCTCGACCCGGTGGTTTGATCGTGGAGCTTAACAGGCCGCCCATGTTTTATATGGATTCTTCAAACTCTGGCGGCTTCTACCAATGCGGTGATTTCACCGAAGAACAACAAGCAAGTCAGATCATGGTTCATCACCTGGGAGGCCATCCCAAGGTCTTGAGCGTTCAACTTGCCAAGCTCGTCTCATTGGAATCCTTCCAGAATCGTTTAGCATATGGTAACAACAACAATGGCAACTTCGCTGTTCCCGCCGCCATGTCGCCGCCTTTTATCCAGCGCCCTGCTTCCCAACCGAACCACTTCGCACCCCCGGCATACATGAACCTGTACCAGGATCAAAACCACTTGGGATTCCACATGCCGGCTGCTCGAGGACACAAGCGTCAACGTAGTCGCTCTGTCCCCGCTGCAGTTGACATCTCTGCGCTCGGTCCCATGACTTCGTTCCACATGCCACAGACTCAGGCTTCATATAACCCAGCCGAGTCTGGAATCTATGCTCCGATTCCTCAATCCGCACACGCTCTGCCAACAGACCTGCGAATTGACACTGATGGATATGGCCTTGATTTCCGGACGAACCCAATGTCCGCCACGACCACGGCATCCCCTTCTGATTTTGCTAGCCCCTCGATGTTCAGCAGTGCTGCACAGGGCGATTCAACTCCTGTTGCCAGCATGCCTCCTCAATTCAACTTACCGCAGTTCGTCTCCACAGGACCTTCTGATACATCAACCGTTGGCTCGCACACAGCATCTCCTTACTCGGGCGTTAGCCCGGCAGATCCCATGATTGCTAATCATTCACCTCCATTGTCCAACATGTCGCACGCTCCATCAGACATGTACGGGTTCTCACATGATCAGTCATCCAGCTTTGTCGAGGATGGTCTTTCCATGAATGACATGTACCCCAAGCACAATATCAACTATGCCATGTCACATGAAGGGGCTAGCTTTGAATTGCCAATGCATGGCATGTCTGGTCATGGATCTCCGGCAATGGGTGATTACTCCCATGGCATGGTCAACCTCGATGAGATCAACTCTCAAGGGCTTCCCTCTGGGGGTTCATGAAATCATCTTGCCTTGGTCCAATAAAGTACATTTTTCTTTGTTCTTTTTGATGTTTCACGGCCTTTTGGAGTGCTTGTGGCGCCAATGTTGATGGGTTTCGAAGGTCCATCTCGGAAAATTCCTCGTTGTTCTAGAACTGTTCAATCAGGGTGGCCTTTTTCTTTTGCATGCCACTCTTGATTACACTTTACTCCTGGACAATGTCGCGTCTCGCTGGCGATGGCCGGGAAAACAAATTCCGGTTGGACTCGTTGCTGTTTCTTCTTTGATTGCGTGATATATATCCCTTCTGTTTTGCGTGTTTTTGTATTAATACCCATTCTATTCTGGGGCCGGTCCTGAAGCGATTTTTGATTTTCTGCTTCTTTTGATTCTTGATCTTGATGGACTCCCGGATGTTCCGGTTGAGTCCTGATTTAAATTTTTCATCTCTTCTTCCCCGATTCCATCATTTTGATATGGATTTTTGCCTATTTTGGGCCGGGTTTCATTTTGTTTTTTTTACGTGGTTATGCCAAACAGACCGACTTGAAGGAGACACGCTCCTGACCCCATTTCTTTTTCTTTTTGTCATTGTGAGTTTCTTGTGTTATCGAAAACGCATGAATGTGATCTCAGCGGATTTTCCTCTTTTGATATGGATCCGACATTCTCTGTGCGAGCTTTGAGTCAGTCTTGCGCATGTCTTGTCGGCACCTGTTTGTGTCTGATATGTAACTAGCATCCCTCTGGTCTTCTCGGAGTTGAGATACTTGCGAGAGGACAGATGATGGCTGGTTTGGCAGTAAACGAGTGTGGAGATTGATGCTAGGCTTGGAATCAACCTTTTGTTCAAAATACACTTGCATTGGTCTTGTAACTTGTCTTGCATCGTAGTTGATAACTTTCATCTGAACATTGAGTATGGTACACTTACTTCACCATGAGCCGCGGAATCTATACACCTGGACATGTCCCGAGTCTCCGCTTTCGATGCCAATATAATACATTTGAATATAGTACAACCCCTAATCAGCTGATAAATCAATCACACCAATTACCATCATGATAATGGCACTGAGGTCTTTCCATATATTAGTACTCCCATCCCTTAGGAGCAGGAGCCCTCATTCCTTTCCTCTCCCGAAGATACTTCTCAATCCAAACCTCCATCTTCTCTAACAAATTCCTCTCAGGTTTCCCAGCCTCCCCAGGTTCATATACACCCTCCTTACACCAAACACTCCAAGAGCCCATCATCCCCGCCATAAGAACATCTGTGCCCAGTCTATCCCCAACAATAGCAATCTCATTGGGGGACGTAATGACCTCTCGTTCCTTAAACCAATTCACGACTTCCTCACCACAAAAAGGTTTCTTCTCTGTCCCGGCCGGAAGTCTAAAGACAGGGATCTGTAAATGCTCGAGTTGTGATTCGAGAGATTTTACCTCCGAGTCGAAATTTGGATGACTTCCGGCGCGGTTCGAGACGATGAGGATAGCGTGGGGGTTTTTGGACTGGTTAAAAGGACTCGTAGGAGAGTTGCGGAGCGCAGAAAGTTTTTCGAGGATTTGGGGAGGGAAGGTAGTTGTTTTAGGTGGACAAAGTGTGTTGTCTTTGTCTAGGACTAGGGCGCGAATTGATGGGGTTCGTTGTTTTTCAGTGGGCGGAGGTGTAGATTGAGAGGTAAGATGAGGACCCAGGTTCTCAGGGAAGTGAGTAAATGTTGGAATAGTGAGGTGTGGAAGGAATTGCGAGGGTTGTTTGAGAAGGGTTTGTACGGCGTAGTTGAAGCCGCGGAGGTTGGAGTTAGGTGAGCCAGCCATAATGGATGTCGATATCGTGAAGATGAAGCTGGTATTGCAAAAGAACAGAATTCGTATTTTGAGAGAGTAGAGATCTGCGAGTCCTTCACAATTATATCTGCTGTTCTGCCATAGACGTTGCAGTTCAAGTTGCGCAGTTTATATAAGAGAAAAGCCCAAAAGCGGAAAGGAGGAACTTGAAGCTCCCGCAAAACTCACCACGCGAACTCCGCTCCATCAACGTCCCACCATCCACCACCACCGCGCCGCTTTAAACTCGGCTCCTTCAACCTCTTGGAATCTGTGTATTAATACCCACTATTCTTCCATCCTCTGACCCTCCACATCTCTTTCCGCATCGCACATTCGCACATTCATCAAGATGGGCAAGCTCACTAGCACCATCGGTATCCCGATCAAGCTTCTGAATGAGGCGCAGGTGCGTTCCCACTGTCTGTGATGGATTTTACACTGGCTATAGATGGGAATTCGATACTCAAAGAAGACTATTGGAGGCTATCAAATGGGTTATGCGAGCACACCGCTAATGTTCTTTCTTCTTCAGGGCCATGTCGTGACACTGGAAATCACATCGGGCGTTGTCTACCGGGGGAAGCTGTTGGAAGGTGCGTAACAATTCCTGGAGATATGCGCATGGTATTACCAAGGGATAATCATTCTCAATGGGATCCTCGATCGGATAACAGCGCAGTCTTAATGCCCTGATCTGAAATTCGCCGCTGACTTTTCAACAGCCGAGGACAACATGAACGTCCAGCTTAAGGATATTACCGTTACCGCCCGTGATGGCCGCGTTTCGCATCTCGACCAGGTTTACATTCGTGGAAGCCATGTGCGCTTCTTTATCGTACCGGACATGCTGAGGTACGTTGAAAACCACTATATTGAGGATTCAATCGGGCTCAATTCAATTTCGAATTGGAGTTCTCCGCTCTTGATTTGAAATTTACATCCTTCCAATGAAATGTTCTCGCTTACTGACTCTCCCCTCTAGGAATGCTCCTATGTTCCGCTCACGAGGCCAGCGTGGGCGCGGTGTCGGTTTGGCGCGTGGTAAGGCCACCGTGCAGCGTGCGCGCGGCCAGCAGCGTGGTGGTCGGTAAATGGGATAGAGCGCAGTTTCAAGACCTGGCGGATTCAAGTGGTTGGCGTTCGTCTTTTGTGTTTTATTTGGTTCGTTATGGGGAAAAATTTCTCAGGTTTTCTTTCCATCTTGCTGGGTCTGGGATAGGGCATTCGTCTTGGGACTGTACCTTATGCTATGAATGAATACCCAGCGCACATAATGTCCTCCTGAAGATATCTGTAGGAATGATTGTAGATCATAGTAGATGAACAGGTATTTTGTAGCTGATGTCAAGTGCGACCAGCATTTTCACTGGAAAATAGCAGTCAATTGCAATATGTAAGCAGCATTTGAGACAATCTTGGATTATACTATAACAATAATTTCACACCTATAGTTGCGGGAATGATATAGACATGGTTGTGATCTCCGCAACATTTTTCATGCGGGGAAACTTGACATCTTCACAAACCCACCATCTATCACCCGTCGATCCCAGTCCTTACAGCAACACCAAAACTATACATATCAATTGAACCTCAAGCCCCTGTGACAATTCAACTCTATCACCATGGCCTCGACGGCCCCCGAAACCTCAAAACTACAAGCAAAACAAATCACCAACCCTCGCCGCCTCCTCATCCTCTCCCCACCCACGCAATCGCTTTCAATAATCCCACCTCTACTAGACTCTTTAACCGGAGTCCCAGTTCTCAATCCTCCACAGAAAGATGAACCCGACGTCTCAAACTCATCGACCCCACCACAGAGCACAGACACCGAGACCGATCATGATACCCCTCACACCCCGCCATCCACCTCGTTCGCAGGATACACAACACACAGTCCGTTACGACTAGACACGAAGTACTATTCCGTGGAGATCCCAGTATGGGTAGATGAGGTTCCACTTCCAATCAACTTGACAACGGACTCCGAGAAAGAAAGCACTACCCAATGGCGCACCGAGTTTCTCAGCGATGAAGCTGAAATCGTCCGAGACGCGGTCGGTGCATTAGTAGTTGCTGTCCAGAACCCGAGGGAGGGAGATCCAAGTCCTGGAGCAACACCTGAGAGCAGAGCAGACGTGCGCGCATTACGTGGTTTGATGCGGGATATCGGTGCTGTGAAAGAAAGGATCGATGAAGAGCGGGGTGGGATGGGTGATGTTCCTGGAGTGTTTATCTTGGTTGGAGCTACTAAGAGTGCGCCACCAGATTCTACATCTTCATCTACAAATGCAGCGGGTCATGGCGATCCCGATGAATTGGCATTGGGGGATGAGGATGGATTGGAGGGGATAGAGGATTTGCCTCTTTCTGCTGGGTGGTGGGAGGATCAGTTATTCGATTGTGGGTTAGTTGGATGGGAGGTTGTGGAATGGGATCCGAAGATGCAGGGAGCTGAGAAGACGAAGAATAAATTTGGAGGTAAGCTACATGTTACTCATGCTTTTTTTCTCCCTGCTTGCTACGCAAGTGCTAATCATTACAGAATATGAGGGCATGCCGCGCATCAAAGAAGTCCTTGAAACACATGACTGGACCGCATCAGGAGGCTCCAACAATCTAGATGGAGATCAGGACTTGGAATTTGAATTTGAGGATGATGATATGGAAAGCGAGCTGCTCGGATATAGTAGATCTGCACAGACCCGAGGCTTCGGACATGAAGTCCAAGAACTGGAGCGCGAAATGCTTGGTCTACGCATGGCGATCGAACGAGGTGGAGATGATGAAGATGGCTTGGATGATGGAGAAGAGATCAAAGTCGAATCCATGGAAGCTTTGATGATGCGCGTTCAGGGTATACGAGGTACGTTCCGGTATTCATCCACTACAGAGCATATCTTGCTGACTTACCCAGATATGGGCGCCGATCTTCCAGAGAGTGAACGGAAGAAATTTGCTGCCAAGGCTGTCAACGATCTGATGCGAGAGCTGTAGATATGTTGGTTGCTTTGCTCATGGAGTGCTTTATGGTAGTATACTCTGGTTGTATGCGCAACTTTGAATTTACCAAAATACAATTGGCTAGAATTCTTCCAGTGGAAGGTATAATCATTATTTTCTGTAGATCCAGCAAGCTGGACACATTAATTCTATACAAGTAAAGCTACCTCGAAACTCGCACATCGAGGCCAATTATTTATACAACGTCATCCACAGACCACCCAAGCTCTATCGCATCTACTCAGCACGCTGCTTACCACGCAGAACCTTGCGACGCTGGGCAATCATATGGGTGTAAAGGATGTAGGAACCTATCTCGAGTTAGCACCAGCTCATACCATATTCACCAAAGACGCAGTACTTACCAGGCACATAAATAGCCAAGACCGCAACGAGACCCCAGAACAACAAGGGACTAATCACACCAGCCGGTCCCAAGGAAAGGTAAACAAGAGCACACTCGCTAGAGATACCAATGGGGTAGAGGATATAAAAGGTGTTATATCTCAACCAAGTCCACCACTTAGGGACCTCATTTCCAGAGAGTGTAATCGCAAAGAAGCCATAACGAATAATCTCCGTAATACCCCAAGCAGCCACACAGCCGAGGTAAGCGTAGTCACCGAGCTGTGTACCCTTCGCACCGACGATCTCACCACCGAAAGGAACCATAATACCCCAAACGAGCAGAAGACGACTAGCGACCTGCATGGCGGTGGTGAAGAACGGGGCGCGCACAAGTCTCAGCAGACTGTGCAGGATTTCGAGGGTAGCGAGCGACTGTGTCGCGAGGAGGTGGGGGTTGAATGTTTGCGGGAATATGGCGTGGAGGGTATTAGAGCCGAGGGCCTCAGGAATGAGGGAAGCCGTGTATAGGACGCATGAGCCCCATGTTACCAGGTTGAGGGCGTTGTAGAAGAATAGGTAGGCTCGTAGAAGACCTGAAGGGCCGCGCGATTTCGCCGGCGCATTGGAAGATTTGGCGGGCATTATTGATGCTTGCTGGGTTTATTTTCCTTCCAAGAACAAGATCTGATCCCCAGGAGATGCGAAAACTAGGAATTGGTCGAATTATCGAGTTGAGGGTAAGCTGTAAAGCTGTCAAGTGAAGGTTGAATTGTTGAATGTTGAATCCCGTGATGGTTACCTAAGCACTTCTAGAAGACCCGAAGACTTTCAACTTCTCAATCTACACTCTTCTCTGTACTTCCAAGATTTCTGGGGGTATTCGCTTCAATCTTTGCGGCTCTCAAATTATGATCAAGATTGGTGTGGTATTTTTGTTCTTCACATCTAAAAATATGCCCCGGACGGAGAAGTCCGTACATGCATTGAATGATGAGTTGGCATCGTACTCACAGCCATGGCTAACCTTGGAATAGATCCCTGAAATTGACTTGTCCAAAGCAAGACCACTCATTCTCTGCTGATTCGTTAAGAAGTTGCCGCTAGTCTGGAATAAACTGCATGGAGATTCCATAGCCAAACGGATGGCTTCCTTATTGAACTTGACGCTTTGACAGGCTAGCCGTTCTACATCACTAGCGGCAGACCAAAGGGACATTCGTATTTGCTATGAAAAAATAGCTTCTCAAGCCAACAAATGCAGTGGAGACTGAACCCCTTTTCAGTCATTTTTCGCGAGAATACATAACTCCTCGGAGTCGTACCCCACAGGAGGGTCCTCATTATGGTGTTTATCATGAATATTGCTGGACTATCCAGCCACTATCAGCCACATTTGTCCTCCCGAATCTAGATTTCCCCTGATTATCTACCGATACGGAGTACACGTTTATCTCACGTATCACGTATGCTCTACTGGAAGGTTACGGTTGTACCCCTTTACTCCGTACACGGAGTCCGAGAGTGGGCTTATGCAACGTGATATCATGGAGAGTGATGTCGACGTGCATTTTATACATACAGGCGCCATACATGTATTTTTCAACCTGAAATCAGTCGAAGCATTTGAATACTAAATCCGCCAAAATGACTACATCTTAACCAATATTGAGGAGACGATAGACTAATGTGCACTGGTATTTTCTACTGCTAAATATTGCTTCCCGGTAAACCCCACTGGAAGTTAACTTCAGAGCTATTGTACCCAAGAACGAAATATCAGAGCTCTCATTGAACCCCACCTTCTCCCGAAGTCCCTTCAAAATGTTTGCAAGTGTGAAGCACTAAAAAGCACTAAATGCAGCAGGTACTAGGCCTAAAATGGCAGGTGGAATAAGATATAGATTGATATGTCTCAATAGCGCTCCACGATGTTGTGAGATTTCAATTTGGACGTTTATATCCATAGTAAAGCGGATACAGCATTTGAATATTGTAAATTCTTTCCAAACTTCAGTACTAGTATGATATTTCATCCACATGAATTTTTCAACAGTTAGGGTTCAACAGGTGTCATACTTGGTGAGCTACAGATAGCTCAGTTACGCCATCTTCGACTATTCAAGTAATGACTGAGACGGAGCATCAAGTAGATGATACCTATTTTTCACTGGAAGCAGAGTGCATAGGTGCAGGCCGAGTCTCTAGCGGATATTCTTACCAAGTCGTATGTAGTAAATCATGCTCATCACTTGTCATATGTATTTCACATTACATCGTGGAGGCGCATATCATCGATATTGTACGCATCGCGTGCCGAGCAGTCCTTGGGCTGAGTTATGTAGCCGATCAACATATTTAAGATCGATGCTTCAATATTCCAGGTTTTTTGAAATGACTTCAACACTATCCATAGAGGGCAATATCTTAACCTGAAAAGGCGGTAACTCGACCTGAGGTGCTACAATATTTCAATACTTAATTTCTTCAATACATCGAGACTTCATCTCTTCATCTCTTCAAATGTTCATATATTAATATGTTGATATCTTCATATCTTGATCCCTTCATCTCTTCATCTATCTTTTATCAACATATGAACCAAGAAAAGGATGATACCTGTCTGAGAAGCCCTGGTCGATTACATACTCGCTACCGGTGACGAACTAGTCATCTGCATGGGATAGTGTGGCGAATTTGTCGATGGAATAACGTGGCCAATATGAGGATATTTGACAATATCTCACAAGTTCTGTGTTCAGAGTCAGACAAATCAAACGCTGGGATAGGCCCTCCCTGAATGAGACGCCAGCTTTAACCTGCCGATTTCTGATATTTCACTCATACGTCGACCATGCTGCCTTCAACTTCGAGCAAATATTTACGGGTAGGGTGAACCAGCGAGGCACATCGACCATATGATCCTGAGTACCGGCATACAAATACCCGCGTTGCAAGCCCCTCTATCGAAGGCCAGAAATATACCCGGGTAACTCTTGACGCAAAAGGTATCCACAGAAGAGAGAGGAAGCTTAGAGATACCACCAATGCTGGGACAGACCCATGGCCAGAGTTTACAGGCTACAAGAAACCGGGATCAGCGAAAAAAAGCGAATACAGCGAATACAGCGAACGCAGCACTCACAAAACAATGAAATGAAGGGGAGCTCATCTCCTGAGAGGATTCTACGCCTGAAGATAAACGTAACAGCTAGGAGTGTGCAAACTGTCACTAGAATGACACAGAAGCATCGCACACTTCAAGCTCACCAAAATGCTCTGCCAGTCTAGACAGAAGAGATTGAATCTTCCTCAGAAAGGCGGGAAACAAATATCAAGATATCAATCCTCGCAAGGGACATGCACCAATCAGTTTTCCCAATCCACCAATCAACGAAAGAACAAAATGGAATTGGATGTATGGCAAAGAGATGCAGATATCGCTTAGGAAATTGACGCATCCCGGAAACTATTTATCCGCCTCCTGGGCAGGTTTATGGTGGTTTCATAATACCCTTCGACGTGTACCCTTCGATGTGTTCTATCCATGCGAAAGACAACCAGATTACACCAATTTACATATCACTCATGATCAATTTTGCCGCCGCTTAGAGCGCTCTGGTGTCAGAAATTCAGCGAGATGATTTGGAACTCCGGTTGAACTTGGAGAGAATGCATGGTGGTATAGACAAAGCCATGCTCTCGAAGCTAGTGTGAAGACTGGAAAACTAAATTCTTTGAATGTCAATGCACACAGAAGTATCAATCCGGAGATGCGAAATGCGAGAGATCAAGTACGTTTTAACAGGGCCCAACTTTGATTTTTGTCCTTCTATTTCCAATCCACTCAATCCGGACTATGTGACTAACTTTTTTTAGAACTGGCATCTACCAAATATGGGATTTTCAGAGGAGATCAAATCTCGGGATTCCGCAATAGACCAAGCATGAGGATGTTTATGTGATGTGATGAGAGAGCCAGGACCGCCTATGCGATATAATTTGCATAGCAAGATTTGACCCCTGATCCACTTTCTGGGGATCCTGGATATGTATTATTCTGGATTATATTCAGTCACAGGAATCCCATTCATTGCATATAATCAACATTTGAATATACTAAGTAGTATATGGCACTTGAGTATAGTGAGTATATCAGTGCCAAGCATTGCGTAACCGAGACGTATTGCCGTATAAGATTATGACATCAGAGGCTGCATGGCTTGTTCAACAGAACTCCGCTATGATATCATGGCTGTCATAGTTCATAATGATTGGTTTAATCCTCTCGGGACACAGCACTTCACACCAAAACCAGCAGAAAGAGAGAAGAGGCACGAATCCCCCAGATGCTATATAAACAAATGGCTTGAGGACGCCTCCGCGGGGATGAAGGGCTTCCAATTTTGCCAGTGAAAGAATTCGACCTTTTCCTCAAATATTTCACAATTGAAAACTTAATATGATCATATCCATATGATTGAAGCGGGGGACATCTGGACCTTTTTTTCTTTTGGGTCATCTTTTTTTTCCCTTGTTTTTTTTTCTTGTCCATACCCAACATCGTCATCGGTGACAGCATAATCACTCCCGTACAGCTCCAATGAAGCACCCCCGCTTCAAGTCTCGCCTAGAATCAACAACTTTGAATCTCGATTTCAGTACTCCGTACTCCGTACGGCGTACCCCGTCATGGCCTATGCATTCTATCTGATGGGCCACAGAGTGTATTTTTGACGAAGCGACACATGGTCACGGTCCCCGAGGGCCCAGACCATGGAAAACCATGCTCACCCTGTTTTGATTGTCCTGCACTTTGGTCCTAACACAGAGGACAAGGGATAGGATTCACTTGAAAGATGTGACAGCCCCTCCTCCCCGAGAAATTGATCACTTCAAAGCAGGGAAAAAAAAGAAAAAAGAAAAAAAAAACCATTCCCTATCTCCGAATCCCACAGATTATGACCGACCTATGTTTCTGATTTTCCCCTCTCCCCCTTTTTTTCTTCATCTTTTCCTGATCTTTCCAGGACCAAGTGGAGGGGAACCATTCTCCTGGGAGAGATTAATCTAATAAAACACGAATCAAAATGATTTGAACATATTTTTATTATTGAAAGTCTGGACAAAACCACGTGCGGCTCGGAAAAAGGACAGGTGACGTGGTGGGATCAGCACTCCGATGATGTTGTTGCGGCTACTGGTCTTTGGTCATATTATCTGCTTTTTTTTACTTACATTTTATGTACGATTCTAGGATGGAGTCTCCACTTCTTGTGTTTCTTTGGTACACTGAGGCTGACTGGTGGAAAGGGAATGGGATGATCTCATACTGTTGCTCGGTTCCCGGTGGGGGGTGGTTTCACACAAGAGCTCATATGACTGAGTCTGAGTATAGGATGATAGTGAGAAACCAGTTCAAGTTGATCACTGGGTTTATCACTGGACTGGTTGAACACTGAAGTTATACTGGAAGTTATCCTTGGAAAAACCTGACCATATGGTATCTAGGTGAGGGATGACAGACTCTTAAGGATGAACATGGGTAAGATGGAGTACTGGAGTGCTGGAGCACTTGAGGAGTTATAGGACATTTGAAACATTTTCAAGAAAGAGAGACATCTGAATAAAAGAAGTTGAATGACTGAATACTATCAATGATATGAGGGACTAATACAGATATCCATGATTCTACTCACAGTGTATAGGTAGATGAAGATAAGAGGCTATAACCAACCATGAAGTTACAATATTATTTCTATGATAATATATTACTCTTATCATCTATTCTTTAGTCTAGAATCTAGTATAATCTATAATCTATAATCTATAAATTATATTCATAGTACTAATATTTGAAGTCGGCACCTCCACTCGTTCCCTAATAATCCCAGTACCCACCCAACCTTGAAACGTTTCTCCGCCCTTTTTCTCGCTAACCTTCTTTTTCCTCCTCCTCCTCTCCCTGTCACTGAGATCTCCCCAGCCTTTCTGGCTTCTAAGGTTATTTTTATCTTAAGGTAAGATTCATCTGGAATTTCAAATGTTCTCTATCCCTCTTCAAATATTATGGAGACCCCCCCCCCTTGTTTCGATACACGATACACGATACACGATACACCCACTGATCGGGTCACGGGTCTATTCAATGTTATGATTAACCTTGTGCTTAATCAATATTGCCTTATTCAATGTTTGGATTTCTTTGATTCATTATTGTTTTGTTCTGCTTTGTTCTGCTGGTGTTTTCCACTCAGGCTGCCACATGTGCAGTGTTAAGATCCTTCATGTTCCAATGTGGGACCCTGTGCTCATCCAGACGTCGCGTCTATATGGGTGAATGCGCTCGGCTCTTTTTATTCACTTTCTTCACCTTTTCCCCTTTCTCATTCTTTCTCTTCCCTGTCTTTCAAGTTATCACCAAGGTTCAAGTTCAGCTTAACATAGAGTAAGCTCACTGATTCCCCTTCCCGGTTGCCCCTCCACCCCACCCCCACTATGATAACGTGGTGTGATCGTGGCTTTTGATCCCTGCTTTTATGCATGTAGATCGAACCCCCAACACATTTCCTTTCCAAGTCTTGTTCAAGTTTTTCGTTCCGTCCCATTTTGAGGTTCTCTGATTTTTGCATTGGTCTGTATTACCTTAAGGCAACTATTTTGTCGTTTCAAGGTTGTCGCTTTAGCCCTGAAGGTGACGGTGACGCGATTCTATTGATGTTACATTTTCGCGTTGTGTTGATTTGCAATTTACGCGTCGTCCCTACCTCGCTGCCGCCTGGATTGAACAGAAACATGGCTAACTCATATTCAAGGTGTCACTTTTTTCCCTGGAACAGGATACTTGATCTTATCGTTGTTGATCGTATCTCTTCAATCATTATCTCCCGTCAACATGGCACCAACTGTGAAGAGCGAGAAGCCTGTGAGTGCAATATCTGATCCTTCAAGGCTCATATCACTGATATTACTTAGGAGGCTCCTCCCCGTCTGGAGGACCACAGTGACATCATCGATGCCTCGACCTTTGAGCAAATCCTAGAGATGGACGATGACGATGACCGTGATTTCAGTAAGGGAATCGTGTATGGCTTTTTCGATCAGGCCAAGACTACCTTTGAGAAGATGGAGACCGCTGTGTGAGTACACTACACACTACGAATGATATACCTATATCACTTGTGCCCGATCTAACATTTCACAGTAAGGAGAAGCAGCTGGATGAACTCTCATCCCTGGGCCACTTTTTGAAGGGGTCTTCTGCAACTCTGGGTTTAACCAATGTGAAGGATGGTTGTGAAAAGATTCAACACTTCGGCGCCGGCAAGGATGAAACAGGTACTACAACACAGCCCGATGATGAAATTTCCCTCAAGAACATCAAGACCACTGTGGATGATGTGAAGATCGCATACGCCAAGGTGGAGAGATTACTGCGTCGCTACTACGGCGAGAAGTTGCCAGAGAAGGAGGAAAAGGAAGAGGTTAAGGAGGAGGTCAAGGAGACCAAGGAAGAGGTGAAGGAGACCAAGGAGACCGAAAAGGAGGAGAAGAAGGAGACCAAGGAAGATACCAAGGACGAGGAGCCCAAGAAAAAATAGGCTGGGACTTATTACATGGGTTCTCTTTTTCTTTTTAGCGACGGATGGAGCATTGCAATGGCCTTAATGTTCTTTTTCTTTTTCTTTTTTCTTCTTTTTTCATGTCTGGTTTTTCTGGCTTCTTGACGTACATACAACTACTACCCCCGCGGCTTTAGCTCCAGCTCATCTGGATCTGGATCAGTCACTTAAGGATGAGTTCCTAAGTGCAGACGGAGATCGCGACAGCATTTTCCCCACAGCTGAGGGAATCAAGAGTATCGAGATACGGGAATCCGAGTGCGCCTACCTGGCTCTTATTACTTGCTTCTGAATACTGAGTGGATTTCAGAGATTACTGATTTAGTGTTGATTTGATATTGGCGTAACTCGAGGCGATTGAAGCACTCTACATGTCCAGACTTGAGAGTAGTAGTAGATGCGGCTCTGCAATATCAAGCACATATTGTAGAACGTCATTTAGCGTGAGCATGGCCTGATGTAAGAGCGCCCTGGTCCACAATACTGAGACTTGTACTATAGCTATTGGTGCCTCGAAAACCTTCCGTCAGCCACATGCGTGGGACTGGAGACGGGTCGATAAGCTTGATTTAACAGCCGAGTCTAGGTGGGTTCAACATAACATTAGTTTACTCAAGTGCTCAATCATGAGGAGCATATAAGATATGAGAAGGACATCTAATATTGAAGTTTTGAATCCCATCATAGATCAAGGGTTAGGTTGGTCTCCCACGCATTGATATCCGCCAACTGGTCCACTTCCATCTGAACCATCTACATTCCAGAGCAACATACCAAGCTTCATCATGAGCACAATTTTTACCACGGTATCCGGGATCCATCAGAATAACACTCCACAATCAAACCAATCGGTTGAGCCGCAAACGCCAATGTGGCAAGTACCAAACCAGGATACCGATGTCAATAAAGGCTCGCTGCATCAGCCCAGTCCACACCGGCCAACTTTGAAAACGGACATCGGGAACCTGCATAGTGCGCGGATTCTGGTTGGCGAGTCATGAAATGATTACGTTCGACCGAGGCGGATTCAGGATGATGCCCGTGCATCTCCTTCTCTATTGGGCTTGAATCTCCTTTCATGAGCCGGGTTCGGATGATGAAGAGGTTGAGTCGGCAGATGGGATGATATAACTCCCGAGTCTGAAGAGCAGGACACCAGTCTGATTCTATTTCAGTGTACATTTACGGAGGTCGGTCCGGAAAGTTCTCGCCAGAAATTATAATTTCTTTTTCTTGATATATTACCGGCCCTGTATGTCAGGTGTATAGCCTGCTGTATATTGGATGTATTGCCGTGTTACGTACTAGGCTAAATATTGCTTATAACACCCGTGGACACGTAGATCTTTATCTTTTACCCCGCCTACAGTCCGTACACCCCTTCACACTTTTATCCCACCTACACAGCTACACTTTTGTCCCACCTATACAGCTACAATGAAGACCAATATTGCGCAACGTGCTGTCATTGTATACCTAAGGGCCCAAGGACATGCCCCTAAGGAGATCAGTGAATTTATGAATATTCCACGGCGTACTATAGGAGACATATGGAACCGTGCACTCGAACGAGGTTTTCAGCCGAATCAGCGACCATTCAATATATCAGATGAAATGTTAGCTGATAAAGCACGTTCTGGGCGTCCATCTAAGCAAACAGATGAGCTTAAAACCACACTTGGGGCGAAAATCCGTGTAGACCGCTATGGGCGTGAGAAAACATGTGAACAGCTAGCTGCAGAGCTACGCAGTGAATCAGGTTAGTTATTCTAAGATTTGATATTTTATTTAGTGTGTTATTTAATATGTTATTTAGTATAATATTTGATGTGTTACTTGGTGTGTTATTTGATATGTTATCTCATATGTTACTTGATATGTTATTTCCTCTAATATTTCTTCTATAATTAGGGATTAATATATCAAAAACAACAGTTTGGCATGTACTACGAAAAATTGGCCTACGAAAAACAAAGCCTACACGTAAGCCTGGGCTTGCCGCTGAGCAGAAAAAACAACGTCTTGAATGGTGTTTAAAACACGCCCATTGGACTATAGAAGACTGGAAGAATGTGATTTGGACTGATGAAACTGCGGTTGTTTTATTACACCGTCGGGGTGGATATCGTGTATGGCGTACTTCTAGTGAGCGGTTCGTCCGAAGCTGTATTCGAGAACGTTGGAAGGGGGCCTCTGAGTTCATGTTTTGGGGTGCTTTTTCTTATGATCAGAAGGGCCCCTGTCATTGTTGGGTACCTGAAACTACAGCCCAAAAGCGTGAAGCAGAACACCAAATCGCCGAATGGAATACTGAATTAGAGCCTATTATGCGTGCAGAATGGGAGCTTAATTCAGGTATACAGCGATTAGGGCTACGCAATAAGCCTGGAAGACAACCTCAGTGGAGATGGACTCAGAAGAATGGAAAGCTTGCACGCAATTCGAAAGGTGGAATCGATTGGTACCGATACAACACCGTGATTTTAGCCCCAAAACTACTTCCATTCGCCCAAGAATGTGCTCGAATTCGAACGAAAACAATAGTTCAAGAGGATAAAGCACCAGCCCATTCACATCACTACCAACAGCGAATATTTGATATAATGGGGGTCCAACGAATGATCTGGCCTGGAAATTCGCCTGATCTAAATATGATTGAACCTGCATGGCCTTGGATGAAGAGATACACTACGCGAAAAGGAGCACCTAAATCGCGTAAAGAAGGGATTAAAGTATGGGAGGCTGCGTGGCGTGATCTACCACAGGCGCAAATTCAAGCTTGGATTGAACGTATACCATGGCATATACAGCAAGTCATTAGACTAGAAGGGGGCAACGAATACGGTGAGGGGCGTGATAAATTAGGTGAAGTAGCCCCTAGCGGGTTAGGTGATAACGCCTATAACAGCGGCAGCGGCAACGACAGCGACAGCGACAGCGACAGCGACAGCGACAGCGATATATGGGAAGATATGTGAATATTTACTGTTTCAAGCTGTTATTATATTTCAGTACTATATATTTCCGTTTTATATACATCTTGATTACGCGATATATTTCAATATTTACTGTATATAGCCTAGTGTGAGAAAAAGAAATTATAATTTCTGGCGAGAACTTTCCGGACCGACCTCCGTATACTGAGATGAATTATGAAGATTCCCAGATATCATTATGCAGAGCGAATTACTGTGGCACTTATATCTGCAGCTCGCAGTGCATACATACCGACAGCGAAGCTGAATGGAGGGGTGTCAGAAACAGACACGGGTAGAGTTGATGAGATGCTTAAACCTAATGCATACACATTAACCCTGCCCAGATGTTTCGTGCACGGCCTAAATCGAACATGAAGTAGCCGAAGCCAGTAGTAGCAACCCTGATGCTGAAAAGCTCCGATATGAGGATCAGGGATCAAACTCTGCGTCACCCGTCCACGCTTTTGTGTCTCCTCCTATCCATGGATTTGGTCCGTTTTGCATTTCGACGTTGAGTTGTTCGTGCTTGAGTTCATAATATACCTCATGGTTAGAATCAATGATACGATAATTCATCCTATAGGACATTTCCTTCAAGCCTTTGGTCTCAATGTTGAATATATCCCTCCCCTAAGAGTTGTAAATCCTGATGACTCGTCGTACGAGCCTGGATGACAATGACGAATATAAGACTTGATTTCAATAGATCTGATTCTTGCCACGTTATTCACCTTGATCACGTTGACAGTTCCTTGTACAGACCTAGTATCTAGAAACTTCAGTCAATATGAACCCATTTGGCTAGTAGGCCAGTACCCACTGGCAAACTCACATCACGTTCCGTCCCATCAGATGGGTCTATCTCCCCATAATCCATATCAGTACAAACGAAGCCGAGGTCGAGTCAGTCCAGACCCTGCGAAAAGCCATCTCCACAACGTATGTACGCACTGATGAAAACGCTCGGGGTCGGGGAAGAGTATCCGCTGCAATGCAAGACGTAAGCTGGCCGTTTTCTCCATTCGTGAGATTTCAAGACAGCTTACGCGGGAGCCGGCTTGCTGCGTACCAGTAGTACAGCGTGGTTGACGAGTCTTTTCGTCTGCACGGACAGATACAGCCGTACTTGCATTTGCATTAGGTGATTAATCCAGCCACCGGAGAAAGGCGAGATTTACTCCGTACTGGGTTTGTCTCAGTATACTCGATATTGTGAATAAGGGAGTGGTTGACTTTAAGATTCAGATGATGATTTCTCGATATCCACAGCGACTAGCGCGCGTCAAACTAATGAGAAGTTTGAAAAAAAAAGAATCAGCAGTTTGGACTAGATTGCCTCTGAGTTTATTAGCGGCTAGATTCCTCACATATTACTCTGTATACATCTCAAATATCAACCAGTAACTAGTACCTTTGTTTCCGTCGAGTCTGCGGTCATATATGTGCAAACTAAGCGCATCATCTCATGCAAGTCAAATATCTCCCCGTCTGTCTGTCTCGGATAGCAGACTCGAGCTCGGATAGTCTCCCTCGAGCCTATTCCTGCAATGATCGCCGCGCTCAGTCCCTCGGGCATACACATCATCACATTTGTGTAGTCAATACCTGATATGCGGGAGCTCCCCAGAACAGAAATGTACGACCGCACTCCTGATCCCGAAGACCACCCGTTTGCCTTGTCATCAGGGAGCCGAATCTCCTTCCTATCATGGAATAGTCATCAGTTTGATGAATCGAGTTGGGTTAAATCAGAGATTGACTTGTCTCTTTTTCGTCTCTCTTCACCCATAACAGTTGACACCTCAGAATATCTCTAGGTATAACTGGGGTCCTGGTTTGACGTAGTCCGGGGTTGGATATCAACGGGTGTGAGAGTTAAGCAGGCGTATTGTACAACCCAGTCAAGCCAAGAGAAGCCACGGATCTTGCAGACGCAATCGGGGTCTGTGATCCTGGATAATTCAAATCCCTGAAAGTAGTAGGAGACGCGGCGAGCTTAACAGTGAAGGTCCATATGTTGATTAATTCTCCGTTTATGCATGATTTATTTTTTATTTTTTATTATTATTTTCCCTGTTGTTTCATTCATTATTTTCTTTACGAATCACTCATTCTTCTCAATGTCTCCATGGGCCTTACGAACAAACTCCCATAGTTGGAGACTTCGTGTGTCTCGCCCTTCACCTGCCGCTAGGACCTTTACCCACTTGACCGATTGCACATTGCTTGCTTGATTGTTCATCCTCGCTCGTTCGTTGTATGCTTCGTCCCGCTGTCAAGTTGATTGCATTGATTCAAATCGGGAGTGGTGCCGACAGTTGGGCATCGAGAGTTAATGGTGTTGAAGCCTTGATATAAAGGTCCCTATGATCATGCTTCAAGTTCTTCTCTCAACTTGTTATACCTTCAGTATAGCTCTGCATCAGCATCATAAACCTACACATCTACCTTGCATATTATACCTTTTTGAAAACATGTCAGGTGTCGGACCCCGAGTCTCCAAGGAAGAATTCATGCATTCTCTGGGCCTGCGGTCTGGAGATCCCCAGCATGAACAGTACTACCGTGCCATGCGAGTAAGTATCTTCAAATCCTACACTTCAACTTTGGACCAATACATCGCTTGAATCAAGTTGAATATACTAACTCCATGTGCATAGGATGAAGCAATCATGGTCTACAATCGTTTGCATCAAGATAAATCACATCTCGTCGACAACGTCCGCGATGACCCAGACACGCGACCCCCATTCTTCTGGCACCACATTCTACCAGACCACCAGCGGTGGGCAATCATGGAGATCTGGCGCAACTCCGGACCCATGACACGGCCACTATTTGACCGCGGCGGGACGAACTCCGAGTACGGACCGAACTGGGTGGCTGGGTGGCTGTTGTACAGTGTGTTTCGCTCACGAGATGTGAGAAACAATCGGAATCGACGGAAAGGGGAGAGTAGTGGGAATGGAGGAGAGTCTGGTAAGATCTTCTATGCCTTGATTTAGGAGTTATATTAAGCTTCTTGTGACACACCCTTGCTAATGTGATGTGGATATTGCAGACAAGAGAATGAGACAGGTTGAGGAGACAACTTCTCCTAAGAAGGGATACTATGATCCTGTGCGGAATGGGACGCTATAGATTGTTTGTGGTTCATTTGAGCGTTTGCATGGTTTTTTCGAGCTTCTGTGCTTCAATTTTGCGTATTGATTGGATTGTTTCTATTTTGGGAGTATCAACAGTCATAATGGAAACGCTATGTTCTTGTATCCACATGCATGTAGATCAGAGGATCAGTAATGAAAGATTCTAATCCTCTCGATCATTCTCCTTTTCATTCTTCTTTCCATCTTTCTCCTTTCGATCCGACCTCAACGCCTCCGTAACCCTCTCATCCTGCTCATCAGCTCTCTCATTCCACTCAGCATCATACTCCGCCGCAATACTCTTAATCTCATTCCTCAAAGTCTTCCCCTCGTCAATCAAAGATTCCCAAAGCTGCAAATCCAGATTATGTTGTTGATACAACTTCTTCTGGCGTGCACTAACCGTAAAGTCTAGAGCAGACTTATACGAGATTTCCCGATTGTGATACAAGAACCACAAGTAGCCACCCATAAGCGTAGACAAACTAACCAAGTAAGTAACCGGCTCCATAGTATCCCACCCGAGATCCGTCTCAAACGTCAATTTGTACACGCTATACCACCACACCGACAAAATGCCAAACCCACCAATAGCAACCCGCTGCGCACCGCGATGCGCCAACGCATCACATTTATGCTTAACATCCGCAATACCCTGAATTCTGCGCGACAGTTTCCGCAGACGCATACGCAGAAAATAAGTGCGCTCGTTAAACGACGGAACAGCCACACGGATCTGACCTAGTCCACTGGGAGCGCCTTCAATAGTAACGATGAATTCGCGAGTACGAGCCGCGTCGCGGATGAAATCGCCTACTTCTGTAGCTTGTGACCAGCGGACGAAGCGTTCCGGTTTCCCATCCAAGGGATCAAGACTGGTATCTGTTTTGCGAGGGTAACTGTAGATCTCTGCATCTTCTTCGCGGGATCGGCGGCGTTTTATAGGCTTATCGGATTGGTACTCTGTTTCAATGGCGTTTTGTCGAATGGCATCTGCTTCGAAGTCGTCCTCGATGCGCTTTTTGGGCCGGATGGCGTTATCTTCGTGTTGGAGGGCGATAAAGGAAATTACGGGTGGGCGGAGCTTTTCTTTCTCGCCATCTATTGGGGGTAGTTCGGATTGGATAAGGCGTTCGAGGTAGGAGAGTGGTTGTTGGGGGTGGACTAGAATTGCGATTGGCTCGATTCCTGGGGGAGGGTTAGATACATTCAGTTTCAATAAGTAAATCTTCAAGTTTGAATTTACCCTTATCCTTGCCCTTGATGCCCACAGTGGTGAGGGGGATAATGAGCTTGAAGAGTCGAGATGGCGTCGTGAGCATTTTCCCTGTAGATCAATATGTGAGAAGCTGGCAGTAGGTTGAGAGTTGTAAAGCTTACCCTTTGACATATCCTCTGCCCATTTGGCATTTTTCTCCTGCTCGCTGAGAACATGGCGTTGTGACTCGGTATCTGTCTGGTCATCTTTAGTCTCTAGAGACTCAAGTATTTCTTCCGCCCTCGCGCTATCGCCAATTCGCTCCACATAGTTCGCTTTTCTGATAGAGCGAACTTGAGTCCCGACTAGCACTCCAGGAATAACCTGATCCCTCTTTGTCATCAACAAGTCCCGTGTAGCTCCTTTCGATACCGGCCTTCTGGTATGCCAAGTAGCGTTAGATAGCCAACGCCTAGACGGACCAGTCCCCCACCCACACGACCAAGTATGGCACCTTGCCGGCGATAGGAAAGGCATGCAGCCATTTGAAACAGGGCGCATTATGAACTAGGTTGTGTGTATTCTTGGTGACCTTTCGCTTTGAACGTCGGGGTCAAAATTGGGGTTGGCATAGGTCTGGGGAGGTAGGCAAGGTCCGCAAGGATGTAGATGAGCCGCGAGGGTGTAGAGGGTGTAGCGGTCAATTCATGACGCAGAGGACGTGTCACGGTGGAGCACTATGTGCCTGAAAAGATAAGCCAGAATTGGGCTAGAACAGCGGTACTATTCAAGCTGGGATGATCCAGGTACGAATACATCTGCCCAGACGGGCATCATAGCTCATGCTTGGATTCTTGGTCTGGGGAGAGCTATTGACGTCAGTGTGGCGCAGATAGATGATGTGGCTTGGTTCACGGGTGTGGCGCATATTCATATTAATGATCAGTTGACGCAAAATGCACATCGCAAACGTTGGAACTAACCTTGGAAATATTAAATGTGTGTCAGTGGATGGAACTAGGAGTACATCATGATGCACATGTATAATAGTACTCAAAATTTGAAGACCTTCAAGTTCAAGTTCACGATACTACCTTCAAGTTGAATATCCGAGTCGGTTCAAGTTGGAATATATAATGAGTAGTACTGCGAGTATGTACTACCTAAGGTACTACTACTACTAGGTGAATACTAGGACAACTTGAAGTGCTAGTACTCCAAGTCATCATAAAAATACTATCATTATTCAAATGTTCAATTGTGTGTTGTCTTCCACCTGGGCAGTAGGTAAATACCAGTTGACTGTTGGCAATAAACACCAGAGGTCAAAAGTTGTTGGAGTTCTCTTAGAATTGCACATGTAATGTCAAATTGCGCATTTAATGTCAGATTGCGCGTGTAATGTCAAACTGCGCATTTAATATCAAATTGCGCGTGTAATGTCAAACTGCGCATTTAATATCAGATTGCGCATTTAATGCCAGATTGCGCATGTAATGTCAATAGCTGCACATGTGAGCATGTTGTGTCAAACTGTGCATGTAGTGCCAGATCATGTATGTAGTGCCAGATTTCCCAGGTAGTGCCAGATCATGCATGTAGTGTCAGATTGTTGATGTAGTAGTTAAGAAAGATTTTTAAAAACGCTAGGGAAACCACCAAAAGTGATGCTTTTCTGCTGAAAATTTGCCAGGGCCTTCTCCATAGTCCTAGCAGCTGGAATTAATTATTTCAAGTGATTATCTCCAAAATTGAGGCTGTATGACGGGGAGAAACAAATGCCGTTATATTACACACGATTGGGAAGTGAGTGCGAGATCACCCATTGTAGGAAAAATACAAGAAGGTAAGGTATTTTTGTAATATTACACCTGGCACGCTAAGCCTGATATGACTAAGCGATGTTGATGTCTCTACACCTGGCAGATACAATGACTCCCTCCTCTCAACATGCATGATCATTCTGATATGCCTCAACCTTGGAAGCTTCTTAATTGCTCCATGGATTACAAAAATATTGCAGATTTGCCAGCGATACTTGGACTCCTGGAATCCTGGGACTTTTGCCTCAACAGGCCTTTTGCTAACAAGGCTACGGCTACGGAGTACTTGATAATTTCGCCCCAGTGGCTTCGTTGATCTTTGCTGATACGGATAGATCGTCCAAGGCTGAGAAAAGAGTTTTTGGAAATCCTTACGCTGGCCATGATATCTCATGATCTTCTTGACAGCCAGGATTATGCCAAGCCGGTGCAATGTTGATCCTGAATAGTAATCGAAGCCAAGCTTCCCCGGCTTTCCAAGGTTAAAGGTAAGCTTGAATGCTATGGAGATACAGTGCGCAGGTGCGCATGGTTTTGCCTAATCCGTCTGATCCGCCATTCCTGCTTCACGGCAGAGATTTGATGACCTTACCGAAAATGAAGTATTCCGCGAACGAGGCTCCACAACACTGGGTCCAGGGGTCCTAGCCTTAGCGACCCCTTTCAAAATGAAATGAGTACTGTACCGAGTACTCCACAAGCTGAATAGATTTCCCCACCTTGACTAAGTGACTAAGTGAACTACAATGGACTCAACCTTGGAACTCTTTCTACACTCCACGGGCATCCTGATTCCTGATGGATGTCCAACTGTTCAACTCCCTTTCATGGATGATTAAGATCATCAGTGCCACGCAGCTGATAGTAGTTTATAATAAAAGTGGTGGATTGGATGAAGTCTTTCAATTGGGTCCAAGCAAATAAAAGTGGCATTGATCATCGCCGCTAGGCACACATGGCCCCGGGGTAGTGTGAGATCCAACTTTTTTTCAGCCCCCATGGACCCAGTGGACCCATTGTCGGGACGCATTGGATATTGGGCTCGTTATGTCTGGCTTCCGTATACTCCGCACTCCCAAGTGCCGTGCTTTATAAATACTGGGTCATATCTCAATGAAATAGATCATCATTGATCACTGTCAAAAAACGGCTTCAGCATATAGACTGAGCAATCATGAAATCAATCTTCACAGGATTTCTGCTTGCATCTGCACTTGCTTACACCAATGCAAATGCAAGCCCTGTCCATCAACAGAAACCTCGAGTCCACATTGATCCTTTCAATGAAGTGTTCATCGAGGGTACATCATCCAACACCACCGAGTCATTCTTGAACATTCGATTCGGTCAAGATACCAGCGGCCCCAACCGCTTTGCGCCTCCCAAACCATACAGCTATCCCTCTGGCACGGTGGTAAATGCCACTTCGACTGGCGCAGCCTGTCCTCAACAGAAGAGTCCTATCCCCGACTTCCCAATCTTCGACAATGTCACCGATGTCTCAGAAGACTGTCTCACTCTCCGAGTCGACCGACCAGTCAACACAAGAAGCTCAGACAAGCTCCCTGTGATGGTCTGGATCTACGGTGGCGGCGACACTATCGGCCAGATCTACGACTCAACATACGATCCAAGCAACCTGATCGCAGGTGCTGTCGAGAAGGGAACCCCTGTGATCTACGTCGCCATGAACTACCGACTCGGAATCTTCGGATTTGCCGCATCTCCAGCACTGAACGCAACCGACTCCTTGAACGCAGGTCTGCTGGACCAGCGACTCGCACTGGAATGGATCCAGGAGTACATCGCAGCCTTCGGTGGTGATCCCGAGAATGTAACCATCTTCGGTGAGAGTGACGGAGCCACAGGAGTTGGTCTCCAGATCACAGCTTACGGCGCCCAGCACACGAATCTGTTCAAGCGCGGAATCATGGAGTCCGGCAATGCGATTGCCGACTTAGGCATTGCACGCGGAACATCAGCAAAGCACACCGCTACGTTGACCAAGCTGCTTAACTGCACTGCTTCTACCAGCGAAGAAGAACTCTCCTGTCTCCGAAGCCTACCCTTAAAGACCCTCCTGGCCGAGGCCATCGACTATGAGTTCTCAGTTAACTCCGATGGTGGCATGGATGTTTTCGTGCCTACAGCTCCATCCAGCTTTATCCCCGATTCTCCACACAAACTACTTTCCTCTGGTCGCTTCGCCCGCAACATCGATATCATCAGTGGCTGGAACGAGAATGACGGATCCTTCTTCGTGACTACCGACCCAACCACAATCAGAACCAACAACGACGTCGCGGAGGTCATCTTAGGCGAAGCACCCGGCCTCTCGTCCGAGAACGTAGCCAAGGCTCTCGCTCTCTACCCCATCTCGGACTTCCCGAGCGACTCATCCCAGAACATTACAGCTCAGTACTTCCGAGCCAGTCGCATCCTCCGCGATATGGAATTCACTTGTGGAAATCTGTTCACCACAGAAATGAATCAGAAGTACTCCAATCCGGATACGAGCAGCTACCTCTACTCACTCAACCAGACAATGTTCGAAGTTGTTCTGGAATTGGAGAATCTGAGCTATTACCAAGTTTGTCACTTTAGTGATATTCCCTACGTGTTTAACCTGGCTACAACTTCGTGGGCCGACATCGCCACTGCGTCTGACATTCGGCTCTCAAGTCAGATTAGTGGTAGCTGGGCTTCTTTTGCTTCACTTGGTAACCCTTCCGTAAGTCGGGGATCGTTGCCTCGTTGGACTGAGGCCATGAATTCCGATGGAACTTACAATATCAATGTTATTGGTGGTTCCATCAGAGGCATGGTTACTTCGGATACTTATGAGGATCTGGGCAAGCGATGCGCTTTCTGGACTTCTGAGGAGGTGCTGACAGAGATGCTTGATTAAGCTATAGCTGCCAGTGGTCTATCTCACAGGATTGAGTTTGATTTAGAACAGTCATGAATTATTGAGCGCGCGTGATACATGTTGATATTAGAAATAGCTTTCAAATGATTGCTAGAAACCAATTATAATTTTCCTGGTCTCATGTGCATCCATTTCTCAGTATTAAATGTCATCATATCAAGGCAATTTCATGACAGAACAATCTCAAGCGCTTGAATTGAATATCAAACTAGGAATTGCCACTCATAAATTCAAGTTCATCGCTGACCTCCAACCTTGGAATGATGCATGCCATCCCAGTATCTATGCAATCATTAAGAATTGATCTCGAGGCCAAATGAAAAGCATTCATCTATCAAACATTTGAACCATGCTCAGAAAGTGCATGTACATAACGCATAAATCATCGTAAGGTCGTAAGTCATAATTCCACCATCTCCTCTCTTGCGAGATATTCTCTTTTCATTCAAGTGTTCAATCTTGTCATAATCATCGCTCGCAAAAACCAAAAACAAAGTTCCCACGACCATAATCATAACCACAGAGTAATTCAAATAATTCTTCTCGCATAAGCAAGAGTCCTCGCAGAATCAGGCAAAGAAGACAACGAGCCCGCCCTAGAAGAATCCGAATCCTCCTGAGAAGTAGCACTCGCCGCACTCATACTAATCAAAGTAGCACTCAACTCATGATCGAGTAGAATCTCCGGACTACTTCCACCAGACCAACTAGCGCGACTACTATCAGTATCAGTATCATCATCACGACTAGATTTCCTCCCCGTTCCAATGGCAACAGGGATACCCTGTACAGTTCCCGAACGACCATGACCATTAACTTGATTCACTGGGATCATGCCATCATTAACAGAGAAATTGCGACAAATCAGGTAGGCGCGCATAGCGGCACTTTCTCGGGCTAGAGTCTCAGATGCACATTCTGTATCTGTTGTGTATTCTCTGTTGTTTACACGAACGATGCAGGCGTATCCTGATGTAGTACTGTAGGGTTCGTATGACGGGTCTTGCCAACGACGACGGCGACAAAGGCCTATGAAAGTTAGTTTCTCTCTTCAGTGAGTCAATTGCAATGAACCAATTGTGCATTGGATTGGGTATGGATTGCTAATAAGAAATGCAAATGCTTGGGTATATGGTATGCAGTTAAGTCACTGGGTATTAGGCCGCAATCTATACATGAATAGATGGATTCGAGTAACTTGAACCAGACGCAATGTGAATAAACCGTTGAATGCCATGCAATCTAATCGAGCGATCGAAACCAGATGCAATGCAGACGCAGGCTCGAATAGTGATTCAAATCGAAATAAAAATCAAACGCTTCACTTACTTGCAAGATAGAGGATATAGTACATGGCGAGTAACGTCTAATTTTGAGTCTCAGTCTCGGACTCAATTCAGGATTCCGCTAGCAGTAGTCTGAGTCTGAGTTCACGAGTCTCTGAAACAGAAGACAATTTCCCAAAAGGACTGAAAGCTATCGGCAAGAGGCGTCACCTGTCAACTTTGCAATAAAGTGAGGCGGCCACCCAACAGCATTGAAGATTGGCCAATTCGGAATCAGAGTAGTGTTCACGGGTAGGGCTGAAGCTGACACTGGTATGCGGCGAATGATGCCCAACAGGATAATTTTATCAATTTGGGAATACCAGGTGGATAAGTTCAAGTTGCAGAAAGGATTCAACTGTAAAAATGAACAGAAATGACTTGAGTCTTAATGAGAATGTTCTAGACACCGAGTCTAGGAAGTCTGGGAGAAACTTCAAGTTGAAAGAGAATACAGAAACGACCAGAACACAGGAAAATCAAGGACTAAAAGCTTGCCAATGGATCAGAAAGACACGCCACGCATATACAGAATACACGTTTTGGTACGACAGATGAATAACGAGAATAAAGTCAGTATAAGGTGGGGCACATTGAGTTGTTCATAGATTATAAAATAAAACAATACTAAACAATAATAATAATCATAATAATCATAATAATCATAATAATAACGGTCTTAGTTCCGGAAGGATCATATTAGTATCATGTTAATACAGTTGAAGCTGAGGACTCATCCTCGCTAGTCACTAGTAGACTTGAACATCTTCATCTCCCAGCACTTGAGGTGCCCAGATACTCACCCCGGTGTTATTCCATACCGTTAAGAAGAGAATTGAAAAAAGCAAAACATCAACCCTGCAAGATGGGTCCGAGTATCCGTGACATCCCTATAGGTAAAATGGGTCGTATTAGGAGTACAAGTAAACACTGAACAGACATTAGACAATTGAAAGTGCACACATGTGCACATGTGCATGTGGGTTTCAGAGTAATCTCCACAGAATCCGTAATTAATTTTTTAGTTTATTTTCGGTGGATTATTTTAAAGTACTTGATGCGCTGGCATATCTCTTCACCAGTCGAATCAAGCCGAATTGAGAACCAGTTCCGGAGTTGCGAGAAGGTTCCCCCGCCTGCAATTCGCCGATCAAGCTAAGAATAATGAGTTGGAACATAATAAAAAAATCGGAGAAAAATTGACAAGAATCAAGAGAAAGAGGAGAGAAACTAAAGATGACAACTGGCATCGAATGCAAAAGTTGCAGAAAATGGAAACAAGGAAGATCCTTTTGAGTTTCGTGTGAATCACTATGCCCCGCAGTAGACGCAGGAATTTGCCGCTTGTCCTAGGCGCAGAATCTCATAAACAAGATGAGAATGATTGGTAAGGACATGTTGTGCAGAAAGCGTTTGAGAAAGTAAACTGGGCTCAATTCTGGACCCGCACGTACCTCGGATTCGAGGTCAAGTTACTCGACATCGCGGTGATGAGTTGGCAGTGCGGAACTTTTTTTTCATCCTAGGACATTTACCCTCTTGGGCCTCGTGCAGCTAAATCAGCAAACATTCCAAGGTTGATGGGTTAGTTCAAGTTAGATCAAGTTAGATCAATGTTGGGTTTCCAAGGTTAAGACCGAGTAGACGGAGTATACGGAGTATCCCGGATTACCATGAGATACTCTGATATGGATTGATGCATGAGTTAATCATTGATAATAGAAATTGCTCAGTACTATGGAAATGGTAGATTCATAGACCACATCAAGTCCGACGTCGCACTCACCCGAATCCCTTGCGTCCACTTCAACAGGATCGAAACTGACACAAATCATCCGCGTGGCTCCCACGGAAAATCCTGGTGAATCGGAGAAAAAAAACCAGTCCAGCAATAAGTACATATCCAAAAGCTCCTGGATCTTTCACTTTTATGATCCTGCCTATGATAAGGTCGGGTCATTTTCATCTGTAATCAAGGTTTCTTGGAACCTTTGATCGCCATCTCCTCGGACTCTTAATCACCGATCTCATACAAAAAGAAAAATACCGCAAGTGGCGTTTCACGGATAAATTTCTGTCAGATGACACTGCATCCTTTCGCGCCCCTCCCGGCCACTAGGGCGCAATCGGTCGGGCTTCACACCAGAGCCGCATCTCATCAGCCCGAGGGTAGGGGATCCCATACAGTGGATGAAGGGGTTCGAGACGGTCGCTCTTTTCATACACATTACCCTCGCGAATGGGAGTGGACCGCCAAGAGAACGCAGATGCGAAATGTTCGCTGGTTGTTGCGCTAGAGTCCGTGCGATAATGGTAGTGCTGCATGGCGCTCAAGCCCGCGAGCACGTAGCAGGTGTGGTAAGAATCAGCATGTCTGATTGTGTCACAGTCAGCACATGTAATTTTTTTTCCATTGAGAGCCCGAGATCCCAAATCCGAGATCAAGTTTAGTAGTACTTACTTGCCAGGCTTGTCGCGAAGACCACCATTGGGCGATTGACAACATCCAAGAATGTAGCGGGCCAGACCTTCGCGGCTGAATAGACTACCCACAGTTGTGGCGGGAGGACCGTTACCCTGTGGCTTTCCATCTAGAGCAGACTGGAGGAGTGGCCAGCACCCGCCAACCCAGTGACTGTAGCATCCATCAACCAGCTTATTTGTTCTGCCAGAGAATCCACCCTCCGGACCATATTGACGAGCAGATAGCCAAGACAGTAGAAACGGAAGGTTCATATGTCTGCGACCATGGTAAACAAAATATCCTTATTGAAACCAGTTGTTCACGTATTCACGTACCTGGGAATAGTCTCTTCCGGAGGCCCTAAGAGAGCCAAACATGCTAAAGCACAGTATGCATAAGCTCCATGCGCCTCTACGCCCGGGCTGCCAGAAATGCCACCCTCATATGTTTGGCCTAAAGACTAAATTAGTAACAAGCATAACATGAAACTGGATGGGTCTCCTACATCGTGATAAGTATTGGGCAAGTCCGTCAGTCAACTTGTGTAGACCAGCATTACGAGCTGGGGAGTCAGGAGGTAATTCGACCGGCAGATCGAGTAAAGAGATGATAGCCATGACGCAGTATGCACCACTGTGAAAGTCAAACCACGGAATCAGAACCCAGATCTTGCATCGAGGGGTATGCAATTACTTACCGCACGTCCTCTTCCCCGCCCTCGCAAACGCGAAAACCTCCATCGGGCTGCTTCAAGCGGCCCAGCCATTGCCACCTAAGAACTGGTCAGATGCAAGAAATTGAGTCCGGGATCATGACAACTCACATTGACTGCCGATCAATCAAGGAATAGGCATCTTCGCCTCCAACAATCGCAAGCGAGAGAACGGCCGCATAACTTCCGGCAAGGTGGGATATCTGACCACGACCGCCACCGAAGCCGCCCGTGGAGTTCTGAGCGGGCCGTAGAGTCGAGATCAAACTGCAGAATTTTTAGTTTCTGGTTGCATCAAGGTTGAAGAGCTCATTGGACCAGCAATGTCATGTCTGTGATAGAAGAAACCCAGGAACCTGGAACTGAACCCCGCGGTAATCACAATAAAAAATAAAAAATAAAAATAAACATAAACAGAAACAGAAACATAAACATAAATGTCAAACAATTAAACAAAAAAGGAAAAACAATATAATTGAGCCAGAATAGAATAAACATGCCCGGTAAAAAAGCAAGCAAAATAATAAGAAATTCCACACGAGTAGTACTCACCGTTCCCGAAATCGAGTAGGATCCTCACCCATCAAGAATAAACCAGCCAACCCCCAATATGCCATCCAAGGACGACTAGCATCGAGGATGACAAAGCCGGCGGGATAATCTTCCAATGAATCAAAGAGATAGACTACATGGTCATCTCGCTGGAGTGCAGGCACGCCGCATGCATTAAAGGGGCCTTGCTGAGAACTTTGAATCCCCTTGAGGAAAGGCAGACACTTGTCGAGCGTCGCGTCCTGCAGATCGACTGTCTCTGTCACGAGCGGGTCGCGGATGGCCGGCGGCTGTGTGAACAAGACTGGGATCCCCGGCCGAGGAGCTTGGCTTGTCATTTTTCCGGTTGAAATAGAAGGAGTTGGGCGGGATACTCCGGGCTGATTCTGGTTGGATGTTGATGATGATGGTGGGGGTTTGGAGAGGAAGCGAACTTTGCGACGATTCTTCCCCGCGATGATGGGTGGCATTGACTCTTCAAGGTCAATGGAACAAAGAAGGTATTCTTTTTTTCAATTCTGTAATAGATAAAATATGTTGAGTTGATAGTTGTTGACTTTTAGATGTTACTATTGTTTCTTTGAGTGAAAGTGAAGGAAGAGATGATGATGTTGGTATTGTTCCTCCCCACTTTTTCCTTCCTTCCTTATTCGTCTCTCTTTACTTCAACTTCTTCCCCCTCCCCCTCTTTACTTACACAAAGAGTAACCTTGGAACTAATGTACTCTGTACATGAAGTACGGAGTACTCGACTGTCACTATCACTATGAGTTTACCCCACTACTCGAGAAAAATAAAATAAAAAAAAGAAATCACTGACACTCTCGTGGCCCCGAGGTGCGTCATGCCAGCGTGCAGACGCTATTGAATCCTCCGCTGCATGTCAGAGACCCCAGATAACCCCACAACCAATGATTCTTATGGGTCGTGATGTGATAAGTCCAATTTTGAGACGACATGCACGCGACGGTGGCTGGTGAGCCGTGCATATATCCTCATCGTGCAGTCATTTTCCCTTACCCTCCCTTGCTTGAAGTGTTGCCTGCAGGTGCCTTCTTCCCCCAACCCCAAGGCCAAAATTCCCAGAACTTTACCAACAAATTCTCTTCCTCTCCGGGTTAATTTGGACCTGTCAAATGGCTTTGACTTGTCTGGACTTGGTTTGTACTTGGGTCTAGAGTGGTTTAGGATGGGTTATCCATTCCCTTTTCGACTCATGGGTCCATATTGAAATTTCTTTGATCGATAATGGGGTTCCTCCAACGAAAATCCCTGTTCTCAACCTACTGCACGGTCAGCCCCCCCACCTCGGTGGCTAGCACTTATACGGAATGGGCCAAGGAAGCCAAATCCCTGGAAAGATACGAATCCCCGACGTTGTGAGTTGCACCTTGAACGATGATTGGACTAAAGAAGGCAGGACTTGACTATCATACACGATCCGATGTCAGATCGGCCGGAAAGCACGGTCCTATACTATTGCCACGGCCTGTACAGCCAACTCCGCTCCGTTCTCCGATTTTTTTCAATTTTTTTCTCTCCTTTTTTTCTTCCCTTCTCTTATGAAGATCAATCTGGTTTTGTTGGGCTCCACTGATCTCCCGTCCCGATTCCGGTCTCCATACAAACTCCGTACGAATTATTGGGAAGAAAGAGATCGTGTACGGAGTACGGAGTGTACTCCGTAGTTCAATAATTCAAAATTGAGTCAGTAGACCTATTCAGTGGAGGTGAATGTAGGAATAAAGAAATTAGGTGTTCACTCTAAGAAAGAATAAGAATCTCATTCCCCCAGGTTTCGGTACCGAGGTTCTACCATGGATAACTTGTTTACTTCATAGAAAATCAGATTTACGAACAACACAATGTACATCTGTACTCAATTGAGTCAGTTCTATTGTGAAAATAAATCACAGAGTACATTATGTACTAAGACTGATTGAAATACAATAGTAGAGCGTGGCAGTAACAAGACCCCACTGTTAACTCCCCTAGCGCATCTTCTTCACCGCTGCTTTGTCCCCCCCCACCGCCTCTGCCTCTTCTTCTCTTCTGTCTCTTTCCCCCCCCCAGAAATGGCTGTGTCACTCTCTCTCTGAAGGTCCTTTTCAATCCAGGCTGGTCCTTTTTCTCCCCTTCTTTCCTCCCCTTGTCCGTTTTTGTCTCGGTTTTTTTTCTATCTTGTTCGACAACATCTCGATCATGTCGAATGTCGATTTATCAAGTGACGGCCTCATCGTCGATTATGACTCGAGAGGTTATCTTCAACATACATGGCCTGTGGCGGTAGACCAACACGCCCCGCGGTCAGATGAAACTCATGACCTTTCGCCCCTACAAACCAGCGGTCACCCTCTAGAACAGTCGGTGGGCCAAGATCCCAACTTGATGGTCGACTGGCACTATCACCACCACTTGCAACATACCCCTCATCAACATCAATTATCATATTCCCCCGAGGACCCATCGTCAGCGCCGCAATTTACCACCGCTAGCTATGGCATGGCCATTCAATCCTCCCCGGTGGATCTTATGTCGGCTCCGCAAGGCGGGATGAGCGCCGGCTTGCTCGATGGCCCGTATCTTCCAATGTCTGCCCCCGTCGACATGGTGCCTTTTACCTATCACGACTTTCAAGCCGACCTAATGACGTTTCCGAATGGTCTGCCCGATGTGGCATACGCGGCCCACCATCATCACCATCATCCTGTGATGGAGAGTAGCTCGCCAACGGATACCTATCTCGAGGTCCGTTCCCTCTCAAGTAGCGATAACGGATGGAGCACGGTGGACCACCGCCGCTCGCTTGATTTCACTTTCCCCGAGCAAGGGGTCTTCGTCAACCCCACTCAGACTCTTCATGACCGCAGTCTCTCCGAGTCTTCATATTCCACCTCATACGGTAGCTTTGTTGATATCGCCCACCCGATCAGCTCCCCTGGTTCTGAGAACAACATGGATTTGCCCTACACTCACAACGCTGCTCTCAGCTTTGCCAGTACCTCCCCGCCGAGTAACACCTTTATCCGCCGGGAGGAGTACTCCTCACAAGGTTCCCGTTCCCCATCTGCCGTGAGCCCCAGTGCCATGGTACGACCGATTCCCGTCCCTATCAAGAAATCAAACTCGCCTACTCGCTCCAGTGGCTCTCATACATCTGCCTCACCACCAAGCCGAAAGCCATCAAGGAAGAGCCCTATTGCAGCCAAGACCGCCGAGACCAAGGTTCGCAAGCAATCACAGACCGGCAAGCCCGAGACTGAGAAGCGTGTTGGTAAGCGAAAGGGTCCTCTCAAGCCCGATCAGCGTAAGCAGGCTAGCGAGATACGCAAGCTGCGGGCATGCCTGCGCTGCAAGTTCTTGAAGAAAACCTGTGATAAGGGTGAGCCCTGTGCTGGCTGTCAGCCATCTCACGCTCGGTTATGGCAAGTGCCTTGCACTCGCATTGACATTAAGGAGATTGGCTACTTCATGAAGGACTGGAAGGCGGATTACGAACGTCACATCACCATGGGTTTCTCTGTTGGAAATATCAAGGGTTTCTCAGACCAGGAACGCACTCTTTTCATTACTCACGGCTATGGTCAAATGATGCCGATCAAGGCCCGTGAAGTCTACGTCCGTGACGAGCAGTGCTTCACCATTGACTGGGTTGAGTCTATGCATCGCGAGCCGACGCAGTATGAGGTGGAGACGGCTAAGCTTTCCGCTGGTATGGAAGGTATCTCACATGCCATGCTGTCTGATTACCTCGACCGCCACATCGATGGTAACGGCACATTTGAGAAGTTTGTTGATGACTACTTTGAGGGTACTCCCTTCTTGACCCAAATGCTGAAGACTGCTTTCCGATACTACTACCGCACCAAGCTACCGGTCATTCGGAAAGCATTGAAGCTGATCATTGCCTACAACCTGACCCTCCATGTCACCATGGTTGAAGGGTTGGGTGCTGAGGAAGACTTCATTGGTCGTATCGGGGCGTCTTCAAAATTCCGGGGCAAGACCATGGCCCCTGTGATGATCAACTTCCAGATCAAGTGCGCTATGGCTAGCATGTGGCGTGAGCTGCAGAAGGATGTTCTGGAGGAGCTTTCTGCTCTGTACTCGAGTGTCTACAGCGGTGAGAAGCTCAAGAACTGGCCCACGATCTTCATCCTGGCCTCCATCCTGTTGGCTGTTTGGGAGGAGATGCAATTCGACTGCCACTACCGAACTCCCGATCAGGCTGCTGTGGACAAGTTCTGCACTGATATGGAGACCACTCCAGTTGGGGTTATCGTGGGACTGTTCCAGGCTATCTCACAGAAGCTGCCTCCTTTCACAGAGTGGGACTCCCAGAAGCACCACCACCTGCTATACTCCAACCCAGATGTCTGCAACACAATGACCGAAGTTCGACAACATGTGGAACAACACGGTAAGCACTTACTTCCGAGTTCTGCACATCTCATCTCAATACTAACTTTTCTGTAGAAAACTACCTCCGCAGCCGGACCGGCTCCGGTTTCAACCGTGATGATTTTGATTGCTTGTCCAACAAATTCATTTCTCGCCTTGTTATTCGCGCTAACTAAATGACCCGACGAAGCGCATGATAACGACGACTTCCTCCCTTATGACGACCTCTGTTTTCCCTACAGCGAGCTCTAGTCCAGCGATTTTGCTTTCTCTGCATAACTATGACCTGGATGATCCAATGCGATTTACGTCGTGACGATGCGTAAGCGTGTCCACTCACTCTTTTGATGATTATGTATCGTGCTCCTAGTGAGCCGAAACTCTGTGATTGCATTTTTTTGCATTCTTTTGGTTCCTGGGAACCGCCTTTCTTTATTTTCCTTTGATCTCGAAGATTTCTTTTTGAAGCCTTGTTCTGTGTTTTTATTCTTTGACATTTTGTGGTATAACCTTCTCGCATAGCTTTCAGCGATGAACGAGGATCACGATTTTTATGACCATGTACGGCTGAGTGTTGTTGTTTATTTTATTTTTTTTCTCTTTTTGTGACAGCCACGAAAAAGCTAGGCTGTTTCAGTCTACATTTCCGGTCGTCTACCTTGTTTGATTTAGTCTTTTATTTGGATCCGGCGTGCCGAGGAGAAAATGGCCCATAGTTACATGGGTAAACTTGAAGTGCAGGATCTTGTCTATATATCCTTCATTGACGATACCAATTATGAAAACTTTTAACTTTAACTTATTAAGTGTCGAGTCCTCGTATAACTACCTAGGTACTAGTAGTATTCTGTTATATGGAGTAAACCATGGAAGTATTAACCTTTATTAATGTTTTCATTTCACTAGTGTCAAGACTATCTACAATAACGTTTTTCTTCTCTTTTCGTCCCGTGTTGATCTTTTTGATTGCCGAATGCGTCACCTGACTGAGTATATATAGAACAATATGCAACCTCGGAAAGTTCCAAAGTTGGAAGGCGCAGTGATTAGTCATGATAAGTAGAACCAATGTGACCAATCACATCTTCTCATACGGAGCATGGCCTCATCCCTTCATATCCCAAAATGTACTAGTATAGACCCGTGATTACCCCGTGACCCGTATATAAATGGGTCAAACGGGGTCAAACAAGACAAACTGGATACAAACTGGGTACCTCGATAGCCGCTGAACTCCATTTCAGGTTCCACCCCCTCTTTTCACGATAAGCACTCACGTCATCGTTGATGTCGTTGATGCCGTTACTCCGTATACCGTCACGGCGATTCCGTTCTTGAGAAGTTTAGTTTAACCAGCGGGATTTAATTTAAGATTGAAAATTTTTATTCCTAGAAACCTACATAGAATGCACTAGACAAAAAACCGGGATCAAGGTTTTACCACCGGTGGCGTCAATGACCTGTTCCTAACTTGACTCATCCGGCACCCGGCATTTTCTGGTAACTTCCCTTAGTCAGATCTCTCGCCCCCTCTCCTACTTAATCCCTCCTTCTCCTCTCTTTCACCTCCCAACCTTCCAACATACGTCCCCCCCTTTCTTCGTTCCTCACCTACTTTACTACACAACACTTCTACAACTTTACGAACTACCATCGCCATCATGCAGATCTTCGTTAAGACTCGTGAGTATTCCATACCTCTAAACCTCTTATCTCTCCTTCCCCTCACGGTTGCCTAGAGGCCACCAAACATCTTCCCAGCCCCTCATATCATCTAACTAACTCTTCCTAGTGACCGGCAAGACCATCACCCTTGAGGTGGAGTCCTCCGACACCATCGACAACGTCAAGTCCAAGATCCAGGACAAGGAGGGCATCCCTCCCGACCAGCAGCGTCTTATCTTCGCTGGAAAGCAGTTGGAGGATGGTCGCACCCTTTCGGACTACAACATTCAGAAGGAGTCCACCCTGCACTTGGTCCTGCGTCTCCGTGGTGGTATGCAGATCTTCGTCAAGACCCTGACCGGCAAGACCATCACCCTTGAGGTTGAGTCTTCCGACACCATCGACAACGTCAAGTCCAAGATCCAGGACAAGGAGGGCATTCCTCCCGACCAGCAGCGTTTGATCTTCGCTGGTAAGCAGCTTGAGGACGGCCGTACTCTCTCCGATTACAACATCCAGAAGGAATCTACTCTCCACTTGGTTCTGCGTCTGCGTGGTGGTATGCAAATCTTTGTTAAGACACTCACTGGAAAGACCATTACCCTGGAAGTGGAATCTTCCGACACTATCGACAATGTGAAGAGCAAGATCCAAGATAAGGAGGGTATTCCCCCTGATCAGCAGCGTCTCATTTTTGCCGGCAAGCAGCTGGAAGATGGACGCACTCTCTCCGACTACAACATTCAAAAGGAATCCACTCTTCACCTCGTTCTCCGTCTACGTGGTGGTATGCAAATCTTCGTCAAGACCCTTACTGGAAAGACTATCACTTTGGAGGTTGAGTCTTCTGACACCATCGACAACGTGAAGAGTAAGATTCAAGACAAGGAGGGTATCCCCCCTGACCAGCAGCGTCTGATCTTTGCTGGAAAGCAGCTGGAGGATGGTCGTACTCTTTCTGATTACAACATTCAGAAGGAGTCCACTCTCCACCTGGTCCTCCGTCTCCGTGGCGGCCAGTAGTCACGATCTGCTTTTTATGATTTCCACTGCGATAGGTCCTATATGACCTGCATGGCGTTTGGTCGGCTTTGAAGCTGAGGCTTCTTTATCCCCTTAGTTTTAACTTTATGGGCATTCTTTTTCTTCACCTTAATGGTGCTACTTTACTACCAATGAATTGACTGGCTCCACTTGCCGGATTGCTAGAATATTACTATCCACCACTCCAATACAGTAGGCTGTATACCTGTAGACAACAGAAATTATTGTCGCATCAAAATGCAGTCGCCACTCGCTCTAGATGTCCATTTTCAAAACAGGTCTACGCCACCAATAAGTCTGGTGACAATTCCCCCGCTTGAGTGAGTTTGCCCCCCCCCCCCCCAGGCTTAAATTGACACCTCAGGCGTAAATCAGAGTCCGGGGTGCTTACATCATCGCTTCCTTATCGCATGCCCAGGTGGGAATCAACTTGAATCTTGGAAGCAGCATCACGCAGAAGCTCACAAGTCACGACATGCCTATCGCCCGGGATGCCCTCTTACTTCTATCATCTCTGTTTTGAAATTCAATCAGAAAAACTGTCGTCGAGCGCTTCATCACTGGCAGTCGAATCCGCCTCTGAAGCGCTCCAACCATTCCAACACTCCCCGGGCGCAACAGCAACAGCAACAGCAACGAATACAATTGACTCCTCGAACTCAAGAGCCCACGATCCCAAAGAATTAACTCTCACCTATCGACCGCGACATACCGTTTCCTTTTCAGATAGCATCTCACCCTCCACATCACCGAATTCCTCCCTATCCACCACCACCCCGCACCACAGCCCCCTCCAATCCGACCCTCGTACTGGCCCAATCTCAATTCAGTGTATTGATATGGTCGCGCCCGAAACCAGCTCGCATCGCGCTCGGCGCCCTACAGCTGACGATAATCTCGTCTCCGCGGGCATCGGCACGGATATCCTTGGCGGTCCACGCACAAAGGGTCGCTATGTCCCTCTTGACCAGGAAATCGGAGACAGCGTGATCGGGATTGTGCATTTATACCGTGATTCTCAAGAGACGCCGTTCCTCACTAGCAACGATGACGATTCATACCTGAAGGGCTCTGCTGCCGCGGCGAGACAACCCGGTGATTCGACACTCGCAAGGAATACCAAGCATGTTCGTGGGAAGAACTCGACAGATCTCAAGTCTTATCCGTTCCCTATTACTGCGTCTTCTTCTGGATCCATGCCTTCGCAGGGTCTGGATGAATGCACCACACTTTGTATCCTGGCCGTGCCCTCCTATCTTTCGCCGTCGGATTTCCTAGGATTTGTGGGAGAGAAAACACTGGACGATGTGAGCCATTTCCGAATGATTCGAACGCCTCGCGCAAATAGGTATATGGTTTTGATGAAGTTCCGAAATGGGCGGAAAGCGACTGAATGGCAGAAGGAGTGGAATGGGAAGGTATTCAACAGCATGGAACCAGAGACATGTCACGTTGTATTTGTGAAATCAGTCGAAATCCAAGTTGTGGAACCAGGTTCACCTACAAGTTTCTCTCCAACTGAAGCTGGTCCGCTCTCTCCTGGCCAACCGACTCTCTCTACAAAACCACTTGCACCACCAACTCCCGCACTGATAGAACTGCCCACCTGTCCAGTCTGTCTAGAGCGAATGGACGAGACGACGGGCCTATTGACTATAATCTGCCAACACGTCTTCCATTGCACATGTCTTCAGAAATGGAAAGGCAGCGGATGTCCAGTGTGTCGCTATACACAAGATGATTTCCGACGCGGTAGCATCATCCCAGACCCGGATAAAGAACCAGCCGAATGTAGTGTTTGTCACACCGAAGAGAATCTCTGGGCCTGTCTAATCTGCGGAGAAGTCGGCTGCGGTCGATACGATGGCGCACACGCATTCGAGCACTGGAAACAAAGCGCGCATGCGTTCGCAATGGATCTAACCTCACAACGAGTATGGGACTACGTGGGCGATGCGTACGTGCACCGAATAATCCAAAGTAAAACCGACGGCAAGCTCGTTGAACTGCCCGCCGCAGATAACAGCGCCCTCGATCCCGATTGGGCGGATGCAGTTCCACGCGAGAAGCTCGAAAACATGAGTGTGGAGTATACGCATTTACTCACCAGCCAACTCGAAAGCCAACGTGCCTACTTCGAAGAGGTAGTTGAGCGGGCCGCAGACAAAGCCTCACAAGCTAGCGCTGCAGCATCTGCAGCAGAAACAGCCGTCAAGAGCGTCATGAAGCAACTCGCAGAGTTACAGACATCTCATGAATCTCTACGCAGTGAGACAATACCAGGCCTAGAGCGAGAGAATACAAGAATATCAAAACGGGCAGAGAAATTCGAGGCGCTAGCACGGAAGATGGAGAAAGATTACAGGGAAGAGAAAATAATGAACCAGTCATTATTGGAACGATTGGATATTATATCCAAGGAGAATGAGTCGCTGAAAGGGGAGAATGTGGATTTGCAGGAGCAGAATCGTGATTTAACATTTTTTATTAGTGGCTCACAGCGGTTACAGGGACAAGATGAGGATATTGTACAAGGGACTCTTAGTGTTCCTGAACCGGAGGCTGCGAAGAAGAAGAAGAATAAGGGGAAAGGGAAAGGGAAGAGTTAGCTCTTATTTCATGTTGATTGAATGATTGTATAGTAGTTATGATTGATGAATTGCATGAATTTGAACTTATAGCGTGACAATGTCATATTCAATTCAATGTTGCCATATCACTATACATAGCTCTAATACTGTTACTATTGACACAAACATGAGCCCCGAAATCCTTGAAGAGCCATGGATCTTCCCAAGCTGATTCCACATTTGAATGATCTACTAGAATGGCAAGGTTGTGTCCTCTTACCTAAATTCACCGTAAACAATGATAAATCGCCGTGAAGTCTATCCAGATCTCATGATTGTCCCAGTGAAACCCCAAGTTTGCGATTAATTCCCCGTGTACATAATATTGATGACTTGATAAGATAAAATCGATTTCAATCCGACAAATCCATGTTATACCCCCTTTATTGCCATGTTTTAGTACATCGGAGCATCAACCAATAACAAGTAATAGAAAAAACCGGGGTCCAGTCATCCATGGCAAAGAGCACAAGTTCCAAGGCTAGATCCTTTACTACATCGAAATTGTAATAAAATAGTAACATTTGAAGTGAAAAACAAAGTATGACGATTATATCCGCATTGCACATACTGTAGTAATATCCTCGTCTCACTCAACGCATCTACCCGTTTGGATCAAGAATGTCCTTTCCCCATGGGATTGAACGGATTTCATGAATCTTTCATGGATTTGCTGGTCAATAGTTCTGGGCTTCCTTCTCAGTCTGGAACAGTCTCATGCTGTGTTTCGATCTCGGTATGTATAAGAAGTGCTGATCTGGCAGGCCGATTCAAAACACCTTTAGCAACTTATCTCTCTTCAGCTCGGTAGACAGTGTGCATATCGACACAATGTTTAAGTTGAATGAGCTATTAACTAGCTTCTGGCTCTTACCAGCTATCTATGCCGCAGTTTTAGCACCCGAAAAGATTCTAACAGAGCCGCAAAGCGTATCACACTCCCAGTTTACGATTCCATTATCCGCAGAAGAGGGCGCAACACTAATTGCCAATATCGACGATCCAAAAGCCATTGACGCGCAATCTGCATGTCCTGGCTACAAAGCCTCGCATATCAAGCACGGTGACAAGGAGTTGACAGCGAAGTTGGCACTAGCGGGCAAGCCATGTAATGTGTATGGAAATGACGTCGACGCGCTAGACCTTTCCATCCAATATCTAGGCACAGATCTATTGACCGTGAAAATCACACCAGCTTATATCTCTCCAGAGAATGCATCCTGGTTTCTACTTCCTGAACATGTGATACCAACGACAAAAGCCGATAAGAAGGGTTCGAGGGCTCAGCATGATCTCGATATCTCATGGAGCAATGTACCTTCATTCCAGTTCAAGGTCATTCGGAAATCGAACCAAGACGTACTATTCGATACCCATGGGTCTAAACTGATCTTTGAGGATCAATTTATTGAGTTTGTCACTTCTTTACCCAAAGATTACAATCTCTATGGCATCGGCGAGCACATTCAACAGTCGCGATTACTGAATAACTTGACAATCACGCTTTGGAACGCAGATGTTCCTGATCCGATCGACCGGTGAGCTATGGTGTTTCCACAAATGATGCCAGGTGTTATACTAATGTGGCTTAGCAATATCTACGGCTCTCATCCATTCTACCTGGATACTCGATACTTCGAAGTCCAAGGAAATGGGCAACAAACCCTCGTCTCAATTGAAGAGGCCGATAAATCCAAAGACTACGTCTCCTACTCACACGGGGTGTTTGTGAGAAATGTGCATGGACAGGAGATCCTAACTCGTCCTAGGAGTCTCACCTGGCGCGCTCTCGGTGGCAGTGTAGACTTGACATTTTACGCTGGTCCCTCTCAGGAAGAGGTGACAAAAAGCTATCAAGCGAATACCATTGGTCTGCCTGCTATGCAACAGTATTTCACTTTTGGATATCATCAGTGTCGTTGGGGGTACCAGAACTGGTCTGTCATGCAGAGTGTGTTGTCCAACTTTGAGAAATTCCAGATTCCGCTGGAGAATCTATGGTGAGGAGCTCAGATCTCCCCAGATTCTTGTCTGTCTTCATCAGAGCTGATCCTGATAGGAATGATATCGATTATATGAAGGGGCTCCGTGATTTTGAGAACGATCCTGTTCGTTTCGGCTACAAGGAAGGAGAAGAGTTCTTGGAGAGATTGCACAATGGTGGCCGGCACTATATCCCCATAGTTGACGCGGCTCTCTACATTCCAAACCCTCATGATGAGTCTGATGCGTATGTCTCTCCAGACACCCTGTCTTTCAATTGGCTAATTGATTAGGTATGAACCGTACACCCGCGGAGCAAAGGATGATGTCTTCGTGAAGAATCCCGATAACAGCACCTATATCGGATCTGCTTGGCCCGGGTACACTGTTTACTTGGACTGGCATAACGAGAAGGCGCACGAGTTTTGGACTAACGAGCTCGTGACTTGGCACGAAAAGATTCCCTTTGATGGAATCTGGATCGACATGAACGAGGTCTGTTCCTTCTGTGTTGGAAGCTGTGGAAGTGGTAATCGCACTATGAACCCTGTTCATCCGCCATTTGAATTGCCAGGAGAAAAAGGAGCCGTGGTTTACGATTATCCCGAGGGGTTCGAGCTGACAAACGCAACTGAAGCCGCATCTGCAGCCGCGGGATCTTCGAGTCAAGCTGCTGCTATTCTCACTGACTCGGGTACAGTAACCGTGGCTCGGACTTCATATATCAACACGACTCCAACTCCAGGAGTACGAAATATCAACTACCCTCCCTACGTGATAAATAATGTCCAAAATGGTCACGACCTGGCTTCCAAGGCTGTATCTCCTAATGCGACTCATATTGACGGTATTAAAGAGTACGACGTGCACAATATTTACGGTCACCAAGTTCTAAATGCCACATACCAGGGCATACTCGGTGTGAATCCCAAAAAGCGCCCATTCATCATCGGACGATCAACATTCGCAGGATCAGGACAATGGGCCGGACACTGGGGTGGAGATAACTGGTCCAGATGGGGCTCGATGTGGTTTTCCATTCCACAAGCCCTATCATTTTCTCTTTTCGGGATTCCAATGTTCGGTGTCGATACCTGCGGCTTCAACGGAAACACAGACGAGGAACTATGTAATCGATGGATGCAACTATCCGCATTCTTCCCTTTCTACCGAAACCACAATGACCTCTCGACTATCGGGCAAGAACCCTACCATTGGGCCTCGGTGATAGAAGCATCCAAAACAGCAATGAACATCCGCTACGCCATCCTCCCATATATCTACACTTTATTCTACTATGCGCATAGAACCGGATCAACAGTAATGCGTGCGCTTGCCTGGGAATTCCCAGATGACCCATCTCTCGCCGGGATTGATACACAATTTCTTCTTGGTCCCTCGATAATGGTGATCCCCGTTCTCGAACCACGCGTGAACTACGTTCGCGGTGTATTCCCAGGTATAAAACAAGGAGAAATATGGTACGACTGGTACAACCAGACCCTCGTGAATGCACAAGCAGGCGTGAACACTACCATTTCCGCACCATTAGGTCATATCCCCGTCTACTTGCGAGGCGGGAGTATAATACCGATGCAAAAGCCCGCATTAACAATTCGCGATACCCGAAATTCAGACTGGAGTATCCTAGTTGCCTTGGGCAAGAACGGAACTGCATCAGGACAATTGTACTTGGATGACGGGGAGAATATTCTTCAGAAAGCAACGAAATACGTCTCATTCAATGCGAGCCAATCTGATATTGTCATGGATTCACTTGGGAATTGGCACGAGACGAACAAATTGGCGAATATCACGATCCTCGGTGTATACCCTCCTCGACGAGATTTGTTAAGTGGGAAGACTCTGTCGGTGAAACTGGAAGGAGAGAATCCGCCTGGTACATTTGATTACGATCCTGACAAACATATTCTCTTTTTTACGGGGTTGCAAAAACTTACCGAGAATGGGGCTTTCTCTGTACCCTTGAGGTTCAGGTGGATATGGCAATGAGGTGAGGTTGACTAGGGAATGATGTGATGGAGTTTACATTCAAGTTTACGTTGAAGTTCTTTGCAGTTTCTCATTTTATGACAGTGCAAATAATGAATTTTATTTTGTCTAACACACAGGATCATCTCTTACATAGAATTGATTCCATATAGTTCCAACAGGAATAAGGTAGTAATCCATATTGACAAATAGTAGTAGTGATCGACATTGAACCTCATTCTTGGCCCCATTGCAACCCCATCACGACCCTGAATTAAACCTAGCGCCCTTTAATTCCAAGTTAAATGTTTCTAGTTACGCGCCCTGCGTCGATCCACCCACCTTGGAAAATCAAAGAAGCCGATGAAAGTCCGTTCCGAGTTACGGATATCGGCGACTCCGACTCTTCATCAGATCTACACATAAATGAATTCGGATCTGAGTAAGAGTTTCACAACTAAGATACACTTGCGTACACTTGTGTACATGATTGATGTTGACTCCACTAAATGCTGGTTCCATCGAAAATCCGTTTCACTGGGTTTGTACATCATGCATCATTAACCCTGAAGGTTATGCCGCGACGTGAAAAGGTGAAGTTGAAGTTGAACTGATTAAAGTTGATAGTGACCAGGGGCGGAGATTTAATGGAGATCATTTACACCTTCACATTCTTCGCCGATCTTTGTCGGTCGCAAATTCCTTGATTGGTGTTCTCCACGCGGCTCTTATTCCCGATGGATCTGAACTGGGTTATTCTAGTCTGTTTCATAATGTGATTCAGGGACAACCATGATTCAACCTTGAGGGATCATTGGTATAAATCATCTCATTGTCACTGGATCTCCTGACTATGGTACATGAGAGTATTTCAACATTCATTGGCAACCCTACATGTATTCGAAAATGATGTCCATGTCTCCCTGGTACTTGTCCTGGCTGGTGAGCCTGACGACCTCAGCTTTGGCTGCAAGTCCAGCGGATTGGCGCACTCAGTCGATTTATTTCATGCTCACCGATCGATTTGCGAGGACTGATAATTCGACTACTGCTAGTTGTGATGCATCAATGGGTGTAAGTCACAGCATACACCTGTCCAGATGTATACAGGGCAAGGACTGACTGGTCATAGGTCTACTGTGGTGGTTCCTGGCAGGGAATCATCAACCATGTAAGCCCTTTATCTAGCATACCCCCTTGAAAATTTTATGTTCTGACTGTTTAAGCTTGATTACATCCAAAACATGGGATTCACTGCCATTTGGATTACACCAGTCACAGAACAACTCTCACAAGAGACTGCTGATGGAGAGGCATACCACGGGTACTGGCAGCAGGATATGTAAGTATTCCCACGATCATATGAAGTACCCGGTGACTGACTATGAAGCAGCTACTCCATCAATTCGAACTATGGCACCGCTGACGATCTCAAGTCTCTAGCCTCGGCCCTTCATGATCGGAACATGTATCTGATGGTCGATGTTGTTACCAATCACATGGTGAGTCTTCATAAGTCAACTATCTGGAAATCATAATACTGATCTAGCCCAACAGGGATATGCCGGTGCCGGTGATGCAGTAGACTACAGTGTTTTCAACCCCTTTAACTCGCAAGACTACTTCCACTCCTACTGCGAGATAACCGACTACTCCAATCTAACTATGGTCGAGCAATGCTGGGAGGGAGACACGATCGTCTCTCTCCCAGATCTTGATACAAAGTCTGAGACTGTCCAAACTATGTGGAATGACTGGATTACGGGTCTCGTTTCCAATTACTCTAGTAAGATAACGCATTCTCTATAGTCAGTACACTAAACTAATGACTCGCTCAGTTGATGGTCTGCGAATTGACTCAGTACTGGAAGTCCAGAAGGATTTCTGGTCTGGGTTTGAAAGTGCTGCTGGCGTCTACTGTATCGGAGAGGTTGACAATGGTGACGCGACCTTGGTCTGTCCCTATCAAGACGTCATGGATGGCGTTCTTGACTACCCTATGTATGACCTGTCTCATTCAAAGCAAAAAGATGGACATCACTGATACTTAATAGGTACTACCCCCTTCTCAGAGCCTTCGAGTCCTCCAGGGGAAGCATTAGTGATCTGTATGATATGATCAACACGATAAAATTAGACTGCTCCGACTCTACCCTCCTGGGCACATTCGTTGAAAACCATGATAATCCACGATTTGCATCGTATGTCCCTTTGCCAACCCCTTCCACTTATAATACTAACAACAATAGATACACGGACGATACGTCTCTTGCCAAGAACGCAGCCACGTTCACCATCATGTCAGACGGCATTCCAATCATTTACGCAGGCCAAGAGCAGCACTACAGTGGCAGCTCGGTCCCTAGCAACCGCGAAGCGGTCTGGCTATCAGGATACGACACTAATAGCGAGTTATACCAGCTAATCGCACAAGTAAACGCAATTCGAAACCAAGCTATCTACGCAGCGGAAGACTATATCACATACAAGGTACACATCAATTCCGAGTTCCTCTATCTTCAAGTTCCCATTTCTAATCGAAATTAGAATTACCCAATCTACCAAGACGATAACACGCTAGCCATGCGAAAAGGCTACGACGGATCCCAGACCATTACGATTCTCTCTAATCTAGGCACCGGCGGAAGTGAATATACCCTTTCATTATCCGGTACAGGCTACGAGTCGGGATGCATCGTGACTGAGATTTTCACATGCACCAATATCACAATTGATAACAATGGAGATGTATCAGTTGCAATGAATAGTGGAGAGCCGCGGATTTTGTATCCCAGTTCGAAGCTTAGCGGGTCCACACTGTGTTCATAGTTAAATTACGGTGAAAACCCGGTGAATCATTAGCTGAACTTCTTCCTTGCTAAGAGATAAGTGTAATTAAACTAAATTATTGACCGCGTCATGGCTCTAGGTATCCATATTGCAGATATTCAAGTTATTGCAAGTCATTTTATTCAGTGAAAATTAGATCATGTTGAAGTCGATCATTTCATTTTTGATTGATTACAAAAAGTAATCAAATATTATAACCAAAAGAACTCAAAATAATCCACCTGACCCATCCAAAATTGATATTTACTAGAAAAAGAAAAAAATCCTAAATTCCACATGTACAAATCCAACACCAAAAGACTAAAATAGAAAGAAACTAAAAATCATGAAGAGCCCTCGGCACCAGTCCGATAGGCATAGCACCACCAAGAACAGGAGCAGGATGCTGTTGAAACATCGCAGGAGCGGAGAAAGCGGGTTGAGAGGGGACGTAAGCGGGCATAAGCTGATCGAAAACACCATAACTATCAACAACAGGCTCAATACCACCTGCAGTAGGGATGAGCTGAGTCAGATCCAAATTTTCAGTGCGAGGAGGTTGCGATTGAGCGAACATGGCGCTTTTTAAGGCGTGAGTTGTTGGGGAAGATTGACCGGTCGCAGCTTCAGAGTATCTGCGTTGCACTTCACCAACGATAAAAGCAATACGGTATGAAAGGTGATCACTACTCGGAGCGAGATGGAGTAGGAAAGCTCGGACTTGGTCGATTAGGGAATCGGAGGGATTATAGTCGCAGAGAGTTAGGGCGGCGTAGCCGAGAATATAATAAACGTGGTCGATTAGACCTGGTGCAGCGGAGAAACGAGTTTGCATGGATCGCGAAATGATTAAACGGGCATTGCTGCATATTTCGGACACGAGTTGATCGGATTCGGATTGGATTCTTGTGGCGGTTCGGTGGAGGAGAAGTTGACAGAACCAGATACTCAGCTCTAGAGTGGATTGACCTTCGCTAGCTGTGGATTTGTTAGTAAGGATACAGCATTCTGCTCATTCTGATCAACATACAGAGGAGATGAGCCCATTCCATCTTCCAGCGCTCAATTTCTTCATATTCAACTTCTGCGAACTGGAGGCGCTGGGGGTGATTTTGGATTCTCAGCGCAATGCGATAGAGGGAGATCTCTGCGACCACTCGTCCATCCTCTTGTGTAGCTCGTGGATGATCCAAAATCCGAGAACAATGATCGAAATAATGAGATGGTACATTAACAGTACGTCCATATCCCAATGCGGAACTATGCTTTGTTAGTATATCATGGGATCGGCAATGTTCTGGAAGTACTCACTGTAAATGAGTTAGACAAAATGTATTCCAGAGACGCATCTGAGGAAGCATCTCATCAGGTAAAATACCCTTGGTGGGTTGACTGTGCAAGAAAGTAAAGGAGGTCAAGGCATGGTTAATTGAGATCCCGCTCAATAACCACGCATCCATAAATCCTTCCTTATGACCGGAAGTAGGATATAGACAAAGTAATGCAAGGGCCTGAAGCAGGTCATTTGTTAATGGAGACTTTCTCCAGAGAGTCTTTGTGACCGCATGCTGAACTTGCAGGGCGATCTCATGAGTAGTATTTGGAGGCATTCCCGGTAGATACCGAGAGGCTAATAAACAAGCAGTATTGAAGAGAAGAGGATTTGTCCGCTGAATATTTACGGAATGATCTATTGAGACCCAAGGACTGAAATAATCGACAAATCTGTAATCTGTTAGCACATTCAAGTTACATCAGACACAGGGGAAGCTCACAGTTCAATCAGTTTCAATGATAACTTAGCATCTACGATGCCTTGAGAGACAACATCTCCCAGCATCTCATTTTCAGAAGAAAACTGGTCTCTGTCACCGAAACACTCAAGTTGCAAGTCCCGAATAAACTGAACAGGCTTTAAAGTGAATGCTGCACCATTATCACTCGCTGCCTCATCTATACTGTTATTTCGCGTGGGGAAAATCGGACTGCTCGCAGCATGCGGCTGATTGACTATTTGTCGCATGAGATTAATCATCTCACCCATTCCCCGTTCTAAAGATACAAGTCGTTCTTCAATAGAGGGAATAGCAGCGTTGGCATCGGACCAAGTTGATGCATTGTCCTGATATCGCTCGGGTGTTTCAGGTAGCTCACATTCAAGCCTTTACAGAGGGAAAATTAGCCTGACACATTTTAATAAAAAAAAAAGCTCGCATTCGTATTCGCATTGGGCTTAGGCATTTCATAAATTGGAATAACCACCTGGGCACTGGGCAGCACAAACCTCAAAGAAAGACAACGACGACAAGCATGACCTCGAGGATCCAAATCACAACGAGTCTTCAATTTTCGACATGTATTACATGCAGTCATTGATCGACGAATTCTTCCACGGGGACGGGAATCCTGACCGACCGAGTCAAGTCGATGACCATCATCAGTCGCGGCTATGCTCTTCGTCTCCCACGACGAGGCACTATGTGAAGGTTCAGTTCGAGTCATTGAGAATTATTTGAGATCATTTGATTTAAATAGAAAGGTCAGAAGAGATCATAAGAGGTAGAGAAGAGGTCAGAAGAGGAATAAGTCAAATCAATTGGACCCTTTTGCCAAGGTTTCAAGTTCAAATGAAGATCATTCAAAAAATAGAAAAGGTGGAGAGAGTGGAAGGCTTATAACAGATAGAAGAGAAAAAGCTACAGTAGCCAATTGCGACAAGGTACTGATTACTGACGATATCATCCCTCCAGCTGCGCAGGTACAATGATCCACTTCATTAGAGCGGACCTGGGGTAATTCGTAAGGCATCCACCAATCTTAAAGTATCCCGAGCTTCTAGAAAGAGTATGATAGCCGGGTTCCTATTAAAATTGGAACTGAGAGAGAGGGGTTGATACATAATTCCCTGTTCTTTTTTTTTCTTTCTAATCTATTCTAGTTTCTATGCCGATGTGAACCGACTAGAAGGTCCGGGAGGCGTGGCACCATTCTCGATCGGATCTATGTTAGGGAAGAGTTTAGGAGACTTCTTATCGCAGATCTTTTCTATTTTCTTATTTTCTTATTTTCTTTTTATAATAATATTATTTTCTTTATTTTCATCTTTTTTTCTCCCCCTGATCTACTTTTACTCCGTACCCGGGTTGCATTTCTAGATGATTTCCACTTTAGTGCGGATATCTCCGAATTCAGGCCATTTGTACGAGATGCTTTTACGATTGCCACCCTAACTATTATCCAATAGATCATACAGATTTATAGAAAGTGGGGTTGATATCATATCACAGTGGGGAATATTAAGGAGTGGATGAGTTATTAGCATGTGCGAAAGGAATCTGGATAATGTTCAAAATAATCAAAATAAATCTGTTATTGGATGAAAGAGAAGAGGAAGCAATGTTACTCTGTAACTTTCTAGACCCGGCTAACACCGGATCGTTAACCGGCTAATGCAGACTTCTTAAACTAGCGTTATCCTTAGCGACCGTTTGGAAAGGACACAGGTTCATAGGAAGAAAACGTGCTTTCATAGTGTTCGTAATGTGGACATTAGTTAAATTGAATCCCGCATTCCCCGCTGGAAATCATTATCTTTAGTTCTCTGTGATCTTATCATTCCATGTATTCAGATATCTCCCAATTCTTGTTCATATGAATTCCAGATAGGTTCATTTTTGTTTCTTTCTTTGGCAAAATCCATTTAATCGCGCATTCTGAAGTTTAGCGAGGCGAGACCATGACAGCCGAGGCTCATTCGTCACCCCCACTGTAGACTCCACTTTGGCAGATTGCGGTTTAATCTACACAATTGTAGACGGTCTGGTACCTACCACTTCGAGATTTAGCGTAATCTTAGTTGGTCCGATGCGGGAACTTGTCAAGAAGCGGTCTGAAGTTCGAATATCTCGGACTTATCATAGCGATGCCATTGACTAGTGGTCCACGTCCAATATGGTCCACGTTGACCTTGAAGTTAGAATCAAAAGGAATTGCCCAAGTGTATTGTCAGACATTCATCCATAAACATCCATAAGCCTTGGAAGGATTCAATGTTACCAAAAAGGGCAGGTATCATTACCCCATATTCCCCTTTCATCACGTTTTGGGGGAAATCCTGCACTTGATCACGCCAAGCTTGATAGTAATGGTTCAAGAAAAGTCAAGCAATGCGCCTGTTGCAGTGGTCCTATCATCCATTCGTATTTTGGTGGTAGTCCAGCTGCAGGTCTAGGTCGAAAGGCTGCAAAGTGGATACAAAAAAAGACGGAAGGATCATTAGCTTCAAATCTTCGCCCCCATCTCTCCCTTCTCTTTCGGTCTTTCCTTTTCTCTCCGTGAGAGAGGTCCTGGGACCTGGGTCAAGAGATCGAATCACAAGAAAATCATTGATGGAACACCTGGGATATTAGAGGACTCTTACAGATAATTTCTCGCGCTTATGCAGGCCATCATTTTAGAAGCATGCAGCACTCGAAAAAGGCAAGACCATGATGATCGCACCAATCGTGGTTGATCCATGATTTATCTGTTCCAATCATGAATCCCATGAAACCAAAATCCTCTTTATGGTTGGACGGGGGGCCATCAAGCCATGGGCTTGTACCATTGGCGGATAAGAGATTTTCCTTTAGTCCAGTTCGCTAGGCATCCAGAAACAATAATCCTGCTTCCATGCATGAAAATTAACTTCAATCACCGTGGCTCAAAAGTCCAGCCACCAGTAATAAAAAAGCTTTTGTGACGACATTCAATAATATCATCAAAATTCGCCAGTCTGCTTCTGGGTTAGTGAAAGAAAGAAAAGAACTTTCTGGCGGAAGATAAGCAAAGTTCATGTAGGGAGGCGGATATCGCCGTCCGCTTTATGTCTCAAAGATAAGACTGCCATCATGAATGAATCTCCTCGAGTTGCCGATGCAAACCGCTCATATCAAAATTAAATGCCTCGAGTAGTAAGCGGCTTTATTAAAAATTGTTCGGGGGCGTATCTCGCTTAGCCAAAAAGCCGATTGCCATACCATTTTGGGTTGGAATATCCGACTGAACCGGGCCGGTCAGATTGCAATCCAGGGCCGGTACTCTGGAGAGAGAGAGTCTGGAGAGTACTCCAAGTAGAGGGCGCAGTTTCAGTATCAATCCATGGATCCTAGTTAACGCCAAAATGAGATATCAATTTCTTAAGTGGAGGACCAATTCTCTTTGAAATGGGATATTTCGAAAGTCCACGTATTAGTTGCGATGTCGGAACAATTGAGAGTCGTAAGTGAAGAAATTTGTCATTGGAATGACACATTCGAACGGATTGGATATGCGTGATGTCTGAAATATGCACAGTCTTGAAATTGCCATTGCAGAGTCCACTTGGGCATCGGCAGACACCGAAAAGGGTTCTAGAAGGTCCACATGTCCCAGATGTGTTGCTCTCAGATCTATGATGAGCATTGAGATATGTCGACATTTCAATGCTGTGATCCACCCGTGCTGGTCGATGGTATCGGGTTGCAATTGAGTATAAAACTCTTCATGAAGTCTGAACGGGCACCTGGGTATTAATACCCTGTCTCGCTGTTCACTTATGACAAATGGGTCCCACAAGAATCCTTCAAATATCGCCGACGGAGCAGGGTTTCACTGCATATCCGCTATGAGGTATCATTGTTGACAGGTCCAGATCTCGGGGATCACGCCGGCCCGGTGGTATATGGGGTTGTGCGACCTATACTGACGTCGGTCAATGGTTAGTCTGGGCTGTCGGGCCGGGAGATCATCATGTCGCAGGGTCTTTGATCCGAATTGGCAACCGGTTTGGGAATTTGTAACCGGTCTGGTTGACAACAAGCAGGGATTGGCAACTTCATCCCGAGCGCGTGTCGGACTTCTCTACCTCATTTCTCATCACGATGACCTCTGGGGCTTTGTTTGAACCTTTTTTTTTCTTGTTGACTTTCTCCTATATTGAAGGGGGAAGGCGCTGCGGAAGTGGGAAGGTGGTTGCAGAGCACTGGCATGAGTGAGGTGGACAAGAGGCGTTTTATCTCGATGAGCACATGTGATTGCAGGCATGATTCAAGTTCTCACCCTCAGTGCGGGTAGTAGACAAGAATATAAATGTGATTCGGACCGGATATACGCTGCCTAAATGCAAATTCAATCTGAGAGGGGTACTAGTTTCTTTGAGGAAGGTCACCAAGTACACCCGATAGATCAGTTGGCTAGACATGAGAAGAGACTGCATTGGTCAAATTCAACATACATTATGGAATGTGACTCATTTCGCTTGACAAAAGTAGTTAGAGCAAAGCTACCTTACCATCGGCTAAGCTGTCATATCGATATGATGAAAGCTCACTGGTTGTTCATCAGATTAGAATTGCCATTAATAGGTTTAGTCTTGGCTCTGTACCCCAATCTCCCGGAGAATGTTCATATCTCCCCGTACATTTACTTACCCCCGGTCAACATTCCCTCATCTTCACCAATTGAAAGACACTGAATCTGCAAAGCTTGATTTAGATTGCATGGGTGGATTTTTTTTTATTGGGTCCAGTTCCAAAACAGATGCAATATCATCACTTCATCCGGATTATCTCGGATCTTGAATATGAAAATTGAATGAAGGATCAAGTGACATACTGCTTAAGTATGATAGGATCGGCTAAGTGATATTCTCATCCCGATAGACGATCACAACTCTCGGATGTACCTAGTACATGAGAACTCGGCCAGACCAAATCGATGATTTATGATGCAACATTGGGATGAAAAGACAGCTGACCTCAACAATCAAGCTACACCACTTCGAGAATCGGTCCCAATCATCAGCAAAAGCTTAGCATTCTCACTAAGTCCACAGTAAGCAAGCCACTGGAACAAATATTCGTCACTGCTTGCTGAAAAGGGTAGGGAAGCATGCGTACACACAAGATTTCGGAGTATCCGGTATTCATACGTGTAGACTTTTAGATGATATAATGTATCTACTATAAGTTGAGAGGTCAGCTGAACTGGACGACTATCCTCATCGGACATCTGAAATTTGAATATTCAAATGATTTGGAGAAGAAATACCGATCACGCATGTTCCTGGACATACGTCTCCCGTGGTAGTCTCTTCCAGTGGAAGGCCTGATCCAAAGCTCCACCCGTGGATTGGCATATCGAGACACAAAGTCAAAAGAGATAAATTTCAAACATGGAAATAATATCCAGTAGACACATATAGAGACTCGGAGATTTGAGCATCATTTGCATAATTACTATTACTAGTAAAAGTACATGTTAGACGCCCGTTGTAACTTCCAACCTTGAACACGTTGGGGCAACCTGAAACCAAAAGGTTGAGAATGGACCAAAGACCTAAACATAACAAGGCGAGTCACCAATAAGAGAAAGACCGTCAAGCTTCAAGCTCTGTGTAGCTGGAGGCGGTTCAAATATTATCCAGAAACTGATCTTGGAGTAGTACTAGAATCTTACATCCTTGCATGCCAGGGTCCTCAGGCTTGGGGAGCTCGGCTAAATCAATTGATTAGAATTAATATCATATTTTCAAGCCACATGTGCATGCATAACTTGAGCGTTAGGGGTCAAATTTGAATGTCTCCACCCTACGTACCAACAAGTATATATACGAAATGCGCTAGAGTGAGATACGTACAACAAGATAAGACCAGGGCCATCGATCATTGAAAGTCTATGCCCAGGTGAACGCCTGGATCAACCTGGTTCCAATGTTGGAGTGCTATATCAATAAATTTTATGAAGTATCGTTTTAAGATCCGAATGTTTGAACTTGAATTTTAGCCCATGAAATCTAGCTCTGAGTTTTAACCTTTTAGCCAGACGGCAAACATTGAGGTCTTTCAAATATTACAAGGTTCCACTCTACTCGTACTCGTAATGAGTCACTCGAGGGGTTGTGACTTGAATAGAAAGGCTAAAGTATACGACTTGAGATAATTTACATCACCAAAAACGAATTTGAAGTCTTTCAGCTCCGAGTTTCGGGAAATAATGAATGCAAATGAACATTTCCCATAGAGAAGAAATCTCAAACTTGAAATTACATGCTCGAATCATGGACCTGTGTATATCCGAAATACAATTCAATCAGCATCGGTGGTTATGGCGATTGATCGTGTGGCGTCCAAGTCTCTCTGTAACTCCCCAATCTTCGTTTCCAAAGCAGCCACACAGTCCTTTCCAAGTGGCAGTCGAAGATAATCATACCCATCAACTGTAGCGTTTATAATTATTTTCGCTGCTTTCTCTGGGTCTCCTTTAAGCCAGTCCGGAACAACCGTAAGATTTCGAGACATGTTGAGCATCGCCTCAACTGGTGTGCCCTTGTAGCCGTCGCTGAAGCCATTCTCAAATGCCACAGGAACAACCTGACGAGTCGCAAATGGGGTTTTAAAAGCCCCAGGCTCCACAATTAGGACTTTGATTCCGAGGGTCCTGACCTCGTGGGATAGGGATTCGTGAAAAGCCTCGATTCCAAATTTACTAGCCGAATAAGTCCCTCGTCCAGGGCGTGCAATGAATCTAACCAGTATCAACCTCGATGTCAGTCCTACAATTTTAAAGCCTTTGATATGAAGGTATACACATACCCGGCGCCGCTGCTGATTAGAATGATGTGGCCCGAGCCTTTTTCACGCATGACTGGCAGACAGGCTCGGACAGCACGAAGAGGCCCATAGAAGTTCACCTCCATTTGATCGCGGACATCTTGTTCACTATATCAGGCTAAGCCAGAGCCACGTAAAATATTTCAGAACTGTCTGAGTTACAAACCTTGTATCCTCCACACCACCGATGAAAGCATATCCGGCACTGTTCACCAGAACATCCACGTCGTGCTCACGAGAGCACTTTGCAAATTGATCGTACGCATCATCTTGGGCAGGGTCGAGGCCTATCCAAATACCACCCTTCGCCGAAAATTCCGGATAGGTGATTTCGGCCTTGCTGACATCGCGTGTGGTTCCAATCACCTTATTTCCAGCTTGAAGAGCTTGCGAGGCAATCGACCTGCCCAAACCTGATGAGGCGCCGGTGATCAGCCAGGTCAATTTAGTGGCAGCCATAGTAATTCACTTGTGTGATTTGATTGATCGGTTCGGTGGGCGAGTTTCCGTTCCGTAAGAATACGTGCTACACTGGTAGAACTAATCACTCTGTAGTATTTTTAGGCGTGGGGAAACTGAAAAAAGTAGCGAACGACCAGCATATTTTGTAGTGAAGAGACGGGGACAACGGAGTTAAGACCTAATGTCCCTCTTCCTTGAGCTATCGTCCAAGATTTCTCATACTAGTCTGTCCCAACACATTAATGTGTTTGTTTTCTTCCATACTGCACATGTGCGGGGCCATGGTGGTTCGTTGTCGATTACATCACGATTCACGACAAGGCACCGGTCGGCTTCCAAGGTTCAACTTGGAATGATCTTTGACCTGAATCATCTAGTATGCATGTTCTAGTATTGATTCTGCGGTAATTGGAGCCACGCCCAATCATCTGGTATATTTGTGGATGTGATAATTGCCAGTGACCGATTCTCACGGAGTTTGGCGTTTAAATCCGTAACTATTCCGAGATCCCCTGACTCGATCCCTAGTACCACAAAAGGTCCAGTGGAACATTTGAACAGGCTGCTCTAAATTCCAGGTCTGAAGATTCAAGCTCAAGTTATTGTAATCATTAATTGTCCGATCCATTTGAAATTAAATCACCATATCGACGGCGAACTTCCATCGTTCGATATATCCGCACCCACTATGAGAAAATCACAACAGCATTGGAAATCATCAATCTCATGAGGCAGCCATTGAGAGCTGGAAAGCTGAGTAACGAAAAAAGGCAACAGAAATTCGCTGCACTCCAGCCTTCGAGTCTATACTCGCTTCTTAAAACACAACTTCAATGAACTGGGTACAAGGGTAAAATGCTCCTTCATTCCCTGTTCATACGCTGCTAAACTCATTCCAGGGGCCAGCTGTAGGTCATAGTCTGCGACAATTCGGGCAACGGTCGCCCGAATATTCAACAAAGCTAAGGGTTTGCCGATGCAGCCATATGTGCCTATAGAGAAGGGTGCATAGGCAGACGCATCAGGCATCAAATCAGGGCGTGAGTACCATCTTTCAGGGATAAACTCGTTCGGATTGATATAACAGTCCGGATCTGGTAAAACATTCTGTCAGTTAAGCTCATTAAATCATGGAAGGGCGAATGATTTACTTCGACCTAGCACGTATTGCGGACAATACACAGTTGTGTTTCCGGGTATGAATGTACCATCGATAGTTAGGCCTTCCGGTGGAGTTTCACGAGGAATTGCAGATGGGACTGGAGGAAACAGCCTCATTGCCTCATTTATAACACCATTCAAATGGTCGAGATCTTTTAAATCAACAGGTAGGTAATCTCCCAGTTCTGTTCGGGTCAAACCATCAATCTCAGCACGAAGTATACCTATATGCTGCGGTTGATCAACGAGGTATCTGAAGATACTTGTCAAGGTAGCTGATGCCGTGTCACTGAGACATCCTTTGTTAGCTTAATATCCTGCATCGGCATTTAAAGCTGGCAACATACCTCCCTGCGACGATGATGAGTTGCGCGTCACCTTGCAGCCAGTCCCACTCACGCTTACTGGGGGTCTGGTTATCCAAAGCCTTAAGAAGAGAACTCATGATATCTGTCGTATTTGACTTCATCTGTGGCATTTGTCAGAAAGTGAATATTCTAATGAAGGTCTTTCCTGGCTGAACTCACCTGCATACGCTTCTCCACTTGTTCGCCACAATAGGTTATGAACCCCCACCAGTCTTTTGACAGTCCCGGAACTGCTGTCATGAAGCGAAATAGCCATGCAGGAAGCATATATCCAACAGCCTCAAATGCCTTGTGAAGAAGTGCGATTGCACCATGTTCTTTGCTTGTCTCAAGCATGCCGAATGAAGCACCGAAGGCCAGATCGCCCATCACGTCAAAGGTGAATAAGTTGAACAATTTTGAAATGTCGAATGACTGGTCACCGGACTTATCAATTGCTTGAATCAATAGAGCACGATACCGAGTCATGCGAGTCTCGTAGTCTCGCAGGTTCTTTTCGCCAAATGCTCCGCTCCAAACACGGCGCCTTTTTTCGTGCAAAGATTTGTCACGAGTAGTATGTAAAGACACAATGGGCTTTGTCGAGTCATACCAAGCTGTTTTTGAACATTTTGATCCAGAGCCATAGATCGCTTGAACCGCTTTCGGGTGGACCACCGACAAGTCATTCGAACCGATTCGCAAGAAGAGCCCATGTCTTGCATGTAGATTTTCAAGCTGGCGGAAGGCATCCTGTTTTCCTAAGAAGGTTGTAAACCAAGCATTGGAGATCTTGCATCCCAGTGGACCGGGGAAGTCACGAAGCGGATGAAAGAATATTCGAAAGGCGATCAAGCTTCCATAAACGCCGGCGAGGTAAGATGCGAGTAGTGAGAATGACGATGAAGCGGATGTAGCGATAGGTACTTGGAGGAGGTTACTTTGTATGAATGTCAAGGATAAAAACACCGCTACTCCAGTCAAAAAATAGCTCATGCCATAAAGATGATGCTCGCCGATGCGAAAAAAGGCTAGGTGTGAGAAGATGCCAGCTATCACAGCGGGGATTGTCGCAATTGAAACCCCCATTTTGCTGGTCTGCTTTCACTAATCAGGATCAATAGACTTAGGCCAGGCCTATCGAGTTTTGATATGAGAAACACGGCAGATAAATGACAACGTCTCCATATAGCAAGCACTTTAATAAAAGCTTAGCTTGTGGTATTGTAGCCCACTTCGAAGACCGGGATATTCACGATCCACTTGAAGTGTTAATGGATTCAAGTTGGTCAAAGCTGAAGATTGAGCTGACATGATGACACTTAACTAATTTGAGATTTACCCCTCTTGAGTGCATCAATGCTGCAGGTGCATTGCACTAAATACGAGTCACATTGACCTTCAGGCGTACCAGATTAAGATACCCGATAGCCAACTAAAAATGAAAACAAGATAGGAGAAGATCCTTAAGATCATATTGCTCTCAATTTCACATACCTAATACTACCTATTCTTTATCTCATAATACGTTGTCAATCTCCGCCTTCTCTTCTCTTCAAATTGTTCAAGAAATTCCATCTATGAATGCTAGTCTCAGAGTGTCTACACTAGTGCTTACGGTCGCATCGCTCAACACTGACAGCTGAATTATCACATAAGCAAATTGAATAGTTAAGTTCCAAGGTTCTTCATAATGATAATATGATGCCGCAATATTGCTTCCTAATCCTATTTGGGTTAGTATAATATTGCGGTGAAAGTATTGATCTTATTTCATAGATTGATCATCATGGTCCAACTTGGAAGCACAAACTCCTTCGATATCAATGCAAACCTTCAAGTTCAAGTTGATTTTACCTGTTGACATCCATCACAATCGATAGAGTTCCCCCCTACGCTATGCCAGCTCATGGTGGCGCTGCCTCTTCGTAATGAAAACTCATCTGCCCAGTCTTTCCAAGGTTCAAGTTGGAATATGTGTCGTAACTTCCAGCTGAAGCCACAAAGTCACCCTCGGGGTATTAAGGACCCATCCCATGAGCTGTTCTTCGTATCTTGTCCCACATGTGCAGCCAGCTGAATAGTATCATCTCAACTGTTGACAACAAAACGAACATAAAATGATTCTGAGGACACGCCAGCTTTATTCCATGACAAAGCCCCATTCTAGATTATGGTTTAATCATTGACACGATGACTATCTCTTCTAGAAACCAGGACCTATCAGACCCAAACCATACTTCGTGGGGCTGAGCTGGAGTCCAAGGAATCCAAACACGCCCTCCCCGAATCTACAGAGGCAAGTAAAAATTCTCTATCAGTCCAATATTCACAGGAACTGACTCCTATGCAGAGCAAAGCTAATATGATTGACACTGTCCTCAATTTTATAAGCATCTTCTGGCTCTTCACAGAAAGCGATTTTCTCACATTCATTAGCCCAGTCAGTGCTTTTGGGATTCTCGGAGCTCTATCCGGGCCACTCCTCTTGCAAAATGCCGATGAACCTCTCAAAGTGATTTATCGATCTCCGCTGGTTCTGATCTTTAACTGGAGTAATTCGTTTATATTTGCCTTGGCAAACCAGCGACTACCGGAGTCTGTTGAAGAAGATCGATTAAACAAACCACGCAGACCTCTTCCTTCGGGCCGAATAACGCCGCTCGGTGCACGTCGAATTCTTCTCGTTTCATTACCTGTTGTGCTTTTTATTAACTATATCTTGGGGCCCTGGGTTGAAACATCCCTGCTGTTTACTCTGAATTGGATGTACAACGATCTAGGTGGTGGTGATGAAGGTGAGTAACCAGCCTCTACTGTTATCGGAATGCAGTCTCTGACATCAATGAGATGTTTGCAGATTTCGTTCTTAGAAACATCATCATTGGTATCGCATTTGGTCTATATAATGCGGGCTCCCTCAAGATTGCGGGTGGAGCCGGCTCAATTATCAACAACCAAGACATCATTTGGATCGGAATTATTAGTTCTGTGATCTTTACGACCATGCATGCGCAGGATTTAAAAGACCAAAAAGGTGATCAGAGCCGAGGAAGAAGGACAGCCCCAATTGTTTTGGGTGATCTTTTCGCTCGGCATACTATTGCGATTCCGATTGCTATCTGGTCCATTGTTTGTCCATTATTTTGGCAGTTAGACTTTGAAGGATGTGCTCTCACCGTGCCGTTAGGTGCATATATCATCTGGTGTCTTTATGCAGATAGAACCTTAAAGGGAGATTGGAGATCATGAAAACTGTGGACTCTTTGGCCTGTTCTCTTAGTAAGTGTTCCCCTTCGGCCCATGCACCTTGCGAATATCTTACCGACATCTGGATGTCATAGTATCTGCTCCCAGTAGTGAAAGGGATTTCGTCATTGGAGTTTCAGCTCTTCTGAACATACTGTCGGTCAGGCTACGATGCCGCTGCTGAGCCCTGGAGGTTGCGGAAGAATGGTACGAGATATTGCTTTCACCTGGGCGACATTCAATGAAGTGTTGATATTGGATATGTCTTAGTGGAACACACTAACTTTAACTTGAAGTGCAGGAAGTTTCATGATTGAATGACTATTACTATTAATGAGTCTTTGTAGTCTCTTTCTTGATAAATGCAACTTTTGAATGCAGATTAGACTTGACTCCGCTGTCGTCACAAATATGTAGGCTTTGGATACCCTCTCAGTAGATGTCGTGATCGAGATTTTCATCTTTCGAGGTGCCGGAGATTGGATTAAAAGCTTTGAGCTTCTTCGTTTGTATTGAATAGGACCACTACTCTACTCCTTAATTATTCGGAGCGATAGAACGTCATTCTATCAGGCTCCATACTATCTATCCCTTCTTCCGTCCCAACTTAGATCCAAGAACTCCTGCAATCCACTGTACATTCTGGAGGCCTGACATTAGACAAAGCAGATCCTTCAAGTATCAGGAATGAAGTTTAATCCTTCGACCTCCAGGGAGGGAATGTAACGCAACGCGACACTGGACAACTTGAAGGTGCGGTCAATATAACAAAATTTAAACCTTGGAACGCATACTAGGTTGTAAAGTCCAGGTGCGATGTGGTAACATGCATATGTGACAGCCTTATGTTGTGTATTCCGCCTCAAATCTTGTTTTCTCGTCTCTCCCTTACAGAACAAGACCAGATTCAAGTTTTACGACCTCACCGAACGTGTGAATGCTGGAGGTCAGCCTGAATCTACCTTAGGTACTTTATTTCTTACTACATGACTCAAGTTCAAGATGACATCCATTGGATTCTAGGTAGCAGTGCGTGCAGTGCAGTGTTGGTACTAGTAATATTTTCATTTAGTCTGAATTACACTCTCTCCTCTACTTTCTGCATATGCACGTATGCGCTTCAAATGTTCGTGCTCATGAATCATGATGTGGCTAATACTAGTAGTATCTAAGCGTTAGCACCAACCCGGCATAGTGCAGCTGTCAGCTTAATCCTGTAGTCCTGCAAACTTTCACTAGTGATAAAATGTCACCTAGCCGGATTTACCGACTACTTCATGTCTGCAGTCATCATCCTTAAGGTCCACCGGGCACAGCGAACCAGTTCCCCACCTGCATTTGCACTCAAAATGTCGAAGACCCAAATAAATCCCAGTGGATTCCAAGGTTAAGGAGATTCGGCCGATTCCAGAAGAAAAGTCAATAGTGTTAGTGGTCTTCAAGGTTACTAAGTCTACATTGGCCAGACTAACCGGCACTATTGAATTCGCTACGTAGAACGGTGGGTCTGGGTCGATCATCCCGTCAAAGTGACTGTAAAGACATACATAAAATAATTTATTAGCAACCCGGACTAGCATTCCGTATTCCAGGTCCATGGATGTCGTATGATCAAATCTAGAGAGTTCTCCGCATAATTGTAGCCCTGAAGGGTCCACGACTCCAACATTGAAGTACGCCCGACGCCTCACACCTGGGCAAATGGGTACCCAACCTAAGAAGGAAGGAGGCATCAATGTTACATGATCGACTGCAGATAACATTCAAATTGAACATAAAAATATAGAAAAATATACATAAAGGAACTTGAAGGGCTCAAAATCGAGACCTGTCATGTTTTCTCCGCGTATTCCGAAATGAATCCCGTAAAATGAAACAGACGAAAAAAGCAACACTTGACAAATCCAGCAAATTCAAAAGAAATGAAAGAAAAAGAAATTATCGATCCTTTGCCAGTATTGGTTGCATGAAACACACCGATGAACACCCTCACGAACGCCTCGATATGCATTAGATCGTCATTGCGCACCCGTGACATGAGATAGATCACATTTTGAAAAGTGACAGCTCCAACCTTGGAAATGAACTCATGCTGTAACCGAGAAAGCAAAATAAAATAATATAATATAATATAATATTGTGATACTCCTCGCAGCTCGGGGATGTACAGCACGAACAGCCGCTGTGACACCCCATCGTGCACCTAGACGTCATGGGCTGAATTCACCGCTATGTGATGAATCAATTTATGTGCTCAATCCTTTATTCCAGACTAGACCAGGGTTGAAGGGTAAATATTTCCGTATAGTTTGATTCGTGCAATAGCAGTAGCATCATGATCCTTGTTATCTTGCGCATCCTGCGCGTCAGGAATCTTGTTCCCATAGGTAGGGGCTTGCATAACCGCGCCCAATGCTTTGCTTCTCCCCTGTCGGGGAGGGGGGGGGATCCTGTCGAGATAATGGATAGTCAGTTTATTTCCATTTCCTCGTGTCCTTGTCGATACCCTTGTTCTTCAATGTTTGTTTCCAGATGTTCCTCTGCAGTTATGTGCTGTCTTATACGTGGCGCTCTGGGAGTACGGAAAGATGACCCGACCATACGATACTACTAGGTATACATGGATGTACTGATTAGCACGAGCTCCGAGTCGGGGAGTTCAAGTTTTTAATGATCCTGATCGAACCCCGAGTAAATCCACCTTGAACCAAATTCAAGTTTAAATAATGTTGTTCTTTGTTCTTTGTTCTTTGTTCTTTGTATCCTATCGGACATGTTCCGTATTTGGAATTGGAATTCATCCCCAATAACAAGGCGCCGGCGCTTTATTTCCACTTAGATTTTTAGATTCCCCATGAGTTCATCGCAATTTCAGATTATCTAGACTTAAACGGTCTGGAATTGTCTCGGAGAAGAGAATCAAAAAGGAAAGAAACAGACCAATTAAGAAAGCCAAGTATGGTTCAGCGTATCACGACTTAGATTATAGCTCCACATACAGGGATGTCGTAGGCATAAAAGCCCCGAGATTACTCCATAAAGAAGCAGATCATTTACGATTGGATTATAAGATTCACGTGGAATTAATTAAATTCAAATTCAAATTCAAAAATTGAATTTGAATCCTAATCAGCCCCATCTACGCAGCATCTGGACGGAGTGGAACAATTTGAGACCAAACTAAGACTCGAACACCTAAAATCGAAGAACTCAATTCAAATTCAAATGTTCCAGACAATGCTTAGAAGTTTCAATTTTTAAAATATGAAATCCAAAAAAAAAAAAAAACTTAAATTAAGGCTGCATTCTTGACAGGCTCTGACAGGCGTCATTCCATGAAGGTGATAGACATTCGGTAAATAAATTCCGCAAATTCCGCTATATTAACCGCGCAAAAAACCAACTCTAAGCGCTTCAAGTGTTACCCAGATGTCAAAAAGGGTAGACCGAGGAGTTCACGGATCACGGAGGTAAATATAACTAGTACCTCGGTACTAATATGTACTAATATACTAGTGACTCCGTAATAAGGAGTTAAATTTTTCAGCTGGGATACCTAGTGGAGGATAGTGGAGACAGAAAGTGGCAGGTTTGAAGTGGAAACAATTGAAAATAAGTGAAAATAATGGGAAACTGGATCCATGGAAAGTAGACCCAATATTGAGATGATCCGAACAAACCTTGGAAGCTGAAGCCCTTGAAGCCAAAGGTGTAATACTCCGAGTTCTCCGATCTCTTTGATATCCACTTGATTTAATATGTAAAGGATCTCAATACGATGTTTCAAGGCAAAACCGGGGTTTGTCCGTATTCAATTCAAAATGTTCATGAGCTGAACTCTTTTTTTCTTCTCAGCTCAAGGGGCTGGTGGTGATCAGCATTGGGATTGGCTTATAATCTTGTTAATAGTGGCTCCCGTGCCGCTTAGTCGTAAGGCATGATCCACGTTTCCCGTCATGCGTGCAATAATTTTAGGATCGTCGAGTCTTGGTGGGGGATAATACCTGGGTAACTAGGTACCTAGGTAGAATATCAAAAGGAAAGAGTAAATTTTAATAAAATACTATGAAAGTGAAAGTGAAAATGAAAATAAAAGCAAGGAGACATTAATTCAAATCATAACTTGAACCCGATCCCCCGGAAACTCCCTAATAATGCAATTTTCGTCTTAGGCCCAATGCACTCTGAGAGGCACACGATGCGTTGTGAGATGCAATGTGATGCGCTCTGTGCGAGCGACATGAGATTCGATCAAAAAACTTGAAACCCATAATTTGCCCAACCAGTTCTCCCGCTATAAATAACCAAACATTTCAAAAAAAAAAATAAAAAAATAAAAAAATAAAAAATAAAATAAAAAATAAGGGTATCAAGACATGATATCTGAAGCTTCCTATCTCATGACATAGGGACCTCGATAAACAAAACGACTGGACAATCTTGAAACTGAGAATAAAACATAAGAGAAATAAAAATGCCAGTCTATCTCCAAGCAATACCATTTCCCCAACCCCATGACTCATATATGAAAGTAGAAAGGAAAAAAAAGGGAATAATCCCGGTCGTAATCCGAACGCTAGCGTTGTCGATGCGTGTATCGTGTGCATGGTGTCGATAATAATAGTAATAAAAGGCCGTAATCGAGTAGAAAGTAATAGTGAGGCTCTCTTGTTCCGCGGAGAAGGGAACTTTTGAGAGTTTAATGATGAGGCGAGGCTAGGTCGGAGCCTTGGTCAACATCGCTGAAAGGTGAATGTCGCGAGGAGTCATCAGCACCAGTTCGCATTTGATTACGCAAAGCAGGGAGTTGTCTCCTCCGAGCATTAATAAACCAATTGCTGATCTAGTCCATAATTAGTAAAAATGATCAATAGATCAAAAACGAAGTAAAAGAATACTCACCTGACTAATTGATAACCCAGTACGAGTCATAAACATCTGCTTATCCTCTTCACTAGGATAAGGATGATCCAAATGATCATGAAACCAAGCCCTCAAGATATCCGTAACAGGTTTCGGCAAATTACCACGACGACGTTTACTCTTTGAATCGATCGCATCACTCATAACACCAAAATTCGTCTGTTGAGGATGTGCCATCATAGGAGGCGACAATTGTTCGGGTTCACCCTGGTAAGCCATAGGGTGGGCATACTGCTGTGCATGCATTATGGGGGCTGGGTATTGATCTGCGGCTCTGCGGTCGACCATGGGAGCTGGGATGGGGGGCTGAGCTCGATATTCGTGTGTGTAAGGCTCAGAGCGTGGGGCCATTCTCTCTTGGTAAACCTTCCTCTCTGGCATGGATTGCAAGTCTCGAATCGGTGGGAGAATAGGACTGGGACCACGCGCGGAACTTTCGCCTAGACGCATAGATAAATGGTCTCCCATCGATGGTGGATGTTCCCCGGACCGAGTTGTATATTCATGACCATGTTCTCTGTATGGTGCTTTGGGAGATTGGTTGGGATATCCAGGCATAGAGCGAGGGTCGGCCATTTCATGTCCATGTCCGGAACCAGGACGCTCATGTGATTGTCGCGAGTTATAATATGTGGAAGAATCGATCTCGTCATGAAGGTGAGGTGGGAGAAGCTATTATAAGAGGGATTAGTTTGAAAAGAAACTTTTTTTATTGCAAATATTAGTGGCGCGACTGAATATTTCTTACCTCGCGGAAAGAAGGAAGTTGCTGAGAATGACCAACCGGGGGCCGGCTTGCATAAGAAATGGCCATGTCGGTATCTTCGTCCTCACGGGACTGTGACATAGACGTATAAATGTGGGATAGAGTGGAAAGAACAGGAATAATTTGACAGAGATCGAACAAAAACTATACAAGTTGAAGATTAGATTTGGATCAAGCTTCAAAGATCACCACGATCACCACGCGAGCGCCACCTTTTAGTAGATGGAGAAAGGAACTCGGAGTATAACAGTGGAACAAAGAACTTGAAAAGAACATTTGAAGGCTGAGAATATAAGTAACTGTAAGACTCACCAAGGGAAAAAGGCTGAATTTACGTTGACATGTCAGGAGCCAAGATCATGCAAGGTTGGGAGAATGGAAATGCGGACTCCAAATAATGCAGGGCCATGTACATTTTAAAATAAAAACGAGTCCATTACGGAGTACAGCTGGGCAAGGTCCATGGAAAAGAAGAACCAGGGGGGGGCCCAGAAAAAATGACGATCGTGGAAGTGGGTACTGGAGGAACCCACCACACCTCCGAAGGCATGCAGAGAGGGGTGGTTAAGTGTAAATCTTAGTAAATCTAGTCAATCTAGTTCAATCCTGGTCAATCCTAGTTCATCTTGGGATTAGTTCGTTCTTTGGAGCATAAGGTTGACCTTGACAGATAGTGGGATCTCCTGTCAGGAATAGTGGGAAGAGAGGATCTATCAGGTGGCGCAGAATTATTTTATTATTTTTATTTAATAAATCAGAATCAAGAAAAAGGAATAAATCATATTTCATCATATTTGTTATAATAATATTCTAATATTATTCTAATATTCTGATATTATAATCTTATAATTCCTTTGGGATATTGTGTATTTTTAACCTGACACTTATTCCCATACGACCCCGATATGTCAAACTAATACTAACAGAACTTGGAACGAACTTGTTAGAAACTTGAACTAATTTTTAGTTAGAAACACTCTTTCCACACTTTCTCCAGTATGAACCCTATGAACCTGACACATAGGGTTCAATAAGGGGAGATCAGCCGTCACCAGAATTTGACCTCACATTTTGGGGTTTTGGCTTTTCGGGTCTGGTAAAGTGTGAACCATGAATCAAGAAATAAATAAAATAAAATAATAAAAATAATAAAAATAATAAAAAACAATAATAATCATTATTATGATTATATTAAATCAGATCTCAATCGGCAAGGCCCGCGATCTTAACATACTCTACTCCGTACTCGACACATACCAGGATGCCGGCAGCAACAGCCGCAGGGGGGGGGGAAGCACTTGAGAAAGGAAAGTAACAGGTAAGTGGAGAGCGGCATGTCGTGATGTTCCTGAGTCAAGCTGAACCTAATTAATCCAATTAATTCAAATACATTTTGAGTGCTTTTTTTTGTGGAGACTCTGGGAGTAACAAATCTGAAGGATTTTCCCTAAAAAGTCAAAAGGATTGTACCCAGTAGGATCATCGTAGTCATCGTGACTGGTTCCCATTAGATCGTGACTTGGACCCGAGGAGTTTATCCAGGTGGGTAAGGGTCATTTTTTCTTTTCTTGGGAATTGTGAGAAGTGATTAATGTAAAATGATTCTGCTAGTATTAGTATTTAATGGTATGCGGTCACACTTGGCTCGATCATCCTGGTAAACTTCTGATCGGTGGACACGGAGATCGATCGACACATGAAAGGGAGAAGACCTAAACAGGCTAGAATAGAGTGACATCCGTGGTGTGGTGTTCTTGGCATCATTGGAGTTCTGGACAGGGATGGGTAGATCTCCTAGGGGTTCTTCAAATCGTTCTCCACTTCCTTCGAGATGAACCATACAGAGAGTGTGGCGCGCCGGATCCACGCCCATGGTCACTCTTGCACTCCCGTACGTCAGATCACCCACACGGAGAATCCGCTTGGATCCATCGTGACGCGCCTGGATACGAAATGGTGAATTGTACGGAGTGCGGATGTACTATATTGGAAAGAGAAAAGAGGAAAAGAAGACAAATGGGTGGGAGGTGCAGCTGATGGCTGATGGCTGATGGCTGATGGACGACATACATATGATATCTCAAGTATGATTCTGTTTCTTCACTTTTTCTTTTTTCTTCTTTTCTCATTTTTTTCTCACTTTGGATTTTATTTTATTTTTATCTCATTTTTATTCTATTTTTTTGGTTTGACTCCATCCGCTAGGGGGGTTAGACTGACGTGGTTAGATAACATTCTTCCACTCCCCGGGATTTGGGATTTGATTACCCCTCAATGTGACATGAAGCGAGAGAGATCGCCACCTTTGCGGCTCGCTTTCGCCTACTTTCACCTTTAGTACAGAGTACTCCGTACTAATAATACAATACTCTGAAGTGAAAGGAAGAGAAAAACCCATACCCACTTTGGTCCACATTTAGGCTGACAATAATGGCGAAGTCCGGTCCTACTCCAAGTTTTTTTCCCCCCATCGGAGATCCTCCCAAGTGGGGGCTTTTCAAACCAGAAAACAAAAAAGAAAAAGGAAAGAAAAAAAGAAAAAAAGAAAAAAAGGGATGGACAATAATGAGCCGTGTGATCCAGTATTTGGTCCAACCAAAAACCAATTTCACTTCCCTTGGTCCAGTGCCCGGTTCTTGGGAAATCGTGGCGGCAAACCCGGTGCGGTTCCTGGGAGTAAGACGGGATGCAAGTCAACAAGGACCCGAGACATTTTTATGGGTTACGAGATAAAATTAACCTAACATTAAAACTATTGTTGCCTACAGGGAATGCACATAGTACAATCTGTTTCGAGTTCATGTTTGAGGGAAATCAAACATACACGGACTTCCTCCGTATGGATTCACTATTCTGTCTCACATTCATGTTAACTTTTGGTTCATGAATACCTTACTGAACAAGGCAGTCATGTCCGGAGCTTAAGCAGCTCCAGTTGTTGGCTCGAACGCCACACGCGATTAACCAGGCGTCAAAAATTGGTGGAATTGGTGGAATTGGTGGAATTGGTGGAATTGGTGGAATTGGTGGAAATGCTCCAAAATGCTGGAAAATGCTAAGATTCTGATCCACTCCGATCTATTCCTATTTCCCCTTTCGATTCCAAGGAATTTGGATCCAGCCTCCACGAGGCTTGATCGGGATCTTAATGTGATTCGTCCAATCTTCAACATTTGAAGGGCCCTAATCTTCAATAGTTGGGACTTTTGTTTTCTTTGTTACGTATGACCTGGAATCAATTCCCGATCTTTTCCTTCTCCTTGTGCCTTGGTACACCAGGTTACCCAGGTGGACTTGGTAGTATCATGATACGAAGAACTCTGTCCAGATGTACTTCATATTCCTTTTTATGCAGTTTGATCTATAATCAAATATGACAGAGAAAAAAAAAAGTTCAACTTGAATCTCCACTTTTTTTCTCCCTCTCATGAATAACTCCTACACAAGATCGACCTCTCCGAGATCGTGCATAAAATGGGGGGAAGATGCAGATCATCGGATCTTGTTTATGATCAGGTATAGTTCAGATGTTCTTCCGGGGAATGAGCGGAGGAATTACTCCAGAACTGTGGAATAGCGCTATGCACCATGCAGGAATTTGTCATCGTGCAACCTGGGTTTCCCGGTACTTGGGTATGATTGCATTCGATTGCATTCTTTGGTGGGAACCTTAACTTCTTCTAAGATTGAGGTCATAGCGAGGGTTTAATCATATTAGTGTTCAGTTGATACGTTCATTTGTACTTGAGGTGACGAACCATCTACGCAGTGGCTAAGCTTATAGAACGAACCTAAGAATCTTGTTAACCAATCATCACATCTTTTAATCTATGTATTAATCCATGTTTTAATTTCTGTATTAATTCCTGTAACAAGGTTCATCTGTCACTTCAATAGTACTCATTCACGACCAGGGAACCTGGTCTATCATCCTGGTCATAACATTTTGAATATTAAACATTGAAGCGCCATGACCTCAAGTACTCATAGGTATCCAATGTTCCAATGTTTGGTCTCATTAATGAGTATTCTTCACGTTTGTCTAGATCTCATTCGTCCAGATTTAAATCACACCCGCATCAGTCACTTAGCAAATATCAGTCCAGAATGTAAGGAGTGGCGCAGTCGTGGCAGGGCAACCAGTGAAAAAAAAAATTAATAATAATAATAATAAAATAAAAAACCAATAAATCAACTCGGTATTTGACTTCGGCTGTCGCCTGTCAAAAAGGAGTTAATCTATGTGTCCCAACCTCCTGGTTTCTGGGAGACGATGAGATCCGCTATAGAAACCTTGTAAACAACTTCCCCCCATGTGCAACTCCACACTGGACTTTCAAAGCCTATATGAACTTCAATAATGAGTCTAGCGCATACAAAATTCCCTAGTTCCGAGTAACTGACTCCTCTCATGTACGGAGTACAGGGTATGAAGTACCATGTCCACCTGGGCGTACTCCAGGGCTGGCACGTACCACCAGAAGGTTCCAAGGTCCCAAGGTTAACACGAACTCATGGTTACATATGTATATGATTCATGTGGGTTTGAATTGCCAGTTGTTTTGCATCTCTGCATCTCTACTCCGTACATCCTGAGCGATCTGCAGACCGCTCCCTCGGTTCCCGATGTCGATGTCAGTGCTCCCGATCTAGGATGATCAGCCCCATGCAGGGGACTGAATCTTGAATCTCTTGGACTCTGTGGCTCACATTTTTGATCTCCAATCGGCCGGTATCACGTTTGTTTCTCCGTGTACTCCGCAAAACACTCATTCTGAGTAAGGATTCCACGATTCCACGATTCCACGATTCCACCGAAATTCTGAGTTCATCCCTGTCGGCCCGGCGCTTATGCAGACATGTACCGGGCGGGTGTGACTCGATCCCCGTGAATTGGTGGGACAATGAATATTGGCATCCATCTGAATTAAACTAGGCACATGCACTGGCACCTGGGTGCACTGACAGTATTGAAATCTTAATGATATCAACTTTTTAAATCAATAGTTCAAGTTTTAACATCAAATGAGATCGATTTACTTGGAATGGATTTATCCAATCTACACCGTATATCTCATTTACGAAACACTTCTAAGGTTGAGTACTCCGTGCAACTTGAACCGTGCAACATTGGCATCTGGAACATCCAGGTCAACTGTTTTTTTTTGCTTCTGTCAGTCAATATTGATAGGTAAGACCATCTAGATGCCCAGCGGTGAATCATATCTATCGATATATCAGGTTAAACGATGTATTCAAACTTAAATCTTCTTCAATATCCTGCACATGTGCACTTCGGAGACATAAACCGCATTGTGACACGTTTCATTCGAACCTTGAAATAATCAAGACTTTTATTGCCTGATATCATGATATCATCTATCTATTTAGCACCAAGCTCCGCAGATCGTGCAGTAGCCGCCTGAACAGCCTTATCAACAATCTCCTTGAAGCCCTGAGCCTCAAAGGACTGCAACGCAGCATATGTAGTTCCGTTAGGACTAGTAACATTCTTGCGTAGTTGACTAGGCTCATCGGAAGACTCAACCAGCATTTTACCAGCGCCCAAACAAGTCTGCGTAGCGAGACGAGTAGCCTGTTCTTGCGGCAAACCAAGAGCAGTAGCACTAGCCACGAGGTGCTCCACCATAGCGAAAAAGTAGGCCGGGCCAGATCCTAAAGGAAATGTTAATATCAATTGATAAGTCACACATGCTGAGTTATTCCCACATACCCGAAAGACCAGTCACAACATCCAGAAGTTCCTCCTTATCCACCCACTCCGTCGCCTTACTAACACTGCTCAACAACGAGTTGACGAGCTCCTTCTCCTCAGCCGAAACATCGGCACTAGCAAAAGCGCCCGAGGCACCTTCACCAACAAGGGCAGGGGTATTAGGCATAACACGGACAACATGAGCAGAGCGACCATCGGTAGTGCGCGACCACTCTTCGAGACTGCTAAGGGTGATTCCAGCAGCAATGCTAACAACAACGGGCAAAGAAGCGCGCCGAGTCCAGGAAGCGCCTAGTTCCTCACAGACGCCCTTAGTAACCTGAGGCTTAACAGCAATGATGACGATATCGGAGTTAGCGCCTGCCTCAGCGTTATTGGTGGTGGTTTGCACGCCGACGGCAGCAAGCTTTTCGCGGTTGACGTCCCACGGCTCGGAGACGATGATGTTTTGCTTGTTGACACCCTTGGCGACGAGACCGCCAATGATGGCGGACGCCATGTTGCCGCCACCAATAAAGGCGATTTTGCTGTCTTGAAGAGAAGGCATTGTGGTTGTTGTTTAATGTTCTGAAGTGGACTGTTGCCGTTGATGTTGGAAATTCCCCCACTTGAATGGCTTATCGGAGGTGGGGCAATATGCAGAACTGGACCCGATATCGGTTGAGGGGAAAGAGCTATTCAATGTTTGAATGTTTAATGTACAGGGAAATGACTCTTTTATATTTAAGTTATTTTAATAGTCATCTTTGGTCAATTCACCCCGCAAAATATCAATTCGTGACACATCCTTGTTAACCCCACCATCACGTCAATCCTTATCGTCCGCCCGGGCCGGTCAGCCGGGATCAAAATATCACAATCAGACTATGGAGTAACTTGAAGTCTAGGTGACGGCGAAAAGGTCACGATTGTGCATGGTCTTCTGGTGGTCTTTTGAGGGGAAATCGTCCCTCGTGTTGGAGCATCAAATACAGCAATGTTCAAGTTCAAGTTGGGTATAGCGCCCTTACAGGAGTAAACTATTCATCACACATCGACGCCGTCACCCAGTTTTGTAGCAAGAAATAGCATCAAAAAAGTTATGAAATTATGGCTTGAGAATGTACAGTAAGATCAAAATTAACCCTCTAGCGCCTTGTTCAACTCCTTCTGGTAGTCCTCTTGGGCCTTGTGCAGATCCTTCTGCAAGTCCTCCATATCTTTCCGCAAATCCTTCATCTTATGATGAGAGGCACCCTGCTGCATGTGTTGAGAAATGCGATTAATCTTGTCCTGAAGTTCTTCAACCTCCTCCTGTCTCTTCATCACAGACTTCTTATTGTGATGCAACTGATCCAGTGGATAGAATTGACTTGGCGGGTATGCACCTTGAGGATATTGTCCGTAACCCGCTTGTGGGTATTGTTGCGGGTAGCCCTGGGGAGGATGGTTCATTTCATTCTGATGCTGGTGCTTCTTATAGGCATCTTGAGCAAGGGAACCAGCAATCGCACCACCGATGGTTCCAAGGAAGCCGTGATTGGCTTTGTGGCCAGCGAAACCACCGACAGCACCACCGGCGAGGGCACCGGCAAAACCACGCTCATCACCCTGGGCTTCGCCAGGGGCGGTCTGTTGCTGCTGCTCGTAAGGCTGGTTGTATTGAAGTTGACCCTGAGGGTACTGATTCTGAGGCTCTGCCCCAGGTGGGTACTGTTGCGGATATGATTGTTGATAGGCCTGGGGAGGGCTCTGGGGAGGTGGAGGCCCTTGAGGGTAGCCACTGGCATTCCCATTTTGGGAGGAAGTTCCATAGTAATCTGCGTTCATTATTGCTAGCAGGAATTGAGAAGCTTCAACTTGGACTTGAAGGTAGAATGTTGAAAAGTAATGGATGCTGAGTATTCTATCAAATTCCACAGGGGACCAAGTACCTTTAAATATTTCAAGTTAAATGTAAGAACCTTGTCTAGCTCAAAATATCCACTTACCCTTCAAGGAAGATACTGCGACGAAATGTCAAAGCTTTGTCCTTCATTGGGCCACATTTTAGCCCCCATCAACCTCGCACTCATTTTCGCCCCAACATCTTGTGCCGTGATGTCTCATCTCCAGGGCTATGTCAGTGGCTGTGTCTCTTTTTTTAATTCAGGCAATTTCGTCATTCTGCGATATATGTATGCTGATGCATTGATTCCAATACTGACTTGAGTAAGTCTAGACTTTGTATCTAATTTATCCTGCCAATTTTAGTTGCTGATGAAGCTTTAGATGAATAGCAGATCATCAACAGGTATGGTTGTCTGGTTTGCTGTCAAGTCCATACTAAGTACCTAGGTAGGAACCTGTACTTGATCGATGCTGGTTTCTTTATCACGAAGCTAGTACATATATTGGCTTCTACTATTGGATATTGATCAGTATTAACTATCGTTTCTACTAACTACTAGGTACCTATTTAGGCAAGTAATTCGATCGTTCAAACAGAGTCTCGAAGTTAATAATTTAGGCATTGATGATATCATTATGCACACATATGCATGTGATTGATTTAATTCGTAATGTAGATATACAAGATGAAAAGTCATATAATGTGGAATGTATGAATGTATATACATGCTTTCCTTTTCAATCCCATAAGAGGAACGAACATGTGCAACGAGAGGCGGTATAAGACCTGTAGGCTCGAAATATAAAATGTGAAAGAATAACAGAAACTGCCCGCTAAAATACATACATAAAAAGGGTACCATGGTGATTAGGCAGAAGTACATAGAGATCTATCTCAATGCACATACCAGTCACACCAACGATAAAAGAAATGAAAGGCACAACTGGTGTGCAAATGCAGTTCTGTTATTTTTGGTGAAATGTCGAATAAAGAAATAAATGTGCAAGGTGTAAAATGCAAAAATTGTAAAATGTCCATAACGCCGTTTCGCCCCGGGGGCTGGTACATAGTCAACAATTGCTGAGTGGCAACTTTTTTTTGATGATCACCAAGTTTCCTGGGGGCCTGATTAGTGACATATTAGAACCGAGTAACTCCGAATAAACTTACAGCAATGTACTGTCCAGCTTCCTTCTTACTTTGCCAGAAGCGCTCTGCTTCCTGGGCATTCAAGTTACCCTTCGCCATGGAAACCTCGATAAGAGCAGCCTCCACACCCTCACCCATGCCCTTGCCGCTACCGCAGACAAAAACACGACCGTCAAGAGCGTTAATCACATACCAGACCAAGTCAGCCTGGTGACGGACCTCTTCTTGAACGTAGCGACTTTCACCGCGACGGCTCTGTACAACTGTGCGCACCTTGTCCTCATGCACACCCCACTCACCACTGTAAAGCTCATCAAGGAGTGAGTCACGTACACCCTGCAGAACCCAGACCTTGTTGGCACAGTTTGCAGACTGCAGACGACGCTGGACAAATCCACGGAACGGAGCGATACCAACACCCGCACCGATAAGAAGCATGGGTCCATCAGATGCGAAACGTGTAGCGAGTGGGTTTGCCATTAAGCCACGGAACATGGGGACAAAAAGTTCAAGCTTCTCGCCAGCGGCTTCGGCCTTAATAGCCCGCTGAGCAAGCTGCTCCAAGTAACCCGAGCTCACACCAGTGCGATTACCACCGCGCCAATCCTCAGACTCAGCGACGGTCACCGCAACCTCGACCAATCGACGGCATTCAGTGCCCTTGAAGCGACAAGAGATCAAGGGATCTTGAGACAAGGAGTAGAAGCGGGGCATAAGGGTGTTCAGTACGGAGAGAAGGTGGTCAAGAGGTGGTTGGGATGAGGGGAAGGCGTGTAACAGTTGGACAAGGCTGATGTAAGAGCTTGTACGAAGGTCACAGAAGGCACCCTGGCCCTGTGCAGATGAAAGGTACTCAAGCACCTTCTTTTCATTTGGTTCAGTGGTGTATTCTGCCAGAAGACGGAAGAGAGCCTTGGTCGGGGCATAACTTTGAATATCTGAGCACCAGCTTAGAACCTCGCGACGAGTTGTAATCAGTTCACGTGGCTTGTCGTCACCCCAAATGGTCGGCCAGCGACCTGTGGTAGTGCGCATAAGAACCTTCTTATCACGCATTGACCTCGGCACACACAAAAGATCCAGAATATCTTCAACATCTTCGTCCTTATTCTTCGGGCACACACCAATGGCTCCTCCAACGACAAAATCCACCATTCCACTCTCAGCAGGGTAGTCAGTGACATCAATATCGAAGTGGTAGGTGCGCTTCTCCGCACCACCCTTGGTCAACTCACGTGCATGATGAAGAGGGGCTCGGTAAACCTCATAAGGAGGATGGGGCTGCACGAACTGCGGGGGGTGATCTGATGGCCCCGAGGGCAAATCCCGGGCTGATGCGGGGGCGGGCGAAAAGAAGACAGTCTTCTCGGGGAGTGTGGCAATGTTCGAAAGATCACTATCCAGAGTGAGGAGGTTGAGATTTAAATCCAGACTGGCAAAAGCCTTATTGTCCGGGGCCGTAATGGAATTGAATCCAGAGATTGGTCCATCCAGAGGCTGCAGTGGCCGACCTCGGCAACAACCTCCGCCGCAGCACATAGACTGGATTTTTTGCGTGCCACCTGTACCAACATTTTCCAACACCCTTCTCATATCCTCTGAGTTCTGGGAGATCAGAACTGTGGAAGCTCGTCGCTGTCGGCCATGGGGCTTCACAGAGAGGTGTTCCTCTTCACTCTGGGTATCGGGAGGTGTGATTGGGGTTGAGGGCGATTCCGAGCCATTGGAGTCTGAGTCTTGGGATGTTTGCAAGCCATTGAAAGTGAAGTCTGTGATTGATAGAGATCGAACGCCACGCGGCTCTTCTGGGATTGGGTTATCTGGGTGAGAGGTCGAGGACACGGGAATCTCTGGGAAGGTGCTCTTCCGGGGGCGACCCGAGACGATAGTTGCCGACGGCATGACTGGAGCAATGGCGTGAACTATGGGGGAATATAGGAATTAGTTGGAAGGACCAAGAAGAAGTCGAGAAGAGGAACATGCCCATGGGAGTGAAAAAGAACTGAGGATAGGTGGAGACCGGAACCGATAAAGAATCTGATTACGAGCACAGAACGGGGCTGTTTTTTAAACTGGGGAGAAAGGGATTGAGGTGGGATGAGGATGGAGGCAGTGGATCCGGGTTCAAATGAAATGAGGTCCGAGGACAGAAAAAAATTACGGGAAGTACAAGCCGAGATGAGAATTATCTGATTTTGCCACATTCCTCGTATTATATGCCCCCCGTGCTCAGGTGGACATCTGGTAGATTGAAATAATTTACGGGAAATCATTTTACGCGAACTCGAACATCTGGGTCAACGGGGGAATACACTACTGAATTTAGTCAATTTAGTAAATCTAGTGGAATCGAACTCCAGTTTTGACCCTCTTAGGATCGACGGTGCATTACCTTGTAGACCAGTCGGGGGCGTTGGAGTGGTCATCTTCTTAATAGATTACGCCTCCATAACCCGCGAACGAGAATAGCCGAAGACGGATACCGACCGGATCTAAACTGAACCGTCGCACTGCCGGAGTCAATGAGGCCATATTGTCTCAAGGATTAATATCATGATGATATATTAGTTATAAGACTCCCTGAAATGATCATTTGTTTTATTATAATTAAACCGAAAAAAGGAGTTCAATGGTATTTATTGTCTGAAATCAAGTGGGCCGACACCGGCTCCCTCAACCGATTAGGTAATATAATCCACTTATCAATCAATCAGATAGCGCAGTCCCGATCATGTGACTCGGAATAATCACCGACTGCCTTATCTGATTCGTTGAAATGTATTATTTTGTTTTACTTCAAATGTTTGTTTTGGGTTAGACGAAATGGATCATGAATCTACTCTCATTTCCCCCTTTTCTATATTAGATCACACCATCTAATGGATCAGTCCACTTGCCGACTCGTCTTACTCGTATACATTACTCATAGTGCTGGTTAGTGGGTACTTTGTACAAAGTACTTCGTAAAGTCCCTATATGCATGGAGTACCTCGATCTGCCCCTTGAAATCGGAATTCCCAACCATTGGGGACAGGGTGGATTAGCCGTTACCAAACAGTGGGTCATTCGAAATTCCAGAACCCAGAGAAGGGGGCGAGGCTCCTCTCTGGAGGATCCTCTAGACTAATAGAGAAACTAGAAAAATAGAATATTAATATAAAAAAGAAATTTGAAAAGGGAGATACACAGCTCGAAATACTTCGTAGCTTTGGAACCGGTTTCGGAACTCTACCATCCAGTGTCGCGAGATGGCCTAAATGACAGGGATGATTCCTTCAGCTGAGTTCCCGTGTCTATCAAATGTTGACGCAAGGAATTTTAATCTGATAACTTTGATCAGCGCCTAAGCGGGACAAAGTGGACACACATGTGCAACATTGAACTGGACCTTCACCCTTTTCGTCGGGTTCCTCCGTACCTATTCAAGTGACTTCCATAACTCATGTAAACATGTTTGGAACTAACTTTGTCACGTCATATTACATGAATATTCGGCGTCTGGTTGGGACAAGACAGCTGAAGTGGAGTTTCGTTGCATAAGTTGAGGGAGTTTGACCGAACATCTGAAGGTAAATAACAAGCTCTAGGTCATTGAGGTAAAATTCGGTATTCGCAATAATGAACGTGACCGCATATCTATCATCATCACGTCATCGCAACATGTAAATGCCAGACAAAAAGTAAATACATTAAACCGATCAAAAAGATCAGAAGTGAAAATTCCATCGGCCTCGAAGAAATGCCGTTGAAAATGCCGGCTGAACACTGGTATTTCCACGGATATCTACATCCCGTCTCTTTTGACCAATGCAACGGGCGGAATGAAACGATGCCGCCCTCTTACCCAATAATAAATCATTGCCATTCCAATGACGCCAATATACATCACCACACTCCAGTTCATCGTCTCAAGTGTCACAGGTGTGTACAAGGGGAAGAACGCAAATGCAAAGATCGGGAGAAGAAACGCCAAGGCTCCAAAGTTGATCGCCAGACCGAATCGGCCCAACGTCCAACGATGAGGTGGGAGTGGCTCGCCACGGAGTCGCTTGAGAAAGACACAACCAATCGACACGATATATGCGGACATGAGCGATGTGATAGTCAATGAGATGACCGCGTTGAGGGCTGCTTCGGAACCAATGTTGATCAGGGAGAGGAGGACAGTGATCCCCAACGAGACCATCACAGCATTGAGGGGGATATTCCAACCCGGTGTAACCTGCCAATGCAGTCAGCTATTTGGAAGATATCGCATTTGACTCAATTCACTTACATATGCGAAGAAGGATGAGAATGGAATTCCTTCGTCTCGGGCAAAAGACCACAGTTGTCGTGATGCTGTCGCTACTTCTGTAATGGTACTGGCAGTCAAGGTGATGACAAGGACTGCTGTCATGGCATTGGTGGCGGGGAGACTACCAGTCGTGTTATAAAAGATCTGGATAAATGGAAATCCAGTCGGGGTCTCTAATACGCTGTCCACCTCACCGAGGGTGAAACATAAGGTGACCAGCATGATGAATCCTAGAACTCCGTTGACCGCTACAGACGACATCATTGCCTTGGGCAATGTCTCCGAGGCGTCTTTTATTTCCTCTGCTATAATGATGTCAGTCGCGCGCTCATATTTGAGGAATCCACTTCATGCTTACACATATGGACAGAGCAGTCATAGCCCAACATGGACGTGATGGTAGTGGAGAGTCCAACCAGAGTCGCCATGCCCGCATTATTCCATCCACCCCCATTGTTAAAATGGGTGAACACTGCACGGGCATTATTACGTGGGGCCAGCACCCATAGAGGAATGATAATAGCAAAGAGACCGAGAACATGGATGATCAGAATCAATCCTTCGACAAACGGCAAATTCTTGGCCAAGAAGGTATTGAACAAGATCGAGAATGTCGAGATACCAATGACCAGCATAGTCCCATGCCATCTTTGAAAATCATAATCTGGATAATTTAGAACAATCAGGCCTTGGATAATCGTGCCAGCCAAATATGCGATAGAGACGATGGCACATTGCCAGCCCATCGCAGAGAGCCACCCTAGAGCATGGAACCTGATCAGTCTATGACAAAATCAATTATCTTGGGATCGCGTACCTGTCATATAGCTGAGGAATTTTTGACCTCGTCGTGGAGCAAATTCCGATACCCAGTGATATTGACCACCCGCAGTTGGCGCCCTAGATCAAACATCAGCAATGATCAATGCAGATCATACATGAAAACGACTCACATCGAGGCCATCTCAGCTATACTAGCATATACCAGAGTGAAACCTATCGACACACCGATGAACCCCCCAAATCAATCCCGCCGTGCCACCATCTGTCAGTCCAGAAGATAGTAATCTATACTCAAGTCAGTACTGCGTACAGGACTAGGTAGAGCTATACTCACGTCAATATAACCTCCCAGGTACAGATAAGAGTACAACCAAATCCGACAATCGAAATAAATCGAAAATTCCTCTAAACAATATTAGCTAGGTTCACCTACAGACGAACTTGAAGTCACATACGCGAAGAACCTGCACGCGTCCCAGTGAAGTCATATCCCGCTGATCAGCCACAGTACCCATATAACGAGGCGCGACGAGCCCCTTCTGGGCTGTTGACGTAAAATCCTCCACATCATCGGTCGCAGTCGAACTCATGACAGAATCATCCCTCTGTCTGTGAAATATAGGCATGTTTGGACAAACACCAGAGAATGTTTCTTTGAACTCAGAAACCCCACAAACGAGATAAAACACAAACTTGAATTGAAGAACAGACCAACTCAATATGCTGTGTTAATTTCCGAATAACTGCATGTGCAGTCTGCGACGCAATCACTCCGATATAAGAAAGTCAAACCCCTGGTCTTTGGCAGGGCACCAACAAACGAAGATAACTAAATGGAGTAAGTCTATTCCGTGAGAGTGGAAGCAAGATTCAGTTTTCTTTGTCTTTTGCATATCTCGGGCGCTGGATGTCACATAGCGTGGGAGCGACGTGGCAGGAAAATCCCAGCCATGTGGGAATTCAAGTGAGATTCATTTGACACACCGATGTTAATGTTTTCGATTTTAATTCTATTGAGCTTTGGCCACTTGATTCATTTTTTGGTGATTCGTATCCCTTGAATTCAAATAGGCCGGAGAATGGGCTATGAAGCAGCAAGCTATCCGGCGCCTTGCATGAAGGGGAGGGATCTTGCAGCTCTTCCAGCGGGCAACTAACTAATTAAAATTTATATTCACCCTCCATTAAATCAGTCATGTTTAGCTTTAATTATCTTATCCATATCGGGGACTCAAGTCTTTGTTGTTGTTTTTCTTAATTCAGCGCATTGCAGCCTTTCTTTGTTCGGTTAGAATCCTGAAACTTGAAAGTGGTTAGTATATTTGCTTTTTTCAAGATCACCAATTAATCTTGGCATACGATTGACGATCATAGGCATTCAAATTGTTTATGATCCATCACACAATATAGACCCCTTGGTCAACTCTATTCAAGCCCCTATGCCCCAACCCGCCGGATGCGCTCTCCCTCACATGTTTGTCTGTAGCGTGGATCTAACATGGCCTATCGGCGATCTGCCACATATCCACGAGTACATAGTCCGCATATTGATCGACACACAAATGCAGAATGGCAGTTGTCGCGAGGCTAGATGTGCTCGATGGCCGGTGGCACGACGTGAGGAGTCACGGCCCCCATTTTGATGATACGAAGATACGAACGAGTGAGATACACAACAGCAACGATCATGCATGATATTGGTGTGTTACTTTACTCTCATTCTCTCGTGGGAAGGGATGGTCAATAATTTGCCACGAAGGTTTACTCATACTGCATGTATCCACAGGAAGATCTGGTGTTATCAAACATGAGAGTCGGGTCTACGGAGTAGTCCGTACAGGTCAAAGTTGTGATTCTCCACATCAACACATGGTTAATGGAGGATCTGAAGAAGATCCACATTGATAAATGCGTCTGACTATATGCTGATGGGTCACATACTCAGCTATCCGGTATATACTCACTGGTCTCCCGAAATCGAGACCATTCTACCCAAGCTCTCAATACCCACCCGATCAACAAACATTTGAACCAGATGGATATTTTACTTCCAGTCAATTGACTTGACTAAGTCATAGCTGGCTCTGTCACTTACATGATACGACTAAGCGCTGGCAGAAGATCCCCCAAACCAAGTCCCTGCCATGGGCCCCTACGTGCCTCCAGGCCAATCGCCACCATTTGAGGTAGTCGATGACCTTCACCACGGAGCATTGATTATTATATCTACAGCACTGGGCCTAGTAGTCTCACTTGCCTGCTTTTTAATCCGACTTTATGTGAGGTTAATGTTAATTCCGCCGTTCGCACGAGATGACTTTGTCCTACTGGGCGCAACAGTGAGTTTATAGCCCGAGTCCTATTTCGTTTAGAAAGCTCCTAACTAACAGTATGTATACTAGGTATTCGGAGTCATCCAGTCGATCCTAGTATTCTTCGCCTGTTCAAGAGGATTCGGCACATCACTCTCCCTACTTAGAGAGAACCGACTAAACCAGATCCAAGATGTACGTGCGATATTTATTCCCATTTTCGAGTCGAAACTCAACTCAAACAGTTAATGGCCACAAGCGATGTATTCGCTTTAGTAGTAATCTACCTCTCGAAATGCTGCGTCATCGCAATCTACCTTCGCCTCACACCACAAAAACCACATAATAAAGCGTCTTGGGCTACTCTCGCCCTTTGCACTGCCTGGCTGATTCCTGCTATTCTCATATTATTGATTGGCTGCGAGTTGAATAGACCCTGGAGGTTGCAAGGTGGACAATGTCATAATTTGGTAAGTGGAACACATCCAGTCTGGTTTGAACAAAATAGACCAACATCAGTCGCTAACAATTATACTGTTCTAGTTTAAGCGATGGCAATTCATAGCAGCAGTCGACATAATCACCGAACTCATAATCTTTTTCTTAGCTGTCGCACTACTGGAAGGTCTCTTCATGTCAATAAAACGCAAGCTAGGAATCGGCTTCGCATTTATGTTCCGGTTTCCGTATGTACCAAGAACCATCTAGCGGGATCAAAACAACAAATCCATCTCCCATCATTTGAACGTATGACAAGACTAACAACTATTTGCATAGTCTCATAATATTTACACTCCTCCACATCTCCACCCTCCACACTACGCTAAAAGAAAACGACATCACCCTCGCCGCCGTTAGACCCTCCATGTGGCTACAAGCACAAATGCACTATTCCCTGGTCGCATGCAGCGTATTCTGTCTTCGACCCTTCATGGCAGCCGTGAGCACAAATTATGGGACAGCGGGAGACACGAATCTTGAGAGTAGTGTGTCAGCGTCACGATCACGCGAGACGAAGGGGAGTTCGAACTCGAATTCCAAAGTGGCGGGATCAAATTCAGCGTCTCGATCTGGGTCTTTCTCTCGGGTTCGGAGAAAGAGAGCTGGGACCAGTGTTTCAAGAGTGCTGAGATCGGGGTCAAAAGAGGAGCTTTGTCGGGATCATTATGTGCATGGCGGAGTCGGTGATGGGGATGTAATATACTTGGACACTGGTCGAGATGGGTTGAAGAGACGATCGCCGGTTCCTGGACAAAGTGTGAAGGAGTGTGACGTGGAGGTGCAAGCTCCGCTGCGACGATCTCTTTTCCCACTTTCTGGGGCTAATGTCAAGACTGATAAAGGGAAGGTTGGAGGAAGGGGGACGGGGACAGGGTCTACACTGGAGTTTGAGCCTGGTTCTGATTGTATTGAACTGATGCCACAGTTGCATAGGCAGTATGGACGTCCAGAGGAGACGGCGTCAACTGACGGCGATGTTCCAGAGAAGATGGTTATTCGGAAGGATGTTGCATACTCGGTTGAGTTTGAGTATGATGATGAAACACCAGGACAGAGGGTTTCGAAGCAGAGTTCCACTGATGCGATGGCTTATGTGTAACTTGAAAGTTTCTCATCTTACACTGGCAGCATATAGAAATGAAGGGTTGGACAAACGGTCCATAATGATCATGCTCTATTACTCTATCATTGAATCGATATGCGCTCTAGAAAACAAATACATGAACCTGAACGCCCCATCGCCAGACTATGCACAGAAATCAACAGAACGCTAAATATACCCAGAAGTTCGCTTAAAGGGGTGTGCCTCGGTACTCCTATACAACGCATTAGTCTCAATCTTATAATATAACCACCAAGTTCACTTACAAGACATATTCATCCAAGCTGACAAGATCTGGCTCAGAGAAAATGAGGTATAGATACTTGAGCGTCTCGGCAAGCCAGTAACTCTCCATCCGGTCATCCATTTTCGACACAGGATCACGAACATCGTCGATAGCCGAGTGTCCGTACTTGGTGCGAGTATTTCTTTGGATATTCTGGAACATGCGCCAAGCTGAATCCTGGAGGGTCTTATCACCCGTGATTCGGTACATGTAAAACATGGATTCAAGTGCCTCCGGTCTAGAATTTGTCAGTTTTCCGGCGTAAACAAAATCAATATGAGAAAGATTCAACTTACCTCAGTTTGTACGAAGGGTCCTTCGCTGAGACCATTCCAGGAGGCACTCCCTCCTTGGCAATCATTATCTGCGCCTCCCGAACATGCTTATGGTACTGAAGAGGCTCCTGAAGTACCGACTCATACCATCGGTTCTCGTCCCATGGACACTCATCCATATCTGCACAGGGAGTAAACTGGAATTTTTCAGGCATGATACCCGTTGGCATCGAGTCATACGCCCAGATACAACCATCCGTGAGTCCACGAGCGATGGCCAAATCCTCGGGGCGGTTAAACACCTTAGCTGCAAGACCCACAGTGCCACCGAGGAAACACTTCAAATGATCTGAGCGGTGGACAATTTCATGAGCGTTTTCATTCCCGACTATCAAATCCGAAGTGAAGAGGATCTTCTTATCCTCGTCCTTGGTAACAGCACGGAATAGCAAGTTGTCTTTGATCGCATCCAGGGCACGCATGTACATCTTCTTATACTGATCTGTCTGCGCACCGAGAATGATATGCTCTTTAGGAAGGTATTCATACGCCGAATCTGCACACCCACCGATTGAGAACTCGTCTCCGGTGAAGTCCATACGCAGGGCATCAATAGAAACAGGCCATAAGCCGGGAACGCTGGTAGTCATCTGATTTTTGTCCAATTCATCTGTAATGCGCTGCACAGCATCATAGTATTTTGGATCATTGGTCAATTGAGTCAAACGAGTAAACTCTAGCGTAAAGGATCCAAGCTCAGCCAGGTTAGTATTGGTCTTGGGTTCAATGACCTGGCCTATAGCGGATCGGCCCCATCTCCAGCGCACCTGGGGCATGTGATTCTTTGTGTCAAAGGCATGGTAAATCATGTCACCGAGTTCCTCTGCCTTCTGCAGCAGAATTGGGTATTTTCCTTCCGTGAGGTCGTGAGCTGCGATCAACCCACCCATGTACCTGATAACAATCTCGAACACATTGACCTCTGAACTGAATGTGGTCGTAAAGTCAATTTGCTCCAATGCTTCCAGCGCAATGTGCAACTCATCATCCAGGCCCATGATAATCAATGTATCCAAAGAGTCCACCAAAGTGGCACCCCATCCACTGAAGGAGTCTTCGAACTTCCCACTGACAGGCCTAACCTCATCACGGAGCCATGCATGGTTTTTGTATCCATCCCAAGCATGCAGAAATTCCCTCTTAACAGCCTTCTGTCTTTGTGTTCTTGTTCGGCGCTCAAACCAAGCCTCCGGTCCGAATTCGTACTGGATGCGAGGCAGTGGAGCTGGGTTCTTCGGTAATGGGATATGTGAATTTATAGGATATATTGTGCGCGCGTCGGCCATGTGAATGGTATTTTTTCGAGTGTCCGGGTTTATGACTGGTTTTGGTCTTCGGTTGAATAGCCATGGCGAGGGGCTGAAGAATATTTGAAATAGAAAGAAATATGCGACGAGTAAAAGAAAGACTGCGGTGGTCAATGACCGACCCCTGCGCTTAGGGATCATAATGAAGGACGGGGAGCGAAGGTAGGATTCGATGTTCGAAAAGCGAATTGGATTTTATAAAATCGCGTTCATACGCGGGGAATGAAAAGGAGAGAATGAGCTGCAAGGAGCTTGGTCGACCTAGAAAGGGTATAAAAGAAGAAATGAATGACTTAGAAGAACGTCGCGACGAAATTCCCCATCATACGGGGTGGAATGGTGAATTGAAGAGAATGACAGTCCAGGGATTAAGAAAAGACAGGCGATGCTGGATGAAAATCACGTCAGTGGGGAAAGACATGGTCAGTGTTACTACATATGGCAGGATTACGAGGTCTAGAGCTCCATTGATCGCCGGGACCCATTTGATATGAAGCTTCCATTCGCGGGAATATGGGGGAATGGTGACAGAGAATGAACAGATCAACGGTGATTGGCCCTCATGTCAGGGATGCTGCATACTGTATGCCAGACAGAGCAGCTTTGCGTGGCAAATATGTAGAGCAGTTCTTGATCTTGTATGATGCGTCGCAAGATCTCCCCAAATGATCTTGCAATGCCTGTTCAAACGATAGGGCGTTAATATAATCCATGCCACAGCCTTGCCTAGACTCTGAGTCAGGGTGGCTTTGTTGCCTATCAGCATCAAGCATCTCACGTCAGACCCACACATCCCCTGAATGTGCCCGATTAGGTGGAGAGGCAGTTGATCCAAAGGATCCATTGTGGCGGAGTCTGATACGGAATAGCGATCTTAATTAACTCGAATTTGATCTGTCAAGACTGAGAGGCAGTGTGATATGCATGTAATACTCTGTATGGAGTAACTGGATGAATAACAGCCTCAATCAGGGTTGATATGTCGAGTTTGAAGGTAATTGGCAGGTTCGAACATGCAACTGCGAAGTGGGAGGCAACTCACGCGAGCTATTGGGGCCGCGACCGCCACTCCCAGCCGTGTCTCACTACGCTGCAATTACATAAGGGGTTCCTTTTGATTTTCCAGGGTCCTTTTCGCACTTCTTTGCTGTTGGAAGACTTGCGTAATTTTAATATAAAAAATCTATATTTATATGTGGAGTTGATTTATGGAAACTGTACCATAGAGCCAAGTTCATGCGTGTGGTAGAATAATTATGTTTGACATCAAGACAAACACTTATGTTTGCTCTGTTTGCAACTACCTCGAGACAAGGAAATGATATCTCGACTTCATTTGTATAACATCAACACCTGTCTATAATGTAAGGATACACTCTGAACTAGAGTAAAATTCGATGTTCTAACGTGAGCAACAGATACCCAGTTGAGATCCCTATATGGGCCAGCCTTGACCTCACGTCAAATTTCAAGGTTCTTCTTTCACGCCAGCACGACATTCTCAATCTGTTCTAAACATTGAGCATATAATATTCAACCGAAAGAGGATATACAATATTCCGACCTTTATTTTATTGGGCCTGTCAATATCTACTGGAACATTTGAATTCCGGGCCTTGAATCCCATTCCTATATACCCGGGCACAGAACCCAGAGATATCTGCACCATGCCAGTCACAGGGTAAGACACACCGACCTATCGCCAAACTTCAACTTTAAATAACCTTAAAATAGAGTCTACTTCATCCCAGCACACCCCAACCATACACAATCAGCAGGGGTAATCGCCGAGCGTCTCCGCTCCGCCTATCCAGATGAAGACCTCAGCCCAGCAGGCCGCTGGTCCCTAGAGCAAAAATTGATGCGAGACACACCCAGTCTTCTCCCCGCATCAGCAAACCCAGCTGCAGGCAAACCACGCTATATGCAATTTCTCTATTTAACGCATTACCCGAAGCAGGGGTTCGTGTATACCTCTGAGCCTACAGATAAACCCTTTCACCCACCTTCAGCTACAGGGCCAGGGAGCGCAAATGTCACGCCTGTTCCTCAGGGCATTGCCCAAGCTCCAACGCCAGGGTCAGCACCGTCTACACAGTCACTCTCTCAATCTCAGTCTCAATCTACAATGAGCAATAGCTTCACGGCTAGCGCCGATGTCCCACCAATGCTAATGACCATTCTCCCAATGCAATCTTACAGCATGCTTTTCCAGCATGTTGTCTACGCCTGTCAGCCCTTCTGGGCGCACCGTCTTACCGTATCAGTGCAGCAAGGTGTGATCTACGATGTTGGTGACTTCCGTGTGAGAGTGGGTGAGGTGCGACAAACTTTTCCCGTTGCGCGGTCACGCGGCATAGTAGTCGAGGTTGAGTGGCGGGGTCCTACCCTTTTAGATACATTGGGCTCTTCTCAGTCAGGCTCTGGTTCCGGTCTTGGAAACGGAGAGCAAAATGCTGATTCGGGGATTGATGTTGATTTCGTTATCGAGGAGGCGGATATTGACGCGGAGGTCGCAGCTACAGCGGAACTGATTAAAGAGTTCTGGACCAGAATTGGTGTTCCCGGTGCTAGAGAGGCGATCCTTGTTCCTGGATTCGGGAAGGAAGTTAAGGAGAGATTACGGGGGAAGAAGGTGGAGGGTGATGCGGATCTTTATGCGGGAACCGATCTTGCGAGGCAGTATATGGAGGTTTTGCGATTTAATCGATAAACTAGCATTCCACAAAGATTATACCCGCGACTGCAGGTACTACAGTCCTACTATCCTAATTGATAGAGCTTATATGTAAGGTATGCTCAATGATGCAACATTGAATTCATAGCCTACACTATGACGAACGCACCAAATCTTCCACCAAATCCTGAACGTGTTATCTGCATTTCAAATTGCACGCTTGATCATGAATCATCCAAGATAAAGCCTAAAGAGAAGTATAGACTACAAAAGACCGGTATGAGGAAACTGAAAAGGAGAAAGAGAAAACGTCATCGTTGGCAAACCGGCGACTGAGCTAAAGATGGACAAAAATATTGGTGACATAACGGTTTATTTTTGCATCATGAGCTGGACGAACTCGTTGTCTGTGATAAATTAGTATGGGTTCTCAATCACTGGGGACTCGCTCATAAGCTCCCAGGGTCATGTTCATGGTCACGTACAGTCAATCCGACCATCACCATCCTGATCAGCCTCACGGATCATCTCGTCCACCTCGTCGTCGGTCAGCTTCTCGCCAATGGAGGTCATGACGTGGCGCAGCTCGGCGGCGGAGATGAAACCGTTATTATCGCGATCGAACACCTTGAATGCCTCACGGATCTCCTCCTCGGAGTCGGTGTCCTTCATCTTACGGGCCATCATGGTAAGGAACTCTGTGAGAGGTGTCAATACTGAGCTGAAAGGAAAAGGGAATCGAGCTTGTCGAGGATATAGGGGCCGTACCAGGGAAATCAATGGTGCCGTTGTTGTCAGCGTCAACCTCGTTAATCATGTCCTGCAGCTCAGACTCGGAAGGGTTCTGGCCGAGGGAACGCATAACGGTACCCAGCTCCTTAGTGGTGATCTGGCCTATAATTCATCCAACTCAGTTATTTATTCTTTCAATGGGCGTGATAATCGGGTCCGCAGATCTCGGTAACGGTCGCACTCACCATCGCCATCCTTGTCCTATTATGACGAGTATGTATTAGTATTGAATTTAATTCACAGTATTCAATGCAAAGATTTAAGAACTTACAAACAAGGAAAATGCCTCCTTGTACTCGGAGACTTGCTCTTCGGTCAGGGAATCAGCCTAGATTTGGAACGTGCAGTCAGCCACCATTTCTCCGACCGCATTTATTTGCTGCCCCGCAAAGCGGGAAAGTCATTTGCATTATCTGCCTTGCTGAAGGACAAGGAGATAAATAGTAAAAAGAACCCATAAGGTAAAAAAAGGAGAACATACCATGGTGAAAATGTATGAAGAATGGAGAAAGGTTGGAGGGGTTGAGTGGGGAGAGAAGAAGTTAAGGGGGGGCCAGCCTTACAGAGATGTACATGGTACACAAAAATAGTGTGCCTGACAAGTACACCACTCACAGTGTGAGATTAAGAAGGCGGTGAGTCTCATAATAAACACCAACTGAACAACCTCCTCTCCTCCTTCTCTCCTCCTTCTCTATACACAGGGCTGAAACTTTTCTCTCAGCTGAAAATTCCAGTGGACCTGAAGGATCCAATTAGCTCCGAGGACAGTGTACCTCATCCAATCCGCTATTCCTGAAACTAGTCGATAGGGCGAATCTTGGCGTCTGGGCTGACAATGACCACTTAAAAAGCTTGGTCGGCTACTATCTATCCATAGTGCTATTCAACCCCTGTCACTTCTCAAAGCTCCAGGATGGTGCAATCAACCCCGCATTTGAGAATGAGACGGGCAAGGTTACTCCGGTAGGCCACTCCACTTTACCTCAAGTGATTATGGATATCTACAATTGAGGAGATACAAGAATCCCAGCCATGCGAACACCTTCCAAGGTTCCTAGCACAAAGTTCAAATACTACAACCTTGGAGGTATAGAGCTGGCATTTCTGGTTCTTTGATTGATTAATATGGCTTCTACAATAAGTTGAGATTGGAATATTAAGTTGTTGAATATTCAGGTCTATTATAATGTGAATATTGGCCTATCTAGTAAAAATGTAGTACTATTGATACATATGCGCTCTGAGGTAATACATGCACGAAGTTCGAGTCGTTTCACATATTGCCTCATGATTCAAGTTATCACATGCACGTGCCCATAATACGTACTTTTGTCCAAACTGTTGCAAGCATCTTTGTTTACCAAGATTGCCCCAATATTGGCAATTTCAAGTTTGCTATTATTATCTATTCTAACCTGGGAATACTCCATGGCCCATATTATATCGGGACAACTCTGAGAGCCGGAATTCCAACTTGTATGTGAACTTGAATTTATTTTCTCCCATTCAAACATGCTACATACTAGGTAGTGGTACATACATGCCTCCACCTGGGCATGTATGTATCCGAGGTCAACTTAGTAGTTCACCCACAAACTCTGCACTTTGGATCATGATAGGTATCACCTGAATAACCAAGATTCTCCAGGGTGACTCCTGATCAAAAGATACTAAGAATTTCAAATATTTCAAGTCAGCTGCATAGATTGAAGCATTGTGCATACGAGGTCGCCTTGTCCGCAATTAGTCATGTGGATCTTCGGGCCCCGGGCCGCGGATATCCCCGCTGATTCATCCAACGTCACCTCAGTCCTCAGTCCTCAATGATTCTGGTCACTTTCTTAGAGCCAATTCTTTGAAACAGGATTAACCTCCTGTACTGAAGATGGATCGCATATGTAGAATCATATCGGACTCGGCATATGAGCCGTTGGAGGATCAGGATGATGATGCTGAGGATCATGCCCAGCGGCCACCATTGAACCGCTTCTCATGGTTCGAATATGGTGTTTTCTCCCTCTTGGGAGTTGCCATGCTATGGGCCTGGTAGGTAATTTATCTGAGCAAGGAATCCTCGGAAAACTTCAATCACATTATCATTACCGTTGAATTCAATCTAATCTCTTACATAGGAACATGTTCTTGGCTGCCGCCCCATATTTCCATGATCGCTTTGGATCAAGCGAATGGCTCGCAACACATTATCAATCCTCGATCCTGTCCGTTTCAACCGTCACCAACCTCGTCACAGCATACACACTGGCCCGAAAACAAAAGAACGTCTCATACCCAAGGCGCGTGACGGTCTCCCTCGTCTTGAACTGTACCATCTTCACTCTCCTGGCCTTTTCGACCATTGCACTCAGAGATATCTCAGCCTCGGCATACTTCAGTTTCTTGATGGTCATGGTACTTGGTGCAAGTCTGGCCACAGGGCTTAATCAGAATGGCGTCTTTGCCTACGTTGCAGGCTTTGGTTGGGAGGAGTATACACAGGCTATCATGGGTGGCCAGGGTGTAGCCGGTGTGTTACCCTGTATCGCACAGATTCTCTCTGTCCTGGTAGTTCCGAGGAGAGCTTCCCGCGATCAAGAGACGCATGCATCGCCCAAATCCGCATTCATCTACTTTTTGACTGCGACCGCTGTGTCGGTGCTGACTCTGTTCGCCTTTCTTTATCTCCTCAAAAAGCGACCTCACACGCGGCCCAAGTCTCGAGGAGATGACGAGGATGAGGACGTGAATCTAGTCGATCATGACCACAGCCATAATAAGACCGTGAGCCTATGGACTCTATTCAACAAGCTGAGATATTTATCTATTGCTGTCTTCCTCTGTTTCACCATTACCATGATGTCATTCCCGGTCTATACTTCTGAAATCCTGTCAGTCAATGATCCGGAGAAGTCTCGACTCTACGATCCATCCGTCTTCATTCCATTGGGATTCCTGTTCTGGAACGTAGGAGATCTCGGTGGAAGGATACTTGTGTCGAGTCCCAGACTCTCTCTCGCCCACCGCCCACGGCTCGCTTTTATCTTTTCCATTGCACGAATTGGTTTCGTTCCGCTTTACTTGCTCTGCAATGTTAACGGCCGAGGCGCGTTTGTGTCCAGTGACTTTTTCTACCTCTTCATTGTACAGCTCTTCTTCGGAATCACCAATGGATACCTAGTTTCGAGCTGCATGATGGGCGCGAGTTATTGGGTTGCCGATGATGAGCGAGAGGCAGCTGGTGGCTTCATGAGTATGATGCTTGTTGGAGGGCTGGCGGCTGGTAGCTTGTTGAGTTTCCTTCTGGCCAGTTAGACAAGAGTTATTGTAAATGAGCAATGTAGATTTCTTTTTATATCTTACTTGAACATTTGAATGCTATTCATCAGGAGCTACTATAGTAAGTAACTCGTTAATGCACATACTTCTTATTTAGTAGTTAATTCTGTCTGTACTTCTGAGCTTCGATAGAACCCTGAGATAATAAGCAATCTAATATTTAAATCAAACAATCTAAGAAAGGCTTTGACTTCAAGTTGACATCATGATATGAGTCCGAGTCAACAACTAATATTCATTCATATTCAAATATTTGATTGTTGTTTAACTCTTCCCTACTCTCTCACTGTGACTATTTGATAACAAAAATCATGATTGATTACTTGAACCAGATACCACCGCAAGTCTTATTCTTATGACTATTTCAAAGTTCAAAGTTCAAAGATTAAGTATTTCTCTTCCACGTTTATTACAACTTACGCTTATTCTACTACTCCTACTTGAATCCTACCTCTCTTCTTCATTCTCCAACCCTTTGGAAGTTCAACAGCATCACGGGTCTGGTATACCGAGTTTCGAGATACAGTGAAAGATGCAAGGATCGACACGGACTCGCACGTACCGCCACTTGTGCAAGGCCTCTTAAAACGGTATACAAAGAATCGGGCCACTATTCTCCCATTCTCCTATCCTTGGCGCAGGCGGGTGAACTGAGATGTCGGGAGTCCATCGGCAAATTTGCTATGTCAGCGAGCAAGCATGCACACGGCATTCTGTCTTGGGAAACCCCCCTGGACCAAGCACAAGGGGTAAGAATCGAGGCTACGCGCCTGCCGCGGGCCCTGTCCCAAGATAAACCCTCTACAAATCTTTCAACGCTCCTAGAGCACCGGGAAGGATATTCATATGGCATCTAGAATCCCACCGCCACTTCATTGCTCTGCTTTCACAATAATGTGGAAGGGCCACTGCCTTGGTCATAAGACAGCAAGAACAGAAGCAGCATGGGCAGAATACATCATGGTGTAAGTAAATGAGCTCAGCTATGGTTTGAAGAGTTTAAATCAGTCAATCAACAAGCAATCATGCCCATCAACTAATCTTTGAGACAATGAAGCAGCATGAGACTCGTTCTCGATCTCGCCCGTGATACTTTCAATAATTAGCATTATGACGACGAAGAATGGATCTTCGTGATCGGCAACCCGCAGACCTAGTGGAGATTGGCTCGAATAATGCTTCTACTCACTGGTAGATCAAACAAGACTAGTGGGTGTGCTAAGAATTGGAGATGACTCTGAAGTCCGCGAAGATTGACGAGAAGAGTTGCGGCGGCTACGCTTCGCCTAGTGAGAAGTGGGCGGCATCATCTTTTACTTGTTCATGCTACCTTCTTGGCCTTGAACACGATGATCCTGCTCGTCAACAAGCCATTGCGACCAATATTGACCTCGCAATTACGTCCTTGTCCCGAAAAAAAGAGACGATTGCGAATCCGACACCGCACGTTGACTCCGCTTCATCTTGGGCGCTATGGTGTCAGCGTCAGTAACCACTCTGCAAGCGACTAATACACACAAAGCACGAAGGGTAATATTAGAATTCCGCTCAACCTATGATCCCCAAGGAAATGAGGTCGCAGTGAGATGCGACACTTTGGAAAAGGCCCAGTCCATGTTGTGTGCTATCAATTTGAGATTACAACGTCCTCCTGTCCTCCTGTGATGCATATATCTGAGATGTGGTTTCTATCATCTCCACGCAGCTAAGGAAGGAGAACAGTACTTTTTGAGATGTAAAAGAGTTCGAGAAGACCTATATTAACTAGAGGTATGATGGCTGGGATTAGCTTCGCGAGGTAAACAATGGATTCAGCCTCTGTGGGCCTATGCCCCAGTCAAGAACTAGTGGCGGGGCATGAAATCCAAATCACCGGAAAGCCTGATTACAGGGTATGGTACATATGAATGCGTATGTGGGTGATTATAGCATGAAGCAAAACAAATATCCCGGCGCCGTGAATGTGCAAGCGAAGGAGGACAGTTCCTTTATCAAAAATGATAAATGGATCTGCAAATACTCCAAGCGCTCAATCCAAGTCATACTGCAGGCGGAGATTGCAGGATGCGTGGTCTCCAAAGCACACAATGCCCCAAGTGCATGCTGCCTGGCTTTGTAAGAGGAGACCGAAACATAATTATTCAAGAATGGATTCGTTCCACCTTGTCGTCGCGCATCCGATCTCAACAATCGCCTATCATTCAGCACTCTCGGGTATCACCAAACATCTCATGACCTGTTTTAAGAAGAAGGCGTGGGCCGGACTTTCGGTGGAGGCGCTGCGGCCTGGTCATCGCGCCCTTGCAGATGATCTTTTTAATCGCTGATTCAACATTCCATGCCATGAAAGTGTGCTATAATGTCTAGGAGAAAACCCTTGGTTTGATGTTTGCCTTTATTGGTGAGATACCACGATATCCTCGCATTGAAGATACAAGGGGAAGGAACTGAGTCTGCCCTTCTTTCAAGCACGAGATCCGAGAGAAGCGCCTTGGACCATACCCGTCTCCCATGCCCGTCTCACTTTTCAGATTCCGTTCTGGCCAACAACAGTTTTAAGACATGATATCATGATATCTCTGAGTAATTTAAAGTAGGGACACTTCCTTACCATGGTGTGGTTTCCATACTGCAGACTCTGGCACTCTGCAGATCCACCAGAATGGGGGAAAGGTCTACTCAATTGCAGAGTTATACTATGGCGACGGCAGGACGAAACCGCCAGTGGAAACAGCGGCTAATGCGCTCTTTGTCAGGCATCTCGTGAGATTTCACAATCTTTAAGTGCCTCAACAGCAGGACCGGTTGCTTAAGCTCAATGAGCTCCCATAAAGAGGTCGGAGAAGAGAATAATGAGACCGATGATTAGGCCCATCAGTGTATGTGCCCTTCAACAGTTTCAGGCAGACCCATCCTACTTGTTACTGTTTCTTTCAATTATTTCCTCTTGCCCTCCAAGATGGTGTGTTCTTTTATATTCCTATCCTGAAAGAACCTCTTCTGCGTGGCCACGAGATACACCCACCAGAAAGCAGATAAACCTCAAAACTATCATACTCTCATGAGGCTCACAGCTTCGAGTCCTATTTTCGCCCCTGTTGGCGTCATTTTTCCTCTTTGAGCAGGTCTTGGGGTTTTGTGAGGCCATCAACCCCATTTTGAACTATAGTAAGTCGTTCAAGCTCACTCATCACGAAAGTATCTGCGATTCTTGTATCAATATATGATGGGAAATTTCTCAAGGCGTCGAATTCTGACTAGCTCAACCAGCACTATTCATGGTCAACATATCTGTGCCCCAAGGTTTCATGTTGATCATGTGGTGAACTCAGTTTTAGCAGTGACTCGCCTGCTCACAACCTTAAGACCAGGCATTTCTGTTTCTCCTCCCAACCCAAGTTGAGGCACTTCGAGCCACACTAGATTTCATGGAATCTTCACCTGGGCAGTCAGATTTATGTGCTTGGATATCAAGTCAGTCTGCCAAGGTACGCGTGCGAAAGACAAATCGACATGATTTATGAAGGAGAGTGACATCCACGTTGGTCGACTTATCAGTTACATATCAACAACGAGAAAATTGCTGAAAGACAGCCTGAATACCGTTGGTATTTAAATGAGCAACAACTCTCACTGCTCAGGTGTCGAAGTCAGTATGTCGGAATCCACACATGGGCATCGAAGGGCTTGAATATATCTATTTCTCTGAGTCGCAACCTCCAAAGAAACACAGCCAGCCTTCAAGTTGGTCTACCAATTTGTCTATCCCACCGCCGGCGTGATACTAAATAACCTGGTTATCCCATTCAACTGTTGAGAATCTCTCTGGCCGATAAAGCTCTGTAGAGTTCCCACCAAGCAGCTCCTTTGTGTCAAGTGTCAAATTATTCTCATTCCGCAAAGCCTTTCAAGCATTGGATTGAGACATGACACTATTGCTGCTGTTGTGTTCTGCAGGCTGTAGCACTTTTGTACTCTCTCACGGTTAGCACCATCAATATGAAATCACTTTCTCCCAAATACATTACCAAATAATAAAGTTTTTCTCGGAAGTCCGGAAATGGGATACATACGTGTGAAAAAAAACATTATTGTATGCATTATGTAGTGGAAGGAAGAACTTTCTATTGTGAATTAGATGCACAGAGAGCTTGAGGTGGAGATATCAGCATTTCTGGTAGGAAATGAGTAGAAACTGTAACCTTAGAAAGCAATTTTTTAATTGAATTCAGACACCATCGCATGCCACTGCAAAGCACTTCATTCATTGCTCGTTGGTCGTTCTCCATAGTAGCTGTATAAGCATCGAGTTGCCTGATTTGGATCCGATCTGATTGAATACGGAGGAATCTTGATTACTAGTATTTCCTGAATGTTTGAAGTCAATGGAGGGAGGATGTTTGGGCTCTGTTTGTTTTTTCAATCGTTTTATGTGGTTCAAGAAACCTTTTACGAGCATGGCGTCACGCTCTGCCTTCTTGCGAGTAGCTTTGGCTTTCTTAAATCTGGTGTCATCCCTATGATCTGAGAGTCAGATTAGCATTTCATCTCGGAATATTTGTGCATCAGATGTATAACTTCTTTGCGTTGTTCTTTGATCCCTTAGACCATTGCTTGTCTTCTTCGGTAGATTTCTTCTGATCTTCGGCGACTTTCTTCTGGTTTGCGGCGTCAGCTTTCTACATCACTGCTTGGATGAGTGTAAATTGAACGAATCAACGATCAAATAAAGCATGTTGATCTCCAGAGCTAGCTTCTTCAAGGAAATGGGAGTGAGAGATACATAAACCTTTGTATCTGGATTCCAATATCGGGAATCAACTTCTTGCTTCCTTGGCGGGAGAAGACTCATTGAAAGCTTGGGAAAGGAAGTTGTGGAATGGCGATTTGGAATGAAAGTTGAATGAGTAGTGAGACGAAAATTAGAAGTGAGAGTAGAACGGGCTTTCATTGACGACGAGCCTCAGGATGAGCGTTGGTGAAAGTATAGTTGTGGGCGTGTTAACTGGTAGGTATCGAGATGAGTTTGCCGATAGGCGTCGTAATTTGCGGAGTCATAGGTAGGATGAAACGTGAGAAAGTCATTGTACTAGTAGTACCTAATAATCTTAGTAATACCTAGGTAGTCGTAGTGATCCTTGTAGTCATTTTCGTAGTACCAGTTGTAGTAACAACTGTAGTAGTAGGAATAGCGACGGGCATAGCGACAGGCATCATCATTCAGATGATCCATGATGAAATGAGAGATGAGAAGAAACTTTCGAGCCCTGGAGTGAGAGCCCTCAAGTGCTGAAGAAGAAGAAAGGTGAAAGAGACCACTAACGTCCCAGTTTTCAAGTTAGACTTGATCTTTTCTTGCTAGTACTGGACACTATTGATGTGGAAATCCAGGCGTTCAAGTTATGGGGAAACACGAAGGGAGGAGCTTCCGAGGTTGAACTTGAAGCTCTACCTATATATATGGCCGAGGAGCTATTCAGATAGTGCAGGTCACGGTGATTCGGATTCGAGTTTACGTCTACATGGATTGATGACTCCAACTTGAAGGTTGGGGACCAACACGCTGGCATTTTCGTTTCAAGCAAACAGATGCGCATACCCAGGTATGTACCTCAGGCTCTTGTAGCTTGAACACATAAATTTTTTTGAATTGTCGAATGGTGTCTGGAGCAGTGTCAGACAAAGAAATTGATAGCCACTAGATGGTAGTACTATATATGTAGTAGTAGTAGTAGTAATATTATAGCAGCAGCCCATGTGCAGGTACTATTTACCTGCCTCACTTAGTAGTACTAGTAGGTGCCACTAGCACTGATAGGTAGAATATATAGTAGTAGCAGTGTAAATTCAAATTCAAGTTGAACATTGGCTCCGCGCACCAGGTGCATGTGCAGTAGTAGTATCAAGTTTCATTCTAGTCAAAGAATCAACAGGATGCGTATCTAGATTGCTACAGTTCTCTAAATAAGCTTGAAACCAACATGCCTGTGCTCCATAGAATCTATAATGTGGAGAGCACATGTGGGGATGGGTGTGTTATAAATAACCACTTAGTCATCAACGGGGAGTCATCCATCTGGTTTAAACCGGCAACGGGACTACTTCCATACACCTGACAGAGACCGAGGTAATTCCAACTTGAACAACTCAAAGCACCTCCAGACAGATCATGAACCTCGCATCCAACACCCAAACTCCCTAAATCCGAAATATCATCCCTCCGACCCAGCCACAATGTGGCGGGATCGTACCAACCTGTACGTATCTCCCCAAACATTCGAACCACTACGTCAACTCCCTCGAAATGCAGACGCAGCTCCAAACTAACAAGACCAACCTCCAACCAGCTACATATCCTACCGCCAATCCTTCGCTCACCACCCCTCAAAAAAACCACGATTCACAGCCCCAAATGGCTTCGACTCACCAACCCAACCAGAAGAAAGCCGCCGCCTAATCTCGGACGGCTTCGAGGAAGATGGGGACATGGTCATCGAAATGGACCTACTCCCTCCACGCTGGGTAGATGTTCAAGAAGAAGTCTCCGAACATCTGAGCGAGATCGCGCAAAAATCAGCTCAGCTAGATAAGCTACACCAGAAACACCTGTTACCTGGATTCGGTGACGAGGATCTTCGAAGACAGGATGAGGGGGTGATTGAGCGGTTGACGCAGGAGATTACGCGCAGCTTTCATGATTGTCAGCGGGCGATTAAGAGGATCGAGTTGATGGTGCTAGAATCGAAGGAGCAAGGCGGCGTGACGAGTGGGGAGGAGACTATGGCGAAGAATATTCAGATTTCGTTAGCGGCGAGGGTGCAAGAAGCCAGCGCAAGGTTTCGAAAGAAGCAAAGCACATATTTGAGAAGTAAGTTGAGGTTTCAAGTTTCTTGAGAGGTATATCGAGCTGATCGCGTGAGTACAGAATTACGGGATATAGAGGGGTTTGCGACGCCATTCGACCGGGCGCCTACACCTGTTCCGAATCCCTATACCGACCCCTCTTTGATGGAGTCCGATGCGGATAAGTCATTCTCGCAGACTATGTTGATGCAGACCCAGCAACGGGCCACGGGCCAGAACGATGCTGCTATTGCGCAGCGGGAACGCGAGATCAATGATATTGCAAAGGGAATTATTGAGCTTTCGGATATCTTCCGCGAATTACAGACTATGGTGATTGATCAAGGAACCATGCTCGATCGTATTGATTACAATGTTGAGAGGATGGGGACCGAGGTTAAGGCCGCGGAGAAGGAACTCAAGGTGGTATGTTACTATGTCCCTAGAGCTTCCCATAGCTTGACCATTCTCGAGTGAGCACCTGCTAATCAATCCATAGGCTACAAATTACCAACGCCGAAGCACCAAACGCATGATCATGCTCCTCTTGGCCCTCGTGGTTATAGGATTGATCATTATTTTGGTCGTGAAGCCGAAGAACCATGGCTCGTCATCCCCAGCCCCAACTCCACTTGCCGATGAATCCTCGAATAATATCCGATCCGTGATAGCAGTCAAGCGACCAAGAAGACCTCTCTCAAGTCGATTTGGTCGCGATCGTTGGACGGATCCTGACATATTACGATAACGGACTGTATTCCTGTGCAAATAGTTCCAATTAGCGAGAAACTTGAATAGTTTTTAGATAATATACCAGTCGGCATTTAGCGAGCTCGGTGTAATAATGAAGATCAATTATTAAAACATCGACTGAACATTAATTGGACATTAATTGAACTGAACTATCAATTGGTATTCGCGTACGCTTGAGATAGATCCCTCAGAGAAGGATGACAACAGATGGATGAGTACATATCACAGAAGAATCTGGAAAAAAGTAACAGTGAAAATCGGATCGACAGGGTACATCACTGCTTATCACTGCTTTGCTTGCTGGGCGATCAACGCCGCCACGTCTGCATCGAGGTCCCCAGCGGCATACTGAGCATAATCCTCCTCCTCATGCGCCACTTTGCGCCTCTTGGACCCATTTGCACCGAAATCAAAATCATTGCCACCGCCAGGAGACAGGTCGTCAGGGAATGCGAGTCCGTTATCCGGCTGTGTGATATCAGGAATGACTAAACCCTGAGGAATTGGCTCTTCCTGGTCGTCAGTGAAAGGGCCATGGCTAGTTTTCTGCTGCTGAGGCTGTGGCTCCGGCTTGGGAGAGCCCACGGGAGTAATGGATTCCACAGGGGGGGGAGTCAAGGCTTCTGCCTCAGGACGGTCAAACTCTCCTCCCTCGGCGAATTCATGGGAAGGAGAGTGGTCCTCAGTCATGTTTTGCATAATCGCATCCTCAACGTCACGCTTCTCGTTATCGGTCTGGACCCTCTTCTCTGTGAGCCGTTCAGCAACGGATATCTCTTTTGCTTGTTCAGATCGGTGCATTCCAAGAATCTTTTCAAGTCCATCAATCATATCCTGTCGTGATTTGATAAGTTCGGCCATAACGCTCTCTGCGGCAACAAGTGATTTCCGAAGCTGGCTCAGACGAGCCGCACGCACAGGAGGGGCGGGCTGTGGCTCTTTTGTATCATGCATTTTGTCATACTCGGATGTCGCTTTAGCACTCGATGAATTGGCGGCGATAGTAGCTTTATTAACGGCAACTTGAAGGGGTACAAGAGGTTGGAGTTCAGATGGAGTAGAGCCGGATGATGAGTCGCGAAAGAGGGAGCCACCGAGAGACTGTTTCTTGGTGGTTGATCGAGTCTTGTCAATTTCTAGAGGCAAATCGTGAGGTTAGAAAGGTGTGCGCAAAATGCCGTGTAGATTGACTAAGATTAGCTTACCGTTCACGCGAGCGTCCACCGCATCCAGAATAGGACCCTCGAATACATTGCGCTGTCTCCATACTTCCACAACCCGACGAAGCTTTTGCTGAATATCATTTGATGAGCCCTTGTATGCTGTAGCGGTAGCCTCGGCGATAATCTAGATCCTGGTTAGCTCGGAAGTGCGCATTGAACTGGGGGATTATGACTGACTGGTGCGAATGCGATCAGAAATTCTTCTCTACCACGGGCCTTGGATTGTTGGGAGACCTCTAAGAATAATTAGTGACGTGGGTGACAATCTAGTGGTAGAATCATGTCGTACCATTGGCTAAGTAAACAAGGTTGAGGCGTTTGAGAGGAGGAGCGTCGCGGATCTTTTGAAGCCAAATCTGAGCGGTTCGATCGGCGTGTCGCCTGTATTTATATCGTTTGCTTAGCATGTTTACTCGAAAGAGTGAGAGCTGTTCGCGTACCTGTGAAACATAACCCATTGCGCGACAGTGACAATGCTTTCCTGTGTCTCATTCAAGGCAGACAGCTTAGCTTTAACAGCATCATCTGTGTACGCCATAGCTGCGACTTATGCAGTAGACACCTTAAGTACAAAACAGAATCGGAGAAGGGTGCGGATGTGGGGAGGCGAGTCGCAACTGAAACAAATTCACGATAACACGGTAACCGGGAGCAACGCGGAGCAACTGGGGAGTGACTGAACGCGTGAGTGTAAAGAATTCAATGCAATCAATCGAAGGATAGAATTAAAGAGCAATGAGTGTAATTCACACAGTTGTGTACTGCAACCTAAAGTAAGAGAACGAAGTAAAGCTGCCTCGATTGCGGAACCCAAGCTTGTTGACCGCCTTGACCGCCCTGGAGTGTGGGTGTGTACGGGGCTCCGCTCGCCGGCAACCTGTCAACTTACCTACTTCAAGCTCTCGCCTTTGCTTCAACTCTCATCGCCTTTCTCTTTTATTACTTCCTCTTTTTCTCAAAGGCTCTACACAAAAGCATCTACACACAACATGGCCGACCGTTTCCCCTCCCTGGAGGACTTCTCTGAGGGTATGTGCCACCGGGCAACTGCATCCGTCTACTCCGTGCTAACACAATAGGGATTATAGGTCAGACCGAGGTTGTTGACACTCACACCGGTGGCGACGATGACTTTCTCGCCCGCGAGCGCGCTGCTCTCGGTGAAGACGCCGACCAATTCGCAACCGCTCACGACCATGTTGCAGCCAACGAGGGCGGACACGGAGACGATGACCTACTAGGTGGTGATGACGGAACCCCCGCAGAGGAAATTGGACAGTTTGAGTCTGCATTCCCCTCAGTAGATGTGGATACACAAAATGAGGTATGGTGAACAAGCGGCTATGGGATGTGGAGTTGGAATTGCGCTAATAATGTTATCCAGCGAGTCGCCCCCGGTGGTACGATCACTGGCTCTGGTTCTCCCTTCCCTTCTACTGGTTACTCAAACACTCAGCCCCAGGACGAGGGCGATGCTGTTCGGTAAGTTGAATTGCACCTATGAGATGGACGGGGGCAAGCGCATGACGTCGCATGTATCCTTTACTAATCATGGTCATTATACCTATATAGTGAATGGCGTGAGAAGCGCGACTCTGAGATTGCCCGCCGTGCCGAGGTCTCAAACGAGAAGAAGGAAGCCACCGTGAACAAGGCCCGTGAGGACATCGACGACTTCTACGTTTCCTACAACAACAAGGCGGACAAGCACCGTGCCCAGACCAAGGCTGAGGCTGAGCAATTCCTTGCCAGTCGTGAAGACACCTCCGCCGGTGGTACTAGCTGGGAGCGTATCGCCAAGTTGGTTGATGTTTCTGGTAAGGGCAACACTGGTGGTGCGAGCGGCTCCGGTAAGGAGCGCTTCCGTGAGCTGTTGATCGACTTGCGGAAAGATCAAGAGGCTCCGGGCGCTAGCGGGATCTAGGTCACTTCTCTTTTCTTTTATTCTTTTTTTTACTGTTCACCGAGAGGGAGGCCCCGGGTACAGGAGTTGCAGGAAAATCGCTCTGTTATGATGGGTGATTGCAAGTATTCGGTTCTCATAGTGCCCTTAGCTTTCAATCTAAGGACATTGTGTTGAATCGCCATTCTAGAAGTGTTTTATGCCCCATTTTTTTTATTTTCTTTTATCTCCATGCAGCGATGTCTTCAGGGGGGTTTGTGTAATTTAAGTCTTTCAGATTGATGCATCGTTAATACCAAGGATTTTCTCTTATGATGGATTTATGTATACTAGGAGGACATGGTAGGATATTGTTTTTTTTCTTAGCATGAAATACTTCTTAGTGAGTGTTTAAATAAAAAATAATACATTCATGTGTGTCATAGAGGAAATTCAATTCCGCTCAAATGTCGCTTTTCAGTTCAATCCAGTTCAGTGATATCACCACCAGGCTCACCAATCTCTTCCACCTGCTTTCCTTCAGCCTCAAGCTCAGCCAGCTTCTGCTTGCCTTCCTCTGTGGTGCCATCAATGATACCCTCCTCGAGACTGAGCATGCCGCTTTCACCGAGCTTTTCAACAACAACCTCCGCCTCTTCCACGGACAGCTTACCAAGAACCTTGTTCACCTCGTCAAGAGACTCGGAAGCCAGTGCCTTCTGTAGATCCTCAGAGAAGGACTCAAAAATCTTACGAGCCTCGATCTCAATTGGCTCCTGGCTGTTTGGTTGGGGAAGATTGATGGTGATTTTGGTGTTCGGGTCAACTGCATGGAGCTGGATCTGCTCGACACCAGCGGGATCATTCGAAGCGGAGCTATCCTTGCTCAACTCTACCGCGCGGGACTTGATACGGTGATAGGTCTCATTCACATCATTAGCAAACAAAGCTGATGCACGGTGGTCCTTGTTTGTGATGCTATTGATTTGTTAGTTGACTACTAGCAACTTTATATAGGATCGAAACCTACCGGCTGAAGAACAGCTTGATACCATCCGGGCCCAAAGATCGGCAATATTGCAGGAGAAGACCCTGATGCACACATTGGCGGGCATAGTCATCTTGACCCTTAATTTGGGAGTTGAATGCCTCAACGAGCAAGCCATCTGTCTCTTTCTCGGCAATAATCTCAGGATGCGCGCCAATGAATTGCAAGTATGCGGAATAGTCGTTGGGTCGGAGACGGGCAAACTGCTTGCCAAGGGCACTAATTTCGACATCGGCGGGATCATCGCCGTCGTCATTCTCAGCTGTGCTGCTTGAGGGCTGACTTCCCACACCAGGGTTCAACAACTCCACCGATGATTCCTTAGCTGCAGACTCCTTGGACTTCTCAGCTGCCTTGGCTACATGTGATGTGTTGAAACCCTCATGCAATTGGTCGCTGGTGATCTTGCTTTTCTCTTCCTTCTCCAACTGGGCGAGCTTTGTCAATAATTCCTTCTGCAGGTCCTGGACCTTGCCCTTGTGACTCTCAACCCCCTCGATGTATGCCTGGAACACATTCTCTGGCTTTGAGTCTACAAACTCCTTCTTCACCTGGTCGACCAAGGAACTCATCATCTGCGAGTACTTAGGCTGCTCCTTTTCATGTGTATGGACACCCTCAGGTGGTGGCGGGGCTTGATCATCGGCGGGGTTGCTGGCAAACTCCATAATGGTCTGGAAGATGGGCTGTTCAGGGGAGGAGGAGGAATCTTCATGTTGCTTGAGGGTTGCAAGAAGTCGATCAATGCGCAAAAGAAGTCCATCGTTGATAATGCGCTCGTACTTCAAGGTCTTGATCTCGAGGCGGCGCTGTTCTCGTTGCTGATGAATCTGAGCCTGCTTGGCACGAATGAAGGACTTCTTGTCGACATTAGGATGAACCTCAATATCGGAATCATCCGACAGCTCAAGGGCATCCCATTTGCTGTAGTCAAGCACCATCTTGGGTGATACGCGAAATTGTCGCTGAGGGCGGGGTATGGAATGCAGTGGATAGATACGAAGTACTCCAAAGGACGAATCTTGGATGGAGTCAAATCGATATCAAAGATATTCACAGTCTCTGTGCTAAAGATGAATATCCAAACGACCTTACAGAGACAATGAAGTAAAGCAAGAAGGTGACTGGAAGATCAAAACATCCAAAGCTCTCTATCAGCTTCGACGGGCGGTGTGGTTCTGCCAGACAGGCTGCCGACAATCGGGGATCCCGCGACTGCATCTCCACATGCTTTCACTCAATGCTCTGAATGGTCATGAACAACTCGCTATACATCTATGTCTGAATCCATGAATACATAGATAATGGCCTGTCCTGTTCTTTTTCAGTGACCATAATCCTGAGCTTCTATCAAGGCTTGTGACACTGAATTTCCACCATGCGCGGTGTCCAGCTTCCTACCTTCGGCCTGGGCGTCAGCCCTCGGTCAGTTTTAAAGCCACGGGGAACTGGGTTTGGAGACCGCCTGCTCCAGTCAATTCGCCCATCTACTCATCATACTGCGATTAAGTCTCCTTTCCAACACCATTCTACCTCTTTCCGACCTCTTTGCGCTAGATCCGGTACTACTTTCCGCCTGCCCGAGATCCCTCGCTCAACTTACCGAAATGGCTTCAACAATACCCCCTCTACACCTCGCATTATTTCGCAGACTCGACTGATCTCCTCTACTACTCGTCTCCTGCAAGGAAAACCGGTTGCGCCTTCCAATTCCACCAATGATCCGACCCGTTCTGTTCCGGAAAAGGATGAAGATGCGGAAAAAGGATTTGAATTGACGGAACGAGCTGCACAAGCTGCGCAGATCAACCTGAGTGCTCGACTGTCTAAAGAGGGTTCTGGCAAGAAATCCGGCTTTGGTGAAATTTGGCGACTTCTAAAGGTTGCCCGGCCCGAAGCTAAGAAGCTTACATTCGCATTCTTCTTCTTGCTCATCTCCTCTTCAATCACCATGGCAGTCCCGCTTTCCGTTGGTAAACTCATGGATGCTGCCACAAAGGGCGTGGGAGAGGATGGCACAGGCGAGTTGGTTTTCGGTTTGAGTCAGACAATGTTCTACAGCATTTTTGCGGGTGTAGTGGTTGTCGGCGCGGCTGCCAACTATGGCCGTATCATCATCCTCCGTATCGTCGGTGAGCGCACCGTAGCTCGGTTGCGCTCTAACCTTTTCCGTCAAACTCTCATCCAAGATGCTGAATTTTTTGACGCGAACCGTGTGGGTGACCTGATTTCCCGGCTCGGCTCTGACACAATTATTGTTGGTAAAAGTATCACCCAGAATTTGTCCGATGGACTTCGTGCGGGTATTAGCGGTGTAGCTGGTTTCAGTCTGATGGCATATACCAGCTTCAAATTGTCCGGCATCCTATTCTTGCTTCTTCCTCCAATCGGCTTGGGTGCCTTGATCTACGGAAGAGCTGTCAGGAACCTTAGTCGCCAAATGCAGAAGAACCTGGGATCGTTGACCAAGATCGCCGAGGAACGCCTGGGTAATATTAAAACCAGTCAGTCTTTCGCAGGCGAAGTTACTGAGGTCAATCGATACAACATACAAGTGCGCAAGATCTTCGCAACCGGCATGAAAGAATCTCTGGCTACCGCGGCTTTCTATAGCTCGGTAAGTGCTTTATTACTCTAAATTACCCGTCGACTTTTTGACTTACTTCTGTGTTAGACCGGATTCTTGGGAAATATGTCAATTCTGGCCCTTCTTTATATTGGAGGTAGTATGGTCCAATCTGGAGGGATCACTATTGGAGAATTGACATCTTTCTTGATGTACACGGCTTATGCCGGAACCAGCATGCTCGGTCTCTCGAGTTTCTACTCAGAGCTTATGAAGGGTGCCGGTGCCGCCAGTCGACTGTTTGAATTGCAGGATCGTCACCCAACCATTCACCCAACCAAGGGTCTTCGTGTTGAATCTGCACGTGGTCCTATTCGGTTCGAGAACGTCAGCTTCAGCTATCCAACCCGTCCTGCAGTGCCAATCTTCAACAACCTGGACTTTGAGATCCCTCAAGGAACTAATGTTGCTATTGTCGGTCCATCTGGGGGTGGCAAGTCTACAATCGCCTCCATCTTGCTTCGATTCTACAACCCCACTGCTGGTCGGGTGTTGATCAATGGCCAAGAAATCAGCCAAATGAATGCCAAATCTCTTCGCCGAAAGATTGGAATCGTCTCGCAAGAGCCTGTCCTCTTCTCCGGTACTATCGCTGAGAACATTGCATACGGTGTCCCTCATGCAAGCCGTTCTGAGATTATTTCTGCTGCACGCAAGGCAAACTGTCAATTCATCAGCGACTTCGTAAGTAATCACTGGAATCTCTTTATTATCATCAGTAACTAACCTGACTTAGCCCGATGGCCTGGATACACACGTTGGAGCTCGCGGTGCGCAGCTATCCGGTGGACAGAAGCAGCGCATTGCCATTGCACGTGCGCTTATCAAGGACCCCGATATTCTCATTCTCGACGAGGCTACCTCAGCCCTTGATGCCGAATCCGAGACTCTCGTTAACAGTGCCCTGACTGCTTTGCTACGTGGAAACAACACTACGATCAGCATTGCCCACCGTCTTTCCACCATTAAGCGTTCTGACACAATTATTGTCCTCGGTCCTGATGGCACTGTTGCTGAGCAAGGCTCTTACGAGGATCTCAGCACCCGACCCGATGGAGCCTTCACTAAGCTCATGGAATGGCAGATTACTGGCGGTGACGCGCCTCAGGCTCAAAAGCTGGCTGGGCCAGATAGACTCTGGGACCTGCAGAAGGAGGCCGATGCCGAGGCCGAGTCAGAGCTGGTAGAGGAACAAGAGGCTACTACTGAAGAGCCTAACAAAAAGGAGTAAGCATGTCTCTCTAATTTTGCATGATCACATACTACACATGTGCATGGGGAGGTTTATTTGTGAGGACTTTGTCTACACTCTGTTCTGTGCTGTCTGCACTGTCTACTCTCTTCTCATACAGATTCGTTCTTTTTTTTTCCTTTCCTTTCTCCGGCGATTTGGCGATAGATATTCTACACACTCAACAATGTATAAACAACAGACACATCCGATCAAAGGATGACAGTATATATGATATTTTGTAAACATTGAAGTAATATGGTGAACTCCTCGACCAAGTAGAAAGTAAAGCCTGGCAGTTGTCAATACTGGTTTAGCCCGGCGAACTGCCTAGGTACTAGTACTAGTATCACGCAACAACATTTGAAAGTTTGAATCTGTAGATAGGCCTGAGTCTCGGTCCTCCAAAAACCGCCATTTATCAGAACTCAACTTGAAGTTCGCACTGGCAAAAGATTTCATTCCCATCAGCTCCGAGTCCCGATGTTGAGTTCAAGATGACACTTACCAAAGCTATACAGGAATATCTACCGGTACCTACCCGGTGACGGACTGGGGTATCTGCTATACACTGATAGCTCTCTAAATTGATAATTATTCAAGAATATAGTTGATTTTAACAGATCTATGATAAAATCCAACATGTTGCTCTATGTCAACGTACAAATAAGAGTGGATAGAGTATGTGGGTCTCCATTCAAGAGGCCAATCAGAATGTCCAATTTCTATATCATCCAATCAGCACACACAAACGAAGTAGATATACTCAAGTATGAAAGATAGTGACTATAACTGGACATATCAATCCAAGTAGAGAGAAGAAAGAGGGACACTTGGGGAAATATGGAGAGTCTGAGCTTCTAAGCCATCAAGATTGAGATGAACCTTGGAACTACAGTCAAAAAGTGCCTATACCTGCTCCAGATCCCAGAATTGCTGAACAGCCACTCCAGTCTTTCCGCATAATTGACACCAGAAGCTCTCCCAGTATTACTATCAGGTCTTTTTCTCCATCCGGGTAACTTTATTCCACTCAAGTCTCCCCCTCAAGCTCGCATATACTCGCAAAGAATCCGCTCTCTCGGGAATTGCCAACGCTTGCTACCATCCTGCATCAACCCCCAGGTAATCAACACAGAATAGTCACTAAAGCGGTCAGGCCTCATCGAGAATCTGTATTGTATATGGCTAAATCAAATGAAATTCGAGATCAATTTCCATAAATCGGCAATACTAGTGTCGGAACTTCCCAACTAAGACATCCCTCGGCAGCGAGTCCAAGGGCCAATGTAGATAGCTCCATAGAAAGCGAGGACAGCTGCATACTAAACTCAGAAAGAACTCTCTGTTTATCACAGGGTCACTCTTTTCGTCCTATCTCCTCCTTTACCAGTAGGCAACGGCACCTAGCTGGTATTTCTGCTCTTGAACTTTCCAACCTTCTTCTTTTCTTCTTTTCTATCCACTCATTTTCCATTCTCCATACCCTCACCTCTTGGGAACTGACAACCCCGCCTCTATTTTACATTCAAGTCAAGCTCCCGCCCTTTACTGACAGGTTAAGTAGACTCGCGCTTCAACCATGGATCCAGACGACTCGATTGCGGCTTCGACATTCTGGTCGGCCTTACAGGTCGTCCTCGCGTTGGTAAGTCAGGTCCAAGCTGTCCAGTTTCCCAAATATCTCGTCATAGTCACCATTTCATTATAACTTACATCATTCAAAGCTCATTGGATACACTGTGGCCTGGTGTGCTTACTCTTTGTGGCTGCATCCACTCAGCCGATACCCCGGACCAAAGCTGGCGGCTTGCTTCCCTATCCCTCATCTCTTGTGGGATATCCGCGGTAAGCAGCACTCGACCATCAAGGAACTACACGACAAATATGGAGATGTTGTTCGAATTTCTCCAAACGCCCTGGCTTACCGCGCAGCTGCCGCCTGGCGCGATATCTACGGCCATCGAAAGAAGGGACAGAAGGTTTTCATCAAGGATCCTTCCTTGTACACGACTCTGCCCAATGGTGTCAACGCAATTATCACGGCCAACGAAAAGGAACACCAGCGCATGCGCCGCCTGTTGACTCATGCTTTCTCGAATAAGGCGCTTGGTGAGCAAGAGGGTATCCTTCACACCTATGCTGATATGCTGATCGACAAACTCGGCGAGGTCTTGTGTGAATCTTGCTCTCCTGTGGTTGACTTGACCCGCTGGTTCAACTTTACCACCTTCGATTTAATCGGTGATCTTGCCTTTGGTGAGCCTTTCGACTGTCTGGCAAACACAACATACCACTGGTGGGTGTTGATTATTCTGGACGCCGTGAAGGCAAGTACATATCTGAAGATCTTCTGGTTCTTTCCCTTCCTACTCCCTTTGCTTGCAATCCTGGTTCCCAATCATTTGCTGGAGAAACGAACCGCAAGTTTCAATCTCAGTGTTGAAAAAATGCGCCGTCGTATCAACAGTAAGACCACCAGACCGGATTTCACATCTTACATCCTTAAGCACAGCAATGATGGACGGGGTCTTTCTCAGCCCGAGCTCGATGCCAATGCTGCTGTCTTCGTGCTCGCTGGAAGCGAGACAACCGCCGCTCTTCTATCCGGATGCATCTATTATCTTCTCCGTCACGAGGACAAATACAACCGACTTATTGAGGAAATCCGCTCGGCATTCAACAACCCCTCCGAGATCAACTTGACCGCCATTGCAGAGCTTTCTTACCTGATCGCCGTTCTGACAGAGACGCTTCGTATCTATCCTCCTATCCCAGCTATGCTTCCCCGTATTGTACCCGAGGGTGGAGCAATGATTGACGATAAATATGTTCCTGGGGGTGTAAGTAGCTCATCACCATTCTCCAACTCAAACTTGAGCTCTGGATGATCATAAAATCCTGGAAATACTAACTCGATCTAGGTATCCGTCTCTGTTTCCCTATTCTCTGCTTTCCGCGCTGCAACTCATTTCAAGGATCCCGACTCCTTCATCCCAGAGCGCTGGTTAGAGGGACCCGAGTCAGCCGACTACGTTTTGGATAATCGAGATGCTTTCCACCCGTTTTCATATGGACCTCGCAACTGTCTCGGACAACAGTAAGTCACTCACATCAATTATACATCCATCCTTCAGAGGAAAGCAGCTAACGAAGATGAAGCCTCGCAAATGCCGAAATGCGCCTCATTCTTACGAAGCTCCTGTATCACTACGATTTCAGTCTCGAGGCCGAGTCCGAGGACTGGGTCAAACAGTATTCCTTCTCGCTTTGGTCTCGCCCCGAGTTGATGGTCAAGCTTACTCGTGCTGGTGACTCGGACATGGATGGTGACTCTCGTGGTTAATCTTTCTTTCTTCCAACCCAGGTGGTGATGGTACTCACGTACATACGTTTCGAATCGGCTTCTCGTGAGTACATACGTTTCGAATTGGTTTCTACTTTCGGTGGGACGGTACATGCTTTAGTTGTGATGCTTTGGGGTTTGATGCTACTCAGGTGATGAGGAGAGCTGGACTCAAGGTGGCTTATTGGATATGGATTCTTGATTTTGGTTGATAGACCCGGATTGATATGGACAAAGTTTTTGGGGTCCGCCTTGGGGTTGAAGGGCCAGGTGGATGATGACCCCAGTCTAGTTAGTAGCTTGACGGAAGCCTAATTTCTTTCGTTTCATAGCTAGTTAAAAGTGCTGCGCTTTAGTTTATTTTGTATTTCTATATCCGTGTAACTTTTTACAAATGTAGTCCGTAGTAGGAGGTTAACCTTGGAGACTCAGATGTCTGTGCTGGTGGATATGGGGTAGCCAGGTAGACATGTTCCAATGGACTGAAGCAAGTAAATGGGACGAGAACTTGAAGAGAGTCAAAGAAAACTTGACATTTATTCTGTATGCAGTGTATGTATATTCGACCAAAAAATGCTAAACAACTGCTCCGAGTCCCATGTGGATATCAACTCGAATAAACCAAACTCCGTAAAAATGCATATAATCATCCATTAAAGCGCATAAATGCTAATGAAAGACCTGTGTATTTCAGCACCTAGCTTAGAAAAAGTCCTGCTCAACCAGCCATTGCGAGTCCATGGCATAAGCAACAAGATCAGCCGCACAACACATATCCTCGTCTCCATTTTCCAGGTCAAGAAGATCGAGCACTCTCTCAAGTCTACCCTCAAGTCTCTGCTTGAGTCTCTCAATTCGGGCTTGCTGGTCTTTGCTATGTCTCTTTTTCACAAGAGTACAGGACAGAGTCTCTTTATCCGTCTTGCTCTTCGCTGATTGTTCCTCCATAGCTCTGTTGGGGGAGCAAGGTGCCAGTGCCTGTCTTTGGGATGCTTCTGGCTCAGAGATAGGCTGCGCAGCCTCTTCTTTCCGATTTTTCATAAGGTTCTTCAGAATGAAAAGTAACCAAACCAGATTTGTTCGAGGTGCATAGTCAGCCCAGATTCCAGGGACGTTTGGCGTTTTCTCGGTTTCCAATGGATTTCCAGTATAGACCGTTGCACGCATACTAAATTGACATAGCTGTTAGCACATGTATACCTGTCAGTGATGAACAAACATACTATCTGTAAGTATCTCTGAGTAAGATCTCATCCTCATCCTGACCAATTGCATCGAATATTTGCTTCTTATCCAAATCCGAGGAAGCACTCTCGACTACACCATCCGAGTCATCGGACAGATCAGCCAGTCGTAAATCAGCACGAGAGAGCGAGTAATCAATAATTGTGGTCTCTAGAGCACTGATTCCAAACCCACTGGGCGAGTTTCTTCGCGCAATTTCCATACTGGAAGGAGGATCCATTGACCCATTTGACCTCCCCGACCGAATACAGACATTGCCTAGATGTAGATCTCGGTGCTAAAGAGCCGTCAATATACGAACTTATTCAACCACTGAATAAAACCCACCTCAAAAAGAGCATACTCCTCAGCACGAGCCAAAGCCATGGCAACACCCCAAAAGATATCATAGATCTGAAAAACAGACGACCAAGAAAACTTCTCCAGCTCACATCCAGCATCATCCATTTCCACGATCGCCCAGAGTTGCGTATCGGGAAAAGCCTTCTTATTCGCAGGATCAGGATTCAAACAATCATCCCTAGTCTCCTTGTAATAATCCCAAGCACTCTGAAAGGCATCCGGAAAGCGACCCTGCACCACATGAATCTCTCTAAAGCGCGCAAATCCTGGGATCGGATCGAGATACTTGAGCATCTTGACTTCCGAGGCAATTTCAATAATAGTAGTAAACTTCTTTGATCCGAGGCCTCTCTGCGCACGTAGTGGCACAACCTTAAATACACCGTCTCCGTATGCGGTAAGTTTTGCGAGTTTTGATTTGGATACGGCGGGTCGATTACTCTCTTCACGAAGACGAAGCTTGTACACCTCTCCATATGAACCTTCGGCTAGTTTTTCGACGTCGAACATGGTAGCGGATCGGGAGGCCCAAGTTGAGAATTTTTGGATACTTTGTGAGGCGAGGGAGAGAGTGCTTCGTTGAGGATTGGGCGGACGTAAGTGTTAGCCTTGGGGTCGTGGATAAAACCGGAAGATGTGCGGACTGAGGTTTTCTTTCGTGGGGTCTGGTTTGTAGATGATGTGCATGTGGTATCATTTGTTTCTGAGGATACATCATCTTGTTCCGTTTCTTTTGGCCAGACTCTGACTTCCACCATCTTCTGGTATGTCTTGCTCTTAGTGAAAGCCATTGGTGATTGTGGTTTTGTGGGGGTGTCTAGTCGTTGTGGAGAGGAACGTGGGGTTGATTTCTGAGTTGATTGAGGTCTGGGAGATGAGGGCTGTACTGCTCGGTGATTTGATGATATTGGTTTTGGTGCTGGTTTGGTAGTTTTTGCCTGTTTAACAGAGACTGGTTTCTCCTCAAGCGACACCGCCGCCAATTTGGCTTGGATAGCTTCTACCGTCCCATCCCGCTCCTTGTGCTCATCTGATAGCCTGATTGGGCTCTTGGGATCAAACACTGCGCGCGGGGCAATGTTCTTCTTTTTGCCGTAGACTTTTCGTTGCGCGACCGTCCTTGTGGAGGGTTTCCGGGGTGGTGTCGAGGTCGCGTGACCGAATTGTGAGCTTGATCCGGTCATTATGATGACTCGAGTAACTCGAATTGATCCTAAGTGTTGTGGATCTGTGACAGTGTAGATAGGTTTATGGAAAGTAAAGCCAACTGGGGTGATAGAGTGGATTGAAAGGAGATGGAGTCTATGATGCGCCTGTCCGCAGAGAAGAGAAGCTATTGATGTTTAGCCGGATACGGTTTAGCGTGATGGTTACCCGGGTAAAGCAGTCCACTTAATACTGACCAATCATAGAATGACCTTACACATGTCATCTTGAACTGTGTAGTGATGATCATACATATTAATATAAAATCTCATTTATTAAGATAGAATATAAGGGGAGTGTAATAATATCAGACGAACAGAACAAGTTCAGAATATCAGTACTAGTAAGTATTATTGAGAGAGTTCAGTTGCCACCACAGCAGTGGGTAGTGTGGACTCGGTGGAGTACTATGGAGAGCCCTAGACTGCAACACTTGGACTTCCAAGCTGAACATTGAAAGTCTCCGTTAATTAAAACTCGTCAGGCGATTCCAAAAATGCATTTGCAATTGATTCATCTCAAAAGAGGAACTTATTCATACATAAATATTGTCAGTATGTGATAGAGCAATCAATAATTAAGCAGTTTGGTGTATCACGTGAGCAACATAGCAATGATGAAACTTGAAATATATATGAGAACTTGAAACCACCGAGATCGGACTTAAGGTATATACTATCATACCATTCCAAGGTTGCCACCGAGCAGTGATGAGCTTCAAACTTGAATCAAAGTTCTTGTACGAAAACTTGAACTCAAGCTGAGTATGATTAATATCATGATGATATTACCACACTCAAGAATTCAAAATTACAGTGTGGAACCCTCAAACTTGAAATGTTTTCCTTATCCGGGGAAATTCGCAACCTCTCCGCCATCCCTCGTGCGGAGTATAATCCGGTATACGGCACCTGGAATCACTTCCAGACCATAAGCCCAAGACCTCACGAGCACGGGCTGGACTCCTTACAGGATCGACACCCGGAAGACCCATTTTGGCCCGTGAAAAACTTCGCGTCGCGGGCCGTTTCATTCGATGTCTCTAAGGCCCCTTTCGCCTTTCCCCAGCTCTTGGATAGATGAATGGCCTGGGGTTGGCTAGAAAGCGCCCAGAAAAGAGACTTATGCATCTCATTGTCACTAAGAGGATCGTGAATGGTCCAGTATAGCCCCAAGTGGGAATGCCTTCGGGGCTGGTCGGAAAGAGTGGGCCTGCCTGCACAATCGAGGATGTGACGTACCCGATGCGTTTTCAAGGAAAATTAAAGAAAGATGACATGTAAAGAGTAGAATAGAATAGAAAAAAAAAGTAAATCAAATAATATAGAAATGAGACATTATACTTCGTAGTCTCAGTGTAGTCGATAAGTAAGGTACTAAGTAACTGAAGTATTGAGTACTGACACGCGAGAAAACCTGTGACTTTGGACCCAGGGCTCTGACCTCGGGACCTAGTCCTTTTTTCCTTTTTTTCTTTCTCCTGAAATTCGCCATCCACATCCCCTGCTAACAGGGCTAATAATATTCTCTTTTCTTTTCTTCTTATTATTCCTATAATCTTATTCTCAATGCGAGGGCATGGCGTTCAACTTCAACTGGTCGCCGTTGATGGCGGACGCGGGTTTTTACACTCGCGCCCAAGAACTGCTAACTGCCGCCCTCAATAAGTCCCCCAAACCGCCTATCATTGTCGATGATATTATCGTGACCGAACTTAACTTAGGCTCGATGCCTCCCGACTTGGAAATCTTGGAAATCGGCGACCTTGCCGAGGATCGCTTTCGTGGGATTTTCAAAATGTCTTACTCCGGCGATGCCTTTTTGACGCTCAAGACCCGCGTCCAGGCTAATCCACTCAATACCTACCTCATCACCCGACCTTCCTTTGCCTCACCGAAGCCTTTGGCTGCCGCGTAAGTGTATCCCGATACTATGCGCTCGTGTGAACGCGCTTTTCGATTTAGATGTCCTTCTTGCGACCGAAACTGACCAAGACCATCTATATCTAGTACCCCGCTTACTATTCCCCTTCAAATTACACTCTCCGATTTTAAACTCTCCGGCTTCGTGATACTGGTATTCTCAAAACAAAAAGGAATTACAGTCGTATTCCGGAATGACCCGCTAGAATCCCTCAAGGTCTCATCAACGTTCGACTCTATTCCCTTTGTGCGCGACTTCCTGCAAAAAGCGATCGAGGCACAACTACGGATTCTCTTTATGGACGAACTACCCGCTATCATCCATCGGTTATCGTTGCGCCTATGGGTTCCAGAGTACCGCGATGGGGAGGATGCGCAGAATCAGACCGATAATACCGATAAGTCCGCGAGCGAAGGACCCGGCCAAGACCCGTTGGCGAGTCCACCCCAGGACCCTGTCGATTCGCTCGGAAATGCGCTGAACGAAACCGAAATCGCGTCGCTCTCACTGGATTCATCTGTTGAAACCCATTCCCTCTTCTCACAGAAGAACCTTCTTCGCCTCGCCGCTCTTACGGATTCCCAGCGAACACTTTCCCTCTTCACACCCTCTATCAACGAAGTTGTATACCGCGCGTGGACATCGCCATCCGATCCCAGCGAGTTTCCCGCCAGCGTTATGTCCCCAGCGAGCCCGACCTTATCGCGAACCCATTCACAAGTTGGCAGCATGTCGTCCGTCCATGAGACTGGCAGTATGATCTCCATGCAAAGTCGGCCATCACTATCAAGCCACTCGGTTAATAGTTATGGCCTCAGCCTGGGCACGGGACGTCACTCCAAGGCTCACTCCCGAAAGCGGAAGAAGCGTGTGGTGGATTTGCGTCGCCCCAAGACAACTGACGACGCTATGAGTGTCAGTGACGATGGTACCCACACCGAGTCTACCAGCCCTCCCTCAATCGCTTCTGCACCTCTTCCAGTCGTGAATGAGATGTCTGATGACCCAGTGACACCTCCATTGACTCCTGAAATGGATTCGCACCTGCCACCCATTCCCGAACGCCACCGGATGAGTATCTCTCGACCGGCGCACCCTCAACACTCTTACACTCAGGAAACCATCCGACCTTCCCGGGTTCCCGATGTTGACGCTACTCCTCGTCCTTTACGTGCTAGCTATCCCGATGAAAAGGCCGAGGCTGGCCCTTCATCAGGTACTACTCGACAGTCTTTACCTGCTACCATCCTTCCATTCAAGGAGGAGGAGAGTAATAAGGACTCCGTTGATCCCCGTCTTGTTGAAAGACTTGCTGGTGAAATTGCGCGTCGAATGCGCGAAGATAAGCTCATGTCGGCCAATGCCTGTAGCAACTTCTGGACTCGCAGTCAAGACGATGCGCCACCGGCTTATGGCCACTGAGCGCCACCCGTTATGCGTTTACCCTTTCGAGTCTTGCTCGATCTTATGACCGTTACGATTTCACTTTGTTTTTACTTTTCTTTCCTTTGTTGAATTGTTTGGAAGCGGGTTGTACAAAAAAAATTGGCTCTATGAAGCTATGGCGTGGACTTCTTTCTTTGGTGCTCTTGGATACCAGTTTCTTTTTTTGTATAATGTTGGGTTTGAGGGATACAGGATTTAGGACAGGATGGACTTATTCAATTCATTTATTCAATATTTATTCCAAGATTATCATAGTAAATTGTACTTAGTGTACGGAGTATACCTAGTGCCAACCCCATAGATTACAGTAGATTACGTGGGGGCGCTAACGTCGGCAACAGCTTAGCTCCGCACTTCGATTCTCTCAACCTCCTTTCCCTTCCACCATCCTCTAATCAACCATGGCGGGCGTGCTCAAGAACGTATTTGGTGGCCAGCCTTCTGGCGCTGCCTCCGACGATGGTATGTTGGAATAATCTCTCGCAATTGCATTTTTGATCATCGTTCTAACTGCCGATCCCCAGATTTCGCCGATTTCGTCGAGGCTCCGAACCCATCGCCTGCGTCCCTTGTCGCTGACTCGCCCACTCTCGCAGCAGCCAGCACCGGCGCTGCTGCTCCTTACACAGCATGGTACCGGATTTGGGAGCGGACATCGCCTAAGGATTTCATGCAGGAGGCCATGATCATGCCTTTCATCGTGGTCCTTGTCCTCTTCCATCTCTGGGGTACAAGCAAGAACCGTCGCAAGGCGCGCGATTGGGCGAAGTCCCATATCCCTGCTTTGCAGAAAGAGTTTGCTGTGGTCGGATTTGATGGCATCGCCCGTAACCAGGAGGGTGACGCTCTCACTGTGGAATTGAGCAACCCGGAGAAGAGCCTGAAGGAGAAGTCGGCCCACGAGTTCTCAACCTACGCTACCGGTCGCCAGAACGTCGCCTTTGTCGATATCTCTCTGAAGATGCCTAAGCGCTACAACCCTGTTACCTACCTCATGGAGCTGGCTTTCGGTTTCTTTTTGGAGAGCTGGGAGACTCCCACTGACCGTTACGAGGCTCTGATGTACGGTTTCGATGGTAAGGAGAAGGATTTGGTTCCTGTCTTCTCCAAGGATACCCCTTTGAAGGTTAACAACTCTACCTACGATGGATTCATCTGGGCTGTGGTTCACAAGAGCCACATGCGCAAGTTCCGCACTGATCGTTACGATGCCTCGATGACCTTCTCCAAGGATCACCCCAAGCTGCCTCAGTGGGTTACTGTGATGTCTGAGAGTGCTGAGATCACCGATACCCTTCTCAGCAAGGAGCTTATCCAAGCGATTGAGCAGGCTGGCAATGACTTTGAGTTCCTGATTGTGACTGACCAGCCCATCGACAAGCCTACCAGGTAAGTGCAGCATGACTCGATCTTACTTAAAAAACATTTCAATCTAATAGCACACCACAGCATCGATGAGACTGCCCCCAAGAAGCGCATCCAGCTCTCGGTTAACCTCTCCTCCGGTACCGAAGCCACCCTCCCCCTGTTCAACCAGTTCCTGCGCTTCGGCGACAAGCTTGTTACTGCTGCCCACTTCCGTGGTGAAGTCATGCGCAAGGTTCGCAGTGTCCGTGACGAGGAGATCAAGAAGCTCCGTCGCGTTGAAGAGGAGGAGAAGGCCGAAGAGCGCAAACTGGCTGCTGAGAAGATCAAGAAGGATGAGCGTGAGCGTCTTCTTCGTGGAATGACCGCCGATGAGCAACGCAAGTACCTGGATCGTGAGAGTCAAAAGGAGCAGCGACGAAACCAGAAGCGTATGACCCGTCGAGGTTAAATGTAAACTGGTTAGAATCTGGGGATTCTTCACTTTCTTTCCATCTTGCCAAAAACGCGTGGTGTTTGCGTTGGCAGGGAAATGTTTTAATCTCTCTCTTTTTAAACTTATTTGTGTCCCCAGATGTATTCATAGTGTGTCCATGACTGGAGGCTGATTGTTTCTATGAAGATCTGATATTTCTTGTTAATTTTGAATGTGATTTGTATGACACTATGACATGAGTCGTGCTTGCCTTACCATAACCACTCCAAGTAGAAGTCGAGTCCTTAATACTTCAAGTAATAACAGAGAATTCATCTCATCCATTGTTAACACACTCATTCTAATTCACCATGCATTTCCTCTCATTCCTTACCGTGTCTCTCATTACACTAGGATCAGCATTCGTGCTACCAGGAACCACACCCCAACAAACCATTCTACCAAACCACTACCTGGAGGCAAACAAGCGACAAGAATCCGAAGCTCAGTCCGAGATTCCATTCGGCGTCATCATCACACACTGCAATATCCCCGGAGTAGTAGCTCTAACCTTTGACGATGGTCCATACATTTACACGGGACAGATCCTGGAAACCCTTTCGCAGCATGGAGCGCGGGCAACATTCTTCATGAATGGAGTGAATAAGGGAAATATCGATTCATTCCCTGAATTGGTCCAGCGAGCTGTTAACGAGGGACATCAAATTGCTTCTCATACGTACGTATCATATCCAAATCCACCAACATCAATCCCTCATCCCCTTCAACTTTGAAGTTAATATACTAACAAATACAGATGGGGCCACGCATCACTTGATACACTGAGTTACGCCGAAATCATAGCCCAAATGACAAACCTCGAAGAAGCCTTCCTGCGAATCCTCGGCTTCTACCCCAGTTACATGCGCGCACCCTATCTAATGGTAACAGCGGATGTGCTAGCCGCAATGAAAGCACTGGAGTACCATATTATCGGTGCAAGCATCGACACGAAGGATTACGAGAACGATGATCCAGAACATAGCTGGCGCAGTTTTGAGAAGTTTCGAGCGGAGTTGGATGGTGGGGGTACGATTGTTTTGGCGCATGATACTCATCGAACCACTGTGGAGGTTTTGGTTGATAATATGATTTCGGAGATTGAAGAGAGAGGGCACGAGAGTATGTTTGAACCTTTTTTTGACTCTTACAATGGTGATTTGGATGATTTGGAGTTACTAACTATTTGTTTTAGTGGTCACTATAGGTGAATGTCTTGGGGATCCCCCGGAGTACTGGTATCGCGACGGTCGATAGATTTCTTATTTTTTTTCTTTTCTTCTTTCTTTTTGTGCTTCGTGTCATTTTGTTGAAGTACATAGTCAACTTGTCAGAGTAGGATGGTGTTGAGTTGAATTATTATTATGAGGCCAGTGTGATTACAAGAGAAATGCATGTGTGGATTCCGTTTTGGCCCCCAGTTCATGCAAGACAATTTCGATCGGAACTACACTAGTGCCGATCATTTGTTTCACCTGCAAGTAACCCTAACTACACATCTGACATGAAGTATACATGCAATTGATGTCTAGACTCGGACTGGTGTACCCAGCATTCAATGTTTGAAGTATCCAACTTGAAGTTGCCAAAACATTAGTAACACTCTATTCAAGATCTAATCTATATCACTCTATGAACAAGCCACCAGGAACATAATAAGAAATTAATAAGATTCAAATGTTCAAACTACTTTCCAAAAATCTTAACCCGCTCCTCAATAGGCTTCTGCACCTTCTCACCAGCCTGAGCCTCAGGGCTACCGAAAACAAGTTGAGCAACAAGACGCCACTCAGTAGGGAGGTTCCACTGCTTAGCAACAGGCTCATTAATCAGGGGGTTATAGTGTTGGATGTTAGCGCCAAAACCAAGGGATTCGAGGGCAGTCCAGACTAGAATAAGATTAGATGAGATCGAATTGCACTCAGTGGATGACTGAATGAGACTTACGGAAGTACTGGTGCATAGCGTTAGAGTGATCAGCCCAAGGCTCAAAGTGATTCTTATAAGTAGGGAACTTCTCCTTGAAGCCCTGAATATGAGCTGGGTCTTCGAAGAAGAGGATCTAAAATGAGATTAGAATACAATCTGAACAAGTTTATAGGTTCCGATTAATCTCAGTAATTCAGGTAATACTCACAGTACCATAAGCAGCCTTAAACCTGTTCAGCTTAGGTAAAGTCTGATTCTTAAAGACCTCTTCAGGGACAGTACCAGCCGCAACGAGATCCTCAAAGATCTTCACAGCAATATCCCAGAGACGCTCATGTTCCTCTTTCAGAAGAACGACGAGACGGGTAGATTGGGTGTTGAATGAGCTGGGAACATTCAGAATAGCGGCATTAACAAGTTCCTCGATCTTATCATCGGAGACAGGAGCATTCTTTCCGAGCTGGTAGATAGTGCGGCGGTGCTGAGCCGCTTGGATGAGAGCTTCCGCAGACATGGTTGCGGATAGAGGGTTCGAGGATGCGGATGAAAGGTGAATAGAAGTCGAAAAGGGTCGAAGGGATAGAGATGATCTTAAAGACGGGGATAATGCCACGTTTTTAACAGATGGAGCAAATCGTGATTTTGTGGATCTGAGGGCACGGCAAAGGGAGTGGAGATTAGAAGCTGGTCGAAGAGTGTAGGATGCCATTGCTCTATTGTTTTTTATCCAATGAAATGTGTATGTCGAATTCTTTCGCAGAATTGAGAACTTCAAGTTCAAGTTTGATTTGTCATTTATTGACTAGGACGCTGTATTTTATATGGATGATCTTATATCCCTGGCAACCGAGGCAATATTGCGGAGTTACGGAATTACGGAATTATAGTCGGGTAAACTACTCCTGAAGAGCTTCCATGGAAGCTTGATCATGAATCATGATTATCAAGCCAATAAGACCCACATGCCCAATTCCATAGGCTTTGTAGGTATCTGGATGCACCGAACAGCAAGTCATATGAAAAGGGGAAAATGTCCTCATGTAAGTACACTGCACTACAGACTATAAAATAAGATAAAGCAAACGAAAAGAATGAACGAGACGACATAATATCAACAAAGCGGAAGTGGAGTCTGACATCCGTGGAAGCCAGCGACCCTGGGACAAGAAAGAAAGAAAGAAAGAAAGAAAGAAAGAAAGAAAGAAATAGAGAGAGAGAGAGAGAGAGAGAGAGAGAGAGAGAGCGAGCTGTTTAAAAGAGCGAAAATATGCAAAAGACAAATCAAATCCCTAGAAATCTTTGGAAAACGACAAGTTATCACTGGTGCGTTTTTGCCAATTGCTTTCACTCCTCTGGATCCCACATCAGCGTGTTGTTTTTATAAACCAACTTGTTTTTACCATCGTCCATTACAAGGACTTGCGGCGCCACAGGCAAGTCCATAAGGCGGCCATTTTTCCCCATAAGCCATTTGATAACAGGGCTTGGACAGGTGACCATGATAATCTCATGTCCATCCAGTCTTGTGTTGTCTTTACCATGGAGGAAATGAAGCTGATGGGCGGTCATCTTTTCTTTGACAGAGAAGGTTCGAGGAAGATCTTTGAGCCATTTGTACTCAATATGTCCGGTGGAACTGTAAAGCTTCCCAAACATCCAATCCTCAATAATATAGAAAGCCAATTGTAGTTCTTCTCGTCGGTCTGGTACTAGTTCTTCAGATACTGGCCCCATAAGTGCCAGAATGAGCTCATCGGACAGGAAACGGTCTACCGTAGATTCGATCAGCTCATCGCGACGAGCTCGATGATATTTGCCAAGCGAAAGATCTCTTGATTGGGTGCGGTCATAGGGAAGGGAAAGTCGATGGAAATCTGCACGCCAGACTGCAGCAAGTGTGGGATTGGCTATATAATAAAGCAGGAGGCATTAGTCAAAAGGATGCCAGGAAGGAGAGCTTAGGGAGACATAAGCAGGAAAGTGTTAGAATTGCGGGGAATGACTTACTTTCATAGAATCGCTTGTAGATATGCTCCAAACGAAGATGAAAGGTTCTATCCCCTTCAGTGTCATCGGAACTTATCTTGCCATCCAAGTATTGAAACTCGTGGGTGGCAAATGTATTCACAGCTTCCGTCCAGAGTAAGCACTCTAAAAGCATGCCACTTACGTTAAGCTGCATGAAGAGAGGCAAGCGCTCCATAAGAGTATCAAAGTCGGTCTCAATGCAGCAATGCTGAAGCTTATGCATGATGGCGCGCTTTTGCTTCTTAGTCAAATGGGATAAAGAGTCAGGCCCCTCATCACGTCGCCAACTTTGCGCCCAAGCCTGAGCATGAGCACGTTGCCTCTCAAAAGCCTCCACGGGACGGATCAATGGCCATGCACTTGTTCCAGTTGACAGACGAGCCCAGAATTGGCGTACATCTTCTTCAAACGTGCTCGCGATGGCCCTATAATTACTAATCATCTCATCTCTATCCTTCTTGGTGTAGTCACTTTTGATTCATTCTTGCATCAGCCTGGTATTCTAATGTATTCCAATCTTGAGAAAGCAGTCATTCAAGGGCTACTTACGGGGTCAGAGGCTTCCACTCGTCGAGACCTTTCTCTTCAAGCTCCTTTCGGGTTAGGGTCTTTGATTTCTTCGCACTAGACTCTTCGTCGGTACTTGAGTCACTTGAGCCCCCCTGAGTCACTTGCCAGTGAGTCATTTGCTCTCTTTAAGTTGAGAGTTGTCCCCGGTGGAAGCTTTGATGGTAGGAGTTTTTGGAGTATTTCATCAGGAACCTTAGGTATATCAAGCTCAAGCGGGATTTTCTGAGAAGAGCATGGTCAGCGTGGATGTTGCAAAAGATATATGAGAAAAGGCTCACTTTTGACTTCCTGGGATGGTGAATGATGGACATTGTTGACTCGGACTTTGGTGTGAATCAGGAGAGGAAGTACTCAAACGTAATAGAGTCAGAACTAGCAAAGACGAGAAAACTTGGAACATGGGAGAAATAAAAAGAAAAGGTGACTGAGTTGGGACACTTGAGGTCAAACTCATTTGTAATTAACTCTTTCAGTCTCCTTGAATATGATATGCTTTGAATGTGTTGATCTAAACCTATATAGGTTTCCTCTTTCCTCTTTCTCTTTGTCTTAGGGCAACATCACCTGGACAACATTGACTCAGGCTCTTTCTTAAACGGCAACTCTTCTGGACTAGACCCAATCTGCACAAGGCTGCAAGGGTGCAACCTTGGAAGAAACAGCGTACTGTGGGGTCACTCATTTGTCGACAATTTGGTTCCTGGTCCATATTAAAATAATGGTCACCGAAAGTTTTCCCGAAAGACCGATTCGCCAAAATGATGGGAAGAATTTCGGACATCTACCTCTTTTGATCAAATTTGTCTAAGATATGTCTTCCAACTACCTAAAGCTGCAGCGAAATATCTGCTGATCAGCGGTAAACTTGAACGGATGGCTGCTCACACACTGGGCATTACTGGGATCAAAACGTGTAAGACACTTAGGCTACTGGATACGAGAAGAGCAAATATGCACCGTCCTTCTCCATCTATAGCCGGTCAATGCAGCTTGTCTGATTGCAAGATTCTCTAGATGTGGGGAATACGTGTCTAGAAAATGGTGCAAGTCCTCTGGAGTTCGAATGGGCCTCACCGTCATTCCAGCCCCCTGCCGACAGTCCCGAGACATGAGCATCATCAAGTTTGCCACGGGGCTTTAGGCAAGCTCCCGCTTTTCCTGCATCAGAGGAAATTAGAGACATGCTGACGTACCTCTCAGATTCTGGGACTTCGTATTTCCTGAGAACTACCAGTATTACCGGGTGGTCCACCTACAGATTCCGAAAGGAAAAAATTCAAGTTGGAATCTCATCTCATTTTCTGAGTTAATAAACACACTATTCTCTGTCAATTCAAGGATTTCATACGCTATTGAGCCTGTCTTCATCATCCGTTCCAAGCAGAATGGGGTCTAGTCATGGAGAAAAGATCATTGTGGGGATTGATCATGGAACAACGAGTACTGGTAATTCAAGGGTTCCCTTTTCCGTGGAGATGTGCTTTTCTGCTTTTCTCTGTGCTAACCATCTTGACCTGCAGAGATTGTCTTCGGTTTGAGCAGCTCGGAAGATTTCCGAATCCTGTCTCAATGGCCTGGGGCGCACTCTTCCCTCCGTTCCGAGTGTCCTTCCATCATTTCCTATGGCCAAGATACCACTGATTCCATAAAATGGGGATTCAAAGTTCCAGAAACCCTTTCAAGTGCCGATCAAAAATTCGTTTGGTTCAAAATGATGCTGGACGATAAATTGGAACGAAGTGAATTTTACGACGAGGCCTTGCAGCATGTCCTTCGTTCTAAAGTTTTAAAACTGCCAGATGGACAGACTGCAGCAAGTGTTACGACAGATTTCCTTTTCCAGGTCTATCGTCACTTGAAGAAAACCTTGATTTCGAGATTTGGCGATGAAAAGTTTCACCAAGGCGCTATTGACTTCTACTTTACTATTCCAGCTTGTTGGATGCATCAAACACAAGATACTATGCGTACGGCGATCGAGAATGCGGGGTTTGGCTCATGCCCGCTACATGAGGTGAAGTTATTAGCAGAGCCCGAAGCTGCTATTATGTCGGTGATACAAGAAATTGACTTGAAAATCGAGGTCAGTCTTTATGCGTGAAAGAGAAAGCGAGTTCTTTTCACTAATTTTATATCATTGTAACAGACTGGGGACGGAGTCATGATATGTGATTGCGGAGGTGGTATAGTGGTAAGTCTTAATCCCATGGCCTGTATGCTATCGATGAGAGTTCGCCCAGCTGAAAATAAAACCTCAGGATATTGCAACATACCATGTCATGGATCTTGCAAATCCTGCTCTAGAAAGGATTTCCACTACCATGGGTACGAGTATTTGACTTTTCTTCTCCCCATGCGTCGTATCCTTTGACCTTTCTGTTGCAATGTCTGACACTGACACCGGATAGGTGGCAAATGTGGTGGTGCTAGTATTGATTGCAGGCTATACGAATACCTTGCCCAGCTCTCAGACGGGAAGTTCTGGCATCTTCCACTCAACAACATCCTGACAGGAGGTTCATTCATGAATTTCTTTGAGATAGTCAAGAGTGAATTTTCCGGAGAATTGGCGCGCACGTACATCTTATATCCGAATGGTCCCCATGGGGTTGGGATTCCGCTTCCTGACAAAGAAATCAAGCGGATATACAATTCGGTCCTTCAGAAAATCTTTGAAATGATCATTTCCGAGTTGACTGCAGTCCAAGCTATATACAAGCGTCAGATACTAATCAACGTGAGTCTAGTGAAACCCCCAATGATTATCGACAGCTAAATTCAGACAAGCGGAATGCAAAAGTAAGAAGCCAGGGCTAACATGCAAATTTCACAGAAAATTGTCTTCGTTGGCGGCTTCAGCAAGTCGCCATATCTCCAAAACTGGATGCAGCAGAGTTTGCAATAATTCCACAGCATCAAAGTTCTGATCTCCGAGAAACCGTAAGTCATACAGCTCCCTTCCGCGACGGATATTATATGGGTGTGTCTAACATGTTGAAAAGATCTCTTGCTGCTGCCAAGGGTGCTTTCATTCGAGGAAAGTACGAGTTCGAAGGTCGGCTGTTGGAGCGGACCATAAGATGCTGGCGACATTATGGTCTGGTTTGCAGTTCCTTGAATACCAACTTACAGAACGAGACTTATTCGGCCATGCAACCGCCACACAAAACGCAATGCTGGGTGCTTCAGAAGGTACGCTACTCTTTAGAAGGAGTGATCTCACATCGCTCGAAATAGAAAGCAAAAGATCGCTAACCTAGACTTTTTCCCCCAATGGACAGGACAGGAGATATCAATTACCTCACTCTCGTTGCCATGAGCTCATTATCCCGCATCTCCCATCGGACCCGCTCACGAAGGTGATTAACATTTACGAGTGTACATCCGAAGCTCCACCGGAGGTCCTTCAAGGTATGTTTGAATTGTTTTCGCTTCTTTTCCGAAAAGGCTAGAAGACTCAGTACTAATACAATGGGCATCAGCTGGAAACTCTACAGTCAATCTGATGGGGTATATCACTTGTGACTTGAGTCAATTGGACATCTCGCAGTTCCGCCAGCACACCCTCAATGGGCATGTGTATTACGCGCTCAGAGTTTCCATCAAGGTCTCTTTGCGCGGGAAGAAACACAAGATAAAATTCGTTGCATCGGTGCATGGAAAAGAGGTTGGACAACACAGAATCAGCATGGCTATATTGTGAAACTTGAATTTCGGAGTCGCCTCACTTCATGAGACAATCGCAGAATGGACTCTCGATTTTCGCTCCCGTTTCTCGACTTTTACTTTGTTATTTTTTTTTTTTCTTTTACTCTCTCTAAGTTTTCATTTGGATGTTTCCTTCTTTTTCCTGTTGCTTTCCTCTTGCATTGTCATTCTGAACTGTTACATCGCATTTTTTTTTGTTTTGTTTCTTCTTTTCTTTTTCAATGCTAGCACCGCCAGTGAACGGAGAACAACACAGTATTTACACAATTACATCTAAATAGACCAAGAACCTTGGACGGAATCGATGTCGGAATACATCGTAAGAAATTCATCAATTCAGATAAAATACTAGTAATTCGTCTAGGAAGGACACGCCAATTCTTGAAAATCCAATTTTAGGAGGAATCTAATCGAACAAAATCAATTAGCATTGGGTCTCAGAAATTTGAAGTGAATCTCATTTCCAAGTGATGTGATTCAGCAGTCAGAGACCCGTCTCGAAACATAGGTATGATTCGGTTTCCTCAATGCTTTTACAGTAAGGGAAGTCATGGGAATCATCAGGAAGCTGTGGGCGATCGCCCTGGGATAGATCATAGGGATAAAATAAAAATCAAAGGGGAAATCTCGTACCTGGACCACTCGGAACCCTCCCGCCAGTGGAGACAAGGGTGTGGCGGCGGGAAAGGCGTGATATGGAAATATTATCCAGGATCATATCAATATAATTTCAAGCATTGTTCCTGCAGTTAGTATATTCTGCGATGAATGATTCTCTGAGACTCTTCATCATGAGTCTATTCATAGCTCGATATCCTAAATGGATACCAAGATCGATGAGACATTCTCGCAATGGAGGAATTATCCCCAATCCTCTCAGGACTCGGATGATATTTTCAGGACAATTCGCATGGTAAAAGAGTATGAAAAGTTTGATTGATCTGATCCCCTGGAAGATCTTAAATAGTTATTGCCGTGCAGTAGCTAGGGCATTGGCCCTATCCCTATCCCATTGATTACTTGTTTTCTTATGGAGCATATGGCGTCATTGATGGACCCGTGCGAGGCTCTACGGAGTAGTATAGGTTGATCAATATCTCATATGTGGAAAGATCCAGCCGAAAAATTGACTGGTTAGATAAATGGGCTTTCGTTTATTTGTAATGCCGATTCCATATTGTTCTATGCCTATTTTGTTGTACACAATAGCCAGAGAGAGAAGATTCTTCATTCTTGGCAGTTGTAGCCCGAGCACAGATGCATGAACATTGCCAGTGTTGCCAGGGGGTGAGCTTTCCTCCGAAATAGATCTTTTACTAATTCGGGGTTGAAAGTTTGGAAAATTCGATCTTCAACATGAACCCCTGTTCATTCTAATAGTATAATTTAAGCCTCCTGGAAGATAAATCCTGGATTTCTGAATGGTGTGCCTGGATTCAAGTTCGGATGCTAAACCGAGTTAAGTAGGTGTTTGCCTGAGGACTCAACGTACTATGATATCATACCCGGGTATAATCTTTGGCGTTGAGAATTTTACAGATGATCCATTGATTGATCTGAATTAAAGGATAGTGATGTCCACTTGAAGCTACCGCCGAGAAAGTGGTACAATTCAATGGTCCGTTCATCCGTGAAAAAAGCGTTTGGTGTCTAGGTATTACGCTGAAGATGAAAAATCCAGTTGAGCATTTACCAGTAGTCAAGTATGTTCAAGTAAGCTTGACAAGGTGCCTTCCAAAATCTTATTCGAAGTACATGTAGCCAAATTAAGATGTAGCCAAATTAAGCAACCAAACAAGGTGAACACATAGTCTCATAAAAAACATTAAAACAAACCACAAACCACACATTCTCTTTACGCTGCATTCTCCTCAGTAGACACCGTCTTCTGTGGATTATTATGCCAATCACCCATCCTAACCGCAACAACCTTGTCTCGTTGCACCTTACGCTGATGACGACTCCAAAGAAGGAACATACCACCCAAAACGAGAGCCGCACCCACAACTGAACCCACAACAATACCAGCGATCTGACCTCCAGAAAGTTCAGATGACTTGCTACTGCTGCTAGCAGTTGCAGTTGTAGTGGATGATGAATCGGAAATCGATACATTGAAGCAGAGAACATCGGTAGTAAATTCGCTAAGCGGAATATAGGTGATATCAGCGCAGGCATAGTATGTCTTGTTTGTGTCTGTATCGAAGGTGGATTGGTATTTCAGTTGTAGTGTAGCATTCGCACCAGATGTGATGTTTGATGGTGGGTTTGGAATGGAGTAGCACTCGTGGCCTGGCTCGAGGTCGGGAAAGTTACTGCCATCGACATCTGTTACGAAATCGTTGTTGGAGGTAGGGTCTGGATATTGATTAGTTTCATATTGATTGTCACCGGAATAGCTTGAGCTTACCGTTATGATAAGAGATGGCTAGATTGACATTGTAGGATTCATCTTGGAGAACCAATGATACCTCTCCGTTTTCTGCTTCCGTTAGAATTTATGATATTTAGTATTTGAAGGGTGATGTACTTAGAGGAAACTCCGTTCGGTTTCCGATCCCAGCATTTGAGCCACACGGCGCAGTGTTGTCTGTTGTTTTCGACCAAGTCCGATCGGGAGGCCACAAGAAGGCTGCTGGGCCCATATCAGTAGCATCGTCAGCGGCCTTGCTGGGAGCTAGAAATAGGCTGGCTAGTGCCAGGAGAGTGAGATGTCCCTGCATGAGGAAATGGTTGTACTGATTAATCAGATCAGACTTGTGACAGTGACGAAAAGTTTCAACCTCAGACAAAACCGAAAAGAAATTCTTGCACTCATGGGAAGGAACTAGTGATCAGCAGACCATTAAGTACCTCCATGCTCGACTCAAGCTCCTAAAGAAATGGAAAACTCCGAAGTGACCTGGTCGGTTAAAGGTACCGAGCCTTCTAGCGGCAGGAAGAGTGGGATCGATCCACGAGCTTTTCCATGGCTATATGGCAGGTGACGGAGAGTCCGACGCTGCGAGTTGATGAGAAGAAGGTCCAACGGGCATGGGACACTACTCTCATGTTCCAAACAAGGAAATAATCAGCGGGTGGTGCCAGAAAGATGTGGGAATAGATGAAGTGGATCAACCATAACTGGTTCAAAGGTTGCTAGATTGAGCTGTCCGGGATCTTGGCATAGTATTAGCGATATGGGCTAGTATAGTCTAGTATGAATTCTTCTGATGATGCTACCCGGAAAGGCATTCGCCGGGTGAGCGGATTAGATTGATAAGATTAAGTGCGCCCCATGACTGGTGCTAGAGACTCCGTTTCCCCTCTTTCATTATCTGATTTGCTAGAATTAACCCAGCGGAGCCAAAAATAATTGGGAAGAGTCATGATAGACTGATTTTTCCGGAGGATAAATTACCCTGAAAGCTCCACGGAGAGCAATTCCTCATTAGGTATGCAACCGCCGAATATTGACTTCTATTCAGTACTACGATCCTGAATCTAGATACCTAAAGGCAGGCTTGCTTACGTGGGAATCAATTCATGAGTTATAATAATGATTTCAAATGTTCTCGATGTATTCAAATCACCTCGTCTTTCAGATCCCGAGTAAAACAAAATACACCGACTCGGAGATATTGAAATTTCTGTGTGGGGCAATGACAGGATTGGCATCCATGGCTCATCCGTCAAGGCTGGAAACGACGCTAGTTCCCATGAAAGAGGTGCTTGGCAGTTTTTCCAGGCGAGATCGGAAGTACATGTGAGACTTCGCTGATTTACGGCATGTTCCGAGTCATCACATTGCTATAAAACTCCCAAAGCTTCCTTTCTCCACCGGCAGTTTTATTTCCCTGCAGAAACAAAGATATTCAGATATTCAAATCATCGTTCATTCCCTGTCATAATTTGATCTTCAATATGGTTGGCTTATCCTTCTTCACAATCTGGATCACTGCACTGGCCTCATCAGCACTAGCCAGTCAACCTGACATCATTCGACGCGAGACCATCGAGAACGGATCTCCTCTTTATGAGTGCCATCTCGCCTGCGGTAAATCAAACATCTGGAATAACTATTGACACAAAGCTAATCAACTTCTTACAATAAAAGGTGAGGTAATCCTACAAGCTGAAAGCAGCAAATACTGTTCCAGTTCAAACTACACAGCCGATCTCAGTGAATGCCTGAAATGCGCCGAAACGTGTGAAATCTGGAAATACTACGGCACAGAGGTAAAGGAGGCAGCTGGTAACTGCAGTGATTCTGCAACACCAAGTTCCTCTTCAACTGGTAGCTCATGCGCCTCAACTACTGGTGCCAGTACCGCGACTGGAGCTGCTAACACTGCTACAACTACTGCTACCGTATGTTCACCCTGAATCAAATCGTGAACAAGTGCTCACTGAAATCACTCTTTAGACTACTGGCACTTCTACTGCCACGGGCTCTACTGCAAGTCTCACTGGTGCTGCTTCTACCCTGCAGCAGAATATTGCTTTCTCGGGTGCGTTGGGTGTTTTTGTGTGGGCTTTCCTTGCATAAAGGTTGGCTGTGGAATTCCATGAAGCTCTTTAGCTAAGAGATGATGAAACATTTGGACTGAGATATTGAGATGGATGACTAGTCTGCTTGTATCTATAAAGCAATTAATTATCTTCAAAACGGGTAGTCCTGCCGATATCAATATCGTAGGCACCATTGCACTGCATTGCGCTGCTTCCTTGTATCATCATCCATGAGTGCTTATTGCATGTTCATTCATTTGACATAATTCGATACCCTGGAACCTGGTTAGCAGAATATAAGAAGTGAGATCGGCAAGACATACTCAATAAGATTCCCATCTGGGTCACGCACATACACACTCCTGATCTTCCCCACAGCCCCAGTTCTATCCACAACCTTACCACCTTCCAGAACCTACATCTGATCAGCGTTGAATTCCAGAGCCATCACCAAAAAGTCATACCTCAATCCTAGCTTCCTTGAGAGCTTCCAAGACATGTTCCATGTTCTCGTCTGTTAAAAAACACAAATCACCACTACCGGGCATAACATTTTGTGCCTTAGGCTCGAATTCCTTTCCCGATTGATGAAGGTTGATCTTCTGGGATCCGAAGATAAGAGCATGTCTGAATTTAGAGTTTAGTATTTCATTAGGTTATAAAATAATGTTATCCTCTAGAACTTGAGATCACCTTTGCACGCTTGGGCTGGCTGGCGAAGCGAATACCTCGTGGCGCATGCCCAGGTGGGTTGTGTAGAAAGCTACCGTCTCTGGGACAGAGCGGACGGTTAGGACTAAATGGTCGAGTGATTTAATCGCGAATTTAGCCATATTGTTTGATCGATTCTTTTGAGATCAGGAAGGGAGCTGTGGTGTGCGTATGAGTGAAGAGTCATCGGAATATGCAAATGGATGGATGTCGGTTATATGCCCGTAGATAACCGAGGTTCAACGTCGGACCGATGTACCACTCTCGAGTCTCACCTCTACTATCATCAAGTTGTCGTAGAATTCAGAAATAAAAAATTCAAGTTTTAAACACACGGAAGGTAGTTGAGGAAATTGATTTAATTATAGAATTTAGGTCATAAATACTAATCAGTTCTTACGTGAAAACTTCAACCACTTGGTGAAACTCCTGTTCTCACCACGCTCCATATCCTTTGGCGCATAAAATCGCCTCGAAGCATCAAGGTCAATTTGCATCAGGTCATTCCACCTTCTTCCACGGTAATAGACCTTTGCCCCGATATAAAAAATGAGAATCGCCACGACAGAAAGATAATTAGCGAAGAAATTCTTCGCGCTAGGCTTGTCACCGAGCGGCCAGACAGCCAAGTAAAACTCAACAATAATCAGCAATGAGCACCAGAAAAGTCCCCAGTAAGCAGACCAAGGGAACGCCCATGATTTCCATGGAAGATCATCGAGAGTTCGGCCTTGCGCTTTCCAGGCTGCGCGCATGCGGATGTGTGATAGACAGATCATTCCCCAGCCGAAAAGTGTGAAGAGGGAAGTCAAGTTGGAGAACCAATCGAACACGGTTGCGCCACTGTTACTGACGTTCAGGTAGGATAGACCTCCTCCAATAAGCAGAGTAGGGACAAGACCCCACCATGGGCGACCCCAGCTATCTGTGTTCTGCATAACCTATATTTGTTAAAGGGAGGAAGTAAAGTCAGTTCAGATGTCAAGTATTATTCAATTTTGCGCTGGATTGAATACTAACCTTAGGAGCCATGCCGAGTTGCGACAATCCAACCAAAATTCGAGAACCACCGTATCCGGAAATACCCCCAGTGGACAGCACCGAGATGAGAATAACGGCGTTCATGATATGAGCCAAAGGTGCCACCCCGTCATTGCGGTACATAATGACAAAAGGACTAGCATTGGTACCAGAACCACCAAACAGATTACTATCCGTCGGGCTAACATTAATAGTGATGATCAGACTGCCCAGGATATAGAACAGACTCAATCGAACCCACATCGACTTAACAGCCTTTGGCACCGATCGGAGGGGATTACTCGTCTCAGCAGCAACGAGACCAGCATTTTCCGATCCAGACAAGGCAAAGATACAAGTCGGCATGACAGATAGAAATCCCTTAAAACCATTAATGAAGGGCATTTCGTTCCAGAATTGAAACCCCATGGTACCGCCGGCCGTTGCCGGGTAGCCACCCTTGGGACCTCCACCAGCGGAAAGAACAATACCGGAAATGATGACGACGAAGATGAAACCGAACTTGATCGCAGCTGCGACGACTTCAATCTCCGCAAACCATTTCACGGCCCCGACATTCATACCGACGATGACGAGCCAGAAGATGGTAATCAAAGCAGCTGTTGGGACGGCGGTGGTCCAGAAGCTGATAACTGTGACGACACCTTGGAGTTCGTTCGCGATGGTAATCCAGAAGGAGAGCCAGTAAGCCCATCCGAGGGCGAAGCCAGCAGATTGATCGACGAAGATATTAGTCCATTGAACGAACTAGGCCTGTTAGAAAGTGCACACGAAGAATTTGAACGAGGGTGTTCAAGTAAAATTTGAAGGGTCATACTTACAGCACTTGGAAGAGGATACATAATAGCCATCTCTCCGATACTATGACTGACACTCCAAATAATTGTACCAGCCAAAAGATAACCCAGGAAGATACCAGCTGGACCAGCGTTCATCAAGGAAGTTCCTGATCCTAGCCACAGACCCATACCAATCGATGAGGCCAGACCGATCATACTAATATGTCGTGATCCCAACTGACGCTTCAACTGAGAGTCCGCGCCATGATCGACCACATCATAGACCTCACCAACGACAGGGATATCGGAATCATTGTTCTGAAGGACCTTTGAATCGCCTGTATGTTTCTCGAAAGAGGAGTCTGACATGATGAGTGTCAGTGGGCGTTAACCCGATGAAAACAGAAAGAAAGAAAACTGGAGAAGCAATTGTAAGAGACTAATAGGAGGAAGTGAAGGAAGGGGAAAATTCCTACTTTATATGCACTATGACATACTATCTGTGAAACCAAAGTATTCCCTCAACCAACCTCGAGTGTGGCAATAGATGTCGTGCCTACGGAGATACTCCGCACAGGGAATACCCCAAACTTGAACCAGGGTAATAGAGTCGGAATGAAATGATTGGTTCCTTAATACGTTTTGAGTACTCCAGGCTTATCAGTTGAAATTCATTCATACATGATAGGGGCTAAATAGCCTTGAAAATAAGATCTTTGATTGGATTATAAGCTAGATAAGCGTAGTTAACTTAGCGCGTATGAGAATCGGGCCGCGTGGAACAGTGAACGCCAAGTGACTGATATCATTGAGGGGATATTGTACTTTGGTTATTATCGCTATATACACAACAAAAATACTAGTATTCAAATATTATGATAGAACTCCATACAGATGTCCACACATGCATGTCATGTTCCGCATTCCGCATTCTTATCGGGATGAATGTATCAGGCAACCCGAAAGAGCATCATTAACCCAGATGAAAGATAGAGAAGCCACGGGCGCAACAGACTTTCAAGATCATCCGAGCTTAATGCCAAGCTTGAGCTTTCAGCTGATATAGATAAGTATTATTTGCCCCGGTGGAATGCCCAGATTGATGCCGAGACATGATCCGATTCGGGGTCACCGTCCTTATCAGTAAGACCACATATGAAGATTTGGAGAATCCCTGTCAACTAAATCTTGAAACTAATTAATTTCTGAGATTGAGCCTTCAGATCCTGAGGACACCTTGCCAGTGGCAAAAAAAGACTCCTGAATCAGGTCTACTACAGGTCGAGGCTCTGATGCCAAGCTGCTTGGAATATGGTCATCTGGATGTGATAACTGCCACTCATATGAAAGGAGAACATCCTCGTCATTGAGCTGGGCTATGTTGGAGGTCAGAGTGTATCCGCGTGATCCTGGCTGAGCCCGACGAGAATTCCTGCATGGTGGTCAGAATGAAAGAATGTATCTCAATGCTTCGAAATTCAACGCGCATCTATATGCATGGAATACTCGACATCCCCATGAATCATGTGAAATGGAACAATCTATTTTGCACTCCGTCTACTCCATACTATTAGAAAGGCTCTAATAAGCCTTGGAACGAGGACCGAGCTATTAATGGCAAACCTTGAGAACGCTTTGGGGAATGATCAACTGCTAGATAGGGGCAGCTTTAACCTTATTGAATGCCCATGTGCCATATCTGTCAAAGGATTCAAGATTGGCTTCATTTTAGAACATGTTTATTAGCTCGTGTATCATATTGCTGATCTCGGAGATTTCTACGCCATCAAGTAGTAATACTACGCACTATTATCTTCTAAGGTTGGAGGTGGTGGAGTAACCCCTTCTCAGATGTACTAAACAGTTCTACTATGGGATAGGCGGCATACTGAAACCAGTTCAATTAAGATAAAGCTCACATAAAGACTGAAGCAGTGTGATAAGATCCAAGACTGTCTCTCGCCACAAACCGAAAACTGCTCAAAGGCTCGGTTATCTAGGACCAGCATAATCGTTCAAAGCCACAATGCCCATGTTTACAGTTCATTTCCTGATGCTTAAGTCCAGGTATGATCCGCCAAATCATGACGAGCGCGATCACAGTTCGCCTTTCCAGTGTGAGTGTAGCAAAGACCTGCCACACCAGCTGCCCACATAGCACCACACTCCCACATAACAATAGCCAGATCCCACAGCTCCAGAATCTTCTGGCCTTGTGGGTACGCCAACTCGGCTGCAAGAACTGTTCCAACAAACTCACTCTCGGATGGCAGACTATCGCCTCCCTTAACATACGCAAGAACGGGGTTCACCAAGTGATCAATGACGGCCTGGGTCTCAGGCAAGACCTTGGTTGATGTAAGGTTCTTGAGTCGTGCCTCGGCACTTGACAGAGGACCTTCTCCACGTTCAACCCGGGTTCCACTGGCACGGAAGTGTTCCAATTCGGGTCTTCCATCTGGCATGATCGGCGCGATAGCAGCGGTAATACCGAGATCAGTGCGGCCAAGAAGAGTAATAGGTCTGTGGCGGCAGTTGGAAAGTTGCCACCAGTGAGTAAAGAGGAGGCAGAGAGAAGCTGGGTTGTAAGGATCATTATTACGGTACCAGATCATAGCACCGATCAAGCGGGCATAAACCTCAGCCAGGGCATCTTCCTGCAAGGAGCCCCGAGTCAGAGACGGGATAATGTTACTGACTTCTCCACACATCATATCAGGACCCAGATCGATCCAATCATGAGCGACACAGCCCAGACCAGCAATGGCAGCCATCTGCTCACCACCGCCGGAGTCATAGTAAACATGGCAGAAGACAGCATCGGCCAACTTGTACCGAGCAAGACGGTCAAGATCGTTCCAGACAACCATGCATGGACTGGATTCAACAGGATCATTATCCTCAATGATAGTCTTCTGGCGCAGACATCCATAGTTGCAACCCTTGACGATTCGAATATCATCGATGTGTGGTCCCGCCGAAGCAGAAGCTTCAGCAGCGGCAGTCACTTCCGCAAACGCGAACGACAGTCTGTCTGCCATAGCGGAGGTTTCCGTTCCAATGGAGTAGTCCAGCACGAAAGCTGAGTCCATGATAGCCCAGAGACCGGAAATCGATCCACCATAGACGCCACGGTTATATCCCATCGACATAGAGAAGATACTAGTGTTGATTAGAGGACCTTCACAAAGCTCCGAGGAGAAAAGATCATCAGTAGCCGTGTCTGGCGAGTCTGCAACACCACTCAGCTTTGGAGCGAGAGGCTTGCGAGCCTTAGGCCAAGTAGGTAAGACGGCCTCGCGCACCTCTGCAAAGTCCAGAAGCTCGTCCTTCTTCTTAAGGATGACTCTGTCACGAGCCTCCAGAAGGGTGGCAGCATCCGCAAGTAGGCCGACGGCACAATCAACGGCATCCGCAACACGCGCATTACGCATCCAAGCAATGCTTACCGCTGCACCGAGGACACCAGAGGTCTGGGGTGTGTCGACGCGACGGGCCAGGTTAACGGTTGTCGTAAGAGTATCATTCTCAGAATCGTATAGCTGATAGAATTTACTCTGACCAGGCTCGACGGGTCCAATACCGTGGGTCTTGAGTGCCCAGCACGGAGCACCATGAGGAGACTCCCGAACGGCGCCTTCTCCACGAACATGAACGGTATTCCAAGTGGAGGTAAGACGAACAGTAGCAGCGGGATCTTCAGCAGAGAAATCACCAGTTCGGTCACCCCAGTGAGAGACAACGGGGTTACAGTCAAAAGCAGGTGAGCGACTCAGACCACCGCTAACGACAAGTCCAGGCAGGAGGTCGGAGATGGGCTCTTTCAGAGACTTGACCGCAAGAGGCCGGTTCAGCTCATTGGTACGAGCCAGAATCCTGTACAGTCTAGCCCGGGAGTCACTGGTATGTCTCGCAGCGGCTTTCTTGTCTCGCAGTTCCAAGGGAGAGACCTCTGCCGTGTTGGAGATGAAGTCGGTTACATCTCGGCAAGAGATCCGCTTGTTGAAGGAATGCTGATGGTCAGCTCGAGGGTCAACAAGACCACCCCGGACAGCAATCTCAGGGAGCTCATTACCCCGAGCGATGTAGGGCATCTTGAAATGAGAGGTAAAGTGGAATTGAGGAAGTCCGATTGAATGTGGAAGTCACAATGGATGAATTTGAATGATTTGGATTGATTCTTCTCAGCCTGGGGTCAAGATGCTCCTATTTATACTGTTCCTGGTCTCCATTCGCATTTCGAGTCTTTCAATGCTTAGCCCAAGGTAGACTGGAGGTATCTCCATTGTCCACTGAATGCTCATCGTATGCAGCACTTTGACCTCATCAACCAGAGATGGTTACATCTCGGCTCACCCGAGCATTACCGCTGAGGAATATGATGCTGTGCAACTCTTGAGGACCACATACTTGTACCCGGTTGGTGAAATCTCCAGATTTCAAGCTATACAAGCTCATAATATACGTATCCAAACTCAGAGAGAGGAATTGGCCAAGTAGAGTCCACGCTGGAAGGGTACTCTGTATGCAGGAGACGTAATAGAACCTGGAGAAAAACGAGCTTGTACTACCTAATGCTGAATTAGAACTTGAATTCTGGAACGCGGGGTTCATCCTGCAAGCTGGAATAATCTCGTACCACCAGAGCGTGCAAAAATCCACGGATTGAGTTCCGGAGCTTCTGAGTTAGAGCTAGTGTTGAATCCTTCATGCAGGACAGCATTTTTTCTCGAAATACTTCTCTGCCCGGGCGGCTAGCAGCAAGCAGCGAGCTGTTAAAAAGCTGAGGACTTGCATACTACTAGTTGTTAGTCTTCAAGTTACCCTTTCAGGTAAGTGGCGGAGCTGAATGGTATGCGCACGGGCCATTGATATCTCATAGAATATAGAACACGGACTGTGGGGAAGAAGAACGTGGACCAAAGTGTGTTTCTTCCAGGGCTGTACAGACTGTAGTACTCTGGACATTCAAACATTTGAACTCAAGTTTTTGCACCTGTTGATTTCAAGGTGATACCCAGTAGATGCTGCATATGATATTGATCTCTTTCAAGTTGAAACATAGTGCAAACTTGAGTATTGCTAGTGATTTGCCACTGCGGTGTAATATTATTATCATATCATTCTAATTCTCTATTCATTTCCATGAACAAGTCATCATAGTTCCTCATAATATCCATACGTGTAGCAATACATCGTCCGAGGCGGGTCAAGCGGGTCAAGACTCGGAACACTCCCAAGGCTGAGGGCTCCGACGCCACCATTTGATGCCGCGTGTCAGATGAGATAAAGAGCACCTGGCAAATATGAATCCCAGCTCATTAAAGACTTGGCTAGAGGATTGAAGTAAAAGAACGCTGTCAATGGACGCCCTGTGTATGAATTGGGTCATAGCCCCCGAAACAAGCCTAATAAGCCCTTGAACCCAAGCTTAAAATGCCCAATTATTTTCATATAGATTTACACCTTAGCAAGGTTGTGTGTATGTCCATAATTAAAATTAACTTGAGAGAATGAATGACATAGGGCTCTTACCTACTACCTAGGTAAAAGCCGCCAATTTTTCAGACATCAATAAGCTTCCTTTCATGCATGAACACGGAGATTCAAACATGATGCATCACATCTTCAGGTAACACAGAACGGAACAGGTCCGAGTCTTATGGAGGACCCGTTTTATCCATTGTCACTCAATAATGAGATGAAAACAATAATTGATCTTGACCGCATAAATTTGGATTATTCTCGGCCACTAGTACCAGATCATTATAGATCTATGGATGTGACTCAAGGCGCTTACATTCTACGTTTCAGCTGTGCCATAGACATGATTTATTTGAAGTAATGTTTCGTGTTTTTCACTCCGTATTTCTTGGGCTCTATTAATATTATTTCTGTCATAATGATTCTAGAAAGGAGCGGTGAGATGAAACTATAATGGTTCAAGTTGGGACGTACAGAGTAAAAATACTGCAGCCTTTCAGCTGTGTGATACATGATGTGGGGTACTATTGTGACGTAGATGAGACTCATGAGACTAGCTCTCCTGTAGATCTTGTCCGTGAGAGTACTAAGGTACATTCTTGAACTCGCACAAGATCTGTACCAAGTACGGAGTACCAACAGTATGCGCTGTTGTCCAACACTATATAGATGCCTGAGGCCGAAATGCAATCTGCCTTTGTCAAATTGTCACTCGGGTGCCTGGATGAGCCTCGACTCCGCCACAAAGCCTTGCACTATACCCAGTACAAGGCTGTTTCATTAATTTGGGCACGGTTTATATGAAAGGGAACTATTATTTCTCATCTATTAAGAAGTTCGGTTTTCAAAAATTTTATTTCAAAGAAAGGAAATCTTCTACATAAGAGTCGCAGAATATCTCATCTCAGCTTTTCATCTCACGATCAGACCTGCATCTGCAAGCACGGACAATTATTTTCCTCCTTCATCTTTGCTCTTCTAACCCCGCCCGCACGCCCCACATACTTGTGCAAGTGGCGCCCTAGCGCTTGCAGCAAATTCATCGATCGAGAAAAAAGCAAAACTGCCGATCTCAGTCACCATGTCTCCCACTCCTAATTCCCCCGATGATCCCACTCTTCCCAATCCAAGAGTCGGTGTAGCCCTCTTCATTGTGAGGCCCGATGGCAAATTTGTCCTCGGGCAGAGGATGGGAAGTCATGGAGCAGGTAAGTCTAGATGAATGCACTCATGTAATAACCCCAATTAACAGAGTGTAATAGGCACATGGGCCCTCCCGGGAGGACATATTGAGCATGGCGAGTCGTTCGAAACATGCGCCGTACGAGAAGCTAAGGAAGAAACCGGACTGGATGTTCTGAACGTGGAGTATATTACTGCTACGAACAATGTCATGGCAGCAGAAAAGAAACACTACATTACCATCTTCCTGAGGGGTATTGTCTCTGACTCAGCCGCTGAGCCGGAGGTATGTTTATCGCATATTGCTTTTGTCCCCCTTACCCCCTTTTTGTATCGCGTTACTAAATGGATCAAATTACATAGATCCTTGAGCCGAACAAGTGTGCAGAGTGGAAGTGGATATCCTGGGATGAACTGCGTGCGATGAAAGATGCCGAGGTAGAAGGAGGCCCAGAATTCAAGGGGCAGCTGCTATTTTCTCCGATGCACTCGCTTTTCGAGCAGCGACCTGATGTCTCTGTGTGAAATAGAGAACTCTATAGCCCTGGCATAACTACTAGCGGCTAATAGAACATGGGATAGAATATTCAGCGTAGGAGGAGTCCGGAGCGGTATTTAAGTGTATTTTCCCTTTCATGTCAATTGACTGAATTTGGAATTTGTCTTCAGAGAGGGGAAGAGCGACTTAGAGGTCAGATTGTTGTGTGAAGCTCGAGTCTGTTAGGAACATTTGAAATGATATGCCTGATGAACTTGAATCTGTGTGACTTAAGTAGACTCAGTACTGCCCCAGGTGCGTAGTATAGAGTAAGTAGATCTGAAGTTTCTTAATGCAATATTTAAGCAATTCGTTAACACCCCTTGATCATTTATTATGTAGCAGATAACTTCCACATACCTGAAGCCTTACCTACATGAAATCATATGCGAACCTCAAGAGTATCAACTGAAAGAAATTTTCATGAGTACCGTGGCGATCTGAATGCGCGAATTATTGATGACTTGTGCACCTCCGAGTCTAGGGGTTCTATTGTCTATTGCAATCAATTGACTTAGCCCCTGATCATCGCTAGACCCTGTAGATCAACCATTATACATGATATCAGTTGCATAATATTAAATGCCGCGATACGCATCGAATTTGAACATGGTAGATCAGGAAGTCATATATAGCATTCTCCGCTGGCTTTTCTCAAATCATTAGTTCTACATTCACATAAATACACTCGTTTGATCTCAATATTCTATCAATCCCATTCGTTGTCCCCCAAAATGCATCTTAAAAATATCCTTATCTTGTCCAGTCTGGCAATCTGGAATGTCCCAGTGATTGCCAGTGCTGACAACAATGGTGTTGGTTCGGTCAATGAGCTGCCAGTGGGCCAACTGGGAAAGCGATTGGAGGGTGCAGCCAGACGGGCTTACTATGGAAATCCAGCTTTGGAGAATGAGGGATTAGAGCATCCGCACCAGAAGCCTGGACCTGAGGCTCCCCCTGCTGAATCTCAGGGTCCTGATGGGCCTAAGGTTCCTGCTGAATCTCAGGATGCTACTGGGGAAGATGCTCCACGTCCGAGTGAAGCCATCCCTAAGCCAAGCTCCTCGCCCGCAATCACACCTGTGCTTGGGCATGCAAGCTCCTCGTTTGCAATTCCATCTATCCGGCCAAGTTCATCATTCTCAATGCCATCTGTGCCCGAGCACTCAAGCTCCTCATTTGTAATCCCGTCTGTCAAGCCAAGCTCCTCGCTGGCGATCCCAACTATGCCGCCTCACCCAAGCTCTTCGCACTCAGTTCCATCTGTGCCTTCTGAATCTCTGCCAGGCTCCTCACTCGCAGTCCCAGCAAAGCCTCCCGCCTCTGCAGTCCCAAGCTCCTTTATCAAGAAGTATGGAAGACCTACGCCTTCTCTGACCCCCAGTGTTGGCTCTGGATCTATCCCATTGCCAACCCCAACCCCAACACCAACACCTAAGCTTGCTAAGAGACAGTACCAAGGTGCGGAAGAGGCAGCGGAGTTGCAGCAGTTGGAGAAGATGCTTAAGCAATCCTCATCATCTAAGGCAGCTGCTGAGAATCCAACACTGCCTGCTATCCCGTCTGAAACCCCAGCTCAGTTCTCTTCTTTCGTGAAGCAGCCATCTGCCACACCGAGCTCACCAGCAGTCAGCTCTTTGCCTGCTGTGCCATCTCCTAACTCCGTTCAGACTCCCTCTATGGTCCCACATGCTATCCCCCTCCCATCTGCAGATCCATCTCCTGCTTCCGTTCAAGTTCCTCCCAAGGCTCCACAGGGTGAAGAGGGCAGCACTGGTCCAGAGTCTAAGACGGTGCCTGTCGGTGCTCAGGATGTGGCAGCCCCAGGCTCACCAGCTCAGAACTAAAGTTCTTGTTGAGAGATTCACCTGATAAGAAGTCCGAGAGACTAAGCCATTGCTGGCCGAGACTATTAGAGACCTTTCATTTTTGAAAAATTCCTCATTTCGACTTAGACTGCTTATACGCATTTCTCTTTTTATAATCTTCATGTTATTATACCTTTGTGCTTCTTACTTTCAATATTCCGGCTGAGTTTTCTTGTCCATTGAATTTTATGTTCTGTTCATCGATCTATCATTTAGAGGCTCCACCATATTCTTCCATTCAGGGTGGTGTTGATCAAGAATTGAGGTTCTTTTCTGCACAAATTCATTGAAAAAAGTTTCCATTTATTTTCCATATATTATGATCTCTATATCTATATCTACCTCCATGTCACAAAGTAGTGCTGACCTTGGTCCTACACCATACCAGTTGACCAGTTGACGCTTACACAAAGCGGAATCCACAGGCATAATCTAAATTGCCGAATCAACTGGTGTTTCTTCCTTCGATGCTTCTTCTTTTCTTCTTTTCTTTTTTCGATTTCACAATTTCTTCATCATCTGCAATCCCTTCACTCCTGAGGAACATTTTCTCGTTAACCTCTTTCTGGTTGTGGGGAAATCCCTCGACTATCGCGCTTCCACTATGATCGCCCCTAGGGCGCCACTGATGATAACCCCCCACAGCAGCAGCTAATCCCTGCACCCCATCCCCCAGTCTTCGCTGATCTATCACCCGGACGCGTGCACGCTCCCTCCGCCTTTTCAAATTTGGTCAAGTCGGGTAACCTTTCTTTCTTTGGTTCCTCTCGAAATCTCTTTTAAAACTTGGTAAAAATTCCTCGAATGACCAACCCCAGTCTCCTTGAGCTTCCCCCTGGGGTTCAGCTCGTCTACCTTGCAGAAGGTGGAGCCAATGTGATCTACCGCTTTGTTTCAGCCCCAGTGCTATCTACACCGATCGGTCGAGACCGAGATCTCAAAGCAGTCTCGCCAATTGCGGTGGATGTGCCGCCGCGGTTTCGAGGGAAACTTCTCCGCCTACGGAAAGACACCGCGGCAGATATACCGTACAAAGAGATTAATCGCAATTTCAATACGATTGTGCGACCACTATTCAAAGCGGATGAGTTGGTCGATCAAGCTCTTATCTTACTTCCTAGTGGCCTTCTCCGAAGCTGCAACGAGCAACTTCACGCTGCTGAAATTAGCGGTCAGAGACCTAAAAAGCGACATGGCGGGTATCTTTGTCTTCATGAACCATACGGGTTATTGATTACCGATATGACGACATTCAATGAGCCCGGTGCGACCCTCGCAGAACTGAAGCCGAAATGGCTCACACAGTCGCCTTCTGCACCTACTACAGCACGTCGGTGTCGGACATGTGCCTTGAGAGAGATGAAGAACCAAGATTTGCGAGTAATGGGCATGAAAGAGCAACGATCGTTTTGTCCTTTGGATCTTGTCTCGGAATGCTTTGATCGGATTCTCCACGCAACATCCTTTATCAAGGGTTGTAATGACCGAGCGCGATTAGCGCGCATCCTACATCGGAATCCAACCCTGCAGAGATTACGGACTCAGCAGGTCTCCTGCAATCAGGTCGGTCTACTTGGACCGCCCGCTACATCTCAGAGGACATCACTTGATATGACAATACGAGATTGCACAATGTTTATCAGGGTAGGTGCACACAAACCCTCCAGTCCCACCCCAGACTAACGCGGAATAGATTCCACACGATGAAAAATCTCCAGTTGAGATTCGTCTCGGTGATCTTGACTTGAAGACAGGAGCCGGTGGAAAATCTACGTATTGGAGGAAGCTCGAGGTCAATTTAATTGACGATGGATGGTATAATGGATCCAACTCCAATGATCTCAGCGACTGTGCACTACAAAACGCCAGCTCAACACTGGAGCCCTCATTTTAATATCATAATTAATTCTGTTATTTTCTGGGATGGCACGGATGGTATTTTTGCTACTGCACCATGACGATTTCCTCTTTTTTTACTCGTCCATTATCCGGTCTTCATGCATGTCTATGGGCTTATGAACTCTTTTTTTGAATAAGAATAATAACGAAGATAATTAATCCCCCGAGAACCGCGATGATAACTCCGAGTCTGGCACATGTATCTTCCAAGTCGACTGCCGAAGTACTTACACGCTCTTAATTCCAATACTTAAGTAATCCATGGACTTGATATCAATAGTCAGACTTTTGACGATATACTGTTAACTTTCATGTTTTTCCATAATTATGATCTATATCGTCCATTCAAATTTCATTACTGGATGAACATAGAGGACTCCCGGAATACTAACCAACTGGCAAATAACCTCCGACCCCACCATTACAATTAACATCTCCCCACACTGCACCGTACAACCATTGGCACAATTCCGAGTCCGAGTCATCCCAACATTGAACCACTGGAAACGCAAAATGGACTATAAATCCCTCCGCACACCAGAGCACTGCCTCGCAGACTTCTGCCTTATCCCCGTGAGTCCCCTAACTTAACCTCCAGCTCTAACCTCGGAATATGTAGTGACTAACGCATGGCAGATCGGCACCGAGTCGGCATCAGTCTCTGCCCAGATCGCTGATGTCCAGCGACTTATCGAGGCATCAGGCGTGAAGTATACGATGCATTCGGCTGGGACGACACTCGGTGAGTTTATACCGGAGTAGTTTTACTCCGAGTTCACAGTCACTGGAAGCCTAAGGAGCTCTGAGAGACATCTGAGGATCATAATCCTTTCTATTTCTCTTTTTCGGGGTTATGTATCTAACAGTCACGTAGAGGGTTCCTGGGATCGTGTACACGAAGTTATTGGACAGGCACATACACTACTACACGAACAAGGTGTTGTGCGTATTCAAACTGATATCCGTGTTGGATCGAGGTATTTAGTTTCACCTTTCTCCCAAATTGCTATGCACCTTTTCATAGGAGTATTTCACTAATAACTGATATGAATTCAGGACGGATAAAGAGCAGACTGCTGAGGATAAGGTGAATAAGGTGAAGCAGTTATTAGCTACGGATCAGAAGCAGACTGATACGAGTAGGGCGGCTGCAGGATACGCGGCGGCAGAGGCATACAAGGCAGGAGATGCATTTGATAACTTGAAGGCTGGCTGGGCTTAATCTAATGCTATCCATCTACCAGTATTACTTGAAGTGCGTATCTATGTGCGACTCGAAGACTCGGACATGAAGCACCCATGTTCTTAATGTATTCGCTATTTTGACTGCTATTCAACATGGTGTATCCTTTTAGACACTGAAAACTCTCACAAATTCAAGGTTGAACAAGTCATTCGTTTCATCATTCAGTAACCAAACGCCGTACCGTAACCCATATTGACCCCTCTATATACCCTCATGATTTCAGGACTTGAATCAACAAGTCAAACTTCCAAATTCAAAACAAATACAACCCAAAGCATACACAATGAACAAGAATCATGACATGAGGTAAATCTAAAGAGAAATACCTCCTCCAAGGATAGTCCCCCAGGCACCTGCCGCCCAAATCCAATGACCAAGGGTAACATTCTCTCCCGAACGAGCAGACTCCGCCAAATCAACCAAGGTAGTAAGGACGCCATTGGTAGTAGAAGCATCACTTGTAGACGCCGAAGTCGAAACCGAAGTTCTTCCAACAGGGTTGGTAACATTATTCAAACTATCAACCGTATCAATGGCTGGGCCACGGTTAAAGAAATCCACGAGAATGAAAGTCGGTTGACGGCCATTATAATCGCTCTTGCATTTCGTGGCTGTGCTTCCGAGGTTACCCGTACCACCAGATGCAGCATTCGTAGTGGAGACATAGCTAGCATTCGGATACTCGATATCATAAGTTGAGATACTGATAGAAGAGTATAAGAAGTGATTCATGAAAGGGAGGAGATTCGAGGAAAGCGCCGAGGAGAGCTCATTGTCGTATTCCGAAGGACGGTTCGGCTCACAACTGAAATTCGAAGCACTGGTAACATCGTACTGATTTTCCCAGATAAAGTCCCATTCTGACATAAGGTATGGGTAATCGGAACTTGTGTTAAGGGATGCGACGAAGTTAACGAGACGGGTTCCGTTGTTAATCATTTCTTGGAGGGTTGGCCAGGTGGATGGGGCGGTTGTTAGGGAACTGGGTTCGTAGGCGTAGCTGGTGATGTTTGCATTTTCGTAGATTGTGCCTAGGTCTGAGGCGCTCGCATCGTCTGAGTTTACGAGGAGGATTGTCACAACTGCACAGAATAGACTGTTAGTTTTGTCCTTCTCTAGTGTATGGTAGTAGACGCACCCTCGTTCGGATTATCATCTAGCCAAGTCTTTATATCCTCGAGCCAGTCTTTCAGTAATCCCGCATCCAGATAATCACAGCTACTGTGACATAGTCGCCATTCCGAGTTGCTGTTGTGTACTTGAGCGGTTACTAGACGGACGCCTGCGGAGAGTTGGGTTGTGGTATCGTAGTATCTAGTAGAGGATTAGACGAGTTGTTTAAAGATGCTGACTTGAACATACTGATCTCCAAAAAGGGAATCATCTGTACTCGAGTCCCGTAAGAACGGACTGTCGTGAGCGCCCAAATGTGTGATCTCGCCATAAGTCTTGTCGCAAAGAAGAGGGGAGTTGTTGCAGGCGGTGGAGCGAACATTTAATGCGCTGGCGAGCGCTGGCAAAAGGGGTAACCAGTATGAAGGTCGCATATTGAAGGATTTATTCTTTTGATTCTCTTGATAGGAATTGGAATACGATCCAGGTTAAATTCAGGTCAAGAAGAGAATAAGGAATAATATGGGGAATGTTTACTCTGTCGATCCATACTAAGGCGGGTCCAGGCCGCGTTGCCGTCTCAACTATTCTTAGATCATATGGAGTCACAGCCACGACTCACTTCTTGGCTATAGGCAGATTTTTTCTTACATTCATGGATGTATTGGTCTAAATTTTAATGTTGACGACGGTATTACTCAAGATACACATATGCAGGTTCAGTATTACATGTAGACGCAAGGGTCTAGATAACTAGGAGACTAGTTCAAATGTTACTACGTACTAGTATCCACTATGGCAATTGACACAGGCTAACACACTGGTGGGGGGGGGTATACGTTTCATCCATATTACTACTAACTATGTACATTGATTATGACATCTATCGAGCTCTTCGTTGTGACAAAATAACTTTAGCAGAATTCTTCCGCGATCGCAACGTACGAGGAGGGTTGACGAGCTGCTCAGGTCGCTCAATTTCCTCTTCATCAAATAAAGACTCGCCCCAGGCAAGCTTGATATCGTCCAGCACGCGACCGAGATGATAAGGGTTCACCCGTCGCAACATGCGATTAAGACGCACTGCAGAGTGCGAGTATGTTCCAAAAAGCAGGTTCAACCGAATTCGAGTCGCCGAGCGAATGGGGCCCGCGTGGAGAGTAAGACCGGCTTGCTCTAGTTCGCGGAGAAGTAAAAGACCCCGAACCCAAGGAATCAGTTTGTCACCAGTAGCTGGGTGTTGAAGGGCGCATTTAGCCTCCGTGTCACGAGTCACGCGGAACTGGAATCCCCAGGCAACGATGGCTTGCTGCATCTTGTCACCCAGAACAAGCGTAAGCACCCTGCTGTCGGCTTTGACGGATGGTGCTTGAGATAAAAAGATTCCCCGGTGTTTGTCGCTTTCGGCTGGTCCATGGGCATACTGCTGAGCAAGCCAGAGACAACATTCCCGTAATTCATCCCAGTAATTACCCATACCCAGGCGCTTCAGGAATTCTTCCCAAAATGCTGCACTGACATAGCATCCAGTAGGAACCACCCGCTGGAGGACTCCGAATAGAAAGATCATTGCATCACGTTCGGATATTCCCTCGGATTGCTGTGGTCTATGATGCATGCGGCGATTAGGTAGCAGCTTGTCTGCCATAAAGTCCACGCTATCTTCACTCAAAGTCCTGCCGCGCAGAGTGAGTTCGTCCACGACCTTCGATGCGGCACTAAGCTCCCCAGCGGCCAAATGCTTACGGAAATGAATGTCCATTAAGTCGGGGCAATTTGGGAAATGCTCAGCCAGAATCGCAAGGGAAATATTGTACTGCCTCCAGTCGCGCGCCATGTAGTAAGAAACCAAAAGAGATTCCTGGACTTGCCGATCCTCCAAGACATCCGGGTGATGGTCACTCTGTAACAAGTCGGAAAGGAGGAACTCTCGATTCTGAGCAGCAAGCTTCGGAACTAGTCGAGTGAAGACGCTGTCTGCTACTGAGATACCAGACAAACGAAGCAATTTAAGATTGGCCAGGATCTCTTGGCCATCCTGAACTCTCAAGGCCATTTCTCGCAGAGTGCGTGGACCAATTTGTGAAACACCAATCATCCTGAGTCCACCAATAACCATATCCATATTCAACGCGCGAGTCGCAAATAGTCTAGCGGCGAGATCATCCCTGTATGAGTGTTTTTTGCCGAGAGAGACCTCTTCATCTTGGCGCTCTGCCTCTTTCGCGTCAAGTGTCTTCTCTGACACCTCTGATCCACATGATGGTGACGGAAATCTCGTTTGGGCATACTCTCGGAGATTGTCATATTCTTGCCGGAGTCCATAATCTCTTGTGTAGTCCAACAGCGGATCTATTTCCTTCATTGATTGCGGATGGTCTTGCCGAGCTGTCAACCAGTTATGCATTGCTAATGCGTGTTCTCCGTGACCTTGTTCGAGGATACTTTTAATGACCAGGCCATACACATTATGGTCGACCTCACGACATAGTTCCTTCAAGGTTCTAAGCCGCAAACGAGTTCCCTTCGACCGGGTTGCAGATTGAACACCAGACAACAGAAGTAGATCAGAGGTGGGCGCAAGTTTTGGCGGTGACACAACATGTGGAAGGATTCGTGGGAGGTCTCCGGGCTGTGCTAGCTTTGAGTTCTGAAGTTTTCGATGCCATTCAATCGCCTGTTTGTCCATTCCTCGTTCCAGCAGACCGCCCACCACATACTCATGGAGTCGTGGCCAGCACTCACCATCATCTCCCCAAATTGATATTGCGTAGTTCATAACCTCTCGCAGGAAGATCTCGCGTTTCAGACCGAGACTCACAAAACTTTGCCAGAAGAAGTCTGCACGATCTCCAGAAAGAGGGATTTGCAGTCCATCAACTCGTTGTGTCATTCCCTCCCATATTGTTTCAGTCCCCTTGTCTCCGTAATGTCGCTGACGGAATCGAAGAAGCTCCTCCCAAAGCTCAAAGTCGTTTCTGTGCTCAGGCAGATCCACCAATCGTGACCCTGGTTCATCGGTGTGTCCGATATCTGATTCGAACTCTAATCTCTCTGGATCCAGTCGTAGTTGCTGAGAAGGGGTCTTCGCGGGGTCACTCGAGGTTGAACGATTTCCGTGGACGTGAGATTCCGAGTCGTCGTCGTGGGTTGGTTCAATATCGTAAACAGCGAAACTTAGTTCCTTCTTTTTGGCTTTGGGTCGCCATAGGGGTCTCGTTCGGTGCCCTTTAACCCCACCAGCAGTATCATCGCCGGCCAAGTGCGACTGTTTGGCACATTGCGACTGGCATCGAAGACGCGTGTATCTTGAATCAAGCTGTTCGATTCCAATGGGAGATGCTGTGAGGCAATCTATGATCGAGAGGGCAGAAGGCCTCTTCAACAATTGAGTCAGAGCCGGTCGCATGGGTACAAGGAAAAGGGTAGCACCCAATGCTGGACCATGCTGGAAATCATACAGAGAAGGAAATAGCAAGCTTCCGCAGTGAGAACCAATCCCGCTATCCACTTTCTGCTGTTCTTTTCCGCTTTCCCCTTTAGTCACCATCCTTAATAAGCACACGGTCGTGATTGGCAAAAAGCGGAGGGAAGAGGGAAGTCACATGATCTTCGAAGCTCGATCAAACGTCTGAACATCACCCCATTCCCTCTTATTGCATCCCTCACACTCCCCTCTCCTTTCCAACCGCCAAAATGTTCCGCACTGTGCCTCGTATGGCTGGGTAGGTCAATCCCATTTCCTCTGCCGTCTGCCTCCAATTCCTTGCCAATTGTTCGGGGTCCTGCGCGACCGAGGGCACCGGGCGCGCCCGAAATTCGCTTCCCAGTTCGGAACTTATGGACAAATTGCTACGGACAACTCTCCCAGCACAATTGACTGGCCGATCAACTGATTACAATGGCTAACTCTTGCTTTTACGCTATAGGTTCGTGTTCCGTGAGAACCGTGTCCCTTACTACCAGCGTCTGTTCCAGAACCACGACGGCAAGCGTCAATGGTGGAAGGTCAGTCCAATCGACAATACCAATGCTCCATTCTGATCCCGACAACAATCTGACATTTTGACCTTCAGACCTCCCGTAGCGGCTACGTCATGTACCCTTACCTCATCTCCGTCTACGGCCTCGGTGCTGGTGCGTTATTCCAAGCTCGACAAGTTCATAAACACAACTGACTCATTATTATAGCTACCACCTACGCCATGTGCCGTATGGTCTTCGTACGTTCTATCCCTTCCGTTTCTACCGAGTGACAATTCACAGTTGGATATATATGGGCATCTACTAACCTCTTCCACAGGGCCACAAGACTTGGATCTAAGCTCTTTCAGCAATTATAGAGGACGAATCCACCCATATCCGGCGGGATGGATAAGATGCAGAGTTGGGCTGGCTCGATATTGGTGTATTTCTACCACGGTGGTTGTTAGATGGTTTCACTGTTTTGGGGCTGTACATACCACCAATGCAAGTGATATCGATTTTCATCTTCCTGGTATTCAAAATCGTAGTGTTGATTTTATTGATTGGGTCCTGGCCAGGTAGTACAGGTCTTATGCTACAATTGATGCTGCAGACAAGTTATGAGTCTACTATTGGCCCTTATGGATGGAACTCACATATCCAACAATGAGGGTGGTGCCATTTTATCGTGATTCATGCCAGTGTTATAGAAAGCATTTGCGGCCAGCCAGACACGTCCTCCAGGGCTTATAATTGTGAATTAGGAGAAATCGGACCGGGAGTAACATTGGAGATATGCCACGAGTACATAGTGATAATAATCTTGAAGCTTGCAAGCACTTAGTATGTATACTACCTACCCATGTCAACTTCCGCCTTCCGCTCCATCTCCGGCCACCGCCCGGGCGCCGATACAGATCGCTTAGTCATGATGTTCAGGCGACGATTAGTGTGCTAACGAATCTCATCGATATACTCAGTTTCATCATTGCAGAGGGTATTACAGCTCTTGCAGTTATTTTCTGCCAGTGGATCAAATTGGCATCCGCTTGAACTCTCCGAGTCGCGTGGGAGCCACTTGATCAACATTCCTGTCATCCGAGTCTTTAATCGGAATACTTATGTTGGAGCATTCGGCCACTGGCACATGCCACACAGGTCCACCATTTCAGCTACAGCCTGAGACTGAGAGCATCATCACGATTCAAGTTGATACTACTACTAGTACCTGAAATGGCACCACCGTCGGACTCGGACCAAATCCAACTAGATCTAAATTCAACTTTTCCAGAGCGCCCATCTAAGCGTATTAGGCTAGCATGCGAACCCTGCAGGTAAGACTTATACCCAACTGAATCTTGTACGTGCGAGATCGTGCTGACACGTCTCAGACGCAAAAAGGGCAAATGTCCTGGCGAGCAACCAGTCTGCTCCCTGTGTGCCCGACTACGTCAGCGATGCGTCTATGACGAGGAAAGGCGACGACAACTTCCTCCTGAAGGTCCATCAAGATCCAGTATACCGCCCACACCTTCAACTCTGGTCAGTTTTGATCTCAACCAACATGACAATTGTCCCTAACAACGCATTCAGGAAGACCGACTGCTCAGCTTGGAAGGCAAACTAGGAGCAGTTCTTGATCATCTAGGGTACTATCCTCGAATACGCCATAGTTTCAATGACCTTACTGATATATTCCTAGATCTAATGCTAATTCCTCATCGAATGAATTGTCCACTGCAACTCCATCCGGACTGGGCTCAACTGTTATTCTTCCCACATGGGAAGAGATTATCCCCATCGCAGAGCTATACCTTCTATATTGCGAATCCCAACCCCTGCCTTTATTTCACAGAGAAACATTCTTAACCAGTCTTCAAGGACGCGACATTGAAATTATTTACGGAATTCTCGCACTAAGTCTCCGGTTCTCTGACTCATATCTCAACTTCCGTGATCCAACCGGACAGGTAAATAGCTACGCCGAAGTAGCGCGGGGACTGGTGATGAAAAGAGTTTCAGAGGGGCCAGTCGAGATTTCAACATTGCAGTGCCTGTGTCTTTTAAGTTTAGTTGATTTTACAAGTTAGTAGACCGCTACTATCTGACCAACTATGTACTAATATTTACGAGATGGAAACACACACCGCTCCAGTATTCACAGCAGTCTTGCCATGAACCTTGCACAATGCGCCAATCTCGGAGTCGAGTCCCGCGCCATGACAAGCCACATCGTTCGAGAAGAGCGTCGACGCTGTTTCTGGAGTATATGTCTTCTCAAAAGACTCCATGGAGCCGAATTCTCAATTCTAGATCTCCCCGAAATGGGAGGGCCGCCATATCCACAAAGTCCAACGCGACCGGCTCGGCTAATTCCTTCAGTGACATCAACATCAAGTGTCCGAAGAAGCGAACTGCAAGACCAAGGCATAGTTGCATACGTGATTATGCTAAGTGAGGTATTTTCCCGAACTGCACGTTATGTCCGTCTACGTGGCAGACCGGGTAATGTGCCACCCTGGTCTCCAGAATCAGAATACTCCAAGATCATGGCACTGCAGATGAACCTCGAGACGCGCATGCCACTTACCCATCGTTTCAAACCAGCAAATCTCGGCGAAAGATCATTTGAAGAGTTACAAGATCATCGAGAGTACTGGGGACCATGGTTTCTAAATCAATTTATGTACCACACTACTCTTTGTCTATTGAACCACCCCTTATTACTCTCGTTAAGTCTGCGAACGTTCAGAAGTACCATCCCTGAAATATTCCTGCAACATACATCCGACCTTATCTCAACTCATACGACCTGGATCGTCCATTTCATCGATTACTTTGCAGACAAGGGATTTCTAGTCTCAGATCCTTTGTTGGGATATAGCGCCGCAGTTGTGGCTACAATCGAGCTCCAGCTCAGCTTTACAGAGGACTCCACAATCCGAGAAAAGAAACGAGATCAATTTACGAAATGTGTCAAGTTCGTCCAACAAATTGGCCAGAAATGGCCTCACATGGCCCGACTGGTATGTCGCAATTCCCTTGACAATCACCTGGGCACTAGCATGAGCTTATATAAACTCCAGGCACAAAGACTCCAACATCTGGAGGACGCTGTCTCAGCAACCTACCAATCCGATCCAAGTGATCGAAACCAAAGTCTTTTAATCGATCTATCCCGATTTTGGGAAATCCTCGAATACGCCTCAAATAGTGATGCAGACTCCGCAAGAAGACTCTTCGGAAACTCTCTATACACGGGTCCCTCGACAGCTGCAGTGGAAGTCTCGCAAACTTCCCCATTACCTGCTCCTACACGTCTAACACAGGAAGAAGGGTCTTCCCATTCCCAAACTCGGGGTTACAGTACTACTGTTGTGTCGGGTGCAGAGTATCATAGCTCAGTTGTCTCACCTGAACAGCTGATGTTTACTAATGATGAGCTTTCGATTCTTGCGACGAACTTCTTTTCGCAGGGACAGGAGTTCCTTCGGTGTGGGGATACGGGGAATGTGGGAAATTTTTGATCATCATTTAACTCAGACATTCTTCTTTGACCAGCTTGTAGAATCAAGATGACGGGTAGAAACTCCTATTGATGTTGACATTTGTTATTCATTGCATCTAAACGATCATCTTATCATTTTTGAACCAGACATAGTAATAAGTCTGATATTTAAGAAGCCAAAGCATCCTTGAATGTCTCAACAAAAGTGTAAACCTCAGAGAAAGTATTGTAAAGAGGCACAGGAGCAACACGAACAACGCCCGGCTCTCGCTTATCACAGATAATACCTGCATCCTGCAAGCGCTCAGCAACCTTGTGTAAAAGTCCGGGCTTAAGCAGCAGACTCAACTGCGCTCCACGGGCATTGGGGTCGGACGGGGTGATGATCTCAAACAGGCGGGTCTCCTCGGTGGTATCCTTCAAGAGTAGGTACTCCAAGTACGCGGTCAACTTAATAGACTTCTGACGCAGATCCTTCATGGAAGTCTGATCGAAGACAGACAGTGCAGCAAGAAGGGTAGTGAGGTCGATCACTGAGGGGTTGGAAATGACGAAACCATTAGCTCCGGGAATAGGTTTGAATTCTATAGACACAGAATTAGTTTCGTTCCAGGGGTATTCATTTGCGTTTGGGGATACTTACTGTTGTCCATTTGGAATCGCACAGATCGATCGCCTCCATACCATCCAGTCAGTCGGTGACGGAACTTCGGCGCATCTTCACCGGCACTGTAATCAACTTGACCATGACGCTCATGCACGAAAAGACCACCCATAGCACCAGGACCAGCATTACCGTACTTGTATGTGCACCAAGCGGCAAAATCCACATTCCATTCGTGCAGTTTAATTTCAACGTTACCATAAGCGTGCGCCAGATCCCAGCCTACGATGAGACCATGGGACTGGGCGTGAGCCGTGATACGGGGAATGTCGAATAGCTGGCCGGTGTAGTACTGGATACCGGGCAAGAGAAGCAAAGCAGCATCTTCGGCATGCTTGTCGATGTAAGAAATAATCTTCTCTGTGGAGATCTCGTATTGACCCTCATCTGGGCCAATGAGAACCATGTTCTCCTTCGAGTCGAGGCCATGCCAAGAGATGTGAGATTCAATGGCATACTATGTAATATTAGTTGAGACCTTTATGACAAGAATTATGGAGATTCTCACATGATCACTAGGAAAAGCCTTCCAATCCATGAGAATCTTCTGGCGCTTCTCTGTCGGCTTGTAGAAACTAGCAAGCAAGAAATGCAGGTTGGTAGTCAAGGTTCCCATAGCTGCGACCTCTTCAGCCGAGGCACCCACAACCTTGCACATGGATGTAGAAGCCTGCTCTGAGAGTAACTGCCATTGCTGCAGAGGAGAATCCTCAAGAGTGGTGAAGTGTCCACAGACTCCAATTGATGACCAGGTATCAAGCTGAGCCTCCATATACTTCCCAACAGCCTTGGGTTGAATACCGAGTGAGTTTCCACAGAAGTAGATACATGGATCTTCAGAAAGCCCTATGATCATGTTAGTCAAGGTCCCATGATTCGTTCATCAGACTTCAAAGCTAAAGCTACTTACCTGGCTTGGCGAGTTTCTTGGAAGCTAGATTGGCCTTGGAAGGAATGATGAACAGATCGCGTAGCTCGCGGAGGGGGTCTTCAGAATCAAGGGCAGCTGCATATTGCTTTGAGGCGGCGGTGGTGGTGAACACAGGCTTAGACATCTTCACCCCATTAGTCTTGTTGACTTCACTGGCAGTCATGTTGATTGGTATGTAGATGGGTGAGAGAGTAGGGATTGAGAGTGATGGGGATGGGTAGGGGAATAAAGGGAGAGAGTATGTGTAGGATGAACAGGGGAAAGTAAGAGAACGCGATAAGAACTTGAAGTCACACAATGCAGACGCGTTTTATAGGAACCTACTATGCCGGATTGGAGGGGGAAAGTGCAGTAGTATCCGGATGCTGCATCCGCATCCGCCTCTTATCCGGTCCCACATGTATCTATGTGCCAGGTATGGATATTATGAATTGTTAACCAAATTGTTATCTATTTAATTTATAATTATAAACTTGAATTCAAATTTAAGAATAATCTGGGATAGACTTCACAGCTAGATGAATTTGATATTTTGGACATGTGTTAACCCCTCCATAGATCATTTGTTATCATGCATGAGGACAATCAATATCTACTTTAGGCTACTAGAATGCACGCGAATGCAGATATGCAAGCTGCAGCACACCAAACTCTTATGGGCTAATCGACCAAGAATTGAATTTATATTTGCTAGCCTTAAAAATGAGTGGAATATTAATCTAGAAAGTGTCATTATTCCGTATACTAAAATCAATAATGTTATCGGACTATAATAGCGCGCGTTATTAATATAATCAACTGAAACAATTACATCATACCCCGGAATCCGGAGTAAGATCCGGGGAAGATCCGGCTTTTATAGATAGGAATGTGAATTAACCGATGCCAGCCGTTTTAACTATATCAGCCGGTTTTTTAGAGGTGATTTTGATCCCATTGTTAGTTATTTTATATGAGATCCCACTAGGCTGCACTTCATTAAATAATTTTTTCTCTCACTCATCTTCTTCTTCCTTCACCCTCCCACTTCTTCGTTTGCTACCCCGTACCTCGACCACACGCTTCACGATTCACGATTCACGAAACACGAAACACGAAACACAAACCCCAAACACTGTGTTATCCCTATCATCTTCTGAATCCCTTTTTCAACATGCTCAACTCCCCAAATATCAATCTGGATGAGTATGAGGTCTCTTCCGAGAATGGCTTCCTTCCATCCACCCTTCCTCTCTTCATCCTCCCCAGTAACTACTATAAGCCTTGGGAACGCCTCGCTCATCACCTACCCGCTCTACTTCAAAGTGGTCAGATAAGATCCAAGGTAGATGATCTTCCTCTTTTGACAACAGATTGTCTACAAACCGAGCCAGAATGGCGACGTGCATACTCTATCCTTGGATTCATCACGCACGCCTATATCTGGGGCGGCTCGTCACCCGAAGATGCAAGTTCGAAATCATTATCTCACCTTCAAACCTCATCTCACTTGGACTAATAAATTGTGAAATATTATAGAACCTTCCTACATGTCTCTCAAAGCCCTTCATCGAGATCTCAGAGCACCTAGGACTCCCACCTTGTGCAACCTACGCAGGTCTAGCACTATGGAACTACACTGCGGCTCCTGGCGCAGATATCACGGACCCAGACAATCTGTGTACACTGACTTCCTTCACTGGAACCACCGATGAAGAATGGTTCATCGTGATCTCGGTTGCAATCGAAGCAAAGGGCGGCAAGCTCTTAACACTGATGCTAGATGCAGTTGCTGCAGCAACAGCCAAGGAGCCAGAGCTATTGGCTGCGCTACTCTGCCAATTTACGGAACGCTTACAGGATTTCAACAATACCCTGAAACGCATGAATGAACGATGCACTCCCGAGGTGTTCTTCCATCAAATTCGCCCCTTGTTGGCTGGAAGTAAGGGCATGGCAAGCGCTGGTTTAGCTTATGGCGTGTTCTACAATGATGGAAACAATTCTGGAGAGTGGCGCCAATACAGTGGAGGAAGTAACGCGCAGAGTTCTTTGATTCAGACCTTTGATATCTTCTTGGGTGTGAATCACTCTGCAACTGGCGGAATAAGTGGTCCTACTGGATACCTTATGGTAAGCCAACTTTGAAAACATTATTACTTTAGTTTGACTTATTTCTTACATTTTTCAGGATATGAGAACCTACATGCCCGCCCCACACCGAAACTTCCTTGGGGCATTCGACGATGTTTCAAACATCCGCTCGTATGTGATTTCGGAGTCCTCTCACGCAGGACCTACACTGAAGGAGGCCTTTAACGCGGCCTGTATGATGCTGAGCGAGTTTCGAGACACCCATTTGCAAATTGTAACTCGTTACATCCACGTCCCGGCTCGTCGAGGGATCCCAAAGGACGAGGGGGGCAGCGAGAGAGTCAATCTCGCATCGGCCAGTGCGCAGGTAGAGGGTCTAGATGAGGAGACTCCCTCGGGACTGTATGGAACTGGGGGTACGAGTCTGATTCCTTTCCTGAGGCAGACCAGAGATGCCACCAAGGACGCTACCTGCTAAAGGGTCTGGCATATGCCTTTACTTTTTTTTTTCTCTTACTTCAATTTCTGATTGCTGTGTCTCTCAAGGGCCTTCACACCTACTGCTGGAGGCTAGTTCTTTTTTCACCTATCTATGTTTTTACACTTAGATAGAGCATAGCAATTCAATGAGTGATGACTTTCTTTTGATTGATTATTTGACTGCTAAGTCGATAGTATTCTATGGTACATTGGGAGATAGGCATAAGTTTAACCCCGCAGATCTTGAAGCCGGCACTTTGCATATGTGAGGTATCAATTGGCCGAGAAATACTGATATGAATCAGTTAGAAGACCTATGCAGCCGTTGATGCCTGATCATTTGAATTATCCTGATCAAGACGTAAACTCGCAAATCCGGTCTCAGCCAACAGAGCGAAATCGCGGTGTGATTGCGCGAATGCAGATATTCCCAGATATCACACGAGTACCAGGCTGTAAAGAGCATTGGATCTTCACCAGATCCAGCGAGAAATGCGGCAAGTTGTGGGTAAGTCATAAATCATAACAGTCTAGGTCTAGACCATCGTAACCAGTTTTAAGTGATCACCTCTTCTTCGTCGAAGTAGGAACCCCTTCACTTTCCCTTAACTCCGCCAGAGTCTTCTCCCGCTCAACAAGGCGATCCTTCTCATCTTTAATCATCGAATCGACCGTTTTCATCGCCTCAGCCATGCGATCAAGCTCCTTATTCTCCGTAACTCTAGAATAAGGATTCTTCGGTGTATCGCTAGTCGGAATCTCAGCTGTGCGACCAGCCCCTTGCTTAGAATTCTTCCCCTTGGCCCTTGGGGCCGCACCAGCCGCACCACCAGTAAGAACCTCGTAGAAAGGTTCAACAGGTTCATTAAAGATGATTTCCTCATAATTCTGACTGATGACGACCTCGCGACGTTCTTTCATTCCCTCCGCATCAGGACCATAGGGATGGAGTTTTAGGCTGTGCCAAAGTGTTTGTGGTTTTTCGTTGGACTCTGGAACGAAGTATAGTTTGATTTGGATCTCGAATTCACCCCATCCTGTTTCGACGACTTCGAATGGCGGGGCTTCGATTGTGCGGACGTTTTGTGCGTAGGTCTCGTGCAGTTTGAATTGGACTTTTTTCAGCCAGTAGGAGATGTCTTCGTCGTTGATGCCTTTTACGAAAACGCGCCATTGGTGAGTGTGGTCTGGAGGTGCGTTGGCGGGTCTCTTCTCGGGGTCAAATGGTTGCGCTTCGCTGCCGAAGACTAGATTCTGCGCGTTAGTGGTCTGGCGCTAGACTTCCATTGGTTTGTGTATAGACGTACTGAATGGGCGGAATACTGAGACTCCCTGTTAAAGAAGTGATTAGCATATTTCTAGGTGGAGTACATCAAAAGTGCCAGAACTTACTCGGACACGCTTGTTAGCTGGTGTTGAGGGCATCTTGAAGTGTTTTTGAGTAAGAGATGGAGAATGTAAAGAGTAAGTCAATAGTATTCAAGACGAAGAGTGAAGCCGCGGGCGCGGAAAAAGGCGATCGCGATACACGTGACCCGGTGACGGCATGCGGGAGCTTTCGCATAGCTTGATTTCTTGCTAAATCTATGATACATCGGATTTATCCCTTGAATATCTGGAGTTCCTACTTCTAACAATCAATTATCGTGAAATTATGGCTACCAAGAGACTCGTTGTCGCCGGTGGAAGTGGCTTTTTAGGTTCGCAGATACGCATTCAGCTCAATGCATATGGGCCGATGCTAATCTACAATCACAGGGTCCAGAATTTGTAAAGCAGCTGCAGCTCGAGGCTGGTCGGTCACTTCATTGAGGTAGTTAGCCCTCGCTACATACTGAATTATCTGAATATAATGCTAAGGTCTCTTTCTCTAGTCGATCCGGCGAGCCACGATGGGAGACCGTTACTGATTCCTCAACGCGCCCAAGCTGGGCGAGCTCGGTTGAATGGGCGAAGGCAGATCTCCTAAAGCCTGGGAGCTACAAGTCATTCTTAACTGGTGCTACTGCGGTCGTACACTCCATGGGTATTCTTCTGGAGGCCGATTACAAAGGAGTGGTACAAGGGAGAGAACCAATAGTTGGGGGACTGCAACGCGCATTCAGTTCGTCTAAACTAGGAAGTCAAGACCTAAGTTCACGGAAAGAAGGCGAAGCTCTGGAACCGAAGGAAAGAGATGGCCAATTGACATACGAGTTAATGAACAGGGATTCAGGTATGCATAGTCCAGTATTCGCGAACGGGTTCATCAGATCACTGACAGTTTCGACATAGCCATCGCACTGGCCCAAGAATCCTCCCTCGAACATGTTCCAGCCTTCGTGTACATCTCCGCTGCGGCTGGCGCACCTGTCCTTCCAGCTCGATACATCACCACCAAGAGGGAAGCCGAAGAAACGATTGCCTCGACCCTTCCAGAACTGCGCAGCATTTTTATTAGACCCGGCTTTATGTTCGATTCCAGTCGAAAGTTCACTCTGCCGATCGCTCTAGGCGGGTTTGTCACATCGGAGCTAAACACTTTTCTGGGAAAGAAGCTTGGTTTTCTCGGAGCTATGGCCGAGAAGCCTCTAAAGGTCGATACAGTAGGTGAAGCGGTGGTCGAGGCTTTGGAAGACGAGTCAACAAGAGGTGCGGTCGGAACAAAGCAAATTGAAGCACTGGCCACCAAGGCCTGGAGGAAAGCGATGCTTTAAATCGAATGGATATCAGTCTGCGCCAGACTATTTGGCAAATGGCAAAGCACACGGATTTTGCGAGTAGTGTCTTGGCCAGCATTGATTCAAAAGTGCCCAGCACATGTATATTATCTCTTTTTCATGGCGCATTAGATCATGGTTCCTCGCTCGAAACTGTCCCGAATCTCCGTTGTGTACTAGAAGGAGGATTAGTTAATTGCTTGACAAGGTCACTGCAAACACAAATAAGAACATACCTTGTTGTAGAAACGGGCAAGCTTCTGGTTGAAATGCTTGTTCTTGTCGTTGATGTATGTCACATCGGCTTCCTCGTCTCCGCGACGCGCCTTGCGCTTCCTCAGGCGCTCATCTTCGGCCTTCTGGAGATCCCCAACAAGTCGGTCCACAGCTGCGCGATCCGGCTTGTTGTCAGTAAAGCCCACGCTGTCAGCAGTGGAGTAAAAGCTGCCATTCTTGTCGATAGCAATCATCTCCCCGTCCTCCGTCTCAACGATTTCGAGGTCACCATTAGCGGCGGCCTTTTCGATCGCTGCCAGCTTCTCTTTTTCGTATGCTTCCAAATCGGGTGCAAGCTGTCGCATCTGTCGGCCGTAAACCTTTCGAGCATCTTGAGTGTAATCCTGGAAAGCCACATCATCGCGATGGCGCTGCTTCTTCTCTAGACGTCGATCCCACTTCTCTGACTCTTCAACCGTCCAGTCCCAAGCTCGTTTACGTTCAAAATCTTCACCGCCCGCTTCGGTGTCGGCCTTGAGGAGCTTGTGTGCAGCGAAGTCGTGCTTGCGGTCCAGCGATTTCGCAAGGTTGGGGTCAGTAGCCAGTCGCTGTGTTTCGGCTGCAGTTTCCTTCAAGTTGCGCTCATTGGCAGATCTCTAAACAAAGGATTAGTAACGTCATAAATAAAAAAGCTATGTTTAGGTGTATATCTGTTTCTTACCGCTCGTTCCCTCAGTGCCTTAAATCTCTGCTGTCTCTCGCGGGCCTTAGCAGCCGCATCGTCTTCTTGCTTGTCGCCATTTGGCTCTGAGGTGCTAGGAGTGTCTGTGGTAGCCTCGGCCTGGTCTGGCTGTTCGATTTCCTCCACCAGTTTCTCTGTCTTTTTCGTTTGCGGCATGATGAATGATAGATATTACACGAGTACTGGCTAAACTCGTGGCTGTTGAGGGGGGTTTATTGTAAGAAGGGAGATAGTAGAGGTGATTGCAGTTTTCGTCGATGAGATGACATCGAGTTCACCGCTAGTCCCACCGCCCTATATTCTGCCCGAACTGCCACCCCGGACTTTCTCCTTATCTGTCGTGTTTATCTCCATCTCCACTCGTGGGTCGACGGCGTCGCAATTGGGTTCTGTTGACTAATTCGCCCATGATGAGAATGAGAGGTCTATCAGCCCGGAGGTTGAGATCTAGGCAAATTCCATGTCGTAGTATCTCATCGTCAGCGCAATGCTATATCATGAGCGTGGCTCATAGCAGCTCTAACGCTATTTGCCCAACCCCCTCACAGCTGCTTCGATCTATCCTGATTGCACCGGATAATGGTGATCCCGACAACAACAATGCGACATCGCAAAATCAAACCCTTGAAGCTATTGATTCTAAGTGGAAGTTTGGCAGCCCTTCTATCTTATTGTGGTTATCTCTCAAAGGTGTTTTCCCGTCCACAGAACGTCATACTCGACAGATGATTGAGGACGTGGTCGACATATCTCAATTAAGGTCACTTTTAGAGGGAATATCTGAAAGAACGCGAGCTTTGAATGTTCAGGGATTAATGTGCACACACCTGTCAGTGGCATCAGCACGCTGTCAATCCAACAGCACCTATTCTGAGATTTATACACTCTTGCGTGATTTTGTTGTCAGACTTGAGCGGGCCAATTTGCCAGTACAGCCTGGACTCCTCGAGCTCTGCATCTACTATGCAGCACTTGACTTGTCTCTGCCCGCCTTGCATGATTCCATCCTGCAGTGGCGGAAAAGGAATCCTGATCAAGTGATTCAGCACAGCCAAATCGTTCAAGCATTGACCATGGCGATCGATGCGGCCTCATTTGAGGACCCTGGTTATGACACTGCCTCACTTCGTGCTGAGATCACAGGAGAAGGAGCTGATTTATCAAAAAATCCATGCTTATTACGAGATGTTTTATGCCACTCACATTACCCGAATCTACAAGAACTCGGTTTCCTGCTACGTCTTATGTCGAGAATAGGAAGCGAGAAAATGTTGTATGAGATGTATGCTAGGTTCATAGGCAGTCTCGATGGCAAGTATGAAGCCTGCAGCTCTGCCTATAGTCTGTGCGTGGCTTTGGTACGAGCTGGCCGTTCAGAAACAGCACGGGATTTCTTAAAGTATATCTCGAGGATGTCCAGTGGCAGCCTACCTCACATCCAGTCATTTCATCATTTGCATATTCTCATCAACGATTCTATTGTTGGCGAATCCTTTGCGAACTTGGTCAATGGTGAGCAATACAGGGAGTTGATCGATGCGGGTCTTGTCAGCATGCAACACAGGCCGGGTCGCAGTAGGCAAACCACGGAAGAGAACAACACATCGCATGTCAGTGTGGGTGCATCCCTCTGGGAAACATTTACAAATCAGCCCTTCAAAGTCGATGACGAAATCGCAGGATATAGCGATATATCGAGTCTTTACAGGAAAATTCAATCCCGTGGAATGACAAAATCCGGCGGGGAACTCAATCAGATTATTGATTTGCTCAATAACTATGACGGCGATGTCATTGAAGTTAGTGTCCAACCTCACATGACACCAGACGAGCTCGATTCTATTTCTACCAAGCTCGAAAAGGCAGCATTTCGTTGGTGCCCTCAAAGATCCCCCATCGAGTTTACAAACTCCGCAGTACCAAATTTGACCGGCGAGTCTACGAGATGGGATCCTGCATCTCTGGGTTTGATGTGGGCTCGCTCTTGGGCCCACGGGTCACCTCAGGCGGGGGCCAACACTCTCCATCTGATGCAATTGGGGTATTTGGAGATGCGAGACAACCCGGATGATCCATGGCGACCATCCGGGTATATCGCAGCATGGGACCGGCAATTCGGCGAAATGGTTGCCCTCTTTGTTGGGGAATACTCTGCAGTCATAGATCCGGGTCTAACCCGGTCTGACCCTCCATTTGGTGCTTTGATGTACATCCAGCCCTCTGATATGCCCCCAGCGTCTTTCTTAGACTCCGATCGTCTTGCTCGGGGCATCCTCAGCCGTTACTACCTGGATGTAGACCCGAGTCCAGATTTGGATCCCTGGTGATGTGTTCAGCTTGAGAGTTTTGCACTATTCCCCCACACTTGCATTGCTGCGAACTCAACGCAGAGAAAAGACCAGTTAAGAATTGAAGCATGTGGACGATCCCCAATGTAAATATGTGATTGCTACGTACGATTTAGCGGTGAATCGGTGTATTATTTAGTATTTTTTTCTTCTTTTCATCTCGCACATAAAATTTGAATAATGTAAAGAGACCCGCTTTTTAATGATGTTGAGTGATTCTCTAGTTCTGGCCCCCCCTCGACTTCCATTGGTACGTCACTTCACCAGAACAAGCTACTGGGTTACTAAAAAGCAAAACAAATCTGCTCTCATTCTTCATACTCCACTGCACATGTGAGAGACTCCTGCCAAATTCAATCATATGCCAACCAGAAATTGATTTTGCTCACCTCAGCAATTACAGGCACGGTCTACTCCGTTAAGATCCTTGTATCATCCCCAACGCCCCTATCACGGAGCTAATACTCGTGAACACACACCTAAAATGGAACCCTGTAATTACCAGGGGCCCTGCCAGTGCGGAGGGGCTGAAAGATCGACGGTAAGGGTTCGCAGCCACACACCGATTACGGTCAAGCGTTCGTTAACTAGACTAACAGGGATTATGGTGACTTCCATACGGAGTATATTCTGAGCTACTAGGTACCCCCAAGTTCCGAGTCTTCAGAACCCACATCGTACCAATGTTCGGAGCATGAACTCAGCCCCGAGCCTTGCGATGAAATATGATTCATCACCAGACATCATCACAGACTGCAAGGCTTCTCCATGGAGTATGGTCAGCTCCAACTTCAAGCTGCACTTGAACTTGAAGACGCCAACTGGTGTTCACATACTAGTACGATACCAACTCCAAGTCTGACCTGTGGGAGTATACTCCGTACTCCGTACCTTTGTCGGTATTACTGCGCACTGGCAGGCGGATCAGCATGACTCGTGTTTTTTCTGGCGCTTGTTCCATAAGTCTTCTGTACGGAGTAGTTCAAGATGTATGGTGCATGAATTTCCCGCATGCATTTCTGAAGCCTTGTCAGGTCCGAGTTAGATCAAGATGATAGGCAATGAGCTGCGCTTTCATTTGTCATACTGTCAGCCCTGACACCACTGACACCAACACACGCAGGTCATATAGGATATCTGAGTCTGAGGACTCATCTTCATCCAATGATTCAAATGAAGCTTTTCAGCTCTTTGACAGATTACACGCTAGGTCCTCAACAACAAAGCGATACGAAAGTTGCCTACGTTGCCTTGACGCTTGGACCCATTGGACCCATCATTAGTAACATTTCAAGAGCAGTGGTTCGCTTTCCAAGTTATTAATGGCTGCCTTTTTTTTTCTGTCGATCAGATCTAACATTTTTTCCATATAGAGACAACCACGCTGAACTGCCATGCGAGGGACACCAGGCATGTACATAGCCCTGGAGTACTGCCGTGAAACACTAAGGTATTCGAATTCCAGGAAGCCATACAAAGTGGGCTTACCGACTTCTCAGAATAAGCGATGGTTTTTTTTTTCTTGGACCCATGTGCGCATATCATGGACACGGAAGCTGTAAAGCCCGGACCATTCCCCACTATCACGGCGAGTCTGCCACTGACGCGCCTTTCAAGATCATCTTGTGGGGGTGATCTTATGGCATAATTGCCAAGTCCCCGGGTCGCACGCTAATAAAATGTTCAAAGAACCTCTTTATTCCGCACTATACTATCTGTGTCATCCCAAAACTAGTCGGTCAGTATCCGATCGACGGGTGTGCCCGTTCTTGTGAAGGGAGATTACCGGGAATTCATGAGAATCTTATGGTTTGGTTTCGACTATCCACTGATTTCACTCTATAAAGCGGAGATCTAGGTTTTTCATTCTTGAATCTGATTTGTATTACACACAGGGTGTGTTTTATGCTTTATCTGATATGTTGAAACCCGTTATAGACACCTGGGCCCTTTTTTGACCTTTTCCCAGGCAATGTTTCATGGTACACGGTCCCTCTTATGACTCCAGGGCTTTCTAACTAGGGCAAGCTTTGCGACCTAACTGATCTAGTACAAAGCCATTGTTAGTAACCCCAATACCCAACGTGGTTTTTTTTATTTTTTTTCTGCCTGTTTCTGCCTGGCAAGTCCCCAGCCCCTCTGACCGATCTTTACCTGAATAGGTTGAGCTTCAGGCGACAATGTACAAGCCACAACCAGGATCTTAACCAGATGTGCATGACAGATTTCCTTTCCACGCTAACAGGGTTTAACAATACATAATCTCTACCTTTTGTTTTCGATCTTCAAGGGCTCTAAATTTTGAGGACCCCCCTGCTGTCAGGGACCATATCAATCTCACGCATTGAACATAGCCTACTACTGCACACACAGGCCATTTACCCCGTGGCGAAACCAATGCCCGCTCGGCCCGTTCCCCCGGCTCTTCCCTCTTGATTCTTGAGTGGATCTTCAAAGACTCCATTGAGGGGTTCTTTCGTTTGGTGAGGGGGAAAGAGAAGCTCCATACTGATAACCCACAAGTTCATCCCTTAATCTTTTATATCGGCCCTTAATCAACTTGATTGGATCAATCGGGGAGAGCGGGGAGAGAGAAAAAAAAACTGATATTTGAAGCTGAAAAAAGAAAAAAAAGAAACAATCACTAGGGTTATATTTCCAACCCCAAAAAAAGAAAAAAAAAATCAAATTAATTATTAACATTTCACCCCTCGCAGGTTATTCATAGATCCATTTTTTGTTAATATTGCTTTTTATTTTCTTTATTTTCTCTTTTTTTCATCCCACATATCGGAGAGTGACACCCCCAAAACCGGGTCCAGCCCCATGTTTTCTTTGGGTTTATCAGATGCTGAGTGACAGATCCAGGATATGCATGGGAGAATTGTTACGTGTGATTAAACACTGTTATAAATTCTCCCCAAACATCTGAGACCTCTTTTTTTTTTCCCATTTTATTCTTTATTTTTCTTTTTCTCTTATTTTTCTTTATTTTCTTTCTCTCCCGCGCGGGTGTGGCTGACCGCTTCGTGGCATATCCAATGCCTAATGATTGAAGCTGATCGGTACTTAAAAGTAGCGCAACCGCCATTCTGCGGCGCCTGCGCCTTTCATCCTTGAATAGATGTCGAGGTCCCCATCATCACAATGTGGGCAACCCACCGACACTCACGATAGTCGGCCTCAACAAATATATCAGCCAAGTTCAAGTTCAAGTTATCATGAACCTCGACATTTTCTTGTTCGCCCAGAGGGCTATACACGAGACTTATCAACACCTGGTCCACGATTACCACCTTTGGGGAACATCACGGAGACATCAGATCCAAGATATATTGTTTCCGCGGAGACTAATTATCTGAATCGTCCATCTATACCACAGTCATTGCCACTGCGAATGCATTATCAAGTTCCTATTATCGATGCGCGTGGTACTACTGGTCCTGCATACGAAGAAAGATTGAGTCCTATGTTAAACCATGGCCGTGAATATCCTACTCATCGGTTGCGGACATACGACCTGGAGTCTCAGTAAAGTTCCTTTTCTTTTCGTTTTTGTCGATTCAAACACCGCCTGTCAGTCGCCCATCCTAGTGTGGTGTTTTCTTTTGCATTTCAAGCCCTACTTCTATGTAAACTTGAAGTAGAGAGCTACTCCCCACAAGGGAAAAGAATAATGCTTCAAGTTTTACGAGTAGCTCCTATCTGACACTCAGAAACTCTCTAGTCACAGCAGCAGTTCTACAGCTATACACAGTCCTATATACTCGGAGAAAAGTCCAATCTCCTTTGTGGGCAGTCAAGCACCAAGCATCAGCACAAGCACAAGCACAAAAGAACGACGAACAATACATAGTATGCCTCATGGCTTCGACAAACTGCTAAATCATTCACCCGAGCCCGAATCATCTCCATCTCCATCTCCATCTCCACCACCACCACCACGAGTTGAATCGACTCAACCAAGGTATCACCTTCATGTCCGTCAACAACCCATAGCTGCACGAGCATGTGGTGCAGGAGACCGAGATAGACGTCCAATCGACCCTCCACCAATCGTCCAAATTCTACTTTCAGACTTTGACCCAGAATCAGACAACGACAAAGAGATTCTCCAAGATCCAAGATTCACAGTCGGATGTCTATTATTCCCAGTAGCAGACGCACACAGCAGACCACAACCACCAATCCTAGAACCCGAAGAAAACGACCGAGAAAGAGATGGTGTTGCACGCGCTGACGACGATTTCTCCACACCATTATTGTCCGGAAAAGCATTCATGTCACCATTCTACGTGGACGCAGATCCCGATCCAAATTCCGCACCAACACATCCCTCCTCAGCAGATGCCCACCAAAATAACCCATTTAATCCATTCACAATCCAACCACCCCCGAATCCAAATTTACGAAATGCGTCAAAATTACACCAACCAGCCACATTCTTCATCTTCGCAGATCTCTCAATTCGCACGGCGGGGTTATATCGATTACAATTCCGACTTATGAATTGGGGTTCCGTCGAAGATACTGGTCAAGCTATGCCTATACTAGCAGAAGCTTGGTCTGATCCGTTTCGGGTTTATCCAGCGAAGGATTTTCCTGGGATGAGGGATTCGTCGATTTTGGCGGAGGGGTTGAAAGAGTTAGGGTTTGTGGAGTTGAAGACAAGAGGCAAAGGGAAAGGGAAAGGGAGGAAGAGAGTTTAAATTTTATGAGTATGCGTTCTTTTTCAGTTGCATTTTTGATATCCTATTTGATTTTTTTTCCTGTTTTTTTCAAAAATTTCTTATATATTACATTTGATTGTTTGGCGCTTTTATCCAGTGATCTTGGTTTCTATGGCTTGGTGGGGATGTGAATGGCGTTTCTTTTCTACATTTATTTTTCATTTTATTTTCTTGGCTTTCCTTATGGCGCATTTCTTACATTCTGCATTGATATGAATTATGAGTGATGAGGTGAGACCGTGACGATTTTCTCTTCGTATGATCATGGTGGTGGTGTTGGTGAGATTTGATGTGTTTAATGTTTCAAGTTCATGATATGATCGAGTAGATGATAAACTGGATAGCAAAACGATATTGAATTGAGATAGATTTTATGAGCTACATACTAGTAGAATTTATTGGTTCTTATGTATCGTGGACAGGTAGGTAGTACTAAGTGGTGCCAGTTCAGTATACCAACTTGAAAGCACTTACGTAGTATGCTTGGGTGTTATACCTAAGTATCTCCGCCCCTCGATTGGCGGAATGTTAATCATAGACCTCGGGATAGATAGACCTCTTTTCCTACTTGGGTTGCAGTGGTTTTTCGAGTTTCCTCACCGTCTGGCAGGATACACAGATTTACCAATAGACTAGATTTTTCTTTTCTATATTCTATCTAAACGTAGGTATATCCCTCTTAATTCAGCTATCTCTCACTTTAGTAGTCTCTTACTTCAGGATATGTCTCACTTTAGCTATATCTTCCCCTCCAGGTAATCATGTAGGTAACCCAGTAGGTAACCATGTAGATAACCCCGTAGGTGCTTACATACAAAGAGGTGTAGCTCATCACTCACTTGTAGTAGATGCTACTGACTCGGACATATGGACTGAGCCCTGTACTTAAGTATGCAAACATCTCTGTCTGAGAGGATGTAGACCATCTGCCAGTGGCCAACCACTTGTGTGCTGAGGACATACCTCTCCTAATTTCAAATGCTCGCTACTCTACTGGCAGTGCCACGCGAAGCGTGGCGTGAGGACTTGTGACTATCTACCACAACCACCACTACTATATCAAAAATAAAAATTCAAGATAGCGAAAGAATATTGAATGAACATGGATTGCGTTAGCTACCAGTAACTAGCAGAACTTTCCTCAATCCCGGGTCCAAATAAAAGAAATTCAGCCTCAAATGCTAGAGGACCCTCAGACGGTCAACCTGAACTGGCTGACAAAAAAACTGCCGCATCTTAAAAATAAAACGTCATAAAGTTCGACGAAGTTGCCGAGATCTTCCTGGCTGGATCACGCTCGGCTCAAATTAGCTACCAGAAGATCCCTCATGTATGAAGGGTTTTTCTCAATGTAAAAGTCCGAAAGAATAATTCTGTTGGTAGCCTTCAATTCATGTAGGTTGTCATTAATAAACTTCACCATGATCTCACGCATGTTTTCATCAGCAGGTCGATGAGTGGTGTAGAATAGTGGTACTAGTAGCTGTATATTGCGGAAGTTGATGGCACCTGGCGGTTCTTTGCAATCGCTCCCACATGTGCAAGATCTATACCGATCAACGGAAACAGGAAAAACTCTCCACCTAGGCATGGAGATCGCGTGTCAACTAGTACCAGACAGAACTTTATTATTTGGAATGCATAGAGCTATAGGCTGTTGGTAGCCCCTACTTTGTACAATTTTATGGATGACTACTAGTACTAGCCCTGATTGGCACAAGGTTGAGAAAGCATTGAACACACATATACATAAAACTGCTACCAATCTGAGAAAGACTATATACGTGTGTCATTGTATCAAAAAGTAGAACTCAAGCTGAAATTCTTCCACGGTTTTTCAAGTGCCCAGATGCTAGTAGCCTAATTCCGAAACAACGCACGCAAATCTTTCCGGAGACTGGCCCGGTGATATCGAGTCCGGTATGAATTCTGAGACATAATATGCGTCAGATGGTTTCGGCCACGAAAGCCACCTCTTCGACTAGGATAAATTGGAGTAGGATGCGGAGGAAAAGGTCTTGGAGAAGCACGAGGAGGAATATGACTCGGAGGAGCACTCGGAGGGAGATAATTCAGATGAACAAATGGAGGAAGATGATCATTATTAACCTCGACTGGAACTGCCGGCAGTTTATTCATCACCATTACCAGTAAGTCTCTGGCAAATTGAGGGACCTCGTCAAAAAACTCCGGCTGAAGAATAGGGTGTCTTACACTCCTCAGTCTATCCATCCAGTCGCTCACTGTGCCAATTATAATCTCGCGCATTCCACGATCCGACGGCGGTGTCAACGTGTAAACTGAGCGAACCATATCAATCAGGTATGGAGAAAAGGTGTCGCCAGGTTTGTTCAGACTTTTCAATTTCCAGATGGCCAGCTCCTTGAGAGCGGGAATCAATAAGCGGTCTGCAAGGGCGTACATATAAACATGGAAAAGAGGTTGAGCAAAGGTGGCTGATGTTTTCATGACCTTGCGATATAGTAGCACATCCTTAGCGATGGCTTCATCTCCATCATCACAGTCCACATTAATGCAATCCTCGCGATTGGCAGGTAAATTGTAATCGGAGGTGTAGAAGAAGTTGACCATTTCTTCAACAAATCGAGAGTCCTCGTCATCAAACTTGATGGTATCGGTCATCGCCTCCTAATTCATATATAAACCATTAACAAGATGAGTTGACACAATATATGGATATGGATTCTTTGAGTTCTCTTGCCTCAAAATTACCATTGCAGGCTCGGTCAAAGAAGTCAGATTGCGGACATATCACGCATTTATGTATATGAAAGGTCTCCTCTTGGCATACGATCTTTAAATCTGCGAATCTTGTATCACATCGGGCTCTAAGAGATGATGGACGGACTGTTAGCTTCAGCCGTGCTCGGGTGACGTAAGATATTTATTTGAATAATGCCTCTCTTACCGATGCATTTGGTTCGCTACTCTTTTCCATGCCCAGACCTCTAAGCCCTCATCCAAGCCAGGTTCCGCTCGCACTGGAGGAGTCATCGTGAATCCTGATATCTTGGAAATCTCAGAGCTCAGAATAAAAAAAACGTGATGGCCAGGGAGACAGAAGAGATGGGCAGAAGATGATATGAGTTGAAGAAGGGTGGAAGAGAAAAGAACTGTAAATCAAATATCCAAGGTTTGCTATACGCCTAGTCGCTTGCCCGGATGCTTGAGCTCTAGCTTGATCTTTCTTTGTCATAATAGTAGATTTCAGGGCATACCACTATATAATGTTACTAGTAGTGCCATCAATAGTACTACTTAGGCACAATAAATAGTATAGCCAAGGTCGGGAAATGGTGAAATGCATACTACTAGTAATTCTAATCATAGGTATGATATACAATTCATCATTGAATGAAGGACTTCAGTTCAGCTAGCCTTGTTGAATATACACCGTGTACCCTCATCAAGCCTGTAAGCTATAATAATTGTTCTCTGGCGCCTTCAAATCTTGGAATGTGGTTTTGTATACTATGATATTTATGATGAGAACCTTGGAACGTTTGGCTTTGCCAGCACTTGAGTCAGGCTAACCAGTAGTATGAATATTAGGAATATCCCTGCCCAGGTGGGTGTCGCCTGGAAATTTAAGCGCCTTCTAATTCAGTAAAGCGCCAATATGGATCACCTGATTATGTGGCTTCTACCCAAGCATATTTCCCCTCCTTCACCTGGGCAGTTGAACTTGAAAATTTGAACCTACCAGTTGACGCTGACAACACTCCATGTCAACCTGAACATCTCACTCCACATATATCTTTCATAGCCATGAGACAACTTGAACAAATACAAAATGGCATCTATGTCATTTGGAAACAACTACGGCTTCCAGGTCGGGATAAGTAACGGCCCCATATCAGCGACATTCTTGGCACCAGGTAAGTTAAGCAACCTTGGAAGCGGATCTACTGCACAGCGTTAAGAGACTAATGCCACATGTGTGTGTAGTAGAGAGACCAGAAACTCCACCTAGCCCTCTATCCACTGTACCATTTCCTCAAGATCCAGATTTTGTTGGTCGGGACGCACTACTTCAGCGCATTCGTGAGAAAGCCGCAGCTCCAGGATCGGCAGTTGCACTTATAGGACTGGGTGGAGTGGGGTCAGTATACCCATCGGAAAATCCAGCAAGCATGACTAAATTCCCGCAGGAAGACGCAACTTGCCATCGAATACCCCTATCAAATCAGGCGAGAACAACCAGATACCTGGGTCTTCTGGGTTCATGCAAGCAACCCGGATCGCTTTAAAGAAAGCTTCTGCGATATTGCAGACCAGGCTAAAATTCCGGGTCGCAAGGGCCGTCAAGTTTATATTTGTTCACTGGTCCGAAACTGGCTCCGAAACGGCGTGAAAGAGAAATGGGTTCTCATTCTTGACAACATTGATGATGATGTGCTTCTTCGTGGGCGACAATCAGCAAGAAGTATGAAAACACAGGCGACTAGTCAAGGTAATACAAGCTCAACACATCCACTGTTGGGGTTCATCCCTCGGACCTCAAATGGAACACTCATTGCTACCAGTCGCAATAGGAAGATTGCACTGGAGCTAGTCGCCCATGATGATATCATCATGGTTGAGCCCATGACAAGATCAGAGGCATCCCAGCTTCTACAAAAGAAGCTAAGTCGCAAAGAGAGACCTCAGAGGTACAGGACCTCGCCAAGGAACTCGATTTCATGCCGCTGGCAATCTCGCAGGCAGCGGGGTATATCAAGCATCGAGCACCCCGCTTCACAATATCGCGATACCTAGAAAAGCTGAAGAAAAGTGATCGAGATGCCATTCGGCTCCTTGATACAGGAAAAAGTAGCTCTTCTAAGGAGTCAGAAGAAGAGCGCTTGATTCTTGCTACGTGGACTATATCATTTCAGCATATTCGAAAATCAATCCTGCCGCGGTCAGCCTGCTATCTTTGATGAGTTTCTTCGATCTACAAGGAGTTTCTGAAAGCCTTCTTCGGGGAAGCTCGAAAAAGACCGCTATAAATTCGAATGAAGATGAAGACAGCATGTCCGAAACCGACGCTGACCAAGATTTCGAGGATGACATCACGGTTCTCAGGGACTATTCACTTATTTTCGTCACAGAGAACGGTATGCTCTTTGCGCTACATCGACTCGTGCAACATTCTGTGCAAAGATGGCTGAAGGTGCATGCTTAGTTTGAGGAATTAAAAGAAAAGTTCATCGAGAACTTATACCAAGAATTCCCTAAGAGCCCCATCATGAATTTGGGGTGTATGCCAACCACTTTATCTTCATGTGAAACTCGCAATGTTCCAACTACCCGAATCGCCTGATCTCAAGAAAAAATGGGCCATCTTGCTCTACAGTGCAGCAGAATACGCGCATGATTCTTATCAGGACAGTACAGCAAACGCAAGAATAATGGCATCGAAGTCAAGGAAAGTGCTGCTGGGACTTAACAGCTCAATGCGAAGCTCTACAGACATTCAAGATAAATTATTCAGAAAGACTAAGCTGCTGTCAAGTATATATATTACCAACTACCAATTTGATGAGAGCGAAGAACTCCACACATATCTTATTGACACTCTGGAGAGAGTTCTTGGCAAGAACCATCCTGATACCCTGGATAATATGAGTTCATTGGCAACCGTTCTGAGGGGCCAGGGTCGAATAGATGAGGTCGAGAGGGTTGAGACACGACTTGTGAGAAGGAGAGAAAGAATCGGGGGTAAAAGTCATCCTGAGACGTTGCTCAATTCAGTCCGCCTAGCGATGATCTTAGACGCTCAGAAACGATTCAAGGGGGCCGAGAAGCGCGGGATGAAACTTTTGAGGACCATGAGGAGCATTTCAAGCGATCGCGATGTAAATATCATACATCCCATGCACCTCCTCGCAGAAATGTTGAGAAGTAATGATCGATTAGATGAGACTGAGGAGCTTTATATGCGAGTTCTGAAGGCCTGTAAGAGGCTTCAATTCGAAAATCATCCCCATACCCTATTCATCATGCAACGACTGGCAGGCATTTTCGTGCAGCAGGGCCGATTAGATGAGGCCGAGGAGCTCCAGACCCGAGTTGTGGAGACCAGCAAGAGAGTTCTATGTGAGGGTCATCTAGAGATCATAGAGGCTATGCAAATCCTGGCAAGGGTCTTCAGGAAACAGGGCAGGTCAGATGAGGCCAGGGCACTTAAGAAGGAGGCTAGGGACTTTAAGGTGCGCAAGTTGCAGACCTGAATGAAAATACCAAGTTCCATGAGTTTCGAAGAAGAAGAATACATGTACCTGCCTACCTAGTAGGCAGATACTAGCCCTATAGATACTATCTAAAGTGAGTGATAGCTAAAGTAAGAGATAGGCAAAGTGAGAGATGACCAAAGTAAGAGATAGCTAAATTTACATTTATAAATAATAGAACAAATAAAAGAAGAATATAGTCTCCTAGTAAATATATGGTATTAGATATAGCCTGAGGCTGGTTCTGCCTCCTTGGGTATTCAGCTAGAGGTGAGGAAACTTGAAAAACTACTATAATCCAAGTAGAAAAAGAGGTCTACCTACCTCAGTAGGTACTAGTAGGTATACTGCACCACTCACGACTCATCCACTAGTATATACACGAACTTGAATATTGAAAGTCTCCATTACCGCCTGGGCTACGATAGTATGCACATACAAAGTCCAGCCCAGTTCATTACTGTACAGGCAACATCTTCAACATAACGGCAGGCTCAAAATCCTTATCAAACCAACGATTCTTCAGTTCCTCCAACTTCTCCCGATAAAGTGGATCATGCTGCATCTGCGCCTGTTCCAGAAACATTCTCCCATTATGCATAAGTCCCAACTCACGATCAATAAGCGCCGCCATGAAAGCCGCTCTGTGTTCACCATGATGATACGCGAGCTGGTACCAATCTCGTGAAAGAGTATAATACTCCGAACGAGACATGGAAGCTCTGAAGAGGTTCTTGAAATAACTCAAATAGTACTTCAGTCCCCATGTTGTCAGTTCTGTCGGCTTGTTGGATTCCTCAGAAGGGGAAATAGGTTCCCAATTAGCGACGGGGTGGGGATTATCTCTTGTTGGTCTTTGTTCAGCTTGCGTAGGGTAGCGACCCATATAAGTGAGGTAATAGTAGTTGGCAAGGTAAAGACAAGCCTTTGGGTTACCAGCAGTAGCAGCTTTGGACATACATTCTTCATAGACGTCCAATTTATCCTGTGACATCATGAGACAAGCATAATCCAGTAATGCCTGAACGTCGTTGTACTGCGTAGCCGCAATCGCAAGTGCTTTATCCGCTGCATCACGATGAGCCTGCGAGTCTAGCTTTTGACCCATCGCTGCAAGGATAACAGCCTGTAATTGATAAGGCGATGGCAAAAGTCCGTTCAAAGTGATATCCTCAAATGCGATTGGCCGTCGTTGAGATGGAGTTAAAAACGGCATGATCTTCTTTTCAAGGATCTCAAGTGCTCCTTCAAGGTCTCCGCGGGCTCCGATAATCTTCGCTTGAAGCAACATGGCAGGCGGGTATCCCTCATTAGCCAGTTTCTCGGTTTCCACCAACCAGGAATTTTTCCCTGGGGCAGGAACCTCGGTATCGGTGACTTGACCACGCGCAATAGTGACAACAGCCATAGATGAGCGGGCGAGTGCACAAGACGAGACGATCCAACCACGAAGCAATTTATGTTCGATACTAGCCATGAAACCAAGACGAAAGACGGCATCGACATCTAGAGCACGTTAGCAAGAATATCCAAATCATATCTCAAGCTCATTGAATTCATCCCTGTAACCTACCAGTAGAAATCGCCCGAATAGCCTGCCCATTAGGCGGGCTCTCAAAAGCAGCTTGGATCAACTCCTTTCCCACATCATAAAACTTCTTCTCCGAGATACCCTTGGGGATGAACCCATCTCTAACACCAGCGGCATACTGCCACTTCGCGACCTTGTCATGTTGGAGCATTAAACTCTGTTCCGTGCCTACGTAGTCGACTTTGTAATGCTCGAGGCTACCCAAGAAGAGACCTCTATCATCGACGAGGAAATCCTGCTGGCCTGATTTTATGAAGGCACCTTCTCGTCTCAGTCTTCGCAGTTTTTGCCTACGCGCGAGTTCGGCTGCGGGTGCGGGTGTTCCGTTTGGTTTTGGGGTGCTGGAGAAGGGTCTGCTTTGGATTGATGTGCGCGTGAGGGTAGGAGCTCTGGAGTTCGATGTGGTTTGGAGGACATTAAGGGGCGAGGAGGTTGAGAGGTTTTTTCTGAGTTGAACCCATTGTCGGAGGGCGGTTGGGGGTTTTGCCATTGTGACTCGTGGTTGGTGAGTGTAGCTAGATTGTATGATGTTCAATGTTGAGGTGGATCGCGCCGGTAAGGACTCCGAGTCCGCTTTTCCACAGGATTGAACGACTTCCGCAATACACATGATGTTCAAGTGTGCATGGTCAAGAATTCAATTTACAAACATGTTTACAATAATATTGTTTCGTCTAGTTCAAAAATATACCAATGCTCAATGCAATCAATTAAAAAAACAAACCCTGTACCAGGGGTCTAAACAATGCGTATAATGTACATTTGTCCCAACCAGGCAACGCTCAGGAAAATCCTCGTACACGCCCCAATCTGTAACAAAACAGTCAAAGCCCAGAAGCAAGTGAATACAGCTCCAAAGCAGAACCAATCGAGTCCAATTCAACCAGAGAAACCTGGGTTCAGATCCGTCCTTCAAGTTCCTTTTTTCTCCCCATGAAGTATGCAATCATCACCCCATTTACTCCATAACAACCTTAGCACCAAGACCCTTGAGAGTCTCAATGATCTTCTCAGCCTCCTCCTTAGGCACAGACTCCTTCATAACCTTCGGCACGGACTCAACGAACTTCTTGCTGTCCACCAAAGACAGTCCAAGCATGTTCTTGATCTCCTTAATAACCTTAGGCTTGGAGGTAGCCTCGAAGGACTCGAGCTTCAGGTTGAACAGTGTCTTCTCAGCGGCGGCGGGCGCGGCCTCTTCCTCCTCAACGGGAGCAGCTCCGGGGGCACCGGCGCCGGGGGCCATAGCGAAGCCACCGACAGGGAGGTCAGGGATGTTGAGGCGGGTCTAAAGAAGCAGATTAGATAAATGATTCATTGAGAAATGTGATATAGATTTGCGCTGCGACTCTGCAACTCTTTATCTATGTCTGGGGTCTGTGTTGATGATAACCAACCTTCAAGCTTGAAACAAGATCGGCAGTCTCCAACAGAGTCAATTGACTAATCTGGTCAACAATCTGACTGATCTTAGGGTTGACAGGCGCAGCAGTCTCAGTAGACTCCCATCGTCGGCTGGCCGGTGTGCGGGCTGTGTATGTAGACGCGATGCGCAGGGAGGATGGGCGGACGGAGCCGGACAGCTGTCGGCAGCAGCGGGCTGCGGCGGTAACGGGGAAAGACATGGCGGGGATGGGGTAAATTTGGGATGAAAAGGAAGAATCAAGTCGCAATTGAGGAACGCTCCGTGGAAGGGACTGTGGATAGCTTCGCCGAAAAGATGAGGACGGGGAAAATCTGAGTGTCACGTGGATATATTATTATGTCAGCGGCACCTGTCCTGATTGGGAGTACCTATACAACAACGTCCAGTATAGCTAGATCATTAGATGGATTATAGTTTGGATTAATGGTTTATATGTGTTTGTTGGGTTATTTCGCTTACTCAATGGGTGGAACACAAAGTGGCAGTTTGTAGTAGTTGGAGCCCCAATCACTCCCTCGTCACTCGGGGACAACAATGGTCAAGGATGCACATTACACGAATGAACTACATTAAACTGGACGTGGACCATAATAGATGGTTTATTATCATACTCAGCTATACACCAGATGACTTTTTCGTGATATCGTACTTAATCTATCACCGTCCCAACGGTCTTGAAGCCAAAAAATCCATCAATGCGCATCAGATTTAATCCTCATCCCAGTTGGGGTTCGGCCCCGGTGGCTTAGGTCCACCAGCCTGGCGAGCGACAATAATCTGGTCAACGCTCAGCACAGTGCGAGCGGCCTCACTAGCCAAACGGATAGCCCAGCTCTTCGAAGCCAGGAGATCGAGGATACCCTCGTCAACAGCATCGAGGGTACCGTCCGAGTTACCGAGTTCAAGATCAACACCGGTAGTCCAGAAAGGCTCCTCCTCATCAGATGAGCCTTCCTCTTGTTCCTCTGTGGCGGGGTTCACGCGGTGGTGTGCAGTGTACAGACGGGAGAGAACCTCAGTGGCGTCGAGACCAGCAGACTCGGCGAGTGTGCGGGGCACAACCTCGAAGGCCTCGGCGAACTTGCGGATAGCGTACTGGGGCAGACCGGGGGTCTTGTCAGCGAAGTTAGAGATACGCTCCACGAGCTGGATCTCGGTGGCTCCGGCTCCGGGGACGAGACGGGGGTCCTTGGTGATGGCCTTGACGACGTTGACACCGTCATCGATGGCGCGCTCAACATCATCCAGGTGGTTCTGGGTAGCACCACGGAGAACGATGGTCGATGTGCGGGTCACAGCGTTGGCGTCCTCTTGACGGAAGACAGTGACACGGTCACCACCAATCTCAGTGGTCTCGACAATGTCGACTTGACCCATCTCGTCGGGCATGGGAGCACCCAGACGGGCCAGAGGGGTAGCACCGACAACACGGCACAGACGGCGGAGCTCGAACTTGGAGAGAATCTTGATAACCAGAATGTTGAAGCGGTTCAGGTAGTGGAGGGCCAGGTCGCCGACAGTGGATCCAGCAACAACGACACGCAGACCGGAGTCGTACAGCTCCTTGATAGCAGTCTCCAGACGCTCCTCCTCGCCCTTGGTGTAGTCCATCATCTCCTGGGCGTTCTTCAGCAGAACAGTACCCTTGGTCTCGGTCTGAGAGATATCAATGGGGCAGCTGAACACGCCGACCTTGGCTCTGCGAGCGGACTTGACAATTCCATCGGGCTCACGTCCAAAAACCATACCCTTAACAACCTTGGACTGCTCCAAGCTACCACCCATAATCTTCACAACACGCACGTTATCGACGTTGAAGTTAACGGGGTTCTTAGGCAGAACGGTAAGGACAGCCTCGGCGACCAAGTTAGCCAGGATTTCCTCAACACCAGACTGCTTGCTAGCGACAACAGTGCGGAGAGCCTTGCTAAGTTCGGGGATGGAACGAATATCCTCAAGTCGGTCGACCTCGAGATCTATCGATCAGTCAGTTAGAGTAGTCCCAACACAGTACATCAAAACGTAGCAGGTAGATAGACAAACCCTCTAGAACCTTCAGGGCAAAGTTCTGTGCCTTTTCATAACCGGAAACAATATCACTAGTCTTCAATCCCATACGAATAAGCTCCTCGGCCTTCTTGAGGAGCTCACCGGCCAGAACAATAACCAGGTTAGTTCCATCACCCATCTCGGCATCCTGCTGCTGACTAGCCATGACAAGCAGCTTGGCAGCAGGGTGAACGACATCGAGTTCACGAAGGATCGTAGCGGCATCGGAGGTCAAGATCATTTTTTGCAAGTGGTTGATGACGATCTTGTTACGGCCGTAAGGGCCCAGGGAGGTCTGAACGGTCTGGGAGATAGCCTGGCAGGCCTCGATGTTACGGATAACGGCACCATCTTCGGCGTCGTGGCTAATTGATGAAAATGAGTTAGTGGATTGATTGACTTGGTTGAGTGTTGGTGTTGGCGGGACAGGGACAGATAAGGAGGTGCGGTGGGATGAGAGGGGATGACATGTGTGTTGAGGTAAGGGTTTCTTTTCTTACCTCTGGTATCCCTGCTTGAAAAGACCCGCTTGGGAGGGCCCAGGGATTGATAGCGACATTGTGAAAGGTCGCGTCCGAGAAAGATGCGACTGGTATGAGGGGAGTGTGATGTCGATTCTGGATGTTGTGCCGGGGAATTTTTGGAGCTCGGGGACGGTGGGTTTGCTCCGTTTGCACGAGGGGAACTGACCAGTTGGTGGATGAACTACGAAGAACTTTTATTTCAATTTTCATATTGGAGTATTTCATATTTATTAATTTACAGTACAAGAGAATGGTACATTATGATCTCTCCTCTCTTCAAAGTCCATATGTGGTGTGCGAACGGTACGCATTATGAAAGTTGGGTACTATGACAGTTAGGAACGATCAAGACCAGACTCAGAATAATTTGGGGAACTCACTATAGCTCTTCAAAGAACTGCAACCGCTGTCTGCGTATATCGTCTCAGCTCTCTCAAGCCTGTAGGAGTCAGCTAGTGCTTTTCAATTTTAAGTGGCCATCTTACCATCCACGGATTGCTTCTTCACGATTGTAGCTCTGTATGATATTAGCGGTGAGCTATGGCCTGGAGCCTCGTAGATAGACTATAGACTTACCGAGGGATGAGTCGACATGAATTGTGGCGGAGCTACCTTCTCCTGCTTCTGCATTCTTTGCCATCTAGAACCGTCAGCTCAACTTCCATGAAGTCGGAGTCAGGAGACATACAGCTTGACCGCAGCTTCAGGATTAAAGCAGGCCTTGGACATCATCACTAGATGCAGTCAGTAATCGTCATCAAATCGCTACCCGTATTCCATACTCAATCCAATATTATCTGCTTCAGCCTGCGAGCACATATCAGTACAAGTCCATAACGTTAAATGAGTATAGAAAATACCTCCTGAGTCCGCGAATTAGGCAAACTCCACATCAGATTCAACAAGAATGAAGAAAGCTGTCCAGACACATCAAACAAAAACGAAACAAGTAAAACCGTTCCCAGTGTAAGGACACTATTACTCATGCGCTCAGCAGGATGATGAGCGACGACATGTGCAATCTCATGTCCCAGAACAGCCGCAAGACCATCCTCATCTCCACAGATTGGAAGGATACCAGTATAAACGAAGACCTTGCCTCTACTCAAAATAAGCAACACATTCACCAACTAGAAAGATTATCACTTACCCAGGAAGTACAAATGCATTCGCCATCTGATCATCCTTAATAACATGAACCTTCCACTCCGCACCCTCAATATTGGCTTGTGGGATTAACCTCTGTAAAACCCGATCGACCATCATAGTCAGAGGATGATAATCTGGTAGAACCTTCCCACGCTCTGAGCCAAGGACCTCGCGATAGCTTTCTGCGCCCATTTGGAGTTCTCGTTGAGCGGAGACACAATTAAAGCGACGGCGACCGGTCATCTAGGAAGTATTAGACGGGTCTAAGTTAACTTGGAATTTCATGACGAACCTCCACTACATCTGTATTGTACAGGTATATTCCTGAGAGACCCAGACCAATCACGACAAAGTGTTGTGGTTTTGCGCGCATGATAAAATGGGAAAATAGTGGTTGTCTTCCTCCTCCTCCTCCTCCACCGAAGCGGTTATATCTGTTTTGCGCATGGAGGTTTGGAGAGGATGAAAAGGGCCTGTTTGTAGTGGTACAACATTGAGAGGATGTTTGTGATTGGAGTCGTCTAGACGAATGTATTAATGGATTCTTTGAGATCCATTGTGTGTATGTTCGCGGGGAGCTCGTTTGGACCGTACGCGGTAGCTGAGAGGAGGTGCGGATCTGGGATAGCGGACGTGGTTGTGCCCGCGGGCATAACCACTGTAAAACTCGAAAAGATCTGTTCAGCATTAGGAAGACTAGGGAAGATTCTTCTCTAGGATGTCAGCTGAGGTGTTCTGGGGGTAAGTTGGGAGTCAGATGTACTTGAAGTTGCGGAAGCGGGACGGCGATAAGCACCAATTCCGGCGTTAAGGTGAAGATGGAAACATATATATCAAGGGTACTATGCAAACATGATATATGTAACAAGTAGCAATATTGATTGGTTACTATATAGAAGCCTGGATTACATTTAAAAGAGCAACCCAATTACTATTCCATGGAGGTGTCAGAAATATAATTAAGCCTTAAATTTCAATAGAATCCCGAATTCACGTCAACTGGTTGCAGGACAGACGATATTTACATCTATGTAATGCTTTTTTCTCTTATTTCAAGTTTATAAGGGGAATAGACGTGTGATCTAGGGATTGGGCTGGTAAAAAAAATCTAGTTGCAAAAAAAGATCAAATTCGACGCCTGAGAGATTCGAACTCTCGCTCCCGAAGGAATACAGTTAGCAGCCATACGCGTTAGACCACTCCGCCAAAGCGCCTTTGATATGATAATCGACCGAGAACACCACACTTCAATACCACAAACAACTCTTCCAACATTTGATCCAAAGATTCAAATTCAACTTGAATCCAAACATTCAAATGTTACTTGATACTAATTGCTGGTAACTTGAAACCATTTCGAACTCAATAGACAACATTTATTAGATAAATAATCATTACAAGAATCAAATATGCAGGCTATGTCCGTAGATCATCACGGTAATGAAAACAGAAACCCATCCCAACCACCAAAAGACATCACAATGGCAAATACTATCCTATTTCCGACAACGGAAATATCAAAAACTTGAAACGAAGGCCCCTGGAATCATGCTGCACAGTCATGGTGGGAACAAAAGTGGTATCATAGGGCAAAAGGAAGAATCATGAGCCGACTCCACAAGAATCAAGAAATCAAGGAACAAACATGGAATGAAACAAAACATTTATGACCGGTCGCAGATGGAATGAGATATGCAAACAGAGGTAGGAGGAAAGTGGGAATATGAGGGGAAAATGGGAAGTAAAAAGAAAAGGGGGAATTAAAACAGTCACTCCTCGGTCAAGGCATCATCACCCATTTCACGCCAATCTTTGGATCGATCGGTTAAGCGACGAACACCCGCAATTCGTTGAGCCCAGTGAGCTTCAGATGGAGTACGGTATGTATAAGCGCGCTGTGATGAGATAACACCAATACTCTGCAAAACAGCTTTGCGGGAATCACGACCAAAGACAGCTGGGTGGTTGATCCACTCCAGTGCAGAGTCCAAGTCTGCATTGAGAGCATTCATGGTATGCGTATCAACAGAAGATGAGGGAGTGATGGTGGCAGAATCTGAGGCGCCGCCTTGACTTTCTGCAAAGGTAGAGGACTTTGGTGAGCCGGAACATGGGGTATCGCCTCGGCTACCAGAGTCACTGGAGCCTGAAGGTCTTGAAGCTCCAGGAGGAAGAGGGGGTAGACCACCCTTGCCAAGGCCCTTAAGGATACTTCGGGTCTCATTCAGCAGATGCTGACCACGGTCATGTTGACCTCGTGATACGAGGGTGAGTGCTCGGGTCAACATATCAGAAGTGAGTAGCTCCATACGTCGTTGCACGATCGAAGGATGAGGAGGAATTGGTGGAGTCATAGGTCGCTGGTTCCTAGCCTTGGGATTTGGTGGCAGCATAGTAATGGCGAGAAGGGACGGACGAGGAGAGTGGGTAAGATGGCCATCACGCAGAATATCACCGTAATTGAGATCAGCTTGGATCAACGGAACCTCCTCCACACTGGCTACCCGTTGCTCCTCTCCATCAGGTCCACCACCCAGCGCCTCCAATCCTGAAACCAAGCTCTCCCAGGGATCCTGGGGCATGTTATCTTGTGTGGCGTTGTCAGGGGAGATAACAAGCTGGACCAGAACATCACGCTTGTCACCGAATCGAAGATCACCAAGGGCAGCTTCCGCATCTCTGCCAGTAGCCCGCTTAGTAGTGTGCAGAGCACCGCTGATCTTCACAAACTTGGCTGGGGAACCTTCAGGCAGACGGAGCTTCAGCTTGACATTTTGATGAGATGTGGTCTGAATAGCACCCAAGCATCCAGCAACACACTCGCGCAGCATCATCCAGTCCTTCACATAGAGGTAAGAACCCTTGGTCCGAGTCGAAAGCTCGATCATAGTGTCCGGTTTGTGGGTCAAGCCAAGTCCAAACGAGTGGATACTGACCTTGGCAGCCTCCGCGCGAGATACAACGAAATCAACACTCTCAGGGTCCGACGTAGAGGAGTCACTTATCAAAAGGATAGTCGCAACTGGGTTGGTGAACTTGCGCTGCATCAGAAGGTCCATCGCCACGTTAGCACCCTCCACGACATCAGCACGGAGACTCTTCTGGCCAACAGGGCGGATCGAATCGAGAATCTTGTTCCATCCAGTCCAGTTCTTGGTGGTCATTCCCACTAGAGGCACACCGCCACCACTTGAGCCAAACGTAACTAATCCCATACGGTCCCGAGGGCCCAGATTCATGACAAGGAACTTCAAAGCATCGCGTAACAAGGTGATCTTGAGACCCTGCATAGAGGATGAAACTGGGATGACCAGGACGATATCAATGGGAACGTGGAAGGAGTCGATTGAAGGGGATTCCCCGTCGGGGTTAGTGTAGTCAGTCATGGCAGTGTTGCTGGACTTGCCTCCTCCATAGGATGAGTTGATGGAGGCCTGGCGTTGGACGCGGCTGTTGCGGTATTCGTCCTCCTCGGCACCAGAGTGGTCCTGGTCGTATTCGTGGTTACGGGAAAGATTCTCCACAGGGTGGAGGTCCATCAAAGCCCGGCGCCACATCTCCAGCTGTTGGCGAGACTGGAAGCGCAAGTAAAAGTAGGGTAGCTCGCTGACGGAGAGGTTCAAAGAAAGGATGGGGTCGTCAGCACCTGCTTCAAGGGACTTCAGGTGCTTCTTGATCAGAATTGAACCCTTGAGGGTGCAGCGACTGCGCTTCCGTCGTTCTGATTCGTCGTATTGCTGATTGGCATGCGCGCCCTTCTTTTCCTTGACACAGATGAGCATCTCAGCAAATAGATAACATTCCAGCTCCTGCCATGACTCTCGGTCCTTGCCCACACGCATTTGTCCATGCAGGCGCAGTTTACCGAATCTATAATCATATTAGCGATTTATGAAAAAGAAGAATGGGTGTCCTGGGTTACTCACCGGTTGAACTCCAAACCATGCCAGTTATCTACTCGGTTCTTCAGCTCTTCAGCGATCTCCTCCAGATTCTCTGCTGGCTCTTGCGGCTCCTGTGGCTCCTGTTGAATAGAACGGGCATCCTGAGAGCCGCCAAACCGGGCAGAGAAAGGCTCATCAAGTTGTTGACCTGACTGGCCAGTACGCAAGTCATCGGCATTAGGGCGCCAGTTGCCCTCTGGCACTTCCACAGTGATCAAGCAGGTAAGCGACTGCTGCTGGCGAGATCGGTTCATAGTCGGAAATTCACTGCGCACAGTGACAATGGGAGCGGGGATGGGATTCTTGGCGACACCAGGACGAGGGCTCAGGTCAGTCTCCATTGCTTGCACGTCATAGTCGTGGCGACGGCCGCTACTTGGATGTTGACCCTCATGATAATCGCCTGAGGAGCCAGCGGCACTACCGTTTCGCGAATGTGGGTTTGTTTGCGAATTTGTTTGCGATGTCGATGTGAGACGTTCCACGCGTTCCCGTTGACCAGTGGTATCGCGACTATCACGGCGCGAGGTGAATGAAGGATCGCGATTATTGAAGCGACTTCCAGTATCGCTAGGTGGGCGACGAGTAGATTGTGCTTCCCAAGCAGCTGGGGTAGTCAAACCACTTCTTGTAGTAGCAGTATCACTCATAGTGACAGAACGAACAATATTACTAATTTTCTCTGTTATAAAATGTTAGCCTGCATCTCCACCGCATAGTGTATAGAGAGTGTTCTTTGAACCCACCAATATCCAAAACATTTCCACCACGACTTGTATCCAAACCCAATGGGGCATTGCATGTTGGGCAATATTGAGATTCAAATTCTCGAATGTATTCATAGAAACATGCTTCGTGAGACACGTGGCTACAGGAAAACTGGAGCACCCGTTCTCCCCGCAGGGTATGTTCGAGCGGCTCCTCACATACAGCACATTCACTCCCGATAAAGGTTCGTTCCCTCCGGGTTCGCGTCCGGTCAACCTCCATCGGACCGGTAGGATGTCTCCCAGATCTGGAGTTGAAATTGACGCGAGATTTATCGGAGTGCGACAGCACGTCTGGGTGGCCGGAATGAACAGAACTGGCTACGGTAGACGGGGCGCGTTGTCGGGCACTGTGAGTACCGTCGGTGTAGTTTGACAAGGTACTTCCCGGGCGATCTGAATCAGACTTGCCTCGACCGAACGAACGTAAAGAGCGGAAGGTCAAGCGGGACGGTGAATCTAGTCGCGATTGAAATTCTGTACGTCGCGCAGGGGTTAGCAATGGTGGATGCGGGGCGGGAGAAGAGTAATGAGCTGACAGGGTGAGAAATGCGGGAACCACAAGAGATGAAAGAAGATGAATGAGAATGAAATTTAAAATCACAACAGAATCTCAAAAAAAGAACACTAGGTAAGGGAGAAGAGGGAAAAAGACCCGATATTGTTGGGGAAATATGTTGTTCTAGAGATGTTCGGGGGGGAGGTTTCAGATGATTCGGACCTAGACTTACCAGGCAACTGGGATTTCCTTTTTGAACGAGCGAGAAAGGGGAAATCAGGTAAATGAAGATGATTTGAATCACTCCCAGACTTAGAATCCGATCTGGGAGAAAGTCGAGGTTTCCACATGAGGGTACTCTAGAGGAGAACAGTCAGAGGTGGGGAAGAGGAAGGGGAAAAGTTCCCTATCCACAAGTTCAAAATTGAGGAAAGGGAAAAAAAAAATAATCAAAAATAATAAAAAATTCAAGAAAATAAAATAATAAATTAAAAAAACCAGGCGCCTCCGAAACCTAAAAAGACGAGGTAAAAAGTGGGCAAAAATTGAGGTAAAAAAAAAGAAAATAATAAGCGTAAAGGAAAGAGGAAAAAAAGGGTTAAAGGGAGAGAATAATGATAATAGGGAAAGGTTAAAGGTCATGGGACTAGACCCTATCAATGGTACCTATGGTCTCTATGGTATAATGTTCACTCTATGGTCCCTATGTGGTTCTATGTGGTCCTATGGACTAACAATACACTGGTTCTTCGTAGAATACAGTTCAATAGGGGGCAAAATTGGGTCCTTCGATCCCTTCCACTTCATTTCCTCTTCAAAAATTCATTCATAATAAATACTAAAAAAGAAAAAGAAAAAAAAAGGAGAGAAATGGAGTTAGTGGAGAACACGATCGGGTCCACTTTGTTGCCGAGTAGGAACAGTGGGAAGACTGAGCCATGGATTTATTCGTGGATATTCGGATATTTTCTTTTAATTTTGAATTTTTTTGCTTTAATCTTTTTATTTTAATTTTGGGTTTAACCTAGTTTAGTTTGGTTCAGTCTGGTTTTAAGCCCTTTGTTCTGGTTCGCACATGGCGCAACGTGGTGCCCCTTACTCCTAATCCTGCAGATATAGACATCATACTACACATGCACTTTACTCTATATACTAGAATCATCGTGTTCAAGTTTCAGGAGGCTACACTACTTAATACCTCATGCTATAGATAACCCTATACGAAGATCAACCTGATAAATCGTACATTTAAGTTTAACAGTTGAGAGTGACGCGTACCTAGTATGTATAATCTGATCCTCGAATTGGCCACACATTGGGGCCATACACTAGTGTAGTTCCCGAAATCCTGATCAAAATAATGCAACCCAACATTTGAAGCAGATTACAAGTAAATCCTACTTGCATTCTACTAGTATGGTTATGACTTAGACGATGCGGAGTGGGTCGGAGTCCCTCCGTATTTCGTTTTATCAATGCACCTAGTGATTAGATCTTATACTATACCACCTCTTTATCGCAATATTATATCTACAACGATGCCACTGCCAGTTTCAAGCCACTTCAAAATCCTACTCTTGAAAATGTTACTACTGCAGGTCATCCTTCCCGAGAGGAAAATTGAGACATCACTGCCCGGTGTCAGTGCTGTTGCCTCCAATCCTGGTCTGCTCCTGGTCTGCTCCTGCTCCTGCGCTAACATCCAACGCCTCCATGTTGACCTCGGTACCTGTTCTTCAATTGACACATCAATGGATCATCAACTTAAAAATTCAGCTCGGCAGACATTAAGATCCGATCGGATATATCACCATGGAACAGAGGTGGGAGGCGAAGAGGTACCATGTTATTTTTGTGATGACATAATCCGGATTATCCGGATTCGGATGCAACCTTGCAGTACGGAAAACCAGAAATACCAAAATGGCAAATCCCCCTCTTCCACTTCCACCTCTCATTGGCTTCCAGCTTTCATTGTCGATCATCCCAAACGTTTTCTGTCAATGGATACAAAATCACCTCTCCCAAGGTTCATTTTCAGGTCACCCATTAAGCTTTCGCCTCATTTTTTGTATTCAAACGTCACTCTCCTCATCACTTGACATCCCCAGGACTCAGAGCTCGGCAGATCAACCTGTCAAGTTCCGAGATGTCATCAAGATCCAACATGAACTTGACGCCCAGAGACTCGAGGGTGGCGACAGTTGTACCTTTCCTGATTATCTCATTTCTCTCCACGAATGAAATCAAACATACGGAGTACGGAGTACACTAGCATTGTATCCACGGAGATTCAAAATGTTAATCCAGCCTCCAGGCTCAGCTCACGAGGTGCTACGTGCAGAGTGGACACATCCACTCCTCCAGGCCGGAATTAATACCCCCTATCGTCTGCCGCGCTAGGGAGTACGGAATACACAACCTTGGAATCCAGGTTGGCCCTAACAGCGCTATGGCATGTCAATCATCTCCACATAGAACCTGTCCCGCACTAGTGACAAGAACGGAGAAAACCACAAAATAGGAGAAAGCGGCACAAACTTCCAACTATTTGCACATCCCCATTTGTCCACCCGTTCTGATACCGCCACGGTGGAGTGGACTAATATCGCATGGATAAGATCGTCACTGCTTTTTGAGCCTTCTGACTCGTAGTCAAGTCCAGCTCAGTGCGAAGTTTGGTGATCGTCATGAATTAACACAGTAAATTGACCAGTCACTTTTATGTCGAATGGACTCATCATTATTGACTCGTGCAAAGTCGGCAGACCATCCGAGCACGAGATGTATCAACGGCATGATCCGGATTGCATAAGTACGACATATAGTTACGCCCAGACTCGGAAGATTTGCCCGGCTAGACTCATCAGAGTGTACGGGGTACCCTTGTGTGATCTATCCAGTGCTTGAGTGCTTGAGTGCTTGAAATGTCAGTGCCATCTCATTGTACTCCGTAGTGGAGAGTGCTCCATCCCCTGAGCTGTCATGGCCCTACAGAAATTAATGCCCCAGTGTACAGCCTCTGATCTGCACGACTATTGCCGAACTAATATGACAGTACCAGATTTTCAACCGAAGTTCCCCTTTACTCCGAAAAGTGTATGCTCCTGTTAGCATATTGTCATCTCTCATAGAACCTTCTTCCGAAATTTCTATCGAATCAATAGAAGGAAGAAAATTTGAGAATATGCATAGACTAGCATTCAGGTAGTCATAGACTCATAGTGTCTGTGGCAGAAAGGAGCCCCACCGTAGACTTCAAGTTCAAGGTAAACTGATCTTCAAAGCGCCTAGCGCAAACCTTCAAGTTGGAAAATTTATCCTGAAATTTGAGTCCCAGTTTTTAATTCAATTACACTACGGAGTCCACATCCAAAGCAGATTTTCCATTACGATCATCGCCGTTGTCCAAGTTGGCGTCTCATAAAGCGGGGTGAATCCACCTTCAGGATACATGTAAATCCCCACTGGATAAGAGGTCATAAGCGTTTTTTTTTCTTATGTCAATTGCATTCTGTTTTTATGCTGTGATTTTCATCTGATTATTCCGAGTCTATACTTCCTACAAAATGTCTTTAGATCGGATGAAATGAGTATAGAGGATACTTTTTATAGTAGCACAGGTACATGCTAGTATATACATAATCGTCTCCATATGTCTTCATAGCATACAATCACTGAATACTCATACTCAATGTAGTAACTTGAATGTAATAATTTCATGCTGGGTAGTAAGTACGGAGTATAGAATACCCATATCCCTGCCCAGGTGCCAATGGTGATATTCATACCTGGTATTCAGTCCGTGCTCAGGGGAGATCAACCCACACGTTTCAAATCCACCCACATGAAAACCTTGAAGGTGAAATTAAAAAGGAAGAATGACAGGTAACGGTTGTTGGACATGTACGTTTCCAAGGTTCAGAATATCAGTTGAGACATGCAGTCGAGGTTTACTCCTTTACTCACAAGTGACAGATCAAACCAACATCAAGTCCTAGCTAAAAAAAAATCCGATTGGTCGTAGATCCTGATGCATGAACATGGATGGGCGGATAAGCTTTAACTGAAACGGGCTATACTTATGTACTTACTGGGATAATGCAGTTAGTTAAGTATGCAGATGCAGGTGCTCTTAGTGGGGGCGATGACCCGAGCAAGTGGTGAAGGATTGAGATGCATAAAATCGAACTTGCAAGGTTTCTTCAGTTCTTCAAACTTGACTTGTTCCAAGTTGCGAGTAGCTTTAGTCAAACTCTTTATTTTGATTTTAATGTTTGTTTCTTAGCTATACATGTTCGGTTATAGTTGAATTTAGATTTTTCACTCAACACAAGTGTAAGCGGGAAGATCACCTGGGCATCCCTATCTGATTATCAATGCTTACATTGGTAAGAACTATGTAGGGGCCGGCGGCTAAATTGAGCCTTCAGTTGGAAGTGGCGGTGCTAGCGGGTAAGCAGGTATCACGTGTGGTGTATACGTGGACTGCATAGTCAAATGTTGGGTTGGATTGGGGTCTGTTGAAGGATTTAGTCTGCATATACCAGGGTGGGTCACTGGCTGATTATGTGCAGAAATGCTTCTTGTTTGAGTTGTTAAAGCCGACCGGCGTATTCTAAGCTTGTAAGCTGCAGGTGTCTATCTTTAGAGTGCTGGTGGATTTTTGTTTGAATTGTTCCATGGGTTTGTTGAATCATTAGATGGTCATCATCAAAGGGGTGGGGTAGAGCTGATCAACTGGGTAGTATGTTTCAAGATTCCGGTCAACCGGTTTTTTTAACTCCAGTGCTCCGTTTTGAATAGAGAAAGTTCGCAGTACTATACATTTGGGTTAATATTTGAAGATCCAAAGCGTTGCATCACAAATGTGTATAGTAAACCCAGCTCACGATGGGAGTGGAGACTCGGACATATGCTACTAGTAGCAGAGGATAAAACGCAAGCTTTCAGGATTGAGAAACAGTTGCAGCTCAAATGAACTTGAAGTGCTGTTTTGTTGGCAAGTTGAAGCTAGCCTAAATAATGCTGGCCAAGTAAAAAAAACAATTAAGACTCGCCAAGTTAGAAAGTATGAAACCAAGCGATACACTCCACTCAAGACAGTGGAGTTTGATAGTCAATTGACTGGAGACGACCATTCCTGTCCAATTCTGAACTTCATGTGCCGTACTCCATCTGGTGGATTAATGGTAGAATTGCCGACTCGCTTATCTTGCCATGGGTACTTAGCTATTGCCAGAATGAAGTTCTCTCCAGCCGGAAATCCATCATGAAACAGCGAGAATTGGTCCCTGAAACGTTCGCCAGATGTGCTGTGGGAATCAGCAAAGACTAAGCAAAGACTAAGCAGCGACTAAGCAGATGAAAACAGGGACATAGTAAACAAAGAGAGCGCCAAGCCATCAAGATCAAACTACCTTCCTACTCTGTAGATGAGTAGTTCGCAGTTCCACTTCTTCGGAGAATAGGAGAGGTTGCTCCTTATTATCGGCGTTTCAGTGAAGCGGGGCCGTGTCCTTAAGTGCGGCTGAATCTGCAAGCCATGGCTTTATGGAATACTTCGTAGCGGGTTCTCGAAGAGAAAATTTCAGTCTCCGGATTGATTAGATGCATTGAGAATTTCTTGAATGAAGCTTGAATCAGACTCCATCTAGTTCGGTATTGACGAACCCGAAAATGACTCGTGCCGCGAAGTGGAGCTGAATATCTCGTTCATCTGAAGCATCTTGCCGTCCCGTTATCCCGAGGGAAATCAACTCCGAGGAAGCCATAGATCGGGTAATGGGCTTATATACTCTCGGGAATATGATATTTGGGATGTATCTGTGAGATTGAATTTTGAAATGGGCTACCTTTTGTATGGTCGGCTTTGTGTCTTCTTGGAATGGAGACGTGAACGTTCGAGTACCCCAACGGAATGCGACGGGCTCATGTTGGGGTGATAGACAACTCAAGTTGATTATAGGTTCGCACATATCAACTGTTTCTCTCTGAAAGGGTAAATATATAAGCGCATCAATGAGGATATAAGTGGGACGTCTGTATCAGGACTTGTTTCAAGTTGTCGCGTGCCACTCTTACATCCACACCAGCCAGTCAAGTCATCGACAAGATATGACTTATGGATCTGTGCCCTCTCTTCCTTGATACTCACTGTCAATACTCTCCGTCATGTGCATAGAGCTGGAGACCGGGCCTGCAGGTTTCAATATTGACAGGTGTCGTTTCGTCATGCTGGAAGGAGGCAGACAAAGGCTCAGGTACCCAGATGAGGGAACCATCTTTATGTCTCGCCTATTCCTGATTTCATTCATTCTCGAAGAATCAAAATATAGAAGAGCCTGAGGTTAGTGCATTAAAGGAGAAGAAAGTGAAAGTGGACGAGGCATGGAAAGAGGAAAAAGAACTATCTACGTGGGGGAGCTAATATACTGGGAACTTTACGTACATTACCATGCGATCTTGATATGAGATCAAACATCGAACATCAAACAAGAAGCGATACCTATTCCAAGGCTCTCAACTAGATTTGTATCCTCATCAGTACAGGGAACTCTCACTTGACATTGTTGTCGACTTCCTGTTCATGTACACCCATCACCAAGTCCCACCAAGACACATTCGGCATTATGACGTGGAAGCTACCATTTTTCTCACATGAATTGTCTACCAATATCTCCCAAGAAATTGATCAAAAGGTACTACTCAGCATCATTGAATATTAAATGAAAACCCGGGTAATAGGCATTTAATATTCACCACTCTGCCAGGTAGGTAACAACTTACAACTTGAAGGATGCGGCCCGCCCCCACCTCTAGGGCCAGACTGGCAATACGTGTTTTCTTTCCATCATATGCACTTCCTTTCTTTCATCAAATCTCAGCTTGAGAAAAATTCCAACTTGCTTCATTTTTCAAATAATGCCCACCCCGAAGCCTGAAATCATTCTCATTGGAGGCGGCTGGCACTATCCAGAGTCATATGCCACCTTCCGCACTTCTCTTGAATCGCAACTTGGCTTGACAGTCCATGTCCCTCAACACCCTACTATGAATGGTGCACGACCTCCGAATGCGGATCTTTACACTGATTGCGATGCTATTCGTCAATTTGTGACTGAATTATCGGATGCTGGTCGCTACCTTGTGATTCTCATGCATTCATATGGAGGTCAAGTGGGAACCAATGCTCTGGTAGGCCTTGGAGCTGAAGCTCGTAAACAGCAGGGTTTATCTGGTGGTGTCATTAAATTGATCTATTTTGGTGCTCACGCACTCGCGGAGGGTCAATCGGGGGGTGTCTATAGCTAAGCAAGCTGGACGTGAACACGTTCTCCCCAAGGTCATTGACTTTGCCGATGACGGTAGCTGTGTTCATCTAGAGCCTCAGACTATGCTTCTTGGACCTAATAGTGGCCTGCAAGACGGAGAGCAGGAAAGTTTCGTGGCATCTTTAGGGCGCTGGAACGGAAGGGTTCTTGCCCAGCCATTACAACATTGCGCCTGGCGCGAAATTCCCGTGGTCTATATCCATACCCTAAACGACATCACTCTCCCTTTACACTACCAGACAACCATGGTAGAGCAGATCAAAGCTGCAGGACAGGACATTCAGACCTTTGACCTTGACTCAGGCCACTGCCCGGCAACGACGAAGCCCGAAGAGCTGGCAACCATTATCAAACAAATTGTTACCACTGGCAGTCTTGTTGCCTAGATCTGAGACATATTATGTGACATGATTCATTTATGAATCCAAAATATCCGGTCATTTAAGAGGATGTATCTAAGAAGCTCAGCTGGTAGATATGTCTTTTTGTTTCTACAGATACAATGGACATGCATAACCAAGGGTAATTGTGGAGCATACTCGTATAGAGCAACAAGAACCTAATTTGTGCGTGCGTGGGTGTGTTATTTGTGTATCAACAAGAATATAAAGCCACTGGTAGATAGAAAATATCCCTTTTGTAACACTAGCAGCATATGAACTGATATGTTTAAGGAGGACTATCCAATATCACAGAACCCAGCTCAGGAGCCCAGTGATGATCAGCCGGAGGTCCCAGCGGAGGATCCTGCATCTCATAATCTTTTGCCCACTGAAAAATATTCTCGAAATTTCGACATTCATGCCATGTATTAAAATCCGAATAGGTTCGAGGATAACCCTTCACCCAGTTGTGAGTGATAACACCGACTTCGGCATGACAGATAACGAATTGTCTCAGCATTTCCACGCAATGCACTAAATAATTGAGCAAAACAATCACGTAGGGCGAGCAAAATGGTTTTCTTACATAAATGAGTGTGTAAGATATCAGGTGGATCTGTAAATTCAAGTGACCGATTCTGGTAGTAATCTCTGAAAAGACTCTTGCGAAGAAAGTCCTGGAGAGAAAAGCGTGAGCTATCATGTTTACTGTAGTGACATAGGCACTCATTTAAACTTCAAAGTGCCCAGATAGGAACATACCACGCAATGGAGCTGGTGAGTGAATTCCAAACTTGCCAAATAACCACCTCCCCATTTACCTGGAATTCGAATCGCATCAGTCGTCTTGCCGGCCTTCAAGAGATCCTCTTCCGAAAGAGCTAGAAAGCGAACTATGGTGTAGAAGTCAGGCATGGAATACTATCAAGCATAACAGAAATGTAGATATTCAGCTTGCCATCTTGCAGCATTCCCCATGCTTCATCCACTTCGGGACTGGGCTCTTGTCGGTATATGGAAGGATAATCGAGTGTACCGTTGAACTATACTGGGTAGTATCTCGGGTCCATATCCTTCAGTGCGGGAGCTAGAGTTTTGTTAGATAGAATTGAGTTTGAATTCTTCTCTTAAATTACATGCGGTGGAGTGCATGTTCACGCACTTTGTGTCCACGCGAATTTGCCAATATAGCGTTGGCATGAAGAACGACAGCGAGATGAGAAAGAGAACGATGTTGAGTATAATGATATTAAGGGGGTATTGAGATATTTTGGACTCTTTGATCTGGGTGATTTGAGTGAATTCTTGCTCAGATTTCTCCAGAAATCCAGTTTCTGAGGGATCATAACTCCCTCTGACTAAATGATCATTCGAGTCAAGAGGATCAGAGCCCTCAGTAGACAGGCGAGAGTATTTCGTCTTCTACAATGCCATCATGGTATCTTATCATGAATATCACAGGAATAAGTCGATTTCACACGTCGAGGATATGGATGGGTCTTGGGTGACTGCTAAGAGAGGTGGCGACACTGATCTATCCTAAAATCCATTCAAAAAAGGAAGTCGTTGCAATCCCAGCCTGGTTGTATTGTGAGATTGCAGTCCTTCTACTACACCTATCCGTTGTTACTCTCTATCCGTTTACTTATTCCAAATATACTCTACGTTATCTCTTTTGGGATATGAAAATCGCGATGGTTATGTCTACTTTGAAAATTACACAAAAACAACCTGGTTATTCGATCCCATCGGCTTCAAAGTTGAACAAAATCCTGGTTTGTTTATTCGATATTGAGAAAATCCAGGTGATCAGAATAGTCTGATTCATCTATAAAAGAAGGGAATACCTCTCCGACCACAACCAAGTCTAACATTCACTTCAAGTTACCATCTTGAAACCTCCAAGCTCGACATCATCAAGATCAATATGCATTTCTCGACTCCTTTTATTATCGCCTCTCTCACGGTCCTCGTGGTCGCTGCTCCAATTGCAGACCGTATGTCTTCTCCCCCCGATAACACCTAGACTTCTGAAAGATTTGCTGAGATCCAAGCTTTTGAAGAGGAGGGTGCACACAGTTGGGGACCACCTCCCATTAAGAAATATTCAAGTTCTACTGACACACAATGGCACAATGAGAAAGAGGAGCGTGGTGAAAACGTCTTCAACCATTACGGATCATACAACGGGGAGGATCAAATCTCAGGTGAAAGTTCCACCAATCCTCATGCACTCTGGAGTGGATCCTCCTCTGAGGACCATTCTATCAACCACCATAATGAGAATGAAAAGCGTGGTGAAAGCTCCTCCAACCCTTACGGATCATACAACGGGGAGGATCATATGTCAGGTGAAGGTTCCGCCCATCCGAGTTCCAGCTGAATGTATGGAATACACATGAAGTGGGGGACCTCAGCGAAGAGTGACTCAGAATCGGCGAAGACTACATAGTAGCGCTTGAGGATAAGAGAAGGATGATTTTACTGGAGAAATTTGGTAATCATAGGGTTTACCAGTCCACAGTCCAGAGCTGTTGATTTGTACAATCTTTGACTTGGATTTTGTGTGTATCAGTTCAAGTTGTCTCTTTTCACTCCTTACTGTATCGTGACAAATTGTCAACTACCTAGGTACGCTTGTTGCCCGAAGTAACTCAACTTCTACGATGTGAATTTTAGTGGCCAAAATGAATCTACTAGTACTATGCAGTGTACTATGTATAAGGTAGCTTGAACTTCCAAGTGCAAGTTCAAATTGGGATAGCGCTTACATAGTAACTACATCCTTGTAACCACCATGGGTGCACCCGAGCCAAAACTCTACCATTATGCCAAGTTTTTTTTTCGATGTGATACGATATTCTGTGTAATGATCAGATACATAGGAGAATAACCTGAAATCGTGGTTGGACATCTGCAGCAAGCACACATGCATGACTCGCTGCTAGGATTCCCCACTAGAGCATCTGCTAGACACATCGAGCATTTGCAGCCTCAAGGGCTCAATTTGAATTGCTAGCCTTGAGTAACCACCAAGTAATCGCCAGAGCAGCCGTGAGAAACTCAGCTCCTAACTAAAGTCTCTGAATGCTCAAAATTTATTGTCTGTATCGTATCCAAACAAGGGATTGAGAGGCTGCCGAATCCCGAGGTCGTAAACTGGAAAGGCGGAGGAATATTCGTCGGCATAGCTCACTCCGTATAACGGGAAATAGCACTACAGACCATTGAGAACATGCATAAACGCCAATATCCACAAGTACGGGTACGCGCGTAAGATCAGCAAGGCTCAAGCACCAAGAAAGAGCCAAAAGGGTAAACCCTGAAAGACAAAAAATAGAATCAATGTTCACAGTCAGTATTCTCATGTGACCACCCACCATGCGGGTGGCTGACCGGCGTGTGCACATGTGGCATTCGGTCACCACAGTGGTCTTCTCCCAAGATAGCTGTTTAGTCGCATCGGGCTCACGCGGATAAATTCGCCATTACCAAACCGGTATTCCCTTCCACCGAATTATCTAGATCATTATCCTCGCTATCATGACGATTTAGATGACAATGCCAAGTCAATGACGCCGCAACCTCGGGTGTTTGTCTTTATGATCTCGCACTTCGGAGTATACAAAATTCTGATACCGACGGATTCACGGAATCCGGGATCCGAGTAAGGGGCTAGGGGTAGTAGCTTCTTACTATGTTTGCTAGTTGGTTATCCATAGCTTGGCTTACATCTCATTCTCAGGAGAAAAGAACTTCCATACCGTATACCGTAGATTTTAGTGTTTGGTGCAATATGTAAACACTTCATTCGGACCACCACTAGATAGCTCTTCCGCGCCATATCCACACCGGGGCGGCGGGCCACACTTCCCCACGATGACCGATGACCGATGACCCACATATACGGAGTACAACGGAGTTCACCCAATTCAGCTTCCAAGAGACTTCAAACTTGAAGTGTGATTTATCATACGAGTATACAATTTTCCAAGATTAGATGTGATATCGGTATAATAGGTTTATACTGAGTTTCCACCAAACAATATTATGCACACATACATGCATGCCAAGTAGGTTATCCCAGGCATCTATTCTCGTATCTTGATATATCTATACTCCGTAGAGTAGATTCTCCTTTCAAATGCTTTCACAACATTGGAAACCTCAATCCAGCGAAGAAATCGAAAATGAAGCTCACTTGCCTTGTCTCTCTTGCTGCCTTTGCGGTATCTGCCCTCTCTAGTCGCCCATCTCCCGAACCAAAGTTTACGTTTCTCTTCCAAGTAAATCTAACCAGGGGACCTCAAATCGTCTACGAGCAGAACAAGGACGGGACTGAGGTCAAAGCCTTTCAGGAGCTCACTGCTGGTGGGACAGTCAGGGGACCCAAGATCAATGGTCAGTCACCAGGAAGCCTTTCCATATACTACTAGTACTACTATGTAGTAACTTGAATGAATAAACAAGAGCCTAACAAATATACCTCCTCTAGCCACTATGGTCAGTGGAACGGCGTTAGCTTCGGTCAGCGCCGATGGGATAATTCAAGCGGACGCCAGCTGGTTGATGAACACCACGGACGGGGCAAAGATTTTGGTCACAGAGCAAGCAAAGATTCCATATGTCAACGTGCTGTTTGCAACCAGTTCTGAGAAGTATACCTGGCTCAACAATGTCACTTCATGGGCATCTCCACAAGATGGGGCCATGGGGAGTTACTCCCTGAACTACTGGCAGGTGAGTTCAAGTTAAACTACATGATGCCAATTGATACATGTGCTGATAATTTTCAAAGGTCTATTGAGACTGATTCAGATTCATGAATTTCTCCTTGTCGATATTCTATATGATATCGTCTATTGCTGTCTCAATGGTCATTCATCTCTTCGGTGTCACATATTTATTTTCTGGTTCTGTCATTTATAGATCTTGCACATGTATCCTAACCTCCTTCATTCGTGGCATCAATTTTTTTTTTTAGCAATAATCTCTTAGAATAGTGGAAATAGACCTCAAGAGGCACTGGTAGTCATTCAAGTTCAAGTTGTCAGGATTCAAGTCAAATTTCTTCCCGCTGTTCCATATTATTTGAATATGATATTTCCAGACGTCCCTACGACCAGTTGACAGCAGCCCGTGAGAATTTTGGTACCGCTTTAATCCACGGGTAAATGTATATTCTTACATACTACATAGTACATATTGTAGTGGGGTACCCTGTCCCCTACTACACGTACCGTGCTAAGAGTTACCGTTTGGTTACATCTCTGTTTTGTGATGTTTTCAGTCCCGTCTTTGTACGTACAAGAATGCCCGTCGTTATAGTCTAGAATACACACTCCTACACATCTCTCATCCCACCCCTACGGGGTAGTCCGGCCACAACGTACATGTTGGTTGGTGTTATCCATTCATGCTAGCTGGATCGACCCGTGTATCTAGAATACACTGCCTAACGGTTCCCCTCTTCAATATGTAACTTGAAGTTGAGCTATAGTAGTACTAGTGGGGAAATGTGGCGCCTATACAGTATGCACATGTTCACTCCGTAGCCCTGGAGTATGGTTCATACTACTACTACTATCCATGGATGCAGCCCTGGACGGGAATGCGCTGGGCAAACATTTGAATACACTGTATATTCATTGATACCCGTGGACTACTACTATGACCCTGCGGAATATGTATCGATTGAATCCAATATTTGAAAAACTTGAACCTAGTACTAGTAGTAGTAGGTAATGGATCTCTTCTGTCACGGTGGAACTTGAAGATAGCGGAACGTCAGACCTCTTTCTCTTCTCCAGCTACCCTCTGGTCTCTTTCTTCGCCTCCACTACCCCCAGTGATAAGGCTGTATCTCTTCATTCTATGGTTCGCATAAGTGGATGACCCTTCCTTATTTTACTATATATTTCTTTTCCTGTTCAGTCTGGTACATACGACCACAGGGTGTGGAGAACAGGGCTTCCCGTCCGCTCAGCCGTACTTAAGCCACACGCCGGTCAGTTAGTAGTATGGTGGGTGACCACATGCGAATCCTGACTGTTGTATGTTTTTGTTCTTGTTCAAAATTCTGTTAGGAGGTGTGCCTATGGAACAGCTACAGGGAAGAACACGTATGGGGGGAAGCGCGCGGAGGGGAAGTCTGCCCCGACACGTCGAGAGCTATCTACTTAGGCACGTTGGTCTGAACTATACAGACCACGTGATCTAACATTACTGGGCCTGATAAATTATAGGTGGAGGCTGTCCTGTAACGAAGCAGCCAACGCGAACTTTACGAAAGAGGAGCCTGATCCCACTCCGCAACTCCTTAAGTCCTTTGTAGAATACTTTATTGCTACAAGGAAAGATTTGCTGTCACAGAAGACGGTCTGTTAGAATTTTGTCAATTTCACTTCAAGATGGGAGCGGGAAACTTCTCGTTCTCTGCCGAACCAAGTTAAAAATAATGTTCTGAATATAGAGCTAAATAATAAGAACCTATCTGTAAAGACTTTGACTAACCTGTTTTAGTATATCAGAAACAACCTGACTGTTAAATATAGACTGAGAACCAAACTGTGGGAACGCTTTATGGTCATGGCTAAAGACATTAAATACCTTCTTTGTGATCTATTTAGGGATGATTGGCATGATTATAAACATAAGCAAGCTTATGTATAGACAGGAAGCTCCCTCGTGTTGTTTTCTGACTCTGGTTCTAGAGCAGGTGCTATCATAGAATTAAGCTTATACCATGACTCTAATAAATACCTTTACTATAAGGTCTGTTTCGATCTAACAAACTTCATCCTCACCGCTAATCTTATCCATCCCTCTTTTCTGACCATAGGTTAATAAAGCTAATAAGGATTATACAGCATCTTACTTTCAATATGAAATAGAGCTCTGGAAAAGGCTAGTTAAAGCGTTGGGTAATGATTGACTCCAAGTTTCTAAAAGGATAGCGCCATCGAGATAATAAATATCTGTAAGTGAATTTGCTTACCTTATTACTAGGATGCTGACTTGGATTGAAAGGCCTAAAAATTGGTTTAGAGAGTACCCAATCCTTAGACTTAATTTTATCTTCTGGGTAATCGTATATAGGGTCGCCAATAGTGCCTTTAAAGGGCTTAACACGGTGGCAGATGTTCTTATAGTAAGACCTCCAGAAGGAAGGGAATCATATATAATTAAGTAGGTTAAGGATAAAAAGGAGCTTCCATTCTTTAGAATAGTGACTCCAGAAGGGCCTTATCCTAACAGAGTATTAACCTTCTCCTCTCTCTGGTATAACAATACAAGTTTAGCCCAGAGATAGTGCTTCAGAGATAGATTGTGCGTCTATGGAATTTAGGTAAATGTTGCAAACTATATTGATTGTAAGCTCCTATAATTCTAAACTAGGATATTGACTGATACTCTTTAGCCAAGGCGTTAGAGGCTACTTAAGGCCAGGCCCTTAACCATCAAAACCATAACATATATATTAAATATCAGTCTGTTCTTAAATCTTTGGATATCCAAGCTCTTATTCATGATCTGGAGCCTGATTACGAATACTACAATATGGAGTAAAGTATGGCTTACCATCAGGACCTTAATGCCCTGCAGAAACTGGATGTAGCCACTATTGCTGTATTTGAAGAGATAGACGAGATTAAGATTATGAACCAGAGAATTGCTTATCTAACCTCTGTGATCGCTGGCTAGCCTTAGATATATGAGGATGTTATGGCAGAACGTATAAATCTTTATAGCAGAAAGGCCAAGCGTTTATTAGCCTGGAAAGTAAATTTTATACAAGAGTGGTAGGACTCCGCTTATGATATATATATCTCTATTCATAAATTTACCAAGCGGGATAGAACATCATTATTCGGGATCTTCGAGAAATATCTTCCAGAACGTGCATGGCTAAAGGAATCACTCTTCACAGAGATCATACTGGATAGTTTAGTTGGCCAACAATGCCTAGAGGACATGGTTGTACTTTGTGTATCCACAGAGCATGTGGTTTTTTATCCTAGACTATCACCTACAGAAGGTCTCTATCTAATCTACTCAAAACCTATATCAGAGTAAGTTTGTTTTATTTTTGTCCAGATATTATACTAACTTAAACAGGATTGTGATACAAGGGCGAGTAAAGCATATTCTTTAATATCAAAGGCGATCGTTAGGCGGTCCTCCATATCAACAACGCTATAGCAATGAAAAACGCGCATATAGGCATGTCTAGCATCGTTTTATCCATTTCTGCTATCTATATACGGAACTATACTACGATGAGGCAGACTGGCAGACTTATTGTCAGAGCCATCTTGATAACTTGTACCCTTAATGTGGCCTTCTGACCTTCCGATATACGCTTGTCGCCCCTGGGTTCTGTCCCTTCTGCCTAGGAGACGTAAAGAAGAAACCAGATGAGAGATTCTAGCAATGGCTGGTCAAACCTACACTTCTCAAACATATAGATGATCATCTTTATGCACTGAGCAGCTCAATAGTCTTCTTCTGCCCGCATCCATGCTGCCAAAGTAAGGATTATAAGGACATATTGAGTCTCCGCCGCTACTTCTTTGATGTACACACTATCGAAGAAACGCGATCCAACTATGTGAATAGAGAACGAAAGTGGCAGCCTGATACGGAGCTCAATGCTGAACAGTTTCCCCGAGACGACCCCGAATCCTCGTTGGGTCATATGCATCCTACTTCGGAGATTCACCACAAGCAGACCACGCTGAACGCCCTCGAAGAAGACACCTGTATGGACATGGAAGAGCCCATGGAGGGATTCACATATGTTGGTGCAAACCAGATTGAGGATGAGAAAGAGAAATCCGAAATGGTCATGAATGCATCTCCCGTAACCTAGTTTGATTATATATATTGATTCTACAAGCAAAAATGTTTTCATTACCCAAATCCACTGAGTAGGTTCAGTTATTGCATTGCATGCGTCTTTTCTCATGATCTAGTTTAAAGGCAAAATAATAGAAGGAGGATCAAAATTGGTTTCTCCTCGATCTTCGATAATCGTCACATCCAATTCATTCTTTTGTGTGATACTTTGGAAGCCGTGCCTCAATATGTTTTTGCCTTTCTGACATGTACCTTGTTCCTTTGCGTCTCGCCCAGATATTTTTCTCACTTTATTGGAGGAAGGACTGTATCTTGGCTTTGGCGTACTATATCCTTCCCTGAAATTCGTCGAAGTTGGATGAGCCTGCTGATCTGGTTCTCCCTGGGCGGGTCTATGGAGCGCGGGTGAGTGAGTCCTGGGGATACTGAAAGGGGCCCAATCGAAAGCTTCCTAAATTCCTAATGAGACTTGAGAGACACCGAGACGTGGTTGCAGACCGGAAACCCTGTCGCAGGCGCTTTTGAATCTAAGGGGCGTTGGGGCTTGATCTCCACGTCCAATATTCTATTTGAAGATTAAAGTTAACTCCAAGTTAGACCTTAGTTTCTAGGCACCTTTTACCAAAAGCCCCCGAGCTTTGACTAATCTATATCATCTTCAGTCTTCGGTTTTCTCCACTCTAAGTATGTTGCACTAGTCTGTTCATAACCATCTCCTAGTCCCTAGGTAGGTGCGTTAACTTACTTACACAGAGTAAATTATCCTCCTGCGGATCAATCCCTTGGTTACGGATCTCATTTCCAAAGGTTCCAAAGGCGTCCGTAGAGGGTTCGTGAATACCCCAGGGAATTTCCTTTTCTCTCCTTATAAGCCTCCATTTAGTAGTAGGTGGGGCCCTTTTCCCATTATGGCTCAGGTCAATCACTCGATTTATCGGTGGTGTTGGAAAAGAGGACGGGTGTGAAAGGGGGGACAGCCGACCGGTCATAGGTGGAGAGAAGTCGAAATCTCATCGCTTTGCCAAATCTAAGACTTTACCAGTTAGCCCCTTACTGTCTTCATAAAACCATGTTATCAAAAGATATGAATACCCCCGTATCTGCTGAGTATCTCTGAACTTAATAGAAGGGTTATAACGCGATAGACTAATACCCGCGACGCGATGGACTGCGTGGCGACTTCTCCCGCAACAGTAGAGGAATCGAAGAGGTATAAGTAATGTACAAAAGAGAGTGAGTAATACTGTACCTTATCAGTGCATTAAAAATTGGTACGATGACATTGATATTGTCAAGAGGGGGATATCCTTAATTATCATTATAATACTCGACCTTCATTTCATTATGGTGGTTGTCATCAATGCACTTTACTTTCTTGTCCTAGTCAGTACTGTAAAGTGCGAGTCTTAGAGAGCAATAAAGAATAAGTCATCTTGAATTGTCAGACAAAAGTAAAGACTTTCTGCGATATTGCCACTTCCTGCATCGCTATCATCGATAAACGCATAAGAGTGACCACATTTGGATGGATGGATGGATGTCGTCATTTATCCTGTAACCTCCTTTGAGGTCCTCAGCTTTGAGATGGCCCCAGGACTGCCAGACTGTTAAGTCACCTGCAATTCTTCATACCAAGCTTTTCACCTAAAATATTTTTACCTGCACACTGAGCAAGAGTGAGCAGATAGAGTCGCTCCCTATCCCCCCCTTAGCGGTCGACCACTGCCCGTGCCAAAGCTCTCCTCCATCAACCTCTAGAGTTTACTTCGCAATAACTATCGCTCAGGGCTCCCCTCTCAAGGTAAAGCTTTTGTTTGCCTTGTGTGCAAGATCCACATTCTCGAAGCCCGGAAGGCCATACAAGCCTATTAATCCAAAGTACATATGAAATGAAAACACCAATGATATCGATCATTAAAGGGTTTAATTATAGAGATATAAGGGCGCACAAGTGAGTAGCGTACCGCAAAAGGCAATTACGGAGAGAGAACATAAACGCGTTTCACGTAATGTATTAAGATTATCGCCCACAATTCGACATTTCAATACAGTAGCACATTTGAAACTACCCTAGCCAGGATGCAGACTAGTGTGTTTCGAACAAGGGTTCGAGATTGAATTTCTGTGTACAAGTGGTGAAACTGTTTGCGATCCATAGTGTATCTAATCACCCGCCGAGTCATAAGCCTGCAAGGTATCCCAAATGTGTTGACCCATCTTCTCTAGCATCCAACTCCTCCATATCTGGAAGAACCCTCTCAAAATCGTCGCCAGCGCCACTAAGTTTTCTAATAAGTGCGATATGTGGCACGGCGGACATTGAGAAATTTAGGAGAATGGCTGATCCACCGTGCAATGAGGAGTACAATCGCCAGTCAAAAATCACGGAGCCGTGGATGTTTTGCGACTGAGTGGCACTGCTTAAACCGTCTTGCCAGCCTTCTGACCCAGCTGTGGAAACTACGAAACGCGACTCTGGGGGCTCAAGCTGTGGGTTCACCTGCAGACGCGGCTCATATGCGGACGGGCTGTGTTCCCAATGATACACATGTCGCGAATTGGGACATCGGTCCATGCCGCCCGATGCTGCCTAGCCCGTCTTGTAACGTTAACCTAACTTTCACCCCGCACCCCAGCTCAAAGCAGATCGACAATGACCCCGCAAAACACCGCGAATTTTACGGGAGGTGTCAATCAGGGCATCCAAGTTGCATTCAACTACGGGTCCCTCATCTTCAGCAATAAGCGTGACAATAACTGCTTAAAGTACCTGCGCCTATCCAACCCTTGCCATGATAAAGAACGCATCAAGAACACCAAAGGCGGCCTGCTGGAGGGCTCGTACAAATGGATTCTCGAACATCAGGATTTCCGACGATGGCATGCCGGCAACGACGACCAAACCCGACTGCTCTGGATCAAGGGCGACCCCGGCAAGGGAAAGACTATGCTGCTGATCGGTATTGTTGAAGAACTGGAACGACACGTTGCTCAGCTTAAGCAGACAGAGCAGTCGACTTCCCCCGCCGTCCTCTCATACTTCTTCTGCCAAGGAACCGACTCGAATCTCAACAACGCCACGGCAGTGCTAAGAGGCCTGATCTTCCTCCTCGCCGTTCAAGAGCCGTCGCTCGCATCACATCTGTATAAGGAATACGAACACTCCGACCGCAAGCTCTTCAAGGATGGCAATGCGTTCTTCGCCTTGTCCACGATCCTTAGTAGTATGTTACAAGATCCCAGTTAAGGGAGAGCATACATTGTGGTCGATGCACTCGACGAATGCGAAACTGGCCTACACCAGCTTTTGAAGCTTGTCGTTGAGAATACGACCGCTTCACGTGTTAGGTGGATTGTCTCTAGCCGCAATAGGGTCGGTATTGAGCAACAGCTGATGCTTGATGACTCGCAAACGAGACTGAGCCTCGAGCTAAAAGCTAACGCAGAGCATGTATCACATGCTGTTGGCGTGTATATTGACGATAGAGTGTTTCGACTTAAGTCAATACAAGGCAATAATGGACGTCAACGTCAAGTACAAAACATTCTCCGAAAGAAAGCCGGTGACACATTCCTCTGGGCGGCCCTCGTCATCAAAGAGCTCGAACGAGCTAGAAGTTGGGATGTACTGCGCGTGCTCGAGGAGATGCCGACGGACTTAGAAGAGCTATATGCCCGAATGATTAATCATATTCAACGGTTTGAAAGGGATGACCCTAAGGTTTGTCGGCTCGCTCTGTCAGCGGCTACCCTGGCATATCGCCCACTTCATATACTTGAGCTAGGCGTGCTCTCCGGGTTGCCGGAAGAGATTTCAAGCAATACCGAAAGTATTCGAGAACTGTTGAGCATATGCGGCTCATTCCTCACTGGGCCGAGGCTTCAAGTCTGATAGGGGCGCTATCCGATGCAGTAATAGCTATGGGAAAGTTGGAAAGACTCCTGAAGGTGAGCCTCGCACCTCGACAGTAATAAACAAACATTCTCTAAGACATACTACAGACCATGTTCAGCGAGTCCAACCTACTCTCACTGACACTAGACGCGCATCGATTTCTTCTCCACAACGGACTGGTAATCAAAAACGCCCCGCTTCAAACATATGTGTCGGCGCTTCTCTTTAGTCCGACTGGCAGTTTAACGCGCGAACTCTATGAAATAGAGGGGCCACAATGGGTTTTGACAGGGCTTAAGATAGATAAGCACTGGATTCCATTAGTTCGAACGCTCGAGGGCCACCGTAATGCGGTCGTGTCAGTCGCATTTTCACCCAATGGAAAGTTCATAACATCGGGATCGGACGATAAGACTATCAAGGTTTGGGACGCGGCCACAGGTGAGGTCAAAAACACGCTCGAGGGCCACGACTATGCGGTCGTGTCGGTTGTATTCTCGCCTGATGGGAGGCTCATAGCTTCCGGATTGGCCCAAAAAATCATAGTTATCTGGGACGCAGCTACAGGTAAGGTCAAAATACGCTCGAGGGCCATGGCCATCTTGTTCGGTCTCTTGCATTCTCGCCCGATGGGAAGCTCATAGCGTCGGCAGATGACAAAACAATCAAGCTCTGGGACGCAGCAACGGGCGAGGTCAAACGCACGCTTGAGGGCCACTGCACTGTTTATTCCGTTTCGTTCAACGCTACTGGACTGTTCACCAATATTGGCTGTATCAAGGTAGATACTCGCCTCCACTAAAAGCCCAATCCAGTCTCAGCCTCAAAAAGCTCGACAGTGTGGGTACAGTCTGAACCCCGACAGGACTTGGATTACATGGGATGGACACAAGGTGCTGTGGCTGCCGTCCGAATACCGACCTTCAAAACACTTTGAGTTCAACCATCTGGCAGTCCATACAAACGTCATCGACCGTGGCGAGGGTTGCCATCGGCTGTGACTCGGGAAAGGTCATTGTCATCAGCTTCTCGAGACCGCCGCCTGGTCTTCCACCATCCTAGTATTAATGAATGCCAAGTTTGACATTCGCCAGGTCGCTTTGATTCTTCGCTCTTTTTCCTTCCCTCTTTCGAAATTGAAAGCGCCTAGAAGGCCGTGATAATTTATAGGCTTAGTCCCTGGTGTATGAGCTGTTAGTGATTTCTTCATAGTGATGCGGCCGATTCATCTTAGATTGAAATTTTTCCTATGTCATGGTGTGGGAGTCCGGGACAACGTGGTCTGGGGTAGCGCCGCCTAGGCGGGTACTAGCATCCAGCTCCCAAGATAACAACGTGTGGCTCTCCCTTTTGTTTGCCTTGTTTGTAAGATCGACATTCTAGTAGCTACTAAAGCCATACAAGTTTAATACAGACTCCATTTCTATGTTGTTATTTACGCCTGTATCAAAATACCGCCAAGACACGGGGTCAGGGGTAGAGTAACCGCAATAGGTATGGTAGGTTTCGAAGGAGGGTTCGAGATAGAATCTCCGTGTGTGACTGGTGAAACTGATTTCGATTCATGGTGCACAGCATGGATCGAAATCAGTTTCACCACTTTAATAGAGAAATTCGCTCTCAAACCCTTCTCTGTAACACCTTAATCTGGTTTCAAGGGGGTGAATCGTACCGAAAGACAGCGTCATAAAAGACTAGATCGGATAAATAACATGAAATTCTGTTACCATTATTACAGTAATGACGCCATCCCTTGGCTCGTGACCTTAGTATCAACACCCACTATAGCTCGGATGCGAAGCCCTTTTCCTCGGATTGAAGCGTAGCATGACATGCTGGTGTATTAATTCGAGAAGTTAGCAAGTGAATTTATATTGTATTTTGGACATATATCGTACAGTGGAATCAAACTCTGTTTCTCGGCTTGTACCCGAGAGGGGCCTACGCTAACTTGGCCGAATTTTAAGACAACCCTTACTGCTTGTCCATGTAAAGACTAAACTCATTTCAGGTATGAGCCAGGAAACAAAGCGCAAGTGTCCAAGCGGTACACTATTTTCAAACTCTACTGTATTCAAGCATCTAGTTACCTCAGGCATTGACATTCAGCACCTCCGTTTCCCATTCCAGCAAAATTTCAGAATGAGATAAAGTGTCTGGGTGGCTCTGGCCTAGTATCTGTTTCTGCTTGGCTACACAAGTTCGAAGTAATTCGATGGCTTCAGCATTACGACCTAAAGATTTCCAGGTGAAAGCAAGGTTGGCCATGCTGGTCAGCGTGAAAGGATGGTCCATACTGAACTTTGTCTTGCTCGCCTCCATCACCTGCACCTGGAGCTACTTAGCCTCCTCCTACCGGCTCTGGTTCCAATATATCAACACTAGGTTAGCCATACTTGTCAGTGTGTCCGGATGGTTCACATCCAGCTCCTTCTTTCGAGTCTCTATCACCTGCAGGTTAAGCTGCTCGGCCTCTTCCCACCGACCCTGATCCAATAGTGTTATCGCTAAGTTTGATATGGTAGCTAGCAGGTCTGGATGTTCCACTCCAAGCTTCGTCTTGCTCTTCTCTATGAGCTGCAATTGGAGCTGCTCGGCCTCCTCCCACCGGCCCTGATTCCTATATATCGACACCAGGTTGGCTATGTCCACCAAGGTAGAAGGGTGGTCTACGCCAAACTTCATCTTGCTCACCGCGATCACTTGCACCTGAAGCTGCTTGGCCTTCTCCCACCGGCCCTGGTTCATATATGTCACTACTAGGTTTACTATGCTCGTTAGCATAGAAGGATACTCTATGCTAAGTGTCATTTTACTCATCTCTATGACCTGGATTTTAAGCCGCTCAGCCTCCTCCTACCAGCCCTGATTCCAGAATGTTAATACCAAATTGGCCATACTTATCAATATAGCAGGATGATTTACACCGAGATTCATCTTACTCTTCTCTATGACCTTCACTTTAAGTTACTTAGCCTCCTTCCACTAGCCTTAGCGCCAGAGTGTTAATACCAAATTGGCCATACTTGTCAATATGTTCGGATGGTCTGCGCCGAGGTTCGTCTTGCGAGTCTCCATGACCTGTACCTGGAGTTGCTTGGCTTCCTCCCACCGGCCCTGATTCCAGAACGTTGAAGCCAGCTTAGCTATGCTAGTCACAGTGTTCGGATGATCCACACCAAGCTTTATCTGACAAGTCTTCACTACCTACATCTGGAGCTGCTCGGCCTCCTTCCACCAGCCCTTAAGTGAGTAGGCTTCTGCCAATATCGCTATACTTTCAATAGCCTTTTCATCCTTACCGCCTAGCAATTTTGCTCTTTGCTTTCTTGATTTCTATACCATTTCCCTTAGTACTACTAAGTTACCAGTTACCGATATATACCATACTCTATTATAAAGCAGCGCGGCCTATTGTAACAGAGAAATCTTCGACTTTGGTTGCTACGACATTGCTGATCGAACATAAGGAAACAGCGCCTGGCATATGTCCTAATTTTCGTATTCACCGGTGGGAAACTCTTGGTATATAATACTAATAAATTTCTCCCTCTATTGGTCTATATGCTTATAAGACTTTAGCCATGCTTGTGTAGTTAGTTGTATTAGTCGATGCATCATAAAGGAAGTCCCGGTCTTGTTAGTAGATATAAATGAATAGTCCCTTAATATTGTGATATCATCTTCGAAATCGGGTCCAATATCAGATTCAGATATTTCTCCATTAGTCAAGCCGTTATAGAGTTCTGAAGTATAGGTACCGCCGGCCTCAAAGTAGGGCCGAATAAGCTTCTCCAATATCCCTTACCGATCGAAGAAGCTCATAAGAGAAAGTAGTTCTGCCGCGGATACCTTTTTCCGGCGAATATAATTAAACAATATTTGCCAGGTCACGAGAATAGAGTTCTTTACTTCCCAATCCCGATCCAAACAATCTATCTCTCTCTCTAGAAGCTTGGTCGCTTTACAGTCACTTACTTGGAATTCTCTAAGGTATAGTGATACCGAACAGCGAGGGGCTCGATTTCTAATATGACTCACAGCCTAGACGATCGTAAGCGGTATAAAGTTAAGCTCTTCCACTAACTTTCGACAGTCTTAGTCTTCCCCTGGCTGTTCAAGCCTTTTTTGGAGAAGTTCTAGCGCCTCGAGCTATTCCATCGGCTTGATTTCAATCAAATCCCTATAAACGACCATCTTCAGTGTAGCCTCTCTGCTCCGGCTTATAATAATAAGAGATCCATTTTGGCTTTTTGGGATATATTCCAAAAGTGGTTTCGCTAGAGCTCCCTTACCAGCTGCTGGCAGCGAACAGAGGAACTCATAGTCATCGGCATTATCCAGGATACAGATCCATTTCCCTTTCTTCTCATCATACAGCCACTTTTCGATCAATTTGTATATATTTACTTTGGGATCCAGATGGCCTGGGATCTTCAGCTGGTCTGCGATAGCCCGTAAACTTTGCTCGAACCGCGCTTCGTTACTTGCGTGGACCCAGAGAACCCACGTTGCCGGCGATTCGGTCCGAATGCGATAAGAGTATTCGATAGCCAGTTGCGACTTCCTTCTAGTTGTAAGCAACAGAACATAGAATGATTTCAAAATATAGAATAATCGCTCTACACTCACCCGACCCCGCCAAGACCGACCAGTGCTATTCTCGACCCTGGCACTGAGCATTTTTCGCGTATCTGGCGAAGGGGCTTGTCGCGACTCACAAAGTCTACATTGCGCAGGAATGGGATAGTTGAGAGTGGGCTGGGTGGAGTCTCCGGCCGCTCTAAGGGGTAGGAAGGGAACGATTAGTCAGTCAGCCTTAAAATAACTATGGTCAGTTTTCCTAATTCACCTAAGGGATAAAAATTTGCTGTGATGGGTCCTTCATTTTTTGCAATTTGAAGCCCATTATTTTCGCCGTCGAATGAAACCGATTCCATATCTCAGGGGAAACGCCTTGTTAGTAGTTTATGAGAAGTTATCCTCCTCTGAGCTAAAGGAGGGGTATGTTCTCAGGCTGGCTATCAGGTGACTTCATAACGCTAGACGGGAACGGGTCGACGGCGATCCAGGGAGTGACTGATCCTGTTGGTCTTGTGGGGGTTCACATCAGTTCCCAGGAACGGATCGATCCGAGCCACATTGAGACTAAACACAACACGCGATAGCCAGCCAGCTTCCAATAGCTCAACGACGCCTTCACACATAATCTCACATCTACGTCTGCCAGCCGTCATATACAAAGCAAAAGCCGTCACAGGTGTGTTATAAGCCAGCTACTCCGAAGGGGCCCAGCTGGCTAGACAGAAACTTTTTTGTTTGCTTTCTTTGCAGGATGAACGTTCTAGAAACTCTGGGTGCTATACAAGCTTAATACAAAACCAATTTTTTTTCCTGTTATTTAAATCTGTATTGGAATACTTCCAAGAAATGGGATCAGGGGTAAAGTAATTATAATAGGAATAGTGTGTTTCGGAAGAGGGTTTGAAAAAGAATCTGTGTGTGCAAGTGAACTGATTTCAATCCTCTCTATATATTATCTATATACCCCCTTGAATTTTTTCTAGTTTTATTTCTTACATAAAATATTAGGAGAGAGGTAGACGAATATGTGAAGGATCCATCTATTTGGCATCCTCCTGACTTTCCTATTTGGGACATGTTAAATTACAGGTAATCTAACACTTTCAATATAAGATATGTGTAATATTCAATTTTCTAATCACATATAGACGGGCCTTGCTAAGGAGACTACAGGTTTTTTGCTACCCGAATGTTAAATAAGTCTGAAATGAAACTTGAACCTCCTTAGAGATTACTTTTGATTAGCACTAAGTACGGAATGTGAATTGATGAGTTAAAATTATTGAAAGTTGTATTGATATTAAGAAATTGTCTTGCAAGTTCGATTAATAAAGCTTGCCCCCAGTAGTATTTCATCAAATACGGTAATCGATCAAACTACCAAACAAAGGCCCCGAAATACTAATGGCAGGTTATTAACGTACTCCACACAGTATTTGCCATCAAACACGGTATTTGGGATATATAAACGGCTGACATGGTTAAGGGCTCTCTTCCTTGTATTACTCTTGGTTGAAAATGAATCAATTTTCTTTCTAGGTTTTGAGTACTAGCATGTATTGATGATGGTGCCTAAAGTCTAGTTTGGCCCTACATATATATATTATAAAGATACGTAGGTAGATTCAACTTAAGGTTCAAGGTAAAGGCTAGAGACCATCAGAACCTCTGAAATAAGGATACAACCACTTTTTCAATTTGGCGTTACAGTGGATGGAGTCTTGAACTTCGTTTCCAAGTGTCAAGCTGTACATTCTACGAACTTGAAGAGGGTAGGATACAATACCAGCATTGATATCGAGATCAGAAGGCATTGCAAGGGGTTGACTAAAATAGACTTCAAGTTGGAGCTATTCAACTTAATTTACGTATCAATTTAGACCCAAGGTATCCAGGTACAGCTAAAAGTTCTCAGGGAAGGAGGAACAAACAAAATTGAAATCATGCAATTCAAGAATTTGGTAAAATCAGAATTGAATATCCTCCGTCAATCTCCCAGGATAGGATATGGAGTCATCCTATCTTTCAGCATTCAAAACGACAATCTCAGTGATAACGCAGCCAAGAACATAAATACAGACAAAAAGAAGAAAACAGAGAGGCGCAGAAGAGAAAGAAGGGGGTGACCGTATACAACGTATCAGTCTATTTGAGAACTCAGGAAATTATTGAATGATCACTTGCTAGGGGCATCGTCCGGCTTCACGAACCCTCTGCCTGCAAGATAAACATACCCACAGGCAATGATAGTATAGACCCAGTCCCTCTCGTCCACATAAATGTCTTCCTTGCCCCTCTCAAGATTACTCCTTCCTCCGTGCCTAGAAAAAAACGAGTTTAGGCTCCGAGGAGGCACGGTGATGTGTCTGCAATAGACATCCCAGATTGCAGGCCACAAAATCATTGTAGTTTCTCGTCCTTCGTGTAATTCTCCGGTTAAACCATCGAACAGAGTATCATGGCCATCATGCCCGCCGGACCACCATCTTTTTGTGGTACGCGTGCCCGCCCCGTCAGGGTATTTTGGTAGTGTGTATGGACCTATCTTGTTAATTTTGTCCTCAAAACGGATCATGGATTCATCCCTGACCCACATCTGGACAGCAAAGTCACAGGCCTGCTCATAGCATCGACGCAGCAGTCCATCCCGATGGAAGGGGTGCTCGCTGTCTAGCTCCTTCTTGGGATCGTGGTCCAGTAACATAGGCGAAATGAGACTGGATCGATCCAGCATGTTGCGAACCAACTGATTTACATACCTCTGCCTAATATTCCAGCTCCTTATACCAGTAGTGCAGTCCCATGCCTCAACAGGCCATATGGGGTCTGTTTTTGGCCTAGCAGTAGGCTCAAGATACCTGTTCATCATTTGAACTGTGGAAATACGCCACTTCTCGGCACTTAACTCATCCACTAGAGGATAAAGAAATTAGCAGGCATTATGATAATATTACTAACATAACTCACCACAAAGAAGCTTTTGCCAATATTGATATAGCTCCTTTCCATATGTAGGAGGAAGAGTTGCTGAGTGCCCATCCCAATGAGTATCCAAGTCCATGTAGTAGAACGGATTCTCGACAAGACTCTGAAAGATATCCTTCATGATGACGGCCTGGGTGAATGTATGGAATCGAAAGCGTTGGTTGGGAAATGTGGCGATCAGCGAGTCCCAGTCATTGAAGAGACACCAATCCCCCAAAAAGTCAAGTATAGCTTGCTTCTGCTCCCTAGTTATTTTGTTTTCGATGTCCTCTGGAGATCCATAGTAATCGTTAACCCAGTGTTCTATGTCGGAAGTTATACAAAAGACTTTATCATCCGGGCCTTTAGGAAACATATACTCGCAAAATCCCTCAAACCTTGTGTATCCATTGGTAAAGTTTGGAAGTGGTAGGACTTTCTGTGGCTGAACATATGGGTCTTTCATAGTAAAGGGGTAATCCGGATGGTACATATCCCGGCGAGGAGGATGGGGTATTTTTTGCCACCCAGACCTCTGGTCTCTCTTAAATAGCTCTCGTCTGTGTCTGAAGAGCTATCTTCGGCCACTGGAGATCGCTCTCTATATAGGCAAGTCTGACGTCGGACAGGTGGCAGTCGTTCAGATTGATTCGAAATAGGTGTTGATTGTTTCAACTTTTGCGATGACTTATCATGATCCTTAACAGCTAAGGGAAGGGATGTGTCGTTGACCAAGGAATCCATTGAGGACGAGCAACTATTCTGCTTGTATAGCACACTTGTTAGTTCATTTCATAGGATATATACTAATCTTAGAATACCTTAGATGATCTGTCTTGATTTTCTTCTTCTGTGCCGGCTTCGACTTTCACGTACCCAATGTCTAACTCAGAACCCAATAGAACGGAATTGTCAGCCTATATGTGATATTTAGTCTTTCCCATCCTCTGTCAAAAATGTTTAGAACAATTTCATTAAACCTACCATCTCCGCCTCTAGGCTTGGCTGCAGTTTCTTTGCTTTCGGGGTATTGCTCATTCGAGATTTCTCTCTTTGCCCATCCTGCTTCCTAGGAACAGTCCCCAGAGATGGGATTGGGAAATAAATACTTTTGATAAAAACCAAAAGGGTTGAAAAGGTTGGGGAAGAGAGGGATGCTGCACTGAGCGACAGCCCTGGAGAGCGCCTGAGACATTCGCTTAAGTATTGAATTGTTGCATGCCATCATTTACGACCAAGATCAGAGCAGCTGAGGTTTTCTTTCATTTCCTTTTGGTTTTGAAATAGACTAGGTGGCGTTCAAAGGGTTCTTTGTGGTCAAAGAATTCGTGAGAAACAAACGCCCTTACTCCCGGAGAAACCCGTGTCTCGTTTGTTGAATAACGAGATATCAAGAATTTTTGAAAATCACCAGCTAGAGATAGGCCTAGAATTGAAACTGTGGTGTATTAGATCACTCAATCCTACACACTATTGCATCTACAGACGAAATACTCTTCCCAGTATTAGAGGGATCTACATAAAAACTGATATGAACCCCTGTATATTTTGGATGTGGCTTGAAGCCCGACATTTCAAACATTTTAAGACAGTCGTATTCGGGATTTTGCAGGCTGTCAGGATCAACATATTCATGCACCCCCCCCGTGAACCAGATGATTTACAGTGGTGTAACATAAGTATTTAACCTCGACTACTTTCGGACCGGAGGACCCACTTTTTAATACTGCCATGCAGAAACCTCCAAAATTCATGTCCTATGCTAAGGCCTCAATAGCTAGTATGCCAGCCCTCATACTTGATAACATCTGCCACTCTATGGGGCATAGTGTCTGATAGGTGCTTAAAGATCTCAATATCTAACGCTTCCCATGCTTCCTGCGCAGCTTTAACCAATAGATCTAATGTAGATGTGTTATTTGGTAGGTGCATAAGCTCAGGGTAACGCTTCAATATTTCAGCCTTTAGTAAAGCCCATAGGTTCTCAATTGGATTTAAATCAGGTGAATAGGGAGGCCATTCCATAATATCGCAGTTTAGGTCATCAAGAGTGTTCCGTACAATCCAAGCTGTGTGTACTGGTGCATTATCTTGTTGAAAGATAGCATCATGATCAAGGCTATTAAGAAGGGTAGGTAAAACACACCTTTAAAGCTCTTCAATCGTACGAGAAGAGACACCACCCCGTTGAGATGTAGGATCTCCAAAAAGTGGAATAAGACCAGATCGACGTGGTTGACCAGAAAAAGCAGCCCAAAACATCTGTTTAATTTGCTTTCCTCGTGCTGGAATCATTTGGATCTGAGACCCTTCTTGTGGATGCTGAAAAAGCTGGTCTTTTGGGCGTATAAAGCTCCATTCTTGACGCTGGCCAATTCCACGCTCAATTGTACATTCATCTGACCAATAGACACGGGCCCAATCTGAAGGTGTAAAATGTTGGTATTGTCGGGCCCATCGTAGGCGTTTTTCCGCATGTAAAGGTGTTAAGGAAGGCCTTTGCATCTTCCTCCAATTTCGAAGGCCCATTTCATGGGTTAAACGCCAAATTGACATACGATGGACCTTAAAATCAACCTCTGCAAGTAGGTCTTTGATTAATATTGATGGGTTTTCTTGTATAGTCTCGTATATATGGTCACGATCATCTTCGGTGAGCTTCTTTGGGGCGCCTGAGCGTGGTAGGCTCTCTTGTTTTTGACGATTTTTCTCTTGGGTAAGAGTATACTGAATAGTTGAGCGTGGAATATCGGGAAAGCGCATCTTTTTAATAGTAGTTGCGCCCCAGCCATTTGTAGCATGTAGCTCGCAGATCTTAGCCCTAGTAAGGCAATCAAGCTCAGGGCCTGTTTTCCCACGTATAGGGGGCATAATATAGCAATATAACTGTAGGCGATATATGTTCGAATAATAATAGATTGTGTATAACAGCAGGTTACGCTACGCGTGGGAGAACGCGGTGTACTAATATAGTAGGCGGTATAAAATAGCGGTCAGACTCAAAGTGGTCCCAAAAGTAGTCGAGGTTAAATACTTATGTTACACCACTGTATGTATTCGTGTAGTATTGAGAATAACAGGGTTACCGACCTGTGAGTGCTGAACAGGTGGACAGCATACTAAAAATACCATTGGATGGCATTCACCTATCCCCCTCATCTTATGCATGCGCTATGCACATAAGCTCCAATAATTTGCCACCTACAGCCGCGCCGCTACGCATTGTCCCCTTGATTACGAAACAAGATAACCTCCCAACCGACAAGCATATTTCTTCAACATTATGACTAGACCTCTACAATCTCTGAGTGCAGCCATTATGCACTTATCTCACGTCAAGAAAATAATCAAGATCCTATCCGAGGCATGTATCATGAGAAAAATGCAAAGGCTGATAGGTAGCTTTATAGAAGTCTTTCCTAAACTGGTTAGAGTTTCGGCGATAGCATCTACAAAGCCGATAACGGTCAAGACGACATCTCCTAGACCGGATGTGCGGATCTCCGAGAGAGAACGCCGAACATTCTGGACTCCTTCATCTCCCATCCATCTGACAAGAGATCGGGATTTCAAGTTGCGTTCTCGCACCGCCGAAAACGAGCAATCATTACTAACAGCATCCAACACGCTTATTCGATCATAAGTCACCCTCCAGGTCATGCCTTCCATTGCGGGTAGGATACATTATGTGTGGGCTTAAGAGTGGACCGTCTACTCGTTCGTTGCCCGGACGCTCCCTTGCTGTACTCGTCTCCGTCCTCCTTTCACCTAGGAAAGTAGGGGGAATCAACTACAGTATGTCCAATGAAAGAAGGCTATTTCGAAGATTATTAATCGTCTCGATCAACTCATCCTCTCTGTTATTCACCGCCCGAAACGTAAGAGACATCAGATCATCTGTGCCACCACCGTTGTAATTCGTCTTAAGGGACTTGATAATGGTGCCCATCCGACGCAACAGGTGCCTAGATAGTTGTAAGATCATAGTGATCTGCAGCGCGGAGGAATCAGGTACAGAGAAGGACCCGACTTTCATGTCAGGCATCTGGACATAATCTTCGCGCGCCGTTATCGTGGAGCGGTCCAAGCACGCTTGCATATTTCCGAAAATATCATGGTAGGTTTCAATGAGACGCTGATAGCATGAAAGTATGAGCAAGAAAGATGACTGATCGAATGGAGAGTCATTCGGAGCAAACACTGGCAATTCATCTTCCCGTGAAGGTTTAATGGTGCAACCATTAGACCCTAAATTTCCCGGGTATAGCTTGTCAAGGACTTCTATCAAACGCTGTGATAGCTGGAAAGTCTTGTCAATCGCGAAGTCTTTCTCTTTCCAGCTATGAGGCTGTGATATACAAGCTGGAGGCTTAGGTATCGTGGAGGAAAGTGTAAACATTTCAACGTTGAGATCTGAGAGCCCACGAATAGTAGAGAGTCGCAAATTTTGTGTTTCTTGGGACTTGGGCCTAGGAATACCGGCGCAAGGTCGCATCATTCCATCGTCTGGAGGTGATTGTTGTTCTGCAGACAGCATCGCCCACTCCTCGTTGAATCGATACTGCCAAGTGTTCGCGGCATTCCCTGATTGTAGGTAGGGGTCGGCTGTAGGAGAAGCATTAGACAGGGCGCAGGATGACGAGAACCCTGAGTCAAGGTCGACAAAAGTCAGCCCTGACCAGGTGGCTGTCGTTGGATTCTCCAGCATTGGACATGTACTGAGCGCGCTGAAATCAAACTCAGGTTGAATGGGGAATGACGCGTTCAATGGCGTCATGGACTGGATTCCATTACCATCATCGTATGTGGGGCTGTTTCCCGGAGTTGCGATAGAAGATTCTTGGAGGTTTGGCAATTTGGAGTTCAGCCGTTCGCTCTGGCGGCGTGTTGAGGGGGGTCCAGGTACAGACAGCTTTTACCTTTCCACAGCGGATGCAAGGGCCTCCATGTCCGGATCTCGAGCAGCGCAGCTTCTGGCCGTGGCACCTGTCACAGGCGGACCGTTGGACGGGATTGGGCATAGTGACGCTGGCAAAGAAAGTACGTCAAAAAAATTACAGTGAAAACGGAACGCCTAAATGTACATAGGAACGAGCTTCATCAGTTTGCGATGAGGTATATGCGTGATGTGATGTTGAAAGGAGGGAGATGGTACTAGAACAAGGGAAAATGGGCTGACTGAGCGGCACCAATCAGCAGCGGCGCATGGCTTATGTAAGGCGGGATCTCCGCTCGTGCCGTCACCTCACCCGCTACTGCTAATCCCAGGTCCACTCTAAGTAATATATACAAAACAACTTTAACAACTTTTTTTGTCAAGGCTAGTGATACATTTATTGTAAATTGAATTGAAAAGTAAAAAAGAAAAAGTGATTTTTTGGAAGGGATAAGCATCTACATATTTATTGTAGAGTAATTATAACGTCTATCTGCATATACTGTTGTTCTCAGATGCCTCGTCTTGCTATTGCTCACCATGGCAGGTTTGATATGAATTTTAACTCAAGTCCTATTTCAGCATCTTGCTTAGGGGGACCTTCTGGTGCAACAATTTCTTCAAAGGAGGGTTTGTAAGCCGACACTCCGTCCTCGCCCAAGCCAACAACACGGCCCTCTTGAACAAAGACTTCGACCCAGGCGAGGCTGGCGACCACGTGACGCTCGCTGAGATACGGAGCCTCCTTCTCAGGAAAGGTCTGGCGAATCGGATCATATGCGATTGCGCGCAGGGTTTCAAGATCACGCACATAGAGTTCGACGGTGAAATCGTGATCCTCAATGGACCATTCAGCACCCAGTTCGCTCTTGAAGCGCTCGAGGCCGTCTCTCGTGTCTTTCGTTGAGAATACCTTTAGTGAACTTTTAGCATCTCCCAGCATATAATAAACTTGTCCTTCCAAAAAAAAGATGCTACTGATCTAACCTGATGATACAAGACAAGACCCTTGCTGGAATGAAGAGTTGCTACTTCCTTTGCGTGAGCAATTGTCCCGAAAAAGTGACAGTCGCGTTCCGAGCAGCCGTCCTTTCTGTAATGCGCCGAGGTCAGACGCAGGAGTCGCTCTTTGGTACTCATTGTGTATGTGATAAGACAGCCAAGTTGGGCAACTAAGGTTCGCATACCATTGTTGGGAATATATGTATGATTGATTAATTATATGGTTCAGGTATTGGGTGTCGATCAATGGTTCGGCGGCCCCACTCAGACTATGTAATGTTATTGGTTAATCGGCTGATCGACCCGTCCTTGGTGGCACGTTCGGTAGTAAGTGGGGGTGCATGATTAGTCACTACCGAACTACCGAACGGTTACTACCGAACGCATGAGAAGTATGGGTACCTAGGTAGTTTTCATACTTTCGGCGGTTACCAATTTTCTTCGGATCTACATACAGCGTTGCTGCGTTTGTAGATTCCAATATGAGCCCCCAAATGCAACACGAGGCTCTGTCTTCAACACAGAAGTTCTTCTCTTTCTCATGTGGCCTATTTTCTATACACTGCCAACGTAGTAGTCTGTCGCAAACACACACTACGCATCAAACTAACCATGAGCAACAGCAGCAACAACGACGAGGCGTTGTCGGAGCCATTCCATGGCATTGATTCGCTGCCTCCGGGAAAAGAGGGCGAGGAGATTGAGCAGTCAAGTAGCGGAGAAGAGCCGCCAACAGAGAAGAGCTTGACTAAGGCTGAAACCTTCTTGCTTGTCGTTTCCATATGCGTGAGTGGAAGACATGCCGCCGCTTCTGTAGGGATAAGCTAACATTTTTTTCTACGACAGATTCCGACATTCATTGCGGCCCTGGAACAGGTACGTATGCAGTTTTCAAGGCGCGAACGGACACGCACAGTGCTAATATCTCTTGCAGACTATCGTAGCTACCGCAGTCCCAACCATAGCCAAGCACTTTAATGCTTCTACAGTCGAATATGCCTGGATTGGAACGGCTTACTTGCTCCCAGCTGCTGGTAAAAATCTTATTCCACTTGTCCTTACAACCTGGGCTAACTCAAGACACTAGCTTCCGCTCCCCCGTGGGGTTCACTTAGCGACATCTTTGGCCGAAAGCCGACACTGCTCGCATCCATCTTCGTCTTCTTCATCGGTTCCCTCATTGGCGCACTTGCCCCTAACATACATGCCATCCTTGCGGGACGAGTGATTCAGGGTACAGGCGGTGGTGGAATATTGGGCTTGTCAGCGACGGTCGTTGCTGATGCATTCAGTCCTCTGTAAGTCATCAAATACCCGTCACCACGATTAGTCTGTCTAACGTCAAACAGTGAACGAAGCAAGTATTATGGCATAATTGGTGTCACCTGGGGTTTGGCTTGCGGACTTGGTCCCATCATTGGTGGAGCCTTCGCCGAATTCGTCAGTTGGAGATGGTGTTTCTGGATCAATCGTATGTTCGCACCTTTCGGAGCTTTCTAAGCGACTTTGACTCATTTATTCACAGTCCCCGTTGCTGGTGTTTCCGCCGTATTCGTCGTCTTCTTCCTCAAGGTCCACACACCTAGGACACCCATCATCCAGGGGTTGCTCGCAATGGATTGGCTCGGCACGCTCTTGTTGGTCTGCGCAACCGTTATGTTCTTACTAGGACTGGGCTATGGTGGTGTTGCATACCCTTGGGACTCGGCCGTAGTCATCTGCCTCATAATATTTGGCGTGGTTACGCTCGGTGTATTTGTTGTGGTCGAATGGAAGGTTGCCAAATATCCCATCGTTCCGATGAGACTTTTCCAGTCCACTTCCAATATCAGCATTTTCGGTATCGCATACCTGCACGGTGCCATATTTATGGCCAACCTTTACTATCTTCCTCTGTACTTCCAGAGCGTCCTCGGTGCCACTCCCATCCTCTCTGGTGTCTATCTACTTCCAGTAGCAATCACCATGTGCTTTTTGTCAAGCTTGAGCGGGTACTACATTAGCAAGACGGGCCGATACAGACCACCTATTTACATTGGCTTGGTATTAATGCTTTTGGGAACTGGACTCTACATTGACCTCAAGCCTTACCCATCCTGGCCACGAATCATCCTCTACCAGATCGTATCTGGGCTCGGACTAGGGCCTGTTTTCCAGGCTCCAATAATGGCCATATTCACAATCACAAAACCAGCAGATATCGCGTCCGCAGTAACGACACTCCTCTTCATTCGTGACATCGCAACTGCCATGTCGATTGTCTTTGGAGGCGTTATCTTTCAAAACCGCATGTCACAGCAGTCCGGCATAATCACTGCTGCTTTGCCATACGATGCAGCAGCACAGATCATCGGCGGGGAGGAATCGAGTGCGCTTACCTTAATCCCCACTTTGCCCGATGACCAGAAACGCGTTATCGATGAGGTTTATACTTCGAGTATACGCACTGAATGGATATTCTACACTGCACTTGCTGGTGTAGCACTGCTCTTGAGTCTGTTAATCAGTAAGCAGGTGCTCTCTAAAGAGCACAAGCTTCACAAGACAGGACTCGATACCATGGAGCAAAATCGACTGGAGGAAGAAGAAAAGAAGAACGTGAAGCACGAGAATGGGCAAGGCCATGTCTGAACTCTTCCTCGACCTCCTAGGCCAAGTTGTGTACGATACTTGGAGAGCTCTGGTTTCATAGACTGGTCGGTGAATACACTCACTGCAAATTGTTCGATGGCATTGGAACACATGAGATTTCGCGACTGTTCACATAATCTTTCAATCAAACTTGAAATTACTTATCTAACTTATTACCTCAAGTAGCCTTTTCAAATACATTTGTTTCTGATGGATTAAATTACTTTCGGTTGTTATAAACTACTAAGAGACACTCTCCAGGTTGTATCAACTCACAACTGTGTCTCAACGTGAACATATTCGCCCACGCCACTCTGAACAAAAACGAATATCATAGCCGTGTTTTCATTCCCCTTTTATTTGATTCTATCGCCTGATCGCTCAACGCCGATGATTATATTGGGTTCGGCGACAGCATTCCGTTCGGCGATAACATGTGGGTTCGGCGTGGTCACAAACCGGGCAGGTAGAAGATGAGGTTAGTGCACGACACCACCTAATCATTGCTTTTATTCCGCTTCTACATGTAGTAATCAATATGTATTATATTCAGATCAATCCGATTCGCCCATGAGTCAATACAAGAGGTCCTCTCATTCCATTGCTTGAAATAAAAGCCTTGTCCCTTTTCACTGCTGGTCCCCTAATCAGATTGAGAATTTCCATCTTTCAACACGGCAAAATGCACACCTTCAAGTCAGGCTTCTTCAACTTCGAGTTCCTGCGACTCCTTGCCATGGCTCCTTTCGAAGGCGGCGAGATCGCAGAAATTCTCGAGACAGTCAGCAAAATCCAGGACCTGGATCCCGAGAGCTGGTACGACGCCTGGAGCGAAGCCGCCACAAAGGCTGAGCAGATTGCCCGCGAGGGAGAAGATTCAAGGGACCCAGTGGCTGCCCGTCGTGGGTATCTGCGCGCCACTCGATACCTTCAATCGGCCATGTTTATGCTTAATGAGGGTCCTGTCGGTCACGACAAACGTGTGTTGCCGACCATCGAGCGCTCAATTCGTGACTTTTGGAAGGGCGTTCAGCTTCTAGATGGACCGGTTCACTTCCTTGAAATCGACTACGAAGATGGCGTGAAATTACCGGGCTATCTATATTTGCCACCCGCGAATAAACGTCTCCCTAGCGGCAAGACTCCCATCCTCGTTAATACCGGCGGTGGTGACTCTACGCAAGAAGAGATCTACTTCATCAACGCGTCTGTAGGCCCAAGCCTAGGCTACGCAGTCCTTACCTTTGACGGCCCAGGACAGGGTATCGTTTTACGGCGCGAGAAATTGGAGATGCGTCCTGACTGGGAGGTCGTCGTGGGCAAAGTGCTCGACCACTTATGGGACTTTGCGGCGCAGCATCAAGATGCAAATCTCGATCTAGACCATATAGCTATCACCGGAGCGTCCATGGGTGGATATTTCGCGCTGCGGGGGGCCGTCGACCCCCGTATCAAAGCATGTATCAGCGTCGACGGATTCTACTCGATGGAGAGCTTTGCTGAAGGCCGAGTACCCGCCTGGCTGTGGAAGGGGTTCAGGGCCGGCTACATTTCGAAATCGGTCTTCAACACCGTAGTCGGGGTCACGTCGTCGCTTAACTTTCAACCTCGCTGGGAGTTTAATCACATGAAGTGGGCGTTGGGTCAGGATAACGAATACCACGTTATTCGACGCATGCTTGATTTCTCGCTCCGTCGTCCCGACGGCTCAGAGGTCCTGCATGATGTGAAATGTCCAGTGCTGGTCACCGGCGCTGGCTCGTCGTTCTATTTCGACCCGAGCACCACAACGCGTAGGATCACCGACAAGCTTATGCATCTAAAAGCTGGGGAGAAAGAGGAGTGGATCGCCACGGATGTGGCTTTCGGTGGGCTGCAGGCTAAGATTGGGGCCTTTGGCTACGCAATGCAGCGCACTTTTGGGTGGCTTGGTAAAATTTGGAAAATTGAGAGGGAGCCGCTTATTCTTGTGGGGAGGAGGGGTATCGAGCAAAGGCAAAAAAGGTGTTACTAGTACCGATGGTGTTCTTGATGTTGTATCCATTTTGAAGAAGCCTTGAAGAACGTATAGTATATGGACTTGTCGATTCTAGGCGTTCATAAAAATGTAATCAAGATTGCACTAAGATGATGGCTTGTTGATGCATTTGATATATACTTGTTTCTTGTTCTCCGAGGGGAATAACGGAGGGAAATTACAACAGGCAGCGGGGAATACTTGGGTATGGTGGATGGGCATAACTTCCACGGCGATCAAGTATCTAATAGTTATGATAGTCTATGCTGCGGATGAAGTTAAAGTATTAGACGAGAGCTAGATCTAGAATCCAAGTGATGTATTAACGGGCCACAAGCTGGAAGAACATACTTCCAATCCAATTAGCCTTTTGTCGGAAACCCAATACGTAGCGTAGGTGTAGATCTAGCTGAAATCACTGGATTACGGCCCGTACGGGAGAAGAGAGCGTCCAGCGGGGAAAAACGCACTTTACCATAGATACGTGTACTAAATTCTACCAGGCCACCACCCGCTGTTCTGTAAACTATAGGTATATCAGCTCAATACAGTACATAGAGCGCTATAGTAATCTGTGGATTAAGATAGTAAGATCTTGAAAATAGTACTCCCGTAATTGGGGAAGGAAGGAGGATGAAGCTATCTACGCTAGTAGATACACACATGTGCAGTGGGGCATGAGCCGTAGCTTGCCTAAGGCCTCGACACCTTTGACAGAACACGGGTGCAGAACTAGCCCAATTGGGTTAGTTCAAACCACTATTGAATGGAGAGCTCTGATTGGTCGAACCAGAATGGATCACATGACCGATCAGGTGATCTCCAGGCAGAATTTATGTGCGTAATTATCAGAATGAGAAAACCAGACCTGTTGATACATCCCATTGGCGACCGCCTACTGCATTAGACATTGTAGTCTGTCAACCTTTTACTCCAGAATGACTTTCCAGAGTCCTTTATCACGCAATGCGTACCTAGCTCATTTAAGGATCGAGGCACCCTATGTTCCTTCTCAAGCTCGCCCATCTCTTGATCTGTCAGTATCAAGAAGTCGATCATCGGCGACCGATCTCTATGATTGTATGCCGGTGATACGATGAAGTCCTACCTGCAAAGAGCTCTGAAAGATCAGCTGCAAGAACCGCCGTACCATTTTCGGTACTGATTTCAAAAGTTTCGGCGATGTTCTTAGCGTCGGACGTAGATCAGCAGAAACGGCCGGTGAATTCGTAATTCAAACATTTGAACTATAGTCATGTTAAGCCCTGCGGGAGAACATATTAGGCTACTGTCATCCCCGATGTGGAAGACTACGCGTATATTTCGTACAAAGCAATATAGCCCGATTGTCACGCCATCGCCCAGCCTTTATCTCATTCTTCCTGCACTATATCCGTACTTCCGGAACGGCTTCTGCGGCTGTCGATCGCACATTGCAAGAAGCCAAATATCTCCGATGAGGCATTTCACCGCTGGGCAACGGAGGAACATTGTGTCCGAGCAGCCACGATACATGCCAAGCATGGTGTGCGTACTTTTGACATGGTAAGTGCATTTTCAGGAACACTGTTTGCGGGAGTTATTGTTCGCATTAGGTTAGGCGTGCCAATTACTAGTCATCTTGGCTCTTCCTCTGCCCTTCTTTGTACAAGAAAGTATGCGGGTGAGATTATAGTGGCGCCGAGTAGGGCACTACAGTCCAATTTTTTACCTCCTTCATGCATGAATCGTCGTGCCCAGCCTCGTGTCAATGGTGGATCTTAAGTCTGATGCAGTAAGCTAACATGTGTATGATCTTTAGCTGTTCAGTCTGAAGCCGAGACGAGATCAGCTGCAGGAGCTGAATGAACGCCTTGGAGGCAAATGGACCGTCGATGACCATGACATCGTTGTCGAATTTTACGTGCGCGACTTGGCGGCCGTGGAAGGTATCATCAACGACCCTGACTTTCAGAAATTGCAGTCAGAAGAAGCTCCATGGATCGATGCGGAACGAGTCCCGATTGGAGCAAGCTTAGGCTTTGTTGAGGTTTATGCGGAGCAGGGCAAGGTTGTGAACGTTACGGAGGATGGGAAGCCAGATTTCGGAGTTGGCGTCTGAATCCATTTCATGTGCATACTAAGCACAGCCTCTTTTGCCCGACGGAGATATTTTGGGGGATCTTCAACGACATGGCAGATTTTGGTATGCCAGAAGCAAACATCCGTACATGTAATCCACAATAACGTCTATCGTCCATATGGTGTCAATATTATGCGTTTGCAGTGCTCGTCATCCACCTCGTGTCATTTTGGTTGCCCCTCACCCAGCAACGTATTCTGTGGCCAATGTCTGTTGGGATGCCTTCAGCTTCGAAGCTGAGGCTTAAGGAGGTCAAAGATAGAGCGAGGTTTAAGTCATTAAAGATCTGAACGAGGACGCTACACTGGATGTGATCAAAATCTCCACCGACCCACGTAGAGAACCAAGATTACCTCTAGGGATGCGTGGAAACTTAATGAAATACCTGCAAGCAAACAGATGACAATGACGATTGTCGGGGCTCGAAAAAATCTGTAGTTTGCGGTCGACCGAGTTCTATGTTCTATTAGGTATGTGTTGGATCTTCTCTTTCTGCAATTGGCTCATCTGAGAGGGGGATCGTGTTGAGGCCTGAGGCAGCTACGATTCTGTCAGACTACAAGGTCTAATGCAGTAGGCGGTCGCAATGGGACGTATCAACAGGTCTGATTCTCTCATAACACTAATTTACACGAATAAGCGTCTGCTGCGACCGTAGATCACGTGGCTAATCATGTGATCCATTCTGGTTCGGCCAATCAGAAGCCAGTATTTAATCGTGTTAAACCCGTCCCAATTGGGCCTAGTTTATCACGTTATTTTGGCTGACAGGTTCCCTCTCTACCCGGGCTAAGCCGGGATCTCATCCTTTGGGATTGAAACCCTTAACTTGACCAATATATAGACCTTGATCAACATTGGCACCCCGTGGGGGCTGCTCTGCCGTATAATGTAACCCTGTTGTGCCAATCGCTATAGTCTGCTAGTTTGGGGTCGCTTTGTTCTAATGTCGCACCATTTATGCAAGCTGTCACAGCCAATGCGGCTTGTTCATCAACCGTCCTTTAGCGATGTATATCTTAATCTTGTTAGGCCTGAAGAACATTTGAATATACTGTCCCCTCAAGCAAACATGCCCTCAAATGTTAGGACAGTAGCGCCCCACAAGCCAATGTTTTGCTACAGTAAAACCTCGGGCTACGGATATAATTTTTGCACAGACTTGGTATTCAGAGAATACTATATGCAGCCATTCGGGGGCCCTGATTGCGTCAAAAGACGTGGCGAAACAGGGATAATTGATTGCATCCCGGAGTTTTCGACATACCCGAGGTTGCTGTTGATGGACCAATGTCGACATTTTACATAACGCCTTGCCTGAAGGGTTGGTTGAAAGATCCCAGCCACTATGCAAGTCGTATGAAAAACAGACTCATTTGTTTCATGAGGCTTCATCATTCTGCATATGCACATCTCTCAGCCATTGAAGAGACAGTACGGAGACCGGCATAGACTGTCCAAGACTTTGGATCCAATGCAGTCTAACGATGGGCTAATGTAGATCCAGTCCATCTAAGTCTAGTACTTAAAACGGTTCTGTCCATTTGTTGTGTCCCCTCTTATCCATTTTGGCATTTTGTCAGGGATAAACTGTCGACAGCTCTGAGGCATTATTTTTTCCGCTCATGCATAATGGATGAAAGTCAATTCCGTCGCGCCTGTGACCGATGCCATAACCATAAACTACGATGTAAACGGAACGGGGCGAGTGGCTGCGCTCGCTGCATCAAAGCCGGGGTCAATTGTGTCTTTAGCCCGTCCCTCCGTGGACGAAAATCACGGCAAGGACCAGCCGGAGACAACGAAGGCGATCAGTCTGTGCGCTCAGCTGCGAGTTTGAATTCAAATGCACAGCAACAAGACAATGTGCCAGGCCCTACCACAAACCAGCAACTATTGCATAACATATCAGAACGTGATGGTACATGATCTGCCCCTCCACCCTCCCACCTTAGCATTACACCAAAGGGAAGAATACGCATGTGTTGACATAATACATTTTTCTCTACAGGTTGTGTTGGCATAGAAGACATAATGCAGCTTGATCTGGGGTTGATGGATTGGCCCGCACAAGATGCAGACAAATCTGAGTATAGCCTTCATCCTGGCCTGGATCCCCCGATAGCTCCAAGACCGTTGAGCAAGCACGATGAAGCTCAGCAAATAGCCTTCTCTTCATCGGATAGCATCATGGATAGCCCAAAGACAATCTATACTGAGTTCTTTGCAACGGCTTATAAAGACGTGTCAGGTTCACAGATGACTTCGCACTCCGGTGACACATCTGGTTGGATGACTGCAGACTATGCTGGTGAAATTGCTGCGACCCCTTGGATGTCGCAAACCTCACAAATGGGCCATATGTCACCACATCAACTGCAGACTTTGCCCAGCAAGGATTATCAGCCTGACCCTAATCGAAAATTAGTCGACAACGGAGGAACATCTCGTTACAACCACTCGCCACATCAGTCTGCCTCAGAGGGGGATGCGAACCCTCGTGTGTCACGGCACGACAATTGGGTTCGAAGGCTATCGGATATCAATATCAAGTTGTATCAACATGCCGCCCTAATGTCACCTCGCGATGAGCACACACTAAACACTCACTCCTCAAACTACAGTTCTTTCCCTGACGATGATGGCTCGTTCCTCTCAAACAAAGACGTAGCAGTTGATCAGACCTTCATTATTACACGGCAGCTACTCGAAATACTTAACACCCAACATCCGCCTTCCAATGGCATGGACCGTGGTAGCTGTGTACGGGGCACTTTTTCCGACTCTCTGGATCATGGCACTCTCCTGCTCATATTTTCCTCTTATCTCCGTGTCCTTGATGTTTACTCTGCCATCTTTCGCCAATTACATTCCTCGCTTAGTCCGCACCCGTCACGACCATCAACCTCTGCTTCATTCAATCACCCTTCTAACCCTTTCTGTGGCACGGATGCTCCCACTCACGGCGGCCTGTCGCGTTTCCCGACGCTCAGGATTGGCGACTTCTCGCTTCAAGCCCCTTCTTCGCTGCACACACTACTTGTTGTCCAGCTAGCGGAGCAGCTACTCCAGCGTATTTATGTAACGATGCAACACTTGAACCGCCGTCGATCTCAGCGACATTCAGTCTCAGAACCTTCGCCTCCTCGACCCTCCAGTAATCGTCACGACACTTTTGATGGAGCTGCCGAGGAAAAAAAATGTCGGAGATGTGTCTGAGATCTTATTTAGATCCATGCACAAGCATCAAATGGAAGTCATGGGGATATTGAGGGAGGTTAGAAAGGCCCTCAATGCACGATCATGACACTAACTCAATTTATATAGAGCATAGATTTCTCAATCATACATATTCATGCACAATTTTTTCGCAGATATTAAACCGCATTAATTTTTCAACTATCTATCACGATCACGAACATCGTAACATATAATACAACCTTACAGCAATTTAGTTTACGCATATCCACTTGTCTACATAGAACGAGCGGTGATCTCGCGACCTGGGGTGATCCTCACTGACACTCACCTTCTTGTTCCCTGGTCGCGCGACCGTCAAGCGGCGATCAGCTCTTTCTCCACTGGGGTAGACGGAATGGTTGGCATTCGGCGCGTGGCCTAAGTACAGACATTCCTTTGCGGATAAAATAGAAGGAGAAGGACAGCCAAAAAAAAAAACAAAAAACAAAAACATACAACAGTCAGAATTTTTATGTGGTGACCCATTTGATCAGGAACTGGTGAGATCGTTATTAGTCAATGTCCCCTCGTTTTGGGAATATTGATCGCTGAAGAAAAAGCTCCCTTGCTAAACGGGCTAGTGTTGTACTCCTTGAGCAATACCAATTGCTTTGTAGCATAACACTTCGAATTGTGGCGAAGTGCAGACGCTAAGAGATCTAAGAGATCCGTTGTTTCAGGGAGAGGCATTTGGCCTAATAATATCTTGCGCTGGCTCAGCTAAAAGGTTCAGTGCGAGGTCGCACAACGCAGGGTGATAATCACCCGCTCTCACCCGGCCTCTCACCCCGTCTATTGCGCACTCACCCTATCTCACCCTAGCCGCGCGACACTAAAGCGGCGTTCACCCTGTGCTCACCCGGGCGACACCCACCAGACTATCGACCGCGTTTAAGCCACACGCCGGTCAGTTAGTAGTATGGTGGGTGACCACATGCGAATCCTGACTGTTGTATGTCCGCGTTCACCGATTTTTTGCTGATTCATTGCGAAATTCTCGCTTGCCGCCCTACTCTCCAGTCCGTTCAAGCCTCTTCCCATGAGTGCCCTGAGTGAGCATCACTATTTTGCATCCAAATGTCCTGCACGTGCCTGAGCCGCTGATGTAGCCTTCCCCTCCTGTACTGACATCTTCTCGGCAGAAGCGTTGTTGCTATCACTACAATCTAGTCTTGGCCTGCGGTATGTTTTTTTTTTGCCTGGGAGTAGTTCAAATCTAAGAACAAGACATGCCCCCGTTTAATGATGACCTATACTGAAGAAAGTTTGGCTAGAAATATTCTTAAACCCTTATCTAAAGCCGAAGACCCTTCTTAATAAGATAATATCCTTTATTGTTTTGTCACCACAGGGCAGATGCATATTCTGGTTGAATGGAATAGCGGGAACCGGGAAATTAACTCTCTCTCGAACTATGGCAAAATCATTCCGCCTATCTAATTTACTAGGCGCAAGCTGTTTTCTCAAGAAAAGAGGAGGCAACAGAGGAAATGTAAGAAGGCTTTGCCCGATAATTGCCAGGCAACTAGCGATTAGATCTCTTTAATCCTCCAAGAAGCAGTCCCTGATAACCTAGGTATTACCACTAAGATACTGCAGGAGCAGTTTGAAAAACTCCTTCTTCAGCCATTCCAAAGCCTTGAGCGATCTAAAATCACTATCTCGATCATTGTGATAGTGATTGACGTATTAGATGAATGTGAGGGAGAGAATGATATTCAACTAATACTCCAACTCCCCCCCCCAGCTATAAGACCTAGCAACTATATATCCATATGTGTTTTTGACTAGCAGGCCTGATCTCCCCATAAATTTAGAGGTCTTGAAGCTCGTAGAAAACGAATATAGAGACTTTGTTCTCCATAAAATTTCGTTCTAAGTGATCACGTTTAATATCTTAATATTCTTGAATAACCGCATTAAACTTAGAAGAAGAACATCTTGAGAACCCCCCTCTTACAATCTAGCCTCTTTCAAGAGTGCCTGCTTGTGTCAAAGACCATCGTGGGATGACACTCGCTCTAACAGGGGTATCTCGGACAGCCCTGGAGCCTAGCCTCTTAGAAGCCATTTCCAAGATTAGACTATTACGAAGTACAAGTAGTTACACCGACCTAAGGTCGCGAACTTAGTTTCGTATTTTAGCATACTACAGAGGGCCCGAAGCTTAATTAGATGAATTAACAACAAGGCTGTGAGCTTGATTATTAAAGTTGAACCAAGGAACGAGGTCTGAAAACGTACCTACGAGGGCAAGCCAATGCTCTTCTAGGCCGACCCAGAGACGCTATGACACTCTCAGAGCACTTAAGTACATATTAATGTATATGATCATGATCGACTTCCTAAACTCAAGTGAATTAATCTTAAAAATCCGAGGAATCATTAATTAGCTTTGCCCGATGGTCCCACCTCCTCCTTGCTCCATGTAGCCTCTCGTAGCGTTAATTCTTCTCATATAAAAGTATTTGCCACCCACCCTACTAACAATTGACCGATAGTTATTATAGGGAAAACCTCCCTTATTGTCCGGCTTCCTTTAGACCGCCTGTAATTTGGTTTTCGTATATTTGCTACAGCTATGCAACTTGGTGTCTACCTCTGTTTCACGAGGTTTATGGCAGCAATTCATTGAGTTAATCGATAAATATTAGGAATACGCAATAGCTTCTTTAATCAGTTAACTGGCAACTAATTGCTAGCTTGTTTTTATAATATTATTTGAGGCTTACAACACGCCAGAATAATTATTTTTCCAATCAGATTTTAAAGATATTATAATGATAAAGATCTTTAAAATTTTAAATTTGAACGCTATAAATATTGGGCAGCTTAGAATATGAAAAGAATAAAGTTTAAAAATAATATTCAAGGGACTTTAAAATGAATGACTGAAAAAATTATACCATGCAAAATATCAGAGTGGGTTTAATGTAAAGTTACTATAATTTAAAATGGCTTCGGTGTTAGGTCGGATATAAGCAAATAGCAAGGAGCAAGGTATTGTTCAAGCCATTAAGGAAATCTTAAAATAGTTAGTTAAAAATAGAAAATTTAAAGACCATAGGAGAAATAAAAATGATATATGATCTATGCCTAAATTTTAGATACTATAGCTTACCCAATACACCAAGTTCCAAGATTTTGGTTTCATTATCTAAACCCTGTGGATGGGCTTGTCATTAGCATTATTCAGCAGTGTTTCGCTCTACTATGTGACAAATCGTCGTCTAATGAATGGCATTCCCCTCTTTATTTCCACAGAAAACCCATCTATCACACCTTATTTTGGTAGACCATGATGCGGACTCTGTGGAGAATGCTCCAGGTTACAATCCTTTTGGAATGGCCTCTAAGTAAGGTTTTTTGAGCTGGTTGACGTTTTTCTGAAGGAAAAATGCCGAGGCGATGAGAACACGATTCACAGAACCACCTGCTGATAAGTAAGAGGATTTGAAGATAATGAGACATCAGATATGGGATAGCAAAGTAGAGAGCTATCTATGCAAAAACGGCCTTCCCTCATAGCTTGGCCAAGTCATAGCTTGTATTTCTAAACATATCCACAATCAAGCACTTTTATCTTTATGAATATTGATACGATGAAATAAAGCTACTAATCATGTATCTAACAAAGCCTTATATTCATTCTGATAACGGAGATTTATATGCTACATTAACCTGTAATCATACTAATTGCTAAGCTACTTATCCAGCCGATTGCTGAGTACTGACTAAGAATGATAACGGGGTCAGCTAATATAATACTAGAAGGAATATGGGCAATAAATTATGTATATTATATGAGTAAAAGATGATAGAGGAGTTATTATGGTCAATCAAGAGGTACTATAGTGCTCAGAAACCTTCATGGTTATTATGTCTTGCATTCTTATATTTTGCGGGAGGATAGGGTGGCTCATAAGCCATGGAGAAGCAATTTTGGTACAGTGAGGCATGGAGGAGCAGCGAGATCTACACGGTGATGGGGCTATGTATAACGGCTCAGACTTATACTCATGATCCTGGCCTGATCTGGTAATAAGCTTAAAGGTAATAGACGGAGCTGGAGCCTTTCTTCACTCTTTTCGTAGGAAAGGATCCTCAGTGCCCGCTCCACATTGATCCTCTCAATTCATATCTCTTCCCTATAGTATTGTTAACTATTAAATTGAAGTACCAGGCTTCCTCCAACTGCTTCCATCTTCATTTATCCGAGTCCATATCCAGGGAACTACTGCCCCATCCAGATGAGATGAACGTGAATCGGTCTCCAAGTCGAACTTTTCCAACATGGAGCATAATTCATCAGAATATTTATTCTCCACAAATTGTCTTGCCTTGAGATATTCTTGAATGAAGAGAGAGGCTTCTCCGCGGGAAGCAAGCTTTCGGTGGCACGCACGAGACTGTTGGTTCACCTCATGTTTCGCGCCCTCACTAGATGATGTAAGAATCGCCAAAATGAACATAGAACAAATTCAAAGATCAGCACTCACGTGAAGTCTGTATGTATTGTTGCTCCATTTTTGCCATTTGCTACAGCGTATACAGTTTCCACTTGACTTTGCAATACTCTCTTTTCAAGGTTAAGAGTATGAACATGCTCTAAATCAAACCCACTCTCAGCCAAATATGTGACTGCATCCTGTAAATTCTGGAACCCTTTATGTTTCTTTTTCTTACAGTCGGTGGTGAGTGCGTCGGCGATAGCCCTGGACAGAAATCATTATCTTGAAGTAGGATAGGCTAACTGAGGATTCAAATACCATGATGTGGTTATAAACCCTGAGATGTGGCCGTGGGCGACCGCGTGATATTTCTTTGCTCGGCTTTTTGGCATAACGTTAAGCTGATAAAGAATGGAATTAGAAAAAGTGAGTGACCTTTTCCTCATATGTGAAGGGCTCAGCATCACTCATCGCAACCCCCCCCCCACCATCCAATTATACCAATCAGATATGATTTTATTGATTTTATTGGCTGAACTGCCTACAACTTATAAATCGAGCTAGTCAAGTATCCAGGTAGAGAAAGGCGCAGTGATATGCATGGTTTATTTCTATATTTGGATCGGATCACGTCTCCTGAGGTGGTATTCTCCAATCCTGCATGCGCTGCCACTCGCCTAGTTTTACCGGAAATCACCCATGCGACATGGAAATTATGTATTTGGCTTATTCAGTTCGAGTTCCATACACTCTTTAAACTTGCATAGACCAAGGGTAAAGAGAGGTGAATTCATGAATTCACTAAATATTAGTCGTGTCTGGACTAGATAAGTCCTTTACTAGGGGCATCTGTAGTCAATGACTCTTTCTTTCACACTTGCTACAATAAGCCCGTTTTTCATTGAAGGTAAGCATGACCTTTCATCGGACCATCCGTCCTCAGGGCTTACCGCCCTGGGACCGGTCTGAGAGACCTCATTAGTAGCTCTCGCCTGTAGACCTTCTTCTCCTTCTCCTCCTAGTACCTTTCCCAGCCTCAGAATAAAATGCTGGAAGCTGAGAGTGTGCCACCATGTGGTGGAGGTCCACAACTACACAAGAAATTGATAGAAACGTAAAAAACCCCATTTTTAGCAGTCATGGGACCGTATTTAAGGCTGAAGGTCAGGTAGACATGCATTTTATGCTGATGACGCTGGTAGACTAATGCAAGCCCAATCTGTAGTTGACTGGCTACCCAAAGTGAGAAAGTCTGATTCATGAGTGGGAGGGCGATCCAATACCTGCCACTAACTTCAGATATGTCTCGCGAATAATAATACGAGATACTTGATACAGTAACTAGTTTTATGAACCTTGGAATGTATGAAGTAACGCAGTCATCTTTCAAAGATGCAAAATAGTGAAAAAACACGTATGCAATCGTACTATGAAGGACGAACGGGAAGAAATATCGTATTTCTTCTTTCTTGGACATATGTAACTCGATATGTTTCAAAGATAGATTTCCATGATTATAATTTCACCCCACCAATTTCAAAATCACCATCACTCTCAACTTCTGCGCAATTCCCACTAGAAGGTAAGGATACACTCATTGAGTCTGAGTTGACATTCATGGGAGATGATTGAAGATTGAGCATTTCTAACAATTCATCGAAGGGCACATTGGCAGGCAGTGTAATGAAATCAGATCCAATGTCAATAAGTGTTGAGATGCCCCCTGCTGTCGAGTCTGGATGGTGCATTCGTCTACCGGCACTAGTAGACACATCATTATCTAGGCTGTGTCGCACAGCGCGAGTCATGAGTTCCAGAACGGTTTTCTGATTTTGAAATCGCAACGCAGCATTGGGTCCGTTGACAGGAATATCCGGAAGTCGCCAGGCCGGATAGAGCTTCTGGTGGGAGGCAGGGTGCGAATAGCGTCCCGGATGATTAGAAATAAACAAGTGACAGAGATAGCACGCTGGTTTGCTGCATCCAATGTACCTGTCCTGCTCAAATAGAAATCTGCCTTGCGACTGCTCAAAATGATCGAGGACCAGAAGTTCAGCATGCACGCGTGTTTTGGTCTTACAAAGATCCTTGGCAAGTACCCTATTCAATTCCTCCTCTGAATAGATTTCTCGTAATTGCTGCAAAAACATTTGCTCTTTGGCAGTCTCAGAAAATATACGATGACTTATATTCTGTACGCCACACGAACGGACCACGAGAGGGATTTTCTGCTCTGGCGACCCGTCAATAGTCTCAATGCGAAAGCCCCGTGCTAATTCGGAGTGGAGCCGGGTGGTAGCCAAAACAAGACGTTTACATTGAGCGACATGCTTTCCCAGCTTGTAGAGCAACTTAAAGAGTCGCTCAAAGTTTCGAGACTGTTCGGAATTCCCGGGGTAATTATGTAAAGCTTGGAAAATCTGCCGGTCACGATAGCTGGCTTGGGCTAGTATTGGCATGTCGCCTTCTTGAAGGGGAATGCCATCTTTTGATAGATTTGCTGAGAACCAAGCACGGAGCTTGATAATATTTTCTTGATCTGATCGTAGTTTTAGTTCCCAATTAGTCTTGATATCCAGCGAAACTTGATGTTTATGACGGGAAGGAGCGTTTACCTCTCAATTCAGACTCGGAGATAAGTCGATGCATCACTAGAGAGACCATTCTATTCACTTGCAAGTAGTATTGAAAGATTTTTGGGGCATTGAAGGGCAAAACCTGTTTGAATAAAACATCAAGAAGCTTTTGGCCCTCACTGGTGTCCAGTCGAATGGTATGGTTCTTGATGACCCATTCAAGAATTTTCAGAATCCTTTCTATGAATTCGACGACTTCATTACCAACCCCATCATTAGCAGCCAACAGAACCACTATATCCTCGGGGGTCTCTTCCAAAGCTACCGCAGTGACATACCCGGGCTCCTTTCGATGTGCACTTATGTAGGCAATGGCGTCCACAAAATCCCGATAGCACCTGGGTCCTGCCAGCCCCTGGCCACCGTGCGATATTTCACTAGGTAGAGTTCGATCCCCTCTGACTTGACTGAGAATCCACAGTAAGCATAGAGGCTCATAGAATCTCCGCAGTCTCCTAGCTTCGTGGGACATCAGAGATTTTATGGAGTCTCGATCCCTTGGGACCATCGTAGAGAACATTCAAAGATATGAATAAAGGATTCCGAATTTTCATTCTTTGGGAGTCAACTCTCATTATTTCATTCGAAATTTATACATACAGTCGTCCTCAGCCGCATTGCCTTGCTTTCAACTCTTATTCCCCGCCTCCCGTATTTTTGCCCCTCTTTCCGTCACTTGCGGATGAGTATCCTTGTCACTGTCTTTAGTCCTTCCTTTTTTCTCCCTCTTATTTTTCTGCACTTTCTTGATATCCGAATGACAGGTCTTATTCAGGCCACGTCATATTGCGTTTCCAAAGGCTGGAAACCGGACAGATGCATAGTAGTAAAATGCAAAGGAGTCTTCTTCTGGGAAACCTCTGAGCAGTGCCGGGGCCCCACTGGTGACTTGGAATGATTTGGATATTTTTGAAATGAAGCCTTACACGATTGGAGCCCGAATTTGCCACCTGTATTGCCCCGCATGAACAACACACCTACCGCACGCAGGACACGTCACGACGCACATAGTTTTGGCATGTGACTTTTTACAGGATTAAGCGCAAAATTCAGTTTCAAGCTTGGTGTACAGGACAGCCTGAGTATGAGTCACAATAAACCTCTCTCTCACTACAGCCCATGAAGGTCTCTCAAAAGTACCTAAAGAATATAGGGTATCGAGAGACCATCCGCAGGAGTTCCGAATTCTCCAATTCAATCAGCGCCCTAAATCATCAGCATGGCTACTGTACAAGAATCATGCAATCCGGAAAAAAGCTCTGATGGTGAGTCTTTAGGCAGTATTTAGAGCCGGGTTGATTCTTACATCGCAGAATATACAGATCTTCTCATCGGTACACTTGTTTGTCGAATATCAATAATCTCGTCTCTTACAAGCTCCGAAATATCGCGCAATGACACTGAGGTTAGCCACTCGTTTCCATCTTCTTTTAGGGCTTCAACCTAAATTTGATTCAGGTTTATTTCAACCATTGTTTTCAGTCTTACGACTGGCATACAATGATCGCGTCCCTCAATATCATCGGGGGGTCTCACCAAAACAGAATCGCAGATACCAATGAGAGTGCCCGGGACAAAGTAGTCTCCTTGATAGGGCAAACTTACAGAGTCTGTCATGAGTCGCAAAGGCCGTCGTTTATCTGGAGCCTTGCTGACATATTGTCGCCTACCTCCGGGGGGAAAACTCTCGGCGGTAGTCAAGAAATTTCGAATACGGAAACATCGCTGTCAGGCGCTCCCATTGCTGTTCAGTCGCAGGCAAGACAAAATGTCGACAGTGAAGTTGCTCTCCATCGATATACATCTATTTTACATGAAAGAGGCCAGAGAGAAAATAAAAAGCTAGAGCGAATTGAGGAGGAAGTAATGTCTGTTGATCCTCCTCTGTTTAAAGTGACAATTCAGTATGGGGATATCACTTGCTCTGGAGAGGCCGGAACGAAGAAGCAAGCATCACACTTGGCTGCCAAAGCAATTTGTGGAAGATTAAACCAAAATATATAAGCACCATCCTATGAATATCGACTTTCAGGGCTCAGTTCACGAAAAAGGAATGAAAGAACCGCGATCTCTTCACTGTGTTTGGTGGGTCGTTACGACGACAAGATATTGACTAAATAAACCAAGATATGACTTGTATTGCAAAGATTGGCACTTTTCAGACAATACGAGAAGACCATCATTACCAAAGTAACTTTTCAAAATTCGGATAGAGAAATATGGCCGAATTCCACCGGAGACCACCGGTTTGGATCACCGTTCTATACACAGCAGCGACTGGATTGGACACCACTTCCACATTGAGCGAAGTCAAGGGTGCTAATAATTTTGTTAAGCGTCCCTTCAAGGCGAGATAGGAAACTTCAAGGAATACAACTAGACCTTGAGATCTAGGAGAGAAATTTATTTGTATCATTCAATTCTAAGAACCATTATTTGTACAGAGCTTCCGGCATAATTGAAATGACACTTCGTGGTCGACCACTCTTATAGGCGGGGCTTTGACGCTGTCATATTGGCTCCAAACCTCGGCCCGTCAAAGCATAAGCTTATCTTTGACATGATCTACAGTAGAGAGCTGCCTGTATCGCAGATGGCATGAGCTGCTGGTTGCAAGCGAGAACAATCCTGAGAATCCGTAATATAAGAATCTTCGACTACTCAAAATCGTAGTTAAGCTCTTCCTATACCTGGAGCTCAGCGTTTGGGGTAGGGGTAAAAAGCACTGCACCGGACGTACCAAAGTACAAGCGAATGGTGTAAGAAACAGTATCCTTACCAATGCAAGGATAGGCAGAAATTCCAAAAGTAGACTAGCGGAGCTTAGGAATTATGATTGGAGAAAACAATGAAAGTGTGGATGTGGCGGCACCGATTTTGAGACCCACTATATTGTTTGCAGTTCAGACGAAGTGAATCAAAGCCTTGGAAGTGGCTAGGGGTGATGCCTACCTTCAAATTGAAAGATTTCCTAGGGGAATTCAGCGACAACGAGTTGATTTAGCGAGCGGATCTGCGGGGGTATAAGGTTGTGAGCAAGTGAAAATTTGCGAATTAGGCCTTAGTAGTGAGGTGGAATCAAGTGCAAATGTTAGATTGTAGAATGTTTGGTTAGAACAGAGAATGTCAGCAGGTTTTTTTTTTTTTGGAGGATCTTTGAGCCTGTGTAATTTCAGCCGAGAATAAGAAAATGTTTTCACTATCAACTTCACCTACACATACACAACTAATAAAGTAAGCCACATTCTGCTAGTTTTAAAATTCTGAAATGAATTCCGGCCCGCTCCGGCCCCGAGCAACCCCTCTGTTTTTGTCAAAATCTCATTCCCCGCCAAGTAAATTGTACGTTCCTCTGAACCCATTCTCGCTTTTGAATCTACTTGTGCCTCTTTTCCTGGCTTTTGAATCTTTCCATAGAAATCAATTGCTCAACACCATGGTTCTCATCGGCAGGGAATGCTTGCCAGCTCATGAGCGCGCGTATCAGCTGGAGATGCTGCGTGCTAGTCTCCAGCGGAACATCATTGTAGTGGTAAGAACTGAGAAGTTTTCTAACATTGCACAGAGGAACCAGACTCAGCTACTGACGCGAGGGCTTCAGATGGATACGGGGACAGGAAAAACGCTAGTGTGTGTTTGTTTCTATCGAGATCGATCCACTTTTCAAGTTATTGATTAATACTTTAGGGCGGTTCTTCGGATAAGGGAGGCACTGAATATGATCCCAGATAAAGTATTACTTTACTTTCTTTTCTCCTATTCGCGGCTGCTTGGAATAGTAGCATGAGCCCACTTCTAAACGTCCTGTATATAGCTTGTTTGGTTTCTCTGTCCTACTGTTGCCTTGTGCGAGCAGCAAACTGAAGTTCTTCGGTCGCATCTTCCCTCGAGTCGACCTCGATCATTCACAAGCAGAGACCAAGTAGACTGCTGGGGCCAAAAGTCTATTTGGGACGATTCTCTAAAAAATGTGCGAGTAGCGGTCTCCACTCCCCAGGTACTGCTTGACGCCTTGACGCACGGGTTCATATCAATGAAGGAATTGTCACTTATCATATTTGATGAAGGTAAGCAGAAGTGGGAAATCTTTTGATATTCATAATTTATTGATTCATATTAAAACTAGCTCACCATTGCATAAGAAATAACCCCGCTAACAGGATCATGAACACCTTTTACCATCCGTGCAAACAAAAGGTTCCAAGCATGTTACCTCGGATTTTGGGCTTAACAGCCTCTCCAGTGAATTCGAAAGTTTCCAGTCTAGAGTAAGCTTTTTGAGGAAGGAGAGAGAAAGAGAGAGAGAGGGAGAGCAAAGAGATGCTGATTTACTATATGCAATAGAACGCTAGAGACTAATCTCGATAGCATATGCATGGTTCCTAGCATAAATCATGACGAGCTAGTCAATTTTACGAATCATCCTGAGGTTCACATCTGTCGCCTTTCAGATGGCGATAGCCTGAATACTACAGCTGAGCCCCGAATATTGAGTCGACTGCGTGACATGATTGAACATGCAGACCAATCCCTACCAATGGGTTCACAGCTCCATCGCTTTGTTCAAATTTCCGAGACTGTCTTTCGCGAACTAGGAAGCTGGGCTTCAGCTGAATACATAGCAATCTCCATTAAGTACTTCAAGGAAAATCAACGTTTCCATGCTGAGACAGACTGGTATCCCAGCGCTGCAAAAAATTTCACTATGCAGATACTCTGCGATATTGGCCGGATAGAGCAGCCTCAACTACCTATCATGCCTGATCATCTCTCTCCGAAATGCTGGAGGCTACTTGAGACATTATCGAGACTGGCAAGTTGTGATTTTCGGGGGCTGGTATTTGTGAATCTGCGAGCGTCTGCAATGATTATCAAATCACTTATTGAGCGCCACACTGATACCAAAGATCATTATCGGTGCGGAACCTTTATCGGCATGTCAAATATCCAGGGTCGAGGGGACCTCAATCAGTGCTATCATGATATCGATGGCCAAGGGGAGACACTATCTAAGTTTAAAATGGGAGAATTGAACCTTATCATCACCACCAGTGCATTGGAGGAAGGAATTGATATTCCAGCATGCAACACTGTCATCAGCTTTGATCGTCCAAAGAACATTACATCTTTTATTCAAAGACGTGGGCGGGCTCGACAGGAGAAGTCCAATTTTATCGTGTTTACGGATGGCGAACGGGATGAGAGGGATTTGATACAGCTGATGAAATGTGGAGATGACATGAAGAAGATATACCAAGATCATACCCGATTCATCTCAAATACATCGCGCCAGGCAGAGCCTTATATGACACTGGAAGTGAAGAGCACAGGGTATGCATAATTTCCATTATACACAGAGAGAAATGAGCTAGACATCTTAATGAGTATGATAGTTCTCGCCTAGGAATGCTCGATGCTGTGAGTCATCTGAACATGTTCTGTGCAAAAGTATTGAAGCAGCCATATACTACAAACCGTCCGATATTTCGCTATCGGGAGAGTTCCGATGGCCAAATCCAAGGTACAGCTCTCTTGCCTAGTGCCCTTCACGCATCTCTTCAAGAAATCGATGGCTTGCGCTGGTGGTCTACTACAAAGCTTGCGCAGGCTGACGCCGCATTGCAAGCATATACGGCTCTACGGACAGCAGGTCTAGTGAATGAGTATTTACTACCAACAAAAGCTGCTGATATTATTAATCTGGCTCTCCTTTCTCGTGAAGGCTTTCATCTTCTACCTGAACCAATACATCCTTGGGCCGAGGCGGCTGCTCGATGGAATATCGGTAAAGTGAGCTTCTACGCCCACCGTTTGCGAATCCAACACCCACGGAAAAATAGCCTCGAGCTTATGATGATCATCCCTCTACAGATCCAGTTCCACATCCGATTTCCCTTATTTATTTCTCATGATACCACTTTAAAAGCTCACCTTTCGCCAGGCTCATTGGTGTCCGTGGACAGTCAAACCATTGCATCCTACCGTCAGGTTACGCATTTGATCTTCCAGTCTATACATGGGCAAATATTACAACCTAAGGAAAAAATGGATTATGTTACTCTATTCATTCCTTATACTCAAATATCATCAACGCAAAGATTTTTGGAGAAATTCTCTAACCTGCTTTGTATCGATGGGATTGCGCACCACATAAAGGCACCAAGGTTGCTGGCAAGCTCAACGGCGTCCCTCCAGTCGTCCTCTGACCTCCCATACGCAGCTCAAGCACTCCAAGTACACGCCGTTCATATGTCGCGAAGGCGAAACTTTCTTTTGCGGTGGCCCCCTACCGGATCCACACTAGCACAGCAGGTACCGATCGGCGAAATCGAAAATATGTTCTCGAGCGGGCAAGAGTTTTCAGCACATCGCCTGGAGTTTGAATGCGTACAAGCCGCTACTTTTCTGCCCAGTATTATGCATGAGATTGGGAATTACATGATGGCAGAACAGCTGAGGAAAAAGCTCTTATCTGGCATAGAATTTCGCAGGATGAGTCTTCTTTCTCTAGCGATTCAACCCACCTGCTCCAAGAAGCCAGCTCGTTTCCGGTCTTTGGCATTTGTTGGGGCCACCTTTCTGAAGTATATCATTAGCGAGCAACTGTTTCTCCATCACCCAGCTTGGCACGAAGGCCTACTATCTAAAGTTAAGGAGGCTGTGATCTCAAACTATGGATTGGCCCACGCGGCCAAATTATGTGGCCTAGGCGAATTCATGACCGTAAGACGATTCAACGGTAGAAAGTGGCAGCCCGCTTGGATTTCAAGTCTCCTCCCACCACCGGTACTCTCGAGACCGCGGAAGGTCAGCTCGAGGACACTGGCCGAAATGGTTAGAGCGATCATCGGCGCAGCCTATATTGATGGCGATATTGAGAAAGCAACAAGATGTGCTGGAGCAATTGTTCCAACAATCAAGACCTGGCATGCCGCAGCGCTGAGTGATGGCAGCTATGAGCAGACTCGGCCTAACCCCACGATTTCATATCCTGTGGCACTTGCCGAAACGGAAAAACTACTTGGATACACCTTTGCAGACCGAAGCCTTCTAGTGGAAGCCTTGACGCATCCTTCTCATTACGGGACTGGGCTGTTTCGCAGCAGTGCCTATGGGCGCTTGGCTTTCCTAGGAGAGGCTGTTCTTGAGCTCGTGGTGACACAGTCCCTTCTTCATGCCCCAAGCAGGACCCTCGAGGTGCATCGCTTGCATAGCCTTAGAACTGCTGTCACTAACCATCTTTTCTTATCATTCTTGTCCTTGGAGTTCCATCTAGAAATTGATCCTCAAATCGGGGTTCTCAACCAGCCGACACTTAGTCGAACAGTGGAGCCTCTAGATGAGGTCTATTTGTGGACTTATTTGCAGTCTCACAGCCAAGAACTTACCACTTCCTTGAACAATTTTCGATCATCTTCTCGACCCCATTGTTGGAGAATCCAACGAACTTTTTTGAAGAATGGGCGCTACCCTTGGGCTGAGCTATCCGCAATGAGTGGACAGACTCTTTTGAGTGATATTGTCAAAAGCGCTGTAGGGGCGGTATTTGTGGATTCCCGAGCTAGCCTTCGGGAGTGTCAGCAGCTGGCGAACAGAATGGGGATTATTCACCGTGCCAATCAATTACTCCGTAATGATGTGATTACAGACCACCCCAAAATTCAATTGCAAAAATTGTATCCCCGGACAAAGATTGTCTATCGATGCTATACGATACCTCAATCAGAAAATAACTTCTGCTGTGCGATCTGGCTGGATGACAAGAAGGCTATTGATCTCCAACAATACCCATGTCGGGAGTCTGCCATTATCTCTGCGGCCCAGGCTTTAGTTCTGAGGGGAGAAAGCCCTGAGGCTCAGTGATGGGGGGCTGCTTAGATTGTGCCCTGCACTGATGTTGGAAGTTTCCGGTGTATTACGAGCACCACATCCAAGGGTCTACACTTTCCATCCTGTAGTGATTCCAGTCGATGCAATTTTCGAATTAATTTCAATTTCCTTCATATATCTACGTTGCTGAAATTCAATCTTGCTCATAAGGAAACAAATAGATTAACGTTATAGTTAGTTAGTAGTTGGCTCTATTAGTAAGAGATAGCTCCTACTGCGCCTGTTATTCCTCCTTGATCCAAATTTATCCTGAACTCCGCTTCCTTATTGTGCTAGCGCACTGGCTTCACTCTGTAGGTTCTCCAAAATACTCACGCCACTGTCCCCATAAAATAAGCTGTTCTCTGGCAAATTGCGTTTGCGAAATGTCTCGGTTTCCATTTCCTGCTGCGAATTTTCTTAAAATATTGGATGCTGGAGCACGCTAGATGCCGGAATGAATACAATTTGATACCAGTGTCACATACGGGACTAATACCTATCAGAAAGAAAATTTCAGCAGAAATATGCGGCCTGAAATTTCTATCTCAAACATTTATTTACCCCCTTGGGAGATTTTGAAATTTGTTATTAGCATTTCTCATTGACATGTTCGGATATAACTCAATTACCAGTCTAAGTATCCTTCCTTTACCCAAAATACTAAGTGCTATTAATCATTATCCTCTTCGCTTCTTCGTACACCAAAACTCTATCCGGGATTCATACCTAGGTAGCCTTTTATAAGTTAATGGCTGTTGTTTTGGAAGTCATCTTAACTTAAAATAAGCTCATAACTCCGCAATATTACTTCTCTACTGATTCCGAGATCACTACCAAAGGAAAGTAGCATACATACTTGTGGGTCAGCCCGAGCATTGGTTTGTCCTATCGGACGAGCACGACAATGGAATATTTATTGAATTAGATGAGTGATCTAAGATATGATAGTGAAATACTAAGGCATAAAGATATAGTATCGATTATAAGTAAGTGAATTGCTAAGGAGTGAAAGTCTCCTAAAGCCTCACTATTATAATATAGGGAGGTGTTAGGTCACATGATTATAATCACATACTCAACATATGTGAACCTGCCGAGGTGGGAGACTGCAGTGAGGTGATACCTATAATGAGTAACCTATCCTTCATGCTGTAACACTAATATACTTTACTAGGACCTCTTGTTTCATAAATGGTTCTCATAATCGGCCTTTCTTCAATCTAACTTTATTTGCCTTACCCTGTCCACTCTATAAAGCTAGTAAGTTTGAATACATAGTGGAATAATAGTACATGGATATAATTTAAGAAAGCTAGTAAGTAGTTTAGTCACTTGGTAGTTTTCCTTCCAAACATAAAAGAGGGTGGCCTTTCTGCAAGAACATTCCCAGACACATGATCAAACAGTTGGGCCAATAAGATCACTACATCGAACCTGCCGCTTCGATATGGCTGGGATCGCCTTATATACCAGTAGCGCGCCATATTCCATGACACTTTCTTGAATACCGAAAGGAACTAATTCATCCCTATATCCAGACTTGATTTGTGGAAGAACCTTTAATCGAATTGTATTGTTGTTATGATCTTGAAAGTTTAGCACATGGTTGAGATCCTTAGGCGTTTAGTTATGGATAATTAGTACGTATTTTATTACGATGGAATTTTTGAGGGATAGGAGAGATAAGGGAAGAAAGAGAAGAAAGATCTGAGTCACTCCCGAGGTCACAAAGGGAGAAAGTTGCGAAAATGTACATCTCGATACACGTTCAGGTGAAGAATATTTAGGTGGGTGAATAACCACCCGGATTACCCCCGAGGGGGTGGATAGAGCGGCGAGCCGCACACGCTAGATTCGTGGGCGCTAGGTGACCACCGACTTAGACATGCTGTTGTATGTTTTTGTTTTTTTACATTTTATTTGGCGTCCAGGAAATTTTCATCGTGAGATGGTGATTGTGATATTTTAGTCTGATTTGTTTGGATATTTGAGACCATTGGAGGGTTTATTGGTTCTGATTGGTGGTAGGCTAGGTAGCTGCGGGGCATAGCTACATGCCCACGTGTACTCCAGACTGTGAGAACGACAAAATCAACTCCAGCTCGAACATTTTGAATACGGTATCTCAAAAAATTTTGTCTACTAATCATTATATCTGAAAACCATTCGGTCCAGCTGGGTAAAACAGGTGACTGCTCACAACAATCATGAACCTTGGAACGGAACCAGGAAGACTGTCATTCAACACGGCATCCTGCTGCTACAAAATTTTTGAAGGTACTGGAAGACGATGTCCAATTTGATAATTTTAGCCGATGCTGAGTTATCTATAGAAATCTATTCCAATCAACCTCCAGAAATTGAGCGGATCAAGTTGGTCTGTAAGCACGCCAAGAAAGATTCGCCGCCTTAATTCGTATTCATGCACGAAGGTAAGACCCTGATATTTGTGAGGCTGAGAGCAATAAAGCGATTGGCATCCCGAACAGCACTTGATTCATACCAAGTAAATGATACGAAGTGGCTTCATGGGAAGTGCTAGTCAATGACAACACATATTATGGCGACAACAACATTTGAATGACCACCGGGCTCCCCAACCTCAAATTATCTACTCCCAAGGCAAGAATTTCTCACTGAAAGTGTCCACAGAGAAACCTGCTTTAGAACATCCAAGTCAGTTAGTATGTCTAACAGCACTCATACTTATACGGGTGTCTGGGTTGACTGGTCTCAGGGTCAAACTCGTGGAGCGACATTGACGTTGTCGCAACTGAATGCTGGAATCTTGAGTGCTTTCTTAGCTGTTCTCACGACTTCTGCAGGAGGTTTGTTCTGGAGTCTCGTCGCATTTGCAATCCATCAACTAAATACGACACCTGATGGAGAAAAACAAGATGTGCTCCAGGCTCAACGCCAACTTATCTATCGCAATAAGGGTACAATGTCCGCGGCCTTGGCGTTCCTGAAGCTTCCATTTGCCCATAGGCATAGGATTTCGAAGCCCTTCTGGCGGTCTCTCCCTTTTGCACTACTAGCAATCCTCATTCTTCTCCTATTTGGCGCCTCCAGTCTTTTCACAAGCTACATCTCAAAGCTCGCAAGCGCCTCCACCCTTATTATCAGCCCAGACTGCGGAGGATTCAAGGTTGACACAATTTCCGAGGAGTTGAATCCTTTGAGCACGAAAAGTCTTCTAGATACTTATGATGCGGCCACATATGTCCGCGAATGCTACCAAGGGAACCCCAAAGGGGCGGGCTGTGGATTATTTATCCGCCCACGCTTGCCATTCACTACAAATCCGAACGCATCTTGTCCCTTCGGGGACAACCTATGCGCGTACAATGATCAATCTGCATTCCAGATGGATACTGGTCATTTGGACTCACATCTCGATTTTGGGATCAACGCACGACCGCGCAACAGGATCAAGTTCCGACGAGTCAGTACCTGCGCGCCAATCCATCATCATTCCAGCTTGACTACGGTAGTGAATGACACCACGCAAGGAATATTAATCTATGTCAATGCCGGTCCTCAACCTATCTTGGGGCTGAATTACACATTTGTTCATACCCCGGTTCCAAACCTGGCTAATGTAGGGTACCTTTTGAGGTGAGTGATGGGGCTTGCAAAATGAAAGATGAATCCAAACTAAAATGTGCAGAGCGATGTATGCTGGCGCCGATCCCACAGGCGTTCTGGACGCCGGGGGTGTTACTTGGCAGCCAGATCCAGTGATGAACCAAACTAATGCTGATATCACTCTTATGATGTTGAGCCAAAACGATATTTCGTATGTTGAGCGCATTGACGATCCTTGGATCACAGCTCAGACCGAGATCCAAACCAATAGTACGATTCCAGGAAGCAATGAGTCTTTAACCTTATGGCTGAAAAGCTATGATATAAGCCTCTTGGGTTGCGTGGACCAGTACCAGGTGTGCAATCCAAATATGCCAGGGGACTCCGGATGCACCACTCTAGGTGGTCTCTTGGACGCGGCCAACCAGGCCTACATCACCAAAATCAAATCCCTAGGCTTTAATTCCGACCAGATCGTGACTATCTCACGATTCTTCGATTGGCCTATTGACATGAGTATGTATTCTAACGTAGATGGTCGTGGAGGTTCCGCCCTCAATGGTAAGTGAAGACAGCTACCTACTTTCACAAGTCCCAACGAGTCGACGCTAAAATACTGAAGCTTCGATGATGACCTATCAAAACATACAAAGATACCTTCCCCCAAAATCAATGGCAAATCGAAGTATCGACCTGGTTCGCAACATCTCTTGCCAAACAGCAAACCGCAGTCCTCGAATGGGCCACCACACCCAAGAACCTTCCCTCTAGTGGATGGCATCACACTCCACCTACCATTAGCTTCCTACGTTCTCAATGCCATTCTCAACTTGTTCTCAGGGGTGCAAACTACGAGAACTTTTCAGTCCTGGGACTATCAATAACCGTCGCACTCTGTGGGGTAATCGTGATATTAGGACTGATAATCGATACAGTAGTCGGCTGGCTACGGCCGAGTAATTCGAAGTACATGCGAGACCAGTGGGAGGTGGAGGAGACCTTGTCTCTGCATGAGGCAGCATTCCAGAAAATGAGACTTTGGAGCATTGGTCCAGATAGGATGGTACCCAGTTCTGCTCTTTTGGATTCGACATTGAATATTCCACTCCAAACTCACGTGGGTAGTTGGAACCAAGCACCGCTGAGCCCAACTAGAGTTAGCAGGGATGATTCACAAATTGGTTCAGTAGATCCTGAGCTAAACTGATTCCTGCCGAGGGAAAGTCTGCTGGCCAGGTCTGGTATTAAGGCTTCAGATCACACCGAGTCTGTATGCGTATTTGCCAGTGGTTTGTTTCGGTCAGTGGTTTTATTGCACTGAACATCATATATTCGTACTTAAATTTGCTGTCTTTTTAAAGCACTTGAGAGCTCTCAATTCATGATTCGTACTAGTATTTCCAAACTACAATCCAACTTCAATATTTGCTGGAACTAGTATTCAAAATATTGTAATATCTGAATTCCAAGGAGTCTTCAATTCAATTTAAATGTTACTTCTCATAGTATGTACAATTTGAAACCCTCTCAGGTCTTTCTACTGCTCCTCCTCAGGCTCCACTGGAATTTCAGCACCTCGATCGCGGAGCATCGCCACTATCCCTTTATATTTTGGTGACGATGCAAATTCGATTGCCATTTCTAGTGCAGTCTGGCCGAATCTTGCTGGGGCGTTAAAATCGGCTCCTCGATCCAGCAGAATCCGTACAGTTTCTTCCCACATGTAATCGACCGCATTTCGAAAAGTACTGTCGAGCTCAGCTTGGGTGTCAAAATTGGCGCCTCGCTCCAGCAGAATCCGTACAGCTTTTTCCGACCTGCTCTCTTCCGCAAGTCGAAGAGCAATTTGGAGAGCACTGTCAAGTTCAGCTTGAGTGGTCAATTTGGTACCTCGTTCCACTAGCATCGAGAGTAGTTCTGTGTGCCATCCTCGCCTGTCAGACATTGTGATTTGGATTGCACTACCATATTCTTCTCCTTGAGCGTTGATATCAGCACCTCGATCCAGGAGTATCTGTACTATACTTTCATAGCCTTCATATGCTGCGGCATGAAGTGCAGTGCCGTATTTTCCTCCCTGGGCGTTGACATCGGCCCCTCGATCCAGCAATTGTCGCACGACATTTTCATCTCCTCTGAATGACGCAATTTGAAGTGCACTACCTCCGGATCCTCCCTGGGCGTTAACATCGGCCCCTTGATCTAAAAGAAGCCACGCGATCTTTTCATGCCCTTCTTCTAGTGCGGCTTGGACTGCTCTTCCATATTTCTTGGCCTTGGTTCCGGCGTCAAGATCAGCGTCCTGGCTTAACAGCTTGTTTACTGTTCGGAATAATCCCATGTTCGAGGCCCGATCAAGTGGTTCGTCGTATTCTTCGAGTGAACATGAATTTTCCTCCACATCATCCGAAAATCTCCAGATACCAAACGCCCCGCGCATCCAATTGTAGTAAACGTTGGGTTCGGTAAAGATTTCATCAATCTTATCCTGCATCTCAGAAGAAAACTGATCAATGTCTCCCGAAGCAGCCAAGTGAGTGTTCCAGTATTTTGCAGCGTAAAGGAAGAAAGCTCGCTCCTTCGCCTTCGCATTCACGTCTGTCTTTGTCAAGAGGTTTCGCTGCTCAAGAAGACAGTTCAAAGTTTTCGTCAGGAGAAACATGTGTCCCTCGGTCTCAGAAAATTGGCATTCGTGATACAGACCACCATCCTTGGGAACTATGAGGAACTCCTGCACAGAGAAATGGGCTAATCGGATCTGTTCCTCGTATACACTGACGAGTTGAGTAGTACAAACCATAGGGATTGAATCGGGGAAGGACACGCCCACTACAGTGGCAACCAAATTCAAGTCAAGAGCAACAGGCGAACAACAAATGGTCATGAAAACCTCACGAGCCAATTGTTTATCCCTCTTACGTTTTATGCGACCAAGGACTCGGCGATATGCGTCCTCCAATGTCTCAGGAACTGAATTCAAAACCTCTTCGACCTCTTCCGGGCCGAGACATTGTTTAAGTTCAATGATTTGTAGCTCAGCCCAACGGAAACGTCTAGTGAATTATTAGTTAGCAAACCTGCGCAAACTTAACTTATTATAGGTTGAAAAGTAAACATACCTTTCCTTCGCGCTTAGGAATCTGGTCATGATCAGATTTTTACTCTTTTGATCTAATCGGTCTTTCAGAAGGGATTGCTCAATTGATTTAGCAACAAAGGATTCCACGTCTTTGGCCATGAAGGATTCCAGATCAATTCTGGGGAATGCCTCCAGTTTCTTTTCAATGTCATACTCTGGCCGACTTGTCAGAAGAATATGGACTTTGTTGTCGTATCGCTCGAGCAGGTCCATCAAAAATGACAAAGCAAGCCCTCTCTCACTAGAGACTGCGTTCTCGGGACACTCGTCCAATGCGTCAATGACCAGGTAGACCTCGCCAGCAATGCGTGATACCACATCAAGAAAAAGCTCAGAAATGGCATCTGGTTCGAGTTCGCTTCCCTTGACGGTATGCTTTTTCCAGAGCGCGGTTACTGATTCCGCCAATGGGGACCGACTCAGTTGTCGAATCAGCGATCTAATCATGGTATCGACGCTTTGTGTCATCTCATCACCGAACCGGAAGTACCAGTAGATGAGGTACTTGGAATCATCCAATTCGCAGCTCTGATCGATATCATGGATCACAGTAGAGCTAAAAGATGTTAGTTTTTTTATCGCGAGAAAGGAATGGTAACATACCAAAGAACCGATTTGCCACACCCCGCTATTGATAATAATTAGCACTGCCATGATTATTTAAATCAGAAAGTTTCTCTTACAACCTCCTGGTAGCCAAAGCAGCTCTCCCGGGTTGGACTTCCAGTGATTATACTCCTTTATTTTAAGAAGCCAGTCACCGGTGTCACCAACTCTTTTCTTCCGTGTCTCCCTCTGCGGGCTTGAGTAGGAAGCTGTCGAAATCCATGCCATCTGGCTTTCCTCGTAGGGGGCTAATGAACAAAGTTAGTAACAGTCGGTTTACATGCAGACGAAATCAATACTTAGGACTTTGGACTCAATGCTCTCGATCTTCGACAGATGCACCGCAGCATCCTTCCTATCACCTGAAGTTGATTAACACTTTTTTCACATAGACAGGGTTTAGTTCTGGTCTTACTCAGGCTTGCAGATAGGGTAAGCCACTTCTGTGCAGCTTCACTTTGGTCGTCGATGGCGCCTTTCAATGTTGACAGCGCCTGCTCAGTAAGTGGGAACACGCTCTTGAGGGCACGACCTTAAAAATAATTAGCTAGGACTGGGGGGGGGGGTTGAAGTAAAAATCCAGGAACCGACTTGGTGCTTTCTCGTCACCTGCTTTCTTCACTTCGACTGTGAAGGCCAGAATCGCCGAATAGATTTTGAGCAAGGCTTCGTCGAGGTAATGGTCACTTGCAACGCCCTTGTTTCTGTAGTTTGTATCGACCACTGCATAGTAGGCAAGATTCTCCGCAAGATATTCTGATGAGGCAAAAATAGCATCTCGACGGTCGAGGTTATTTTGAACAACCTATGATTTATATCAGTATCACAAGTCGTAAAATCAGAGGTAATAAGAGGATGATTACATTCATTCCGAAGGAGATAATTGTCCATGCAGAGGATGCTATATCTTTGGTTAGAAGTTATCTCATAGAAATGAATACTGAAACCCACTATGTCCTGTCGGATCAAATGACACAAACGTGGAGATCACATCTAAGGCTTTTATTGCCGCTCCAATAATCCTCTCAGTCTTTTCGCGAAGATTAATTTCGTTTCCACCACTTTGACTGATTCGGAGGCCACCATTTTTCCACTGTTCGTACTTGGCCGTCGTGTCGTTGATGACCCCATTGATGGCATCTTTGGCTGTACCATTTCCAGATACGTACTTCCTGTCACTGGGGTCCAATTGATTATATGCCTCTTTCCATAAATCGCGTGGGGCAGGTTTCTCCTTCGTCTCCGTGGGAACAGCATCGTTCTTAGCACTGTTCTGTGTATTTTCCGTCTCAACTTGAGGTCGGCTCTGGGTAGGTTCTTCCTGCGTCACGGCGTTCGAAATAGTCTCGTTTTTGCTGCTTTCCGGTGTACTATGAGTCTCATTTTGAGGTCGGGTTTGGACAGGTTTTTCCTGCATCACGGTGTTCGAAATAGTCTCGTTTTTGCTGCTCCCCGGCGTCTTTTGAGTCTCCTTTTCGGGTCGGCTTTGGGTCGGTCGGCTCGGAGGAGTGTGCTGATCGTCATCATCTTGGCTCCCTTTGCTGCAGCAAAGAGCACGCAGACCCATGATGTCGTGTTCAACTAAGAAGAGATATTTGAATTTTGTAGAGGCAGAACTAGAGTGTCAATAGCTAGAATTTTTTTCTTCTTTTTTGATTATGATGGCATCCGTACTCAGTGCGGAGTACATAGCAGTAGATTAGTGGAGCAGAGCTTTAATGAGCGAATGGATGGATCATCTCCGCCACAACACGAACTCTTTAGCTGAATCGGCTGGAAGTGTCTAGATTTCGTCGATCTTTGACGGGAGAACCAGAGACGTGTTATCTCTGAATAGTGCCGTACGGAGTACCACGGAGCACTGGAGTACTGCGCAGAACCCCCACTTCTGAGGTTCCTTTATGTTGTATTTGGCTCATTTCGCCTTTCAGTCTGAACATGTATTCAGCGTCCATCAAACATTCAATTTTCATGCTCTCCTTGAGAAAAGAAAGGAGCACAGATCTGTGACATGATTTCAATTCCCACAAAAACTAAGGGGGACGACCGACGGCTTGGAACAACCCCATTTTTCCTAGACTGGAGTATCTCCACTTTCCAACGCGTTGAGCTGGTCGAACCAAAAGGTCCCTTATGTTTGCTACTGCAGAGCGCGTAAGCCACCCGGGCATGGTGCTGTGTATTTCTAGGGAGAACTGCGTAGAGGAAATCTGAGACCGTGCGATTGGGGGTGACGTGTTGGCATTATTTGGTGTATCTTAGGGTGGAGCGGAGCTTCCCAGGAGAGATCCTCATCAAAGAGTGACAAAGACATCTCATCTCATATGAAGTGGTGCTGGTTATAGGGGAAAATATTTCCGCCGATCATGGGTCAGATCTCAGTGGCGTCGCGTATGTATTCACCTTGGTCTAACATTCTGCCTTCGCAGCAAAATACGAAGTGATGATTCCAGAGGTTATTGAGGCCAGAAGCTCGGAAACAATTTCTGCCTGTTTTCCATTTAGATGCCTATTTCTAAAGGCAGAAAGACTAACGTGATTCCCAAGCGAGCGGTCCGGCTACTGCCTACCCTACTATTTTAATTATAATTATTAGAACCATAACGCCAATATATTAAATATTTATCTAAATATCACAATGATCTGATCTATGTCCTTCTTCTCCACACTTTTTACATGTCGGTAGCTTTCTCCTAGCTCGCTGAGGTGGTAAAACAGGTGCCCTGGGCCGCGGTACGGGAGGGGCAACTGGTGTTTCAACCACCTGTATAGCACGCTGTATAGCTTCCTGGCCCTCTTGAACCGTCATCCCACCCTCATTAGGTATCTGCCTAGTAGACCGCTTGCGCTTCTGCTTCTGCTTCTCATGGGCGGCACGTAATTTGCGTGTTTCAACCTCCAATAAAGCTGTTGAATGCATCTGAATCTCACAGGCCTTAAGAACTTGATCAATTTGCTGTTTGAGTGGACTTGGAGGGCTTCTTGAGCGTTGTTGTAGAAGAGCTTTGATTGAACTAGCTTGCCGTTGAAGCTGGATAAGGTTTTGGGGTGTCTTAGGTGAAAATTGGCTTGATTGACTGGTAGGGCGGCTACCTGGGGGTGTAGGTGTTCGAAGAAGAATATTCAACTTAGAAAGTACTCGATCTGGGTTGAATGGTACTAAACCAGTTGCTGCAAAGCTGTTTTGAATGGTTTGGGTTTAAAAAGCCTCTTTACGAGCGATTGGGTAGGCTTCAAGAAAATCAAATTTATCAACATGGTTAAAACCAAGCCGCATTTGATTCTCAACAAGCCGACCATATGCACACTTAAGAGGTGAAAAACATCCAACATCAAGCGGTTAATGTAAATGTGAAGAATGAGCTGGCATATAAATTGGAATAATATTATTCTCTTTGCAAATCTGGTCAAATTGGGGAGTTAAATGACTCCCATGACCATCGAGAATTAATAGTCGACATTTTCCAAGTGTACGTTCAGTTGTTGCTGGAATAAAGTGTTTTTGAAGCCATCGAAGTCCAATTTCATCAGTTGTCCATCCATTTGGACTAGTTTCAAATCGCCAGTCAAGTGGAAGGTTCTTAAACCATCCTTCAATCAAAACTTTGCCTTTAAAAATAATCACTGGTGGAAGGGCCCATCCAGATACATTAATTGTTTCAATAGCTGTTACCCATTCACGATTTCCAGGCTGTAAAAGTGATCGTCGACCATAATATCGAGAACGAGTAACAACCTTAGCAGTTGCTGTAAGTCCCATTGCAAATCCAGTCTCATCAAAATTATAGATATCCTCTGATAGAATACCATTCTCTTGAATTGTCTGAAAAACAAGATTAAACCATTCTTGAACCACTTTTGGACCCTCCATTTTCGCACGCTCATAATTAGATCGTCGAGAGAAACGAGTAGTAAGCTCTGAATGTCGTTTAACGAAGTTGGTAAGCCAATTTTCACCAACAGTTTGAGGGGGGTCCTGGCCACGCGCTGCGAGTAGAATATTGGCCATTTCTTGGACAGTAGCTGGGCGGGGGCAGCTCCACGTATGTCCATAGAGATCACCCACTGCAGAAGTGAATTCTCTTCGTTTTCATTCAATTTATGGCTATTTGCGCGAGTTTCGGATCGATTAGTATGGCCGGCAAGGCGGCGCCGTAACGTAGAGCGAGGTACATCGAATACACGTGCAACTTCGTGCTCGTTGGTGATATCTTTCTTCCGAATAGCTTCTATAGCAAGTAAGATCCTTCCCTCTTGTTCGAGAGAATTTCGAGAGGTTTTAGAACGTATTGGTGGCATGGTGGGTGGTTGAAGATGGTAGGACGCGGTCGCGACGCGATTTCTAGTCAGCCGGACCGCTCGCTTGGGCGGACCGCTCGCTTGGGAATCACGTTAAATGAAATTTGACCTACGGCTACTTACCGTCTCAACACTCTAACCAACTGCCAATCGCCATTTATGTCTAATAAATGAAGCAAGTTGACTTATATGGTACGAAGATAGTCTAGATAAGAGTATGGTCATAGAGGAGGCATTATGATGGCTTTATTCCAGTAATATATTATCATATCATATTTCTAAATAGTACATCCTGAAGTACTACAGTGGACTGAAATATACAAAGAGTGAGGTTTATTTTTCTCTTGGCCTGACTAATATTCAGAATTTAAATATCATATTTTTAGAGTAGGTGATAGGATATAGTAACCAATAAGATAGCCAAAGATATTGTCACAGGCTGAATCCCTGAAAGAGTACAGGCCTTGCCTGTACAAAGCTCAACCATCCACGTGACCCATAACATTCCTCCTCTTCCTTGACGAATCGTGCCCGAAGTCTACTTCTTCTCCTTAAGCTTCTTTTTGTACACAGTTCGTGGTCCGAGTAGATTGAATCAAGTCCGCTTCTGCCCTTCACAGATATCTATACTAACATAAATATAATAACTACTATATAGGAATTAAATATTAAACATTTAAATTTCAAGCCCTAAAGGTTTAAGTTTAAGTTAATATTGACAAGAATTTACTTAAGTATTACCTAGGTGGTAATTTAAATCTTGGAACTTAAAGGTTTAAATATTAATACTAGTCATTAGAATTAAGACCCTCCATTTCCATCTTTATTTCCCCTCTCTTCTATGTCTTTTTCCTCTTTCCCCTAAGGCTATTTTAAGTTTCCCTTAATATTTCTCTCTCTAAGTCTTCTCTCTCTTCTTTAGAGCTTTCCCTCTCTGCTTTACAGTAGAGAATCATCTTGACATCTGGATTATAGCGTTTACTTCCTTACTACCATCATAAAATTCCCCTGCCACCTTTTACTATATCAGAATGACATCTCTAAGGTCCTGGTTCAACCAGGGTCCAATGCACCAACTCTTTCAGCCTGGAAAAATTATCCACCTAAGCCCCCCCCAAGAGAGCCAGTGGAGAATAAATGAGATCATCAAAGAGTATGATAATCAGAGGGACCAGCGAAATGTAAGAAAGGACGTCCCATCCTATGCCGCAATCAAATTATCATGCAGCAAAGCCGATGACCCCACTTCACGTGCCATGATGCGAGTGTACGTCCAAATTCCTCACACAAACACCGAGCCAAAAATCCGTGCCCAGCAGGCTATACGATTCAAGCCCAAGGAGCTACATGCATTTCAAACCCTTTCTAAGAATATTACAACATCAAACTTCACTCCAAGCCTTCTTGGTTATCGGGAATCTGAGCAGGACGCCTCAGGAATGATCCCAGGTGGCTTTCTTACCTTCATTGTCTGGCAGATTGTTCCTGGACTATGGCTTGGTAGTCCTTCCGGAGAGGCAACTGGATTCTGGGACTCAGGTCTGGATTTGGAAGAGCGCAATTTGATCCGTGCTAAGTTCAAAGATACCTTCCAGTGAGTTATCTTCTAAAGAGGCATTTATAGACACTAACCAGAGGCATGGTAGGCTAATCTGTACGGCTGGCATTGAGCCAGACCCCTTTTGTTCTACTAACTTGGTTTGGCATGCTCAAAGCAAGACTCTGTAAATCCATCATTACCTCTTCCTTTTAAAATTGGAGCGGCAGCAGAACTAACTAGGCTTTACTTCATAGTTTCTGGGTCGGGTTTCGAAATTGGGATTCGTCTACACCCGGGCCGGGCAGATGGACAGAATTCTGGTGGTATTACTTTGGGCTTGCCAAGGTTGATGGATACGACAATCATCCCATGGACGATGAATGGGACGGAGACACATCAACTTGGCATTGGTAAAGTAACTGATTGCTGCCGATCCCTTTAATCTCTCCTTCTATTTCCAACGTTTGTTACGTTGTTCTACAATTCATTCTTTTCTCTCAAGTGCTCTCTCGCCTTTCATTTCATGTTCATTTTCCCCTTTTCCGCCTGAGTAGACCGTGATAGTCGGGTTTATATGAATTAAACTGAGTCTTTATTTTGGTCCCTTCTGAACAGCTACTGAATTCATTGTTAGGCTTTAGTATGATTCATATCACAGCCTTCATGGTCTATCATTTGCAATTCAAATGTTACGGAATAAGCGGCGAGACATGGTCCAAGTCCATGAATGTCCAAAGTTTTGGGAGATTCGTAGGTGTGATTAATACCCTGTTTGACATGAGATTCCAAGGTTTGACGACCAAGAATGCGACCGCTTGATCATTGCAACAATCCAATATAGTCAATGTTAAATAGACGGCAGGTAGTAGTAGTCACCCAACATGGTACCAAGCGCCTGGTGTATGGCCTCAATGCGGTCTACTATTCTTAAGAAGCCCTGAGCCTTAAGACAGCGTCAATTTTATACCAGGGTAAGTAAGTACATCATGATATGGGTGATATGGGTTAGAATCTCCACTGTGACTATAGTACCTGGGCATTCAACATTGAATCACCGCCGCTCATTCAAAATTACAAGTTGTCGATAAATAAGACTCTACTGCTGATATACTATATCCGTTTCTGTTTTTTTCCCCTAGCCAAAAAAATCTCTGACCCGAAAACAAAATTGAACTGCATCGTTTCGGATGCAGATCGGGTAAAAAGGAATGGTCCCAGAGGGGGTCGAACCCTCGACTTTCACGTTATTAGCATGACACTCTAACCAACTGAGTTATGGAACCATTGAGACAGACCACAGGGCAATTTTTGCCTATATGAACTTTACAAGGTTTGAAGCATCTTTTCCAAGGGGTTGAGACACTCGAATCCTTTCACACCCCTTGATAAAAAATAAAAAAAAAGAAAGATTTCAAAATTTGGATGCTACATGGAAAAGCAGGCAAGGTGGGGAAGCGGATAAGCTCTAGGTGCGGCTGAAGATTAATCTCCTACACTGGCACAACCTTGGAATGTGCCAGTTCCAAGATTCAGCCATTAAACATCATGGAGTGTTTGGAAGAGGTTGGCATTCTTAATTTCAGCAAGCTGCACATTCCAAAAGAACATGAGATTGTTGCCGGCTGTTGTGACCGTTTCGAAACCCATAGACCTAAATCTCATCCACGTCAATGGATAGAACAAGAGATCACATCTAAAGGACCTCCGAATACATAAATGAATGTGATACGAGTAAGCTCAAAAGTTTACCTCATTTCCAACAGAAGATAAACTGACCAATGAAAGCGATACCATGACAATTTGGAATGTGATTGCAAGTCGGCCCCGGGGTAGAATAATGCTACATTAGCTCCAGAGTACTTCGTATGAAACTACCAAAGCGCTAATGCAAAGCTAAACGAAGAAAGGAATGTGTTCCGGGCCGCGTAGGTGCGGAGTGGAATCCTTGTCAATGGGACTTGAGCGTCGGATAAGGTGCATGACCCCCGGGGCCAAAATTGGGGCCAAAACCGGGGCCGAACTTCCAAGCCCACCTCGTACTTTTCCTGATCAACATCGAACACAGCCACGATGAAGCTTCCGCGGTTTTTGAAATCAAAATCATCAATCTCCTCGGAGAGAGAAAGAACCTATATCCAAGGCACCAATAGCCACCGTTCATCAGTCTCGAGGTTATCAACGAGAGATCTTCAACTCACATCTTCCAACGACCATTCAAGCGAACACCAGAAAACCCACACTCAGATCCTTGATCAACTCCGTGGAGCGAAGCGGTTACGACTGCTTAAAGCTCCTTTCTTGCAACCTAGCGAGAAAACCTGGATCGATGGGGTCCTCGAAGATGTTACCAATGTTATTCGAGATGTGGAGGTACAAAGAGGAATGGGAAATGCAAGTTTGAGCATTCCGAGCGAGTCGCGATGGAGAAATCGATACGATCATGAACAAGCGAAAGAGGAAATACAACGAATGGCGGCATGCCACAGTACACTCTCAGGTGTTTTGAACCATCTCGAACACCTTGAAACTCCAAAACCGACTATGGTTCATGAGATGGGGATAAATGACGTGACACTTATTCACGAGATGCCAGCATACGAAGATGTAATATTGAAGCCTAAGCTAGGGATAGATAGTGGGCTCGAGGTGTATCCACCGCCAAAGGGGCCTATTCATAGCACTCGAGATTCCTCTGGACTTGAGGTCGCGTCTACGGTTGAGCTGAGCTCATTCAGTCAAGAGATGAGTGATATGCTTGCGTGGCGTCGAAATAAAGGGTCGCGAGGTAGTAATTATTTCAAGAAACCTGGAATACCCGATCGCATTGATGTATAGCATCACAACTCTCATTTCTGGATATGCGGCGTATTTCACAAAGCTATGGACATCATATCATTTACTACAAATATTTGACCTGGAGATCAGAACCTTCGTGCCACCATTTCTCATTCCAACGTTTAAATTCTGGTTGCCCTGACTGCGACAACCATCTGGGGAGTATTAAGTCGTCGTCCGCGTTCGTCGCAAACCTTGAGCACAGAGGGGAAGATGACGAGCTGGCTTTCACCAGTACTGCCTGACTGCCAATCGAATTTGAATGTGCATGGCTGGGCAAAGAGCCAAACTCCAAGTTCGAAAGCTGCCTTAACCACGCTAGTCAAATGAGCCACTTGCTCGGATTGAGGGAAGTCTCCATTTCTGTAGGTGGCAAATGTGGTCGTAAATTCTGCGACAAAAGCGTTGATATATTGATCGTCCCTAGCTGAGGCGGCAGAGGCGTTCAGTTGCGATGTCAACATGCGCCAGTTGAAGGCAGCAGCGTCTTGAGCTGCAATCACAATGATCGGTCAGTGGTGTTCTTTCTAGGAGGGAAAAGATGCGAGGGTGAGAAATAACGTACCGGTGTTGGGATGGCCAAGACTATCCTGAAGAGGGCCCCATCTAAAGCATGCTGGAAGCAAAGAGCCAGCGTCGCTTGCAGGACGAATAGCCTCCAGCAAAGCGTAGGCGAGCGCATGAGTTAATGCAGCTCTTTGAGGTTTTCCGACCGAGAGCAGAGAAGCCAGGGATTCAGGGACAAAAGGTGAATTGTAGCGACTTAAAGACTCCTTCTCCTCAGTTGTGAGCAATGGGTTGGAAGCGAGGCGGACGTAGTAGTTGTCGATGTGGAGACTGATCTGATCAAACAACGATTCAATTTTGTTGGAAACCGTACCATCATCTGCAGATTCAGGTACAAAAGCCGCAGTCACAGTCGCAGGTCCAAAAGATTCAGAAGCCACAGTGCCATTTTTAGTTGCGTATGACACGACCGGTTTTCCTCCTTCCGCTGCCGAAGCAGAACCGTAGGAGCCTGCACCAGCTGAGTTTCCTGGTTTTCTCTTGCGAAAGAGAAGAGAAGCGATCACAAAAGCGATCAAGCAGCCTCCTACAAACGCTCCCACAATCCCTCCGGCCAGGGCCCCCGTGCTGAAACCCTTGTTGGAGGTATTGTGGACAGCATCACTGATAGCACTTGCACTTGCGCTTGCCGCTGCACTTGCGCTGGCCATAGCACTTCCTACCGTGAAAGTGTTGATGATAGTCGGAGATGTTGTTGATGTCGTCGCTGCCACTGTTGGTACCTCTGTCGTTACTGGTGTTGTTGTGGCCGCTGCTGGTGTTTCTGTGGTTGCTGCTGGCGTTGCTGTGGACGTTGCTGTGGGCGTTGCTGGCGTTTCTGAGAGCGTTGATGAGGGAGAAACATAGCTCTCAACCACTCGTGCTAGGATTATTCCCGTAATGTCAAAATCAGATGAAGCCATTGCGAGGAACACGGTTTGTCTGAAATTTGAAATATCGTGAAACAGAAGAAATCCCCCCCGACTATGTGAAGGATGTTTTGTATTTCATAGCTCGAAACTCAGCTGGAGGACCTAGCACAAAGCCCGGACACAGGCTAAAATTGGGATAGTTTATGGCACCTTTTAATTGCTTTGAGACTAAAAAACTCGTGTCAATGAAGCTAGTCCTGCAGTCATGATTTAGCGCCGAGCACGGTGTTATTTTGAGGCTGCATTAAAATGAAGGTCTCTGCTACCAAATTGGGGGCTAAAAACAACAGGGGAAACCAAAGGAATAACCGAAGGTGCCTTTCCAGCGCAAGCTGCACGACAACAGTTCTTGAACTTGCCAGGACTTTACAAACTGCCAAAAATGGATGAGAAGGAAGTGGTTGTTCTCAGATCTCAGGATCTGGACAATGAATTTCGTCCGGATATTGTCGTTGGTATTGATTTTGGCATGACATTTACAGGTATTGCCCCTGGAATTTGCACCATATTACTGATCCGAGTGTAGTAAAAGTGTATTCAAATCTACTTTGCCATATATGCTAATAAATTGAAAGGTGTTGCATACTCATCTGGTCCCGAATGGCATCCTCCCAAGACCATCCAGCGTTGGCCCGGGAAGGGGCCCGGAGAGCTTGCTAACAAAGTACCCACATGCATTGAGTACGAAAAAGGATCCAACTCGGTCAGAAACTGGGGATTTGCCTGCAACTATGATGATGAGTCTACCGAAATTCGAGAGTATTTCAAATTGCATCTTGCAGCGGATTATCGTGGACACTATCCTGGCGAGCCAAGTCGTCAGGAAGCTCAAAAGTGGTTCTCAGATTACATCCATTGTATCTATCAACATGTGATATTCGAGTTTCAGAAAAGTGTTCCACAATTTGAATCTCGTCAAGTGGAGTTCATTTTCAGTGTGCCGACAACTTGGAAGGATGTGCGAATGGTGGAGGAAACTAGAACTCTGCTGAAACGTGCGATCAGTGCTAAACAAAAGAATCACCATGTCTCGATTGGATTGACAGAAGCCGAGGCTGCTGCGGCATATTCAGCTAGGGAACACTTTACTGTGAGATTTCTGAGATATTCTCTTCAAGTGCTGACAATTGGTGCTCTCTTGGCCATATAACTGACTTGTGTTGATGATATAGAAAGGAGATACCATTCTGGTCTGTGATTCAGGTGGTGGTACTACGGTGAGAAATTATACGTTAAAATGATGAATACCTGTGGACATATCTAACACCATATCTAGGATGTCAATGTTCTTAAACTCATGTCCTCCCTGGGTGAACCAACAAGACTTGAGCAAATGGGACAGGTCGAAGGTAAAAATAAGATCCAATGAAGAAAACTCGCGCTAACTTACTTACAGGACTCCCGATCGGCTCTGTTTTCGTTGATAGACATGTGCACGAAATACTGACAAAGAAGTTGGAAAATGCCCAGGACCATTTGCGGCTTCCCCCTGCTGAGACAGCATGGGCAATGACCACCGGTCGCTTTCAACGATTCAAATGTGCATTTGGGAGTGAAGTCACACTAACTCCATACTTGAAGCTTGATGTCCCCAACTTGGCTTCGGACTTTGATTTGCCTGAAGCAGGAATATCTGATGGGCAAATCAGTATTGCATGGCAAGCATGACAAATATTTTATGACTTATATATGGATTTCAAACTAACAGTTGAAAAGGACTGACATCCAGAGTGTTTTTGACACCAAGATCGATGCGATGTGTGGTCTCATTGACGAGCAAATACGTCATGTGTCAGTCAAGTACCCTCAGGATCAAATAGTATGGATTCCTCAACTATTAGCAAGGCTCATTGGCTAATCCAGCAATTTTCTAGCGCTATTTGATTTTGTCCGGAGGGTTTGGCAGCTCCCCATATCTGCGAACACGTTTGATGGAAAGATATGCCGAATCAGAAGCCAACCCGCATTATAACGCACACAGCATGGCAATTCTTGTTGCAGACGAGCCGTAAGTTTCCAAGAAATCCAACTGCTGGAAGGCCTTGAAATGGAAACATAGCTAATTCACGCGATAAAGGCAACTTGTCGTTGTTCATGGACTAGTCCTGGACCGAGTCCAACAACTCAAGAAAGGTGTCGTGATGTTTGGTTCTAGATGCTCTCCTATGAGCTATGGGATCATTTGTGATAAGTTATTTGATCCTTCAAAACATTCCTCGGAGCCTTCGCGGTTTGATGCGCGTGACAAGAAGAAATTTGCTATTGGTCAGATTGACTGGCTTGTGATCCAGGTAAGTCGCCGAAGCCTTCTCAAAATCATCAGACAATATATGAGTCGGTGTCACTAAACGACCAATATAGGGAACGCCTATTCCTTACACGGGACTGAAAAGGCCCTTTCAGTTAAAGATGAATCAAGGCCAGGAGAACAAGCCATGGAAGGTCCAGATTGTGATGTCGAGCCTACCATCTGATAGACTACCGGATAGTATCAGCCAGCCAGGTACTAATAAGGTTTGCGATCTGGACATCTGCATAGAGGACGTGGATAAGAAACTGAAAGATCGACACTGGTATAACCGAAACCCGGCGTGGTGGAGAACATCATTCGATGTGAAGGTAGTAATTGGGCCGGCTGATCTCTCGTTTCAACTTTGGTCGAAGGATAGGCGAGTGAGGAGCAACAAACATGAGCCAATTACGGTAAAATGGATGCCAGCTTAGATTAATGACCACTGTCTCTCTGTTTTTTTGTGTTTTTAAGTCGTCTGGAATCAGATTCCTGATCTGACAGAATGACTCGGAACGTGAAGAATGTGCGGGTTCATGCAGATCATTCTTAACAAGGATTAGCTATGAGAAACCACTCAATACCCAACTATTTGATTTTATTCCTCGCACAAGCATACTAGAGTGTTCAAGAGCCCAGAAAACACGAGACCAAACAAAGTATCTAGCCAGAGTTTCATCTTATTATTCAACTTTTTATCCTAACAAATTATCGGTTCATACAGTTGCTAATATTCAAGTATATGCATACATAAGCATCAAATAACTGATCCATTTGATGATCAGCGAGAGTAACATTTGAAATGTGTTGTTTGAAACATTTTCCAAGGTTGAAGGCTTGTAATTTAACAACTGTAAAAAATCTCCGAGTCCGTCAGCATGGGAACAAGGTAGCCCTGGAGGCTAGATAAGTGGCGTTTTATGTGGGTTGGAAATATAAATCTTCAAGAATGTTAGAAGAGACCCAATTATGAATAAGAAATGCTATGTATATTCTATTACGCACATGTGCAGGATCTTCACGACCTGCGCAGTTCCTCTCCAGATGCTGGAAATTGAGCAACATGCAAAATCATCTCCTTGGTAATCACAATATTTGTCCCTCTAAGGTCGTGTAAAAATTTGATCACTGCCTCTGCTCTTGGTGGAAAGATAGATATCTTCTGGATCAGTTTCAACTCCTCATCGTTCATTAAATTAATTCCTCTTCCATAGAAGAGGTGTTTGATTGCTGCCTCTCCTGATGCTGGGTGATTAGCGACGGCTCTGATTGCCTCCTCGGTGATATGGATATCTGCTCCCTTTCGCTCGATCAATAGCTTCATGACTTTCCCTCCCTGAGATGGATTCTTTGAAGCTGCTGTAAAGAACTCATCTGTAACTGTCATATCCACCCCTTTTTGATCGAGTAAACCTTCCATTATAGGAAGCGCGTAGAAACTTTCTGCTACAGCATTGATCACTTCCTTGGTAATAATCAAGTTCAGCCTTCCAGTAACGATCAGGAGAGTCAATACTGAGCCAGAAGAATGGGTTAAGATATCTAATAATCCCCTTTCAGTTATCTCAACATTTGCTCCTCGGTCAAGCAGAAGCTGAACAATTGCATGTCCATAAAAATTGCTCGAAGCGGCCTTGAGCAGCTCATCCGTAATCGGAGGACATGATCCAGTGCACTTTAGCAGAAGCTGAAGAATTCTACATCCATCAAGATTGCTCGAGGCGGCCTCGAGCAGGTCATCGGTAATTTGAGAATATGACCCAGTTCGGTTGAGTAAGAGCTCCACCACATCGGCACTGCATTGCCGAAACACTTCCAGGAAGCCTTGCTCAGTGATAAATTTGTTTAAATCCTTTTGGTCAATCAAAGCTTTGGTTGTATCCTCAGATGCGTCTGGTGATAGCCATGATCTATTGCCCTTAGAGGCTATGACTATTTCTTTGGTGATCTTCACTTTCGCTCCTCGGTTCAGCAAAATCTTGATATCTTCGTAGTGCGCAGCTCGGACTATTCCTTCAGTGATCCTGAAAGGAGCCTTTTTACGATCCAGTAAAGTATTTATCAGCTCTGCTGAACATGTCGGATTCCTTAGAGCAGCCTGGACCAACTCTTCGGTGATATTTATATTCGCTCCCTTCCGGTCGAGCAGAAATGCGACCACCATCGCTGCAAAATGAAATAATCCCGCTGCTTCTAAGACCAGTTCTGCTATATTTACTGTGGACTTTTTGAGGAGTAGGTCCATGACCTGTAGTAACCCATATCGCATTGCAATGCTTACAGGTGACTGGCTCCAGCTTCCTGGACAGAGTCCAACATATTCGGTTTGAAACTGGCATGACCAGATCCAGGTCGAGCTTTTCCGTTCACAGAGCTTGGCTGCTTTGTCAATCCACTTGCTATCTCTGATATAAACGTTCTGCATATGGAAAAACCAATTGTTTGCAGCGTATTCCAAAAGCTCAGTGCATGGATTTGGTGGTCTTCCATAGATTGAAAGGGGCAGTCCGGTCTTATTCCTCCGAAAACCAGTGAAAAGTAGATAGGTGATACATCTTGTGCAAAGAACAAAGTGCGCATTGTCCAAGGAAATAGAGGCTTTCCATCCGTGACTTGCTGTCCTTTTCGCGGTTTGTTGGAGTAAGAAGTCCCTCGCCGTCTCATGGATGAGATGCACGCTAGATTCAAATATGACAACAAATGAGCCTCCTGCTTCACGAATCCAGCTCTCTCTGTTTTCTTTGCCTTCAGGATCCAGAATATTGTATGATTTCACACTCGGATGAAGCTCCAGAACGATATCAATTTCCCCAGTGTTAAAGGTCGACGTGCGGCAACGATAATCTCCAGAAGATCCTTTGCGTGTCGCTCATTCTTCTCGTTGCACCGTTGTAGTATTTGCTCATAAGACTGCTCAACGCTTATGGGCAATCGATCAATCACCCGTAGTAGCTTCTTCTCTGAGCTGCCAAGGCAAGTCCGCAATTCCTCCAGCATCAAATACAACCAAAGGTATGTCCGATTGGGAATTTCAGTAAATCGAAGCTTGAAACTCTCTCGGGTTTCAGTGGACAGATTCTTCTCGGCAGAAATCTGGTCTATCTCCTTGTCCATCACTAACGCAATTTCTTGACTTATTCCTCTCGATTCCTTCTCGCCCGCGAGCCGGATGATTTTGCCACCAAAGCTCCCCTGTATATCTCCGTAAGGGCGACTCGTTACAAGGAATTTCAAAGAATATCAAGATTCGTTCCACTTGTCGGCGAATTTCTCATGGAACTGCTTTAGGTGAAGCATAAGAGTATTGCGATCCGGTTGTCGGCATTCATCAAGTGCATCAAGAATACAGATTACATCCCCAGTTGCAGAATCGGAGGCGACAGAAATGAATAGATCCCATAGCAATCCAAAGTTGTCCTTCAATTTCCCCCCATCTTTTTCAATAGCCTCAATGGCGAACTTTCGGAAAAGCTTCTCTCCCCTTCCCCGACAGAACAATTGATTCAGTAACGCACAAATTGCTGTTGTTATTTGATTCTGATCTTCGTTACTTTCGAAGAAGAAATAGCAAGTTGTGGCTGATCCATTGTGGGTTAGTCCTTCATCAACCAGGGATCTTGATAGAACGGATTTGCCACAGCCGGGGTCAGCAGAGACCCATAAGACGTCGCTACGGCCCCTTTGTCGCCATTCCTGAAATGTCAAATGATTCAAGAACCATCTGCATGTGTCTTTGGTTCGTGGAGGATTAACGTTCTTGTGTCGTTCATAGTGTGAGCCACTGAAGAAGCTTTTGTTTACCGAAATACCTAATGTAAATATGTTAGCCTTCATATCTAATCGCATGAGTAGGCAAGATTTCCGTCGCCAACATTAACACAGCTTCTGTATATATTGTCTTGGAAATTTGCAGTCTGGGAAATATGTGGACTCTCGTCATTTAAAACGTATGTGATGTTTTGCCTAGCGCATGGTTAGTACAAGCAGGCCAAGAATGTGGGATAGGACTCCTACTCCTGAATCACCACGTTATGGGCTTGGTTTACCACAAGGCCGGTATTGTGGTGCGCAGTTTGAAAGGCCATAATGATCAAGATTATATCAGCTGATATTTTTTTCCTGGCGCTCTTGTAGCTGCCCCCAGACTCACATATTAGCTAAGACCTTCAAGTTGAAGGGGAAGAGGGGAAGACTCAGCCGCAGAGTGTGATAACCACGTGCATTAGCTTGATTGGTAATGCAAATGAGATATCACATCTTTTTTTATCCCCCACATTCAATCTCACGAGGAGTCACGCTTCCGATACACATTCAGCTGCATCTTATTCTGAGCCCAACTCTCCCATTTGAGTGATCACTGAAGATGTCGCGGTACGGATTGTCTACGTTCAGCTCACCAGATGATGCAAAATTCGAGTAAGTCTCCCTTCTCCGGACCGTATTTGGATCCTATTATAACTTCCAAACAGTATAGTCTTTGTCCACGGTCTGCGTGGGAACCGTGAGAAGACTTGGACCAAGGGTGGGATTTTGTGGCCTCGAGACCTGCTCGCCCCCGAACTTCCAGATTCTAGAATTATGAGCTTCGGTTACGACTCCGCTATTATCCACTCGGACACCACAGAAGTCACACAAGGAAGTCTTACAAATGTCGCTCGCAGTCTTTGTGGTTCACTAACCACGGTGCGAAGCACACCAGAGACTGTAAGCCGTCGTCCCAGCCCCTTCCCAGGCTTCCCTATCGCAAGAGAAATTTGAAATTCATAACTCTTCAATCAGGCCAACCGACCCATCTTGCTTGTGGCCCATAGTCTTGGAGGTCTTGTATGTGCGAATGCCATCGTGCTTGGAGATCGGGGTTCCGTGTGAGACTCCGTCGAAACTATTGCGACCAATGTAAAGGGTATCGTATTATTGGGCACACCTTTTGGAGGCTCAGTTTTGGCAAAGTGGGGTGATCTCATCCGCAAGGTTTTTGAAACAGTGCAAAAGACAGATGCAGGGACTCTCAAATCTCTCAAACTAGACTCGCAAGAACTGAAAGACCTGGGTAGTGCATTTTCTGATGTGATATGAAAACGCAACGATGGGTCAGAAAAGATCAAAGTTGTCTTTTTCTACGAAGAGCTTGATACCTACAAGATAAGAGTATGCCTCTTCAAACAGCTCTGATGAATCACAGAATTAATTTACTGACTCGGAAGCAACTAGGTCGTTGAACAATCATCTGCGGCTTATTTCGGACTTGGAGAGATACTACCGCTTCGCGCTAATCACACCGAGATTTGCATGATCAATTCCGAGGATGATCCCGGCTATGGGCTGGTCAAGGCAAAGATACTGGAACTACTTCATTATAATGGAAAATCCAAACCACCAGTGGTAAGTGGCGTATACCATCTCGAAAATTTTCTAGACCTATCACTAAAATCATAACTAGCGATCTGGCGGTAATACCAACAACTACTATGGCAAAATATTAAACAATGTTACAGGGGTCCAGCACATTGGAACTCAGAACGTCAACTTCTAACGAAGCCGTTTGAGGCTCATCACTTTGGTCATCTCCGAGTATCATTTCAATCTCAATGTTTTTTTTGTTATTGTTACCTATTCGATCCACATGCATCCAAACCTGGACAAATTAGTCCTAACCCTTTGCCTATACCTCTGGAATCTTCCAAAGACACTAAGAATCATTCAAAAAATTCAAATATTTGAATACTGATGGACTTCTTTTTCTGTGCGAATCAAAAAAGAAAAATAAAAACATACAACAGTCAGGTTTCAAATATGGTCACCCACCATAGTACTAACTGAAGAGTGTATGGCATCTTCAAATAATTATATCGCCTATATTATAGAGACTCTAGGTCAAGAGGTTCGTAATAAATGGGCTATTCCCTATAAAGCCCACTTTGAAAACAATTTTCATTTACTTTGGAAATCTCGTCACTGCAGTGATCACAAATTCCCTTTAGAATTTCCACCTCACGGGCGCAAATATCGCAGCATTTGATGCCTCGATCTTGGCAATCTTTCGCAATAGCCTGTCTCCTTCGCTCTTTTACACAGAGATAGCATGGTGTTGGGCTCTCGGATGAACCGGAGAGACCCGTTAACTTGATTCTGTATGAGTCTGGAATGGATGAGGAGTAACCCCATTTGGCTAAGCGCTAATCAATCTAGTCAGCTATACAGTTAAGTGCCCAGGTGGTTCTGTATATGAAGGTTTGACTCGCCTTGCGAGGGAACTCTTTTGGACTTTCTCAGCTCTATAGAATTATCTACAGAATTTTCTCATGGCTATCTCATACTTTAAATTGTCTGCGTTTTTATTTGAATATTCGTTTCGTGCATTTATTTGTGATTGGGAAGTTGATAGACTAATTTGTTACTCGTGATGCATGGATCGGCTTTGATTTGTTTTATAATTAATACTACAATACTCAAAATTACATATACAATTGATTGTCTGGAATGATATCAAATGCTGCTTATTCAATGTTTATACGCCAGGTAGGTAGTATACAGATTCATGCAGAATTAAAGTTATGATTTTCAAGTTCTGCTGATCATTTGAAAGATCGATCTTGAACGAATGCTTCATACTAGGCCTGGAAGGCTGGTTCTGCCTGGTTCGTAATATATAGTGAGTATATTATAATAGCTTTAACTTGAAGTCCCATGATAAACATATAGTTTCAAGCCTAAAAGGTTAAATATAGCTAAACCTATTGGAGTGGCTTAATGTGTGGAATGATTCCCGAGGTCTTATCTTGATCGGCCCTCTTGAGTCGGACTAAATGACTTAGATCTTGACTTTATTTCTCTCAAGTGCTTCTTCTCTCACTTCATCTCTCTATTTCAATCTTTCTCTCACTTCAAATGTTTAACCTTGTTTTCATTTCTCTTACTTTTCTCCTCTCTCACTATTCACTTCTCTTGCTATTCTCTTATTTCAGTTTTATATTTCCACTCTCTAGCTTCTTCATCTTTCCCACTATAAATTTCCAAATTCCCTCTTCCAACTCCTTCCTCCTCCAACTTCTTCCTCTTCTATTCTTCCAAAACCCTACCTCTCCATCTTCTACTTTCACAGCTTCCGGGTTCACCGACCTTATCAACACACAAAACCTGGCTCCTCATATCATCATCATCGCAAAAAGAGCTTTCCTCCTCCCAAAAATGGCTATCATCTGGATACTTACACAATCTGCATCCCGTGGGTCCGACCATGAACTGTCATACGCATCTCTTCTAGTTATCCGAATGGCCAGAGAGCGGCCGGATCCTGAGTCACTAGAGAGACATAGAAGCAAGCGTCAAGGTGGAACTTTTAACGATGAAGAGGGCAAAATGGGCAATGATGGATGAAAGCGTCGCTCCTTAGGGAGCAGTCATGATGAAGGTCAACTAACATCTGACCATTTTCACAATGAAGATATCCGCGTTGGTGGCCCATATTTGTGCTCCATTCCGACGGAGAGCAGACCAGTACCTGAAAGACACCCTAAATTCCGGTTAACGTCTATTGAAACTCCCGAAGGATGGGAGCTTGGCCAGAAAATCATCATGATCATCGGAAAGTTCAATTTAAAGTCAACTACATTGAAATTGTCCTTCATAGGCAGAACTTCAGGCATTAACCCAGAGCAAGAACCCAGCTTAACCTTTTGGGTCCCAGCGAAAAGAGTGTCTGTGGATGATACTTGACTACAATGTACTCGATAATTGCGAAGTCTGCTAGTTGCCAATGATCATGGTCACCTAGCGCCCACGCCTGGGCGGTTCGGCATGGATATACACCTTCCAAGGTTGGCGTGCTCTACTAGTAGACACATCCATATATTCAATTAAAATCGTGACCTTAGTATGTGGATACCTAAAGCGCCCTAACCGTATTACTTAGATCCTTATAACACTCTGGTTAGACTTACCTTCATCATCCCACACACATTGATCACTGCCAAGGAACTTGACCACAGATAAACCTTACGGAGAATATCTCCGGATCAGTAGCCGAGATCACATTATATCCACTTCATTAGGTCTTTTCACACGTGTTACTGTAATATAGGCAAACTTGAAGCTGCTAAGTGGGGATGCAATCGGGACGTGGTGAGGATGGTTGGGACATCTGGAGAGTCTTTGCCACTAAAATACTACAAGCACAGACCTTTTTTTCCTTCAGCTTCAAGTTTCCGCTAAATCGACGAACTTTTTCAAATTGATACCAGCGCGTAATTCATCAACCCACCTTTCGTAATTTAGACTATACCCTTTTTGTCCTTTTGTCAAGTAGGTAGGCTATTTCATGGCCTAGGATATGATGTTAGGTAGGGTATTACGTACCTAAATTAAGATCATGTCCACGGGTCTATTTTTCTAAATGACTTTTATAAATTATGATAAATTATAGAGGCCTTTTCTAGTACACACAGATTTTCAATAATCAAGCAGTCTCTTGGACCGAAATTTAGATAATAATCTAAGTGCCAAGTTCCAGGCAAAGGTATAGGCCTATACTGAGGCTATATGGGAATAAAAAAGCCCATATGATAGCCTAAAGTCCCCTATAATTTCCGGCCCACAGGCTTCACCCTGTAGACCTAAAAAAAGGAAAAGAAATTCACGACGAAAAGGGGTATAGTCTAAATTACGAATAGTGGGGTGACAGTTGATGTGTTCGTATCAATTTGAAAAAGTTCATCGATTTAGCGGGAATTGAGGCGCTTTTAGCGGCCCTCTGATGATCCATAATATCGCCGGAACGGGCAAGATTAAAGTGCATGATCAGCTCTCTCAGGGTAATGCCAGCCACCAAAGCTCCATCAGGTTCTCTCAGCTGTGTTTGAGTGGGTATATTAGGTGCTCCCGCACATGGATGAAGAAAAGAAAAATCACAACTATTCATTTCAATTCATTTTCAAATGTCCGACAACTTTGCAAAACGCGTCTTGCCAGTTGCTTCCCGGGTGAGGGTAGATGACAATGGGGAAAACGGCGACGAAATCACCGATGCTGCACCAGACAACAACCAAGAGACTCCCGAGAAAGACGGAAAGCTCCAACTGACCGTCATCAAGTATGATTCTGGAACGGCAAAGCTGCTGCCCGGTGGTAGACTGGCACCAACTCCATCGCAGCTGGCAACTTCCCCACTGGGGGTTATCCGAGCTTATCTGTTGAAAAACGGGTATCTGGAGAAGGCTGAGTGAGTTTTCATATGTTATACGGGTGAATGATGCTAACAATTTTGTTAGTCGGAATAAACCATTCTGCACCAAGGGTGGAATCGAAGTAACTGATGACATTACCTTTGATCATTATATCCAGGAGAATGCCAACACTCCAGCTGCGGATGGGGAAAACGCTGGGAACGGAGATGGAAGACCGACAAAACACAACATCTATGTCCTCACCAAGGAGAGGGAAAAGAAGAGTTTGGACCCAAACGTAGATGCCTTCGTCAAAAAGCCCCTTGACCTTTCTAATGTAAGTTTAATATTATCTGTTCTTCTAGCATAGCTACTAACGGGCTAGGCCGCAAAAGTCGAATTCGCAACAGCCTTAGCTGGAGCGCCTCTGACCTCCAGCTTTACTAACAGCAGCTGGGCAGCGGAGGCAGGTGGAAGTATTATGTGAGTCTCTCACTTCCCTTGATATAGCTCTAGAATCTAATTAATAGTTACCCCGCCGACATGACCGAAAAAGAATGGGGCATTGTCATGCGCAACAACAACCTTCTTTCCGGTCAATTCCTGCAAAAGGGGCCAGTGGAACAGATCATCAAAGTCCCTGGGCAGAAGGATATTACACGGCCTGGAATTGACGTCGTCAATGTGGAGAGGGCTTATTATTCCGGTATCTACCTGAGATTTTACGGAATTTTGCTTCGTGCTAACAGTTATAGCATTCGCCCTGAAACCTAGAAGGTTGCCGGACTATGATATCACATTCACTATTACTGAAAAGGCAGAGCGGCAGCTGAGTGATCTTAATATTGAACCGACAGATGTACCGCTCTTCTTCAGGTTTCTTGGTATACTGTTCAAAGCTAATATATGTAGCACCTTTTCCGCATTCCCCGCTTCCACATCAAAGATGCATCTCAAGTCCGGGTATTTGAAACCAAGGGTTCACTGGAAACAACCATGGCTGCCAGTAGTTTTTCGGCTGAATCCATCGATGTAGCTGTGTCAGTAACTATCCTTCCCAGGGCTATATTTGATGATAACTAATGTGAAACAGTGGAGGGTCTGGCTTTGGAATTAGCGGTGCTGCCAAGGGAGGTGCCAGCTGGAGCAACGATGAGAAGAGTGCAAGCTCCAAATTCAACGACACCAATTATATGCATGTTGTCTACGAGGTGAGAGCAAATATGAAATCTCTAATTTCTAGTGCTGACTGCTTGATAGTTTCCTCGAGTGAAGTTGATTCTGAATGAGGAAACCCTGGAACTGAGCAATGAATGTAAAGCCGATATTCAAAGCCTGCGACACAGACGTACCCTCGAAGAGTTGCACCGCTTTGAGAAGAGATATGGCGTATTCTTCACACGCAATGTCCAACTCGGAGGCAAGTTGGTTTCTATCGATGAATCGGACTCTGTAGCTGGAGCTAGTCTGAGTGAGAAAACCAAGACGCTCAAGGCAGCAGCTAGTGCGTCAGTTTCTGGGTGGGGGGGCTCAAGCAGAGGTCAACTACAGCCATACAGAGAATTCTGGTAGTCAGACGACTTCAACCGAGAAGAAAATGACGCACTCTATGTCTTGGTCGGCTGATGGAGGAGAGACAACTTTCTGCAATAAGTATGTTAAAAGATTATCTATGAGAGTCCGCAAGATATGCTGACTGAATAGCCCGCCAAAATGGTGTCCCACTGTGACGTCCTTCTACAACTGGCGAGTGATGAAGCAAGACGATGTTATCAACATATACGAATTAATCGGCAAACTCCCTGGCTATGAAGACATCCCTACTCTGGTCCAGAACATCCTCCATATTAACGCAGACCCAAAAACCCTTGTCGGCTTTTCGCTTCATCTGCAGCCTGATAATGCCAAGCACGGCAAAAGGACACTCTCCTTTGGCCAGCCTGAAGGAAGACATATAGCCCATTCGCATATGGATCCAGCTTTGATAGATCCTCATTCCCTCCTACTGCACGGGAAGGAGCTCATTTCAGACGTGACCCTCAAACCAAAAGAAGCTGGGTATCGTCCATACGGTACTGCATTTGGGATTCCCATGACGGCGGGTCAGACAAACATTTCGCTGGTTAAGAGCACAAAGGCCGGTGAAGAAGGCATCATTTACCCTCGAGTAAGACAGTCTGTCCCATGAAATCAGAATTAAACTAATCCGACAGCTCAAATATGGCGTCAAATACCCCGTCCAGTACCTAGTCAATGAAGGAGAGGATGACGAAAAAACCACCTCGTTGTTCACTCTCCAGGTCGGGGGTGACAAATCCTCCAACCTGTTCCTGTACGGAGAGGAAGAAAAAGCAGCCAATGTCATGGTGGAATTTCTCGGAAAGAAGAACACTCCAGTCAAGGATTACAGCATGGTAGCGCTAGAATTCTCATATGTCCTCCAAGGCGCCACCATCCCCCATGTATCCAACTTCCGATTCAAAGACATCGATGATATAAAGAAGCCTGACATTGAAGAGATGATGCAGAAAATCGTCCTGCCCAAAGAGCCTCGGGAACCTCGCCAGCCTGAGTTCACAAAGTATGAACGCGGAACATTTGATTTTAGCCCAGACTGGCCTGGCCCCCAGTACCATAACATGGCATCATGGCAGAAGACCCCGGAAGTTGAAAGGCGCCTGAAAGCATTCTACAAGAAGCTTGACGACTTTGAAGACGAAAAGAGGAGATACAAGGCAGAAAAAGAGGAGCATGACAAGATTGTGCACGATATCCTTGGGAAGGTCAGTGGAAAGACGCAACGGGAGTACGAGTTGCTCAAGACAGAATGGGACCAGCACCAGGAGGTCATGAACCAATTCGTGCCCTTTGAACAAATGATCTTCCAGATTGATTACTGCGATGAGGAAAATAAAAAGAACATCATCACCCAGAGGGAGGCAGCCGTGGCTGCGTTCAAAGCAGAGCAGAAAGAAAAAGCCGAAAAGCTCGCCAAGGAGGCCAAGGAGGCTCAAGAGGGCAAATTCGCTGCAGTAGCACAAGCCATAGCGGCTGCTTTTGAAGAGGCCCATAAGGAAAAGCTTAAGAAACGGACTGCACTTATGTCATCACACATTGAACGTTGGACCGATTACAAGTGGGTGCTTGTGGAGAAGCCCAGGTTGGAACGGATAAAACGCTCGATGGAGGCATCTGATGCAATAAAGGCGGCTAAACTAGGTGCGGATATCCAGAAGAAGGACGATGCCATCACCATGCTGGCAGAGTATGATTTGGAATTGGACTTTCAGGGGGCATGCGCTGCTTTCTGGAACAATCCGTTCTTCCCAGCTGCCATGGCCAAAATCTCTATTCCAACTTAGAAATGATACTGGGTCGAAGCTTAGAGAACAGCCCAATTTATCAGCAATCGGATTCTACTATCACTGGTTGCATGTTCATGACCCACGTTATCCATGGATGTACTTCTGGGCCTCTTAGCCCGCCACGACATCATGATGCAGGAATGGGGCTGTGAGTCACTGTTACATGTAATTCGTAGTACTCTCGGGCTATTTCTATGGCTATAGCTAAAAATCTCAAATAGCGCGCTGCAAGCACATCACATTTATTCGTGCTTTAAATTTCATGATTTGCTTCAGACTAAATAATTGACCTTCCATTGGAAATTGAAAAATTGCACGTTTGGGCTGAGATAAGGAGCAATACGTAGATCAGAGCCGGAAGCCGGTAAAAGATCGTTGGTCAAGAATTTGATTCTCAGCAAACCAATTCCCATGCATCCCATAAGGCACTCGCTGAGGAAGAAAGACCTTTGCCAGAACCTCTTGCATTCCAACAGCGTCAATAATCCACAACTCACTTCTACAGCCTGCTTTAGCTTTGCCCTCCTCATTCAGCTGTGATTCATCAAATACGTAGGTGACCAGCCATCCGTCATCTTCACTCTTACCGTCTTTGCGCGGTACAAACGAGCACTCCTGTGCATACCAGCCGTCAGGCAAAGCAAAGACTTGAATTGGATCTTCCGGATCTTCCGAGCACAGGATCTCCTGCATCGTTCTCGTATCCACACTTCCTTCTGGGCCAACTGGAGGGGTTCTTTGCCCCATTGTCAAGAGTCTTTTGACATCTATTTTGGCTAAGCAATCAATTTTCACACTCTCCATAAACTGAGACGCAAAATTCCCTTCCCGCATAGAACAACCATATATGTAACGAGCGGCTGTCATTTCTAGATGACGTGGGATATGGGGAAATTCAAATGGAATTGAAGAAAGAGCCCATTGTTGAGTTATGGCAGAGGTTATCTCATAGTAATACAGTCGGCATTGTGGGTTGTCAGGGCAGACACTTTTGGGCGCTTCCATGCCGCCCATGTGGTATAAGGGAGCAAGACTGTTCATGCGACAAAGTAGTATATGCACCCGTGTGCCAGACGGAGTACACTCGTCCCAAGTGTTTGCGGTATGCATCACGATAGAAGCGCCAGTATCAAACCATTTGATCTTGTCTGGCGAGTGTCGGGGAAATACCCCTAATCTGGTAGGGCCATTCGGATCATACTGAACTGCAGACAGATTGTGCCTGAGATTAAATGGATCCAAGGAGATTGGACAGTCGATTATAACCGTATAGTGCCGAGACACACCAAAGTCGTGCATCAGCTTGCCAGAGGAAAGTCCTGGTACAGGCAAATTAAGACGCGGCTCGTTCTTCGACGACGCTTTTGCAGGCACGATTGAATATTGAATGAATGGTGGCAGAAACGTTGAATGGAATAGAATCAGCTCTCCGGTAGTCTGATCGACTCGGGGCTAAGATGAAGACAAGTAAGCCTCTTTTCTGAAACCAGCACGTCAATTGACTCACATGGGCCGTTGTCATCTCTTTGTAGAAGCCCTCTATACCTTTGCCGCCAAAGTATGCATCTGAATCACCAACACATGCGGGCTCTCCTTCTGCTTTGCTGCCCGTAAACCAGCCAATGGTTTTCAATGAAGGAAGATGGACTCTCATAGGCGGGCCAATCTCATTAGTCGCCAGCACGCGCCCATCATGGTAAAAGATATTTGTATTCGCAGCACCGACTCTTTGAATTGGCCGCGCAATGAGCTTAAACAGCGACGCAAAAATAATCACATACGTCCGCATGACTGATAAAAGAATCCGAAATGGCGATGGTACAGGGTCTACCAGAGCAGCCATCCCAGGTAGAATGGGGTGTAGTCGTTTATTGATTTTCGTGGCGCAATATACATCCGTCTCGACGTATTTATTGGTAAACAAGGGCTGCACACTCTCACTCGAAGTATTAGGACGGCTGAAGAAGACTCCGGTCAACATTCCATCACCATCAAACCAATGAAGTTGTCGATGGCCCTTATCTTCCATCAAATTGCTCCCATTTCGCACATATTGCCCTCCTAGGAACTCATCTGGGATTGCCCCTTCAAACTCGCATGGTTTCCCGTCAATGGTGACATATGTTGGGACATAGTTTCCCGTGAAATATCTATAGCATTTGAAGATCCTTAGTCTTGCACGGCTTCCAAAGCCTCATGCAATGGATGAGAAGGGACTAACGGGTGCATTTTGCCTGAATCCATTCCATGTTAAGGTAGTAATAATGGTAGAATTTTAATGTCGAAGTATTTGGGAACAATTCGGGTCTCAAATCTGTGCAGTGGGCATTTCAATTTTGGCTTCACACTTCCCAAAGAGCATTTGGAATGGCTTAGAAGGTATTGAAGTATTGTATTGTCAATGTGAAAAGAACGCATGATGCTCTCAAGGCTGCTCTTGGTCCCTTTGGCACCAAGATTTCCACTACTCATCTTCATGGTCACACAAATATGCAGCTGTGTGGCCGATTACTTGAAAATCGAGTCGGCTGGATTCCAAGGTTTTTGATAAAGGGTTTCAAGGCCCAAGGCAAATATAGGGACATCCTCTTACCTGCATAAACAGGATAGCCAAGGCTAGAATGTAGAAGCTAAAGACCAAACCATAAAGCCTGAAGTAACCTTGCAAGAAACAAGAGGCGGCAATAGCCTGGAAAGATAAGACCGAAAATTGGATTTCTTTCATCAAATATTGCATGTTGCAAACTTGTAAGAAAGGCTCCAGAGCTGCGTGCATCAACGTGCAGGTATCACTCAAACTCGAATGTGATAGGTATCGCGTATGCAAGAGACTTATCACTCATGCAGGAAGGATGGCCCGTCGCATTCAGCAGATAAAAAAAACTGCTTACTCGTCGAAATCGGGGTTGTTTGAAGGCACCGTGCGAGAAATAAGTGGGGGAAAAGACAAGCAAAAAGAAAAGAAGAATTTGGAATGGGAGAAAAGCAAGGAATTTGAAAAATAAGAATATAACATACCTGCCTAACCACCAGGTGCTCCCCGAATTCATTTTGTCTTATGCAGGTGCCTATGCAGTAGGGTGCTCAAGTGCTTAACTCGGACGTCAAATCATGTTGGCACATGTGCAAGCTTACACCCCGGTAAACTTCTAAGGGTCTTCACTGGAAATTTATACACGATAGGTTCCAAGGTTAAGAATCAAGAGTACGTAATCTGATGAAATTGGTAGATATAAGTTCATCGGTACATGGTAGACACTCCCGGGGTCTATGAGAGGATCAGATTTCAAATTCTGTCAAAACATTGAAGCAACCCATTACATCCATTGATGTCAAAAATGAAATTCCAACTTTCAGACTATGCCATGGTGTACATATTCCTCTCAAATCATCCCAACGCGTTTGTTCTAAGGTTATATGGGAATGTCACTAAATAATCAACCAGGCATGTCACCTATAATCTACCGCTATCATTCTGCCTTACTGCTTTATTTTGGCCATTTCTTACTCGAATTGATTTGATAAAGATCACCTTGCTAGTAATCGTACAGTTTAAATCCTTCCATCCGCAATTGCCCTTGATAGCTCATGGGAATCTAGGTATCGGTTTTGGCAACAACCCCATGGGATTCGTATCTCGTTCGGAATAAAGTCTGGACATACCCTGAGACTGCTGTCAGTGGTATCACAGTGTTTTCAGTTCCGATAGAAGAAGTATTTTTCTTCTGCATTCAAACCTACAACACGAGTATGATCTACACCATAGTGACTCGGCGACTAGTCATGCCAGCATATCTGAAAAAGTCAGATCGTACGGCTCGGATATCTGTCGCACTTCTTCCTGCGCTCCTGACTGTGATAGGCATGGGTGCCTTCCAAGCTGGGGGGAAATATACCTATATCGGCATGATTCTTGGGTGGGCATGCTCGTGGTTGTTGTTTCAATGGTGGGTTGCAAGGTTCCAAGTTGTTCCATTCTTGAAGCTTCAAATGTTCAATTTTCATCATTGGCAGAGACTAATTTTGGATTTTAGGATTTTATGCTCTCACCTGGCCTTCAATCTCCCCATCAAGGAGCTTCTGATCTCTGTGATGCTTCCTACCGCATTTCTATGGATAGTCGACACTTTGTCACTTGGTAATGGAACATGGGTGATTGAGAAGTCCACTAAATTGGATATCCAAGTATGGGAAAAATTGGATATTGAGTAAGCCCTGGAGGTCCAGAGTCAATTGTTACCGCACAAGCCACTAACTGTTCTAGGGAAGCATTATTCTTCCTGCTCTCCAATATTATGATTGTGCAGGGCATGATCATCGCCGACTGTATCATTGCTGAGACGGATCTCCGAAAGGCACAGTCTGTGGGCGAGATTGAATGTGGGTTGAATATCACGGAGGCCTTGCTTAGCTTCGTATATCCTCCGGATAAGGCAAATGACCGGTTCGTTTCACACCTTAACCAATCTGTACACCGACTGGCGAGCGCGAGTCAAAGTATGTATATGGGCAGTGCCATGTTCTACGGTGCTTTGCGCATTGACCTCATCTTCCTGTGAGCATTCTTTTCCGTCTAACTTAGCGCATGGACCGAACACTAATTGCTGAAAGTTATTCTTTTTGCCGCTTAATCGACGACCTCGTGGACGGAAGTGAAAGCCGGGGGGTTGCAGAAAGATTAATCGACGAATGCGCTCGGCTTCTGGATGTTAAATTCAAACTCGAATCAGAGTTTGTGGAAGACGAGGGCGGTTGCTCACATGAAGAAGTTGAGTTCTCCGAACTCAGAGAAGCCATTGACCACCTCCCTGCTTCTAGACTTCGACTTGGCCCACTTCGTGATTTGTTGGAGGGCTTTCGGCTTGATCTTCAGTTCATTGCGTTTGAAAGAACCTTCCCAATATCGACCGAGATGGAGTTGGATAAATATGCATACTATGTGGCAGGGACAGTCGCGATATGTATCCTCGATCTGGTATCGCATCACTTTCCTTGCCACATTTTCGCTGCCGACAGCAACTTGCAAGATAAGGTCGTCGAAGCAGGTTGTGAAATGGGAAAGGCCCTGCAGTACGTCAACATAGCGAGGGATATTGGCCGTGATTCTGCAATCAACAGGGTTTACATCCCGAACACATGGCTCAAAGAGGCTGGCCTCTCGCCAGAAGACGTCCTGTTCTGCCCAACGGATCCTCGTATTCAAAATGTTCGGTCGCGCCTTTTGGCTAAAGCAAACTATCTGCACAAGCGAGCTGAAGGTGCGATTCGAAAATTGCCTTTGGAGGTACAGGGTCCTCTTCGTGCGACCGTGGAAAGCTATATGGAGATCGGCAGTGCATTGGAGAGTGGTGCCCAGCCCCACCGACCTTATCACAAGCTACGTCTTTCCATTCCAAGACGCCTATTTGTTGTTTACAAAGCGATGACCAATTTTTGAGGACGACTCGGATGAATGAGTCCCATCATTAGTGACATCATCTTGGATCTGAGTATGGATTAGCTAGTAGCACCCCTTGAACAGCTCATAGATCATCTTCAGCATTTTCATCTCCAATTTGTAGTTCAAGCTATGGATATCAGACCAATTTACGCTCAATTTATAGCATGTAAAAAAGGAATCATGAAATCTGACCAGAAGGCTAGCAAGAACAACAAGCCTTGCTCACCCTAGAATCCGATCGAACGGTAGGACAATTTTCCCATACCCATCTCACTGGCATTCCACGAAAAAATAGCGAGGAGTAGAGTAGCAATTGCAATAAGGATTTTCAGCATCCACCCCTTTGGCTCGCTTTCACCTGTCCGATAATCTCTCATGATCCTCTCGGATACAAGTTTAGCACCTGCGAGACAAACTGGAACTCCGGTACCGGGATGTGTGCTAGCACCCACAAAGTAGAGACTTTCGATATTTGGGTGCTTGTTTTTAGGTCTGAATGTTAACACATTACTGAAAGAGTGGGACAGCCCCAGAATGGCGCCACGGTCGAGATTGAATTTTGACTTCCATGTAAGAGGTGTCTCGTTCTTTTCGAACACAATCTTCCTTTCCAGATCCTTGAGACCGGTCCGGTGTTCAATAGCATTGAGAACAGTCCTTCTTGTTTTTTCCACCAGGATATCCCAATCTTGGGCAGGGCAAGACGTTGTGGGTGGAACAAGGTGTCCGACAGGAACAAGAACAATAACTGCGTCTTTCCCCACGGGAGCCGCAGTGGGATCAACACGACTTGGAATATTGACGTAGAAAGAGGGCTCCTCTGGGATACTGTGATCATCGAAGATCGAGTCGAAACTTGATTGATACTCCTCTGCGAGGAAAATGTTATGTGTTTTCAGATGAGGGAGTACTTCATCGAATGCCCAGAAGAAGGATATGCTGCTACACGATGTTGGGCGCGATCGAAGAGAGCAAGCTTCACGAGACGATGGGAGTAGCTCATTATATGCGTAAACAAGATCTGCATTCAGCACAACAAGGTCGGCATATAACTCTTCACCGGAATCAAGACAGATCCCTCGTGCTGAGCGGTTATCTTTATCGAGTATCACAGATCTCACGGGTGAGTCTAAGAAATATTGGACACCGGATCTTTCACCAATGTGCTTAAGGGCTTCCATGATCTGATTCCTGTCAGAAAGTTGGAACTGAGAAAGGATGTCAACCTTGGAATTAAACTTACTGTGTGAAACCCACCCTCGGGATAGCCAATACCGTCGACTAATTCACTGTATTGTAACAAAGAATATGTACCGGGTGATTTATAGGGACTCATTCCCATGTACATGGAAGCAAATGTCCATACCCTTCTCATCTTGTCAGAGTGGAAGTATCGCGACACGCGACCATACACAGTGGACCACGGGCGCATCCATAGCATAGCCCATAGGAAGTCAGGTCGAAGCAGTGCAAAAAAATCCGGATAGTCCCTGCGAAGGACATAGGTCAAAGAGAGCTCATAGTTTCTCCCCGCCTCTGCCAGGAATGCACAGAGTCTGGAAAAGCTATTCGGACCCTCGTGTCGCTCAACCTCCTTCTTCAGGCGCGATAGATCGGTCGATAATTCAACAGTATCCCCATCTGGAAACCATATATAGTAGTTGAGATCACATTTCAATATTTTCAAGTTTTCTTCACTTAGTGAGGTTTTGAGATCTTGGAATGTCTCCTCAAAGATCTCGGGCATCAGAAGTAGTGAGGGTCCTTGATCGAACCGCTGAAACTGTCAGAAAGTAGGAATAGAGCACTGAAAAATGGAAAACACATACATAGCCTTTGGTAGAAATCAGCGAGCATCTTCCGCCTACGAAGCCCTGTTTCTCGAACACTTTCACTTTGCACCCTTGCTGGGCTAGCCGGGCTGCGGTAGCAAGACCACCGGCACCAGCGCCTGAAATAGTCAGTAGCCGACATTGGAAACGGAAAAGGAGATATGGGTTGATGGGATGGAGCATACCAACGATAATGACGGAAGGACTAGGCATGTTTGTACTAAAATGGACGTTTTCGTGTTCAAGAGGGGTGTCAGCCTTTTGAAAGAAGATATGTGCAGTAAGCTGCAACTCTCAACAATATTTCAGCACTAGAGAGCTATATACAAAATTGAGACATGCATTTTAATTTGTTTACTTTCGCTGAACATCGGAGATAGTACTTTACAACATTCGGATTACTTCCTAAATTGGCCGCTAGACTCCCGAGGCCCGCTCCTATGTAAGTTATCCGTATTTCCAATGTATTACAACCTTGAATGCCCCAGGGATTCTGACATTTCAGGAAACTTTGCTACACTTTGATTGAAAGAGATCCCCTGTGGAACATTGGAACATGCTGTCTCACTATGCGGGCGCTGTGTAACACTCCTCGTGGCCCAGAGCTATGATTGGCGCGGAACCCTTCCGCTAAGCCGAGATTCCCGACCAATCAAAAATCGCCAAGCACACGGAGTACTATGTATTGACCGCTGATTCTGAGCCGATACACCTTCCCTGTATCCGTGGATGGACTATGTGAATAAAATACTGATCTGCCATAGTATTACGGTGACAAATTATAGTAGCTAGGTAGAGGTTACAGAGCTTCACATTCCAAGGTTCATTTAAACCACACATGTGCACATGCAGTCCAAGATAAGCCTACCTCCTAATCTTTAACGAGAGCATATTTTATGACATTGTTGAGTATCTCCAGGGCTGTCTTCAAAGTTATTCCCTAGATACAGACTCGGAGTGGGCAAATAGATCTGAGGATACTCATCCAATAAGCATTAGATGCCGTCGGGGACATGTATGAATTTACGAAAACACCTGAGCAATATCAATCAACAACATTCAGTCTGAAAAACAGCAGAACAAGAAGAACCAAAAATGCAAAAACATACAACAGTCAGGATTCGCATGTGGTCACCCACCATACTACTAACTGACCGGCGTGTGGCTTAAGTACGGCTGAGCGGACGGGAAGCCCTGTTCTCCACACCCTGTGGTCGTATGTACTTAAAACCTTTAAGTAGTAGATTATATAAAGCGAAATAGGGAGCGGTAGGGGAGTAATAGCGAGAAGGGTGAGTACTCAATAGATATGTCAACTGGTAGTAGATAGGGTGTGAAGCAGGGTGAGAGCGGGTGGGCTTCACTCTCTTTCAAAGTAAACATAATATTATTGGACCAAGACTCTCTCCATCTAAAACAGCTCCAGGGCTAGCATCTACGGTGTTCCACTAGGAAGTGTATGGGCATCTTCAAATGTTGATGGTTGAGTGTTTCTTTGAGTCTCTCGCACAGAATGCCTATGCATGCCCAGGTGGTAACTTGGTGAAGATGTCATCAAGAAAACATTTGAACCGTCCAATTATTTGTGATTCAAGGGATACAATGACACCCACACGATTCGGACACTATGAGGCGCCTATAGCTGGCTGTGAAGGAAATCTTTGGATGACCTTGTTACATAAAGCCGCTTTCTCCACACTGGGGCGTCCACGGATCAGGATATAACGGTTCCGAGGTCATCCGCAACCCTTTTCTTTTCTGTGAACGAATTGTAATTAGTGAAACACGATGATGGCTTCATTTATAGGAATTTCATGCAGAATACCTCTACTTCTGCTTCTTTCTTCACTTCCACCTACTCTGCAACTCTCGTTTTCAATTTTCCCACCTGGGCATGCCATGGATTTCCACATGCCAAGTGTTCCAGATGTCTGAGATGCAGTTCATACGAAGTAGTTCCAAACATTGAACATACTATGTCCTTGGTTGGCTCGTATTCATTTGACGTCGGCGAATCGCTTCTGTCACTTCGGATCAACACCCGCGGATGCATAGGGGCCTGGGTACATCTAGATAAAATCGAGACTACTACTAAGCTGACTTCGTTTACATCATTGATTGATACCCTTTTTCATAAGCAAGTATAAGTAACTGAATTGAGAATTCCGCCAAATTATCATAACCTGTAGTCGTATATTCTTTCGAGTGTTTAAACGCGATCAGCTTTAATCTACACAATGAGGTCTTCTTCTCTTGTCGGTGCCAACTGGGTCTCTACTCTTTTGTCTGCACTAGCTACGGGAGCTCTGGCACAGATATCGCCTTCGCCAAGTTCCCCCTCGCAATCTCCGACGTTGGTTCGCCTCTGCACATCTAGTGACATCGCCAACATGAACGTGCTTAACTGCGCATGTCCATCAGATTTTCCGCCTTTGCCAATGGCCTGCAAGGCAAACAGTAAGGCCTGTACTCAAACTTGCAAAGGAGGGTCTGTGACGTCTATCGCCGAACTAGACGTATGTGGTGCTGGCTGCGTAGATGCCAACAACGAATGCAATGGTTGCTATATATGGTTCTCTGGACTTTGCAATTGCCTTCAACAAATCCAAGAACAAAAGCAAACCAGTTGTATTTCATCTTCAAACCTTACTCCCGGTCAAAAAACCCCGCCAGTATGGATGATCAACGCTGCACACGACCTAATGACCACCACCTATCTGATCCCCGGAATCTTGCAATTGCACCAAATTCCCGACTATTGGGTTGGATTTAATCTCGCACAGAACACAGTCCGAAAAAGTGGAGCAAATGCTGGAACTCTGGCTATCAACTCAGTAACCAGCCGCACGGAAGAACAGATCCACATCCATCTCTGCAGCAATGGAAACCAAAACGTTCGCAACGTGCTAAATGGTCTAGATCCCGCCAATTACAAAGCATTGGCGACGGTGGATTTGTCAAAAGCTATGCCAGGCTCTGCTATGCAGTGTCGGATAGCGTCACAGAAGGATGCCAATATCGACCAAGGAGGGGATATTCTGAGCTATCTCCAGAAACTTGATAAAGACCAAGGACCCGACAATTGTGCTCAATATCACGTCGGTTCTGGGTATATGGTCGATAAGAACGGTTTTTCTTGGTCTTGTATCACCACCTCTGGATCGGCGGAGAAGATTTTCTGTTAATTGAGGGGCATGGCCATTGGCACTTTTAATCTTGGTGTTTTGTGTTTGGGAATGGATTTGGTTGGAAAATTGGCCTTCATCAACGTCAGTCGCTGACCAGGTGAAAACACACTTTCACTATGGTCCCAAATTGTAATGCGATTGTTCAAATGATGCCTCCAGGCTCGAACATCGAGGTTTACCTGTAAAGCAGACACTCATACTATGCATCAAGTTATCACATGTCACATTTTCACCGTAAAAGGCTCTTAGAGTAGCTCTTACGTGACGCGTAAGTGTACATGTATATGCACTGGTATGCTTATTTTGGTACAATTCCCAATAGTTCCAGTCCTGATTCAACCATTAATTTCTGCAGTGGCTTTACGGAGTCCACTGGCTAGAGTAATAGTCGGTGGTCGATAGTTGTCAAAGCTATCGGAACATGCCGTCCTCTCAAGTGCTGTAGATATCACCAGCTCTCCACCTTCTTTCTACCTTCCCCAAGCACTTTCCGCTGACAAAAGAGTCAACTAAGATATGTATTGCACAATCATCATGTTGCAGCGTGCTAATGCTGATTTCCCTCAACCTTGAAATAGCAGCCACACATGCAGGCTGGAACCTGGTTGAAAGATTCGTGAGTTTCCTCATCGCGACAGGTATATAATACATACTGTCAAGGAGCGGTTAGTAAACTCGGCTCCATTCCAAGGTTGTGATTCAGCAGCTTATAGTACCCATCAAGCTAGAAACTCAATTAACAAGCAGATAGCCGTCCTAAATGTTCCAATGTTCAAACATTTGAATAGCACTTGTTGGAATTACTTACTTCAATGTCAGTACTTCTAGGCTCCAGGCTCAGCATATGTGCATACCCAGGTGTGACATCTGGACCGTCCACATGCTGTTAGCCCCATTGGGACGTGCGCTTATCCAGATGTCCGATCCGCGAGGAAATTGGTTGGATGCTCCAGGGTTCGTGGTCAAAGTTTCAATTTCACCGCACTGATTGATTTATTGATGATTGAGACTCACGATATCATGATGTCTGAGCTCGACTCGGAAGATTGGGTGATAAAAAAGATTAGGCATCATCTAGATTAAAGAACTGTAACACTAGATGCAAGATTGACTTCCAAGGTTATCTTCTCACACATGTGCAGTAGGTATGTATTCCAAAGCTCCCGACATACCTGGGGCCGATATGATATCATATACTAAGAGCGCGCAACATTCCATGACAGCTTCTCTTACTAACATTTGAATTGGATTATTACACAATAACTAGTCCTTCTTTTTAGTTAAGAAATAGTATTAATATAGATCTAATTCTAGATATTCTAAATTCTCTATCAAAGTAAAGGCTCTTCTAATTTTCTAGGGTTCTAAAATTAATAGTTAGGTCCCGGGTCATAAGGTAACTTAGGTCTGACATCGAGGTAGAGCTTTCTGCACCCATGGCCTCGAGGTACACCGTGCCCCCGACCGAAAACTTGATAGATACACGGACAGATATTAATATACCCTTGGACCCTTTTTTCAGATGCTTTTCATCTATCGGACCCGGATACAGCCTGCAGAAACTCTTTTTTTAGGTGCCGGAAGGAATTCCCGAATCGGGCGCCACCAGACTCAATTTTGAGTCGATTTATCACATCTAGCTTCCACCACGTTTCAGAGTACCCTTTAACCACGTTAGATTGATAGGGCTGTGGACTCATCAATTGACTCATCGCATTATTGAAATTACTGTTTGAGATTGAAGAGGCCGTGGCAAAGGGAAGAAAAAAATCAGCCTCGGCAGGACTGGCACTGGCATTTGCTGACCACAGACTATGTCTTCATGACGAATTATTCGACCGATATTCTACACCGAGGAATCATAGCGATGATATCAAGTTGCGGCCCGTTGAGCTGAAGATCCCCCAACAGTCAAATTGCATATGCGCAGACTTCCAACGTTGTATCATGGTATCTCAAGTGATGCCTGCCTGCTCTGCCCCACAGGCAGTATCAAGACCCTGACTCAGGGGCCATGCCGAAGTCCGTGAAATCAGACCGAGTGTTTCATCCGCCCTGCGGATCTGCGTCCGACGGAGTAGATTTCTGCTCTAGATGAGACTTGCACTTTTGAGCCTCGGCTTCTTGTAAGTACCGTATACGGAGGAAGAGTTATAAAAGAGAGACCTTCTCAATCTTTCAAACCTCTCTATCCACGATTCAACCAACAGGCTTTCAGTTACTCGTTTCATTTCGAACAAGCTTCTCTCTTCTAGAGCTGGTCTCTTGATATTTCAAACACTCAGTTTGCCCAACACGTTGTTGTCTTCAACATTTGAATACTAGTTTTTTCCCAGTCAATATGAAGGCCGCAGTAATTATTTTGCTGGTGAGCTCCACTCTTGCTGCTCCCACTCGAACCATTGCAACCCGTCAACTCGACGGACTCGACGGCACTGGAACAAGCAGCGGACTTGGAGCCCTGATCTCGGGCCTCAGCAGCATCCCCGGTCTGAGCGGCTCCTCGGGAAGCGGGTTCAGCCTTCCCAGTACAATTCCCGGTCTCTCTGGACTATCTGGCCTTTCAGATTTGACTGGATCAGACGAGAGTGGTAGCTCTGGTCTCAGTGGATTCAAGCGCCAGCTCACTGGGTCAACTAAAAATGGTGTGACTGACAACACCGGTTGCGAGGAATTGACTTTGATCTTCGCTCGTGGAACTGACGAGCTTGGTAACATGGGTACGGTTGTCGGCCCTCCGCTTGCAACGGCGCTCGCCTCCCTGACAAAAAACAACGTCACTGTTCAGGGCGTGAACTACGACGCATCCGTCGCGGTATGTTCCAAATCCTCAAATCTCCACTGTAGTTCCCATGCTAACGGTTTTGATCGAAACAGGGTGATACTACCCTCGGTGAGGATGGCGGTTCTGACATAGCCAGTCTCGTCAAGCAATCTATCAAGCAGTGCCCTGACTCGAAGGTCGTGATCGCCGGATACTCCGAAGGTGCCATGGTTGTCCACAACGCTGCCAACAGTCTTTCCGCTGACCAGGTCTATGGTGCCGTGCTGTTCGGTGACCCCTTAAAGATGGAGAGCGTTGGTCAGCTTGCCAGCAGTAAGGTCAAGGAATTCTGTGCCACTGGCGACCCGGTTTGTGAGAACGGAGCCGATGTCATGGCCCATCTTTCCTATGGAAGCGATGCCAAGGAGGCCGCGCAGTTCCTTGTAGAGGCTGCTGGTCTTTCTAGCTCGTAAATTGTACCGTCAGGATGAATACATGTTCGTTCTTGTTCACCTGGGCGACATGTGGAAGGGACTGGGTGACCGTGACATCAGTCTCTTCACTTCAATGGCATTCGGATACTGGAGGTTGCCATTGATTGAAATGTATGGAAACGATAAAGTGTGAAGTTATGATATAGTAAATGACATGACCATGACATGAGAAAAGTGACAGAGCTCAAGAATTTCGTTCTTGATGACCAAGATCCAGATGTCATATCGTAATTGGCAAATAGAGTATTTTGGTAAAGCGTTCCAAGGTTTGACACAGACAGATTTTCATTCTCCCCGCTGTCTTACTCCCTTGATTGTTGTGAAGGGTCTGGCCATATAGGGGGTATTAGGGGAAAGATCGCCACGAGAGTCTTGAATTCGGACCCACTACTACCAAAAAGAGTCCTACTCCGTATGGAGTAGATGAGGAGCAGTTACTTTCAGGTGAAAAACAACAACATTGTCGATCTTCGATGATCCCCTTTTACCCGATACCGGATCCAAACTGGTGTCAAGCCGAGGTGGGTTGGCTGCTGTTTCCCAAGCAGGATTTCCCTTTTCTAGCGCTAGTTTCAAATCTTCCAAGTTTACTATGGAGACAGATTAATCTGTCCATTTAATCCGTTTCTCTCCGTTATAAGCGAACTTGAAAGCACAATGTGAATGACTAATCTTTAATATGGCTTTCTCTCGGCCCCGCCCCGGACATATTGATATAGACATACTCCATACTCTTCCCCTCAATTTCTCCTCTCCAGCCTCGAAATAATTACCCACATTCACTTTGCCCACATAACGGGTTGGTCTCGTACCCAATATGAATCGACTTTGCAAACATTCGCTTGAACAAATTTTCAACAATAACAAGAAATGGGTCTTGTCGAAGACGGGGGCAGATCCCGCCTTTTTTGATAAACTTGCTGCGGGGCAATCGCCCGACTACTTGTAAGTGAAAGCTTTCTTCTCGACATCAGAAATTTAATCATTTGAATTTATTCCGACACGACCCAGATACATAGGCTGTAGTGATAGCCGAGTCCCTGCCAACGAGATCATGGGTCTAGAAGCTGGCGAAGTATTCGTTCACCGCAATATCGCCAATCTCGTACCCAACGTCGACCTCAATGTCATGTCCGTGATTAACTATGCCGTGCGACACTTGCAAGTCAAACACATCATTGTGTGTGGCCACTACAACTGTGGTGGGGTGAAAGCGGCATTGACACCGGCCGACTTGGGATTACTTAATCCCTGGCTCCGAAACATTCGCGACGTGTATCGCTTGCATGAGAAGGAACTTGATGAAATAAAAGATGAAAGCTCGCGATACAATCGATTGATTGAACTCAATGTGGTGGAATCATGCAGGAATGTCATCAAGACAGCTGCTGTTCAACAAAGCTACCGCGATAATCAGTATCCCATCGTTCATGGATGGGTTTTTGATCTACGCGACGGCCTACTGAAAGATCTCGAGATTGACTTTGAGGCGATGTTGGAGGATGTGAAGAAGATTTACAGTCTATCGCCGGATCCCAATCCCAAATAATCGATGTCTCCGTTGTCAATTACCAGTCACATTAAGCTCCCCAAAATCATAAACACCGATGCGTATCCACATTACAACCATCAATTCCAACCTTGAAAGGTGACAACATCTGAAATATCTCAACCAAAGAAAGCCAAGCTCTTTTGGGTTATCTTTTAACTACTAAGAGCTTTGTCGCGCCTCCAACACCTATAAAGCTTCTCAGCCGTGATATGATATATACCAGCCCATGGATTTGCAAGTAGCCCTTCTGAATTGCGTCACCTGGGCAGTCAGTTCGGTAAATTTGTGTTAAAATACTTTCGAATAGAGCCGCCGTATCAAAAATGACTCATTAGTTGAGCATGCGCAGCTGGTTGCGAATCCCGAGAAACCGCCGCTTCGGCCGAGAGAATTTCTAACTCTAGGAACGACCTCGGGAGTGTTTAGATAGCACGGACCAGTTCAATCACCATATGGGCACTGACGTTTGTATACTTGCGTTTCTTGCAAAAGTGAAAGGAATATTTGGGGTTCCAGAAACTCTGAAGACTGATTCTGGCAAAGAAAAGTTATACTGTGAATGACAGCCACCAACGGGCTATTTAATGAATCTAGCAATGTATAAGCTTACTGACCTCGGGACAGTAGCGGGTTCGGGTTTCATGGAACTTAGGATCGGACTGCCTCCACAGGTCTCTCAACACCAAATCTCCGATACTAAGACCCATGTGACTTGCTAGTCTCAGGGGTATATCTGGACGTGAGAAAAATTGGAATTTTTCTTTCTATGAAATATCAGAATCAACTTCAAATTTTGCCATTCACCTCTTCATCTCTTCTTCATCATTTCCGGGGAAAAAATTCATATTTCCGAGATCAAAGACCTCCAAATCAAACTTGGCCCTATCAGATAGACCCCAGGTATTTTCCCCATCAAAAATCAGAAGAGATTCCCTTGACTAAGAGGCTTCAGCCAGCATAATAGATATTCTCAGGCTCCGCTTTTGTGTCAACTAGCAAAATGATGATAACTCGCGGCTTTTCCTTAACGAACTTTGTGATCGCAAGCTCGGCCTTATGCTTCCAAGTTTGTGTCCTGTATCCTTGGCATCACAAACTAGACGAAGAATTGAAACATCTGAAGACCGAGCATCTCCGACTATTGCAGGAGGGCGAAGAGCATCGTTTGAAGGAGTTGAAGGTCATTCATGAAAATCTTAGGCTCCTAAGCACCAAGATCCCTGAGAGACTCAATAACTCCGAGCTTTGAAAGCTTTTGGGTCCCTTAGGAGAAACTTAGAAGCTCAAAGTATGCGGTATTGAATGGTATGGATATCATGCGTTGTACTAGTATTAACCGCACAATCTTACCTGACTTCAGTTGAACGTGATACACGCGGATATAAATCAAATGGAGCTTCGAATTCGATCACGCGCTCAAGGTAGTCGAGCTCAAATATCCCCATGGTATCTTGAAAAATAGAGGATCGAATTTTCAAGTTGTATCGGCTTGCCAGAGAGTCCTCTAGACGCTGATGAAGGTTGATTGAACAAGTTAAGGGCATAACGTCTTTTTAAAGAGGCTAGTTTGTGAGTCTGTCGTTAGAATGCAGTTATTGTTGTGCCTTGTTATCTTCTGCCACTTTGGGGCATCCGATACGAATAAGAGCTGTTAGAGTAAGACTATGCATGGGATAATATAACTCGAAAAAACGAAAAGGCCTCTTAAACCTCAACAGCGGAGTAAACGAGGTATAAAAGTGCTGTTTTCTTACTTTCTTTCTTATTCTTTTTGTTCTATTTCCTAGGTAACGTTGTCTTTAATCTTACTTAACCGCTCCGCCCCGCCCCCGGGGCTGCCAAGTGTATGTACACTCGGGGCTGGTGGCGATTTGGAATGATTCGATGTTAGCGTTTGAAATTGAATCTCATAGGTGTCAATAGAATTCATCCCTGTTAATTTTGCCATTCGGTTTTTGAATACTTCGACTGCTATTCAAATGAATAGTTCTCTTTTGTTTACTCAAGTCAGTGGACGTCACCAGCGCCAATCATGACTATTCTAGTCATAAGTTTGGCCTAGCTGTCAAATTAGCATATCTGGATGCTATCAAGTTTCTAATGAGAATATCTCAAGTGCCGGACACAGTGGCTCGCTCCATGGCCGGGGTAAGTGTTTTGAAGATCAAAGGTCAGGATACAAACGACACATTCAATGCTGCCTGGGTGCCTGAATTTCTACTTGGGTCGTACGGGCAGAGCAAACCATCCTTTCCGACCAGTCAATAAATTTGTGTGGCTATGTAGACGTACAGAATTTATGAACAATGAACCTTTACTACTAATATACCAAATTAGGCTAATTGTGCGATGAAGCAAAGTCTAAGCCTCTTAAAGTTACGTACGCCAAGAGTTGCCCATAGCCCCATCCTTCTACCAGTTGACGTGTCAACCTATCAGATCCTGGTTTGTCTCCCAACTTACTCCCGAGCCACAGCCCTATGGTGGCAATATGGATGTGGCTTTAATGATGATCTATACTTTTTATATCCCCATCTCGCGAGGACCGAGGCAAAGTTAAACTCAGCTTACAGGTACTTTTTTATTGGTCGTTCCGTGTTAATTTCTGGTAGTGATAAACCCAGGTGCAGCTGGACACTCGAAAGGGCAATACCCGCGAGCACGAGCCAGATATAAATCAGCTGCTCTTCCACGGGCTCTAGAAGTCATCCAAACAGCCTACTCAACATTTGAAAACTACTCAAAGAATTCAATCAAGATCTTATTGAGCTCTGATCTTCCTTTCAACTTGAACTATACTTCATTCACAACCATCATGCAATCCGCTCAACCTACCAGTGAATACTCTCCTGAGCGTGAGGTAAGTAAAGCTCCACCACTCTAGAGCTCACAAAATTGAATGCAAACATTTGAAGAAGAACGAAGCACTAATATTTCAATCCCACAACAGCATCGCGAGAGTTCCGATTCCTTGTATAAACAGCCCGTCGGCGAAAATGCTTCATACTACGGCAGCGAAACCCCGCCAGTCTACAACGCCGAAAACCATGAGGATTCCGAGCGAGGCCTCGGATCAACACTTATTGGCGGTGCTGGCGGTGCTTACGTCGGGCATCATATGGGTGGTGGTGGTATGGCCACTGCAGGTGGTGCCATTATCGGTGCCCTTGGTGCCAACGCTGTTTCACATGGCTTGTAAGTCTACAATGAGAAAACATTGAACGCCATAAAACGACAAAGACTAACGGCTCACAGAGAAAGCCATCATCAACGCCTGCAGCAGCAGCAACAGCAACAGCAACAATACCAACAGCAGCAACAATATCAACAGCAGTACCAAGGATATGGGGGGTATCCACCTCAGTTTTACCCTCAAGCCTCGTACCCCGGCCCCGGCTATCAGCAAGGTATGCCTGTTACTGCTTCCAGATATGGTGGTGGTCTTCTTGGTGATCGCTTTGGTGCTGGTCGCCTGGCAGGTCAGGATGTTGGCCGCCTCTCCCACTGCCAAAGGAAACACTTGGCTAAGCTTGAGCATAAGGAAGCAAAGCTTTTGCGCAAGTGTTAAGTTTGCTTTTCAATGCCTTTCAATGTTTGAGATATCGGGCTACTTGCCTAGCTAGTATTGTGATGATGAACGAATTTCTTTTGATATTGTCCGTGCATGCTTGTTTGGGTGGGTGCTTAATGGTTCAATATTGTTTATATAGAACCGGAATTGCCAAATTGAGTTTACATTCAAATGTAACCAATAATATTTCTCATGTGGCGGTGAAGCGAGCTTCAAGTTTTTTATGTCCAAAATGACTCTATAGACCAGTCGACACCCCTTTTGTTCACATAGTAGATCCGGACCCAAGCACGACCTCCGGCTCAGTGATCGGATCAAAGGTGAACTGTATAAGAGGATACCTCCTTACATAACTTGATCGCTCGTGGGAAATTCGGTCCATTCAGCAAACTCAAAATGCGCTGGTTCGAGGCATGGTTTGTCATACGCACCCTGTGCGTAGATTGCGAAATGAGATCCAGTGTTAGGTGATTCCTTGCCGGATCGACGGTGTGTCAGTGCTTTGCTGGATATTTCGCCCAGCTTGATCAAGTCAGAGGTGATTTGCTCATTATCTCGCACCGAGAAAAAGAGTTCATACCGCGTAGGTTGTGCGCGAATAAGAATTTCAACCGAATTATCTTCAAGCTCTAGTTGGTGCTTATATTCCTGTATAGTCATTTAGAAAACAAGTCTGCGATCTAGTGTCTGTTGTGAAATCATACCTTAAACTGATCTTCAGTCTCATCGTAACAACGTGCTACCATCTCGAGTCCTGAATTATCTTCATCAAATGGCTTTCTCAGTCCGATCGAAGCATGAGCAAATTGAGACCACCAAATCGCTGCCCCTGCTTCATGACCAGCATTCGTTGGCTGGAATTGCAATTTGACTTTCCAGTCGCCAGAGAAGCAGGTTTGCTTCCGTAGAAGCATAGAAGGGCATTCGGAGCTGTCAATACGATAGGCATTTCCGTAAAGACTCAGTGACCCCTGTCGCTCTGACAAAGAATAATCATGTTTCAACGGAGTTCGCAGATGATACCAGCCAAGCTGAAGTGTTGGCTTTTCAAAGTCATCTCTCCAAATTTGTGGCCGGGGAATAACCTGCATATTCTCTCCTTTTATATGAAGACTGATAGGCTGTCGCTCATTGACAATTGGCCATCCATCAATCCATTCAACAGGACTCATGAATGTCTCCCGACCGAGTTGTGAAGGAAGTTCGGACTTCTCACCTTGAGGCCGGACTCCCAAAAACACGGCAAACCATTTCCCATTGGGGGTCTCAATGAAGTCCAAGTGTCCCGTATTGCGGATTTGAGGATGATCATTATTGAAAATAATTGGATTGACAGATCCCTCGGGACCTACTTCCCACGGACCAAATGGCCCTTCGGTACTGCGGAAAATCCACTGTTGGTGACCTTCATCGGTGCCACCTTCGGCAGTAGTCAAGTAGTAATAGCCGTCCTTTTTAAAGATGTGAGGACCCTCTGCAATACCAATCCCGAAATCTGACAGTCGGTTCCATTCTGCAGGCCCGAGGCACCGACCAGTAGCAAGGTCGATCTCAACGGTGAAGGTTGCCAGCCCGAGACCATGCTTCTTGACCTTGGGATCGATGATCATGTTCACAGCAGAAAAATACACTTTGCCATTGTCATCGAAAAATAGCTTCGGCTTGTTAGTTTGTTTTTGTCTCATAATTTCAAACTTGAAACCATAAATTCCGAGATTGGAATACTTACATCTTGATCAATTCCAGGGACGTCAAAGAAAGTTGGGTCAGACCATGAAGATGAATCCCATATGTCTGATGTGGAAACATAGAATCCACGAGGAATCACAATATCCTATAAAGTATTGTTAGTTCTCAGCTCTGAAAGAGGTGGGAGGTGAGCCCCGGAGAAAAATAACTTGAACTGACCCATTCCTTCGGTCGGAAACGATGTGTGCATCCTACAGATACATAAAATCGTGCTTTGTGATAGCGAATTGTCGGTGCCCATAAACCACCAGAGGGCTCAGTTGTTCGCATATTAATTTGCGAATGTCTTGTAATGACATGACCAATAAGCTCCCATTGTAGAAGATCTTTGCTGTGGTAGACTGGAATGCCTGGGAAATATTCAAATGTAGAAGTGACTAAAAAGTAGTCGTCATCTACTCGACAGATGGAAGGATCTGGGTTGAAGCCCGGAATGATGGGGTTGTTGAACCCCTCACAAGAAGACATCGCGATTGTGACAGATTTTGCCCTGGGATGTTGACCCTTTGACCCAAATACTTTTCAGGGACTTTTGAACTCTGAAATTTAGGCAATGTTATGAGAAATTCGACTGCGACCTCCAGATTAGTGTGTGGAATTTACACCTTATGTATGTCCATGTCATTTTCGATACCAAATTGATGGGGTTAACCGTGAAACCGAAAAGTGCAAGTGGAGTGAATTCTGAGATGGAGGTGGACGGTGGTGGAGCCAGGAGAACAGTGGAGGTGGAGGTGGAGTAGTTTTACTCCTTCCCGAGGTCAAGTACTTCCTTCCAGGGATCAAATTACCAATTATGGAATATTCACCAAGGCTTAGAAATTAAATTAAAAAGGTTAGATTTATAACCATACTATCCTGATATTCGGACCTAGTGAAATCTGCGGTACCTTTCTACCCAGTGAGGAGCCGATCAAGAATATTTGCGAATGCAATAGCGAGGCGCAAGCACTTCAAGGTACGCAACCCATTCCGAGCACCTTCAACTTGGTCAACAAGCAAACTGCTCGCTTGCAATGGATCTGTCGTGAAATGATCGAGGGTGTCCCGATGTTGATCGAGACCACTACGACTGGTATGATCTTCCCGAGAAAGATTTGAAGACAGCGTGAAATCGGTATTCCCGAATCGTGACATGGCCCAGCTGGTGAGTCCACCCATGAACAGACAGATCGCCAGCTCAAAGCCGCTCCGCTGCATGTCACCAGCGGCAATAGCGTCGTGTGCTGCCTTTAGCATTTGACAATTGATGTTGAACACCGTATGGGCTCTCTCTTCCTGCAACCAATTGTGTAAAGACTGCTCAGCCAAGCTGATAGCTGCATCAGAGCCAGATCTCGAAGCAACAATATGCAGGTCCGAAAAATTGAGATCCAGAGCTAGTAGTGCCAGGTGATAAAGAAGAATTCCTGATGAGTTTTTTGAGCGGCAATTGCTAGTGTCAGCTTGATTTCCTTCTCCGTAGAATGTGGCCCAATTCCTGAGACAGCCTTGCAGCCACGTTTGGCGCTCCAGTAATGAATTACCGATATTTTGCGGTGCAAGAGATACAGGAGACGTGAGAAGCCCGGTCGGATTGAGCATGCAAATGGTCTGCCGCCACTCAAAGACATGCGTGTGCAGCACGTAGGCGTAAAGAACTTTGCAAAAGTCGTCCAGTGGTGGGAATGGTAAAGTGTTGGGAATCTCGTGGTGTAAGAGAATGGTAGTAAGAGTGGTTAAAAAATAAGTGCTAGGGGGAATGTCAGCGGGCCCGAGCAAAGACTTCCATGCCAAAGCTGTCGGTGCGTTCCAAAAAGTGTCCGAGCATGGTAACGCGGCATTTACGGTCTCGGCCTTGCTAACATAGGGCTGACGCTGAAAAAAAGCTGACATTTGGCAGTCCAGGAGCTTGAAACAGGCCATGTTAGATGATTCTCATCAGTAGCTTGTTCAGAAATGTGAGACGTACGTATATACAGAGCCCAAGACGTTTCTTTTGTTCGTCAGCTATCCACTCTGTCCAAGCTTCTTCCAATCGACTTCGGTCATGCCTCAGAGGGGACTGAAGAGTGGTAGAATGTTTTGTCCGGCAATCTAGTAGCTGGGAACGTCGGCATTGAACAGCGAGGTCACCGCGGTCACCCTCGAATCGCTCAAATGCCGCCTTTTGACCGATCCACATTGCGGATACCGAGACAAGGAAAAATGCGAAAAGGGTATCAGATGATCGCAGCTGGACAAATACAAGAAGTAAGCTTTCATCATAAAGATAAGGCTCTAGTAAACTCACATAGTTTTGGTCCCTTTCTTGCATCAGTTTGATCGACAGTCTCGCTCTTTCAAGATATGTCAAAGCAAATTTGTTTTTATTTGACTCAGAGTAGCTGGATCCTGAAGTTGCCATGGCTAGCAAGAGAATTGGTGGAACACTATTAGGGTCAAAGCTCGGCAGGTGCAATACAGGAAATCGTGGGTGCACATGAGCAAAAAACAGTTGTAGGAAGTAAGTGATGATTGAATGCGGCGGGAACATGTGTGGAGGGTTCCCTTTTTCGCTGCAGAGCCCTTCGGGAAGAGGCGCCATAATAATATCCACCATAGCCATGTGACTAGTGACCGAGAGTTGAGTCTTCATGTGCAACTTGCCTGCATTCTCAAAAAAGATGTTTCGTTCATCCATATTGATATGACCAGCTGCCTCTGAGATATCGGGTGGTAGTCTATTATTCCTGAAACTTCCAGGTCTGGTCCCTTGGTCCAGCCATGTTTCAGGTAGATCTTCAGTGTCATCATCCCTCACTTGATCGTATCGACCTTGGTTGAGACCTGAATTATCCACTTCTATCGGCTGTGCAGTGCTCTCGCTATTGTACATTAAATCCAAAGGACTACCCGTAGGTATTCCATTAGACAAAAAGTCCAAGGTCCAGTCAAGACTAGCATCTTGCAAAATCTCGTGAAAGAAGGGCCACTGAAAATCCGAGTTTGGTACATTTGTCTCATCTGTTGAGATAAGCGGAGGTCTATTCGATTCCGAAGTTGCAGTCTCTGGATTGGGGACTAAGTTATTATTAGCATCTTTTGGATCCAAATCTTTGGGTCCAGTAGCATCATTGTTTGCAGATTGACGCAGGCGCTTGGCGATCGGGTTGACTGCAAGATCACTTTCTCTTGAACTAGAGCCGCGAGTCGGCTGGTGAGAATCATCTTCAGAGGCCCCAAGGGGATTAGTGTGATTTTCGTGGGTTTTTTTGTGTCGAGCTAGAAGGTCGCTAAAGCACAACAAGCATTAGAACCTGGACTCGAAAGTAGCCAAGAGCCATGAGCCTCACCTTCTTGTGAATCTACTGGGGCACAGTGAGCAAGTGTAGGGTGTATTATTCTTCTCATCTTCCATATAAGGTTAGCTGACCTGCTTGAATCAGACTAAAGCATGGCCCCCAAAACGGCCTGGGTCCTTACGTGCAGATCGATAATGTCTGACGAGATTCTCTCGACGGGAGTATGACTTAGTGCACAAAGTGCATCTGTGTGTAGAACCAATCGAAGCTTTCTCCATGGCAGCAAAAATGTAGCCCCAAAAGTGGAATGCGTGGGATAGAGTGGTGGAGGTCTGGGGAATGAACTGGAGGTGGAGGTGGAGGCGAGGTGGAGGTGGGGTAAGCACGTGGACGGATAATTATACAATCACATTATACATACAACATTGGATACCACCGGCAGTAGATACCTGCATCGTGATGTGGATATACTAGTCCTAGTTTAATATCTTTGAACTTTCTTCCCCATTTACCTCAATCTACCTTCTAACTCGAGAAGTAACTTAAACTTGCACCGTGTTGGATTCCCAGCGATTTAGCCGATACCTACACCTATACTTCCAAAACACCAACAAACATTTGAATTGCTCTTTGGATTCTCACAATTGATTCCCTTGAGATGCCCGACATTGAAGCCGTCACTTTCCAAAATGGCCCGAAATCGGAGTCACGTTTTACAGATTCCTTAGCTCTTCTGTCTGTAGAAGAAAAGGTGTCTCTGCTTTCGGGAGCCAGCTTCACAAGTACTACCGGCGTGGAACGACTTGGTATCCCGGCCTTGAAGGTGAGAATTCTTCTGTATAAATTCCAGCAGAGTTGGTATGGCTAATATGTGCTAATAGGTCAGTGATTCGATAAACGGCGTCCGTGGCTCACAGTCGCATCTCGAAGATACTGGGACGGCCTGCTTTCCAAGCTCCACCTGCCTTGCCTCGACATGGAACACAAATTTAATGCGAGATTTCGGGAAAGAGGTCGCCTTCCAAGCCAAAGCGAAATCTGTGCAGGTTGTTCTGGGACCCAACATCAACCTTCACAGGGACCCACGAGCCGGTCGCAATTTCGAAGCTTTTAGCGAAGACCCTCTGCTTACCGGTCAATTAGCCGCGGCTATCGTCAACGGGATTCAGTCTGAGGGTGTGGGTTCTTGTGTGAAACATTTTGTTGCAAATGAGAGCGAGACCGTGCGCAGGCGCTACAATGTGGATGAGCCAGGAGATTCCAGGACGATGCGAGAGATTTACTTGCGCACTTTCCAACACTTACTTCGCCGAGCTAACCCTGTTTCAATCATGACGGCGTAAGTATTCATCTATTATTTCTGTTCAAATTTTGTTTGAATCTGACGATGAATTCTCCAGATATAATGCACTGGACGGGCGTTTCTGCAGCGAGACCCCTCTCATCAAAAAATTACTTCGTGACGACTGGAAATACGATGGTTGCATGATGTCTGATTGGTATGGTACTAAAAGTACAATTGGGGCCATGGAGGCTGGACTGGACTTAGAGATGCCTGGAACATCTGTCTTCCGTGGCTCCAAGCTTGTGGACGCAATCAATCGCGGAGAGATAACGCAAGACTCACTCGATGCTGCAGTGACCAATGTCTTAAAAATGATTGATCGGACCGCTGCGACTGATATTGGCAAGGAAGAAAAATCTATTGTCTGCGATCGAACCAGCTCCATGGCATTAAAAGCTGCCTCCGAAGGTATTGTTCTTTTGAAGAACAGCCATAACGTTCTTCCTCTTAAGGTGACGAACAAATCAAAGATAGCACTGATTGGGACAGCTGCTGTCAAGCCATCCATCACCGGTGGGGGCAGTGCGTGCGCCAAACCTCAGTACTTGCGTACACCTTTACAGTGCTTCCGAGATACCTGCGAGGATCCGGAGCAGGTGTCATTTGCGCATGGTATCAATTCTCGTTATGCCATCCCTTCCATGCCCATTGAAATGATGCAAACACGCGATGGGCTTCCTGGGGTAAATATTGACTATTACCTGGATGGTGAACAGACGCCTGTCTATTCCGAACACTCTGAGCAGCCTAACGTGGTGATGCTTGGTATATTGAAGCCAGGTCTGAGTCAAAGTGGATTCTACTATGTCATTGAAACCACTGTTATGGTGAAGACAAGCGGAACCCACACGTTGGCTGTGCAGGCCACAGGAGAATTCACATTATCAGTGGATGGAGTCGAGGTATGTTTCAAGCGTCTTTGACTGACCCTTGGTTATATAATCTAATGAAAATTTGTCTAGATTCTTTCAAAGGCTACTCCAGTCATGTCAGTTGAAGATTTCTTATTCGAACCCAAAAAATTAGAATCCGCGATTGATTTCCGAATGGAAGCAGAGAGGCCGTATAAGGTAATTTTGAGGACTCACTCACGCGATACTGCTTCAGCTAACGGGGAGTTATCTCCTCATTCGGCAAAGTTATGCTTCGAGGAGGAGCATAATGACCGTGCCTCAATTGCAGAGGCAGTCAAGATTGCCGCCCACTCAGATGTCAGTGTGATCATCGGCGGCCGAACACATGAACACGAGTCTGAAGGGTTTGACATGAGAACCATGAAGCTACCTGAAAACCAAATCCGCCTGATTAAAGCCGTCAGTAGCGTGTCTGAAAAAACAATTCTCATCTTGCACTGTGGCAATCCCGTTGATGTCTCAGACTTTGTGGACGATGTTGACGTGGTCATGGTCGCTCATTTTCCCGGACAAGAAGGCGCACAAGCGATAGTAGACATCATTACCGGAAAAACTAATCCTAGCGGAAAACTAGCCACCACCTGGCCGATGCGTCTGGATGAGAGCTCTGTTCCATCGTTTGGGAACTTTCCTGCAAAGGACTTTGGCAACGGGCCGGTGATCCGATACCGCGAGGGTCTCCAAATGGGCTACAGATCTTCCAAAACAGCACCCTTCGTTCGCTGGCCCTTTGGATACGGTTTATCCTACTCGGCCTTTGAGTATGAGCACTTGGAAGTTGTTTCTCATGAGGCAATCAATGAACATACATCGGACAAAGCTACCGACAGGGTGGTTACGATAGCCGTAGACGTTCAAAACACTAGCGAGAGAGCAGGATATGAGGCCATCCAAGTCTACAGTGAGCCTCCGGTCGACGCTCAGATCTGGCGCCCGCGTCGTGAGCTGATTGCGTTCACGAAAGTTTGGCTTGAGCCGAATCAGACCAGGCGAATTGGTCTTTCGGTTTCTCAGCGAGATATTAGTGGCTATTGGGATAGCGTCCACAATTCCTGGCGATCTCTCAATGGAACCTACAAAATTACCATTGGGAAATGTGCATCTTGTCTGAAAATCGAGGACACTGGAACTTGGAATGGACTTTAGTCATACTCGTATTACATCAATTGTTCATATTTTCAATTCAAATTAGTCTTTCAAGTTACTATTCCTTGCATCAATTCTCTTTATTGCCCGCCTGTTCACGAAATTATTTGGAGGCATAGTTCATAATTCATCATAATCTACGTCTCTCAAGTTCTAGCTGCACAAAACGGCACTTGAGAAGAACTATGTAGCTACTACTATTTCTGAATCACGGGTTTACGAGCAATTCAAAAGACAAATCATGCTGTAGGATGAGCTAGGACTCGAAAGATTCTGGCAAATCTATGATGGGTCGTCCCCTTTCACCCCGGGCCTCTACTCGGTATCTCCACCTCCACCTGGCCACCTCCACCTCCGCCTCCACCTCCACTTCAAAAGTTTTCTCTTCGGATTCTCCGACATCCCCGGCTTCCCCAGCTTCCCCAGGATCTTTTCTTGTGGGCCCATTCTGCTGTCTGTTTATATATCTATGTCTTGAATTGGCAATGGTTTATGGTTGAAATCAGTCAAGATCTTCATTTGGTTACAGTGTGCAGCCCTTGAGTTGCAACCCGCTTGACTTGTATACTCTCAGATTTTGCTTTCCTCACTGGCAATGGCTCCTCCAAGTGACAGTGCATCCGTTAATTCGGTAACATATGAGGATAATAAGAAGGAAGTTTCTTCAGAACTGGTTGAGACAATTTCCCATACTCAGGACACAACCGAAGCCAAAGAAGGGGCATGGACTTCGGCAAAGAAGCACCCCAAAGTTATTCTCTACAGCATGGCCGCTTGTATGAGCTCTATGCTTTGGGGATTCGACGTCGGTAAGAGCGAGTATTGCTCCATTTTTGATTCTAGCTAACTCGGTTATTCAGGAGTTAACTCAATCACCGTCTCAATGCCTGGGTTTAAAATGGCCTTTGGCTACGAATATGGAGGTGAACTATTGATCTCAGCCACGTGGAATGCCCTTTGGACAGCCATGACATCACTTGGAATGTTAATAGGTAGGTGAATGCTATTTTGTTGCGTACTGCCTGCTGAGTCTAATCCACTGCTGTGAAGGAAGCATTATCTGTGGCTGGATCTCGGATCGTAGCGGTCGCAAAATCGGATTTGGAATAGGCTCTGCTTTGTCCATCCTCGGGGTTGGGCTTGAATACGCTGCAACGGCTCCTGGCATGCTTCTAGCTGGCAAGATCGTAAGTCTCTGCTTTCTGTGCTTTTTTTATATCTGAAAACTCACAAGCTGTGCCTAGATCAACGGTCTTTCTCTTGGATTCTTCCTTACTCTTTCAACTACGTATGCCTCTGAGATAGCGCCTACTGCCTTACGCCCTTCCTTAACCGCCGCTGTCAATTTCTTTATCAACGCTGGTCAATTAACCGCCATTGGCATAGGAAACACCCGTTTCGCTATATTGACCTCGGCATCTTATAAAGTACTTTTTGCCGCGCAGTGGGCATTCCCTTGCTTCATCGCCATTGTTGCTATCATTATGCCTGAAAGTCCTTGGCATCTCTGCCGTAATGGCCAGATAGAACGGGCAAAAAAGAACCTTGAGAAGTTACATCTTAAATCGACCAATACCGATTTGATTTTGGAAGAAATTCAAACCTCGATCGCTGCCGAGAATGCTCTCGCAGAGATGCAAAAGGGCACATCCTACCGGGATTGTTTCAAAGGTACCAATTGGCGAAGGACTCGAATTTCTTGTGGAATGTTTGCCGTGCAACAATTCACCGGCATCGCATTTTACTCCCAAGCTTTGTACTTCCTCGGGATTTCTGGTCTTGCTACCGCGCTTACTTTTCAGCTGGCCCTTGGAGGATTTGGTGTGGCTATGCTTGGAAACATCGTCTCATGGTTCATTATGAACTATGTTGGTAAGTTTTGGTCATTTATACGGATCAGCTAAGTTCAACTCTGACATTCTTCTCTTTACAGGACGGAGACCGCTACTTTTGACCGGTGTTGCTCTCAATGCAGTACTACTGATGTCTGTAGGTATTGCCGGATGTTTTAACACCACAGACGCCTTGTACTATGTCGCATTTGTAATGAACTTCGCCCAGCTGTTCTACGCTCCCAGCGTTGGAGCTGTTAGCTGGACAATCAGCTCAGAAGTCAGCTCGACCATAGTTCGAGCCAGAACGCAAAGCTTAGCGATTGGAACAAATGCATTGGTCAGCTGGGTGATGAACTTTATCACTCCTTATCTTATTAACACCGATCAAGGTAAGAATTAGTTGCTATTGATATTTTCAGAAATATGAGCTAATGCCGTATCCCTTAGCCGACCTGGGAGGAAAAGCTGCTTTTGTATGGATGGCTCTCTGCTTTGTCAGTCTGGTTTGGGTTTGGTTTGAAGTTCCAGAACTCAAGGGTCACACGTTTGGTGAGCTTGATGAGATTTTTGAACGGAAAACTCCTACAAGGCGGTTTAAGGAGGCACATCCATACAATGAGTGAATAAGATGATCGAGGCACTAGTAACATGGTGGTAAGCTAGGTATACATTTAGGTATAATATATACGTAATACAACTTGAACGACAAAGCTGTCGTACCATGTGCTCCAATGTTCGGACTGAATAAACATACTGGTAAGTCACAAAAGTACTAACAAGTGTATGTACGTCAACATCCACTAGATGTCTATGTAGGTTATATGCGACCTGCCTTCAATAGTACCACTTCAGCTTCATATTTTTTGTCAATCCCCTCCTTAGCATGGCTTTATAGTATGTTTTGGCATATGTGAGTGATCATTTTTTCTGGGACTATGATTCAAATCGAGCTGGGCCTCAGATATTCCATTAAGCCTGATTCTTTCCCCTCCAAGCATCCCTCTACCCAGGCGGGTATACAACATGTATAGCATATTCAAAATGTTTATATTCTCAGTTCAAGTTTGTGTTTTCTTTTGAGATTTGCCAAGCTACGTCCTTATTATTAGGGGCTACTATTAACTTTCAGTCCTCAATTAGTTGACCGAAGATGACTAGGCAACGCGCGCTGAGAAAACTTGAGTATGCTCAGGATCCCACTATCCTCCGCACTATAAGTCACCGAGGTGCCATGTCGTCCCCTCCATTAGAAATCTCCTATTCCCATAATATAATTTTGGTGCTCAGTACTGTGTCGACATGAAGTTTCAAGTTGTCTCCATCATTATCAGTCGTTTGCTTCTTGTGGATTCAGTGATTGCATTTCCTATGACTGCTCAGCGCCAGATACGTCACAAGTCCCGTCAGCTATCCCGTTCAGTCAACCGAGAGAGTTACCTACCTCAGATAACCAGCCTCAGTGGGGACATTATTCCAGACCACAATTCCGGCAATATATACAGCAGCAACTGGGCCGGCGCGGTACTAATTGGCACTAGCTTTACTTCGGTGACCGCACACTTCATCTTTCCCACCCCAAAAATTCCACCAGAAGGCTCCACAAGTCAACAGTATTGCGCCTGCGCATGGATCGGCATTGATGGACACACTTGCCATACAGCGATCCTGCAGACAGGTGTGAGCTTCTGTATTAGTGGGACCTCTATCTCTTACCAAGCCTGGTATGAGTGGTTCCCGGAGCCGGGAGGGTTTTTTGACAATATCACCATCGCTTCAGGCGACAAGATCAGAGTGACTGACAATGCTTCATCGCAGACCTCTGGCACTGCAACTGTTGAGAACCTCACAAACGGAGATATTGTGACTCGGGTATTCAACGGTGCTATGAGCGGTACTCTGTGTGAGTATAATGCTGAATGGATTGTTGAGGACTTTTCGGAGAGTGGGAATCAGGTTCCGTTTGCCGACTTTGGAGCCATTACATTCTCAAATGCCATTGCTACTGGGGGCGGACTGGTCCTGGGGCCATCTACTGCCACTCTTATGGATTTGATACAGGACAACACGGTGCTTACCTCAACCTCCCTCACCTCGACTTCCGTCACCTTGGATAGCATTACAGTGAGATATATTTAAACAGGGCATTTGAAGACAATAAAAACTTCTTATTGTATATCAACGTTTATGCTTGGAAGATGGAAATCCCGGACGTCAATTGAGCGGATACATATCATGATATTAGCAAGACTGTGTGGATCTTTTCCAAGGTTATGGTGGTCTAAGTCGGATACATATACTAGACCAAGATTACCAAACCTGGGTCCTTTGAGTCTCTCAAAGTCAAACTCCAAGCTCTAACCCGCATTTTTGATCCTCATTCATTAAAATGACTTCCCGTTACTAGCCAATCCCTGGAAACCGTCTCAAAGCCCTACCTCTGTTGATGTTGAGCTCGCGGGTTGAATCATTGTAACATTTGAGGAGATATATGATTCCAGACTACTAGGTAGTACTTGACCGGCCCGGGTCGTATTGGTAATTCAACGATGCCCATTCGATCGAGAACTACTAGTAGTAAACAAATTGTGCCATATTATGATATGTGTTGGAAAAAAGATCTGCTGCCTCTCGGACTGAGCACTGTTTACATATTGAAGAGGGGAACCGTTAGGCAGTGTATTCTAGATACACGGGTCGATCCAGCTAGCATGAATGGATAACACCAACCAACATGTACGTTGTGGCCGGACTACCCCGTAGGGGTGGGATGAGAGACGTGTAGGAGTGTGTATTCTAGACTATAACGGCGGGCATTCTTGTACGTACAAAGACGGGACTGAAAACATGACAAAACAGAGATGTAACCAAACGGTAATTCTTAGCACGGTACGTGTAGTAGGGGACAGGGTACCTCACTACAATATATACTTTCATTCCAATGCTGAGGCTCACCGACGGCTATAGAAGTTATCCGGAAATCTGGATTTGTGATTTACGTTATTGAGACTGGTCAATTGGTCTTGAAAAGCCAGTCTTTCTAAGAACCTACTCACTGATATAGTGTAACACGGCCTCTTCCTCCTCCACCACCTAATACTATCACTGTTCCCGCAGCCTGGGTACTCAACGGGCATTTTGTCCTGTCACACAAACCACTTGGAACAGCCTGAGGTAGATAGGGCCTTACAGTTCCCTATTTAGCTTAACTAGTCAAAACAGCATTAATCATTGAACTTCAAGTTTGCAAATCTCAGGTTTCTCCAAAGCTAAGATGCTCAACAATTCTGGGTGGATATAAATACAACCTGTAATCTTCAAGCACTTGAGCACTTGAGTCTTACGTACCTGTCCACTTTCTAATATATCACACTCCTTCAAGTTTGACTTAGTATAGTTTCTTTTCTTTGTCTTCACGTTTTGATAGGCTGAATCATTGGAACGCCTCATTTGCAGATTTCTATCTGGATCCAGAGCTAGGTGGTGATCGCTTATCTTTAAATTGAAGACATATTATTGAGGGTGGCTTTTTGGACGTCATACGACCTAGATATGACCTTTATCACCTTGAACTGATTGATGAACAGACACTAGTGCCTTTACTATCTTCATATAACTGGAGTGGAATTTATGGTAGTATTATCAAATTAATTGTGAGGTTTTTCAATGCTACGACTGTACCGTGGAGTTGATCTGATATAAGGATCAAGATAGAGTGAAGATCTATAAGGCGATGACAAGAAAGAATAGTCGTCCGATATTGGCTCGGAACTTGAAACTGTTAAATGAACATTTGAAATTCCAATGAGATTCAACCAATTAGCCACCTTTTGATACTCAACTGGACTGTTAGTCGTGTCTGTAGATGTATGGTTACCTACTCCCCTTTGTGTGTAGGAACCTAGAGGGGCAAGCTAATCAGACACTATGTACTACTATAGAAGTTAGGTAAGGAAGAAAAATAGCAGTTAAAGTATAGATCACCGCTATCACCTGGCACTCATGTACGTATACAACTCATCCAAGATATCTGACTGGCCAGGCTCTAAAGCAGTAAAGGGAACCGTCAATATCCTCCTGCAGAGAGGAGCAGACCCAAATCCGGCAGATGGATCAGCCCCAATACTGGCTGCGCTCAAACTGTATGCGGAAGACTTAGTTCTACTGTTGTTGAAAGCTGGAAGCAGCCCAGACTGCCGTGATGCATACAATCGCACACCCTTAATCATTGCCACAACTCTGGGGATGGCACGAGTTGTTGCAGCATTGCTGGAGATACTAGATACCCATACCGACTTAGAGATCAAGGATTTCTATGGACGCTCAGCGATCACCGAAGCCACCAGAAGAAACAAAAATCAGATTCTGAAGTTATTGACTCGTGATTCCGATTACTGCCCAAATTCTTCAATGTCTTGTATTTTATCCGATGCTGAACTGGTTAAAGTTCCAGAGAGATTTGATGATATATGTTCTGTCTGCATGGTTCCCCTGTTGAATGATTCGCAAGATCATTATTCTTGTCAGCAATGTGCCTCCTTCAAGATCTGTAGGGAGTGCGAAGACTGGCAAGTCACCTGTTTACACCCAGGGCATGAAATTGTCTTGCAGCATGACGAACCTGGATAGGGATGTACATGCATATAGTTTGCAAAAGACTAGGCGAACCGTTGGGAATTTTGCCTTTCAAACATCGACAAAGTTGCGGCTAAAACAATAGATTGGCTTAGTTTCAAAAGAAATACAGTAGTACTGCTGTATGTATGTGTAGTAACTTGAATCATCCAAAAATGCCATACGATTCGAGTCACTATCTGTTCAAAGATCTCCAGGAGGGAGATGCAAATATCATTCAATTGATATTCCCCGCACGTCAAGTTGAAACTAATAGTTATCCGGCTTTTTCGCAGTGAAGACACGCCTAAATTGTTCAATTACTATAATCAAGACCCAGAGGAGAAATTAAGGGAAACTCACACAACGTCGTAGGTGTGAATCCGTCGATTGTTGACCTCTGCTTGAACAGATTCTGTGAAAGACTCTGCATCTTTCTCGGTATATCCAATGAGATTCGTGAGAAACCCTATGGCACCTTGAATAGCCTCCATATAATGCAAATTCCGGAATTCGCCTAGTTCACTGGTCTCCTGGTCCATCGGCCAAGTATTGGTAGGCACGTAAAACATATTCCGCTGGATATCGAGAAAGCCAGCACGTTCCAGCGTTTCCTGGATTCTGATGTATGCGCAGTATTCTTTCTCGGTTCGCTTGAACCCCTGCAAGAGATCACTGTTAAATCGATTGAGCTTGGAATCTCCTGAAAGGGTCTTGTCGTCACTAGTGGTCTCCAATAGAAAGTCGTGAATTTCGAGATACCCGCCTGAGATCAAAGTACTAAATGAGTTGGAAGCTCCTTTCAAACAAAGAATTGAAACAATTTTACTTCATCGCTTGTCCGGAGAGGTAGGCCCAGTCCTTGATCATCCCAGCCATTCCTTGGACAAGAATGAGATCAAATTTCTCGCCAAAATCCCATTCTTTATTGATATCGGTTATGTCAAATTTCACATTTTCAGGGGTCCTAGGTATGGTCAGACCATAATTTTGGGGTTGTGAATAGAGGATGACTTACCATGGAGGTTGAATGTCGGAGATATCAACGCCTATAAAAGTTAAATGAGAATTCTCTGTTAGAAGGAGGTTTCCTACCAGTAATAGTTGCATCTGGGTACATCCTTCGCAAATTAAAATCTCAGTATCAAAGCCAATAATCTAAGAAATGAAGTACTGACACTCCCATATCCAGGGCCCATTTCCCGGACCCAGCCCCAACATCAAGGACACGACTGGGTGAATCTGTTGGCGAGTGAAAGAGCTTTTCTTTGTAGAGCAGGCCATAAACGTGCTGGCCCATGTCTACCTGCGCAAACTCATCCTTGGAAAAGATCAGAAACTCTGTTTCCCTACCTCTCCATGTCTTTCAGCTCGCCACCACTTACCTCGGTCCCATCTGGTTGGATATTGTAGCATCGACCATTTTGATACTTGTAGTTAGTTACCTCCGAGGTTACGGCGTCTCTGGTTCTGTGGAAATATTATTAGTATAGGTAGTAATGAATCATGATACAGAATAGGCTGTGTAGAATATAGAATATAGGGGCCATACTCTTTCAAATTGAGGACATCGTCACCTCCATCCTAGGTGATATAATTAGTTTCATATCTGCAAAGCAAGCATAAGAAGGACCTGAAATCGTTCGTCGGGTTTAATATTAGCAGATTCCATTTTGAACTTCGTGAACTATTGATCCGAAATGGGTAAGGATGCAGGAAAGTCTCAAGATTTACAGAGGGGGAAATTAGGCCTCAGATCTTTATCATTCGCACAATTAAACATATGCACGATGCCCTAAGCAAGCTCCACGACGATGAAAATCGATCCCGAGGTTGAGGTGACGCTTTCCATTTGATCGCGATCGTGCATCAACTCCACTTCCAGCTGGCGTCACGAATCACGATACCGCCAAAGCGGGGTTCTTAGCGAACATTGAAGTGACGCAATTCAGCATGATGCAGGCTTAAATCTGATTTATTTCTTCTATATTTGAGAGTATGCCGTCAATTCTGAGAATGAATCACAACTTTATCCTGCACATGTGGTCTGTTCTATACTTCCAAGGTTCATAGCATGTAGGCCTCTTTTCCTACTGGTGGTTTGTTTGACCGCCTGGCAGAATACTAGGCGGAGAAGAGGAGCAGAATCACTCTATAGACCAGTTGACTACTGCCTCAGGCTACTTCATACATCAAACTACTAGTATGGTAAGAGAGCGGATATCCACGGCCCAACAAGTCAAGCTCCTGACTTTTTACACATTGGAATTCAGCACCAACTGGACAATCCTATTTATACCTGCATTTCACAATCGAGCAATTCAACCCATTGAATATATCCCCTTATTTAGTATCTGATAGACATCCTCTTCACTATACAGGAATTGCGACTAATAAATAAGGTAGTTGAACTCGGACTTAATTACTCCGGATATCAGGTGTAGCGGAACCACGACTACCTAAGACTAGACAATTAAGACCGGACAACTACCCGGGGGATTTGGAGAGCTCGGAATTGCTTTTTCTTGCCTGATGATAATTCATCTCTATCAGTAATATGCTTCTCTGTGGTCAATATTTAGTGATATAATCTCCCTTGTAGATGTGTGACCGTTATCTCTTACAGTGTCCACCGAGTTCATTTTTACATCACAGCTTAAAACTCACATTTTTCTTAGATGACCACCCGTTTTAACCAAATAAATCTGTTGCACCATAATAATCTTCATTTTTCCGTCTCTTTAATCCCTGATTTTCTGATTAAGTATAGCTCTAAAATACCATCTTATAGCTGGTCAGCTCCGGGTTTGGTTTGTTTGCAAGTGTCTACACCGGCGGACCCCGAAGGGGAAGCGCTTAGATAATCGGGAAAGTTTGTTCCCAACATCTCGGAAAAGTGTCGCTATCTCTCTCCCCCTCAACCTCCATTCCTCAATTGAGCATCCTCCTCCATCATGCTCTTTCGTACTGCAGCTCGTCAGGCTGCGCCTCTGCGCCGTCAGGCCTTTGCCCCTATCACCCGTCGCTCCGTCACCACCGACGCCGCCTCAGCGCACGCCGAGAACATCCCGGAGGTTTGTTGGGCCCGTCCGGAAAACTGGGAAACATTCATTCCAGGCCCTCGTGGATTCAATGCTGATAGCTATGATTGTACTGTCTAGGAGGATGACAAGCCTTTCACCGTCCGTCTCTCCGATGAGAGCTTCGAGACCTACGAGCTCGACCCGCCCCCATACACCCTGGAGACCACCAAGAAGGAGCTGAAGCAGATGTACCACGACATGGTCTCAGTCCGGTATGCGCCATCTGATTAATCCTTTGGAGCTTTATCTACGAACAACGCGCTAATTTGCTGTTCTTTTTTTCTCATCATAGTCGTATGGAGATGGCCGCCGATCGTCTGTACAAGGAGAAGAAGATCCGGGGTTTCTGTCACTTGTCCACTGGACAGGAGGCTGTCGCTGTCGGTATTGAGCACGCTATCAACCGCAAGGACAAGGTTATCACTTCCTACCGTTGCCACGGTTTCGCTTTGATGCGTGGTGGTACCGTTAAGTCCATCATTGGTGAGCTGCTGGGTCGTCGTGAGGGTATCGCGTACGGCAAGGGTGGTTCCATGCACATGTTCGCCGAGAACTTCTACGGTGGTAACGGTATCGTCGGTGCTCAGGTTCCCGTCGGTGCTGGTCTTGCTTTCGCCCAGCAGTACAACGAGGAGCCCAACACCTCCATCGTTCTGTACGGTGATGGTGCCTCCAACCAGGGTCAGGTCTTTGAGGCTTTCAACATGGCTAAGCTGTGGAACCTCCCTGCTCTGTTCGGTTGTGAGAGTATGTTTTCCATCCCAGTCTTCTCTAATTCTCTTTTAATTTGGGGTCGTTTGATCTAACTTAATCTTAATAGACAACAAGTACGGTATGGGTACCTCCGCCGCCCGCTCCTCCGCCCTGACCGAGTACTACAAGCGTGGTCAGTACATCCCCGGTCTGAAGGTCAACGCCATGGACGTTCTGGCCACCAAGGCCGCCGTCCAGTACGGTAAGGAGTACGCCATCTCCGGCAAGGGTCCCCTCGTCTTCGAGTACGTCACCTACCGTTACGGTGGCCACTCCATGTCCGACCCCGGTACCACCTACCGTAGCCGTGAGGAGATCCAGCGCATGCGTAGCACCAACGACCCTATCGCCGGTCTCAAGACAAAGATGATCGAGTGGGGTGTTACCTCCGAGGAGGAGATCAAGTCCATCGACAAGGCCGCTCGTGCCTACGTCGACGCCGAGGTTGCCGAGGCCGAGGCCATGGCTGTTCCCGAGAACAGCGCCCGTAACCTCTTCGAGGACATCTACGTCCGTGGCTCCGAGCCCAAGTGGATGCGTGGTCGTACCGTCGACGAGACCTTCTACTACTAGATTGTTTCTCTTTCCTGATATCTCCGAAAGCTTGCATGCGTCGATCTAGAGCGGTTCCGGGGGAAAAGTATAATACCGGGCACGACTATGGAGTTACTTACTCTGGGTTGATCTGACGGGCATCGTGTTTCTCTATCAATATTCTGTAATTTAGCCGATAACTACTATGTGTTTCTTCCTGCGCTTTGTTTAGAGTAGAGCAATTGATTTTGTTCGTACTGCGTTGGATTCAGTAGGATACGCCTTCTCAGGTGAGAGTGTATTAATTAGCCATACTTGAACGTAGTTCCTCATGGTAGCATCAATATCGCCTGGGCAGCAAGGCCCCAGTCCCTGATGCACCTCAAGAATACCCTGCGTTGAGTCAGGCGAACTCGAACAGAGTGAGTCGCATAGCATTGGATGCAGATCAGTATGTCCCATATCAAATGCTTTCATCATGGTGTTCACTACGTATTAGAAGCTTCCAGTTAATCAAATCATAAACGTCAGAGCTTCTTGTGTTCTGGAACGTTTCGATTGTGGGGAGAATGGAGTACAAATCTCGACTCCACATCAGTCGATCGATGTAGATACCAGGGCCCTCGACTAACTAAACATTAAAAGTACACATCTATAATATCTTAATTCAACATTATATTCAGCTCAAAAACCAGGCATCAATAAATCTAATTACTCGTAAAGCAAGCACGAGAATCTATCAAAGAAATGACCAATTAACATCGATTGGTAACCAGCGTCCACGGGTATCATCATAAATCATGAATCACATCACTTAAGCGACGGGGGTCTCCTCCTTAGAGAGACGAGCAGGTTCCTGTTTCGGCAAATCCATATCATAACTAGGATCCTCCTCACGATGTTTCCGACCCACGAATAACCAACGAGTTCCACGAGAAGTAGCCTTAATTAGATCCCAAGGATTCGCAGCATCAAGGAACGCTTTCCATCCCATCCAGCCACCATAATACCGTTGACCACCCTCTTTCCGAGCTTCTTCAGTCAGGATATATGTGTTCCAAGGGAAGCCCCAGAAATGAAGGATAGCGAATAAGAACATCTCGATACAGATGAGGAGATTAGGTAGAGCATTGTTCCAATCGAAGAGTTGGACTTTCGAGGACGATTTGATTGTTCCGGAGGAAGTTAACCAATCAATGATAGTCTGAACGATTATTAGCATGAATATGAAAACGAAGGAGGGGATACGCACAGATTGCCAGAAAGAAAGGAAAATAACAAGCTTGATGCAAAGAATCTTGAGGAATGGGCGGTGATGCGCGATGTCATCTTTGATTTGGTAGTAAAACTGGATTAGGCAGTACATGGCAATAGTAACTGCCACTGACTCGATACAGATGACCTAGATGATATTAGCGAAGCTCATACCTAGTAACCAGGGACTCAGTCGACTTACCCAAATATGCGCAAACTTAGGACTATCCGAGTCCTCACAGTATCGATCCGCAGCTTCAGCTGCAACAGCGATGACGGTCATGACTACTCGCAGGAAACAGTATTGGAAGACTCCGATCCAGATTACCTGTAAGTACCGGTTAGCATTCTCCTTCTGCAGTCTCATTTCAAAAGTAAGTGAAACATACATTGAACCAGGTCAATCCACTTCTTGGTTTCCGCAACTTGCCCTTATCACGATCTCCACAGCAACATTTCTGCATCCAATTCATAGGCCAAAGCCAGTTCTTCGGGATAATAGTACGGAAATATTCCTTCTGATCATGTAGAACAGGCGCGATGTAAGCACAGAGTAGCGTGAAAAAGGACGCGATAGCAAAAGGTTCATAACAATCGCCAATTAATTCGTAGTAGACCGAGTGTCGGTAAAAGTAGATGCAGAGGAAAGACGAGATTGCATAAACGGGTATCATAAACAGAATGCGGATGATGCTGGAGCGCGTTAGCAAGACCTCGAAATCAATCAGAATCACACTTACTATCGCTGTTCAGCAGGATTACTGTAATGAGTTGCATGGCCGATCATAATAGTGAAAGCAAGGATAGCGGCTAACACTGTACAAACAGCGCTGATGATAACAGCCAATTCGTGGAAGGTGATACCTCCATCCCAGAGATCGGCCTCATGAACTGTCGCGTCAAATCAGAATGCGATCACAAAGAAACTTAACATCAGTATGACTTACTGGTGATATCCTCCTCAGTGGAATTACACTTAGGCCAAGTCATCTTGGCAGGGATACCTTAGTTCCACGGGTATGATGATCAAGGCTTCAAATGTTGATGGTAGGTCTCTTATAAAAGAAAAGGAGCATAGCCTCTGACGTAGGATAACACCGGAAGATCAGGCAAGAAAATAGTCAAAAGTGAATTGGGTCCACCCTTTTAGTCCCAATCATGATCGGCGTTATGCTTGATTTTTCGCTTTTCGGGCGGGATGCCGCGTAATGCGATGGGGCATTCCATTCGGCCTTCGTCACTATACATGTAGTACTAAGCGGATATAGACCAAAAAAAGGTTCACTAGGTACATATGCCCTACCATGGTATGTTGTTGATATCAGATATTGCCACTTCAATGTTGGTTGTCATTCTCGGTATACGCACGCGGAGGTGTGTCGAGTCACGGTACTAGGATCGGAATATTATATAGCCTAGTGTTACCTATAGGCATCCATAGTTTCCAGGCGAACAATAGTAGTCTGCACATAAAATGAATAAACAGTGTACATTCGTAGTATTCATCTCAAGTCGCTCAGGCTTACCATAATTATGTCTTGACTGTTGTCAACTACTACTGCACATGTATACTAGCCTGCCAGTTTCCGAGAAATATCTCATGCACAGTCTACATAACTAGTACATCATGGATGATACACTCAAGTTGAACTTGAACCGTGCGTGATAATCCTTCCAACTTTGGAATTTCGCATGAGTGTCTAATTAAGCATATCTTTCCAATGTTGTTTATAAATCACCTGAAAAGGAAATCTTCAAGTTCGTATATACTATATCGCCCCTGCGAGAAGATACGTATATTTGCCGCTATGGATAAGCATTCCAAAGATGGGAGGATTACGTATTCCTGATAGGGCTGAAACTTCAAATTAATCTTTGAAATGTTCACAAGGTTAAGAATAATGCATAAAATTGGGGGCCGGCATAAGTACTACCTAGTACTAAAATTTTGTTGTTTGTGCACAACCTGAACTTCAAAGTTGAAGGATGTGGCGATGTCGAGTGTGGCTTGGTCGAGTTTATATCTCCACTGCCAGACTCCGAGTCGGATGCGACTATTCCATGTTTGAAGATGTAAATGTGTCCCTGCATAGTAAATGGGATTATGAGACGTATATTATCGGTCTAAAGGGGCACTGCACACTGTAGTATTTCAAACTGAATTTATTGTATATCATTTACAAACCATCATGCTATGGTGATACAGAGGCAAAGCCTAAACGACAAAAAGCACCAACACCATGGTCAATACAAGCGGGGATATGCAGAGGAGAAATCAAGACCCAGTAATACATCGAAGAATGGGGGCAATAGAACAATTATAGAAACAGAAGGATTCGCTGGTGCTCTACCAACGTCTCCTCAGGTACCAGCCATAGGCCGGAGTGGCAATCGTCTCGCCGAAAGGAGTGGGGACTTCAGCGGATCCAGGACGGGCGACAGGGTGACGCAGGTAAACAGCGGCGCAGATGTTCTGGTTAACTTCGAGGTAGCGAGGGATGAAGGCAAAGGCGGACATGTAATCGCGTGGTCGCCAGGGGGTAGCGTAGGGCTTGGAGCTATCAATGGGGTTGTCACGCATCTGGGTAAGAGCACGGCGAAGAGTGTCGAATTCCTCATCGCTGAGCTCGGATGTGTCGACGTCCTTACCCTCTGAGGCATTCTGGAAAGCCTCAGAGAGCTTGTCACTAGCCTGCACTTCCGATTCCTCGGAAGCCGCGGCGACCTCTGACTCCTCTGACACCTCGGTCTGCTCCTTAGACTTCTTCTTATTCTCCTTGGGCTTCTTCTCTGCCTGCTTAGCATTCAACATCAGTGTCAGTTCGGAGAACTGTGCCTCCAAGCTGTCTGTGAGGATGGTGCTGGTTGAAGAGCGGGACAGAACACGGCGCACAGCCTTCTGGAAACCGCGCAGCTCCTGCTTGCGCTTGGCAGCAAGAACATCCTTGTCCTTTGACATGACGGTCTTGGCCTGTGCCAACAAAGCCTTAAGAGTCTCCTTGGTGTTCTCCTTCTTCTCCGCGGATTCCGACTTCTCGACTTCGGCATCAGCCTCGGCCTCTGCCTCCTCGGCCTCGACGGCGGCCTTTGACTTCAATTGGCGGGTCTCTCGTCGCTCGAACTTGGTCTTGGGGGCGCCGGTAGCGAACATGACACGGTCCGGGTCGACCTGGAAGAGATCGCCAGGGTTAAGAAGGTAGCTAGGGTGTCTCATCTACAGTAAACAGAGTTAGTAAATACCCATTGAGTAAAGAATGAGCCAAGTCCGTGGCTTACCTTCTGTCCATTGACAGTGACAGCACCGTGGATAACGAATTGTCTGGCTTGTCGAGCACTGCTAGCAAATAGAGAACGGAAAATAGCAACATCCAGACGACGCTCCAGGGGAGCGAACGCCATGTTGGTATACGGAACCAGACGAGGCATAGAGGGGGACTTGACGTCGTTATTCAAACCAGAACCACGACCAGCAGCCATCGAGGATCCATCATCTGCGGCGAGATCGGCGGTGTTCATAGGAACCACGCTACGGATGCGCTTGGAGAACATGCGCTTCCATTGACCCTCGCGGACTTGTTCACCGTGGTAGGCACGAGAAAGAGCCTTGGCGGTCCATTTTTGCTGGAAGAATGTGCGGTGTGCTGTACCCGGGGAACGGAATCGCTGTAGGTTATACAAGTTGTACTTGCTCCATGATTGACGGATTTTCTATGGACAACATTTGTTAGTTGGTAGCTCTGATGGAGGGATTGAAGGAATTGACGTACCCCCTTGGACAATGTGTTGCTAGCCCTGTTCCGCATAATGGCGACTCCGAATAACTCAACTCAACGTGGGGAAGGAATTGATGATCGGGATTCGTGATTACCGTGATCAATTGATGAACCTCGCCCAAAACTTCGATGACACGTGACTTCGGGGTTGATCTGTGAGTGCCTGGAATATCAGGCTACAAAAGAGTAGTCTATGATTGGCTGATCCAGTTCTCGCTTATGCACTAGAGTACTGCCATCATTGACCGCCCTCCCACCCCCCATAAATACTTCTTTCCTCTCTCGATCTTTCCGCTCCTTTTTCTTTTCTTCTTCATACTTACCTTGTTTGGGTAGCTGCGATCATGAAGGCGGCTCACCACAGATTGGTCCCTGCATTGCACAGCGCGGCGGAACAGTTTGTTCAACGGCCTCCGGGTCATTGACAGGCGTATTCTTTGGCACTCTCCATTACTGGAACCTTTTCTTTTCATCAACCTTGAGTCAGTGACTCGAGCTTGGAGAAGAGATTCGCGTAAATAAAGAAAGACCTGTTCAGTAGTCTATCAGATCCCCCACCCTGTAACTAGTTCAGCCAAGTCCAAGTCACTACCTGCTCCCTGGAGCTCCTGGATTTGTTGGTGTGAGACGCGTCGTATGTTGTGGTACCCCAGCTCTCACTTCCTGTCGACTTCCCCTTTGCTCAAAATGTCTTAGCTCCCACCAGATGACCCACCCAAGTTCATCTGAGTCCCTACAGAGTGCATATTCATTGACCCACATCTAGCTTAGCATGTTTCTCACTTTCCAAGGTTGAGGAGAACATGGGTCCCAATGTTTACATTATCCATGACTGTGCCATTCTTATGTCATGACAGCATGAATGTAACAGCATCTTTGCAACTTGAATCTTATTGCAACATCCTTCTTCGAAGACACTAACTCAGGCTGACATTCAAATCAACAATAATGTCCACTCTGGATCAACTTAACAGTGTGCATGGCTTACCTGACTCCGTTCCAAGGTATACCTACCAAGGACTGAGATACTTCAATAGAATCCTCGACTTCGAAATTGAACGGCTTGGTCTAGTAAGTGGCGGCGAACCCAAGAAGGACGCAGAAGGAAATCCTCTGGACACCCCGGTAAAGTTTCGAAAGGACTTCGAAAAGACCAAAGGCAGGGTGTGGACCGACTATATCATCTTCTCCATCGATTATGACACCTTCTATCGCGACTTCGATTACGAAGCTGACCCAGTTTACCATACCCGTTTCACATTCCTCCCAGAAATAAACGCCTTGGTTGTTCAGTTGAACGGTTACCCCGAATTCTCTCAGATAGTCTCCATGCTCCCCTGCTACATCAGCAATGCATTAGATCCAATGGATCAACTTAAAACTAGAAGAGGCATTGGCTGCGTTGGTGGCACGACCTGGAGGATGGGAAATGGCGGTATAAAAGAAGCCAGTTCATCATGGCTCAGATACTCTCCCCCAAGAACTCAACTGCCAGACAGGGTCCTTGAGGTCAGTGTCTCTGGTAAATACACGAAACTTCTTCGTGATGTTGATCAATGGCTTGACCCTGCAAATGGAAATGTCAACATTGCTTTAATAGCGCTTGTGGATCATTTGAAGCCTTTCATCGCTCTTGAACGTTGGGAATATGACCATCAAAATGCCCGACCACGGAAAATGCAGCGCATCGAGATTAAGAAATCCGAATCTAGTGATGAATTCAGTGGCGAATCCAGCAACGAATATGACAAGTCTTTGGAGGCAATCGAAGTTTCTGGAAGTCCTCTTATACTCCCTTTCAATATTCTCTTTGGGCGTGATCAGATCCAAACGAGCCAAATGAAACCGATTCGAAGATACCAGAAAAAAGCCTAAAGTCAATGGCAAGTACCGCTTTTCTTGTGCAATCCAGAGACTGAGTCGGTGATAACGAATACAGTAGCTAGAGCTAGAATATTAAAAAAAAATTGAAATTTGCTATCTCAAACCTGAACTCATAATGCTCATAAACTGAACCAATGCAATCATTCCAACCTGTAGCGCCATGCCAATTATGCAAAATCTTAAATCGTACAAATCCATCAATCCCGCCTAGAACTAGGGAAAACCTCCGCAAGAGACTCCGCCTCTTGAGGATTCGTCCACTCTTCTAATAACTCATGCGCCATATCAACAGTCTCATCATCGATACCAGCTTCAAGGACCGAGCCATCACAGAATGCGAGTCGAGTAAGAACAACAAGATGTTTCTGCTTACTCCCTGAAACACGCGCCAGTTTCTCTTGCATATTAATAGACGAGGCATGACGACGCATAACACCGAATATCAAACGCATTAACCCGTTAACAAGTGCAACTCGAAGATCCTTTTCCGGTGGTGAGGAATACAATGCATCGAGTTCATCGTGCATCGAACGAAATAATCGAGCTAACGCGTTCGGATGCGCGGCAATAATCGCACTACCGTGTTCCCTTGTTGGCGCAGCGGGATTAAATGCTAATGACTCTAGTAAGAGTAGGACCTCGAGTCGCATTGCACAGATATCGTGTGGAGTGTAAGGATCAATGCCTTCATCTGGTTGTGCAGGTTCACTGAGCATATGGGAGAGTCGATCGACGATCCATCGCTGTACATCACCCTGTTCTCCTTCTGAAGGCATTATTGGGCCAAATGAATCTGGGCGAATACTTGTTGATAGGAGATTCATGATGAGAACGATATCTTTCAAGGGCTGTGAACCGTGGAGCATGACTAGCATGAATGTATGTCGAATCTGGCGCCAGAAATCGTCCAGTACGCTTTTCACGTGGAGCAGCTCGGATGAGATATGGTATAGTAGACGTAGAGCTTCTGTTGAGTCAACGAGTGGCTGGAGATCTGATTGCGGTGTCTGTCGTGGTATCCTTGCTTTTTCTCGTGCGGCGGGTGAAAATCGAAAACGAGGAACTGCATTTACCTCAACGGAATCTTGCAGTACGACGATAAGAGGTTGGAGCAGGTCTGGAAGGGGGATGTCATTCATCATTAGGACGTATCGAACGACCGTCATAAATCGAGGGACGGGCTCGTAGAAACGTTCTGTCAAGGCACGCTGCCAGAGAGACCCGATCGTATATATGTGTTCCACCACAAAGCTGCCCTTGTCCAACCTAGCTAGGTCATCCAAGAGAATGCTGGAAATAGGTCGAGTCGGTTGAGAAGGGAAGGAGATCTTGGCTAAGGCCTCAATATCGGTTTCTTGACCAGGAAGCATGCGATGATTTAATAGGCGTTTCATCACACGCTGATCGCGTTCGATTGACCCAATAGAAGGAGCGATGTCCTCGAATGACGGATCGGAAGTAGTAGGAGCATCAATCATCATCGGCTCGCCGGCAGGACTCAACTGTAACCGGGCAGGGCTATCTTGACTGGACTGTCGTTTTCGCTTTCCAGGCACTGTCGGAGTCGCTCGTTTCGACCGAGCCGCGGATTTACTAGGCGAGACCGCAGCCATTTCATCGTCATCGAAGCCATCTCGGAATGGAAGGACTCGGTTCTTCCTAGGTGTGACAGGCGGGTTCCTCTCCTCGTTTCGATGCTTCGACTTGAAGTTGCGCAGTTGATGTGCCTCCTCTGCTAAATCATGCTGTAGAAAGATGTTCTCCGTAGCTAGCATCTTCCCTTCAGACATTGCCGCTTCAACCGCTTCCTTATGTTCTGTCGCCTGATCAGTCATAGCCTTTCGCAAAGCCGCCATCTTGCGATCATATTCCTCAACCATTCTGTTTTGTTTAGATCGGATGATTGCGATTTCACCAGCCTTGGTTTCCACTTGCGCTTTCGCTTCGTTTAATTCTCGGCGCATTGATTCTTTTTCCCGTTCCAACTGTAACCACAAGTTAGCCAGCGGGACCGGATAGTACTCTACATTTCACAAATCATACCTGCTCTATATGTAAATTCCACTGATGGATGTTCCCTTGCGGGTTATCGTCCAAATCCATCACATCATCCATCGTGCCATCCATAACCCATTGATGCTGCATTGGATGGCCTTGAGCAGGCGTCACGGATTTAGTTCCATTGTCATACACCTCCGCCTCCAATTCCCCCACTTCGAGTGTATCATAGTCGTTCGTTAATCCAGTATGCAGACGAGGTGGCGGTTTCAGAGTCGAGGTCGTCTGAGCAGCCGTGTTGACCTGGCCAGGTAGGAGGTTATTGTTTTGCTGGGCTTGAACATGTTGATACTGAGATGCTTGCGCTTGAGTTGCTTGAAAGGCACTTTGTTCTAGCTCGAACAATGTACCCGGGGGTAGAGAATCGAAGTCATCGGAGAAGTAGTCATCGTCGTTGTCTTCCATGCCCCCGCCATGAATTGATAGAGGGTGGGAAGAGAGCAGGATTGAACAGGTGGAGGGTGAATTTCAAATTTTTAGAAGTGTATCGGCATAATCAGGTGAAATGACAGGTCGAGGCTCAGGTTCTATCTGAGGGAAATTGGACTCGAGTCTCGTCGCTGATAAGCGCGTCGGAGATGAGGCTGACCGCTTTCCGCGATATGGGGGGGGGTTTATGTCATCCGAATTTCGATTTGAGGCCTGAGACTCAAGGCAGAAACTTTAATCGGAGTAACTAACTAACGTAATTCCCAAGCGAGTGGATCACCCAAGAGAGTGGATCACCTCCAAACACCATAGTTAAGGCGATAAACTACAACTTGATATCTCAGCAACCACATTCTTATTTTATTCGATTATTTGTCGATAGCTATTGATAAGGCTTGTGAGCACTCTCAATCAGTTTCAAGAAAATCTTAAAGCTATTTTGTCACGATACCGAAAATTACATTGTAATGAGGCACAAATATATCTCTTTTGAACTACCAACAAGTAGATTTTCCCTTAACTTTCTAAAGAGGCTAAACATGACCTGATTATTGTCGGGTTAGGAGGAAAAGTATATAAAGAGCGTAGTTGCTGAGATATCAAGTTGTAATTTATCGCCTTAACTATGGTGTTTGGAGGTGATCCACTTGCTTGGGTGATCCACTCGCTTGGGAATCACGTTAACTATATAACAAAGTCGACTACTTTCACATATTGGCTATTATAGCGAACTGAGAGATATGATCTGTCTGAAAGATTTTACTTCATTGCCCCTGATTTGAAATTTCTGGGATGAAATCGCATATTTTACCTGATAGTGATACGGATTATGCATCTGATAGTATATGCACTTAAAATTCTAGTTGAAGGTATGATTTAGGATGAGATACTAATGATGAAAACATGATATAGCGGTTGAATTTAATATTTCCGACGGGAAGATATAGCCGTATGTTTTCTTCCGGTCTATTACTACCAGTGACTACCTGGAGTGCTATGGAACTCCGAGTCGTCGCTAATGCAGTGATATAAGGTAAACATTTGGCCTTGAACTTGAATATGCCAAAATCCAATTTTATCTCAGAGCAAGATAAGTTTGAGGAGTGATAATTCAAAAAATCAAGGATAGTACGATCAGAACTTGCATCCATCGTGCTTCTTGTAGAGAGTAGCTGAATCAATCACACTACCATTGCCGCTCGCTACAGGGGAGAAGCATGTCAGCAATCACTCAAGTTTACAAATACTTCAGGATAAGAGCAGATTAACTTACCAATAAAGTCCTGAGTGATATGAGTGCAGTTGTGGACAGTGAAACGACTCCATCCGTAGACAGTATCGATTGCCTTGACGGTATAGTTCGCCACAGGGGTATCATAAGATGACAAGCCCTCATAGTGACCAGCCGCACCATTAACAATGTACCAAGGAGCAGAGGGGTTATCCAGACCCTTTGGATCAGCGGTGCCGTTGGCAATAGCTGAGAGTCGTTCATAGAAATGCTTGTGGCCAAAAAGAGCGACATCGACTCCGTATTCCAGAAACAGAGGCTCAAAAGCGGCCTGGCACGTATCACACTTGGCATCGTCAACATACCAGGGTCGATGACCAGCGACGATAATCCAAGGTGTCTTTTTGCGATCAACTGAAGCAAGGTCTTTCCTCAGCCACTCAACCTGGGTACCATTTGGAGCAAATGGACCGGCATTCTCGTCAGCACTGCCGCCAGGAAGATCCGGAGCACCAAGAAACTAAAATAATTAGCACAGTGATCATTCATTTGGATGGGGTTGAAACCTACATCAGTCTCAGTGTTGATTTGAATATAGTGGACCAAGCCATAGTCCCAAGAGTACCAGAAATTTTCAAGACCACCGGACTGTGCCGAGGGCATACGGAAGTGGTTTCGGAAGCCAGTAAAGTTGGTCTGGCCTTGCACACAAATGCTCTCTGTGTAATCGCCAGAGCCACCGTCATCACAGTTTGCCTCGTGGTTGCCTATGGAATTATACTGTCAGTTCGAGGAATTCATCGATAGAGATGGTTAATGCAAGGTCGGGATAGAAGCAAGTACCTGGACCAACCATGTATGGGCGCTCCATGGTCACATTTCCGGCCATTTCATTATAGAAACCATTCAAGATGGCCTCATACACCGCAGCACCGCCGTCAATCGTGGTATTAGGCAAGAATCCGTCCTGCTCCTCCTTGAGCCAGTCATCGGCGTATGCCAGATCACCGTCTATAGAATTTGTCAATACACTGTCGAAATTATGCTGGGGAAATACTGACTGTGCCACATGAACTCAAATTCGTCCTTGAAATCCATCAAGGATTGCATAGTAGTGATCTCTCCTGGACTGAGAGCATCCGACTGTCCATAATCAGACAATCCCAATGAGCCCATGGTGCCCAGATCCGCAATGTAAGCGAAAGTGTATGGACGAGGATTTCCAGCTGGAAGACTAGTCTTGAAGCGATGCTGATCATTTTCCTCGGCACAGAGAACAGAAAAGGTGTACTCAGTATCAGGTTCCAATCCATCAATAAAGACATGGTTACTATAAGTAGTAGATGTAGGATAAGTGACCGAGACGTCGGAGTACGCAACTTGGTTCAGTTGAGAGCCTCTTCCGTATCGAACTGTAGGGGACTGAAGCTTGGATGCAGTATTCCAGCTAACTGTCATCCCACGGTCACCCGCGTAATTGAAGTGCAACTGTTCCGGTGCGGTTTCACTGCCCCGACATACGGAGTCATTGTTTTTGAACCCCTTTGCAGCTTGTCCGACAGCTGCAAGACCAAGCATCAAAAGTGCCTGAGACGTCATTTTGTCACTAGAGAATTAGTCGATGCAAGTCAATGCAGGAGTAATATCATTCGGGTCGTAGAATTTCTCGAAGAAATCCTCTAGAATTGACCATTCTCATGTTGATGGCCTTGTCTATGGGGTACCCTGATCTAGTCCCCTATCAAGTTCGTGGTGTTCCCCACGTGGAGGATAGGGTCGACTAAGCCTTTCCCGAAATACTTAGCGTATCTCTATAGGCCAATCGCGACTTTTCTAAAAATCATCGGTACCTTGATTCGGCGAGGGGAGTGATGGCACCTTCCCGATTCGATTCTTCGATTGAATTACCTCGTGCCGAGTACCGACATATTGGCAGTTGTATTGAAGGTGTAGAATATTGGTATGTATACATCCATGGGTTCATCTGGAGGCGGCTGATGAGACCCACTTCAGCCTGTAGGGACTCCGACCCCACGTTCCACACCCACTATTTTCTAGCCTGAGCTAAAGTGCTTCCATCTTGAGGAAATTTGGAGGGTTGTGGAAGTAGTTCTCTTAGAGTTGATATCTTCAATTGTCATAAGTCGTGGCATAGATCTTAGTAGCTGCATTTTGAACATTTGAACGGATTTTGGTCCGAATTATCATCATCACTCTATCTATAGATGAAATCGGATCTCATGGCTTCCTTCAAGTGCTCAGGTAACCTAATGATGAGAAGGACCTTCAGATCCCCAGAGCTGAGAGTTGATATATCAACTGCCCAGAAACAAACGGAAGTTGCCTCGCAAATACATCATGACATCCATTTCATTTGGCGGTATTAAGGATGGGAGCCAGATAAAGATCAATAACGGCTCTACTCATCTTCTTCTAGGTAGATTTGATCAGGCATTTCTTGAGGACAGTGGCTAACAGCCAGATTCTGACATAGTATGACCAGAAACTCCATCCGCTCCTCAGTCAACCATTCTCTTCCGCCGTGACCCCGACTTAGTCAATCGTGGAAGATTCCTCGATCAGATTCATGAAAAAAGCACTGGACTTAGTGCAATCCCCAAATCAGGATACGAAGAGGTCTATCTGGTCGGAAGTTGATAGGTAGGTAGCGGCATTGTATGACTATACTCAATCAAGTAAAGTTAGCGCCGAAAAGGCTGCCATAGATAAAGATCCCCTCTTTGTCTCTGATACTCAACCTGCCCACCTGTTGACGCAACCATGAGTGACACTGAGATCTCGTCGCCAAGACATTATGAAGGCAACTGTCATTGCGGTCAAATCAGATTTGATCTGGATCTACACCAACCCCCTGCGGCATGTTTTCACCTGCCCTTGCTCGATGTGTAGCAAGAAGGGCTATCTCTGGGTATTTCCCGAGGAATCTCAGTTCCGGATTACAATCGGACAGCAAGCTATGGCCAAATACAGTGTGGATGGTCTAAGTGGAGATCATTATGTGAGCTCTCTTGAATTAAATTTCGATCTTTCATCACCGACTTTGAGTTTTTTTAGTTTTGTCCTACGTGCGGGACAGTAAACATGGCTCAGAACCATATGATTGAAAAGGGAGGCCCGAGCATTGCTGTCAATGTAAGTGTTACTTGTCTCCGCATACCAAGTCTACGATGTGCAACCTGAACTTTTAATAGGCTAGAGCATTATATGGTTTCAATCCCTTTACACTTGAAGCCAAGGTGTAAGTTAACTTAAAATTATTCACAAACAATCCAGATTTCTTCTCTGACATAAAGAAATAGCATTGACTGTTCTTCCGACGGTGCATCTGTCTCTCATTCATTCCCCGGAAAATTGCCACCAACGTCGGGTGATGACCTAAAGCTCTATACTGGAGGCTGTTATTGTGGCGCGGCTACTCTAGCTGTAAATCTGAAGCCTCTATCAGAAGTGGAGGTTAAAGAAGACAACTGCAGTATTTGTCAGAGAGTAATCATACATCCCGAAACGTTTCCGTTCTACCAGAGCTAACTATGATAGAATGCTGATATCTACATCTACCCTCACCGCGACAGTGTCTCCGTTCATGGATCGGAAAATACTACAGAATATCTCTTTTCACGCAAGTTCAATGGCCATTGCTTCTGTCGAGTATGCGGTGTGCATGTATTCATCAAGCTACATGGACCGCCCAAGACCGTCGTGGATAGTTTACCAGCGGAAAAACAGAAATATGTGCAAGAGCTGCTTGGAATTTTCCCAGTTAGGCTCTCTATCCTGGATGATATCGAATGGTCTGATTGTCATATCAAGAGATCAGACGAGGGAACGGCAGGATATGTGATATAATGACCGGTCATTCGAATTCAAGTTTGGGCATACTTCTAATTTGTTCAATCCAATCTAGCCCGAAATCAAAGATGGCCACTATATTTTTTATTTCGCCAGTATCTACTATAATTGTTATATGAAAGTGGCCATGGATCAAGGTACCTTACATAGGAGTGCTGCCGATCTGATAAGATTGATCCGATAATCTCCGAGCTTGGCATGTGTAAATGTGCCACCGCAGTTTATGGTTTGTGATGGTTTGTGGTAAGTCGCGGCTCGATCCGACGATTAAAAGGGTAAAAGAGCACGTTTTAGGAGAATATCCAAAATGGCCCGGGGGCTAGATAGAATGGCAATGTCTTAGATAAACTTCACTTTCACTGTGTCCAGTCTCAAGGTCTGCTCCGAAGTCGCCGACAGCGGACTTCCAAGGTTCGCGGTCTTTTAGTTCATCCAAATATGCCAAGTGAGGAAAAACAGACCGATAAATTCCTACCAACTTAATTGACAACACCATGACAATTCAATAATTCCAAGGTCAATTTCACAGTAATGACGAAAAGATTCAGCCACAAACATTCTATCCATCAAACTTGCACATGTATAAAAGTCTCGCTTCAGTAAAGCAGTATATACACATCATTATTTCTCCAATTCAGCAAATTTCCACTTTCTTTCATCCAAATATTTCTTTAGACTAATCTAAATTTTACCTACCAAAGTGGTGTCAACTTGCCGGTTTAATCCAATCAAGAAAAGCATTAGTCGATGCGTCTGAGACCTCATTACAATTAGAATTACTCTACTCCAAAAAGTGGATTTACACTACCAAGACTAGTTTAGTTTCCACAAGTCCCTGGTTCTAGGGTCGAATCACCCACTATGCTAGGTCTTAAGGAATGTGCTCGGGCGACAAGTTGGGAAACGGAAATCTTCCGACCATTGCCCAAGACTATTACTGCTCCACATCTCACCACCATATGACATTCTCAGAAATAAGTTTTCGTATGGTAAATTCCAAGTTTTCCGTCCGAATTATGGAGTCAAAGGATTTTTAGTCCATTTTGTCGAGACTCGAGAGCTCGGCTTTTGCGTTTTCCAATTCCTCCAACAGTATCGTTCAAGCCTTGGAAGGAAAATCCTCACTCGGTACTGGCTCATCCTGATATGTGGAAAAGGCAACCCGGGTGAGAAAAGCGAGATTTTCTCAAGTGTTTGATTAAGATTGAAATGAAAAGAATCCAAACTTGGGCCTTGAGGATTAGACTCGGAGTCAAGATATTAGAGCAGCTTGTGCCATGGACTGATCAGTGGCTCAAGTTACCGCGCCATGCAGGATCTAGCTCAAATTATAATTTGTTGGGTCACGGTGAGAAGAATTTATCAATCTCCGGTCCGAGCATTGAATAAACCTTAAAATCTCCGCGCCTCCTTATCAATCTTTCATATTGTACATACTGGAGTCCGAAGCGTTTTATTTTGCCCGTGCACCCGCAATGTCTGCTAGGCGTCGATTTCGTGATCTTCTCGGCGGTAAAACCGAGAATGTAACTGAAGATCCTGCTGCTGTACAAGCAATTATCAATGACAAAGAAGCTGGTAGCCCCATTACTGAGGTGCACAGCGGCAAGGAGGTCAAGCTGTTGGAGGATTTGGATTTGGATGTCTACGAGTGAAGAAGGCCAGAAACACGTATTGAAGGAAGCGTGAGGAGGGAAGGATCTCCACGTGCAAGTGAGAGCTAGAGTATATGGCCGCAGTGGTCCAATATCTACACGCGTAACGCGCCGGACCACTGACACACCCCCCGTAGCTCTCGCAGCACGGAGACCTCCGAGACCTCCTGAAATGTCCATTTCTGCAATAAAATAAAATCAGGTGTAGTTACCCAATTAGGAAATAATAGATCACATGATTTGCCTTCCTTTCTTTGTTCTTCTTTATGCATCCACCATCCACAGTCCTTTCCGGAAAGCTTTGAACTTGGTGGTGTCCAGGGCCTTTGTCAGGCCATCGGCGACGTTGTCCTCGCTGTCGATCAGCACCAATTTGATCTTGCCGAGTTCGATTCTCTCTTTGATGATGTGATAGCGTAGATCTAACCACTTTGTCGCTGGCTTAAAGCCGATACCGTGTGCAAGAGTGTATGCATTGTCGCTATCAGTGTAGATTATCACGGGGGATTGATCGAGTTGCTGCATGTCCACCAGCAAATTCTTCAACAATAAAGCCTCTTGCGATGCATGTTCGTATGCAATGTATTCGGCTGCCGTACTCGACGGCGCAATGAGGGATTGTCGCTTTGTAGACCAAGAGATCGGTGTCCCGTTGTACATGAATATCCAGCCTTGCACAGATTTCTTTGTCCAAGGGTCATTGCTAAAAGAGCTGTCGACGAAGCCTACTAGACCTTTCAGCGGCACCTTTTCACTCACTGCAATAGGGGCCTTCTTTCTGAATTTCAATCCTAGTCTTGGTGTCCCTGTGAGATATCGAATAATATGTTTCGCAAGCGCAGTGGCTTCAGTGGATGGATAAGCACTACACCTCTGTAAGACGCCTGTAGCGTATGCAATATCAGGACGTGTTTTCTTTGCAATCCATCCAATCTTTCCAGTGATCTCTGCAAGGGATTGAGCGTCTTGCTTGGATAGAGTCTTTTCCATTGGTAAGCTTGTGTCGGAGCCTGTGGCGATCGGAATTGTATTTGAATTTGCACTGGCCATATGTTCAGTGTGTATAACACCGTCAATGTACTGATGTTGAGAGAACAAGATGTCATTGTTTTCGAAGCTGATGTCGCAGCCTAGGAACCTCGTTGGTAGACCGAGGTCTTTGATCTCGATGTGTCTTTCAATCTCTTTGATCACACTAGAATTGATCTCGTCACTCATACTGGCCATCTTTGCGTCGTCCACGTAGATTGCAATCATACAAAGGGTCTTTTCGGCCGAATTCCCGCGGACATAGAGACATGGATCGCTCTGTGATCGTCGGAACTGCAATTTGCATAGTATTTCGCTAAATTTCGTCCACCAGAGATGTGCAGCCTGTCGCAGACCATACAGCGCACGCTGAATCAGGCATATTTTTCCTTCTTTCGCAAAGCCTGTCGGTAGGCGCATGTAGACACGTCGATTATCAATTTCCGCATTCAAATAAGCGGTTATCACGTCGAATTGGCGAGCTTTCCAACCTTTCTCAGCGATCAGTGCATACAACAATTTCACGGTCTGGTCAGCAGCTACTGGCGCGAAATTCTCATCGAAATCAATGCTGGGACGTTGTCTGTTGCCACAGATTACCCATCTGGCTCGATAGCGTGTGATATAGCCATCTTTGTCTGTCTTGGTGTCAAAGACCCATTTCCCTGGTAGAACTTGTAAATGTTTTGGCTTTGTTATCTCATCCACCTCGATCCAGGCACCTGCAGCTTCCAATTTCGACACTTGTTCATCCATTGCAGCTTGCCAAAATGAGGCTTCTGGAGTGGTGATAGCCTGCTTATGGGTGGTAGGTCGCTTAATCTGCCAGTCCTTTTTCTTTGCCGTCTCAGGTCTTGATTCGCCATAATCATCATCATTATCTGTAAAAGCTGCCATCGCAATTGCACTTTCAAGGCCTGCAATGTAGTCGAAATCGTCTGCACCATCAGTTTGCGGTGGTTGAGAGACGCTTCTGCCAAGATCCTTCCAATTTTCGAAGTTTCCAAAGCGCTTCGGTTCCCTTGTGACACGTCCGGAACGTCTTGGAGCTTGCTCAGTTTCTGATTGGGTCTGACTAGTTGTTGACTGAGACCGACTAGTCGTTGTTTATGGAGTTGGTGTTGGTGTCTGGTCATCATCATCATATTCGTCTGCGTTAAATCCTCCAGAGATTTCGTTATGGAATTTTTTCTTTTCTCTAAGAGGCGCATTTGTTTGGGGGAATTGTCCAATTACTTCAGGTGTTAAGGACTCTGATGTCACTGTCGCTGGTGTCTCCTCACAGTACTGCTGTAGCTGTTTAGTGAGGTCTTTAATTCGTCTTTCCAACATATCTGCACGTTGCTGATGTATGCGAGCTGCGGCTTTGAGATCCTTATTTGTTTTGTTTTGATTGTTGTAAAAGCGGCTTGTCTCACGGTGTAGAGACTTGTATGTATTGCGAGCACCTTTCAAGAGCTCTGTCAGGCGGGCAATATCTTCTCTGTCTGTGTCTTTCACTGCTCCTGTTACAATTTGACGGTTGATTTGCTTATTTCCTAGCTGAGAGATCTTGATCTCCTCAACACCAGCTACCAGGGTATCAGATTTGGTCTCCCAGAACATAACATCTCGGTGGATTGACACTTTCTTTGTGTAGGGGTCATAGATACGGAATTGGTGACCATTCTCTCCAATATAGCCTACGAGGTGGCCTAGCCATGCACGTGGACGCATCTTTTGGCTCTTCACACGCCGCTCTGGAGGGATATTCACATAAGCTTTGCAATACCAGACACGGAGATAAGCTAGTGACGTTGGCTGCTCTCTGCAATTCATGCCTTTATTCCATAGCTCTGCCGGAGATGGTGAGCCAGGGGCTTGGCGTAGCCGGTTAATGATATAGGTTGCTGTCAAAATAGCCTCTCCCCACATGTATTCTGGGGCTTCGGCGTCGATAACCATTGTCCGTCCAGTCTGTACGATGTAGCCACCTGATATCTCGCTAAGACCATTCTGCTGCTGTGCATAGGGGGCGGAAGGCTCAATTCGTTGTCCATTTTCTTTTGCCCATGTTGTGAACTTATAGAACTCTGATCCACCATCACATCTCCACACCTGCGGATAGGCGGTAGTGTCATTCTTGATTTGCGTAGCGAATTTAATCATCTCGTGAGAAGCTTCATCCTTATGTTTTAAAAGACACGTAAATCGACATCTGGTAGCGTCATCTGTCATGATTAGAGCATAATTGTAGCCACCAAGAGCCTGTGGGCGGATTTGTTGTAGATCTGCATGGATCATCTGTCCTGGGCGCGTTGCACGGACCTGTGGTATGCGAGAGATTCTTTTCTTTGATTTTCCAAGCTTGCATGCGGTGCAATTAAATGGTTCTGAATGGTCCACTTCGACGTCAAGATCCTTCTTAGTGGCCTTTATTTTCGGGGCACCAGCATGTCCAAGACGGCGGTGGGCTATTTCGGCTGAAATACTTGCCATGGAGAGGCCAATTTGTTGTAAGCCACAGTCTTTGTGTTTGAGAAACGGCACTCCTGAGTGAAAGAAAACGCGTCCCACTACTGCCTTTGAGGCTCTGTCATGTAGGGCGTAAGTGTCATCGTTGTAGGCGAATTGTATGTCACGGCGTAGTTTACAAGCTCCCAACAGGTTATATTTCATACCTGGAGAGTACATAACTGGAATTATGACATCCAGTAGGCTGTTATCATCCTGTAATAAGGTGATTTTAACTTTGCCATATCCGCATGCAGTCCCTTTGTTTCCCGGACAGGAGGTTTCCCATTCATATTTAATACCATCCTTGAACTCGACGTAATCGAATATCCAATCTCTTTTTGTGCACAAATGATTGCCTGAGCCCGTGTCTAGGAGCCATTGCTGTGCTCCCAATTCATTTGGGATCTTAATGAGAGTTTCTTCGGTGTCCGGATCACTTGATAAGCCTTGTTTTAAAGGGGATGTTTGGTCCACAGCCATATCTGCAATTTCATCCAGAATCTCATCCTGTTGATCGAACATCTCTTCGTTCTGAGAGATGCATGCACGATTGTAAACTGACTGTATGTATTCATCATAGGGATCATCAGGGATCATCAAATTAGCTGTTTCAATAGCCATCGCATGGTAGTGGCGGTTATAGACATCATCAAGATAGGCGTCTGTAGCTATCGCAGCTGCGGCTGTTGCTGCTGTAGGGGGTGGTGGTGGAGAAGTTTCTTCTGTAGACTTAGTCTCTGATAGAGGTTTACATGTCTCGCAGTCCAGACCAGGTTTGTAAGCCCAGTATTTATCCAATGGAGTCCATCCTTTACGTCGTAGCCACGGACATAGATACCAGCATGTTTTGGCCTTATGGCCTTTGAGATTGCAATGTCCACACCCTCCAGATCTGTTGTCTTTTCTCTTTCTGACGATTTCGACCCATTCTTTTTCTGTCTTGTCCTTTGGAGGTGTTCTGTATGGCTTAGAATCCTTTTCCTTGTCCTTATTCTTGTCTTTGCGGTCTCGGCCGGTTGCCTGCATCGCGGGAACAGCGCCATCTTCATCATTCAGCCTTAGCTGCTGTCGAATGCTCTTTGAGTGTTGGATTAACATTATATCGGTGAAATCGTTCGGGTTGATATCCTCTTGGTCTAGCTTCTCATACCACTTCTCTCTAACCTTATCCGGTACCTCGTCAAGCATAGTAATAAACGCCCAGTATGGGGATGGCCCCATTCCTTGTTTCCGGAGCTCAATAACGTTGTGTACGTATGCACGGACATAGTGAGACTTTAGGGGGAAGTCAGAACTTGACATCAGGCGGCAGGCTCTAATTCTTTTCGCTCTTGCCAGTGTGTTATGTTTCTCCACTAGCTTCACAATCTCTTTGTAGAGTGTATCTGCGTAGCCTCTCTTCACACGGGTAGTCGATATTTCGAGTTCTTGCCATAGTTCGGGGATGATGTTGTCTTTCAACCACACAGCCATGTCGGCAGAGATATCCCTCCATCTCATAGCATTCTCATTTTCAATGTCTTTTGTCGGTCTGGGAATATTCACGTCAATCAGGTCTAATAGACCATCCTTTGCTAGAATCAGCCGAAGATCTTTGTCCCATTCTTCGAAGTTCTCATCGCTATTTAGACAGGTGGTCAGCTTCGGATAAGTGATTGTCTTCGTCGGCAACCGATCCGCTTGTGTCCTGTTTTCTGCTGTCCGAAATAGTTCTGCACCCCATCCATCTGCATCATCATCGTCTCCATCAAAATTGTGGCGATCCGCCATGTCGGCGTGCCGGAGAGTGTGTGTCTTTGGTGGTGGGTGATATGAAGTAAAGTAAGAGATCCGGCCCGACGCTCAGGGCCGGCGAGGTGTTTTCTGTTGTATTCGCTCGTGACGGTGATCAAGTATCAGGTGTCAGGTATGTGCTGCCGGGCTCATAACCTGTTGGAGGATTTGGATTTGGATGTCTACGAGTGAAGAAGGCCAGAAACACGTATTGAAGGAAGCGTGAGGAGGGAAGGATCTCCACGTGCAAGTGAGAGCTAGAGTATATGGCCGCAGTGGTCCAATATCTACACGCGTAACGCGCCGGACCACTGACACAAGCCAACTGAGGGTGCTCAGGATGGTGTACAAAAGATTGAGGCCGTAACTCTGGCTTGGAGCCGGCAGTCGGTTTATCTCTGTTTAATGCTGTAAGTCACATACATCCATACCTCTCTGGGTTTTCTGTTTATCGCTCCTCGGATATGGTAATTTGGTAGTATGTGTGTGAAATTCAAAGCTAACGCCGTGACTTCTCATAGCATATGGCTCCTTACGCTAGCAAACAACATGAAAAGCGTCTCAATCTCGTCCTTATCCACCTTCGCAACAGCCTCCTTTGCTGCTAGTGGCGAGCTGACCGTTATCAGTATCGTAGCCAGTAGCATGGGAAGTGCTGTCTATATTCCTATGGCCAAAGCTTTGGATCTCTGGGGCCGAGCAGAAGGCTTTCTCCTGATGCTGGTTTTCTCTGTCCTGGGACTCATCATGCTAGCCGCGTCCCAAAACCTTGCAACGTATTGTGCTGGATACGTTTTCTACACCGTTGGATTTGGTGGTCTGGGCTATAGCTGGGATGTTTTGGCGGCCGATGTGACCAACTTGAGAAACAGAGGGTTGGCATTTGCCTTTACCTCCTCCCCAGCTGTGCTATCTGCATTTGCGGGATCAAAGGTTGCGGCGGACTTTTATTACCAGGTCAATTGGCGATGGGGGTATGGAGCATACGCCATCATTGTTCCTGCCTTTGCTCTCCCAGTCTACTTCTTGTTAGCTTATAACCTACGCAAGGCCGAAAGAACGGGGATCATCACAAGGGAGAGAAGTAGGCAGAAGCTCAACCTTCAGACCCTTTGGTGGGTTATTATTGAGTTTGATTGTGGGTCTTGACGGTTTCATCTTCCAATACTGAATCACTGGATAAAATGCTAATACTACTGGTGATCTTTAGTGCTTGGAGTATTCCTGTTTGCCAGTGGTCTCGTCATTTTCCTACTCCCTTTCACCTTGGCTGCAACTGCCCCGAAAGGCTGGGCTACTGGCTATATCATCGCAATGCTCGTGGTGGGTTTCGTTCTCTTGGTATTATTTGCCCTCAACGAAATCTACCTCGCCCCGGTTCCATTTCTAAACCACAATTTCCTTAAACCACAATTTCCTCATCAATCGGACTATCCTGGGTGCTTGTCTCCTGGATATGACATATCAGATCTCATACTACTGTTATGCTAGCTACCTCTCATCTTTCTTGATGGTAGTGTACAATGTCGACTTGGCTACCGCAGGGTATGTGACAAACACCTTTAGCGCGTGCTCTTTCTTTTTCTTGTTCCTTGCAGGCTTCCTCATCCGCTGGACTGGTCGCTTCAAATGGATCCTATGGATCTGCGTCCCACTCTATATCCTCGGACTTGGTCTGATGATTCACTTTCGCCAACCCGGCGGATGCATTGGTTACATCGTGATGTGTGACATATTCTTCTCTGCATCAGGTGCGATATTCATTCTCTGTTGTCAGCTGGCTGTGCTTGCCGCCATCGATCACCAACACGTTGCCTCGGTCCTCTCTCTCCTTTTCGTTATGGGAGGTATCGGTGATGCAGTGGGCAGTGCTATATGTGGAGCTATCTGGACGAATACGTTCTATTCACAGCTCGAGAAGAACCTGCCGGCATCTGCTTTGCCTGATATTGCGCTCATATATTCGACGTATACAGAGCAAATCATCTACCCCTGGGGAAGTCCGACCAGGGACGCGATTATTAAGTCGTACGGGTATGCTCAGCCAAGAATGCTTGCTGCAGGAACTGCTTTCATGGTGTTGGGATTCATTTGGGTTGCAATGATCAAGGATATAAATGTGAAGAAAATGAGTCAAACAAAGGGTAATGTCTTCTAGTCTTCTAGCAGGCGTTGGTCGGGGTTTTTATCATTCGAGTGGCTCTTGATGTAGTCACAATACCTATCATTCTGAGATTCACATAGCTGCAAGGTAGTAGTTGAGTCTTCAATACTTGTGCATTGCTCTGAGTTTTCCATCCCATATAAACCTCGTACGGAGTAAAGAACTGGGGGTATTTGCTTTTTTTTTTCTTAACTGCACTTTCGGGGATCACAGAGTACATGTCAATTGGGCACTCAAATTTCAATAAATATAAGCCATATGTCATCTTATATGCAGTCATCGTGGCAACCATCAAAGTTGGCAACCCACCCAATAACTAGTTATCTTGGGCACAGATAGACACCTGACTTCTGAGGTGTCGATCAGTTTAGCCTCGGGAAATCATCAAGCAAGTACTGGCCAGATCGAGGATGATCTGCTGAAATCAACTTCTGTGTCATTATGGGAGTCGACTGAATTCTTCATAGAAAAAATAAGAATAAGATAAATAGGAGAGCAATCAAAATAATAAAAATGAAGATCGGAGTATTAGTAAAGTGACAGATCACATTGTGCAAGTTACCATCACATGTGCAGGGGGTCAGGGCAGACCCACCGCCTCAGCCACCGCTTCCGCCTCCATGAGCTCTCCGAAGTTCCCAATCTCGCTCTACGCCATTGGACACTTCCCCTCCAACCCTTTTACCCTTTTTTCTCCTCATATTCCCTAGGTCGTGTCAAGATGGCGAAAGGTCATAAGCCAAAGCAACACGCGCGTCGGCATTCCGAGGCCAGCAATGCGCCTTCCGAGCCCTCCAGCCCCAACAAAACCGACAATGTGTCCAAGCTGAACGCGCAGCCTGAGCAGGTAAGCAGACTTTATCACGTATCGTTCTTATGTATCTTCGCTGACAATGATATTCTCTGCTCTCCAGGAATCCGAGCAATCCGCCTACGAGAAGAAGAAGCAAACCTTCATCACCCGGACGATATGGACTTTCGTGATGATCGCCGGTTTCTTCGTTGCCTTGTTTTCGGGCCACATCTTTATTATCGCCCTGGTCACTGCTATCCAACTCGTTTCGTTCAAGGAAGTCATCTCGATTGCTAGCAAGGATAAGAAGAAGAATGAGGGCAAGAAGGAACCAAACCTGCGCTTCACCAAGACCCTCAGCTGGTATTTCCTCGCGACAACCATGTATTTCCTGTACGGCGAGAGCGTGATCTACTATTTCAAGCACATCTTGTTGGTGGACAAGGTTTTCTTGCCCCTCGCGAACCACCATCGCTTCATCAGTTTTACACTCTATGTTATGGGTGAGTGTGTCTGGACTCCGCAATGATCGGAGATGTTTGCTAATCAGTCTGTATCTATAGGCTTCGTTATTTTCGTCGGTTCCCTGCGCAAAGACACCTACAAGCTGCAGTTCCAGCACTTCGCTTGGACTCACATGGCGCTGTACCTGATCGTGGTCCAGGCTCACTTCGTGATGAACAACATTTTCGAGGGCATGATCTGGTTCTTCCTTCCCGCCGCGCTTGTGATCACCAATGATATTTTCGCCTACGTCTGCGGTATCACCTTTGGTCGCACCCAATTGATCCAGCTTTCCCCCAAGAAGACAGTCGAGGGCTTCATTGGCGCCTGGATCTGCACCATTATCTTTGGCTACTTCATCTGCAACATGCTTATGCGCTCCAAGTACTTCATTTGCCCTGTCAACGACCTCGGTGCGAACCTTTTGACCGGCCTCGAGTGCGTTCCAAACCCTGCTTTTGTCCCCTATCCCTACTCGCTCGAGATCTTTGGCCTAGATAAGACTTTCTGGATTGAGCCCATGCAGTTCCACATTTTGAGCTTTGGTACTTTTGCCTCTCTTGTTGCTCCGTTCGGCGGTTTCTTCGCCTCTGGACTGAAGCGTTCTTTCGGCATTAAGGACTTCGGAGAGTCCATTCCTGGTCATGGCGGTATTACCGATCGATTTGACTGCCAGTTTATCATGGGTTTCTTTGCCTACATGTACTACCACAGCTTCATTGCCATCTACAAGGCCAATGCCGGTGACATCATCGAGACTGCTATTAATGGTCTCACTGTCGAGGACCAGCTGGAGGTTGTGCGCGGTCTGAGCAAGTATCTCTACAACCAAGGCGCCGTTTCGGAAACAGTAAGTCTCATTAAAAGGAATATTATTACACAGTTACTCACATTATCTAGATTCTGAACTGCCTTACCAACGAGCTTAAGCGATGAACGGATCGAGTCTCTGCTCCCCAACAAAACTTCACGACTTCTATTTACACATTTGACTTTTCGTAATTCATCAACAAGGTTGACTCACAACCTTCCTGCCTTCTGTCTTCTGGTCTTCTCTCAACGAACCTGCACCTCGAAATCTCGCTTCCGGAAACCCGATTGTTCTGACCCACGATACGACCCGCATCCTGTTTTCAACCTACACACTACGGTAATAACGCGTCTATCTTAACGCCTCGCCTTCAATACAATCATTCCTGGAAACAAGAGGAATAGCAAGGACCCATCTCCCCATGACGGTCAGCATACGAGAACGACATTTTATTCGATTCGTGGCTGTTTTACATCTCCAACACTAGTATTTTTTTTTCTTTTATCTTCTTGTGTTTCTTTCTGCCTTTGGCTCCAAGGTCCGCTAATGTTTCGGCCTTGGCTGTGTTTTTATTGCTTGGGGACAGGCTTTTGCTGTTAGCCTGTGGAATGAACTGGTTCCTCATGGTGTGCTAGGAGATTGCTGCTTGAGACTTTGTTGCTCACACTGCAGTCTTTACAGCATGCCGTGGAGGTATGGCCAGCTTGTAAAATTGTACATAGCTTTAATCCAACTTTTGAAGCTGATATCACGTTGTAAAGTCTTGAAGTTCTTTGCCTATTCGTAAACTTCATGCAAATAGATCAGTCCTGTGTCTAATTCTCTGATTCTACTACTAGTAGTAGAGAGAAAGTTCCCGTATCCAGTAAATCGAACATTTCTCTACAAAGTCCTACCAAAGGATATAATTTTGATTGTCAAGTTCATTTTAGGCAGTTCCCATGTCTGCTTCAATCATAATAGAATTGAGGGTATCACAAAAATAAAAAATAAGGCGACCAGCTCCAACTAGGTAGTCGCATCTTAACCTCAACCACTAAGCCTTACTCAAAACAGTATCAAAAGAATCCGAATATCGTGTTCACCTACTCTTCAACCTCATACTCCTCAATCTCAACCTTAAAATACTCCTCAACCTGCCTCTTCTCACTAGCCGCTTGATCAGGATCAAGCATAAAGCGCACAGCAGCATCACGACCACGGTCCGGACGATGACGCTCGCCATTAGCAGCCACAGGCGTTAATGGATGTAAGAGACGTGTCGGAGGCTCAGGTTTACCACCAAGATTTGGCGCATTCGGCGCCTTGTTACGCGGTCTCTCAGTCCAGAACTCGAATCTGGGGATCTTATTTTCGCTCGCTTCTTGATTTAGTGGGATGCGCACGGTTAAGAATCTGTCTGCTGGGAAATGTGGACCGACGGATGTGGCGGAGCGATGGTGTGTGTAGAGTTCTAGGACATCAAAAAGGGTTTCTGTGATTTTAGTTGGTTTGACATAATTTCTGGTTTGGTAGAATGGACTCACCCATCACTTGATTCCGGCGGGTTTCCCATTGTGCATAATCCTTTCCTGAATCGACGACTTCGATGCGCTGGTCCATGAGTCGACCTGCGAGCTCGAGACAGGCAAATGCTAATGTTGAGGTTGATTGTTTCAAGGGTGCGTATGTTCGATAGAGATCTTGAGAAATGCGATATGCCAGATTCAGGGTTTCTCTTGGAATCTCGTATTGACGTGCTAGCTTGAATAGCGTTTTATGAGGGTGACGGGTACGGAAGTCGAAACCAGAGGACTCCAGCATTAACCTTTCAAGTCCGATAATTCCTCGGGAATTGGTTTCAAAAGCCTGTTAGGATTTGTTAATATACCAGAAGCAAAAGGGATGAATATTGAGTTCTTCACGTACGGGATCATCTGGTGCCAGGTGCTCTGATGGTGGAATCTTCAGATTGTATGCTGCACAAACGATATCTCTGGACTTTTTGAGTGTATCCTCAGTCTTGCATGCGGTGAATAATGCCGCTGCCGCTGCGTCCTACGTCGAGTTAGATAAGGAATTCTCGAAAGTGAAAGAAAAAACGTACCATGAAGTTATATTCGTTATCAGGATGTCTCAACCGGAATCGGTGATAGTACATAGCAGCGGTATTGAAAGTCCGGACAGGCCTATCCGCTTCAGTTAGCACCATGATCCTCTATTCTGCTTGTGATAAAGATCCGATAAGACATACAGGTGGAGGACCCTCCGCACATTGTCAATCCATGAAACTCCCTGGAGTCGCAGAGATTCTTCTCTCATGGGATTCATCCCCATGGCCTGCATGCAATCTTGAATCGTCTGCTCGAACATGTAAGGCCTAGCCACCTGGATGAATGATGGGTGGATGGCTGGAGGCTCTGGAGCTTTCATCTCGGGCTGCGCGACCGGATGCCCGGGGCTGTATCCTGGTACTGCCATCATGACAGATGAGTGTTCCTGTGGTGATTAATATGAGATACAGAATGTAGGAGCTATATGACCCTGTGAGACACGTCGTTGGTCGCGCTTGATTGAATCTTGAAGTCGCGTATCGGGCGATCATTATTCCGATCAGCCGCGGTCATTACCTAAAAGGGAAGCGCAGCAAGTATATAATTGCTGGGGGGCTTCGATAGACAATTTACAAGTAGCATTTGACATAAATCAGAATATAAAATTTCAGATTATTTTTTTCAAAGCCGACAAAAGCCCTATGCGGAGTATAAGTGTAACTCATGGGACACCCCGGCCCGCCCTGGTTGCCTTCGCCAACTCACTTTGAGCTGTGTTGTTTGCATAGCGCTTATAGATTGGGAAATAACGCTCCCGCTCACTTGTTGTCTTCCTCACACTCTTTCGTGACTCAATAGCAGCCGTCCACTTTCTCCACCGATTCCAAACTTCTTCATCCGGACCTCCGTTTCCCTCAGTCGGAATACGCAATCCACATTTGAATTTATCAAACGCCCAAAGTCTTATAGCCCAGGGTGCCAAAACAAGGTCTGGCATTCCAATCTCAGAACCAAGAAAGAATGGACCCTCGGAATGCATCTCTTTTGTCCAAGTCTTTAAGATGTCCAAAAACTCACGCCGAGCCTTATCCAACCCGGCATTGATATCCGCATCATCCGCATGTCCTGTAGGTTGGTACTGCAGAAAACGGTGAAATGATGGAATAATCTTTGCTGTAACATATTGTATCCAAATGCGTGCTCGGGCTTTCTCATACGGGTCGCTTGGGAGGAGTTTCGGTTGATTATCGGGGTATGCATCCTCGAGGTACTCTAAGACCACAGTAGACTCGTACAGGGCCTTGGGACCATTTTGCGAGGGACATAAAAGCGTTGGAACAAGACCCCGAGGATTTGCAGAGAGGAGATGGTCTGGCTTGTTGTAGGGATTGACTTCAATATACTCATATGGTATCTCCTTCTCCTCAAGGGCGAGCCATACGCGCTGGACTGTGGAATGTCAGCATCAAATAGAGTTCTCGTTTAGGATATCTTTTGTGTGTTTCATACCGAATCTGAGTTACCAAATATTGTCAGCGATATTGCAAAATCCTGGTCAAATGGAGAGGACTTACGGACAGAACCACCCCGCATACAACCTAATTGGTTGCTCTACTCGGTGTTGGCTAACCAGTTTTCTAGCAGGCCCAGATGCTTCTGGGTAAAAGTCGGAATCGGAGTGAGCAGACATGTTTGATTCATTCCATTTAATTGAAACTGAATGTTCCCAAGTAGTGAAGGTAGAAGAGTTCAAATGGGTAGTATGGGATCTTTATGACATCATCTTATAGTATGACACCACTGGCAGTTGACGCCATTTATATGCAAGTTAAGCTCAACTCCATGTATATAGGTGTTGTATTGATCTTTCAAGTGCTCCGAATTAATTTCAAGTTCTCATATAGAAGGGGATAGTTGTCTCTGAATCTCTCGCCTAGCTACTCATCGCCGTATTTACGGATCAGCTTTTGCATAATCGGCACTGCTCCCGAGCGATATCCACCACCGAATATAGCAAAATGGTTCAGATGATGATATCTGTGAAGCAAAGTTAGAAAGAACACTCAAAATGAGATAAATAAATATCGTGATATCCTGAAATGGAGACCAAACATACAATTCATAAAGCTGCACTCGGTCATCATACTCCTCTACGGGCTCAGTCTTCGGCACCACCCGATGATATTGATCAAAGAACCTCGTCCCAAAGCCACCGAACATATGCATGAGCCCCAACTCAAACTCACTATGACCATAGCATGCTGAAGGGTCATAAACCACATCACCCACGGGATCATCCCTCCCAGAGTCCACAATACGGCCTCGATCCGCATTCCCACTCCATAGATCTCCATGCACCACAACAGGCGCAATACTTTCTCCTTCACCATGTGAATTATATCCCAGATGACCATCTCTCAGTAATCTTGGGACAACACCATAAGCAATCTTTTCAACGAGCTCTCGTAAATCCGCGTCTGAGCCATTGCGATGCTCCGATGTGGCGAGGATAGTAAGTAATCTCTCATGAGCATAAAACTCCGCCCAGCTATCACAAAACCTATTTGGCTGCTTCGTATCCCCACAAAAGGTTGGAACGGGAAATCCGAATCGTCTTCGATCAGTCTCCGGGTCAACAGGCGCAGATGTCGAATGCAATTTCCCAAGTCTATACGCCAATGTCGTAGGATCCGTGTTATCACCTGAACCCCGTCTCGCCGAACCTCCAAGATCAAGAAACTCGGTCACGAGAAAAAAATGTCTTGCAACTTACTTCTTCTCCCTCTAGAGGCCCCCATGCTAAAGCATGAGGACAGAATCCTGGAACAACATCTGCGATCGCGTTTAGGGACTCGTACTCTCCCTGAAACATTTCTGCTGCAGCTTGTCCATTGCTAGAGATTTTGACAAAGTATCGGCGCTCTTCTTCGCCATTTTCCGTTGCTATTTTGGCACGGATAGTTCCTGTGCTTGTGAACCCGGAACCCAGGTTGGAGGTGGAGAGGCTGACTTTTGATGGGTCGGTTGGTAGTGATAGAGCGTGGAGAATGGCTGAGGGTACCGGTGCCATGGGTATTTCGATTTTTATTGTTTGACATAAACAAGCCTTCTTACCAGGTGATATTTGGAGAGAGTCAACGTCGAAAATGTCTGGTTTCATGTAGGGGTGAAGCTTGCAGGACTATGACGTTAGATCTCCACCAGATTGACTCCAACACTTGAGTGACAGGCTTAGTGACTTGAATGGCTGAATATATGGAATAGTACCCGTGGACGGGATATGAACACCAAATTAAAAATTTTAGAGTTGCGTCTCTTAATTTGTTAAGATTTCAAGTTCCATCAAACGAGCTCCCTTCTGGCTATTTTGGTTATTTGTGTCTGAGTTCCTGTTGTTTCAGCCTCAACCCCGCAAAGAGAGCTACACCACGGGTCCCACGTTCTATATGATATATTGCCATTATTTGCTTATTTTTCTAGGTTTTGATCTGACGCCCAGTCAGCAACTTGGCTTAGTTTGTATCTTTTCTTTTTCTCTCTATTTCACAGCCTTGGCCGTGTTTGCTATTTCTCAACTGGGCGCTTATGCAGGTGACGTGGCTGAGGTCTCCCCTCATCTCACATAGGCTATTCAACTTGAGATTTTCAACCTAGGTGTTTTTCTCTACAATCCAGTTTGTCAAAAATAGGCAAGTTGCGTGATAGAATTAAGAAACGTTTGGCCCGAGGGTCAGAGTCGGGGTCAGATGTACCGAAGGCAACGGGCGCTGAGCAGCAATCAGAGACACTATCTATCAGGGCTGCTTCATCTAGTAACCTTCATGAACGTGGTAATACCACGGACCCTGAAACTCTTGAGAAGCTACTTCTTTTCCCCTGATATCGATGTGAGGCACATCCGGTCCTAACACTAGTTTTAGGAGAGGAACACCCCTCTAAAGCAACCATCGGTCGGTCATTCTGAAGATATTGAGGACCAGCATACCCAGCCTATAGAATATCTCAAGACACCGAGTCCCTGGGAAGAAGCCCAGGAGAAAGTTCTCCAGAATCAGGATCTGAAAGATATTTTTGACATTTATGAAAACGAGCTGTTGGGAGGTAATATCGATTTCCGATCCCAGTAATTTCTGGGCAAATGTTGACCAGAAAAATCACAGAAGAGAACGGAGGTGATACTGATATATCCCATCGCCTGAGCCAAGTTGTTCTACGAAAACTTGAGATAATCGAAGGAGGGAAAATAACACTGGCTCACCACACAATCAACGTGGAACAGAACATCAAGAAAGGGTTCGCAATCGTTCTCAGTGTCAAGAATTTTGTCACAACAGCCATCTCATCTAATCCTCATGCCTCATTCGCTTGGGCCGGTGCCTTAGTGATTTTACCGGTATGTATAATTCTCACTTACATAGCGCAGATGTAGATGCTAATTCCCTACTGTAGCTTCTCCAGAGGGCCGTCACTACACAGGATGATGCAATCGAGGGCTTTAATCAGGTATCGAGGGTGCTCATTCGATTTTGAGTGATGGAAGAGTTGTATTTTGAAAGTTCACCCACCTCTAGTGGATCAACGTGTGTATTGACCTTAAGATTGTGATGATTTCAGCTAATATGAAAAAAGTCAATCTCACCATCGGAACGAACTGGAAAACCTTGTGAGAGCAAAGACGGTTGACATTTACTCGCAAATACTTGAATATCAGATTCGGCTCGCGGTTTATTTTTCACGGCAGAAGAACAGCCGCCTCTTCAAAAATTTCACAGGATCGGATGAGTGGAAGAGTAAGCTTGCCAGTATCAATCAGCTTGCGGAAGATATTGGGAAAGACTTTCAAGTCAAGGACAAGATCCAATGGACTAAGATAGACGCTAAGGTCACTGGAATGGAACAAAAGTGGCAAACAATACTGGCTGACTTGAGCGTGAGTATTCTTGTTTCTACCTAACTATTAATATTACTAACAAGGAGACAGGAGATCCGCGAGAAGATGGTCGAGAGTGAGCGTGTCCACCTTCAAGATAGACTTGACAAACAACTATATGCCGAAGGGGCTGCTTTCAACTCGAACGAAAACCAGCATGGAAATACTCGAGTCGACCTTCTAGAGAACGTCCTTTCCTGGGCGCATGCAGAAGGAAATGAAAATATCTTTTGGCTCAAAGGTGTTGCTGGAACTGGAAAGTCAACCATTGCTCATACTGTTGCATCTACACTTTTCAGTCAGGGTCACTTGGTAGCAAGTTTCTTCTTTGCTCGAGGTCTGGGAGATCGTGGCCATGAAAAGCTCTTCTTCACTTCAATTGCATTTCAGATTGCTGAGCAAAATGAGGATGCGTGTCATCATATCTGCACAGCAATTGGTGTACAACCAGGAATCAAGGACAAAGATCTGAGTTTCCAATGGGGGAAGTTGCTGTATGAGCCGTTTGAAAAGATGGAAAAAGGTATTCAGCCTTTTCTTGTGATCGATGCTTTGGACGAATGTGAGAGCAAAAATCTTGATGAAATTATCAAAATTCTTACTCGCATGAACAAAGATAGTTCGGGAAAGAATATCTTCAAAATTTTCATAACGAGCAGACCTGAGACCGCCATCCACTTTGGCTTTCAACAAGCTGATAGCGCCGGCTTTTGCGAGTTATTCCTGGATAAAGTCTCTCGTGATGTTGTCCAGCAGGATATTCGGGCCTTGATTTATTACCGCATGCGGGAGATCCGACAAAAGAAGAGAATTCAAGATAGCTGGCCAAATGAGGAGCAAATATGTGTGCTTGTTGAAAGAGCAGACCGACTATTCATCTACGCTGCAACTATCTGCCGATATCTTGAGAGCTCGCCCTATCCCATGCGCGGTCTCAAAACCATGCTAGATGCTGGGGGCTCTGCGTCCAGTCTAGAGGGAATTGACAAGATCTATCTACAAGTTTTGAAGAGTTTTGTAAAGGACACTCCCAAAGATTTTATCGGTTTACTTTGGAAGAATTTCAGAGAAATCATTGGATCGATTGTTGTCTTGTTTGAGCCCTTCAATGTTGCTTCTCTGAGCGGACTGCTTGCCATCGATGAGTACGAAGTCTCATCAACACTGGAGCCTCTATATTCAATTCTGGAAATTGGAACAAATATTGACCACCCCGTCAATGTCTTCCATTAGTCATTTCGTGACTTTCTGATCAGAGAGAGGAGAAGTGAGATTGTTGCACAAGATGGGATCTTTGAAGGAGACTTCCACATCAACGAGGAGTCCATACATGGCATGCTTGCGAGCAAGTGTCTACAAGCTATGTCAAACACTTTGAAAAAGAACATCTGTCAAGCACCACACGTGGGAATCTCTCTTTCTGATATTGACAGATCCAATTTAGATCACCATCTGCCTAAGTATGCCCAGTATGCCTGCTGTCACTGGGTGTATTATTTAGAGAGAAGCAGAGAAGCAGCTGCTTTCGCAGATGAAGTATCTTCATTCTTCCAAACCCATCTTCTTCACTGAGTAGAGGCTTTGAGCCTCTTGGGGAAAGGTACAGAAAGTGTTCAGCAGATAATGACTATTCAATCACTTTTTGTAAGTATCTTTGATTGCTTTGAAGAGCTGTTTTATTCTAACGGAAATTCTTGAACAAACTTAGGCCAAAAGCTCTGCGTTCTCGGCATTTTTTATGGATGTCAAACGTATTTTGCTACAAAACATGCTCATCATTACAAGTGCGCCACTCCAGCTCTATTCTTCTCCTCGTCATCTTTGCTCCAGAATCGAGTATTGTAAGGGACATGTTTCAACCCGATGAGGTGATTTCTCTCCCTCATCTACCTCGGGTTGATAAAAGATGGAGCTCTTTATTACGAGCATTCAATATTCATGGAACGTCAATTTCTGGTGTGAGGAAAGTAAATTTCTCTGCAGATGCTAAGCTGGCAGCTGTGATCTACCATGATGAGATGGAGATCTGGGATGTGGAATCTGAAACATCTCGTCACCACTTTTGGAATCACGTCGTTAGTCAGTTCATGGAATTCTCACCTGACAATAGCAAGCTGGCAGCGTCCATCTCATATTATTGGGATGAGGATGGTAATGATACAGGTCATGCGGTTCAATTATGGGATACATCCACAGGCATCCTAGAGTATGAGCTCGAAGGTCTGCCGATGAACAATCAGGTATTTTTCTCACCAAATGGCATGCTACTAGCCTCGATCAGTTTACATGGCTATAACTTGTGGGATGTGACATCAGGCTCCCTCCTACATTCTTTTAGATCTGTGAACATTGGAGACCATCATGAAAGAGAATTTTCAAATCTTCTTTCTTTTTCCTCCAACAATGAACTGATAGCCTATTCCTCAGGCAACCAAGTATTTTACATCGACGCAATCTCAGGAAATCCCAAATTTACCCTCTTGGGTCACACCCAGGAGGTCTGTGATGTTGCCTTCTCTCATGCTGGAAAGCTCATCGCATCAGCATCTCAAGACGAAATAATCAATTTGTGGAATTCCAGCACAGGGATTCTGCAGCACACATTCAAATATTCTGATGAACATACCGAGTCGAATGAAAATGCTATCCACAATAAACACAGCCCGAATGAAAAGGCTATCCACAGTCTCGCATTCTCACCAAATGATAGCATTGTAGCCTCAAGCTCCGGGGTCACGGTGAAAGTTTGGGACACAATAGAAGGCAACCTGCAATATACCTTATCAATGGTGGAATCAAATGCTAGAGCTGTGGCCTTCTCACCCGACGGGAGGCTGTCAGCGGTACAACTATAGGACACTAGCTTTGTTCATATATATGATGCAATCAGTGGAAGCTTACTGAAAGTCATATCGTGACGTTCTTATCTCGGGTCAGGATGCTCCATTAACTCAATGAAGTTCTCGCCCGATGGCTCGATTGCTATAGCCTCTAATGACACTATTTATTTGTGGGATTTGCTCCCACTGGCAGAGCTTGAGCACGAACACTGGCAGGAAACCGATGAAGATTCGGAGCTGGAGGCAGTGCGTTTTATGACAATCTCTCCAGATGGCAATTTGGGGGCTTCAACTTCTTCATACTCCGGAACTGTCAAAATATGGGATATGTCTAAGGAAACAGTAGTCCACACATTGACGAGCAGTCCTTCTCCCGTTAGACACATTCTATTTTCTCCTGATAGCAGACTACTTCTTGCATATACGGGGGATGGTGGACTACTGCTTGCCTCGAGACGTGATGATCACTTAACTCTGTGGGACACTGCTACGGGGAAAGCAATTCACACTTTCAGCCATCATGGCAGGTGGACGTTTATATGAGGCTCATTTCTGGATCTCTAGGTTTCTCCCCGAGCGGTCAAGTCCTGCTTTCTGGGCTTTCTGATCCAAGGCAACTTGAAATAAATCTATGGGATACAGATACTGGTGCGTTAATACGCGTCCTACCAGTCCAAACCTCATGTGACTCGTCATTCATCTCCCCAGTTGGGCCCAGCGACATGGTCTCAGCCGTCTTCTCGCCAGATGGCAAGATGATTGCCGCAGTCATAGCTCACAACAGGTGTGAAAACTGCACAACTCAGAGCAGTCTACTTTTGTGGGATGCCGAGTCCGGTTCATTGATCTACAAGATCGATAAGGAATAAGCTCTCTTATCCCTAGCGTTCTCTCCGAATTGCAATATTCTGACACTTCAGGGCCAGCACAAGGTGGAGATTTTGAAAATGCCTCTCCAGGACTCGGAGACACTTACTGTGTTTATTGATGCCCTAAGAGAAAGTGGTGAGGATCCAAAGCATATTGAGAGGATCGCTTTATCCAGCGATAGCACGATGATCGCTTGTTACCTGGGTAATGAACGTCAAGTATTCGATCTAGCGTCGAGTCAACTTCGTTGCAGCTTTGAACTCAGCAAATTTGAAAACGCGTTCAGTCTTGCTTTCATCCAGAATGATCAGTTTATCAAGATGAATTCAGATCTCTATCACATCTATAGAAAACAGGATTAAGGTTCCCCTACGCCAGCTTCAAGCGATTGGCAACTCGAGAATTATCTGGGCCTTGAGAAAGATTGGATTATGTTCAGGAATGAGAGGGTTTTGTGGATTCCCCCATCTTACAGAGCAAAATACATGGAGTTTCACGACAATGGTTCGATCATGATCGGATGCGAAGGAGGTCAGGTGCTATTCATGCGTTTTGATCTTTTGGCAAGCTAGCTTATCCATGTTGATGCAAAACATCATTAAATTCCACCAGTGGACGTTCAATTTGAAGTTTGTGATGAATTCAGGTGTTCAAGTTGTGATTTGGGCTATGATAACGTGGGGAAATGAATTCAGGCTTTTTCTGTGTTGCTGTGGAGTCTCCAAACTTGAATAGTGGTGTTCGTTTAACAGTTTGAAAGCTCCAGACTTAGGATGAAGAAATCTATTAAATGATCATAACTGGATTATCCTATGTACTAAATACTGAAAACGATCCATCGCTTAGATCCCATGATCAAAACAAAATCATTTAATTCAAGCCGAACCGAGCTGATTCAATAAGGAAATAGCGATTTTGGTACGCTCCTTAATATCGAGATCCGTGTCATCCTTGAGACTCGCCAACCGGTCCGTAACTCCAAGAGCCTTGAGTCTAGCGGCCCGCTCACGACATTCCTCACGATCATTGTGATCATCCTCGTAGACAAGATTGATTACCACCCAAACACAATTAATCCGAATCTCTCGGTGTGAATGATTGAAGTAGCTTGCTAATGATCGTAGAAGATCCCGATGAGATATCAGGAGCTGTCTGTGCCTGGTAAGTCCTGCAGCAATGTGAATAATCACCGCGGTGACGGCGTTGAGAATCTCATGGGGTACTTGGAGTGTTCGGTTGGGAGAGTCACGACGATGTGGCAGTTGAATGGTGGTACGGGGACGGAGATTATCGGCGAGCGCATCCAGTAGCTCTTCCTGGCCGATTTCTCTGAAGAGATAGTCAATCATTTCAGTTGCACCGTTCCCGCAGAGAAGATTTCGCAACAAGTCGAATGTTTGCTCTTGCACTGCGATGTCATCTTGGCGGGATTGAGTTGACTGTTTCAAATTTTCATGGAGGACGAGTTTGTGTCGACGTCTAGCATCTGGAAGGAACTTGTCCAAGTTCAGCTTCGATGGAGGTGTATTCTCACTCATCCTGAAATCCCCACCTGACTCGTTGGAGTCTTCCATGGGGTTGAGGAAATCGACTTGTTCGCCGGCTGAGTTGACTCGGCCCATGGTAATCCCTCTAGTATTTTCAGTCTCCTCCTCGAGGCCCCGTTTGGCCAAGGCGCTCACCGGATCTTGGCTAATGATTTGACGGATCCACGCAGGACTCAAATCTTGAACGACTTTCATCTTGATATCATTGGCGGTATTGAATACCACGTGCTTGAGTGCCCATAATGATTCGATCCGCAACTTTGTGTTGGATGAACGGGCATGCTCACACAGAATAGGAATTATGCCAGCTTGAACGATTGCCTGAGGTGTATATGTTAGTAAAAGGGTTGGGAATTTTCCATGTGAGAAAGAATAATAGAAGAATCAATCACTCACATCTTTCATAGGACTGAAGTCCAGGGCTAGGTTGCACAGCGCTGCAGTGGCTGCGATTTGAACTTCAAGGTCCGGGTGTTTAAGGAGGATAAACAGTGGCGGAGCCACACCGGCATCGACAAGGCTTGTTCTCAGAACGCTGACAGATCTGGTGAGCATGCGAGCCGCACCGCATGCAGCTAAAAGCGTTGGTGTTGGGTTTCCATCCGCTGCAGTATTCTTAGGCACCGATGCGGCGTCGGCGGGAGCATCCGTGGGCCGAGGTTTGAGGGAATCAATTATGTATGGAACTACGCCATGCTCACAAACCAACTTCCTGTACTCATCTTTGAAGGGCACCAGGGCAGCCACGGCCTTGAGAATGCTTTCTCGGTACCGCATCACATGGCAGAGTGTAGGTGAGTATCCAGGAGGGCCAAGTCGACAATCAGCCGACGTTGACTCTGGATCTCGAACAGGGCCATCTTCCTCCGGGTACCACATCGGTCGTGATGTCTCTGCAACTGGGTTGTAGGTTTCCTTCAGAAGTTGGGAGAGTCGCTTCAGTGCATGTCCATCCACGGCATGTTTCTGCAGCTCCTGGTCGTCCATGACCAGATTAGCTAAGACAGCAGGTGCTTCCTCTTTCACACGCTGCGTTAGAGTAAGAAGCCCGTCATCGCTCGGACCTGGCTCTTCCGGTACTTTGAAATCTTTATCGAGCATACGAATGAGGATCGGGACTAAGAGATAACTGAACATGGGCACCCGATGTTTCTTAGCAAGGCTCAGTCGAAAGAGAACCGTGACCAGCCGAGCAGCCATTAGTCTAACCATGCCACTTTTAGAGCGAAGAATACAAAGAAGCCAGGGAACAATGCAGTTCTCTTCTTCTTCGGGGAAGATGTCTCGGCCAGCGAGAAGGGGGTTGGGAAAGAATGGCTGTGGCCACGCTGCAACCCGGGGCCTCCTAGCGGTGGAAAATTGCTCGATCCTGACGATGACTTTGCGTATGTGATTGGAACTGACGGAAGAAGGGTATCAACGGGGTTTACTCCAGGATTGCGAGGCACGGCAGATCCAGACAGATATGTCGATCCCCACGGACCCCTTTTGATATCATTTGGAGCAAATCCATGGATCTGTCGTGGAAAGACTGTGACCACTCCAGGGGAAGAAAGGGAAATGCTCTGCACGCGATTTTGATTGCTCAATAATCACAGTGACCGCACGAAGGATAGGGGCCAGCCGAGCTGATGCCGGTGCGGCTGGCGGGAATTCACCCAGAGCTCCAGGATCTCGAAGATGGCCCTCGGCACCAGGCAATACAAAGCCTTCGGCAACCACGAAACTGGCAATTTTGACAGCCAGGGCGTCCAGGACTCCGCATTCCGCCAATGTCGTCTTATGGACCTCTTCCGTGCAAAGCTTTCCAATCAGGGCAGCAGCTAACTCGATACATGCCTGACTAGCGGCGTTTCCATACGCCTGCGCAATAATCCGCCTGATAGCTCCGACTGTTTCAGCTGCAAAGACGCTATCCGCTAGACGAGTATCCCGAGGCCACTGGTCCTGGCTTTGTAATGGTAAACGGTCGGCGATGGTATTGAGAAGACGTAAAATTGGGAGGCAAAATGACTGTGGACAATCGGGCGAAGAGATTATGGAGAGAAGCGTAGGAATGATATCACTAGCGAAGATCGGAGATAGGAACGTTGGACCACCTGCACAGAAATGATTAATATAATAATTCCTCTGTGTCTTATGTTGAAAAATCCGGTGCTCGAGTACCTTGAGCTAGGCTTGCAACTATGAGGATTGCCTGTAGACAGGCTTCTAGATCGTCTGGTGTTTGAGACGATCCAGATTCAGTTGCAACTGGTTTCCCGGGCCATCGTGATGCGAGCACCTGTCCTAGCACGGGAATTATTCCAGCGATAACGTATGTCTCCTTGCGTTGATCGTGACCAATCAGCTCATTCTTCAAGCTTCGGAGACAGGCGACCTGGGAGGAGGTTGCGTCCGAGCTTTGAAGCTGTAGCAAGATGGGCGGGATAGCCGCTCGGGTCATCATCGGACGACCACCTCCCAATGAGGAGGAGACCTTTTAACAACCCAGGAGAAAGGATAGGTGGGGCCTGGTGACACCAAAGGGGGGGAGTGGGTATCTGAATCTAGTGGATTTGGTCTTTGGGCACAAGACTAAGATGAGGAACTCCAATGTATGGGACAACTTGGCTGAATTCGGCCAATGTTGTAAGGCGGGGAAAGAGTCGTGTGTTCAGGCGGTGAGTTGGGCGGAGATGAGGAGATGGAGATGAGGAGATGGAGATGAGGAGAGGAATGGTAGGTGAGGAATATGACCTTGAGTGGTTCAGACTGGGTTGATTAATCTGAGAGTTGATTAGGCTGGATGTAATTGAAAGTGATACGTTATCTCTAGCTCACTCCTCACTCCAAGCTGTAGGAGGTGACCGACTCCACTCCGCATGGGGATGACCAGATGGTTACGTAAGGGTAGATCATGTGACACCTGGTTAATCAGGCATCAAAGTGAATCCCATAACTAGTTATCTACTCCAGGGCTCCGTATGCTGTCATGGCTCATGAGGATGTGACAAAGCAATATTGTCTAATAAATTCAGTCATTACATTTTTGATATCCAAATTCAATACGTCATACAAGATACCTGGAATCAATTAAGTCAATGCCCAATCACCGAAGTGAACCCGCACTTGGGCACATAGACATCAGAGCCACACAGATGTTAGAGCAAGTTGGTCTTTGGAAGAGCCCGCTGCTTTTACAGTCTGCGCATGGGAATGGATGAAGACCTATAAAATTTCAAGGTTGAAATGATACCTGCCTAGCAACACTAGTGGTATGTACGCTATACTAGTACTAAGGACATAGGCTCTGCTCAGAGCCGCTCACGTTAATTGTCACTACACACGTGCATCTTCTGTTGGTTAATCAAGTATTCACGATATCCGAGTCCTCCGCTCTGTCGCATCAATTGATTATAAAAATAGCACGTTGGGATCAAATGTTTCAGCATTATATACTAAGATGTGAGGCGCATTATTAGTCTCTTGGTCTACAGCACCTTTGGCGACCATAGTCAGTATTAATTAATATTGATACATTATGGCGTCATCAGATGAGCCCCGATTCAGGGCTATATAGTCTAGAGCCTCAGGATTCAATCAGATTGAGCCAATGACGCAGAGTGGAATCAGATTTTTAGAGCTAAATAAGACTAGGCTTATGTAGATAGACTAAGTCCCCGCATGATTAATCTCCGTGATTAGATTAATGCTTTAATGACCAAGCCAATGGAGTAATTTAGTGAGATAGGCTCTGATATCTTCTACGCTATATTTCACTAATATCACTATAGTTATTGACTAGACTCTGCAAGGTTTAGGTGTTCTAATTAGGGCGGCTCCTCTCGGCTCCTCTGGCTTAAAGTAGTTTAGCGTCAATTGAGTTTTTTTTTCTGCCTCCAAAACAAACAATGCAAACAAGTCAAGGCACATGGTGATCACCTGATTAATTAGCCCCGTGTATTGTCATGGTATTGTAATCATTAAAGTACCAATAAAGTTGGAAATCTTCAATAGTCCCCGTGATCAGTTTTCCACCAATTAATAGTCTAAGATAGACCCCGAGTGGAAGTCCGATAGTGTATTAGGAAATCCCTGAGAGTTTCCCTAATGGTCATTTTCTAACTAAATAAACTTGTATCAAGGGTCAGTTAATAGCCGTATTCGTATTCGTTGTAATAAATTACCTCATAGTAGAACAGGATTTTCATGTTCCTTGGGGTAACTTTCCCGGTCTACTTGGAACTCCTCTTCTCCTTCTCTTTCTCTTTCTCCCCCCATCATTGAAATGAGTCAAGGCTTCCACCAATATATCTGTCAACAACCTGAACCCCCGGATCTCCAATCTCTTACCTCCACCTTGCGATCATCGTGAGGATGAGGCCGTGCGCCGACACTATTCAGGTTCCGCAGGTGCCCCATTGACTCGTGCACCCACGTGGTGCCAGCGTGCCCTCCGATTGATTTGTGACCAACATTCCCACCCCCAACACTAAGCCATGTTAGCTTCTTCCCCTTCGCCCTCATCAGCCGCGCTGCGTTCTGGCTGTTCTGGCTCCGCGCATCCACACTATGAGAACGCTCCACAGTTTAGTAGCCCCCGTTCTTCTCGTCTGGCCATTGAGGAGCTCCGTTCCGCCTTGAATCGCCATACTGTCGATCCTGCCTCCCCTGACGCCCCCGCTGCTACTCTCCAACATCGGCGCGCTTCGACTTCTGTCGATCCCTCCCTAGCCTCTGGTGCTGCAGTTGCCCCTTCATCCCAGGGCCAGTCTGCTGCTCCTTCCACTGCCACTATTCCTACCGCCACACCCTCTGGTTCGGTGATTCCGCCAACTCCTTCCTCAGTCTCAATGCCCGCTCCGACCAGTGTGACCTCCAACAAGCGCAATAGCCTGAGTGATCATCATTCGCCAAATGCACCCACCGCCGGCCAATCTGGCGCTGACCAGGAGGTTGAGGTGTCACAGACCAAGCGTCTGCGCCCCTCGGTGCCCGAGGCAAAGATCCTCCCAGCACAGTACGAGTTGGCCGATCCTCGTGACTTGGTAGTGCTGATTTCCAGCATGCTGATGGAGCTGATTCGCTTTAATGATAAAATTCCCCTGCATCAAGGCCGTTTGACCCGCTTCCACTCCCGAACACCGCCACGGATCTCCGTGCAGGATTACTTGCAGCGCTTAACTACCCACGCCACTCTGTCGCCCCCGATTCTTCTCAGCATGGTCTACTACATTGATCGTCTCTGTGCTCTCTACCCCGCCTTCAACGTCTCCAGTCTCACCATTCACCGTTTCTTGATATCCAGTGCTACTGTCGCCAGCAAAGGTCTGAGTGATAGTTTCTGGACTAACAAGACCTACGCTCGCGTCGGCGGTATCGGCATGAATGAATTGGCCATGTTAGAACTCGAGTTTTTGTTCCGAGTTCAATGGCGTATTGTACCACAACCCGAGGTTCTGGTTGATTATTATCAGAGTCTCGTAGAACGGTGCGAAGGATTTGAGATCGAACGCACTGGTAGTACCACGACTACTGCCGCCACAACACCTGCACCATGAAAACGTCAATGACCTTCCTTCCTTCACACAAAAAAAACACGAATTTTGGTTATTTCAAGGGTCTCTTACGGTCTGGCCGCAATTATTATTTGAGACTTATTCTCGGGCTGGCCTCGAGTCTTCATGACTGCGGCTGTCTAATCAAACCTTGACAACCTTGAGATTTATCTTCTGTCCCAATTTTCGACCTTAATATTCGATCTATTTTGCATCTACGGAAGGGCGTTGTTCTATGGACGGCCACTCGGCCTATGCATGTGGTACATTAGAAAAACGCAGGCATCAGTTGGGTGTGGCATTCCCATAGAGCGGTCTATCTTAGCATACCCCACGCTGGGCGGTGATCTTGTAGCATGATTTCAGCGGTTTTCATTTCACAGCGGACGTTCGGGCGTTTTTGATGTTTTTCATGGGATGACGAGGAGCTATCAATGACACCCTTTCTTACAGATTCCATGTTTTAACTATTTACTCAATTTATTTTCTTCACTCAAAAAAGATTATATCCATACCAGTATAGATCATATTGGTGGAATATCCCGATAGATGAAGTCATAAGTTCTCTATTTCCTACCTTGGATTTAGGGCATAGGGTGCGGAGACTAGGGCTGCGGATCTGGAAATCTTGAACTTCATGCGTCACCAACGCGCCTGCTTCCTAACCTCTAATCTCACTTCCAACGGATTTGACGAGTTATGAAGTTGGATTCTCACACATAGTTTTACTGTTCCAACAAATCTCCCGCAAGTTTCACTTATGGCCGAGTCTTCGACAGAAATCGTCGCAATGGGTGTCGCAGACACAATAAATGCGATCAAACCGCTACACGGACGAATCGTTCCTATTAGAACAGTCCAAGAGACGCGACCACCGGAGGATTATGGTATTTTATCCGCAGAGTACATCGTCGGTATAGCAGTTAACTCGTTCAGGGAATGCATACGTCGCAGAAGTCAACGTCAAAGCTTCTTCAAAAGTGATCAAGTAAGAGAACAACCCGATAGGACCATACCCAGACTGAGACTGATTTTCATTCTTTTATCCCACTAGAGATCTCGATGCGAAACTACCCCGCGATCCCTCTCTCCCTTTAAACCACCTGCGTCGCTTTGCCAAACGAGAGAATCTCCCCGCATCACTTCGCGCAGAGCTTGAGGCCAAGGGATCCTTAGGGACTGGAGCTCCAACAATCTTCGTCCTCATTGCCCCTCCTCTACCCGATACCGAAGAATTGCTGGATCTACTTGCGCCTTATGCCCCAGATACCTATGGAGCCAATACATCTTCTGAAGAGGACAAGCCAGTGTCCAAGATTACACTCGTGACGACTACTATCCCACTTCAGCCACCCTTCAATGCGCAACAGGCCAAAAAATGGACCGAAACAATGTGGCCCGTGGTCTTTAACCCTGCTGCACCTCGATTAACCGTTGCCCCACCCCCTCAAATCCTCAACCGCGCACAGCAATCTATCCAGCCGCGCGCGGGGTACTATCTCGCTTTAGCACGAAAAGTCGCAGCCGAGGCAAAGGCATCAGGCCGTGGTCGCGGCGTCGGTGCTGTAGTCGTGGACCCAGAAATCGAAGCTGAGATTGAAGCTGAAGCAGCTGAGCAAGGTACCTCGAATCTTGATTCATGGATGGATGCAGTTCTCTGTGTTGGTGGGGATGTACGATTCGCCCGCTCAGAAGCTGGTAAACCCTCACAAACAGATCTTCATCCCGGTGTCTCGCCAAACCCGGCTTGCTCAACCTTTGATGCGGATTTAGAAGGTGGACCGGATCTTCATGCGCTTATGCGTGCTGCCGAACTGGTCGCACGTTGTCGTCGGGAAGATAGTGAGCATCAAGCTGAAATGGCTGCTAAACCAAGCCCGTTGAGTGTTGTCCACGCCGATCCACAACTTTCATCAAAACTTAGTCCTCTTGAGTCCTTTTTCCTTCGTCAGGCTGGACTCCCGGAAACATCTTCTGCATCTAATGCAGCAGCCTCAATCACTCTCTCCCCAAAGAAAAGAAAACATGAAGACCCGAACCCCGAATCTACCGCAGTGCCCTTGGACTCTATCAACACAGATCCATCCACGCCTCAACCACAAAATGAAACCGGAACTCCGCTCCCGGCTCCACCTCCATCAACTCTAGCAACAAAAACCGACTCATCAATCCCAGTACCGGAAATCGAGCCCGCAAGTACATCCGAAGTAAGCACTTCTAGGATTCGGACAAGGTCCCAGGGTGGATATCTATGCACAGATCTAGATATCTACATTTCACATGAACCCTGTTTGTGCTGTTCGATGGGAATCCTTCTTTCCCGATTCAGGGCTGTGATATTCCCCCGTTCAGGAAGAATGAGAAGTGGTGGTCTTGCGTCCGAACCTGTAATTTCTCCCGTTTTGGATGATCAGGATCAGGCGCAGGAGCAAGTTGGGGATGACGAGAGACTTTATTATGGGTTGCATTGGAGGAAGGAGTTGAATTGGAGAGCTTTAGGATTTGAGTTTGTGGAAGAAGGTCAAGATGGAGAGGTCAATGAGGACGAGGGTGGAGTTGTTTTTAATGCTTGATTTGTTACGGGGCATTAGTTATGAATAACATCCAGAGATAGAGAAAATAGAAGTTAACGAACATAGAATTTTATCCTATCCTAATATTTGAATTGAGACTGAAGCCTTTGAAGTTCTTAGGCAGCGAGTTATTCATCCGATTCACTGTATCATGATAGTACTGAACGTAGAACCAGTTTACAATCCCGTTTGAGCACGACCTCGGGAGTGACTAGACGAAATCTCTACATTCACACCATTCGAATAAATTTTCTTTGAAATTTTTTTAGGGCTTAAAGACATGCTTTTTTCCATATCCCCTCTCAACTCGCCAATCCATCTACAACTCCATCAAATCTCTGAGAAGACCACCCACTCAACTCCATAGGACTAAAAAGTCAAAATATGGCATTCTTTATGCCATTGCCATCTCCCCATTACACAGCCGGTAAATCTCATGTTCATGTATGAGACGGAAAGCAGATAAGGAAATTCATGACGTCGTCACATATCGCCCATCCACATCACATATGAATAGCAGCCAAGTACAATAAAGAAAAGGGAACAAGATCGGAATTATCCGAGATCTCTCAGAACCCAAATGAAATGTGACAAGGAATCTTGGGGGTGTCTGTGAGAAACGAGGAAAAAAGGAAATGCGAGGGGTATAAACCAGATTCAAAATCCCATAAGATACAATCAGAAGATGAGGGGGCTAAGAAACAAGCAAGTGACATGTTGAGAGGGTAGGATTCAAAAGGGTTTATCTTCTGAGAATCGCGTATGTGTTGTGTTGATTCTTGTTGAAAAAGACACAACGGTGGGTGTAAATAGCCTGGTGGGGGGTTTTCTTTTGGATCTCAAAGAGTCTAGGATAGTGAGTCCGCCCAAATCAAAATCGCTAGCTCTTGGTGTCACCAATAAAGGTCTCATGTGTATGGATAGGCCGTCCTGAGATGATTTATTATCGCGAGTCGGCCGGTGGTGTGTACAACCGGTTGAAGAGGGGTCCTTAACAGGACCAAGTCGATGTATTCAAGAAAAAGACATAGCTTCTGCTGCCACGAACCAACGTAGGTTATGGGTGTGAAATGCTGTCAAGAAGTAAAACATGACAATGATGATGAATGTAATGAAGATGAGTAAGAGTGAATCACAGCTCAGAGGAAGAAACGGCTGGAACGCAGATTCAAGGGAGAGTGGCTGAAGAGTTTTGTTGGGGGCTTTATGATAGCCAGATATGCCCAAGTGACTTGAAAATCAAGCCATGCGCTGGTAAAACAGGAGGTAGGCAACGCGGTTATCACGGCTACCATATCTTCCCATAGGAGTCCGCACTCCTGAGGAAGTTCCGGGTGAGGCAGTAACGCCGTTGACTGATTTCTTACTTGTGTGATTGCTTGAACCACTTCCATTAACCTGGCTCCAACCCTTGTCATTGTCCACGGAATCCATATCATCCTGGTCAATGTGGTCGAAAATGTTGGCGCGAGGGTTTTTGTCTTGCTTATGCTGTTCAAGTGCAGCTGCAAGCACCTTAGGATCCTCTTCGCCGCCGGCTTCAGCAACATCCTCACTGCGAACACGACGGATGACGGTATCGTCCATGCGAATCCATTCACGGCCATCCTGCCGCCTCACATCCACAGTGTAGTGTCCTCCGCTAGCGTTCTTTCCGTGGTGATAGATGACACCCATCAACCGGTACTGGGGGAGACCACCAGAAGCAGTCATGGTGTTACGTCGGTGAGTGGGGAAAACCTCCCTAGGGATCTCCAAGTCAAGTGGATATCCAACCTTCTTCCAAATCTTCTGGGTAGCCCCAGTCAAGCTATCATACTGGAAACGCTTGAGATGAAGAATGAGCACTGGGGGCAGTGTCTCAATGAACATCTGCTTGGTAGCAGTGACGTTGGGTCCGCGAGCTGAATTGAAGTCACCCTGTAGGGTCTCTGGTTTGGTCAGCCCCTTAAGGGCATCAACGATGTTGTGAACCTCGGGAGATCCGATGTCCAATTGCAAGGGCTGGTAGGGCTCCATGGTAACTGAGGTCTTGTTACCTGGCACCTTGAACTCTGATCGCAATTTGCCTCCGAAGATTCTTGTGACAGGAGATTCAGACGAGAGTGCACCAGATGACTGAGTGACGGCCGCTTTCTGCTTGTGGCCAACCTCCAGCCATCCATCGCCAGATGCACCATCCATAGCGGCTTCGGCATTCTTTGCTTCCGCAGCCTTCTGAGCCGCCCGATCACATTCTTCGTGGAGCTCCTCCAGAAGGAAACCCAGGAATTCCTGGGCATCCTGCTGGTGCCCACGTCGCATATCTCTGAAACGGGGCAGTTGTCTAATCATCTCATAAACAAATTCAGGCACAAAGGCCTCACCATATTGTTCCAACTCATTGGGCTTCAAACGCATTCTCAGCTGTTCTTCAGAAGTGGCAGCATCAATAACACGGAATTCACGCATGAACATAATCATTGCATCGATCAAAGGCACATCGCTGGCTTGGAAGCTATGCGCAGCTCGGCGACCAACATAATCAAGGAATTGGTGGAATGGTACACAAGAGACCAGGATCTGCAGAACTGAATTCATGTAGCACATATTTCCTGTGTTGACGAGACCTCGGGGTTCCAGAAACCCAATCTTGTCACTATACTGGGTGACGTCTTCACCAAGGTTACTCAAGACATCGGCTAGTGTCTCGCTTTTTGGTGGCGCGATAGTGCTTGGCTCGGTCGGGGCCACACTGCCAGCCAACTTCGCAGCAGCTTGCTTCGAACGGAGAAGTTCCGCCCATGACTTGGGAGCAGAGCGAACAGGAGTAACTGGCTGAACTATGGCTTCTTCTTCAGCTGTGACAGGGGCTGAGTCTGTTTCAGTCGGGACAACTGCGATAGACTTGGGAGTTTCCGATGCAGTGCTAAGCTCATCTTTTGTCTGCCGGCGCGGGGTACCTGGGACAATTGGCACAACCGGCACAACTGGAATGGCGGGTTTGGTAGTCTTGGGCTGTGTCTGTGTCTGCGACTTGGCGGCGGAGGAAGGAGTTGTAGGTTGGGTTGAGTTTTCCTCTGATTGCGGAATCGAGGTCGTGGGAGTGAGGGGTTCAGAGACGAGACGGATGGCGATATCTGTTGGTTTGGGTTTTTCAACGATCTCTTCAATCTCACCCTTTCTTGGGCCGATTATCCATCTACCATCCTTCTTAGGAAATTCGACGTCATCATGGAAGGAACGCCTCCTCCGATTTCGGTGTGGAATTCTGGTGGGGAAGGGCTCATCGGGGACCGACAACCAGGGTACCTATGTGAAGCAGTTAAGTTAGTCAAAAGAAAAATCCAACCGAAGGACTGGTTATTCGTGAAAGACTTACCGGTGCAGTGAAATTTGGTTTGAAGTCTGACATGGTCTTGTGCTCCCACTGTGGCGGTGACGATGGGACGGAATAGTGTTGAGACGGTTTGGGTGGCAGGACAAGATGATCTTGCATCTCTGCCTGGAGAGGTGCGGCAATAGATGGAGACATATTCGGCTGCAATGGAGTCGGTGTTCGAGGTTGCATGGGTATCGACTGGGGCGGAAGATGATGACTCGGGGCCATGACATGGTGGGATGGCGGGTACATAGACACCATCATTGGGGTATATGGTGGGTGATGAAATTGACGTGGAGGCGGTTGTGGTTGTCCATACGGTGGGTACCAAGGAGGGAATTGCTGTGGAACATATGTGGGCGGCATATGACCATTCATTCCATTCATAGCGCTCATACCATTCATGCCATTTACATGCGGCGGATAACCTCCCATGTATTGTGGGGAGCGCATGTTGGGCGGGCCTGGATTATAAGAGAACTCCTGCTGTCGTCGAGACGGAGGCATAGGTGGCTGCCCATGGGGCATTGCAGGCAAGTGGTGGTTCATCTTGACCAAGGCACAAGATATAGTCGTTGCATTCACTGTTCAACCACGCGTTGCCTCAATAGGAGCCACGCGCGCGGAGAATATCAAGATGGGCCAAAACCGGATGCCTTAGATTCTTATGCAGCCATTTTGGCCTCTTTAATGAGGTCAAAGAGCAAGTATATGAAAGTGTCGGGAGGAGGATGGCGGTTTTATAGATATGTCGAGATATCGAGGGTAGAGGGATTCAAGGTTTCTAAAGCTGGGAAGGCGCAAGGAATTCGAATTAACCACAATGCGCTGAAAGAATCACAAACGAAGATTTCAATACCTGAACGCCCTGATCCACGGACAGGGGGGAGAACTTGATAGACCACGGGTCCAAGTGAATAGGATAGTGAAATAAAGGAGAGATAGATATGAGAAGGCGACCGCTCTCTATGATGCTATTTTGCCGAAGCGAAGCTGAAGTGCAGAGTGAATCCGCTGATTAATCTAAGCTGAGTCATGATGCACGTGCCATCTGATGACATGCCCCTCCGATTCGGAATACTTCCAACCTCTTGATGCGGTTTACTTGAGATTCGAGTTGCTCTATTCTTAGATGGCCTCTCGAGGCTCATTCTATTATTACATTTTGGCGATCTCATCTCTTTGAGGCCGCTGTGGATGGCTAGCTTTGTTCGTCTTTGATTTACGCCCTAATCCGGCAGGTTTTACCTCAAGACCCTGGCCCCTCATTCACCAATCTTAGGGTCGCCTCTTTAGGCCCGCAGATGACACTAAATTGAACGATTTGACTCCATAGCTGTGGAGAAAATTGGTCGGCTTAAGGTTCCGAAGATGTCCACCAATGCAGGACAAAATAACCCTCCTTCGAAAGCAATAAACATCTCAAATACCCCGGCAGCACCTGGAACATTCCACTCGACAACTGCAACAGACACCAACGCGCAGCGGCGTACTGGGGGTTCTGGCAGCTTTGGGGCAGGACAATCTTCACGGAACTCTCCTACTGCAAGGAATACCCAGAGTCGAAAGAACCAGCCCAGGCGTCAAAAGCAGTCACGGTTATTGGATGACGATGAATATAGTGAATCGGTTGGTGATCCAATGTCATATCGAATCCGAAGACTTTGCCGACTGACTTATTCCATAACCTCCAGGCCGTGATGAAATCAACCAATAGTCGTAAGGGCCAAACGTCCATTACTCATCTGATGAACTTTTCTCTTCCTCCTCGACCACAGTATCAACCACCACCTCGCAACACCCGGCGGTATAATAATTGGGGTGCCGGATCTGGACATCATGCTGTAGACAAAGCTCGTTATGTTCATGCGAACTATCGATTTATCGTGTCTCCCGATCGCAATTACCATGCACAAGCAGCCAATGCTGACGTTCATTTGGATTGGGCGTCGGTGCTTCAGGTGCTAGTGTCCGCCCAGACTCAGGCTGCCAGCTGCCCTATTTGCTTGTCAACACCAGTGGCGCCACGCATGGCTCGATGTGGCCATATCTTCTGTCTTCCCTGTTTGATTAGATATATGCACGCGTCGGAAGAAGAGAATTCTCTTCCAGAAAAGCGTACCCGGTGGAAGAAATGTCCAATCTGCTGGGATTCTATCTACTCTTCCGAGACTCGTCCTGTTAGGTGGTTCCGAGGACAAGAAGGCGATATACCATTCGAAGGTGGAGATGTTGTGCTAAGATTAGTCAAGCGCGAAACTGGGAGCACTCTTGCCCTTCCTCGCGATGGCGCTGAGACTCTGGGCAAAGGAGAGGATATCCCTTGGTATCATGTGGCGGAAGTTGCTGACTATGCTCGGATCATGAAAGGAGGTGAAGATTACATGATTTCGCAGTACGATGGTGAGATCGAAGACCTTCGTCGACAAGAAGTTGAAGACGAGCTCTTGTTCGGCGACGAAAATACTTGGACTCGAAAGGCGATATCATCCATCAACGCCGCAAAGGCAATTGTAAATGGTATTGGCAATCCACCAGAAGTCCAGCGCCATCTTGCTGCCTCTAAGTCAATCAGCCAACCAACAGCCGAGACTGAGGTCACCCCAGCTCAATCCGATGCACTTAACGGCCCGTCCACCGAACAAGTTCCGGCTCCTAGCATAGATTCCTCGTCAGCAGGCTCTGCCACTACCTCCGGCGATACAGAACAGCTATCTGAGGCTATGAATAATGTGCAATTAAAATCAGAGTCCAGCTCCAAATCACATCAGAAGAGTAAGGGCAAAGAGGTCCAAGGATCACATCCATCTGATGAACCCTACTACTTCTACCAAGCCTTGCCACAGTTCTATTTGTCGTCCCTTGACATCCGAATTCTTAAGGCCGCTTTCAACGAATACGCATCGTTTCCAGCGACAATACTACCCCGAGTGGAACATATCTCGACGGGTCACATTGTTGATGACGAACTTCGCAAACGCTTCAAATATCTTGCCCATCTGCCTTACGGGTGTGAGGTGAATTTCCTTGAATGTGACTGGCGAGACGTTGTCGTTCCCGAAGTCCTTGCGAATTTCCGTACAGAGACCGAACGGAGACGAAAGCGCAACCGCGAGAAAGAAGCGCGTGAGGAGAAGGATCGCATCCGTGCAGAGAAGGAAGAAGATGATAAACGTTGGGCCGCGGCACGGCGCAAGCAGCCGAGTATTGAAAGTGCCAGTGATGCTCCCTTCTCTGCCCATGACTTTTTACCATTATCCAGCAACGACCCTGCGTTGTTTGACACCGGCGCTTCTTCCGCCTCCCCGCCCCGTGCATCCTCACAATTTGGGGCTTTGGCTACTCCTTCTTCCAGTCCACCAGGCTCCCGCACTGTCTGGGGAACCACCGCTATCCCATCGCTTTCTACGGGTCTAGAGCCTCAGCACGAAGGGTCTCGTGACGGGTGGCTACACAATTGGGAGGACGAGCTCCTGGCCCATCAAGAGTCAGAGGTGATGGCTATGACAGCACCTAGTGGGCCCTCATCCTCATCAGGACCGTCCAATAGTGGCGGCAAGAAAAAGAAGAAAGGCAAGATTACATTGATGTCCACTAACAGCCACCGTGGTGCTTAAATTAGGCCTCTGAGTATTTCATTCTTGTTCCTGCTCATTATGTATAGACTTCGAGCCGGTTGAGTGTTGAGTGTTAAGTGTTAAGTGTTAAGTGTATCAACGCATTGGATTATTGACATTTTACTTGCACCTCATTTTTCTTTTCTCTTCCCCTTGACAAATATATCATCTACAATATTCATTGGTTATTGCACCGAGCGTTCAGGTTTCTTACACACTATTATGCACTACTGTCGCGGGTCCACATTCCAGTCCCAACATTTTGATTTGAAGAATACCTGACAAATAAACATAGAAATTTACAAGATCGTCAATATGGCTTTACAACTACTACATGTTTATTTTCTCTTATACATGAATTCGAAATACTTATAAGGTACTCCGTAGTTAAGGTTATACTATCCCAAGGGTCTACATATAGTAAGCACTAGAAGAACCCAAAATGCCAGATACTGCAGGGAACGACAAGCTTGGCACAGGATCCGATCGTCACTGCAGGAAAACCTTAGGCAAAAATTCTATGTAATCCAAGGTTCAATTTCTGAGGTTCCATTCAATCAACTTGAACCTTCAAACTACCCTATTATGGAGTATAAAATATAATACTGGTCTCCAACCTGTTTCCATCAAATCAATCTCGGTAATTAAGAACATTGTGGGGAAAAAGGTCCACGACGGATGAGGCGTAATCTGCAAGTAATTTCATCAATACAACGCGGTAAGGCGATGTAACAAGTTGTATTATTACTCATACACGGAGTACCGGCGCATACTGCAGTGGGCGTAAGAGTACCCAAGGGCACTAAGAGTACACGCCAGGTACGCCATATGTAAACAGTCCCGTTTTTCTCCTTCCCACTTCTTCCACCTCGCTTTCGCTTTCCTCTTTCTCTTTCCTTTCTTCTCGGATATTGGTCTTCCGAAGAGAAATTGATCATGACTGTTACTCGTTCTCAAACGGGGAAAACCCCCCAAGTTAGTGGTCCCCCTCGGATCCTCTTTGCGATCCAATTTCCCCTGCACTGTGGCCCCCCGTTGCGCGGGTTGCGGGATGTTTAAATAGGGTCCCCTTGCGACTTCTACAACATTTTTTCCTTAGAACTTCTTCACTAACATTGAGACTTTTGTGCTCCATTTAGGAAGATGGACCGTCCTGGTTTTATTGAGACCCCTGGTCGTCGGGGAACTCGTAACAGTTCTGTCTTTGAGAGCAGCGAAAACGAGAACCCTGTCGACACGCCCTCCGTCAACCGATCCAAGTCAGCTACTCGTCGTCGCACTGTCGCGAAAGTTAAGATTGAGGATGATGAGACCCCAGTGAAGTCTGAGACCAATGGCCACGCAACCAATGGTCACGCCAATGGCCATGCGACTACCGCGGAGGCCAAGCCTTCCTCGCGCATTGTGGACGGCTGGGAGGAGGGACTAGACCCCAAGATTGATTACAGCGGACATTATGAGTTTGGTGGATCGCTGGGAGTCTCAGCTATGATGATTGGTTTCCCTATGCTCATGTACTACATGTGGATTGGCGCGACCTATTATGGAGGCAAATTCCCTACCCGCGAGGAGGGGCAGAGCTTCACGGATTTCTTTGGCCACTTGGCGCATTTGGTTTACACTGGCGCTTTCCCCTCTCTCAAGGCTTGGACAATCTATTGGGTGTTCTTCATCTTCGAGGGCGCGTGCTACGTGCTGCTTCCTGGTATCTCTGTTACTGGTCGCTCATTGCCTCACTCGGGTGGCAAGCAATTGCCATACTACTGCTCAGCTGTTTGGTCTTTTTATACTAGCATCATTATCGTGCTGGTTCTGCACTTCACTGGCCTCTTCAAGCTGTACACCATCATTGATGAGTTCGGTCCTTTGCTTAGCGTTGCCATCCTCTCTGGCTTTCTCGTCTCCATTGTCGCGTACTTCTCGGCTCTGGCGCGTGGCGCACAGCACCGTATGACTGGCTCTCCGATCTACGACTTTTTCATGGGCGCCGAGCTTAACCCTCGTATGTTCGGCATCCTTGACTTCAAGATGTTCTTCGAGGTTCGCCTGCCTTGGTTTATTCTGCTTTTCCTTTCTATGGGTGCCGCTGCTCGTCAGTACGAGATCTACGGCTATGTCTCTGGTGAGGTCATGTTCCTTGTCATGGCTCATTTCCTTTACGCCAATGCCTGCTCCAAGGGTGAGGAGTGCATTGTGTCTACCTGGTAAGTATATTCGTTCCTCCTTTGTATGACTGAGGTGCATGCAGCTGACACAAAATCAGGGACATGTACTACGAGAAGTGGGGCTTCATGCTTATTTTCTGGAACCTGGCCGGTGTTCCTCTCAGCTACTGCCACTGCACTATCTACTTGGCCAACCACGATCCAGCCGAGTACCACTGGAACCGCTACTTCCTTGCTTTCCTCTACGTCGCCTACCTGTTTGTCTACTGGGTCTGGGATACCACCAACAGCCAGAAGAACCGTTTCCGTCAGCAGGAGCGTGGCACTCTGGTCAAGCGCAACACCTTCCCTCAGCTGCCCTGGCAGACCGTTGAAAATCCCAAGACTATTACCGCCGATGATGGTTCCAAGATCCTTGTCGATGGGTGGTGTAAGTACCCTATCTACCGCTGTACAGTTTTTATGATGTAAGTACTGACGATTGTTCTCTATAGACGGCAAGGCTCGCAAGATTCATTACACTTGCGATCTTTTCTTCGCCCTGAACTGGGGTCTTATCACCGGTTTCTCCAGCCCCTTCCCCTGGTTCTACCCTCTCTTCTTCGCATGCATGATCTCGCACCGTGCTCTGCGTGATATCCAGCGCTGCCGCATCAAGTACGGCGATGCTTGGCTCCAGTACGAGAGCGAGGTTCCTTACCTCTTCATTCCCGTGAGTAACCCGAAAATGAGAACTCCCAGAGTCGTTTACTAACTACCGTTTCACAGTACGTCATTTAATTTAGCATGATGACGCAGGTTATCACACACATACTTCTTCTTACCCCCTTGTGCTTTTGTTTTTTTACACCCCCTGTACAGCGGGCTCGAGGGCTTTTTGTTCGCCCGCGAGTTCACCAAAAACGCAATGACTCTTTGGGCAATTTTTTGGCACGACTCGAGTTAAATTCTTTATAATGCTTGCTTTGGTATAACCCCGGGATTCTCGGGTACCTGCAGTAACCGTTCAACATTCTGTTTCATGTACAATATTCCATTCCGCGAGTCTTTCATCTGGTTCTCAATTATCATTTTCCCTTTGCATTCCTGGAGGTTGTTGTCAATTTCCTTGCTTGACGAAGGAACCCTGCATTGTAATTTATAAATGCGTGGCACGTTTACACATTGTTCATGTGATCTTCAGATCTACGCTAATATCCATACTCTAAAGATGCAAAACTACCAAATAGTGCTCATTGGACTTATTCTCATAGTTGGGAGGCAGCCGTTGCCCAGGTGGATGAAATGCCTCGCTGATGTAATCCATACAGCCCCGCGATTCCTTATCGATAAGTAGCTTCTCCATCAATTGACTCTGGAGCTTCAACCTCTTACCGATCTTTGTGATCCTCTAAGGAATTCATAAAAGCTTCAGGATGCTCGTTCAAGAATCCTACTACGATGTACCAACCAAGGCCGATGGCCAAGGTTCCATGCGTATGTACTTCCGCCAATCTTCCAATTGCCGTACTCACGAATCCCAATGGAATTAACACATACTAGGAATCTACGTATTCCACCCCACAATGCCCTGGATATTCCAAAGCTCGTTTCCCCGGTGTGGTCGTCTTCAGCGAGATCTATCAAGGTTGTTAACCCTACCCGGTCATTAGAATTCAGATCTAATGATTCTCAGTAACGGGTCCCGTCGCGCGATTCGCTCGCCAGATTGCTGGACAGGGTTATATCTGTGCCGCTCCGTCGAGCTACCATGAGTTCACGGGCCCAGAGCCTCTTTTGTATAATGCTGAGGATACGGATAAGGGTAATGAGTGGAAGATCGCCAAGGTATGTTACTTATATCCAGCGGAACATATATCCCTCTGCTCGGCATATTGTCCGTATACGAAGTAAATCAGTCTACTTTGATTCAGCGACCTGTTTCATTTGGATTGAGTTATATAGTGGAACAAAATGAACCGCTTGAGAATCCAGCTAACTCCACATAATAGAAACTGGCAGCCTACGACGAAGACGCCAGTCTAAGTGTGGATTACCTCCTCTCCCTCCCAACCTGCAATGGTCGCGTGGGTGCCACGGGTATGTGCTTGGGTGGACACCTTGCATACCGCTGTGCACTCGATAGTCGCGTTAAGGCTTCTGTGTGTTACTTTGCGACGGATATCCACAGCAAGACTCTTGCTGCTGGTAAGAATGATGATAGTTTGGCCAGAACGGGTGATATTAAGGGCGAGCTGTTGATGGTATGTTTCCTGTCTTTCTGATTACTGGATGCAATACTCGGATCGATATTCCGAGTATCTATCTGCCTGATTATTTTGACTGATTATTATTTCTAGATCTTCGGCAAAAACGACACACACGTCCCTCCTGAAGGTCGCGATCTAATTCGCAAAACCCTGCATGATAAGGGAGTCTTGTTCAGCTTCTACGAAGTCGCATGGGCCCAGCGTAAGTTCCGATTCTACTTTGCGCTTTTTTCATATTCGACGCAGTGACTGATTATTACTAGACGCATTTATTCGAGACGAGCTTAGCAAGGGCCGATACGATCCAGCTATTACCAAGTCCTGTTTCGAGATGCTTCTGGAACTGTTTGGACGCACCTTGAAGCTGGATTTGGGTGAGCATGATGGCAAGGAGCTGGTTGTTGAGGATGTATGCTAGGTTCGATGATCTATTAACAGTATTATCCTGGCCAATGACTGGTCCGAAGGGCGGCATTCAAACATTGAAACAATGAGGTGTTGATATGTGTTTCCCTTTGACCCTTCTCTTCCTATTTGGAAATTGTAGGACTCGGAATTACTAATAGGATATGTGCGCAAAATCGATATCGGATGACCCCGAAGATTTTTCAACTAGCCTGTTCCGAGGTTGCAAGGGGCTAACTCCGAATGTATGGGGCCGTATATTTCCACATGTGCAGGGTTGTTGATGGGACGACCACGTTCCGTTCTCACATTGACACATACATATATGCAAGGCCGAGGTAAACTGAAGTATGGGACAAATCTATACTATGGGGTCAAAGTAAATTAATTGATTGATCTGATCTTCGGGTTCTGAGTGACTACCACGACTAGTAATACTACTCAACCTCAGGCTTGGAAGTGCTAAACTTGAAGATTTGCCTAAAGTATAGTATATTCTGCTAGTTTCAAATGTTGAAGCACTATCACTCATTGACCACGCCAGGCAATTCCGAGCCCTGGTTCCAAGATTAAAACCTTGGAAGCAGAGTTGAATTTATGTAATGTGCCTGAAAAATACTCGAGTCCACTCCCGCGACTCTATAGCCCGAAGTAAGCACAATTCACGATATACCAGTGGAGATAAAAATAGTCAATTCGCATCAATAAACTATGAAGCGATCGCTAACGGTTGTGTGGGTTATCATGTCAATATTATTCAACAGGATATCAACTAGCGGGGATAGCTCAGTTGGGAGAGCGCCAGACTGAAGTCAACTTCACTCATTACATCTGGAGGTCGTGTGTTCAATCCACACTCACCGCATATATTTTTCCTCTTTCACATTTACTATTCCCTATATCTGCTGCCTTTTTTTATTCCTTTTTTTTTTCATTTGTTACTGAATACCTACCCACTGAGAGCCTACCCACTGAGAGATCACCTGGGCAATATTATCTTATATTCATGTTGCTACCCAACCAATGCCGCGAACCAATATCATTAGTAGACTATATATGTATGGGATTGTTGGATTTTTCATTTTTTTGAAGGCTGTATGAGATCCTTTGTGGCTTATTATAGAGTCAGTTACTGTATGCCATAGGGGTTAGAAGTTTCTGACTTTATGTCTAACATTGGCTTATTATTCTCTCTATATAAATGAGTTGAACATGATCACGCAAATTTTGTTCACTAAGATAATTGACCTATACCGTGAACCATACCAAGGGAGACTGGTTTAAGTCTGCACATCTTCCAACGTTGTCTCTGACTGGCGTGACTTATAAGCTAATCTAGTATAAGCACTGGAGTATCCGAACCTGGCTTCGTTATGAATTCAAAAGCATTAACTTGAAATTCCAAGGTTGTAATCTTATGATAGGAGTATGACTTTTCAAATGTTGAGCTTGACAATTTGTGAAATAGGCTACACGCTATCTACTACAAGTCAAAAAGAGGCACATGTGTGAATTAACAAGGCCTGTTCAAAAGATAAACTTGTGGTTCGTAGTTAGAATAAGAAGACCTAGGTATACAAGAAATAATCTGAAAGTATCTACTTTAAGTTGAAAATTACTAAATAGTAGAAAGTGAGACAGGACATCCTGTATCATGAAATTTGTTCGGTATCTAATAAAATAGTATTAAACTCACATTGTTCACCTGCCCAGGTGGGCACTATGTATATATTTGGAGTGCTTTGAACTGTTCGAAAGTAGTAATGTAGACCTTCAAATGTCAAACACGAGCTGATACCTGCTAGTATGGGATCCCAAGTTTGACGTAGAGGCTGATTTAAGTTTCTGTGGATTGCAAGATTAACCAAATTCAGTCGAGGGGTTCCAAGGTTGCCTACGAATTGTAGTTAGAGGAGCAGCTTACATAGGAAGATTTGATATGGAGTTCCTCAAGTGCTATATACTACAGTGTGAATATTGGAAAAATCCATCATGATCCAGCCCAGTAGTCTTGGCAAATGGTTAGGTATAAGATTCCATTTTTGATTGCTTTGATTCCAGATGTCCAAATAACTTGGAGAAGGTTGAATAGATTTACAAAGCAAAAGAAAAAAAATCCTCCCAAAAAAGGACATAAGAAGCGCAACACTTTCACATAGGAACGAACCTTTAAAAAAACTTCCAAGGTTTGGAACCTTGGAAGTATATACAATATTTTATACCCATCAACAACGCTGAAAATTCACAGTCCATCCATGCATTCGGAGTTGAGCCCATTGCAACAGGCAAAAATGTATGCGGTGAGTGTGGATTGAACACACGACCTCCAGATGTAATGAGTGAAGTTGACTTCAGTCTGGCGCTCTCCCAACTGAGCTATCCCCGCTAGTTGATGTCTGTGTGCTCTAGTTTGGCGTTATCTTCAAAGGTTAGGGCTCCAAAATAGACACACCGCTTACTGCTTTCGGTTTAGCACTTGACCCGAGTGCTAGCCGCTTTTATCAGTTTTGTTATACACGTAGGCTGATGTCCTTGGGATGTGATAAAATTTGTCTGGATATGACCTAGGTATATCGGCCAATAACTACCATTGTGTATTCAAATGTTACACGATTCAGATAGAATAGAATAGTAAGTACTAGGTGATGTAGCACTTCAGGGCCTAACTGCCAGCAGTTTTATAGGGTGTGTGTCCCATGGACGGTTCTTAGTAGTGCAATAAAGCAGCATCTATTGATACATCAAGCTTGAAATTTATTCAGAAATATATCAGACAAAGACAATACATTCATACATACAGGGATCATTCCGTCGTGCTGTCTTCAAAAATAAGCGGTCGAGATATCGTTACTAACGCTCAATTGTAAATTGAGCGAGATAAATTAAAAAAACAAAAAGAAAAAAAAATAGTATGCGGTGAGTGTGGATTGAACACACGACCTCCAGATGTAATGAGTGAAGTTGACTTCAGTCTGGCGCTCTCCCAACTGAGCTATCCCCGCTAGTTGATATTTTGTCGAATAATCTTTGCCATCATGACCTACACACTAAAGCAGCCTTCCGTTCGTTTGGGTTCAGTGATAACCGCCATGGTGTTTTTTTTTTGGCTGTTTTCCTGGAACCTTGGAAGTCATTTGTGAAATTTGGCTTTCACCAATGTTGTTTTGGGTAATGAATTGATTTACTTGAATTTTCTAAAAAAAAAAATCCATTAAGTTCCTACTACATGATAGCACTTCAAGTTGTTCCACGGTGGCAAGCTGGTGAAGATATAGTACGGTGTCTATATATATTCAAGTTTCGTCCTCAAAATACTCAACTTGAAGTGCTGCTCGTGCCTCGAAGCCCTGGAGAATGGACCAATGCAACTTGAGATGACCTTATATTTAGCATGCATCTGTCAACTGGTGAGCTACGTCTTTATGAACCCTAAATCTTAAACTTGGAACTTGATACAATACTTGACCACTGGTAGCCACCGGCACCCTTCTCAGGCTAAATTGCTACTACCAGCCCCGAACACCTACCTGGGCGGGCACTCGACAATCAAATTTACCGCAGTGCCAGTGTACTAATCCCCAGGTCGAGTTTGGGATAAAGTTTACATCCAATGCATGATTGAGACATGGACCCGAAGAGGTACATAATATTTGAGCGCACAGCCTTGGAAGTACCCTAATACTGATGTCACTTCGATTGTCGAGTATTCGAGTCAGGTAGTAGACAAGGCACTGGGTGTTAGAACTTGGGACCACCTGGCGATGGTCCACACGTTCCCTGTAGATATCAACTTCCCTCTCTCCAGCACATATGACACACATGCACACATGCACACGTTCTTCCATCACTACTACTAGGTATGTACTATCCGTATAGTAGTATAAATAATATTTTCCAGGTTTACTCGAACATTTGAACATTTGAACATTTTAAATGTATGTAGGCGGGGGCTACATGCATACTACAGTAGTCCTACCTACCTAAGATGGGCCCCTAGCTCTAGGCAGTCAACTTCTCACGTTTGAGATTACAATTTAAACAGCCTTATAAAATATTTAACCTACGAAACTTTCCCATTCTATTATAAGCAGCTTACTTTACAATATACTTGGCATATGAGATCTTCTTATTCTGTCTTTTGACAGCCTTCTTGCATTGAAATTTTCGAGATTTGTGACAGAATCACTAGTAGGGGGTCACTCTTAAGCGGATATACTGTAGTAGTCACTGGCCTTATCCACCAGCACTGAGTGCCCAGGTGAATATACTTCAATTTTTTACCCGGGGTGAAGCAGCGAGAGCTCAATGACGGCGTCTGGGATTGCAAGTCCGAATGGTTCGATGTATGATGGTTTGTGTAGTGACTGAATCAGGATAGTCTGACTCCAGGGACCTCGGGAGCCCTGGGTGACTCCCGTGAGGAGTCAAAGCATCCAGATGCCGGTGTCCAGCCCTGCCCAGGTGGAGATGTCTTATACATATATACTACTTCCGAGTCATGTCTGAGTCTTACATAGTACTTAGGTGCCAATGAGACACATGTGCAGATACACCAGGCTTGATCACTATAAATCCACAAACACTTTATACCCCTAGATCCTAAATGATATTCCAGAGAATTTATATTCCGATGGACAAACCGCTCAGTCCTAGTAGATCCAGGGAATTTGAAATCTGGAGTGGTGCAGGTACATTAGTACTCAAGTGCTCCATACAAGTTAGTCATTAATTCACGGACACTTCTGAATGTCATAATTTCAAGTTACAAACAGCAAGTGGCGGGGATAGCTCAGTTGGGAGAGCGCCAGACTGAAGTCAACTTCACTCATTACATCTGGAGGTCGTGTGTTCAATCCACACTCACCGCATGTCTTTTGTCTTTTATTTCTTTCAGCATGTTTTTTTTTCTTTCCCCTCGACTATTTAATAGCAATCTTACTCCAAATTGGTAAATAATTAGGCTCCATGAGTAATTTTTTTTTCTCTTTTTAACTCCAACCCATCATGCAGGCGCTTCCCTTGCATCCGTTGCCGTGGTGTATAAATTTTTGCTTATTCTGTAGATCTTTTCCTTTTAAATACCCTTGTTGAGCCCCATACAAGCTCTGAAAGATATCCCGGTCAACCATTTAAATGCATTGATATTAGAAAAAAACCTTGGAAGTGGCCCTGGAGACTATATTGCCATGTGCATGTTTATGTCGTATGTGCTTTGTGTGCCTATTCTTAGCCCCAACGTATGACCCAAATATAATGAGCCCATGGTTCGGTTTCCTAGGAGAACCGATAATTGAACAAAAATATGAATTCAATTCCTTCCAAACTACTTCCAGCTTATCCAATTGTAACTCCATCATAGTCAGAATTTCAATCTCAAGTTTGCGAGACCCAGTTTCTTACAACTTGGAAAAAGAGCTTTGGCGTTAATCCAGCTTCAGCCTAGCCCCGACTAGTGCCAATTTCCCGAGTCCCAAACCTTGGAATCGCATCTCCTCTTGATCTCGATCTCGACTCCTCTCGTTAATTCCCCAACACTTCAAAGGCTCATCTCTCGCTAGAGCCCTCGCTCCTCCTCATCCACTCACCCTCACCATCAAAATACGCCTTTCCCATCGTGACCGTTCGTCTCAGCGTGGGTCAGGGGACGCTCCGGTTCCCCGTCCCCACTCCTCTCAGCCCTCATCGCGTCCCTCGTTAATACTATCGTGATCGCATCAAACTCTCACCATGGGCTCCACACAATTCGGTAACTTCAAGGTGAGTTGTTGGCAAAAGAGGGCGCTGGAATTCCACTATCGCGACCCTATAGGCCACGACCCCTCCCGCTGACCGCATCCACCCTTCGGGGTGCCACAGGACTTTTGTCGCGACTCGCTATTACCCGTGTGCAATGTTCGTGAGACCCTTAAACCCCGAGATAGAAGACCATCCGAGACTTTGAACTAACCGGGGTTGATCATGTTCTTAGCTTTTTGTCGACAACCAGCCTCCCAGCGTAAACTACGGCGGATGTGCGCTCCACGGTATCGATTTGAGCGGTAACCGATACCTCGCAAACTTAGGTATGCTAGCGACAACAACTACATGGGATACTGATATATTGGGGTAGCGAGATTAATTGGGATACAGGGTCCATTTTGTTCGCCGTTATCGCCATCTTGGTGTCGCTTTATTTGCTATGGAGGTCGGACAAGAAGCACGCTGCCGTCGGGCGTCGGTACGTATTCCTAAGACATCATCTCCCGGCTACGTTCATCGGAGACTCATACTTTGGGGGTAATTTAGTGAGATGCAACTGTTCCTATTTGGATTTATCATTATCGAGATCTGTGAGATTTTCACAGTGGGTGGGCTTCCGATTGAGGATTCAGTGCGCAAGGTAAGACTTTGAACCACCAATTTTATTGTATAAACTTGTTATGGAGGGCTAACCGAGTATAATCAGGGTTTCTCGGCAATTCATATTGGAGCAATTACGGCAACTTGTTGGATCCTCCTGCTTAACGCATTTGTAGGGTTCCAGCTACTTGATGATGGCACGGGGGCATCGATTGGCTTAATTTGCGCATCGGCCCTTGCGCTCTTCATCGGTAGCGGGTACATTGCTCTGGACACGGCCTTCGACTGGTCTGGCCATTTCCAGGCGAGCTCAGCCTCGAACTACCGCAACATCGCTATCTACGTCTTGTACCAACTGTTCCCGTTGGTGTGTTTGGTGGTGTTTTTCGTTCTCGAGGCTGTGCTGGTTCTGCGGATCCTGGGGGAGTTCCGGCCCATGCGTACGTATCCTTTTCTTTTGGGAGTTATTAAAGTCTCTTTACTGATGTCCTGATACAGTTTATTTAACCGGCGCTGCGCTCCTGTTCGCCATCGGCCAGATCTTCCAATATGTGATTAGTGTTCATCTCTGCAACGCATCCAATGGCAAGATCAACGGAACTCTATTCGAGACTCTTTTCACGCTTCTCTCCGTTATTGGTGTCTGGGCCTTCTGGAGCAGCATCACAGAAGATGACTGGCCTTTGCCCGTCGGTGGATACAATTAATTGTACTCCAGTTCTTATTTGATTTTGTGCTGCAGATTTACTTCCATTTATGTTCAATACATGAGTCCCCTGATTTTCATCTGCTCTTCCAGACCCGAGGCGTTAGTTCTTTTCTTGTGACATTTCCGTCATCGACGAACAGAGCTTTTGACGTTGTGATACCACATTTCTCTGGTTATGTTTCACGATTAACTGTCTATTTCTTCCTTTCTATGTTTCTCTGGTGGCTTGCCATATCTTTTACCCTACATTGGCCTCCCTATTCTTCATGTTCCCCAGTGGAGCTTGGTTTTCAATAGGTTTTGTTGCTGTGGGCATATCTTTTCATGTTTCAGATACCTCTTCATCATGTACTTAGGCTATAATTCCCACGTCCGATAATCGATTCCTCTTAATCATCACTTTATCTTCTCTGTTAGTTCTTGGCGTTTGCTGTAGTGTTGTAGTATTGATAATGGCGGAAAAATGTAAACTACAACACAAGGATTCCTAATGGATCTCAATGTGACCCGGTGTGACCCATCCGTCCACTGTTTGCCTATTCTCCTGCAGAAGTCCAGTCCTCGGAACCTGAGGGTGTAACACATGTGCATGGCATGAAGTGACAGGTTGTATAGATACTGCGGGTTCCCTTTTCGAAGCGAAAATGGTCAAATTACTATATATTCGCTCGGGATGACCGGTATTATGATGGTGTCTAGTCGAAGTAGATTCTTATTTCGTGTACGCCATCGCCAGAACCACTTTTTCCCTCTTCCCCAGGACATCTTAGACTATAAATTTCAATCAAGACACGCAGAATGCACATCAACGTATCAATCGCGGCCTTAGCCTCGAGCCTGACGACTTCTATCGCATCACCACATGTACTCAATCAACGAGATGAACCCACGCCTGAAATGTCCCGTACAGCGCCCATTTCCTCTCTCATACCAATGAGCCTTCTGCATTAAATCTGAACTCTCCACATTACTAATTAGATTCCTCTAGTCCGGGAACAAAACCATCGAGCCATTGATCAAATGCCACCGACATGCAATTTAGTGGCATGCGTCGGTCTCTCAGGAACTCTTAACTGCGTACTATCTGCCATATCGTCTGGGGATACTTCAGCTTTACGCCACTGTTTATCTGGTGGACTAGGACAGGTATGCTCTCAAATACCCTTGGAGATTATATCAGCCAGCTGGTGTCTCCTTCGGCTTGACTCTACCGATGACCGGAAAATAATTTCTATACTGGACTAGTACTGATTTCCATAGATTTGTTCCTGTGCAGCTTGTATCACCGGTGTCAACAATTTCTTGCAATCCCTAGGCATTTGCGTTAAGACCGGCGATGATGAACTGAGCGATGAGCGCTCTGATACTTTGCCCACATCTGCACCGTCGAGTACTTATGTGCCTGGGTCAACTTCACGGTTGGATGATAGAAGAATTGAAACTGCTGCTGGTGGACAGAAAGATACCGGTACCTAGGATAATTATAGTATTCTTTCATGTTACTTAAAGATTCTTTGTTTCGATTTCTTTCATGGTCATTGTCGAGGATATCTTGTTCTTGTCTACATTGCACTCTCAAGTCCAATGTACCCGTGTTTAGAAGGTGGATCAGCCTTTAAGTTGAAACTTGGTCGGGCATCTACTGATCTCATTTGGATTACTGCAGTAGTTGATACATGTAGGAATCAGTTTTGGTTATTTCCCTATCAAAAGACTATCCAAGCCCAACACCAAATGAGACATCATGTACAATGCATGTCGCAATGCTTAAATAGACTAAGAATAAACCCGTTCAAATGAATGTCAATGAGTGTCTTGATACTACACCACCGAGGGAAAAAAAACCACGATTCATCTGTAAACACACCCATGGATGTGACACAAACTCGTCACGATGAAACTCAAAACAGAAAGCGTATGATCATTGATCTCATGACTGAATTCTTGTAGATAAGTACAGAAGCCCCACAAAGCTCAGATACACTCATGTCGATTGAATTTTTTCTTCTCCAGAACTCAAAGTCGGACCTTAACATCCACACAAGGGAGAGTCCACTCCCGCTTCCCTAACAAACTGCGCAACCATTCCAATCCCACACCCGTCCATTCATCAGGTCGAGACTCAATTCCTAGTCGTTGCTGCGCACTATCAACCGCAGCACCAGCCAGTGCCTTCGCAGTAGAGTTGACAGTATCAAAGACAAAGCTCGCAAGGTTATCACCAGGTAGTGGAACAGGCATAGTGGCGTTTGAGGTAGAGTTGTAATCCGATAACGCGCTGGAGCTGTATCGTGGCGCAAACCAGTTACTCCGGAGATCGAATAGACAGCGATCAGACCAGTGGCATGATGAAGCGAATAGGATGAGTAGGAGAGCGGAGCAGTAGATGCATGGTCGGTGGATGATGTAGGTAAGAGCCACGAAGGAGATGATGAAAAGTGGCGAGGCGTTGGTCGGAATGAAGAGCAGTGGAAGCCAGCTAATGAAACTAAAATATTAGATTCAATTATTTCACTTGCCTTGACACATGTATGATTTTTGAGAGTAGGATGGGGTTTCCTCTCTTCTTTTTCGAGGGAATGATGGGTCTTACCTTCGGAGACAGAACATCGTGATGACGTTGTTTGAGGGGTTGAAATGGTAAAGAGTTGAGTCTGAGGGAGTTGGGTGAGGTTGACGATGTTATAGACAGAGACCTGAATAATGATAATCCATCTGTATGTCCTCGGATTATAACGAGACCAGAGTTCTCCTGTTATAAGGGAAGTCACCCAGGTTGGGACTGAAGTGTAGTGGAACTTCAGACCTGCAATATACTGCAACAATTAGATCCATTTATAAAACACTCACCGCCTTCCACACCGCCTTGGTGATTATCTCACAACACAATCGAATTCTCGATGAGAACCTCTCTTTCTTTCTTTACCTTTGCATCACTCATTAACGATCCTCACGTATTCCTTGTTTCTTTTTTCCCCAATACAGCTCGTCCAATCATTTGCATTCCCTGGCTGTGAATAATTTTCTTTTACATAAATCATTTTATTGCAAATAGACCTTTGGGTTCAAAAGTCAAGCTCTTGAGGTAGCTTCGGAAAGCTTCTGTGGAGATTTCGTTCGGAGGTCGTCGTAATTGACGAGCGACAGAAATGTCCACCCCCAACGATATCCAGGCCCTCCTGGCTTCTATCCGGCCTCGCCCCTCGCCCAATGGTCCCCCCCCAGGATTATCAGCAATATCAGCATCATCAGCAGCAGCAGCCTCAGCAGCGAATGGCTCAGCCATACCAGCCCGGCATGTTCCCGCCTCATCCTCAGCATCCTCAGCATCCTCCCTACGATGGCCAAAGCTATCCCCATCCCCACTTTAATGGATATCATCATCCATCGGTATCTTCGGCTATCCACAGTCCTTCGTCTGGTCATCCCTTGAACTCCCCGCCGCATCACGGGTCTGATATTCTCAGCCCAAACTTGCCTACTCCCCATGGGGAATGGAATCAACCTCCACCTTCACAACAGAACAACCCAGACCGCGCAGCAAATTTGCTGAATCTACTTCGCTTCAGCCATGGTCAAGCTCCCGTTGCTGCAGGTCAACCCCGTGCAGTTCAACCAATGCCGACTGTTGGAGATTTGGAACAATCGCGACCTCACCATATCCAGGAGGTGGCCTCGTCCCAGGCACGAAAAGCTTCCGCTTCAGACTTGATTGCCTCGTTCCTCAACGCCCCTGTTGCACCTGTGCCGGTGGCCCCAACCCAAGGGGAAGGTGCCCCAAGCGACCATACTCAGAATATGTTGCTTCGACTTCTTAACCGTACCGAGGGACCTGCCGAGCCTCCTATCTCGGTTAAGGCTCACCGAGCTATCCCGGAGCCTGCAGCACTTGAAACAAAGCTAGATCAAACCGTCAGCCAGTTCGAAGACTTTGCCGACGAAGTCGAATCCTTGCCTGAGACCAGTGGTGCGAAGCCGGAAACGGTCGCACCTCCTTCAGCCTCCAAGGATTCGATGTTTACGTATGTCAATCCCTTTGATCAACTGGCTGCGATCTCGCCAGGTGCCAAGTCGCCTCAGGCTCGGTCGAGCGATGAGTTCTCGAGTGTTGATGCCGCTCAAGAACTGGACGTGACTGCCACTTCGCTCAGTTTTGATCCACCATCGGCTGTCGAATTGGCTGCGCCACAGATCCCGCAGCGTAGCAAGTCCCCCGTTTTGGAGGAAGGGCAGCGCCGCGCTGTGCACGAAGTCGTCAGTCGTCTTGTTGATGAGATTGGAATCTCTCTCGGTGGCGGGGAAGCCCCAGCCGTGAAATCAGATGCTGAGACTTCAGCCAGCGAGGACTTGGCCGAAACAGCCATGGCTGCTGTTGCCTCTCGTCTCCGAGAGTCTCTCGTTGGGGTTCAGGAAGCAATTGGGTTGACCAAGTCGGTTAAAATGCCCCAGGTGGAACCGCCTCAGGTGGCTAAGGAGCCTGAGATCGATTCTGCTCCCTCTCCCACTGAACAAGCCCGGAATGAAAATGCCGAGGCTCTGGCTGATAGCTGGGAGAGCGCCGAGGACAGTGCCGAAAAGGACGAAGAGCGTGTTGTCTCAGTTAAGAACTTCCCGCTGCGGCCATTCATTTCGATTACCGTGAAACCCAATACTGGAAAGTTGGTGGGTTTCCGCGATGACGGCGTCATGGATATTGCACGTCTGAAGAAAGAGTTTGACCAACTGGATCGCTCTTTGACTTCCGCTACCTCTGATTACATTGTGTATGCGCTACCCAAGACAGGTGGAATCCGCATCATTCGCCAGGATGACGGAAGTGATCGACAGGTCTTCCGATCCACTCGGGATCGTATCTTCAATGTTGCTCTGTGCAATTCACAATATTCCAGAGGTGACCCGGATATGCATGCAATTCTTGGCATCGGTGTCAGTGGCACAGTGTACTGGTCTTTGATCTCTCGCCAAGGCAAAGATCTGTTCGAGACTGATGCACTGGAAAGTGAAAGTCTTGTCTTCCCCCCATACCCTGCCTCGGATGAAAACACATCTGGCGGTCAGCTGAAAACGCGGGCCAAACGAAGCTCTCGCCACACGGATATCTTTGCGATTGGGCGTGGCAAGAATATATATGTCGTTTCTGCTAAGGTGGCGAGGACTCCCGAGTTTGAAGTATTTGGAAAGAGGGGCGTCGTCGACACGGCCAAGTACTTCAAGGAACGTGCACTCAAGATCTCGACTGGCAAAGCTGGAAAGGACTTTGTGTTCAGCCACGATGACAGTGTTATTGCGTCTCTTGACAAGACCGGCCGACTGCGCTTCTGGGATATTCAGGAAAGCGTGGTTCGTGCCAGTTATGGGGATAGTACCGGCACCTCTATGAATGAGGTGCGGGTTCCCTTGAACACGTTCGTAACTGGCTCTCCGACGGAGAAGTCTTGGCCCACCTCTGTGCTGTTCGTGGACAAGCTGCGTCCCTACTCCAAGCACACTGCCCTTCGATACGTTCTGGTGGGTCTCAAACAGAACCACACCTTGCAGCTCTGGGATATTGGGCTTGGCAAGGCTGTGGAGGAGGTCAAATTCCCCCCACGAGAACGAGTCGGATGCAATTTGTAGCGTGGCTTATCATCCGTCTTCTGGTATCATTGCGGTGGGACACCCTACTCGCAACTCGATTTATTTCGTTCATCTGTCTGTGCCACGATACAATCTCGCAAACATGTCCCAGGCTGCGTTTATCAAGGCCGCGGCTGCGAATGATGATATCTTGCAAAAGCCCGAATCGACTGCTTGTCTGAGTGGTATTCGGGAGATTTCTCTTGGATCCAAGGGTCAGCTTCGAAGCCTGGAGCTGCTACCTGTAGTTAAAGGTGAGACAGAGAAAGAAAAGAAGGCGAAGGACAATGGTTCGTTAGAGGAGGAAGATTTGTTCGAGTTGTATGTAATGCATTCGCACGGCGTTACCTGCATGAACATCAAACGCGAGGACTTGGGATGGACTTCACAGAACCGTGTCATTTCTCCCATTGACGCGCAGGCGGAAGGTTCAATTGAAATCACCGATCTTCAGTCATTCCCCTCCTACATCACTGACGATCCCTCTGTCAACGGTGACGCGACTTCGAACCCCTCTCGCACCACAAAGGAGTCAGTCAAGAAACAGGACGCGACTGATTCTGCCTCTGGTGTTCTTCAACCTCGCAATCTTTCTCCTACCAAGGGACCAAAGAAAAAGCTCACCGAGGAGCAACCTGAACATTTTGCCGTGCCAACCTTCACCGAGAAGTCCGACAGAAAAAAGAAAAAGAAGCCTTCTTCCACTGATACCTCCTCCAAACTCAAACAACCGACTGCGATCGTTGGTGTTGAGCCCCTCCAAACTTCCCTCGACTTTGATCCCTCGTCATTTTCTACTTCAACAACAATGGACCCCAAGACCTCCGAAATTGGCGCCTCTCACGCTGCTCACACCTCTGGTGACGCTCTCACTCTTGAGACCCGTAACCTTACCCCCCACTGCCGAGAGTGCTGCCTACATAACCACCGATACCATCACCCGCAACCTCGACCAGTTACGCGTCCAGGTAGCTGAGGAGTTCAATACTAGTCTCGACAAGAAAATGGAGGCTATTACCAAGCTCTTCGAGGACGAGCGTTGTGCATGGGACGCGTCCTCCAACAAGAAGATGCAGATGGTTCTTCAGGGAATCTCCACTGATATGGAGATGAACGTCAACCGTATCGTTGAGACTCGTCTCAAGTCCGATGTCGTTCCCGTCATCACTCAAAGCCTTGAGGACAAGCTGAGCAGAGATGTCTCTACCATCGTCAACAAGTCTCTGCACGATGCCGGTCTCATCAATGATAATGCTGATGCAGTCTTCAAGAAGCTTCGCGCTTACTTTGATACCGAATTTGCCAGTACCTTCAGCCTCTCTATCAGCCCTCTGGTCGATGGCATCGTGAACAGTCAGAAAACTCTCCATGAAGCTAACGCTAAGATCTCGCGTCTGGAGAAGGACCGTGCAGCCACCAACGCGAAACTGGAGCAGATGGAGGGCATGATGCGCACTATGATGCTTAGTGTGGACCGACTCACTATGGTGACCCAGACGGCTACCGAGAATGGTCACTCTTCGGTTCCTCCCGCTGGAAGTTCGCGCACTCCAGCTCACCTCCTTGCCGCCCACACCCCCGTTCCTGCCCAGGGTCCAGGTCACAACCAAGTCCAAACTCAGCGTTCGGTTCCTTATGCCGCCGGCATGTCTTCGCCCCCAGGCCTGACTATTGCCCCTGAGATCGTCACCGAGCTGAACCAAGTGCGCCGTCTTTGCCAGGCCGGTGGTCCTCCATTTGAGGACGCGATCATGACTGTGAGTTTAACAATCCAAATATATCAATGTGGAAGTAACTGAACTAACTCTCTCCTAGTGGATGCATTCTCAGTACCAGGCTGATCTGTTCGATCACTTTTTCAGCCGCATTGATCCCGGATTCTTGAGTGGCCTCGCGGGTGTCATTGTCTTGTCCGTCGCTTCGGTTGTGACCGCATCTTTCAGCAAGAATGTTGAGCCACGCCTTCACTGGCTTCAGGTTGCTCTTAACAACGTCAACCCTCGGGTAAGAATCTCTTCCCCGTCATTCTCTCACTTGCGACCTCTACTAACTAGCTTCTGCAGGACGAGGAAGTGGCTGACGTTGCTGGAGGCGTCATGTTAGTTCTTGCTGAACGTCTGAACAATCTTTACATGAAGATTGTCGCTGAAAACCCTCAAGACGCTCTACTTCGACGCATTCCCCACCTGGCTCGCCGCGTACGTGAGTTGCAGAGCATGGTTAACTAAGCGTCTACGCTTGTGCTTCCTGCTTTCTGTTTTCATTACGGATTGGGATTTCATACGTGGAGGATCTTTTTTTTCCCCGTTATTTTTCTTTACTATGCCCAGTGTATGTTTTTGTTCTTTCTGCTTGTGCACGCTTTCTCGGGGACGTTTTTTTCCGTGCACATTGATGATTCCAAGTTGACGGTGTTACGGATCATGACTTATGGGCATAGTTTTCGCAGCTGCGAATATGATTAGTTTTGCTTTTTAAATCTCTGGTATTTGTAATGGCAATGCTAGGCCGACGTTCCTTTAATCTGCTGGTAGTTCTTTTCTGCTCTTAGTTTGTTGGTACCAGGTCTGTCACCATCAGATAGCTAGACACTGCTACCTGTGCATTTTTTGAGGTCCTTCCTCCTCACTTCTCCGTCATCCATCCTCCCATGCTTCATGAGCCTCGCCATCCTTCGTTTACGCACCGTCTCGCATACGCAGTATATAGCAGCGGAAACAAATTGATACAGATGGAAAATCACGTTGCAGAGATTAACAATCTCCGTGCCAATTTACGAAATTGACAAGATAAAGATGATTATGACATGAGGATATCCGATGAGAGAAGAAAGAGAAATATACACAGGAAGTCTCCAGAACTTCCCAGGCAAATTGTTTCTTCCATTTATTGCGGAGATTGAAGTCTCGAAATATCCGATCCGGCATTATTACTTAGGATCGAATCTTCTATCCACATAAATCTGAGGCTCTGTTGATTTGCGCATCCCGTGATTTTGCTACATGTGGAGATAACCCCTCTCCAACTACACTACATACCACCGGTACACAACTCAGGTACCATCCTGCAACTTGGTGATAGCTATTCTTGATACTTCACCATGATTGATCCAGAAGATCGGTTTGTCTCGCTGATGGAGAGCTATTTTGGCGATCCGAAAATCCCTACAACCCAATGCTTTTGCAACGTCTGGGATTGGGATCAACTGCGCATGATCAAGATTAAAGGAACTGCTAGGATATTCCCACCCGAAGAAGACAAACAGCTCGATATTGTTGCCCAATTTGCAGACTACCTCTCACTCGATGTCTGTGCTATTTCAGTCGATGATAACGGACTTCTTACTGGACCCTCGACAGACCCAGAGGAAGACGATACACGACATGTTGGGCATATTCCATTTTCACTTTGTGACTCGATCGCCAATTGTCCTAAGATGAAATTGTCGGAAATTCAATCACTTGACCGACTAGGGGCTGGTGTTGATTTGGTACTTATACCGTCTGAAGGCAAGAAGGTTGCGTTCAAGTTCAACCCTCTTAAATTGCCTCCAAGACTGGAGATGGCATGGAAGGAGGTGAATATCCTTAGCAAGCTACCTCAACACCCAAATATCGTACCGTTTGATCGAATTGTCCTTGAAGATGTTGAGTCTAGAGTGATTGGATTCACAACAAAATACATACCCTGTCAACCATTATCCACTACTTCTGGCAGACCATTCCGACTTGAATGGCTGCAACAGCTCACCCAGCTTGTGGATTTTCTCAACCTAGACCTGGGCATTATGCATCAAGATATCGCGCCCCGAAACCTGCTTATTGACCCCGAAACTGACAAGATCCTCCTATTTGATTTTGACTGGGCTGTCAACGGAAAGAATGGCCTAGAGGAGGGACGAGACGACGTCTCTAGTCTTGCATTTACACTACGAGATAATAACCAAAGATACCCACTTCACCAAAATTCCCCACTGGGCTAGATCTATCGATATAGTTCAGAACATTGAATGGGAATGTCACTGTGAACTAGATCATGACGTATCTATATTTCGGGAATTTTTGAACGAATGGATTGCTACGAGATCTGACAAGGAAACAAATATGGAGCGCTTTCTCAATGCACCCAATCGTCTCACATGGCCAAGCTATCCAACTCCGCCGGAATACGGTGTTCCTGATGAACTTGGGACAAAGTCAGATGGGACGCCTTCCTGGATCACGGGTACTCGTTCTAGGCGCGCTGCATTGAAATTGGGACAATACAGCTTTCGATGGGAGAGACCACCACAGAGCAGATTGTTGAAGATGGCATCTAATATTAAGAGTGACAGCTAGAACATTGAAGATTTGAATTGCCAATCTCATGTCATTGTATGAGAGCAATTATGTTAGTTCTCACAGCTAGTGTAGCACTCCAGGGCTTACAATGTGGATCTCTCGTACATGGATGGACCTCGGGATGGGGCTCATATCTGACATATCTGACATCAGCCAACACGTACAAGTTAAAAATTCGCCTTCTCCTCACATTTTGCTCAAGCTCTCTTCATCCCCAAAATTTAGAGAATTCCATACTAGCATACTCTTTAAATCCCATACACCCCTCAATTCGGAACATTGATTATGGCTTCCCCGAAGAGCCTCCAGCAATGGTTCCGCCATACGTTCACCCCATTCATCGCTAATGCACCCATGTTCGGGTCTGCTGACTATCACCTTGCATCAGCAGTAACAAAAGCTGGAGGTCTTGGTAAGTGAATCATCAGCCTACATGATGCACACAGAACTCTACTTTATGCGGGGTGACTCAAGTGTGCAGACTGAACAAACACAAACCCCGCATCCACATTCCAGATTTCTACCAGTTGACTCAAACAAAATTAACAAATAACAGGATTCATCGGTGGTGGTTTTGATTTCACCACTGAGACAACCCAACTCACAAAACTAAATGAACAACTTGGAAAAGCCCGCTCAGAGCTAGGGAGTATCCCTTCTCTTACCAGTCTTCCCATTGGCGTCGGATTCATCACATTCAACCCTACTGGATTTATCCAAAATGCCATCCCAGTTCTACAGAGTCACCGAGTTGCAGGAATCTGGCTATCCTTCCCTAAATCCGATGAAGATCATCTGCTTATTATAGAAGCCATTAAGAAGGCTCGGGCGGAAGGTGATTGGGATGTTCGGGTCTTTGTACAGGTTGGAACTATACAGTCTGCTCGGGTAGCTGTGCAGCAAGGTGCAGATGTACTTGTTGTGCAGGGTTCTGATGCTGGGGGCCATCAGTGGGCTCAGGGTGCTAGTTTGATTTCCCTGTTACCTGAAGTGCGCGATATGCTTCATGAAATGGGGGCATCGGATGTTGCAGTCTTGGGAGCTGGTGGAATTGTTGATGGGAGGGGATGTGTTGCAGCACTTGGACTTGGTAGGATTCGATAATATTCGAGCACAGGATCGTGATTGCTAACAGTATGCTTTTGATACAGGTGCGGATGGAGTGGTTATGGGTACAAGAGTGAGTTTAGTCAATTATAATTTTAATTGATCAAGACTAATAGTCTATAGTTTCTTGTGACTACTGAATGCCCGACACCATCCACGTTCAAGCATGCTATCATATCTGGTAGCGATGGCGGTGTTTCAACTGTCAAATCCACTCGACACGATGTCTTCCAATCAACCGATGTGTTCCCTCGACAATACGATGGAAGAGCTATCATTGGAATTAGCTACTCCGAGTCCCAGTTAGGTGCAAGTGATGATGATGTTATTCAGCGATACAAGGAAGCTGTGGCGAATGGAGAAGATCATCGACGGACGGTGTGGGCGTAAGTTCTTTTGGATTGACCCGTCTAGACACAATGGGCTCTAACATACATCTGGATATAGGGGCACAAGTATCGGATCTATCAAAGAATTGGTCTCTGTATCAGATCTGATTCAAGGAATTCATCAAGAGGTCAGGTCCACACTGGCTAGTCTTTCCCAGAAAATGCAGTAATTGATTTTTGCTTGCACAGGAGGAACTGAACAGGCTAATTTGTCTCCCAAGGTTGGAAATATTATACGGATATTCCTATAAGAAGTGGGTTTTTAATATCCAGGTCCCAGTACATACACGTCTAGATGTCTACAGTAGCCCTCGATAGACTGGAAAATTCGTTCAAAATGAATTATTCACATTATGCCCCATGAAATAAGAAGATAAATCAAGTATAAAAAGTTACATCAAGATCGGTTTAGGATAAGTACCTAACATGAATCATGAATCTTTCTTTGTTCAATGCCCAGGTGTTGATCATTGTATGCGGAGAAACCCCAATCAGGCAAGGTCCCCCCCTTCAACACCCCCCCCCCCCCCTTTCACTCTTTTCCTCAATTCTCGACTTTCACCAATAAATACTCCAAAACCTCCCAGCTCAAACGCAGATCACAAGAATTCACAAATTTTTGAGGGCTACTTTCTACTCCTACATCTCACCATTCGGCACATTTGGTCGTCGGCTTCGCGTCTGGGGTCGTGTTCGACTCGACCGCGCTTCGCTCCGCGACACTGGAGACGCCATTTGGATTTGCACCACGTCTCAAACCCCACCAACGAACCCCCCTAAACCGCATAAAACCTCCTACAGCACTCGAGTCTACTACACCGTCTTCTGGATGCCTCCCACAAATACCTCCGACGTCATGAAGGGCGCTACTCCCTCGCCTAGCCCGGCACCCGTCCCGAAAGGCTCGCCGGGCCCGAACACACCTCCCGCGGGGGTCAAGCGCAAGAGAACCGCCGCGGCGAAATACTACGCCGTGAAAGCAGGCTTTAAGCCAGGAATTTATTATGGATGGCCAGAGTGCTTGGCTCAGATCACAGGGTACAAGGGAGCCATTTGTGAGTGTCTTTCAGCAGTTACCCTACAGCCTTGATCTTGATTGAACTAATAAGTATGAATTCTGTCTAGTCCAATCGTTTTTAAGCCACGAAGATGCGACTGCTTTTTTGAATGGTGTTAAGAGCTCGTCCAGCCAGGCTGCGGATGGCACAGAGAGATTTTATGGGATACAAAGAGGTCGCGTTCCGGGCGTTTACACGGACTGGCCAAAAGCACAGGAACAAATCAAAGGATTCCCACGTCCACGGTATCGCAAGTTCCCTACTCGGGAAGAGGCAGAAGGATTTGTGCGTGAGGGACAAGGGCAAGTTCGACCTGTTGAGTCTGGACCTGCTAGCGTAAAAAAACCCACTGGACCACATGGAATTATGAGTGAACCTCCTAAAGATGCTGAAGGGGTCGAGTTTGCAGCCGGGGAAGGTCCTATCCCGATAGGTGCGGAAGATGGATTTGACCCTAATGTGTTGCTGGACCCATCAACAGGGAAGGTGGTTTACAAGACAGCACCCCAGAAAGCTGCTACTAAGACACAGGCGGCAGGAATTCCTGGGATGCTACGAATCTACACGGATGGAAGTTCCTTGCGTAATGGAACACCATTGGCATCAGCTGGCGTTGGTGTTTATTTTGGACCGGGTGATTCAAGGTCTGTTACTTCTTTTTTTTTATCTTGATCTTCTTTGTCCCACTGACTCACCTTAATTATCCTAGTAGAAATGTGTCAGAACCATTGAAAGGTACTCGTCAGACGAATCAGCGGGCTGAACTAACTGCCATTCTTCGAGCAATCGATATTGCTCCCCGGCATCGAGATGTTACTATCTTCACAGATAGTAAATACTCGATTGATTGTGTCACTGTTTGGTTCGTCAATTGGCGCCGGAATAATTGGATGACGAAGGATAAGAAACCTGTGGAGAACCGAGATCTCGTGGAGTCCATTTTGGTGAAGATTGAGGAACGTCAAGAACTTAAGGTTAAGACCTTGTTTCAGTGGATCAAGGGACATGCCAATGATCCTGGGAACGAGGCCGCAGATAGACTCGCAGTCAATGGAGCTCATGAGGGTGTGAAGCAAAAGGCCGAGGCGTTGGAAGCTGCTCGAGATATTCCTGATGAGCTATTGGAGGATAATTTTTGATTCTCACCTTGAATGTCAGAATAACGAATTTAGTATTATTGGATCAATATTGGAGCAATCTATGATTGAATTTAATACAAATTCAGGGTGTAGTTCGTGTTCATACTTTATGATGTATAGTAAGATGTCGTATTATCACGAGGTGCCAAGTCCCACTTCTCCACAATCCCCATTTCTTCATTTCTTTATTTCTATCAATCTTCATCTTTTCCTTATCACCACTGCATCCCCCACTACTTTCAGTACCTGGACTTTGAAATTATAGTCCTTCACCTCTTGTTCACCGTGGCTTCCTTACTTCGCTGGTGCTCTTCTCATATGATCACTCCAGACTCCCACTTGAAGACCATCCAAATCATGATTGAATAACATTTGCTTCTTGCTATTATTCACCAACCTAGTTGAATCAAATACGAGGATATCCCTCCATCTCAATTACCTTGAACTCATCTACTAAAGTCAACCCTAACATTGAACTCGACGATCTCGATCTCGATCTTAATCTCAATCCCGATCTCAAATTCTAACGGCCTCCGCTTCCGACTTCCGCTTGTGGGATCTCCACTATTGCCGGCAAGATGCCAACTCTTTCACTGATCAATTTCAACATCGTCTGTGCGACACTTGGAGGATTTATCTCTCTATTCGGATTGGTGTCCTACCTATGCAAGGAACAATTTTATCTCTCCGAAGCATGTACGTGACATGAAGTCCTTACATATATCCCACGTGTAACCCGTGAACTTCCAGGTCTTTGATGACTAACACTGCTACAGTGATCTCCTTATTAGCAGGCGTCTTATTCTCACCACATGCAGCCAATTTCATCCGACCAGAAGACTACGCTCTTCACTCCGAGTCCAATCTTGAAGCCATCACGCTAAACTTTACCCGTCTAGTTCTAGGCGTGCAACTTGTTCTAGCCGGTGTACAGCTTCCAAAACGCTATCTCCAGCTAGAATGGCGGAGTCTATCTCTTCTTCTTGGGCCTGGAATGGCTGCTATGTGGCTTTGTAGCAGTTTACTGATCTGGGCTATGGTCCCGGATTTAAAGTTCCTTCATGCTCTTATTATCGCTGCTTGTGTTACCCCGACTGATCCTGTCCTATCCAATTCCATCGTCAAGGGCAAGTTTGCGGATAAGCATGTTCCACGACCGTTGCAACGTATCATTGTTGCCGAGTCGGGTGCGAATGATGGACTGGGGTACCCGTTTCTTTTCTTCGGAATTTACCTTCTCAAGTACGTCGGACATGGGGAAGAGGGGTACTCTGGCGGTGTGGGGAAAGCCATGGGACTTTGGTTTTATGAGACGTGGGTTTATACGATTCTTTTGAGTATTCTCTATGGGATCGTTGTTGGTTGGTTATCAAGGAAATTGCTTCATTGGGCTGAGGAGAAGCGATATGTTGATCGGGAGAGTTTCCTGGTCTTTGCTATCGCGCTTGCAGTGAGTTCTCATAAGTGGAAGACAGAATGGGGACCCATGCTAATGATATCAGCTCTTCATCCTTGGAACATGTGGGCTTATCGGTACAGATGACCTTCTAGCATGCTTCATTGCTGGAAATGTGTTTACGCAAGAGTATGGTTTCTTCTAGATAATACGAAGCATTTCTAACCGCGTTTTAGCGACTGGTTCCGTCTCGAAACTATTGATGACTCCCTCCAACCAACCATCGACATGCTCCTCAATTTATCCATGTTCATGTGGTTCGGCGCAGTTTGTCCATGGAAGTCATTCCTGGATAACGACATTATACCGATCTACCGACTCGTCTTCCTGGGTATTTTGATCCTCCTTGTGCGTCGGATGCCGATTATCTTTGCTATGCATAGATATATCCATCAAATTGAGCACCTATCCCACGCTGCCTTCGTGGGCTTCTTCGGTCCTATTGGCGTTGGTGCTATTTTCTATCTCTCTATCTGCCGAGAATTCCTGCTCAACATCACTGTCGATGGGGAAGTGCGTGAAGATGCACAGAAACTAGCCGATACTGCCTGGATTGTGGTGTGGTTTCTGGTCATCTGTAGTATCGTGAGTGACTCCTAGCCCCAACTCCAATCCAATTTAAGTTCAATACTAATTAGGATCAGGTCGTGCACGGATTATCAGTTCCAGTTGGTAAAGCTGGTTACGCTCTCCCACGCACCTTATCAACCGTCATGACGAACAGCACAGCCGAAACCAACGACGCAGTCTCAATCGGTAACGTCCGGCACACACACAGTACAGCAACACCAATTGATAACGACAGCGCCAGCTTCCGGGCTCGTCGACGTAGACAAAACTCCTCGCCTACGCCGCCGTTGTTTCGACTTGGGCGTTCCATCGTCCCGTCTCCTTCGTCTTCTACTCAGAGACAGCCTGGTGTTGGGCTCTCGGATGAACCGGAGAGACCTGTTAACTTGATTCTGCATGAGTCTGGAATGGGTGAGGAGGGGACTCATTCGGCTTAGTGCTAGTCAATCTACCTAGGTAGTCAGCTAGTCGGTTGAGTGGGGTTATAGATAAAGATTTGACTCGCCTTGCGAGGGACCCTTTTTGAAGCTTTCTCAGCTCTATAGAACACTCTACAGCATTTTCTCATGGGTATCTCATACTTCAAGTTGTCTTCGTTTTCGTTTACGTTGTTTTCAAATGTTCGTTTCGTGCATTTATTTGTGTGGAGGGATGGAGGTGCTACTGCGGCAGTGTGGAGAGGTGAAGGAAGGTGTGTGTGCCGGGCTAAGGATCTAAGGCCTCTCGGGCCTACAGTCCGATAATTTGTCATTAGGAACTTGAAGTTGATAGACTAATTTGTTACTCGTCATGCATCGGTTTACTAGTAGAAGTAGAATCATGACTAGACAAAAAATTTAGAGAGTGATCGTACAACGCCTGAAGAAACAAAAAGTACAAAAAGTACTCCGTACAGCAAGGGCAGTTCCTGACAAGAAGAGCAACAGCAAAAAATATAAAAACATACAAGAGCATGTCTAAGTTGGTGGTCACCTAGCGCCCACTATTGTAGCGTGGGCGGCTCGCCGCTCTAAAGGTTCACCCCCTTCAGGGTAATGCGGGTAAATATTCACCCACCTGAATATTCTCCACCTGAAGGTGTATCGAGATGTATATTTTCGCAATTTGAAATTCCTCTCTTTGTGAGTGACCCCGATTCTTCTTTTAAGGCTCTTCTTCTTCTACTATCTCTGCTTTCCTCTATAAATACTTATATCTCCACCTGGATAAGGTTAAAAAGCTTTATGGAATAGGCTAAGGCTCTTTGTGAAAGAGTCCCGCTGGGCAAGGCTAATTCAACTAGGTTAAAAGACCACTATAATCTTCTCTGATAAAGATTATGCCCAGCACCAGTTTACATACCAAGAAACCTATTCAGAGTTCAGCAGCAGAGGTCAGGTTCCGGAACACCATGTGTTCCGTGACACTCTTCCCTATTTAAAGATTAACATTGGAGTAGAGTCTGTATACTTAAGTGTTGTTTAGGGTATTTTATAGATTGTTATAATAATGTATAAGTACTTGATTATACAGAAGGATAATTGTTGAAATGTTTTTTAAGGTATTTTACTAGTAAATACTTAAAGGATAGCTTCAGTAGGGTATAGAGTTATCCCCTGACTAGTACGTAATCTAGTATACGTGTGCAGGAAACATGAATTCTTTCCGACATCTGGAGTGTCCAGGTGGCAAATGTTCTCCCTTGAAAAGGCCTGTTGTTTTGAGCATGATCTTTAATATTTGTGCTAGAACTAGTCATAGAGCAAGATCAGAGCATTCTGACACTCCATGAGCATAGATTATTTCTCGTTGACAGTCAGAATTTGTGAACCATTTGGATGAAAATTTGACAGTGGCAAGTTAGAATCTTCCGGTACTAATTACTCACGAAGCCGTTGAAGCAAAAATGAATGAATCGATCCACAGAATTTATTCCCAAGGTTGGTTGCTCAATTTGTGAACTTCCAAACTTTTGGTCCGATTTGTTCTAGCTATCAATTCAAATGTTCATTTGTGACGTATAATGTGGACGGAATCCTATGACAGCAGATCGAATTGAAAAAACGGGGAGGTTTGGCTTTAGGGTTCGGCTTTGGTGGAGCCAGAGCTCCACCCTGCAAGTATCCTCAAACGTTGTGTATTGTTGAAGCAGACTGAAACATCTTTTCCTCTCGACTCACTTCCAATTTTGGAATTCCCTAATTATCGTGCTTTGAATTCAGCTCACATGCGATCTCTATCAGAACTATTGGAGAAACTTTTGCAACGACGCGTAAAAAAAACCTCTATAGATTGAAGTCTCAAAAGGTAGAATCTCATTTGCCCTTTGCTGTTCATCCATTGAAATTCTCAAGCTTGCAATTTTCATTGCTCTCAAGCTTTGAAAAGAGAGCTGGGAAGCTTTCTAGCTAGACATAAGAACGAAAGTTACCGCCTGAGTCCGCATGTCACTATTCGAAGGGGCGTTTTCCGAACGTGGGTATGTTGGAATTCCGGTAGAAAAAAACATACACTGCAAAATTTCGCTTCCAAACCAGCAGGCATACAGAATTGGAAGATTGAATCTTCTATGAATCATGCCTATTTGAATGTAGACCCATTGAAATATTACTCTATAGCGCGGAGTACGCCTTCTTGGTATGTCATAGCGAGACGGATATGTCATGTTAGCCAAGGTTGTGATGGCAGCTACTAGTTTAGAATAAAAACTCTGACGTATCCTTGAGACTATCTACGGAGATTCTTCCCTCAAGTGCTCGCTCACACAGCGTGTGTGGTTGGCATTTTTCTGCCGATTTCCATGCTGGATTGAGCGATAAGTTTGACTACACAGCATTAGGCTCATATCTTCACTTTGGATCATTCATGCATTCCGATTTTAACGCTTTAGTAGGAGTATACTGAAAATGAGAGTTTTCAATGCCACATAAGTCGTGGAACTTTTATATCCTCAAACTATGGCTCGCTCTAGATGTATTTCATACCGAAATTATCTCTACGTAATTTGCCCTTTCGGAATGTTGCATGTAGATCAGTAATTCAGTTCGGTATGTTAGCCGCGGAAATCTGTTTTTTTTTTCATGCAAGGAACGGCTGTACTAAGAAATTCGATGCGTAGACAGATGGAACCTATCCCGGATCATTAGAGAGGTTGGTGTCATCTCTATCGCATTCGATGGAATCGAGTCATTGATCAAGGGGGATATCAATAGATGAAGCCCATGCAAAGACTCGAAGAAAAATTCAGGAAAAGTGGGTAAGAATTTTTATGGGGCAGGTATGGGGTTAATTAAAACTAAAAGGTCTTGCATATATTGGAAGTAGTGACGTTGTAAGGATGCTTGCAAAGTTATTTTGTCTCAATCACGAGGTGACAGGTTCAAGCCTGTACTGTGGGGTAGACTCAGGATTTGGAAAAAAAACAATTGAGGTTTATGCGTAAATACGAGGTTATGATGAATTGGCTGGTACATGATATGCGGTTTCAGTAATGAAAAGAACATCCGGAGCTCCTTAACTCTGGCCTGGCTCACGACTAGACTGAGAGAAGGAAACAAACCTTGGAAAAACAGCAAACGGGAATGAGGTGGCAGGCCGTTCATCAGGAAATTTGGCTCAACCTTACATTCTTTGAAATATTACGGGAAAACATAGAATTCTACTGATACTACGTATAAAATCAAGAGCTGGCGGTTTGGTCCTTAATTGACTTCCACTCCTGGCCTTAGGAATACTTAGGTGATTAATCATATCTCAGGTGCTGGCTGTATGTATGCGTATGCACTTTTACTACCTATTATATTACTACATGCTTATATGGAGATTCTAGAGGTCTAGTAATCCATATATGGACCATCTTTTTTTCCATTCTCACGGTGACAAAGCTAATATGAATTGAATCCTGAAATTCTTTCTACACTTGATGCACCCGAGACTATAAGACCTGTTCAAAAACTGGGAATCAGTCCGAATTGCATGTTTTGTGCATATTATTAGGTTGCATGATACCTGTATGATTACCTGGGTTCATGAAAATTGGGTAGCGGTCAATAAATCCACATGAACCTTTAATGCATTCATCAAGACAGTGAAGCTTTTGATCAAATACCTTCTATAGTAGTCCCATTATATCTTTATCTATGGATCTAAGCTACACCCATATATCAATTTCTTAAACAGAGAGACCATTGCTCTTAGACCTTGGATTAGGTTTGCCAGATAGTATATGACGCTTCCAATCTTCGAAAATTCGTTCATCCTCGCATGTATAATATCAACTATCGACGTAATATTGCGGAGTCATGAGCTTATTTTGAGTTAAGATGATTGTTACTTTTACTGGAGAATTGTTACAGGAAGACTTATATCAATCCTTGATTTCCCAAAAATTCAGTTAGAGGTTCTTATTATTGAGTAACTTCCTTTTTCTTCCTGCTATTTTATCTAAAAGCCCTAGGACTTCCTCTGACCTTAAAAAGTATACCCTTCGCGACCTAGGTGTCAAGGAAGACAAAGGAAACACTATATTGAGAATCATGCAGATCTATTGCCGTATTGTCTACGGGATTCGGCACCAAGTCCGGCCATACATAGAGGGGGATTCCTGTAGGGCCAGACTTACATTCCTCAAGTGCTAGTCGCTGTATCCAAGTGAACCACCCCTCGTGCTCTCCCCTTAGTATATCTCGCCTAGCCCACAGGTCACCCTAATCTGACAAGTTCATTACAGCTAGAAATATAGTATATATCTCTATCACTAAGTTACAAAACTTCTTTTAGCCCTTTAATAAAGCCAGGATTTACCTAAAACCTATGATCCTATAAAGACAGTTCCCTATATACCATCGTTACTAAGATATCAAGCTGTAATTTATTGTGTTTACTATATTTTAGCAAATCAGGCCAAGTGTTATATGATATGTGAATGCCTGATTTGCTAGGATCAGATTGATGCATGATATACATTCTGGTATGTATTCTGATTCAACTTATTTTTTGGCCAAAATATACTTTATTTTGCCTGCATTCTGATCTGATAGATCATTTCTTTCTTTCTCGCCCAAGAGCCTTGTGTTAGAGCTAAAAGATCTACTAACCTTAAAAAGTGCTCTATGGATTCCAGACTATCATTGTTTCTTTCAGGTTCTAAGATCCCTTGGTATTATATTTTTCCTCATGTTCATAATCTTTTATTTGGCCTCTTATAATAGTCTAATTTCCCTCAGCTAGCTTAGCATAGTCTTCAAGAAAAATTAACAACAGTGATTCTAATTGACACACTTGTTTTCTGTCCTTCCATTTTGGTTTCTTGTCTTATCCTTCTGGTCCTGAAGAACTGCCACTTCAACCCAGAAGTTGGTTCCTTCTTGGTCGTAGCACACACTTGTTCGTCCCCAAACGATCCAAACAAGGTCCATCCCCTTCCTTGATAGTTCCTACTATCTCCTCTGGAACCCCCTCAGCGTAGTCGGGATCAGATCCCTTGATCAGCTGACATCTCTGCAAGACTGCCTAACTTGGTCTGGCGTATGTCCCCTGCTGAAAACTAAGAAGCTAGAAATAACCATAAGTGGATCAGGTGCTTGTCATAGTGTATATAAATATTATTAAGACTGTAAAGTCTGATATGATGGTGGCCACCATCATATCAGAAATTTTGTAGGCTTAAGGAGAAGTATATATATCTCCTCATATAATAACCTACAAGGGTCAGGCTCACTCAAACTATGGTGGTGTGATATTCGCCCCAAGATTACCATGTATCTTTCCTTGCTTACATCATGTTACTGTTATGATCGCACATCACCTGATGTCATTATGTTTGATTGTATATAAACTACTGTTATTCTATACTTAATCAAACATGCACTTTTACCTTCTAAGATCTCAGTGGCACTACAAAAACGACTATATAAGAAAATTTCACCTACCATCCTCTACACTTTTTGGATACTATCATATCCCTGATATAATTCTAAGGTTGTCATATACTAACCCCAACACTAGATGAAACAGAAACATATATCTTAGAGATGGTAAATTAACCAAACAGCCAATCTAGAATCACCTCTACCACACATCCACCTCATAATACAGATGATAGTGTCAGTAGAGAAATTCAAACACCTATTACTTTTCTATATCGACTCACTACTATAATATAGCATAATTACTAGGCTTTATCTCCTTAATCTTACAATCTTCCTTTACAAACTTCCTTAAATAATACTTTTCTACACTCGTTATACTAAAATAATATAAGTATCCCGTAAGCGAGCGGGCCATGTAAGCGAGCGGGCCACCGTTCTACCTACCAACGCATACTTTATAGTATTATTCAACCAACAACAAAGATGATTAATTAAAATAACATCTATCCTAGTTAGGACAAGTATTCCTTCTATGTCCAATATTTCCACAACTCGTACACTTTGGCAGCGCTCTCCCAGTGGCCGTTTTTCGAGCTTCCCGCCGCTCTGCATCTACCACCCGCTCTGCTTCTACTATATCCTCCTCCTTCTGTATGCGCTGGCTTGCCTCGTTCACAGTCATTCCACCCTTATTGGCCATCTGCCTATTAGGTAGGGCACACTTACGTGCCTGTCGCCCATTCTCAGCGCGTAATTGCTCAATTTCATGAGCAAGAAATGCGCCGTTATGCATAGCAATCTCACATCCCTTAATCAGCTGCTCAAGCGCTTCTTTAGCTGGGCTGGGAGGTGTATATGACCGCTGCTTCAATAGCATTTTGATTGACGAAGCCTGTCGTCGGACATCGGTAGGCTTGTATGGCGTATGGGGGGTAAAGTTACTGCTTCCGCTACTAGGGGGTGGTGTAGGCGTACGTAGCTTTATATCAAGCTTCTCAAGCACCTGCTGCGGGCTAAGCGGAAGTCAACCAGCTGCTAAGAAGCTATTTGAAATTATAGCTGGCTTATAAGCTTGGTCCCGGGTAGATAGGTATATAGCAAGAAAATCAAGCGTATCGATGTGGTGTGTGCCATATCGAAGCTTTTGCTGGATAGCCTGCCCATAGGTATGCTTTATCACACTAAAACACCCAATATCAAGAAGTTGAAGAAGAAGAGAAGAATGGGCTGGTATACATAATGGTAGGACATGGTTTTTCTCGCATATTTGATCAAATTCAGGTGTCAAGTGGCTACCATGGCCATCCATAATCAAAAGCCGCCACTTTCCATACACACGTGTATTTGTATGTGGTAAAAAGTGATTCCGGAGCCAACCCAATGTAATTTGATTGGTAGTCCAGCCATTATCACTAACATCTAATTGCCAATCAGATGGTAGGGTTTCGGCTGAAAACCAGGCTTGGTTAAACATCTTTGCTTTAAAGATGATATATGGTGGCAGTGCCCATCCACGACTGTTGATTGTCTCAATAGCAGTAACCCACTCACTATTTCCTGATGTAAGAAGGCGTCTTCTCCCATAGTACTCAACACGTGTAACAACATGGGATGTACTTGTCATACCCATAGCAAAGCCAGTCTCATCAAAGCTATAAATATCCTCATTAAGGATACCATATGTAAGAATAGCTTGCTGTACACGGTTAAACCACTCCGTTATAGTAGCTGGATCTTCACACAAAGCACGATTATATTCATATCGACGTGATAGACATGTAGCAAGCTCAGGTGTCCGTTGGATATAGTTATATACCCATTTAGTCCCAACTGTCTGCGGGGTGGCCTCTCCACGCTTAGCAAGCAATAAATTTGCCATCTCTCGTACCATAGGCTGCGTAGGCGCTGCACCACGTGTATCCATAGAAAGTATCCATCTGCAGAGCGAATCCTCTTCTACTTCGGTCAATTTATGGCCATTTGCGCGTGTAGTAGACCGAGATAGGTGGCCTGCTAGGCGTCGCTGGAGCGTGGTCCTTGGTATGTCAAATCGCCTTGCTACCTCGCAAATTGTGGATATTTCACCATTTTGAAAAGCCTGGATTGCAAGTAGGACCTTGTCTTCTTGGCTGCCTGATTTTTTGGCTGAACTAGTGCGTTTGGGTGGCATGGTTGCTGGTTGAAGATTGACGGTCGCGTCTCGTGGCTGGAAATTTGGTGGGTGGCCCGCTCGCTTACGGGATACGTTACAGGATGTTAGTGGCTTCGGGCTTGTCGAGGATTGACAAGCCCTCATCGGGTTCAACCTGTTACACCTTAGACGAGATTTTAATCACTCTAGAAGGTTTAGATACCTGGAAATATTCCATAATAAAAACTAAAATAAACTTATTAAAGGTGAGAGCTATATTAATATAGTAGAGTTCTTAATGTAATGAACTTGTCAGATTAGGGTGACACCTGTGGGCTAGGCGAGATATACTAAGGGGAGAGCACGAGTGGCTGGTTCACTTAGATACAGCGACTAGCACTTGAGGAGTGTAAGTCGGGCCCTACAGGAAACCCCCCTCTATGTATGGCCGGACTTGGTGCTGAATCCCGTAGACAATACGGCAATAGATCTGCATGATTCTCAATATAGTGTTTCCTTTGTCTTCCTTGACACCTTCCTATTATCCTACCCTCTCTTAGGATAGGTCTATTCCTATATCAGGTTAGGTCTATTCCATAGAACAGATTCCCTGAGGGGCCTGATGACAGACTTGTAACTGGAGTCAATTTCTGGCAGAACTTTCATTGTCAGCACATGAATTACATTTTAGACGCAAAAAATACCTTGAAGCAGCTCTCCATTGCTGGTAACAGAATTGTATTGGCTGTGATATCCTTCATCTCTGAGAGTTGACAGAGTGCATCCTCCAGATGCTGTTTCTTGGCCATGTGAGGCGACTTCTTGAACAGGACAGTGAGATTCCTGTGAGTATTCCTGTGGCTGCTGGTATCTCTTTTCGGATTGATCAATGACTGCCCATTGTTCCAGGAGTGATTTCATGCACGAGGCCGCTACTTCAGCTGAATACTTTTGCCAGATCTTGCTTTTGTGGCTGTCGGCATAGTCGCAGACTCCCTTTATAACAAGGAAAGGCATAATACCGTCAAGTCCCGCGCCTTCCATCTCAAAAGCAATCACATTCTCCTGATTAGAAATTCTGTCTCTATCCCTATCAGATTCATCACAGTGTCTCCTGACGCTATGCGCCCAAAGTGAATATTGAGCTCCCTCTGAGATGAACGCAAACGATTGACCAATCTCTCCCGATCACACTTTAGCTCTTTACATGTGGCTTTCTGGGCCTTTTTGCAAAGCTTCTTCTCCGTACATGTTTTGCATTTCGAGGTATTTTGATCCTTATGGTGGTAGCTCTGTTCAAAAAGCTGATCCGATTGCCTAGGACGCAAGAATAATCGCTAGTTTGCGCTCAAAGAACACCAAGATGATGATTTGTCCTGTCAAGGAGATGCTTGCGGCCGTTTGGGCTTCTGAGTTTGCGTAAGAATGCTTGTACTTCATAACCTGCACCAGACCGAGACGTCACTTCTCTGCATTGGAAGGTCCCAGGGTATTTTTTTCCAAAATCGTATGGCAAAATCTCATCACTTATGACGATATCACCAAGGAATATTCCCTCTTCGATACCTCTTGGCACCCCTCCACAAACACCAACAATCAAGGCAAGTCGGATACTCGGAAAGCTCCAACGGCAGCTCTTTGCGACACTTGCAGCTTGTACCTTTCCCATGCCAGTCATGTATGCCAACACGATATTATGATTACTGATCACGCCCGTTCAATAGGAGTTTGTGCCCTTAGGTGCTTTACCGAATATGTCACCATTTGCATCCCAGATGTGGTCAAAAAGGTCCTCCACTGCGTCAGACTCCACATCTAGAGCACAGATGATTTCGATGCTGAAGTCCTTGCATTCTCTTGGTTCTAGCGGAAGAAGCATCGTTATAAAACTAGAGTGATAAATGAAAGTGATCTAAAGATCAAAATTCTGTTCGTCGGATGCCTGACAAAAGTAAATAATACTTGAGACTTAGACTAACCACGTCACACTCTTCCACTTCAGCGAATGATAATAAGAGAGTAAGCGCTTTACGAACCCCAAATACTCAGCCTCTTGAAATTCACATAGTGACATCGAGACTCCTTGAATTCTTACTCTTCACACAATATGTCACCACTTGCCAGAAAAGCTATGAAGACCAAAGCAGATATTACGGATATCCCTGATGACTGGCTGATCTCCAAAATCGACCATAGCTCTGAAAATCCGAATTTCGGCTTCGTCAAAAGCCTTTATCAAACATGTTCAGCTGCCCTTGTATCTATGTGGAAATCACATATTCGATTAACACCTCATAATCGACAGAAAAGCATTTTGAAGAAAGATATAGCCAGCATCCATTTTTGGAAAGAAAATTTCCCTACTGGCCACCTTGATACCATCCTTGCAGAATCAAGCGACTTGAATATTCGTGTGCTCCAGAACCTGACGGGCATTGGCAAAATTCTCATCTCCATTTTCACAGACTATGATGAAGCAATATTCAGCACAAATAACAAGCGTTATCCCGAAGTCAAATTCTCGAAGGAGTTAAACACAAAAGTCGAAAAGGCTGCACTGATGCTTGATGTCGAAGAAAGATCTGACCAGTCGTCCGATGACGAGACCGACGATTCCACTCCAGCGACCGAACGTCAACAGAACCGCCTCGGACGCCTTCACTCCTACATAAGCTGTCTGATAGGCCTTACACCCGTGATGGAGAGGTATATATGGTCTTTGCAATGCAAGGCGGAAGTTCAATATGTTCCTATTGAGACTGATTTTCATTCGACTCATCGTGCGCAGCCTTACGCTATGCGTATTCGCGACCGGTCAGTGTCCTAACCAGGGCCTTTTATTTTTCCCATACTGAATTTGAAGCAAGATTTTCGAACGCGGCTACCTCTCTTGTAGAGAGGTTGGCAGAGGCTAACCTAGAAAGATCAATCAGGCTTCGAACGAAACAAGACGAAGAAGAAGTGGGCGACCACACGAATGAGGATGCTGTGACATTGTTCAAGCCATTTTCTCTGTTCCATGACTCTGGTATTGGGACATCCATTCCTACAATTTCGCAGTATGCCGCTACCGTTGCTTCCCATACTTCGTTCCTGTCGGTCGCTGGAGAAGATGCCATTGGTCGCCCTCGAGTTCCCTCTCTACCGCAGCAAGAACGTTCCTTTCAATGCGAGTACTGTCACAGGATGATATTTATGCGAAATCGAATAGAGTGGAAGTACGTGCGCAAAAATAATCAAGCTAAAAAGTTCGTTATACTGACTAATAGTAGGATGCATGTCTTCGCTGATCTGGAGTCATACATTTGCACACAAAATGGATGCAAGGACGCAATAAAGACCTTCCCAACCCGTCAAGCGTGGGCAGATCATGAATTCAATGAACACTTTACTTTGCGCCGATGGCGTTGCTTCACTTGCAGTACCATGCTCGGCACCCCGGAACTCTTCGTTGAACATTTGGCTCAAGTGCATGATAAGGAACTGCCTGATCACCACTTGACAGCTGCGACTTCAGAAGCGCAAGAGACTGTTTTGGCCCCCGAATTTGAAGCCTACAAGTGTGGCTTATGCTTACAGGATGGGTTTCAGACCAAAAAGAAATATTCAACTCATGTCGGGCGACACCTGGAGGAGATCTCTCTGGCTTGTCTCCCGAGAGATGAAGAAGACAGTTCTGACGATGGCTTGGATACAGAACTATCCAGCACCCGCGGAGATGTTGATGAGCCTTTTTCCTCCGTTGGACAAAATTACGAGAGTGATGAAGGTTCTAACGCCCAGGTCTCGACGCCTCAGGGTAATCCTTCTCTTGCTACGGCCCCCGAGATGGAATTGGGTGTTGACAGAATGGCGGAGGCCCCTTTAAAACAGAAAGAATTTGCGGAAAAAGATGTTCCTTCACCTAAATCACACCTTGAAGAGCGTCAAATAAGAGGGAAGGATGGGTTGTATGTATTTGGTGAATCCATAAAATCTGAGCCAGCCATGGCGATGCCCAAGGCCTCGGGAACTGGGTATGGGTCTCTACAACCGACTAGCTACTGATCTGTTCCTGAGCAACGCGATTTCCGTCGCTTGCTAGCACACTTTGGACGTGACTTTGAGGGAATCTCGAAATTCATGAAGACAAAGACGACGACGATGGTACGAATCGCATAACTGAGTTTGATCTTGATGCTTATAAGACTAACGCTAATCTTTGCAGGTGAAAAATTACTACCAGCGACGTCTTGACTCAGGACAAAAAGATTTTGAGGAGATTGTGCTAGTTGCGGAGGGAAAGAAATCTCGTGATGAAGCAACTGGTTCTCTTCCAGTCCCCAGCGTTGCCCCGAAGCGCCGTTATGGAAAAAATCCATCGGCAATTGTCCCCCGCCCGCTTGCTCCTAATGGCGAGCTCATAGCTGAAACAGAAGATGGTCCCTTCCTCTCCAAGGGCAAGCCCATTACTATTCTACCCAAACCAAGGCCATTGCACGGTCGGCCTATACCTCAGAATCATCGAACTGTTAGTCGTTACAGACCACTTGCGCCAGCTCTCACCGGTGCAACAGCCTCGCCAGCTATTTCTACTATTAGTGAGGATATTGCTACTCTTGGTTGGGATATTTCTGGAGCGATTCGAACTCTGATTCCAGATCTTCACGACGGATCCTTCGTCGATGATCGTAACGATTCGCCGATCTTGCCTGCCACCAGTCAGCGTGCACAAGGAATGAAGATGCCGTCACGGCATAGTGTGGCGGCAAAAATGCCCCAAGAGCTGTCCAAAATGGATCATTTATCCTCGCAGGGCAGAATAACGGGGCAAATGGCATATATTCTACCTCAAATTCATTCCTACCATCCAAGTCCTGCTCAGGCTCCAGGCTCGCTATCGCAAGGTTCACAACCAGAGCTGGACAGACCATCTGTTCTCCACGATCCGTTTGGACAAGGGGACTATCATTCGCTAACAGGACAACCGGCTGGACCATCTCAGTCCCCTCCCTTATTTATTTTACCAGTCAAAGATGCTCATCCCAACACCGCAGCAGCCTCTGAAGCAAGCAACCGTCAAGTGCCTGCTATGCGCTCGAACACGCTTGATGGGACTGAAGAATACAGCCCAACCCCACTTTTTGCATGTTGAAGAAGTCGTTGATCATGAAGAAGCCCAGACTCAATTGGGAACGTCGACGCCTCCCGTGGCTGGAGCGGCGCCCTCCAGGCAATATCAATGCTGAAGTCCCAACTGCCTCAAAATGATGTTTCAACATGCTTCAACTTTCCAAAGACATATTGAAAGTCTACGTCATCCTAGAGTCAAGTATATTTGCCCTCAAATTGGTTGTATAAGAGTGGAAGCTCCAAAATGCGTGAATATGCCTTGTACACACACTTGCTTTCACCAACGACGAAAGAACTTAACGACAGCCGAATTGATTTGAGTCCTCCACCCACGTGTTCCATGTGCCCTAAAATGGTGAGGAACTGGTCGGAATTTTATAAATGTTGGCTGAGTCATTGCGTAGTAGAAAACTCGACCCCAAATCACATTTGGGACCATAAAAAACGCAGAGAAGATGAAGCTTGGAAAATTTATCAAAAGTCAAAAACATAAAATAGCATGTCTAAGTTGGTAGACACTTAGTGCCAACAGATCGGACGTGGGCGACTCGCTGCTCTGTCTGGGCCCGGGCCTCTTAAGGTTGTCCAGGCGGATATTCACCCACCTGAATATTCAGCCTACATGGCAGAAGGAGAATTTTCCCATTTCAATTGACGATGTCACAAGTTCCATTTCCAATACCCCTTTCATCTATCTTGTTGCTATCACAACTTCAAACTGGTGGTCATCGTATGGGACTCATGGTTCTATTTCAGCAAACTTTGGCCTCTCTAAAAACGAATCTTAGAAGGGTTTAATGTCTGCCTGTGCTTAAATTTTCAAGATCGCGATTCAAGGTAGCTACTAGTACTAGTTTGAAATTGTTGAGACCAGTGGTGTCCACGTGTTCTCCCTGTAGATATCACCGTACACTTGACCCCTTCTTCTTCCCCAAGCACCTACCGCTGACAGAAATAGCCTTTCTGGCCTATTTTAGCTGACATTTTTAGGTGGAGCATGGCGATAAAATAGATTAACCTTAATCACTTTGAATTGAGTTCCCTTCCAACCTTGAATGCAGCAATAAGGTTTTAATAAGGTTTTTAGACGGGGTTCGCCTACCTAACGCCACGTGCGATAGAAACCCCTAAAACAGATAAGAACTTCGTCATTTCATCAGCTATGGCGTGAACTTTGCCTAACAGATTGGCTGGTATTTCATGCCCACGGGCGGAGGGAGGAATCGTGGTCTGATTATTTCTAGGATGCATTCTTTACGAATCAAGCCTGTCACATCTGGCATTTGATTCGTCAGTTTTATCATCTGAGTCCTAACAAAGGCTTCAAACTTGGAAATAATATCTCTACGCTTACGGAACACGTAGATTAATCTAATCTAACAACAGTTGCGCCCGTGACCAACAATTTACAACCTTGGAACTCAGTTCACACCCCGAAACCATCGCAAGAGATCCACAAACTCCACACGATACAGCGGTTCAATTTTAACCTGCAAACGCGGTTGCCGACTAAATAATCGACAGGTTGACAAGACGTACTTCGCACGGGGATGACACGGAGTCAAGCCTACTCGAATGAGAATCGGATAACAGTGCGCTCCATCGCGAAAATAGGCATGCGATAGGAGGCCCATAATTCGGGCATGGAAGGACTCACAATCAACTGGGGGTTCATAGGGCTGTTTCGAATTACCGAAGACTTCCGAAGTTATGGGGAAGTGTCGGTTGGAGCTTCCGCTCTTTTCTCCGGGGCCCGGCAATGAGGTTTCACTCTCCGCCTCTATTTAGACTTGGCAGTCGTGGCGCAGGACATCCGTCGGGCCTCCGCTGAGGCGTCTTGGGATCTTTTCTTTCGGAAGATCCGATAGCCTATTATCGACACTACAATATACGAGAATGCGAAGACTAGACAGAAGATTCAGCTAATCTTGACTGTCACACGGTCTCGATGCGAATTGGCAGTCCAATGGCAGACTGCTCGGCGCCTAAAGAGGTCTAGCCGATAGGAGACCTTCTCATATCTATAATACAGTGTGCTTCATCTCACTAGCGCTTAGGCTTTTCGACCATATTGGAAACGGAGTGGCAAGATATATGGCCATTCCCAGTGTCGAAATTAGGCGGTCCATGGAGTACAGCGGCCATGCATACCCCTCTCTTTCGCTATCTCTATTTTCAACCACTAGGGGGTGGGTATTTCCTGGGGAGAGGGGGAGGGGGCGGGGGAAATGGTTTACAACTTTACTATAGCTCAGCGCGATCGCATGGCGTGATAAGCTACGCCAATGGCATGGCCTTAAATACTTTTCGCCCAGAAGTGGCCACCCGATTGCTCCTTGGCCTTTGCTTGATATCGGCATGTCAGGAATATTACCCGAGTGCCATTTGCTTGGCAGCCAGATTCTGGCACCCATGACCACGGCTTGAGCTGATGAACCAGATATCAGACAGCTTCCAAGACTTCCAAGACTTTGGAGGCGTGGAAAGTGAATTTATTAGATTGCGAGGTGGTATTGCTAGCGCCAGAATGAATACGCTTTCACATTCCGGAAAATGTCGGCTACCTTCGCTTCTAGTATTGCGTTTCCCTGGGGCAAGAAACGCAATCCTCGCTCGGTTTGGCTCAGTTTGGGGCTTGATGATAACACAACACCAGACTATCCGATAAGCCCTACACGGTCCCTGCTTTTCAAAGACTGCATGTATGACAAGTCTATAAGAGGGGGCTGCCCTGGCTGCACGGAAAGCATCCCTTGACTTGACGTGTGCTTTCTAAATTCAACACCCTACTGAGGCACGTGCAACATGTCGGCCATTCGCCCCGACTCGCCTGTGGATGGTGTCGTTTCGGTTTCAGGTCATGATACTTTCGATGAGAAAAAAACTATCAATGTGATCACCAAAGATGAACATCAGGTTACCAGTACATCCTTCGGGTCCGGCGGGGACGGCAGTGAAGATGACTGCGGTAGAAGTGATGTGATTATCGTCGATGGTGCTGATGCGGCAAATCATTTGCTCCCAATGCGGGATGACCATGACCCTGCTTTAACATTCCGGAGTCTCGTCTTGGCCTCTGGTCTGGCCTGCTTCCAGTCGGTTATGTACCAGATTTATATGGCATGTCTCTTATTACTCCTTCATGTGCCGTTTTCTTTCATCATCTAACGCGAGGGCAAGTTTAGTTCAAACCAACATCAATTACCATTCAAGGAACCTTCATCGTCCTCATTTCCTATTTTGTTGGGAGAGCCTGGGCCAAGTTTCTTCCCCGCGGAGAAAAGTTTGAAGCTCGATGGAGAGCGAAGGGTGGCCAAGGAAAGCTGCCCTTGTATATCACCATTCTCAAATTCATCAACAATGGGCCCTGGACGTTGAAGGAACATGCCATCTGCTCAATCACGGCAACGAGTGCTTCAAACGCCGCAGCTGCCTCCGAGGTATTTGCAGCACAGGAGCTGTTCTATAACATGTCACTGACTCCGGCAACTGTGATCTTGAGCACCATCTCCATCGGCCTGTTTGGATACGGAATCTGTGGAATCATGCGTCCCATTTGTGTCTGGCACGTTGATGCAGTCTACTGGAGTACCCTGCCTACTGTCAAGGTCCTCCAAGGGCTCCATTGGCAGGAGTTGAAAAATTCCAAGCCATTGAGATACTTCTGGTATGCCTTTACCGGAATGACACTCTATGAAATATTCCCTGCCTATATCTTCGTTTGGCTCAACTCTGTCTCCGTCCCGGTATTAGTCCTCCACCCCCAAACTGAGTATCAAAATAGCTTACTAACGCATGCTTTTCCAGTGTCTGGCTGCTATGAAGGCTACTGGTGATAAGGCTGCTGTCCTTACTAATATCTTTGGCGGAGCCTCGAACAACGAAGGGCTTGGTCTTTTTTTCTATCTCGTTTGATTGGCAATACGTAAGATGACCAATCTTCCATATACCACTACGGAAATCATCTGACTGTTACAGATTACCTCTTTCCAAACTGCTCTTCCTCTCACGCTGCAGGCACACCAAGCTGCTGGTTTTGTTGCTTGTTTTATCGCTATGATTGGTATTTACTACGGAAACGGCTGGGACGCAAAGTCGCTTCCTTTCATGTCGACAAAGCTCCTAATGAGCAATGGAACTGCATACCCGGTCGCCGATGTCTTTATTGACGGTGTGCTAGATGAAGAAGCGCTGCTCAGTTATGGCCTGCCAAAACTGACTGGAACATTTGCTTTCGCCATGTTCATGGCTAATGCTGCTGTGAGTTCGAAGTTTCCCTGAAATTCACATTAACTTCATCATCTGACATCAGTTACAGATCGGCGCTCTTATTGTTCATTGCTTTCTCTTCTGGGGTAAGGACATCTGGGCCGCGTTCAAAAAAGCCAAAGAAGGTCGATATGATGATCGTCATCACGAACACATGGCGAAGCATTATGAGGAGGCCCCTTGGTGGTGGTATGTAGGAGTTTTGATCATCAGTTTCATTCTCGGCCTCATCGTGGTCCTCAAGGAGGACGTCTCGCTCCCAGCCTGGGCATATGTTGTCTCCTTGGTAGTTGGAATCATCATATCGCCATTTGTGAGTGGTTTCAGTATTATTTATCTGACGGAGCTACGCTAACTCGATTTAGAGTACTATTTTGTACTCTCGCTACGGAAACGGTATTGCAACCAACAACCTCTCGAAAATGTTGGCTGGTCTTATGATTCCTGGACGTCCGGTCGGAAACATGTATTTTGCTGCTTGGTCGCACAACGTCATCTCAAATGCGGTCAGTTTGTCCAATGATCTCAAGATGGGCGAATATCGTGAGTTCCCTGCTCATATGATCGAAGCCAGTGCTAACGCAGATTTAGTCAAAATCCCCCCCACGTGTTATGTTCTTGACTCAGATTTGGGGCACTATCCTTGGCGGATTTATCAACTATGCCGTTATGATCTCAATTGTCAAAGAAAACAAAGTGGTTCTAAACACATCAAATGGCAGTAACTCTTGGAGTGGTGCCACGTTGCAGGCTTACAACACCAATGCGACCTCCTGGGCTCTCGCCTCCTATCTTTACAAGACAGGTACCCAGTACTGGGTGGTGCCCATTGGCATTGCCATTGGCGCTGCCTCTGTTGTTGCCCATCGCATCTTCTACCACGTAAGTACCCCGAGTCCGGTCTTCCCTGTTATTTTGCTGTACCGGCTAACATTTACAATAGTTCGTTCCTAAAATCCGCAACTTTGACGTTGCTGATATCAACATGCCTCAGTTCATTCAGTACGCTGGCTACATCCCCTACAACCAGAGTCAGACCTGCGTCCTCTTCAGCTGGGTCATCGCCGGCTTCTACGTTCAGTACTACTTGCGCAACTACCGCCCTCGCATTTTCAAGGACTATTCATACTTGATTACTGGAGCCTTTGATGGCGCTAGTCTGACTGTATTGTTTGTTCTTTCGTTTGCGGTTTTCGGCGCTGGAGGTGCTTCCCACGCATTCCCAACGTGGTGGGGTAACAATGCCGACGGAAATTATGATCTTTGCCCTTCTTCATAGATAGCAGAACTCAGAATAGCTTAATTAATGCTTCGGTGCGAATCGGAAGGTTGTACGAACCTTCAATATAATTGATGACTGTGTGCTCATGGCGTTCACATCATAGCCAATATGAAAGTTACAAAATTTCTATGGTCTTAGGAATAAATACTAACTATTAAATATTCATCCATGCCAAAATCCAACCTTGGAACGAGCCCGACATCTGCTATTTGGACATAATTTTGATATATGGACAAACACGGTCATTCAAGTGCAGGATATCCAGGTGCAAACGTGCGGGTGCGGGTGCGGAAATTGCGGTTGGCTAAGATGGAAACGACATTGCTCGTGTTGGGGCCAGACCAGCTGTCCAAGTCGGCAAATATTTGTGCTGAGTTATGACACTTAGTTTCTATCAACGAGCAGTCGCATGCTTGTTCAATGAAGTTTGTGAAAAAAGAGGGTGGTAAAAAAACTTGAAACCCGAACTTGACACAAACTTGAACCCCCCAAGTGCTATCACAATTAAGTGTGGAGCTTGTTATGTCATGGGATCCACATTGAACGAACAGGGTCCACATATATAAACACAGTGGCAAGAGATCGCCTGAGTACAACGACAAGTGTAAAAGCGATCATAGGCTTCTAAATGTCGACTCCAGGCGGAAGTCTGCATGGATAATAGTATCGGTAATTCCTTAGTATCAGCGGCTATTCCACGCTATATCTAGAGCTGTTTATCAGCATAAACAATACATTGACCCCTTAACAGATGATGAAAAAGAGGGGTTGGCGATCAACAATGATACAGTGGGTCAAATATCTATTGGCGTCAATTTAGAGACTCTCTCGACCCTCCATGAAGTCATAAATGAAGTTGATCCTTCGTTAAGGGTCATCTTCTCAAGTGTCGTCATCAAATTCAAGCTGAAGTTAAAAAAAACCATTCCCCATGCGTCATCTTCGCACTTAACTTTTAGCAACGTTACCCCTCAGGGCCCTCACTACAAGAATTTGGAAACATTCTCACCTCATTCACATATCAACATAAATCAAGCACGATGACTCCTACTCCCTTCGAAGAATATGCGGCGCTTATGAACCGCAACGGCGACGGCTACTATCTGTACAAACCCCAACCATGCACTAAGCTCCATCCCGGTGTTGTCGGATTTTTCGACAGACACGGGGGCTGGACCACGATTACCGACGTCTCAATCCCAGGCCAGGCTGAAAAGGACGGATACACAGGTTTTGGTATCCAGTTGATTAAGGACACACCCGAGCAAGCAAGCTGGGATACTCGGGCTTCATCAAGTGAAGCACAGCACAGCTTCGGAGTGACTGGGGGACTTTCAGGCGCCCTGAGCGCTGCACCAGTGGATGTCTCGGCTGAGGCTAAGAACAAATGGGGACAGACTGGAAAAGCTGCGCTTATTGCTGAACATGTCATTATCCACGAGAGATTCCGTGGGCCTTGGGGGACTCCACTTAAGAATTGGGTTAAGCAGAATGCTAAGGCACTTGTGAATTCTCCTTGGAACGAAGAGATCAAAAAGTTTGGTCTTTGGGCTATTAACAAGACTTGGTCTACCCAAGAATGCAAGATCACTATGGATAGTGCTTACAATCGGGATACCAGCGGTGGATTCGATGTTGGGGCTACCGGTGTGGCCAAGGGTGGAGTGAATGCTTCGTCGGAGGCAAAGAATGAGAATCAAGGCTGGACAACCTTTAAGGCGTCGGAGGTATGTAGATTGAGGCTTTTTGTCGACAGGTGACACTGATCATCACACTAACTCTTTCCAGGGAGAGAAAGGACTAGTCGTGTCCTACGGTGGAAATGGCTTCAAGCTTTCGACCTTTACCAAGTTCTTCACTAAGAACGTAAGCATTGCCTTACATGATCAATACTATATAATTTGTGCTGCTAACTGACCAATTATTTAGCCACTCAAGCAAACTCAAGAGAGGGCCATGGCCGCAGAGATCCTAAAACCTGTATTCGATGAGAATGGGCAGAAGATCGGTGTTGAGTTCTACAGGCCCATCTACGACGAGAACCACAAGCAAATTGGGCAAGAAAAGATCGACAGAGAGGCCGATAGGAAGCGCAAGGAAGAGGAAGCCAAGAAATTGGTAGAGGCTGGTGATGCGGAGGAAGAGGTGGATATCGAGTTTGGTGAAACTTTCGGAGAAACAGAAGAGGAGCGAGAGGCAGAAAAGCAGCGCTCTCGCAAGTTAGAAGAAGAGAACAAAGAAAAGGCTGATGTCATTATGGCTTCAGGACTGCCCGATGAGGAGAAGAGGGTTGCGTTGCTCAAATTGTATGTCCAGGAGGAGGTTGTATTTTAAATGATCACACCTGTGCCGGGATGAGAATAGAGCGAAAATCTAAATTTTAGCAAGCATTTCAGGAAAATCAAGACTGACTCTCACTACTACTAGTAGGAGAGTCGCTGGGCTTCTACTACTAGTCATAAAAGATTGAATTCTATTAGAATTTCTCATGCCGTGCCTGTCTTTCCCCTGGGCATCTTTGAAGGTCAGTGTTTTCTTACCAAACGGTAATATACCGGAAATTATGTAATTACCGTAATCTATGTAATTTACGTAATTTATACGTCGGTTCCCCGGTATTCATTTGTACCCGCAGGTTTTCCAAGGTTCCGTCAGGTTCTCCAGCTGAATGGGTCATGGGTCTGACCCGCAGTTCCCCATTCTAAGAAGTTTAATGAGCCTTCAAATGTTCCAACTTGAAGGTTCTATTAAGGGAAAGCATATAATATACGGCGTATTAAATGATTACAATTTATAAACTTCAGCAGTATATAATGAAAAAGATCCGAAGCTATTTGGGTACTATTTGAACGTTCCAAACGTTGTACATACTAGTACTACGGTCATAGTCAAGGTCTTCCAAGGTTCTAATGTTGACATTCAATGGATGTCTCCCTACTAGGATTGAAAGCATCAAGTAAGTGAAATATCCTCTTGCAGATGCTGAGACCTCATCCACTTTTTACAATGTAAAATTTGTCTTTTAAGGCCGACCAAGTCTCAGTCACCAGCACAGAGCTTAGTTCATGTGCTTTGACCTTGGCCTGCCAAGCGCAAGTCCAGAAAACTAGCCTCAAAAGGCGATCCGCAGGCGTCGGCCCATGACACCAAATTAACATTTGAATCGTCCTTGTTTTGCCACCGGCAGCTATTTTGCACACTTCCCCACACAATCTTCCCCTGGACCAGAAATATCTCCATAGATGAATTCCGCCCCATAAATTGAAGTGCGCGAACCCCTAAAATAGACTGACTCACTGTATCGGACTCAAAATTCCTTTCGCAAGCGCCTTCTACGGGAGCCACTAAAATGGAGGATTTAAACTATGTCAATGGATCCTATTTTCCTAGTTGGCGAATCTACCGAGGACAGAATCCATCGTCGATGAATCTTGCCAAGACAACCCATGTCTTCTACGCGTTTTTGAGGTATGATTTCCTTGTTCTGTACTTTCCTGGAAGACCTTTTCTGCTTGTGGAGCCGCGATCCCCAGGAACATTTTTGACCAGCGTATTCCATTCAACAGAGTCCGAAGTGATGGTAGCATCTACGTGAGTAATCGTTCAAACTTACGAAAGGTGAATTGATTTAACAGGTTCGAGTGTAGCACCTTGATGAGAAAGCGGACCTGCAGTATCCAACAAATGAGACAACCGGTTGTCTGCACGCATTTCGTGCGCTTAGAGATCAGCAGTTCCCTCACCTGAAATTAATCGTCTCCATTGGAGGATCTAGTGGAAGTCAGCCATTCAAGGCCTTGGCGAGCGAGAGACAATCTCGTCGACGACTAGCCCAAAACATGCGGCAGTTTGTCGATCAATACAAGCTAAATGGCGTGGATGGTGAGTAATCTGACGAAAAAAAAGAAAACCTGGAAGTTGAAATTTTCTTACCGACGAATCGCTAGTGGATTGGGAACACCCCTCAGACCCTGCAGATGGGCGCAACTATGTCCTGTTATTGGAAGAGCTACGCAGGAGCCTCCCAGCTCCACAATATCTGCTCACAACTGCTCTCCCCGTCGGGGAATGGTGCCTGAAGCATATAGATGTGGCAAAAGCAGCCGAACACGTGGATTTTGTAAATCTGATGTGTTATGATTTTGCGGGCCCATGGACTGGGCTGTCTGGTCACCAGTCCCAACTGTATGCGCCGACACGCCCCTTCAATGACTTTGCCAAGCGATCTGGCCACGACGCGGTAAAATATTTCCTAGCGAGAGGCGTCAAGAGTAGGAAACTAGTTTTCGGTGTGCCCGTCTATGCACGCTCGTTTTTGGGGGTCGATGGCGTGGGTCAGCGGTTTACAGGTCATTCTGGAGAAGGGGGCACTTTCGAGTATCGAGACTTGCCATTGTCTGAAGCGAAAGAATTTTCGGATCCGAAGTTGGGTGCGGCGGGCTCCGTTGGTGGTGAAGGGGGTTTTCTCAGTTACGATCTTCCAAGCACCGTGCAGATGAAGGCCGAATATGTCCGGGCCAACAACCTTGGGGGCCTTTTCTACTGGACAGGCGTTGCTGATGATGCCGGGCCCAGGAGTCTGGTAAGTGCGGGTTATGATGTGCTCAGCCGTGTGTGAAGGCTTGAATTTGCCGATCTGTAATCTGTACGAAGTACCTTCCAAGGATTCAAGGTTGCAAAGTCTCATAACATAGTATTTCCGTCTCATGAATGGAGTTTGCTCAACGTGTTTCCCATCTATCTAGGCTCCTGGTCCATCTGATTTCGAGTTTCTTTTCAATACTTAGCAGAATATTTTTCGTCAAACAGTCCCCAGGTGATGACTGTTCAAGTTTCCAGTATATTGAGTTGAAATTTCATTACCGCAGTACTAGTATAATTTTAACGAGTCAATCAAGCCATAAATCATCCAAACATGAAAACACATGAAAACAATCATGACATATTCTAACAAAGAGTGGCAAAGTTCTCAATCATCACACCTTCAAGCTCATCCAGCACAGTCAGGTCCAATCCCACCTGGTTCACAGCGACCATGATGATATCAAAATGTTCCAAGCTGTTCTTGTTCCACTGAGTCTTCTCATCCATCCGGGGTACGAAAGGGACTGTCTCCGCCGATACCAAGGGATCCGCAAACGCAACGTACGCCTCCCACTCCGAAAGCAAGTGACGCACCAGAGCCAGAGCCGGCGAGTTGCTCAGCACCGACTGTCCGCGCTTAAAACCCACTCCCACCACCAAGATCCGTGTCCGATAGTTGCGTTCCTTGGTCGGCTTACACTGCCGGATGTATTTTCTCATCACTCGGTCTCCCAATCGTGCGGGCCGATCAGCCATTCTCTCCGTTGCCGCTTGGAGTAGAGGGAACTCGGAGTTCATGAGGAGGTAATATGGGTTCACCGGGATGCAGTGACCACCAACACCGAGGCCAGGGGAATATGGCTGATAACCGAACGGCTTGGAGGCCGCCGCGGCCGAGACCTCGAGGGCGTTGATTCCAATTTCATGACACGCGTCGGCCATCTCGTTTGCATGGGCAATACAGACCATACGCTGGCAATTCTCGTACAGTTTTGTCATCTCGGCAACCTCGGGGGAGGATACATGGACTAGGTGCTCGAAGATTTCCTGGTATAAGGTGTGGATGCTAGCAAGTGATCCAGGAGTGATATCGTCGAGACCGGAGATGATCTTTGGAATTGCTTCAAACGCAGGGCTGACGCGACCGGGATCGACACGCTCGGGAGACATGCCCGCCTTCAGGCCCTTGGCTAGCATGACCTCCTTGACGAGTTGGCGGGTCATGCCGACTGCTACTGAGCTTTCAATGATAACAGTCGATCCCATCCTTGCATATTGAGCGACAAGAGAGATGGCACTCTCGAGATGCTGGGTGTCAACGGTGTTGTTATTATGCAGACGAGTAGGAACGGAGATGAGGAAATGGGTTGCCTTGGAAATATCGCTGGGGTTGCTGGTGTAGTAGATGTTTGGATTTGTCTCCGTCTCTTTTAGCAAGTCAAGACGTTTCTGATCCACATCGTAGGCTTCAACATGGTAAACTTTGGCAAAGGCCTGAACAAGTTGATAGCCCACGTAACCCACTCCAATCACAGCCACAACGGACTCAGAAGGTTGTGATGGGGAAATATCCACACTAGGGAATTGACACAGGCGATCATGATCTTCTTCCAGCTTTGACTCATGTGGAGGTGTATCGATGCCATTGTTGGATGTGGGTTGGGCCTTGAAGAAGCCGGCTGAGTTTTCATCAACAGACCCATCAGGTGATGGAAGGGAAGATACAAAAGCACCAGTCATGATTGTATGTATAGATTATTTTGGCTTCAAATTCTCAAAGCCCAAGAATGAATAATATGCAAATTTTTATTGATCTTACATAGAGACTGTTTCTCTTATATTTATAAACTAGCACAACGTATTCAGTATCGCTCTCCAGTGTTTCTCCAGACTCCTCCTCGCCAGTTTTTCCTCAATGATTGAGTCTCAGCTGAAGTTGTCCTCTGGTCGAGACGAATACCCTACCAAGAACAAGGTTTTTGGACAGACTAAGGCAAAGGAATTCGGCTCCGGGTTCGTATATCATGGTCGTGGCGCTCGGTGGCACCGAAAGCCTCGATCCCAAGGCAAAAGACTCATCATGTTTTCTTCCAATATTGATAGTTTCCGGCCAAATCCGCTAGTGGAATAGTGCATGCTCACCTAGATCTCCCAGGGCTCTAGACTCTCAACTCAAGCCCAGGAATTTGCACATGTGTTCTACCTCACGCAACCAAGCCCACAATCCAGCCTTGGAAGACCTAAATTGCCATTTCCGCTACATGTAAACAGAGATAGTCTGAACCTTGGAGGGACACTAGCACAGTTTATGAATTTGCAGCATAACTATGGGAGCCCTACTGCTAGCTTAAGCAATCGTGTCACATTAATCAAGTATTCTTTGACTTTCCTACACTTGATTAAAATCGTTTCAATGTGGCTGTAGTTCATTACAATGGCGTCTTTGAGCCACCAGCGGCAGCCTGATGTCAGCCTTACAAGGTGAGAATCATCGTTTCCTGTCATCTGGTTATCATTGAATGTTCAATTGAATCCAGATGTCATGATGTTGACCGTGACGGTCTTACGGTAGCTCTGCAGACGGAGACATCTATCACGATATATGTCCTAGTAGTACTTACACGGATATGGATCACTTTCCTTTTTCATCAGGATCAATCATTATTTCAAGCGTCATTATATCTATGGGGAGAGACATTCTACCTAGTTCAAGTTCAAAAATCGTGGTGTAAAAGGACAAGGTAACTCAGACTAGGTCGTACCTGCCGCCACACATACAAAAGACGCAGAATCCAGGGGGTCTGTGGCGTTTCTCCAGGTATCGTACCAGTGATTAAAATACCTAGGTACAGTATTACAGTACTCTGTCCGTACCCAGGTGAAATATCATCCATGACCTGAGCACATCTGCTTGTTGAATTGCAAATTGCTTTTTTGAATCACTCAGCTATTACATATTTTTGATGTGCATAGAACAAGACAAAGCGAGGGTATAATTTCCTTATTTTCGCTTAAATGGTGTAATGCTCTTGGCAATTCAAATTTTACGAACTGAGAAACTCGTGGCATTGAGTGGGATCCTCCTAATAGTGCGGGGGGGCCCAGCCGCAGGGGATCACTTTAAGTTCCCGCCCGGGGGCGTGTGGCACATAAGTTAGTTTTACCGACGAACGAGTCTATGAACTGCAGGGGAAAAAAATAGAGTTAAATAAACGAAAATGAGAAAAAGATAATTAAGACTAAAATAAAAATAAACTTCCGAGATCTGAATCTATCCAGCTAAACTAATTGGCGTAGAGCGGGCATCGACCTCGTATTGCGAACAACTCATTCTCGGATTTCGCCTCAATTTTTGCCGCTGGCATCGGCCATTCTATCCCAAGGTGAAAGCGCCTCGCTAAGGTGCTCGAATTTGCACTTTATGGTTATACCAAGCCATGGCTATTTGAATTCGCTGCGCTGCCCCTGTGGCTTTGAAATATTCTATCTCGTACATAACCCTGTCTGGAGTGTTCATTCACACATTTTTCATTCGTTATATACACCTGACTTCGAGCAACCATGTACACTATTCAGCCCGGGAACCCGGATAATGTAGTGTCTATGGAAGAAATGGACATTGAATCTCAGTCCATCACAATTCCTGCAAAGACATTCCAGCCTCCAGTGAATTGCCACAGTACCGCGGATATTTCCCTTCAACCAACATCATTCTTTGGGAATATCCTTCATAAATATCGTGCCTCATCCGGCACTGAGTCTTCTGCCGGATCAGATATCAACACTCGTTCCTCCTCCCCAAGTGAAAATCCTCGTAGCGATGCTTCATACAGCATCCCGAGTCCTGGGCCAGAGAGCAGTGCTGACTCGCGCTCGGATTCTTTGGCTTCGAGTCGAGACAATGGTGACGGAAAGCATGGCTTTGTGTTCCCCCAAAGAGCTGCTATTGCACCAGTAATGGCCACTTGCCGTGGGGCAGATGGCCATGACTTCGACTTCTCTTCACCGGAAGACAGAGCTACTTCATTCTTCATCCCTCAGATGACGCAGCCTCGCAAGATTGTTGTACCAAAGCCATATTCGGGTCAAAATCTGCCAAGGCCCTCTTCCCGGAATGAACTGTCGGATGATGAGGTTGATCAAGTCTTAGTACCCCAAGCTGTTCAGGCCTCAACTACGGGGTACAAATCATCCCCGACACACTTTGCCGCACAGGATGGTCTCGGACCTGCCTTGGAGGAATGGATGGACTGTGTCACCACTGCTACACCAAAGCCACGACCTGAGCACTCGCCCAAGAACCTAAAGAGAGGAAGACGTACTATCGTCTTACAAAAGCACCTCATGCAAGCTGCAATCATTAGCTTGAAGTAATTCTAGATCCCCTTCCCTCAGATACAGAAGCAGATGAACCTCTTTACTAACTGGTTGTTTTCTTTCCGTAGTGGACTTTGCATCTTCAGCACATGGTGGTGGGGAAGCTACTACTATATTCTCCTGCCTTTCATCACGGCCACAGTCGCTTTGAACATCGTTATGATTGTCTCCATCATCTTCAACTTGATTCGCCGTCGGATATTCCCAGAAAACCAAACCATGCCCGAGAAGCCAGAGTCGCTCGTACTGGTTATTCCCTGCTACAATGAAACAAAAGAGGAAATGTTGAAGTCTTTGAATTCTCTCATTTCGCAGAACAATATCGACCAGCACCCGCGTGCCGTCATGATCATCTGTGACGGGAAGGTTCGTGGTCCCGACATGGAAAAGACAACTGCGGATTACCTCTTCGAGGATATCCTGGTGAAGAAGGACTATCGCATCCGCATTCCGGCCGCATATCTTGCATGGGATCAGCAATTTATGGATATCGAAGTACAAAAGGGAACATACCAAGGCATGCCGTATTTTTGTATCATCAAACAACAGAATCAGGGCAAGCGTGACAGTCTCATTGTGATTCGTTCGTTTTTGTTTAACTACAACATTCGCTTTGAGCGACCGGAGACTGTCTTCACATCAGTTTTCTTTGCCCATATGGCCTCTTTCATTCATGAGGCAGGTATCGAGCATGTGGATCATCTGATTGGAATGGATGCGGACACTGTGTTTGACGATGACTGCATTGCTGAGCTCCTCTTGCAATCCCGGTTCGACCATGTCGTCGGAGTCTGCGGCTACGTCGCGGTTGATTGGAAAGACGGCAACTTCAACCCATGGCGCTTATATCAATCTGCCGAGTACACTATTGCCCAGGGATTGCGTCGTCTTCACCAATCAGTCGCCACACACAAGGTGTCTTGCCTGCCTGGCTGTTGTCAACTGCTGAAGATCTGCGAAGAGACTTGTGGCCCGGAGGTTTTGATTGAGAAATTCGGGTACTGCCCAACTTTGACCGATGGCATGCTCACTCAGATTCGTGCTACAGCTAGTGAAGACCGCAACCATGTTTGTCACATGCTGTCCGCAAGACCCAAGGTTCAAACTCGCCAAGCACTGAAAGCAAAGGCATATACAGATGTTCCTCGGTCTTGGTCGGTATTTCTGTCCCAGCGTCGTCGTTGGACTTTAGGTGCTACATCCAATGATCTGCTACTCGTATCTGCCCCCGGCGTGCAATGGTTTGAGCGGATCTTGGCCGCGGTAAACGTTTTCACTTGGTTTCTGAACCTTTTTATCTTCGCGAGTGTGGCTAGTTTTATCATGGCTGCTACTAGTAAGTTATTCTCTGTATGCCTTGATCATGAATATATGAATTAATTTGAATCTAGCTGTCCCGGTCGGTATCCTGATGGCCTTCGTCTCGGTGATGCTTATTCCCGTCACCTACTACTTTTGCATTCCCCTTTGGCTATGCAATAAGTGGCTCGATCGGATTCAGTTCTGGCTTGGATGCTTAATGTACATGTTTTGTGGTCCATTTTTAAACATCTCTGTGCTTCTATATGCCTGCTGGTACATGGATTCCTTTGGATGGGGAAAGACCAGAAAGGTAGTTACCGAGAGCGAAGAATCGGCAAAAGCTCTCACTACGACACCGACATATGCTCTCGAAGAGACACCATCCGAGCCTACCGCACTCCCTCAACGACAAGAGGCTCTCTCTGTGCGATCCTGAAAATAACTTGTGGGGTTTGTTGAAACTGCCAGAGTGCCCTGTCTTTCTTGGCCCCTTCTTTGCTATATTTGTGTATGTTGTGTGATTTATTATGATTCTTTTTCATGAGGCCCCTTTCCGCGGGGTTTGAGTTGGATGATTTCCTCATTCTAGACTAGAGACATACGATACTACTAGTATATAGAATTTAATCAATTCCTATTCTTTGAAAACACCCACACCATGAACTCTAGTCATGCTATTCGTCTTCCTGGTGTCTCAATAACTCAAAATAAATGTGTTGCAAAAATGTTTCCTTATTCTAAAGCATCGCGTGAAATTACCGCTTAACTCTACAGATGTCGCAGATATCACCTTGGCACCTGGGCATCGAGAGCGAATTTTCAAATAGTAATATGGCGTTACCTGTGCACATCATGATTCATACTAGTTGTGTTTCTGGAAAGTCTTCCCATTAGAACCTGAAAGAACTTAAAAATACCAGCCAGGTGCCCAGCCCTGAGGATAGTCGTTCTTCATCACGGTTCAATGCTCATTGCCTGAGTTCGATTTCTCCACGTGGGCATTCTGTATAGTTATTTTAAGCGACTGGGTGCATGCGCCTACCACTGGACTATCTTAAAGTAGGTAATTAGGGCCTAGCCACCTTCTAAGTTCGACTAGGCCACCAGTGACAGCTGGCTAGCTCCCTCAACTGTGATGATAATGTGGCGAGACACTGTTCAGATTGATGCACTAATTGTCACATTGGGGGCCACACCGCCACTAATGCTCCCATGCAGCTGAGCACTGTCCTCAAAATTGGGGCACTCGAGCTTGCGAACTCTTTATTCAAGTTGATAAAACTCTTTACTTGAATTCGATGTTCGAATGCTGATCAGTTTTCGATAACGCCGTAAAATCATGTTAGTTGTGGGGGATGTTTTATCCTCTGCACAATGAAAACCTTTTCTCTAATTGTTTCACCAAATCCCCTTTACACTATGATTTACTAGTCTCTACAGTTCCAGCTCGCTCTCGGATACAGAAATAAGTTCAGAAAACTTTGACACTAGCTTGAGGAAGTTATACCTCATCAGGAAGGGATTGACGGGATCACCGGCACTGCATGGATGGCTTCAGGTTTTCCTGCATGAAAGAACTAGTATGACAATATTTGAAAATTTTGAATTCTCAAAGACCTAATCTGACACAGGCGAAGACATTAGGTAGCAAAATGGGATATTATTAACGAAATCTAAATCCAACCCGAATTAATTTCCAATTAATAAGAAAGCCCCGAGTAGGGCAATCCAGAATGACAATCCAACCACTTTTTTCGACGTACTACCCGTACCGCTTGTCTCCCCAGTGTAAACAGTTTGATTTGAGGTCATATTTGTGTGCTGCGAAAAGAAGTAAGACGACGTGTTATTCCCCGGGTCATTAGGAATAACACAGATAGCATTCGGCGCAGAGGGTTCCTTGCACCGATTATTATAATCCGAAGTACGCTGAGAGTCGCTGCTGTTGAAATATGCCTTGAAATAGCTGATTGTCATTATAGCGTCTTCCTCTGGTGGACCCTGAGTCCACCCGGATGCCCCGTTACTCCAGTGACTGAAGAGGACAGCAGTGTTCCAGGATGGGACATCTGTTATGAGATCCCAGAGCCAATTACCATCGAAGTAAAAGGAGACCCGATCGGGCGTCCAGTCAAAGCGGTATTCGTGATAATCGCTTGTCAGGTCGACAGCGAGAACTGGACGACCGTAGGTAGATGTATTTGGGAGCTGATATCCATCGATAATGGACTGAATCGAGTGAAAGACCAGGTTGAGTGGGGAGAATGGGGTTGTCGAGTTAAGAGTATATTGTCCGTATTGACGAGAAAGAAGCTCCATGTCAATCTCTTGCGTATCATTATAATACTGCACTATGTTAGAAAAATGGAAGAGCTGGGAATCTGGAAGTTACTTATATGGATGCAAAGCTACTTACGGAGAAAAAGGCACTGCAGGTTCCATTGACTGGAGTCAATTTCATTGATGTGCGGAACGAGCCATATTGAATATCATCTCGAACAGTTTTGACCTGCCCGCAAGGAACGAGTCCATTGGATTGGATGTCCCCGCGAACATATAGTTGTAAGCCAGCATCACCGCCCAGTTCACTTTCGGTGGAACTCAGGGTAGCATTTCTGAGAGGGTTGGAGACTACATTGGCAGCAGTGTAGTTTGTTCCGTAATAGCCGGAGCTTGGATCATAAGATGTCCAATATCTTTGGATTGACCAATCAGTATCGAGAGAGATGTTTTGAATGAAGAGGAAGTCTGATTCAATCAGGTCGGTAAAAACTTCATGTCGGGCGGACGAGGTGGAATTCACGGAATAACCACATTCACAATCCGAAACCACTGTTAGGGGACGGTTAGTTTAAAAGATAATTGCATAGAGGCGAGTCCTGAAGGGGAGAATGATCTTATAACATACCTGGCCGTATCAGCCCCAACAGCAGAGTTCTTGAGATAATAGTACGAATATTTCCCATCCCAAAGATTCAACGAATATTGCGACTTTTTAGAGTTTATACTTTTTTTCTGTTTTTCTACACTTTTTTTAATTGCGCTGAGATCCATGAGACACTTTATAACATCCAAACGTGGACTGCATGGGTTTCGGCAATGGTGTCACTTGATAAATTTCGCCTGCGTGATCCAAATAACGGCCATCGCCTAGCCTTGCCACCGGCTAAGCCGACAGTATGGGGAACTAGTTTATTTACGCCTCTTTGCCAAGTTAGTCTCACAGCTAGTCTCAAATACGAGCGCATAGCCGAACTCCAGTGGCGGCAGAGCCGCCAAGCCCCGAGGCCCAAGCTTACACTAATTATTAGATGCATCTTAGGCGACTGGGGAAATGATTTCCTGGTTTCTTGCGGTTTTTGCCCATTATCTTGGCGAAACTGAATAAAATTCGAAATCTGATTTGACATCAAATAATTCAGCGGGGCATGATGCGCCCTGCACGTGCGAAAATCCGGGGATTACGGCAGATGAGAACCATCTCCATTTCTACTGCATACTGGCTTAAGCCTAGATGCTTATCCTATTACTGCACATGTGGTGGCAGTGTCATGTCAATTAGAAAGGTCTAACTCTGTCCCGCATCGTGGCTCTCTTCAAGGTAAGTCTCGGTGACTAGACACGTTGAAAAACCTACCCAAGTCAATTCCTCCATGATCCGAGCGCGTTCCGAATTGTTGCGCTTCTTCGCGTTTTCCTTCATGGCGAAGTTCACATCGTGAAAAATACTTTCTCGTCTCTTTCTGGAGGCATCTTTGGACTTATATCTGCATAGCACGTAAATTCAATCAGTAAGAAATAGGGAACAGGACCAATGTGCGACATACGAATGGGCCCACTGGCAAATAAAGAGAACCCGAATTTGACAAATCTGGGCTTTAAAATAGAGTTTATATCTTCGTTAATTAAATTGGAAAATGCTCCTTCTGCCAGGGAGATAAACATTCAGCCCTGGAGGTGAAGAATATTCAGGTATGGTGGCTGGTATTAGGAGCTTCACTTGACCCAGAAGAAGACCCCAGCGACTTCAAGAGCTCCCAGAGTCAAGAAAGCGCCAGCCCCGCTACTGCCTAATGGCGTACCAAATCTCAAGGCAGCTTCCGCGAACCATGACCCGACTCAGGCTGGCCAGGGACCGTCCCCATTTTGTGTCGAGTTATCCCTGTGCTCACACTTTGAGGATTGCGCAAATTGCCATTTTGGTAAAAAGTCAAACAAAGTCCATTGCCAGCTATGTGAGTCATCCGACTTATCTGGCGATGACCTCGGGAGGAGGCAACCGGCCTAGAATTAATACTGGCAAAAGTGAAGAAGCAGCATAGTCTGTTTGGAGATTCTGAGAAAGCTGTTGAAGCATTGACTGGCGCAAGGCGTGTTCATGAGATGCATAACAAGACTATGTCCACTATTTTGCGTTTTGGCAATCAAGAGTACTCACTCACACAAGCTGGAATAGTATCTTCTGTAAAGCATAATGTGGTTATAATGGAAATTAAACTTCTCTAAGCGTAACAGAAGCTAGGGATAGATATGGATAACGCGCTTCATACTGTTAGGTCATGTGGTCTCTATAGATCAGACCAACAGCCCTGTGTAGATAGCTCTCTCTCTCTCGTGCCTAGTAGAACTCCTTCCCTTCTTCACGCTTCCTATACATGGTCCATCGCATATGTAGACATCGTTCTTTTCCCCACAACACATATGTACAATGAAGGAGTTTGTTTTGATGAGAAGACTACCAAGGAGCGCAAGAAGAAGGCGAAGACTACAAAGCCCTTCCAGAGGGCCGACGGGTCTAAGATGTCAAAGAACCACAAGGAGGAGGAAAGTCAAGGTACTTGTATCTATTCCGTTCCGCTATCTACAGCGCTTAGTGCGATATCTGTAGTATGAAGAACTCCGAAATTCCCCCATGATCAAAGGTATTAGTGGACTAGTAAGTTCAAAGTCATTTCCATTGTAACACCTAGTCAAGAACACCTAGCGGTTGGCTATTTCAACGGAGTATCCATGATGGAAAGGGGACTCAGGCTTAACCCCAAAAACGCCCAAAACAAAAAAAGCCTCGACGTAGGGATGTGAAATTGGAAAATAAACCGTAACCCTTCAAGTTTGAGTGCCAGTGCGCTACTAGGCAAATACATAAATAGTATTATGACCCAGCTGCGGCAGAATATTGAATCGAACATTTAAAAAATCTACTAGTAGTAGGTAATGTCTTCCACCACCGCCCAGGCGTGATGGTGGAAGATAGCGGAATGTCAGGCCTATTTCTCTTCTCCAGCTGCCCTGTGGTCTCTTTCTTCACCTGGGGTCCACTACCCCCAGTGATAAGGCTGTATCTCTTCATTCTATGGTTCGCAGTAAGTGGATGAACCTTCCCTATTTACTATATATTTCCTTTTCCTGTTCAGTTTGGTACATACGACCACAGGGTGTGGAGAACAGGGCTTCCCGTCCGCTCAGCCGTACTTAAGCCACATACTAAACGCGGTGAATTCTCAAGAAGCCCTCGACCTTAAAACAGCACCGTGTTTTGTATTAGGGTGAGTGAGGGTGACATGGGTGAGAATTTTAGAGACTGGGGGTGACAGAGGTAAGAACGGGGTGAGAACGGGGTGAGAGACCCACCGCAGTACTCGCATTTTAGATAAATAGCAGTCCAGGGGCGCTCATTAAGGCCTGCCACTTTTTATTTGTCTTTGTCTCTCAGCTGAAAGACGATGCTCCCAGAAAATATATAGAAAAAGCTCGCCGAGGGAAACGCTTATAGGTTTACCCTTGACTATTAGAACGAGCGGGAACAAGAAGAAAATACTATTTGCTATAAGGAGCTAGCACCGGCTACGCTCTAGAATTACGAAAATACTATATTGAACTGGGTATTGTAAGCAGTCCTAGCAAAATTTATATTTTTATTACTAGCCCTAATAAATTATAGGTGGAGGCTGTCCTATAACAAAGCAGCCAATACAAACTTAGCGAAAGAGGAGCCTAATGTTACGCGACAACGACGTGTAGTTAGTAAGTGGGCGATACTTCTCTGTAAGTAATTCTCAGATACTTTGGTCGATAGTCAGGTCCTTTAGACTATAGAACTGCACTGTGAGTTAGGGGCTCCCTAGTCGGCTAACTACCCAAGTCCGTCTGAATAGAGACTCCCTAGAGATCGGTGTTGGCTGTGAAGTCGGATATGGAACGAGGCCTTGTCAACTGGTTGGCAAGTCTAGCAATAGTAGAAGCAAGATTCAATCTGATTGGTAAACTGTAGAATACAACTAACAATGGTGAATAATCACGGAGAACTAAATACATGCTAGGAAATGAGGGTCCTTACATATCCAGTCTCCCCTTTCCGTCCGAAAGGTTTTCCCTTTTGTCTGGAACGGTTCCCTTTCCTCTGGAATGGTATCTCTTATCTCTTGTCCTCATATGATCAGATATTGTATCTTCATGTATATGTATCCTTACTGCCTGACTGCCTGGCTAGCGCCCGTTCTAGGACGATATAGTTGATTGGGTCTTATATATCTATTTCTATCTTCCTCCCTATAGATCTATAATATTATCCCCTTCTCTAAGGTATTTCTCTTCAAAGACATAAATAGCCTAGCTTCCCCCTAGGTAAGTGGTCGCTATCCCTTGTTCTCTTTATCTTCCTTCTTCCCTTTATTTCCCCTCTATCTTAATTCAAAACCGGGAGGAGGGGCATTCAAATATTGAAGGGTATATTCACACCTAGATAATTACTACTAGTTGATATCAGTACCTACACTAGTATGTAGATACCTACTAACATATATGGCCGTCCATGGGTCCTTCGGGTCCTTTTTTAGTACCTTAAATTCGATTGAACAAATGTTGGAATTTCAAAGTTCAAGTTCTGACGACTCGGACTATCTAGGTACTAGTAATTGTTACATCTAGTTCAGGGTGCTATAGTTCAAGGTGCTATAGGTGCCGACTGATAAAGTCATACGAGTTTCATGCCCGAAGAACTTGAAGCTGAAATTTGAACTTGAATTTGAACCTTGGAAGCGTTCTCAAATAACCCATATCATCCACCATACATAGTACCTAGTGCCCTATTTAATTGATTAAAAACGGCTACTCTTGACGCCTCATTGACTAGCTCGAAGGTGCATCAACGCAAACATCATAGCCAAGCCATAAAGATGCACAGTCTGTCCCGACGTATGGGTTCCACTCATTGAACTATTCCAAATCAGTCTTAATTCGCGTTATATCTTCACCTAATGGGAGGAATATGGGAGGAATGGAAAAAAGACATCTGGAAAGGGGCTACAAACCTCTGCTGCTGTTATATCGTACTGGGCTTCGATAGAAGCGCAGTCGTCTCCATTGACGACAAGATGATACTCTGTGCAGTCAGCGACGGTGCTGGGCTCCACTTCCACGGCTGTCGATGTTGATGACGCTGTCACTGTCGAAGTTGCAATTGGTGTCACAGACGAGGTTACAGTGTAGGGAGCGTCGACGCAGACCAGGTAGCCTAGCCAAAGGGACTCACACGTCGACCCGACAGTTGGATTCCATGCCAGGAACTAGTAACATGGTCAGTAAGCCATACAGTCTAATAGCAATAATTTGTGATAAGAAATCTCAATTTGCGTCTGCCTACCTCAGCAGCAGTAATGTTGTATTCCTCTTCGATGCCGACGCAGGTATCCCCGGAGACTACTTTATGGAATGTAGTGCAGCTAGGGTCAGTACTTGGTTCCTCGGTTCCTGAAGCTGTTGTCGAGGTTGCCGTTACAGTCACCGAGGACGACGAGGTATTGGTACTACTTATCGTGCCGATACAAACAGCATCACCTGTAGTAGTGGGTCAGTATGTGTTCAAAGTATTGAAGAGAAGAGGGTAGAGGGAAGAGAGCGAGATACAAGACAAGGTGAGGGGTGCACTAACCAACGTCAAGGTATGTACAGCTCGATCCAACTGCCGGATTCCAGCTGTAGAATTCGCTGAGAGTAAAGTTACCGAACTCGGCTACGATTCCGGCGCAGGTATCATTACTCTTAACGACATAGTACGCATCACCTAAATTCGTTAGTACTGATAATGAAAGCCCTCAAAAATCCCTGGTGGGAAAGAGCAACTTACAATTAGCTGCGATTCCCGTCTGTTCTGGAGCCCTCGAGACGGAAGTGGAAGAGCTGGTGACTGTTGTACCGGATGTAATATAGTCGGAGGAAATCCAGTAGGCTGGAGAGCATGATGCCGGCAGAACAGTCGACGTGGGAATGGTGGCGTTTGCCGATGGATTACAATATTCTTCCAGGAGGTCCTCGCAAGCTGTTGGGAGATCCCATATCGTCCAGCCATTAGAAGTATCGTCTTCAGTGATGGGGCAGTATTCGGTCAATTCAAAGTACAGTGCAACAGCTGATGAGTTCAAAGTCATGTTCTGGACTGTTGGGACAATTGTGGTTACAGGCCATGCAATGTCCGATGTGTTGAATACGGGGAATGTTGTCGGCTGGGCAGGCAGCGTCGTGAAGGCCGTGGGAGGAATGACCCAAGTTCTGTAGGCGCAGTATCAGATAATTTCAATCAATAGACGATTTAGGAAGCAAATGGATCTCAGAGTGAGGGAAACCATGAACTTACACATCCCAGCTTGTTGTGATGTTTGTGCTTGGGACAACCCAACTTGACGTTCCTGGGGGGCTGATTATATATTAGTCAAATGGACACCGGAGCCAGCAATCGAAGAGGGCAGAGGAGGGATTAGACTCACGAAATGCAAATGTAGTCTCCTACCATACTGCCTAAGTTGTCACAGTCTGTCCAGAGAGTGCTAAATGGTGATAAGAGTACTACTATTAGCTATGCCACTATCATAAGTGGTTCTTCACTCATTCAGATGAATATGAGAAATGGTGTGAGTTCAGTCTATAGGGGAATTTTGGAGGAAAAGCATGGTTACTGACGGATTCCACGAAGTCACCTGGACTTGATAGAAGGTTTGATTTTGCAGGATAGATGAGCAGGTGTCGTTTGCCTGGACCTTATATAAGGCGCACACAGCGCCCAGGCATACCTGTTGACCTACCTGAACGGAGCAGTTAAGTGTGCTCAAGTTGTTGTCGATGACGAAGTTAGCCGTGGATATAGAGTTGGCCGTAGCAATGGACTGACACGTGTCACCAGACTCGACGGTGTAATAGCTAGAGCATGTAGCCGTGGCCACAGCCGAGGCCGTCGCCGTCGCTACCGGCGAAGGAAGCACGGTAGCGACGGCTGTGTCTGTATAAGGGTAACTGGAGCCAACTGCTCCACAAGAGGATAGCAGTGACGAGTATGTGTCCGGACTATAGCGCACTTGGCCGTATGATGAGTCCAGCATGGCTGCCTCATACATATACATGCATGTTGAGCAATCCGAGACATTTCCCATTACCACAGCTGGCAAGCAGTATATAGAGCCACTCGTGATACAGGCGGTATCCAATGCCCAGACGAGGGGATTGACGATGGCCTGTGCCGTCTGTGAGATATTTCCAGGGAATTTATAAGTTGTATTTCCACAGGCATCGTCTACATCAGCCTGGAAGGACAGCAGCGAGCTTGTGCAGTTGGTCGAGCACACACCATCGAGAGCAGCTGCGCTGACATACCCGCCTCCAGCAATGTATGATGCAGAGAATAGCTGATCACACGAGATATTCGCGGCTAATGCAGTTCCACAGGCAGTTGGAAGACCGCTCGGGGCCGCATCAAACAATTGATATGCTTGACCGAAAGGAGTGAGGACGATCAAAGTGAGGATCGTAAGAACTCTGGCATGAAAATGCCGCCACGATGTTGGCATCGTGATGGGGGAAAAGAGTGACTTGGATTAAATGAAAGTAAAGCGACACAGAGTCAAAGCCGTAGGGATTGAACAAACACCAGGTTTAGAAATATGCTCCCAATGTTCTAGTATGCAATTAATTACTTGATTGTTACGATAGTCCTAGAGCTAGATAGTGCACGACTCAGACACCGCACAGACCTACCGCAGGAGATGTATAGATGCGCACATAGACCTGCTCGCTAGTAGCCTATCGGACCAGATGACCTTACATGGCCTAGTACCAAAAATATTTCCAAGATTGTAACAGCCCCCATGTTGTATCCAAGCCTTCGCTTAATTCTAGCCCCGAGCATGTGGCGTGTTCCGAGAGTACATGTTTGGCACTACTAGGTAGAATATCGCATACTATAGGTTGGTCTTTTTTTTTCCCTTTACAGCGATAATATGGTTCTGGGTCGAGTAAGCGAAATTAGGAAGAGACCTTCAGCGAGTGGAGCAGGAAATTAGATCAACAAGGGTGCTGAAGGACCCGAGATAGGGTCGTTAGCGCTCACTATTACAAGTTTGCACATGTGGACCCTCGGACCCTCGCACATGAGGGGCTTCAGGGACTTAAGGGACAGCCGGAGATTATATTGCTTGGATTTGCTTGATTTTCCATGAGTGGGTCCAATTTGATATAGTACCGACGTATGAACCTTACATCCAGGTGCCGGTACTCAACCATAGAGCCATACTCAGGGCGTCACTGGGGCACCACCTGAACAAAGTACAGTAAGAAACACATGATATAGACCCAATTCATTAATCATATATATTCCAGTTGGAATGAAAGAAGAAAATGGATAATGAATTTTCCACAGAGATTCAAGTTCTAAGGTTGTTATAGTACCTGTACGGGGCGGTCAGTACGGAGTCCGGAGTATACGAACTCCGGCCTGATCCGACATCTGGCTCCGCTTCTTATCTTGACCCTTCTGACCCTTTATTAGACCTTGTCCTGGTTAACATTTGTTGATCTTTCCTGTGGACCCCGCCCCGGAAATGAGCTGAGATTGCATATCCCTTCGTCTCGTCAAATAATCTCTCTCACGATGTCGAGCGAGTACAGACTTAAACGGGCCCATGGTCAGCAGAAGGTGCTAATCCACGCCGCGGATCTGTATCTACTGGTAATCACATGAAACCTTTAAAATTGGAGTGCCAGCAATATACTAATATAACTGCTGCTAGGAAAAATGGAAGGATGACCCTAATATCTTGGATGAAACCCAACGCTCGGCTATATTCAGCAAGTGGCTAGAGATTGGCTCGCTTGGCCGTCTGGTTAGTCGAACCACTCTGATTTGCACTTGCTTAATGAGCGATATCTAATACTAGTGAAAGCCCTATGTGGAAAGATTAGAGATCATGTACAAAGAGAAGGATGATATTACAGAGGCCGAGAAGGATCTCCTCGCGCGTGTCCGGAAACCCTCGGACCGGCGGGATACCGGCACCACACGTCTTATACGCACTTTCTATGGCGAAGGCTCAGATGATTCCTTTGCAGAGCTTCTCGATGAGGCTGAGTTTGATCTAGATTTTCAGCCCCATTTTGATGATGCTACGCTTTACGACGCTGGGTCGAACAACGGCTTTCAGTCTCTACATGAGATTCTGACCCGCCTCCCACAGATCCTTGAGCACACAGCATGGTTTTTTGACTTTCGCGAGGAACAGAAACAAGAAGCTCTCAAAGAGGCCCCTGGGCTTTTTACAGACAATTTCGAATACTCCGTAGAAATAACTCATAAAGCGGCCAGATGGGGCAACGTGTTTATCTACGACAAGGAAGCATATTATGAGGGGGATATACTACTAGTTTATTTCGACGATCATGGCCGAGTTATACGCTACTACCGAGTGGAAGGTGCTGATGACCTGAGCAATGCCGCCACCATGATAGACTCAGGCCAGGATTTCATGCATGGATGGTGGATGGCCGGTCACTACGGGGAGGACTATGAGCCCCACGAACTTGCTAAGCGATGGCGCGAGTTTGAGCCCGAGAACTCGAAGGAGGGTGCAAGTGTGAATGTAATCTCCGAAGAACAGAAACTATAAGCAAGTAGCGTCCGCAAAGAGCTCATGCCGGTACATCCGTGTCCTCCAAGGCCAGGACTGAATTACCACGTTCCAACGCTAATCAACCACCATTCCCTAAACAAGTTAGTGCAATGTCACTATGGATGCGCTACAATGCAGGTACTGCAGGGGAATTAAGGGCCGAGCGCCACCAACTTCTTGCTGTAACAAGAGGTCACCGGAGTTTTTGACAATCTGGGACGATGGGCCCTCGACCGGCGAGGGCATAATAACTTGCCCACCGGTTGGATCTCTGTTTAAGACTTCTGTCTCTTTAACTCAAAATAACTTGAATCGCTTCAATTCTCTCTTCTCATCTCACCCTCTTTCACTTTCATCTATACTATTCCATGCCAGTCACTCTCTTACTTACTTCAGCTTCTATACACTCGTTTTTATACATTTTTTTCTATACACTCATTTGATTGATCAATATATACCGCCACAATGTGGCGACCAGTAATGACCACCTGGCTGGCAGCCTGCCTGCTGGCCTGGGTGGTGGTCGGCCAAACAAGCACGAGTTTTTCGCTAACAGAACCGTGCGAGGAGGGTTGTTGCAGTCAATACGGGACGTAAGAAGCTATCATTTCCTTTCCCATCCATATCTATGTTTCATGCAATGCTGAAGTCTCTCGGGTAATCTTTTTAGCTGCGGATTTGGCCCCGACTGGTGTGGTGATGGCTGCATTAGTAACTGTAATGCCACAGCCCAGTGTGGACCTTATGGAAATGTGACAGACTGCCCTCTAAATGTCTGCTGCAGCCAGTACGGCTTTTGCGGCACCACATCAGATTTCTGTGAGAACAACTGTACTTCTGGTTGTACAGCCGTCACGTAAGTTCCCACCGATCTCCAAATCCCTCGAAAGAGGTTATAAATATGCTAATAATAAACAGCGAGCCCTCATGTACCGCAAGTACCGATGTCTCAAATCTCCGGAGAATTGGCTACTACTCGCTCAGCACCCTGGAAAGGCCTTGCGATATCATGGAGCCTGCAGATATTCCCGCGGGCGCCCTCACACACATCAATATTGCCTTTATCCAGTTTACTGATAAGTGGGAGATCGACGATAGCAGCTATGGCTCCCAGATAGCTGAGATTGCCTCACTAAAGGACTCGCATATGGGACTACGTGTCAGTATCTCTGTTGGCGGGTGGGACTTCAACGACGGTTCCACAGCTACATACTTCTCCGACATGGCCTCGACCTCAGCCAACCGTAAGACATTTATTGACAGCGTCGTGAGCTATCTGGTAAAATATGGACTTGATGGCATTGACATTGGTGAGCATTCCAGATCCAAGTGGTGATGAAAGCGATCTTGCTGACCATGTTCAGATTGGGAATATCCGGTGGCCTCAGATAGATCTGGCGTGCCGGCAGACAAGGAGAACTACGTCTCGCTCGTTAAGGAGATGCAGGAGGCATTTATTGAATACGACTTTGACCTTACTGTCACATTGCCCTGCTCATACTGGTATATGCAAAATTTCGACATTGTGTCTATGGAGAAGTACGTATCGTGGTTCAATGTCATGAGCTATGATATGAACGGTGCCTGGAATGCCGAAAGCGCATACATTGGGCCTTACATGTATGGACTTACTAATCTGACTGAGATCGAAGAGGGATTCGATCTTTTGTGGCGCAACAATATCGACCCTTCCAACGTGGTCATGGGAATGGCCTTCTATGGCCGCACCTATACCATGGAGACGGAAGACTGCTACGAGATTGGCTGCGAATTCGACACAACAGGCTCTGCTGGCCAATGCTCACAGACTGCTGGTATTCTTATGTATCCAGGTACGGCTATTACTCAAAATCATTTTCAAGTTGGTTCCGAGATAAGACTAACTCTAGGTTCACAGAGCTACTAGGCATAAATCAGACCGGGTAAGACCACATCTCCTTTATTATATATTACCATATTGATGATTTTTTTCTTCTTTTTTAGGACATCTATGACCTACTATGACGCAGATTCAACCACGGTCTACACGGTATACAGTGGAGACCAATGGGTCTCTTATGATACTGCTGAGTCGTGGCAAGCCAAGCTGAACTATTTGAATGGTCACTGTATCTCTGGTCTGATGATTTGGTCTCTTGATTTGGACACGTCAACTTACACCGCATTGGCTGAACTCCTTGGTGACGATGCGGTCACTACAGGTCTTCTCAGCAGCGGTGGCAATCTTACGAGCGCTGAGAAGGTGACACTTGTGGATCAGTATGGCGCTTATACTGGTCAAAATTGCATGGTGACTCAGTTCTGCACCGATGGCTCAAGCAAAGAGCAAGGCACAGGCCAGGTCTGTCCAAGTGGATATACGTCTGTTACGACGGCACATGCGCCTGTCCAGGCCCCTGGTTATGAGATCAATGGGACATGTGCCAAAGATTGGTATCGTCACATTTGCTGCCCAACCAAGTACATGCCCACAGGTTGCGAGTGGACAGATTGCGGGACTGGGGTCTGCAATAGCAACACTTCGTACTCGTTGAACACCGACACCTATAATGACGCTGATGGCGACATAAGCTGTGGTGTCAATAAGGAGCGCTCATTGTGCTGTGACAGCACAGGTGTTATTGATTTATGTTATTGAACTGACTGCCAGTACGATGATCAACAACAAGCTCCAACTTGTCCGTCTGGTTTTACATACATGACAGAGCGTCATGACGACGATAGCGGTGCGTTGTGCTCCACAAAAATGGGCAGTTCTGACCCAACCAAGTATGAGCTACTGTATGCACAAGCGTACTGCTGTCCGAACATCAGTGTTCCGACAAACTGCTCGTGGACTTTCTCTGACAACGAATATATATATGATCCAAAGTCTATGTGTATACCGGAGCAATGCCCCTCCGGTAAGGTGGAGTACACATCTGCTTTAGACCCTGATGATCCAGAAGTTGGTACCGCTGGTAGCCTGGAAAGCATCAACTGCGACGCCTATCCTATTCCGGCAGGTACAAGCGATCGATTCAGATACTGCTGCAATCCTGCAACTTCCGCTGACGACGATGGCGAAGACTGGCCGGTCGACCCTGATGATCTATGGGAGGATGCCTATATAAGCGAGGGCTCTGATGTTGACTGGGCTTACTCTGACGACAGTGATGGTGGCACTAGCTCGACTGATTACGGGTCGGACCCCTATGGCTTCGTTATGCTGGATGGCCCGTCAGGCTCTATTGACAGCACCTTTGGCGACACATATACTGTGGTACAGACCGATGATAGCAGCACGACCGAGAAGGTCAAGCGTTTGGCCAAACGTTCGCTGGTCACACGTAATGCCACCGTCATATCCTCTAATTTTGACAACACCTCGGAGACTCTATACGTTTACTGTCAGTACGCCACAGGCTCAGACAGGTGCAACCGGATCTTCCACAAGGGTGCCGCTGATACCATCATCCGGCTGCCTAGCCACATCGGCGAGGGCCCCTGGGCACGTGTTGTATCCATGACTCCTGTCGCCAACACAGAGGCGGCGCTACCCTCCTATCATCTCCGCAAGCGTGAGACCCAGGAGAACTCGAATACTGTATACGCCCTGGTGATCGACTATAACTTCCAGGACATTCAGGATACGGCGAAGCAGCCCGTTAATATGAGAGTTGACTTTGCCAATCTAGAGGACTACTGGCAGTCCATCGATGATTCAGCTGCTAGAAAGATCAAGAAGCGTACGGCATTTGGCGGCGAGAGCCGTAGACATATACCATACCGTGACTGGCGCCGCCATGTTGATATCGCCAAGAAAAACCCTGCCTTCACTGAAAGGAGCTCTGAGGACTTTCACCAACGGGCAACACGGTCTTTTGCTCCAAGCACAGTTGCCCTACACGAACACGATGTCCTTCTCACTAAGCGGTGGTTTGGGGCTCTCACAGCCTGGCTTAAAAAGGTAACAACAATCACTAAGACCGGACAAGGTGATTTACCCATGGACCTTGAATCCAACCTTCTGCTATATAGCCAATCAATTGGTTGCTCTAAGGCCAATGCAGAGATGAATATCTATCTCGACACCAAGCTCGATATGGCCGCCAGCTACGCCTACTACTTCAGTGGAACCATTGTCCCACCTGCTGTTACCGATACATACGCCTACTTGGGAATGCAACCATCGTTATACATCGGCGTATCAGTAACAGGCTCAGCCACCCTGACCTATAACTCAGAACGCCAGCAGCTAATATCCACCCTCACATACCCAGGATTAGCAATTAAAGGTATTGCTGTGGTTGGCCCAACATTTGACATCTACGGCCAGATTGTCGGCACGGTGACATTAAACGGCCATATGACGGTGGGCGCATCCTACACATTTGGCGTCTCTGAGATGTACTATCCGCAAGACAGCGACAGCGATGTCTATGACAAATTGGGCGACAGCGACAAGCCTGAGCCACTAGCGACGGGTCTCAAGCCCACTTTTGAGGCATCGGTGCAGGCCAGCGCGCAACTTGACTTTAAAGTAACGCCCGAGGCTAGCATCGGCATTACCATCGGTGGGAACAGCTTCCTATCGTCAATGAGTTTAGCATCGGCGACAGTGTCAGGCTTCGTCAACAACACACTACGATTCATGGCTTCGGCTGCAGCATCCGTGTCAGCCGACACGACGGGCGCTTCAGCGTCAGCCTCGTATAACTACGGTGCCTACCTTCTGTATAACGTCGGCTTTGGTGGCCAGGCCAACATTCTCAACTATGCCTGGAACATGGCTACCACATACCTCTATACGACAGCCAAGGATTATGAACTGTACGGCGGGAGCGGCATCATGTCCACTAACGTTACCACCAATCGTGACCTAGACGGCCTACCGGGCCAGGACTGGCACCAAATGGTCGAGAAGCGCAAATCACAACCGAATATCTTCAAACGGACTCATGCACGAGATGTGACAGAGCATCTTCCATGGATCTACAAGCGCTCTAGTGTGGACGATGACGGCGACACTAATATGGGTGGCACAGCCTGCTTCACAGGCGGCGTGCTGGCCTGTCCGGACGACACGTGTAGCACAGGCTCAGACTTAGACAGCGATGATACAGCTTGCACACCCACAGTCCCCTCCCTGTTGATCAATTGTGCGTGGTTTGGTACGGACCAGGTAACTGGAACCAAGGGGAGCACGAATATTGCCGGTATCTGTGAGAACATGCAGACCTTCCTCAACTGGCGTAACCTCAACCTCAATCCGGGCGCTACATTTACTTACGACACATCAGATGGTGCTGCCGAGAGTAACCGTGAAGAAACATGCTCTGACAGCCAGTATTACGAGCTGACATCTACTGGTGTAAAAGGCGGGTCTTACTGTGCCGTCCAAAATGCGGCCCTTCAGGAGACGTTCGTGTTGGAGGATTTGGATTTGGATGTCTACGAGTGAAGAAGGCCAGAAACACGTATTGAAGGAAGCGTGAGGAGGGAAGGATCTCCACGTGCAAGTGAGAGCTAGAGTATATGGCCGCAGTGGTCCAATATCTACACGCGTAACGCGCCGGACCACTGACAGTTCGGCATAACAGCCAAGAATAAAAATGGCGGGTCGCTGGCCGTCACTAGTTGCGATGAGTTTCCCCCAGCGAGTGCCGAGGAGGGGGGCAACTGGTACGGCGATATTCCTATTGCCCCAGCCCTGGAGTGCGCACCAGCATGGCAGCAGGGTATGCAGGCACAATGCAACAGTAAGTCATCAAATGTTACCTCGTTTCAACTGATAAAGCTGATTTCTCTTCTTTCTTGACAGAGCTGGCAAGTAACATAAAGACTAATGTTCAATACGCTATTGACCCCGACGCGACCGCTGAATGGGTATCATGGGCTACCAATGACGATTGGAACACGGCCACTGCCTGGAACGAGATCATCACTTACCCGTATGCTATCCCTCAGGCATCAGGTATCTCCGACGCTGTATGTGACCATCCCTCGCAATTGATTTATCGTCTTCATTTCCTATTCAAATGAGCTAAATCCCCCCCTTTCCTTTCACCCGTCTCCTACGTTGCAACTTCCCCAGCATAAATCCAGCCCCAGACTGACTGACCTTGAAATGCTACAGGGATGGGGTACCGATGAGACCGGTGGCTGGTCCCAGAAACGTAGCTTTACGTACGGCATTGCCAGTCCTTCTTCCACGAGCGACTGGAGCGCCTGGGGTGGCACTACTGGATCATGGACATTCACATCTTCCGGGGGAACCTCTTCTGACGCCAGCCTAGTGGTCTGCGCCATCAACCTGTGGGACCAACCTAACGTCTACGCCCTAAAAACTACAAACTGGAATGCCTATTGTTATAATGGGGTGAAGACTAATGGTGCATTTTCAGGTACGTGATTATCCTTTGTTTAGTCACTTCTAGCCCTTCCTTCACTCTGTAATTACTGTTTCTGTCCTTGTACCAAATCTACGGAGTACTTTACTGCTTTTACCCAGGGCTGAGAGGAAGGCCGAGTGATTTGCAGCTTGTGGAAATTGGCAAGATACAACTGGCTAATGTTAATATGTCGAGCAGGGATTGTCTCTTATCCCGCCTTGAAACGCTGCTTCGTTACCCTTGGCTCCCTTATCACCACCCGCGACCAGGCTGACTTCGAAGATTCTCTTGGTCATGGTTCTCTCTACGGACGTGTCATCACGAACATCACCATGCTTGATGATGACGATGATTATGACCTAACAGAGGCCATGGGAGCCCTCAATCTAGAGAATGAAGATGAGATTTCGCATCCTTTAGTTGATATGCTCGGCAAACTGTGATGGATCAATATAGTATATGTGATGAATTGCCTTGATTTGACGTTTGACGCAGGGCATCATGATGGACTCGGGCATAGGTAGCCTCGCTAACTGCCCGTAGATCCGACTCGGACTCAAAGTCTCCATTCAGATATTGTGAGATCATGATCCAGGCGTAATTATATGTTTTATTGGACTTTCTATTGATACCTCAACCTGCTCCGACTAGGAGTCAGAGCAGAGCACAGGCAAACATTGGAACTTAAACTTGTACATTTGAATGCAGAGACTGTTTTATATCATAAATTACTACCTAGCAGTTCTGCTTGTAATTTGTACCTTGGACTCGGAGCGGTCCGTTCTCTCTCAAAAGTAAGTCCTAAGCATGGGAGGCTGGGATAACTCTTGGTGCTGCTAGTGTGATCAATAGTTCTTTAATGAATCTATGTGTATCGATTGATGTAAGGAAGTGCAGTAAATCTTGGCAGTCTTCATTCTTTGCTATTAATAGGTCTAGTCATACCTCTATTACCTTACTTATTCTGTTAGGCTTAACTACTGCAGGTGTGAGCTTTAATGCTGGGGTAATATAGATACGGAGCACGGAACATCGTATTCGGGTGCTAAACTGGAAAGGCAAGGCTAACTTGAACGGGCAATTCACAAGTTAGATCGCATGTAATAATACACGTATTGTTTCACACTCTGTACTGGTCAACAGTAAGCCGTGTTCGCCCCACACTTGGGCAATCTATTCAAATGTTCCCAGCCACCGTAGAAAAATCACATGGCTGGGATTATCAGCTTTTATAACAATCCCCAGTCGCTGCATTCCAAAGTACTTTCCCCATCTGCTACCATCTTTTACAATCAGACATTCTTGGAAAATTCTGAATTTCCATTTTCAACCGCGCCGAGATCATACTGTATAGACTCGGAGTACGTCTGTGTGATACTGTAAAATATTTGACAATACTAATACCCCACGATCTTCGTAATCATGTGTTCTAACGTGATCCACGGTCGGGCGGGCGTCACTACCGGTCGGGCGACCCCACCAACTTTTCAAAAATCACCAATTTTCAACAACTATTAAAACAATAAAAACAACATATATTTTACTATCTAAAGCGAGTAGGGCAATGAGTATATGTATGCCCTTTCGTCCCACACCCAGAACATGTCACCTGCCGCCGAATTATAGGCATAGAAGGTAAAGGAGGCTCGACAACCGTTTTCGTAGATACCTCTGGCAAATATATATCTTTGCTTTCATCCTTATCCTTATAGACCACATCATCCTTACCACCCTCTAGACCCCCAAAGATGCCTCTCTGGGTAGTAAACTTAGGCATAGTCGCTCTCTTTTTAGCCTGTTTCTTATTGGTAGCCTCCAATTGGGCACAGCGATCCTGGAGAAAAATATGGTGGTGGACCACTTTGATAGTCATATTATAGGACTTCTCTATCTCCCTTTTTGTTGGTGAAGAAAGGATTGAAGAAGAGGATTCTAGACCTTTTTTGATCCGAGATTGTGATTTTGTGAATTTGGAGAGAGTCCAGAGGGTATTTGGATCACTATCACTACCAGAAGAAGGTGGTCGCTGAGAGAGGATCTCTATTGGAGGAAGGGAATCCAGGCACACATTTAGCTTTTCCAAGACCTTATTAGCATTAAATGGTGCTAATCTAGTAGCTAAAAAGCTATTTCGTATAGTAGAGGTCTTAAAAGCACTAATTCTCGCATTAGCGATAAGTTCAAGGAAATCTTCCTTATCAATAGAGTTAACTCCATTCCGCATTAAATTTGAAACAGCTCCTCTATAAAGCTTCTTTAAAATCGAAAAACAACCCACATCTAAAGGTTATAAAAGATAAGAAGCATATAGAGGTATATAGATTATAATAATCTAGTTTTCTTCACAAACTTAGTTAAATTCAGGGATTAAATGACTCCTATAACTATCAAGGACCAGTAAATAATATTTTCCTACTCTTATCCTAATATTTAGGATAAAATGATGTTTTAACCACTATACACTAATTATATTAGTAGTCTAGCTGTTCTCGCTTATAGTCAGATAAGTTCCTTTTTGGTTTAAAAGGAGATAGAGACATAGATGCTCTAGAAACATTTTTCCCTTAAAATAAAAAAGCGGAGATATAACACTTCCAGAAGCTCGAATACACTTAATTGTAGTCACCCACTCTCGATTTCCAGCTTGTAATAGATACCTTTTCCCATGGTATTCCGCAGAAGTGACAATCTTTTACGTTGTGCCAATACCCATAGCAAAACCACTCTCATCAAAGTTGAAGATATCATCTGAAACAATACCCCACTTTTCAATAGTCTTTTGAACCAAATCAAACCATGGTTTAATGATTCTAGGATCTTCTGAAAGAGCTCTCTGATAATCGTATTTACGTGAAAGTCGAATGGAGAGATTTGGGCGTCGTTTGATAAATTGAGTAGGCCAATTGATACCAATAGTAGAGGGGGCATTTTTCTGGGCACTTCGTAGGAGATTAGCCATATCACGTAACATAGGTATCGTGAGAGCAGCGCCTCTAGCATCCATATCAAGTAGCCAGTCTTCCATCGATTGCTCTTCAATTTCCGTGAAAATATAGCCAGTTGGTCTCTTCTCAGCCAAAGATTCGCGCCCATTAAGTCGATACTTCAAAGTTGAGACAGGTAAATCAAATGATTGTGCAGCAGCTGCAGCAGAGGGATATTTACCATCTTTTATAGCTTTTATAGCTAATAGCAGACGGCCCTCCTGCTCTATCAATTTTCTTTTTCGATCGGAACGTTGGGGAGGCATTTTTGTTGTGTTTAATAAACATGTTTCATTATCAAGAGGGATTTTTGATGGGGCCGCCCGACCGGCAGTGTCGCCCGGGAGACCGTGGATCACGTTAGCTTTGGTGTGACTAATTTGACGATCACCTGGGCATTTGTCAATAGTTGTTTGGAATAGAATTTTTAACTTGAAGTCTTTGAACCTACATTGCGTATCGATATATACAAGAACATTTTGAAGAATGCAAGGTATTAAAATACTATGTAAATCCACCTCTTTTATCTCCTACGCACCCTTATTCAAATCAGTCACCTTGGAATACGTTCTTCAAATCAGACATGGGTTTAATTCAATTCCGAGAATAACGGATTAAATGTCGGGCTGTCGAATGGCCTGCTACTGTTGGAATCGTAAGTTTTCGTGTCGGGAAGACGGTGTATGGATTTGTATGGTAGGGAATGAAAAGTACAGCACCAATGAATCGTATACTATGGTTGCTAGAGGAATCCGATTCGAATCGAACCAGAAACAGCGCGGTGTATGCCCAGGTGGGATATGTGAAATTGTATAATACATGAGGACACAAATGACATCTGGAAGAATAGGCCCTTGAAAAGGTCAAGGATCACCAACTCTGGACTAATGCTCATTTATCATGATCTATTATAATTTCGCATTCCCCGGCTTCTCACATTATCTCTCCAGTTATCATGCCATGATATATTCAGATCATTCTCAGTTGTAGTTTTCCCATAACCCTCTCTCTGCAAGAACGGACTATCCAAAGTAGTCAATTGCAACTTCTCCGTTGGTCGTAAGAAGTACAGCAAGGCTAGTCGGTCAAGATGTTCCTGATCCTCGGGAGGGGCGATCACCCGATGGAAGCCAGATTTGGCATATCCATTTGTCAAGAAGTTGAATGCATTAGCGACATTGACTGCAAGAGTTCCGGATGGCACGTATAGATATTCCCATTCGGATTCATCTGTGCGCTGCACTTGTAGTGCAGAAACCGGCTGTTGGAACATATACGTCAAGCTTCCATTATCAGTATGCGCGGCAAAGTGCACATTCCGATACGCTTCATTCTCTTCTTTTGAACGAGCGTGATAGAGCATGTACCGAATTGAGCTATCGCAGACATCCTCGTAGCGATGCGCATCGACAAACTGATTTTCTGGCAGTTCAAACATAATCTCTAAAATCCGCAAGAGCTTGAAGGAGACTTCTTCGTGCATATGCCGAGAGAACTTTTCGATCTCAGCCCAGTAGTCACGAATCACTTGAGGCTGGCTTCGCTCAGCCTCTGGAATGCACTTGAAGATACTATAGAACTCCAGCGAGTCCTTTAGTCCTGGCGCAATATTGACTGAGCCCAGTGGACGATAACCATTGTAGCTTCCATCCTCTAGCGGAGCCAGGTAATTCATTCGTTCTTCTTCCGGGAGAGCAAAGAATGCTTTCGCGATAGAGAATTGTTGATCGATCTGGCACTGTGTGAGACCAAAATTGGTGACATAAAAGAAGCCTTGTCTATTGTTAGCTGTGGAGTCTCCCGCAAGTTACTAGTACTCGACATACCATCCCTATGAACAGCCTCTTTCAACTGGTCTGCTAACTTCTTTGGACCTCCAGGGAGTTCAAACAGGGAGAGATCGATTGTGACAAGGTCGGCATACTTCACTTTTGTTGTGGTCAGCTTGTTAAATCTCTCAGGTCATCTACTGATTGCACTTTCTTACACTGTTGCTGTGTTTCTGGCGGGTACTCGTATTTGGGAAGAGGCTTTGGATTGACAATCGTCAAATTCTCCTGCATATTGGCACTCATACTCATCACTGCTTGCCTTAGCTTGAGATTGTGAAAAAAGACACCAAGCTGGGAATGAGGAGAAGATGCATTGACTAAGTGAATAAGTGCAGTTTCAGGAACTCGGGTTTATCATCCTAACCAATTGATGCTAGTACTACCCACTATGAATCAGCCTGAGGTCATTTCGATGACAAATTGGGGCACATTGGCTCAAGAATTCACACGATAGAGGGTCCTGTGAAGGAGGTGGCGCCACTTAATTGGGTCATTGAGCGAATTGTACTTGATGCCATGGATACTAGTACTGGAGATGAATGGATCTACACATCGCTGGTCACAATATTCGTATTATGCCAAGTACCTAGGCGAACGGAAATACGCCTAGTATTGACGATGAAGGGTTCGAAATGGGGCAGCTGAGCTGGAACTCGGCCGTGGATGGGGATCTATATCCATCTTTTTCCCGCTCGTGCCGATCGTGCCTTGTATGGATCGTGGGTTATATCTCCGGTCTCACCGCTCCTTAGATGAACTGGTGGATCCTTGATTCAACAATCGGGATCCACTTCCAACCTTTTTTTTGTGGGTTATGTTTCTATTGGTTACGTAGTAGGGTAAATTGGCCATGTGTTCGCCGGAGGAGCATTGTTGGTTGGCCCTCTGGAACCGACTCGGGGTTCGATATTGAAATAAAACATCGATGTTGTCTATTCTGAGCTGGGATTGGATACTGACTCGTGCATCTACTGCTTGTCTCCTCCAAGTATCGTGTTACATATCGTTACGACTTGCCAAGAGTATCGATCCCATCAACGACAATAACCAAGCACTTCCATGGTTAGCACCTGGGCTCCAAAACAGCCCATTACGCTGCCAATGGCAATTTTTTGGCGTCAGCAAGGAACTGACTGCCAGTCTCATTACCGTAAAATTCCACCCCAGGTACCGCGTAGTCTCTCGGTCGGTAACCTGATATTTTGAAGTATTTTTCTCGTATTTCGTTCTTCCGAGCCTTTTCAGACACAGTTAGAGGGATTGTCTCCCCCTCCTGTAACACTCTGAGAAGTCGAGGCAACTTGTACGGCTCGGTGTTTGAAGAAAGATCATTGCGGACCTTGGCGAGATTTACTTGCGAATGGCCCTGAGCTGAAGCTGGCTCCTTTAGTCGGATAACAGCAGCAACTAGCTCTCGTGCCTCGTAATCCATGATGGGCAAAACGTATGCTTCAGATACATACGGAAGCTCTAACAGACGCTTCTCTAGCTCGACTACCGACACAGTAAATGCGGAAAACCGAATCCCTGCATTAGAATTCGTATCAGCAGGCCACTCGCAGAAGACTCATTACTCTCAACTCACAATCGGTCGAAGATCGTCCTAGGAAGAAGTATTCATCTCCATCCCGGCGAACTATGTCACCAGTATTGTAGAACCCATCTTCATCGAAGACATTCTTGGTCGCCTCTTCATCTCCAATATAACTAGATTGAGTATTAGAACTGACTGGGTGTTATATTCCGATGAAAACTCACTGCGTGAACATTCCAGGGGCTTTCAAAAAGAGTTGACCTTTATTCCCTTCGGACAGCTTCGCAGTAACACCCACACAAAGCTTTCCAAGACAAGACTGTTTATTTTGCGATGTTAGCATACTCATCAAACTCCATGGGCTAGGATAATCAGCAGGTTAGCTCGTACGAACCTCTCTATAGGGATTATCAGGGGATGTTTCAAATCCTCGAGTTGCAAGCTCAGTAGTGCCATATACCGTAATGATTGAAATATTTGTGAGTTTTTTCCAAAAACGTGCAGTGTCAGGATGTAAGATAGAGCCAGCAGAGATAACCTGTTTTAGCCTAGAAACCCCAGCAACATAGCTGTCGTGTTCCTCAGCTGACATTGATTGAATGTTTGAATAATAATATTCTTGCATGGCTTTGAGACGAATGGGGGTAATTGCAGCCGTCGTGACATGTCTGTCTCGAAATACCTCCCAGAGATCATCCGGCCCTGCACCTCTCTTGAGGCAAATGGTCTTGTTCCCCCATATGAGATTTTTTATAGGGGGAATGGCGCTCGAGATCCAGTGTACTGGTCGGTATGTGAGCTCCACGGACTTGGAGCCTCCCCACGGTGCGTAGAAAATTCGCCGCCGGGGAAGCACAACACCCTTTGGCTTCCCGGTAGTTCCCGAAGAGAGCATGATCAAGCATGGGTTACTCTCTGGGATAAGAATGTTGTCATCAATTCGACATTCTGTGTGTGAATGTGATTCTCGTTTCAGTTGCTCTATTTGGATAATATGGGGTTTCTGAGCTGGAGTATCATGAAAATGACCTTTGAGAGAAGTGCATGTTGGGACTGTCCAGGGATCAAATAAAACAGTGGAAGCATTCACTTTGCTCAAGTAGCCGACAGTTTCTTCAATAGTGTCAGTGTTTGCTGCTCATGAGAAACCAATGTATTTGATTAGTTCATCCAAAGTTATATGATATCACAGGAACACTGCCCTGGGCGGAGGATCCAACTCACATAACGGAACGCATACTCCCCCCCAATGATGCGACTGAGAAGAAACAAATCGCGAAATAGTATACACTTGTTGTGATTGAAGCGATCGTCCCCAGCTCGGGGCGCAAAAGTCCTTGGTCATCAAAGGACCTAGCAGGGAGGGTTTCTCTCAGAAGACGACGCAGGCTGACTATGTCTTCGAAAATCTGCTCATAGTCTGCTTCGATGCCATACTCATCCGATATCACCACATCAGACACACAGTCTCTACTCTTGAAAAGGCCGGTGAATATCGGATCGTTCGGGAATAGTTCCACTTTGGGAGCAGCCATATCCATGATTGATCTCGGGGTGAGAATTGCCAGGCAAGAGGGAGAAACTTGAATTCCGTGGAGGATAATAATATGCGTACCAACCTTGGAAGAGGATTGGTATCCTTAAAACATACTTCGTATCTTCCAGAAGTCCCAATGGATCCCGACCTCAGGAGCTCATTTTCTCGCTTACAAATTCTCCACTGATTAACTATGTGCCCATCGCCAGGACTTTCCAAGATTGCTCGATCTGGTTAACTTTCTATTTTTTCATCAGGATCGGTCAAAAGCTAATTTACTTGATGAAACAAGAACCTGTGGGGCAGGGAAATTTCTGGTACACTAACATGGAGAACCCCTTTTTTCTCCACTTCGTGCACTCTGAAAATCACCTGGGCAGCTTGAGCCAAGATCTTTCTTACCAAGTTTTGGGTGCGGTGGGGCCGAGCTGAAGCTGAAGAGAGGTAAGTTTCTTGGTTAGAACCTTCAAATGCCGAACACAGCTCTGGTACGTAAGAAGACCTCCTTCGGCTCGGACTGATAATACGTGGCTGACAGATTGGCGCCTGCACATTTTGAGGCACTCAAGTTCCAGCGCTCTGCCATTTCACCTTCCAAATATTTATATTGATCAACGCAATATGAATCTTAACGACATCCGGATAAAAATTTCATAATCCAGCCCCGGAGGGTTCAAAAATCCTTGATTAGTCAGTCATCTCAAGGGTCTTTTCCTTGAAACACAAACTGGATACACGTGTTTAATGGTGGCTTGGTCAATACAGCTAGTGTATAGACTAACAGCAAGCGCAAGGTTTTGTCCCCACATGATCAAGATCTGGAATGTATGCAGTTCTCTTTCGTCATGAGCAGTTAAAATTTAATAATGACCTCCGAGTCGGGATCTGGCAACCATTATCTGTGCCATCATTTTACTTCCAAAGCCATGGCGGTCCTCCATAAGGCAGCAAAGCTCCGTGAGTTCCGGGAGAAATATCCCAGTACAAATTTCATTCGTCTTCAATGGCAGGATTACTCGGGTGTGCACCGAGCCCGAGTGCTCATCTTCGACTCTGTGGTTGATTTGGTTTTGCAAGGAAAGCCTTTTCAAGCAGCAGGTATTGCAATAGACTGCACAGTCACAAATTCCATCCTTCCTCGCCAGCCACCTAGAGGAATGCATTATGCGGTTCCAGATTGGTCAACTCTGCGACTCTCTTCTCACCCGGGAACCGCACTTGTGATGTGCGCTCTGGATTACCAAATACAGGACCTCCCATTGAGGAGTGATCTGTGTCCCCGTCAAACACTTGTCAAGGTGCTCCGACAGGCACGCGAGAATTGGCAGCTGGATTTCTTGGTGGGATTTGAGGTCGAATTCATTGTGATGAAATCAAGCTCGATTACATCAAGTACAATGACTCGGTGTAGCAATGGCCTTGGTCATTTCGCCGTTTCTGGATTTCGAGATCCGTGCTATCAATATATCGAAGAATGTGTCAATAATCTGCGAACTCAAGGTGCAAAAATCCAAGCAGTACACACTGAAGGGTTCAGGGGACAATATGAGATTGTTCTTGGGCCGCTTCCACCAATGCAGGCAATCGACCAGTTAATCCTTGTTCATGACTACCTTAAGGGTACATTCTCCCGTCATGGTTATGAGGTGACCATGTCTCCAAAGCCTGTGGCTACTGAGTCCCAGGCAAATGGACAGCATATGCACATCTCACTCCAGCCCGCCAGTCCCTCTCTGGAAGCCCCATTCCTGGCGGGAATCCTAAAGCGTCTTCCTAGTCTCTGTGGCTTCTGTCTGCCACTATCCACGTCTTATCAGCGACTAGGGATGCGCATGGCTGGAGAAACTGTTTCTTGGGGAACGCACTCGCGCCTGGTTCCTATTCGAAAAGTGGAACCTAGTCACTGGGAAATCAGATGCATCGATGTCACGGCCAATATGTACTTCACCATGGCAGCCATCATTGGTGCTGGTCTCTTGGGCTTGGAGGGCAAGGAGCCGCTCATTTGGCCAGATCTGGGTATTCGGGAAAATCAACATCTAGCTTCTCAGAGTGAAGCGTTGCCACGAGGACTCAATGAAGCACTAGAGGCATTAGATACAGATGCTGGCTCGTTGGCCTCGATGCTCGGTCGTCCTTTGATTGACCATTTTGTCGAGCTCAAGCGTTATGAAAACTCTCAGATCGAGAATATGGAGCCCGAAGCAGTCAGAGAGCTTCTTATTGAGCAATTTTAGCCATTTCGTACATCAAATTTATGAAGTTCCAGGATTTGAGGTGGATAAAGCAACAAAGCTCCGTCTCGTTGAAAAAAATGACTGAAAAGATTTGCAAGTAGTTTAACGCTGTGAATAGGAGGAGTTTTTCAAATGGCTGCGAGAGATCCGTGCTGTGTGCTCCATCAATCAAGCATGTCACGCCAAAAATGTCACAGCTTGAGACAAGCTGGAACACAGGGATGGTAATGTTCATATCCTATCCTGTATTTCGTTTACAGGTGCCTGGGAGTATGGCTGATACTAGTTGATCGACCTAGGAGCTAGATGGTTGAAAGAAGTCAGGTGTTGCAGGCGTGCAGCAGTCCCCGATGCGATCCATATCACATATTGCCATTGTGATTTTAAATTCGCTCATCTGCGAGCCATCATCTCTTTAACGGTATCGCCAAATCCGGCCATACATATTGTGGCCCGTGGCGCAACTCCAATACGAGGAACAACACCATGGAAGCATCCTTCAAGGGTATATCGCGGTAAATAATTATTGCCGAGGTGAGGTCGACATTGCTGTCTAGATGTCCGTCTCTTCTAAGATTTTTGCCGTTTCTCGAATAGAAGTTAGGTGAAGCTGTCACAAGAGGGGCCCAGGGCGAATCCGGGAAATAGTACCCAAACTCACCATTCAATAAAATATTTACCTATCCGTTTCCAGGTGGATATGTCAACTGGTTCAAGCTATGACCTCGGGAGTTTGATGAGTTCAACCAAAGCTTTGAAGTGTTCATTGAGTACTAGTACCATCGCCCGCCCTCCAGGACTATAGCCACATGTCCAAGTCAAGCTTATAGAAAAGAAAAAAAAATAGAAAAACATACAACAGTCAGGATTCGCATGTGGTCACCCACCATACTACTAACTGACCGGCGTGTGGCTTAAGTACGGCTGAGCGGACGGGAAGCCCTGTTCTCCACACCCTGTGGTCGTATGTGCTGAACGTGTAAAGATACGGAATTATATATATTATCTACTAGCTGATGCTTGTGATCTCCCTAGAGGAGGTTGGTGTCACGGTGTTATTGATATATAGTAGTAAGTTAAAATTGAGACCTTGGAATCAGCCTGAAATCAGACATCCGAGTCTAGAATTTGGCTTACTTATTAGACATAGAAACCTAGAACTTCCGTGAATTGCGTGATAGGTCGAATAGTTGAACAACTACTTAATGAACATCTGAAATCCTTTTCCCCTCGCCAGCTGGTCTATTCCACGGTGGAGACGCTGTTGTGAAATTCTAGGGAAGACGCAATATCGAGACCGATCAGCACCTCGGGAGACGCTGTGATTTTCACCCATGACGTCCCTGTGCCCCTTCAAACCCCCGACCTTGATCGGCTAGGCGAAACCTATCCGTAGTTAGTAATCATCCTTGGCTGTCGATGACTTCGAAGCTACTTTTGATATGGGTGATGAGACGGTATACTACTACTCTTAGCCGTGGTTTGCCTTATCCACCTGAGCAAGAATATCTGAATAGTACATCGACGAAAGTACTAGTAGGTATTGATTATTTGGACTACTAGTTGTATGCAAAATCACCGGTAACCCCAAAGAACCTGTTCAAAGGGTTTAGTTCACCACCCTCCCCAAAATTCATGCTCAGATGTTCATCCGCAAACTTTTCATGCCCAGGATGCAGAAAGCTGTGCACGGTGTCAGGAACCGCACGTTCTGTCGAAGCGTTGGTATTCTGTGAGCCTTATCTGCCATTGTAGCTAGAGTGGATCCGCAACCCCCTTTCATCGAGTTGTGCATAGATCATCTCCCACGTCCCTGCGGAATAAATCCCGGGGGAATCAATTCCTTCGTGGGCCGCCTTAAGATGTCTTTGACCATGACATTCCCCTTTTCATCGTGTGCCGTCCCATACATGTCATCATAAACAGGAATCCATTTCTCATCAACGTGCGGGCATAACATGTCCATAGTATCATACCAGAAATTCAAATAGAGTGGTCACAGGGCACGAATCTCAGCCCTCATGTATCCATGGTAAGAGGGCCAATCGTACTTCTTTCCAGGTTGGTAACGTCCATCAACCACTCCAACAAATCCGCTAGAGTCATCTGCCGCAACAATCGACTGCAGTGATACCTCGTCGATCGAAAGACAGGCAGCAAAGCGAGGCTCCTCACTGCAATCCTCTTGTTCCATGTTGCGTAGGTATTCTGCAAAATGGTCGCGGACTTGATCAATACTAGCACCATCCCAACGACGAGAATCAGAGATAATCACATCCTTGTGTGACTCTTTCACCAGTTCCTCCGGGCGGGAGCTATTAGCAAAGCGTCTAGAATCAGCATTGATCACTTTGTTCAGCAGACGGGTCAGCTTTTCCATAGCGATGGGCTAAAGTTTCTCAGACTGAGATATGTAGGTTGTTCGATAGATGATAAATCCCTAAGGGAAATAATGTAGGCTTCGCGATATTAGGAATCGCCAACTATTGCGACGAGTGTCCTTGTACTATAGCTCTTTTCTCCATTCTACGGCTACTTCTTCGGTGAACTGCGGATAATGCTAACGTTGCTCCCAGACTAGGTGATGATAAAATTTACCTTCGGCCAGTTCCTCTGCTTGGTCGATGGGGTCGACTGAGGGAGCTTCAGATTCAGATTCAGATCCAGATGACGGAGATATGGAATTCATGCGTGGAAAGTGGTATATCACAAAGTAACATGCCGAGATCGCCCAATGGACCCCAGATTTGGCGGCAATGCCAGATGTTGCACTGGTAGGAAACATCTATCACCAAGCTGCTCTGGTTTTTCTTCTCAGTGCTGTTGCCAATGGGAAAAATAGATTTCTTTCTGGTCGCCTTGACATGATGTTGGAGAAACATATATCTCAAGGCCTGCAATTTTTGGCCAAGTTACCGCTGTCTGCACGCTCCAACACCAATTTATGCTGGCCGATCACAGTTCTTGGGTCTTGCCTCGACGATCCTCAGCAGCAAGATATAATTCGAAATCGTCTTATCTCGAGTCGAAATTTGCTCGGCTTCCGGAATATTGCATGGGCGGCGGCAATTTTGGAACACGTATGGAGATTATCGGAAGATGAAAAGGGTCCCTGGAAAATTCTTTGTGTTATGGACGAGAATCAGTTGTGGATCACATTTGCTTGACAACATGACGGGGGTCATTCTGCGACCTGTCATCTACGAATACAAATAAGTCGCAGAACTAAGATATGGCTACTGAGGCGGCTGAACTTAATTTAGATCTATGTCCGGACTACTCCGTATACATGAAGTGACCGCGGTAAACCCCCTATTTCAACGCGATTCGCAGCAGAAGATGTCCTGCAGCCCAGGTGGGGCGGACCCCTGGCCTGACCAATCATATGATCACCTGAGATGAGCGCGATTCGCGGTGCATCCACTTTTCTTCGCCCCACAGTCGGAGGTATGTACTCGTTCTCCAAGGACAAAGTTGAGTGACCACTTGGACATGGGCACCGGGGTACTACGCTTTTCGACTCCTGTCCAAGTTTCTGTATGTAGATATTTGGATAAAGTCCGCAACTTTGAAGATCTTGATCTTCTGTTATCACGCTCTGTTACCACGCCATTATCATACCGTGACATGATATATCTATACTAGTCTCTGGGGGGTAACCTTCCAATGTTGGAACTACCAGTTGACTCCTTGCAAACCTGGTGCATAAGACTATATAGTATACCGAAGATATCTGAGCCCGACTAGTAAATTGCAAGGTCTAGTCGTATGTTTGCACGAGACACCCGGGGATATCCATGAAATTCGAAAATATGAATACTATATCAAATTTGACTAGATAGTATCTGGCGAATCTGCAAAACTGAACGAATTTGACGCCAAGCTTAATACAAATCCCCTCGGTTATCCTCCCAGTCATCACCCATGAGTGCCTTCCGAGGGTCATCAAGGTCAACCCATCCCAAGAATGGCTGACTGACCTGGTACCCAATCAAGCGTTGCATTTCCAAAGGGTATTCGCAAACCTTGTCAGAGGGGACAGCAAGGTATTGATTCTCTTCCTGTATGAAAAATATCATCATCAGTCTCAGTCTCGTCATTCCTTGCATAGGCCCGGAAAAATTACCTGTCGAAGATAGCCTTTAGTCATAAAGCAGCTGTATACAAGTCTCTCCTCATTTTCTGTCTTGTTGGCACTTCGTCCGTGGAAGCAGCTGCTTGGCATGATAAACGCATTGCCGGGGTTCATCTCAGCGTAAACGGCCTGGTCCTCAGATGGTGGGGTCTCAGTAGCCCAGAGGTGACTACCGGGAATAAGCCGAGTGGCATCGTTCTGCTTCGTAGTCCTCTTTCCTGCCACAAAGAATCCGATTCCTGTATCGCGACCGGGTCTGTATTGATCCGATGTGATCGCGGGGAGTTGGTTATGGTGAATCATATCGTCACGGTGAAGTTCCTGATTCCGTGCTCCGGGGCCGATCGAGAAGACGATTGTGTTGTTGAGTTGCGGATGAGAGACAGATTCTTCTCGTTTCTGTCCATAGTAGGAGCAGTGAGTAGATGTCAAAAGAATGCTGCATACATCCTGGTACAGTGCGTTCCCCACGACAAGATCCATGAAGGTGCGGGATTTCCCAGCCAGTCCACAAACCCGACGAGTTTCCGGGGGAAAGAAATCGCCAGTCCAGGGCTTGTCCAGGTTGATAAATGGTCTCACGTCATATTCAATCTGTAGGAGTCCCCGGAAAACGGCTCCTCCCTCTTGGATCAGAGCTTTGACGACGTGTTCTGCTTTTGCAGAGTTGGGATCAAACTCATACATACTGTTCAACTTTGTATCTTTTTGATGATGCAGGATGAGGAGATGGTATATTTGAAGTTCTTATTGTACATTATGGGGTAAGGGTGAGCTTTAAATAATAACAAGAGAAAGAAACTAGCTAATCAACCCCTGCAATGGAATCACATTGCCTGGTATTGCCATTACCATCTCAAAAATGAGATCTTCACCGAAATTGCCTTTCTGCTATCTCATCCGTACGAGGCAACTTGAAGGAAAGGTGCTCTGCATGCCGCTGCTCGGATGGCATATGCTGCATTAAACGCGCTTATCAGCATCTCCAACTAATGACTTCTTTTGGAACTCAATGCATGACTGATGTGATCATTTTTAATACAGTTGCCGAGCTTTAAATGGCTCTATTGAAAATTTGCTCTGGGATCTGTTTTCCAAAACTAGGAAACTGCCCACGTGCCCAGGCGGCATTCGTGATTAATTGAACGAAGTGACCTAAAAAGCTCGGTGCTTTTTTTGTCGGCCAAAACGAAGACGGAACGACCCGGGTACTTCTTTGATTTGGATTTCTCGAGGGCAACTGTGATTGCGCAAAATTCACTCATGTCAAGCTCCTAGCGCATTCCGTCCCGACCTTCTTTGATCCAATGTCATTCCACGTAGGTATGTGCAAGTCTTCATGTCGCGCTTCGCACGGCGCTGTAGCACAGAAATTGGGAAAGGTATGTATTCCGTGCTGAACTTGTGCTTAGCTAGGTGTGTTCACATACTTAAGTACTCAGCCAGTGGGTAGTATCTATATACAGGTGACTTAAACTGATGACCTACACCTCTTCGTATGATGTAAGAACCCACGAGGTTGCCTACCGGGTTGCCTAACGGTTGACCTGGACGATTACCTGAAAGGGAAGAGAGCTAGCTGTGATATCCATGTGCATCTATGGATATAGTTGAAATAAATTGATTCTACGATTCCTATCCCTCTGTTTGTGCCAGCCCTACAGGCAGTGGCAGAAGAAAGAGCACCCGAGTAGTAAAAGAGGTCTATACTAACCTTCGAAGTCTACTACATGTATCGGTCGCTTCACGGCTACTACCATCCGAATAGACCAGTTGGCATCTTGATATCCCTCCGTTTCTTTCTCGAATGGATGAGACATATGATTGGAGCAGGTAGATACACATGAAATGTTGAAAAACCGCCCTGATTAAATACATGCAAGCACTTGCGGCGACATATCGTGGCCAAACGAGTCCATATAAGCTTTTTGAATATCCTCATCAGACAATCCTCCAAGTCTCAAGCTTTTGGAAATATCCACAATTTCCTCTTCACTAAAACTTGCGATTTGATGAATCACATCGTGAATGGGCGCTGCTTCTGCCTGGCTCAAAGTGGTTGAATCGGACTGTATAATTGCAGATTCCAAGTATCTCTCAATCTCGCCTGTATACCAGGCTGGAAGTTGAGCCACAGCTATGTCCATGCCAGTGTTAGCAGTAGGCTTATTGAAAGGAGTGTGAGGATCTTCAGACGCCCATCCCGTTTCAGGTTTGAGTGAAGCCAAGACATCTTCGCCAATATTGCATGATTTTGCGGACATGCCAGGGCCTCTGACGAAACCCCCAGATGCAGGCTTGAGGTTATTGAAAGGAAGCTGAAGGGGGATACTCGCGAAAGGATTTCTCATTGGTGTTGCAGGGGCTAGCGCTGGTTCAGGAGTTGGTTTAGGCTTTGTTGATGAATTGTCCATCCCAGGAAGCCCGTCAAGCAAATCTCGGGGTATGGGAATTCCCATTGGGCCTCCACTGGGCTCTGTAGGGTTGGGTAGATCAAAAATGTCGTTAGGCATATCGGGCAGGTCACCTGGTCTCCGATCAGGTAGGGGGTTGTTGCCGTAGATGGGCATAAGCAATCTGACTGCCATGAAAGGTTGGAAGCCCCCAGTTTCATAGACCTTTCTTGCATCTTCGTATGTAGTCTGCATTTCTCTCAACACGGGCTCAACGACGCTCGCTACGGGAAGATCCTTCAAATCAGCGACTAATCTTGCCATATCTTGTTCAGCTACCTTCCAGTTGTTTTCGATGAATGTGATGGTCGTTTTGACTCCAGTGCCAGCAGCACTTATCCACGTCCTGACGAGGTCGCTGAACTGATCTCTGATGTATTCCAAAAGCTGACTGGCCAGGTTCTGTAGAGTCCGCAAGTTGTCTTCTTTGACTTTTACACCGATGATACCAAGCTCCCAATCGCGATCAAAGGCGTGAGCCTTGCCAGATATGTGGATAGAGAGGGGATCTTTTCCAGCCGCCCATGCAACGCCAATTTTCAAATCTCCAGAGAACCTCACAGAAGTGCTCGCTTCCGACACCCTTCTCAACGTTACTGAGCCCAATGCTCCTTGCAACGCGCTCAGGGCGGCCGAGATTTGAAGAAATTGTTCACCAAGATCGAGTGAAAGTTTAGCCGTCAGATCAATATTCGATGTGAACACACAATTGACGCTCAAGTCAAAGCTTCCAATAGGATCTTCTTCCATCTTGAAAGTCGCGAAAAGCCCTCCTTCTTTGCGATAGCATGCAACTTGTGATCTGTGCCAAGGAATCTGAGATGAGCAGAAACGAAAACTGGGTGTGGTCCTTTCGATGCGAATTTTAGGCCCTTCGTTAAGCATCCATGGTGTAAGTTAGCTCTTGTCCACTTCGGGCAGCTCCAATTTGTATTCGTCTGTACTTTCGTCTTAGAATCGGACCAAACTGAATACCTCCTTACGGACAAGGTGAATCGGTTCCATTAACGCGATAACGTGATATCTGTCAAGGTGTATCCCAAATTGGATCACCATTTATGACTACAATGAAACAATTCGGCGGGTAAGACCCGGAGAGCCAGCAATACTCGAGACATCTTCTCGTGAGCAGCTGGTTTCATAGAAACTATCCCATAACCAGGGGCTTCTAGATCCATCGGAATATTTTTACCACCAGGATCCGTCACAAAATCCTGACACACAGGAGGATTGGGGGTTGGAGAATGGAGACAGGCCTATGTCACCCTTAGAAAGTGTCATAGAGCCACTATTCAAAATGTCCAGAGAGTTGCCACCTCACAAATTCACATTCTTAGAGATTCCCTAATCTCAATGAATAGAATTATTGAGGACCTTCAACACGACGGCATAATTCTTTCTCCTGAGCAGCAGATAACTATTACAGCCGCTCTAAGCCGCAACATCGTCCATTTAGATAATGTTAGGCTAGGAGAGGTTGGAGATGATCTGTCTAGTACAGACTCGAGCGATATAGCAGTTGAGTAAGCTCATCAGCCTTAAGTTAAGGCCTGCGGAGGTTTTTGAATTGGATTTTTCTTTTTTTTACTTCAGTTAGGATACTACGTATTTCAAAGGCAGACCTATATACAGATTGGACCTAGCAGAAACTTGAAGTCATCTATATTGAATTTCTCTGAAGTTTATATTTCATCTATTATTATACCTAAGCAATATACGTACTAGTAAATTTACCTAGGTACTAAATAATACCTTATATTTGAACTTGCACTTCCAAGGTTGGTTATTCCCTGCTATTTTTTATTTGTTATCCTTAAGTCTTACTACTGTTCTATCAATCTATGCACGCGGTATTAAAAGTAAAATACTTAGGAACCTATTAATATCCTCAAGTCTCCACCTGAGCAGGGCTTGCCAATGATTTTGGAATGACTTGCATCTGAAAAAGGTTCCCTGTCAAGACCAGAAAATTAAAAAAGACAAAAACATACAACAGTCAGGATTCGCATGTGGTCACCCACCATACTACTAACTGACCGGCGTGTGGCTTAAGTACGGCTGAGCGGACGGGAAGCCCTGTTCTCCACACCCTGTGGTCGTATGTGCTTGACATACCAAGATTGCTGATCATATGGAGCAAAAAAGGGGAGACAAGATGTCATCGCTCGACTGAAATTGATTATTTCACTGTTGATATGCCCTTCAAACCCCCTATTCACAAACATTTGAAGATGCCGTTCTGAGAAAATATATCACCATTCATAGTGACGCGGCCATACATATTTGCATCTATTAAAGGAAGAGATGAGCAGCGACGACAACATGTGGGAACTTGGATCTATAGGCGCATTATCTCGCGCATCACGGCATCAAGGTAGGGGGAGACTGTATCTCCTTCCACTGCGCAGGCATGCTCGGGCTCGCAGTTCGAAGCTCTTGGCAAAGTCTTTGGCCCACTGAGGGAGTTTGAGGATATAATAGACAGCTAAGCACATGGTGCTGGCTGTCGTGTCGCGTAATGCTACGACGTTCGTGAGCATGTATCCGATACCCATGTTGTCGTCCACGGTGGTGGAGAATTCCCCTTTGAGCTCAATGAAGCTGTCCATAAAGTCGGACTTGCGGCCCCAGTTGATTCGCATGTTGCCAATCGCTTCTAATACTGTTCTATTGCAAAGAAAGTTGCCCAGTCAAAGAGCATTTTTGAATAGGTTGAGCTACAATAGTGTGCAATTGCGCCTTGAAGCATACCGGTGCAAAAAAGTCCAGATCCTTGCTAGAGGTTTTAATGACGCCCGCTTTATGCACATATGTTTGTAAATAATGCTGCCTCTAATAATCCTCCAATTCAACCTGTCTGAATCCTTGCAGTCCTCCTCGTACATGCATGTTTAGGTATGTATAGGCTCATATTATATGTATCTGCCCCTTATGTACTGGGACTAGAATGGCCGGGAGACCTCGGAGAAATTAAAGAAGTGGATTACCAGTTTACGGGTAGAGGCCAGCTTCGAATGTTTCAATGTTGACCTGGGGAATTTTCCATGGCTTCAAACGATCTTTCAATATTGATTCAAAAAGCAGATCAAATATTTTACTGTAGCTACAAAATGGATCCAAATACTAATCTTCATCGTCCGATGGCTTCAAATCGACAAGACCCTAAACAGACACGGACTTCACAACAGGTGTAATGTATCCAGATGGATAGGTGTTGGAGACATCAAAGTAGTACTGGTAAACCCCAGAGACGTTGGTCTCCAGAAGACGGAACGAATCCGAGAGAACACCGCCCTCCTCTTCCCACATCAGGTATGTGCCGTAAAAGAGGAACTCCTCAGTTGTGGCATCAGAGGGGGTGGCATAGCCATTACCAGTGAAGCCAACCGGCAGGACTTCGTCAGTGGTGGGCCGAATGTAGAGCAGAGTGCTATTGTCGAGAGTGACACCGGATGTGGTAGCAGTAGTAATCAGCTCAGTATCGGTGATCACGACTGAGTAGTGAAATTAGTAAGAAGGAATTTTGGATGTGGAATATTTTTGAAAAAAAAAGAATGGATGTAGGATGTATGGGACCCGACTACTTACAGGTAACGTCGGTGGTCGTTGTTCCATAGGTCCACTTGGAAGAGTCGCCAGCGTAAGCTAGACCTGCATTTTATTATGAGCAACTGAAGTCCGGGACACTGGCTTTGATGAGAGAAAGGAGCAACATACCGTCGGAAAAGAACATTGGGATAGTGGTGGATTCTGCGCCATATGCGATGAGCTCGAATGAACCGGTCGGGTTGCGCTTCTCGACAGTTACCGAGGGTGCAGAGAGAGCACCACTGGCAAAAGCCAGAGCGGAAGCGCAGGTAGTGAGTTTCATGATGATAGGCTTAGGTTTTAATGCGAATTACCCTTGATGTTGGTTCAAAGCATCATTTGTTACATCTTCCTGCACTCTTATATACAGACTTGTTCAAAGAAGCCTAGACCACAAACTGATTAGGTCTTACACTCTGCAATATTGACGATGACGCGGCCAAAGAATGCACTAAATTAGTCTAATTTCACTAGCGTGATATTTAGTGAAGAGAATCCTGCAACATCCAACTTGGGCAATTGCTCATCGAAGGGTTTAGGAAGCGGGGGCGCTTCAACCTATGACAGTCAAGCTTCTATTTCATTCATGTTACTGATATACTGTGGTGAATATGCTCATTCTGCTTCTACCTGAACAGGACCATGCAGCTCCGACTCTGAACTTATAAAGCCGACCACAAAAGCAAGAAAATCTCCTTAGCCCCGGAAGCCATGGACTAGCGGGCTTGGCCCTTTTTTGAACTTGGTTTGAAACAGGGTAAGAACCTCTAGGGCTCTTCAAGGAGCTTTACAGTACATACTAGCCTGGCGCCAGGGGGATTTGGGCGATTGGTTTAGAGAATCCCTATTTCGCCCTCCAAATCTCACGTTCTATAGTAAGCATGAGCCGAGAAGTCTTGGACTCCTGGCTCTCCGGTTATAACATTGCCGACAGCGTGGGGCCGTGGACCTATCTGGGGCTAGCTTTGGCCCGACAGAAACGAAAACTACTACAGTAATACTCAGATTTGATCATTACAAGAAGCTAAGGTCATTTGGAAACTGTAAGAAACATTTAGCTAATCCTCAGGAACCAGTGCCAAGAATAGAGATCCACGTGCATCAAGGTACTGCCAGGGCGATGAAATGGGCAAAATTTCATATACAGCAGTGACTTGACCTAAGCCAGCAGGATCTAACAGTCCCTTAAGCACCACCCAGGGCAATCCTTGGATTCACCATCTATAATCTGGGCTTCCAGATATATGAAAATCTGAGGGTAATGAGCTTGATTTCCCTTGCCAGCATAAAGTCTACCTGTAGGCACCCATTGGCAGAAGGGACTGTGGGCCTAGTTGATTTGTCAGTATGCCTGGATGGTGCCCAGGTGGCCCCAAGTGGGGTCCCTTCTCTACTTGAGGTTACTGGAAAAGGTTAGATGGTTTTCATAGGCGTACTTGGTTATGATATTAGTATACCCTATATTTCTATACTATCATTTACCCTTGGACTACCCTAAAATGAACCTAGTAGTAAGAGAGAGGGGAATGACTCTCTTGTTATTCAGAAACTGTATCTATTATGTTGCTTTAGCCAAGTTCTGCCTTCTCATTCGCTAGTCCTGTCTACAATTTTCGTCTCATTGGCTGCTGCTTCTATGCACGCATCCTTTGATTCCTGATCTGCAACTTTCAATCTTAGGTGGGCCTAGTGTTGGTAATTTTGATTTTGCTCACGGGCTCTTTCCCTTTTAATCCTGATGTTGGCACTCTTGCTCTAATTTGAATACGCCATACGGCGCCACCTATCTGCTACTTTGTGCTTGCATGATATTGCTACTCACTTCTACAAATCCTTCTTCTGATTGCATTCTGTGCCTGTATACCATTCGTCCTCCACTACACATATTGAACTAGTGGCAACCTGAAAGGAAGCGGGGTTCAGCAGCAATGCCTCAAAATCCTATCCTCCGGATATCAAAGAAATCAACGGTCTTCAGAACAACGTACTTATATTTGCTCAACGTCCGTGTTTAGTATGGTCTAACAGCCTCGATTATAATTTTCTTCTTCATAGATAACTTGAACGAAGGCGCGTCTCTCTCAGTTCAAGTTCTAGAACCAACACCGGGGTCGTGCCAGTGCACATGTGGATACATATGGATATCCTGTTTCTAAGGTTTATTTGACCAATGAAAGTCATCCTATGATACCAATCGTCCAGCTCGAAACCATGTCTTGCTATCCCACAGGTTTTGACCTCGATGAGATCTCTTACTTAGTTAGTCGGCAAACCCCTGGAATCGATGGCTTTTGTCATGGATACCCATTATGGTGTTACAAGCACGATTGAAAAGCAAACAAGAGATCTTTTCGCTGTCGTGGGGACTGGGCAAGATATATTGGACCACTTGATCGCTGGGCAAGCTGCAATCCATACCATAGGAATTTCGCGTCACTTCTTGCACCATTATACAAGCCCGACAGCCTGAGACTAGCGCTTATATCTGACTTATGAGCCCACAGCGGTAATATCCCTAAGAGATAGCAGAAATTTATAATCACATACACACATATATCAACATCGCTTCTCATTGGCTGCTAACAGCTGCTGAATCATATGATTTGACACTGAGAACCCCTTTCCTTGCGGGTGAAATCCTACGTCTCAAATTGCGGGTAAATGCGTGATAAAGAAAAGAGCGTTACAAAACTACCAAAGAATTCTGGACGAGTGAACGTATCACATGGTGATCACACATAAATGCTCGACATATATAACAGGGCCTTGCTTATCTTCTATTTTACCAAAAAAAAACAAAGGTAAAGGCACAAACTCTGCTTAAAATAGAAACCTTAATAGTTAGTAGATGAGGATCTTATCTAGTCTACACTGTGAGGCTTTCTTCCTCCAGAGCCTGAGCGACGGCGTAGTACGCGGGCTTCGCATCAAGAGTATCGTTGAACAAACAAGCACCACCCTGTCCAGCAAAGGCACCGGGAACCCAAGAGTACGCATCGTCAAAATCCCAAACAGTCACACCAATGCAGCGAGGACCGGCCTTTACGCAGCTGGTGACGCTCGTGTAGTAGTCCTGAGCTTGCTGCTGCTGAGCGGCGGCTGTGTAAAACGGCGCTGCTGAGAAACGAACATCGAGCTCCGTCACTGCCACATCTAGATCGGCATTGATGTAAGACTGCTTTGTGGCAAGCTGGTCGGCAAGAGAAGGAGTCTCGCCCACGATGAAGTGCGATTCCAACCCGATACCGTCAATTCGGATACCACGCGCCCGCAGATTCTTGACGAGCTGCAGAACGGCGGTGGCTTTGGTACCCGAGTTCTCGATACCATAATCGTTATAGTACAGCTTCACATCATTTGCGCCTATCTCTGCTAATGCCTGTTGCGCAAAATGATATGCAAGGTAGAAGTACTCATCACCAATGGTGTCGTACCAGACGCTCGAGGAGAAGGAGCCGTCCGAGTTGAGAGCCTCGTTAACCACATCCCATGAGTAGCAGCGTCGACCAAAGTGCTGAACAGTCTTGAAGATGTGATTCTTCATCACAGCAGTGAGGGCTTCGGCTGTCCAGTTTTGAGATGTCACGAAGTCAGACAGCTGGCTCACCCAGACAAGATTATGGCATCGGACTTTGGCGCCGAAGCTCTCTGCGACCTCCAGGAACTGATCGCCTTCGGTAAAGTTGAATGAATTCTGCTCTGGCTCGGTATACATAAACTAGAGATGCGAGGGTTAATGGAAACGAGTCAAAGAATAAGGAATGATTTCTAGCTGAACGCACCTTCATGGCGTTGGCAGGTGTAACTTCGCCAAAATTGCTCTTCAGCAATTTGAGATACGCGGTATCAGTGGTCTCCGCAGTTCCAGGAATATCGGCTGCTGAGCCAAACCACAGTTTGTGCTGAAGCTGAGCAAGCCTATTAAGATCAACGTTGCCATTGTTAATAGGGGCGTGAGGTGCTCCTTGGGATGCACCGACCAGCAAGGCTGTTATTGCAAGAGATAAACGCATTGTGAGAATTGAACTTTGTAAATCAAGCCCTGGAGTTTGCTTAGTTCTGTAGTAGCTTTGAAGAGAGACCTCGGAGGATCATGAAGCTATATAAACCCAATCTCGCCTAAGATTTCCATCTAAAACAACCGGCTTCCAAGGTTGCCTTCTATTTGCTGCCATCTCCTAAACTAACGCCTCTTCGCTAACTCAATAGCAAAGCACATGATCTCGTTTATTTCATGGAGAAATATGTGGTTATTAGGCTATAATTGCCTACAAAAAGTGGTTAGGAAAAACTAAGTATTACCACGCTAGGCTTCATTTCGCTACGGAGTAAAAACCGGCTAAAAAAAGGCGGGGTATGTATCTATTCATTTCAATGTCTAAGTATAGTCTAATGGCATATGAGATGAAGCTTTGCCTATAGCTCAGTATCAACCTATATAGAAGGAAATTTTTGAGACTGCCTGAGTATTGAGGTTATTAGGTTAGAGCTTTCAAATCCGCTCAGAGATTGATTCATTTCCAATGCCAATACTGAAGCTTGGTCTCCGAGAATCTACTCAAATAGAGCTATAATTTACTACATGTATGTGTTTTGGAATGGTCCACTCGCTTACCATTTACGTTCTAGTTCTTATTAAGATACTGTGGCATTCCAAGTTGTCCCATTGTTTAGAGCTACACAGAGGGACAGGAGAATAGTGCAATGGAGATTGTGCTATCGATGATGCCGTGCCGAGTGGGCAGAGAGATGCGCGGACGCAGGTGCTTAGAAGAAAAGAAATCAAGAGGAAGGACGAAGCTATGGGCTACAAGACGCGGGAGGGGCACTAACTGTATTGGGCAGACCAATAAACAGTGCAAAGTTCAAACACCCCGGAATACGTAGAACACGGATGAATGACGGGAACTCTGGTTAATATCGTATCTTGTCCTTGGTGTGTATATGTACCATAATATCCGGAACCCGGTCAACTAGTGCATTTTTGGTCTAGCACTCCTCCAGGGCTCATTCTGTAGGCCTCGCGACCGAGGCTTTTGTTGTATTTTCTCTCGAAATACCCCGCACAACCGTGGTTTTCCAGCTGTTCGCATAATCTTTAAAAAAAACCTTGGAAGGTGAAGAATTTTGCCAAACCTGACCAATTTGGTGTTGGAACTTGGCACTTTGACGCCCCCTGATATCGCCATGCGTGATGGTCCTAATCTCATAATTTAACGAATTACGATAAACACCTGGGTCTATTCCTCTCTTGTATTTTCTCTTTCCTTCGCACCTCTATATGAACCTCAAAAGATATTTCTTGATCTTGATTAACCCGAGAACATTCACAACTCCTTATTAAAAATCATCATCTCTGACTGCTCGACACCGTTTAACTTCTGGTCTGAATACCGTGTTATTTACGCCCCGTGGTTCTTATTGCTTCAATGTCGCCTTAATTGACAGCAATGGCGACTGCGAGTGCAAGGCCAGTGGCCTTACTATTTTCCCCGACAGAATGAAATACAGCTTCACCTCATGACCATCCGCATGCTCAAGGTACACCATCCCCAGCCACTGTTTAATGGCGTGGCGTGTCGAAGCTACACCAGCCCAAAGATTTAACACTTCGGGAAATATGGCCAACATCACATCATTCGCAGATGCATTTGAGTGACAAGAAACTTGTTAAACCGCTACAATGAGGAGATGGAGATACGAAAAGAACGGAGTGGATTGTTCGAAAGAAGAAGAGGGAAAAGATAAAGAGGAACGCTGATAAGCACGAGGGCATGTGACCTCACATCCATGATCCTTGACAACACTCTATGACCTGGGTCTACTCACATACTAAGACAGAGCAGAGAGATGGTTGGATGTATTGCCCACATTTCAGCTATATTTTGCCAATGTTCAATCAGATATCCGAACGAAAATGAGTGCGGTTGTTGATAGGTGGAAGTCCTTAGTTCGAGACGAAAGTGAGCTGCAGACCCCGGCAGGATTTTCCTTCCGAGGCGCTAATATCCTGTCCTTTGATTAAAGCTTTCAGAGATCCTCTTTTCTTTAAGGCCCTTCTTAATCTAAATTAAGACAAAGCACCTATTCAATAAATCTTCAAGTTCAAAGCGAATGGTATTTATTTTAACACTGGGGTCATTTGACTTCTTATTTATCAAGATAGCGTTTCTGTTGATAGAGAGTTTGTCGAAGTATTAGTAAAATATAAAGATACTTTACGTATTCCTAAGATCCATAGCCTAGTGTCTAAAGTCATTTAAAGGGCGTTTAAGCTCACAATATTATTAGATAAAATATATATCCTTTTTAATACTAAAACCTTATGTTTATTAATATTTAAGGAGATAATTCAAAGCCTAATCTCCTTTAAAGATAGAACGGATTTCTTTATTATAGAAAGGCTCATGATTTTACTTTTCACTCGCTTCAAATCCAAAATACCAATTACTGTGACGGACTAAAGCAGGACTTAAATTCAGAACAAGCTATGTCAGGCGTACTGTCTAGAATAACATGAGGAACAGAGAAACACAGGGGGCCGTGGAGGTATATAAGGGCACGTGTACTACACGTGATCAGGCAGCGGGCATAGGCCCGTGACAATTACTCTAGATATTCTTTTGCTTATAGCAAACTCGCCTTTATATCTTAGCCATCTTATCTATATACTTCTAGATAGAAAATAATCTTTAGATCTTCAGCTCTTTTAGGAGTATCTATAACAAAGCTACTATAAGTTCAGTAAAGAAGTGTCGGATATTCTATTAAAATATACCACTCTAAAAGTTTCTAAATATATACTTCAATGTTAAAAGTATTCTAAATTCAAGACACTACTTAACAGTCAAGACTTACTTTATAACCATAGTTTATCTAGCCTTAAAATCCTAGTTATCTGTTAACTATGAGGTCATGATTACGTAATATCTTCATACATCCGATATGGTGTAGTGGCTAACATCGTCGTCTCTCACACGACAGCCGGGGGTTCGATTCCCCCTATCGGAGTTATTTTTCCAGGGGATGTTTGCATCTTAACGTATTTGCTACTTCAGAGCCTTCGGGCCATGAGACAATTATCACCAATGCCTGATGGAAATCTTTTTTTCCCTATTCTCTTTACCCAAAAACCAAAAAAAAGAAAAGAAAAAAGAAAAAAGCTTTCCTGGATAGACATTGACAGGGTCAATCGAGGTCACACACCGCAACAGTTTTTTCCTCCCCCTTAATGGACATGATCATGATCCCGCCTCTCTGAGCCACAGCAAGAACCTTCCATAGCAGCTCTAGCCAGTTTAGCCCGCTCCCATCTTGAAGTGAAATTAATAAGTTCTGACAGGCTATCTTCTGCGACAGTAAATCTTTCCTTGTAGCAATAAAGTATTCCGCAAAGGACTTAAGGAGTTGAGGAGTGGGATCAGGGTTCTCTTTAGCAAAGTTAGCGTTGGCTACTTCGTTATAAGACAGCCTCCACCTACAATATATTAGACTAATAATAAAAACAAGAAAATTGGTGAGACTACTCATAATGCCCAGTTTAATGCAGTGTTTTCGTAATTCTAAAGTGTAGCTGGTGCTAGCTCCTTATAACAACTTGAAATAGTATTTTCTTCTTTTTCTCGTGCGTTCTAATAGTTAAGGGTAAACCCATATGATAAAGCATAGGCATTTCTCTTAACAAGTTTTTTCTATATATTTTATAGTGACATAATCTTCTAGCTAGAAAATAAAGATAAATAAAAAATAGCAGGCCTAAATAAGCACCCTCGGGCTATTATTTATCTAAAATATAAGTACAACGGTGGGTCCCCTTACCCTGTTCTCACCCCGTTCTCACCCCATTCTCACCTCTCTCACCTATATCACCCTCACTCACCCTAACACAAAACATATTACTGTTTTAAGGCCAAGGGCTTTTTGAGAATTAACTGCGTTCAGTATGTGGCTTAAGTACGGCTGAGCGGACGGGAAGCCCTGTTCTCCACACCCTGTGGTCGTATGTGCTTTTAATGTGAAGACATTGGGCCATATAGTGCAAAGGTATTGAGGAACGCTTTAAGCTGTGCATGCTAAAGATATACGGGTCGAAGTTGCCTCTCGATTATTAATCGCTATTGCCACCAACCACCCTAAACACCCACCCTAAACACCCAAAAACACCAATTTGGACCGCTCTCCAATACCACCACCTGGATGTTGGGATCTTCGGACAATCGGCTTGCAACCACCAAACCGGCGGTTCCCCCACCGATTATGAGATAATCAGCCTTTGAGGGAGTATTCAACGCCATATTGGTAGTGCCAGTTGAATGAGTAGGTTGCTGAACAGATGGTTGATAGGTAGTAGGGGAGACAGAAACTTTAGATTCGGATATTAAAACTTTGAAACATTGAAAATTGAATTATTCAAGTTCATGATATTGATAGTCTCAATACAAGGTACATGCGTCCGCATTTTTTGTCCTACCATATATCAATACCGGCGATTACCTGTCTTCTTGCTGACCCTCTGCCCTAAACAAGCAAGCAGGCTACTGCTGTATGTGCACCACCCGCAGCTTGACTCTGACACCCTGAGTATCAGGCTTCGGCTGAGAAATTGTCCAATCCAGCGCGATCTTCACATCGTCGATAGCTGTCTCAAACAATTCCATATCAACCCTCGTCGCCAAAGCCACCGCCATCAAGTACAACTCCGCATATGCGAGAGATGTTCCAAGGCAGTATCGTGTCCCCGCTCCAAAAGCCACGATGCTGCGCTTTAGCTCCACGCGGATCCCCGACCCGTCCTCTAAGAGCCATCGCTCAGGAAGAAAGGCTTGTGGGTCAGGGAACCGCACAGGATCATAGTGCTGGAAAACGGAGATTGAACTGAGAGGTGTGCGGGCAGGGATCGTCCAGGCACCATAGCTGAGACTTGTGGGGGCCAGCCGATGCGAACGACCTGAAACTCCACTCTGCAGGCGCAGCCCCTCTAGAATACAGGCATTGAGGTAAGGCAGCTTCTCAAGCTCTGTCAGAGACGGTAATGGGTGCTTGGGATCCGGATAGACTCGGGTCAATTCGGCTCGCAAACGCTGGAGTTTGGTGGGATTCGCTAGAAGATGATACCACAAGACCGCATTGACCTTGGCCGGGGTCTCGCTCCCTGCGATAAGGAGAATTGCGCCCTCTTCGGATAGTCGCTATGGCGTTTTTTCTGTTGAGGGCAGCTTGTCGCTGTCGCGGAGGGCTTCAATTATAGTGGTCGCCTTGCGGTCCGGGTCAGAGTAGATGCCACGATAATTGAGTATATCTTCGGTTTGTTTGCGAATACGCTGTGCCGGATTAGTTGCCATGTTAAAATTGGCCGCCTGAATGCCTTACCTGTTTCCATCCTATCAAGATTGACAGATCAGGGGTGATCCGCTTGGAGATGATCGGGGGTAAGAGGTCAACCAGCCGCACTAGCAGCGGGAAGGCACGGACGATAGGGAGGGCCCGCATAATGTGAAAAACGGTATCGCGCCATTGAGTAGCGAGAGCCTCATCAGCCAGCAGCCCGAAAGACTGGCCAAAGCTATAGCTGGTGAGGACATCCATGGTGGTAGCAATCGACCCCAAAGTGAGATTGAATGGCTCCTTGGCGGCATGGGCGCGGACGATGTTAGCGCAGAGCTGATCCACACAAGCCTTGATACTATCTTCTAAGCCTAGAGTATTTCGCTTGCTAAAAAAAATGGGGCCAAGGCGTCACGTCTCATACGATGATGGGCATGTTCGACGGTAAAACCGGTAGCGTTGTTGCAGTCGGGCGACCGTGTGAACCTTTCGTACTTGTCCCTCTTCTGGGGCAGCGCGGCGTAGATGACATTGTAGAAGTCCGGATCAATGCAGTGCAACTCGTAAGGGCTCACACGGACAATTGGTCCGTATTTCTGATGCATCTTCTCAATCTCCCACATGTATGTGCCTTTCTTAACCACGTCGTGGTAAAACTCCACCCAGGAGGTCAAGGCTACAATCTTCGGCCCAGGAAACGCGGCCAAGGGGCTCAGATACAGCCGCCAGATGGCTCCATAGATTGTCCAGGCGAAGACGGAAAGTGCGGTCCAAGTGAGGAAAGACGAGATCTCTGATGACATTGCGAAGGATGCTGTTGGTCTTGGTGTCCTGAGAGAGAACCGGCCGACAGCAGAATACGCTTTTATCCTTTCGGATCTCCAATAATAAATTGGGGGCCCGGAGGTGGAGTACACTCATGACTGACGAAACTTGGAAGTTGGAAGTCCTCGATTAAACTCGTGGCAGAAGCTTGGTAGGTTAAGGAAACGAAGGACTTGGCCCCCGCATTAGTCTAGATATTGACAACTGGGGCTTTGCAACGCATCCATACTATCTTTGCCTACGGAGTACAGTGTCTGGCATGCATAAGTTGGACGACCCACCTCTTGACTAAACCTCTTTGAGCCCTAGCGTTGTGTATTCTGCTTTCAGGGGGAAATCTCCAAGGTAATATTCACATATAAATTGTAGTGTCTGAGCTAGTTTTATTTACTGTTAGATCACGTGGTCTGTATAGTTCAGACCAAGGTGGCTAGGTAGATAGCTCTCGACGTGTCGGGGCAGACTTCCCCTCCGCGCGCTTCCCCCCCCCCATACGTGTTCTTTCCTGTAGCTGTTCCAAAGGCACACCTCCTAACACTATCTGCATCGAGCGACGAGCAACCCCGGATCGGAGAGGCAGCTTGGACGCCGTGCACGAAGCCGAGGCTTGGTTAAACTTGGCCCCCACTTAGAGATACAAAAATTACCTAATACCAAGATACGTACCGGTAATACAAGGTCTCGGTCGATCCGTAAAAAGACGACAATTCATGTTAGCCTTGTAGCACTGGTCAAATTGAAACAGCGCTACGCTGTCTGCCCCTGCAATCCTTCCGATCTTTCTATCTTTCTTTCTTTTGTCCTTTCCCATCTCTCTCTCTGTCTCTCTCTGTTCCTCGAGAAGAATCCACATCCCATCCACCATGGCGGGTTCCATCCAAAAAAATGTGATCATGATGCAGAAGGGTGAGTCTTCCGTTCTATCGTCCGCTCCCCCTCTGTGTTATGTTCGATGTTAGCTGACAATCAGTTCCCAGCGTCGTCTATGTTCAGTCTACGTCGTGCCGCAGTAGCATCCCCGTCTATTATGCCTATCATGGGTCGGGCGTGGCAACAACAAGTTCGGTATGCCAAGTAGAAGAATTAGAATATGTTGTTCTTAGGAAATGTATATTGACTAGCCCGACTCTTCAGGATGCAGACCACGAAGCCCGTAACGACACCACTAAAAGTGCTCACGCCGCAAACCGCCCAGGAAGGACTCGCTCGCCAACGCCTCCAGAGACCTGTGGCGCCCCATCTATCCATCTATAAATGGCAGGTTCACTCGGTCAGCTCCGCCATGGAGCGAAACACAGGACTTCTCCTCGCCGGCGGTATGTATCTCTTCGGTACCTCCTACCTGGTCGCCCCCTGGCTCGGCTGGGATCTGTCATCGGCTGCCCTCGTCGCGGCCTTTGGCTCTTTACCTGTGGCCGCCAAGCTCGGCCTTAAGTTCCTTGTCGCCTGGCCCTTCACCTTCCATCTCTTTGCTGGTATCCGGTATACTGTCTCCGCCGCTGGATACACTCTGAACAATAAAGCTCAAATTATCAAGGTCGCATGGGCTGTTGTTGGCTCATCAGCTTTGGCCGCCATCGGCTTGGTGGCTTATTTTTAAGGACGTGCCATCCATGGCAAAGTTCATTCCCTAGATTCCACGGTGTTTTAATCCCGAGGGAAGTCATTCTCTACATGTATTCAAAAGATTATACAATGTATATAGTTTCTAGATAGCTTACATAGCCAGACCGAAGCAAGAATAAGTCGCTACCATTTTTTTCAGGAAAAGATTCTGGGCACCTTGAAATATCACAGGTGTGCGGGTTGAATATGAATATATACAGTCACCTCCGACTCAACTACAGGTTGCTCAAGAGTGAATGTCGAGCGCATCACGCACCTTATTTCCATGATGTCATGAAATTAACATTGCCATTGATTATGTCGAACTTGGACTGTATGAGGACCGTCGAAAATGTCCCATGGGTTGTAAGGTTCAATGTGTGCTATTTGAACTCTTTCAATCAGGCCATAATTGAAATTTACCGCCGACAAGAATACCGAAATACCCTTACCCGTGTTGTTGTCCCGGGCCGCTCCGGAGAATGGAAGATCCATAATATCGAGGATCCATAATATCCCGGCGCTAACTCCACCTGCCGCGTTACCTTCCGCTTCAGTATGAGAGGACAAATATTTGGCTACCCACGATCCGGAGAAAAGAACCAGCGATTTAGCGTAATGGCGTTTTAGACGGGAACAGCACGGACTATCTCGCTCATCTCGCTCGGCCTAGGTGCTTATTCCCGTGGGACCTAATAATCCGGGGGTGGGGCATAATTACAGTGTCTAGATAATTCGATATATTAAATAGTAGCATTAAGACTCGCAATATTAATATAGGAAATAATATTGTTAGCATTAAACAGTGCAATCCTCTACATATTCAATTTATTCATTCATCGCCCTATACAACATAAAGATCCAGTTACGATGTCCTCGATCAATCTCGTGGATCTGACCAGCCAGATTGAGGCTACTGTAGCCTCTACAACAGACCTCCAGGAGAATGAGGCAGACCGGAAGCGTCTCCTCCAAGCCTGTGATCAACTCCGGAAGGAGTTGAAATCCCCGTTTGAATTCACCTTGCGAACAGTCTTTGCGGTATGATTTCTCTTTTCCTTGGTTGTTAGAAAGCTGGAAGTACTTCTCACTTACGTGGTTATATGCCGCAAGGTTATGCATCCATAGCAGTGCGATTAGCCATTGATATGAACCTCTTCAATGCCGTAGCCCAGCATTCCGAGTCCTCCAGCGAAGGGACAGTGACTCTATCGCAGCTGGCTGAGACAACCAAAACCGATCCTCTTCTCGTGTGTAAGTGATCACAAACCATCAGCATCATATTCAGTGAAGACTTACAAAGAACTCCACTGTATAGCACGCATCATGCGATTTCTATCCGCACTAGGAATTTTCAACCAAATTGAGCAAGATGTATACGCTTCAACCCCGCTGGCAGCTGCTTACATCTCAAGCTCACCTCTCTCCGCGGCCGTGATCCATGTGTATGTCCTTTTCTCTCTCTCCCGTCTCTTACTGTCCACTAAAGATGAATCAAAAACCAAAGCACGCACTTCTTCATGGTACTCTCTCAACTCCCAGCCTACTTCCATGGAAAAGGCTGGCAGAACCCGAACAACGTCCTCGACGGCCCCTTCCAATACGCCACCGGGACGAAATCGCACTACTTCGATTTCCTGGCCGGAGAGCCCTACTACCAGCAAGCGTTCAACACGGTGATGATAATCTCGCATCGTCGCCAGGGCCAAAACTGGTTCGACTTTTTCCCGGTAGAGGAGAAACTGGGCGGGGTGACCAACGATTCCGACGCCCTACTGGTGGACGTGGGCGGCAGCCAGGGCGGCGATATCATCGCGTTCCAGAAACAGTTCCCTCACGTCCGTGGCCGTCTCGTGCTGCAGGACTTACCGATTGTGATCGAGGCGATTCAGGAAAAGGAGTTCCCCGCCGGGATTGAGGCGCAAGGGTATGACTTTTTCGACGAGCAGCCTGTGAAAGGGGCGCGGGCTTACAACCTCCGCACGGTGCTGCACGACTGGCCTGATGCGCAGGCCCGACAGATCTTGGCCCGCCTCCGGGAGGCGATGGCGCCTGACTCGCTGCTGCTCATCAATGAGACCTTGCTGCCTGAATCGAAGATCGCCCTGTCCTCTGCCCAGGCTGACTTAACGATGATGGTCTCCTTTGCCCCGTTGGAGCGGACAAAGGCTCAGTTTGAGCGCCTGCTAAATGAGTCTGGGTTTGACCTCGTTAATGTCTGGATGCCGCAGGGGTTTACGGCGAGTTCGGCGGAGCTCGCGTCGCAGGCGACCTTGCTGGAAGCAAGGCTGAAAGGTTCGTCGGAATGAGTCTATAGGTCTAGATGGATTCCGATAGGTTTTCGAAAATGTCTCACATATACTTGGATATTCGTCATGGCTCATATCTAAAGAATCACTATAATGTTCAAAGTACAACTCATGTCAGTCGTCAAGGATAATGTCTCAAGACGAGTTATGGGTAGGATCAATGGTAGGAAACGGATCTCCTTTTACATCAGAAAGAACAAGAAAAACTTCATAACATGCCATTCCACAGGTCCGAAGATCCAAGCTCACTCTCCAATCCTACCTGCAGATCTTGTGTCAATCCTAGAGAACTGACCGAACTGACCGCGCTGACTTGGGCTTGAAATTTGAGCAGTTCACAGCAGATGTTTAAGCTGTCTTTGGCGGGTTTAATCGTTTGTCGTCCGGGGGCCAGTCCGGCTTCCATCGCCTTGACTTGTGCCATGGCACAGGAGAACAGAACATAAACGTCGACACTGGTCTCCTCGGCTTGAATTCGTCGCCGGAAGATGGCCATCGACTCTTCGATGGCATGAAAGAATAGGTCCTGCGAAAGGCTGTGCATGATGGGAAATGCATTTTCCCCCAACTCTGTTGTCAGTTCGACGATCAGAATGGCTGTGGCATGGCACAGCATGTGCCGAATGATGTCACCCCCACGAACTTTCAACCTCAGGAGCTCGTGTTGCTGGTTCTCGGGTAGGGAATCCACGGGCAACGGTTTCTGCGAGACCAACTGCAGAGGGGATAGGAAGGTGAGTGCGTTCTCAATAAGCACTTTACGGCTAAAGTAGAATGACTGGTTTACTTTGGCTTCCACCGCGAATGGCGTATGTAACGCCAGCAGGAATCGACGAGTCAACATATTCAGCAGGTGGATCTGGAATCCAGTCGGTATCGGGGTGTCGGGGATGGAGTTTCTCTGATACGACTGCAGCGTCGCAGTATTGGAATGACACATGGCATTCAGCTGCATGCCCAGTTTCAAAACCCATTGGTAATTCTGGCCCGGGCCCTTTTTGAGGGAATTGCAATACCGAAGGATCTGCAGCCGCAATGGCATAATCTGCATCAGCATCCGCTGAACGGTGCTTTGGGTAAAGCCATCTGCGATGTCCGTCGCAGCTGATAGATTGCTGGCATCGACATCATTGATGTTGAATGGCAGCTCGCAGTCGAAATCGTCATTGGAGATAGACGGTGGCATGCCCGTATCCAGACATGACTGTATCGACATCTCCAGAATGGTAGCCCACAGGCGCTTCCGCATCTCGCCGTCGAAGGGCGAAAACTCCGGGAAATGGATTCGCGGCTCTTTGTGAAGGCCGAGTCCGATTGCGATACGTAGGGGAAAGTCTCCTGAGATCCAGACTAGCTCGGAAGGATCAGGGAGTGTTTGGCGCGCTAACAGCAGCAGGGTTGAGACCTGCAGGACCGAAAGATCAATGCCAAATTTGTCAAAGCTCTCGGTGAGCCAAAACTGCGCACTAGCAATCCACTGCGGCGCAAACAGCTGAAGCTCGTCCGCGTCAGCATCTGAGATGAAGCAGGCCCCGATGGCCAGCACAAGAGCGAAGGTAGATGGGAAAGCCCGGCTGGCACCATGCGGGTTGTTCCAGTATAGCTCATACTGTTGCATGAAGGTCGGAATATGCAGCACCCGAAAGACTGCCTCGAAGGTGTGCAGGTATAGCATGATCAGGCGGTCACAGGTTGACTTGAGAAGCAGATTGTTCGTCGCATTCGGTGGGCCTAGTTGGTTGTAATACTTGACGGCTCGGTCTGACTTGATGATCTGGGCGTAATGGCTGCATTGCTCCCAGAGTGGTTGGATCTCCGCATGGTCCGACCGGTGCAGCAGAAAGTTCAAATGCTCTGACTAGCATTTTTTATCAGCAAAGAAGCTTGTCCGTGAAGACTAGACCTAGGAAACGCGTTGGCTCACCTGTCCAAATGACGACTAAATATAATGCTTGCCACAACCCGAGCTCTTAGCGTGGGATATGGTGCGCCCGGGGAGATCCACAGTCTCGTTCTCGTTCATCCCCACATCCGACCTGGAGACGGTGTACCCTGATGGGAAGGTGAAGTGAGGTGGTAAATTGGCAATAACGCTGCTCGACGAGGTGAAGGTGATCGGAGTGCTAACTACAACCCCAGTCTGAATACTATTCTCCTCGGATGCGATAGTAGAGGAAGACAGATCGCTGGAGGTCGGGCCAGCGCAGAGATTGGTCATCGTCAGTTCATTATTGGGATAACGATAACCACACATTAGGGAGGCATTTCCACATGGGCCGCAGGGAAATGCACGATCACATTTCACTTTGCGTCGTCGACACTCGATACACGCAACGGCAGGTCGGCGGCGGCGATAGAGGGGGGCACTCATAGTGTAGATCCGTTTTCCATAGGGGAATTGAAGGGGAGAACTGAACGACAGGTGGATCACAATGAGATTCTGGGAATACCATTGCGGAATGATCCGGCTCCTTCTTCTTCATCGCTGTATAGTTCCGAAAAGTAGGAGACGAAGTGCATGGCTGGCTCGGCCCCCGGGCCCCAACCGACTTTTGTCTAGAGCGCCATAGGCAATACCCTCTGATCCTTCTGAATAGAAGCAGGTTTCTTCTCGTGAAAAAGACTAGTTCAATAAATCAGTGTAACCAATCAGCTCCTAGTCGTTGCTGTCAGAGACGAAGAACGAGTCTGCATGACACGTCGGAGTTCGCCAGCTGGCGGTTGTAAGCCTGACGCCACCCGCACCTACTCTCGACAAGCGCCAGCCGCCGCTAAAAAAGGGTTAGGAAAGAATGAAAGCAAGGACCACTGCACCATTTTATGACTGGCCGTACGAGGCTTAGATCTGTCGTTCAACCCAGTATAAGAGTGACTGTTTGTTAGAAGCATTTGAAGCATTTGTACAGTTGGAGACTATACGCGTATCAACTATGTTTTATCAATCAGAGCACTCTTTTTAAGTAACATGTTAATCATTTATGAAAATGGAAAGGTCGCAAAAGTCCATTTGATGATGCCGTACTGTTCTGTATTGTGTACCATTGATACATGACCTGTTGACTGTTCTCTTCCAATGAAAGCGACTCCAGTAGATACCATACCGGAATAGTTTTACGCTAGCCACAATGGCGCTAGGCCGGACCGAGCCGCGGATATGGATTGATCCGCATGATTTTTGATACCCATATGGATCTCCCCTCAGACCGATACATACCAAGGAATTTAATTTTGGTCTAAGTTCTTAATTAGCAATAGCTATCGACAAGTGTTCCAATAAAATAACAACACGGTTGTTGAGATATCAAGTTGTAATTTATCGCCTTAACTATTGTGTATGGAGGTGCGCCACTCGCTTCCAAGTGTGCGTCACCCACTTGAGACATACGCCAGTTCTCTACGCGTAGGACCCGGCCCATTAAGAACCCCCGGGGCCAAAAGCAACATCAGTACCGGGGTCCCATGATTGAACAACATGAGGTGGTACTTTTTTATATATTAGCGAATCTATAGGTGTGGGTCTACTTTTTACGAAGGAACGTAGTAGATGCTGCTGTGCCCTATTCTACCCGTATAACCGCCCCTTTTTCTCTCTGTCCAGGGCTATTTTTCTGTGTCGACACCTAATATTTTAAGCCATATTCATACACGTTAAATCAGACCTAGCTAGATCAATCCAAACTGCGGATTGAGTGGGTTGCATATGTTAGATCACGTGGTCTGTATAGTTCAGACCAAGGTGGCTAGGTAGTAAAGAGGGGAACCGTGAGGCAGTATATTCGAGGTACACGGGTCGATCCAGCTAGACTGAAAGAACAACACCAACCAACAAAGACAATGTGTCCGGACTACCCGTAGGGGTCAGATCAGAGATATGTAGGAGTGTGTATTGTCTTCTAGTATCGAACGCCAATCTTGTACGTACAATAACACAACATAACATAACGTAAGGAATGAACAATACCGAAATATCATACCCGTACGGTACGTGTAGTAGGGGACAGGGTACCCCACTACAATACATAGGACACTATATATTGAAAATCGAATCGCAGTGGATTCACGCTCATGTGCTCATATACATCAATATCAGATGTCCACTCAAAATAGGCTCAAACCACTATTTGAATACCAAATTTGAAAATCATTGCCATGGAAACACCACAATACCCTTGGTTGAAAGCTTTGAAGAAAAAGACTATGGTAGAAAAGTTTTCCTGTAATTCTCTTGAAACTCGCCCTTGAAGCAAGCCATTTGAAAATCGAATTTCTCTCTGTCATAGCTCCATTGGCTCCTCTTTTGGGGTCTCTGTGATGATTTCAACAGAGCCATCGGAATCACCGCCACTCCATGTTTGGGGCTTTGATTGCCGCGGAGTCTCATCTCCATTCCTGCTCAAAGTCCCCTGAATAGCATCGTCTAATGAGATTTGCAGCTCCTCAATCATCTCGTCCCGCATGCGTAAAGTGGACTGGAGGCAAGCAATTAGTCCTCGTTGATAGTGATTCTCTTGCTGAAGCGCTTGAAAGGTACTGGTTCCACAGCGCTGAGACGATTCTGACTTTACATTTGTAAGCAAAGCCTCGAGACTCGGGTAGATTTCATTCAGATGTTCTGAAAGTTCTTTCGATCGAGTTCTCTCTAATGCAAGGTCGCGTGCCATGCCCTGGCACGCTTCCGAGACGCGACGCAGAGATCTTTCATAGTCGCCTTGCTTAACCCCGAGTCCAGCATTGAGCTTTTCAAGCTCGTTGCAATAGGAGCGAAGCTTTAAGTAAGCGGCAGAATCATTATAGATTCTAGACTCCAACATTCCCTGGTATTGTTTGGCCTGCCGATCCTGCAGAAGTAGCTTTTCCACCAGTATGAGAATATAACGTTCACTATTTTCTGCAGCCAGAGGACTTGGAGCCTATAAATATCTTTGGATTAGAAAATGCAAGGAACTGAGGTTTCATTGGAACTCTCACCAAATTCGGACGGGAAAGTTGAGGAGCTCCGTCGTATTGAGATTTGAAAGACATAGTAGTTGGCTTGAATCTCTTTCCAAGGTTGTAAAATTGTGAAAGTGTACTTTGCTTCGATTTTCGGCGATATGATGGTTGAACCTTGGAACATTGGAAGGGAATAGTACTGTTTATGTACTACCTAGGTAACCTGGAATACTGTAATGAAGTTCTAACCTTGGAAGCCTAGGAAGAAGTTCTGATTGTATTAGGGATCCACACGTGACTTATTTGATATGCGGGAACCCCGTAGGCACAGATCCCAATGTCCGTTGCGTTGCCGTCCTCAAGGAGAAGAGTGACTCATGCTAGTCACGGCATGGAAAAGCATGTCGTACCCTGACACGTGGTCGGAAATTTTTTGTGCGACATGCTTTTCCATCTCGTAACTAGTAGTGACAGAGCTTAGTACACGACATGGGAAAGCATGTTGTAACTAGCAGGGGGCAGAGCTTAGTGCGTGACATGGGAAAGCATGTCGTAACTAGCAGGGGGCGGGGAACAATGTGCCGTGTCTCTGTTCCCGGATGGTTAGCGCTGTCTCAAAAAAGAGAAAGAGAAAAAAAAGGAGTAGGTGGGTACATACCCCGCCGCGACTTGGAAAATCAATTTGAACGGTACCTGGAAATATGGCCTCCAAGCAGGCTCTTTACAAAACAGGAAAATTCACGTTTCAAGAAACCAAATTTCATAAGAGACATTCATACTCCTTCCGCATGCAATACAAACACACACACTCTCTCTCTCACTGTCTCTTACCTGTCTCTCTCTCTATCTTTCTATCTGTTTCCAACATTATTACGAACTCAAGTTCGCTCGCTTGTCTCACTAGTTCTTTAACAATGAACCGATACTCCACTCAGCGCCTGGAGCCAATTTCGGAAGAGATCACCCCCACGGATCACCTCATTCTCTGCCAAGGTGGTACATCATCAAATCTAGAACGACTTCCGTCTCGACTGGAACGTTCCAAGCATCAGTCACCTAGCCTCAAACGACAATTCGAGGATGCTGCATACGAAATGAGTTATCTCAAAGCTGAGCTGCAGTGGCATAAGGAGAGTAGACAAATCCTGTTGAATCTGCGTAAGCAGGTTTTGGGGGGTTTTCAAGCTCTGGAAGACTCTCTAGAAGAGGCTACATTGCGGCTACATGAATCTGAGCAGCGGTACCTCAGCATTTGGGATAAAAATGAGAGTGAGGTTGGATTATGACTTGGACTATTTAGAACTACTAGTGATGACTCGCATGTGTATAACAATCCTGTTGATATCTGTATTTATATATAGGCTAGGCTAGGAATAGTTGTACTACCAAGTACGTAGAGAAAAATCCATGGATTGAATAAACACAACTTCCTATGAACTGGTTCAATCACTTAGTACTATCTCACTCATGACGCTTGAAATTAAGCTCGAGCCAAAGAAATTAGCTCATGTATCTTTTCCAAGGCCTGTTTCTCACGTTCAATGGCTTGATGATACCAATTGAGCAGTTCCGCAGCGCTTCGCTGCATTGTTTGAAAATCCTTCCGCGCATCATCAACTTGGGCTGAAAACGAATCGACTTTGGCTAGTAATGAATCGAACTTAGATGACATGAAATCAAATTTGCTACCCATCATGAGGAGCGAATTGGAAGTTTCCTTGTTTTCCATGGTGGTAGAATTTTGGCAAAAATCCGATTCGACGTGGGCTGAGGGAAAGGCAGGCATTTCGAACTGACTGGATGTTCTATTAGAAACCGCCATATAATGATTATAAGAGGACTTGAAAATTCATACCTTTGCGGCTGGAAACAATGGCTTGCCTCCGAAGATGAATCGCCTTCCATAGCATCGTTGGTATGACTAACATTTCAAAAGATCAGACTGTATAATTCAATGGGACGTATGATGGAAAATTACCTCGTTTGTTGGAAGGGATGGTGAGACTTTGAAGACAGATCGCCTACCGCAGCCTCCTGGTAATCCCCAAACATAGAATCGCTCTCAAATTCTTGCATCGCATCGCCTTGATTGGGGAGATAGGGGGGGATTCCATCCGGACTGATCAAAATATGGAAGCTCATTGAAGGAAGCCATGTTGAATGAAGGGAAAGGAAAGTAGAAAACCTCGCAAGTTATTCCGGCCGCCTTTTATTTCTCAATCTGCCAGGACATGGGGTAGGGGAAGGTCTCCAAAACTAGCCGCTCTTGGTAGAAGTTCAATATTCTGATATCTAATTGAGTGAAAACTATGCGAGATAGACAGGGGTACAAAAGTCCTAGGAATTACAGCTATTATGGATTATCTACGGACCTGCCCAGGTCCATATAGGCGCTAAGGTGATAGCAAGGTGATGAAACCTGGAGCAGACGGATCGGAATACGGATCGCTCGGTCTAGCCAAGGTCTTAAAACATCCATCCAGCTTTCGTTGCAGTAAGTTACGAACACTTGAATAATTCCAATGTTATCGTCAGGAGCCCTGGAGATTGCCCAGGTGATAGCACATAGTAGCCTGGGATACCTAGTAGTACAATGATCAATACTATAGATGCCAGCACTTGAGTGCATAGTATAAATATCATAATTGACGTACCCACCAGCTTGTCATTTGATTGTATTCAAGAACATACGTTTGAAACCTTCTTCATAAATTGAAAAAGTCACAACTTGAAGTGCTATCCATCATCATCCAAATTACTATGCAAGGTTTTCCTCATATCGGCTGGCTCGATGTGGGCATTCAAGAAGACTCTAGATTTGCTGTCCTAGATCATGGTCGCCTTGAACAGGTCATAGCAGAACTCCCCTTCCCAGCAGCACAATACCCATCACTCTGTGTATTTATGGGCCGCAAACCCAAGGAAAGTATACTTCAGCATATATTCCCTTGGAACAATATTCGACGACATAGCTCGTCCTCAAATGTGAATCTGCGATGTGATCTCGGTTCTCTGAATTCGGAACGGCCAGCACTTTTTGTAGACAGTGATATTTTGCTACCCTCGGCTCTTCATAAGCTGGAAGCTGGAGCTGGTTACCCTGTCGTCTCAGACTGCCAATCAGCTGATGATCTCTGTGTCACAATGTGGGCCAGGGTGATATTTATGTTTACTGATGTCCTTTGCATAATCATCGATGACTTATCAGACCTTGGTTTAGTTATGGATTTCCTAGATGATTGCGCTCGATGGAAGCATCCGGCCTCCTCTTTTTCAAGGTTTCCACAGCTTATATTTGCATTCCGATTTGAAGGCATTCAGGGGAAACAAGGATCCGCTTTCAAAACAACACTCCAGGATTTCCATGATACAACTAAATACGCTAGCGCGTTAAGAGTATTTTCGGAGATACACCTCTGCGCTCTGGCCCTAAGGTTGGTGTGGTGACCACAAGTATTTCTAGAGACACTAGCGCATTTATTCTTGGCAATTTCAATTGTTCGATCGAGATGGAAAATAAATCCGGTAAGAACTCCATCTTGATGAATTGATGCATGTGGCGGGGTTACTAATAACTCAACTTCAGTGGATGATTCGCATGATGCAGATGTTGATGTCGACGCTGATCAAAGTGATAGTGATCAAAGTGACGATGATCAAAGTGTTGGCGAGCCTATTGAAGAGGACCCCCCCCCTACCCCCCCCGACACCTATCTATCCATGGGTTGAAAGAATTATCAAGGAAAAGTGTGCGAATTATCATCAAGTTGAAGACTTCTTCAGCTCTGCATTTCTAGACGATCTTTCGGGTATGCCTAAAGCGTACGAAAAATGCGACACTTTCTTTACTCTCTTAAACCAGACAATAAGGGGCGCAAATCAGGAACACAATGTGTTAAGTATTGACGATGGAACAATCCCGGCACAATCGTATAGTGCGTTTTGCTCAAGCTATATCGCGATGATGAGAAAAGCAAAGGAAGAGAAAGACACGGATGCAGGATGGCGAGCCTTCCATACCACCTACGATATATTGAAGGCTTTCAACGAAAGACATCATCTTCCAAAGAAATGGAATATTGATAGACACAAAGCTCACGAGAAGATAGGCACTGACGATCCCCGGGGAGATGAAATGTATGATTCAGCTCCTGAAGACGACAATGAAAATGAGCCACAAGCTGAAGTGGAGCCAGAAGCCGAATCCAAAATTGACGACTCAGATGAAAGGCTCTTCTCACGTTCGGTACACACCGAGCTTGACAATATAGATGCAAGGGCGGTGAAGAAAAGACCATTGAACTTTGGAGAGGTTATCTATTGGTGGCGTGTTGGAACTGGCACTCAGGTTCTTGTTCAACATGGAGATGATTCCTGTCCCATATTCCGTATACGCGCAGGGTCTTATCAGCTTTATGACAAACGCGTTACTGAGCAAGTCTTATCGTCACAATCTCGAGGTAATGCAAAGTTTATTGCTACCGCGGAAGACGGTACTAAGACAGAAGCTTGGAGATACCGCAAGAGCGATGTTCGATCTATACTAGGGATTGGATTCAAAATTGAAGACGACAAGGAGTACGGAATCAATTCAAAGCTCGCCATTAAGCCAGGCTATGGGGGAGAGTCCTACCACAGACACGTCTAATAATCTTGTGGCGTGATAACACAACTACACTTGAGGACAGAAGCTTTGCTCGCAGAATACTGCTAACCAAAGATCATGGGATCTACCAGCTCGCAAGCGAAGTGGAGAATGCATATTGGCAGCGACATGGGATACCAGAGGACTCAGAAACCGACATCAGCGACTCCGATAGCGACACTGAAAGTGATCATGTGAGCGAGAGCGACTCCCAAGATTACAGCGATTCAGAGAGCGACCAGATACCTCCAAGGCGAAGGGGTTCAAGGGTAAAGACGAGATACTCTAGTCGACGCCATTCAAGCCAATCTGCAGACCGAAAGAAAAGAATTTCTGCCCTGGAGAAGGAACTGGATAAGCTCAGACTGTCTGAGAAGAACAGATCCAAATCCAAATCCAAATCCAAGAGTCCACATACCCGAGGGACCCGAAAGTTACAAGGTCAAGCTGAAAGGTCAAAAAAAGCAAATCGCAGATGGGCTGACTAAATTGAAAGCGAGTGATGGTGTTTGATTCTGTTTGATTCTGTTTGATTTGAGTAAGTAGATTTAAATTGTTTTTGTGGCTACTATTTAGTCAATAGGTAATAACACATATATCTACGTTTAGTTTGAACTATATACCATTAGTTTTCTCGATCATGATACTACTATAATTCTTTCCAGGACTTGAGGTTACCTACTTAGTGAAGAGGGACACGGCTCCTGGAGGGCTATACCGCTACTTTCTTCTTTCAAGTTCTTCTTATGTGCAAGATGTCAACTGAAGATCTATATGAGCTTGCTAAAAGACGAGCCCTCATTGCAGCTTCTGGAGGCTTTACTCTTGAATATCAAGCCGTACAGGAAGCAACAGATAACGTGGTCACACATGATATGATCTTGCAATACAATTCGATATTTGAAATAACGCTAAGTGGGATACAGATTAGTGTGTTTGGAAGGAGGGTTTGAGACAGAATCTCCGTGTGCAAGTGGTTTGAATGGCAAAAGGAGTAATTCATTCTCATAACACACGGATGCGTTTCACATCTGCTGCCTCTGCTTGACATAGCCGTCGTTTTGCGGCGCCCGGTCGCTGCTTAGCTAGTCGACAGCGGTGAAAGTCGATGATTAAAGCACGCCCGAGCTCTTCGCTCCAAAGAACATTATCTCGTCTGAGGTCCTCGTGTATTATTCCGAGAGCTTTGATTTCCTTGTTCGATTTGTGAATTTCGCGGCGAAGTCGCGGCGTCAGGTCCATCGTCGCTGTGCTTTCACCTCCCCAGCCCATGACGAGCATATGGCGGATTTGTCCAGCGCCATGGAGAAAGTAGATTTTTGTTAAATCAATCGTTCCCAGAAATACAGGCACGGCAGATGCTTGAGCCTTGCGCAAGATCTGATATACCTGCGCTTCGCCGAAAACTTCCTTCCACAACTCCGAGGTGGTGCCTTTACCGATAACCGTGTAACCATATTTCGTGCAAGTCAGTTTGAACGGAGCACCATAGGAGCCACAACCACCAAGAGGAATGCAACGATCGATATTCTCGTCCAATTGGCTTTTCAATGAAACCATTAGATCTCCAATCGAGATAGGATGCTGGCTTGGATCGTTCTGACCCTCACGATGATGGTTTACGTTTGGACACAGCTTGTCCAAGGACGCCCCAGTCTGTAGGCCGAGTAAACATCGCTGCGTGCAAAATTGTGCAGCGCGGCGTCGAGAATGGTCTTCTTGGTCACGCCCTGACTCCTGTCGTTGACCCGATCGCCGTGCGGACGGTGAAGGCGTGACTTGACTGATTCGCCGCTTGTGGCCAGCTGTTTGATTTGTGTCGGAGCCGGACGAGTTAGGTGACTGTGAGCGTGGTCGGGTCTCCCAAGGTGCACAATGGCTTTGAGATCGTGTAGGCACTCGACGGCCATCTGAGGGAGACGGTAGCGGGGATGATGAGGGTAGCTTATAGGATGAACCAGACTCAGGACTTGGAAACTCTGGGTTTGTGCTATCGGAGTGGGGAATCTGCTCTAATTCTTTGCTTGGAATTTGGGAACGTGTGTGTTCAAAGCTTGTTTCCCATGTATGAAGATCGGGCCGCCAGCGATTTCTCCACTCTTGCCCACGGGTGGGTGATCGGAATGCCATTAAACAGAGGCATAATACCCTTGCAACAGAGGTCTTCGATAGCTGGGAAGTGATATCGCCTGCTGGGTCCACTTCGCTGTGGGGATCGCAGAAAAAGTAATAGAGCGTGGTGGGTTCGTCTTCAGGAACACGAAGTAGGATACGGGTAAGTCCATTTGTTACAAAGGAATATTCGCATCCTTCTTCGAACATCGCATGGTATTCTTGGACCACAGCAGAGCAAGCTAGCCGCTCCGCATTATACCTCAGCTTTGCATCCTGATCCGTGGGTATTTTATTTGATCTAACCATTGTCTTCCAAAGATCCATTGGTCGTAGTCCCATGCGAAGAGCTGCGACAGGCAGCTTATGAGGCGGCTTGTACTCAACGGTCGTCAGGAGGGTATTCGTATTGCCGTCGACTCGATGGATGCAAAACTGGTCTGGTCGTGGGTGAGGTGTGCTTGACAGCTGACTTGCATCTGCTTCAAAGGTTTCGTCCCTGCTCAAAGAATGGGTGTGATTGCTGAACTGAATTCCATCACCGAGACCGAACTCGTCACATGCCGCTGGTATTTTGCATAGCTCGGCTATTATATCGTGGACATGCTCTTCCACCCCAAACCGCTCGTAAGCCTCAAGATCTTGCTCACTACTGAGGGGCTTGCGGGCAAATCGACGGCCAAATCCTTCTAGCTCCGGTAGAGACGAAAATAAGCGTTGCGCCCGCTCTGGCTCTGGCTGTAGATATTGGCAGACAGACCTGTAGATCCTCAGTAGCTGCTCTGGGCAATCGGCCCAATGTTTCAATCGAGTGGGGCAAAACTTTCCGGTCGGAAGGGGTATTTTGCCAGTGGTTGAGCGAGACGGTGTCTCGACTCTTAACTGGCGGGAGAGAATATTATGGCAATGCTGTAAGAGCTCCGTGAAAGAGGTTTGTTGGTTGCGTTCTTCCGCCTGCTTTCGTCTTTCTTCCGCCTGCAGATAGAGAGATTTGTAGTCCGGGGAGCTGTTGTCAGCCATTGACGTCTTGGTATGGGACGTCACATTTGCCCTGGGAAGTGAATGAGTGAATGTGTGGGCCACCTGGACCAACGAGTGGGGAGTCAGCCAAACACGGCTCCGGTAAAACGTTTTTCCAACAATCAACAATGGATTCGATGGCTCCTCAAGCCGACGTCGCGATTCGGGATTTGGTTTCTCCAATCCTTGTTGAAACGGGTATTCAGTCAATAATATAATGACAATGTATGAAGTCGACAGCGGAGGGACCTACCGACTCGCAAGGGTGGACTGTCACGGAGGAATCCGCCTTACCAGCTTACGCGGCTCTTGGCTCGTGTACATTTGTGCCTCAGGCATTACACGATTTGGCCTTCGATGCGATTGAAACTAAATTTAACAATTGGTCCCCTTCGAAATCCTGACAAAGCAGCCACAATTCCGAGGCCTTCATCAGACCCACAACTCATTCTCCAATAAGTCATTTACTTCCAAGATGTTGTATCATTTGGCTGTAGGGGAGGTGTGCAATGAAAGGAAAGAATACACTTACCTGTCTCCTTGTAGCACCCCTTGGCCCGCCTGCTGACTTGATCTCTTGAAGGGTTTATCTTCAAAGACTTCTAATTTCCTCTTCTGTGAGCTAGCACCTTGAGGGAGCAAATAAAGAGGGGGAAACTCGAGGCAATCATGGAAACGGGCCCGGTACGATCCACCCTTCAGATCTGATCTCTATCATTAGTCCATGCTATTAGGCCTCTCATTTAAATCAACCAATCACCAACAGCACTGTCAGAAGTTAGTATCACACGGGCCTCTTGTTTTTCTTGGTATTGTATGTATGTATTCCGAACATACAAGGATGATTCTTCTCCACCTTTAAATATAGATCAATCGACCTCTTAATATTTTAAACTTAAAACCCTCGACAGTAACCACTTGCCAAATATCCATAGCGTAATGCCAAACTTGAAATCACAACGTTTGCTATAGCTGAGAATTACCTAGGTACATACAATCGCTCTAGAGCGGGGTTGAGGTCTTCCTTGCTGTTAATTTAGGTTAAGAGTTGCGTGCCAAGAGACTACTGTTTCAGCCAGGCTGAGGTGGACCAATAAAGCTATACCTAGGCTTAGCTGCGAGGGTCTGTGTGGTGGCTGTACACCCAGAGGCAAATCTCACCCAGCGATCACCAGGTTCTTACATACCCCATCTATTACACACTCACCTTTATCACCCCGAGTCGCGCGACCCTAAAGCAGCGGTCACCCATTTCTCACCCTGGCGACACCCACCGAACTATTCGCCGCACTTAAGCCACACGCCGAATGGCCATGCTGGCCAATCATTTAGTCTCAGCCCAGTGGGGAAATAACCGGTCGCCGCTTTGCGGTCGCGCGACCCGGAGTAAGAAGGGTGAGTGTGTGGCGGAAGGGGTGAGATTCAGCTGAGAATCACCCTAGATCGCGCGATCGCCGTTCGTGTTACCCTAGCCGAATGGATACATGGAAATCGATTGTACCCATCAAGCTTCCCTAGCCAATGTTTACTATGCTAAATAATAGCATTTGCTTTCTACACTATACGCTTTGACTGAAAATGAATTCCATAACAAAATATAGTATCCAGTGAACTTCCTTGATTTTAATTCATTGTCCAAGCCAAGAATAAGCTTTAAAAATGTCTACTAAATCTATACGAATGTACTGTAATGTTCCAACAATGAAATTATATATAAGCAATATGCCATCAGTCCTTCTAGGGATTATCTATACGCATTATGGGGGATCTACTTACTTACGAATCGAACGACAATAACGAACCAGAGCGATATCAAAAGAGAATATGTTTAATGCATCGCTTATGCCTACATTTGACAGGAATGAGTGAAGCTGCTTGATTACTGGCTCATCTCCGAGCAGTTGACGAGTTCATCTAGGCGAACTTCAAAGGTCGGGATTCATCTGATATCCTTCAGGGAGGTAGCGGATTGCCTCTTGATCTGTCCCCTGGCTTTGAGTCTCCCATATCAACCAAGATATCTCATCAGAGGTCCCCGAGCGTAGCGTAGTAATTATGCGGCAAAGAGCGGCATGAAAACTCAATAGCTCAGCAATATAAGCCTTGGATCTGCAATCACCTCGTGGACTGTAGATACAACGGCAAACTCAGGACCGATGTCGCGCTTGTAGACCTGTATCTGTACCTGCTGCCTCTCGAGGTTCTGGAAGAGAGCTTGAGCGTGGGCTGGCACCTGAGCGCGACAGAAAGCACAACTTGCGAGCACCGAGGCTGGCCAGATTAATGCTAAGCTACGTCCGGGGCCACCGAGTCCGTCAACCAGCAGGTAAACTCCTTCGGGTGACAGTGAGCGCGCACGCCCGGTAGGATCAGAGAGAACACGTTGCCCTTCCCCACAGATCAGTGCGATCGTGCCCGGTTCCTTACCGTCTGCATGAAATCCAGTGCATCATTCACCTTGGAGATTAGGGCCCAACAGGCCGAGGATCCAGACTTTGGAATTCAATTTGCAGAGCGATTTGCGTGGTCATCGCCCAAATGGGCGAAGCCTCATCCCGGGCTGAAATTATTGCCGTCTTTCTCTTGCGCCATATAGCCTCATAGCCTCACGATAGGCCTATTTTTGTACATACCGGCTGACGCTGGCTATATGTTGTGGTAACCTAACAGGGATTTCGGCGACCGCGATTGGTCAAATACTTGATACTCTGCGGTGTTTGCGCGGGGTAGCGCCTTGGTCTAGATGAACTGGCCTCTGGTGTGGTCTATTTGAAGACTTTTCTCCCCCGCCCCGAAAGCTGAAGAATCTCAACCACGAAAGCACCGCTTACCGACGCGCTACTTTAATCGTGGCATCATTGTTCTTTCATCTCCCCTCATATAGCTCAACCCCTCATTCATCTCTCGACCCACTTGTTAGACAGGTAGCTTTACCTCACGTCTGATTCGTGCTGCCAATATGGTGGAGTCTATTTCCACAATTGCAAGTGCCATAGGCCTCGTTAATATGCTTTTCCGCATGTTCAGAAGCATCGCGCAATAGCTTAAGAGAAGGGCAAACACAGTCTGGAAGGAGGATCACAGAATGCTGAAAATTCTTCGAGACCACTTCAAGCGCAATAACAGCGATAGTAAGTAGAGGTTAACTCTGCATTTCTATGCAGCACTACAGTTAAGATACTAACCAGGTCATTTTGAGTAGATGAAAGCCTGCCACCTGTCATCAGAGCTATGATAGTGCATCTAAAAGATCAGAGACAGCCTAAGTGGTTAGAGTACCCTGAGGCTAGGCAGGCTCAGCAAGAAGCTAGTCAAACACAAAGGTATCATGACGTCGGTTATACAACGGATTTCTCGGAAGGGGACGAAGACGGTCATTTTTTGGAAGGCGACGAAGACGATCATTGTTCGGACGGCACCGGGAATAGCAACGAGGATTATAACGATTAAACCTGGAATATTATGACAACTCTGCATCGAAGGTGGGTATATGCACGAAGCTGTTTGTTGTTAAGGGCCCGGTGTCTGATGAGGGCCCCCCTAGAGCATTAATAGCAACAACGGAGCTTAGCCCTGGAGACGAAAAGATAGGCCTCGGAAAATAGATTATACAGGTTCTAGTCAAATCCTCCCGTTATCTCTCCTATGCCCTTCGTTTCATTTCCTTCTCCTCTCGGTCGTTCAACCCCGGGTCGAGTTTCTTATACCACAACCGAAACGCAAGACCGAAATAGTCCATCTCCTTGTTTTGGGGGTTATTTCGTACTGCCATAACTCTTGTATTTATTAGGGCTAGAACGTACTCACAAAGGGTGCTTATCTAGGAAGAAAAGAGACAGAACACAATTCAAGACATAAGGAACGCTCAGTCACAGAATACGTCAAATTAAACTCAGAACGACAATGGCATGGATGGGAGCAAATACCTCGAAGGCCTTGTAAATGAGATTACATCCTTTCAATAAGCCCCAATCACTGCATGCATAATGATATGAACCGGCGAGCCCACTACGATCTTCTGCCCTCCTAAATAGAAACCGGGTACTTGTCGAAGTTGGCTGTTCTGTGGTGATGGATGGCTATAACAAGTATGGATGCAAATAAAGCAGGTTCGCAGCAAAGCAGGACCATCAAATTCTATCGCACCCCACTCCGTGGGTATATTGGATTCAGAATCCGGGTTGATCCCCTCCGGTATGGGCATCCCTCGGGCAAAATGATAGTACTACGTTTCTCGCGAAACTCGAATTCCACCCAGCCCGTCTCGTCTATTTTGCTATTCAATTTCAGGCCTAGTTTGCGCTGTAGACCGCGCTTGACGAGAAGGGTGCCGAACTCAGCAAGGAATGACTCGTATCCTGATATGTCGGGGACTTGTGCGCTTGTGTATTCGTAGGCTTGGAATGACCCGGCTTCGTTCAAGAAATAATGAACGGGGCGGAGCTGCGAGGGTTCTTGGGCGGGCTTCAGTGGGCCTAGGGAGTAAACGGTGCCGTTGGATGGGACTGGGACATCCTTTAAGGACATGACTTCACCGTCTGTGATATCGAAGTGTTTATGGATCAAGCGAACGGAGACGCCGCAGGGGACATTGTGCTTTCTGAGAACGGCACGGAGGGCATTCAGGTTATTTGCATGATCTTTGACAACAGATGCCACCTCATTCAGACGTGGAAGGGCATTGTATGCAGCGGAGGAGATGAAATTGTTCTTGGGTGGAAAAACCATGTTATTGTTTGGGAATGAGAAAGGCTTACTTTGCTGCCGGATTCAAGATTAATTAAGCAGAGGTTCGAAAGGCCTTGGTATCCTTGATATTTATAAGCATGCATTAGATATCTATTATTTTTCTCACTGCTCCGCGCTGGCCCGCTCCATAAACCATCCAACCGACCTTCCCAGCCTCACCAATGGTCACCAAGATCATTTCCGTCCGATATTGGTTAGCGATCGTTGTACCCCTCAGTATCTCGGCATGTGAAAAGACGTTTTTGGACAGCCTGTATGGAGGCACAAATTGCAGTGGCCTAACCCGGCTCGTGCGCCCGAGAAAGTTCAGCCTTAGGTGGATCCTGTTTGCTTGTGACGCTTTGACGGTAACGCATTACCTTGCGATAGGAACGAATGACCAGTGAGCAGACTGCAGTGCGGAACACCTGGGAAAAGGAGCTCTCCATGCATATCGAGACACATCGGTCAGCCCTTCTTGCCGCAAGATTCTTGTGGCTTTTACGTCGTCCGATCAAGGATGCGTGCGGCTTTAGCGGGCTTTCAAAAAATAACGAGTCGCTACGGCCCACCGGAGCTTAGACCCTGGGACTTAGCGGCTTAGATGGAAGTTACAGAAGTGGGTCCGTGACAGAGGGTTCTATAGACAGAGCCTAGTGGCAAAGCGCTACCTCTCCTATTAGTAGGTCCTATACAGTCATATTTCAAATACTTTTGCACCCTGCTCAAGTAGTAAAAGGTATGGATAAACTACGGATAATACTAAAAATGTTTTTTATAAAAAACCAATGTTACGCTGCATCACACTAGATATTAATAAAAGATATATATCTAAACTAGATATAAAACTAAATAATAAGATCTATCTACTATAATAAAATATTAAAATAAAATTGTAGCGGGTTGGACCCGACGAGGGCTTGTCAATCCTCGACAAGCCCAAAGCCACTCATCCCGTACGGTCACGTTCGACAACAGTTGACTCTTTGTGCACAAAAAGACAAACCCCCCACAAACCCCCACAAACGTCTCCAATTATGTAATCGCACGGCCCCACACGTGATCCACAGAAGGACATATATTCCCCACCATGTACTATAGCTTCCTCTTCCTTAAGCATGAATGTAAACTGCATGTCGGCCTATATCGTTCTGCTTCAGTCTTTATAGAGCCCTTCACATATGGTGCTAGCTAAGATTAAGTATTCTGCTTATATGTGGATTCAAACGAATTAGTGTGTTTTCTGGAACGTGTGAAAATCTTGAGGGCATGTACTACATAGGTTCTGTGTAAAATGAATTTCCTTATTGGTCTTCTTCGCTCAGGTATTGTAGTGGGGAAGGATGACCTTCCTACTACACGTGACCTCAGTACCTCTAGAGTCCCTTTATGTATGTTAGATACCTATAGCGGTGCAAGACACTACTTAAGGATATATACTCCTATACCTCTCTAAACAGACCCTAGGGATAGTCCCTATACTAAGTACGTGGTTTGGTGGTTGTCGCTATTGGCAGACGTCCATGTTACCTCGACCGGTGTATTCTAATCATACATCACTACGTTCCCCTATCAGTACACATTTGGGTATAAAACAGTACCTGAATAATATCTAGGGTATTCAGGCTATTACCTGAATAAGAGGGCGGCAAGGGAGGCTTCCCGAACGAATCAAAAAAAAAAATAGATGAACGCGGACATACAACAGTCAGGATTCGCATGTGGTCACCCACCATACTACTAACTGACCGGCGTGTGGCTTAAGTACGGCTGAGCGGACGGGAAGCCCTGTTCTCCACACCCTGTGGTCGTATGTACTTGAAACCTCCAAATAGTAGGTTATATAGAAAATATATTTCTTTAAGATATTTATTAGCTATAGCGAGACCATGGACGTTCCTATACTATTATGCATATGTGCTACATCTATTTCACGGACTTAGTATCAATAATGCCACGGTACTACTAGTATGTAGTTGTTGGTATAGGAAGAACACGTCGGCGTTTCGGCACTTGAGTGACGGCACTTGAGTGACGGCAGAAACTTGAAGGGCTCTCGCGATTCAAGCCTGGACGGCTCGCCGCTCTAGTCAGCCCTCTTCAGGGCAATCCGAACGGATATCCACCCACCCGAATGTTCACGATTAAAATTTGCCTGACATAGATAATGACAGATGCGATAAAGATGCGATGAACTCTCAAAAAGGCCTTAAATGTCAAGCAGAAAGATGATGACTCAAAAACGGACCGAGTAAGGCAACAAGAAAAATTCCAATAAATGCAGCAGCTCCACCGACAACGTCAGGAAGAATATGCCAGGACCTAGTATACCACGTATACGGCTCACTAGGCCCAGTGTACGCTAGGATTGTCTCAACGAAGTAGCCAACGGACACTCCCACCGCAAAAGTAGACAGAAGACCTAGAAGAACTTTGAAATAGGTTATGGAGTATACCTCTCGTTGTATGGCAGCCTCAAGGTCTAGTAAGGCCTGAGCAGTATCCTCAGTTGTGCCTCCAGCGGGCTCACATTGCATGAATATTGTCGACAGGGGGACTGATGATACCGGATTGATTGGAGGTTTCCCTTGATTTGATGAGTCCTCTGGTCCACTAGTAGATATGTCGTTTTCTGAGTTTCTGTCACGCAACCGGTGTTCAACAAAATTGTAAAAAGGACCCAGCAACAGTAGGAGGGGTAATATTTGACCGAAGTCCCATTTGTCCAGAGCGTGCCGAACACATGAGGGGAAAACATGCAGTCGAGGTATAAGTAGTTCAAAGTTGGCCCAGGCAAAACTAACAGTCACAAGGCTCAAGAAGCAAGCGAATGAGCCAGCGAAGTCTAGACAAGCAATAAAAAAGAGATAAATCCCAAGAAGAAGACGATAGCGGAAGTCATATAATCGAGGATGCAAGGGTTCTAGGCGCTGTAGAGCTTTTTTAAGGACAGCTCTCCCCAACAAGCGCAGCGGTGTTCGTATAATATAATGTGTGCGTTTATTAGTGTATTCAAAGAGCATTGTCGCTTGCCAGGTATAACTGGTAATAAGGAGAATATATGAGATGACCCCTTGCGGACTTAGCATTCCATTGAGGTTTGTATTGCTCGCACTATGCCACAATGACGGGACATAGGTCGTCAATGCCACGCAAGATGAAGCAGACGAGCACGCAGGTTGAATCAGAATATGATCAGCCCACTCAAAATTTGTGGTCGGGAAGATTGCAGCACACATCATCGCCAAGAAAATCAGCATGGCAAACAGCTTCACAGCGCGAATATAGGTGTTTTTCTGCAAGTAATGTCGTTGAAGTGTCAGCGTGGCAAGAAAGCCGTTGGATGACATCCAGGCAAGATATATCGCAGTATGATAGTCTGCTACCAATGTTGTTGATAAGGTAGCAAATGACGCTGCCAAAATTCCTATCCCAGTTACCATCTGCTGGGCGCTTAGAATCAAAGTTGCTTTGTGAACTTCGTGGTTCCACTTGCTGTTTTTGAGGGGCTTTATATGGAGGAAGAGCGTATCAAATTTATTCAGTAAATCTTCTTCAATTAGCCCGCCCGTGTATAATAGGATGGCCGCGAGCCATGAAAGATAGGCAGGTAAGAGAAACACAGCGATGACCTAAAAAGAATCGATTCTGTGAGTCTTCTGGTCGTACTAGGAAGGGTAAAATACCCACCCCAATTCCGTTAAGATCTGCATTTGGCAAAGGATATACCACACTGGTGATATTTCCTAGCGGCGTGTACTCTAGACATGTCACAGAGGGTGATGACACCATGAGGTCGCTCATGGGTCAAATCTGACAGGGCGAATCGATTTCTCAGTGTTTGAGGAGGATACCGAGTTATCAAAAGTTCTTAAATGATACTTGATGGTGATGAAATGATTAATTAACTCAACACATTCGGATGATGTGAATTTCGTACAAAAGAAAAGAATATAGGTGAATTCGAGCAAAGTGGTATGGAGGAGAGGGGTAAGCCACCTGAGAGAGAAGTGCGCATAAGCCCACGGCGGCTGCCAATACCCACATGAACAAATTCAGATAATGAGCAAACTTATCTCACTTTTAAGGACCGATAACATCTTAATAAGTGGACGCTTGAATTTCATCTTACTATACAATAGCAAAGAAATAAACGATGTCTGGTGGAATATTCCGAAGTCAAAAGGACGAACATGATACTATGATCTTGACACTATGTGTTTCATCCTGTACTTTGAGCAGATGAACTATGGACTATGGATGTGGTCTCGTCTCAGGAGTTACAACTCTCCTCTTCTGACAAATTAAGGTCGCTCGAAATGTGGATATACGTGGACCAATAGGAACATTTTCATTGCTACCCTGCTAAAACCAACACATACATGCATGCATGCCAGGTGTAACATGTTTGCTGAATACGCAAAATGTCACGTTGGTGGGGCTGACTCGTCTCTCTTTCAGCTCATTTCACTCCGGGCGAGGTAAGTCCTGGAACTAATCTCAAGGACAGGACGTTCCGAAATGCTTAAGCAATTACGCGCAAAGCTCAAACTTAAAGTGCGAGGTCAAAAACATGACGAAGAGGCTGTGGTCTCCAGCACAGATGACGAAAATGCCGTGGGCACGAAGGTCGACATTGATGCGACGTCCACTCGAGGCGCAGATATTGATACTCCCCAAAGAGAAAACCTATGGGTAGTCGCCGGAGAAAGACTAGATGAGAAATACCGCAATACCCTGGATTTAGAGAGTGCTGGCCCTGTCATGAACTCCATCGACGATTTGATCAAGACAACTGAGGAAAAATACCGCGAGTACAAGGAAGGGGGGCTCAAAATTCGCAAGCGTGGTGGGGGCCATATAAATGTTCAAGATTCTGCGAAGAATATTATTCTCTATGCACTACAGGCACAGGATCTCGTCAAAAAACTGGTTTCTTTCGATCCGACTGGCCATGGTGAGTGTGTGATCAACTATTCGAGTATTCGACTTTGACATCCGCTAAAATGAACCCCAGCATCGACTGCATGGTCAGTTGGTTCGATTAGTATCACATTGATCAAGAATGACATTAAGCGTCGAGACAATATTTTTGAGGCATCGGAGTACCTCGCACGCATCCTTTCATACTACGCAATAATTGACAATAAGTATCGAGAAAGAGGAGTGGAAAGCGACCAAGGCCTAGACGATGCACTGCTTGAAGTCTACGCTGCAGTTCTTGAGTACACAGCAGAGGTGAAAAAGGCAGTAGATGAAAGCGACGCTGGTATGTGATTCACAGATATGGTTAAATTGGCGGGCCTTGTTACATGGTGGTAAAAATTAATGTCCAGAAAGCCCGTGTGCTGAAAAGTATCACGGCCCTTGTTGAACAGCCGCTTAAGGATCTTAAAGAAACCATTGAAACGAGAGAGAAGATCGTTGAAACTTTGAGAAGTCTCACAGCGCATCTAGTTATATCATTGGAAGCTCGCTAAAATATCATGAGGCACGCCAGTCTGATCGTTACAGACCACAGGAAACAGGCCGAGGGCATGCTAGAAAGAATTGATGAGACAGTTGAAAGGCTGAAGATAATTCAATCACACACGAGAAGTAAATACCTGCTCAGAATTACCCCTTCAGGAAGCTTAAACGCTAATATCAACAGGCTTGCAAGAAAGAGAGATTCTGGATTGGTTGTCCAAGACATCCTACTCGGACACTCAAAACAACACCCAGATTCGAAGGGCATCGGACACTGGGGATTAGTTTCTCAATTCACCGGCATACACCGAGTGGAAAGCGATGCCAGGAAAAATTTTATGGGGCTATGGAGCAGCTACGCTTTTCTTAACCTCCCAGAAACAGAACTAATGATTCTGCAAAAGTCGGATGTGGCAAATCGGTCCTCTGTTCTACAATTATCCAAGACATCAAGACACTCTGTGCATCTGATCCATCGAGAAGGTTCGCCTATTGGTACTTCCAGTTCAACAATGATGCAACACAAAAGGTGTACAATATGACCAGATCGATATTACGTCAACTAATGCCGCGCACTTTTCCCGGGTCTCTGGTCAACCTCTGGGAAGATCATAGCCACCGCGGCAGTAAGCGACAACTGCAGAAGTTTGCAGATATCCTCGACATTGTTTTGGAAGATTCTCAGGGCAAGTCCTTTCTTATCCTTGATGCTATGGACGAGTGCCCAGCGACAGAACACGAAGGACGGAGTTCTCTTTTAGAATTCATGGAAGACCTGTCGCGCAAACATCCCTCCAAGCTACACATCCTCGCTACAAGTCGACCAGAACCTGATATACGCTTAATGTTGAAGCAATATGAGAGCGTTGATCTAAGGTTGGATTAGGGGGAGATGTAGAGACCTTCGTTCGCGATCAGATTTCTCATGGCAGATTGTCCGAATGGGACGAGTCGGTTAAGAAGCGAACTTTGGAAAAGCTGCTTGATATTCAGGAAAGGTATGTTGCAGTGATGGAAAAATAGGTGTAGCCTTATTGACAGGCTTCATTGAGTAGGCGCTTCCGCTGGGCTGATCTGCAGATCAGGCAACTTCAAGAATCAAAGAGTGAAGATGCATTCCACAAAGGTCTTGATACAATTCCAGTCACGCTCGAAGACACATATAGAGACATACTTGAGAGGTTCTCACCAGATGATCGAGAGGCAGCTCGCACAATACTCATCTGGCTCAGTTTTTCCGTGGTTCCAATGAATTTGGAGACCGTCGCAGCTGTTGTATCTTTTCGTTTTCCAGACGATGCTGTTAAAACCTGCACTACTTCCCTAATCACTGTCAGCATCTCCGACGATACTGTGAGACTGGCCCACTTCTCTGTTCTCTGTGAAGGAGTTTCTTGTTTGCAATGAGACTCCAGGCTTATGGTATCAGTTCTTCGTCAGTTCTGGTTATCTTGCCATAACACATAAAACGATAGACTCTCTGCTCGAGGCGACGGAGGTCCTAACCAGGAAAACTGCGGGACAACGGCCATTATTGATTTACTCTGCAAAGCATTGGGACAGTCATTTGGGGGAGCTCGGAGAGACATATGCTAATCATACTGATCTTGATCATAAGGTTTATTGTCTTTTCAATGAGCATGATGTTTACCTCAACTGGATGCATCTGGTCAATCTCGAGAAGGATCGGTTCTGGCATACATCATTTGAGGAGCTCCCGTCGCCTCTATATTCTGCATCAGAAAAGGGATTAGAAGCAACAGTCAAAGGGTTGCTTTCTAAAAGCACTAATCCTGGTATGATGGTAAAAGGCCAGAATTGGAGGTACGACGCATTGTTTGAGGCTGCGTCGAAAGGCCACCTGGATATTCTAGAGTTGTTGCTCAAGACGGTAGACGAGATACCTCGAGAAGTGGTCTGCTCCATAATGTCCTGTTTCAAGGTCACCGAGTCCAACAAAAAGAAGTTACCGATAATCTTGAACCTGCTCTGGGACAAAGGTTGTTTGCACGATCAATCAAGAGCATCGAAAAAGATAATCGATTCGGAATTGGTTGAAGCAGCTGCATTGATCTTCGACAACTCTAGCCACCTTTTGACAGGCCAGTTATTGGACCAAAAGGAGAGGTTTGACGTCGGTACAATTGAGCGATTGTTGGATCGCGTAATAAAGAGCGAAATAAACAGTTTTTTCTGCCGCTCAGCGCTCGTGGGCTTGCTTTTCGATAAGTTTGATACTGATATAAAACTTACTCCATCACGAATGGAGGGTCTTGCAATCTCACTCGCCGCTGCAAGCGACTCTACGGTCGTGATTGCTATCCTGAACAGATGGCTCAACGATATTGTCCTCAGTGAGGAATTCATTGGAAGAATTTCAAGAGTAAAGCGCGGGAATCAAGCTCGCATTACCCAGAAAGTCCTAATTACAGCCACCAGGGAAGCGTCCGACCCGCAGATGATCAACTTGCTTCTAGAAAGACAAGATCCCGTAACAACGATCAACAAAGATGTTTTTTTAGCCACTGCGAGGAGAAGCTCAAAAAAAAGCGAATTTATGCAAATTTTATTTGACGCGTGTGGGTCAGATGCTGTCATTGATGACGAGATCATCCAAGAAATTGCAGACAACAGGCACGAGGGACTGCGTATGATGAAACTGCTTATTTGCAGACAACAAGCTGGCTTCGTGGTCACCAAGCAGACATTCTGCAAAGCTGCTATGCACAGCAACCGAGAAATGATGGAGCTCCTTGTGAACAATACCAGTGGCTCTGATCTTCCCATCACGGAGGAGACTTTGGTTGCAGTAGCTGAGAATGTTTTGCATGGAGAAGCCTTGATCAAGTATCTTTTCGATCTTAAAGGTCACGATCTTCCCGTTTCAGAAAGCTTATTGGTCTCGATGGCCAGTATCAAGCATTACTCCGCAGCTGATATTGTTCTCGCATTTATTTTGGAGAGATGGGCAGAAATGCCAGTGACTGATGAGTTGTTGGAAGCGGCATGTCTTCATCCCAATTCCTTGAATCTGCTATTAGACCGACGGCACGACTGCCTTCCGATCCGGAAAATGGTTCAAAAAGCAGCAACGGACGAGACAAGGGCTTGCGATACTTCTCAATCGGCAGCTTATGCAAGTCGACGACTGGCTAATTGAAACAGTCGCAGGGAACAGATATACCCTAGAGGTTATCTACAATAGAGATCCTCATTTCCTGGTGACGCCAAAGATAGTGGCCGCAGCCGCAAGAGATGTTGATACAATTAGAATCCTTCTAGACAGGCAGAAAGATCGAATCCTGATCACAGAAGATGTCATCAAGGGTGCATTGTTGGGATGGCGCCACTCTCAGATAATAGATTTACTTCTAACCCGCCTGGGAGCGGGGGAAATCCCTATGACAGAGGATATCTTGATATTCGCTGTTCAAAATAATCGAGTTAAATCTCTGGAGCTTTTTCTAAAACATGATCATGATCACAATCTCAACGCAGTCTGGCAGGCAATATGGCAAGACCCTGAAATCGACCCGGCTAACCTGGCTCAGGCATCAATGGTTCTTCTTCAATATCATACCTTTGACATTTCAGAAAAGATACTGCACGGAATTCCGGCTGGGCCAGACTTCACGTTTCGCTGGGTTTACCCTTTCGATGAATTTATTCGCTCGTGTATGCGCCATCGGACACAATTGCCAGCCACCGAAGCAGTGATGGAGATAATTTTGGGAAGATAAAGTTTGAATACGGTCGAGATATTTTTGGAGGATCATCCTGATATTGATATAACTGAAAGACACATTAAAGCGGCGAAGAGCAACCCAAGGGAGGACATAGATAAGGATGTCTTGATATGCCTTCTGAATTCTAAGTTGGTGTCCCACCTAGGAGGGATGTCAAAAATGGACACACTAGAACCAATCAACTTGGATACGGAACGGAAAAGGCATTCTTCTGTTAAAGGCCAAAGCTAAGTGATACCAACATCAAAGCGTTGATAAGCAAACCTCTCCAGAGGAAAGGAGAACCTTTCTGGGGGAAAGGGAGAACTGGATATATAAGGACGCTCATTCGGTCTTTTTCTACGAAGGAAGAAGGGCGTGACGCCTGTTAACCCTTAACATGCGGGCCTACGCACCTGATATCCGATAAACAAGCATTTTTCCGAGGAGTGGCTGGCATGGGTTCGATCCCCTGATGTGGCGCCCTGGTGGGCAGTGCCAGCTCCGCGGTGGCTGGGACTGGGCTGTATTATTAATAAGCGCTAGTCTAGTCAGAAATAAAAACAAATTCCGCCATAAGGACGCTCATTCACCATCATATATTTCAAATTAGTTCTTCATGATCAATCTCAAATTGTTACCACGTTACTACTGTCACGGTTGTCCGCTTAGAAGTCAGACACACAGCTGTAGGCTTTTCTCGCTGTATGTGACCTTTGGAGTCAACTGGCATCTGGAGAGTCAGCATAGCCATCTTTGAGCTGTATCTTGACTTACTATAGAAAGGAACATTCAAGTTGAATGCTGCTGCAACTGAGGAGTTTCCCAGGGCAAACTTGAAGGCGTAGATTTATTCCAAGGTTATCGTAGTTGGAACTTGGAGGATGGTTAGGGTAGATCCTTATCATGGGCTTCTACTGAAATAGGACATAATTTGGGACTTTATTAGAACATTTCATTTGAACTAGAAGTTATGTTCAGTTTAAGCTTGATTATGTCGGAGAATGTGGGTTCTAATATATTTCCGCTAAACCAAATAGAACATGGATACATACTAATGCCTTTCCCACCTGGGCGGGGCTACTATCAACATGGAATATGATAGTATTTCAATGTTTGCTACACACTAGTAAAAGGTACTGAATCATATGTAGCTTACCCTGTTGTCACCCAGTCTACGCATGTGTGAATCCTCAGGCTCACCTACATATATCACCCTACTTTCTTAGAGAGAACTTCTCGCCGCTCTTTACTAACCAGACTCCATAGGTAATCAGCCATACTGATCTATGTGGCTTAAGTATGGCTCAGTGAATGAGAAGCCTTATTCTTTATATCCTGTGGTCATATGTGGTTAGTAGATAGAAGAAGTTACTCCCAGAAGTTTACCCTACAATACCTTTCAGATCTCTCTGCTTTTCCTTTCGATTTCCATTATCTCTTTACGCCAAAGGACTTTGATCCTTTCAAATGTTCTTAAATTGCGATCTCTGGAGACCGGGTAGTTTTCCTTTGGACCCTTTGAGCAATCATTCAAACTCATTATCATTGAGGTCCATAAGAGCTTCCTAGCCCGATCCAAAAGCAACAGAATATATCAAAAGCAAAAATAAAGAAACAATCTAGTTCAAAGACTGGGCAGAAGATGAAGAAACCCTAGGTGTACTTGCATACATCCGATTGAAAATGTCCCATGGCGCGGTTTCCGGGTCGCCAAACGTATACATCGGAGTGGTTCTGAGGGTAAGCTTCTCACGAGCTTATGTCGAAGACTGCTTCAATAATACGCATGCGGTCAGGGGTATATTGAGAAAATAGTAAGACCTGTGCAAATAAGCATTCTGGGAGATAACGTTGTAAGTGAGACAGGAGGTGTTCCTCACTAACCAGGAATAGTGTCTCATCTTCAAATCCTGCCTGATACACACGATTGTGAATTGCAGTCACAATAGCCCTTAAAGTGTCACCTGGAAATATATCGTCACTCTTGGTGTCGTATATTGGATACTTTTCACCACGAGGAATATGATTGCTATGTGATAATATGATTTGAACATGAGGCGGCATTTTCTTTAGGCTCCTAAGGACCTCCGGTTCAAGCCATTGTCTAAATCCTCCCGGGTTACCCCATTCCTCTATGGTCAAGCAACAAAACTCCGGCTTCCGATGAGAGAGCAATCCATCTACAACACCGAAGAAAGGGTCTAATTTACTAAAGAAGACATATTAGTACATACTATATATTATGAATTCATTCTCTTGAGAGTTCCGACGTACTAAATATTATACCAGGGAAACTCGCAACCATAACCAGTGAAGCCCATCGTTTCAAGATGATTTCGGAACTGCGTTGGCGTTTCTGACGATAGGTAATCCACGCTTTTATGCCGGCTGAATTTTTTGAGCAAACCCGGCCCAAAAGAAGAATGAGGTCGAAATGGGCCTTCATTGGTCAACAGCATATCTGCTCCTGGGAGGGAAATCACTGTTATACCAAGATGGCTGAGATCTTCGTGATAATATGACTTTCTTTCGAAATTCCTGAAATATGTCATCATCCTCACTAGCTTAGAGCTCCGTCTGGTTTTCATCACTTCCAATCTCAAGCCATCCTCCGGTTTGATAGTACGTGGCGTTACTCTGGATGCAGATTCTTTAGAGACATGATGGGATTTTTTCCAGTGGGATATTCAATTTGAGGAAAACTTCAACTGATTTCGAGAGAGATTCTATTTATTTTTGACAATCAATTGACGTAACATTGAATCATCCATGGTACCTGTGAGTGTGCCCGGGTGGATAACACGTTCAAATGCTAATCCAAGAATCTCGCATGTCGAAGTGGCCGACGACGATATACCTACAGGGTCATCCCTGGTTTACGTGGATGATAGTTGCGGAACACGTCTAGTTCAGATCCCCCATAATATTAACTACCTCGTATAACTACTGGGGAACCTCGGATGTTCTTCTTCCGAGGTTCAGGGCTGAAGATATCATTTTACCTGACGCCCTTGGGGTTCCGGATGACGCGAGACTCAATTTACATTCAACTTGCGCATGACTTTCCTCAACCTATGTACGATGAACGTCTACAATTGTATTGTGGTCTTTGGATTATCGGGGCTCGGGCAGCAACTTGGAATTTGGATCCACCAAGGTATCCACGGACACGCTATGGCCCTCAGGATGTATAGAGTTCTCAACTTAAATCTATGCAGATAGGGTCATACTAGGCAAGCTTTCATATTGTTTTCAAAATTCTTATCAAGATGCTTATCAAAAGATGTCCCAGCACTTCGTGGAAGATCCCAAATTGAGCAAAAGGGATGACCAGAAGGTAACTGCCGCTCATGCTGCGCAAGAGCGCACTCGCAAACCTCAAGTGCTCATATTTCTCTCCATATGAGGAAACATTCCACCAAAGCTAGAACAGAAACTTGAAGTCATGGAAATGAAAAAAATGTATATTGAACGTCCTGGCAAGTTTTCTTTCAATGTTATTAAACAGGGCTTGAAGAAGTAACCTTCTTCCAGGATTCTCTGGCCTTCAGGCCTTCCCACCACTTCTTAGTCGCTGGGTATTTGTCATATAATTCTGCGGCACCAAGGCTCTCCGCCATGGCTCCATAGGGCAGGTGGTAGAGATCGGCGAGGGTCACTTTGTCTCCGGCAAGGTAAGGCTGCTTCGAAAGGATACGTTCGTAGCCTTGCAGTGTGACATCGAGCTGAGCGAGGAGAGCTTGTACTCGGGCTTCATCGGTGGCGCCAAGGCCCTTTCGGGGCTTGAAAACCTTCTCAAATGCGATTTGCGAGGCGATAGGGTCGAAGTAAGACTGTTCAACAGAAAGGGCCTATTTTTGTTCTCGATCAGAATACCATAATCGGCAATCACCTGGGCAATTCTTTTTATTGATCGGATCTCCATACCTGTTGGAAGTTGGCATACTCCTTTAAGTCGGTCGGAGAGGAGACAAGTCAGTTCCCTGGGAACTGAACTTGACAGCGATGTATTGAGCAATGGCTCTGCTTTCTGAGTTTATGGACATGGTTAACAACTAACTCGATCGAATATGACATAGTGGTACAACTCACCAAAGATCTGAACACCGGTCTCAGTGTCCTGGAAAACGGGAACTTTGCCAAAAGGATGCAGCTCATTAAGGTATGATTCAGACTTCTGCTCTCCCGTTAATAGATCAACTGGGATGAACTCGACTTGGACCCCCTTCTCCTCCAATACGACGCGCACCCGGTTGGTACAGGTAGACAGAGGGAATCCGTGCAGCTTGAGAACCATTTTTGCGTAATTCTGTGGGGGATTTTTTAGATTTTGATGAATCAATGAATAAATAGAGGGGTTTGAGAGGAGGTGCGAACATTAAATATAGAGCAAAGTGGGAGAGGTGGGGGGGGGAATTCCCGATGCTCCATATAATGATGTGATTTATAAGTGAACCAAATCGGAGACCGGATCCCGGAAGTATTCCGCGAGATTTATGAGCTTTCAAGTTTTATGCAGTCCAACCAGTTGACTTCTCGATAGATGGATCAGAGGGACCTTGGAAGCACTTAGGCGCTCAAGTTTACTTAAGGTATTCCAACAACTTGAACAGCAAACACTCGATATTAGACCGGATACCCCCTTTTCCATTGTTCCGATCGGATTTTTCTAGAGACCTCAACACAAATGAAAGAATTGGGCTTGCATGGAATGAGATATGGCTTTCCAAATTGTAAGTCGAACCTTTGAAGATTCGATTAAAGCATGAATATAGTATGACGTGAAAGATCAAATACAACGCACGCATCCCTGGAATTATGATTTGACGCCACAGATATGGGCTGTGCTTGGTGGTACTTTTTATGTGACGTTAATTTCTCATCATGAAACTTTGTTCTCAGCAACCACCTGAAAACTGACAACGACAACACCCAGCAGAATATCAAAGCAAAAAGAGCAGAAAGAAAAAATGCAAAAACAAAAACATACAACAGTCAGGATTCGCATGTGGTCACCCACCATACTACTAACTGACCGGCGTGTGGCTTAAGTACGGCTGAGCGGACGGGAAGCCCTGTTCTCCACACCCTGTGGTCGTATGTACTGGAAATTACCAGATATCAAACTATAGACCTCAAAATCTCTTTATCTTGCAGGTACGGCAGATCTATATAATTTATACTCAAAGTTGCCTGCCAGTGTGGGCTGGATTTTTTATAAGAAGCATAGACATCCCCTTTCGTTAGAACATCTTCAGTATGATCAAACTCGACAAACAACTTTTTTTCCACTCCGGAAGTATCAATTGATGTAGATAGGCCGAGTTCAGTAGATCAAGCTCTAAGATGAGAAAATTGCGTGGTGCCCGTGAGTGATGAAATTAGAATTGCCGGTACATCCGAGGTATTGCTGCTTCAAGGTCCCCCAAATCTTGACAATCTACATTTTGAATCTTGGTATCTCGATTCAAATCAGATAGGGCGTGTCCGGGCAAGGTTTCAAAACTTATGAATGTTGGACGATGCGTAAAGTCGGCAAACGGATAAAGCGGAGTATGACACGTATGGCTTTCATGCTCAAGACCCATATTCGCTTATTCGCATTTAGGCCATGCATGTGTTGTCTTCTCCTGCAACGTTTCACAAATTTGATGAAGCGATTATTTAAAATGGAGATGAATATCCCCATTACAATCCCTATTACCAGAGTTAAAATCGACGTAGAAAGCGAGCATTTTTCATCCGCAGCCATATCGAGTTTGAAGATTATGTCGATAATCGAAGTTGAAGTTCAAATGTTGATATCTTCAAAGTGTTGTCTGGAAATGAGGCTTCAAGTTGACACTGGCAGTCCAGATGTCCTATATTTTGGGTATGAAAAGACTTGAAAAGTTCAGAACTTCAAATGTTGAATGATCCGATACGTCATAATTATATGTATAGTATACTCTACAATGTCCTATGATCACCCGCCGCCGAAGCCTAATCCGTTATATGGAAGCTTGAAAATCGCATCATTCGAGTCCCTACATATAAGATGCACATGTATGATGAGATGGATCGGTTTGATCTCTTGAGATATCAGTGTAACCTCGAGTAGGTGTCGTGTATCTAGAATCTACAATAAATTCGGAGTGGCTTATATGCATTGTATGGACCTATTATTATTCTTTAAGTTGAGGATCTTTGCGACTTTTTCTAAATAATACTTCAATGGGGATAATCTGTTAAGATCCATGAATAGGGAAAGAACTAGATATTTTTGAATTTTGGGTTGTCACACCTAGACACATTGATTGATGTATTTCTTGATGACGGTCATATTGAATATATCACCTGAGCAAAGACGCATTAGTAGTCAAACTTAAAGCTGGCAGCACCTGGAATGATGTGCACTATGTCGATCTCCGAAAGTGAAGAAGCCACAAAAGCGACTCGGACCACTTGACCATTCGAAGGTTTTTTTTAATTTTGGATTAAATATGATATCAGGTACGCCAATTTATGATCCCGGAATTTTTCAAAAGCTGCTTGGGTTGAGGTAGCCGTGGATCCTCCAGAGCTGAAGTCTGTGCTTGTTAGCTTCTTTTCGGAAGCCTGATGTGTCAACTGGTAATAGAGTAAGATTTGACTTATATCATAGTATCATTAAGAGATATTTCGGATCATAATTGTGATGGCCTATTTTCCAAACATTTGAACGTTATTCAAGTTTGCATCATTTCCAGGTTTGTATATTGACGCCTTATTGATTCCAATTCCTAATCGTTCCTACATAGCGAATCTTGGAGGATTTCATAAAGCAAATTGGATTCTTTTGAATCAGGATGATGAGGGTTGGAATTTTAGCAGTAGCTTTGAAGTCATATTCAGCAATCGAATCCTTTATTGAGACGTGTAATCCGTATTTACTCTGAGATAAGAGTTGCTGGCCCCGGGGACTGGATATCAAATGTGTAAGCTTTGTGGGGGGGCCACATGTCCCATGATAACGATTTTAACATCCACGTGGCATCTATTTCAATTAGCTAAATTTATCACAAAGTTGAGTTTTTCATATTGATATCTCTCTCCCTTCAAATACCCCGTGTAGAGGTATACGCGACTACACAACCTTGGAACATTTTTGTCAGCTCAACTTGAACCCCACAGCGGATCCACGTCGCATATCTGTTGATCAAAAGTACACAATACATTGCTATCTTCCCTTTGACGATTTCCTCTAGCAGATTCTTAGTCTTCCTTCAGGCCTACAGACTTCAATGGAGACAATTATCCCGAAAGCCTTGAAGAGGGGAGATAAGATCGCCTTCATATCCCCCTCAGCACGCCTTAATAATATCCTCCCGGTACCTCTCTCCCGAGGAAAGGCCTATCTGGAGTCCCTTGAATATGGAGTGGAGATCATTTTCTCCAGCGCAGCAACAACCACCATCTCAGACTCGGTTCGTATTCGATGCGAAGAGATCCATACCGCATTCCGTGATACCACAATATCCGCGATCATCTGCACGATAGGCGGCTCACACGCGAACGAGCTGCTACCATTCCTCGATTATCCCCTTATCCGCTCGAATCCCAAGATCTTCATGGGCTATAGCGACACCACATTCCTACACTATGCGATTCAATCCCAAACCGGGCTACGTACATTCTACGGACCGAGTGTTCTGACCGATTTTTCCGATTTTCCTAAACCGATGCAATTCACAACTGATCACTTCATCCATATGCTCACTTCGGAGGAAACTGTGGGCCCACTTCCTCGATCAGCTGTTTACGCAAAGGAGCATAGCGACTTCATGTTCAGCGATAAACTTGAAACACCACGCGAAATAGTGGATTCACCACCGTGGAGATGGATTCGGAAAGGTAAAGCTACTGGGTATCTATATGGTGGTACTACATCTTGTGTCGTCCGTCTCCAAGGAACTCGTTATGCCCGGACTCATGGAAAGATAAGATCATCTTCCTTGAGTCTTCGATGGGTGATAACGTGCAACTACCGTATTCTGTGGACGAGTTCCGGAATAACCTGGTAGATCTTGCTTTGTCTGGTGTATTGAATGAGATTCGGGGTCTGGTTATTGGAAGAGGATACAAATATGATGACAGCATGCAAGAGGAACTTGCAGGCGTGGTTGAGGAGGTTTTTGATGTGATTGTTCGTCGAAATTGTGACGAAGAACTGCCGATTTTGATGAATGTTGATTTTGGGCATACGAGTCCATTCCTCACTTTGCCTTATCATGCGCTCGTTAGTTTGGATGGCGATCGCGATGAGTTTAGTGTTCTCGAACCCGCGGTACAAGCCTAACTGAACTGGACTCTTGTCTCAACCGAGATATATTTGGACTGCCAGTATTTAATGTTTCATTTCAATCATAGAAATTTTGTTTGATTTTCTCCAGAGAGCATCTGAATGTCACATTTTTCAATAACAAGCGATAAATGATTTCTCAATTATATATCGCTGGGTAATTCCCAGAAGATAAAAAATAGCGGGTTTGATCATGATGATCCTTGTTAGCGTAGCATTCCCCATCTCTCGCGGCTTCACACCTCCACATGTGCACTTTTCAACCTCATGTGTTCAATATGGCACCAGAAATCACTCAAATAGAGGATCTCGATTTCTCAGCAGAGGTTTTTGAGCCCGAGTCTGATACATTCCTATACACTTCCTTTTGCAAGGTAGAAGAGGACGATAGTGTCTTCCTCGGTCAAATATCCAAGCGCAAGCGATTTATCTCCCCACAAGAGTATACAGCTGCTCTTACAAGGATTCCAGACAGAGAAATCTATCCAATATACATCACATGGGGTAGGGTTCAACCTGTTGAGGACCCATTGCCTGGCAACATCCATCTAAAACGGCCACGTCTATTTGTCTATGACGACTACAAAGAACAAGATGCGGTTGATATAATTCCAGCTCTCCTCCGTGAAGAAGGAAGAACCTTGGAAATTCTGTCAAAAAACCCCCATCCTGGTCTTATCAAGTATTATTGATGTCGTACTCAAAGAGGATTCATCACTGCTCTAGTTCTGGAGCGTCACTCGAGTGACTTAAAACAATACATGAAAGACAAAAAAGCCCCACTCAACGTGGAAAAATTCATGGGTGCTCTCGAATCTGCTATAAAGCATTTGCATTCCCTTGGAGTCGCTCATAACGATGTCAATCCTGCGAACTTTTTACTTGACCAGGAACAAATGCCTGTGCTTACGGATTTCAATTAGTGCAAGCCGATTGGAGAGAAACTCACCTGCAGTCGGGGGACTGGCGGTTGGACTGACGAGGATGGTGAGTGGGATACATCGGAGAATCATCATGACTTCTTTGGGATGGAAAAAATTAGAGAGTGGCTTAAGAAATCTAAAGAAGAATAAGCACTTGAGGAGATGTCTCGGTTTAACCAGGGCTTATTTTATTTGGTTTGAAGTAAGACGATTGTAAGAAACTTTTGTATAGAAAATCTGTTCAGAATAGCAAACTTGAAATAGTTCGAGAGGAAGAAGATTCCAAGTAAATTGTAATCCTATATTTCGACGTCTAGGTCACTCTCCTGCGATCGAAATTTGAGGAAGATGATTTTCCCAGATGCATGGGCCATGACGAGAGTGCCATTAGTGCTCGCGACGCATGTCGGAATGTATTCTGGAGGGAGCCAGAGAACCCTCCTTCCGCCGAGCATAACCCAATCATCTTCAATCAAAAAGTCATAATCTCGTAAAGACTCTTGTCCAGGATAGAAAGATCGTACATCAATTCGCCCCGCACTCATGGATAATGCTTTCCCATCTGGAGAGAACCGTAGGTTGAGTGGCTGATCAAAAGGCTTTTTGCCGATTATCTGGCCTGTTCTGAGATCCCACAATCGAACGGCATGCCTGTCACAAGAGGCTAAAAATCTACTGTCCGGAGAAAAGGCGATCTCATAAAAGAAACATTCTGTGCTCAAGGTCATTAATAGTCGCCCTGTCATTGCCTCGTAGAGACGGATGGTATCGGATTTGAATACAACCACCAGGGTCTGGCTATCAGGAGACCAGAGGAGGTGGATCGGGACTCTGTCTTCGAGCGACTTTAAGATGTTGATTTGTTCATCTTTCATAATACTCCAGACATGCAATTCCCACCTTCGAGCTTCCCCGGGCAGAGAGTGAGCGACTATGAATGCAACAAATCCACCATCGGCAGATAGTGATACAGCATTGACAAATTGGAAGTCGCCTTTGATAATTTGTAATGCTTCTCCTGTGTTAAGGTCCCAGATTTGAACCTGCGGGTCTAGCTTTGAACAGGCGACTGGCCAGATGCCTTCGTCATCAAAATTTGACTCGCTGCCAGAGTGGGACATTTCGTCGTCGTCGTCGGGAGATGAGACATCAAGCTCAGAGGACGACTCATCATCCTCTTCAAAAGTCGATCTTTCCATAGAAGCTTTATATCCTGAATCTGCCTCACTGACAGAGTAGGGCAGTTTATCGTCGTCGAGAGGAGATGTCTCATCACGCTCAGAGTAAGACTCATCATCTCCCTCAATAACCGAGCCTTCCATAGCACCATTATGTTCTGAATTTGCACTACCCTCATCAGTGATTTCTAGTTCTCCATCACTGAACCCATTCAAAAGTCGGTCGAATTCGTCGATGATGTGACTTTTTTCGCCAAACCCCAAAGCTAAAAGACCTCTATCTTCACTAAATGTTGAGGTAGGAACAACTGGATAACAATGCTTGAGTCTAGTCACCACCTTACCTGTCCGTGCGCTCCAAATTTTGATTTCTTGGGGTGTGAAAGTAGTGAAATAAATGCTGTCTACGTTGAAACGAGATGGAAGTGGCGTTTCCCGCGCTCTTTTATGCAAAGCTCGCGTTTCCAAATTCCAAAGGCTGAGCCTCGAGTTGTAGTAAACTTTGACATATTCAGGCGAGAATACTTGAATGTTTCTAATCACTGAATCAAAAGATTTGAGCCCTGTGATAGTGGATGATTGTGGTGTAGTAAGATCCCAAAGGCGCACAGTACCATCTTCACAGGCGCATCCTAGCAGAGTGCCATCCAAAGAGAATGATAGCTTGTTCACTAATGAGGAAGGGTTGTGGATGGTGCTATGTAATTTTCCTGTCGAGACATCCCAAATATCAAATGAGTTCTCCCAAGTTAGGGAGCCGCCGTCTGAATAATTGCTCGCAAAAGGGCGTGTTGGTGATGTATCTTCCATCCAGAGAGACCTGATGCCCCCGAAAGCGCGTATTCAAAGTTCTCAAAGGCTTATAAGATTCAACGTCCCATATTGTAACCAAGTCTTTAGAGTCTGACAAGGGTTCGCTGTTGTTGTTTGTGATCAATGATTTCCCATCAGGTGTGAATGTTGCATCACAAAAATTGTCGTACATTGTATGCAACAGATCACCAGAGCTTGTTGACCACACTCTCAAATTTCTTCCTCCGGAGATAGAAACCAGTTGACTAGAATCAACGGAAAACCTCACACGATGGACTTTACCATCGCATCTTAAATCTGCCTGTAGTTGGCCAGAGTTTACACACCACATACAAACTGTTTTATCCTCAGAAGCAGTTGCCAGAAGCCTTCCGTCATTGGATAGTGCATTGTCATTAACATACCGCGCGTGCGTCTTGAATGTCCTGAGGATTTTCCCCGCTGAAATATCAACGAGCCGAACCCGAGACGATTCAAATAGTGTCGCTGCCAATGTCTTTTCGAAAGATAATCGTTGCAGTACAGACTGTTCATGCTCTTCAATTTGAGCTTCATATTCTAAGAGTCCCGACCGTATATTCCATACTCGCAAATGGCCGTCGTTGGATGTCGATATCACACAATCTCCACTACGGGAGGAAGAGACAGCCCAACCCTTCCCCAAAGGCTCGAAGACCCTTAAGAGAGCACCAGTCATCATATCCCAGACACAAACAGAAGAAGATGCCACCAATCTTCCATCCGGTGAGAAGGCAAGATCTTCGATCCCTTCGTGCTCAGCATAATTTCGATCGAAAAGTGTTTGTAATAGAGGACTCCATGACTCGTCACTTTCAACCATGGGTAATCTCGTGATCCTGTTCGAGATATGAAAGCCAAACTGTTTCCTAATGACACTGCTCCCGGAAGAGAACAAAAGAGCAGACACATATGTTTGCAGAGGTGCAGTTTCTATTATGTGGTTGAACGTGAGAATGAACCGTTTCATATCATAGAGAAACTCATGAAGTCTTTTCCTTCCTTGGCACTAGAAGTGAATGTCAGTCAAATTTCAGGATATTGAAGTGTGAAAAGACGAACCGGAGAGGCTGAGACATAATCTGAAAGTTGCACGCAAGCTTTAACTCCATCACTCAGGTGTCCTATCAAGCTAAGTGCTTCAATCCAGTGCAAAAGATGCGTCTTCAGGAAGATCTCAACTGCTGAATTATCGCATGGGACATCTTGATTGGAGTTTAGCAGATGAGAGACCCAGAATAGACATGCATATCGAAAATTCTGCGGAATACATCGAGCTACTTCGGTAGCATCGAGTTTCTCTTTCAGAGTAGAAAAGTCTGGAAGTTGACAGAGATTTTTCTGAAGGCTTTAGGAAAGCGTATCAAGACAGTGGTTCAAGAAAAACCCCTGAGCATCAGCTTGGGATATCCAAAATTCTTGTCCACATCTTGATTCGTCCAACAAAAAATCACTAAATGACAAGTGAAGAAGTTGGAGTCTTGAGTCTTTCCCCTCGCCAATAGACAAAACTGATGAAAGCGCTTCAAGATTTTCCAAGACACTGTCGCTCTCCTGTGATATTAGATTGCTCAAAGCGACAATAGAGAGTGGGTAAAAAAGGGTGACAATAGATCCCACTACTTCTCTGAAAAATTTGCATCGGGATTCTTTCTCATCGTCAAGCGCATCCTCAAGAAGAGCATGATGGAGTATATTGCGGTAAATTGAGTTGAGTCTCTGCTGTGGTGACTCTATTTCAGTCCTATTTGCAAGAATTTTGGATACGCGCTTCTTTATTTCATGACTTCGGAGTCGGGGACCGGCAAGAAATCGACATGCTGTCGCAGCGAAAATGAACAGGCCATCCGATTTGTGTGCAAGATCTTGAATCTGAAGTTGTCCTGGCCATTCATCTCCAAAGCAATGATGACGAGAGATAGCAGCAAGCTCATGTTCTAGGAATATGATGATATCATTTTTCAATCCCAGAGCAAGCTGATCGACTGCCATTGTGACTTTCTCAAGATTCCTTTCAACAAAGCGACCCTGGAAGGACTGATGAAAAAACCTTCCAACATGTAGCTCTGGTCTACTGTAAAGAAGAAGCGAAGACGAATAGAGCCGAGATTTTTCATTCCAGAAATGAGTCTGAGAATTTCAGAAAGATCTGACTCTGCCCTGCATTCGTCCAAAGCATCCACCACCACAATCAGATTCAGTGGTAGGATAACAATTTTACCCAATTTCTGGAGCGGATTCAGAACCAACAGCTCCCATTGTTTTTCTATTCTCTCTGTTCCAATATTAGGATGGTTTTGGATGACTTCGCAGACCTCCTCTCGGAAATCTGGTATGGAGTCGGCGAGGTGCTTGGAAATGGTGACAAAGAACTTTCCACCATAATTCTGCTCATTGATTCTTTCATTGAAGAAGAAGCTTCCTCCGAGGACTGTTGTGTCAGACAACGGTAAGCGATCAACAAGTGGTTGTCTGTCATGACAGGCCGTGGCTAGTGTGCGCGATATTGTTGATTTCCCAGTGCCAGCCATGCCTTTCAGTAAATATACGACCCCTCCGTCTGGGTGATCACACCATTGGCGAATCTCTTGAAGTATTTGAAGCTGGGTGCCTTCTAGACACACATCACTTGTTTCGTCTCGGAATTGCGCATTAAATACGGCCAATTGAGCAGCATCCAACCTTTTGAGGAGCTGCTCCTGGTTTGCCGACTTCAAGTTTGAAAGCGACTGATTAGTACACAATATGGCTGAATTTAGTACAACACACATTCATCTACTCACTTTAGCATTATGTTTGATTTCTTCCATGTCCTTCCTAGACTTTTCCAATTCTCGCTCCAGCTCTCCCAGCTTATGGTCAACTCCTTGAAGCATGTCATGGCGCATTGTCCTCAGAATGCCGGAGATGGAGTCATGGAGAGTTATGATTGTCTCAAGCATGGTTTGCCAATCATCTGTAGTTGTCAGGTCTTCTAAAGCGCGGAAGAATCCCGACCGTGAGAAGCGTTTAGCAAGTCGAATATGATAATCAAGAATAGCAGCATAGAGCTTGACAAAATTTTCCCTGAGGGATATTTTCAATTGCTTTCTTGCCTCTGAGGCAGTCGAAGTCAAATTTCTCGATGAATCATTGTCTATCTCAAATCCTTCAATCACTCTATATTGCGCCAATAGATCCGAAATCTTAGCAAATCCCTCGGTCGTATTGTCGCTTTGCATAACTGCTTTTGCGATGGGATTCAGTAAAATTAAGACACCAGCCCACGCTAGAGACGCATGAACCTCTGAACTAACTGCAGTAGTCACTAAATCTTTAACGGACAAGACCGTCTCAATGGAGCGGCGAACTGATTTCTGCAAGTTGACCTCCCGACCGGCAATATTTATCTTGACTCGAGAGTTCTCAATTTCCTTCAGTCGACTTTCAATAATCACTTTCAGTCGCTCATCCATTTCTGCCTCGGAGAGTTCATCTCTTGGCCCGGCGTCGGCTTCTTGAAGGAGAGCTGTCTTGTAAGCATCAACCAGCTTGGCGTCTTTTTCTTTCAGTAACGCATGTGCTTCGTGCCAGAGACTACTTGCATTTGATAGAAGAGGTGTCTGAGGGCTCATTCGGGACGGGGCCTCCATAGTTAGTGCCGAATCTGTCTTCCCCTCCGCAGGTATCTCAGAGTCCTCCTCAGGCTGACGGGTCGGTATTGACTCGCCATGTTCGCCATTTTTTCTCGAGCGGTGCGACACTCTCAGTAATCTCTTCCAAGAGGACGGCATTTCTAGAGAGTTTGATTAACTCAAAGACAATGAAAGTCTGGGTGGGATAAAGAAAGGAGCGTCAGCTGTGGGATGGGCCGTGGAAGTAGTACATGCGGGAGTAACAGCTGTCAAACCTTTCTTATGGATATTTTGGTGAATTTACCCAGTCAACTCCGGTATCTCATTGGGCATTTTGCAGTGGGATACCTCAATACCTAAGATTTCAGCTAGTTGCTGGACTGCAGTATCTGACAAGCGTGCCACCCAGCCCCCACTCGAACATTCCGATGCATCATGCTAGGCCGTCGCAATAGATTCCATTGGTTGTGTTGCTGGCCCCCTGAAGGAAAAAAGGAAAAAAGGAAAAAAGGAAAAAGTGGCACGTCGAGGTTTTGTATTGATTGGATCCACGATGCCCAGTCGCTAACATCATCACCGGTCAAACTGCATAAAGATTGTTGTTGTACTTCTGGGGAGGAGGAGTGGGGAATACATCCCCCCATTGACGTTCAGGGCGCTGGGTGGTCTTTGGCTGCTTATTCTTTCATACAAGATTGTCAGTCTTGACACAACATTAGGAATCTGAAAAGCTTTAAAGGTCTAAATTTTTCAGTCTAATCAACTACTTATATCAATAGTACGAATACATTCGATGTCCATATAGAAATACTATAGATGCTGTGGATATATTGTTAGAACCTAGGGCAACCGGTCCATAAGTTCCCTGTAGTACAAGGGCCTGTAGGTAACAGCCATATAGCCAAGCCCCCTTATATGGCTTGTAGGGGGAAAAGGAAATGTGTGTATATCAGCTATCTCTTACTTCAGATATCTCTCACTTTCCTCTTACTTTACCCCTAAATATAATACTTAGGATGAACCAGGGGTGTTATAGGCGGGTACTAGTAATTAGTGGCAAAATTTTTATCAAAGCCAGAATTATATTTTTCTAGGACTAAGCTTGAAATCAGATGTATCTTTGTTAAAGGGGGCAGATCATGGGGTTCTATTTCATATTTGGCAAGATCTCTGTTCACTTAGGAGGCTGTGTATATGATTGGTGCCTTGTGGAGTTCTCCGTATGGCGTGTTGCCAATCGCATTTCTTCTTTGACCGCTCACTGCTGCACCCTACTGCGCAGCTACGTATTCGATCACATTATATGGGGCTAAGAATTTACTGGAGTGATCGCCCTTACCCACTTTCTATGGCCTTGCCCCTCCTGTCACGCCTCCTTTTTCTTCACTCACGACCCTTCGAAGTGACATATATCTCTGTCAACCCCCCAATAACAAAACGTCTACAGGCTTGGCGGGTCACGCAATCAGTTCAATCTCAAATTCCTCCTCTTGAAGCGAGCTATCAAGTTGCCCTCTCGATTCAAGCCATGTCAGATCCTGCCAGTTACACAGTGGGCTGGATTTGCGCGTTACCGGTAGAATATCTTGCCGCGCAGGAGTTTCTCGATGAAGAGCACGCAAAGCCGAGCTTTGTCTCGCCAAATTATACCAATGACTATGCGCTGGGTAGAATAGGCGATCATAATGTCGTTATTGCAGTCTTGCCAAATGGTGAATACGGAACAGCCTCTGCGGCTAATGTGGCGACGAACATGTTGAATAGTTTCCATAACATCAGGATTGGACTTATGGTCGGCATTGGTGGAGGCGTGCCAAGCAAGAGCCATGATATTCGATGGGGCGATATTGTCGTTAGTGCGCCTAGTGGAGATAAAAGTGGTGTTTTTCAATATGATTTTGGAAAGTCCATTCAAGACATGAGTTTTCAGCATACGAGGTTTTTGAACCAGCCGCCAACTATTCTTCGCGCCGCAATGACGGGGATTCAGGTTAAATTCAGGTTAAATATAAGAGAAAGGGGCATAACCTGGATGGGGCTGCTAACAGTATCCTTGAGAAAAACAGAAGACTCCGCAAAAACTATAAACGATCAGAACCAATTACGGATAGATTGTTCTTTGCTAACATTACTCGTGGCTCCACTAGCTGTGATATATGTGCGGATAGTCCATCTAAGTTAGTACTGCGAAGCGAGCGTACCGACGAGGATGATAATCCTGCCATTCACTATGCCTGGTTGCTTCTGGTAACCAGTTGATGAAAGATGCTTTGATTCGAGACAGGCTTGCCGCGGAAAAAGATGTTCTATGCTTCGAAATGAAAGCTGCCGGCCTGATGAACACATTCCCATGCCTCGTCATCCGAGGCATCTGTGACTATTCAAATTCGCATAAGAATAAAGATTGGCAGGGCTATGCAGCAATGGTAGCAGCTGCATATGCAAAGGATCTACTTCATCAGATCGCTCCCAACAGGATTGAAGCCGAAGAGAGGATTGGCGCTGTTGTCTTTGGTTAGTCTATTCCAGCCTTACAGCGATCACATAAATCTATCTATTCTCTCTAGATGAGGTGAAAGGCATCCACCAACGTATCGATCAAGGATATAGTCAACAGGAGCGTCATTTTATTAAACAACAAGAGAAGAAATTGACAGATGACCAGCAGCGCTGTCACCAGTTGTTCAAGGTCGTCAACTAGACTGAACAAAAGAACATCAATCCCGAAAGAGCTGAAGGAATCTGTCAATGGGCTTTCCAAAGTTCCGAATATAATCGCTGGTCAGAGAGTAAACTTGATGACCTTCTGTGAATATCAGCTGACCCAGGCTGTGGAAAATTTGTTCTAGCTAGATCGATAATCTATCATTACATGGAGACGTCCTCTCTCTCCATCTGTGAGAATATGTTATTTCTTTTTCAAAGACAAAACAGAACTACCTTATAACTGCGTTATGCTCGGTACTTCATCAGCTTTTCAGCCAGCTGGATCCAGAGTATCTATCAAAACATGCCATTAAGCCCTGGAAAAAGAATGGGAACATGCTCAGACGAGAACTTGATGAGCTTTGGCAGATCTTTCTAGCGACAACCTCAGCTGGCAGATTGGGAGTGACTATTTGTGTATTCGATGCACTCGACGAATTTCATGAAATTTATCAGCCTCAATTAATTAAGAAGCTTGAATTCTTTTACAATCGGTCATCAAGTCTATCAGCAAAAAATGCCTGTTTGAAGTTTCTGGTTACAAGTCGGCCATATGACCACCTTCAGAGTCAGTTCCAAGCAATAACAGCCAGTTTCCCACATCTCCACCTGAAGGGTGAGGATGAAAACAACAAAATCCATCACGAGATAGATCTCGTGGTCAAGATGCGAGTTGAGGAGCTAGCCAGAACAGCCAAATTGTCATCTGATATTCAGCAAAAGCTTGAACAACAGCTCTTACAGATGGAACACCGTACATACCTCTGGTTGCATTTGGCCATGGATGATATTCAATCCACATTCCAGGATAGCTTTCGGCCAGTGGAGGAATCGATTCAGATGATACCACCTTCCGTGAATGAAGTATACAAAAAGATTCTGAGTCGAGTGCCTCTTCGACAAAGAGATACTGTAAGAAAAGCTTTGCAAATTATCGTCGCAGCCCGGCACCCTTTAACCACCGGAGAGATGGCTATAGCACTTGGGCTGGCAATTCTTCCAGTCGCGAACCATATCAGAGGCGGAAATTGATCCATCGCAGATTGGCGAGAAGCTCCGCCGAGTATGTGGTCTTTTCATTTTCATCAAAAACTCCAAGATCTATCTCATTCATCAGACAGCAAGGCAATTCCTAATCTCGAACGTTGTCCTTAATTCTGTTGACTCTGTATACTTCTGGACTTTGAGTGAAGCCGGACAGCAAATGGGCTATGTCTGTGTGAAATACTTGGTCATGAAAGACTTACAAGGAAATGGATACTCCACCAGTGCTCGAGGCTTCCTAGCTCGAGGCTTCCTAAGGTATTCCGCAGTCTTTTGGCCGGATCATATAAGAAAAATGGCCTTGAAACCCAGCCCCGAAATTGACAATCTCATCCACCGATTATATGATACCAGCGCGGAACCATTCTCATTTTGGTTTCGAAAGTTCTTCAATGCAGTCCATCCATTTAGAATATTCGGACATGACGAATTACTATCAATGCATGCATTGCATATTGTATCATTCAATGGGCATGAGTATGAGGTTGAGTATCTACTTGGACTGGATAACACCTCCATCAACTCAGCAGATAGTACATCAACATACCCAATTATATGGGCATCACAGAATGGACACACCGAGGTTCTACAGAGGCTGCTTGATAACGGGGCCGATATCAACGTCCAAGGAGGGAAATATGGAACTTCGCTCCGCACTGCTTGTTTTGAAGGGCATGATAAGATTGTAAAGATGCTGCTTGAGAAGGGAGCTGGTGTCAATCAGGGTGGAGACGGAGAGCATGAGACTGCGCTTCAGGCTGCATGTTCTAACGGATACAGTGGTATTGTATGAATGTTACTTGAGAAAGGAGCTGATGTGAACCAGGGTGGAGAATATAGATGTGCGCTTCAGGCAGCCTGTTTTGAAGGATACGATCAGATTGCTCAGAAGCTCCTCTCGCATGGAGCTAATGTGAACGCCAAATATGGTTGGCATGGAACTGCGCTCCAGGCTGCTTGCACTCGAGGGCACGACCCCATTTTACAAAAGCTTCTTTCACAAGGAGCCGATGTTAACGCCCAGGGTTGTTTTGGAAATTCACTTCAAGCAGCTTGCGCAGCGGGACACGATAATATTGTACAAAGGCTTCTGTCTCAAGGGGCTAATGTGAACGCTCAGGGTGGTGATTATGGAGCTGCGTTCCGGGCTGCTTATTTTCAAGGATACGAGGGGATTATGCAGATACTCCTTTCGCGAGGAGCAGAGGTGGAGGCCAACGGAGCTGAACTTTAGCATTCTAAAGGACATGACAGAATTGCACAAATACTGCTGAAGCGACAACTCGAACCGGATAAATCAACACATTTTTTCTTCCTTCTAAGAAGAGAAATCTGATGTGAGACTCACAAAATTTACATAATACCTCGAATGTTTTGATTGTAATCTTTTGAATGTATGCAGTTCCAATGAGTTATTAATTCTCGCAGCTCTTGAATACTGTTGATGCTGAAATCGTCAATATATCAACACTTGATGAATTCTTATTCAAAGTATCTAGGGAAATGTAAATCTTTTTGCTTGTGAACCTTTATTATTGGAGAATGTTTCGGATTTCTCCCCGGCTGTGCTCGGATCAAGAACTTGAATCATGATTTAAGATTCTCATATCGGTTCAATTCCGACCTCCCCATCCTCTTCAACTGTTGTTTATAGTCAACGTATATGTGTTATTCATCAATAATGCAATAAACAGAATTTTTCTAAGGAGATGAACTATGTACGACGTTGGCATGAGGAGAGAAGGAAAGACCAGCGAGGTATGTGCTATTTACAGGTGGACATGGACAGACCTCGGACCACTCTAGGGGGAAACTACGCCCTGGTCCGATAAGCTGGCTCTGTAGACCCTGGAAGTATAAGGCTGCACATGTGTCCAAGACATCTGGATTTAATGACTGCCTATATTGTACCCACCCTTTTTGGTCATTCTTTCAATGTTCTAGTCAGGGAAAGCGATGGAATATTCAGCACCCCAATATAACCATGTAGGGGGACACTGGGACACCAGGGGAATATGATGGAATGATAGCAAGAACCTTGAAAAGTATGATTGATTTGCTTCTTAAGATAGGTGACAGAAATCGTGCGCTCTTGCTCAAGTACAAACCCGTAAAGAGTCTAGTGTCACGGCCTGAGACTAATGTGCTGGAAATAATACCTAGCAGGCTTTTATTTTTCAAGGAGCTATAAATTGAATATCTTCGATTGACCTTTTTCCGTGATAATGTTAGTGTGGTGAAATATCTCTTATTGTCTTTCACTTTTCAGGCACCACTGACCGGAAACGATAATTAGTGTGTGAGAGAGAGGTGGCGTATCTGTTGAAGCCGCTGCAGGTGAGGCCGGTGCCTGCAGTATCAAATCCACCGATTGTAGCTCTAATCTGAGCATTTGGATTACTTTCCCATTACTTCCAAGGTTGAAGATGTGGTATTTTCCAATTGCTGTTCGACCTTGGAAGCCAAAATCCCAAGCTCTTGAAATTCGATGTTCTCAAGGCTCATATTTGGACAAATATAACTCAACTCATTTCCTCCCAGATCATACCACATTATTCGATATTATTTATAGTCTGATGTGAGCTTTTGTTATGTAACGGGCAAATGCAAATCTAGGTTTACCTTATGTCCTAGTATCTCTTTTGATTCCACATAATCCCTTCCAATGTTTTATCTGATGTTTGGTTTGATGATGGATGCCAAGGAATGGTCCCGAGGTTACAGATCAGTGTCTATTGTTTAAATCCACCTTCACACTTCAACCTTGGAAGTGCTGCGGAAACTCCCAATCAGTTCCCGACACGAGCTTGCCAAAATCAGTGTACTTTACGGAATTAGAACCAGGCTGACCAATCTGGCCGGCCTGACTTCTGGAATTGAATTCACTGTTCTTTTTATGAAATAATCAACCAATGACATATCAGCCAAGCATAGAACAATCATTCCTTGAATTCATAACTAACTAAATGAGTACCTTGTGACGTCTGGAGGAAGCTTCGGCGTCCCGCGGCATGCATCATCCATTTCCGTCCTCAAGCGGGGTCGTGGACAGTGACTCGGGTGCCAATCCACAGGTGGTGTCTAGGTCCGGGGTGCCGAGTCGGGGGCCGAGAAACCTCAGGCTGTTGAATCTTCAATTCTAAGCTGATGGACTCCTAATCTTGGCAAATTCTCAACATCGCTGAAATAATAGCTTACACGAATCCATAGATACTCGTAGTTAAGCTCGAAAAACTAGGTAAGGTAGTAAGTAGGTGTAAACATTTTGAATGTAACGCTACCCGGCGTGGTGGCCTTGATGCGGAGTAGATGTAATAGCGGTGATGTATGTCTCACCTGGGCACTTGACCTGCCATTTCTGTTTTGGCAGCCCTGGAGGGGAACCGGCCACAGGGCGGTGCCCAGGTGGCCTGAGAATTCAAAATGATCTAAGATATCATGATGGAAGGACCCCATGTCTTAGATCAAAAGTCAGCCACAGTACTCTATCCATCAATGGATCAGGCCTGCAACCGTATATTATGCCAGTGCCAGTGGGCATAATGGGGTCCGAACTATAGAACTATATAAATACGGTGAATTTCGAGTCCTTCTCTTTTTTGGACTCTAACAAACCACCCAGCACTTGATTCTTTCATCGCAAATACAAAACCAAAATACTATCAATCATGAAAACCTCCGCACTCGCATTTGGTGCCATCCTCGGCCTGGCTTCAGCCCAGAATGCCACCGTTAACAACTACTGTGACACCACGGTGTACGTGCAATCGTTCCCGTTCGATGGCAGTGACCCTGGTCCTCTCACTACCGTTCCCAATGGAGGATTCTTCACCGAGGCGTTCAGAACATCTGGCTCGGTACGTTACTCTGTCCAATTCATCTTGCACAATCTGATATTATACGGGAAACTGACTGAGATGGGACGTGCAGACTGTCAAAATCGCCACGACCAAGACCTTGGATACACCTCTCTTCTTTGGTTATTCGTTCTCCACAAACCCGGACTACGTATACTGTAAGTATGCCCAATGTATTCCTCAGCCAAAAATAAACCATTAACGTTTTCCCCCATTCCAGATCAGCTGAGCACGGAGTGGGGTAACCCCTTCGCAGCGGACGCCAACTCTCTCGCTGCCGGGGAAGGCTGCGACGCCTTTGACTGTGCGGCTAATGATGCCAGCTGCTACAGCACCACAGATGACCCGAAGGATTACGGGTGCCCCGCGCCTGTTGAACTTACTGCGGACTTGTGTCAGTAAATGTGTTGCCGATGCTTTTCTTGATTGAGTGGCAGTTTGGGGACAGCTCTCGTATCATTTGAAAGATTAGAAAATAATCAGTGATGAAAATACAATAATATCATTCGGAAGTGGCGCAAACCATGGACCCTGAGAAACTTACCCCGCACCCGCAGGTGATCACGGGCCAAGACAAGCTAGATTGCGCCAAGGGCTTGGGGATCGGCACCACTATGGAACGCCTGAAAGGCCTTAAATGTAGACTAATAAAAGAAAATCGAGGACCTTTAGAGAATTCCCACGTGTATTAGACGTGACTTAATTAAAAAATACGTAAAATATCTGCAGTCAGTTTAAGGTTACGAATCTGCACAGATCACGGTTCTTCATTCTATTTAGCCTTACTCTGTACATACGCATTACTATCTCAAATACTAAGAAATCCAGCCCTGGAGGCAAACATTCCAAGGTTCTCAGGCTCTCGTTCGACGCTTTTATCTCAAGTCAACTGTTCGACTTCTTCACACTTTTCTCCCCTTTATCGCCTTCCTCCTTCCCGGCTAATTTGAGGTCCTAGATGACCCAAAGCTCTCTGCCCCGTTTTATCGTGGAGATAGCGGGTTCAATAACGGTCTCGTGATTGATATTCAGGCACAGGCCTTCCCGTGAGTTGACGCCCGGCTCCAACGAAATTGTCAAAATCAAGCCCATTAATCGAGATACTCAAGTCAGCGGACATTTACGAGAGCTTGAATCTCAGGCTGCCGTTAAGCTAACTGTGAATAAAATCACAACGGGTTCAACAATTTAGAACATGATTGAATTGCCACAATATATACAGCCGCAAGTGCTTAATCTTGTAACTGCACATGTGCAAGATTTCAAATGTTGAGGACTCCACTCCACTCGGAGTCAATACTACCTTGCCATTTCTTCATTAATCCAGGCCACCAAAATTGCGAAGGCTACATACGCTTTCTAAGACCAGTTGACACATAGAGCTTAGATTAGATCAATAATTTGACTTCCTGATATGTACATATATTTTTCTCCGGATGGTGTAGGTTATAAGATGCATGAGGTAAGATCATGTCAATACTTCGAGTCTCTAACATCAATTGGCCGGATGGTGTAGTTGGTTATCACGTATCGTTAACATTCATCTGAATTGTATTCCGATAAGGTCCTCGGATCGAGCCCGGGTCTGGTCACTTCCTTTTTGCATTTTTTGGTTGTGTTAAAGCGTGGATTTCATGATTGGGGCTTTTTATATTGCCGGGCGGGTATATTTTTTAGTGGGGCCTAATTAGGCCTAGCGTCTCGGTAGGATTTATCGCGGTCTAAAAGCGGCAAGCGGTAAGTATGGCATTGGTATCCCTGTTTCCTAAGAGCATTAGAGTCAACCAAAAGAATTTAACTTAAAGAAAGAATGTTGGGGGTGGAATTGCTACTGTGTAGCTGTGTAGATTGAGGAAAGAACTCTGTATGCAGAGCTAGGGATCTAAGACCTCGGTACGGTCCAATAAAGAATCAGATGAAAGACGAGTCTGTCAGTCATGGTCCCTAGAATTCTCATACCGTCGTACCTGCATTCAGCGAGGGCTATGGTCGATAAAAAAAGCCATTTGGAAATGATTGTTTTTGATCTAACAAAATAAGACGCTCCTGTTTCCCTCTGTTTAAAAAAATATTTCGGATACCAAATTCTGAGACATCCATGGAATGATTTAAGCGAAATGAGGGTTCGGAAGTCATTTAAGGTCCGTCAATAAGTCAGAAAACAACGGCAAAACGATTGGCTCAGGAGGGATGATTTAGATTGCCTTGCATAGGTGTGGACTCCCAACATTTGAAGCGACGATTGACAATGGAGAGCCGGGGTACTACATGTTCCACTTCGAATATTCAATATTGACTGGGAAACAGAAAGAATTTACCACAGTATTCTAGTAAATGGTGGTCGGGTCTAAGTCAATCACTTAAGTTCCAAGGTTTTTTTGTTGTTAGAAACATTTCCAAGGCTGAACATAATGTAAATTGTAAATACGCAGCCTATTGAATGTATCGAGAGACTTCGTCTTTGTGTTCCCCATCAGATCCAAGATTTCATACTATTTAAACCCCGGATACTTGAAAATAATGGATACAGATCATTTCGACTTGGAATTTATACTGACATCGACATGCAGACATTGAAATCCATCCAAGCACGGCAGACCATGTGGAGCGCTTACTTGACCTTGGTGTACTCGCTTTCCAACGCTCCAGGCCACTCACTCGGCACCTGGTCTGCCAACCATCTTAACAAGACGGCATTAACCTCTCTGGGCTTCTCAAAATACAAGAAATGGGCGGCGTCGATTTTAGCCTCGGTCAAATTTGAACAATTCTGTCGCATAGGCTCCGGGAATTGTGAATGGATAGTCTCACATACTGCATCCCAGAGAGCATGCATAAACAGCACAGGGAAGTCCACTTTCTTCTCACAGTTCGCATTATATTTTGCATTTCGTTCAAGATGCAGATAATAGGCCGATCCAGGCCAAAAGCCTGTCTTCTCCATGTCACTAACAAATGATTCATAAACATCACTTGGAAGTGCGACCGGTCCAAGTTGATGCGCGCTTGGCGGTTTAGGGATTCCACCTAACCAACCACCATTCTTGCGTACAAGGGCCATCAAATCATTGGGATGCTTGGGATCTTTTTGTGGGATAGACTTTTGCGACATTATAGCGCAAACTCCAGCAATATCGCTATCAAACCATGCAGCGGTCTTCTCAAAGTTCTCCTCCCAGTTCTTGATATAGTCAAACTGTCCAAATTCGTACTTATCAATCGGGTATACCTCTCGATTCATTAGTGACAGGAGAGGATCCCATCCTAGTTCGAGTGTCAAGAAGGGTACACACATATTCACCATTGCCTTAACAACCTCGGGATGTTGAAGCGCGACAGCGGAGACAATACCAGAACCCCAGTCATGGCCAACCCAGACAGCGGCCTTACGGCCTGTGTCGGCTAACAACGCGATCATACCATCAACGATGGCTTCTATACAGTAGTCGTCGACCTCACGACGAGCAGTTGACTGGCCATAGCCGGGCATGTCGGGCGCAATAGCCCGGAAGCCGACAGATGCGCATGCTTCTAACTGGGATTTCCAGGTGATACCAGTAGCAGGCCACCCGTGGATGAAGAGGATGAGGGGGCCGTCAACTGGCCCAGTGGCGAGATAATGAATCTTTTTAATGCCGTTGGCATAAGTCACTTCGTGGTGTGTAATGTTAGACATAATTGCGTTGAAAAAAATATTTATTCAGAGGGATTTTTTGTCCTCGGTAGGACAAGATGCCAGTTAAGTAGACGGGCTACGATTAAATGAGGGGCCATCATGGCTCCGGGCCGAGTGGCCCGAGTGTGCAATTTAGCAAGGCCGTGGGCACATGTGCCAGCATGCCAGGCTTGCCAGCATTACTCATGGAGCGTCTACTCGAATCCATAGTAGCCAACTACAAACTTTACCTCATGTCCAGGTGCACATGTGTCATCGCAACACTCCTCTCCCTGAGATCCGACTGTATCTTGCCCCAGGATCTATCTTCCCAAATACCACCTTGGGCTATTTTTCATTGAAAAATAGCATTCCAAGGCCACTATGCCCTAGACATGGAGATAGCAGGTCTAGCTGTGGGTATCGCTAGCCACCACACTGCTCTTACCGCTTAAGGCCACGGTAAATCCTACTACCGACACTAGTCCTAATTAGGCGGCGCTAACAAAAATATACCCGCACGGCAATATAAAAAGCCCCAATCGTGAAATCGAGGCTTCAACTCCACGCAAAAATGCAAAAAGAATGTGACCAGACCCGGGCTCGATCCGAGGACCTTATCGGTTTACAGTCCAATGGAATGTTAACGATACGTGATAACCAACTACACCATCCGGCCAATTGATGTTAGAGACTCGAGGTATTGACAACATGATCCAAAGTTTACCAATGCATCCTATCGCAGCACTGGCGATTTCGGTGGCCTATGTTGATGAAGGGATGGAAATACAATGACTGGACCTAGTTTTTGAATTAAGGATCTGGACAGTCTTCGTTTGAATCATTACAACTTGAAGCCCTAGTAATCAACAAGGAAAGTGAATGACTGCAAACATTGAAAGTAGTAGTTTAGTTCAATTTTTTAATTGGACCTGAATAGCTTCCGTTGTAGAATGGTCCATACCAGATGGAAATATAGAAACTTTGAAAATTAACCACTATACTTAGTAAGATCACTGGTTCAGCAAAACATTGGAACTTGAAAGATGCAGCCTTAACTGTATACGGCTGTCTCTGTAGGTCCATGTGGGGAGATTCAACTTGAATATAAAAACTTGAATGTGCACTTGAGGGCTTTCTCAGTTTTCAAATGTTGCGATCACGTTCCTGGGCACGCTAGTATTCAATTTGGCGAAGAGACCAACAATCACATGCATACGTAGAACTTCAAGTTGATGTTATACCCTATCCTGGAACGATAGACAAGTATCGCATAAGTTCTCGGCCCTGTCGGTCAACTGGTACATAGAACATCTTCTCTCGGGTGCTATGCATGTGTTTATGATGTATGATATAAGCTCTTCAAGTCCCTTGAAATTTTTTGGTTGTGATTGCAAGGTTATACCTCATAGTGTGTGTAACATTCGAATTTGAATGGCTATTGCATACTTGTCCAACTATTTACACCTGCCCAGGTGATATCACATTCTTCCTCACTCCTCATCACCACACAGAAACATACTATTCTATCATCCATCAGCCTGTCAGTTCTTTAAAAATCACACCAAGTATCAATTATACTATACATCAATATGAGTAATAAAAACAAGGTAGGAATATGGTGTACGACTGACTTTGTACTTGGAATTTAAGGTTTGTTGCTTGGGTATAGCCGCTGTCGGTAACTGGTACGCTAGTCCCAATTAGGTAGTGTAAAAAAATTTAGTTTTCGCGCTAACATCCATACAAACCCTAACCGAAATCGAGGCTTCAACTCCACGCAAAAATGCAAAAAGGAAGTGACCAGACCCGGGCTCGATCCGAGGACCTTATCGGTTTACAGTCCAATGGAATGTTAACGATACGTGATAACCAACTACACCATCCGGCCAATTGATGTTAGACACTCGAGGTATTGACAACATGATCCAAAGTTTACCAATGCATCCTATAATGTAGTTCTTTACTCAGGCTGTATATTTGAGGGGATATTAGAGCAAGACGGCCTGATATACTATCTTCCTGTATATATATATATATGAATATTTTTTTTAGCTGGAGGTCATCAGAGATATAAAAAGAACATTATATCCGCAAGCTTTAATTATCGCTAATTCCATAATCATGGCGCCTATCGTTAATCGTGACTACATTTGCCGCCGTAGCCCGCGGTAAGTCCTGCCAAGACCCTAGTCCGCATTAGACACGCTAAAAAGTTTATTCCGCACCAATATCCATACAAACCCTAATCAAAAATCAAGACTTTAACACGACCAAAAAATACAAAAAGAATGTGACCAGACCCGGGCTCGATCCGAGGACCTTATCGGAATACAATTCAGATGAATGTTAACGATACGTGATAACCAACTACACCATCCGGCCATTAGATGCACGGGAATCCAGGTATTAATATTTTGCTTCCAAGTTTTCTCATAGCTTGAGTCAGGTAGTAGAGCAGCAACTTTGAGAACTTGAGTGGCTGGTGTCCAACTTAAGTACTGCCATGCTAGGTCCTCCTGCTTAAAATATCACGGCGTATATGTATCAGATTGAGATTAGTTATATTTAGATTACTCTAAGATACTATTGAGATGGGTAGTACCATTCACTGCCAGTGGTCCGAGTCATGATCTAAATTTTAGTATTTTTAAGGATGTTTCGACGCTTATATATGTTCACCACTGATATCCACTACATAATATTACTAGGCTAAAATTCGAATGCCTTTAACTTGACGTACATGATGAACGACTCGGAATGACTCAAACCTCGGGAGTCTAGTACCAAACATGAGACAAAAGGTCCTGTGAAATTATGGCTCGGAAGTGATGCATAGAAAAACAATGTGGTCATTGAATTAGAGCTGGCAACTGGCCCCGATCAAATGAGATTCCACGAATGACTTACAAGGTTATATATGGAAGCTACCTTACCTCTACTATCTTTATTTTGTCAAATTGAAAATACTGAAGGCCAAAATAGGAGTAGGATCAAAATATAGGATAAAACTGCGAGTAAAAAATGGTTTGACTTTCAAGATATGTTTGGATGAAAATGTGTTTGAGTAGAGAAAACCGACGTGAAATTCTCAACCTTAGAAGTTTCATTAACATTTGAAGTATCGAGTTTTCGCAGTAATGTTTTATTTATCACCAGTCTTAGAAAGGTTAAACCATTTGCACAGTCCTGGGGGTATGCCGGTCTGGGGGTAACACATTCGAGTAGTTAAAGGGCCTCCGGGTCTATCTACCATGGTAAATCTAACCAAGGTTCCAACCTTCCAAGCTACGTTTCAAGTTATAGTATACTCCAAGTACTCCGGTACATATTATTCAGAGTTCAAGTACAAACCATTGGAGCTCTCCTTCTGTTTACCTCCAACTTTCTTCATAGGCCCTCATATTCCGAGTCATATTTTCACCTCAAGTGCTTGCACCTTTCACTTTTGCAGCTCTTGAACTTGAATACCAGCACCTGCCCCAATAATGATGAAATGTCTAAGAGCTTGTGTCGAATCCTGCTTCCGGCGCCGATATGTCGCTAACCCCTGGAGGCTACAAGAGGATTACCCCCCGAAATAGTCAGCGCCGAGATTGCCAGCCCCAAGATGATCAGCTATAAGATCTACTGCAGGAATACACTCTCCGGCCTCCCATTGGAGCTATTCTTCCAAATATGTGATTTTCTTTCACCTATTGATCTGAAATGCTTGTCTGTTTGTGATTACCGATTCTTCTGTTGGTTGTCTAGGAGATATCACGGGTTTCCTCCTCTTGTAGGAGATGAAAAGTTATCAGTCCTGGTCCGACTAGAGAGGGATATTCCCGAGTACTTTGCTTGTTACTTTTGCAAACGGCTACATAATTATGATGGATCTGAAAACTTTGGGCTTAGCGGAATGGCGCATCGCAAAGCCTCCAAGCTCCCATGCGATAATAAAAGATACGAGTTGAAAGCCGGACTCAAAGAGGGTAGGGCAATGGGTCTGAGGACTCATAGTAAATTTCAACACTCGCTATACCGTCTTTCTATCCACCAGGTTAAGCTTGCTATGAGGAAATTTCACTATGGCCCTACAGCTGGGATTAGTACTGAATCTCTATCATACACGCAAGTCCTCCTCTATCCTTCGCATTTATTTAAGCCCTACGATATAAGGACTTACTCAGACCCATTTATTACCACATTGTTCTCAATCCAAGGACAAATTTGCCTTGAGCCACTTGGCCTTTATATCAGGATGCAGGATGTCATGCTACTGCAAACATGGGATGATTCTAAAATTGGTTCAGAGGCGAATCCTATGAACCTTTATGAGATCTGTTGCCATACTACACTTTTGAGCAAACAATTCGACCTGGACAGAGTACAAGATGGAGAAGAGCCAAATTTTACCTATACCTGTCCTCAATGCCATACGGACTGTGTGATTGAGATCTTTAAATTCGATTCTCAGATCGCGTTACCTATGACAAGATGGATAAATCTTGGCCCTGGTCTTGATCCTACAGACCCATTATGGAGTGTCCATGCCTGGAGATCCTCAAAAAGTCGGAGAGCAGTTCCCCAGCTCCATGATGGTCAAAAGCCCCCGCATCTGCCTCGAAGACATTGCCCCAAGACTTTCCAGGAACTATTGTCTCGCAATCTATCCTATCTGATGAATAAGCAGTACAAAAAACTTGAAGGGAAGCCTTTTGCTAGGGCAGGTCAGACTGGGTGGCACATTTCATACCAGGATCCATCAACGAAAGCCGGGATTGAATATATGTGTCCCTGGCTGGGGATATTTGAGAAAACCCCTTCAAGTTTGCAAGAACCCATCATGTGGTCACTCATAATGGCGATAGAAGAAGGAGCATCAGAGGAATGGAACGACTCAAGCTCAAACTATTTATCGTGGATGAATATGGGTATCTTTTAACGCAGGGGAAGTCGAGCTTTGTGAATGCGCGGATCCTTTTTATGATAGCGCAAAGTTTGCTGTAAGCCCAATTTTATATTTATTTTTGTTAATATCAATGACTCGTAGCTAGCCTTCCTGAGGTCCCCTCCAGGTAATCATGTAGGTAACCCTGGAGGTACTTAGGTACAAAGAGGTGTGGGTCATTAGTCACCTATAGATACTATTGACTCAGACTGAGCCCTGTACTTAAGTATATGAAAATACCCGTCCGAGAGAATGTGGACACACCTGGCCAAGCACTCGCGTGCTGAGGACATAGCTTTCCCAATTTCAAATACTCGCTGCTACACTGGCAGTGCCGTGGAGGATTTGTAACAGATTACTTTGGCAGTAAAATTTCCATTCGTTCATAGATAAGAGCAATCCGGTCTTCATCCTAATATTCAGAATCTTCCTTTTAGTCTCCAGAGTCTTCAAGTAGACCAGGCGCGTGTCTTTCCAATTCGTGAAGTCGAGCTAAATTTTCCAGGACCCTCGCCACGATAGCCTTCGCTTCAGCAACAGGTGTCTGTTGGTCAAGTTGCGAACGTGTCAACTCAGAAACTTTGTATTCGACAAGCTCCTGGTCGCTCGGATAAAGGTCCGCTTGTGAAGCATGAAGGGCATTGCTAAAACATGGATTTTCGAGTACAAGGTTCGGATCTGCCCCAGCTCGCAGCAAGATCTTCACGCTTTTAATATTCCCCAAATTAGCGGCCGCTGCTAAAGGGCTTCCATATCTTCCATGATGCTCTGTCAAAAAATTGGCATCGGCTTTCGCTTCATGGATGAGATACTCGAGAACACTTATGCGGCCAGCCGCCGCAGCCGCCACGAGACCACTTCCATAAATTCCAGTTGAAAGAAGTTGATTAGGATCCGCACCTTTGCTTATCAGAACTCGAACCACGTCAAACCTTCCCTCATATGCGGCAGCTGCGAGGGCACTCCCATAATTTCCAGTTGAGAGTAAAATGTTAGGCTTAGCGCCATTATCTAGAAGAAGCTGAGCTACATAAAGACTTCCAAAACATGCTGTAGCTGCAAGGGCACTTCCAAAGCGTCCAGCTGAGAGTAGAAGATCGGGAGTAGCGCCCTTCTCTAGAAGAAGCTGAACTACTTCAAGATTTCCATAAAATGCTGCACTTGCCAGGGCACTCCCAAATCCAGTTGAGAGTAAAAGGTCAGGTGTAGCGCCCTTCTCTAGTAGAAGTTGCACCAGTTCAAGATTTCCTGTATCTGCTGCAGTTGCCTACGGCAAGGCATAGGGGCCACAGCTCGCATGCCTATTTGGGACTAGTTTTTAGACCGCTTCCAGCACCGCCTTTACATGTCTTGTAATCCATATGTTATTTTTGGATGCTATTAAATGATATTAGATTTGTAGCTATTTCTGAGGTTTTGTAATGAATTTGGACGATGTGATTAGTTCTTGGAGTACTCCGTACTAAAAAAGAATTATGAAAATATTAAGAAAGAGAACCTTGGAAGTTGGAAGGGTACACACTTTCTGGGCGGTAGGATTCTGCCAATCATCTTTCATCCATCTCCAGGGGCGGCCCTTATCCGAGGTCTTCCCCTCAACAACTACTAACTAATACCAATTTAAACCTATCTTCACAGTACTATTCTCCATCATCATATCTTAGGCATACATACAGCCTAAGTCACTATAATACCTCTTTAATAGGATCTATTTCCCCTGGCTTATAATCCCTTAGGTGGTCAAGCTTAATTACCAACCATATATACCCAGGTGCCTAGGTAGGTGGATGTGAGTGTGTAATTGTATTTCCAGTAATTTTATTTTCTGCTGGTTAAAACTAGGCCCAAATAGGCATGCGAGCTGTGGCCCCTATGCCTTGCCGTAGTTGCCAGGGCACTACCTTTGTCCCCACAGTCATCGACGGGGGCTCCCTTAAAAAGGAGTCTGCTACATATGGATGTGCCGCCAGCTCTTGCAGACAGTATAAGAGGACCTTCGCGAGCAAGATTCTTGTGTGACAAGGAAAATACGTGGCTGTCCCACCAGTCGGAAAGAATGGCTTCCAAAGACGGGACATTGCAAGTATAGGCATCGCTGGGGCATCGCTGGGGCATCGCTGGGGCATCCATGTCATCCATCTTTGACTGCGAAATAGGCCAACGCTGTCCACTTTGCTTAAAATCTTGAAACCACCTTCGATAGGCTAGGCCGCCTTCAGTTGGAGATCCAAGAAAGCGCTTGAGCAGAGTGATTAAATCAGGGTCAAATCCATGAGGACCTGTTACATCATGCTCTTGTTTTTGAACATGGTATATCCAATGATCTCGACAGTAGCTGTGAAACGCAACATCGGTGTCATTAATTTCCAAGAATAACTTGTCTGGTCCATCCACTGTATCATCAGCTGAGTATGTATCGGAGAGAAACTCAAGGCATAGTTTTGCAGTATAACAATGGGGATCCTACGAGGTTCATGAATAGTCTTCAATGTACTCCACAACGGAAGCATGGGACAATCTCCAGGACTTTGTCAATCGATCGAAGATAAGGAGATTTTGACAATAGACTAGCAAATCACCTTTGGTGATCTTCTGCTGCTGTGATGGAACATCATTTTCTCTGCCTAGATTTATGACTGAAAGAAGCTCTCGATTGGTTGGTGGCGTGCGAGAGCCCAAGACCCACATGAAAGCACGGTCAACAACTTTTTGGAGAGCTTTATGATTTGATATGCCGTCCAAGATTTCTTTGTATGTGGCTCCCAGATCTTTAGGTAGCTTCCGGAGACGACTGAGAATATCTTCACTCGTCATACACAGCGCCAGTTAATCAATCTGCAAAGAAGCCCACAAAAACCTGTATGAAATGAGTATTGTATTTGACTTGCAGACAGCGGGAAAACTTACATTCCATCACATTTCCCTGATAGTGTATCAACAACTTCGGTTTGAGTAGATGTAGGCAGACGTGGCCAGTAAGGAAGATCCGCAGTCTTTCTAAAAATGAACTCCTTGATATCCACTTCTAACCCATCGCATTTGTTTCCAATGATAGGATCACCGTGAAAGTGGCGCTCGATGCCATCACGAGGGCGAGTAGATATGAACACTCTAACTGGATTCTTCAATGAACGTAGAGAGTTGATTATTTCCATAAGTTTCTTTCTTTTCCTCTCATCACCTTCATCCAGAGCGTCTATGACAAAGGTAGTGCATCTATAAGAATTGACTGATTTGACCAGTAACTCACGGTAGACAGCTATATCGAGAACAGATGTTGTGTTTGCTTTGGCATTGAACAGAGTTTGAACTTCCTTCAGCACTTTGTCGGAATGATGAGATGTGGTAATAAGCTGGCGCAAGAGGCTTCGAGTGATGTTGTCTGGTTCTTCGCCTGCTGTCCCATCACGTCGACAGTAATAAAACGCTATATTTTCATGGGGATGCAGATTCTCAAGAAGACGATCAATGACCTTTGAGGTCAAGAAGGTTTTTCCAGTTCCAACTAAAGACCATTAATTCCGTTCCCTTTGATTGAACTTGAGAAAGTAAGCCCACCTAAACCTTCAAGCCGAAGTACCGAAGATGAATTTGACATCTCCCATGTTTCGAATTCTCGGCTCTGTAAGAGCCATTCACATGTGTTTTCTGTTCGGTTGTTTTTAACCGAGTGATGTCTATCATGAGCCTTGATTGGCGAGATCCAGTCGAGAATTCTCGTCAAGTCATTCGCATCCATTCGAGCGAAAAGTTTGTCAAAGCTTTCAGCAATGTGGTCCTCAAAACTGCTGAACTTTTGGAGAAAACCACTGATTTTATCGTCCAAAGCAACACCACTCTTCGCTTGACATGCCTCTACAACCTGAGAAACATTTTTGATGCAGTCTTTGAGCCTTTCCAGCTTCTCTTGGGTCTCCTGGGGGTTAATAAAGGCACGAGCAAGTCGTTCAGCTGTATGACGATCTGTTTGAGTCCTAGCAAGCAATAGGAGATCAAGGGATGCAATATATAGTCTAAGTAACGTCTCTCGGAGCGTTTTCCAAAGTTCCGCTGGGATCTTTTCTTGAAATATTTCTTGGTATGTCTTCCCGCAGCTGATAGTTCGAACAACGACCTCAACAGTCATAAGCGCCGCACCGATTTCTGCCTCGGTATTAACAGGGATCTAAAGAAAATCAGAATTTCGCTACAGTAACAAAGAGGGGTTAACATACTTGCATGACGCCCTTAACCAATGGCCAGACGATACTGGCAGGCTGGGGCAAAAACTGAACACCAATATCCCCAGCTGTTGACAGGCATTAAATTATCTTTGATGTGTATTCCTTTGGAACAAATTCGTGGTCTCCAAACTTGACCCTCCAAGTACGGGATTCCCATGTTATCTGTCTCTGTTTGACGATTTCAATGATAGCTTCGGCCCCTTCAAGGTCATTTTTGGCCTGGCCTTTGTCCAAGAGTTGTCCAAGCCTTTTTTGAGTTTCATCCGAAAGCTGTCCGAAAGCTTCGCTCCAAAGGTCATCGTGTTTCTCGCTATTCTCAGGGACTCTCAAACCAGGCAGGCTTATCGTAGGGAAAACATCACGTCGATCAACTGGATCAGAATGTGGTTTAGGGCAACAGTTGATTCACAATGAGGTTCTTCAGATTTGGCATGTTTCGAGCGATGGAGCCTTTTGGGGATTAGACGCCCAATACGGTCCCCATATCCCATGACGACAAGCGCTGAATCGTTCACTAGAGGTATCTCTCGATCGGATGATTCGCTGAAGAATTATCTCAGCAGTGGAGTCTTGTTCGATCAACGTCTTTCAAGCAACTGAAAGAAAGAAAGCTGTGAGTTGCTAGGGGATGTCATCATAAGTACATGATTCAGCCTAACAGCTGAGCTGACTGTGGACTACTCTTTTGAGAAGGCAACTCAAGCGGGGTATGCAGTTTGATTTAGCCAGTCACGGCCAACTCCACAGTGACACCTGTACATAGTGAGGCGGATTGTTGGAAATTGCAGAATGAAATATTTTGATTCTTCACACTCATCATTGTGTAAGTGAGCTGCAAGTAAGAGTTTGTGGCCTTGAAGAAGATGTCGAGGGTTAAAAACCAGCCCCTTGAATCAGGACATAATTATGCCTGAAGATTTAGGCATGAAATTAGGTGTCAGCCAAAATAACGTGATAAACTAGGCCCAATTGGGACGGTTTTAACAGGATTAAATCCTGGCTTCTGATTGGCCGAACCAGAATGGATCACATGATTAGCCACGTGATCTACGGTCGCAGCAGACGCTTATTCGTGTAAATTAGTGTTATGAGAGAATCAGACCTGTTGATACGTCCCATTGCGACCGCCTACTGCATTAGACCTTGTAGTCTGACATTAGGCATGAAATTAGGCATGAAACGCGTCCCTCTACAAACAAACATTGGATGTAGACTGTTATCCAGACTTTCTTTCAAAAAGATAATAAATCTCATCAATAAAGTACTCTCAAGTAATAAAGGCCTGTCAAGGATGACAATGTGTTATCTCTACTCAGCATTGCACACAGTGGCTCCAGCAACCGTCCAAGTCCCTAGGATCTCTAGTAACATTTCAAATGTTGAGATTACTTTCTCACAGGTGTAAGCCGCACATAAAGTTGACCTTTTTGCCAAAATGAATAGATCTTCTGCCTTTCCATCCACCCTTTGCTTTCTTCAACAAGACTCATATCGAAATTGTATATAATCCGAGCCAAGATCATGCGCATTTCAGCGTATGCCAAGCTGTCAGTGAGTATAAAATCAGCTATCTTCATCCTGTAGAATAGATATCCGGGACAGGTAACGATGTATCAACTTACTTTCTTCCTAAACAGTTCCGAGGCCCAACACTGAAGGGTTGTAATATCTCAAACTCATCATTTGCATACCTTGGATCTCCTAGGAAGCGCTCAGGGGTGAAGGAGTGTGGATCAGTAAAATGTTTTTCGTTGTGATACATTGCCCAATGGTGCAATGCAACGATTGTCTGTGTTTGATATCCAAGTCAGAAATGGAACACAAAATGAAAGACTCCAAGTTTCCTGATACTCACATCTCCAGGAACGTATCGTCCAAGAATGACATGACCCTTGGAAGGAACAAGGCGAGGCAATCCAGCTGGAATTGGCGGATACACACGCAAAGCCTCATTCAAACAAGCCAGCATATATGTCAACTGATTTACCGAGGCCATGGTAATTTCCTGCTCCTTATCAAATGTAGACCGTACCTCCTTCGTCAATTTTTCAAGGGCTGACGGACTCGATAGCAGGAGATATGTCACACCAGTCAGAAGGGTAGCTGTTGTCTCAGAGCCACCAATAATAAACACGTTCGCATTTGATTGGAGATTGTCAAGACTAAGATTCTGTCCTAGCGTTAGTTAAGAGCAGATATTCAGTCGATAGGATAGCATTCACCAACTCATCTTTTTTCTGCAGGAGTGCCTCGATGAGATCGGATCTTTCATTACCAGGCTCCATTCGCCTTTGCAATTTTTCCCTCGATAATTCTGTCTGTCGGATATATCGTGCCAACACAAATTTGGGCATCAATGCCCAGAAAAACTTGTTAAGTAGTGGATAGAATCCAACGGTTATAAAGATTGTACCAGCGCGCGCAGATTGAAAGATTAAATGGACATAAGGATGATCTTTCAAGTTCTGGAGACAACCAAATGGTTCACCAAAAGCAAGGTCACCAATGATATCAAACGTGGTCCAGTTGTACCACGCAGTTAGATTCAATGCCTTGCCATTCGCACAGTTCTCATGTAACCGCTGAATCAGTAAATCTATGTACACATTAATTACCGGCTCTTGCTCTCGCATTGATTTTTCAGAAAAGCCATGTGCAAGCTGACGTCTGAGAATACTGTGCTCTTCACGCTCGGCATTCACAACGTTCACGGGTGAGGCATCGACAGGGCGATAGAAGCTCTTCAATTTTCGGAACTCTTTGCCGTGTTGATGACCCATGATCTCTTTCAACGCGGTCGCATTTGAGAAGGCTAGTTCATCAGGTGCAATGCGTACCACATCCCCGTATTTTTTATGAAGGTCGAGTATATCATATGGCAATGTTCCTCGGAGTAGTCTCCAGCAATATGGGATTCGGGACATTCCAAGCAGCGTTGGCCCTGGGAAGGCTTGTAGCGGGTGAAGAAAGACATTGTAGAATGCTTTCCAAATAGCGTGCGCCAAGACCTGGAAAATTTCATAAGTATGCTAGCAATAAGTAGGATAGAATTTCCTGGGCTCTGGCAAGTCTCACTTACAATCGCAGCTAGAGCAGCTACAATGCCACCTGTGTTATTGGATAAGGACTGGAGAAAACCCATTGAAGCCATCTTGTGTGTTGAAAGAGAGAATGGAGATCGGAGATGAACAATACATATGTACTGAAGAGTCTCCCAACGTTTCACATGTGGACGCTTCTGTCAGTTCTGGGGAACGCACGGCCTTGACGATAATGAATATTGACTCATCAATCCGACGGGGCGTAAACACCGAGGTACTTAAAGTAGCAAGCGTTTGATTGGCCATATTGACTGAGCAAATGTCCGACTTGCATGGTGTAACCGATCCCTCGCATGCGTATCCCAGGAGCGAACTTGGGTTAACCATCTTCTGTTTCACTGACAAGATTAGAACCTCATGACTCATAGAAAACGCTTTAACTTGAACAAATTTAATAGATTCTCTTTGAATGAATGCGTATGTCTCAAATTCTGTATGCTGTATAAATTCCCCCAAAAATACATATGGTATAAGGCGGTCCAAAATGCGTAAGCCGCGTGCAATTAAAGCTTTGCGCGGAAATCACGGCGAAGAGATTCAAGATCAGAAGGCCCGTCAAAGATCTGCTGCTCTGTCATGCGAGTATTAATCTAGAGACGAGTCAGTTTTGTGTCAAAATTCAGAGAGGTGATAATGCTTACATATTGAGGTCCAAGGCCGTCCACTGTTTCCACACCAAGAAGACGCATGCATGTTTTGGTTTCATCGGATAGAACTTTGAAGAGGTTAGAAGAGACACCAATGGCAAAAAAAGGCTAAACTTACTTTGCAATGTGCGACGCACACCATCGACGCCACCAGCTCCCAATCCCCAGAGGGCAGCACGGCCAATGCCAACGGCCTTGGCGCCTAGACACAGAGCCTTAACAATATCAGTGCCTCGGCGAATACCGCCATCCACATAGACCTCTAGCTTGTCAAAGACTTCAGGGCAGTATTTGCGAATTTCCAGCAATGTATGGACTGCGGGAGGCGCAGTATCTAAAGCCCGTCCACCATGGTTCGAGAGGATGATTCCCTTGACCTGTGGAGTATGTAATGATGCCAAATAAGCATCCTCATGTGTCTGGAGACCCTTCAGTACAATAGGCAGATCAGTGTGCTTCGCCAACCAAGGCAATGTCTCTTGCCAAGTCAAAGTCGGGTCCGTGCCAGCGAAAAGAGTCTTTCCTACTCCACCCGAGGCTTGTGAGACGTCTGGGGTGTCGTTTGATTTCTCACTCTCCTTCGCCCCCCTTGGCACTGGTGCTGATGCTCCAAAAAAGTTGTTTTTCTCATCATCTTCACGCTTGCCGGGAACAGGGGCATCCAAGGTAAGGACAATAAATTTGATGGCCTTCAGCTTGTTGATACGTGCCAACATTGTTTCACTCTTCTTCCGGTCAATCTGAACATATAACTGCCAGCCAAAGACTTGATCGGGAGCCGCATCTTTGACAATCTGCTCCGGGGTCATGGATGCATTGTTCGAGATGATTTGCATGGCACCAAAGCTTCGACATGCCTCAGCGATCCCGGCTTCACCGGCAGGGTGACCAAGACGGGCCATAGCAGCAGGAGACACATAGATTGGCATGCCCAGGTTATGTCCGAGAACAGTGCTACTCAGATCACAGGGCTCGCAGTTTCTGAAGACTCGTGGTCGGAGAATGATTGATCGATAGACTTCGTTGTTGAATTTCTTGGAGTATTTGTCGTCGGAAGCAGAATAATAGTATGCCCATGCTTTCGGATTGACCTGTTTGGTTGCAACTGCTTCGATCTCATCCAGATTGAGAAGGCTCTCCATGGGCGGTGGTCCCTGAGCAGGTTCCTGGGTCTTAGCTGGAGTCTCTTCCTTGGGCATTGAAGCCACATCCACAGTTCCAAGGCATTTTTCTGGCTTCAGTTCTTCCTCAAGAATTCCTGGAGGATGAATTGGGTCGTATTCTTCAGTGGCATCCTTCCCGGCAAGTTTCAAAATGATTTTGGCGCCACCAGGATGGCTAGATAGGAAATCCGTCACCTAGGACATATGTGAGTTGGAGAATGCACCTCGATAGGATCAAATAGAAAACCTACATCATAGACTTTCCCATACAGTACCACCCAGCAACTCTCCCGGGTATTGTGTTTTGCAACTGGATTCGTGTGAGCAGGAGACCAAAGACGTGCGGGGAGACCAAATACCTTCTGCTGCATCGAATACCTTCGCCATTGTGTCTTGTATCTGAACTAGACCAAACTATCAAACCAAAGACACCTCCCAGCTGTGATGCACAATTGAAAAAGTCACAAAGACCAGAATTTGGGGAGATTGAAAAGCGTGGGGGGGACCGAAACATTCGGAGAGGAGGCCGACCAAAGTGTGGGGAAACATCGGCAAATGCAATCCATATCAGGCAAGTTCGATAGCCGACCATAGGCATTAGAAACCCCTTCCCGTCATTGGTGGGGAAATAAACGGGTCAGTTTTGCACTCAACTATGAATCCAGGCCAGAGTGTGGGGAGTATACAAAAACCCCAGATAATCGGAATTCATTCTCCACTAGAGAGTAGAGTATGCATAGCACTGAGTATAGAGTAAAGAGTAGTGAAATTGATATGTTAATTTAGATTGTTTTTGCACCATTTGCACTAATTAGATAATCAGATCCACGTGAGCTGTTTATCTGCACGGACCTCACATCTGAACCTGTGACATAATGGCAGATTGATACGACTGTGACTTCTCATTATGATTGCTCCCTTTTCCTCTCTTCAGACTCACTACTGGTCTTTCTTGGATGCTGTGGACAACATGTTCGAGGTGTGAATATTTTCTTATTAATTTTTCAGGACTCACGGAGTCACATTCCTCTATGAGCTAAGACTAACTCCTTCAGCGTCGGGCTGCGGATCGATACCATCTTCGAATGCACCGCGCTCGTTCGGCTGTGCTGACTTCAGATGAAATTGTGGAGGTACGCGCTGCTCAACGAACCTTCGAAGGCGCCTATGTCCGAACAGCACTTTCCCAGTTTTCCTTTGCCCTCGTTGTGTTGAAGATCTTCACCGCCGAATTCTACAGTATTGGTGCACTATTCGCAATCTATGGAACTGGAGTCCTGATGATTGGCTTATTCCGTCGCTCCCAGGGAAATCGTCAGTTCTTCTCGGAGATAGGCGAAGATGGAATTCACCGTCACAAATTCCGAACTAGTGGAAATGCAGTGGTTGTTCTGACTGCACTGAGCATTGCAGCATACGTCTGCTTAATCGGTCTGACTATTTCGCTGGAAAATTGATAACGGAGGCCCTATTTGTTTCTGGATTGTGGGACTTTCCCATCCCCCATTATCCCCCTTATCGAACGTGTTCCTTAAACTACCGGGTACATTATCCTTCTGCAATGTACTACCTAGGTACTATACTTGCCCCCCTGCGTTACTGCCAAGCGCCAAGGATTGTGTACCACAACATTTTGGGAGGGAAAAAAAAGTTGATAACCTGTCGGGGTGATCGGGGGAGTCGGGGGTTCGGGGCCCGGTACGGAGTAGCGGGGGATGATCATCGTGAGCAAGTCGGGGCTTACGGTTGGTCGGAGATGGATTTATGCTGACGACCGAGAATCGCCAAGGAAGCCGAGTATGCCCCCCCGTGAAAAGGGAGAACTGGCCCGAGCGGAGAGGTGACTGGTTGCACCATGGGGGAGCTGATCACCCGATGTGTTTGAAATCTGTGGGCTGATCATTTCAGATCCCAACTAGATATCATGCATCTTATGGTTTAATCCTGAGCTGATCTCAGCCTCCAAGACCCAACGGATGCTGCATGCCCCAGGTGGATCTCGTATGGATTATGCAGCATAATGCGTGGACATGTGTCTAAAATAGGAGTCCCCGTACCAACAGGTACTTGGATGTACTCCGTACTATTGATACTCGTAGTCACATCGAGAAAGCCACGCTTTTACTTTCCCCCAACCTTGTCTCTATTTTCAGATATTCTATTGATATCCCCTGGTGTTCCTCTATATCTATGAGTATAACGCACGTGGGTAGTACCTTAGTATCTACTGGTCTACTATAGAATACTAGTATTAGATTTATAAATATCTTATCTTTGTACAATAATAAGCCTGATGTCCTATCCTTTGATAATGTACATTGGCGATACATGTATAGGAGATCCATTTAACCTGAACTGGATTATGCATAATCTACCTAGGTAAATCTTTGGGCACAGGGGTGATACACTGATACCATGATGGCTCCACTATAATAATTTGGGCCAAGATGTCTTAAGCCAAGCATTCTAGCCTAAAGATAAAGATTGTATCATGATCCGCTAGACCTTCCTTGCATCTCCTATCTAGATGAGTATATAGACCAAGTTTCCCTTTCTAACTAGTAGTTTGGAGTACTATTATCACTTATACTCTTTATGAGTAACATCCACTTTTCTTTTCAACTTGTTCTGACATCATTCTACAACTTATGCCCCATTAATCCCCCCCCACCTAGAGTGGACTCGACGATCTTTCTACTGCGTGGTGATTTCATTCATTGATTGTGGCTTAACGGATATTTTATTTCTTCAGCCGCTTTCCCCTCTAAATTGTTCTGAAAAAGGGTTTTCTAAAGATCTTATTAACATAAGTGAATCTTGTTGTGGTATCAATATTGGGGTGAATATCAGACGGTTTAACGTCTACTCACTTGTCCCTTTCACTTACCTTTCCTCCCCACCACACATATCACAAACGCGCCTCTCAACAACGCGTCTCAAAAAAAAGCAAAAAAAACCCCAACCCAAGAAACTCAATCTTGTGAATTCAGTATCAGCTGAGGTGAAGCTGTTACAGATCACCTTGGCAGCTTGAGTTAAACATCAAAAAAAGGACACCCCAACAATATCGAACACATTGAAAGTGACGTCTGGCGCCTGGCGCCGGAGTTGAGTCATCCGTGACTCCCGCTTTGCTTTTCTCCCCTCCCGCTTTGTCTCTTAAAGGACTTTTCCATCAAATTCAAAATCCATCCTTGAAGTGGAGAAAGAAAGAAGTCTTTCGAGAATACTTCTCAAACTCAATCTAAAGGCTTCTCCGGAAAGGCCTGAGGCTCTTTATCCGGGGATGGCACAACATTCCGATATTGCGCGGTCGGCAATCATCTCGTCCGCCACTTCGCCAAATCCTGCAACAATGGGGGACCAGAGAAATATGAATCCCCGCTCAAATGGAGTCAGTTCAATTGGAAACGGAATTGGCTCGGGAAAAGAAGGAGCTTTAATGCCTCCCCCGAAAACTGTGGTTGGAAGAGCGCTAGGTAATGACTTGCATTCCGATGTCCACAAGGCCTCACAGGCGCCCAAGGGCGGAGTCGGGACCGCCTTGACTGACACTCCGATTTCTACCGCACCCCTGTCCCCACAGATGTGAGTCTTACTTTCCTATGAGTCGTTGAATACCCCTGGGCTCCCGGAACCTTGTATTTGCACATTCTTATTCAGCCTATGAGCGGAAAGACAGGGTGACTTGATCGACATTGCAGAACTGCAGGTGTTCGGATCAAGTCTGTCCCGCCGGGGAGGATGCACAAGCCAGCTCGCGTGCCGAACCCATGTGGCTGAGCCGCTTGTACTCTTGTCGCGTGATTAATTGTGTTTCTTTGTAAAGATTTGAATGTACTAACCCGATTTTCTGATCTGCAGCGTTGGTCGCACTCAACCCGGTACCCCTGGTAGTGCACGTGTGCGAGCTACCACTCTTGATATCCCCGGTCTTACTAAGTCAAAGGTCTCCCCGGATGGCCGTATTGCCCAGCGAGATGTGGGTGCAAAATTGGTTATTGTTATGGTCGGCCTTCCGGCCCGAGGCAAGAGTTACATCACTAAGAAACTTGCCCGTTACCTGAACTGGCTTCAGCATGATACTCAAATCTTCAATGTTGGTGAACGTCGCCGTGTCGCAGCTGGCAAGTCCCCATCGCCTGCTCCCACCAAGGGTCAACTTAAAGGTCCAAAGGGTGTTCACAGAGACCTTCTGGACTCTGTGCGCCGACTGAGTGTTAGTGTTGGAAGTCAGAACAAAGGTGAAACCTCTCCACCCGATGAGGCGCCTCTTCCTCCGCCCGTGGTTCCCGCTAAGATTCTTGTGAATGGTCAAGAGCCTGATGCATCAACCTCAACAAATGGAAGCACTGTAGTGCCGTCTATTGATGCTGGCCCTGGCAAGTCGATCCCGGATGCAGAGGCCATCACTGAAGCTTCGCCCGAACCCATGGACCAGACTGCCAATTTCTTCGACCCTCAGAATCAGCGCGCTGTTAAGCTCCGTGAGCAGGTCGCTCTCGACACTCTTGATGAGTTGCTTGACTACATCCTGGATGAAGGTGGTAGTGTTGGTATTCTCGATGCGACAAACAGTACCATGGAACGACGCAAGGCTGTTGTCGACCATATTCGCAACCGTGCTGGCCCTGAACTGAACATTCTGTTCCTCGAATCCAGCTGTGTGGATCAATCCCTGCTGGAAGCCAATATGCGCCTGAAGCTCTCCGGACCCGACTACCGCGGCCAAGACCCTGTCAAAGCACTGGCAGATTTCAAGCGACGTGTGGCCCTTTACGAAAAGTCCTATGTGCCCCTCGGCGAATATGAGGAGAAGATGGGCATGGCTTTCATTCAGATGATTGATGTTGGTCGCAAGGTCGTCGCACACCAAACACATGGTTTCCTGTCTTCTCAGGTTGTCTACTACCTGCTTAACTTCAATCTCTCCCCTCGTCAAATCTGGATCACTCGACATGGAGAAAGCCAGGATGACCAGGCTGGCCGCATTGGTGGAGATTCCGACCTGAGTGAGAATGGCAAGCGCTATGCCAAGGCACTGACCACCTTCATTGACCACCAGCGAGAGAAGTGGGAGCTGTATCAGCGCCAGAAGGACCTAATCAGACATTTCCCTCCCCGTCCTGGTGACAGCACCCCACCCAATCCCTCTTACATTCCCAGCGATCGCCCCCGCAACTTCTGTGTGTGGTCATCCATGATGAAGCGTGCCGTTCAGACAGTCGACCACTTCAACGAGGATGAGTACGATGTTAAGCAAATGCGAATGCTTGACGAACTCAACTCGGGTAGAATGGAAGGCATGACCTACAAGGAGATCCAGGACCAGTACCCTGATGAGTACGCTCACCGCAAGAAGAACAAGCTCTTCTACCGCTACCCCGGACCAGGTGGCGAAGGTTACTTGGATATCATCAACCGCACCCGCGCTGTCATTGTCGAAGTGGAGCGCACCACTGATCACGTTCTGCTGGTCAGCCATCGGTCTACCGCTCGTGTCCTCCTGTCATACTTCCAAGGCCTCAAGCGTGACGAGGTCGCCAATCTGGATGTCGAAATGGGTGTCGTCTACATGCTCGAGCCCAAGCCTTATGGAGTTGACTTCAAGGCGTACCGATACAACCCTGACAAGGATTGGTTTGAGGAGGTGCCCAACTACCAGCTCAAGCAAGTGAGCACCCATGAACGGTCAGCAAGTATTGTCGCATAAGCTACTATGAGTAGCTGTGGATCTTGCTATGATGATGACCCATGAACTTCACGACTTATCCACAAAGGCCATATTTGGTCAACATTGATATCATTCAGATCATTCAAAGATCGCATTTTTACCTCTACCTTTTGCTATTTCTACTCTCACTTCTCGATTACTTCGCATACCCATGGCTTTACTCTTTTCCGCCAATATTGTACTATCTCCATTCTTCATAACATGATGACACAGGCATCTTTTCCTGGGCGTTTGGTTTTTTTTACCGTGATACTCTTGTCGCATGGGTTTGGCGTTCGGGTGGAAGCATGATCATACATGCTCAGTTCAACAAGCTTCCGTCAGATACCCTCATGTACACTGAGTTGAAGCGGGTTGCTTCATTTTGACCTACTCTTACCATAAGATAGGCGTTACCATAGGTACTTTAATGAAATGTATCTTTATTAACCTGCTTTCATAAGTAACTAGAACTTAACATTGACAATGGCATCTGATTATTCCCGAGATTAACGTGTAGATACAAACATTCGAACTTTAAGTCATCCTAAACTACTATTCATCCAACTTAACCCTCTCAAAAACCTCCAAGAACGTCTCCGGTTCATCAGCCCCTTCAATCAAATACTTTCCCTGAATAGTAAAATTGGGAACTCCAGAAACCAATCTCCTGGATGCAGTAAGAGCCTCCGCATCAACCTCCTCGGCCCCAGTTCCATCATCCAGTACTTTGGTAACATCCCCGCGATCCAACCCCGCCAAAACCCCCGCCTCGATCAAAACCTCTTTATCAGTGATATTCTTCGATTCTTCAAAGTACGCCTTGAAGAGATTCTCCACAACTCTCGTTTGAACGGACTTGCCGTCCTCATTCTCCTCAGCAGACGCAGTCTCTGTAGAAGTCTTTTCTTGTCCAGCAAACCAAATAAGTCGATGCGAATCCCTCGTAGACCCGGTATTCCCGTCAAAAGAAAATTCAACTCCCTCAGCATGTCCGGCATCCTGTAACCGTGCAAACATAGCTTTGCAGCGCTCAACGCCAAATTTTGCATGGTACATTTCGGATTTGTTCACACCCGGATAAGGTGCTGCGTTGGGGTTTAGATAGAAGGCGCGCCAGTGCAGTGTGAATGTGTCGGTTGGATTGGAGTGAAGATGGGTTTTTATCGCTCTGGTTAGACGGCGATACCCAATGTAGCACCACTGACATGACAAGTGGTTCAAGTTAGTGAGATTTTCAAATTAAATATGTACGAGAGGTAAGACAAGAGAGGTAGTATGTGATTGATTTGTACGTACAGGACAGACACTGTCCGAGATGATTTGGACTTTGATATTTGTCATGGTGAACTTGAAATTGATGTGTACTAGTATAAGATGTACTAGGAGTAGGGTGAGTGAGAAAGGAGGCTTGGACTCGGATGTCAGATTCGTATATGTGAGCTCTATGTATTGTAGATCAGCGGGTCTTAACAGCTGTCAATTTGTCAGCAATACATAATTTTGAAGATTTTGAAGATTTATTGGTAATAGAATATTATGGAATTTTTAAAAAGAATTGGAATTGAATTTTTATGTTCGATATGTACAGACCTAGTATGGGAAATATTGAGGATACTGGGGTTGGTTTAAGCGCTGGTTTACTACTAGACTCGACAAACTTGAACTTCGAATGAATTGATGCATACCATGACTTGATACAAATGAAGAATGAAATGCGCTAAACCTGAAAAGAAATGTATCGTGCCAAAATTCATATACAAACGCCAACTTAACTAACCCTCGCCCTGAAGGGAACCAGCCCACTGGACATTTACAAAATCTGCTGTGCGTGACTTTGGGCTCTCCAGGAGGCGTCAAGCATGCTGGAGTTGTGGTGAATGGGAATTCCTGGAGAAGGCTCAAAGGGCTTGTTATCCCGGGCTTGCTCAAGAACAGCCTTGTACTATTGAGATGTTAGTAAATGCGCATATTCATATCCAGAGAGAGGAAGGTCTTACCTTGAATGCAAAGTTCAGAACCAGAGCAACCGCAAGACCAACGCATACAACCATAGGACCGAACAAATTGTCCAAGTCCTTACCACTGCGCTGGCGAATCAGTCGAGAGCGCTTCTCATACATGTACCAACCCCAGGCAGCAGAAAACAGGGCGAAGAAGGTGTACACAGCAGCCAGAGTCTGAGCAATCCGGTTGTGCTTGCCAGCCGCGTTGTACAGACCCAATGACAAACTGGACAGCAGGATGGAAATGTGCAGCCACTTGATGAAGGTTCGCTGGTTGGCCAACCAGACCTTGCTCTCCACGCGAACTGGGCCGGTGTCCTTGATCCAGATACCAGGGTGTCGCACTCCAGGAGGCAAAGCAACTGTCTCTCCTCCCATCCAGCTGGGCTTGGAGATGCCCAGAGACTGCATGATAGTGGTCATGCGGGACGGGGGCTCTAGCTCGAAAACAGGCTCGACAGGCGCCGGTGCAGGAGTCTGCTGGACCGCACGCTGCTGAGGCTCAATGTGAGAGAGGCGACGCTTGGCTGGCACTTCAGTGACAGCAGAAGTCCTACGGAATGTGGAGGGACCTCCAAATTCATTCCAGCGGTTGAACGGAGATCCCGAGATGAGGTGGGTGCCTGGGCTGCCCGCACCACCGAGGAAGCTGCCAACTGCAATTTCCTCCTCGGCGCGCTTCGCTAACCGTTCTTGCTCCTCGTAGAAAGCTGTCTCGGGATCACGACGGATGTCAGTATCAACCTCGCCCAGCCAGAATGGGAAGCTGTTGACGTGGTTCTCAAACAGTTCGGCCACACCGTGGGCAAACTTAGAGAATCGCGGCGCTTCCTTGACCAAGTGGGAGGCCATCAGGTCATTCACCCACTCCGCCTGGTGAGCCTTTCCACGCAGCTTGATCTCCAGCAAACCATGTGGGAAGCGAACAATTTCGCCAGTTCGGATGGCACCGAATGGGTAAGTCATTTCCCCATCATCGAGGTCAGTGCGGTGCCACTGAGAGGGATCTCTGCAAGGGCGATCAGAGTCCAGAGAGTCTTCCCGGATCATGGCAAGATTGGTATCGAGAGAGATGCGGATGCGATCATCGCCGGGGATTTGGAAGGCTGTACGAGTGTAATTGGCCCGGACCATAGGCTGCAGGTCATTCTCCTTGATGAAAGATTGCAGTTCCTCAACATCCTTCTTGAGGGACTCGGCCTCCACGGATTCACCATTGTTCATATCTTCCATGCGGTGAACTCGCTTGTCCAAGTGGTATTCATCATCCAGGAACTCCTTGATATGCTTTTCCTTCAACTGCACCTTGACCTCCCGACTGGTGTCGGAGTCTGTCACAATCTTCTTCTCCAAGTAGATGGATGGCTTATCCTTCAACTGTCCGGTCCAGCGCAAACGTAAGGATCCAGCCTCGGGGGCGCGGGCGACTTTTTGGTTGTAGAGATCAAATCGAGGGCTGTCGAAGTAGAGAGAGGTGATGGTAGGGTCGTCGAAGGTATCCACGTTCTTTGAAGTGCCCGGGTTGTAGATCAGGACGGGAAGACGACGAAGGATAAAGGTCTTCACTTCCAGAACGTTGTCTGGGTGAACCCAGAACTTGTAGGAAGAGTAGGCATCGTGACCGAAGCCGCGCTCAGGCTCCTTGGAAGGCTGAACGATGTCCTCGGTCAATGTCTCGCGGACAAAAGAGTACATCACTGACAGACGGTGAACCAAAGGCGAGTAGTCCTCCGAGTTGAATGGCAGCTGCGACAGACGGACCTGCACCAGAGACATCACACGGTAGTGGGTTCCACGCTTGCGGTCGTGCTTCTTGGCCGCCTTGAGGAAACCGGTAAAGTTGATGCGACTGTATTTCTCGAGCTCGCTGACTTCCTTGGTGATGCTGTCAAGTTCCTGCAGGACCTCTGTGGCCATGTTTCTTTTCTCAATCTCATCCAAAACGACAGTCTCACCCTCTGCGGAAGCAGTCAATGGGCGCAGCTTTGCCTCGCACGCTGAGGTGCGCTCGCGAAGCTGCTGTGATGTTTCAGACTGGAAGGTGTTGACCTTGTCCATTTGCACATTCAGCAATTCCTGAACAAAGGCCTCCTCATCCTGTTCGGTCCATTGGCTATCATCGGAGTCACTGGCATCGCCGGTGACATCATGCTCTCGCAATAGAGTCTTGAGCTTTGTGTAGTCGATGTACTTGCCTTTCCAAGGCGGGTACACCGTGTTCTTGAGAGTCTTGCCGAAACGCATTGTGCCTCTTGATGAGGGGTAGGACTTGACTTCGGGGAACTAGATGAAGTTGGAGACAGAAGTGGAGAGGGGAATGTAGCAAGGGAGGGATGGGGGGAACACCAAATCTGCCCAAGCTTGGCCCAGATGGAATTGAATTGATGCAATGATGTCCCAAAAGGGTTTTTGAGGTACTTATTCAAGAGAAGAGTCTCTTCAAGTTAAGAAGAAGAAGCGTCTTGAAGCGTAAAAGTCGATTTAAGCGATGGAGCTCGATAGCTGCAGTACGCACGTGCGCTTCCCTCTGGCTCTCGAGCGTTTCCGCATAGTGTGGAGCCCAACCAATCAGAGGCTCGAGGTCATGGGATAGCTCTCGGTCAAAAGATATTCCGATAGTAGCTCAGATTACATTTATTACCGTATTTATGCTCCAGGGATGTATATATGGTAATTACCGTACTCGAAAATGAACCGAGGCCGCATTCCGCGGACTATGGGGTAACTCCGGCCTGGGACTTCGAGTACTTAAAGAACATTAATTTAGACCAATGGACGCCTCCTCTCCACCGACAGGGCTATCTCGTCCCTTACATGGTGTCTTGTCAGAATTGCATGCGCACCCTTCTCCTCATGTTCCCAATCCGCCAAACTGCAAGAAACGGGCCTCCGTTGCCCTGATTCTCCGAGTCCGCCCGACTTATGATCACTGGCCGACCTCAGGTTCGATTCCAGACCCGTCTTTACCGGTAGAAAAACGACTAGAGGAATTTTTCGCTCAGCCGTGGGTCCAGTATGGAGACCCCGAAGTCCTTTTCATCAAGCGCGCCTCACGAGTCGGCGATCGGTGGACGGGTCATGTTGCTTTGCCTGGCGGGAAACGAGATCCAGAGGATGCAGACGATCAGGCTACTGCTATAAGAGAGGCGTCAGAAGAGATTGGTTTGGACTTGACCACTGATGACTGCATTCATGTGGGGAATCTGCCGGAGAGGGTGGTGACGACTAGTTGGGGATCGGAGCCGTGAGTGCTTGATCAATTATGCTATAGTATTGAACTGAGCTGACAAGAAATGTCTCTAGGCTGATGGTTTTGTGTCCTTTTGTCTTTTTGACTACTCGAAATGATTCTCCGAACTTGAAATTGCAACCAACAGAGGTGGCCTCGACACATTGGATTCCCCTAAGGGCACTTTTATCACCGTCACTCCGCACCGTGGAACATGTGGATATGTCACAGCGGTTTGCCAAACAGAAAGGGTTTCTAGCTCGGATGGCTGTTCGTTCCATGATGGGTTTCATGCAGTTTTCTGCCGTTCGCTTGCTTCCAGCGGAGACGCAACGATGCTGCACTGTTCCCGGAGTTATCCCAGACGAGACCAGCAGGCCGTCCTTAATACACCGCTTAAAATCGTGGTGTCTTAGTGGGCAAGCAGAATCAAGTGAGGCGGATCGCCCGCTCCTGCTTTGGGGTCTTACCCTTGGCATTTTGGCCGATTTCCTTGATATGCTTCCCCCAAACAATGCTGTACAGATGTGGAAATATCCCACTTTTACTGTGCCAGATCTGCGATTTATTGTCAGCGTATTGACATATAACCTGCGAAAGAAGAATAAGCTGCAGGCGACGCTAGGTGCCCGCCCCAACAATACCGCGTTGGATAGCGAAACTGCAGCTCTTCCTGTTACCGAGCAGAATGAGAACAGCGCCAATGGCTCGGAGCTAGGCCCGTGTAAAAAGTATGGCGACCCAGCAGTCGATGGAACATCCTATGCAGTTGGTATCATGCTTCGTGGGTACTATGATCGATTGCGAGTGGCGATCTGGGTATTCCTCGCCTGGCGCATGACCCTGGGTTCGGCGGCTGCCTTTACCGCTTGGCGATTCCTTCGGCGACGCTGAAGCAGCATATAATTTGTCTATAGTATGGAATCTAGATATAGAACACACATGTGCATAATTTCGGGAACAACTACTTAGGTAAGTACTCAGCGATTGAGTACCTGGCTACTAGGAAGCTCGGTTAAATGGACACACATCCATGGCATATCATTATAATCTTACATACTGAAGTACTCACTCACTGGCAGTAGTAGGTACTACTAGTAGCAACGTATATGGCAGCCTGAGGTGACTGGTTACCTAGTACTCCTCTACTATGCCAGTGCATGTAAGTGCCTAAAGGGGTACCTAAAGAGGAGCTTCAAGTTGAAAGATAACTGCCAGTTCAAATGTTGGATTTAGACACCATTTGAGTAGTAATTTATCTAGAATGTATACCGCATAGCTCTGGAGTAGTCCAATGTATATAAATCACGTGCAACCTCATATCGCGATAAGGTTACATAATCCACTGATCTACCGCGCAGTAAACAATGCCCGCAAGTCACGCTTCTTCATCTCATCAATCATTACACCATGGCTGCGACCCAGAAGCTGTATCCCCGAGGCACTGTGAAACGGATTGTCAAGGCTCACTCAAACAAGAGTGTGAGCAAAAATGCTGATATCCTGGTATGTTGCCACTCCCCGCGTCGCCGACGTCACTAACCCCGTGTTTGAATACAGATCTTTTTGGATTACATGCTATTCATGCAAGAGTATGTCTACTGATTCGACTATCCCCTCCGATCCTCCGATTTCCATTGCCAATACCTATTCGAATTCGCACCCGGAGCTATACTAGAAAGTAAGACTGACCACGCGATAGGCTGATGCGCGAGGCCTCCATCCGATCACGCAAGTCCGGCGAAAAGAACATCTCAGCCAACTCGATTCGCAAAGTCACAGAGGTATGCAAAATGGCCAATGTCTCAGGACAGTCTGGCCGTCTGGTCATCATGTCGCGTGCTCTGTCGATGCTAAATAGTATGGTGGCTAGAAAACCCTCCGCAAATTCAAAGGATGATCCGAGAAAGCCTAATTTGAGCTTCTACTGCCGATCGTATTATTATGGCAGATATTACTGTGCAAGGGGTTGAGTCGATGTGTTGTTTTATTTGATCTATTTGCTGGGTTCATACATGGTGTACTGGCGTTGGAACTGGCGTTGGAAGAACGATACCCCGAGAACAATTTTCGAAAGAGAAAATTCCATTTCATACCTTACTCAAAATCCAATATTATATCTTTGTTACCATTTCATAGCATATAGTTTGTGTTGTCATCTAAATCTATGTGTAAGGAGCTGAGGTGGGCTGCACCGATCAGGAAAGGGTTCGGGCGACTTCCACCCGCATCGATTCTTCTCCTTCAGCCTCTCTTACTTCCTCCCCCGTCTTTGTTCTAGACTTGCGCCTTTCCATCCCCGAGTGCTCTCATACTCATAAACCAATCTTCCAACTCTTTTCTCTTTAAACTTTCGCTCCTGTGTTACCCACATTCCATTATGGCTCCCGCCTCCGCCACTCAGAAACCCAACAATGTCAAGGACAAGAAGCACACCTCGCGAGCTTCGAGCGTCTCCAAGACTGAGCCCGAGAGTCCTACAGAGTGTGGCTCTGAGCCCGCTTACTTGAAGGAACTACAGAAGTACGTTCTTACCTGCGTCCCACCCCTTGATCTGAATTAACAAGTCGTTTGTAGGAGCCACCGCAACGCCGTGAAGAAGTTGGTACGTGATTTAATTTTCTCCCGATATCTGATGATATAGCTGTATAAAATAATATTTGATGTATTATTGCTAACGGTGTGACTCATTAGAACGCTACCGCCAAAGTCGATGCCATCCTCGCTGAGAACCCAGGCAAATCACTTGACGAGCTTGTAGAGGACAAGAAGATTAATGCAGACCAGAAAGCCCAAGCACTGAAGAAGCCCGCACTCCAAGCTGCTGTCGCACAGATCGAAGAGCAGATCAGTCACTACAAGGAAGTTGCTGCTCAATACGAGGCCAAGCTGGTTAGCCAGAAGGCAGCTCTTGACAAGGCCCACCAGGAGGAGCTGGAGGCTGTGCGCGCAGATGCTATTGCTGAAGCGACTGAGACTTCTTCACGTGTTTTGCGCGAGCAGCTACTGGATGTGAGCAAGTTCTTGTGCGCCGCGGCTAACTTGCGACGTGCTGGCGATGAGTCTGCCGAGGGTCGAGCTTTCGAGGCTGTTCTCTACCAGGTGTACGGTGGTAGTCGCGATGCGGTGACCTCAATGGTTAAGCTTATTGAAGGATCGGACGAGAAGCTGCAGGATATCGAGGGCGAGGCTCTGGACCTCACTTGTGAGTGCATACATCTTTCGGGCTTTACTGATACTATACTAACACTCTTTGTTCCTGTTAGACGGAGACGTGAAGCAGGCCTGCAACCGATTCGCCCCTACTGAAGAAACCGAAGCTACCACCGAAGCCACCCCTGCCTCCGACCCTACTATCGCCAACGCCGGACTGACCGAGCTGGAGGAGACCTCAATCAGCGCCGAGGTTGCTGCTCAAGTCGAGACCACTCCCCAGGTTGACCAGGTTGCTCCCCCTGCTCAGACCTCTACCGGCAATGGAGGCAACCCTGTTGCCGATTCCATGACTTCTTCTGCTACCACCGAGGGCTGGGTTGAGGTTCCTCGTGACCCCGCCGAGACCGAGACTGGTCTCCAAGCTATCCCCGCCAACACCGAAAGCAACGCTGCTGCTGAAGAGACAACCCCCAAGGGCAACAATGGTCGTGGCCGTGGCCGTAACAACGGACGTGGTCGTGGTGAGGGTCGTGGACGCGGTGGCCGTGGTGAATTCCGTGGCCGTGGCGATGGTCGTGGTCGTGGTGGTGGCCGTGGACGTGGCGGCAAGCGTGGTGGAGCGAATGGCACTACAGCTGTTCCTGCTCCTGGTCCTTCAGGGGACAAGCAATAACTTCATGCTTGATTTTGCTTCATTCGGCTCTTCGGACTTACGCTGTCGCCTTCCCACTTAAGATGATTGGTCTGTGATGGATGACGAACGCAACGAATTTTCTTTTCTGGAGTGATCTTTATTTCATTGAAAAAAAGTTCATTTATCTTTTGTTTCGAGCGTGCATATTCCCAGACTTTTATGTATTCTATGTTTAGTTGAATTTCTGGGGAATGGGGGGCGATCAGATAACCCAGTGCCAAATACAGTTACGCGGCTACGCCTTTAATATTGGGCTCCACTTTAATACTTCTGCACAACTTGTTCTCTTCTATTCTTGATCTTACTTCTTACATACTTCTCCTTCTTTCATATTCATTTTATAAACACGCGATCATGGCTGTCGCAGGTCCCCAACGTAAACAAGTCCTCAAGGTCTTGATGATCTCTCTTTTACTCGATCTGGTACGTGCTTATCTTAAGAATCTCACCCTCCATCATCCCACTTCTAGCTCGCTAATTGTCTTGGCTATACGTGGCAGATTTCATTTACCTTCATTTTGCCACTATTCCCTTCATTATTATCCTTCTATCGCGCCCAGGACCCTTCACCAAACTCGCTTCTCAATCGCATCTTCCACTACCTCAATGCATACAAGAACTCCTTCGCCCGCCCCATCGACTCACGATATGACATCGTACTACTCGGCGGAGCCCTTGGCTCTCTATTCTCTCTACTCCAAGCATTCGCCGCGCCCGTAATTGGCCATTTATCAGATAAGCACGGTCGACGACGCGCATTACTAGTCGCAATGATCGGAAATATTTTAAGCGTCACGCTCTGGGTCTCCGCTACAGATTTCCGTACCTTCTTAGCAAGTCGCGTCGTCGGAGGTCTTAGCGAAGCTAATGTCCAATTGGCAAATGCTATCGTTGCAGATGTTACTGATGAAGCACACCGTGGCGCGTCAATGGCGCTGGTGGGTGCTTGTTTCAGTATTGCATTTACTTTTGGTCCTCTGCTCGGTGCAGGTCTTAGTACTGTGGATATCGTTGCGGCGAATCCTTTTATTACCGCTGCGCTTGTTTCTCTCGTCCTGATTGTCTTGGAGACTTTGTACATCTGGGCTTGTTTACCTGAGACACATCCGCGATTTACGAGTCTTACACAGGAGAGCGGGGAATCCAAAACTACTCCTGTCAATGGAAAGCCTTCGGATTCGGATTCGTCTAGCAAGCCACATACTAATAACCCGGCTGTTCTAAACGCGATCCACTTCGTTTTCCTTCTCCCATTCTCAGGATTGGAATTCTCTCTCCCGTTCCTAACGACTACTCTTTACGCCGGAATCACAACATCCAGTCCCGCAGCACTGAACGGTCGTCTCTTATCAATGATGGGTCTAATCGCATCCCTGTTACAGGGTACGCTTGTGCGTCGTTTGCCACCATTGGTAACCGTCCGCGCTGGTGTAGTCGCATGCGCACTATCATTCTTCTGTCTTGCCCGAATCTCATCTGTATCCGGTCTCTACGCTGCCGGTGCTTTACTAGCAGTGACCAGCGCAACTGTTGTTACGGGACTTAACAGTCTGGGTAGCTTTGAAGCGCGGGATGCGAACCGTGGAGCTGTTATGGGTCGGTTGAGAGGATGGGGTCAGGCAGGTCGTGCTACTGGTCCCATTCTTTTCTGTTCGTTGTTCTGGTGGGCTGGTCGTGAGGCGGCGTACACAGTTGGTGGTGTTGCGATGTGTGTGGTCGCTGTTGGGGTTTTTGGATTCTTGAAGTCTCCTGTTGTGCATGCGAAGGTGGAGTAGATTGTATCTACTGCATGATACTTGTTACCCGCTGGTCGGGTTCAGGTTTGTTGTATTGATATTTATGCGAATGATTTATGCATTAGATTGACATTGATTCTCGTTACCGATACTAGTAGTCATACGTAGAGTTCAAGAGTATAATGCAATGCATAAGTGGAGTTTATTATATTCAAACAGGGTATAGTACAATATGTGCAATATGAACATGAGCAGGTAGGACCAGCCGACCATGATTGACTTTTAGCGCTTCGTAAATCGATGTGTATTTGAGAATCCAAATCCCTCAGACATGGCCAACCCAGGACTCGGTACAGGATCTAATGACCCTCGCGCTTTACCAATCAACCAATCTGTCAATGTCACGAACTTGGCCGTGCGATCCCATCCATCCGCTTCATCAGAATGTTCAATGGTATGTGTTAAAATTCGACCTTCTTCATCAAATGAGAAGATAAACAATCCGGTAAACTGCTCTTCTTTTGAGAGTTTGAAAATCGGTTCCTCGCCACCGAGAAGGACACTCAGACCCTTATTGGTGCTGTTTTTCGAGGAAGATGAGGAGAGATGGCTCTGTTCTGACTTCGATCCCGCCACCGGCGTAGACTTGGGAGTACCCGTATTTTCGGATTTGGTGGTATGCTGTGAATCATGAAAAGGCCGACTATCAGTCCTAGCCTCTGTCTTCCACCGCACGACTAATCTCTCGTCTCCACAGTCGTTATCTCCATGTTCTGTATCTAGAACTGTGCCCGCACGTACGATCCTCTCACTGAGAATCTGTAGTTTCACATTCCCAACTAGTGGGACACTACTCCATGCAACAGGAACAGTCCATAATGCAGCACGATAAAGTGTTCGTCCCTTGACGGTAGGGAGATGTGGATGAGTGGAAGGGAAGAGGTGGAGGTTTACGCTTGGAGCGAGGATTTCCGCAGGGAGGGTATTGTAGAGAATAGTCGGGAGGAGGGGAGAAAGTATCCGCAGTGCTAGAAATAGTTAGCATGAACGCCCGGTCGTCACTTTGTATATTAATATAGTAGGTACGATACTCACTCTTTCCAAGCTTCAAGACCCGCTCATCAGGTGGCTTATGTTCCTCTGAGCCCGTTGAGTCCAACCCGTCAATACCCCTGCGTACTCTACTCGGAGAGAAATATGTTATCGGGAGAGGAGCAGCAGTAGCTGGTAACCAGGGTTCATTTAAGATCCCATGACGCGCTTGCGCAAGTCGATCCCGCGGTGAGGTTGTAAAGCTGTTGTTGGATGTGCGAGAGAACCTGAACACCTTTAGGCGCCTTCGGGAAGCTTGAGCCAATTTTGGCATTCTGATTAAGTGATTCATGCCATGTAGAAGTATGTTGTAGAGGGTAAAGTGGAAGTGAAGTTGCGTTCTGCCGTTCTTGTGATAACCAATCGGATTGCACGTGGATGGACTAGTTAACATGGAATTAGATCAAGAGATATGATTGGTGCATTAGACTACATCTGGATATACAATATTATTATATAATATATAATATATAGTTAACTAATTAAGAAACTAGAATCTATACTTCCAAAATTAACCAAAACAACATAATATGGAGGACTACTACTAGTACCAATGTATAGCACAAAAAAAAGAAAAAAAGAAATCCAGCAACAGGAATCGAACCGAGGACCTTCAAAATCAGAAATGCGTGAATAGCCTCAACAGCTCTCACTTGATACATCCATCTTCATCATAGAATCCTTTCTAGCTCCCTCAAATATTTTTATTTTGAGGATCTAAAAGTTAGAATAGAAATAGAATAGCTAGAAGTATGATAGGTAAAAATATAAAAAAATTCAAAAAAAGCATTATTCCCTGGCCGAAGCCAGATACCCTCCCACCCGCCGGTAAAGTCTCTGCCACTGAAGATGGGTCCAGCGTCCGCATTTCAGTACCTTTGTCCCCCAGAAGGGTCGCCGACCGCTAGACTAGCAGAGCAGAGAAGTTACCTGGGGACCTTTTTACTCAAATATAAGGGAGATATGGTTCCCTAAATATCCAAAAAATGAAATTAAAAATAAATAAAACAGAATTCAAGTTCTAAATAATTGATATACTCTAAATGATTTTGATATTAGGTACTACCTAGTATATAGTACTAGCATTCTGTGCTGCGTTCAAGGAAATTTCAATTCATGGTATCGCCTACATGTCACAGTGTACATGTGCATCTCAAGCTAATTCATCATCATCATCCATACCCATCACCCGTCGCTCAGCCAGATCACGGATCTTATCCTCCAACACACCACGCTCATATCGTTGAGCCACCCGAGCCGCAGCCTCCAACATCTTCCCATTGCGATCAGTCATCATATTAACCAACTCTAGCGCCTTCATACCACGCTCCTCGCCCTCTCTGCATTCAATGGCCAGCATCTGCAGCAAAGTCTTATCCAGTTCCAACTCCTTCCTCGCCAGCTCAGATCGCTGACTAGCAGTAGCATTGGTTGAAGCCAGTAGATCCCGGAATAGTGATAGAAGGAGGTTACCCCGGACAAAGGTCTCCTCAAACTTGGATCCTTCATTTTGCTCGGATTCTTCTGACTCGGTCGAGTCTTTGATTCCGTGTGCGGAGATAGGGACTTGGAAGTCAAACTCGCTGAGAAGTGGTCGTGGGAAGTATGGGTTCTTATCCCCACCCTTCAGAATAATACAGTGGAACTTGCCCTGCGCAACTGCCACGGGCCAGTATGTCTCTTCCTTGCGACCACCGGCTAATCGGGCAAGTTGCTTTGTATCTAAGAGGGGAACCCATCGCGCTTGACCCGGTGTGCGCCAGTGTTGGAGAACTAACAATACACCAGTTGAGTCGTAGATACAAGGGTCCTGGAAAGTCAGCACTGCGTTCAGCTAGGCGGATTCAGTGTCTACATACCCCAGAATCGGAAAAGAATACACTTTGAAGATTAGTGTCGGATGGAAGTGCTACCACGTCTTCGTTCTGGCAGATTTCATCGCGCTTGACGTTCTCGACCGTGTATCGCAGTGTTGTGTTTCGCCCGTCAGGGCCTACTGGGCCGTTGCCAATAGTCATAATGTAGTCTCGCCAGGCGGCGCATGTCACGGCTTGACTCTTCTGTCGATACACTCGGTAAGGTGTGCCAAAGAGGGTGTACACTCGAACATAGTCTTTTGTCGTTACGACAACGATGAATGATTCGCTTAATGCCAAAGCTGAGATTGTCAGTATATGAGTTCCAACTATGGCTAATGATCTTACCTCGAACACCCTCTCCTTCGGGTAATTGAGTCCGCCAGTCAGCTCTGGCCGTCCAAGTCTCGTGTGGCCGATAGAAGATTGTGGCTGGTCCATCTGAAGGACTGTTTGAGAACAGTGTGCCGTTATCATCTGTTCTTGTTAGCAAGAGCCGAAGAATTGGGAGTGTGACACTCACTAAGACACGCTTTATCATATTGGTATGGATCTGTAAAATGGAAGTCTCGGTGAAGCTCGCGGTCATAAAACTCCACTGTCACAGTGTGATGTGTTTCTTGATCCACAGTCCAGACGGCGCCAGTCATATTCAAGCCTAGGAATGTTAGCAAAGAACACGCAAGAGAAACTTGATTCTCATACATAGATAACGTCTGCTTCCCGCCCATGGCGTACTACCAGGCTGAATAGGCGGGTGAGCCTTGGGTTGCACAACACCCGAGTAAAACCGTTTCGAATCAGGGCCATCCAAATCGTCCAGATGTCCATTTGGTCGCTTGCCATATCGGTTCAAGTCCTCGACATAACCAGCTCCATCGTCATCATCCACAAAGTTATCCGCCATATCCTCATCATCGCCGAGGATATCATCCAGCGAATCCATGGACCCCGCGCGGACTGTCCGCTTAGGCGCCTCTCTGGATCGATCGGCCAGTGTTCGCTGCGCATTGTTTGGGATTTCACTCAATGGACCCGGGTAGATCGGAGCCGCCTGAAGAGGTTTCTGCAGTTGAGCCTCATGATCCTTCGGAACGAAGTTATCGTAGATGAAGAGCTCTCCATCGGAAGTAGTGAAAGACAGAGAGTTCTTTGTCGGGTGCCAGGCAATGTTGATAACGTTTCCAAAATCAAATTGCTGGAGGATCTTCTGTGTGCGTGTTTCCCAGAGCACGATCTGGCCATCCGCACCAGCTGATACTAAAAGTGTACCATTGGGTGCCCAGCTCAGAGCTGTGATATCACCCGTATGTCCACCAGCGAATTTCTTCTCCTTCTTCCACTCGGAAATCGAGTAGATCGAGATATCTCGGGTAGCCTCAGCGACTGCGAATGCAGTGCCATCGGGATGCCATACGGCTCGAGAGGTTGCCTCGGAGCTGGGGTCCAGCTTGCGAATAACTCCATCCAGTTTGCATACTAGTCTGGGCTCCTCGTCGGAGAGCGAGTATACGTAGAGGATACCATCAATGGCGGATACGGCTACGTAGCGACGGGTGGGATCGAATGTGACGTGTTTCGAGCCTGTAGTTTGCTCACGGAGGTATTTGACCTGAATCTGGTCGTCGATTTTGACAAGTTTGACTGTGAGTTCGCTGATAAAGTATTAGCTTGGTTTGTATAAAGTATGCCAAGGTCCAACTTACTCGCTTGCTACAGCGACCCATTCACCATCCTGTGACACTGCAATATCTCTCAAGGGCAATGCACAGCGCACGAGCTGATTTCCCATCTTGCCTGACGAGATATCATAAGGCCAAACTTGACCGTCCTCAGTGCCTACAATGAACAGATCGTTCTATTCCTCGTTAGTCCATATCTCGTGGCTATCGAATTCTCGACCTACCGTGGCTCCAATTCCAATATGTCCATCCAGGAGACCCTCATCCACAGTCTTCGGTTCACCATCCTGGCCGACTGTGTAGATTCGAATCGCCGAGTTCGATCCAGCGGTGATGACTCGTTTTCCATCGGGCGTGTAAGCCAGGACCGTGGTCCCCGGGGTGTCTGAAGCGTGTTAATAGGGATCGGTGAGGTCACAGGATAGACTTACGAGCTGGCCGGCCCCGAGGGCGCATTGGATCGTAGCTCATTGTGATTGATCAGTGTACAGCACAATTGATGATCGCTCGGTCAGAGTCCAAGACATCCGCGATTGTCGATGATTATCGGAGACGCGTCGCGTCACCCGTGGACGCGCTGCATTATTCCCGATCGGGAAGGATAGGGCTTAGGGCAAGGGCCAACTACAAGATGAATAGATGAAGATTATCATACTCCTGCAGTGTAAGATCTTGAAATTAAATCTCGAGTACAGTTATCGCCTTAAGTCACAATGATGATTGATTCAATCTTACATCTGCAACCTCAATAAACTAAACACCACCCGCCGTCAAGAAATCAAAATCAGTCCCCTGATGCGCCTGATTAACAGATCTCTCATACAATCCCCGATAACCCCGTCTCTGCTTCCTCTCCTGAACAGGACCAGCCTCTCCCTCCAGATTCTGCTTCCGCTGTAAAATACGATTCTGCAGTACTTCATCCGAAACATCAACATGGATCCTCCGACTTTCAATATCACAAGTAATCATATCTCCCGTCTCCACAGCCCCAAAAGGCGAATCTGGAATCGCCGCCTCAGGCGAGATATGAAGAACAATAGTTCCACCTGCTGTTCCTGACATTCGACCATCAGATAACCTAAGCATATCTTTCACACCAGCCATGGCCAGTTTCTTCGGAATTGGAATTAATCCTGCTTCTGGCATACCAGGATTCCCAATTGGTCCTATTCCCTTGAGAACTAATACGCTATCTTTCGTAACTGGTAAATCAGGATCATCAATCCGCTGAGCTAGATTCACTGAGTTCTCAAAGACCATAGCAGGTCCAGTATGCATGAGAAGAGAGCGATCTTTCGATGCAGATGCTTTCATGATTGCACCATTCGGAGCAAGATTCCCTGTTAGGACAACGAGAGATGAAGAGGGGTGAAGCGGATCAGATAAAGGTCGAATAATCTGTTGAGGAAAGGAAACTCGCTTGGACTGAGCGAGATCCAGAACCTCACCTAGTGTTTGTCCGGAGATTGTCATAGCAGATAGATGTAACAGTGGACGTAGAACTTGTAGTAGTGCAGCCATGCCACCTGCGTTATGAAAGTCATTCATATAGTTATCTCCACTGGGCTTGAGATCGATGAGTAGCGGTGTCTTGCGACCGATTTCTTCGAATGTTTGTAGAGTGATCACACCCTCGAGTTCAGGATGTCTGTTTGCAATAGCGAGTAAATGGACTACTGCATTTGTAGATCCACCAATAGCTTGAAGCACTGTAATGGCGTTGAAGAACGATTCCTTCGTGAGAATATCTTGCGGTTTTCTGGATAATTGAGCAACTTTCACTGCATTTGCACCGGTCTCCTCGGCAATGCGTAATCTTACAGATGATACAGCTGGTGCTGATGCACCACGAAGTGGCATCATTCCTAACGCAGCGGTAATACAAGCCATTGTGCTTGCAGTTCCCATAACTCCACAAGTGCCGATCTAACAGAATATAAGCCTCTGTGGATCATTTATTGAATTCACTCTGGGTAGGTAGAAACTTACAGTGGGAGCTAGCTCTTCATTGATAGCCGAAATCTCCTCCACATCGATCTCGCCTGCTCGAAATGCCGCCCAGTTATTTCGACAATCGGTACAAGCACCTATTCTCTTACCACGATGACTTCCTGGTAACATTGGACCAGTGATTAAAGGGAGAATGGGCTTGTTGGCTGATATTCCGCCCATTAACTGTGCTGGAACAGTCTTATCGCACCCTGTCAGAATATTAGCAAATCTCAGTTTTATAATATGATTCAATGCATTCCATGAGATATTCCATTAGAATGCTCCTCACCTCCAATCATAATACAAGCATCCAAAGGCTGAGCCCGAATCATCTCTTCTGTATCCATACTCATCAAATTCCTCAAAAACATACTAGTAGGATGCGAGAAACTCTCATGGACACTAATAGTCGGGAACTCCACCGCTAAGCCTCCATGGAGGTGTACACCACGCTTCGCAGCTTCAACAAGCTGGGGAACATTCGCATGGCAGGGGTTAAATCCGGAGAATGTATTGATTATGCCGACTGTAGGTCGTGAAAGCGCGTCTTCGGAGTATCCGAGTGATTTGATGAATACTTTTCGTAGGAATAGAGAGAAGTGCGCATCTCCGTAGGATGTTAGGCCTTGACGGAGGCCTGAGGTTGATGTTATGGGTTTGGTGAGATCGTAGTCTCCATTGGGTTCTGGTTCAAGCTTGGTGTTTTCCATGATTAACTGGAGATACCAAGCACACCGATAAGAGTAGTTTGAATTGATACCTTAGATTGTTCAGAATGAAGTGATTTGAAGCTTATATATCCCTATTTTCTGAGTGGATGGTATCATCGGGCTTAGTCCGAGCGGATATTATTCCGGACTTGAGCCCACAGACTCACTCCAATAGTATAAACTTCTTTGAAATAGTGTCCAGTGTGGAGTCAACGTGTCCTTATGGACCCGTCATATCATTTCACTTGATGGCTAATAGAGGGGTAATGTGTTTAACCTGAAGTTGCCGATTCCAAATTTCAGACAGCCGAGGATCGATCAACTGACTTGGTTTTCCAAGAGACTAGTAATGCCTTTGATTCGGAATTCTAATAAAACAACATTGGAATGCGAAAATAAGAAAGACACTTAGAATTTATCAAAGAAACATGGAAAAGAGAACATTGAATATGGTAAATGGAGTTTATTCAATAGTGGTATGTTACATGTAATGAGCTGGGAGTTCCGAAGACTCAGTCAAATGGATACCAAACTTCAAGTTGAAGTAAAACTTGAATCATCCATGCAGATGGAATTACTAAACAAGATCCCATTCCCACCGATCAATCTTCGATTGAGCCTTGTAGATCTTCCTCTCAAGCCACTGGATACGCTGCTTAATTTCATAGGGATGTTTCGGCAATGAGCCAAGAAGTTGAAGTTCCTGCTCATACTTCGTGATGCTTTTGTTCTCGTTGCTGACGAGCATACTAGCAACCAGATATTTCATTCGACTTTTCAAGTTGCTGTTCTCGAGCAATTTCTCAAACGCGGCTTTGTACACGGGCTTGCCTGGTTTGATACATTGCGGAAATCCCTGCTCCGAGGCTATCGTGATTAGTTCGGCTTGTTCGAGAGCTCGTAGGGTCGCTTCACCATTCTCTTTGAATAGTTCGTGCAGGAGGATTTTGTTGTAGAGAAGTTGTTCGTCTTTGGCTTCTGCGAGAGATTTGATGATATGCCATGCTTGTTCGGTGGACCATTGTGTCGAGGCAGAGTCTGTGCTCAAAACAAAAATCTTCAAGATCTCCGAAGCGGACTGCTCAATGATACGTTTGACCGCAGCTGTTCATGTTAGTATGATTCAGTGGTGAAGGTGGAATCAACGAACCTTGAGGAGTTTCTCCAGCTTTAATGCGATGCGCCATGAATTCAAGATCAGTGACTCGGCCGCCAAGAATCTGAATACAGGCATCAAGACCATCGATTCCTTGTGTCGCATCCTTTGACTTTTCATCTCCTTCAACTTCTTCGACTGCATCGGTCGCCTCTTCCAAGTGGTTCAACACAAAGCGACGACCAACTTCAAGAGAGCAGTCACCCAGTCCAATAGTGCGGAAGACTTGATTCGGTAGAGCCTTGCTTAGAGGCTTCGAAAAAGAAGAATCAGTGGTGAGGAAGATGACATGTGCAATATTAGCTGCAGTCAAGCTCGCCGCCCACTGTGTCAACTTGTCAAGAACGATGCTATCTTCCGCATCATAAACAAAGTTGTCAATGATGACAACTGGACGCCTCTCAGGATGAGCCTCTAGGTACTCATCATCACTCAAAGTAGCATCCTTATCGTTTCTATTGCGAGACTCCAACGCAAGTCGTTTCATAGCGACTGCCGTGTTTTGCCAAATCTTGTTCAGCTGAGCATCCAACGTCTCAGAGAAGCCTGCCTTGGTACCAATCATTCCCTGTGCAGCTAGATCAATGAAACTGCTGATACTGTTCATCCAAGAGAATATCGGCCGGTAGCCTACTTGCGCTGCAGCTCGGGAAATTTTTGCCGTATCTCCCCGAGCATCCTGAATTTGTTTGCAGTCGATGATCACCTTGAAATGATGATCCTTCAATGCCTGCTCCAGAACCAGCTCGCGCTTGCCGGAACCTCTTGGTCCGTGAATCACGATGAAGGTTTCAGCCGTCTCCGACAACCATGCTCGCAGCTGCGAGATATCATTTTGTCGGTCCTCCCAAATCGCTGTCAAGCCCCGAGGGTCTCCTTTACGTTGTCCAAAATATATCTGATTCGCTTTACTCGCCTGCTTCCGAATCCACGTAATAGCAGCATTTTCCGCAGTATGGAGGCTAGACTTAATCTTCAGCTTAATAAAGAATGTCCTGATAGGGTCAAACACGATAACGGTGATTGTAGCCACCAGAGCCGCGATGGCAGGGATGACGATCCGTGGATGGCTGAAAAGCCAATCTTTGATCATCGACACTCGGATCTTGCGCTCATAATTGATCTTGAACCTGGTGCGAGATTTCCCGCCTCCTTCTTCCTCTGATGCAGCATATCCGTGCATGCAATTTCTAGCCATGACGGCGTACCTCGGCCGATCGAAGCGAATAGTAGCATACCTCGGCAGGATCTTTGAATCCGAAGGCTGCTGCTGAATGTCGGTAATTTTTCCATAAGGACGGAAAAGGGAATAGAGAGCCTCCTGTGTAAGTTCCTCAGGTGGCCCTTCAGTTGAATCCGGGAGAAATTCAACTTTCAAGGTTTGACTCGGAATGCGGTATAGATCCTCGATCCACGGCCTTCCACGAACTAAATCTGCGCCCGCTACTTGAAACGGGTTGAACCAAGGTCTGATTGGGTTGCTCTTAAGATGAAATTGAATGGCATCGCAGATAATCTGATCAGTTGCTTTGGACTTTCGTGCGTATTTGACGAATGCACCGCCTTCCTTGTATCGAGGGACGACATCTTTAATTTCAATATTGAGAGAACGAGGTATAACGTGCCGTGCTATTTTCAATGGCTCAGATGCTGCCACATCTGGTCGATTCGATCGTTTTAGGAGCCACTCCAGAGGTTGTACATGACTCAAAGGACCCCGCAATAGCGATTGTAGTCGACGAGGGAAGATATCTAAGTGGTTAGATACCAATTTTTAGAGTAAATTCACAGTTCCCGCTAGTACTCACTATTGATGTAAATGATACCCTCATTCTGATTCAGCGTGATGTGCCCGGACCGGATCGCAGATATCGACCTTGTACTGCTAGCGGAGCTCAATGAAACCGGTCTCCAGCTTTGGCAGGGATATGTGTGGCTATGAGCGGGCACCCTCATAACCCACGCAGCCGAGGGTGCATTTGCACGAAAAGCAGGCCTCATAGTAGTAATAAGCTGAAGAACACGATGCAGAGTAGAGGAATGTTGATCAGGGACCTCGGGAACCTGTTAGCTGTATGACTTGCATGACGTCGTTTAGAGCTTATCCTCGCTTATCGTTATCAGTTTATCAGTTTATCCTTATCCTTATCACATATCTATCACCACGTGATGATTCCGAACATCGCCCGAAATCAGCAATCCGATCACAGCTCTTCATTCTCACGCATATCCAATCCTCAATTCTCTCCACAATGGGCTGGCTCTGGAACTCGGGTCCTACCAAGGACACACCTAGCGAATTACCCAAAGCCACAACTCCACCCACAATCCCAGAAATCCAATCAACACCCAAAAAGTTGACACCAGACGAGCAAGCCGATCTAGAGTTCAACCAACTTCTCGCAGACCTCCGAAAAGCAGACACAGAACTAAACGCTGCTTCTGGATCTACATCCACAAATGAAAATGGCACACCAACTTCATCAATTGCCCCGGAATCTCTATACGCAGATACAATGTCCTGCCGTACAGCCTTCGACTACGCTTTCTTCTGTCAATCCTTCGGTGGTCAATTCGTGAACGTATACCGTTACGGTGAACTGCGATCTTGCAGTGAACACTGGGATAATTTCTGGCTATGCATGAAGACGCGTGGATGGTCGGATGAGTTACGCAGGAAGACTATTCGGGATCATAATCGCAAGAAGGCGATTAAGTACAAGACTGGTCCTAGTAGTGAGGATATTTGGGATGTCAGACTTGATCCCGCGAGTGATTCGTTCAAGGGAGACTTTGTGGCTATGGAGAGAGAGATGAAGGCTGAGGAGGAGGCTCAGAAGCAAAAGAATGCCGCTTGAATAGGATTTGGGTATGTGTTTGAGGGAAGAGTGATTGTTATTGTATCATGTGTATATATCTTTGGCGCTATTCTGTACTATAATTACGACTGTAAGTTCAAGTTTCATATGTTCTCTCTTAAGTTGACTCTATTCAAGTGTCTGATCATGACGTCTCAGTTGTCCTGTTCGAACTTGACGTGACTCAGCACATTGATACTATCAATATCAATGATATACTTGTGCTGCAATTCTTCACGTACTCATTCATGGATACTACTATGTAAGTGCTGTTACTGATTACTTCTATCATGATCATTGCTCTCTTATTCTGAATACTGTCTCTTACCATTACTATATGACTCAAACCTCAGTCTTCTTCAAGTTCATCTTCCACTTTGATACGGACAGATATCAGAACTTTACATAAAATCCTCGTTCTCAAATCTTCAACAACTTTTGAGTTATCTTCTCACTATCCGTCATGGATACGAACTCACTGATACTCTTCCAAGGTTCTCTTCATCCTCATCCTCATCTTCCATGCTCATAATATATTGTCATCTTTTACTCTACTGGGTACCCAGAGATCACTGGCTGGCTTCATCTTTCCCTTTACAACTACACACTCAGATATCGAAACTTGAACCTCGAGTCAAACCTTCTAACTTGCAAATATCTCACAGCCGCAAGTTTCACTCCTCGCTACTCTCATGGGGTTGGAATTCCTGATACTCCTCTCTGCTACAACCCATGGGCACACTTACGGGGCCATGGATACCAGTTCAAGAAAACCTGGCTATCGCAGAGTGAGATGAACCTCTATAGTACCACACTCTCCGAGTAGGGGGCACTCGGTGGATTTACAGCATGAATGTGGAGAATATTACAGCGTCAGGCCTAGAAACCTTGCGTGAAACGGAATCAAACTCTTCGGAGAGAGAGACTCGAATTCAAACCAGTCTACAACTTGTCACTCTACGCCTTGCTTGACGCGCAGCCCACCAGAATAATGCTTGAACCTCTTGGAGAGAAAAATCACGGAATCGGAACAAGGTCATCCAATCACAAACTTGAGGGATAGACTCGTCAGGAAGCAGAGAACGTTCTGCAGACTAATTAATCCGAGTTGGAGACCGATAAAAATATTTGGAGCGAAAAGACATATCAGCAATATGAGGATATATCAGGATACATGCACCAGGATAAATTCATCTTCCAGACTCACCCATCTCGGTTGGTTTGACTCAACTCCATCAATGATTTACCAAAGGTTGGAGCCCAAGCTAACTGAACCTTCAGTCAGCCCACGGCTTGTTGACACGCCCGTCATCTGCAGGATCAACCAGTCCAGTTAGCTGATTATGATCTGGCCATGCCATGAATACAAGTTATCATCGAACCAGATAATCGAGCAAGAGAATGGTGAACCAGTCAATGAGCCCCTTTACCAAGAGGTAGGAGACAGGATTGCAGAATATGCCATGTAACGAGAAAAACGTCGCAGTTATCAGGACCCGGGTACTACATAGTCACCTTTCCAGATCTTTCAGATTGTTCAATTTACTTTGCCGACGATATACCGAGCGATAAAATATGGGGTACCGGAGATGACTGACAGAGATTGAAGCGTCTTTGTGAGAAAACGACAATAAGCTCGTGTTCACAAACCTGAGCTATGGAGGTAAAACTTACGCCAAACCCTAAAGGACAGCCGGAAAATCTAATCTGGGTCGGCATAGAAGAGGCACTCCTGCAACTTGGTTATCACAAAGGCGAGAGAGTTATGGCCGACTCTCTCTGTGGCGAAGCGTCAGCTACTTTGCTATATGGAGATGATTATTTGAATACTGATTCAAACACCAGCCCAGAACCCAACAGGAGGAGTGTATGTAGTCCCCGGTTGTCCGTGTTTTCACTAAGGAGTTGTCATCACTAACATTGTTCGTCTTTTAATTTGCTAGTTCTGCCTTATCTTGAGCTTCAGTGGAAGCATTTCACAACCACAAAACTTCGTTGTCAGACCTCATAAGTGGTAACAGGTGGCTATCCTTTTCTGCTGAATAATTACCATCTCTCACTCTCAACCATCTCTCTTCCTCATGAACCACCACAGTAGTAAGTATATTCAAGTTAGCTTTTGATATTTACTCATACACAGGAAAATCAAAGATCGGCCTATGGCTAACATGCACTTCTTCCTTAGACTAAGGAAGAGAGCTCCCGATGAAGGATTTTTTGAATCGCCCAGATATGGTCATAACCCCCCAATACAGACATACTCTGAACTCGAAAACCATAGCGGAGACTACAGGATCATCACACTGGGGCTCAAACGCATATCTGACCACAATACCGCGGGACCTAATACATGGATCATAATCAGGCTGGGTGCCAGTGCGCCTTCGCGAATCAGCGTATTATGGAACACATGAAAGAGGAGAAGTCCATTAATATGTCAAGTTTGCTCCATCGATCTCGAGAAACACCGAACCGGCGTTACTGGAAGACAAAAATACCAAAGCCATTTTCGACCAAGTCAGGACTGGTCTGTGAAAATTGCAATCTATAACAGCAAATATCGCTCTGCAATGTGTGTGGAAATCAGACAGACCAAGACATCTCAATCTGTTTACAACCAGAACGAAAAAACCCCCAAACAAACGCAGGCTGGATGGGAATCGGAATGAATGCATTACTATGTCTCTTGACCTTCGGTACACGGAATTCCACCTCTGCGACTGGGTGGTAAGACAGCAAGCTTTTCACGCAGCTATCACTAAGCCCGAAGAAACCAAAACCATAAGAGCCTTGCATGTGTCGATTTAATTTCATGGGATGCGCAATTCTCCAGCCTCCTAAAATCTCCCTAGCTCAGTCAACCACCAAGGAGCAAGCTTTGGCTATACTATTGATAAGGCAGAGGCTAAGCCCAGGCAAAGTTACGGCCAAGAGTACTAGCGATTGGCCCTTCATGGATACAGATCCTACAAAATTGTGGCACAGGGCACTATTACCTAGAGCGTCGCCAAGAAAATGATACGTGCCTCAGCTACTCGAATAATGGTTGTTGCGTGGGTCCATCACAAAGCATGAAGAAACGTATGAGAGGTGTAAAATAACGGATCCGAAAACCAACGGAAGGAAGCCTTCAACAATTTTCGGTCGTTTTGCAATTTTCATACCACTTCATACACAATACCCCTTGTGGATAACCGGTGTGGAAGGAAGGTTTAGATTGGGTGGTCGTCAAACCACCAATCGATTCTCATGATATCCTGACTCCCCAGTTAGAGATATCCTCCGTGCCATTACATGAAGACTCTCTACTTACACTTCCTGGATGGATGAAGCTAAACATATTCTGCGTGGAGTAAAATCAGGCAAAGCCTACTACTCGCCAAGCCGAAACAGAGGAAATATATTTTTCCAGCCTCGACAGCCTGAGGTTCCCTGATGAGGATACAAAGGCCAAACAGAACTATTGACAGGCCTCCATGGATTCAATGCTTGGGTGTGCCCGAAGGCACGCAATGATGATAAGAGAAAGATACAAGAGAGAATCACTACGGGTGTGACGATCATTATTGAAGCTATGTGGTGTCACCCCAAATGAGACGAAGCACTAGATCAACCAAAGTGCACACGGAGGCAAACGTTGATATGGTTGCAGTATGATTACTTTACCCACCCGCCAAACGTCGAAACATGCCATCTTCAAGAACTCTTAGCGTGAAGCTGGCTCAAGCAATGGAACACTTTTGAAATCTCTACAAAGTTATCAATATGCATCCAAGGCGGCATCTAAGAATGTTCATCTAAGGATCTGTTGTTTTCCGCGTCAACCATACGACCACAAGAACCCCTCCATAGGACTGAACACAGCACCATACTCATCACATTGCTGTGTAGGCTGACTCAAGTTTAATGAGGTCAAATCGCAGATTATATGATCGAGAATGAAGTTACGTATGGGTTAAGCACATATGAGCATACTATCTTCTTGGGACAGCCTGGTCTAAATCAGAAATGGCAACTTGACTTTCCGCCTATCACACTTCGAAAATGCTTCGATATGGGAATTCAAGCCTCGCAACCGGTTACAGTGAGACAGGCATTTTGGCATGTTGCAAGGCTGGCAAGCCAGCGGAAGATATTTCAATGGGGACAGAACATTTCTCCAGCGAACAAGGTGTCGACTACAGTTGAATGAATGCAGAGCCGAGGCATGACTATGAATGACGTTCCCAGTTAGCACTAAAATTCAGCTAGGAGTGAACCAAAATCCACTTCTTCCTCATGTTGATCTCGCGCTTATTTCATAATACAGATTCAGTCTTCTGTATAATCAAGATGCTATGATTTTAGTTCTTGGTGGGTTTATGACAGCCATCACTCAAAGATTTCAAGCTATCGAATCAATCTCTTCAAGCTATAGTTTCCATTTTTTGATAATGGATCCTAATTTGGATTCTTTGGGGATAGTAAGAATCTCGATACACTATTACTATGGACCCTTGAGTAGAACTTGATCTAAAGCAGTATTTGCTTTTGAGTATATGTACCTTTATTGTGATTCCATTCTTCAACTAGAATTACTACTTCAAAGTGCAGACCCGGAATGGATAAGAGATCGTGAGTTACCATAAAGTAATATTGAAAATAGTAACTGAGATAAAGCTTGAGTAAGACTTGGTACTATATACACCAAAGCAACGCTCAACACCTTGCAAACGGCTAAATCAAGATCAAACCATGCGTAGAATAATAACCAAGAAAATAACAGAGAAGAAAAAGAGACCAGAAGGAAATGTTCTAGAGGGATATCTCCACCTAGAAGTAAGAAAAAAAAAATAAAACCAGAATCCTTTTAAGGGATATCATCCCAAACATTTCATAATCATCTGTCATATTCGTAACAGACTCGATTCATCTAGGCGATGACTTGAGTCTCTGCTAGCTGGGGTACTGAGTCGATGGCTGGTCGACGGACGATTCCACCAGTAACGGGAAGGTGGGAACTGATTCCACTGAGGGCGGAATCAACCTCCCGAGCGCATTGACGACCTTCGTTGATACCCCTATTACATAGTTAGAATGAAATTCAGAATTAGATTTAGAGAAGAATAGAACTCACCAAACAATCAGAGACTGTCCACGACGACAATCACCAGCTGCGTAGACTCCGGGGATGTTGGTCGAGTAGTGACCAGGAGGAGTCTTCACGTTCTTACGCTGATCACGGGCAATCTCATCACCAAGAAGACGGTCCTCGGGACCCAGGAAACCCATTGACAAGAGAACAAGGTCAGCGGGGAAGAACTGCTCGCTACCCTCAACGGTCTTCATGTCCCATCCACCAGTCGAGCTCTTGGTCCACTCAACACGGACGGTGTTGATACCACGGACGTGGCCGCTGTCGTCTCCAACGAACTCGGTAGACATCACACAGTACTCACGGGGATCCTTGCCCATGTGTGTCTTCACCTCCGAGTGACCGTAATCAACACGGTAGATACGAGGCCACTGGGGCCAAGGGTTGTCGTTGGCACGCTCTGGGGGAGGCTGTGGCAAGAGCTCGAAGTTGGTTACAGACTTCGCGCCGTGACGGACCGATGTACCGATACAGTCATTTCCAGTATCACCACCACCAATGACAACGACGTGCTTGTCCTTCGCGGAGATGTACTCGCCATCAGCAAGACCAGAGTCAAGAAGGGACTTGGTGTTCTTGTGCAGGAACTGCATGGCATAGTGAACACCATCGAGCTCACGTCCGGGAACCTTGAGATCACGAGCCACGGTAGCACCAGTAGCGATGATAACAGCATCGCTAGTAGCACGAAGAGATTGCAGAGTCACATCACTGTCAGGACCAACAGCTGTGCCAGTGACAAACTTGATCCCCTCAGCAGCCATGAGATCAACACGGCGCTGAACGACCTTCTTGTCCAGCTTCATGTTGGGAATACCGTACATGAGGAGACCGCCAACACGATCAGCACGCTCATAAACAGTAACCGAGTGGCCGGCACGGTTCAACTGGTCAGCGGCAGCCATACCAGCGGGTCCAGATCCAATAATGGAAATAGTCTTGCCTGTGCGTGTCTGAGGAGGACGAGGAACCATCCAGCCCATCTCGAAGCCACGGTCAATGATAGCGCACTCGATGGATTTGATACCAACGGGGTCTTCATTGATTCCGAGCACACAGGCACCCTCACAAGGTGCGGGACAGACACGGCCAGTGAATTCGGGGAAGTTGTTAGTCATGAGCAGACGGTTTAGCGCATCCTGCCATTGATTCTGTAGGGAAAATGAAGGTTAGCGATCAAAGAACAAGCAACTCGGCGGATTGCGGGGCTATATGGACTTACCTGGAATACCAATTCATTCCATTTGGGAATGATGTTAGAGATCGGACAACCGGTGTCAGACTGACAGAAAGGAACACCACAGTCCATGCAGCGAGCAGACTGATACTTCAGCTCATCCTCGCTCAGGCGGTTGGACAGCTCAGCCCAGTCCCGGGTACGAGTGGTAGGGTTGCGGTACTTCTCGCTGCGACGGCTGTACTTCATGAAACCACGAGTCTTATCCAGAATTAATGTAGAACGCTTCTTCTCTGTCTTAGCATCGCTGATACTATCCTCAATGTCCAGCAAATCAGCCTTCTTCTCCTCGGTCTTGTGCTTGGTCTTCTCGCCCACAGGGGTGCTAGGGAGCTGAGGAATGGAGAACTCGGCCTTCTTCGCAGCTTCAGCCTTGGCAGCCTCTTCCTCCATGACACGCTTGTAGTCAGTAGGAAGGACCTTGACGAAGTGAGGCAGAGCACGGTTGAAGTCAAGGAGGATACGGGCGGCGAGCTCAGATCCGGTGTAGTGGTGGTGGTCCTCGATCAAACCGCGAACGAATGCAATCTCAGAGGGGTCCTCAATACCAGAGACCTCAACCATCTCCAAGTTGATCTTGGAGTGGAAATCCTGGTACTTGTCCAGAACGTAAGCAATACCACCGGACATGCCAGCAGCAAAGTTACGACCAGTAGAGCCCAGGACGAGGACACGACCACCAGTCATGTACTCACAACCGTGGTCACCAACACCCTCAACAACAGCAGTGGCACCGGAGTTACGAACGGCGAAACGCTCAGCAGCCAGACCACGGAAGTAGACAGTACCGCGAGTAGCACCGTAAAGACAAGTGTTACCCACGATGACGTTCTCTTCGGCCTTGAAAGCAGCACCACGAGGGGGGGTACACGATCAGACGTCCACCAGAGAGACCCTTACCAACGTAGTCATTGGCATCACCCTCAAGCTCCAGGGTGACACCGGGGGCGAGGTATGCACCGAAGGACTGACCAGCAGAACCCTTGATGTTGGCGTGGATGGTATCCTGAGGAAGACCCGCTTCGCCATAGCGTCTGCTGATCTGGTAAGACAAGGTAGCACCCATACCACGATCAGTGTTGACAACATCACACTCAATGCGGCAGGGGAGACCCTTCTCCAGAGCAAGTTCAGACTCGGCAATCAGCTTGTTATCAAGGCGAGTGTGAAGACGGTGGTCTTGCTTGCGGACGTTGTAGGTGGCGACACCGGGACGAAGCGAGTGAGCGGGGGTCAGAATAAGGGAGAGATCAATGCGCTCCTGCTTCTGGGTGCGGATATCATCCCGGACCTTGAGCAGCTCGGCGCGACCAACCATTTCGTTAATGGTGCGAACACCCAGCTTGGCCATGATAGCACGCATTTCGTTGGCAACATAGAAGAAGAAGTTGATGACATTCTCGGGTGTACCCTTGAACTTCTTACGGAGCTCAGGATCCTGGGTTGCAATACCAACGGGGCAAGTGTTGAGATGGCACCTAGTTGAATGGTTAGCATAGCTCAATATAAAATTTTGTAAAGCATCATTTAGATCAAAGAGGACTTACTTTCGCATGAACACACAACCCATAGCGATCAAGGGAGTAGTGGCGAAACCAAACTCTTCAGCACCGAGCAGACAGGCAATAGCAATATCACGACCAGTACGAAGCTGACCGTCAGTCTGCACAACAACACGACCACGAAGATCATTAAGCACCAGAGTCTGGTGAGTCTCCGCAAGACCCAACTCCCAAGGAAGACCAGCATACTTGATACCAGTCCATCGCGAGGCACCGGTACCACCATCGTGACCAGAGATCAGAATGTGGTCAGCCTTGGCCTTTGCGACACCCGAAGCGACGATACCAACACCGACCTCAGAGACAAGCTTGACGGAGATACGAGCACGTGGGTTCGAGCACTTAAGATCGTAGATTAATTGCTTGAGATCCTCGATAGAGTAGATATCGTGGTGAGGTGGAGGCGAGATCAAACCGACTCCGGGTGTGGAGTGACGAGTACGGGCAATAGGGCCCAGGACCTTGTGACCAGGTAACTCACCACCCTCACCGGGCTTAGCACCCTGAGCCATCTTAATTTGCAGCTCATCAGCATCAGCCAGGTAGTTAGATGTCACACCGAAACGACCAGAAGCAATCTGCTTAATAGCAGAGCGCATGGTATCTCCGTTCTCCATACGGTCACTACGCTCGGCATCTTCACCACCTTCACCGGTGTTGGACTTTCCGCCCAATCGGTTCATCGCGATGGCGAGGGTGGAGTGGGATTCCATGGAAATAGATCCGTAGGACATAGCACCAGTCACGAAGCGACGGACAATCTCAGTCCAGGGCTCAACCTGGTCAACAGGAATCGAGTTACGCTGCTCAAAGTCAAAGTCCAGCATACCACGCAGAGTGCAGTTCTTGATCTGCTCATGCTCTGCCTTGGCATACGCCTCGTAAGACTTGTCGTTCTTGTTACGAACAGCATCTTGAATGTTGGCAATGCTAGTGGGGTCGTTGATGTGAGCCTCACCACCATCTCGCCAGTGGTACTCGCCGGACTCGGGAAGACCGGGAATCTCAACGATGTCACGAGAGGGGTATCCGCGCTCGTGGAAAGCGAAGGCATCCTGAGCGATCAGATCAAATGTGATACCGCGGATACGGCTAGCAGTACCGGCAAAACAGCGATCGATGACACTGTCATCAATACCGAGAGCCTCAAAAATCTGCGCACCCTTGTAGGACTGGAGGGTGGAGATACCCATCTTACTCATAACCTTGAGAATACCACCATCGCAAGAGGCCTTGTAGTTCTCGATGATCTTCTCATCAGGCAGGGTCTTCCGGATAAGCTTCTCGCGGTTCATCTTGAGAATACATTCTAGGGCAAGGTAGGGGTTGATAGCATCGGCACCGTAACCCAAAAGAACACAGTGGTGGTGCACCTCACGCGCCTCAGCAGTTTCAACAACCAGAGCAGCCAGAGAGCGCCACTTGTTGCGGACCAAATGGTGGTGAACAAGACCAGTGGCCAGCAAGGCAGAGATAGGAACACGGTCAGCGCCGGTGGCACGGTCAGACAGGACAATAACCTTGTCGCCGTTCTCGATAGCCTCAGTGGTAGCATCACAGATAGCATCCAGTGCCTCGAGGTAGCCATCGGTGCCCTTCTTCTTCTCGAAAGTGATGTCGATAGTGCGAACAGTCCAGTCACTGTGGGCGCGGGTGATGTTCTTCAGCGCATTGAACTCAGGCATGCTCAAGATGGGTGATGGGAGCAGCAGACGGTGGCACTGAGTAGGGTCCATTTCCAGCAGGTTACCCTGTGGACCAACGTAGCACTCCAGGGACATAACAACAGCCTCTCGGATAGGGTCAATGGGAGGGTTGGTGACCTGAGCGAACAGCTGACGGAAGTACTCGTAGAGGAGACGGGGTTGCTGGGCAATACAAGCCAGGGGAGCATCGTTACCCATAGAACCAAGGGCTTCCTTGGAGTCCGCAGCCATGGGACCCAAAAGCAAACTGACCTGCTCGAAGGAGTAGCCGAATGCGCGGAGACGGGGATCATTCTGTACAGTGTTCTCATCGAGGGTGAATGAAAGGTCCACCTTCTGTTCCACCAGCAGCTTTTCAATCGCAGGCAGCTTGAGGAGTTCCTTGTCCAGCCAGCTGGCAAAGTCCTCACGTTTAGCGACCTTCTGCTTTAGTTCAGAGTCATCAATAATACGTCCAGCCACGGTATCAACCAGCAGCATTTTTCCGGGCTGCAGACGGCCCTTTTGAACCACGCGCTCGGGGTCAATATCGATAGCACCGACCTCCGAGGCACAGACAATCCGGTCATCATCCATGACGTAGAAACGACACGGACGCAGGCCGTTACGATCAAGGTTAGCACCGCAGTACCGACCATCGGAGAAGGTAAACAAGGCCGGACCATCCCAAGGCTCCATCTGGCAAGCTGCCCATTCGTAGAAGGCAGACTTGGCCGGATCCATAGCAGGGTTGTCCTGCCAGGCCTCGGGAATCATAATCATCACAGCCTCGGGCAGAGACAGAACACCGTTAATCATGAGCAATTCCAAAACGTTATCAAAGGCCGCCGAGTCGGATCCACCTTCCTCAACAATGGGGTACAGCTGGTCGAGCTCGTCTCCGAAAACCTCTGATCGGAGGACTCCCTCACGGGCACGCATCCAGTTCTTGTTTCCTCGCAGAGTGTTGATCTCACCGTTGTGAGCAGCCCATCGCAGCGGTTGAGCACGGTCCCAAGAGGGGAATGTGTTGGTTGAGAAACGTGAGTGGACCAGCGCAAAGTGACCCTCGTAGTCCACGTTCACGAGATCGTGGTAGTATTGGTAAACTTGTACGGGTGACAATTGACCCTTGTAGACAATATTACGGTTGCTGAGCGAGCACAGGTAGAACCAGTTGCCCATACCAATAACGTGGGTGGCGCGCTTTCGCAAAACGTAGAGCTGGAGCTCAAAGGTTCGCGCATCAAACTTCTCAACGTCAGTAATCTCAGGCTTGTTGCCTTCGCCATAAGCAGATCTCAACACGACAAACGGTTGTAAGATAGTAGGCTCTCGTGACAAGGCCGCAGGACCCAGAATTGTGGAATCGTGGGGGACCTCACGCCATCCCAAGACGCGCAGGCCAAGTGAGGTAGCCAATTCCTCGAAATTGGCAATTGATTGCTTCACAGTCTCTTCGTCGGGCTTGAAGAACAAATTTCCAACCGCATACTGACCCAGTGGAGGGAGGTCCAGACCCTCCTCACGAGCAAAGTTCTTGATAAAAAACTTGTGGGGGATACTGGTCATGACACCGGCACCATCACCATCTCGTGCGTCTGAACCAACCGCTCCACGGTGGGTCATGTTGCACAAGAGATTGCGAGCTAGAGAATGTTAGGGGGGGGATTCCTTCCAAGGGTATTCAGTAGAGAGAGAATCGGTAAGAACTCACCATCGCTGACAATCTTGTGGCTTGCTTTACCCTTGATGTGGCTGGATTTGGAATTGATTAGTTGTGCCGTCGATGCAGTCTCTCTGGATGTGCCACTCACGCCGCAAATCCTACACCACAAGCATCTTTCTCGTATTCGGGGTCATAAAGACCCTGCCTCTCGGGCAGTGTATTGGCCCAGCCATAACCTTTCTTTGGCTGGTACTCCGAATACTCGTGCGGAGCTTGGACCTCACTTATATCTTTGCCATAGATTTCCTCCAAGTTTAGACCCATTCTTCCGCCGACAGCCGACAGAGAGGGAAGGGAATTTTTGAAAAGGCAATTTGCCTGAAGATGTCCGCGGGGATCCTTTTTTGGAGCGGGGAGAGAAGGAGCGATGGTCGATAAGAGGATGTCGTGTCGTCACCGGTTGTAGTATGAGACTGGTGAGGTGCAGATGAGACCCGATTTTCGCGAGAGGGGAATCAAAATGGGGAAGAGAGTGAAAGAAGGAAAGTAGAAAGGAGGGGTGGGATTAAAAAAAAAAAGAGTCGAGCGATTCCGGCAGGATAACAGGACAACAGGTCCGGGGATTGCAGGCAGATGCTCCGAGACTCCAAGTAAAATACGTGTGGGGTATTATTCCCTAGATGGAGAGGTCGTGGCGAGGCTTATGATTCCGGTATTTACCTTTTACCGTCCCTTTCACACTATTTAGTTCAATGTTGCCCTATACCTAGGTAATAAATTGGGGTTAAATGAGTGGATATTTTAATTATCGAAACTACTTAAATAATACACGAACCCCTCTTAGTAGTATGACCAATATGACCGAAAACAGGCATTCCATATGAAGAACAGACTGTATAAGTCGAGTAATGATAATCATTATGATTACGAGCAGTCGAGATAAGCGTAGTCTAACCAATCAGAGAGAAGACATTGTAACCTCTGAGAGCAAACGATTAGCTTTCTGCTACGTCAAGAGTGAGATCCTGTATGGTATTGTATTGATACTTATTATACTTGAAAACTTTCATAGTAATTTTGATATCCCAGTATTAATACCTATATTATACTTAGGCATTTATTAGATGCATATTAGACACTTATTCCTTCTAAATTCTAGATACTCATGCAATTAACCTGTTCCCTGTAGTCTTTTATGACCTCATCCACATCCACAGGGTGGACGCATGCCCGGGTGGTGGAGCCACCAAACGGCCCCTCTGATTCCGATCATTTTATTGGTCCGTAGCCGCAAACAGACGGTTACAGACCACGAAAATCATCCTTGATTATTAAGAAATGATACGGGTTGGTTCAAGTAAACGGGGATTTGTGGGGCAATGCTGCATGCTTATTTCAGTTCCAAAAAAATGTTCCTTAGTTTCTGGGGGGGAAATACATATTTACACTTAAGATCTTAAACAATTATCAGAGCAGAAGTAAGAGTAAAAAATAAATAAATTGATTCATGCGTCTTTGTACTTGACTTGGCAACAGTGCCTGCCAAGAATCAACTACTCCTTACTCAGATTCATACATTAAGGCCCCATTCCCGAGCCTCCACATGTGCCCAGGTGCAGCTCCTCCAGATCCCCAATACATCAATACAGTACATACCAATACTCAATAATACCCGCCATTCCGACAACGGCCAAGCTCTCCGGAATCTTCCTCTCCTCCCTAATTGCTGCACCCCCTTCATCCAACCAATCATTCTATGATTCTTGACCCCGATTTCGCTCCAACCCCTCCCCTCCTACCTATGAGATGCTCCGCACCCGGTTGAATGTGATTTCCCCCAGCTCATCCTTTAAGGTCATCAACTGCTTATCGCGGCTTACCAGAAATTATCTACATTCTCACTCGTCCATATAATTCACCCCCAGAAAATCACCCAGTCGATCCCCCCCCCTTTTTTTCCTCTCTCCGCAGTTCTCTCCACGTTCGTGTTCATCAACGGGGAATGCTCCATTGGAAATTGGTCTGGGTCTAATTGAAGAACTTCGAACTTCGTTTACCCCGATTCGGACTTAAGCATTCATCCGGGAATCCTCCGATGAACACGTGAAGCGGGTGAGTAAATGATAAGATTCTTGATAATTCGAATACATAACCCCACCAGAGGAATCACTAATTGATTCTCCGCTTCGTTTCCCGATCTTTTTGGTATTCCTATCGGCCGATCGGTAAGGATCCTTTCTCCTATTTTGTCTTAATCGGTACGGAGAACAGAGAACAGAATAGAATAGAATCAACCCACATCTATTAGGGTACTAGTAAACAGGCCACTAATTGCCACATTCAGTGGTATGAGGATGGTGTGGTAGTGTATACTCCTCGGAAATGCTATCCATTGTACATATGACTCCAGACTAGTACTAGTAACCTGACTCTAACTGGTTCAGCGTTCCCTGCCAATTTGGATGGTCAACCAGATTTGCAGATGCAGATGCATATTTTTAATAGACAAAAGTCCGTTAATGAGTTTCGTGTTTTAAGCGAAAATCTAAATAAGCATCCTCATACATGCATGATTGGTGACCCTGGCATGCTAGTATTAGTTACCATACCATAATCCTGCCCAGATGGAATCTGAGTACTCCGTACTTACTGGTGAAACTTGAATGGCCTGACCTTGCTTTATTCGCTGGACAGTAGCTGACTCTTTTTGAGCATATATTCTCTTCAATCAATTAGCTACATTCATTTTGTTCATTCAACTATTAAATTCATAGCTTACCTGACGTTCCATCCATTTACCCGATAGGCTTGGCTTTGCTGGAGCGGCAAGAATTACTCGGCAGAGTACGAGAAGGAGGAAGTATAGTCGCATTGAGTCTTGGCTTAACCTTCAATCAATCATATCACATTGGGCTTAGATCCAAGTCTTTCATCTTTATTGTCCAGGGGAAGTAGCCCGGAATTGGTATACCATAGACCATAACCCAATCCGGTCTTCTTTGCTCTTCTCTATGCGGATATCTCAACCATCAGGGACTTATACATAATCAATGTGGACTTGAACCCGTGTAAGATATCATTCATCGAAAATGATCATATTTACTGCGTACACACTGGCAAATCTCAACTTTCAAGGTTGAATCTCTGTAAATGATCACCCCGGATCCACAAAGTGGATATCACTTGATCACCATATTCAGACCAATAATATGCAAGGTAAAATAATATAAGACCAGGGTGCGTGCCACAATGGAACTTGGGGTAGCTTTCTCTATATGGAGTAGCACTCAAACTCCGACTTTTCCCGAGATGTTTCTCGTTCTCACTTGTTCTCACTTGTCCACTTTGGGTTCACCGGTCTCCTGATGGTCAATAGGTGGAAATGACTAGTCTCGGGCGTTTTCGGATAGCCTCAATAGTCGTGCCGTGTTGGCTTCAGTAGTGCGTCTACCAAGGTGGTTCCAAACGATTACAGGACATTACAGGCTTAATTACCTGAATTTACTTCGTACAAAGAACAGTATTGCTGTGCTGGCGAGATCTTCAACATGACGTCTGATTCTGCATACTCGAACAGGCGTTCATTGAGATTGGGCTCAACTGTCACTTCAAGTTCTCATTCTTCAAATGTTAGTTCTGCTCGGATTGGATTGGGAATACGAGGTGGTGACTCATTACCCTACCTAATTAAGCTAGGTAACTAGCCCACCATTGAAACTCATAACTCATTGAAATATGAATCCATAAAATATTTATTGAATATTGATCAATACCAAGCTCAATCCTTTGAGACATCCAATTGAATCTCCACCAGATCACATCTACGGTAGCCGACGAATACCTCATCAGACGTATTCAACCATCCGATATCCCCATAATAGCCCAAATAGCCGCAACAGAATACTTCGACTCAGAACTAAACAGCTATCTGTGTCCACATCGACACGAATACCCTGACCATGTCACTCGCCGCTTTATTCAGATGATTCATGGCCGCTACCTTAATCCACGAAGCATCGGGTTCGTCGCAATAGCGAACCCGGGATCAGGATCAGATCAAACCCCAATGGGCTACGCCCAATTCATCCGACTAGGTGAAGATGCATCAGCTAGAGAATTGATCTCATCTCAATCCTCATTATTCCGGACTCTGGAAACATGGTGGTTCAAATCATACACCATGGTGTTAAGGATCATATCTCCAGATCGCTCATTGGATCATAAGGCTTTGTCTACTTTCCTCGCATCTTGCAAAAAAGATGAAGAGATATACTGGGAGAACCCAGACATGAAGATCAAGTACGGGAATAGATGGCACGCGCAGAGCGTGGTTGTTTCGTCCAAGTATCAGCGCAAGGGTATCGGGCGCAGACTTATGCACGAGGCTCTCTCTAGGGCGAGGAGTGAGGGCGTTCCGGTTGGGTTGGAGGCTAGTATAGATGGGGAACAGCTTTATCGGAGCTTGGGGTTTGTGTTGAGGGGTTCGTTCTCTATGACTTTGGGATTGTCGGGTGGTGGGATTATGATGTGGGTACCGGAGTGAACCAAGTCATGAGAATCCTGGGGATTATCTTCCTTTGAATCTCGAACCCGGGAAACGGCTGGATTTCCAGGCTCTGGGATTGAATGAGATATTCTCAATGCCCAGATCTTTGACAGTTTCGACGACATCCAAGCGAGTACTTGGCGGCTCGGTCTTCCAGACCAAAACCTAACAAGAAGAAACGTCTACTTGAGAAGTAGACAGACAGTGGGGAATGACGGAGCATAAACATTCGAATTATGATCCTTCAAGTTGTACATGGTGTGCCTCTTCAAGGCAGAATAATGCCAAAAGCGTGTATGTATGTAGTACCTTGTTCTGAACCAAGCTAGATAGAGTTGAATGTTCAATGTCAGATTTCAAGTTGGATTTGTGGATTTTATATAAGTAAAACATTTGAATGGTCTGATGGAAAAGCTCACTAAGACGAGTCCTAGAAACTTCAACTTGAAGTTGAAGATCATGGTATCCATGTAGGACAATTGTATCATTATGATATAAATTGAGATCATTACCATCCAAACTAGTACTAGTATACTACCCTTCAAGTTGGTTGTGAACTTTTTAGGTAGCATTGATACAAGTTATATTATTTGTTTTTTTTACTGAATAATATATAGCTTTCCATGGTTCAGGTCAACGTTGGATCAAAAAGGGTTAGAATGAATTAGATAGTCACATTCCAGGGTATATTGTGCAGTACATACTAGACAGTACAGTACATGGCCTGATGTACTTGAATAGTTAAATATTCACCGAAAAATATCATTCAGATAGCTCGTAATCTAAACACTTTTTTATTATAAAGAACAGACAAATAAAGACTTAATATACTGACAAAATCACATTATACTCATATCTCCATAGTGATTCCCCGCAATTGCCAATGTTATGGTGGAGCCGCGGACTTTTCCAGCACTTGAGTAATCCAAGATCTGGTTCAACACCTTAACACCTTAACTAATTTCTCGGCGTCGCCCGACATGGTCTAGCATCATCTCTAAACCTGAACAATCGCGGCCTGATCAAATCTTCACCTTGATCCTCCCTACTCAACCCAATCTTAAAGACCGCGCCATCTAACGAAGATCGCATCACCTCTCCTCGCGCCTTCCAAGCTCTACACAATCGCAAACCAGTCCTCCAAAATGCTATCCCTACCACTCCTAGCCCCAACAGACGCAAGTCCCCCCTCTCAACCCTTCAGATCTAATCTAACAAAAGATCACAGTCACACGAACTCTGGTTCGGTCCTTCAAATCCATACCGCTCCTCCTCCCACCAATCCCACGACCCAACTCACCCTCGTCGCCATGTTACTCCAACACATCGAGCCTTCATGCCCTCACGGTCACCAGCAAATAGTCTCGCGACCCTCGCAATGGAAGAACGAGCACTCCGCGCCCGAAAACAGAATATCGCAGGATTCGGCTGTTCCTGGATCCGACCTGCTGGATGCGCGAAGACTATGCTAGGCATGAAAGAGGAAGAAGCTGAGCGCGAAGAGGCTCTGCAAGCTGCGGCTGCGGAAATGAATGTTGAAGGCATGATGGATGATGATCTTGGTATGACGCAGGGTGAAGAGGATGAAGGGATGGAAAGAGATCTTGATGATGATATCCCTGATGCGGATGTCGATGCTGAGGGATTGATTGAAGAAGGGGAGGAAGGTCTTGAGGAGGATGAACTTGATGAGGAGACTTATTTGGAACGCGATTTGGATGATGATATTCCTAGGGAAAATCTTGACGATGTTGATTTTACTTCGGTGTACAACTCGGACGGATTCGATCATTGGGATTCGGATATCCCTGAACGTTCATCTGATGAGGGTATGTATCGGGATCTTGATGCAGAGATTCCCGAGGCTGATGAGGGCATGAGTCGGGATCTTGATGCGGAAATTCCTGAGGCTGATGAGGGCATGAGTCGAGATCTTGATGCGGAAATTCCTGATGCTGTGGAGGATGGTTCTGAGCAGGAGGGTGAATGGCAGCATACGGATACAGAAGAGGAGGACGATTATGAGGACGAGGAGAACGACCAGGAAGAAGGTGTTGTTCGCAGTCGATTCGCGGAGAATTTCAGAACGAGTACCCCGAACAGTCGCAGCGGCATGCTACCGACACCTATCATGCATCGCGCGCGCGAGACAGCTGCTCAGAGCAGATTCATCAACAGGTGGAGTGGAGGCGGCGACGCCATTGATTCGAGCAGTCTACTGTATGAGGATGATGACCTGCGTGCGTCGATTACGAGTCAAGGTAGTCAGCGTGTGTATGGTCGGAGATATCCTCGTCATGTTGGAGGACCACGAGACAGTCTGTCATGATACTGTGGGCTTGATAACAGCTTGGAACAGTTCAAGTTTGTATGATGCAGATGTGGCGCTTGTGTATTTGTATGAGCGCTTGGGTGTGTACGATAATGAGCTACAAAAACGACCCTCCAGCTGTTAGGAATGATATGTATTATGTACTTGTACATCAAGTCAACTGTACCCCCAGCAACGCCAAACACCAGCCAAACCATGCGTAAGAATACTATATAAGTATGCGCCACAGGATTCAGGAAAAAAACCGCTTCAGAATTAAAGGCATCAGGATCATGTATAGGATACCAGGACATCAAGTCCACTAGAACACCCATACGTAAAAGAACAGGAAGAATACAGCACAGAAGAACCCAAACCAAACTCTCCAACCGACACCCGTGCGCTCAGCCATGCGCAGCATTCGATTCATGTTTCCGCGGAGTCGAACTCGGGTGTTTTCGAATGAGCTTTCGAGATCGGTCATATGCGTAGTATCTCTGATTTCGTCGCCGATAGCCATAGTGAGCTAATAAATTAGTCTCGGTACCAATATACTTCCAGGATGTACACTTACATCTTTCAGCATCTTCACCTTCGCAGTAATTCCTTCTACCTCCGAATCATTCTGTGACTCAAGTGACGATAGTACCGCATCGGAGTAGTGGCCCCTACAACAGTTAGACTCATACCCATAATCGGTTGGTAGTATAATCCACTCACTTCTTATCTGGTGTCGCACTGCGATATGAAGGACCAGCATTCGCATCTGCACTCCCATTTCCATATCCATTCCCCGGACTAGAGTACCCTCCGTATCCATATCCACCGGGCGCAGGTGACCTACTAGCAGGACGGGAATTTCCACCATAGGAATCAAAAAGGGAAGACGAAGCTCGAGGATCACGACGTGGGAATCTAGAAATCAGAATCAGTACTTATTCAAGTATGCAGTAGAATCTCCGGTTCTGAACTAGAACTGATTCAAGTCATTCAGTTCCGAAGATAAAAAGGAGGACCAACCGTGAAGCCATGATGAGCTGGTTAATTAACCAAGGAAATTCTTTATCAATTTCTCATGAGTTCGCTCGTCAATTAGGAGACATGTTTGGGTGTGAGTTGTGCGAGACCCTGAATGCAGCAAATTACAGGTGGCCATAGCGTATGCGTATCCCGGACTTGTTGCCTTGCACGTGATGACCCATACAATGTTATTCACAACACTCAACCGCGGAGGAACTGAGAAATAAACATTGGAATATAAAGAGACTGTTGCAGATATAACGCTTTAGTAGAGTCAATTAAGCTGAGATTATATTTCTATCTGTTTACAATAAGTACTAGAGTGTGATGATCGGTGATCGGTGATCACTTAGCGCCGCGCATACATCATACTCTTCAGCCATACTCAATCGATCCAATCTACCCAGGTATACATTACAGAGTACTTTCAAAGTCATCAACCAATTCATTGAATCATAGTCACGCCTAAAACAAGGTTAAGACGGACTCATAAGATCCTGTCTAGATAAATCTCATGACAAGATAAGACTGCCTCCAGCGCCGGAACCCTCAAGCAAATCGTAAGGAGTTTAACCGCGCATCTCATGGTCATTGTCATCATCAGCAGCACCCTCATACTCCTCGTCATCCTCCTCGTCGTCATCCATCTCGGCCTTGTTCTGCTCGGCGAGATCGGCGTAGTTGATCACCTTTCCGCGTGTGCGACGACCACCCTGAATGATGTTGCTCTGGTCGATGGGCTCGAGGTTATTGTCCATGTCTTCGTCCTCATCTGTGCTAGGATTAGTATATGTATAATGGAGAAGTGTGGAAGTGTGGAAGGTGGAATGTTCAATCGAGTGGGAGGTGATTGTGGGGCGTACCTTGCTGTTCCTGTGACGCGTCAGTATGTAAAATGGATATCGTATCAGATCGATTGGACTCACAACTTCAGGCTCACTCTCGTCAGAGCTCTCCTCGTCCATGCTCATCTCATTGGTGGGGTCAGTGGCTTTGCCCTTGCCCTTCTCGAATTCAGAGGCGTTGGTGGGAGCGTTGGTAGTAGCGTGGTCACCCATTGTGAATGGTGGATATGTTTTGAAGTGGAGGGTGGGAAGGATGAAGGGAGTGAGAGGAGAGGGGGAATTTAAAAGAGACGGTCTGCAAAGTAAGGTAGCTCTCCAGGCAAAACAACCCGCAACAGTAAGGGACGCTGAGATCTCGTGATCTGATTCGTTATTATGATTTGTGTGGGACTGTTTGCCCCAGGCATCAACAGGTACCAAGTACGGTTCATCTGACGTCAACTGGTAAACCGGCGCTCTAGCAAGGAAATTAGAAAAGGTATGTACTTGGTTGAGGAGCCATATCAAATGGACCATTCCAATGATATCTAGCTAAGCGCCTATATTTACATACCGAACTGGACTGTTACTTACATCCGTAGGGGAATCGTTACCTACTCCTCTACAAAAGTCCCACCCTAGAATCATCCATGGATATTATCTGAATTAATCGATGTTGAATTATTAAATATTTAGTATCGGATAACTAACTTCTGCGAGCTAATTCCTTGAAACCCTATTCCATAGCAAAGCACCGTTCCACCGACACAGAATTGTTCCCCCACCAATGTGGCATCGAAATCTGCTTTCCAGCTCCAAAGAAGAAGAATATAAGGAGCATGTTCAGGTTGAACCCTGCATCGAACGCAGCAGCAAGCAAGTAATTGTACCGCTTCCACCCCTCAAAGTGTCGTCGATATGCCCAGTACATCACGATGTACCCGCCGATGATCGCAGAGGTGTTCCCCGTGCTGATATTCCCATAGAACATCGCCAATCCACCAAAGAAGATACTCACGTTCCAAAGGTCAATCCGGAGCTTGGGAAAGTAGCGGTGAAAGATAAACAGAATAGGTGGAATGACAGCTCCAACGAGGAAAGACCATGGGAGGGGTGTCATCTCAGATTCAGCAAACAGTCTCTTCGGACCGAGCACGGCATATTGCACACCCATAGTGTTTGAAGAACGAAGACTTTGGCCAGTCCACTGATTCAGAGGATCGGTCTTTTTGCCGGTCAAGTAATCTCCTTTCGTATCCATCACCCAGCGCATAACGGCATAATTTATCGGAACGCCCATCAGAGTGCCAAAGACCTGGCTGAAGAAGATCGCCCGTGGTGGAATGTGCATGTAGTGTCCGATCTTCTGGTCTTGGAGCATGTACTGAGCCCTATACCAGGCGTCCCCCGCAATCGATCCGTAGACTGATGGGCCGCAGGGATGTTGGTGGCCCGATCCTGCTTTGGTATGAACCATATATCCGTACATCAACTCGTTAAATGACCCTGTCTCCAGCTGGTAGTTGGATATTGCATATAGCCATGCAAAAGGGATAACGAAGATTGCTGCACTGGCCAATGCAACGAAAAGAGTCCAGATTGGGATAAAAAGATATCCGCATGCGATACAAGTTATCAGGATGACGAAAGCAACCAGGAAAAGAAGTAGGTACCACCATAGTGGGATCTCTTCGTACTGTCTCTGAATCATGTTAAGACGGTCGTGGTACTGGTGATGAATACTTTGGTTTTGGGCTGACTTTCTCTCCTTGAGGCTGGAAAGAATCTTGCTGAGGTTTCCCTTGAGCTGCACGTAACCGAAAGTTGCAATCCAAGTAATTGCAGCTGGCAACTTCGCGTAATCAAAGAACGTGGCCCAAACATTTTGCAACCCCATATACATAGGGCCATATTGCTCATATGCTGTCTCGTTCAAACGGAACTCAGGCGTGAGTACTTTCAAAGTAGGGTAGTTAGTCCCATTGGCCAGCAAAAGACTATTGGACATAAGGCCATGCTTGTATGAGCCCAAATTGCCATATTTAGCTGCAGGGATGAGAACCCAACAACTGAAAGCAAAGGCCAAAAATAGAATCACTTGTGTCCAAAACGGTGTGAGCATGATAGATGACCCGTTCCAATTGATGTTGGACCAATCCAGAGACAAGTTCAGGAATCCCATTCCTCCAAGACCGGATCCAATGAAGTTGGCAACTGGGTTTCGAGGAGCAACCCAGCAAAGAAAGGCCAGTGATGAAAGAAATGGAAAGACATACTCTGGCAAGAACTGCCATAGAGTCATGCCCAAGATAGCAAAGAAGAAGACCTTCATTTGTCGTCGAGCCATAGGCGATGAGGTATCTTGTTTCCGAAATGTCTCAAACAATGTGGTTTGCATCAAAGCCTGTGGCCAGATATAATCAGGATCAGGTAATAATATCTGACGAGCAAGCGCTGCGAAAGAGTACCCCGTCCAAACTATAGCCCACATGAAGAAAATAGCAACGGCCGGCTGGATCCGTGTTCCATACCAAAGTTCTGCAAGGACGATTGGACCATAGCCTAAGTTGTAGGTTGCGCCTGATGCGGCAGTCACAGTGACAAGAACATGCTCCTTAATACTCCAGGGGCCAGGATTCAAACTGAACGACCAATTCCCTAGGCCAATTTTCCATGCTGGGAGTATCTTGGCAAGGAAATGACCAGCATAGTGACAGGCAATTTGGACGAAAAAGACAGAGTATGGCGCTTGGGTAGTGCGGAAGTGACTCATCTGGGATAAGAATGCACCTGGGATCACAAAAATTACTGTGAGAACAAAGTAACGGAAGGTGATTGTGGGGAGGGTTGGATCATCCCTGAGGTTAATGAGTTGGCGCACTTGGAGTGGCAATGCGGCGATTTCAGGATCATGATGGCTTTCTTCCTCGATGGCGACTGTTTCTTCTTGTGCTTTTTCTTCATCGGGACGAATCGCACTTGGGAGACCTTCCTTGGGTGGTTCTTCAGTCTGGGTGGTGTTATTTTCTTCCGGAGAGCGAGACTGGGGGCCACCACGCCATTTGAGTCGACCCAGTAAATCCATTGTATCTTGATTGTAGTCTGCAAGATGTTAACCGGAGGTGATACTTTCAAGGATGAATACCAGAGGATGGCTGGGAGAGGAGAAGAGAGCAGTAAAAATTCCCGTCACCTCGGGGAGATTTCCATATTCTTCTCCAGGGCTCCTATACTCAGTGTAACTCACAATAACTCCAAATCACCAATCAAGAATGTGACCTTTGACAAACTTTAGACTGGGAACATGGTTTTTCTTCAAGCAGGAATAATCAGCGAGCCAATCGAAAATGGGAACAAACAAAGTAAACGGCGAATTCCGAGACTCGGATCAAGAAGTAGAAGTAACATTGAAAGTTGCGACTAGTACAATCACCTGGGCAAGTGAGCACTTGAGAGATGGCGTGGATGGCGTTATCAGGGTCCCTGCCTAATTAGGGCTCCCTCTTTTTGGTACTCAAGTGCTTTTTGATTTATGATTTCAACCTTGGAAGTTTTGTGGATTACAAAAAAATCAAATGGTCATGATACACTGATGGAAATTTGACTATGTATGGATCTAGAGCCCAGCCTGAATGTAATAATATGACTCGGAGTTTTGCCTTACACTGGCATATATCACCGTCGCCTAGATAACTCTGTACTAACAGATCAGGTATGTACTAGACCACCATGATACATCAGATGGTTCCAAGGTTCTTGTACAAAGAGATATCCGAAATTTGAACTTGAAGCCACTGGTACTCTGAGTCCTACTAGTAGGTAGTACTTAGGCAGATTTGTAGTTAGTTCTAAGTTCACCTAGGCACTAGTAAAATTTGAAAGCACTTGAGACTGCTAGTGGGGACTACTCAAGTGCTATACAGAACTTGAGCTGGAGCATAGTATATCAATACTGGTAGCCGCTTGGGTAATGATAAAAGACACAATTCGAAGAATTAAAGATAATAACATCATAGGATTTCACATTTGAAGGACATGGGACCATTCTTCAATAGGAGCCATATAGCAAGTTTTTGATATCCCGAGAGGCTACTTTCAGGCTGGAGAAATGGATTCTTCTCCTGGACACAAATCTCTCCCATCTGCCAGTGGGCTTGGGCTCAGGAAACTCTGGGGGCAAATGAAGGATATGGCCAGTGTTGAAGCAAATGGCGATGCTCGCTCTTTCAACGCAGATTTCCAATCATCTTTACGGGCCATTTTCTGTGCATCTGTAAATTCAAAGCCTCGCGAGCTAGAGCAGCACCAACATTCCACAGTACAATGGCCAATGCCCTTTTTTCTTAGTGATGATCCTCTCCTCGCGCAACACCCGCAATCACGACCACAGCATCCACCTTGGCTAGCACAATCTTTTACTAGTTCTGGGCGCATAAACCTCTGAGGATCCTCTCTTAAGAGATCATAAAGCTCTCTTAGAGACACAACAATGCCAGCCTATTTTTGGTGAAGTGTATACTCGGCCGAAGCAATCTGGGGCTGTAGCTCGTCTAGAGCTTGGATTGTATTCAAAAATTGGGGGTTGTGATCGGGATCGATAGACGTGGCTTTTTCTGAAGCCTTGATCTTACGCTGTAATTTTTCTTCGAGTTGAACTAGTTCACGCAAATGTTGCTCGGCATGAATCAATCGACGGATTGCTTCTCCCCGAGATTCTCTTTCCTTCCAAAAGGCAGATTGATACGAGTGGAAACTCGAGGTAAGAGGTTGATATTTTACTTTGAGCATTGTGGTGATCTTGGGATGAATAGTAAAGACCAGTGGGAACTTTGAAAAGCGAGCAGATGAAGTTTGAGAGAAGAAAAATTCCGGTTGCCAGTGGTATATCCATAGCTCCGTCGCTCAGAATTGACTAGTCTTTCCATCATAATGAGAGCTTTTTGGATGTTAGACTTTGTTTGAATAGTATGCCAAAAGTAGTGTCGGCCTTCCGTATGATGGGACTTAGTAATAGGAGAACCAGAGGAAAGTAAAAGTCCAAAATTGTTCTTTAGTACCTGGGCAAACTTGAATGACTCAATTAGGAAATACTCTAGAAGCACCTCCATTGGATGTCTGATATTTCTTTGTTGCCTCAATGTCTGCCTTACTAATATTAATTGCCTCAGGTGTCCACGGGTCTAACCCAACATGAGTCATCAGTAATGAATTCATCATGACGCCCGCTGGGTCTTTCACCCATGACCATACAATACGACATTACCTCACGCAATCTTGGTGAGACTAAGGAAGAAATAAAGTGACGTACATTAATACCGTATTTCAATGTATCAACTCTTTTGGTTGCCCCGGTTGCCCCCCTTGTTAAAATGTGGCTCTCGTGCTTCTCTATTAGTCTGTGAGTCTGTGCTCTGTGCGCTTTGTGCAAACTCTGACTTATCCCACGATTACATCATACTTTTTTGCCCCGCCATGCAGTAAAAAAAAGAGTCATCTAACAAAAAGAATCTAATCCCAACTCTTTATTGACGCCCAATTCTTTCAGAATATCCCTGTAGCCTGTAGAATGTAGCCTGAACCCACTGGACCCATCTGGAACCACTGGGCCCTTTCATGAAAGGGGCATTGATAGCTTGTTGCTGGGGCATCGAAGCCCATGGAATCTCATGGATGCCCATGGAAGCTACCCTACTAGAAGCTTCTGAGCAATACACCGCTCACTATATAGCACGATTTCGCTGCCCACATCTCTTTTTTTTCTTCCTCAACTTTCATACCCCCCAAAAACTTCTTCCCTCTCTCCCTCCCTTACCTGTACACTATCCATTGAGTCTTTCTCACGATTTCCTTTTTTTTAACGACTCTTTCTATCACACACATATTTCACAATGGCCCCCGCCGTCGGTATCGATTTGGGTACCACCTACTCCTGTGTGGGTGTCTTCCGTGATGACCGCATTGAGATCATCGCCAACGACCAGGGTAACCGTACCACCCCTTCGTTCGTTGCCTTCACCGACTCCGAGCGTCTCATCGGTGATGCCGCCAAGAACCAGGTCGCCATGAATCCTCACAACACCGTTTTCGATGCCAAGCGTCTGATCGGTCGTCGTTTTGCCGACGCTGAGGTTCAGGCTGATATGAAGCACTGGCCCTTCAAGATCGTTGACAAGGCCACCAAGCCTATCATCGAGGTTGAGTTCAAGGGTGAGGCCAAACAGTTCACTCCTGAGGAGATTTCCGCTATGATCCTGGTTAAGATGCGTGAGACCGCTGAGGCTTACCTCGGTGGCACCGTCAACAACGCTGTCATCACTGTCCCTGCCTACTTCAACGACTCCCAGCGTCAGGCTACCAAGGACGCCGGTCTCATTGCCGGTCTCAACGTTCTCCGTATCATCAACGAGCCCACTGCCGCCGCTATTGCCTACGGTCTTGACAAGAAGACTGAGGGTGAGCGTAACGTCCTGATCTTCGATCTGGGTGGTGGTACTTTCGATGTCTCTCTCCTGACCATTGAGGAGGGTATCTTCGAGGTTAAGTCTACTGCTGGTGACACCCACTTGGGTGGTGAGGATTTCGACAACCGTCTCGTCAACCACTTCGTCAACGAGTTCAAGCGTAAGCACAAGAAGGACCTGACCACCAACGCCCGTGCTCTGCGCCGTCTCCGCACCGCTTGCGAGCGTGCCAAGCGTACCCTCTCTTCCGCTGCTCAGACCTCCATCGAGATTGACTCTCTCTTCGAGGGTGTTGATTTCTACACCTCCATCACCCGTGCCCGCTTCGAGGAGCTCTGCCAGGACCTCTTCCGCTCCACCATGGAGCCCGTTGAGCGTGTCCTCCGTGATGCCAAGATTGACAAGTCCTCCGTCCACGAGATCGTCCTGGTCGGTGGTTCCACCCGTATCCCCAAGATCCAGAAGCTCGTCTCCGACTTCTTCAACAAGGACGCCAACAAGTCCATTAACCCCGATGAGGCCGTCGCCTACGGTGCTGCCGTCCAGGCCGCTATTCTGTCCGGTGACACTTCTTCCAAGTCCACCAACGAGATTCTGCTGCTTGATGTCGCTCCTCTGTCCCTCGGTATCGAGACTGCCGGTGGTGTCATGACTGCTCTGATCAAGCGTAACACCACTATCCCCACCAAGAAGTCCGAGACCTTCTCCACCTACTCCGACAACCAGCCCGGTGTCCTGATCCAGGTCTTCGAGGGTGAGCGTGCTCGCACCAAGGACAACAACCTGCTCGGCAAGTTCGAGCTTACTGGTATCCCCCCTGCCCCTCGTGGTGTTCCCCAGATTGAGGTTACCTTCGACCTGGACGCCAACGGAATCATGAACGTCTCTGCCGTCGAGAAGGGTACCGGCAAGTCCCACCAGATCACCATCACCAACGACAAGGGTCGTCTGTCCAAGGAGGAGATCGAGCGCATGCTTTCCGAGGCCGAGAAGTACAAGGCCGAGGATGAGGCTGAGTCTTCCCGTATCCAGGCCAAGAACGGTCTCGAGTCCTACGCCTACTCTCTCAAGAACACTCTGTCCGAGGGCAAGCTCCAGATTTCCGAGGATGACAAGAAGAAGGTTGAGGCCAAGATCGACGAGGTCATCACCTGGCTCGACGCCAACCAGACTGCTGAGAAGGACGAGTACGAGTCCCAGCAGAAGGAGCTTGAGGGTGTTGCCAACCCCATCATCTCCGCTGCCTACGGCGGTGCTGCCGGTGCCCCCGGTGCCGGTGGTGCTCGCCAGCCCGATGATGTTGAGGAGAAGCCCGAGGAGCTCGACTAAGCGTCTCGCTTTAATTTTTTATTTTACGATGCTCTTTGAGTGGCTTCGGTTTTTTTCTTTCATGTCTTGTTTTACGAAATTATGGGATATCGAGTTTTCCTTTTTATTGCGGATTGCATAGATACAAGGTTATCTCTGCTGGTAAAAGCCAGCGAATCAAAAATTTTAATTCAAAACCTTTCATCAGTAAATGTAAATCTTGCATCTGTAAATTGAGTTGCTCTTCGTCTGTCTTCCCCAGATGGACTGTAGTAACAGTGGTCTATTAACATTTGAAGCCTTAGACCTCTTCCAACTAGCTGGGTTGCTGCATCACCCGTAGATACTACTGACTGAGTACTTCCAAGGTTGAGTATGTGAATATGGCCCAAGGTTTAACCTCATGGACTCCAGATATCTCAGTCTTCCACCCACTGCCTCAAGTTACGATTAAGCATAGTAGCACCAAACTTTTGTGCAGAATAAACGAAACTTTAGAACTCAAATTCATATCCCGCTAATGCGCATCTTTATTCCTATGTACTGACGTATGGCATTTTACCAAGATGAATCACATTTATAGCGATCACCCCAGTCCAAGTACTTAAGCAAAGTGTATAAACGAAGAATTGTATCCAATTGTGTCCAATAGACAAAATATTCATTGAACATACTGTAAGCAGCATCCTCATTTCTAGAGATCAAGCTCAATCTCAAAACTAGCAGAGAAAAAAAGTCCTATACCATGAAAGGTAGAATCATTACATGTTGTAGATGTAGATGTAGATGTAGATGTAGATGTAGCACTGCCACCTGGGCCAAAACCAAAACACCAACTCCTGTACAATAGGCAATACCGAAGCCAAAAGAACCCCGAATTCGATCTGATTCGTTCTGAACTGCAGATCATGATCATGATCAGACGATTGGGTCTAGACCTGCCTGCAACTGCAGATTACTGCAATGCAGCTCACAAATGCTGGAAATCGCCATTCCACCAGCGCTGTAGTCTTCTCTGTCCAGTTTGTAACACAGTGCCATAGCCAATCTCAGATGCTTTCTCGGGGTTCTTTTCTTGTTGATCGCGACGGATTCGGGACATGGAGGCTGCGATGCCCATTGTTAGGGCGAAGAGGGGATCTCCTATGCTAGTTCTTGTTAATTTACTGTACAAATGTACGGATGGATGGGTGTATTTTGTGTCTTACCGAGAAATGAGGTAGGCTGCCATTTTGAATGAGGTTGAGATAATGTAGCTACTTGATTCGAATGTCGGGAGCTTGGGATTCTCCGGTTCTAATATATCACGTGATACCCCAATGATCGGGGTTCAAAAATTGTTTTTATGTTCCATGGATCCAAGTAGATCAATGTGGGTTCTAGGAAGAATTTTCGAATAATTTGAGTCTGGAAGCTTTTGTTTTAACTTGACTAATGCGAACCCCATCGGAGGAGAATAAACCATGTAAGAGGGTGAAAATACAAAGTCCTAAGGACCGAAAGGTTGTCCCAAGAACGAAGAGAAAAGAAAATGAAAAAAATGAAAACCGAGAGGGGAGTTATCAAAACGCCAAGGCTAAACAAAAGAAAACTCCTTATGTATCTCGCTCTCTCCTCTCGTCTATACAACCTGACCAAAAGCAGGGATCAAAGTCTGTGCCAGCCAGAAGCTGAAAACCAACTTGGGACCAGTCATCAGCAGCTTAGGGGTCAATCCCTTGAACAAACTGAAAGCACCCTCGTTCTTAAGCATGGTAGAAACAATGCGGAATCCAGACTCGGGGTTCTCGAAGTTGCGGTTCTGGATACGAGTCTTGATAACATCCAGAGGAGCGGAAACAATCAAGGAAGCACTAGCACCGGCCACGGAGGCAACGAAGTTCTGCTTCCAGGTAGCCTTGTTGTAGTCGGTAAGACCGTAAATGTATTCCTTGGCGAAAGCAGATCCACCGAAGAGCTAGTGTGAAGTTGTAAGCGAGCGGGTCCATCAGACCATGTCGGGATGATTACTTACCGCGAATGATCCGGGAGCGTTACGGGCTGCTGTCCAGCCAGCACCACGGTACAGACCCATGCCCTCATCGGAAATGATCTTGAAGAGACCACGGCCACGGAAGGCCTCGGGGTTGGTCTGACGCTTAATCTTCAGGACGTCCAGAGGGAGGAGGACGATCTCACCGATACCGACGAGACTATGGGAATATCAGAATCAGTATTTATATATCTGTGATGTGTTTTACAGGCTGTGACTCACCTGCCAGCGGTGGCGTGCATAATAGCCTTTCCATTACCCTTTCCGAACGCGTTATCGAACTCGTTACCGTAGTGCTGAGCTAAGTAGTCGCGAGCAAAAGGCTGACCACCATACTTGTAGATACGCTGAAGAACCTATTCAAAACAAATGATCGTCAGCAAATTATCAACTAGGGACTTGAGTTTGTATTGGGAAACGGACCTTGTAACCCGCAGCGTAGCCCAAACCGGGGAAAAGCGAGGTGAATTTGCGACCAGCAGTGGCGTCGGCATACTCCTTAAAGACAACCTGATTGAATTGGGTGACGTTGGAGATCTAGGATAGAATAATGATTAAAAATGATTTCAATACTTTGTAGATCAGATCGCATTGAACATACCCGAGACTGGTTGCTCATCAAACGCTTCGCAGTGGTATCGACCTAAATATCATTAATTCACAGTCCAGTCACATATTCATGAATTGATTCATACAGGGTGGAAGACAGCCAATTCAGCGATACCAGAACAGCCTAAATTGGTGTTAGCAAGTTGATTCTCATTCCCCTGCGCCTGTGCACCATTGAGGACTTCATACCGGAGCCGAGGAGACGAGCAGTAGCAGACTCCTTCTTGACATCTTTGGCGGCGGCGCCAGCACCGGCTTGGGCAATAGCAGGAGACATTTTGAGGGATTGAGAAAGATGTGTAACGGTGTTAATGCGTCAGGAACATGTGCCTGGTAAATTTTATCTGGGCACGCGGGTGGGACGCTAGGCTCGATTAGGGGAGAAGACGGCCGGAGTCGGAGATGATTTTCGGGTTTGTCAACTGGTCAGTAACCCGGGGACCGGGGGCTCAACGGGGTTACGGGTCTACCGTTCCAAGGTTCGGCTCTTACTGAGGACTATGCAGGTACAAAAAGTATTATTATTGTGCCTGTCAACCTGTAACATTTGAAGTTGAATAGCTACTACTTTCGATTCTACCGGGTCTTTCCGGTAAATATTTAGTTATGTACGGAGTAGAGTGCGGACTTACTCATCGCACTTATTATACTGAGTCACAGTAGATAAGCACTCAACTAGTCAGACGAAATTTGATTTCATTTGTTATGTTATTGAGAGCCAGATAGGGCTGCTAGTTCGCCGAGCAAATAGGAGGGAAAAAAAGTCAAAAGAGTGCAAACAATGTGCACAACGCCACGAAACGCCGCATGTCCGTCCGTAAGAGAAAAACGCTGTTGTAAGGTTGCTTCTGTTATCCCGTTCCCAAAATTCCCAGCATCAGATCAGTGAAGACCTGGAGATATTCTCAAGAAGTAACAGAGGATATTCATGATCAACCTTTACAGGTCACCGAAGGTGTTCTCGCCGGAGTATCTAAATATATATTAGTATATAGTTTGACAGCAAAAACCTGGATATGAGGCTCGAACGTACGTAATGTAGAGGAAGCCATCCTCATCCTTGTGCTCCTCGTAGATGCTGCTCATCAGCGCGGCAGTAGGAGGCAGCACCTCATCAACGAAGATGAAGATCGCCTTCTCGGGGGAGAGCTTGATACGCTTGCGAATGACGTAGACGAACTGACCAACGGTGAGGTCGGCGGGGACAAGATACTTCTTCTTGTCGATAGTCGCGATGTCGGATTTCTCGACCTTCTCACAGATGACCTGCAAATGGCTGTTAGCTGAAGAAGCGGTCAAGATGGGCCTGGACCCGATTTCCACGATCGCAAGGTATATAAAACTCCGTTTTCGCAAAAATGGGCACCTAATCCAAGACTTACTGGGATACGGTCGGTGTACTTCTGACGGATACGCTCGGCCTCAGCCTTGCGCTTCTCAAAAGGGTGCTCGTCCTTGAACTTGGAACGCATGGTTGATAAGGTTGATAAGTAATAAAGCGGGTCTGGTGGAGTAGTAGATGTTGTGGAGAGCAGATTCAAAGTCCAGCAGGACGACGGTGAGGAATGATCCGCGAGATGTAAGAGTGATGGGAAAGATGTTAAAAGGATCAAGATAGATGAAAGTGAGAGGGGTGATGACAAAAGGCAGCTGGCAAACCCCCGCTGACGTTACTAAGAGCGCAATCAGGCGGTGAGGCGGTGTGTCACGCGTTCTCGAGGTCACGGGAAGAGGTCATGCAAACAAGAGTATTTATGTATAACTTCGAGTTTTCTATATTCCGATAAGACAAATTGAATGGTCTAGAAATCTTTCTAGATCCTTCTGCATATCAGCAATTGGAAGAAGCAAGCCATAAACTGCCCGAAGCCCTTCCCGAGCGTGCCGTCATAATTAACACCAAGGTGCTCGGTCTACTCCGGATAGGTTCTCCACTGATAAGCAGATAAGATAGTGGCTGTACAATGTCTACAAAGAGGAGCACTCTTGAGTAGTACTTATAAGTTGAACTACGTATATCATATAATAAAAAGGGTGAGTCACATTTTGAGACCTCGGAGTTGACAAGTGGTTCAGTAGAGCCTCATTTTCTACAGGAATGGTTAGTGTCACTCCACATAGGGCAGATCCACTATATGTACAATATGTACTCCGTACTCCGTATGTCCTTTATGAAAGACCCCTGTTCAAGATTTTTCCAATTCCACCTGGGCAGGTAATGAACTTAGTGCTGTAAGAGTGAAAGTACTAGTAGCTCCATTTTATCTAGTATGTAGTATGTACAGCTACTGGATGATACATCTGATTGTGCTGAATACTAGGCAGTGTGACTGGTGTCTTGTTTCTGGTCATATGCACGTATATTACCTAGCATTTCTAATGGAAAAAAACTGCGTTTACAATTTAAATCATTTTATGTATCTATTGGACAGGACCATGAAAAAATTTAGTATTTCTTATAGGTACTGGTACTAGTAATCACTACTATGCAAATATCAACAAAGGTGGTGCAAAGAATACCTGCTCCAGGGTGCGAACTTGTACTAGAGCCGAATAGTACAACATTCAATCCTGTACTCAATTTTACGACCATAGCTCCTAATCAGCTCATATGAATACCTACTCATTTTAAAAATCATTTACTAGAACCTTGGAATACTATGTAGTACTCCTACTATATTATTTCTCTCTATATAGTACGGAAGTCTAATCAGCCAATCACAGCTACCACCTTATCGCTTATCTCATCAAAACAAACGAAACAAACTCCTGCCGTGGCCTGATGTCTGATGTCGTACGAGGAATTCTACGACGTCGTGACTGTAAGGGCCCTTGGAGGACCGACTAAGCGCTCAAACCGCGGTACTGTACACAGGCTTTCAATTTGAACCGGTGTACCCCCAGTATATACATATTTTCAACCCGGAACATCCTCCGCTCGCCCAACCAACCTCCGCAAAAATGGCGTCGCGATCCTTCCAACCTCTGCGCAGGACTTTGAGCCAGCTCCAGAGTCGCTCTACTCGGCCAATCGCTCAAAATGCTAGCAGATCATCCCGTGGCTTTGCTACTGGTCAACCTCCCAAGCAGAAAGGGGAGTTCACTGTCTGGCGACCCTACCTGCGGCTTGCAGTTGGTGTGCCTTTCATTGGCGCAATCATATACTCCATGGTACGAAGTCTCTCGTCCTTTAATCCAATATGGCAACCTTTCTAATACTAGTGTAGGCTACAGGCGAAGTCACCGAACTCGACTCCCCATCCATTGCCGAACTGGACGCAGCCTTGAAGCAATCGTCCGCCATCACCGAGTCTTCCCCCATGCGCCTTCGAATGGAGAAACTCATCAAGGAGCAACAGCAAAAGATCATCGAGGAATTGAGCAGGATAGACGGAAAGGAGTTCAAGCAGGATACCTGGACGCGCCCCAACGGTGGTGGTGGCATTTCCTGCGTCTTGCAGGACGGCAATGTCTTCGAAAAGGCCGGCGTGAACGTCTCCGTTGTATACGGCGAGCTGCCCCGACCCGCCATTGAGAAGATGCGCGCCGATCACAAGTCCTTCGTGGGCTCCGACGTTGATTCCCTCAGCTTCTTCGCTGCGGGCCTTTCACTCGTCCTGCACCCTCACAACCCCATGGCTCCTACTGTTCACCTGAACTACCGCTACTTCGAGACTTCAGACCCCAAGGACCCAATCAACGGTGATAAGAACTGGTGGTTTGGTGGTGGTACCGATCTTACACCCACATACCTCTTCCCAGAGGATGCTCAGCACTTCCACAAGACTATCAAGGATACCTGTGATCGTCACGACGCGACCTACTACCCGAAGTTCAAGGCTTGGTGCGATAAATACTTCTACCTCCCCCACCGCGGCGAATGTCGCGGAGTAGGCGGTATCTTCTTCGATGACCTTGATGCAAACTTCCTGCAATCCTCTACTAGCTCTTCATCAAACCCACAGGAGACTCTGTTCTCTTTCGTCTCAGATGGTCTTGCTTCCTTCCTACCCTCCTACGTCCCCATTATCGAACGACGAAAGGATATGTCCTACACACCTTCCCAGAAGGAATGGCAACAACTGCGTCGTGGTCGCTATGTTGAGTTTAACCTCGTCTATGACCGTGGTACTAGCTTCGGTTTGCGAACACCGAACGCTCGTGTTGAGAGTATTCTTATGAGTCTCCCTCGTACCGCTAGCTGGGCTTATATGGATCCAGTTTCCGGTACAAGGACGGAGAGTATGCCAGTGGACGAGGATGAACTGGCGGAGGATAAGACCAGTGAGAAGGAAATCATGGATGTGTTGAAGCATCCCAGACAATGGGCTTAATTGACATTCCTTGGACTTTTTCCTGCATTTCGGAAGACACATTTGGATAGATCTGTCATATCCATTTGTCAAAATCTTCGTGTATCATTGTCTATTTCATCAGAGATGTTGTCTCTGTCATGTACATTATAAAATATCTTGTTCTCAATACATATCTGAATACTGTGCTATTAGTACTATCATTTCAGTAGCTAGATATTGTTTCATCTAAATACTAATATAATCTCAGGACTCGTATGATTATATTCAACCTAGATTGAGCACTTTCCATTCAACTTGAATAATTGTCCTCAATTGAACCGGGTGAAAAGTGAAGATCTCACTGGTATTTCGCATTGGATATTCTCATATGGATGAGTATAGAACTTGAAGAATATTATTCTTCAGCTAGCTGATTCATCGCCCAAACATCACTAAATTAATTCAAATGATTGATGAAGAGAATGATGTGGTTTAGTATTCAACTTGAACCTCTTAAGGCAGTCCTGATATACTCACTGGTATATCATGTTACTGCTGGTAAGTGCAAGGTTGCTGATAGTGACATCGAATTAGAGAAGCTTTTCTTCAAGTTTGAGCTCATTTGATATTTATTCAAGTTTTGACCACTGGCAGCAAATAACTAGAACCTCCCACTCTCACTCAAGTTTTCTTCCTCATCATCACTCATCTACAAAACTACAGTTTGATCGCCTTGAGCTTCTATTTAATTACAAGGTAAAAAACCTTGATCCTGAACATCAACCTCTTTGAATTTTACCTTCTTACCACATCTAGTCTTACCATGGTCCTAAACTTGAATATAATCACAGGCAGGCTCAACTCAACTTCCTCATGAACCTGGTCCCAGTGAGTAAATCATCCTTCAATCTCCATTCACAGTTACAGAGAGCCAAATCCCATGAATCTAAGATCCATCTTTTCGAAGGTTCCAGGTTCAAGCTGGGTAGCCAGGTCTATCCTGTCCTGAAATCTTTGACTCTAGTCAGAGATACCTCAAGTACTATAACCCAACTTCAAGTTGAAGATATTTGCACTCCAGGTTGCCACTGTGAACTTCAACTTGTAGTTGAAATCTGTCTTTCTTCATCAAGAAAACCAGCAAAGAAAAGGTGTGGTATCAGTCTACAGAAAGTATTTTACCGCTCTAACAATGGCTACCTAGGACTACCTTTCCGTACCTTTCCGTCTTTTGCAGTTTAACTCTGCACATGTGATCAACGAACATACAGACATTGAGCTGGTTATTCTCGACAAGAGATCTCGACAAACCCATAGCCGGGAGCTCTTTGTTCACGTCTGCCTATGTCTGATTCGACATTTGGTCGACCAGCATATAGCCTGAGGAAACAAAAAACCCGTGGACGCTTGCTCCACATGCAGGAGTCAGTCTCTATCCATGGATAAGGTATGCTAGCGCTCGGGAAATGCGACAACAAAAACCAGCGAAGTTCACAAAAGAAACAAAGGGTAAATACTTCACCAAAGGGTTTTGGGACTTGATGATTGGGACTTTCCCGATAACGCAGTTCCATGCCGCTGGCGTTATAGTGACTGCACCTACCCATCGATTCCCCAGACTGAATTATACGACCATCTACACTAACCGGACCTGTCGAACGGAGAGAACAAGTGGTCAAATTCAATGACAACTACCGCAAATCCAATGGCTACCGCCATTCCCATGCGCTCAATGCATCTTTAGGTCCAGAAGGGGAGAGAAATCGTAGTAGATTATATCTATCTTTGATTACTCCAGATACTTTTCTCGGAAATTCGGTTTCCTACATATGAGCGTGAGGCCTACACCATATCTCCTTGTCTGTTACGCACAGAAGGCAACGCATAATAGGTCAATTTAATCGAATTGAAGTGCCGCACGCAAGAGGGAAAACAACCGAAAGCTAGCAGAGAACCAGATCTAGGGCGTGGGAAAGGTGGGCCAACAAAGCTATCCAGTTTACCTTGGTCCATGGCTTCATTGTCATCTTGAGCAAAAAATGAACCGCCTGGCACTGGAAAAGCCGATCGATGAACTTCGACTCTCCTAGTGACATTCGACTCGGAACCTCACTCGATCCCGCCGCTGGGGCCGGCTCCAATCATCTGGTCGAGCGGGTTGGCATTCGCACCCATTCATAAGACATATTATGTCTTGTAGGTACTATGTCTTATGCGATGAGGACCGCCGTCCAAATGGGTTACAATATCCGGGTAAAACCAACGCGGTCATTGAACAGGACTCATACGTAACCTTTGGGTCGATTGTGATTGGAAAACCATACCTAGTTCCACCTGCTCCTCTGAGTCTTGTTTTCCCTAGCTTTCGAAATCCCATTCTTATTCGTCTACAAGGGCTACATGTCCTCTGTGGGGCAACACGCAGCGGCAATCGCCATGTTGCAAATCAAGCCCAAGGGCAGGAGATGCTCTTAAAAGAGCCAATTATTTCACACTCGGTCAACTGGCGACTACAGCCAGCTGTCCATCAAATTAGCTTACTTCATAGTAACTTCAGATGATCAGAAATCTCTTTCATACAATTAGGCATATTTTCCTCGAACCCCTCGAGCTGGAAGGACAATGATCGCAATTGGGCAATTCACCAAGTTTTCACGCCTGGGTTTCCCTAGGAACCTTGATTTAGATCTGATACCCTCAACGGATATTCTCAACTGTTTATGGGGTATTCCTCTCGTCGAGCCCATATTGGTGAATCTCCTATTTGCTAAACGCAAAGTCAATACCGAGGAGATCACGAACAGAATCCTTCCAATCCCTTAGTGGTTTGACAATGAAATCCGCATTCGAAGAGAGACAGATCCTTGGAAGGGGGACAACGCTGAGAGATACACCGAAAGGTTAAGGCCAAGCTGCCTGGAAGTGTGCAAGAGCTTCCCAAGTGCTGGAAGATCCGTCGAAAACGTGCCGTGCATCCACCATTGGATTTGGAAATTGGGCCAAAAAGTGAATGCGGCATTTAGTCCATGTGGGTTTTGAAGTCTGATTGTCATCGAGGTATGCTACCTGCAGGATCACAACGGACCCGACCGGTCAGTTACACTATGTCCGACTCGACCGGGCAGACTGATGAATACCTGTGGATGCCTGTGGCACTCCTATTGATTTGACTATGCTTGGTCAGACAATGCCTGGAAGGAGATAGCAAGAGCGCCGACCATGCCGGCACAGGTCTATCAGGTTGGGTGAAACTGAACCTACTGATACTGATCATTGAGCGCGATTATCACTTTGTCACGCATCGGGATGACGCATTTCTGAGAAAGAGAAAGAGGACTATATCCATGATATTATACTAGTCCAGGACTGGGCGAAGAGTAATTATAACACTCAATCCAATACCAAGTCTCCAACGGACGTTATGTTACCCGAAAAAGGCGTGTTTCACGCAATGGACCGGCATGACTGGCAGAGACGATGACTGTGGGCCCGGGCTCGATTAATGGGAGGGAGAACGTGATATTGACACTATTATCAGCCGAGAAAACAACTCGCGGTCGTTGTGGGTGTCCGCGGAACTGTCTCTTTGAATTTTCCAGCTAAATCACGCATTACGGCTATTCTTGGGGATATGCCTCAACAAGCCGATAATGTTGGTATCAAGCACCCGCGGCGACAGCCTACCGGTCCTGCAGGAGTTATATGCTCTTTGAATCACACCGTGGGGATATGTCTTTTGACTTCCCAAACAACACTGGGCGCCAGAGGTCATCATGAGCTTATTTAACAGCTAACCGTAACATAAAGGGGCCAATAAATGCTAAGGAATATTACATCCACAAATTCGAGTGAAGTGCCTAGGTATTTTTGTTTCAAGTACTACTTTGATACTCTTCTTGGACAATGATTATATATCTAGCTCGACAGTAGTCAGCTCAAACTTGAACGTTGATGATAAAGTAAAACATATATGCAAAAGAAATCATACGTCTAAACGAAAACGCAAATGCAATGCAATCTGCATGGGATGCAAGCATACTATAGGAGGTCTAGGATATAAACAAGCCCCCAGGTGCCCGAACCAAACATGAAAGACTTAATGTATATACAGAAGCCTATTGACCAGCAACCGCGCTTCGTTGCCTCGCCAGCCAGCCTCGTGGATCTGTCATCCCGGCACCTTGTCGATACCGCGAGATGGTCATGTTGTTGTTCTGCCATCGGCTTTGGAGATGGTACCATGCTGAGCTGACGAGGCTGAGTTCTCGAGCTTGATCGTCGATGATTTTTTGGAGTTCAATCTGTGAATGTTAGAGATAGCCATGAAGAGATTAGAGTAGGACAACTCACTTCACGTTCTTTAGGAACACCATCATCCAGGTTCTCCTCGTAGGCCTTCATGCTCTCTCGGAGTGACTTGATGAGTTCATTCTGTTGTTGAATATACTGTTGAATCTAAATTAGTATTGCACATCAGAATAGGTAATGGAGAACGAACCTCTGCACGCTGAGCAAGTCGCTCAACATTCTTCTCCAAGACTCCAGCACACTGCTTCAGCAACTCGAAGCTGGACTTCTTCGGTACTTCACCACTTTCCGAATTATGAATTTCAAATTCACCCAGGAGCATCTGCATCTCGTTCATAACTTCCTGGTCTTCGGCACTGATCTCATTCTGCTTATCTTCGAGCATCTTGCGTAGCTCCTCTCGCTCGGAACACACTTCACGAACTAAGGTTTGGCTAGCATCTACCTCGGCCTCGAGATGGTGAATATTCTGTGTGAGACTCGCCCAGTCACCGCGCAGTTTGGTGAGCTCGGCTGAGTCGTGCTCTTCAAGCTCGCGGAGCATGTCGGCTTTCTCTGTACTGATGAGATTGACTGGACGGAATTAATGATATATACGGATGAAAAACGTAACGAATGCTTACCCTGGGTCTGTGCCTCGGAGAGATCCTTCTTAGTGTTTTCCAAGCTATCCTGGACCCCTGCGAGTCTTTTCAATGTGGTTGTATAGGTCTCGTATAGTTTCCAATATTCATCACTAGACCGGGTTAGTGAGTGCTAAGAATAGAGCCGACTGAAAACGTACCTCTGCGTGGAGTTGGAACGGGCAAGTTGCACGGATGTGTTGAAATTCTCAGAAAATCCTTCTGTTTGAGACTCCGACTGGAAGATGTTAGTGAGAGCGTGATATATGGATAAATGAAACATACTGATGGCTCCTTCGCATCTGTCTCTCGCTTCAGTTCATCAGTGTCGGATTTCCTATACTTATGTTAGAGGCAATTGATAGTTTGTAGTGCTGGTGCTGCACATACAGTTGAGAATCCTTCATGCTCATCGACTCAAAGTCCTTGGATAGCGTCCCCTGCATTTTCGGTGTTTCAGAACCTGGCGAAGGACTACCAGGTAGGCCTTCCAGCTCCCGTAGACGTTCTCGCAGTTCACCGATCAAAGCATCGTCTCTCTCATGCTGCTCGTCGGCACTTTCAAGTCGCTCAGTCAGCGCGTGATTGTTAAACTCAAGTTGTTTCTTGAGATTCTGAATCTCATTACACTCCTGCTCAATACGAGGGAGAAGTTTTCGGTACTCCTCCAACTCGACATCACGCTCCGATGTCCATCGCTGCTGCGAGTCAGTCTCCTTCAACTGCTGCTGAAGATCCTTGATCTGATTCTTCAGAGTCTGGTTCTCTTTCTCAAAATCCTGACTCGCTTGAAGCTTTTGACGATACTTCTCAGCGGCATTCGCCTTGCGCGCCAGCTGATCTCTGTCCGTACGGAGCTCATCATAGTCATCCTGTAACTTCTGGTACCGTTGGTTCTTGACCTTCAGCGACTCAACCGTCATGCGTAGACTGTCGATTTCATCCTGAGCAGCAGTGAGTTTCGCCTCCTGAGACGCGATCAGATCATCTTGTTGTCTTGTTTTGCTCTCCAGTGCCTTCGCGTTGAACCCCAGATCGCCTTTACCGGACTTGAGGGTCACCAAGCGATCCTCGGTAGAAGCCAGACGATTCTGAAGAGTGTCGTTGTTTTCTTGCAGACGTGCCAGACGATTATGCAGGTCCTCCAACGCCTTCTCCAATTCCTTCTTCTCGTGGGATAGGCGATCGTTCTCCGCTAGCACCTTTCCCACGCGTTCCTCGAATTGCAATTCTATATCCACCGGGTGGTCTCGCTTTGCAAAGTCCTCTCGCAACTCGTCAGCTGCATCCATGGGCTCGTGCTGGCCATTGTGTGCATCTTCAATAATATCTTTCAGCCCCTCCTGGGTCGATGTGCTCAAGGCTTGGAGTGTCTGCACGTATGTCTCCGCATTGGGGGAGCTAATCGCGGCGATAAGAAGCAGTTTCAGCAACTTGTTCGTTTCCTTCGATGATGCTTTCTCGGCGATGGCTTCGAGATTGGGGGAGGGGTCGAGGCCCGAGGGTATGGTATCGTCGTTCTGGTGTCGAATATAGCTCAGCAGAAGCTTATGGATATGCTTGAGGTTTTGCCATTTGGCGACCCAATGATTATCGGGATTGCGCTCGGGGATCTCGTCGAGGAAGTATTGTGGATCGATGTCTTGGAGGATCTCCCATAGGATGATTCCATCGGTCAATTCATCCGTGGCGCGGAGTGTTTTGCCGAGGGAAAAGCTGTTGATCCATTCCAGCAGAACCTTGGTCACGTTGTGTTCCACGGACATGGCGTTGAGTGAAACGCACAGGAATGGATGTAGGTTCAAGTTTCAGCATTGACATTCCCCCGGGGGAGTTGGGGAAGAAGGATCCACGCGAGTCGCGTTCGGGGCCAGGGCGCCCGAGTAAAGCACTAGGCACTAGTGGGGATGATCATCCCGGTATTACAGATGCCTAATACTATGAAAGAATATGCAGGTACGAATACTCATATAGAAAAGTAGATATTGTACTCCGTAGGCAAAAACAAAGATAAATTAAAGAATGTAAATTTGAAATTCCATTCCACTTGTCCTAGTAAATCGATCAACTCCACAGCCCCCGCCCAGTCCGAGTCCTAGTTAGTGCCGCTCAGCAGCCCCATTTGGACAAGGCAGTAGTATTAAACCAGTATTAAGTATCAAATCCCATAACACATTCCTGAATCTGCGCCACATTGAACCTGCTGAAAAGAGATTGTCAAGTAATGAACCATGGTGCCCGACCGCTGTTCACTATCCGTCATATAGTCCTGCTATAAATAGCATAGTATCGTCCGAATATCGCTTTGTATTGGACCAGTCCATGCTGGGTTCTAAGGTTGATTTAGAAGTCGTGTGTCTGACCCACGTATTCGCCGTTAATCGACACGATCTTGTCCTCCTCGATTTCGGGTTTATATTGGATAGACTGGGAGGAGAGAGTCTGGAGGGCATTCACAGGAGCTTCAGCCGCGAATCCACTGTGTAATGTTAGTAGGGACCTCGAGAGGATGGTGATGACTGAATTGGATCATACTTGAAGAGGTCTGTAATGAGGCAAATAATTAGCGATTGTCATGAGATAAGAGCGTATGGGGAGAACTTACGATATTCATGAGTAATAATGCCACCCTGAAGGAGAAGAAGTCAGTTTCGCATTCTAAAAGATACTCAGGGTAACTTACCGCTGCGACTATAGCCTGCTTTGCGTCGTCAATAATCCCCGAAGGAGTTCCCTTGGGGTACGTGACGATGACGGACTTGAGGGCTTTAGCAGCCATCACCAAAGGGAGTAGAACCATGAGGGCGCTGATAAAGAACTTCATTTTGAATTGGTAGGTAAGTATTGAATATCGGGGAATTTAAATGAATCAGATGTAGAGATGTGTGCGAGTGTAAGAGTGTAAGAAGAGAGAGTATGTAATACTCCGCAAATGCCGTCATTGATCACCTGATCTAATCTCCTCCCTTTCATTCTTCCAACTTCATCTTCTCCTCATCATCACACACACACACACACACACACACTCTCTCTCTCTCTCTCTCTCTCTCTCTCTCTCTCTCTCTCTCTCTACATACTCACGACATCTCTCTTCTACTCTTTCGCATTCCAATTTCTACTTTTCAGCGTTGCATTCAATATTCAATCCGTTTATTCTAAATCCTTGGTGGACGATCTGGTTTCTCTCATCCTCGTGACTCGTGACTCGTGGTGGACTCAAGGGAATTTGGATTAGAATACGTGCAAGATAGCTAGCAAGCATTTACAAGTTCCGACTTTTTTCTCCATCTTATGTTGGTTTCCAGGGGATTTCACTCTGTGGATCACTCTGCTTAAGGAAGGACAATTCTGTTGATTAGTGACTCCAGATCAGGGAAAAAACAAGAACAAGAACAAGAACAAAGGGGGAAAAAAAACAAAAGAAAAAAGAAAGCACAGAAAAAGAAAAAAACAAGTGCAGTGCATGACAAACATCAGTGAATGAGATTTGACAAACAAGACAAAATTCAGAGAGAAAAAAAACCATTCACTGCGGACTCGGATCAAGTGAAGGATCTCATAATATCAGAGAGACTTAGTCTGCTCTGAAGAACTAATCTTTTTTTCTCAGCCTCCACTCCCTCCACTTCCTTTAACCTCTCCGACTCCTTCAACGTCTCAATCTCATCCAGCTTTTCAATTCAGCTCCCCGATCCATCCTTCACCATGTCGGACTACCCTTCCGATGAAGTTGCCGAGGACTACAAGTGCTCCCTGGAAGACTTGATCTCCAATGACCGTTTCCAAATCAGCAATTTGACTGTCATCGCCAAAGAGAACACTGAACATGCCGAGGCCATTTCAAAAGTCCTGCAGGACCATATCGGAAAGGTAGGTGTCGTCCTCGGTTCACCCTGTAGCATATTCTGACCATCAAGTAGACCCCGCCTCACTCGAAACTGCCCGCTCTTTATGTAGTTGATTCCATTGTGAAGAATGTCGGAACTCCATACACGCTTTTTCTGGGACGGAAGATGTACACAACCTTCCTGAACGCGTACACTTTGGTCGACTCTCCAACTCGGCGCAAATTGGATGAAATGTTGAAGACTTGGAAGGAGCCCGTTCCCGGCTCACTGGATACACGCCCCGTCTTTTCCCCTCAGATCACTCGCGATATCGAGACAGCCCTCATTAAAGCTCGCACGAAGTTTCTTGATTCTGAACGCCTGCGACGTCAGCCCGAAGTTAGCCGTGGTCGAGGCAGTGCGACTCCCACGGGTCGGCAGCATACACACCAGCAGTCGACCATGTCTCGGACAAATCATTATGGAAATCATGCAAACATTCCAAAGACTTCGGTAAGTTATCTCATGACGAGACTCTATAGGATCGAAGCTAATCTTCTCGTTAGACACCTCCAGGCAACCACTCCGATGGAGACATGGCAGCTCTGCACCAGGACTTGGAGAGATTGATCTTTGCAGCCCGAACTGACTTTGGGAATAATCCCTTCAGCCAAATTAGCCAACAGCGACTCAAATCACTACTTGATCTGCAGGGAATTATGCAAAACCAGCGTCTGAAACCAGAAGAACAAATGCTTGTTCGGGATCAGCTCGCCGCGTTCAAATTTCCCCATCCAGTAGTTGCTCCTTCTGCTCCTGCTCCCAACCCTCCAGTGTCCGCCCCAGCTCCCGTCTCAACACCACCTGTTCAATCCAATCCAGCTCTATCCTATCTTCTGAATTCTGAGACCATTGCCGGGCTTCTTAAGGCCACAGCCATCAATCAGCAACCCACTCCTCCGCAGATCCCCAATGTTCTCTCTCATATGCCTCAGATTCCTACCACCACCAGCACCCCACAATCGGCAGAGAACCCCTTGATCGCTGCTCTCAGATTACGGGGGCTTTTGCCTCCTGCATCCGCGCCGCCAATGATGAACTCCGGCGGGTCGGCTCCCGCTGGAGGCCTCCCATTCCTTATTCCCGGCCAACTTCGATGTACACCACCCGTGCCCACCCCTCAGGCACCTACTCCAGTCAATGTCTCGTCAACAATTCCTATGAACTCCTCTTCCATGAAAATGTAGGTCCAAACTTTTAACTCCCATTGTGTATTCTTATGCTTATTCATCATATATAGTCATCGAGTCGCACTGGTCGCATCTCTCTATGAGGCGAAATCAAACAAATGTGGAACCTGTGGCCGCCGTTTTTCAGCAACCGAGGAGGGTCGCGAACAGAAAGCCAGACATTTGGATTGGCATTTCAAGACCAACCAGCGCATGGTCGACGCTAGCCAGCGAGCTCAGACTCGCAGCTGGTATGTCGATGAAGGAGTATGTATTCCTCCCAGTTTGGATGGGCATCAAGCTAATCATAAATAGGATTGGATTCAATCTCGCGAAGTTGATGATGACCAAGGCATAGCTGACTCCGAAGGCAATGCTGAAGGAGCCGCCGGCGCTGAAGGTGATGCATCCAAGCAAGGACCGCCCAAGCAGTGGATTCGAGCCCCGAATGATGCCATGCTCCGCAATACCCCCTGCCCTATCTGCCAGGAGAAATTCGAATCAACCTGGTCCGAAGAAGTGCAGGATTGGATCTGGCAAGATGCTGTTACTGTTAATGGTCGAGTTTATCATGCCAGCTGCTACGATGAGGTTACTAAAGATGGGCCGGCTCCACGTAGCTTTACCCCGCAGGCACGCACTGGGACTCCGGATTCTGTGCTGGGCAAGCGAAAGGCAGAGGTGAGTTCAGTCGACTTGATATCATTCCTTGGAAGTATTTACTGATTGATTTCTTAGGGCATTGAATCTCCTGGGCAGAAAGTACGCATTAAGACAGAGCATTGAAGGAATGAGCAAAACTATCAAAATTAGCAAACCATACTCATTATCAAAATAATATTCAATATTTTATCAAACTCCATCGTATATCCATCTTTCGTAGTGTAGCATAATCATGTTGCTTTGCCCCGCTCGGCGCATCGGCGCATCTCATTTCCCCCACTTCAAATGAACCCTAAAGATCATCATCTCTCCTCTCCTCCCGAGGTCCTTTCCTCTAAACAACACTTCTCACTACTGATCAATTGATTTCATCGTCTCTCAACAATCAACAATCAAAATGGCACACTTAATCAAATGGGGTATCATGGGTATGACCAACCCGCAAGGACTCAGAAATAAATATGGTACATTTAAATGCTAACTAAGGATATAGCCACGGGTGGAATCGCAAAGAGTAACATCCCTGTCAACCTGCAGGTACATAGTACAACGGCTAAAATCAACAGCATTCGTCCGCGATCTCCTTAAGGATCCCAAAACTCGCGACGCCACCGACATAACCCACCAAGTGGTCGCCGTATCATCCTCCTCTTCAAAGGAACGCGCAGACCAATTCATCACCGAACTCGACATCCCATCTCCATGTACCGCATACGGCTCATACGAGGAACTAGTTGCAGATGCAAACATTGATGTCGTTTACATCGCCACTCCACACTCACACCATTATCAAAATGCCATGCTAGCTCTCGAGGCCGGTAAACATGTTCTCTGTGAAAAGGCATTCACGGTCAACGCGGCCCAAACCAAGATCTTGGCTGAGACAGCCCGCAAGAAGAATCTCTTCCTTATGGAAGCTGTTTGGACTCGGTACTTCCCTTTGAGCATTCAAGTTCGGGATCTGATTAAGCAGGGTGCTATTGGTGAGGTGTACCGCGTTATTGCGGATACGAGTTTCAGTAATGATCCGGAGAATACGTTTGGTCTGGAGAACAGGATGGTGAACCTTGATCTTGCAGGTGGATGTTTACTAGACTGTGAGTTGACCCTTCCTTTCCAGGGAATATTTGAAGCATTGACATTGATATCAGTGGGAATCTACTCCCTAACCTGGATCTTCCAAACTCTCTATCATACTCTTCCAAAGGACCAAAGAAAACCACCAACTGTTACATCCCAGATTACCCCTTACCATCTCACAGGATCTGATGAAGCAACTACCATGCTACTCTCTTTCCCAACATCAACACCATCTAATGGTCCGAATGTGAAATACTCACAGGGAGTAGCAATGACAAGTATGCGAGTAGGAAATGACCCCGATGAAAAGGGCACAGCTGGTCCACCAATTCGGATTCAGGGTGATAAGGGTGAGATCCAAGTTTTCGGATTTCCCTTCCAACCTACGAGATACAGAGTTATCCCGAACAAGGGACTCGGGGAGGTGAGAGATGTGGAGTTTGAGTTCCCGGCTCAGGGACGTGGAATGTACTGGGAGGCTGATGAGGTTGCGAGGTGTTTGAGGGATGGGAAATTGGAGAGTGAAACCATGTCCCTCGAGGAGAGTATTGTTATTATGGAGGTTATGGATGAGGTTAGAAGACAGGGTGGTTTGGTTTATCCTGATTCTATTGAGTCTACTGAGTATCCGTTGAAGTTGTAGTAAACACCGTAGTGTCAGTGACAATGGCATTCTATTGACTTGAACATAATATTATTCATACTCATTGTTCACACTGATTGTCCATTGTTTCAAGTTCGGTCTACTACTGGAGTATAATAACGATTATTGTTCTGTTTACTGTTCTAGTGTAATGTTCCAGGTTGATTCTCGGTCCGATCACAATGTATTGGTACTCAAGTACACATACTATACATGGCCAAGGAGACAGATTAATCTATATGATATTCATCATGCCAGTCCAGATTTCCTCATGTTCTTCCAAGCCAAACCCAAACAAAAGAAAAATGGTAAAAACATTACAAGAACTCAGACATGACAAGGCCTCCACTTTTGCTTTTTAGGAGGTATAAGTTTTGGCCATCCTCCCAACTCAAGAACCCTCTAGTTCTTGTGGAAAACACCCAGGAGGCTCTTCCAGACCTGACCAGGCTCCTGGCTGGCGTCAATGCCGCGCCAGATACCGGTCTTCTTGTAGTATTCGCAGACAGGGGCGGTCTGAGCGTGGTAGGTAGACAGACGCTTGGTGAGGGTCTCGGCGTTGTCATCGGAACGCTGGATCAAAGGCTCGCCAGTGACATCGTCCTTCATGTCGGACTTGGGAGGGTTGAAGATCTTGTGGTAAGAGCGACCGGAGGCAGGGTGGACCAGACGGCCAGTGATACGGGCGACAAGGAGAGCATCGTCGATCTGCAGCTCAACGGCGTGCTGGAGCTTCTGCTTACGCTCAGTAAGCATGTCATCCAGACGCTCGGCCTGAGCGACTGTGCGAGGGAAACCATCGAGAATGAAGCTGTGGAGTTGTTAGCCGCTAGCTGTGGATATTTGGACGCGTTTTTTCCTTCTTACCCGTTCTTGCACTCGGCGTTGTTCTCCAGCTCGCTCTTGATCATGCCAATCATGATCTCGTCGCTAACGAGACCACCCTGGTCCATGATCTTCTTAGCTTCCTTTCCGAGCTCGGTCTTCTTCGCGACCTGGGATCGCAGCATGTCACCGGTAGCCTATTCGGGAAAACACTCAAGTTAGCAAACAGAGTATCTCTGTAAGTGAAAAGGGGGCAATTGGATAATCTCATACCAGGTGGCACGCGCAGTACTTGTCCTTGATGTTCGGGGCCTGGGTACCCTTGCCTGCGAAGTGTTAATTAACCGTGACCGTAGTCCATCCGGAATCTCGGGGATTCCCAAAGGTAATAAGATACTCACCAGCACCAGGAGGACCCATCAGGATGATGCGCATCTGCTCAGCAACTGACTTGGGCTTCTCGCCGCCATTGACCAGGCGCTGCTCCAGGTCGACAACCTTAGCCTCCAGCTTGGCGATGGTGTCCTGCAGACCGGAGACGACCTCTTGAGTGATAGGAGCCATTGTGATTGAGGAGAGTGGGGAGGAGTCTTAAGAACCTAAGGGAAGTGTAGATGGGTAAGAGAAGAGAAGACGGGGAAAGATGGAGAAGACGGAAGGGAAGGAAATAAGACTTAGCGCCCGAGGTTCGGAGGCAATTGCATATAACTGCAGAGGAGAGCTGAATGTCCCTCGGGATACACCATTATTCCTTGTTTTATAGTCAATATTCTGGTGGATAAATTATATTCTAGACCAATACTGAATTTCTATATTATTTTTTTATAATTATATCTATAATTGTCAAGACTACTATCATATTAAATTGTAGGCAATTTGTCTGATGCTTACTAAGAATACCAGCCGCAGTGGCGCAAACACCGAAGCTCCCAGCTGGGAGAGGTCGAATGCTAGAGCATCATCCTACTCCGAATTCCATTCACCTTCATCCTCCATCTCATCCGGTGATAACCATCTGTTAACCCTATACTTTACTCCTCCTTTACTCGGATTTTTCTTCACACTCCTCCACCATGCCTGCCACCACGGCGGACACCTTATCCCTCGTCAACCGCAGCGTCACGGTTGCCCCGTTAGTCCTGCTTTCTGTCGCCGATCACTACGGACGTACAGCAAAGGGAACTCGCAAGCGTGTAGTGGGTGTGCTACTGGGAGAGAACTCGGGCAACAATGTGCGGGTATCCAACAGTTTCGCAGGTACGTGATATACCAAGCTACAGATCATTCCCATGTCCTCATCACAAAGCTAACCATCGCGATATCTAGTGCCGTTCGAGGAAGATGAGAAGGACCCATCAGTGTGGTTCCTGGACCACAACTTCGTCGAATCCATGAGAGACATGTTCAAGAAGATCAATGCCCGGGAGAAGTTGGTTGGCTGGTATCACTCTGGCCCCAAGCTACGCGCTTCAGATCTGGAAATCAACGAGCTCTTCAAGAAATACACCCCGAACCCCTTGTTGGTCATTGTCGATGTACAACCCAAGGAGGTTGGTGTCCCTACAGACGCCTACTTTGCCGTGGATGAGATCAAGGATGTGAGTACTTCTTTGTTGACAGCCCTGTTGAAACCTATCAAGCTAATGTATACAGGACGGAACCACAACCTCAAAGACCTTCGTGCATACACCATCGATAATTGAGGCCGAGGAAGCAGAGGAAATCGGTGTGGAACATCTTCTCCGCGATATCAGGGATGTAGCCGTCGGCACTCTTTCCACACGTATTACCTCACAGCTGCAATCATTGCAAGGGCTGCACCTCCGACTCCGCGATATCGGTCAATACCTTCAAAAAGTCCTCGATGGAGAACTCCCAGTCAACCACGCTATCCTGGGTAACCTTCAGGATGTATTCAACCTCCTTCCCAACCTGTCGACCCCCGCACAGACACCACGAATCAGCGGCCAAGAGACACAGATCGAGAACAGCGAGCTGGCCCGGGCGATGAGCGTGAAGACAAATGACCAGCTTATGGCTATCTACATTAGTAGTTTGATTCGCGCTATCACGGCTTTCCATGATCTGATTGAGAACAAGATTCAAAACAGACAGCAGCAGGAGGAGAATGATACAAAGCGTGAGGAGCTGGACAAGGAGAAGGATGGTAAGAAGGAGAAGGATCAGAAGGAGGATGAATCTGATAAGAACAAGAAGAAGAATTAAGCTACGTTTAGGTAGATCATGACATGATAGACTGCTAGAGTACTAGCGGTGGTTAAGTTAACCAGTCTGGTGTTTATTGTATGCTCCGTAAATAGTTGTATGAAGTATATGGACTATGTCACTCTTCTAAAAATCAGTTGAATCGCCATCTTTTGAAGTCATTATTAATGATTATCCACCAAAACCAGCACACCACCCCGCCAACTCCTCTTTAGAAATAATACATCTCCCATCTCCACAACCTCCAAATAAACCAGGACATCGAATAAAAAGCAAACAAGCAAGAATATGTTTACAAATAGGAGGAGAAGCCCTGTCTCGAACAGAAGTAAGAGTCCCACCAAAGGGATACGGATAGGGATAGACATTTCCACTCTGATCCGGGTCCGCTATGTGTATACCAGAGGGATATTCAAACTGGTGATTCAATCTAGAAGGATCCCGAAATGCAGAGAGCGCAAATGTAGGACATGTACAATTCCATGCATGTAATCTGACTTCGTATCCTTTGATTTGTTCCTGTGTCTGCGTCTGTGTCTGTGTTTGGGGTGGAACATTGCCGGGTGTAGATGGAGATGATGTCCCAGGAGGTTTGGGTAAAGGAGCCGATGAAGCAGATATCACGAAGAAAATGTCTTCAGATTGTGCGGATGTGTCACTCTTTGTATTTTGTTTCAAGTTTTGGGATGGATTCATTGTCATTTCTTGATCTCGTGAGTGTTCCAGCTCTGAGTGACTCGGAGCTGTAGGATCATCCATTCGATCCTCGCGTATAAAGCGCTGCACGAGTCCTCGGTCCAAGATATCAAGAGCTGGTAGGAGATCATTCGGGAATAGAGAATGTATTGTAAGCATCAGAGGCTTCACTTGGGCGAGTTGTGAAGCTGGTAGTGCAGAGAGTGGGTTGGGTGGTTTTTCCTCAAGTTGGGTTCCACGTTGTGTTCTTGGTAGGTCCTCGATTGTCTGTTCAGGAGCTTGGAATTGGGATAATTGGTTGATCAGGTGGTCCATGAATATTGGACCTGGTGATTTGCTTGGTTGTGAGTTCTCCATTGTCACTATTGTCACTGTGAAGTGAGGTTGAGTCTTCAATCTTGTGTGGAGTGGAGCGGGTAGAAGATCAACTTCAACCTACTACTTATATCATTGTATATAGTATCATAGTATTCCACCAATCTTCAAAATCTGAATACTACGTACATACATAGGCACAATATTGGAATATTACACTCTTGATCATAAAGACTAGTATAAACTTTGAAGAACCAATATACTACCTAGTTCAATTCCAACTTGAACATTGAAGGTTGCTACTAGTAACATGAGGCAGTTTCAATATACTACATCTACCACTAGTAGTACCTACAAATAGTACTATATGCATCATCAATTTTGGGCAGTGCTAGTAACTTGAACATTTAAATAATCTTGTAAAAAACTATATCTCTAAATGTAAAATTGAACTTGAACAAGATCAAATTGACAACCTTTGAACTTGAATAATCGAACTATCTACTACTATCTACCTATCTAAGTGCTTAAACTCATAAACACAATGCTAACTTAAACCCCCATACATAAATATATCAATATTCCAAAGAACTTGAAATACTACTCCAAGCACCGTGGACTCAGTTCCCCTGGCAGCTCTTCTACTCAGCCTTCTGACATTTCACTATGGGAAGAAGAGTCACCATCCTTGGACTTCTTCCCATTCTTCTTCTTATGCTTCTTCTTGTTCTTTTTCTTATCCTTCTTATCCTTCTTCTCTTTTCCATTCTTCTTCACTCCTGAATCCTTTGGCTTCAAAACCTCTCTTATCTTATCCTTCAACTTGTCCGCGCTCTGCTTTAAGCTGCTCCTTCTACTCTCCTTCCCTGTCTTTGCCTCTCCCTCTTTCTTCTTATCCTCCTTCTCCTTTCCCTCCTTTTCTTTCTTCTCCTTCTCTTCTTTCTCCTGCTTTTCCTTCTCCATTTGCTCTCTCTGTTGGGCCTCAGTCTTGGGCCTATGAGCCAGAATAATATCTTTAATATCAAATGGTCTCGTTTGGGAAGGATCGGCAAGCGTCCTCATTCCTAGGGGTCTATTGTTCGCAGGCTTCTTCACATTGGACTTCTCGTCAGGTGTCATCAATCCGAGTCGACGCTTCCGATCAGCAATAATTCCAGCCCTTATGTGGTCTCGACGCCGCTTCTCGGTCCCCTCATCTTTTAAGTACCCATCCATTGAGCAGCTCTCAATTATATGGTTGTCCCTATCAAACAAGGTCAACTCCAAAGTGCCGGTTGTCGAACTGGGGAACCCTATCAGATGCATTGCTCTCTTTTTGAGTGGATCTATTGCGAAGCCGACGAGATCAACAGACCGAGTAAATGATCCATCGACATCAGTAAACGTGATCATCAGCCTCTTTGCCCTTTCGAAGTCCTGTGCGGTCCAATGTGACAGGTTCAGCATCTCTCTCTCTTGTTTCTCCTCTTCGGTCAAATTCTCAGTTTCAGGTACATCCAAGTCCATTGGGTCTTCTCGCATGCCATCTGGATTGAAAACAATTGTCGGGTGACTTTGTCGATTTTCGGGGATATATCGACGATATCCCAAAATGTAAGCCTGCTGCTCGGCGTCTCTAGTATGTGCAAAGTCCTCATACTTGTCGATTGGCCAGCTTTGATCATCATCAAACATCGACCACTGCTTGCGTCCCTTGGCATAACAATCATAGTGACCTTCTTGGAGGCTCTCACCCCGGTGCATCGCCACCCAAAACAGTTCATAATGACACCTTGCGTTTTCAGTAGTCAAGTTTAAGCGTGGATCAAAATGCTCAACATCGAACTCTAGCTTCTCCACAAGTTGGATTTGCCGTAAGCTCTTCTTTGGCTCATCATTGTCCTGGATCATTCGGTTGACTTGCACAAAGAGAACCTCGGGTGGAAATGCGATAACTTCCGTCTGCTGTCCACGATTCTTGCAAGCCTCACACTTGCCAGTGACTTCAATTTTGCGACTAAAAAACTCGTTGAGTGCCCCTTGCACGGAGAACTTATATCCGGCTTTGTTAGAATGAAGAGGAAAATCCACGCGCAACATCGACTCCTGGTGCTCTACATAGTGAGGTTCACTACAAGCCCCAGAGCCTTGACACGCGCACTTGGAAAGCATTGGGAGATCAAAAATTCGATCAAATTGGTTTATAGCTTTCAGACTTTGAAAAAAGAATTAACTCACGTCTTTAACAGTTTTGATAGAGATGGGGAAATCATACCTCTGTGGATCGATTTCAGCACGCAATATGTTAACAAGAACCGGCCAAAACTCTGCAGGATCCTGTTGTCCATCAACATGATCTTCAGTCTCACTCCATTCGGCAAAGATCCTATCCCACATGTTATTGAAAAGAGTTCTGTAATGATCCTCAGACAAGTCCTCATTCATGAACCAAGGATCTTTCGACGGACGTTCGGTCCAGTAAGTAGCGTAAATTGTCCAGATTGAGCATAAGTAACACTCCTCGCCTCGAGTTCGACAAATCAAATCATCAATGGGAATGAGTCCAACTTGACTTTGACTTTCTGGTAGTAAATCGTCCTGATTGACTCCAATATGCTCCAGCATGTAGTTCTCGAGCCAGTTGATAAATGGGGGACAGTGCATAAGCATCTGGAATATGACATTGCGGTAATCTGATGTACCATCGTTTGGAAATCCATTTCCTGATCTGCCGTATACTGGAAAGTGAGGTGCCCACATGCGACCATTTGGAGGGTGATATTCCTGTCAAGTTAAAATGTTAACTCTGTACCTGTATTGAGAGGGTCGAAAGTTCTTACCTTGAACACATCTTGAAGCCCTTTAGTACCTTTACTACTAGTAGGTGAGCTCAACGCTGACGGGGAGCTCTGAGCCCACATTGACTGGGACATGATGGATCTACTCTGGTGTATCACGTTGAGATGAAAGATAAATTAGAATGAGAAACGCTCAAAAGTGAAGAATTCAAGAGCATGAAGTGAAGATTATCATGAATTTATGTTTTTGAACTGAGAGAATCCATGAAAGAAATGATAGATGTCTCCAAGGTTGTTCAAGTGTAAAGTTGAAGGGATATTCCCTTGGGTATGATATTTCTTTGTAGATAGTTATTTACCCTCGACTGATCTCTAAGAGCAAAAAGGCGTCGAATTTGAAAGAGATCCAGAAATTCTCAACATACTAGCCATATAGAATTCAAATGTTCCATATTTAGAGTCATCATTCTCATCTTTTCTTTCAGGTGTATGCATTGACATCTTTCTTTTCTTGGTTCATTCTCGATGGACAAAGCGACATATGGACTTCCAGTTGGCTTACCCGATTTCATTCACCAAGCCCTGGAGTTAAAACCCTGGAGTTGAATGCAAAGAATATTCAAAGGAGATCGAGTTCAAGTTTCCAACCTTGGAACCAATGAATCAGCATGTCTTTACTACTCTCTTTTCGCACGATTCCCTGCACTCTGACCTGGAACAGTCACGGTCTTTGATTTTCCACGTCAAGCACTGACCCTATGACCCTACCTGACCCCCTATGATTATGACCCTGGAATGAAAACTCGAACAGGGGTGGGGTCAACACGAAACATGATGAGTCTAGACACTACGGAGTACACATGTGCAGATGAGTACCTGTACCGGTTGTACCTGTACCTGAGTTGACACGTTGAACCAGAACCAAACCACACTGTGGGGGCTGTCATGCCGAACCGTGAATCCCAATGATCAACCGACTCCGCAATGGTCCAGAATCGCACACGACCATGAGTCTAGACTGGAACGACTTGAATAGTCCCTGGCTCCTTTAATTACATGTGAGCCATCAACTGTTAGAGGATCGTCTGAGTTATTACTATATCTGTGGCAGATGGCACGATGAGGCACCTGAGCAGGATTTGGACACATCACCTGGGAGTTGACAACTGGACAACCCATGACATTATGACATTATGACAGCTACCCTGGAGAGCTCCGAGGTCATCAAAAGTACTGAAGTATACTCCATACGAACACCTGGAACTGCTGGGCAATAGTTAAAATGATTTAGTCACGAACTAAACCAATTTCCACCAAGAACTCCAAGACCCGAGGTTACTACACGCAGAATTGCAGGAACCGGTTCCTGGAGATTGCTTCCCGCCTGCAATCTATTCCAGACCCAGAAGACCAGACCCATTACGAAGACTCCATAGAGTGAATCTGTTGAGTCTAGAGTGCGAGTGAAGGTTCTCCTCTCTCCCCTCCAACTCAAAGCGTGTTTCAGATCCCGAGTGGATCCCGACCTGACGAAAAAGACCAACTGAATTAACTGAATTGTGCCGAGGATTGATTGGTCACCAGTTCGATCGTGCACTTGAGATCCGGCCGAGTCTGAGCCCGAGTCCAAAGGCGATCACTTGTGTTTTGCCTCTAATTTAATTAGCCCCTTCATTTCGGCTACTGGTATTTTGACTTGACTTTTTACTAACTTCACAAGTTCCAAGTTTTTCTTCCTACTTAGAACTTGGAATAACTCAGTACAACATGAAGTCACTTATACCTTATTCTTTAGGTATAATTCTACTTATTCTCGGGATATTTCATGACAGCGGCGTTCCTCGCGTCTACCGATGATCCACCGTTGCGCGCACTGCCCCATCCAAACGGTTGGGCGCCACTTCAGCTCTGCCACCCTTAAGTGGAGTGACCCCGTCGTTCTCATCGGGCCTTCCGAACGGGACAGGGCTGCATTGGGTCCATAAGAAACGTGATATTATACAGAGTATACGGAGTACGAAGTACGTGATATCCATACTCACAGCACAGGGCTGGGCTAGTTAAACAGAATTGAAACAAATGAGGAAATGAGAAAATTAAAAAATTAAAAAAAAAATGAGAAATGAAAATGAAAAGGAAAAAAAAACCGGGTCCAGTGGATGTGTCGGACATTTCGGGCGATCACTGCGAAATTCATACATATACGCCACCAGCTCGTCGGCCACTTCCACTTAGGTCATAGTGGTGATGATCGAACGTTGAACCCTCCACTTGGATTCTGTACTTGGTGAGGATTCGTCACTGATTAGACCCTCGTAGCCTTGATAGCCTTGAAGATCGACAGGATCTTTCATCGCTTGGGATCATGCCATACTGACCTGGATAGTATGGGGCTCAGTACAGTTACGAGTAATGTACTAGTTCTATTTCTGGACAGGAATGATATTCGAGGAAGTAAGATTCAGATTATGTATTCAGATTATTCAGATTATTGAACATGTTCGAGCTTGAAGAACCTCTCCACCGCCACTTCATTTCCAGGTATCCAGGGTTAGACTGCATTAGGGCAATTGGGGCTCCGCGCCAATCACGGAGAATTAGCCATTTTAGTTACTTCAAATGTTTATACTCCAGGGCTATACTCTGTCCACACGTATTTTATATTTTATATTTCTATTTTATCAGGTATTAGGCCAACCCTCTTGACTGGGACTGAATGCCATTGTGACCCACCAGTCCCTTAATCTGTGGGAACGCGGATACATGGACATCTAGACCGTAATCATTTTAATCATTTACCTTCATTTCCCGTTTAATTAAGGGTAATTCTTCATATTACTCAAACATGATACAGATATAAAATAGTCTAGGTAGAATACCTAGGTACTAAATAAATATTCTATGTAGTACTATGAACAGGATAGATGGATATTCTGGAAGAACTGCGCATTTCACTGTAATTTATGTATATTATTATGTATTATGACGTATATTATACTCAAAGGTTAATATAAACACCTGCATATGTGCACACCTGGGCAGTGGGCATGACTCAATACACACTCTAGGTAGTGGCTGTGATATCAACCACGAGCATGATATCAACAATATAAAGTTAAATAGATTATACAAACATCAAAAGAGGGGGAATCAAGCCACCAAGCCCTAAACGATCCAGAAAATCCCCGGTTGGTTGCACTGCACTGCACACCCCAAAAGAGGCAACGCTCTAGGTGGGACGGAGATCCTAACACTATAATATACTATACTACACTATACTAGGAGGATACTAGAGAGTATTCTAGTATTTAGTATCTAGTATCTAGTATCTAGTATCTTAGGGCTACTAGTAGAGAAGATACCTAGGTAGAGAATAAGTACTTCCAAGGTATATAATACAGTACGTACCTAAAGTGGAGCCACCGTTAAGTCCATTTTAGTCGCAACGGTAGAATCACATTAGCGTCTGGGCTGGAGCGTTAATGGTCAGTGCTTTCTCATTTCACCAAGGATGATGCGGGTCTTTGGTGTATTATGCTGTATTCTAAAATAATAGAATTAAATAGAATTACCTAGGTAAAAATAATAATAATAATAATAATAATAATAATAATAATAATAATAATAATAATAATAATAATAATATGAATGGTTCATCTTATATTCATTAGGATCCGTTGCTTTTATTTCCTAGTTCTGATTTCATAATTAATTGGTATTTTATCGTACTTTTATGGTATAATATACTCACTTCTGGACTCTATCATTTCTTCTAGACTCATATCAACCCTACCCCTCTCAATTCAAGCTTCAATCTTCTTACTTCCTACTTCCATCTTTACTCTCTTTACTTTCTCCCCTCTCTCTCTCTCTCTCTCTCTCTCTCTCTCTCTCTCTCTCTCTCTCTCTCTCTCTCTCTCCCCGGGTTCTTCTCTTCTTGATCCACGGTAACCTCCAGTTCGGCCTGTCACTGGATCCTCCCAACTCTCCCTCCTCTGACCTCATTATTTGTTGCACGAGACGGCGCCGGTGTTTGAGTTTACTATTGGAAGCATCACGGAGCATTTGATCCAAGTTTTCTCCTAGACCCAGTTTGTCCCCGGCAAACCATTTGATATAATTTTTTTCTTCTATATCCTGGTTCAAAAAGTTTTATTTTACTTTTTCACTCGTCTTCCCCCCGTTTGCTCTTGCTTGTTGGTGTGTGTGTGGTGTGGTTCCCGTCCAAATTGCAAACAAAATATTCCTTCGCTTTGATTCAACAAGACTCTTTACCACCCATCGCGCTTATGATTGCGTTACAAAATCGGCCTATCTTGCCGCCCGCCAAAGTGGATATCTCACTATTACTCAAGCCCCAAGATGAGGAAGAAGTCCCCTCAGGCAATCCTACCCCCTTCTACCCTCCAAGGACTTTACCAGGACCACCAGTTACCGCTCTTGCTGCTCCATTTGTGTCTGCTCCTCTGGTTCAGCCCCCTCCTTTGACAAAATCTGGTCCTACGGGGGCTCCTAAGCGGTTGCAACCTGCCCATACAGCAGAATCCCCAGCTAAGAAGCAGTCCAAGTGGTCGCCCGAAGAAGATGCCTTGATCATTGAGTTGAGAGGAAGTGGGATGAAATGGGAAGATATTAGTAAACGGTTACCAGGTCGCAGTGCGATCAGTTGTCGTCTTCACTATCAGAACTATTTGGAACGACGAAGCGAATGGGATGAAGATAAGAAGAACAAACTAGCGAGATTGTATGAGCGGTATGTTTTTTTTTTCTTTTTTTTTACCACATTGACAAGTTGTCATGGTTCTTACTAGTTTGCATTCTCTAACAATAACAGATTCAAGGCGGAAATGTGGTCCAAAGTCGCAGAAGAAATGGCTATCCCATGGCGTGCGGCTGAAGCAATGCACTGGCAACTAGGAGAACAAGAGATGGCCCGTCGCGCTGGTGTTGTTCCTTTCTCCCTTTCAAGCCATGCCATTGATCCCCCAACTACCAGGACCCGTCGCGCCAGTACCTCTCTCACTCGTCCACGGAAGAGTTCAACCTCCCGAGCCATCCCCGGTCACCTACCAGGTCTAGCAGCTCAACTTCCTTCTCTGGAGGAATTGACTGCTGGTGTCCCCGCGTACGCTCCCGCTCCACCTCCTCCACCACCACGGGAGTATTACGGACTTGCTCGACCAGATCTGGGGAATCTGGGGATTCCCCCACCAGGAATGATGGGTCCGCATATGGGAATGCCTCCACGAACTTTGCCCTAGGGATTGATGACACGCCCACAAACGGCTTTCCTTTTGTTTTGTGTGAAATTTTTTTTGATACGACTTGCATAGCGCCGGTTGGAGGTATTCGTGATTTTCGATTTCACTTTTGGGCCGTTCAATAGATTCGCCCAAGCGTTTATTCGATTAACTGGGCTTTTTTTGACCAAGCTCTCGATATGATATCCCGGGGTCATCGGTATGAGATGATCATTTCGAGCAGGTCTCATTTGATCTTAGGTGTTGCAATAGCCCACCAATTATCTTTCTCATATCCTGATCTCACCACATCCCCATCCGCCATCTGAATATCCGACTCAAGTTCCCCCTCTTGGAAAAGATGATAGTACCGATTGAACGTCTGCGACTTATTAGGTTCTGTCGCATTCTTCCGTACCCACGGAACCATGATATCTTGTTCATCTCCTTTATCCCATCCGCGCCGACTATTCTTTTGTTCCAGCGCCCACGCATAAATCAGTACCGTGCCACCGGGTTTCACGGTTCGGAGAATCTCCGCAATGGCTGCTACGCGGCGAGATGGTGTGGAGAGGTGGTGGACGACGGCAATACAGATTGCGAAATCAAAGAAGGCATCTCGGTGTGGCAAGTGGAGAATATCGGCTACCACGGCTGCATGAGGATGGTGCTGATGAGCGATTCGGGCGAGATTTTCAGATCTGCTCGATGTGAGTAAAGATAAATTAAAAAATATATTTATACCAGGTACTGGTTACCAGGCACGAAGTTCTGAAGTAGTGATGTAATGTAGACTGACCGATCTGATCCAATTATGAAAATGTCTCGATTGACTAGTAGATTCTTTCCATTCCCACATCCAACATCTATTCCAATTGACCCGGCTGGTATTTCTTGGAGAAAGGATTCAACAATTGGCCATGACTGTAGAAATTAGTATTATATCGCATGTGAATGTAAGTGGGATGGTTATAGTACCTTGTAACGGGTTGCGGAAAAGTGCTGCGCGATATGTTGATAGACTTCGTGTACATTATCTTGCTCGTATTGATCTGCCTGGGATTCGAGTTCGGCCATTGTGGTGTATGAATATGAATATGAATATGAGCATAATGATAATGATAAGTTAAAGATCGAGATCGAAGCGAGGGGTATCACGTGGTTCGGACTTTATTTTTCGTGATTGGTGGGGTATTCTACTTCTTACATTCTAGATCATAACATCCATTATGATGTTTCTTCCAATGTTATTAAATTATGAAACTGACTACATCATGGGTATATCATTCTCTATAATCTCCTAGCATAGTTCTAGGCAGGTACCTATCCTCCGGCTAGATACTTTATGAGCCTCAGTATAGTACAGAATCTACACAGTATAACTGAAATAGAAATAGTAACACAGTCCCTAAATCGGGATTCTGCTCAATTTCCAATTCACCCACATGTGTCCGTTATACTTCTCTCGTAGCACCAATTCTCTCCTCTTACTAGTAGGTACTACAATCAACCCGAGTTCTCCTCGTAGTACTACTACCAGGTACAAGGCACAGAACCTGTGGAAGGTTCCATGGATGACTAAGCATGCAGGGCCGCTTCATCGATATCGGATCGGGCATCTCTTAGGATTGGAACTGGTTCAGGGATTACCTGGTATGTATTCTTATTAGGATTTATGGCTTGATGACAATGTCGGGCTCAGTTGATGATTACTGAGTCTCCATGAATGTCTTTTACCGTGTGATCTTTATCGATACTGACACTCGTGCAGAACATTGAGAGCACTGAACTGAGCTGAATTGAATCCCTCTGAGGCATTATTGAAATGGCTTTCCAACCAACTCCAATGGACATCTCTGTCCAAATTACCAATGCCACAGTTGCCAAAAGTGCTGGACCGGCCTTCGTCACTGAACGCCGCATCACGCCCACATGGACGGTGCTGCAAGTCAAGTCCAAGCTGGAAACCATGACTGGTGTCCCACCATCTAACCAGCGTCTTCTTGTTAAGGTTCCTGGAAGACCGGATCAGTGGGCTGATGGAGACGAGAGGATTATTGGGGAGTGGGGAATTGTGAAGGGGTCTGAGATTGAGGTTAGTCTTATTACTTTGCTGGGTTTGTTTTGTTTTACTCGGTCTGGATCTGGAAGTGCATCTGATAGTACCATCATTATGGATGCACTTGATTTCTAATGAAATACCGGCATTAATGACCTTGCTTATTTGAATTGATACTAATGATTATAGGTCCACGATACTCGCCCTCAAACTATGAGAGTGAACTTCACCGATCTCTCCTCAGTAGAAAAATACGAACTCCCAACAGAGACGTATGAAAACCTCTCAAACTCCGTTTTGGCATGGAAGAAGAACCAGAAACTTGGTCGCTTTGATCCGAATGCCCTTTCTCCTGAGGAATCTCTGCGTATGCAGGTTCAAAAGGATACGAGTGAAGTTGTTTCTAAAGGTATGTCACTGAACTAGCAGAGTATATGATATTTTATGAGAAGATCACTAATTATGAGTAGGTATTGCTGTGTCAAAGAGAGCTATTATCCTCCCCTCTTCTCCACCGCATATTAGACGTGGAACTATCCGTTTCGTTGGTCCCGTACCCTCAATCCCTATTACAGGACCGGGTCGTGAACTCGAGAAGGAGGGTGAACTTCCCGTTGAGTTGCAGCCTATCTGGGTTGGTATTGAACTGGATGAACCCACTGGAAAGAATGATGGGAGTGTTAATGGGAAACGCTATTTCGAGTGTCTTGATAAATGCGGTGCGTTCGTGAAGCCGGAGAAGATTGAAGTCGGTGATTTCCCGCCGCTGGATCTGGATGATGAGTTGGATGAATTGATGGAGGAGATTTGATTGATCTTGAATCAAAGTAATAGATCAGAATGATACATTTTATTCCTGATCCTAAGGTATTCTTTCAATAGACATGATTAAACCCGATAACCCAAAATCCCGGTTAACATCAAAACACAAAACACTCGCTATAAACAAACGCATGTGGTATCGTGGCACATTGGATGGAAATAAACGATAAAATAGCAAGCTCAACTAATACTCATATTCATTTGGCCTTCTGCTTGCCCTTTGGTCGACCACGAGCCTTGGTTGCTTTGGAGCTACTCTCTTCGGACTCGGCTTCACCCTCGCCTTCAAACTCGCTGTCTTGTACGGCAGGCTTGGATTTGGTTGCAATTTCTTCGCCCTCGCCGGGTACACACCCTTGCGTGAAGAATAGTCGAGCTTCTTTCTTGTGAGCATTCTGGAAGCTATAGTAATTGCCTGTAATATACTTGTCAGTTGGAGACCACAATTTTAGGGTCGTAGATTTTGACCTACCTCGCGGAACTTGAAAGACACAGCCTTTGCCTGCACTAAACTGCACTCCCGAGATATCAACCTGCACACGACCATGACACACATAAAACACCATGTGCATCTTCTTCGAATTCTTAGGTCTCTTGACTCCCTCTGGAGGGAGCTCCACAACTCCAGACCCGATAAAGGAAGAGCTGAGCAACTTTGCAAACCGGAATGTGGAATCCTTGACTTCTCTCGTCTCGATACCGGAGGGGGCGTATGCAATGTCTGAAAATGTTAGCAAAAAGATCTAAGTATAAGAGCATTATAATCTTACCAATGACATCCTCCTCCTTAGTACTGGTCTGAGACTTGGGATCCCATCTCGGGATATACCCATGAAGAACTCCACCCTCTTTCTCCCATCCATCGGCTTCTTCATCCTCGTCTGAAGATTCCTCGGCCCGTCGTTTCTTGCCCTTTCCAGGTCGGGCCGCACGCTTGCCTTTCTTCTTGCGATCCGGCTCAAGCTCCTCTGTGCGAACAATCTCCTTAATGGTAGACAATGGATAGCGCTCACCGTCTGCCACTTCTGGATCACCGTAGACACACCGTTCATTACGCCAGTAAGCCAGCGGTCGGATCGATGCACGCCCTGAGCGAGTGTGCGTAGAGCTTGGATCTGCGGGATTCTCTCTCTTGAGAATGTACAAGCTGCGGCCTTTCAATGGACCCGAACGCTGAGCATAATCTTCAACCACTTTGTTCAGTTCTGGATCCAAGGGTTCTTGCTCCACAGGCTGAGCCTTGGAGGTCTTTTGCTTCTTGGGTGGCCTAGCCTCCACCTCCTCCTCATCTTGAGTGCGTGGTTTCTTTCCAGGACGACCCTTGGCTGGCTTTTCCGACTTTTGAGTCTTTGCGGGACCCTTCTTTGTCTTCGAGCTAGATGCTTGAGGCGCTGGTGCTGGCTCCGGCTCCGGCTCCAGCTCTGTTGACTGAGACAAATCACTCTCTGCATCACTCTGGTCCTGGCCATTCGTTTCGGGAACATCCTCGTCGTGCATTACAGTCTCTTCGCCGGCACCAAAGCTGTCATCCTGATCATCTCCCGGTAGGAACGAATTCGCATTTTCATCGCCTTCTCCATCCGAGAATTCCGGCAAAGTAGTAGGCTCTTCTTGCACCTTTGTCCGCTGAGCGCTCTTCTGCTTGGAGACGCCTGCATTGATTGATCGAGCTGTTAATGGTGATGGTTCCTGGCGCGAACTTCGGGTCAATTCTCTGTCATCGGAAGGACTAGATAATAAGTCGCCCTCTGGTTCCGGACTGGAGTGTACAACAGGGGATCGTCGAGTTAATTGAGAGCGACCCTTGGGGAAGCGATCGGTTGAAGGTAACAAGGAAGACCGCGAAACGCTGTTGCCGTTGAGATAGTCTTGAGGTTCGGGCGCATTGCCTAGTACATGTCAGAATCTTTAACCTTCAATATCCTCGAGCTGGGGATGATGTATACCCTCGTCTATGGACATTCCATCAGATCCAATTGAATCTTCGCTCTCATAGCCATTCAAGTCTGCAGATGATTTCTCAGGGGACGAAAAAAGCCCGTCCACATCTTCCATTCCATGTTCGTCGCGCTTTCCTTCCTTTAACGTGATACCAGTTCGTCTGCATCACAAATTAGATGAGTGAACAAATTCCTTGTTATGCGCACTTTCGAAGAAATGCGACTCACCTTCCTTGCGTTCCGACTGAAGAGTAGTCCAATTCGCGGGGCTTGGCTCCCCCCACGAGCCATTTTGGCACACTTTCAGGAACAAAGAACTGTGTAGAGCTTGTAGCGGGGTTCAAATCTCAAGCTTGATCCTGAACAGAATAAATCCCTTAGTTGAAGGGCGTTGGTGCACAAGAGGGGAAAAGAGGAATGCGCCGGAATTTGGGGGAGAAAGCAACGCGTGCCGCTAAACCCATTTGGTCGACGCGTTTTTGGTCGCATACTTTATTTCATTATCACTTCTTTCTCATTTACAGACACTCTCGCTTTCACTCTTTGTTTTTGATATCTTCTATTTTCACCATTATGAAAGAATCAAAATCTGCCAATTTCACTCAGGAGGATTTATCCTTTATTCCTCCCAGCATTGACTCCGCCAGTCTTCTTTCAGGCGATTCCTACGCCTACTATACGCCTGTTCCTGCGGCCATCACTCCCCATGGCACCAAATCAGATACCGGAGATCTTCTAGAAAGCACACCATGTGTACTAGGTGTCGATGAAGCAGGTCGAGGTCCAGTCCTTGGACCAATGGTGTACGGAGCTTTCTACCTACCACTAGACCTACACCATTCCCTCCTAGCTGAGGAGCACAGCTTCGACGATAGCAAAGTCCTTACTCCAGGCGTGCGAGCCAACTTAATGCGATTAATCAACACACCGGGTCAGAAGTTATTCGAGTCCTGCGGATACGCGATCAAGGCTTTATCGGCGAGAGACATTTCCTCCGGAATGATGAGAACAGGCAGTGCGGTGTACAACCTAAATGCACAGGCCATGGATGCGACGATTGAGATTATTCGAGGAGTTGTGCGTGATCGCTCGGTTGATGTAAGAGAGGTTTATATCGATACCATTGGAAATCCTGCTACATACCAACAAAAGCTTGAGCGTATCTTCCCTACGCTCAAGATTACTGTCGCGAAAAAGGCAGACTCTTTATACCCTTGTGTCAGTGCTGCTAGTGTCGCTGCGAAGGTCACCCGTGATGTCGCCCTTGAGGTCCTCTACGAGGCTGTGCTCCGTTCGAAGCAGTCGGATGATGCATCAGAGACACCTGAGACATGGGGCAGTGGCTACCCGTCAGATTCTAAGTGTGTCGGCTGGCTCCGACAGAACATGGATCCGGTTTTCGGATGGGGGAATGAGTGCCGATTTAGTTGGGGTACGGCGAAAGAGATGCTGGAGACAAAGGGTGGTGCCCGAGTTGACTGGCCAGAAGATGATGATGAGGATGGAAATGGTCGTCTTGATCAACTCTTCACATCTGGATCTGGGAAAGCATCTGGTCAAGATGGACTACGAAATTGGTACGGAAACAGGAAAGTTGAGATTATATGATTTGATGTATTGGGAAACTGGAATTAGGCATGGAGTCAATATGAAGTTAATGTGAAAATCAATGATACCCCTTGACCAAGGGCATGGTGAAACAAACAAAGGAAAAGCAATCATCAGGAAAGACATAAAACTGATGTTCACAGATAATAAAGAAGTCGGGTATCATGAAAAGGGAAATATATGTGCACGATCATAATGTAGCGGTCGAGTAGTAGTAGTTGTCCCACAGGTATTCGTAGTCTTCAACTACACTACCAACCAAGTCAAGCAATGGCTTGCCCTTCATCTTATTTGTTAGACTGTGCAGCCATGACCTATTGAGTGTTAGTATTGTACTTGAACAAAAGCATAGGGTGGGAATCGTACTTGGTGATATTCTCATAGAAAGCGCCCCGCATCAACCACCAGCCCATCGACCATCCCCGCTTCCTCAACTCCTCACGCTCAAGACCCGTAAGACCACGGAGTCCACCAGCAACACGCTCCCGGAAATCGCGCTTGGCGAGTTGGCGACAGCCATACTCCATGCCAAAGCCAATTAGCCAAGGTCGCCAACTGCGCTTATCTCCGCTCCACCGCTGCATCGCCATAGCATAAACAACAGGTCTGAGAATGTAGAGAACCTCCGCCAATTGACCCTGACCACTGACGCGGTGCAGTAGGGTCTTGGGAGGCTTAATATCATCTGCAGTGAGGACCTTCGAGATAAGGTAGTTGGACACGTCATTCACATCTGGAAGAGATGGAAGAGATAATCCCGTACGAGGCATCGTCCAGCTTATATCAGATGAGCGTTCACTAGTAGGCGTTTCCATGCCATTCCAGTCGCCCTTATCTTCTTCTTCTGTTGTCCGTGGATCGACCTCTCGCTCGGGAAGCGGGGGGGTTGACCAGCGGGCGGGAATTAGTTAACCGCATAAGAAGCAGACGACAGACTGCCTTCGCAAACTCGATGAAAACAACGATGCGCCAACGGGTCTTTTGTCCTCGGCGCCGTGCTGACATCTCCCAGAGGAGCTCTGTGTATTGAAGCATCTGAAGCGCGACAGCCACGCGCCGGTATAGCGAGGACCGCTCAGTCCAGTATTTGGTATATCGAGTATGGGGAGTCGGCGGCGGTCGAGGGATATTAGATGGGAGTCTGGAGATGACTTTGGAAACCAGGGAATCATGGTAGAGTGATAAAAGCTGTACTCCGGAGTGCACTTCCTGCTGTTAGTATAATGATGCTAGCGCTGCAGTTCTGTATAGCAGTTGGGAGGCTGACTTACCACATTCTGAAGCGACTTCTGATTCACGATAGCGACCTAGAAATGAAAGAATTGTTATTAGCGATGCAGACTACTATTTATGACGGTCCTCACTCACCAGGGATGATGTAGGTCAATGATCTCAGGGCGGACTCGACTTGTCCAACGGAGCTGGCATTCTTGGTCACAAAGTCTTCGTAAAGAGACAACCATTTAGACGGCTGGAGCATCGCGGGCGATATTGGATTCTGGATGTTCCGGACTGTCTCCATGTCAAGGTGCATACAGGCCACGGCTGATGCGCAGTCGCGTGGGAGCGGGAGGTTGGCAGGTCACGGGCCGCCAAGACAGCAAGCCGAGGTTCCCCGGGTTGTTTGCGGCTACATAGTACATAGTACTTAGCCTGTAGTACGGAGTATAGGTACTGGTGATATCGGAGAAGACTGATTTGACATTGATATGGAATAATATATATGATATTATACAAATGATTATTGACATATTTCTAGATAAAAATTCACTCATCTGCCCATGTCCATAAACCCCCAGGTCGCATAGCCTCACGATACCGTTCTTCTACTTTCTCTCGCTCGAGTTTTCGAGCAGCTTCTCTGTCCTCCTCGAGTTCCTGTGTCGAAGGCATATCGGTTCGCCAGAACCCAGGAGGCGATTGAGGACGTTGGTGAGTATGTCGATGCTTGCCATATTGGTTTGCAAGAGCTCTCGTTCGTGCTTCAACAAGAAGTTTTTCACGCTCTTTCTCATTGATTCCATCCAGTAAATGCTGGTCGTCTCCCACAAACTCTTCCACTAAGCGCTGGTCTTCTTGCTTCTGCTCCGCAGGGGATTTGGCAGGTAATCCACCAAACCGAGCCATTGTGCGGAATTGGCGACCACAGCAGTCGGGTCGTGTACAACCGGTCAAACACCTGCGGTCATCTTTGTTGCGAACAACATCCTTAAAGGCATAATCTAGCCCTTCATTCCTTTCCGGATTGAGCTTGAAGTGTTGTAGACTGAGTCGGTGGAGAGCACGTGCTCTGTAAGGTTCATCTTCTGGATCCACATTCGGTGGAAACTGACTATCAGACTCTTCGGGTAACTGCGAAGGCTCTTGGACTGTGTATTTTGCCCGTCTTGCTTCCCTTGAGGCGGTTGACTCCCGGGCATGCCGGGTACTTTGGTCAGCAGGTCTCTGAGAGGGTGCAAGGGGTGTTCTAGAAGGCGTTGGCTTTTCCAGGAGACCCTGTAGCTGATTTTCGGTCAGATGAGCACGGGGTGTCGATTTGGATGCTGCACGGGGTACCGAACGGCCTGGAGAATGTGAATAGGTATGATCGCCGGAATCACCATCTTCCGTGATTGATAAAAGCGCATGGGGACTGATAGTTTTTGTCCTCTTCACTCTCTGACCAGGGGTAATGGCGGCCCGCGTATTGCCATCAACCGGTCGTAGAGCAGTAGGTTGACTGACCCGGTCTGGCAGAGGGTCTTGGTCACTCGGCACAGAATCCTCCCAGTGCACTTCGCGGTAAGCTTGCTTCTTTGTTGGAGTTTTTACAGAGTCCCCGATGTCATCTAAATCCTGGGTGCCTATGAACGGCTGCCCTGTTGTATAGTGCAAGGGACTCGAGGAAACAGGTTCGTTCTTCACTCGTACTGGTCCAGAAGGAGCCCATTTTCTCTTCCGAGCTTGTAAGTCTGGCAAGGGAGGAAGCATATCCAGGGTTTCGGAATCACATGTTGGAGAAGATTGGGTAGCATATGGATCTGATTGTTCGAAAAGCCCTGGATTCTGGCTCTGTGGCTCCGGCTTAATTTTGATATTGGTGTCTACCAAACAAGAGTTCTGAGTGGCGATAGTAGATCTTGTAACATTTGAATCCTGGTCATTCCTCGAGGATGGCAATGAATTTCTGGCAGATGTGGAAAGCGGTACGGATCCATCGATATCGCCAACAGGAGGTATTGTTTGAACTCGCCGGAATGTGACCGGCTCGCCATCAACGATCAATGTAAATTTATCACGCCGGAATTTGGTGTTCACGTATGCCAAATTCTTTTTGTGATGCGCGACTCGTGCTTTCAGATCCGCCCAAGTTTCACTGTACAACTTCAAGTTATTGTAAAGATTCCGGTAGCTCCCTTCAAGGATTCTCCGCAGTTGGCCCGTTTCAGTGGGTCTGGTTGCCCAGATATGCTCTGGATTAAAGTCGCGTTCAAGATCAGCCCACTTGACGGGAGGCTCAAGCTCTGTTGGTTTAGAATCGTAGTGGCTCAATTCTTCTCGAAGGGCCGCGACCTCGTTTTGCAATTCTTGAATTCTGCATTCTGCCTTTTGACGGGCCTCATTGGCAATAGCGGCGTTGTTCTTGGCTTCAATTAAACCCGCCTCGTGGATTGCAAGTTTGGACTCGAGATTCTGGAAAGCCTTGGTAAATGAAAGCTCACAGCTCTCTTGGAGCCCCTTTAAAACATCCATCACACTGTTCACAAAGCCGACCCGGGCACTTAAAACACCTCCTGGATGTCCCTGCTCAAAACGCCTCTGAGATGGAAACGCGGTTTCGACGCGTCTCATATGGCAGTATCATGACCGCCTTGAAGATCGGCCTCCACGGGGCCTAATCCTTGAAAGACACTGGCAGAAAAAAAAGAAAACTGTAATACTCCCAGAGATCCTTAGGCCGCCCTTCCGTCCAAAGGTTCCGTCCAAGGTTCTTACTGATACTCCGTTCCCTCCACTGATGTCTGTGACCTACACATCAGGGACATCCCCAAAGCTAAATTCCCACTAAACTATACAAGGTAGATATTCTGATCTGATTTTCTTCAAGTCATAATATATTCGTAACTTATACATTTTTCCAAATATAAATATTAATAGGTATCTATTTCTTACTCTTATTTATACTAAAATCCTAATAATACCTGATTACCTCTTTCAGCCCTACGTAGCAAGGGCCCAAGGTCTAGGCGGTGGAAGAGTTAATTCTAGCTATAGAGAAAAAAAATCAGGAATAAGATATATCGTGTCCAAAAGCCCGTCCTTAATATCAAGAAGTGACTTGATCATTTTTTAGAGAGAAATGTGAATTATACGGAGTAGTGAAGTGAGAGATAGCCAAAGTGAGAGTAACCAAAATTAAGATTGTATACAGGGCGGTCAAGGTCAGAACCTTGGAGATAAGATATAGTTTGGTAACTAAGCAAGGGGCGGTGAGGTATGCGGTGAATATTTATTATGGGAAAATGGCCGTTATAGTCTCCCGTAGACCTCCACGTGATTCCTTATCGGCTTTCCCGATAAGAGTCTCTTTTGACGTAGCAAACTGTGAGTTCACCTCCCCTGTATATCCTTGAAACCCCCACCTCCCACTATCGTTTAAATCATTAAAATCACTCGGCATGCTTGACGTGTCTAGAAGTGGCCCCCAGGATGCCAAAACGTCCACGAGAGAGTTCTCCTTCGGCCTTGTCTCCCATAAAGCGGAGTCGGTCAACAATAGCAACACCTATTGATCGGCTATCTTCTTTAAGCAATGAACTCCTACTGAATATCCTCTCCTTTCTCCCAATATCGTCATTAAATGTTTGTCAAAGGTTGTATTATCTCAGTTTTCATGTGCTGCAAATTTCAAGTAACTAATTCTTTGTAGATTATCCCGTCGTTTCCATGCTCTAGGGGGAGACTCCGAATTATGGAAAAGACAGTACTACTCGCAGTGGGTACGCCCTCGTGCTCGTCGTCTGGCTAATGTGAGATGCTCTACACTACCAGGCAGGACAGAGTATTCGCCCAAAGTCTCAACCTGGCTCGATCATGGCCATTTGGCTGTTGAGGGGAGATTGACCAATTGGAAGCGGCAATATCGTCTGCGACACAATTGGGCTAAAGGGTCTTGTCGAGTTACAGAAGTTGACTTTCTTGAGCCTCCATGCCCCCCCTGTATTGGTCAAACTTTGTGCTGGTATTGTCTTCACTGCCGATACTGTTCATGGACTTAGAGCGTGGGCAGCAAACGACCCTACCAAGTGTTTGTCCAGGATATCATTCTCGGAACTCCATGACGCTCATCCAACAGCCTTAGCAACCAGCCACCTGGAAAATGAATATGAAATTCTGATTGGATTTGAGAATGGTCGCTTCAGTCGCTATGTTTTGGATGATCAAATATCCCAGTTCAGCTTACGATCCTCTCACGTTGGATTTCGAGATGGCGCCATCACTGCTATGGCTTTGTCATCGCCATACCTTTTGATGGTCTCTCAACACAAGAATCTGTCCCTTTACAATATTCGGCCACAATCGAAAAATTCCGAGAAATCTCTACCTCTCGGGCCATGTGAAATCGCATCGCTTCAAGCTGAAAACATGGTTGCACCAATGACTCTTTCTTTGCGTGTCTCTGCATATGAGATTGTAGCAACCATTGTCTATAGCTTTTTTCACATTGGCTGTGGCTGGTCGCTAGGAATACAGGAGCTGCGGTTCAACAAAGATGGTGAACAGCTGGAATCTAGACTTACCAGCACAGTGGATTCACAGTACGGTATCAGACCTCTTGAAGGTCGTCTGTCATCCAATCAAAGGCGATATTCCGCTACGATCCCTGCAGCTTCCCCTGTGACCCCCACAGAACCATCCATCCTGCACCTCCAGCCACCAACGTCTATGTCTTATTCCCACCCATACCTACTGACTTCACATGTCGACAACACATTGACTATGTATTTGGTGGTCTCGAAATCGAAGGATCTTTTTGTTCGGGGTGGCCAGCGGCTCTGGGGTCACACTTCTTCAGTCTCTGCGGTCCAGGTTACGAACCGAGGCAAAGCAGTATCGGTGAACTCCATCGGCAATGAGATTCGAATCTGGGAGCTTGAAACAGTGGTTTCTGCTCTAAGCAATCAGCGGCCCCTAAAAGACGAGAGTAGTATCCAGGTCAGTCCGGATAATCGCAAACCGGAAACTTACATGACCATGCCGCAAATCATTCGCCAAAGGATCGCTGGGCCAGACCTTATTCCCAATTCGCCGGAAGAGCTCGGTCGCATGTATGAATATGTTGGATTTGATGAGGAGCGTGTGCTTTTACTGCGAGAGAAGGCCGTCGGCACCCAGTCGTTGGAATGTTACGATTTTACGTAGCATGCCAGAGCGCCCCGTTGTACACAGAGATGATTTTGCCATGGTATTTCCATCAGAGATACTGGGCAATTGCAAGAATGAAGATCAATAAACATGATATGAAAATGCTGACACAGGTCCAGGAACCAGGGGTTGCCCGTGTAGCACAAGGTACCCAAAATCCGGGGACCCCGGCCGCACCTCGTGTCGCTCTCAACTATAAGAACATGCATGCTGCCGCAATTTTGATCGGCAATTCCATTTTGACATACAGAAATCTAAGCCTACTTAGACTGTTACCAGATCCATCGATCTTATCTTGTCTACGTGATGCCATCATTGCACTGGGATGATATAGGATGACATCCTACCCACCAGGCCTTCACGTCCCTCCATATTGGCTTCAAAAATGCTTGGTCCTAATTGCATCTACTTCCTTCCAGCTCTCTTTCTGTGAATATGCACAGCGAAAACACTGTGCCAACCTTTTGATGCATATGGCGCATGATCACAATGCGGCCACAGTACCCTAAAGAACCGTCGATCGGATATACGAGCAAAGTCCCTATAGGACTTCCCTCAAGGAATTTGAGATCTGAGATCAACCTGGGGAGGAACATAGAATGAAGGAGTAGATGAGCCTGAATGAAGATATGGGTTCTTCTCGGCGTCAATATCGCCAATGCATGTTCTTTTTTACCCCATACCTCCCTGTCGCGATCTCTTTGTCTCTTATTATGACTTACTATGGAATGCGCTCTTTTTTTTCATACGACATTCCTCCCTATGGGCCCTATTCAACTATTTCACGAGTTGAAACTTCACTTTACCTTAAAGTGGTTCCCGGTTCCAAGATCCCCCAAATCTTCGGGAAGTTTTCTCCCTAGAAACAAGGCCCCCGCACTACAAATTTCTTCCCTTCTCAACCATCTTCAAACTTCCCTTTATCCATCCACTTCCTCCTAAAAACCTATTCTTTTTTTTAAGAAACTCATCAACTCATCAATTCAAGATGGACTCTCGCTCTCGTGCCTGCTACAACTGTACGTTTTATGTTCCCCCGAGCCCTGCCGCATTTCTTCACTCGCCTAGACCCGCACAATGCGTTCACGATATGCAACTCTCAGGTTGAAGTAATATGGACACTTTGAATTGCGCTGTCTTCTCTACTTGTGTTCGCTTTATTTCTATCTACCTCTGAGATGCTTTATTCAGAGCGCATTTACTTTTCTTATGACTGGCTGGTTTCTGACTGACTTTTTTTTTCTTCGTAGGCGGTGACGCTTCTCACCAGGTAAAGATGCACCCATTTTTCACTTTTTTCTGGATGGCAACATAGTTTGGCGCGTCGGACGCGTTTAACTTCTCGCAACGATCACGGTTTATCATTATGTGAGCTTGGGAAAGCTAACACCCTTGTCTTTTAGGCCAAGGACTGCCCCAAGAAGGGTACCCCTACCTGGTATGTTATCCCACCCTGCGATTAGCCCTTATCGATAAGAGGGGTAAAATCGCATCGACAAAAAAGATGGGACATACGGCTAACATTTTCAAATAGCTACAACTGCGGTGGTGAGGGCCACGTCAGTAAGTTTATACTACTTGGATGCGCCGAGACCTCGCCCGACACGAAGGAACGATAACTAACCACTCCTAGACCGCGAGTGCCCCAACCCTCCCAAGGAGCGCACCTGCTACCGCTGCGGCCAGCCCGGTCACCTTTCTCGTGAGTGCTCCCAGGCTCCCCAGGGCAACAGCTTCGGCGGTGCCCCCGGTGGTGGTTCCCAGGAGTGCTACAAGTGTGGCAACGTCGGCCACATTGCCCGCAACTGCCCCCAGGGTGGTAACGCCTCCTACGGTGGTGGCTTCGGTGGCAACTCCTACGGCGCCCGTCCCCAGACCTGCTACTCCTGCGGTGGATTCGGCCACATGGCTCGTGACTGCACTCAGGGACAGAAATGCTACAACTGTGAGTTCTTGACGCCTATATACTGGTATTCTCCATCAAGATATACTAATCAATTCATAGGCGGCGAGGTCGGCCACGTCTCCCGTGACTGCACCACTGAGGCCCGCGGTGAGCGTGTCTGCTACAAGTGCAAGCAGCCCGGCCACGTCCAGGCTGCCTGCCCCAACAACTAAAAAGCTGGATCTTGCGTCTATTTTTCTTTTACGTTCTATCCTTTTTCCCAGGGATTCCGAAATTAACGAGAACTATTCTGCATGCGCCACGATTTGAAATGTCTATTTCCCCTGGGTTTCTTTGACTTTTGTATTATCATTACCGCTTGAATTGCGACCATGGGCGTCTTGCATGTTGCTTCTTTTCCTCTTGCAATCATCTAATAGTTCAATTTTTCTCTTCCATGTCTGACTCGCGCGTGGAAAGCGATGTGCAAAGGCGATTTTGCTTGCAGAAAACAAAAATGGGAATGCATGGAATTTTTTTTCTATCGGCGCTTTACAGGAGATACTTAGGTGCATGGGGAAACCGCATATCACATCTCCAGTTTCTCTTATTTCTAAAAGCTTTATCAAACACAGATCTGAGGGTCTTTATGAACTACAACTACACATCATCGCTCTCTTGTACTTGGGCACATCACCACAGAAGCGCTTCTCTTCCTCCTCTGCGAGACCCCATTGATCCTGGAAAGGGTTCAGACTCATTTGCATGACTCGTCCGAGGATGTCACGGTCTCCTTTGTGTTCCACCCGCTCAATGACTTCATCCAAAATCCATCCTCGTGGGATAAACTAACTTATTATTAGAGGGTTGTACAGTATAGAAGGAGGGGGAAAGTAGATCACTCACGTTTGGATTAACAGCCTTCATAGCTGCTTGACGCTCCTCATCATGGCCAGTACCCCAGTCCTCGAGGACACGACCTCGCCATTTTTCCAGCCACTTAGCAATGCGATCTTTAGCAGTAGCATCGGTGTATCCTATACCCCCAAATCCTTCAGCATGAAAGAATACCGCTGCTGCAGTAGCCCGTTGCTCCTGAGTCTCCAGCTCAGACAAACTCAACCCCGACAACCGGCGGAAGAAATGGTTAAAATCTAATTCCAGAGCCTCCAGGGTATCAAGCATCTCCGAAAAGAGATCCTGAAAATCAGACTCTACTTGCGTCTTGAGTCCAAGTCTTTGGGTCATCAACCGCTTGTACTCGTTGAGGAAGACAGCCTTGAATTCCTCGCCTGTTCGGTCGATGATGTTTTCTGCACGCTTGATAAGCTCCGCTTCCATCTCCTCGAAAACTCCATCGTTGAAAAAACTCTCATCGTCCACTTTCTTCCCAGCACCCATTAACTCTCCAAGGGATTCACCCAGGCGAACAAGATTCCACCAAATAATACTTGGCTGGTTCTTGTAGGAATAGCGAAGCATATGGTCATCGTGATTCGGGGTATATGAGGGATCAAAGTTATCCATAAAGGCAAAGGGGCCGTAATCCAACGAGAGACCATAGATCGAGGTGTTATCGGTGTTCAGTACTCCGTTCATGAACCCATAAGCCTGCCAGGCGGCAACCGTTTTGGCGTTACGTCGGACAATTTCACGGTATAGTCGAGCAAAGCGGTTTTCATCGATATCCTGGTGGTTCTGTACCTCAGTCGATGGTACGTTGCGCGAGGGATTATCAATTTCTGTCGCGGTCTGCCCTTCACGAACTGATATGATCGCCGGGAGATTTTCCCAGCCTCCAAAGACATCTTCTGCGATGTAAGTTGCTAACTTTCGGATGTTAACACGATCTCCACGAGCTCGAAGGATATCAAATGTTCCAATACGGAGCCAGGATTCGGCGAATCGAGCTACAATCGCGCCAGGCTCCAGTCGCTCTCGTAGTACTTTTGAGTTGGGGAGTAAAGTAAGAGACAGTGCACGGGTTGTAGGTACTCTGAGAGCATTGAGGGCTAGAGACTAATTAGCCAGGGTATCAGTCTGAAGTTACGGGTTAGACTCACCTTCAGAGACAATGTATTCTCTGATACTTGAACGCAAGACAGCTTTTCCATCTGCAAAGCGGGAATATGGTGTTCTTCCCGCACCCTTCAGCTGTAACTCATAGCGAGTGTTTGAGTCGGGATTGGTACATTCAAAAAGACTAATGGCACGCTATTCGAATGTTAGTATTAGATATCTGCTGCAGCCCAGGGTGAGTGAGAACTTACGCCGTCTCCAAGTTGTCCAGCCCATGAACCACTGGGTAATTGTTAATATCAGGGACTCTTGAATGTAGAGCATTTAACTCACAATTGCCAACCTATAATTTAATCAATATTGATCCTGCAAGGAATCCTGAAGAGCGGATTAACTTACCACCGTAGCACTGGGCCCATGGATAGATACCTCCCTTCTCCTCACCCCACCAGATTTCATTTCCTGAAATGAGAGCCTTGAATTTTTCGGTCTCTTCTTCACCTGCCTTTAGTCCCAGATCCTCCATTGCCCTCGGACTTACGCCCAGCAACTCCGGCTCCTCAGATTGCTCCGGGCGCACATAGGTAAACAACGCCTCTTTCACCATTCGGGGACCAAGGGTTTCTCTCGGCGCCTTATGTGAGATTTCCGGAGTCTCAAATGCCGCATCCGGCGGTAATTTGGATGTGAAAACATTAGATTTGGGCAGATCTTGCAGGGTTGTCCCCGCACGAGTGGAGAGATGTGATGCCATTTGGGCTAGTCGATTTCGAACTTGAAGTGATGGAAGACTTCTTGACATAAATCGATATCCAGGACAGACACGAGATATATGAATCGGGTTCATGACAAAACTTGAACTCGATATCTCATATGGATCTGAACTATGAACTGAACTCCGTAATCCGGAGTGAAAACCGAATGTCGCGTCAGAGCGGTACGAATGACATCATGGCCATTATTAACCTTTGATCTTGTCAACTGGTGAACCGCCTATATTTTCCTATATGGAGAACAGTTTCACGTATCATTTATCAAGAATCGGAATTGACCCGCTGAGCCGACCCGCACTTCTGATTTCGAATTTGCCCCTCTTTCAGGGTGCCGAGGTCATGATGTTCTCTTCTTCTGTACATAGTGAGAATCGTCACCACAATTATACTATACAGTTTCATCATGGCTAACACCGTTGATCACATTCCTACCATCAAACTGAAGGATGGCCTCTCAATACCAATTGTAAGAGTCATAGTCTTTGAGTCCTTGGGGTCAAACAACTACTGACTATTGTAGCTTGGGTATGGAACCGGAACAGCCTGGTACAAGACCCCAGGCGATACCTCGATCAACCGTGAATTGGTCGAATCAACCAAGAGTGCCGTCAAGTTAGGATATAATCACCTCGATGGTGCCGAGTCCTACAATACAGAAGAAGAATTAGGCCTCGCAATTGAGGAGAGCCAGCGTCCTCGGGATAGCTTGTTCATCACCACGAAAGTCTATCCCAGCATTGCTGATATTCCCGGTGCCATCGATGCGAGCTTGAAAAAGCTTCGACTTGATTATGTTGATCTGTAAGCCGACCTGGTCTCCATTAAATTCTGGCCTTTTCTGGAAGGTTTCATTCACAATGGACACGGATTTCGAATTAACCCAGTCGGAATCTAGATTCTTAATCCATGCTCCTTTCTACGCCACCTCCGAAGATGAGCTGCAGGCCTCTTGGGCAGCCATGGAGCAAGTCAAAGCCTCAGGAAAGGCCCGCGCAATTGGAGTATCCAACTTCCTGCAGAGTCACCTCGAGACTATTCTCAAGACAGCCAAAGTTACTCCTGCAGTAAACCAGATTGAGTTCCACCCATACCTCCAGCATGGAGACTTGCTGTCTTTCCACGAAAGCAAGGGAATCCAAACAGCTGGATATAGTGGACTCAGCCCAACGACTCGGGCTCGTGGTGGACCCCTTGATCCATTGCTGTCTTCTCTCGCCTTCAAGTATGGCGTGAACGAGTCTGAGATCTTGCTGCGTTGGTCTTTAGACTGTGGCTGTGTGGCGATCACTACAAGCAGTAATGAAGCTCGCCTGGGTGGTTATATGCGCTGCTTGACCTTTAAGCTTACTCCTGAAGAGGTAAAGGAGATTTCTGAGTTGGGTCAGCAGCATCACTTCCGTGCGTTTTGGAAGGATAAGTTTGCGGAGGATGATCGTTCATGATGCACATATCATCACATAACATATAGTACAGATGTGGATTCCAAGGTTGTGAAGAGAGCACATGTTGCAGTACCAAATGATTGATTTTGGATATATATGAATATACATGAGGTTGTATATGATACTTGTGAAACATGAACTACACCAATGTTATCATAGTACAAGTCTCGGCACTGCAGCAGCGAAATTGAGAAAGGTATGTCCTCAGGACTCGAGTTCGAGTGCCTGGCCAGGAAGTTCAGGTAAATGGGCACTGGCACACTTTATCATCCTACCTACATAGGTAATCAGATTAAATTGTAAGCGCCCATATGGTATAGTATCTGCACATGCCCAGATACTATGTTCACACATCTTCGCAGACAGTTACATGGATATACATTTTCATACACTTAAGTACTCACCTGGCTAGTATGTAGTCGGTAATATCTCCAGGTTACTGGTGACATACCCCTCTTTGCATGTACGTAAGTACCTACAGGGATACCTGGAGGGTTAACTGGAGGTTACTTGGAAGAAAAAGCTAGCTGCTATATGGATATAGGCAACTAGTAGCTCTAGAGATAAGCTGTAGGCTGATACTCTCTCTTTTCCCTCGTGCATTATGCCAGACGAACTTGTGAAACATGAAGTACATAATGTTGTGATAGTACTTGTTTACCTAGGTATGTGGTTAATGTTGACATGGGTTCCAAGTATGATATCTCGACAAAACCTTGGAACTTCAGATGGATTAAATATGGTAAATTCGAGTTCGAGTTTTAATGTTTTGTAATACATGAGAATAAACAATATAACTATATAACTATACCTAGTTTTATATATCATATTATATACTGTATACTATATATAGCACTTTACAAAGTCCATTGTGTCCCTAAAAGCAGCATCCCCCAATTTCCCCAATTTGGCCACCCCGGACTCCCCCCCCATTCGCTCTTTTTCCCATTCTCATGCGTCGGGGACTAATTCTCTTTCACCTTATCTTCTCACAGTTTCATTCTTGACTGTTTATCTAGAAGGGTAACTCTCCTGGCATCTCTTGCGCGCTTCCAAGAGATGTCCCGATGAGCCTGTAAGGCAGTTCCCACCCCTCGACTCGATCTCCATGCTTTGACCCACCCTCATCTCTTTGGCCTAGGCGCATGCCACCGCGGTGGCCCTCTCCGTGATAACTTCTTCGTCTATTTTTCTTTCTTTTACTTACTTTTAACCAACCCCGCAATCCTCGTTCCCCGCGCGCGCAATCCCTCATGGTGATACAAATTGCGATCTCCCGCAGACTGCGATGTCGGTGAACGATAAAGCCCCCTCTATGGATATACCACCCTCACGACGCGCCAACCAACTTTCTCTAGCGGACCTCGACAACTTGAATCTCAGACTAAAGCGCCTCTCGGAAAACGTCTTGCCTCACCACCCCTATCTCCTCACTCTGCCAACCAAGTCACCTTTTCGTCCATCACAAGGGGTTTCAAGCAATTGGGCCGTAGGTCATGATCGACCGTTCAACTTCGGTGAAGAAGAACTTCAGTACATGACCTTCTTGACCCATCACGACACAGACTCGCTACTGAAGGCTGTTGGAGACTGGTCCGACGAGTCAGGGCACAGGATGGCCGACCGGTCCACGGTACCGATCACGACTGAGCCCCCGAAAGAGAGCGTCGCGAAGAGGAAGATTAGCTTGAACGATTACAAGAACCAACAAAGCACTGGACCTCATCCGATTGTTCATGATCAGAAAGTACGAGCCGACCGTCACTTACCAACGCGCGAGGCTTCACATCAACTGCCAAAACACAGCACTGTCAACAAGAAGGCCGACAACAAAGCAGAACCACCACCACCACCACCACCTATTCGTGCTTCCAAACCAAACTTGCATCTTTCGCCTGATAAAGGGCCCAAGAAACGACCCTCGACATCCGATCTCGAGTCACTCCACTCCGCATCAAACAAAGGCCAGGATATGCACTCCTCGAAGAAACGTCGACTTTCTCCGGAGAGGGAATTCCGCAAAGAACCATCTCCGACCAAATTGAACTCTCCAAAGCTCCCTGCGCTCCTTTCTCCTACCCTTCCTCCGACGAATCCAGGTCCTCGACTGCCTCGACTACTATCTCCTACTCTCCCACCGGATATCGAGAAAGAGCTGGCCAGACTTGGAGATCGTTCCCCTATCCGACAGTCCTCCAACGACAGTACGTCATCTAAACAGAAGCGGGAGGAAACAACCCATACCAAGGCACCGGTTTCAGTGAACGGCGGTGGTGCCTCCAGAGAGACCACTCATGAGCTCATTGTCAGACTGCGATATGGAAGGACCAACAGAAAGCGGGTTGAAGGATTGCTGAAATTCGCCGGTAAAAAGAAGCCGCATCGAGCTGAATCTCCCGTTGGTCATGAGACAGATCATGATGGAGGATCAATACAGGCTGAAAGAAGGCGGAGAGAAATGGCTCTGTCGCGCGGAAATGAATCATCTGATCGAGCCAGACCAAAGCCCAAACAAGATGACGGTCCATCCATCCCATCAAGTGGTCGATCAAAAGAAACGAAAGCCTCCTCAGAAAGACCACCTCCACCCCGCGCTCCCCCACCGAGCAGCGACAAAACGAAGCATACATCTTTGACACCAGTGAAAGACTCCAAAGCTTCTCTTCCACGACGAACTGATCTTGGAGAAGGCGAGGGCAGAACACCAGTCAATCAGACAACGAAGCGCCCATCTGTCGACTCTGGTATCAAGGGCTCACCTTCTCAACCAGATAATCGTCCACGAAACATTGACCGTCGAGGCTGGCGCGACGAGTTCCTCAAGTTCAGCAACATCGGCCGAGAACTGAAACACGCCGCTGTGCGGTACAACTCGAAGACTGATTCCTCGCCTACGGATGACAAACTAGCTGCTGTCACAGCTATCGAAGCTATCATGGCTTTCATTCTTGCCTTTGTAGCTGACGATCAAAGCAAGCTTCAAACAAGACAAGCGGGAGATTCCTCAACCTGGCAATCTATACTAGCCTACTGGCGCGTCGTCAAGAAGAATAGTACCGCATACCCAGCTTTGCACGGCCTATGCCTTCTTCTCGGTGCAGTTTCTTACGAAGCTATCCATTCCCTCGATCTTGAACGTCTCGCCGTTAGTCCTTTACCAGGAGAACATACACCAGTGCCAACACCTGGTAGTGATGGGAACACCGTCCTCTCCGATGAGAATAAGAAGAATCGCAAAGAGTTCTTAGAACTCAAGAATCGACTCCCGGAGTGCTGGAAAGAGTCCCAGAGATTCTGGCTTGAAGGTGCAAGAACTCTTCCAGAGGATATCTTGCGCAAAGAGTTTCCGAGTACTTGGTCTTCGCGTTCTCATAATCATTCTGAGCGTGGAAGAAGCACACCCAAGCCAGGTGATTACTCAAATGATTATTTCCTTCCACTGGGATTTGCTTCTTCACCTATTGAAGTTGTGAGATTCGGTTCTTCGCTTCTACAAGAATGGTGCTCACATGAGAAAGTGGAATGGAAGGCTCGTTTAGGTCTTGCATGATAACAATCCTTTCTCTTCCTTATTTTTTTTTCGTTTTTGACTTCATTTCATATTCCAAATGCCCTCTCTCATTTTTAGTCTTGCGAGGTCGCAAGGATATTGGGTAATTAGGCGTTACAGGGTTTTATTTTGCATTTTTCGAGTGGTTTTTCCTATGATACCATGAAGCCCTTTGCTCTTTTTTTTTCTAATGTAGCTATTTTTACGCTGAAGCTGAATATATCACGTTTCATACAGATGATAACCATTCTTCTACTTTCCATATGAAATAAGATATAGGAAATAAGAAAGAAGATAAATGTAAATATGACTACTTAACGCCCCAAGCCCGAAAGTCCGTCGCTGATAATGAGATGTCAAATCGCTCAAATGTAAAAGAAATCATGGGAAGAATCTTGATCGATCATAATGGGAGAAAGAAATGAAAAAGGGGGGAAGATAGAAGGGAATAAATGTCTTTCAGAGACAAGAAAATATAGAAAAAGGAAAAAGAAATCCAGGTTAAACCTCTCGATAATCCGATCGGAATTCCGAGTTACAGTCACCAAAAAGCCATCCCGCTTCACGACAGTATCGAGCTTCTTCGCCGTTAACACCAATTTCACTAGCCCAGCAGATCACAGATGCATCCACAATATCCGCGATAATGCTTTCTGTCGCACCGAGAATACTCCATCCGATCACACCTGCAATCAAACCAACAACGTAGGCATATAAACTCCCGCGAATGGAGGTTTCCTCTGCTGCTGTAAGTAGAGTTCGAGCGGTGGTTACCCAGCCACCGAAACCAAGTGCTAATGACATCATGAATCGCGCGGCGTGAAGGATTAATTTGGAGAGTCGGTATGAAAGCAATGATGGGGTTGCTCCGTGAGTCCTGTTAAAGGACTGTGGATGTAGTGTGGATGAAGTCGCTGAAGAACTGAGAACTGTCATCTGACTTAAACAACGCGCTGATGTGGCCAATGGCTGGGAATGAATTGCTGCGTAGGTAAGGGAGAGGGAGTTCGTGAAGTAGGCGATGGGACTCGGGATGAGTGAATAGGCGAAGAGATTAAGCAGGGAAGCTACCCGGCGCGGAAGCAGGAGGAGAGGAAGTCGAATTAGAAGAGTGAGGAAGCGGGAGAGACAAATTGTACCGAATAGGGTCGTGGTAGCATGAATAACCGCAGCCTTAATGACCTGTCGAGATGTGGGTGCTGGGTTAGCTAGCCGGTGGAAGTACCACTGGCTTACAGTAGCAGCTGTCACTGAGCGCTGAATACCAGAGATCACTCCAATTGACCAGAGATAGATGATCACGAAGTAGACACCCAGCCACCAGCTGCTCATGTCGATGATAAAGGATCTCTGTCCAAAATGACCGCCCAGGAACACACGAGTAAACATAAGCATCCAGATCCATGTCCATCCGACGATACCGGCTAGCACACCCAGACCCAAAGCAACCAGTTCTGGGTTCGCGGCTAAAATTCGACAAGAGAATTCAAGCACGCTGATGGCCTTGCCGATTGCCCGACGACCTCGCAGAACATTATAACTCCAAAGACAGGCCATCAGAAAGGGAACGATGGATCCCCACCGCATCACCTTATCTTGAAAACTCGATCCATGCCATGAACCCTTAAAGCTGGAGATGAAGGGGTACAGAGAGAAGGAGAATAGGATGATGGGAACTGCGATAATACTGACATAGACAAGAGGTCTAACGTACGACCGCAGCAGGGCCAGCCAGATAAGAGACACGAATATGGATACCACCGTGTATACTCCGAGGAGAAAGAAAGAGCGATGAACGGTAAAGTAGACGGTATCGCCCCATTTCGACTTGTCTCCGGATGGGGTGGAGGTGTGCAGGTAGACAAGAAATGCGGTTGCAAAGAGACCAGCGAGTGAGATCACAAAAAGCTGGCCCCAGAACGGATCGTGCATTATATTCTCAGCGGCAAGGGGTGACATCGAGGCCGGGAATGAACTAGCGGAACTGGGTGGTCGTCGGGCATCTGAGGAAGCAGGTTTGATAATTTCACCCGAAGTGTCATCTTGGGTAAGTCCGAATCGGTCTCGTTTGATAGTTGGTCGTTCACGAAATCGTTGAATAGGTGCGTCATCGCCCAGGACCGAAGAGGGAGAATGATCCTCGATATCTAGGCCGCCGCGAATGGAATCCTCCAGTCTCACGTCCACGAGGTTCTCACGTGCCCTACTACCAGGACTAGACTCAGATCGAGCCTCATATTCAGCGCCTTCTTCTACGGTATCAATCCGAGATTGATGTGTAGCAGGGATGGCCGTCTCTCCACGCCACGAGCTTTTGATCCCCTTCCCGTTTCCTGGGCGATCATCGTATGGAGATTGACCATCATCTAAACTTGCTGAATGTTCAGACTCATCGTCAAGTTCAGATGATTCTCTCAGATGACTATCTCCAAAATGACGCCTGGATCGTTGCAGCGCAATAAAATCGGCGTAGTCACGTTCCCGCTCAGTCTCCTCATCCTCTTCCCGGAACTCATCGGTAGTACTGCGTAGCAGGGGAGCATGAGTCGACGCCCGAGAGGCAAAAGGAAAATTCGAAATTTGGGACCCTGTCTGACGATAGGGGTCTTTGAATACGGATGGATTTCGTGAGTTGCCTTCTCGACGCTGGTTGGGACGAGCACGACCCGTTCTTTGAAGCTCGTCTGGGCGAGTTGCTACTCGTGACTGTGACTGAGCGAGAAACCGCGAGGCATCTATAAGAAATAAATAAGTTAGCTCTATCAGTGTATAGTTCAGATCGTATACGATCTGGTTGTTTTTTCTCACTGACATTCTGAGAACATGGCCCACTATCGGGGGGGTGGGAAGTTGGAGTACTATACTGAGTGGAGATGGCGGAGAGATATCAGATTTGGGTAAGATGTCAGAAGACGGTGAGGAGAAGGATAAGAAGTAGGATTTTTCATCTAGAAGAAATGGTATGAATTCTCTCAGGGCAAGGCCCTCAACCTCCTGATAAGAAACAGATTTGAGTATTAATTCTTTTTTTTTCTCTTTTTTTCTCAAATCAAATCAAAGGGTTAAAAAGAAGTTGAAGGTCATTCCGACGATGCAAGCGTCATCCGAGCAGGTCAGTCTGATAGATGACTCAGCTTCTCCGATAACACAACTCCTGAAGCAATCATCATCAACTTTAACCATATCTACAAGAATAAAAAAAAACAACTCTCTCGCCTTCTCCATGTCACAGCCATGGGATTATATTGCTAAGCTTGTTTGCATCGGTGACTCTGGCACCGGCAAGTCCAGCGTGAGTTTGGTCATAGCACCCCCTACTTTATGAGGTTCTAAAGCTAACTGCTATGTCATAAGCTCACTATCCGCCTTTGCGAAGGTCGATTCTCCCCATCACACGATGTTACCATTGGAGTGGAGTTCGGTTCTCGAATAGTTCCAGTAGGACCTCCCTCATCGTTGGAACTAGGTATCGATGAACTTCAGAACCCCTCCACATCTTCCACCGGAGAGAGAGAAACATCTCAATCTCAATCACAACCCGTCTCGGGATTACCAAGTCCACCCCGAAAACCAGAACCTACCCAACAACAAAAACAAAAACGAATGAAGCTCAGTTTATGGGATACGGCTGGACAGGAAACATACAAATCTATCACGAGGTCCTATTTCCGTGGTGCTTCGGGTGCATTACTAGTTTTCGATATCTCGAGACGTTCAACCTTCTTCTCATGTACACAGTGGCTTCAGGATTTGCGCCAGATTGCAGAAGATGGAATCGTGGTTATACTGGTTGGGAATAAGACTGATTTGGCGGGACAACCATCGGGATCAAATCAACGACAAGTTACGCAGGCTGAGGCGGAAGAATGGTGTCGGTTGAATAATATCGTGAGATATGTGGAAACGAGTGCGAAATCGGGTGATGGAGTTGAACGCGCGTTCTTGGAGGTTGCTGAGCGCATTTATCGAAATATTGAAGCGGGAAGATATGACCTTAATGATCGACGAAGTGGTGTGAAAGGATTCGGTGCTTCTGGTGGTGGGAATACTGGTGCTCCCAAGACAATTACTCTGGGGATGGATGATGCTATGCGTAAAGGTAATAGTTGGGTTGGAGGGTGTTGCTAGGAGCTTTTCTTCTTCTTTAATATGCATTTCAAGGTTATGCATGCACTGGATATACGGAACCGCGAAAAAGCTTTCTTTTCTTGTCCTTGCAGGTGGGCTATTGATTGGGAGCTAGCTTCTCCTTAATCGTGGACCAAGGTTATGAGAAAAGAGTGCGCCTGGAATTATTCACATTTACAAATATAAATCTATTGAAACAAGCGCAACGTCAACATTACAGTCTCGCCTTGGCCTTTCGAAGGCTCACTCCTTTTGCTCCTTGTGTTGCTTTGAAAACTTGGACTTGAACTTGAGGGATTGACACCCCTCAAAAAGAAAGCAGGAAATAAACATGATCATTTCGTTCTCCAGATACTGGTCAACCTCCCTTAATTCGAAAGTCGCCATCCAGGCAACCAGCGCAAGTGAGACCATTGCTGGTTAGGACCCTCCATGCCAAATACAATGGCACGGAAGTGGATGAACAGTCCAATAATGACTGCGTAGAGAATAGCGTAAAGTACAACAGCGAGTCGAGTGTTCAGGCTGCGGCCAACCCAGTCAACACAGAAACCAAAGCAGATAATGGCGTAGTAGAGAGCTGGGTAGTAGTGGTGGACGTAAGTCACACGAGCCATGATGATGAAAGGCAAGTAGTGCAGAACCCATCCAATGAGGGGATACAAGCCGGAGTAGTGGATGTGGTCAATGTCAGCTTGGCTGAGATCCTTGTAGCCTCTTTGCCAGCGCAGAAGGTACCACACGAACAACAAGCCAAAGGCACCAAGACCGGCAGTACTGCCCCAGTAAACGAGAGGGTTTCCGAGGAGGAAGTACTTGATGACATTATCATCCCAGGAGCACATGCGCAGACCGACATTCAAGATAGGCCACTGCCAGAAAGCTGAGGCGAGGTCATCTTGCTTGTCTGGGTCAGGAACCAGGGCGTTGTTCGATGTCATCATGGCCACGTTCAGGTGGATGAAATCCTTCCAGAAAGGCGACTTATAAGAGCCAGGGTCACCAGGAGGCAAGCGCTCATTAGTGTGCGACTCAACGTTCCAGTGTGTGTACACATCACTGGCCTTGTTCTCCTTGACACAGGTGGTTTCAATCTGCTTGAAACCCCATTGAGGGAGGTTGACATTTCCAGCGCGCAAGTAGCAGCCCAGAACAGGATGGCGAAGACGGAAGGCAGTTGTCAGAGTTCGGATTCTTGAGTGATCGCGAGATGCGGCATCATCAACAACCTCAATCTTCCAGTGATCCTTCTCGTCTCCGATGGTGATGTTACCATAGCAAGAGACCTCGTTGTGCGACTTGGAGACTGGGGCGGCAATAGCGTGGGAGTGCAAGTTACGACCGGTTGAGCCGTGAATAAGGCGGATAGTATCGCCATCTCCAATGAATCTCAGATCGGCCTCGGCATCGTACTCAGGCTCTTGGCGGTTGGGGTAAATGAACCAGTCATTGTTAGCATCTTTGTGGTGGTAGCAGGTAACCTGCTGCTGGTTGGAACCTTCGGGGTATGTCTGCACATGGGAATGCAGAAGACCACCACCGTAACCCATATTCTTCAGAGTCACGCGAGAGCCCAGGGCAACCTCGAGAGGACTATCCCTTCCGACCTCGGTTCCTCGCAGGTTAGCTTGGAAAAGAGAGCTCATTTGAGCATCTCCAGGGCCACTGTTAGAAAGAACCAGGAAGTGGGCATAGAAGGATGCCATGTAAACCAACAGAGGAATGATGATCAAACCTCCGATACGGGCAAAGAGATGCTTGGCCAGAACGGTCTATTTTCAAGTATTAGTTAAAATAACTGGGACTGTGCAGAAAGTTGGGAACACCTACCGGAGGCATCTTCACATCACCAAACTTGTTCCATAGATCCTCAACAGTGTACAGACCAACGATTGCAGTGCAGAAGAAACCAACCCACTTGACACTGCAAACACAGCCAATGCTGAAACCAGTCAAGCATAGCCAAGCGTACCACTGCAGTGAGAAGCTCTCCTTTTGCAGACGGTGGAATCGGGCCCAGCACAAGGTTGTTGTGAAGGTGAAGCACAGCAGCATGGAATCCAAGAGGATGAATCGGGAGATTGTAGCGTATGAGTTCTCAAACAGAACCATGAAGGCAATCAACCAGACGGTGGCCTTGCGGAAATTCAATTCGCGGGCGGTATAGTAGGCGAGGGGAACACAGACGGCACCAAACAAAGCGTTGAAGGCGCGCATAAAGGTGTAGTCCACATCTTCGGGGTACTGTTCACCGGACTTGAACTCGAAGGATCCATTGTAACCAGCCAGGTAGCCCGAGAGGCCGACCAGCATCTTTCCGAGAGGAGGGTGGACATCGAAGTAGAATTCGCGTTTCAGGTAGTGGGAGCCGAACTTGCCAAAACTAGGAACAAGGAAATAATTAGACAACGTTGCTGCGGTATATAGCCGACCATGAAGGGTATGGTATAATCTTACTGGGCTTCATCCCAGGTCACGATATTGGAACGACCGATGCGATAGAGGCGAGTAAACAGGGCAAGCGCTGTGAGGATGATGGGGGCTAGGATTGGTTCCCATTCGGCGAGAACTTGTAAGAAAGAAGTGGACTAGAATATCATTAGCAACTTGAAACCATCATTCTGACAGTAGAAGGTAATTCCCACCCGAGGCTTTCGCTTCTTGTTATCTTCTTCGGCACCGTATGACTGAGATTGTGTGGTATTGGGGACATTTCTTCGGCGCAGGTCGGCATCCTGCTTGACACCGCTGCTTTTAGCAGTGTCTGCCATATTTTCGAAGATTCGCGTTCAAATGAGCGAACCTATATGTAAAAAAGAAAGAAATAAATGGAAAAAGAGGGGACTTTGAAGAAAGTCCAATGTGGAGGGGAACAAGATTCAAGATAGTAAGGAGAGTAATCAGGCTCAAACAACCATAGTGGCCACGACCAGGAATAACATAAGCTACCGAAATTAGAGATAGCAAAATTGAAATTGGATAGAAAAAAGAAAAAGAAGAAAAGAAAAGAAGGGGAAGGATGAAGGGTGGAATGGAGGAGAGATTCAGGGTTCAAGAAGTTGAGCTGTCCTGAAGGGTAAACACCGCCTTTGTATCAGGGGCCGTTTTCGGTACTTAGAACGTGGTCTCGGCGCACGCAGCCGAATTCTCCGAGACATTAGACGAAAATAGATATAAATACATATATAAACGGGGACTCGAGAATGGGGAATTTATTGAGATAATTGCAGAAGATATATATGGTCAAAGTAAATTATTCTGGCTGATCTAGAACCAAGATTTAACTACTGTTTATACTTGTGTGTGGGAATAGTACCTAGGTAAACATAGATTACCCGATTAGGGTACTAATACAGTCCCGAGGTCTATACTTATAGCCCTGGAGTCATACTTATACATGAACAAGAAACTGCCTCAAGAGACATCTTCGTATTTTGAAGCCAACCAATATTCACAAATGAGAGCTTTGTCCCTCCCATCTATGACGCGACGCCAGATAGGGTGCTTATGTAGCAACATGTGTAAATGACAGAGAATACAGCGCTGAAGAGAAGTCATATCGTCAAGGGTGATGTGCGGTGAGCGCATCGATGTACAGGTTTCAAAAGAGGACAACCAAGGGAGACCAAAAAGAAGGGATCGAAAAGCAAATTCCAAAGAATGGCAAAATAATAAGATCAGAGACAACCCAAATTGTTTAGACAGACAAATTCAAAAAGACGAACTCCCTATTGCTCAGCATGGTCTCCCTGTTCAAGACGACTATAACTTTGATTGGCATTGGTTCGTTGTCGGCTGACCATATTTGAAATCCAACCACCGATTCCCTCACCACGACTGCTTCCCGGGTGGGACCCAGCATTTCCAGACCTGCTAGGCCCCTCATGAGGAGAGAAAGAAGGTGGGTCAATATTCAACCCAGGGATGGAGCTCTCGGCGCCAAATTGGCCATATGGTCGGCGGATATCAAGTGAGGGAACAGGTGATCCTGCACCTATGAGAGACCCTCGTTCCCCTTCAGTGGCCGGGGTTGGCATGGTGGTGGTGGCATCTCCGAAAAGGGCATTCATGTCTTCCAGACGAACGCCGCTGGTTTCGGGATACAAAAAGTATACTATGATCTTTGTTAGTAAAGGAGCCTCGAAGTGAGTTGAGAGGGTGCCGTACCAACTACAAAACTGCACGCGCAAAAGAAGGCGTGGACCAGGTACAAGCGCCATTTAATAACACTTTGAAGGACGGGCGTTACCTCTCCAACAAGCCAATTAAAGGCCCAATTGGAAGCGGTACTCAGACTGGCTCCCTTGGCACGAATACTCAAGGGAAGAATCTCGGGTGGGTAGAGCCAGGGAATAGGACCCCATGATGCTCCAAATGCGGCGTTGTAGATCATGACAAATATCACAGTCAGGGTTGGTGTGGCAGGAATCTCAATGTAAATGAAGTAGGAGATCGCAGAAAGAGCAATAATCATTGCCACAGCTCCAGAGAGAAGAATGGGCCGTCGGCCCCAACCATCAACGAGGTACCATGGCGGGATGGTGGACAAGAGATAGGTGATTCCATTGATACCGGTCATGAGGATGGCATCTCGACCAGCCCAGCCTGCAGACTCAAAAACAAGAGGCGCATAGTATGAAATGACGTTAATGCCGTTTAGCTGGGCCAAGGCCTGTGCTGACATGGCGATCATGACTCGTTTATAGTACCGTCGGAACATGTCGCTGTATGATCTCTCTCCTTCTTGGCGTTGTAGGAGAACACCCATTTTGATATCACGGTACTCCTGTCGTGCCTTGTCGTTATGGATATCACCTTCTCCGTAAAAATTAGCAATGACGACCATACCCTCCTCGTCATGATCATTATCTAAGAGCCACCTAGAAAGACGGGAAGGTTAGTCCAAATAGATAACCGAAGGTCCAGAACTTCGAGCCAGCCTACCTTGGAGATTCGCAGATGAGAAGACTTCCAAGAGCAAGTGCGAAACCCATGACACATTGGCAAAAAAGAGGCAATCTCCAGGAATAATTCGACTCGATAAAGCTGCAAAAATAGTCTACCCAGACACTAGTAGCATATCCTGCGATATTTCCGGTGAATTCAATGCAAGCCAATTTACCACGGTTGTGAGGGGGCTAGCACAGTCAGTATATATATCTGAAAAAGCAGATTTGTGAACTAAATACCGAGATCTCCGATTGATACACTGGTACAATCGTTGATAAAGCACCCACGCCTAAGCCAGCGATAATTCGGCCAACCATCATCATAGCCATGCCGTTGGCAAACGTTTGTAGTGCACCACCAACGGTAAACACCAATGAGCCGTAGAGAATAGTCCTCTCCGTCGACCGATCAAATCTCCGATACGTCCCACCAAGAGGGATGATATGAACGCTCCCACTTCCAAAATAGCCACCACAGTACCAATAGTGGTCCGAGAAGGTTTATTGAAGTAATCGTCAAAGTACCAACCACTATTTATTGGTCAGACATCTTATACTTGGATCTGAGGGAGTGGAGGGAAGAGGATACATACGTGATAATGCCAGACATAACACCTTGATCATAACCGAACAGGAAGACGCCTAAAGAAACAAATACACTTGTAAAGTAACTACGATACCGGGGTTAGTCGGAGTTTGAGATTTCCTGTCGAGTTCATCCAAAAACTCACAGTAGCGGCTTGCCCACCAAGCCATGGACTTGGGCATTTTGCCTATCCCCAGGAGACATAATGGTGGCCAAAAGCCGCTCCACTCGAGAGATCCGCCGCGGTGGAGGGCTGGGGATCCGGATATGCTCCTTGAGAGCTAAATGATCGTTGTCTAAGACCTCAGGGTAATGAACTCGTTTCGAAGGGTTTCGTGGTCCTTTGTGAATCAACGAGGTACGATCGAGGGACGCGGGCAAGTGGATCTGTAGAGGATCTTCCTCAGTGAGTTGCTGGGCCAGATCAACTGTGTCTGACCAAGCGGATAAGTCAGACTCGGAACGAGTCGGGGAATGAGATGAGCGACGACTTCCTTTCTCGCTGGCGGATTCTAACACGATGGATTGCGTGGGGGAGCGGGAGAGGGACCGGAGGGGAATGGCGCGTGGGGAATTTGGAGAAGGAATGATGTCGGTTCGCTGGGCCGAAAAGCCCTCTCTATTGTCTGGGGAGTACAACAACCCAAAGGGATGTGGGGAATGTAAGGGGGCCCAAAAAACGGAAAAGAGAAAAGAAAAGAAAAAAAAAGACAAAAAGAAAAAAGATCGACCTTCAGTAGGTCAACTGATAATCCACCACCAGTGCTATATTGAATGAGGTTCAAAAAGTTCCCCCTTATATGAGTAGTAAGCGGTCGCAATCGGCACGAGGACAAATACCCCGGATGACAGAGCAAGTCAGGTGGTACCAAATGTGTGGAGAGACTATTAAACTGGGGAAGAATAGCTCTTTTAGGATAAGTTCATGGAGCTCAAAGTTCAGCGGTTTAATGAACACAGTGAGCGGATGAAAAAAAGAGTGTAAGATGCAGGTGACATAAGTCTCAGGGGAGGTTTGAAGATCAGATCCTCTTTTGTGCAGTTAATCTGACAGATGACACAGCCTGAAACTGTATTGGGGATATTCTGATGTTCTGGGGGTTCAATCTCGATGACTATGCAACGCCTGGTAGAAAAGAGAGATATGAAGAGTAGAGTATCAGAAGAGTCAAGAGTCAAGACTGTGGCATCATTGATCTGGGAAGTTGGCAGATCTTAGACCCACAGCGGAGAAAGAACCAGACAACGACGGATTAGGACTCCACTTGCCCCAGATATTATTTGATGTATATATGTGTGTAGAGTATGAAATTGCATTTATCGGAATAAACAGGTTAAAATGATATTAAATAGGACCTCGGGAGAATAAAGTATATCAGACTACATAGCACATAACAGTACCTACGTAGGTAGGGTTGCACTTGTAGTCCAACTCAGACTATTCAGAATATTGTTAAATATACACCCCCATATCCTGCTTCAGGGCTAATTAGGAAACACAGTAGACTTCAAGTTACTCCAGGACTAGTACTATATACATAGTTTCAAATGTCATCAGTCTGACTCGGATCAACGAGTTCCAAATGTCACTAGCAGGTGTGCTTCCATCTTCACCTAGACAAGGCTGTATGTATAGGGCTTACAAGCTGGGCCTAATTGGGAGGGTATCCATTTAAACAACCTCTGAAAATAGTGCCTCCTTCAAAAGTTCTCACCCTCGTTGAGTTCCGTTAGAGCACTTGAGATATACACTAATATGTCATTATCACCGTGACATTTTACTATTGCACATCCTGGTCCTTATATCACACCGCCGAGGCCTAACTTGACTCCCCCTCTTGCCCCTCTTGACTTTACTGTTTTCATTATTCAGTTAAATCCCTGGCGGCTATTTTTCAAAAAAAATATATATTCAAACAGACCTATATTAGAACCAACTATGGGGTTCAATCAGGTTATCACACAGTTTGTGGCGGGTACCAAATACCTGGTGCACCCACAGGTATTGGTAAGTTCTAATATCAGGAACAGTACCATTCAACATTTGAATGCTAATCAACCTGTGACATTAGGGTAATATACTTGAAGAAATTCAGCTCCAAGGAATTAGACCTGATGTTCTTCTCAAGGCAGAGGTGACTCGGGAGTACTCGAGCGCTGAGAGAATTCGACAACAATTCAATATCTTCCACAAAGTAGATGATGTCTACAATGAGGAGTTCTCTAAGACCATTGTACTTACTGGCACCTGGGAAAATCTCAGTCTTGTGAAGTCCTCCCTGGAGTCTCAGAATTTCACCTCAGTCTATACATCTACTGCCGTTGAGCTACCCTCGGGACCTTATTTTTTGTATGGATCAAATCTTCACCAGGCTTGGCGATTATATCAAGATTATCTTGATGATTTTATCTTTGGGGTTGTACCAGAGAACGTTTTCCGGCCTGAAAGGTCCGTCCATAATCGTTGACAATTCTACGATGCTTTAATTAACAGTCATCCCAGGTTCAATCCATTGAGCTCCATGAGTGACGATGGAATTTGGAAACAAGTGCCAGTTCCAAGTCGTCTTTACTCACTTCCTACACCAGAGAAGCCTCTCGCTAGTGTTCGAGTGTGTCTGAAGGACACCTTCCATCTGAAGGGAACAAAGACGACCATGATGAGTCGTGCATATACAGAAATGTATCCTGCCCAAGAAAAAAGTGCTGACTACGCTCAAAAGCTTCTTGCCCAAGGTGCCATCATCATTGGAAAAACAAAGATGACAAACTTTGCATCCTCAGATGAGCCCACCGATCAGTGGATTGATTTTCATTGTCCAACGAACCCCCGAGGTGATGAATATCAAAGCCCGTCAGGAAGTTCATCTGGAGCAGCTGCAGCTTTAGCAGGATATTCTTGGCTAGATTCCTCTATTGGCGTTGAAAAATCGAAAATTGAACAAAGACTGATGTCTAATGATGTGAATATAGCTGCTGGGAGTATTCGGGCGCCTGCTACTTGTAATGGCCTGTTCTCAATCCGGCCATCGACGGAATCCACTTCCATGGATGGGATAGTTGTGAATTCACCGTATGTCTTGTCTCGGTCATCTTTTCAACAAATCTTTTTTCTGATATGCTCTTGATAGCTAGTCATTTTGACGTTGTTGGACTTTTTGGTCGTAGTTTAACAGATCTACACCTTTTAGCCTCAAAAACGCTGGACCTCGGCGACAACTCGACGAGCTTTCCCTCAAAAATTATATATCCTCTCGACTTCTTCCCACACAGCAATCCTACCCATCAGGCCATGGTAGATGAATTTGGTGGAGTTCTTGAAACCTTACTAGATACGAAACGAGTGGAGATTAGCCTAGCTGAGAGATGGGATCAGTGCCCACCCGCGGAGGCGAATGGAAAGCCGCTCAGGGAATATTTATCTAAGGTTCGTTTTAAATCCCTTAAAGAAACCTACTAGTTTATCCCCGAGACTAATTGAGTAGAGCGCATTCTGGTCCATGTGCTATGACTACTATCACGGATTCGACGACTTCCGATCAGAGTATGAATCGAAATATGGGAAACGCCCATTTGAAAGGCCAGTATTGAACTACAGATGGTACTACTGGGTATTTTCTCTTTTGCTAATGATAATTGACTTACCAGGGGAATTGGCAAGGAAGTTACTCTAGAGGAGTATAATCCCTACCGTGAAGAACTGAAGGTTTTCCAGAAATGGTTCGATGACAATATCTTCTCAAAAGACCCTGATACCATGTCGGAGGCTATTATGATTATGCCACATGGGTCTTCTAACCCAAAATATCGGAAAGTTGCTAATGAGTCGGTCTAATAGTCCCATTAGATGTGATGTGAAAACTGACCAGATCTAGGGACCCATCGAGTTCTGGCACCATTGGCGAAAAGTTCATATCGCCCGTCCTTGGAATTCCTCAGCTTGTATTGCCCTGTCAGCTCTTTCAACAGATATTCTCCTTTTATTGATTGCATACTAACCCCAGCTCTTAACAGTTGGTCAAATGCCATATCAGTCAAAGATCTCCGGTAGACTAGAGCACAGACCGATTGGAAGCACTATCTTAGGAGCAAAAGGAAGCGATTTGATGCTTATAAAGCTGGCAAGAGCTGCGCTCAAAATGGCTTCATGGCCTACAGCCGTTAAAACTGGAAGATACATGTTCCCTTTAGGGGTCAATATGCGTAGTGTTGCACCTGTTCATGAAAGCTCCAACGAGGAAGGGGTTGTCTGCTTGCAGGTGCCAAATAGAAAAATTTAGGATTTATTACAGATCGTTTACAAGGCTGTGGGTTTTGAGATTATGGATTGGAAGTGTAGGGCTCAGGTGCCAGGGGAGAATCTCGTGGTGTTTAATTGGGCTCAAATCGAGTAAAAATAATTCATGATCCATGGAGAAGACGACTCTCTTGTAAGTCTTTAATCATGAATTCTCCACGCAATCGTTGAGTAATACCAGGTTCCAAGAAAAACCAAGTATCTATGTTGCCTTGTTCATCTTTCCATCGAAGGGCTTTTGAGTCTAGCACTATGCAATGCTTGCCTTTTTCATAGAGCCAGTAGGCATGTCTACTAAGACTGAATTGGAAGAGAACTCGGTAAAGTGATTCCATATGGGGTTCCATCTCCTCCAGGTGAAGAAAAGACTGATTTGCCAATGCATGAAACGCTCCTTGTCGTACAGAGAGGTCTTCGTGACTCAACATCTCCCCGATAACATGGAGAATCGGAGGACTCAGCTCTGTGACCAGCATGCAAGTGCGCCGAGTATCCCATCCTGAAACCCTCGCTCATTTGATTTTGATTTCCCCAAATTCCGGCAAGTCTACCTAACAACTCCATCACTTGGCTGGCGCCATTTTCCAATTAACCAAGCCACAGATCCAACCCCTCCGAGTTTGGGTCTTTCATAGTCACGGTTTAATGTCCGAGCGACAAGGAGTAGATCTTCGTCACAAGGTGAATAAGACCAATTCACCAGCACTTCGAGAAGTACATGCTGGTGTCTGTCTTTATGGCTCGTAAGTTGATTCAGAACTCTCTTGAAGTAAAAGGACCCGACTCCAGGCCACTTTCGCAATGCGAAGGCTGCCATGCGTTTCACAAACGGGTGACCACACTCTAACCCCATGCATGATGGTTTCGAGACACTTATCCTGTATGTCCGGATGAGCATCATGGAAATTTGCGAGAATCCTCGATGCTAGCTCTTTTTCTCCCCAATTTTTCTTTTCATTCTCTGAAACGTTGTCCTTCAAATACAAACTAATCAGCAGTTTCACAAACTTCAAAGAAGGATCAGGACGTAGCTGAGGTCGTCTGCTTAGGTGACCGAGAACTGTGTATTGGATGTTCTTATCCCGAATCCACTCACTGATCATATCAAAACCTAGGTCCTCAAAGGATAGCCAATCCAACAGGAATTCCAGTGCTGTGTTCTGGCACGAAATATCTTTGTCATGTTGTACTTGAGATTTGAAAACGTCAGCATACTTATCCTTGAAGGCAAGTTGGCCTCCTAGGATGTTGATAGCTGTCCGTCGTATAGTGCTGTCTTCATCCCCCAGACATTCCATCACAGCATCGAGAATCTCATCTTCAAGCGTGAGCCATTTCTGTAGTCCGCTAATGAATGCTTTCCCGGATGATCTTATCTTGGTGCTTGAGTTGCCGCTTGATAAAATTTGCAACTTTGACAGGCAGTTGAGGCCAGCAACCAAGAATTGACATCACTGCTTTCTGTGTTGATAGCTCTTTATTTTCTAGCCACAGCGTGAGTTCCCCAATGAGGCAGTTGTTTGGACAATGAAGTTTCACTGCATCGATAGCCGTATGCCGGACTGAGCTATCTCGATTCTGGATTTGCGCTAGCAGGAGCTGCAGATTATCTGGCCGTAGGCCTTGCTGTTGTCCCAGTGCCTGGATTATCTCTTTTGCGATGTTGGATTTGCCGGTTCTTGCCTTTTGTCGTTGCGCTTGATCTGCCTCACTGGGATTTATGCCTTCATTCAGGGTATTTTGAAGCTGTACGTCAAGGAATTCGATCCATTTTGGGCCCAAATGACGCTGTTTTCCCATCGCCCTAAAAGCTGCGGATCGAATGCTTTCCGATCTCCCAAACTTGGCCTGGACATCAAGATCCTGAAGGAGATGTCTTCCCTGGGTGTACGTGACCCAATTTTGGAATGTTTGGATCGCCGCAATTCGAACTTGATCGTCCTTATCCTCAAACTGTGCTTTGACATCATCAATCATCATATCATCTAAAAGAGTGCACTTTTTTCGAATGATCCCAAGCATGACGTGTTTAAGCCTCTGGCTGACATCCTGTTTAAGCCAAGAGCATAGCAAACGCAAGGCTGCAAGCGGTATAACTGCACGGCCTTCCAGACACGCTGCAACTTCACATCTCTCCCAGTCCCCGGGAAGTGATTCAAGTACGGCTAACAGGGATGCCTCAGGAAATTCTACTTCGCGCACAAGTCGCAATTTGAGATAGGTTTCATCTGTGACCCTGTATTCACATAATCCCAACTGGCTTAGTGTTGCTTCTAAGTTATTACGTTTGGAAGAGAATCCTGCATGTTTAGAAGACACCTCACCGAGGCAGTGCATCAAGAGCCGTTGATGAACAGGACCAATAAGATCAAGTGACTCAGCTTGGGGCGGCGGGTCGCGGAATGGCGAAATCTAGTCAATACTGGATTATTCTGGATTAGGATTGAGTAGATATTTCTAGTTATTCTGCAAGGTCCCTGGTGGTGGAATGGCCTAATGTGAGAGAAAGTGCCAGATTAGGGTGGCACCTGGTGGTTAGGTGAATCAGGGAGATATCGGTGACAAGTCAGGTAGTATTTAGTACTTTCCAATACAATAAGAACTAATACTTGAAGAGACGTTCGATCTCTTCTTTTTCACGACGCTCAAGCTCTTCGAGTTGAGCAATCTCATTATAATCACGAGCAATGAAGTCACCGGCTCGTTCACGGAGCAAGGCTTCATGACGATCCAAACGCATTAAACGGGCCATGGCTTCTTGACTGGCTTCAAGGGCAGCGCGCCGTTGCTCCGCAATGTCGGCCTGCATTTTTACCAGTTTTCGCCATTCGGCCTCGGAATACGAAGGAGTTGAAGACATCACGCACTTCACCTTCCCACCACCACGAACACACGTCTTGTGGAGACGCACACAGCGATCATAAGGGACAATGGAATGGAAGCCTTGAGTGGCAATGCGATCTTGAAGCTTCGAACCAGAAATTCCTGACGAAGACATGGTCAACAGACATGGAAGGGGAAAATACAGAAAAGTGAGGACCTCACCTACCTGAGGGGGGACTCACGTTTAGAAACAAACCAAAGGACTTTGGGGACCAAAGACCTAGAATAGGGGGATGATGTTACGGACCCACTAGAGAGGGATCTCCCAGGAGCAGCTACAACCCAATCAGTTGGCGGTCGGGCCAAAGGGGGGGCGACCAGTCAGGAAGGACGCAATAGCGGAACGGGTTTTTGTGCACAAAAGAACATTGCTGCCTCGGGCATCAACATCAGACAGTGTCACGTGTGCGCACGTGACCAAGGGGACTTGTCGGATAGAGGCCTTACTGCCTGAGATTATGTAAACTGCCTGAGATTATGTAAACCTACACTGTAACTAACGTGTTCCACGGTCACCCGAACAACACGGTCACCCGAACAACCCCACCAAAAATCCACTTAAAAAACAAACCCTCTTTCTTAAGCACAATAAACATGCCACCCCAACGCTCTGATCAAAAAAAAAGCTAATAGAGCAGGAGGGTCGCCTTTTATTAGCTATAAAAGCTATAAAAGATGGTCAATATCCCTCTGTTCTTGGTGCTGCCCGATCGTTTCAAGTACCGGTCTCAACTTTACGGGCCCGGCTTAACGGTCGTGACTCTTTGAATGATAGGAGGAATGGACGTCATATTTTCTCTCAGATTGAAGAAAAATCAATAGAAAATTGGCTATTGGATATGGATTCTAGAGGTGCAGCTCTCAATCAGTCTATGTTACGAGATATGGCCAATCTTCTTCTTCAAGCGCGGAAAACTATATCTTCAACAACACCCTCTACTGTTGGTATAAATTGGCCATCCCAATTTATCAAACGACGTGAAAATCTTGCTAGTCGATTCTCAAGACGATATGACTATCAGAGAGCTTTATCAGAAGATCCTCGAATCATTGCGCCATGGTTTGATTTGGTTCAAAAAACAATTGAAAAGTGGGGTATCGTTTCGGATGATATTTTCAACTTTGATGAGAGTGGTTTTGCAATAGGTATTAGCTCAACACAAAAAATCATCACTTCAGCAGAATACCATGGAAAACGACATCTTCTACAGTCTGGAAATCGTGAATAGGTAACGATTATTGAATATATTCGAGCTTCTGGAAGTGTGTTGCCTCTACTCTTTATTTTCAAGGGTAAAATGTTTCCAGAACATTTACGTCCTTTTCTCCTTTAAAACCAAAAAGGATCTCGCTTAACTTTAAGTAAGAATAGTTGGACTATAAATATAATTGGTTTATGGTGGTTAAAACATTATTTTATTCCAAATATTGGTGCAAGAGTTGGGAAATATTACCTACTAGTCCTCGATGGTTATAGGAGTTATTTAACCCCTGAATTTGACCAACTTTGTGAGAAAAACCAGATCATTGCAATCTATATACCTCTATATGCTTTATATCTTTTACAGCCTTTGGATGTAGGTTGTTTTTCGGTGTTGAAAAGGTTATATGGTAGTGCAGTATCAACTTTAATACGGAATGGAGTCAATTCTATTAACAAGGAAGATTTCCTTGAGATAATAGCTAAAGCAAGACTCAATACTTTCAAGGGCCCTACTATCCAAAATAGCTTTTTAGCTACTGGACTAGCACCATTTAATGCTAATAGGGTCCTAGAAAAATTGAATATCTGCCTAGATTCTCTTCCCCTCTCGATCAACAACCAATATCGTCAGGCAGTGATAGCGATCAAAATACGCTTTAGACGCTTTCAAAATTTACAAAATCGCAATCTTTGGTCAAAAAAGGCCTAGAATCCTCGTCTTCGATCATATCGTCACCGATTAAACGAGAGATTGAACGGTCCTACAATATGACTATAAAGATAGTCCACAACCACATTTTTCTCCAAGATCGTTGTAGCCAATTGGAGGCGACCAACAAAAAACAAGTCAAAAAACGTGCTATTAAGCATAAATTTACCCTTCAAAAAGGCCTATTTGGAGGCCTAGAAGGTGGTCAGGACGATGTGGTGGTCGAGGATAAGGATCAAAGCAGAGATATATCTTTACCACAGGTGCAGGCAGAACCAACAATTGAGCCAAATTTACCCTCTGTGCCCTTGGTTCGACGACAAATAACCTGTTCTGCGTGTGGGATTAAAGGTCATGCTTATACTAAGTGCCCTGGACGTGTTTAATAGTCAATATTTCATTATTTTTGTTGTTTTAATTGTTATTGAAAATTAAAGGTTTTTTGGATTTTGGTGGGGTTGTTCGGGTGACCGTGTTGTTCGGGTGACCGTGGAACACGTTAACTAACTAACTAACTAACGTGATTCCCGGCCGCTCGAGCGCTGGTCTAAGAACTCCAAATTTTCTACATTTTCAACCTCAAATTTCAACACCAAAACACAATTAAATAATTAAAATAACTTTAGTAGGACATCCAGAATAGGTATGTCCTTTAGTTCCACAACCAGAACAAGTGACCTGGCACCGTATGATAGGTACAGGGGGTAATGGAGGCTCTACTGGTGGCTCCGTAGCACCCTCCGTTGTAGATATATATTACCTTCCACTATCTTTTTTTGCCACCACATTACATTCAATCTCTTCCAAACTTCGCAGACTGCCTTCATGCGAGATCTGCTTTTTAGTTGTAGCCCTCTTTTTCACCTACTTCTTATTGGCCGTCTCTAACTTGGCGCAACGATCTTGGATAAAGATAAGCTCATGAGCTAGCCGAATAGCCATATCGTGTGATCGATCAATAGCTTGTTTCAATGGCAAAGTCATAGTCTCTGATGAAAGTTCAAGTCCTTTCTTGATCTTAGAATTAGATTTTTGTAGTTTTGTGAGACTCCAAAGTGTATCTTGATCACTAGCGCTGCTAGAAGATATTGGGCGTGGCTTAAGTGACTTAGAAGATAGAAGTGATTCAAGCTAAATATTAAGCTTATCTAGTACATAATTAGTATCTAAAGGTACTAGACCAGTACCTTTAAAGCTATTCTGTATAGTCTAAGCTTTAAAAACAGCTTCTTGGGCAATAGGGTAGAGATTAATAAAATCATCTTTGTTAATAGAATTAACACTAAGACGTATCTCTTCCATAACAAGTGCTCCATATACCCTTTTTAGGACTAAAAAACATCTAATATTAAGGGGCTATAATAAATAAGATATATAAGCAGGCATATAAAGAGAAATAATATTATTCTCTTCACAGATTTTATTAAATTCAGGTGTCAAATATGATAAGTGTCCATCCGGAATCAGTAGTATATATTTCCCTTTCCATATAGGAAGATAGGGTAAAAAGTACTTTTGTAGCCAATTAATACCAATCTTATCACTCATCCATCCATTAGGACTCTTATTCACACCCCAAAGTGGTGGCTTTTAAAACCAGCGTTCTAAAAAGATCTTTCCCTTAAAAATGATATATAGGGGAAGCGCAATACTATTAGACCTAATATACTTAATCATAGTAACCTATTCTTGATTACCAGGCTCTAGAACACCTCTTTTTCCATGGTATTCAGCAGAAGTAATAATTCTTTAAGTAGAATTGATTCCTATTACAAAACTAGACTCATCAAAATTATAGATATCATTAGAAGTGATACCATATTTTTTGATAGTATTTTCAACAAGCTTAAACCAAGGTAGGATCACTGTAGGATCTTCAGAAAGGGCTCTTTCATAATTATATTTACGAGAAAGACAAGTAGAAAGAGATTGGTGTCTTTTGACAAATTCTGTACTCCAATTTTTGCTAACTTTCAGAGGGGGGGCCATGAGGCGGTAATTCACGCGATCGGAGTAATAAATTGGCCATATCTCGTAACATGGCGTGTGTAAGAGCTGCTCCTCGAGAATTCATTGAGAGTAGCCATTTCTCCATAGATTTCTCTTCCAAGATAGTAAATCTATGGCCAGAGGGGCGAGAATCATCCCAAAATTGTCGTCCGTTGATTCGGTGCTTCAAAGTTGAGACCGACACGCTAAAAGCACGCGCAGCAGCAGCAGCAGACGGATATTGGCCATCTTTTATAGCTTTGATAGCTAATAAGAGAGCATCCTCCTGCTGTACTAATTTTTGAGACCTTTGGGAGCGAATTGGTGGCATGGTGAATGATTAAAAACATAGGTTGCTACAGAACTGCTTTTTTTTAATGTGTCGCTCGGGCGGCCGGGAATCACGTTAACTAACTATTTTTACCTCTTAGATTTAGCAGAATTGAACACACATACACACATACACACATCTGTACAATTGGACCCCATTGGGTGCCATATGCTGCTGAATAAGCCTTTATTCTGACAGGACTATTCCAACAATAGATCCCATGCATGGATAGGACGAGGTCCCATCCCATCGTGGGATGGGATCGGATCACACTGACGGATGGGACCCGGTCCTATCGGACGATAGGAAGGACTGGATATATAAGGGCTCTAGTTACCGCATCATTAGTTCTTCGCGATTATTCTTACGGTAGTTACATCAGAGTTACATGCAGATACGAGTAGAACATACGAGAGAGAACAGTAGGTACTACTAGTACACTACTACTAGCACTGCTACACATGTGCACCTGGGCACAGTATACCCCAGCGATAGGAATTTAAAAGAACCTAGTAGCTAGGCACTGAATATACTTGAAGTTTGAGTAAAAGACTGAGAAAATTCGACCTGAGTCATGAGTTTTGACTACGCATGTAAACATTGAACATTTAAATTCAGATATCTATCGGGTATCACTTCTAGACCAGCAGGAAAGGAGGGGAGATGAGAAATTTATGGGTTTGCTCAAAAGCAATTTGAGGTGACAGAGAGCGAGAGGCAATCAGGAAGACCAGCAGGTACAGGGGCACAAGAAATCTAGTCTCTCTCTAGTTCAGTAGAATATCATATCCATCCTTCTGGATATGCACACTGTCCGCGAGACTGGCATATCGTCGACGCACCAACTCAAAGATGATGAGTCCTGCACTAGTGCTTGGAACCTGTCGAAGGGAACTGCTCACAAAGCCACGGAATAGCCATCGCCGCAATCCGCCAGCTCGTTCAGCCTTACGCTGACATCGCTTCCAGGTCTCTTGGTAGGCATGATAGTACAGCCGAAGCATCTGTTGCCGCGATGGATTCAGACTGGCTTGATGATCCAAGTACTCTAAGCGGCTTAGATGAAGATCCTGGATCCGGCTGATGGGGTGCTGGATAGCCTGCTGAGCCACTGATGCGACTACACCAGCCATCATGAGAAATGCAGGTTCCAATGCATAATGAGGCTTGATCAGGGGCACCCCCCCGATCACTGGAACCGGAGGTTGGCAGCATATCCAGATGGTCGGCTTGGAGAGCTCCATAGTACCAAGTAATAAATGAGTAGTAAGACTGAGACTTGATGTACTCGAAGGACGAGAAAAACACGGCATAGCCAAAGGCGTCTCGGAGAAAGGAGAGACTCCAGCCTGCAAAGACGCCCCGTAGACCGATTTGTTTTAACTTATGGTGTCCATAATGCCACATGCTGCGATACTGCCCTTCAAGCATATCGTTAGTTTGCAGACGGACTTGAAGGGCGTCCAAAGGAGCCGCCATGATCGATTGGATAGTGCCGGCTGTGAACCCTGCGGTAAAAGTAGCCGAGGGCGGTGCAGGCGGCCATACTCGTTTAGCGCCTTGGGAGACAGGTTCGTGGAGGGACCCTAAAACTTGCAAATAGGATGTATACAAAACAGCGCCGACACTGGAGAGGATCAGTAACTGGTGCATCTGAGGCATGAAGCTTGTTTGGGAGAAAAGAGGGGATTCTCACGCTGCATTTGCCAACAGTGGTGGTAAAACTTGGTTTGGAATAAACTGCCAACCATATGTTCGAACTGCATGAAGCAATAAACCTGGAGTGGTGGTGTGTAGAGACCATTTGCCCTCGGCGACACGGGGATTTACAGCTCGGGCGAAAGCCTATCCAGAAGGGTACCGAAATTAGCCGGAGTATGGAGGAATAGAGGCCAGGGAGGTATATACCATATAACTATATCATAACCATAAGTTAATAATCACGAAACCCTTCGATATCCAACAAGGTGATATTGTATATGGCCAAAACCTACTCAACACGGGTGCGGAAAAATGCCTTGATCGGAGCTCGAAAGTAAAAGGCCACCATCTGAGCGCTCAGAGCGCGGACTCCAGCCGCCGATGCGCCTGTTGCTGCATCATTTCGTGGCTTCCGCCGAGAGCCTGGGTCTTGAAGGTGGGGGTCCAGGTAAATGGGATTCATCGCAGATCTTCTACTTCATCACATTTGAGAGCGGAGGTGTGGTGGTGATGGTTGCCGAAGAGACACAACCAAGTTGATTTGTCGATGATTCAGACAGTTGACATGTTGGAATTTATCACCGGATCCTTGCCTGTTCAGTAAATAAATAATATTAAAAGGAAATGTTAGACTCAAGACAAGGACCAAAGAGCGGAGAATCGGAAAAGCTATCAACATGGTAATATACTGCCTTCATACACCGCCCTGAATAAGACTACGCCTAAGTTGGTCCCATGATCTCCACTTCCACTTGGACATGTCTAGTCCGATCTCCTTCTATTGAATTCTATTTAGTTGAGCCTAGGATGTATTAATCATCTAGGTTAACTTTTCAAATACCTCAGACTGGGATTCAAGCTCTTTGTTTCCAAAATTTTGAAGTACTATGTGTCTGTACTAAGTAAAACAAGTTATACTATCCAGATGTCCCTGCTCTTTGATATCTCCGTACTATGAAGCGCCAACAACATGGATATATTGATTACCATGGTAGAACCTCAAACTTTCCAGCTATCAGTAAATACCTATATATATTATAATCAAATGTATCTATTTATGATATGATCAATATTATCATCTCAATTGAATCTGTATGGAATTACTGTGTACTCCCGTAGATGAATCTACATTATGGAGAACAATAGCTCAAGTGCTATATCTCACACTAGTCTAAAAGAGGTAAGATTTTACGGCTATCCGCAGCAACCAACTGCGCCAAAACGCGCTTTTCGCGTTTCTAAAGGGCCAGAAAGCAAGACAGTGACGGTTCTTTCTCACTGGAGCTTCATTACACCTCCACCCCTTTCAAACGTCCCATCTTCCACATCTCTCTTCTCCCTCATTCTTACCATCAATTTTCCCCTAACCCCGATTTTATTAGTTGAATGCGCTCACAACCCTGATTTCGCCCTTTACACCAAGCGCTCGCATCGTTCAACGCTCTCGCTGCTGCCAGCACATCTGCTAGCACCAGATCGCCCACCATGGCCGAGAAGATTGCGATTGACAAAAACAACTTTTTCAATCACTTGTCCACCCTGTACGCATCATGGAAGGCCGACAAGCGATCAGGCAACACCCTTTTTGGGGGCGCGGGCTCCATGGTCATTCTCATGGGAAAGACCAGAACTGATGAAACAGCTTTCCTAAAAAAATAACGCGATGCACGTACGTCATCCATTTAACACTTTTCATCATTTCATATCAGAAAGCAAGATCTAGATAACTGACTTGGATGCGCTTTTAGTTCTGGCTTCTTGGCTACGAGTTTCCGGCTACCCTGTTAGTTCTGACGACCGAAGCGATTTATGTGGTCACTACCGCCAAGAAAGGTGAGAACATGGAAATTTAGAATGCACTGAAAATCGGTTGGCTAATACAAATGGACGGAATAGCCGATCTCCTCGAGCCTCTGAAAGGAGGAAAGATTCCTCTTGAACTCCTAGTGGTCACCAAGGACCCCGAATCCAAGGCAAAGGCGTTTGAGAAGTGTATCGAGGTTATTAAGGGTGCGGGTGTAAGTTATCATGAGATATACCGGCAACCTGGTGATGTCTTGCTGACAGTCAAAACAGAAGAAAGTTGGCACCCTACCGAGAGACACGACGACCGGTCCCTTCGCCGATGATTGGAAGCGCGCCTTTGGTGAAATCTCTAAAGATGTGGAGGAAGTCGATATGAACCCAGCTCTGTCAGCTGCTTTCTCAATTAAGGATCCAGAGGAGCTCGTGAGTTTGTTCATACTATGTATATCGAGAGAAAGAAGCTAATAGTAGCCAGGTCTCCATTCGCAACGCTTCCAGAGCTTGCAGTGGCCTTATGTCAGAGTTCTTCGTCGACGAGATGTCTCGACTACTGGACGAGGAGAAGCAGATGACGCACAAGGCTCTCGCTGGCAAGGTGGAGGCGAAGATCGATGATGCTAAATTCTTCAACAAGCTTGCCCGTTTGCCTGCGGAGTTCGATGCTGAGCAGATTGATTGGGCTTACGGTCCAGTCGTCCAGAGTGGAGGAGCATACGACCTCAAGCTGACCGCGACCCCTGATAGCAAGAATCTCGCGGCAGGAATCATCCTTTCAAGTTTTGGTATTCGTTACAAGACGTACAACTCCCTCATCGGCCGCACATACTTGGTGGATCCCAGCAAAGCCCAGGAGGCCAACTATTCTTTCCTTCTGAGCGTCCATGAGGCGGTCATGAAGGAGATTCGGGATGGAGTCGTCGCCAAGGATCTTTACAGCAAGGCTCTGAATCTTGTCAAGTCGAAGAAGCCAGAGCTTGAAAACCACTTGATCAAGAACATCGGCTCCGGGATTGGAATCGAAATCCGCGACGCAAACATGCTCTTGAATGCCAAGAACACTCGCGTGCTCAAGAACGGCATGACCCTCGCGATCACCATCGGACTGACCGATGTGAAGGACGCATCTGCGAAGGGTGACGGTGTTTACTCCATGGTCATCACGGACACCGTTCGCGTCGGAGACACTGGACCTCATATCTTCACCAAAGATGCTGGCATTGACATGGACTCCGTTTCCTTCTACTTTGGAGAGGAGCCCGAGAAGCCCGTCAAGGAGAAGAAGGAGGCCAAATCTAGCGCAGCGGCTAGCAGAAATATGACACGCACAAAATTGCGCGCCGAACGGCCTACACAGAGCAACGAGGGCGCCGAACAGCGTCGTCGTGAGCATCAGAAGGAGTTGGCCACCAAGAAGACCAAGGAGGGTCTTGATCGATTTACTGGCACTACTGGAGACGACAACGGAGTGGCTCAGAAGAAATTCAAGCGTTTTGAGTCCTACAAGCGAGACAACCAGTTACCTGCCAAGGTCAAGGATCTCACGGTCTACGTGGACCACAAAGCTTCAACTGTCATCGTGCCTATTATGGGCCGGCCAGTGCCATTCCACATTAACACCATCAAGAATGCTAGTAAGAGCGATGAAGGTGAATACGCCTATCTTCGGATCAACTTCCTCTCACCAGGTCAGGGTGTCGGTAGAAAGGATGACCAGCCATTCGAAGATCCCAATGCCCACTTTGTCCGCAATCTGACATTGCGCTCGAAGCATAACGACCGTTTTGCCCAGGTGGCACAAGACATTACTGAGCTTCGCAAGAATGCTCTGCGCCGTGAACAGGAAAAGAAGGAGATGGAGGATGTCGTCGAGCAGGATAAGCTTGTGGAAATTCGAAGTAAGTCACACCGTATCCCCGGACTACTGATTAAATGCTAACTTGACTAGACCGCCGTCCTGTGAAACTCCCTGATGTCTACCTTCGTCCTCCTCTTGATGGTAAGCGAGTGCCAGGAGAGGTGGAGATCCATCAAAATGGTCTGCGATACCTGTCCCCCTTCCGTAATGAGCATGTCGACATTCTATTCAGCAACGTGAAGCATCTATTCTTCCAGCCTTGTGCTCATGAGTTGATCGTTTTGATCCACGTCCACCTGAAGACCCCCATCATTATTGGCAAGAGAAAGACTCGTGATATCCAGTTCTACCGCGAGGCCACAGAAATGCAATTCGATGAGACTGGCAACCGCCGTCGCAAGCACCGCTATGGCGATGAAGAGGAGTTTGAGGCCGAGCAGGAGGAGCGACGACGACGTGCTGCGCTTGATCGTGAGTTCAAGGCCTTTGCCGAGAAGATTGCGGATGCTGGTAAGGAGGAGGGAGTGGATGTTGATATCCCCTTCCGCGAGATCGGATTCACTGGTGTTCCAAACCGCTCCAATGTTCTGATCCAGCCCACTACGGATGCCCTGGTTCAACTCACTGAGCCACCATTCATGGTGATCACTCTGAATGAGATTGAGATTGCCCACTTAGAGCGAGTACAGGTACGTACTAGAATTCCTAGAACTCATGGCAATTGATGCTAACATTTTCTAGTTTGGCCTTAAAAACTTCGACCTTGTGTTCGTCTACAAGGACTTCCACCGTCCCCCCGTCCATGTCAACACAATCCCAGTTGAAGCACTGGAGAGTGTGAAGGACTGGCTTGACTCTGTGGATATTGCATTCACTGAGGGTCCTCTCAACTTGAACTGGACCACCATTATGAAGACTGTTGTTAGCGATCCCTATGGATTCTTCGCTGACGGTGGTTGGTCATTCTTGGCAGCTGAGTCTGATTCAGAGGGTGGCTCGGACGAAGAGGAAGAGTCAGCCTTTGAACTGTCTGATTCTGAGTTGGCTGCTGCCGATGAAAGCTCAGAGGAGGATAGTGAATTTGATGATGATGCCAGTGCCGATGCCAGTGAGGATGAGGACTTCAGTGGAGATGAAGAGAGTGGCGAGGACTGGGATGAGCTGGAGAAGAAGGCCAGCCGCCAGGACAAAGAGGCTGCTATGGATGATGATGACCGTGGGACTAAGCGCAAGCGTTAAATGCCCTCAAAATGTATTCCGCGCTGCTTATTCGGAATTCCCTTAATTGTATTTTTGTTCTTTGTAACTTGTATGAATTGATTGATCTGTTGAACTGAGTCCAAGTCCTTTGAGAAGTCTGAATCCTTGTAGTCTTGCTACTATAAAAGTAATACCGTAAGAAGTCTGATAAGATGTACCTTGAACAGTTGATATCATCGCTGTTCTTCGGTCTGATCCCGGACTTCCAAGGTTTACTATAATTAAGCATATTTAAACACTAAAACTTGAACAAGTCAAGCCCTATGAAGTCTGGAAAATCATAAACATCATGCATGAGATATGAATGGAAATATATAACAGCAAAACTCCAATTCAACCCAAAAATATTATTTACCAAACCGCATAGTAGTCCACATATTCCTCATCCTCTTCATCTGTCCTGCAGTAAAAGTCTCATAACAAATATCCGAAGAATAATCCATAAAATCATGCACAGCATCTAAACCCGGAGAATCAGGACAAGAATCCTTTCTAGCAGGACATCCATCCGTGGGTGTAGATTGTTGAGGTGTATCAGAAATATAATCTCCAGGATTACTAGCATCACAAGATTCACCCTGAAACGTATGAAGAAGTCCATTCCAATGTCCGATTTCATGAATCGCTGTTCCGCCACGATTATATAAATCAAGACTTCCGCCTGGCATCGTCTTTGCGAGAATGTTGCATCCGTCTTTCACGTAGCTATCCCGAGTGCTAGTCCCGTTTATACTTGGATCCGGTAGTGTGCAGAATCCCAGAACGCTAGAGGTTAGATCTGAGGATGTACTGGCTCCACGGAATGTAGAGACGCGACCAGATTGTCCTGGTGAGGCTTGGAGATCGGTTTGGAAGTACACGTTTAGGGTTCTGTAGGTTCCTTTGCGAAGAGCGGTCTTCATGGCTATGTCGTCGCCGTCTTTGGCCCAGAGATCGTTCACATGTCGAGTCACGCCTTGAAGTTGGTATTTTATTCCAGAGTCTTCGTATGAATCTTGGAGGATTAAGAGCTGCAGTTATTAGCATTCATATCGTGTATCGTATAGTGTTTTAACACTGCTAAGTAAGATAGAGGGGTAGGTACAAACCTGAGAATTAATCATATAATCAGTAACTTGGTCCCTATTAGCTTGAGTACTAACAATATGGAACCAAGTCTCAATCTCAATAGGAGCATTTCGTGCCTCAGATGTGATGATACTCCGGTTTGATTGGATCTCGCCATCTTTAACTTCTTGTAGAGCATCCAGGAAAGATGCATCTGGATCCTCGGTGGCGCAGATACCCCGTTTCTGGGAAATTAAAGGACTGCCTTGAACGAATGAACATAGTGTGATAATGAGTAGCACGGATTGAAATGAGTGTCGGACCATCGTGGTGTTGAATGAATGTGTTGCTCCGCCCATGTATGTAAAAGAGTGAAATGGGATCATGCGATTAAGAGAGAAGGAAGAGAGGGGAGAGTTGCACTGTGTGCTATTATCTTAGTACTGTTAGTTCTGGCGGACAGCCTGCTGAGTTTTATACTGAGAATGCTGCGTCATGATGGAATGCATGTCACGAGTAAGGGGGTGATCGTGGTCGATAAGATCGGCGAAGGCATCCCGAATCGCGTTGAATTATTGGTATTTCCAGTTATTTGCGATGTCTCGATGAGGTCATGGTAGGATGGGAGTAAAGAAAGAATGCTCATTGTTGTGGTTTAGCTAGATACATTTGAAACTCCTTGTTGAACACCAAAAGTCAGAACGGTCCATTTATTCACACTGATCAACCCCAGAATCCTGAAACACGGAATGAAAACCTGGTAGGGGAATTCGAGTGCGAAGGAAAAAGAAAGAAAGTCCAACTTGTTACGTTGGGATATAAGTTTGCAATTTATGATGATGGGCGCATGTCACGTCCTGTGGCCATCGACGCCGTGTTGGGTTGGTTGGTCGAGTCCCAGGTCAGGTAGGTGTGGTCACCCAGTTTTCTAAATGATATTAGTTGATGGGGCAGAAGTAGAGAAACAGGGAAAAAGGGACATACCTCGGGCGAATAAGATGGGCAACTGTGAACAAGGCTCCAAGGAGGACACAGACACCTCCAACCACGACATAGCCAATTCCCATAAATGGGTTCCGGCCTCCAAGCACAGTTCGAGTGGAGAGGAGAATTGACTTGGTGCCATCGTACTCAGTAACGGGGAAGTCTGTTTCTGTCAGTAACCATATATACTCAAGACTGAGATTGGGTGAACTTACTATCCACAATATTCAATTGGTAATTTCCCGGCTGCAGAGCATCGGTATCATTCCGCCTGGACAGTTTACTGAACGAAGGCAATCCAGCGGTTCTCATCCAAACCATAAAGTCCTCATCGTCATGAAGATCCGGAAGACTGGTGTAGCTGCCGTTATACTTAGACCAGTTAGGAGGAGGAACCACCTGCGAGGGATCGTATTTGCTCTTTCCGTAAAGCGCCTTGTCACTCTCCCAGGCAATGCCCTTCTTGGTCATGTAGTAGGGGACTTCGGTCTCAAGCAGGTTAATGGGGTTGCCAATACTATCGTTGAACACGGAATTGGCGATCAATCCACAAGGGTAATAGGCTTTCTTGGTAGCCGGGTCAGTCGTCATGGGATCACAGTCGCCGCTTGAGATCGAGCTGTTCGAAACCGCGGTACCCTTCAGTTGATTCAGATCCAGAGACTGCACGTATCGACGGTGGTTTTGGTAGAAGTTCGTGAGACGGTAGTATAGGAAAACGGGCGGGCCCATGGATTCCGGGATGTTGAAGAAGAGTTTGCAGGTAGTGTTATCGGTAGATCGCTCCCAGTAGGGATCGGTTTTCATCTTCGATTTGAAGGTCGAGGAGACGCGGTCGGAGATGTATGTCTGGCCATCCGTCGGAGCGTCAGTTAGACAGCTGGTGTAATCGATTGAAATCTCTTGGACCTAAAATCGAGTGTGTTAGAAGCGCGTATATTCATCAGCGTCGTACCCAGGGCAGTCGAAGTCAGACTTACCAGAGAGCTGGCCCAGAGTAAGACACCACCCAGCGGAGCGAATATGATTCCAACGATAAAGAAAAGAGGCAAGACACTTTTTGGCGTCAGAATTGGTCTAACAGGAAGCGCATTAGTATGGTAAATCCCTGTATATATGATATTCAATAGGATGCGCGTACTGCCATGCTTTTAGTCGCTGTTGACGGAATGCGGTATCTGTTAGGTGGCAATGATTAGATGAAGTACGGGAGCGTCGGGAGTAGGGGGATACACACTGGCGGGTCGCCGGGACTTTGATTTCTTGTCGCCATCAGTCTGGGACCGCTGGTCGTCGATTGACTCGCGAGGCGACATGGCGAGATGTTTGACAATAACGTAAAAGGGTGATGCAAAGGAGAGGATTGAGGGAGACGTCAGAAAAAGGTGGCGCGCCGGGGCGGGAGCCAGATCACTGGATTAGATTGGACGCCGTACGGAGAACACAGCCCCACAACACTACATATTACTTAAATATAGATTTAGATTTAGATATGATATAGATTTAAAGATTTAAAAATTAGACTACTGTAGTACATCCGAAAAAATGATAAAAATGTATGTATTCAAAGAATCGTATCGGGTCAGGGTATCATATCATCCCGGTTATCCCAGAATTCAAAAAAAAAGAAAAGAAAAAAACATGCAATCCCGAAAACTGAACTCCAGGGGAATTGAAAATGGTATGTGGGTACGTATGGAGCCCCAAGCCGTGCCAATCTAGACAAATTGAACGCCATAAACTCCAGGTGAACTGTAGCAAAATGCGGAAAGGATAAAGACAAGTAGCCATTAAGAGAAAGCAAGGAAACAAAGCAAAGGCATCAAAATCATCAGTGGAACCGGGGAATAAAACGAGAAATCAAAAATCCGAAAGGAACTGAAAAAGTATCGAGTCATCATGCATAGCGGGCATCAAAGAAAAGAAATCGAAAGTGCCACTGTTGGAGGGCACACCCAGAAACCACCCATCAGGGGCAAGCAAGACTGGAGTCAAGGAATTAATTGATTAATCACTCGATTCGAGACAGTCAGTTGCTGAGAGTTGTCTTGGGTACTGAGATCTGGGGTCGACAAGGGTTCGTCAAAGCGAAGACTTTGGAGAGTCGAAACCCAATCTCATCCAACTGCACCAATCCATCATAGTGTCAGGAAAGGAAGTAGAGGGAAGAGAGTAATGCGAGAGGAGAGGGGGAATAGTAGAGAGGAACGATATTCAAGGTTCATGATCATGTACAGTCGTGGTGACTTGCGATATCATTAGGCGACCGGGGGAAAAATAGGGAGATGGGGGAGAGAAACAGAAGGTATGGATCATCTCAAATACTGGTGAAAGTATTCAGGTTTGAACCAACCAACCCTTTCATAGGCAGTCCAGAGCTTGCTTGCTTTGTTGACATCAATCTTGCAAGCCTGCTGGGCATCTGTCTTGCGGAACTCCTTGCCAACACTCAAAGCTCGCAGACGAGCCTCAAAGATGCGGCGTTTACTGCAGAGATAAGTGGCGCAAGACAATCGCAAGGTGGAAGCTAGATTGAACTCGGCGGGACTGAGGAGATGCCTGTCCGGGTCATTGCTCAAATCCAACATTTGCCCTTTCCAGTCGGCCTTCAATGCTTTGGCATTATTGCCCAAGGTCTCCAGGGGAGGGGAGTAATCCTGAAGAACATGGAAGTCGGTGTCGTCCCGGTTAGTGCCCAAGACGCGGGGCTTAGAAGCGGAAGCAGGAGTAGAAGCAGAGGGGGGGGAATCAAAGGTATCAAGCGTCTGTTGCTTAGGGGTAGACTTAGGGGTGCGCTTGACTCGGGTGCGCGGAACTCGGGGGGTCACGACCTTCTTAGGGGCAGGGACAATTCTCTTTAACTTGGATGACATCTCACTCGGTCGGTACCGATTCATCAAGGCCAACTGTCTCTCTAGAGTCTCTCGTTCTTCTCGCGCCCAGGCCGCAGGATTGCGGTTATACTGGGTCGACACAATGGGGACACAGGATAATGCCAGCAGATACTCATCGCGCGTGGGTTTATTCCGCTTATTATCAAATTGGGCCATGTGTGAGATGATATGTTGATCCACGACCGCCTCGGGGGACGGGTGCATGGGACCGAAGAGCGGCTCCTCCCCAGTAATGGACTCTTGACGAGGAAACAGAACTGGATCCCGGGAAGAACCCACCTCACGCTCGATCTGCTCGGCAGTATGTGAATGACGTTTCTTTGACCCTGTGTAAGGGGTGACTGGGGGTGATGGAAGATCCATCTCGGACTGGGTTCGTTTGCGATCAGCTGAGATTGGGGGTAACTTCATATCCATGGTATTATCTCTTGCCAATGGAGAAGGTTGAAAACTATCCAATGGCTTTGTCTCCGGAGGTGACATGAGACTTGAGACAGGAAGACGATTCATGATGGATTGGGGGATGGAATGCTTCCCAGAATCCATATGGATGCCTGATTGTGGAAGATTGAGATATGGGTAACAGTGGGTAGTAGTGGCAGTAGCAATTGGGGGGGAGGGGATAAAGGAAGGAGATATGGAGGGAAAGAGGGAATTGGGGGAAAAGGGAAGAAAAAAAAGAAGAGAGAGTAGAAAGAGATTCAAGACTTGAAGAGAAAGAGAAGTCAATGGAAGTGACCAGGGGATTTGTCAAGGGTGGCGATACACGGCGATAAGGCCATATACCCCGGGTGCCCGATGTATCCACGGCAGAGAGAGAGAGAGAGAGGATGAGTCAATGTCAGTTAGGACAATTTCTGCCTAGTAGGCAACAATCTGGAATATAATGTCTGATTGGAGTTAAGTAGTAATAGAAGAACCATGGGAAAATGAAACCAAATCTACTAAATCAAGGAAAGTCAAGGAAAGGAGGAAACGAGGAAACGAAGGAATAATGAGTCAAAGGGGGCACAGTGCGGGGTGGCGCGTAGAGAGTCATCTGGGCACCCGATGACACACAGATCGCCCCATTGGGCCCCATGACAACATCCCATGAGTTCTAACATGCTATCACCGTATTGAATCTCCATATCTCTCCGTTTCTAGCTTCTTATACGTCAATGGAGAGAACTTGGACCACCTTCATGCTTCTCCCTTCCACCAATCATGATTTCAAATCAGCTCGTGTCGATCAGCCCTTGGGGCTCATTGTGGTGGTTGCCTTGATTTAGTAAGGGAGGATATGAAGATTGTGTACATAAAGGAGAGGGGGGAGCACGAGATCTTATCAGTGGGGATTCCCGAGAGTAAGCGTGATTTGGGTGGTTTGTGTGAAGCGGGGGTGGTGACCTTCATTAGATTTTAATTCATTTTATCTAGATTAAATAGTCAATTCAATTCATTCAATTCATTCAATTCATTCAATTCATTCAATTCATTCAAGAATGTCATGATATATCCTGCAATTGTGCAATTGTTCAATTGTAGCCTAGAATCAAGTTCAAGTTGTATTTCATATGCATGTGACCTCGGGAGGCAGTGCTTGGATGACATAATACAATCACGTGACTTTGTTCTATTCTTAGCCTAGCGTTGTTATGAATGATGGATGAATGTACTCCGGGTTATGTACTCTTGCGGAGTCTTACCAGTTGACACTTTCAAGGCTATCTCATGACTCAATCAGACTCATTACTTCAAGATCTCTTATCAATCTTGCCAATACACATGGTACCTCGGTGATAACTATGATTGATGATCAGACTTTCCACCATTTCCAAGGTTGAACTTCAAGTTTCATTCCACATATGCAGCTCATATATTTATATGTACAGAACTGACCTCATACACCAAAATCCATGAGAAGCACATTTCAAGCAGGACTCGGAGTTCCAACCACAAATGTATCCTCCCATTGAGCAGTAGGAGGTCCGTCACAGTCATCCCAATCAATCGTGTGGCACAAGAATACTCATCCTCGGCTCTTGTAGTCGGAGCTCACGTTTTTCATTTGATAGAGCGGAAGAGGGAGACTGTCCAAGTATATCATACGCACTCGTATGCACGCACTTGTCTAATGTAAACCCCGACACGTTATACTTTCTTCTTCACTCAACCCCTTAGTACTGGTGACAAAAACAGTTGTGAACTCCCATCAATAGTGCTATGGATGTCCTGCCGCCGCCAGACTATCCTCCAGTTGAGTCGAGCGAATACCCTCAGTTGCCGACTCGGACGCCGGCACCCACTCTTGAGGTGTTACATGCTTCCTGCGCTGGCGGTGATATTCAGAAATTTCGGGATATTCTCAAAAAACAATGTTCATCGTCTAAGGAATTTGACATATGCGACTTCTATGCGATAATGATAGAAGCCATCAAACGAGACCAAGTACAATTCATTAAAGAGCTCCTTGATCTTGGCTTGCCCATGGATCCGCTCTATGCTCTGACAGCGATTCATGCGAAGGGAAAGGGCGCTCTGAAAGTACTTCTTGAGAATGGTTGGAATATCAACCAGCCTATGAGCGAACTCAAACCTCCTGTGTTAGGGTAAGGGTCGTCCTGATATTCATAACCATGTCATCGATAACATGATAACATTTTTTCAGTTATGCTATTGCAGATGAGGAGATGGTAGCTTGGCTCCTCGACCATGGAGCCGATCCTAATCGACAATGTGTTATTGATCTCACCCCACTTTCTCTTGCTGTCGAGAGCGCGCCAATATCAGTCATTCAGCTGATGCTAAGTCGTGGCGGAGATTTTCGAAAAGGCCAACTTCTCCATCACGCAATTGAGCGGCATTCTGACAGCATTGCGGTCTTGAGCATTCTTGTAGGAAAAGGGGCAGCTATCAATACAACTATGTACGAGGACCATTATCCTTCTCGGGCGCTATTCTCTTTCATGGGTCTCGGAGCGCCTTTGCATAAAGCGGTTGAACTGGGCAAAGCCGATGTGGTTCGCTACTTGGTCAGCGAAGGGGCGAATTTGAATATCAAAGATACAAAAGGTCGCACAGCTCTGGAGTATGCTCGAATGTTAAATCAGCGGGAAGTCATCTATACCCTTGAGAAATTTTCCTAGGTAGTCTGGTCCACAGGCCCAGTTACTATTCGCCAGAATTGGAGTATAATTTAATGTACCTTAAGCGCGTTTTCATGTACCATCTTGCAAATACCATAGCCGCCTTCAACCTTCAACCTGCAAAACGATAGCCAGTGAGAGCTTGACCATGCTGCAATCGAACACGATGAAGTCATGCCGTCATATGCAATTCATATAAGCATGTGCATTCTTGATTTAATTTGTGTGACGGTGTACATGCTGATAATCCAACACTGGTGCGCTATCCACTCCATGAAAACGTGTTATTACATGTGTCAAATCATCGGTAAGTATGGCAGAAGACGCTTCATGATCATTCAACCCTAGAGACTATGCTATGTCTATGCCAATCGAAAGTAAATCCAATATCCTCAGGCTTACCCAAAGAAAGCGCATCAAAAAGCAGCGCCGTGGAGAAAGAAGATTTTTGCTGTTCCCAAAAACACAGGCACGGCAGATGCTTGAGCCTTGCGCAAGACCTGATATACCTGCGCTTTGCGGGAGACTTCCTTCCACAAACCCGAAGTGGTGCCTTTACCGATAACCGTGTAACCATATGTCGTGCAGGTCAGTTTGAACGGGGCACCATAGGAGCCGCAACCACCAAGGGGCATGCAACGGTCGATTTTTTCGTCCAATTGGCTTTTCAATATAATCATCAAATCTCCGACCGAGATAGGATGCTGGCTCGGATCGTTCTGACCTGCACGATGATAGTTCACGTTTGGACAGAGCTCGTCCAAGGGCCGCCCACCCTGTAGACCCAAAGATATGGACAAGGACAGAAAAGAATACGGCACTAAAAAACACAGATGAGGAACTAAACCTATGTTTGGTACATAGAAGACTCTTAAGAAACAGCGACAATTTCCAGCGGAGGCCACATGAGAATTGGCATCTGCTTGCTGATCAGGTCGCGACTTTGTTGAGAGGGCGGAAATGACAGTCTCGCAGGGCCCGGGCCCAATAAACGACAGAGAACTCAATCTACCCTCCCGTAATCACAAGTCCTGGCAACAAATTCAAACTCATGATCGTTTCTGCAAGCTGGTAGGTCTGACCATTGCGATATGGGTTGACACTCTCCATTATCCGCTTTCTCATCCTCTTCCTTAGCAGTGTCGAACATACGTTACGAAATAGTGATCGGCGAATTTTTTGGTCTCGGATTATTTCGAATTTGAAGGTATATTGATTTTGAGTGAAGCTTTAAGAAATGCAACTTGCGAATTTCTGTGTGGGGATTGAAACGGTTGAGCGCGTAGCAGGCCTCTTTGAGTGGGTGAGCCATTGACTCATCTGAAACCTGGGAGGCGCGAAACTAAATTTTCCAATGAACGTTCAGCCACTCATTTGACGCTCGCCGGATGGGGTCTCTGGATTGATGTCTCACTGCCTTATATTAGCGCCCTACTAAGGCTCTCATGATACAGCCTCATGTCTCCTGTAACGAGAGATTTAACGAATGCTCTCTGGTACACCCTCATCATATAGGTCATTCCAGAACATCATATCCTGCAGCTGTGCCTCACTCAAGTTGGCTTTCACGAAATGCTCTCTTTGTGGGGTCCTGATCCGACGATGGATTTCCCCTGCGGTTTTCCATCCTAAGAACCCCGCCATTTCCCAGTCAATAAGCCCAACAATTGTATCGTTGTTAACAATACAATTGGACTCGGTAAAATCGTTATGCGTAAAGCTCAAATCTGGATCGTGATTGGCGGCAGAAAAAAGTATCTCTCCTTCTAACGGATTGATCCGACCGTTACTGAGTATATTGGGGTCCGGTACAACATGAGAGCGAGCTTTGAGTCTTTGGTGTGGCTTGATAGTGTGAAGTTGATGTAGTATTTTTCTGGCCTGTTCTTTATATGATTTTCTTTGTTCTCCGGAGAGATACGGCCATGCAACAGACAATCCAACGCCAGGAAGCCTTTCCTGGGCGAGCACCTGACGACCATTGATCTAAAGGAAAAGATATAAGTTATTTGTCTTGATAGATGGAGAAAAAGATGTATTACTTTTCCAGCAAAATATATTTCTGGGACTTTGACATCAAACAAGACCGTCTTTGCCAGAGCAATTGCCTGAATCTCATTTTCATCGGCATATGAGAAGTCAATCTCCGGATATGGAGTATCCCCGGTCGCATGGAGATGGCTGGATTTCACAATTGTGCTACCTAGAGCGAAAACATCGCGACCGCCAGCATCGGCAGGGTAAATGCGATTCTCTTCAGTGCAGAGATTAATGATTGAGGCCCAGTATTTCAAGGATTCTGGAGTCCGAGAGTTGACATGCTGATGATCAACGTGAAAGTCATCAGGTTTCGGGCAGTATCGACCATAACAAGGCACGTCAGCGTACAAGTCCTCTGGAGGGATTTTATCTGGACTCGCTTCGTATGGGTTTGTCATTTTAGAAAACAAGTACAGCTAAGAGTGCGAGGAGACATTTTGGATACCAAAGAGGGGTAACCTATTTAACGAGCAGACAGGCACAGGCAAGAGTCGTAGTGAAACCACTTATGGTTGGCTGGACTTCTGTGCGGCCGTGCTCATTGTTACGGTGCGCCTGACTAGGAGCTGACCGGTCAGCGCGATGGAAATTTTGTCATTGGCATTGCTGTATGTGCATTTGTATGTATCACAACTGGGCGCTAAGGACGAGGGTCGTGCAAACATCCACCTGACACGTAAGTGTTATGCCCATTGGTCAGCCATGGGGAGCGCGTAACGCCATGCGACAGACCCGACTTTTCTCAGCCAATCAGAAATACTTGTCCGTGATTGGCAGTTGCGCAAATCGTAGACGAGACTGAGCGGGGGATTGTTTTCCTAGACAGTGTCATCAAAGTTCGTCTATAAAAGGGCTTTGTCTGTTCCGTTTGAAGATGTCTGTCATCCTAGCTTAAAAAACAAACTCAGTTGTATAATTCACTTATTACTTCAAGGATCATGGCTGTTCGATGTTCTGCTTGTGGTCAATGGATCAAGACGACTGGTGGGACTCATAGCTGTCCCGGCAGTAGCAAGACCAAAGAGGAACTGCTTGATATGCCCAAACATGTTAAGGTCAAAACACGTCTCGATCATGACAACGAATGCTACGAAATGTCCCTCCCTTCTATTACCTCTATCTGAGCCACAAAGGCGAGGAAGACCTGTGAGTATTCGAGCCATCGATCATGATTGCCCAAGCTAACGCCGAGTTAAGTGAGTAGAAAGAGTTTTGATTCCTATTGGGAAGGTCTTCTTCATGAATGTGATCCGAAGTTGAACTCGGATTTTGTTGTCGCCCCAAGAATCGCATAGGTCGAAGATGTCCATAATCAACCTAATTTTCAAATTCAAACCACAATCGTGAAGCTGTACAGACTCTTTCTTAAATACATTGCCTTCTCGTGTAGCAAGTCCTACATAGATGACTCCACTATATAGAAATTTATGTGAAGCCATTTGATTGTCTCTCGCTGCTACCAAAAATTCCACTGGATGCTTGAATTCTTCATCACCAAGAGGAATGATAAAACCTTAGCGGGTTTGAGTGTTTGATCTGGCACTTTGGCAGCGACCTCTTCTGCCAGTATCTCGATTCTTTCGTTGTTGAATACCTTCGCAGACTGATTGCTAGTTGGCTGCATAAATCCAGACTTGGCATGCATAACTCAGCTTATTCAGCGGAAACTCTACATAATTTTAGCATATTTCCCTTAGTTTGTCCTGTTTACACTAATATGGGGCCCCATGGGTCCCCATGGGTTATGCCGAAGGCTAGATACGCAGCTTGTGAGAGTGGAGTTCGATGCGAAATGAAGTAGCCAATCAGAGCTGGTTGTGAAAAGGTAGTGTTTCGGGTGAGACTTGAAGAGTGAACCAAGAGATAACTAGCCTGCAGCTCATGACATCATTCCCTATGTGGGCAAGTTGGTAGAGACGTACTCACCAGAAGGAAGAACCTACCCTTGGTTTTTTTCACGCGCAGTTGGAGGCAGACATCGCTCACTCCGGGTCGGAATCGGTGGAAAAATGATGATCCACTGACACGTTAGTCACGTGACATGTCCGTCGTCCCTTTCAAGGCGTCATCGTCATTGCTTCGAATTAGTTGTGCAAATCTCCAAAATGTTGTCGTACCTCTGGCGATATTGCTCAGCTGTTCGAGAAGTGCTTACCAGCTGTTTCTACTGGCTGACTCATTGTCTGGTATCTCAGACTAACGAATTATCTCTTTCCATACCCGAAGAACCTGACGATCTTGAGCGGTGTCAACGCCCCTTTTCGAAAAATGATCATCCAGCGGTCGCGAAGACTAATGTTTTGGCATTCAGCAAAGATCATCAGCCTGGCCTACCCAATGAGAGAGCGGATCCAATTCTCTACGAACCTCATTTCACGGAAACTCTGGGCCAAGGCTCGGCCTCATTGATAGCAAGAATGAGACCAGGCGTTGTTCTAAAATACCCCAGGTATATGTGGTGGCACGCTGAAGCAATGGGAAGACATCCTTTTGTGCAGGACATCAAGCGAAGTTTTCAAGTTGAAGAAAAATTTTTGGATTTGTTAGGCACACACCCGAGAATAATACGGTATGTCAGCCCCAAAGTTCGACGATTCAATATATTCATCTGCGTTTCTTGTAGCTATATTGGCGTTTCAGATGAGCCCCGTGGGCTTCTGCTCGGGGAAGCTAGTGATGGTGATTTGCAGAATTACATTGACCAACATTATCACGATGTCGATCTCTCTCTTCGATTGAAGTGGTGTTTCCAGGCAGCGGAAGCCGTCCACTATATTCATCAAAAAGGCGTCATCCATTCTGACTTACGACCAGAGAATTTCTTATTACACTCTGACTCCAAAAGCAAGCTCGATCTTTTGTTATGTGATTTCGGAGGGTCAACAAGTGGTGACATCGATGGTGGGCATCTTCCCGACCCTGGATTTTTCAATCCATCCAGGCCATGGGTTTCGACAGAGGCTGTGGATATTTTTAGCCTCGGATCTATTTTCTACACGATAATGACAGGCCATTGGCCTTATAAATCTCCTGGGCCATTCACATCTATGGCGGAGAAATACGACTACGAAGAAATGGTAGATGACCTCTTTTCTCGTCAACAGTATCCTCCTGTCGATGATTTATTGTGTGGTTCCTTAATACAAGGATGCTGGACAGAACGATATAATGATATTGGTGCCGTCATTCAAGACTTGACATGTCTTTTAGCTGAGATGAAATAGCAATCTGACAAGAATTCCATCAAATCCTGTCACTTTGTAAAGCAATTTAGACCTCAGACCTGAGCTCAGAGGACGGTTTCCAAATCATAATTTCACTCAATCCACTCGGGGCTCAAGGGTTTCTGAAGCCGTGGGTTCCGCATTTTCCTTTCACTCGACTTGAGCCCAAAGGGTTTTCCTTGCGACCGGGACAAGCGGCGGTACCGGCGTGAGGACAAGGGTTGAATTTGACGTCTGACTTTCAATCATTCGAGAAGTGGGCAAGGACCGACCAAGACGATTCTGGTAAATCAATGACCGCAGACCTATCATCTTTGCTGCAATACACGAAAATTCTGGAAAGGTATATCCATGTTCATTTCCACGGGCTTCTCAATTACTAACAGCAAACTAGGTGGAACGAAAAATCATGCAAATACGAAACAATCGAGTTAGAAACGATTGAATGCGATAGTGATGCCCTAGATGCGTACACCTTTGTCATCCGTGAACGCGTGGGTAGGTGTGGAAGTCGTTCATCAATTTACTGGAGCGCTCACTGACTTCCCTGAAGACCGCAAATCCGAGCAGCTGACTCGCTTCATTGACGTGAAGTCTACGCAGTTGTGTGATGTCCTTCGTGGGGTGTTGCACGACGTCAGAGCTGTCAACATGATTGGAGACAAGCCGTCCGTAAGTGGTCTTCCAATCCGAGCCATAATCTCACTAAGCTTATAATACCCAGGTCGAAGAAAACATTCTCTTTCATTTCCTTCCTGAGCTGGAAAATGCAGTAAAAGCGCTGGAAATGAGCTCCGATGGCGACCGTCTATCTCTGAGGCATCTCAATTTGCTCACTGGATAGTTACAGAAAGCCACAGTCTCTATTTCACGGGACCTATCGTCTTTGCTTGAACACGATCAGATTACTTGCGATCTCTTGTGGGCACTTTTCAAACCTGGGTGCTTTGTGTTCACAAAGTGTCTTAGCACTGAGAAGCCAAGTTCTAACGGGGTAGGGTGTTCCGAACGGCTGTGGATTACAGTACGTTAACCGGCCGAATTGATTGGTGTTTAATCCCTGCCGATCTTGACATCGGGAACAATGTGTTGAGTCTGGACCGCGTACTCCATTTTCTTTCGTATTCATAGCGGAAATTGGATGAGAAGTATCCGGGAAAAGAGGAGCCAAGTCCAATACTACTAGCTATTCATGCGGATAGCCCTGATGATCACCCTCCGAGGCCGACACCGCACATGTTGAAGGACCCTAATTACTGATTTGATATTGCCGTACGAGGTAATGTACTGAGAATTTGAACCATACTTTTAAAAGTAGCGCTAATAAACATGTTCAAGAATAGAGCTCCTTGTATGAAGGATGAAAAATTCAACTTTCGCCTCCGACCCCCGCTAGGTCCAGTGCCACGTAATCTATAGTGCTTTCCAAGGTTTCAGAGGCACGCTTAATTAGCTAGGTTTTATAAATAGTTACCACCAGCTTATGGAGCAGGGCTGGTGGGCACGATGACAAAGCTACGTTTCCACTTTCGACTTCTGGATTTCGATCTTCGAGCAGTTTTAGAAAATAATTTCTATCTCACCTGACATAAATACAAGCTTCGGAGGGCTGTGAGAGATTGCTCTCTCAAAATGCCCGGTCATGCTTATAGCCAGTGGCGAAATAAGGTTAAACGCCTTTTTATGTCCATGACTTTGGTTGGACTGGGCTTTCTGATGCTTTCAAACTTCTTTTTGAATGACTGTATGTCTTGGAATTTTCACGATATCAACCAAATATTAACGTTTTTAGCTCCTCAGAAAATTTTGCAACCTCCTCCGCCTGCTCCCGTTTCATCCTCTGCCGTAAAAAAGCTACTTGAAGAACCATTATCCCAGGAAAAGCCCGTGCCAGTTCCAAATGTTGAATCTTCAACAGTTGCGCTCACACGGCCACGAGTTGGCAAAGTATCAATGATTTATGGTGATCGCCCTATCTATAATAGGGCATTAGCATCGCATGAAGAACATAGTCGCCGTCATAATTACCCAATGAGCATCTTACGCACGCCTATTATCGATAGGAAGTGGAACAAATATCTCATTCTCCTCTCAACTGTGCTCCGAGAGCTGGAAAAGCCAGAAGATGAACGGTTAGAATGGCTTTTGTGAGATATACTCTTTCATGTTATATCACGCCTTGAAACTAACTTGAAAATGAATCTAGTTGGTTCGACAGCGATACAGTCCTGATGAATTTGAACCTACCTTTGGAAGTATTTCTTCCTCCCCCAAATCTCCCAGACGTTCATATGTTAGTGAGTCAGGACCAAAACGGAATAAACAATGGGGTCTTCTTCATCCGTGTTCATTCCTGGTCTTTCGAGTTGCTCAATAGCGCGCTTGCGTATCCTCGCCTGAACAAAAACACACAATTGCCGTTCGGGGACCAATCTGCGCTGGGAAAAGTCTTAGAAGAGAACGAATATTTCTCGCAATCCGTTGTGTACTGCCCATCACGTTGGTTCAACCCGTATAGGAGGTCAGAGAATGGGGAGCTACCACAAACTGAGGCATTACCTAAGTCTATGGTCATCCATCCTGGGGACTTACTTGTTCATTTTGCAGGCACTGCCGATGCTGGGAAATTAGAGGAGGCCATGCGGCCATACATTGAGATATCAGAACAACGAAGGCCTGATTGGAATGTACCCTTAGAAAACACTCATTACGTCAAACAGGCAGCTTTGTTCTGGGATACACATGTCCTTCCAAAGACAGAAGACACAGACATGCTACTCAAGGTTATTTTTGAAGGCGAATAATACGTATGGCTCAACCTCATTTCCCCCATTTACAATATAGCCCGCTGGCCGGTTCCTGGTATATAGAATAATTTACTAGAGTATTTAAATTGCTAGTCCCGGTAACATGCCTTTCAGTCGAAACTAGAACATGAGGTAATAGTCCCACATGGGGAAATTGACATCCTCGGGAATGATTTTTGTTTTCAAGTTTTATCATACGATGTGCAGGTGTTCATCTTCAAAATATGGTGTCGACCAATCGGATTTTACTCTTGCAACTCAGGCCCACAGTCATAGATTACCTGTTTATAAAATACTTTATAAAGCACCGGAGTACTCCGTGTATGGACACTGGCAGTTTGGAAAGCCTGGATGATTATTAGGGTCTCCGAATTCACACAGTTGACCGCACCTTGCACATTTTTAGCTTTATTCTGCATATACGCCCAGGTACATGACTGTACAATCTAAGACGTGCATGAGAAGATGCGGCTCAAAGAGCACCGGCTCATAGCACACAGTGTATCTCTAATCAACCTTCCAAGCCAGATAGGCGACCACCAATAACCACAGGCTTCACCAGCGGTTGTGGATGCCAGAACTCTTCAAGTTTGCTTGTTGACTGCGATGTCCGAACACAAATCAACAACCAAGCAATGGAGCCACTTGTTCCCGGCCAGCGCCTCCTATCTATTGATTTGATTCCTATTGATTTGATTCGACACATCGACTGAAATCATGTGAACCTGCTCGACATCATGCCGTTTAATGGCAGATTTCATTTGTTCATTTTTGCGGGTAATCTCCTTCTGTCTTCATCAATTCAGAAGCTCGGGAATTCCTTGGATTCCCCTCAGTCTCCAATGAGTCTCTTCAACCTTTTACTGTTGGAGCTCATGGAGCGTTTCCGTCACGGGGACATAACCACGGGATCGATTCCTTCCACCAACAAGGCCTTTGTTATTGACCTCTTCTTAATTCATTTACAAAATCATCTTGATACTCCATTGAAGAGACTTTCAACTCCATTTTCTACCAAATGGCCGATGCGGATTCATTCCAACGTTCTTGGTGTATCACAAAATCGACTAGGTGTCCCTGATGGTACTGTTACGTCGGCCTTGTTACTGGATTGGAAAAAGACATTGGAAGAGACTGGGAGCCTATGAAGAAGACGGTTCGGGCGCAACGATCGGCCATTCACCGATAACCCGCATCCTCCAAGGCCCACAGTTACTTACAGAGGGGATCAGGTCCGTGGGTTGGCCATCCGGGGCAGATCCGCCATTCAAGCCGTTCCACTTGGTCACAACAAGGAAATCTTGATGGGAAGAGATGACGAGTCTTACAGCTCGAGGTCCACGGGTAGAGGATGAAATGCTGATCATGTTTTCGCGTTATACTCTGTTACAGATCTCATTACCACCTTGTATGCGTTCCATTTATGCCGCTTCAATTAGTCCACCATTAAAATTACAGGTGCTGTAAAATATAGAAAGGACCAAACTCATTTCTTGTGGCAGCAGAATAGTCTTCAAGTTCCTAGCAAAGCGAAGCGCGAAGAACTTCGAGGCGATTTGGGACGATGGATCAACCACACAATCTTCGAACAGCCGCCGATATAGAATATTAATTAAGTACATATAGCGTAAAAACGTCCCATCTCCAAGTGGATTTCCCGGAAACATACCCTAGGTAGGAGCTTTTGAAGCCTCTGCGGACCGATCAGTCAAGATTGGAACACCCACAAGCCCCCACAGTGCAGAGCCGCCCACTCAATTGGATCTCAGCCAATCTAAGGTACTCAAGACCACTGGGAAGAGAGAGAGAGAGAGAGAGAGAGAGAGAGAGAAAAGAAATATGTTCATTCCGAAGCTGCATGGCGATCCGAGCTATCCGATTTAGACGAAGTCTCGCTGGCCATACATCTCGCTTTATTGCGTCACATATTGTCCCCGTATTCACATTTGAAGTTTTCGCTTCAAAGATCAATAGTCAGTTCCCTTGTAATAATTTAGATACCAAGGTAAAAACTATTGTTCTGGCTTCGAAGCAGTTGATGAAAATATGGTGTTGAAAGCTCCTAACGCTGTCACTTCGGCCCTGTTTATCAGATAATTTTTACCCCGGTGCAAAGCCCTAAGGACTTGGTTGGCTGGGTTCCCCCATAGATAGGCCGCGCGGCCTCTAACCGTACCTTCCGGCCGAACAGAGCATCGGCTTTTCCTGTATAATGTTTTTAACCGGACTGGCCCGAGAAAATGCTCTAACGCCCTAGTGCAGTGGAGTACTAACCTATAGCTCCATGGGAGAACTAGGGGGTACGTACCAAACTTTTATAGCGCCGCTAATTCTTTGACTAGTAATTAAATTGAGTTGCTTGCATGTAATACAGCTGAGTAGTTATTAGAACCTTGAATTACTTGACACTAACCTGCCCCGGGCTGTGAGCATCTTGCTAGATCTCTATTTCAAGTTATTACCCCTGCTAGAAGACCGTCGAAGTCACCTCTTATCTGCTGGATTAGGCTCCAATGTGTATTCAAAGATAACTTCTCAAAACAATTATCTCGTCTTCCTATAGGTCCCAGTACAAAAAAATTGAGGAAAGATGTATATCATGATCTCAGATTTGCCATTCAACCAAAGAATTTGGAGCTCCTGAACATGTGGGCAGTATCAGCACTTCAGTGCTCCACTTTATATACAGCCACATTGTACAGGCTTGTTACTTCGATACTGTACCTAGATACTAGCTCTCAATGTAATTGAAATTGTGTACTCACTGGGCACTAAGGCTCGAGCATGCACGAATTTTGACAGTGATGTTACCATCCAGTCTGTCAGTGCTAAGAATCTGGGCGACACTTGGCGCGTTAGGGTCTTCACCGAGAAGGCCTGTGGTGGTACTGGCGAGAACATCGATCACACCCAGGATATCTGTATTAAGCCAGGTATCTGGAAGGACCAGAACGAGTGGAAGTCCTACAAGGTAAGTTGTCTTATTTGGAATTTTTATGCAGATATGGAAGCTAACAACGTTCAAGGTTGTCAAAATCTAATCTTTTGTTGACAATGCCTACCCTTGCTTCCGGAATGATTAGTGGCTGGTCTGAAAGTACAGCCATATTTTCAAGTTCCAATCTGTTATCTCGTGAAAAAAAGTGTTGGAACTTGAAGGTCTCTGAAACAATAATCTTGGAAACTGTACATGTGTGGGGTCTCAATGGCAGTTTATGAGTTAGTTTTTTATCCCCAATTAGTTTTTATGTCAATGATATGATGGGTGATGTATGTGTATAGATTAGAAGTTCGATTGCTATTTAATACAAGTAGTTCCGAGTCGTAGGATCATTGGACATGATGGATTCCGAACGTTTTTCTACCTATCCATTCTGTTAATGTTTATATGAACACTGTCATGTTGACGTCGTCCTTAACCACTTTAAAACGCCGTTTCAAGCCCAGACGAAACTGGTCTACACGATGCATCTTCTCCACCGTTGCGGTTGGTACTCGCAGACTTTATGTGACGGTAACAGCTTCATTTACTTTGAGGATCCAGTCCATAAAAGGTTGGAGGGTTGGAATGCAAGCTGCAATAACACAAACATTCGTCTCGACGCTAGGTTATCTAGAAGATGGCTTTGATGGCGACACCTGAACTCTATATAATCCGTGCATTATTCAAAGATACTTTTGAAGAATTGAGCATAATACAGTGCTACTATAAACTTCTATGTACAAAACAAGGGTTTACTTCCTCATCGGTGTTTTTTTGCGCCGTACTCTTTTCTGCCCTTGTCCATATCTTCGATTAGAATTTCGACCTTTCAGTTTTTCAGAGTAGTGGACCTGCAATGAAGACCACTTGCGTCCAGGAAAGTGTGTTGCGATCTCTTTCCATGTAAGATTTTTTCTCTCTTTCAACTGCACCAGCAATGTTTCTTCGTCGGTCGAATATGATCGACGTCGCCCTTTGACGGGAGCTGTACAGCCTCTGGTCACTCGCTTGCTAATTCGGGTCGGCGTCTTGGAAGCACGAGGACTGCGCGTGGGCACAGGTGGCATCAATTTGAGGTTGTCAGGCATGAAAGTTAAGTAGTAAGTAGGCTCTGGGCCCAGCGTTTCGATAGTGAGGATTGCTCGCCCAACGAGATCATTCCCCCCATGCTGACAGATCGACGGATTATGAGACGTGTGGCCTGCTTGGCACGGGGAAGTTCGAATTGAGAGAGGGTTTTTTTCCATTGACAACTGGTGAGCCCTAATCTTCGAAACTTGTGACGCGACTGTATCAATCGCAAAATCCCCATAATCGGAATCATCATTGTCTGCAACGCTTTCGCTCTGACTATCATCTGACGGAATATGCCCTGGGCTTGAGCGTAGGCTCCGTAGCTGATGCCGGTGTGGCGGGGGTATCACTACAGCGACAGACGTGTGCCTTCTCCCAACTGCGTCATCTCGTCTGCCAGGAGAGCGCTCTTTGTTTTCTCTTTGCTTATGCCTTCGAATGAAATCCTTCTGGACACTTGTTGTTTCTGAATAAGAACCAGCAGGTCCGCATCTGGCTGCTTGGTCCGCATAGTCCAGGTCGGATGTGCTGTCATAATCTGTATTCTTCGGTCCAGAACTACCAGACAAGGCAATTTCCATTGGTGAACAATCTGAACTTGGCTCTGAACTTGGCCCGGGAGTAACCACCAGACAGTCACTGGGGCTGCTTTGAAACATAAAAGCGGGTGTGCTTCTTTCGCTTGCTGCCTTGGACGTGAGACTAGGCTGTAATAAAATGCTGGAGAGCGAATTGCTTGAGCCTTCTTCGTCGCATGGAGTACATCTGTTGAAAATTTCCCCTGTGTTTGTGGAGCGTGAGGACGATAACTCCTCCATCATATCAATAGAGGGTGGGGAAGGAGCCCCTGATGAATCCGCATGGAGTAGTGATGGACTAGGGCTGACTGAAGAAGATCTTGAAGATATGCATGGGAAGTCCGGCTCTATCGTTTTGCATAGAGCATGCGACGGCGCTATTCAATTCGTAAGTAAATTGGAAAAGAGACCATTGCAGAGCTTTCACATACACCTGGAAGGTTCTTGATGATCACGGTCAGAGGTCGACCTTGAAGAGCAGGCACCACGCTCGCCAGTCTTGTCAAGTGTCGGCGATGATGATGCCATTTCCCATGTTTTCGCTAGTTCGAGATCAAAAATGTTCGACGATTGTACTATATGCTGGTTCATGGTTTCTTCTGAGTGGGTAGCTGGAAGAAAGGCTTGATGGTCTGTTGCCAAAGATTTCTCTCTTCAATTGCAGCTGGACGGACCGAAGGCATAAGTTCCACTTCCATCATTTTTGCTATTGAAGGTATAATAGGGCTGCTTCGTGGGCTTCGACGGGCCATAGTAAAATTGAATATTATCAAGGGTGACTGCCATGATACCGGAGCTGGCAAGAGAGGAAAGGAAAAAACAAAAGGAACAAATACAGCTCCACTAATTTATATCTCTGAACGGCCTGATCAGTCAGGAGACAAACAACCAACGAAACACATCTCATGATTTAGCCTAGGCTCCCAAAGCCACGGGTAGATCAATAAAAACCGAAAAGTAGGACAAATCCGCCTGTTCCGCATGACCACCTACTCGGAAAAGTCAAAACTAAGACCGGAGACCTGTTGCGCTAGTTGAAAGAAAGGAAGTTCGCCTTATCATCCCATTCGCCGATACCTACACCGGCTTTATATACGATACAAGCTCCTGGCGTAAGCCCGAAGTCTGCTTTTAGGTCCGAGTGAAATGTAACATGGATTTGGGCCAAAGCTCTGACGAGTCAACACAGGGAGCTCCACAATTTTGGAGACACAACATGCCCTACCAGCTAATTCCTGGCTCATACGCTGAGTCCGGGCCAATCACATCAGATGAGTGACGAGCGCCATTTTAGCGGAAACGCCTCTATATAAGATTGAACAGGTATAAATTTTGCCATATATTTAGTGAAGGCTAATTAGATTTTGCTGCTCTTCGATCAAGACTAGATATCGGGGACGTGGCCTTACAAACTTATGGGTCTTGACCAATAGCAAAAAGAGCGCACAGAGAGACTATATAATACCAAGCCTGATGCAATAAATAATGCTTAACGGGTTAAATGGCGACGTGGCCCTAAAGCCCGTGTGCTTATCTAAGTTCCAGATCTGTCCAGAAGGTAGCATATGATTCAATATCGGCGGGGCTCGAGCTAAGTCCCATCATATCCAACGTGGTAAGTCGAGCTGGAAGTAGACAGAAAATATATTTCCGAGGAGAGACAAGTAGCTCTTAGATTCACCATTATAGAATGGAAAGCCTTTAGCATCTAGTGTGACAAATTTTGGACTCAGTCAGGATTGATCAACAGTATTGAACGAGACGGGGAACCAGCCGGACGACGTCGGTGGAGGCAGGTCGACTAGAAAATCCCTTAGTCCGGCCAGTATAGGGCGCAGCTGAGATATCAATGCGTCCAACCAGGTGCAATGTTTGAGAAGCTAGTGGGAGGAGGCAAAGGTGGGAGAAGAGGGTGGACGATAGAGCGACGCACGGCGGATTTATAGATCCAGGAGGGCTGGCCGCGAGGCGGTGAGGGGCCTACCTGGCCTGTTGAGGAATAGCGCCATGACTAAACCGGAAGTAGAAGGCGCTAAACCGGTCTCGGGGTGGGTGGGGCGGGCGCTAAACCTGGGTCGGGGAGCTGCCGTTTCCGGCGGCGGCGGCCCAAATGGAAATACTACCTTAAAATAATCACAGATATAACAATTGGTACTTTTAAAACTTCTACTATATAAAATAGCTTTTTAGCTACTAGATTAGCACCATTTGATACTAATAGAGTCTTAGAAAAGCTAAATATATATCTGGATTCTCTTCCTCCTTTCAAGATCATCTCTCAAAGACCACTCTCTTCCGGTAGTGATAGTAATCCAAATACTCTTTAGACTCTTTTAAAATTTATAAAATCGCAATCTCAGATCAAAAAAGGTCTAGAATCTTCTTCTTTAATCCTTTCTTCACTAACAAAAAGGGAGATTAAGAAGACCTATAATATAACTATCAAAGTTGTCCACTACCATATTTTTCTCTAGAATCACTACGCCTAGCTAGAGGCTACTAATAAGAAATAGACCAAAAAACAAGAGATAATACCTAAGTTTACTACCTAGAAAGGTATCTTTAGGGGTCTAGAGGGTGGTAAAGATGATATAGTCTATAAGGATAAAGATATAAGTAAAGATATATATTTACCAGAGGTATCTATAAATACAGTTATTAAGCCTATCTTACCTTCTATACCTATAATTCGGCAGTAAGTAACATATTCTAGGTATAGGATAAAAGGGCATATATATACTTACTGCCCTACTCGCTTTAGATAACAAAATTTATATTGTTTTTGTGGTTTTGAGATCTTAGAAGGTAAAAGTGCATGTTTGATTAAGTATAGAATGACAGTAGTTTATATACAATCAAACATGATGACATCAGGTGATGTGCGATCATAACAGTAACATGATGTAAGCAAGGAAAGATACATGGTAATCTTGGGGCGAATATCACATCCTCCCCACCATCTTGGAATTCGCCTCGAATTCCGCAAAACGAATGTGATCGCGGGCGATGGGGCCCGGACGCGACTGTAAGGTCGCCTATGTAGGCGGAAGCCTATGACATCATGTGAACGGACGAAGATGTAGGATTTCCGTCTCGTCCATGTCTCAAGGAGAGAAAAAAAATAATTCTCTCCATCTCCATAAGTTCTGACATATATCAATAGTAATGTCCCAGGCGAAAGCTTCATAGCGGCCGCCATCATCTGTTCTCGTACAGATCAACGCATAATCAGTCTCAGGGGAAGAATTTCGGTTGTTTCATCACAACCCATTAAGTTCTTGTCCAGTCAGGGACTTATGTGATTGTCCTGTCCAGGAAGTATGTCTTCTGTTTAGGTCTGGACCTTTAGGTAATCACCAGAACTTCATCAGCCAGGTATGGTTAGCAGGGGCTGATCATGGTTACGTCAGGGAGACAGCGCTTAGCAATAGTCGTGGCTCTAAGTGACCCTTTACGTTCGGCGAACGTAGATCCAGATCGATACTATAGGGTAGGTCTTATCGAGTTATAGCATATTGTATCTACGCCATGTAGATAATATATCTCTTTAGTAGTATATCTTTTACCTCTTATAAGTAGTATATCTTATAGCGTGGTAGTATATCTATCCTTGTTTAATTAAGTCTGGTTATATGCCTTAGTCTTAAGGTGGTACTATAGGGCAGCGACCTTATTATATTAGAATCGATACAGATATATATTATTATACTCTGTAAGATATAGGAATCCATTATATCACGCAGGATACGGTAAATATATAAAAATCTATCATATCTTAAATCAGAGATCCTCCTGATTCAAACACTTCCGTATCTTTAGGCCTATAGGCAGAGGAAAACTTTTCTAAGGCCGGTATAAGGTAAACATAGTATAACAATTATAAATATTATTAATCAGCGATAAACAGGGTAGTAGGAATTTTCCGGGGGGTTTATTAGAATCTAGGGTCTAGATCTACTATAGATAGATAAATATCAGAGATTTTGTTTATAGTTATTTATTAGTAAACAGAAAAGATAAAACTAGATTAGGAGGGTAATATCTATATAGACAACCACCTTTCCTGATTAGGAAGGTCTAACCCTATCTACTCCCTTAGTCTACTAGTTCTAGACCCTTCCCTATATAATTATATATTATCATAGATATATTCGATTCCCTTTGATATTATCTTTTTCAGAATCTTTTTACTAACCTTCTAATAGCTTCTAACCCTAATCTTATATACAAGGTATAATATATCTCTACCTATCCGATTCTTTTAGATACTAACATAGTTATAAAGCATCTTACTCTATTTACAAATCCTCTTCTTACCGATTTTACAACTAATCATAAGAAGAAATTATTACTCCCTACTCCTGTCTACGATATTAACTAATACAAACTTCTAAAGGTCTACACTTTATCTAAATAGTTACAAAAGACTACTATTATCCAGCAGTAGGGTTTAGTGGTTTTAACTCTATACACTTATTGTTATAATAAGCAAGGTCCTTTTTCCTTCTATATTATTGGTATTTCTTCTCTCACTACTAAATCTCTCTGCTTTAAGGGTTCTTATATTTATTATATAACTGGTAGTAACAGCGGGCACTGCTTATTCTAAGAGGCCCTATCCGAAGATCTCCTGGTTCTACTATAATCGTTCGATCCTTATTATAATCTCCTTTAGGAAGATTCTTTAGCACCCCTTACGGCTATGTTTTTAGAGTATCTAGCCAGTTGTGAGAGGTTATAGTCTTCTATATCTATTGAAGCTCTTTATATCTCTCCTACTCCCTTTTCTGCTTATTCTGTTCTTAGAAAATTATATTCCGCTACCTAAGATATAAGTCTCTTAGATCCTTTAGGTTTAGGTGTCTATAGGCGTTATAGATAACCCTTAGATCCCTTTAAGGGTTTAGGTCTGATCCGATGTAGTAGCTATGTAAGCCCCTTATATACTTTGGTCTTAGGCGGCGCTTCTTGAATATCTAATATCCTAAGTCCCTTAAACACTAGTATAGTCTTAGATAATACCCTAGAGGGTTCTATAGTCCCTTACCAGGCCCTAGCTAGATCTTTAACCTCTATAGGTCCTAAGTATAATCATTACTAGTATATATTGCCTATAGATAATCTAGCTTTATTTATATCTATATTTTCAGCGTGGGGAAGACAGGACCAAAGGTGATGACGTCACGCAGAGGATGTCAGCTGAACAGGGGCACCAAGCTACAGGGAACCCTTCGGAGGAAAGGGTAAAGATAAGACCAAAAGATCAGACAACACGGATCAGATGGAATGACATACGACCAAGCTGGATCCGAACTTAGGATGGAATGGAAGGAAAGAATCAAACAAAGATACAACTGATCCAAAAACGATTGAATTCGATGCTAAACTAGCTAAGGGGTAAGATCAGGTTTTATAGAACTTTAGACTAAACAAACATGAGACCAAAGGTCTCAGGATATGGGACGAAAGGGCTACGGAATCCGAAATAATCGAGTCCTTTCATCTCATCTTGCAACCATTGATCCTAACAACGGGGCTCGGGTTGCGGATCTTCTCGGACGAGAGAAGATCATCTTTGATCTGATAGATCAGATCAAAACCATATCATTCATTTCGCAACGGAAATGTTTGATCGCGGGATGAATTAGTCAGCATAACCTTTGGATCAAAAAGGGCCACTTTTCATCCCAGGAATCCAGGCACACAATCTGCCTGAATTGCTGACATATATATAACAAGGAGTATATATCTATAATTAAAGCTTATAAAGCTCTCTAGGCTATATA